AAATAATTATACATATATAACTTATCTAATTACATTCTACATCTTTTGAAATAACTTCCAAAGAAAAAGATGATCTTTCTATATTAAATACAACCCTTAATATACAAAAATACCAAATTTACCAACAATCAACACCAGCAAACTATACCATTAAAACTTAGAGTGCTAAACAAGTGCACCGAGTGACCAAACTCAATAGCTACCTAACCTTACCAAAACCAGCTTAAAAGTCATTGAATTGCCTTGACTGGACAATATTATAGTAATTACTTTAAAACTCTTGATTATTATATTACTGATCCACAAATAGTAATAAATCACCTTAAACAAGTGCACCTAGTGACCAAAAGCAATAGCTACCGAACCTTACCAAAACCAGCTTAAAAGTCATTGAATTGCCTTATCTGGATAATATTATACTAATTACTTTATAACTCTTGACCATTAAACTACTGCTCCACAAATAGTAATAAATCACCTTCTGAAACAAGTGTACCTAGTGACCCAAGTCCATACTAAACGAATCTTATCAAAACCAGCTTAAAAGTCATTGAATTGCAATGGCTGTATAACATTATAGTAATTAATATATTAATCATAATGAGAAATACAATGATGTCTAATTAGTGAATCCGTAACAATTGAAAGTCATACTCAAATGGATCGTGGTGAAACTATAACCAAAATAACATATGTACTTTAAAAACCATTAAAATGTTGCATATCAATAATAGTGTAGTTTACTTATGTTGTTAATAAACATTTACATAGCTCACTTCATAAAAATTTCTGGTCAATCTAAATTATACTAGACTATTTTTTTAGTACGGCATATAAACGACTCAACTTGCACCCTTAACTATGGGAAAATCAAAATGCACCCAAGTTCTGTCCTGCGAGGTGAAAATTGATTTTTTACATAGTAAATCTGCTCTCCTGCACACAGGCTAATATCTATACTAGCTGAAAAATTAAATGATCCCCACTATCTAAATTGCTTTACTACTTTAACATTTCTTACTTCACTAACCTTTCTCACTTTCACTCTCGTTTCAATCTAATCTTTACTTCCCGTTCTTTAACATACTCTACTTTCTTTTCTTACATACTCTACCTCTTCTACTCCATTTACTTCTACTTTCCTTACTTACTTTACTCTTACTCGTTTTTACTATACTTACTCTAACTACTACTCTTCTTTACTTATCTTTTACCATCTTATAATTACTTTAACTTATCACTACCACACTTCCTTTAATTTCTTTAACACTAATCTTGCTTCTTACCATTATAAACTACCACACTACCATTTACTTCTAATCCTTCCTTTTACCCTAATTTATCTTTATCTTTCTACTTTATCTCTTACCTTTCCTTTAACTACTATTATACTCACTTAACTTATACTTATTCTTTCCTTTTAACTATTATATTTACTATCATTCACCTACTACCATACCTTCCTTTCTTTTAACTTCTTTTCTAAAATAACCTTACTTCTCCTCTATTTACCTTAACTCTTAACTCTATTATATTATCTTTTCCTATTACATCATTCTTTTAACTATAATACCTTTTATCTTGCTAATACTTCAACTATTCATTCTATACTTCTACTTTTAACTTTAAATCTCTATCTATTCTTATTCTTTACTTTAACTAACTATATCCTATAACTACTTACATTTTACTAATACTTCTTTCATTACTACTCCCACACAATCCATATTTTATTTACTATATTACTCTCTTTTACTAATTCAAACTTACTTTCTTACTTATAATTACATATTCACTTAAATTTTTTATTACTTCGTATTATTACACAAACAGCCTTACTTATTACACAATTTAACGTTTAAATATGCGCTACCATTTGTACATATTCTATATCACTCTACTACCCTATCTTACGCCACTTCAATTGCTCTATACCTTATATTATTGATTATCTGCCTATCTTTAATTCATCTTATAACATAAATATTAGCATTATAATTGCATAATCATATATTCTATATACTATATTATCTTTGTCTTTTTTCCTAAATTAAATTCGCATGCATTCACTTTTTCCTAATATTCTAACCAAATTCTCATAAATTAAACACACTTAAATTTATTGTAACTTACTTATTACTATCTTATAATCACTTCCACACTTACATATTTACAATTATTACCTATTATCACCTTCAACCATTTACACTTCTAACTAAATGATCCTTTTATTTCAATTTACAATTCAATATTTAACTATTTCTTCATATTTTCTAACTCTGTAATACTAAGTCTAACCTTACTTATTATAATATAACATCTACCGAATTACCTTATATTAATATATTTCATACCCTTATTTTCATTACCAATCACATACATTAACTTACAATCACCCTTATTACTCTAATAAAATATCTACTATACTTCACATATATTACTACTAACTTACTCTTACCTCCACATAATCTATCTTTTTATTAATTTCTACTTTATCATAAATCCAGTATTACCCTTATACTCCTCTTTACTTTAATATCACTGCTCATTTCTACTTTTACCTCAACTTTATAATCTTGCGTTACCACACTATATACTTGCTTAACTATAACATATATCTAAAGTAATGTTATTTATCTTACTACTAATTTTATTTAAATAGCTCTACTGTCTTTCAATATCTCTCGCTGAAATATTATCACCAAATTCATCTCCTATTATAGCCTTCTTTAAACTCTAGTACTAATACTTATAATTTCTACTATCTAGTTCTAACCTGCTGCAACTTCAAATAGTAGACTTATCATCTTACTGTAGCTAACAGATCACTGACATATATTTAAAAATTAAGTATTCTGAACCCTTTTAATATCCCTTCAATTAGTAATTCTACCAATACTTAGCTGATCGCAAACATACTTTTAACTACTATGTATATTTTCCTTTACTTTAACATTTTTTAATTAAAGTATATCTAACTTAATAGACTCACGGATATACTACTTCCAAACAATCATTATATATACCACAGAGCACTTATACACTTAAATATACCATATTATTACTTACTTCATCTGCCTTATTATGTACCTCTAAATATATTACTGCTAAATCGGCAAATAATACTAGACCCTCCCTAATTTTTTGCTTTTTTAAAGTATTGCGCGCCTACCCAAACCCTCCCTATTTTTTCTCGCTAGCCAAACTCTCCTTAAATTTTGAAAATATTTTGCGACACTCTATATTTTTTTACGACATAACTGAGACGCTACAAATATATTATACTAAGACTAGCTAGAACCAACTCCACCACCACTAATCTTCAATCGCTCATATCCCAACCATAAGTAAGCACTGCAATTATAAATCAATCGCGCTCTTCACTTTTTCAATACGCTTACAAAAAATACCCAATGACGCCTGTTTTAATTGTGCTCTTAACTATGTAAAATTACCAAAATCCAAACACTCTAAATTTAGTGCTAACAAGCTCTTCTTTGAACTGTATATGTACTCTTACCTCAATATATCCCTACCAAAATCTCAGCCTCATACCATTAATAAAAGTGCCACTTGACGCCTGTTTTAAACAATCTTTAACTATAAGAACAATACTTTCGCACATACTTAAGAATACCTCTGAAATACCGGTAACTTCACCCACCTTAATGTGAGTACTAATATAACGTATAGGTCAATATATAGTAACGAATACTAAATAATAATTAGAATTTTATGAAAAATATTGGTCTTGACGAATATTAGCATAATATAGACTTAATATACTTCTTAATAAACTGGGATATACAATACACTAATTAACTTCTTCACAGATAGAAAGACTATCATTAATAGTAATCTTATAATAATAAAAACCTAGTGAACACCATCATTATTATAGAAGACTGCTCTATGAAGATTATCCAAACAAATTTAGTCAGCCTTAATCATTAGCACCACCTATAGCTTGAACTCAAAACTATGATCATCTCCTATAATGCAACTCTTATCATTCTTAGCTGAAAACAACCACTTATCATTCTTAACTGAAAACAACCACTTATCATTCTTAGCTGAAAACAACCACTTATCATTCTTAGCTGAAAACAACCACTTATGAACAAAGATTTTCTAGCCAAGGTAAAATCAATCATTTTATTGTAAGCACACCAAACCTTACTATGTAAAGTGTGCCTGATTTCGATGTACCATAACCGCGTAAACCAGAATTCGTAAAACGTTGTCATTCCTTATATAAATCTACTACAACTGTCAACTACTTTACTTACTTCCTTCTTAGAAATTCATCATTTAAATCCATCTAATAGTTATACTACTGCTATATACATTGTACTAACCTAATTCAAAAGAATATGCTTTCTGTCAGTCCAGCTATTTTGTTTTATCTATATTCTCGCTTATGTAACCTTCACAAAATATCAATTTAGCTCTTTTTTAACAACCTCTGAAAATCTCTTTTCGCCTTAACTATGGTATACACATCTAAACTCTTGATAACTACCACACTTTCGTAACTATATCGCTATAAACTATATAATCCTAGCCTTCCAACCATGGAGCATATACTAGCTCACCAATCGCATAAGTAGCGACTGCGCTACAAAAACTGACAGTGAGTGGACTCATGCAGGGAATTATTTCTATTTTTATTAACGCTTAGTAACTTGATAACTACATCTTTTCATCTTTACATAGATTTCTTTAAGTTAAGTGTATATTAATGAAAATTACAATATCATTCATATATCTGTATAAACTGTAAGACTGAAAATGAAAAAGCATACTGTAACTCTACTTCCTCTTTCATATACTCTTATATAACTCTAGCTTAACTTTATCTAAAATTCACTAACACTTTCTTTTGAAGTTCTAATTACCATAATCACCCCATGTTTCTTTAATGTCATTGTTAGTATTATTTTTATTAAGATTTTCTCCCATTCTTAAATGATGAGTCTCATATTACTTCAAGTTTCACTTCACTGCAACGTTGCTAATGTGGTAGTATATGTGGTAGTATATACAGTAAATGGGTCACTAACTGTTGGGAAGAATGAGGATGAGGTGACTACTTTACCGTCTTTATCGTAGGTAACAACGACCCTAGCTGAATCAGTCGCTTTAAATCCATCAGGTAAAGTGGTAGTGAATGTCGTAGTATATACAGTAAATGGATCAGTTGGAGTTGGGAATAGCGACGTCTTTGTAGTTACTTCACCATCGGTATTGTAAGTAACAACAACTATACCAGAATCAGTAGCAATAAAGCCATCTGCTTCAGTAGTGGTGAACGTAGTCGTATAAGAAGTAAATGGATTAGTTTTCGTTGGGAATAACGAAGTCCTTGTAGTTACTTCACCATCAGTATTGTATGTAACAACAACTATACCAGAATCAGTAGCAACAAATCCATCAGTATCGGTGGTCGTGAAAGTAGTGGTGTAGTGGGTGAACGGATCAGTTGGAGTTGGGAATAGCGACGTCTTTGTAGTTACTTCACCATCGGTATTGTAAGTAACAACAACTATACCAGAATCAGTAGCAATAAAGCCATCTGCTTCAGTAGTGGTGAACGTAGTCGTATAAGAAGTAAATGGATTAGTTTTCGTTGGGAATAACGAAGTCCTTGTAGTTACTTCACCATCAGTATTGTATGTAACAACAACTATACCAGAATCAGTAGCAACAAATCCATCAGTATCTGTAGTGATGAATGTAGTGGTGTAGCGGGTGAATGGATCACTTGAAGTTGGAAATAAAGATGTTGTGGTGATGCGATTACCGTCTTTATCAGTGGTTGCAAATACTATCCCGGAATCAGTAGCAACAAACCCATCAGATTCAGTGGTGGTGAATGTAGTAGTATATTCATTTGGGAATAAGGAAGTAGTGGTAGTGATAGTTCCGTCGGTGTTTGTGACGTGGACTACTCCAGAGTCAGTTTCTACCGAGCCATCTGACTTGGTAGTTGTGAAAGTTGTTGTATAATCAGGTTGGTCTTGTAATATATCATATAATCCGGGTATAAATGTTGGACATGGTAAACACACGCTTGGCCTTGAGCTGTCTGGGGGTGGGGCGTTGTATACGAAACGAGCTCCAGCATTCCTTAAATTATTACAGGAAGCACCTTGACTCCAACTTATCAAAGATGGGTCATATCCAGGACCAATGATAAACTTATATGTAACAGATGCAGCTGTAATACTTAAAGTTGTACCATCGTAATTCCAAACGGGATCTGAAATGTGAATAGTAATCTGATTATTATTCCCCCAACCACTTACAAGGTATGGAGTTGCGGGGGCATTGGATACTCCAACATTATCAAAATACAACACTGAAGTATTTGTGCTAAGGTAAAATGTTTGTAAACTACCATCAAGGCCAAACAACTGAGGACACCTCAAAAAAAATGTACTTTGATTACCAATATCAATACATCCATTTCCAGCATATTGGGAACCTTGATATACAGGGTTGTTATTAAACAAACAAAGAGATCCATTGTTGATAACAGTAGCCACCCCGGAAGTAGTACAAGCTGAATCAGAACCCCAATATGTACTTGGTGCATCACCGACAGTCACAAAATATTGCATATATGCGAGGACACCTTTATTGATAAAATATGAGTTAGGTCCTGATGGCTTAATTATATTTGTAGATCCATCACACATTTGACAACCAGCCATAATATAAGTTCCTTCATTGTAAAAGAAATTACCATGAATGGTATAAGTAGGTGGACTACATATAGTATTGTTATCATTATACATAAAATAACCATAATTAAGGAAACCACCTTTTTGAATTCCTTCATTAAGTTTAAAACTCAGACCGGAATTATAATTTTTAGCGTACGTAGGATAAGCTCCTATATTATGAGCATAAAATACACCCTCATTTTTAAACACAGTACCAGCATTCAGATGAAAGTCGTAAGAATTAAATATAAAAGTTGCATGTTTATGAACAGTTATATTAGCCTGCCAATCAATACCGTAACTGCCTTCAAAGTCAGTAATACTTTTTGTAGTAGTATTATAGATATCTAAGTTAGTTTTCCATGTAGAAAATACAGTCTGCAATAGGAATGAAGCAAACACAATTGCTCTTACAACTGAAGGCTTCATTTTTGATTCCTAACTCAACGAAGTCTGACTATGAACAAATTTATTGGAATTTGATGATAAACTTACTTATATATTTAAATCATTAGAAGTTATCACAAAATTTTTGGTTTGAAATCTAGGATGGTGCAATAGTTTTTAAAAAGGCTGCTAAATGTTAAATTTGTTGATAACTGCACATCAATGCATAAAAATTATTTTCGATGTTAGAAAGTTTGATTAATTAGCTCCAATTGAGGGGCTTTGCTAGTAGAGAGTTAAAGTTTTGGAAAGTATGTAGTCCTTAATAAGATTATCGTTAGATTTTTCTACTTCTTCTATGACCTTAGCAATAAAATTTCTCTATATACGGATTTATTCTTGTCCTAACTGTATTGATACTTTATAATAGGTTACCAAATGGTCAGCTCTTACCACATTTTTTAAGTTTATATAAACAAAAAGTGGGACACCTTCGTTATACTCGAGTTTTAGAAAAAGATTAAAGACTAATCTTCGCTCGGCTAATATTTCTCGCTTACTTTCCGTGGCTTAGTGTGCGATTTTAAAATCTCCCCATTTCCTATTCATAAGAAATTAAAGTAATATAAGAAGCATTTAACATTAAGCAAAAGGTCCTAACCAATGAATCCGTTCGATGGACATATGCCGCTATAGATACAAACTGTTAATATATGAATTTAACATATTATCAATGTTTAGCATGTGAAATTGGAAAGAAGGTGAATAATACTAAGTGCGCCTAATTTCAATCTACCATAACCGCGTAAACCAGAATTCGTAAAACGCTGTCATTCCCTATATAAATCTACTACACCTGTCAACTACATTAGTTGCTTCCTTCTTAGAAATCTATCATTTAAAGCCAACTAATAATAATACTGTGGCTATATACATTGTACTAACCTAATTCAAAAGAATATTCATGCTTTCTGTCAGTTCAGCTATTTTCTTTTATCTATTAACTAATTACAATTTATTCTCGCTTATGTAACTTTCTCAATTTATTCGAACAAAAACCAGACGGCTCTTTTTTGACAACCTCTGAAAAACTTAGCAATCAAAATCAAACAGAAAAATGCTAAACTAAAAATATAAGAATTGCCACAACATTGAATACAACCTTCATAATTTAGGGAATAGTAGTCTCATATCTGTTTAGTAATGCAGGTGTAGATTTATGTTTCGTTGATAAAGATTACGCATAAAATGTGCATATATAGTAGAAGCATTTATCAATAGCATCCTATGTGGAGTTCTCCATAAACATCTCATATACTGTCCTTGATACCTCAGAGTCGTCATATCAAGACCGACGTGAGAGATGAGGCTAAACTAATCTTTATAAGTTGTTGGACTCTGGTCCTTTCATTCTATTTAAAGATCGTAACTTTTAGGCTAATATTTACTAACTCTAGGATGTATAGGTTTGTCGTTATGACTTCCTTAATATATTTATAATTTTAAATGTAACTTATTGTAGTATGTTGTAAGAGTATAGTTTAAGATTACGAGCTTTTCAAATAAGTTGTGGACAAATACGTTATCTTTGTATATCAATCATTTATACTAGTAATGAAACTCAGTTGATCCTATGTTGAAGAATTTATTTGTTTATCGAACTATTTTATATAATATACGTTGATTTATATAAAGTCAAGAATCTTGCAATTCTCGAACTTTATTTATTCACTTAGTTGATCTCGTTTAATTTCACCAAGAACTGGAGAATTTTTCATTTTAATATCGATCCTTGCTTTCCTAGGATATTATCCTACAATATACCACTGCTGTATCCATGACTTCAAAGTTTGCTTAGTTTTCAGTCGTCAATCTTTTCTATTAATCTACTGATCTACGAGGCGACTTATCTTCATTTGGTCATTTTAATATCCTTACAAGGTAACAATTAACCAACTATACGGTATAGGAGAATCACATTAAGGCAGATCATAATTTCCAAACATTTAGATTATTGTATTTTGTACTACGAATATAAAGCTGAAAAGCACACTCATTTCCAGCAACATATAACTATCACCGGCATATGAGTAAATATGATATGAAGCGTTGTTGTTTAATATATAAAATGTTCCATAGTTTATATTGGTCGGAAGATCATAATTTTTTGATCCGATGGGATTCCGATACCCCGCTTACTAAAGCTTTAAAACGAAAGAATTCGCTTTCATTTTAACATTCGAAAGAATTCGCTTTCATTTTAACATTCGAAAGAATATACCTATTATAGTAATGCCAATTATATTAAAAGGAAAAGTTGCATTGATAACAGGAGGGACCAATGGTCTTGGAGCTGCCGTTGCTCGCCAATTAGCCGGAGAAGGTGTCAATTTAATCCTCAATTACTTTCAATCAGAAGAAAGAGCACAGAGACTTCGAGAAACTCTTGAAACAGAATTTGGAATTAAAGTCAAACTTTTACAAGGCGATGCTGCTGATAAAGAAGTTAGCAGAACCTTGGTCCAAACAGCTATTGAATATTTTGGAAGACTTGATATTGTTATTTCTAACGCGGGGTGGACAAAAATTGTACCCTTCGATAATCTTGACGATTTAGATGATGATATATGGGATAATTGCTATAGTGCCAATGTCAAAGGCCATTTCTTTTTGTACAAATCAGCAAAGCAATATTTGGAAAAGAATGAAGATGGTGGTACTTTTATAGTATCTGCATCTGTAGCAGGTAGAATGGTGTACGGATCAAGCATTCCTTATGCAGTAACCAAGGCGGCATTGATTCACTTGGTGAAAATACTTGCTAAGACTCATGGCCCAAAGGTTCGGGTTCATGCGGTTTGCCCAGGTTTATTAATGACAGATTGGGGAAAGAGATTCTCTCCCGAGAAGATTGAAAGAACGGTGAAACTTTCCCCGATAGATAAATTACCAGATGTTGAAGAAACTGCTTCGCAGTACATTTTATTATCGAAATTAAGCACTTCGACAGGTACAATTGTTGCAATGGATGGTGGTATATCTATTTCTTAAAACCTTCAGATGTCTCTCCACAGAAGTATTTGTATTTTTTAGATATTTGTAATTATACATTCATCTGTACAATAAAAACGCCAAAAGTATCATATGCAGCAAACTAGAACTTTTATTAGAAACGTATTAAAAAATATAAACAGAAAAAGGAAATTAGTAGAATAATAGACGTATAATTATTGCAAATATTAACTGTTGAACAAGTAATTAGAACCCCTCCGAACAAGTCGTTTAACGGAATTATGGTAGAATTATTAAAAATATTAAGCAAAAATGGCAACAATAGGAATAATTAGGGGAATAAAAGCAACCAGACATCTGTTACCGCTACTTGATGCAATTGACACTGAAGGGGTATCTGAAGGAGCAATTGATGGTCGAACAGCTGTAACATCAACAATTGTTATTGTGGGTTGGATTCCTAGAAGAGTAGAATCTATTGTGATGTCCAAACTTCCAGCACCCTGGCCTTCAGGAGTTTGACTTTCTAGGGTAAAAGATTCAGTAGCAGTATATTGATATGTAGAAGTAGTAATAACTCGAGGAATAGTTGTAAACATAACAGACCCATACCCATTAGTATATTGCACGGTTTCATGTGATGTATAAGTATTTGGAACATACGAACCTCCTAATGGCGCTGGACTAGTGGTGGTAAGTTGATGAGTAATAACTTTTCTAACACCTCCAGACGTTTGAGTTTCAAGTGAATTATAAGTAGCAGTTATTAAAGGTAGAGCAACATTATTAGTAGCTTCGGTGCCAGAAGTACCTTCTGATTCAGGACAGTATGTAATAGTGAAAATATGTGGAATAGTAATGGTCTTTATCGAATTCAGCGGACAATTAGTAACTGTAGCAGGACATTCTGTGATAGTAACAATCTCTTTGGAAGTAGCAACCGTGGTTATTGTAGATCCCTCCACAGCAGTTAAAGCCCCTGTTCTTGTTCCACTGGTGAATGTGGTTTTAGGTCCTACAGCTGTTATAGTTCCTGTTAAAGAATCAGTATTAGTATAACTGCCAGTATTTGTATAACTACCAGTATTAGTTAAAGTGTCTGATATAATAAAATTACCACTATTAGTCGAACTTCTTGTAACTGTAGCTATTTCAGTTCCACTTGCACTACTATTAGTAGTAGCAAAAGCCGTAGCTGAAGTTACTTTTGTAGTTCCTAATGAACTAGTACCTGTAACTGTGCTGCTCGAAAGGGTCGGTGTTGTTTCCCAAATATGTAATTCACCACGCATACAATCATCAGCTATTTGATCAACTTGTAAAGGAGCAGATTCATTAGAACAGAAATAGAATTTAGTACCGACACCGTCTAATGCTAAGCGTTGAACTCCAACATTCGAGCTTCCAATAGGAGTCTCATCAAGAACAGCCCTTTTAATTACATCTGTATTTGAATAGTTATCACCAACAATCAGCCAACCTCCAAAAGGTTCTTCAAGAAGGGTGAATCCATTGGCTGGATCAGCATGCAAATATTTACCATTAACCAATATTTCACCACTTGGTACTACCAATTCAAAGAATGCACCATTGTTAGGATTTGATATAACTTTATCATCTTGTAAAGAAATATATTCTCTGAAATTATTAGGGGAATCAGCAACAGCAGTAATTTGGAATGTCAAGATACTGGTACTTGGTATAGAATCATCACTTGAACTAGATAATAAAGCAGTAGTCAGATAAGCAGAGGAGGCTTCGACACTATTGGACGAATAGATTAACGAACTTGTCATCGTCGATGTGGTGGAATGCAAGCTAAACGAATCGGAGACTGCTGCTGAACTAATTAATGAAATAGAAGGAAACTCACTGTCAGAGGATCTAGTGGTCACATTGCTGTCTGAATCTAATGATTCAGACACACTTGAGTTCGTCGTACTGAAAGAAGGAATATATGTACTGTCAGTGGGGTATAATGACGTAGTGGTGCCAGATGATGACTGCGTTATTCTGAAGGAAGAACTTGAAGTGATAAATGTTGAAACTTCCGACATACTGGATTTAAACAGCAGTGGCGACTCAATCAATGTTGTTTCGGTCCTCTCCAGACCAAGAGAACTGTATAATTCTGAGTATGAATATGTGTACTGGAATGATGAAGACAACTGGTCCGTATATTCGGGTAAATAGTCTGATGAATAACCACCACTTGTGTTATGAGAATAGGTAGACGCTTTAGAATATTCATCTCCAACAGAGTCTGTAGAGACAACCACTACTCCCGAACCAGAGGAAACAGAACCATCTGAGTAGGTGGTGGTGAAAACAGTAGTGTACTCAGTAAACATATCAGACGAATAAGCAGAACTATCAGTAATAACAGATGTGGTGGTGTACTCGTCTCCTGCAGAGTCTGTAGAGACAACCACTACTCCCGAACCAGAGGAAACAGAACCATCTGAGTAGGTGGTGGTGAAAACAGTAGTGTACTCAGTAAACATATCAGACGAATAAGCAGAACTATCAGTAATAACAGATGTGGTGGTGTACTCGTCTCCTGCAGAGTCTGTGGAGACAACCACTACTCCCGAACCAGAGGAAACAGAACCATCTGAGTAGGTGGTGGTGAAAACAGTAGTGTACTCAGTAAACATATCAGACGAATAAGCAGAACTATCAGTAATAACAGATGTGGTGGTGTACTCGTCTCCTGCAGAGTCTGTAGAGACAACCACTACTCCCGAACCAGAGGAAACAGAACCATCTGAGTAGGTGGTGGTGAAAACGGTAGTGTACTCAGTAAACATATCTGAATCAATAAATTCAGCCGACAGAGAATAACTTAGGAAAGCTGATGTCGAACTATTATAGTAACCACTAGAAGGAGATACTAGAAGTGACAGCCCGCTAGAACTTGAAACTCTTAAGTCAATGGTAGATGTAGAGGATGTTTTGGAACTTACTTCAGACAATTGTGAAGAGCTAATAATTTCACTTTCCTTTGGGAATAACGAAGTATCCCAAGTCAATGATCCGTCACTGCTGGACGAAACAACAACAAAATCAGAATCAGTAGCAACAAACTCATCAGATTCGGTTGTGGTGAATGTAGTGGTGTAGGAACTAAATGGATCACTTTCGGTTGGGAACAACGAAGTGGTGGTAATAATACTATCTGCACTGTTGTAGGTAACAATAACGATTCCAGAATCAGTTTCAACAAATCCATCGGATTGAAGAGTAGTGAATTTGGTGGTGTAAGACGTGAATGGGTCAGTATCAGTTGGAAATAATGATGTTGAAGTAGAAGCACTACCGTTAGGATCTCTGCTGACAATAACAATGCCGGAATCAGTAGCAATAAATCCATCAGATTCAGTGATGGTGAAAGTTGTTGTATATGTATTTTCGGCTGGGTATAGGGATGTACTTGATGTGTAATAATAACCACTGTTAGTTGTCACTACAACGACACCAGAATCTGTTTCAATGGAACCATCTGAACTTGTAGTAGTATAAGTTGTGGTATATATAGTCTGTTGATCACCTACTGGACATGCTTGACATGCACTTGGTATGCTAGAATCTGGAGGTGGTCCTGCATATGTGAATTTAATTCTATACCAGTTCTCCCTATTAACGAAACCAGTCCAATTTATTGAAGAACTGTCATAGCCTTCACCAATAATGAATTGAAATGTATTATTAGAAGTATCATATATATTAGTGATTGTGACACTTAGGACTTTTCCATCGTAGTTGAATTCTGGAACCAGTACAGAATTGAAGGTGAGGGAATTATTATTACCCCAACCTCTTAATAAGAAAGGAGATAATGTTTCTTCAGTATTATAAAAATCAAGTACGGAAGTATCACTGCTAAGATAAATGGTTTGTAAATTTCCATCAACTCCATATAATTGAGGACATATAAGTGAAAATGTACTATCTTTACCAATATCAATACAACCATTCCCAGCGTATGGTGATGCTTGATACAAATTATTATTATTCCACAAACAGAAAGTACCGTTGTTTACTGTCGTAGGTACATCGGTGTTTGAGCATACACAGTCACCTCCGTCGCTACATGTTGCATTAGACCCTAAGTATGTATATGGAGGAGAATCCTCAGTGAAAGCGTGTTGCACGAAAGCAATAACCCCCTTATTGACGAAAGAACCCGTGGACCCTATAGGGTCGATTTGAAAGGTGGCAGCTGAGCAAACTTGATTACCTGAAAACATAATGCTTCCTTCATTATAAAAATCATTACTTTGCCAGTAATAACTAGGAGCACTGCATGTGGTAGAGTTGTCATCAACAACTATCGTACCATAATTAGTTATTGAATATAGCGCATCACCTTGATCAATATTAAAAGTCATACCCATATTATGATTTGGTTCATTATATGGCCATGACCCCACGTTACTTACGTAAAATGTACCTTTATTTAGCAAATTTCCATGCATATTAAAATTGAAACTATGAAATGTTAAAGTTGCATCTTCTTCAATTGTTAAATCGGCATCGAAATCACATGAATAATCACCATCTAAGTTAGTGATATATAATTCGGTATCTTCAGTTATATCTAGACTTGTTGACCATGAGAATACGATGCGTAAATAAAACGAAGCGAGGATAAATGATTTCAAAGCATATAACTTCATATTGATGTTTATATAGTGTGGACTCCACGGAATGCAATTTTGAATTCACTGTTCATTTTAATGAAGACTGTCTACCTCTTTTATATTTAAACTGCTTCATCAGTTTTTGGCTTATTTCAAGTTGAAGAAGAGCCTAGAGGTGCAAAAAAGCGAAGACTGCTAAAATTCCTAGTCTCCTGTATAAACCATGCATAAAAAATTTAATTGTAATTACACGGAAAATTTTGCTAAACAATGATGTTACTGATAAAAAATAATTTTATAATGAAAGATGTCAGGTGTCACATCTTTGACATTCTGGAAGCCTAGCGTATATGAAAAAGATAAAAAAAGGAAAGGTAGTTTAGAAAATTCTATTTCTGCTTAGTATATTTTAATTTAATTACATAATAGTTCAAAGCATGTAAAAGGCTAAATATTTTATTGTATTGGTGCCTGAGTAAAGATGGAGAATATTAAAACTAACTAACTAAATGCGCAAGTATTAGATGGAACTCTAGATTATTCAAGACCCTTAAATCATTATATAGAATATACTTCTTGGAACATCTAGGATATGAGAAGAATTAAGGATTTTACTTTACCCTGCATTTCGTCTAAGTTCATTAGAATATAGCATTTGTTGTTTATCGAAGTGAAATTTCGCCAAGACTGAATATATTATTAACTATATAGACAGATTTAAATAAAATAAGCATAACAGTTTTCACTTGAATGTTTGACTTACATTTACGAAATAATGTAAAGCATACAAATGGCACGATAAATGCATCATACGACATAAAAAAAAATTGCGCTTTGCATTTTCTCACCGCTAACGCTAGATTGCATCGGAAAAATTATTCATAATCAGCACTTTTGACTTGAGAAAATATTTCATTCTAAAAACAAGAAATGTCCCTTAGATATGCCAAGATGTTTCATCGACTGTTTCTTTCAAAATTAGATTGGATTTACGATATGGTCGTCATTTTTTAGTTTAATTATGCAGATTCGCCCTGATACTACAAGAAAAAAAAAGTGGTTGGTATCTTCAATCAGGAATGGTTACATGGTTGTTAAAGTATTGCATATATATATATCTTCATCATTAGTTAATTTCGTCTTATAATGGAATCCAATGAAGACATGAAAATATACTCACAATATGCTCATATTTAACATTTTGAGTGACTAATTCTATGGGTTATTCTGGCTTACATTATCGTTAGTTGTCAAAATGTAAATCGTTAGTACATATTCTATTTCAAATTAATCTTGCTGTTCATTATCTTCCTAATGCTTCAGAATGTGCCCTAATATTTATGTCTTCGTATCTCTTACACTATAATTCACTATATTAATCTATAGAACTATACCACGAGTAGCTGAAATTTTTTAAAATTTAAAGACATGTTTTCTATCATACCCCAATTCAGATAGGATTCCTGAAAAGGGTCCTTGCATAATTGGGTTTGGCTTGTTACCACAAATCGTCTTGAAAAACTCAGGGGGACCACATACAAAAATCTTGGAATCATCTGAAGCAGGTTGCAAGTTCGATTTTAAGTAATCTTTATTGATATACCCTTTCTGTCCGTCCCAGTTTTCAGGGGCATGGGTGACAAAATAGTGAACTTTTACTTGATCGCTATGTTCTTGGGCAATGGTGTCAATTTCCTTCTTTAACAAAATTTCTTCAGGTGTACTGCAACTATAGAATAAATCTACCGAGGTATGGTCTGCTGGATTCTTGGTTATAGTTCTTAGTAATTGGTACAAAGGAGTTATACCGGCACCACCACCGATTAAAGAGACGTGCCTCTTTTGATTTGCTTTCCATCTGTAAGCTTCAATCGGTCCCTTGAAAGACACTACATCACCTTCTTCTAAATTCCATATATTTTTGGAAAACTTGCCTTTCTCGTAAGATTTAATGAGAAATTCGATGGTTCCCTTCTGATCAGGGTGAGAAATAGGAGTATATGGCCTTATAAATGATCCTTGAGAAGTTTTCAAATACGCAACAACAAAAGAACACGCTTCAAACCCAGCAATATCATCCTCGTTCTTCAAATCAAATATGTAATGTTTGGTATTGTGAGATACTTTGTTGGCTTGTCTTAATTTTAAATCCACCCACCCAAGCTTTCCAGGAAGTGTTTGGCCAACCTTTGGACCAGATTTTGCATAAATTGTAGCAGCTATAGTAACTCCTGCTAGGCCTACTGCACCTAATAAGTACATCTTTTGATGGTTTACAGACATGATATTGAGCAAACCAAGTCTCGGGTTATATATGTCTTTTTAAATTGCATTTATAGTATTTGCAGTCGTTACTCTTTTTCCGAATTAATATTTTCCGTCGGCCGACAGGCGGAATCGCAACGGGTTAAACGGAGTTCAGCCTCGCCATGCTCAAAAATAGATAATGGAGAACGCTAAACACGTAATTGATTCTTCACGAATAAGAACTCCATAGTAAGAACGTTAAAATTTTGTAATTAACATCGTTCCCCCAATTTGCTTTCGTTAAATAGACAATGGCCTATCAATTTCTAGATAATCAGTTTATTAGGCAACCAATTATTTTATTTGCTTATTTTAGGGATTTCATATGATGGATTTTGATACCCGAGTATCTTAGTGGAGGCAGGATCGCATACGTTCAAATCTTGTATTCTTAAATATAAAAGAAACAGTCTATCCGTAGAGATAATAGTTCATGTAATATACAAAAGAGATAAATATTTTAAAATAGTGTACTTAAACGAATAGCTTTATATGATTTAAGCCAATAAATGCACTCATGATACAATAGTCTTTAAGTTTACCGTAAATATGCAGTATTAACATTGAGTAGCTTGCTTTGTAAACTAAGGTCCAAGATAGTATGGGGTGGCGCACTTAACACAAAAATACAGCCTATTTTCTAAATAGTTGTATTACAAACATTTTGCCAGGACGTCTCATGAAGAATTATGACAAATGAAGTCAATCAGTCTCTTGGTAAAAATAAACCTTCATCTCCATCTTCAGCTTCCTCATCTTCTTCTATTAAAACTGTTCCCTCAACTGCAAGGAGAAGAAATAGGCCAACAAAGGTTTGTGATTTTTGTAGGCGAAGAAAAGTCAAATGTGATCTAGGCAATCCTTGTTCTACATGCGTGAAATATGGAAATAAACCATGTCGTTCGTATGAACTGGCTCACCATGCTAATAATGAACCGCTTGATTGCTCTCGAGTCACTGGTGATTCATTAACAAATCCATATCATACTCACAACGATGGTTCAAGATATTCTTCTGGATTAATAGTGCAAGAGCAGTTGCTCTATCTTCAGGAGAGAGTTATGTCATTAGAAGACACGTTAAAAGATAGAGGGAAACAAGAGGAGTATCTGAATAACAATCTTGCTATACCACTACTGTCAGCAACAGCTAATCCATCTCAATCGTCAGCCAAATATGGTTCGTGTATGAAGTATAACTATAACGAAGAGTATACAAGTTTAAAAGGTGTTAATCCAATCGCATCTTCTAATGATATGATTAATTTTTATGAAGGTTACACATCTGTAATGGGTCATGATGATGTAAGACGTACGAATTCTGGCCCACTATCCTGGATTACACTCATCAGGACCGACTCAATAGGTCATCAAATATGGAATTTTGTTCAGCTAATTAAGAGTGATAAATCTCTAATATTTTTCGCGAACTTAAAACCTCAAAGTTTGGATCTTCACTTCACACAAAGAGATTCCATAGAAGAAGGATTCCAAGATGTTGAACCTTTCAGTAGTAATGCTACTTTAGAACGGAACATAAATGTTAATGAGAGTGTCAATACTACTAGCAATACATATAATGAAAGTAATAGGGTCAAAAATAATGCTCTTAGAGGTAGGTCTCTTTCTAGTGAATTTAATCCCAGATCTGTAGAGGATAAACTAGACGAAGAAATAGATACTTACCATGCTGGATTAAAAGCAAAGGCTAAAAGCTTGGGGATATCGTTCTTTGAAGGTGGGTTCTCACAAGAAATGGCCCTTGCAGAAAGGATTCAATTGGTCATGCCCAAGAGGAAAGTAATGTGGCTCCTTTATAAGCGATACTTCAGCAATTTATACACAGCAATCCCTTTATGTGATGAAGTAGAATTCGAAGAAAAAATCCTTAAATTAATTGAATATGAAAATACCAATGATGATGACATCAGAGTTAAAATTAGAATTGATAAGAAATTAGATTTTGCTACTTTGGGTCTACTTTTGATCGTTCTAAGGTTAAGCTATTTAACATTATTTACTAGTATGGCATCTATCAACAACAATTTAGAGACAGATGATCAATCAAATAGAGCTCAAGAAATGAAATATTTATTAAATAATCCAATAGATCTAGACTGTATTGATATTGCTCAGATGTGTTTGAATCAATTCGACTTAACTAGTTGCATAAATATAGAGATTCTTCAGTTAGCATTATACACCCGTGTTTACCATTGTTATGCACCTGAAGATGGTGATGGTTCTGATGGAGGTGATGCTTTAGTATATAATGCTATGTTGGTTAAGATGGCTGTCTCTTTGGGATTGAACAGAGATCCAGATAATTACCCTGATCAATATAACGATCAAAAGATTAATAATTTGAGGAGGAAAATATGGTATGTCATTCTAATGTTCGATGTTAACAATGCAATGTCAGTAGGAACACATATAAATGTTGATCCTAACAGCTTTGATACCAAACCTCCTTTTTACATTCCCGGAAATGAAAATTGCATAGATGTGATAGCGGAGAAGCAAAGTATTGCTGGGTTTGTTGGTTTTGGAGTTCTATTCAATCCTTTGAGTGATTTAATGAAAATAATTACAAATATTCGAAATAAGGTAAAGCTAAGTGAATTGGCAGATAAATTATCTGATATTGAAAGAATATTTTCTCATGAAACAGAAAGTTATACACTATCTATTACACATAATGCTATATTCAAACAGGATCAAAGTTGTGTTCAAGCACTACACATGCGATTTCATTTCACAGCCAATTTCTTCATGGTTTCTATTTTCTTCCACATTTTTAATTATTATCAAAGAAAGGGTAATTCTGAATTAGCTTATTTTTACTTGAAAAAGATAGTTGTTATTACGGTACGTGATTTAATGCCTTTGCAGTTTTTATTCCTTCACAGAAGTGAGACAATGTTTAAGAACTCGACTGATTTAATAATTACCCCCGCATTTGAAATGGTGACTCATAAAAGTATTATTGTTTTAACTACTTTGTTCATGAGATTGAAATTGGCTATTTATGATCTAGAAAATTACTATAGGCATAATTTCAAATTGATTATTGATGAAAAATATAAGACTTATTATGAAAGTTTGAAGAGAGTCCATATATTGACTGAAAAATCTATTAATATTTTTCGTGAAAACATTGCTAAATTGAGTCACAGATATTATTATGCCTGGAGGATTACAAAAGTGCAAAAGTTTTTATCAACTTTGTTATCAACAAAGGAAAGCACAATACAATTCAAACTATCGTCAGCTCAAACGGGCATAGTTTTTACAGGTGAAATGTTGCTGGAGTTAGGTAATATTTTTGAAAGCTCGTTAAAATCAATTAGAGAATATAAAAAGTCAAGTAATGAAACAAGTGCTAATGTCGGTGAACTCAAAGATTCAATTAGGAGTGATGTTGATGTACAAGTTCATTCCGATGATCTTCGTTCAAGTGTAAATATCAATGATACTCCGATTGAGGCCGTTCCGAATTCAAGTTATTGTAAGAACATTGAATCGATTACAGAATCAGTTGACGCTGGCTCTTTTCTGGGTAATATAGAAGCATTTATGCCAGATGAGCAAATTGATACAATTTGGATGCACATGAAGTCAATAAAAAAAAGCTTCAACAAAAGCAGAGCCAATACCAATAATATTGAGGTTCCTACTACCTGTATCTCTCCTACATTCCTCTCTACCCAACCTATTAATAGTTCCACTTCTTCTGTTGAACAGAACTCTACATATTTGTTTAATTTACTTGATGAGCTAAATATGGGTTATGATTAAATTCAATGGAAATTAGAGATTTGAAAACAATTTAATGAAATAATCCCCCCCTGTATAAATTGTTACCACATTTTATTAATTCATGTACATATTATCAACTTTTAATTTTTGTAGATTAAGCTCATAATTGTACTGACGTCTCAGTCATTGAATTTGCTAAAAGGATCTTGTAGCCTTCACCACTGTTTGACTTCAGACTGATATGATTATTGGCACATTAATAGTGACAGACGAATCTAATGGATTATTTATAATCTCAAGGACACATTAACAAAAAATCAAGGAGACATTAAAAATGTAATACATATTAACTTATAATTTAATTCAGCCGATTCAGATCGGCTTTAAATTCTTTTTGTGCGAATTTAAGCCGATCTGGAGGAAAATTATTATTGCCGATGTGCCAAGATCGACAACGTATTCAAATTTATACAGAAACTACTTAATAAATGCAATATTGATTCGGTCCACATAATTGTGATCTTAGTGGAACTTTTACTTAGCTGTATAGGAATTCATAATCAACTGAAGTGGCTCAAATTGATAATAACTTTCCGGGGATATTCAACTAAATTAATTATTTTAGTGTTGGGCATATGAACACCGTATTTGATATAAACAATTTGCAATGATGGACTTATGTAGGCTCATAATTTTCACACTGGCAATTTATATATCAACTCCAGTAAATATATCAATTCCAGTAAATATATCAATTCCAGTATAATTATTAGGACTTCTTTTCCAAAGATGATGACTTTCCGGGGTAGTGTTGACTGTTGCCATCTTGAAAATTCAATTTCCGCCCGCCCTAGCAGAGCCAATGTATTATTTAAGCATAAAATAGTAATATGCAGTATTTATGCGACTAATTTCTGACCGATCTCAAAAAAATGTTATCTCAGTAGAAAAATCCCTCAGCCTTACGCCGACATCAGTTTAAGAAAGGCTTGCAAGCTTAAGGGTTGCAAAATAAAGGCTCAGCATTATTAGATTTCCAATTACAGTTCACCACAAGCCAGATAACTGAAATGGTATAATTTATATGTTGTCTTTAACTAAATGCTAATACCATATTAATGTCCTATAACTTTATGGAAATTGAGGACAGATCATTTAAGCAGAGCTTGAGTGACGCCATTGGTCTTCGCACAAAAAAGTTGTGTCACTTTTCACATATTTAGGATTCCTTAAACAAAACTGCAATAATATTATATCATCCAAATTAAAGATTGTTAATGTACATTATCGTCGTCATCATTTGATTTGACTTTTTGACATACAAAACCTGGTGAATTGTTTCACATTTCTTATTACCATCTATGTAAGCAAGGTCGGTAAGTATCTTATTTTGTTGTGGAGAGACATTTTTTCGTAGTTATTTTTTAACTTTTTTTCAACCGTCTTGAGTTATATAATTTTTTTGTTTAGCTGCAGCGCTAAAATAGAAACAACAATTATAATACCGATCTTTCATCACATTTACAAATTGTGTTTCTTTTTGTAAATGTAATTTAGGGATATAGAAAATTATATAAAACACTATATCCGCCACTTATTAGGATTATTGTAATGTAGTTTAATTGTAGAAAAACTTAAATATTTAACCTAGTGTGTATAATATATCCACACAAATTCAATTAATTTAATACATTTAAAATTCATAATAATTGCTTAAAATGGTAGATACATCAGATTCAAATACAATCGATAACGATGATGCCAGTCTTAACTCTGTCCAATCTTTTGGAGATGAAATAGAAAAAGAGAATTTAAGAAGCCAAGGTTCAGTTCTTACACCTACAAGAAGTATTGCCAGAAGTATCAGAAACTCTCTTCATTCAGTTCATTCAGCCCATTCAGATGCTGAAGATAAAGCAGAACTAGAAAGATTAGTCAGTCATAATAAAGGGGTTGAAAGAATTATCACTGAATTACAAGAAGGTACTGGTAAATTGGGTCCTTTAGAAGAACCTTATGATTTAAAAAGAATAGAAACTCATGCTGATCCAAGCATTGCTCCAAACGAAGAAGATCCATGGAAGTATCCTGTTGATAGTGAAACTGGTTTAAGATTAGTCGAGTTTGTTCCCGGAGATAAGAAGAACCCTAAGAATTTATCAAAGGCAGTCAAATGGGTTTATACTGGTGTATTGGGGGCCATTTGTTTTGTTGTTGCCTTAGGTTCGGCCATTGTTACAGGAGATTTGACTGATCCTGCTGAATATTTTGGTGTAAGTGAAGAAGTTATTATTTTATCATCTGTTACTGTTTTCGTCATTGGTTTTGGGGTTGGTCCTTTAGTCTTTGCTCCAGTTTCCGAAGAAGTTGGTAGAAAACCTGTTTATGTTGTTACTTTGTTTGTGGCTGTCATTTTCATTATTCCTTGTGCATTAGCTAAAAATATTGCTACCTTATTAATTTGTCGTCTTATTGATGGTATTGCATTTTCAGCCCCAATGACTCTTATTGGTGGTTCATTGGCAGATATATGGGAAGGTAAAGATCGTGGTGTTGCCATGGCTATTTTCTCAGCAGCACCTTTCTTAGGTCCTGTTTGTGGTCCTGTCTTTGGTGGTCTTTTAGGTGATTATACTTCTACATGGAGATGGGTTTATTGGTGTTTCTTGATCGTTGCAGGTGTTTTCTATGTTATTTTCATCTCCATAGTTCCAGAAACTCATGCTGGTACGTTATTAAAGTCAAGAGCTAAAATGTTAAGAAAGAAAACTGGTGATTCTCGTTATAGATCATTAAATGAATTGCAAATCAGATCATTTAGTGAAGTTGCAAAAACTTCTCTTTTAAGACCATTTGTTTTATTATCAGAATTAATCGTTACTTTAATAACCTTATACATGTCAGTGGTATATGGTTTATTATATATGTTCTTTTTTGCTTATCCTGTCATCTTTATGGAAGGACATGGATTTTCAGCAACCATTACTGGTCTTATGTTTCTTCCAATCGGTCTTGGTGTTGTTATATCAACTCTTGCTGCCCCCTTATTCAATAATGATTATAACAGAAGAGCTCAAGTTTATAGAGACAGAGGTGAGTTACCTCCAGCAGAATTAAGATTAATTCCAATGATGATTTCATGTTGGTTCGTTCCAGCTGGTTTATTTTCATTTGCTTGGAGTTCTTATCCAACTGTTTCTTGGGCCGGTCCATGTTTCTCAGGTATTGCTGTTGGTTTTGGATTCTGTTGCTTATATAATCCTGCTAATAATTATATTGTCGATTCTTATCAACATTATGCTGCCAGTGCATTAGCTGCAAAAACATTTGTTAGATCAATCTGGGGAGCATGTGTACCACTTTTCACTATCCAAATGTATCACAGATTAGGTTATCAATGGGCTTCAACATTAATGGCATTTATTTCTCTTGCATGTTGTGGTATTCCATTTTTGTTCTACATCTATGGTGCAAGAATTAGAACCTATTCTAAATACGCCTACTCTCCAGAATTGGATGTTAAGAAGGACGTTGAAAACCAAAAATAAGTTTATTCCCATATTAATGGTAATACCTAGATTGCTTAGCATGCATTAATTTATAATTTATTTATTTATTTATTTATTTATTTATTTATTTATTTATTTATTTATTTATTTAGTATCCCCCCACATATACCGGGGTTTGAAATTCAGTTTACTTTGGAGTTATAATATATTAATTCGTTAACTATAATAATAAATTTATAGAGATTTTGTGATCATAAATTTGTAGTTAAATTCCTACAATTGATATAAACTTAAATTAATGATTTTTATATATGCAAGGAAATTTATTACAATAAATATAGATATTTAATAAGGAAATCAAATCTATAAAGAAGCTAATAACTTAGAATTTTCAACAATTATATCAGAAGATTGAACTTCTTGACCCAATTTAAAAATCTTTTGAACATAGCCTTCCTTATTTAATACAACAAAGTCAGCATCACATCCAACATTCAAGAAACCTCTCTCATTTTGGACACCGATCGAAACAGCAGCATTATTAGTACATGTCTTAACTGCTTCTGGAAGAGATATTTCTGACCACTTCATCAAATTTCTAACACATTGTGGTAAGGTAGTAGCAGCTCCAGCTAAAGTATCAGTCCCTTTTAAATAAAGACGATCACCAGTTTTCACAATGTATTGTTGATCCCACTTATAAGTCCCATCAGCTAAACCAATCAAATGCATTGCGTCAGTTACCAAGACACATTTTTCAGGATTTGATTTATATGCTAAATTAATCATTGATGCGTCAACATGAACGCCATCAGCAATCATACCAAAGTATGGGGTATTTGAAGTGACTGGAGTATTAATTAATCCAACAACTCCTGCATTTCTGTGATGAGGTTGAGGCATAGCATTATACAAATGAGTAATCATAGTTGCTCCATTTTCAATAGCTTTCAACCCAGTTTCATAATCAGCCATTGTATGACCAATAGAGAATACTATCCCCTTCTCAGTTAAAGTTGGAATTGCTTCTAAGACACCTGGTATTTCAGGTGCAGCAGTAATAATACAAACATTATTAAGCACATTTAATTCACCACCATAAATATCAAACAATTTCTTTGCTTCACCATCTTTGGCATCAACAAATGTTTCAGTAGGATGACAACCTTTCTTCTTTAAATTTATAAATGGACCTTCTAAATGAGCTCCTAGAGAATCAGATTGATTGGATAGTCTTGATTTCTTATAGAATTTTAAAACCTTCTTATAAACTTCAGGAAAATTAGAGGTAACAGTAGGACAGATTCCAGTAACACCAGTCGAAAGGTATTTTTTCATAGCATCTTTATAAAATTGAGCAAACAAGGCAATATCTTCAGGAGTTGAATTCTCATCTAAAGCTGAAAAGTTTAAACCATAGATCCCATTATTTTGAATATCAAGATAACCAGGAGCAAGGTATTGACCATGTAAATCTATAACTTTAGTAATCAAATTTTCATTGGATGGAGCATGACTAATCTTTTTGGTCTCATTGTTAATATATATATCAGCGTTTTCATACAATTGACCATTATCTATAAGATGACCATTGGTAAATTTTGTATAAGTTGGAGACATTATTGATAATATGGGTTTTTATTACACAAAAGAAATGATGAGGATATATTGATAAATGCAAGTAATGCTATAAATGAAATAGTGGTTTAACACTAATAAAGTAAAAGAAATGAAGTGAAAATAAAATAAAATGAGTCTATATAAATCAATAAATATAAAAGAACAACTCGGTTGATTATATATTGAAAATTTTAATCCGATTGAACCTCATGTTTCGATGTTAGTCTGGGAATATTCCATAGCTAAGTAACTACTGATATTGATGTCCTATACAGGATATAGGTAAAATGCGAAATGCAACTTAGTTCTCATCGGATTAGCAAAAATGCAACCCATATTTGAAAATGTAACCTCGCACAAGGTTACATTTTTGATAACCGAAGCTTTCTCCATTAAAGTAATTGACCGATCACTTTGTCTTTGTGTATAATTCTAACGTGATGAATAAGTAGCATTTACTGCCACAACACTAGGAAAACAACGTAGTATAAGTTATATAACAATAATTAATGGAGGTCAGCAGTGTAAAATCTTAGTTTCTGCAAAATATCTCATCTTAAGAGCTGCTTAAGCCCGTAATATTTTAAGTTAAGATAGGGTAATTATTTATAATTATATATAAATACAGGGTTTATTCATACAACTATAATAAGTAAATTAATTTTCATTTTTAATACCATTCGTTGTTATATTATTTGTACATAAGCCATAATCACCATGAAACAAGTTACTTTCTCTTCTGCTGAAGATGCTTCCAATTATTTGGCTGAACATATTATTCAAAAGATTAACAAATTCAATCCAACTGCTACTAAACCATTTGTTCTTGGTTTACCAACAGGATCATCTCCAGAAGGTATATACGCTAAATTAATTATTGCTAACAAGCAAGGAAGAATTACTTTTAAAAATGTCGTGACATTCAATATGGATGAATATCTTGGTTTACCTCCAACTAATGATCAATCATACCATTATTTTATGTATAATAAATTTTTCAATCACATTGATATACCAAGACAAAATATAAATATTTTAAATGGTTTAGCTAAAGATATTGAACAAGAATGTAAAAATTATGAAGCTAAAATCAAGAGATTTGGGAAAATTCATTTATTTTTAGGTGGATTAGGCCCTGAGGGTCATTTGGCATTTAATGAAGCTGGATCTTCCCGTCGTTCGATTACCAGAAAAGTAACTTTAGTTGAATCTACCATTAAAGCTAATTCAAGATTTTTTGATAATGATTCCTCAAAAGTTCCAAGATATGCATTAAGTGTTGGTATTTCAACTATTTTAGACAATTCAGAAGAAGTTGCTATAATTGTATTGGGAGAAAATAAAAAATTTGCTTTAGATAAGACTATTAATGGAAAGAAGAACGATCCAAGATTCCCATCGAGTTATTTACAAGATCATGATAATGTTTTAATTGTTTGCGATAACGCTGCTGCTGGTTTAAAAAGTAAGTTGTAAATATACTCTTTTCATTCAATACTATGTATTTCTTTAGTATAGCTGTTCATAGATTTTTATTTAATGTTAAAGAATGGTATGTTTAAATCAAAATTCAATTACTGTAGCTTAAAAGTATTTTTTTAAAGTATTCTTATATAAGTCGTATTTATTTGAACTAATAAATTAACAACCAAAATTTATTTCTTTTCTTACAAATTAATAAGATTATTAATAATAACTTAAAACTTTTCAATTTCGTAACATTATCTATGTAGACTAAGGGTATCTATACAAAAGAATCATAAATAGCAATAAATAATACTAAATAACATTAAAACTCAATCTTATACTTCTATATATAGCTTCTCTAAATTAAGCTTTTTTTATAGAACTTTTTTTTCGTTTTTTTTTTTTATTTTAATTTGCCTGTATGTTTTGTAAGTTCAAATTCATTCATTTCATTATCTTTAATAAAGAAGATCAACCTCCTAAGAATAATAAGCGGCTCCTATGGCAGGGCCAATGATTGAACTATGCTCAACTAATTTAAAATCAACTTTAACACCTCCCAATTGTTTAATATCTTTATTCTCATTAACAAATGTTTTAATTAAATTTCTATAATTATGGAAATGTTTCATGACCGAACCAACGTATCCGATATTAATAACTTTTGATGAGTATTCATCATTATTATGTTGTTGTAATAATTTTATGATAGCCACAATACTAATACTAACAATGAATGCACCCCTAATTAAAATTAATTCGATTACTCTTTTAAGAGTAAGAATATCCAGAACTTGAATTAAATCTTCATCCCATCCATAATATTCTTCTAATAATGATTTAATTTCTTGATAATCATTAGTTTCATCAACAGCACATATTAACTTTCCTTGAACTCCATCGTAAGGTTTGGTCATAATTGAATTTAAATCCTTAGACGAAAGATTATTGAAAATATCTCCTCTATTAATGAGGTCAACTAATACTAATCGGGTTAATTCTGGTAAATATCTACCACTAGTAGTTAATTCCAAAGGTTGCAAAATAGTATTTGTAATTGGATCATCAGTCATAAAAGTTTTAAAATGTAAATCAATTACTTGGTTAAATCTGGAGTCAATCTTAGAATCATACTTATTGGTGAATTGCTTAATAAATGCTTGACCAAATAATGATAATTCGACATTAAATAAGATCTTTTCACAGTCTGGTAATAATTTTTGGTGATGAATTAAATCTCTATTGGCATTTAATGAACAACATAAGTTTGTACCTGTTCCTAACACCAAGGCTAATTTCATATTCTTATCTAAAAATGAACCAGCAGCATAAACAGCCAATGAATCATTTAATATGGCCTTGATATCAATAGATAAATTAAATTCCTTCAATAAAGTAGTTTCTAAAATAGTTTTCAAATCTTTATCATAAATTTCATCAGATATAGTATATCCTTTGGAAACATGAACTATTTTACCATTGTTATAATTGGTTGTCTCTAATGGAAAAGACCAGGAAATACCTGTGTTAATAGTTTCTTTTTCATTAAAATCACTTTTACTTATAATTTCTGAAATTTTACTTCCAATAAACTTAAAGAAATTATAATCAATAATTTTAAAATTATTGTCTATAATCCAGGATTCTTCTTGAAGAATATGAATACGACTCGATCTATCGGAGCTAAACTTATCATTCTCAGAAGCTTCATCAATTTTGATAACTGCTATTCTTAAAGTAGAACCACCCAAATCAATGACTAAGAATTGACCATGTTCATTACCTGAAGGACTAATGTTATAATTTGATAACATCGTGATTTTGGAGTTTTTTGATAATGATTCATTAAAATCATTAACAAGTAAATTTGATTGCTCACTTAAGCGTTCATCAGTAATTGAACCAATAAAATTATCAGCTATAAGTGGTAGAAGATTGGAAGTTGATGTTGATTGAATTTTTTCCTTTGTAGATGCAAGGGGAGCATCACCAGCAGAAGATATACTTGTTGTTGGAGAAGAAGATATTAAGCCATCATCTTCTGAGGAACTTGATGTGAAATTTGTAGCACTTGGAGCACCTTCATTGACAGTTGTAGGATTTGAAGAATTATTAGTAGTTACTTCAACTAAATTATTCAATGGTAAATTTATACCATGAGCTGATGGGGATTGTTGCAACATTGCCATAGTTAGTACTTGAACGAATTTTCTTTTAATATGATAATACTGAAGTAATAAATTGAACGAATTATTTTATGGATTGAATGGAAGTATTGATGGAACGAATGAAGGAATAATAATGCAAACGGTTAAATACTTTAATGAGTAAGGAAAATATTTAATAAAGTTGTATAGTTTATAATATGTATGTATAATTAGCAAGTTAACAGGACTATGAAGATCTTATATATACAAGTGCCTGACATGCAATATAATGAACAAAGTTATATGGAATATCAAATGAATAAACTAAATGAATATGAAATAAATAAAAGAGAATCGACACGGTATAAATAAGAAACTAGATGTCATATAAATAACATCAATTCTATTCGGTTCTATATATAAATAAATAGTTTGCAGGTTTAATGTTTCTAATAATTCAAAGGTATCGAAGGGCCCATTTCCTTACATTAATTTTTAGTTAAGATGTTACTGTAAATTTTACTAGAATGATTTTCTCATAGTTAACTGATTCGAAAATGTTATGTTACATTAGAAATTTCAATGAGGTAACATCGGATTATATACAGGATATGTATTTGTTACCATACATTTATATATATATATATAAGAAAATTACGTGTTAGATTGTAATTATCCGCAAATCTTAGGATCATATATAATTCAATGGTGTGATACAGTAGAACAAATTTGAGTTCATTAACACTCTATTTCATTGCTTGGTAATGTAATATGATTTTCATAAAGGTTAACTAAGTAAATCAACAAAATACTTTTGTGAGAGATGTTACATAAAATTTGGGGTTACTTTGACCATATGCAGGAAAGATCGGTATCTCCCAATAGATTAGACTTAAATATATCTCTTTAGTATACAACCTGAACACAAACTTGGGAATGATACATTAAACAGTGGATGTTATACAATTTAACTATGTACTACAGTTAAAAACAATACCAGTAATTCTTGTAATAGTTTTGCACCACGGAAAAACCTGTCACAAATAATATATAGTGGGTTATTTAGTGCAGATTGCTTCTCTTTATATTTGATCTTATTTACTTTCTAGGTATTCGAATCTCGGTCTATGCCTCCGATAAGACTTTTACGGGAACATTTTAAGGCATTATTAGAAAACAAAGTTTATTCCGGAATATCTGGTCCCTTGCTCCTGCTACGGTATAATTGAGGTTACATTTTTTTTTATTCGCCGAGCTACTCGCTCTAGCGGTGTTAGATTGTTACTTACCATATACAGGTAGTAATTCAATAAGGTTGTTATATAATTAGCATGAACTGCCATCGCTACTACACTGCTATTTTAATTGAGTTTTCTTTCAAAGTTTCTATGTGTAAAGTAACGTGGACGTTCTCTTACGATAAACTTAAGTACTTGTAATATCTAAAGGTTTTAGTTTCTTTTATTGATTGTTGCAACCTCAGAAATGATCCCAATTGATTACCAATAGTAATACAGTAAAGTATAACCATTGAACATTTCATATTCTTGTCGATCTACAGGTCGCTCCAAAATCATTGCAATTGCATTAACAAATCACTGCTCTCTCAGAAGTTACTCGACATTTCGTCTAATGCAACGACTGAGACTTTAAATGCTGCAAAAATTTATTCTTGGCTCACGCGATGCTAAAAGTAGTAAATTAAATGTAGATTAAAAATAGCTAGCTAACTATAGTAAAAAGCAAATTACAAATCATCCAATTCAATATTTTCAGATTTATCAGCTGATTCCTTTCCATTATTGATATTATTCCCACTAATTCTTTCTAATCTATTACCCTGGATTTGATAATCATCAATTAAAACTTCACGCAATTTCTCTTTGGCAACTTGAATAACTTCATCAATCAATCTTTGAACAACAACAAGAGCTGGTCTTAATAAGTTCAATTGATATAATATATAAAGTCCTGCACCCAAAACTAATAATAATGAAAATAAAAGTGGATTCCTAATAATAGCCATGAATTCATTCCACCCTAATGCAATAATAATTAAATAAATATAATATGGAATTTGAGTAATATGTTGAACAAGAGAACGTTTAGTTTCAATGAATTTGGCATCAATCTCTTTCTTGAATTTACTTAAAATTTCTGCCTTTTCTTGCTCTGTAATATTCTCAGCAAAACATTTATCATCTGCAATGTCATCATCATCTTCATCATCATTCTCCTCAAGTTGTGAAAGTTCGGTTTCACTTAGATACTTACCACGTAAACTCTTATTAAAGATATCAAATTCTGGAACAATTTCACTACCATCTTTTAATCTAGCAATAGTTAAAATTGGTAATATATCTAAAGCAAATGATTTAGCTTTATCAAATTGAACTTCCAATTCATGAGCATCAATGTATAATTTAGGTAACCCATTCTCATCATATCTAAATTTATCATCGAATCTATCCTTTATTAAAGTTAATAAATTTCCTGAAGAAATGATTTTATGATTAATCTCATAAAACTTAATCCATGATTTATATTTAAATTTTTCAATTACCTCGACATTTTGATTTTGGCTAGTACCTAATTTAAAATCAATTTCATTTCCTTTGTCAATATCAATTAAATCTTTTCTTGTTTCATTAAATTTATTTAATACATTACTCCATAATTCTGGCTTTGGATCATTTAATTCAAATTGAATATATTTAGTTAATCCATTACCTAATTTCTTGATTGATTTATTAACAATGTTTTGTAACTCAATAACTTGTTGTTTCTTCACTAATGAATCTAACTGATTGTCGAGATCATTCAAATGATGATCATATGGAATATCTCCATTTAATGAGATTTGTTTCAATTGATTAGAATATTCTTCCTTAATCTCATTACTGAGCTGTGAAACTCGTTCATGAAAATTTTGACCCTTAAATCCAGAAATTGTTTCCTTAAAGTTATCAAGCTTCTCTTTAGATAAACTTTTAACATGAGTTTCAAAAATTTCCTTAAACTTTTCATTTAATTTCTCCTTCAAAGTTTCATATTTTTGTTCATAAACAGTCTTATTATATTTTGATGCTGATAAATTATAATTCTCTAAAATATCTTCTCTTAAATCAATTAATAATAACCCAAAATTTTCATAATCATCATTGACTAAATTAGGTAATTCTTTGAATTTTGTAAGGAATTCTTCAAATACATTTGAAATGATTTCATCACACTTAAATTTAGCTACTAAAATTTGTTGAGTTGGTAAATCCAAGTCTTTATTATTATTGATTTGATCCCAACAGTTATCAGCATATAATGTCCAACCATCAATTGGAATATTATGATGATAATTGGGTTTAAAAAAACCTTTGAATCTATCACCTAATTGTTGAATATCTTCAGTGAATTCTTTTGGTTGTAATACTTTGTGACGTAAAGCATGGAAATCAATATCGAAGAAATCTTCAAATTTCAAATGACTTAATTCAGGAGGAATACTCAATGTATCCCAGATTTGATTTAAGTCTTGTACTATTATATTGGCTAAACTTTCCTTTGGAGTAGTTCCAATATGATCTCTAATAACAATTAACAATAAAACCTTATGATCATTAGTCTTTTCTAATTTTGATTTTCCAAACAATGATAAATTAACTTCAAAAACAGTCTTCAAAAGTCCTAAATTAGCACCTTGATATAAACCAATTTGAGTTTCCCAAATATTAAGTATTAAAATTTCAGAAGTTGCCATGGCAAATAATGCGGCTTTTCTTTCAAAGTCTTGATCTTCACCTCTTTCTCTTCCGTCAGTACCTTCGACATCCATAACAAGAAGGGACTCTTCTGTTTCAGGATGTATGATAGGTTCAGAAGTTGAAATAACTGGAGAACTAGCTAACCAAATCCCTTTGGTAGTTTGTTGACGCCTTGATTCCTCCATAACATCAAAATTCGTATTGAATAAACGATTTAATAAAGTTGATTTACCAGTGGATTGAGATCCAAATACGGAAATTATATGGTAATCATTACCTAAAGTCTTAGTGGTCTTCTTTATATATTGTAAGATATCTTTATTGAATTCTTTGTTCTCATCAATAATTTGAATTGCATCTTGAATTCCATCAATTGGTACAAATGATGATGACGAAGAAGTGGTAGAAAGGTTCTCTTCAGTAGATCCTGATTCTGGATCCATTTTAAGATTGAATTATATTCAGTTTATACTCAAGATTATACAGTAATCAATTGTATAATCAAACGAGAAACTATTACGGCTATAGCTTAAAATAGTGGTAATTAAATTAAGAAATGTATTTTACTATATAAAACTGTGTCGTGGAGAGATATACTTTTTTTTTGGTGACGGTATCTCGGCACGTGAAAAATGTAAATAGAGATATAATTATAATTTTTCAGTTAATTCAGGTACAGCATCATTTAAATCTGCAACTAATCCGATATCAGCTATGTTGAATATTGGAGATTCTGGGTCTTTATTGATGGCAACAATTGTCTTAGAATCTTTCATTCCAGCTAAATGTTGAATTGCACCAGAAATACCAATAGCAATATATAATTCAGGGGCAATAATTTTACCAGTTTGACCAATTTGTAAAGAATTATCACAGAAACCATTATCAACAGCAGCTCTTGAGGCACCAACTGCAGCATTTAATTTGGTGGCTAATGGTTCAAGTAACTTATCAAAAGTTTCTTTATTCTTTAAACCACGACCTCCAGCAACAACTTTAGTGGCAGCTCCTAATTCTGGTCTTTCTGAAGTAATTAAATTTTCAGAAACAAATTCAGTTCTACCATTTGTAGTAATACTTTCTGAAAATTCTTCAATTGGAGCAGAAGATGAAGTTATTTGTTGAGGTGGAAAAGCACTGGCTCTAATAGATGTTAATATAAATTTATCACTTGATTTAACAGTAGATAAAGCATTACCAGCATAAATTGGTCTTACAAAAGTATTTTCAGATTCAACTTTTATAACATCAGAAATTGGTTGTACATCAAGTAAAGCTCCAACTCTTGGTAATAATGATTTACCAACGGCTGAAGCTGCAGTTACAAAATGAGTAAAATTATTTGATTCATTAGATAAAATAGCTTTAACAAGTGGAGATAACTCTTCTGCTAAATAATGATTATAATTATCACCCTTTGCAACTATAATTTTAGATAATCCTTCAACTTGTGATAATTCAGATACTATAGATTCTCCCTCTGGTCCTGCAACTAATGCACTAACTGGTTTACCAAGTTGGAATGCTGCATTCAATGATGATAAAGATGCTGGAGAAATTTTCGAATTTGCCGATTCAACAAACACTAAAGTATCCAATATCCTTCCCGAAGTCGAGAATAGTCTCTTTCCCACTGATAACATCTTAACTAGTGCTTAATTATACTAGTGTTCCCTAAACATGGAGTCATAATGAAAAATTCATTGAAAAACCGCAATTTTTTGAGAATCCCGGTCACATGATTCACCGATAGCGGTCTTCAAAAAAGAATTGTATTTTGCAGCATTTTCCTACAACGTAATGAAAACTGTGACTTTATCTTAATGTCAGCATATTCTTCTTTTTTAATTTCATTTAGATACTTACATGTTACAGTTATAGAAACTTCAAGAAATAGTACTACTGTGATTCTTAGAAAATTATAAAATCATTCATTCTTCTTTAGTGATAGGTTCGGTGCTTCTTCTTTAGAGTAGTAACAGTTAGTGGTCATCAACTGCCATTTGTATATTGAAGAAACCTTATAATTCTATTCTTATTTCTCTAAATTGTATGATTGTGTGGTTTACTGCAGCAAATAACATTTTTAAATTTACACAAATAATTTATAATTTGGCAAATATTTTGCGCTTAAATTGGCAATTAAACCTAAAATCTTTATATATAGTTTTTTTTCAAAGCTGCACAATATATATAAGAAGTCACATATATTAGAAGTAAGATATCAGAAGTCATCTAGAGTATACTTAAAAGCACTAAGTCTTCTTACAATCACAATAGTAATTTTAATTTATCAACTTGCATCTCAAAGTGAAACAGATGAGCCATACAAAATTTAGAAAAATGTAAGCGAAGATTTCACGTGGAGTGCGTCATGTAATTTATGGCTATTACCAAGAATAGTAACTGAATTAATTTTGACAGTATTATATATATACATAGTAAGGACACTAACTAACGATATAATGTCAAAGCCTATCGCCTCCTCGACGAATGGACGACAGATAAGAACGGGAAGGAGGACAACACCTGAAGAAACAGGATTAAGACGAGTTGCTAGCCCATCTCCAAGTATAAGGCATATATCCAGTCGAAGAGTTAATACCGTTACAAGTGATAGACAAGCATTATTAGATAGAAATAATATAGATGTTGATTATCAATCACTTGCAGGTATATCTACCATACCACTTACCAAAAATATAAGTTCTAGAAGTAGTAATAGTCCCAATAGTGTACCTAATAATAAAGATAATGGTGATGTAGAATCAATAATATATCGATTTGGTGTACCAACTGAAATGATACATACTCATTCAGCACTTCAAACTGTTTATCCACCGGTAGATGATGAGTTTGATAATTCAAATGCTCATAATTATGTTCCTGGTTCTGCTCAAAATCTAGAAGGATTACTGTGGAGTGAAATACTTCCATATTATTTACCATTTCTATCTTGGGCAAAACATTATACTCCAGCATTTTTCATTGGTGATTTAATAGGTGGATTAACTTTAGTATTTTTCCAATTACCTTTATCACTTTCCTATGCAACTTCATTAGCTCATGTGCCTGTATTATCAGGTTTACTTGGATTAGGTATATCACCATTGATCTATTTAATATTTGGTAGTGTTCCACAAATGATTGTGGGACCAGAAGGTCCAATTTCATTAATTGTAGGTCAAGCAGTAGAACCTTTGTTGCATCATTCCAATAAAAAGGAACTTGATCCATTAGAATTCGTTGTAGCCATCACATTTGTAAGTGGAGCAAGTTTACTAGGATTTGGATTAGGACGTTTTGGTTTCTTAGATAATGTTTTGAGTGCTTCCTTATTAAAGGGTTTCATTAGTGGTGTCGGAATTGTTATGGTAATTAATGCTTTAGTTGTGGTAATGGGATTAGAAGAAGTTCTTAAAAAGATATCTGATGATCCTACTGAAATGGATATCCATTCACCATTTGATAAAGTCAGATTCTTATTGGCCCATTATAATGAATTACATGAACTTAGTTTTAAAATTAGTGTAATTGGATTTATAATAATCATGGCAATAAGAATATTCAAGAAATATGCTGCAAGAAATACATCTCATAATTCATTTTATGATAAAGCAGTATTTATTCCTGAAATATTAATTGTAGTTGGTATATCGACCTTATTAAATTCGACTTATCGTTGGGATCAAGAAGGTGTAAAAATCATTGGTAAGGTACATAGAGGAGGTGCCTTAAAGTTATACAATCCCTTTACTAGAAAAATGTGGCCTTTAATTAAGAATTTAAGTACTTCAGGATTCCTTTGTGCAATGTTAGGTTTCTTTGAATCTACTACAGCTTCTAAATCTCTTGGCTCAAGATATGACTTACCTATTTCATCTAATCGTGAATTAGTAGCTTTAGGATTTATCAATATCATAGGATCATTTTTTGGTGCATTACCATCATTTGGTGGATACGGTAGAAGTAAAATTAATGCAATTTTTGCTAAATCAACATTACTGGGGGGAGTAATGGGAATTTGTACATTATTCACAGTAACTTTCTTACTTGATTACTTATATTTTGTACCAGAATGTATGTTGAGTGTTATTACTGCAGTAATCGGTATTCTGTTAATTGAAGAAGCTCCCTATGAATTATTCTTTCATTGGAGGGCTAGAGGATATAATGAATTAGTCACATTTGGTGTTACAGTTTTAACGACATTATTTTTCTCAATGGAAGGTGGTATTGCCGTAGGATTGATTTATCTGTTAATTAGAGTTATAAGACATTCCGCTCAATCCAGAATTCAGATCTTAGCTAGATATCCTGGTTCAAATACATTTCTTGATGCTGATATCCCTGATACAGCATTAGCACATTTTAAAAATACCCTGAGTGATTTTGGTAATGAACTTGCTGAAAAACTTAGAGTTCAAAAATTTAATTATTTTGCTGATGATAATTTTACTCATTTAAATACTCATGTCCTTGAAGAAATTGAAGGATGTTTGATTATTAGAATTCCTGAACCATTAACATTCACTAATAGTAGTGATTTAAGAGCTCGACTTAAGAGAGTTGAATTATACGGATCAACTAAAGCACATCCTGCTCTGAAACCTTCAAGAGATTCATCAATGACTCATTATATTATTTTTGATTTGAAAGGTATGACAGATTTAGATTCATCTGCTAGTCAAATCTTAAAAGATTTAATTTTAGGGTATAGAAATAGAAAAATCCATTCATTTTTTGTAAGAGTTAATAAAAATGCCAAATTAAGAAAACGATTAGTTAATACTGGTATTTCTGATTTACTTATACAAGATTTAAAGGATTTAAGATATTTTGATTCTCAAAAGAGACAAGCTTACAGTAGAATGAAGAGAAGACGCAGTTTAACAGATGATGGACCAGAATTAAATTTTGAAGATGATTATGAACAAGAAGTAATTCCAATCGATATAGATGAAAATTCAGAAATTTATGATCTAATTGAAAGTAATGAAGAACCATACTTTGATCATATTAGTGATGCATTAAAAGTCATTGACTTCTATGAAGTCAATCAACAAACTAGAGCAAGTGAGTATCTCGAAGTGGATCAACATATAAAGAGAAGATCAAGTCTTCCAGAGTCTTCACTAGTGTAAATTAAACAGATTAAATATTCTATAGACTTTATTAAATTTATTTATTCATTTATTATTTCTTAGTCTTTTTTTTGCAATTCAAAATTTTAGACGCGCGTTGGGGAGGAAATTGAAAAATCACCGTTGAACACTACAGCAACGTTTTATCAATAGTGAAGAAGGTTACTAGCAATGTCGGAAGAAATTTCAGAAGTATCTCAAAGTGAGGTGACCATTAAAGAAGAATATCAATTATGGCGTAAAAATTGTCGTTATATGTATGAGTTTGTTAGTGAGACAGCATTAACATGGCCATCATTAACTGTTCAATGGTTACCAGACCATCAAGAACAAGATGGAATAATTGAATCAAAATTATTATTAGGTACTCACACATCAGGTGAAGATACCAATTATTTAAAAATAGCCTCTACTCAACTTCCTTCTACATCAGAAAAGAAGGCATCTTCTCGTATAAAGATTATAAAAAAATTTCAAAATAGTTTTGAAATAAATAGAGCAAGGTATATGCCACAAGATCCATCAATAATTGCAACTATTAATGGAGAGGGAGAAATAGATATATATGATATTAATAATGATTCGAAAGCTGCATATTTGCACCTTACACCACATGAAGCTAATGGTTATGGATTAGCATGGAACCCATATAAAAAGGGGTACTTATTATCTTCATCTGATGATAAATCGGTTGTGCTATCAGATGTTGGAAAAGATCGAATATTCAGGAATACTTCACATTCAGACATTGTCAATGATGCAAAATGGCATCATTTTGATGAGAATATATTTGGATCTGTAAGTGATGATAAATATACTTTTATATTTGATATTAGAACACCTAATAAACCAGTATCTAAATTTTATAATCCAGAATCTAAAGGGATCAATTCATTGGCCTTTTCACCATTTTCTCATAATTTATTAGCTATTGGGAATACTAATTCGAATATTAATTTATTAGATATTCGTAAATTTAATAGTGATTCTAATGGTGGGTTACTTCATACAATGATGGGACATTCTGATTCTATTACAAGTTTAGAATTTTCACCTCATAAGGATGGAATACTTGCTTCTGGATCTCTGGATCGTAGAGTTATATTATGGGACTTATTTAAGATCGGAGAAGAACAACAACAAGAAGATGCAGAAGATGGATGTTCAGAATTATATATGATGCATGCAGGTCATACAGGTGCCGTTATGGATTTGAGTTGGTGTCCTTATAAAGAATGGACGTTAGCTTCCGTAGCAGATGACAATATTGTCCATTTATGGGAGGTTGGTAAGAGTATTATCAATTCAGAAACATCCACTACTTTATCAGAAAAGGATTTAGAGTAAGAGAGTATTTACAGTATATATTATAATATATATAAAATATTATATAGAATATTATGTAGAATATTATGTAGAATATTATATATATATATATTACAGTAAGTAATAAAAAGTCGCGTGATCAATAGCTATAACGAACCACGTCTACATATGAAATCAATCAACTAATTAGGAATACTATAATAACTACTCAAAGTTGACTTAGCACTGATAAGTATGTTACTATTAAGTTATTATAAACCAGTTTCACCAATTTACTAACCATTCTGAACCATTAAAAGAGTCATCAATATTTCCTGTGTACAGCTTTTAACACCAACTTACCATTTTTTTCTTAGGCGTTCTCCATATCGCAGTTGAAGCAAACAATAATTAATTTGAAGGTTTATTAAGTTTTGATTGAGAAACTTTGTTGCCATCGGACATTATATATACTAAAATTAGACAGTATAGGCCATGTCGACCTTTCCACCAAATATATCTATTCGACCTCTTACTATAGAGGATATCGATCAATGTATAAGTTTAGAAAATAAAGGATTTTCTGAATCAGAAAGATGTACTCCAGAAAAATTTCGTTATAGATTGACTGTATGTCCTGAATTATGTTCAGGATTATTCATAAGAGACTATGATCATACTTATAATGCCATTAACTTACCAGAAGTTGCTGCTAGATTAGCAAAGGAACAAAAGGATAAAGGTACTAATGATGATCAAGAAGAAGATATTGATGAATTGCCTTCGAAATCTTCTGTAATCAAAGAAACATTAATTGGTCATATAATTGCTACCAAGATTCCTACTCAAAAGATTACTGATAATGCTATGGATATTCCTGACACTGAAGATGATACTTCTAAAGGTCATATTGAAAGTTCAAGATGGATAGGAATTCATTCATTAGTTGTAGACCCTAAATGGAGGGGAAATAATTTAGGTACACTTTTAGTTCATGATTATGTTCAAAAATTATCTAATCAAGATATGGGTGATAAAATTGTTATAATTGCTCATAAAGAATTAATACCATTTTATGAAAAGATAGGTTTTAATAATTTGGGTGAAAGTGATTGTAAATTTGCTGATACTACTTGGTACGATTTAGCTATTGATTTAATACCTGAAGAAGATATTTAAATTTACATCAATATAATATTTGGAACTCATACATACACCACCCTTATAATCCTACTCTTAACCCTATACTATATATAATTTGTACAGATCTGTATACTTCGTAATTTAGAATATATGATTTAACACAGTAAGGAAAAGAAAAAACGAGTAATGAAAAAAAAAATTAGTGCATTATAACTATATCGATTTTTCAGCCAATAAGTAAAGCATGTTTAAAGTACCGGCACCTATAGAAAGGTTATTTGAGACATTTCCTGTAGTAACGTATCCAAAGGAGAATATTACTGAAGAAGTTTATCAATTTTATTTCGAAGGTAGGGATAATGGAAAGGAATCATTTCAATTGGGTGTACATAAAGTGTATGAACTTAACTCACGATACATTCCTACTGATCCAATATCCTTAGGGTATGCCTTATGGCTTTGTCATAAGAATCAATTGAAACTACCTAATTTACGTTCAAACACTAAAAAATCAAATAATTCAATTATACAATTGTCATATCATGCTACACCAGATCAGCAATTACCAATCCTTATAGAGAATTCAGGAGAAAATCGTAATATAATTCCATTGGATTCATTAAACAAGTCAGAAAATTTCGAAACCAAATTGATTAATGATTTAATCGATTCAAAGTTTGTTGATTTATGGTTATTATGTTTATTAATTGAAAAGCCAACTGAAGTTTTCCAACAACAAGAAGATCTTCTCAATCTTAATAATTATCATACATTTAGTGAGATACCTCATTGGAAAGCATTCTCAATACGATATCCTAATTTATTTGAAAATTTTATTAATATTAATACATTCTATAAATCTGAATTGAGATTATTTAAGGACAATTTGCAACTTTTATCATCTAATTTCGTTAACCTCGATAGACAAACACAATTAAAATTAGCAGGATTCATTATTGTTTTTGATAGTTTATTAAGTGGAACAAAGGTTGGAGCAGTAGTAAAAGAGTTTCCTGAACTTATAAAGTTAAACTATAAGTTATTTGATGAATTCTAATATCGTTCCCATACTTGTATATAATTTTCGTCTAAAAATAATAATTCACGTTGACATGGTTTTAATTCTGAATCTTTAATTGTAATCCATTCTTCATTTCTTCTAATACTTATTGCCCATTCACTTTTTATATCACTCTCATCGATTTCATTACCAGTAATCAGTTCATGTTTAATTATGCTTAATAATCTATAATTAAGTGATTCTTTACTATCAGTATATGGAGAAAAATCCATTATGTCTGGGAACTGTACTACAGTTGGATTACCTTTCTTAATATTGTCCTTTTCAACACCTCTATCTATATGAACTATAAGAAAAGGTGGAAATGGATGTACAAGCTTATAAGAACGCAATTCATCCTTTGATATATGAGATTTTTCAATACCATTATACTTTTTCATTAATGAAGATAAGTCAACTTCAGCGATTGTTTCACCTGCAAATAATGGGGGTGGTGGTAAGTCTAAAGTTATAACCCAAAATTTCAGTTTAGTTATAATTGGTTCAGCATCTGTTTTATAACTTGTGATTTCAATATTTCCTTGAATAGAGTCACTAATTACAGTAGATTTTGTATATTTCACTAATTGAGAATTAAGTTGATTTAAAAACCAAATGAGGAATTTCTTTGGTGAATTCTGAACAGTTAAGGAAAATGTACCTTTAGTAACACTTGATATATATTGTAATAACTCATGAGGTGATATATGATTTCTGTATAAATGTTTAGACCATATTTTTCTAATTAATATACCAAATCTATCATTTAATGGAGATTTCTTAGATATTTGATTTTGAAGTTTTTCACGATAACTTAACTTCAAATAGAAATCTCGAATACTCGGTATATGACTCAATGCTTGAATTATAACATTTTCATAATCATTATTTGAGATATTATCGAGTCCAACATACCCAACTTTATATTGTTTATTATGAAGATCAGTAGATATTTCAGGTAAATTTAGAATATCTTCCTTAGTATATTTAGGATCTAAATAATCTATTATATCTTGAATTGGTTCAATTTCTTGATTCTCAGGTATTATATAAAATTTCTGATTCTTTAAATTTATAAATATATGATGATCATTATTTAAAGTATGATTATAAGCTGGTGATGATATACTTCTACCTTGAAAATATTTCCCACAAGTTAAGCAACAATAAACATTACTGTTTGATAATGTTACATTACATAGTTTTTCAAAATCAAAATTTAATACTTCTCGATTTATAGAATCCTTATAATCAGTAGATACTTTCTGTTTCTTTAAAGGTCGTATATCCATTGTAGAATAATGATACAGTTAGTTAGAGAATTTATTGTACTATATATAATTTTTTATATTATACATATACATATACATTTATTTAGTGCGACTTATATTATTTTGTATATTTTAAAAATTTCATTAAACCTATTGAATGGCTACAGCATTAATATTACCTGTTAATAAGGATGTTAAATTCTCTTCAATTAATGCTTCAGCAGTATCAGATAAATGTTTCTTTGGATCTTGTTTACCAACATATCTGGTTTTTAATTGATCTTCCAGTAATTCCTTTTCTTCTTGAACTCTTTGATTATATTGTTCAGCAATTCTTACCATTTTTTCAGTATTTTCTAAATTTGAATGTTCAGCATGATCATATTCAACTAATTTTAATCCTGATTGCCAATTCTTTTTATGCAAATTTAATAACATATTAGTTTCATATGAAGTTTTATGATAATCAATATTTAATGAATAATAATGACGGTTTAAACCATGTAATAAAGCCAGTATTGATGGTTTATTTAAATGACCTACATTAGAAGTAGTTTGACGAGGTTCTTGACCCATCATTAAAGTAGTAGTATCAATAGTTCTAAATGCATCTATGACAACTTTCCCCTTAACTGATTGAATTGGATCTATAACAACAGCAACAGCCCTTTTATTCAATTGTTCAAATGATTGTTGAGTATTAACATCAACTGATGATAACCAACATCCAAAACCAGGATGTGAATGATACCAACCAACAACCATTTGATCTCTACCAGTTTGTCTTAACATATCCATCATTTTAGTTTGGAAAACATCATCTACAGCTTCAACAGATACACCAGTACCTGATTGAGGCATGGCAAATACATCTATAACATGAATAGTAAATTCATCAACAAATTCACCTAACATTAATCCCATAACTTCCATTGGAACCCCAGCTCTTCCATGTTTTAACATCTTTAAAAGTGCTAATGAGGATATATATACGGTTTCTGCATTATCAATTGCTGGTCCTTCACTTTGTGGCTGAGTACCAGTTCCCAATAATCTTTGTAGTCTTTCCATCTTCTATTAATATAATATATAATCTAATTATTAGTTATCTGATAGTGGCAAAATGGTCTATAATCTTTTCAGCGTTGTCGTTATTTTTCTTAGTGAGAAGTTTCAGCCCGGACGGCATATAAGCTGCCACCATAGTTAACTCACTACTTTGTAGCTAATAAATTCAATTTGGCTTTATTAACAAAATTATACTTTAGCTACTTTTGAATATTGTATATATGATGTATTATATTTATTTCTATATGATATGTTTATTACTTGTTGAAATAAATTCAAAATAAAATTAACTGTACAGAGTAAATTTACTTATTAGTGTTAGTTTGCAACTTTAAATGGAGCCGCTCGCTTGTAAGATCCGTTTTCAGATGGGGTGGTGGGAAAATTATAAGTAGAATAGTTTTGGACTAATATATTAATTCTTTAATAAATTATAAATATCAATCAGTATCAAAATGGTAGAAGGTCCAGCTTCATTAAAGGGTAAGAAATATCCTGCTAAACAACATGCTAGAAATGTTTATGCCCACTTAAAGGAAAAGAATTTACAAAAAGCTGAAAGTTCAGTATTTTTCATTAGTGGTGAAGATAATGAACTTATTCAATATAGTGATCAAAATAAACCATTTAGACAAAACAGATATTTTTTTTATTTATCAGGTTGTCCAATTCCAGGAGCTCATGTAGTATATCAACCTCAAAGAGATCATTTAACTTTATATTTACCAAATATTGATTGGGATGATGTTATGTGGTCGGGACTTCCATTAAGTTTAGAACAAGCTAAGGAAAAGTTTGATGTTGATGAAGTTAAATATGCTGAAACTTTAGAAGCAGATTTAGCTATTATTAACTTTAATTTACTCACTACTGATATTAATAAATCTAATATTAAATTTGCTTCTATATTAAAGGAAGGTGATAAAGATTTATTTTATGCTATGGATGAAGCTAGATTAATTAAAGATGATTATGAAATTGAATTAATGAGACATGCTGCTAAGATTTCTGATAATTGTCATTTGGCTGTTATGTCTGCAGTTCCAATTGAAACAAATGAAACTCATATTCATGCAGAATTCATGTATCATGCTATTAGACAAGGATCTAAATATCAAAGTTACGATCCTATTTGTTGTTCAGGTCCATCATGTTCAACTTTACATTATATTAAAAATGATGATGAAATTACTCCTGATAAGAGATCTATATTAATAGATGCAGGTGCTGAATGGGATTGTTATGCTAGTGATGTTACTAGATGTTTCCCAATTAATGGTGATTGGACCAAAGAACATTTAGAAATCTACAATATTGTATTAAAAATGCAAAAGACAGCATTAGGTTTAATTAAACCAGGTGCATTATGGGATGATATTCATTTAACTACTCATAAAGTATTAATTGAAGAATTTCAAAAGTTAGGTATCTTTAAATCTGAATTTTCAGTTGAAGAATTATTTGAATCTAAAGTAAGTGCAAGATTTTTCCCTCATGGATTGGGTCATTTATTAGGTATGGATACTCATGATGTTGGTGGATATCCAAATTATTCAGATCCAGATCCTTTATTAGTTTATTTAAGAATAAGAAGACCATTAAAAGCAGGTATGGTTGTTACTGATGAACCAGGAGTTTATTTTAATCCATTTTTATTAGAAGATACATTAAAGGATCCATCTAAGCTTAAATATATTAATAAAGAAATTTTAGATAAATATTGGTATATTGGAGGAGTAAGAATTGAAGATGATATCTTAATTACTGAAACTGGTTATGAGAATTTAACAGGTATAACTTCCGATCCAGAAGAAATCTCAAAGATTGTTAAAGCAGGATTCCAAAAGAAGTTTCATAATATTGTTTAGGTATCTAAATAGACGATTTAATTTTATTATTTATTATATATAATATTATAATTTGTTTAATTTATGTCATAAATTTGTGTGTCATCGTATAAAGATTTTGTAATAGATTGTAATAAATAAATAATAAACGGTGGGGAAGGTGTATGCAGGACTGTTTATATTTGCCCATCAAAGGTCCCCTTGGCCAAGCTCTGCTAAGGTGCACCGACCATTTTAGGGATCAAGGTTGCGGTGAGGATTAATATTTAATTATTGGGCATTTATAAATATATGTATATATAATTTTAAATATTAAACAAGATGGATGAAAATTATGATGTAATTGTTTTAGGTACTGGATTGACCGAATGTGTTCTTTCTGGTATTTTATCAGTTGAAGGGAAGAAAGTTTTACATATCGATCGTCAAGATTTTTATGGGGGAGAATCAGCTTCATTAAATTTATCTCAATTATATAAGAAATTTAAACCATCAGCTCAAAAGCCAGAATTTTTAAAGGGAAGAGATAGAGATTGGTGTGTTGATTTAATTCCCAAATTTTTAATGTCAAATGGTGAATTAACAAATATTTTAGTTCATACTGATGTAACTCGTTATATTGAATTTAAACAAATTGGAGGTTCTTATGTTTATAGAAGTGGAAGAATTGCAAAAGTTCCTGCTAATGAAATGGAAGCAGTTAGATCTTCATTAATGGGAATTTTTGAAAAGAGAAGAATGAAAAGATTTTTAGAATTTATTGCAAAATATGATGAAGATGATACAACAACTCATCAAGGGTTTAATTTAGATAAAAATACAATGGAAGAAATTTATGCTTATTTTGGTTTAGAAAGTGGTACTAAAGATTTTATTGGTCATGCAATGGCTTTATGGTCAACTGATAATTATTTAAATGAAGTTGCTCGTCCAACTTATGAAAGAATTATGTTATATGTTCAATCAGTTTCAAGATATGGTAAATCTCCTTATATTTATCCATTATATGGTTTAGGTGAACTTCCTCAAGGTTTTGCTAGATTATCTGCTATTTATGGTGGAACTTATATGTTAGATACTCCTATAGATGAAATTCTTTATGATGATGATGGAAAATTTTCTGGTGTTGTAACAAAAGAAGGTAAAGCTAAAGCTCCAATTGTTATTGCTGATCCAACTTATTTCCCAGAAAGAGTTAAAAAAATTGGTTCTAAAGTTATTAGAGCTATGTGTATTTTAGATCATCCAATTACTGGTACCAATGATTTAGATTCTGTACAAATTATTATTCCTCAAAATCAAGTTGGTCGTAAACATGATATTTATATTGCTGTACTCTCTGATGTTCATTGTGTTGTTCCAAAGGGTTATTATTTAGCCATTGTTTCTACAATTATTGAAACTGAAACTCCTCATGTTGAATTAGAACCTGCTTTTAAATTATTAGGTGAAAGATTAGATACATTAATGGGAATAGCTGAATTATATGAACCGCAAACTGATGGAACTGATAGTAATATATTCATTTCAAAGAGTTATGATGCCTCTTCTCATTTCGAAACTACAACTGATGATATTAAAGATATATATTTTAGAGTTACTGGTAAACCATTGGTATTACAAAAGCGTCCAACTATTGAAGAAGAACAAGCTTTGAATGGTCTTTAAGATTGTTCATTTTCAATCTTTGAATTGAGTAAATATCTAAATCTTTAGTACATAATTATCTTTCATACCTTTAGGTAAATGCTGTCTCTGATTTTAATATGAAGATTAAATTTATATGGTATCCAGTACACAATTTTGTTACTCCTATTCGCTATCTTCTTCCGATTTTTCGCTATCTCCCTCCAGTTGTTTCCACTTCTTTCTCTCCCTCCTTCTCTCTCTCTTTCTCTGCTTCTCGGATTGCTTCTCTATTTTTTTCTTTTCCTCTTTAATTTTATCTCTTTCTTTCCTTAATTCTATATAATAAGGGGTATCAAACTTAGGATTATAGAGACATGTTGCAGGTGTATGATCACCCTGTGTATCACAAAATAAACAAGGAGCAATTTCACAATTATGGCGTGAATGATCAGTTTTATGGCAGTATCTACAACAGGCTAAGAAAGAAAGCAATTCAACTCTTGTTCCAGGAGGTGAACTCTTTCTCAAGCGATAAGGAACAGAATTATCTGGTAAATCAACTAATACTTGAACTAAAACTATATTATCATGAACTTTTGTTGAGGTATACGGTGCTTTTAAAGGTTTTGTTGCTTTTAAAATAGTAATTTTATTCTCTCTGAAGTGCAGTGCAAGTAAGTCTTCCCAAGGATGAGGATAATCTTCTGGGAAAAAGAATTCAATGACTGCAGGATTGATACATTTTGGAAACTGTAAAGATAAAGTTATCGGAGAATGTATTCTATTTGGATCAGGGAAGGTATTTTTAGTTAAATAGTTAATAAAGAAGTCGTACTCGTTAAAGTCAGGGACCTTTTTCTGTTCTCTTTCATGTTCATAAAACGAACATTTTAAATTATGAACACATAGTTTTCCATGGCCCCAAAAGTCTAGATAAATCAATGAAACTATGTCACACTCGTATTCTTTAGCTAACACTTTCTTTAATGTAGAATCTCTAATTTGTGCTGCATTTTCGTATGTCAGTTTGGCCTCAGACAACTTTTTCGTTTTACGAACTGATGGATACTGATTACTATTATCCTTTAGATCTTTATACTTACGCAGAGCTGTTAGAAAGATATCATGCTGTTTTTCACAAATTTCAATCAAATCATCTATAATTTTGTCACACTCCCTCTGAAATTCATCTGCTCTTGACCTAATTATTTTATTAAGTTCTTTCAATCCAATGGTATCGGGAGCGTGTATATTAAACATCAAACTATCTGTATGAGATTGGAAACTTAAATCATAGAATAATGTTTTAATAGCAGGCACAACATGTTCCATTCTGTCAAGCTGAAGATCAGCCTGAGTAAGAGAAAGCCTCTTTAGGAATCTTATCTCTCTCGCTAATTCACAATAAAATCCAAAATATTCTTCGGGAAGTTCACCTTCCATTTTGAGGTCATATAAAGTTTTCAATTGGTCTTCATTTATGTTATGTTCCTTAAGTATTCTTTCTTGGATGGCTGCAAATTTCTTTTTTAATCTTAGCCTTTCAGAATCAGCAAAACTAGAAGAAGCATAATATTCACTATCAGATTTCATATCTGGGATTAACTCCATTGAATAAAATTCATAATTTGGAATAATAGGAAATGGATCATATTCATCTATGTCCCTATATTCAAGGTGGGGTACGTAAGGAACTTTTTCATTTTCATTTTCATCGTCGTCATCATATTCAATATGAGGTGGTGTCAGAACTTGCGAGTCCATTTATCGGTGATTGAACCGAATATCGGTGAAAAGTTTTCCAGTCATACAAAGTAAAGGTAAAAGTAAAATGAAATTAACTGATTCAATCGTAATTGATACGAGGGGAATCGAACAATGATTCAATAACTACATCAAATTACAAATACGAATAAATCCTATTGTAAAATAATATAATGGAATAGATTTTGCAATTTTATTGATATCCATAGAATCCCACCTTAAACTGCGGCGGACCGGGCGTTACGTATTTGTGGAGCGTATATTTCGAAATTTACGCATTTTTACACCGATTGTGTTAGTTGCGCCCCTTATCTTGTACAAAAACAGCCAAAAGCCAACGGTTACCGAAAAGAGTATGGCATTTTCTTTACCGATAAGAGTGAAAAATTAGTAATCGGTGGGAAGTATATAAATAACCAGTAATCCCCTTGATTTATATATATTTTATATTTATAGTTGTATATTTTATATTTATAGTTGTATATTTTATATTTATAGTTCAAACAAGTCTGTTCTTTATATCACCAATGACTAAAACACATTCAAATAAACCAATTAGTTTAATCCATAACTATAAAACCAAATCAGGTAAACCAATTACTCTTGGTACTGGTACTGGTACAAAATGGCAATGGCTTAAAAAGGGTAGACCAGATGATGAACAAGATACTTTACATCAAGATTTAGTAGATCAATTGATATTAGCTTTAGAAAATGGTTATAATCATATTGATACTGCAGAAGTATATACTACTCATTCTGAAGTAGCTGCTGCTGTTAAACAAAGTGGTATTCCAAGAGAAGATTTATGGATTACAACTAAATATAATCCTGGATTTAGAACTTTTGTTGCTCGATCTAAAACTCCAACAGAATTTATTGATAATGCTTTAAAGGAATTAGAAACTGATTATGTAGATTTATTTCTTATTCATTCACCATTCTTTGGAGAAGTTATTTCTCATGGTCAAACAATTGAAAGTGCTTGGAAAGAATTAATTGCTGCTAAAAAGGCTGGAAAAGTTCGTGAAATTGGAGTATCTAATTTTGCTGTAGCACATATTGAAAAGGCAATTAAATCTTCTGAATCAAAGGAATATTGGCCAAAAGTTAATCAAATTGAATTCCATCCATATTTACAAAATCAATCTAAAAATATTATTGATTTTAGTAAAGAAAATGATATTTTAATTGAAGCTTATGGTCCATTGACTCCATTATTCAGAATAAAGAAAGATGGGGTTGAAATTGATGATCATCCATTAAAACCTTTATTGGCTAAATTATCAGAAAAGTATGGAAAGACTGATTCTCAAATCTTATTAAGATATACTTTACAAAAGGGAATTCTTCCAATCACAACATCTTCAAAAGTTGAAAGAATAAAACAATCATTAGATATTTATGATTTTGCCATTTCAAACGAAGACTTTGATGAAATTGAAACAATCGGTAACTCTTACCCATTTAGAGGATTCTTTGATGAAGAATTTAAGGATTTTGATTAAAAAATTTTTATAGTGTAGTATTATATGCGGTAAAGTTGAATTAATATAGAATAAATAAATAAATTTATTATGCTATATATGCAGTAGTTTATATACAGTAATGCTAATGATAATTGCTAATTGATAATTGCTAATTATTAAGGTTATTACAATTACTGGAGTCTTCGTCTCTTTGGTCGACTTCTTATTGGTGAAGTCTCACTCTTCTTAAATGTATCCTCCAGTATAACTTTGACATCGCTATTATCTGTAATAAAGTATTGTTCACCAGGAATTGTACTAGCTCTTGTTGATGGACTAGAAAGTTTTGTATTTAATGGTATACTAGGAGATTTTGATATTGGAGATTTTGGACTCTTTGTTATTTGTGATATTCGTAATCTCGATACACTCTCATTAACTTCATCTGAATCATATTGTGAAGTAGTTAAATCAGATGGTATCCCATTTGGATCGATTCTAAATTCTTGATGTCTTGGTCTTAAAGAATTAACTGATTGTTTGGGTAATGCTTCTAGTTGAGTTTGAAAGTCTCTTATTTTAGAGACAACTTCGTCTTTATCAGATTCATAAGACGGAACTTCTTCAATTAAATTCGCTATTAGTTCTAATTCTGTTGCTTGAGGTTCAATATTTTTCTTATCATATAATGCATTTAAAAGTGTCACCACATGTTCATTTATAGGCTTTCCTTCATATCTTTGATTTAATGCCTTGTTAATAAATAGTTTATCTAATTGAGCTCGAGGATCTAATGTTTTCGGGTATGATACAGGAGATAAATCTATGGTGGTATTAGCATCTTCTGATAAACCTTTCAACTGACTTTCAGATTCACGTTCAGTCTCTACTTCAGATTCTACTTCAGGTTTAGGATTAGGATTAGGATTAGGATCAGGTTCAGATTCAGGATCAGGTTCAGGTTCAGGTACGGCTCCAATTTCATGTTCAAGTTCAGGCTCAGTTCGATGTTTAGACTTATTATGTGTAGTATCATTTTCACGAACCTGTTCAGAAACATGGTCAATTTCAGTCACCGATTCATTAGTAATATCACGTTGTGGTTCAGACTTTTCAGACTTAGGATCTATTTCACTTACTTCCTTTTTCGATTCTGATTCTGGAGTACATTCAATGACTTCAAGATCATCTTCTGATTCGGCAACATCTGATTCACCAACATGACTATTATCGAATTGAGTTGATTCTTGTTCTTTATGTAACTTTAAGAGTATATCAATTAATTGTTTCCTTGTACTATCTCTTTCTTCTGCCACAAATAAACTTCTAGCTTGTTGCATATTATAACTACCTCTCCACATTCTTTCACAATCAGCAATATTATAAAGCCATTTTTTAAAATTATATATAACATGAATACCACAATCATTAAAATTACTTTGTTTAGGAACTCTTGCATTAAATACTCTAATTTGATGCTTTTGTAAGTCAATATCATATTTGTCCTTACAATAATCAATAATGAACCTTTTTAAAGGTACATTTATATTAGAATGAGTTTGAGCAAGAGAATCAAACACAAATATTTCTGTTTGATAATGCCTTGGTTTCTTTAAAGGAGGACTTGTTGAAGATCCCTTTTCAGGGCTATCGATGATTTCATCATCAATCTCAGTAATAGTTTCAGGTGTAGTTGTATTGTTAGAATTATTTTCAAAAGTAAACCTATCTGCTTCTTCATTCGCAGCCTTTTCCTTCGCAGCCTTTTCATTTAAACCTTGTTCAAGTAATTGTGGTAAACCCTTTATTATACAACAATACCAATGAGCATTTTCATTAATGGGTAAAATAACATAGGGATATTTCATAAGATCAAGTTTTATAAGCCATCTTTTGATATTTGCATAATAATTAGGTGTAGATTCACTATCTGATTTAGACATTAATTTAGTAAAGAAAAATGAATTCAATGCATAAATTTCTTCAGATCCTAATACTTTATATTGATGAATAGCCTTATCAATTTCATATTGAATAAAGAAATCTATAACTGAATCATTAATCCAATCATTATTATATAATGTCTTAAAATCAGAATAAGTAATTGTAACTATCTTATTATGAGCAAATTTATATTTCAAATCTGGTGAAAATGGAGCTGGAGTTTCTCTTACCAATACTTCATCATCTAAATTTTCAGCATAATTAATTCTTCTATTTCTAGTTCTATACCCTGTAGTACTATTTGAATCTTTAATATTTAATCCATTAAAAGAATTTTGAGAATCAGGTATAATATTAATTGGATCTTTACTAGATTTACCAAGAAAATTAAATTCTAAATCTCTTGTTTTAGATCGAGTACTTCTTGGTGAAAAGAATTCAGAAGCAGCAAGAGAATCTAATCTTGTAGTTGATTTAAATAATGTCAGATCTGGAAATTGACATGCTTGAGCTAATTGAACAATGATTTTATCTACCATTTTCTGAGATAATATATTTACATCAATCCCCCACTCCAGAGAATGTCTAAAATATTCTCGAAGAGGTATATGAGAATTTAAAGGTTTAGCAACTATAAATCCTTTAAACCCTTTCATTTCAAAAATAATAGATAATTTAGAAAATATTGCTGATTTTAAATAACCTTTCTTAGGGATAATTGAATTATCTATTATCTTATTAAAATTTGTAAAATAAATATAATCATCATTATATGAAATATGTAATTGAAGGGTATTTTGACCATTTTCTAGAGGACTATTATTATTTATCTTTAAAGATTCTAAATCAATAGAACATTTAGGTTTAATAGTATCCAGTTCAACTTTATGAATATCCACAGTATCATTAAATACCGTATGATATCTCTCTCGTATATCAATTTTTGAATGCAAAGTATGAGGTTGATTTCTTACTGAGGAACTCGAATCCATAGAATCTAATTCTTCTCTTAGTAGTCTTGCTTCAGCTGTATGATTAGAAAAATCATTATTTGTGATGATATTGGTATTTGTGGTAGGAATTGTTATCCTTACAGGTGACTTTGATTTTGATTTAATATCACTAGAATCTGATGCAAGGGTATTAATAGGTATTACACCATTTCTTCCCATTCCTAATTTATGTCTTTGTTTATGCTGTAGAGATTGAAACTCTTTATGGGCAAAGGTAGATCGCTCCGAACTCATTGTATCAATTATTGATTATGAACTCGAGCTTTCCAACCCTGCTATAGTTAACAATTATAGCACTTGAATAGTAAATATAGCTAAATTTGCACTAATTTCTGTGCTATGAATATTCAATGGTAATTAATACTACTAACTACTTCAATATTTATTATAGTTTTATATTAGGATCAAGTAATTGAAGCCCTGGCTAAGAAAATATTCGCTCTGTGCGTAAGCATATAATTAATTAATGATTACGAGTCGTATGGTTTATATATACGAGACATTGTAATTATTGAAAATGTTAAATAAATGGGTTTATTATGTAAGATGTAAGTAAGAGTATAAGTATCATGTATGCTATATAGGTTATTTATATATAGAATGGTTAATGATACCTGTTATCTGTAGTAATTTTGGTCTATTAGGAGTAACACTGTACTATTATTACAAAACTTATGTACACCACAATAAAATAGATGGGGTAAGAAAATTCTAATTAGTGATTAAGCTAAAGTCATTGTCTTAATAGAAAGCATTTACACGACTAGAAACTGATATTAAAATCCATTAAGCTGTGTTAGTATAAAGGAGTAGTTAACTATTTACATTTAATTAATGAAAAGCACGTGAATTCTCACATGATCAACAAGCACATAAATAAATCATTTTTTCTGGTGGCGATTGGAGTCCTCATACAAATTTGACAATTGACATAATCGACAGACAGTTGAATAACTTATAGTTATCATTGTCAATTGAAGAACCAACCATATATATAATATCATCATGGGTCAGGGTCCATCGGGTATGCCGGGAGGCGATAACTTCAATAAGAAGAAAGACGATAAAAAAAAGGAAAAGCCAAAGTATGAACCACCAGTCGAATCTAAGTTTGGTAAGAAGAGAAGAAAGGGTCCAGATACTGCTATTAAATTACCAAGTGTATACCCAAATACTAGATGTAAATTAAAATTATTAAAGTTAGAAAGGATAAAGGATCATTTATTATTGGAAGAAGAATTTGTAACTAATCAAGAAGCATTCCAACCAACTGAAGCTAGACAAGTTGAAGAACGAGAAAAAGTAGATGAATTAAGAGGTTCCCCAATATCAATTGGAACTTTAGAAGAAATTATTGATGATGATCATGCCATTGTATCTAGTACTGCTGGATCTGAATATTATGTTTCTATTATGTCATTTGTAGATAAAGGATTATTAGAACCTGGTTGTTCTGTACTTTTACATCATAAAACTGTTTCAGTAGTTGGTGTATTACAAGATGATGCTGATCCAATGGTTTCAGTAATGAAATTAGATAAATCTCCTACCGAATCTTATGCTGATATTGGAGGTTTAGAATCACAAATTCAAGAAATTAAAGAAGCAGTTGAATTACCATTAACACATCCTGAATTATATGAAGAAATGGGTATAAAACCACCAAAGGGAGTAATATTATATGGTGCCCCAGGTACTGGTAAAACTTTATTAGCAAAAGCAGTTGCTAATCAAACAAGTGCGACATTCTTAAGAATTGTAGGATCTGAATTAATTCAAAAATATTTAGGTGATGGTCCAAGATTATGTAGACAAATTTTTCAAATTGCTGGAGAACATGCACCATCTATTGTATTTATTGATGAAATTGATGCTATTGGTACTAAAAGATATGAATCAAGTTCAGGAGGTGAAAGAGAAATTCAAAGAACAATGTTGGAATTATTAAACCAATTAGATGGATTTGATGATAGAGGAGATATTAAAGTTATTATGGCTACAAATAAAATTGAATCATTAGATCCTGCCTTAATTAGACCTGGTAGAATTGATCGTAAAATTTTATTTGAAAATCCTGATTCAAATACAAAAAAGAAAATTTTAACTATTCATACATCTAAAATGAGTTTGGCTGAAGACGTTAATTTAGATGATATAGTTACATCAAAAGATGATTTATCAGGGGCTGATATTAAAGCCATATGTACTGAAGCTGGTTTATTAGCATTAAGAGAACGTAGAATGCAAGTTAAAGCTGATGATTTTAAAGCTGCTAAAGAAAGAGTACTTAAAAATAAGGTTGAAGAAAATCTCGAAGGCTTATATTTATAGAGTTAAGTAATTAGTAGTAATATAAAAAAAGAATCGCGAATCGCATCATAGAAATGAATCGAATAGATGAGCTTATGTGTGATACATCACAAACTACCCCAGTCAAGTTGTAAGGGTAGCGAAAAAAGGTATAATAAGGACAATATAACTAATGTCAGAGTTACCAAAAAGGTTTCGATTCTATCCTGTTATCAGAAAAGTAAAACCAATTCCAGTTTCTGCTTATGATTTGATATTGAAAACTCTAGAGGATTCAAAAGAGAAAAGAGTAGATGTAGTATCTCGTAAGATTAATCAACATTCTCGAGAAATTATAACTGAAAAGAATTTATATATTTCAAGATCAATACTTTTTACTTCATCAAATGTCAAGTTACGACCCCAACCTCTTAATAAATTTACTAAAATCTATCATAGAAAAGCATATTCTGCTGTAAAAATACTGAATACTAATTTACTATCCAACATAGAGAAAAGGATGAAATTGTTTCCAAGAGAAAATGATGTATTTAGATCAGGTTTAAGCTTTGCAGCTCTTGTAGGGAGCAACACGTTTATGTACTGGGTTATTAAACGAGCGTATTTGGCAGATCCTAGAAATGGTAAAGAAATTGCTGAGACCATCCTTCGTAATTTTGTACAAGAGTATTCCCATTTCATTGGTGATACCCTTATCTTAGACTTTAATCAAAAAAAAGAACATGATACACGTAAGTTAGTAAACTTAATTGAATTCGCTAAACCAGTAAATGTCTTGCTTGGAGTAAGGTATTTACATGATAGAAAGAGAACGGCTGCCGTCTATGAAAAAATTTACGATGGATGCTATCCAATAACCAAAAAGGTAATACAGGAAGGATCAATGGAGGAGATGTTCAACTCATATATGTTACCATTTTTAAAAAGACATTCGTTATATTTAGCAATCGATTTAAGAATGTTCTCCAAAATTAGACAACCTTCTATTCTTCCTTCGTTTAAAGGTCGATTGCCGTGTTTACCACCATTGAAAAATCCAAGTAAAACAACACAGCTATTAAAAATAGCACTTCTACATCCAAAATTTTCTAAATTGACAACTAAAAAAGAATTCACGGATTTATCTAGTACCTTGAATTTTCTAGGAGATTCCATAATCAATCAATTATCAGTACTGTATTTAATTAATATGAATGAAGACATCCCCAATTATAAAGAGTATCATTCACATTATTCCTTCATGAAGTCCAATTCTTTATTGGGAAGACTAGCGTTGGTATATGAATTGGATACAATGTTATCAAATTCCGATCATAGAAAAAAGTGTCAAGAGTATCGTAATCTTCCTGTCAGAAAGACAATTTTAAGTAAACAATATAAGTTCTATGGAGATTTATTTGAAAGGCTAATTGCCGTTTATTATCTTGATGATGAAGAGTCATGTAAGAAATGGATTTTCCAAATATTCGACAATTTGTTTGAAAACTTACGTGTTGAACGTAAAGATGGTATGGTTCTTGATATATCACGGTATATTGACGAGGTTTTACAAAACCACTAGAAGTTATTTGAAGTAATAGATAATATAATAGAATAGAGTAGAGAAAGTAGAATACAATAGAATACAATCTCTTACAGTATTATATCAGGTCCTTAAATAGTCTACAATTATGAGTAATGTGATATAAATTTTAAATTGATATTATTATGAATGACCTAATTATCAATTACATAAAGATATATTTAAGTGATTCAGATTGAATCTTAATGAATCTACTCGAATTATAATCATTATTTATATTGTATGGAATGAGCCCTTGCTCAATTCAAGTTTTAATTCGTATAAGTAGCTCATTTTTCCTCTACTCACTAAGCGTTTATATTTATCTACCAATTATATAAATGCTAGTACCATACGAATGAAAGAATCTGTACACCGCATAGCGCTTATAATGAATTTACTTCCTAATTTGATCTAGAAAGAAATGTACTTCCAAACTGAGCCGTATATCAATCCGCCTAATCAGGCATTTGGATCCATGTAAGGATGACTGCAAACATCTTATGTTTCCAGTTTCTATGGCTCTAATATATAGACCACTAGATAAAAAGAAATCCTTAAAAGTTTATCTAAACTTCAAACAATCTTTCGTCGATTTAGTCGTAGATCTAAGTTTTCTTTGCTCTCTTCTTTAATGGTTTGGATGTTGGGCTGCGTATCGAATGTTTTCTTTCGCTCTGGATTTCTGAATTAACTTGAATCAGTTTATTAGTATCAGGACTATTCTCATTACCTTTATCTTTCTTTTCATTAATCTTATTATCATTATCGTTCTTGTTATCATTAGTAATAGGTTTACCAGATTCAAGATTTAAATCATTTATTAAAATAGAATCTTTGTCGGGTGGCAATGGAGGTAAAGTCGGTATCCCCAATTTCGTCGATACTTTCAATCTTAAAACTATTGTATCCTTGAATGATACTTTTTTACGACACAAGGGGCATAACCCCATTCCACGACGATTTGCTTGACCTCTTGCATGTGATGAAGATATAGATTGTTGAATACAATCTAGACAAAACATATGTCCACATGATGTGGCTGTTGCTTCTGTCATAGTATCAAAACATATCGGACATTGAATATCTGTAAGTTTCTTGGTGATTTCATGTTGAGGTTGTTGTGTTGGATTATCTAAAAGATCCTGAGTCTCCTTTCGAAATTCTTCAATGATTTGAAGATCATTTTCATCATCTTCATTTTCATCAGACGAGGATATATTTATGACGTATTCTGGCGTAGCAGACATGGTTTAGATTTTATTTGGTTCTTTCCGCTTACATAAACTTTTTGGACATTAATATAATATAGTGTATGGTACTCTAATTGTCATATGAATATCAATTTACAATATGATTATATGATTAGCTAGATATTTGTCTTTGTTATTATGTATGCAGGAACGACTTACATTTTTGCGCTCTTCCTTATTAGTTTGTTATCAATCATTTTCGCAACTACCTAGTTCTATTGTATACTGCAATAATAGACTTTAAAGAGTTATGAATTATGTGATAATAGAATTTTAACAAAGGGAAGTATTTATTATAACTTTTACTAATTAGTTATTTTGAAATTAAGCAAAATTCTTATTTATCTATTGTTAAATTGTTAGGCAACAGTGTAAGACCCGGTTGCATTGACTTACACCAAGAAACCGTTGAAATCGGTAGTAAGAAAATTTTGTTCGGAGATTACTGCATTATTACTTAGATCAGTAAGACCTGAACAATATTATTATTTTTATTAGATTACGAAGAAAGGGGCTAATTAAAAGTCGAAAATAGATTATCCGAGTCATACTTGTAAATGCCATTTGGACGTTATTTGATAATAAAATACACAAAGTCAATTAACTAATAACAATACTATAGGAGTTGGATAGAAACATACCATTTGTAGAAGTAAATATTTGATTTTGGCCAAATGAAGGATCTTTCAACGTAATCACCGGATATTTAATGAGTAATGTGACGTAACGGTTATGGTCTTATGTGCAGTCACACGGTTAAGTAATATCACAAAACAATTAGTGTCAAAGCAAGGAGACATCATTATGACGTCTACGATTTTAAAAGTTAAATTAATAGTGAAATCTAGTAACAATTGTTAATCAAAACATATATGATTCAACGTTTTGTGTGATAATTGTAAATATTTAGTTGTTATAATTACTTTTTGGGACTGTACTTGATGAAAGAGAATGGAATGAATAGGCTGCGCAAGCCCGATATATGAAACTCTGTTAGAAACGCATACTTAATCAATTACTGACTATTTAATTAAGAATTCAATAAATAGTATCACGAGTTGTAAGATGATATGACTATAGCAGGCAGTGTATAAATGTTACAATTTGTATAGCAGCTGACTACGTCTGGTGATTTACATGACAAAAATGTTAGCGAAGGATTCGCACCTCTTCTCGCTCCCTAAAAAAGGAACTATTTGAAAAAGAAACACACTCCGTAATTGTGTAATAAATGAATTTCTTTTTGTCATTTTTTATAACTTTTCTTTTGTGATAACAGATATGCAACCCTGTGGCAGCACTAACAAAAACTCGTGGTGGTAATCGCTGAGTATCTTAATAAAAAAATATTAATTTATCAATTTTAAGTAGTTAAGCGGATAGCAGCAGCAGTTCATCGGCAGCGGCAGTGAGAGATGCGTACAGGAAGTTTTTAGTCTCAGGGGACCATCAGAAGCCCGTCTTAGTTCATAAGAATTATTTTACATCAATTATAAATATCCCATTGATTTCTCACTTTTTGTATATATTATAATCTTAATTATTATATTATTTATTATATTATTTACTGTCTCATTATAGAGTTCCTTATAGATTACTTATACACTTAACTTAAGATAACTTAAGTTTTACAATTAAATCCTTATTATACACAAATAAATTTTAAAAATGACTATTCAAAAACAACCAGCTGTATTTTATGTTAATGCTGCTTTATTCGATTGTGATGGTACTTTAGTCAATTCAACTGGTGCCATCAGTGAATTTTGGAGACACTTTGGTAAAAACAGACCTCATGTTGATCCTGAAGAAATTATTAGAACATCTCATGGTGTTCGTACTTTTGATGTCATTGCTAAATGGTCTCCAGAAGATGCTGTTGAACCTCAAGTTACTAATTGGGAAGGTTCAATTCCAGATTCTTTTGGTCAATTTGCTAAACCAATTCCTGGATCTGTTGAATTAGTTAAATCATTTGATAAATATTCAAAAACTCAAACTGCTAATGGTAAGCAAAGATGGGCCATTGTTACTTCAGGTACTTTACCCTTAGCCACAAAATGGTTAAAGTTGTTAACTATTGAACAACCAGATGTTTTCATTACTGCTGAAAGAGTTACTAAAGGTAAGCCAAATCCTCAAGGTTATCAATTAGCCAGAGACACTTTAGGCTACAAGGATCCATCTAAGAAAGTTGTTGTTTTCGAAGATGCACCTGCTGGTATAACAGCCGGTAAGGGAGCTGGTGCTTTTATTGTTGGTATCTGTTCTACTTATGATCCAGAAAAAGTGAAAAATGCCGGTGCTGATATCGTTGTTGATGACTTATCATCTTTTGAAATAGAATCTTACAATCCTGAAACTGATGAATTTAAAGTCATTGTTAAGAAGTATCATTACGCTGATCCAAAGTTCTTAGAAGAAATCTAAGATCACTCTCATTTCTCTGTATATTAGTTTCCATATTAAATAATATTTACTACAAGTTTGATACCTGTTTAGGCTGGTTCTTTGAATTTTTTTTTGTTTTTTTTTTTGTTTTTAGATTAATGGTGTTCTATTTAATACATATTAGCGAGTACCTTTATTATTTACAATATCGTAGCTATTAAATGATATTTAATGGAATTTTGCGTCTTATAGTCAAATAGTTTTTGTCATAACTTATGTCGCGACACCAAAATAATTTGCGACAGAACGCTTGAAAAAATTATAGAGCGATGCCATAAAATTTTTCAATACAGGAACATATAAACTTCTATATAGAACATTAAGATTACCAAGTTCAGTTAGTATCCAACAGATCTGTGAACAATGGCTACCTCAGCATCATCACCCTTGGCATCTTCTTTAACCTCTGGATCGGTATCATTTTCTCGTCCGTCATTGAAAGATCATTATTCCATCACCATCCTCCCCAGAATAGCAGATTTAAATCTCTCTGATAGAGTTACTATTCCAAATTTAACTTCTACCCTCAATGATTCAAATATCCTAGATCTTGGTATCTCAAAGTCTATAATATCTAGTTACATTATCAAGCCAACTCCTAAATTAGTCTGGTCTTATGCTTTGAGTCCTTCCAGTATAATTGATTGCATGGATGTTTCTTCAGAATCTAATAACAATGATGAAGATTATTCCAACCAAAAATTTAAGTACTACATAATCGGAATAAGTGATCGTAGAACTCACAAAGTATTACTTGTACAAAGAAATCAAAATGATCAAAATGAAACTAAATCATTCGAATTAAAAGTCAGTCATAAAGTAATCGATATTAAATTTTTCAATAATGGAAAATCAATTATTGTGGTTTATGCTAATGGGTTAATTGAATCTTACAATTTACAAATAGAAGAAGAAGATATTTCTCTTATTAAAAAGGCGGAAGAATTAGCAACCTCCATAAAGAGAAAGTCAGAAATAATCTTCCATCAATTTATTGATGATATATCCATAAAAGATAAATCCGATTCTTCATTCATTTTATTAATTACTAAAACAAATGATAGTTTACAATATATTTTGGTATCATACTCATCCTCCCGAATTCTTGAAATTAATTCTGTAACAACAGCATTACCATCAAGTCTTCTTAAATTTGCATACGTTAATGGATATATTTATCAATTAAATCTTTCCAATTTCGACATTACATCAGTTAATATAATATCATTCAAACAAGAAAAGACGGTTTCCATAAATTCATTAATTCACTCATCTACTTCAGAAATTGCCTTTTATGCTCCTAGTGTTGATAGATTAATCATTTCAGTTAACAACAAAATTTATTTAATTAATTTCAAATTTGAAAGTTTATTAGATACTTTTGTATCCAAGTCTTCGTCATCTTCTGAAGCTAATCCAGACAGAGTTTACATTAATCAAGTCTTAAGAGTTAAGGGACAATCATTGAATACCGTTAACTCTACTGTGATTTACTCTTATCTCAAAAATAAAGATAAAAATGTCTATTTGAGTGTAATCAACTTAAATGTAGGTTTAAATAAGTTGAATGAATGTTTAGGTAAAAGCTTACATAATATCAGACAGCCAGATGCAGAATTCAGAGGAATGGTCAACTTGATCAGTGATAAATTTGATGCCGAATCTAAAGAATTATCAAAGGAATTATCAGAAGTCTATAGTCATTTGAAGCTTTACAGTAAGGAAAAGAATTTCTCATCTTGGGAAAGAATATTAATTCCATATATGAAGAATGAATCTTGGGAATCCATTAAGAAGTCCCTCAATAAGCCCCATAAAAAGAATGCCAAAGATCCATATGTTAGTAATGGAGCTGCCAATACCAACGGCAAAATTTACAATTTTAAAGAATTTGATGTTGAAAATGATAGAATCATTGATATAGATTTTATTAAGAAGATTCTTCTTTTAATTTTCAAATTCCATGATGATAATAAAGTTGAATATATTGATATTGAATTTGTTCCTGAGTATACCTTAATTTATTTGTTAACCAATCCATTGTTCCCACAAGAATTCACAAAGGGTATATTGCAATTATTCAGTGAATCTTTCCAATTGACCCTCTTGAGACAGTGTATTATTTCATGTCCTAATTTAACTGTATCGGAATTATTACAACAATTGGTAATGGGTAATAATAATGCTGATATCTTCCAAGATTTAATAAATCGCCTTATTGATGGATTTTCTACTGTTGAGATTACTAAGGAATTCAAACTTTTGGTCGAATCAAATATTAATGATGTAAAATTGGACCAGTTATTAAATCAATTATTACAGGTTGAAAAGAATCCAAAAATTTGGTATTTGATAGAGATCATTGTAGATGTTGGTGGGTTATTCAACTGGACAGAAGAGACTATTGAAAAATTACATGAATTAATCGAATTAAAGATTAAGGCACTTATGGCAAACAGTTATAATCTTACCTTGGTTAACCAAGTTCTTTTATCTCAACAACCTAAGCCAAAGAAGAAATCAGGTAAAAAGACTGTCACAGCAGCAAAGTCTGTTATTGGTGACATTATTTCTACTAGTGCTCAACAACAAGTACAATTAGATTCTATTTTAACTATTGCAAATGCTTCAAATAATAAGCATTTGGATAACCCAACGATTGAAATTTCTAAGAAAATTCCTAATTATTCTGTAGACAGATTGATCTTATAGATTGTATAATAGACATTAAATTAAAGTAAATATATAAATATTTATGTCGAGACTAATTCTGTCGCAAAAATTCTATGCGACATAAACTTAAATACTTCTACGAAAAATTGGAACAAAAAATTTAACCAACCTTTATTTTAATTAGTAGCTCATTGCATAGATTGATTTACATAACATGGCCACTCCTTTATCCTCGGCATCGGCCAAGTCGGCATACAGAAATGCTTTAAGAGCCACAAGAATTGCTTTCAGACAAGATATACCTATATTACAAGGTGCTAGGCTACAAATCAAGCAAGGATTTGAAAAGCATCGAAACTTAGATAGTTTAGATAAAATAGAAGAAGAGATAACTAAATTGAATGAAGTCAGTCAGTTTCTTATTAAAAATATAGTTCAAGGTGAGAAACAAAGTGATGGTAAATATTTCTTAAATTTCCATGAGAAGACTGAATTAGGTGATAATGAAACCATCAAACAAGGTGGTAAATCCAATTTAGGATCATTGGCTGGTGCTAAAGGTTCTAAGGTTAAGAAATGTTCTGATAAATAGTGCTCAAGGTATCAAGTAGCTGTTTCATGTAATAGTACCGGGGAATGAATTATCGCCTTATTTCTTATATATAGTAAATTTTCCTCAAACCTAGTAAAAAATACTTTGTAAATAATAATAATTTAACGCTTGATAGATGATTTAATAAATTGACTACCATCAGTAGGATACACTCTTCTGTAGCAGTGCATTATTGAATAATTCCGTATAATTATATGTAACGGTCTCAGAATTAAATAATACCGAAAAAAGTTTGATGTAAGAATTTAGAACTATACTTTTCCAATTATTTAATCTTCAAAGTTTTAATAATGGCGGCTCCAGACCCTAAGAAGAGAGACGTTCTAATATCGAAAGCATTGTCATATTTACTCCGACACGGGGCCATTAAAGAAAATCTTACAATTAGTGAGGACGGATATATTAAAATATCAGATCTTTTGAATCATAATCGATTGAAGAGTAATAAAACTACTTATGAAGATATTCAACGAATTGTGATTGGAAATGATAAACAAAGATTTACAATAAGTGAAGATGGGGAGTATATTTGTGCTAATCAAGGACATTCATTGAAGGTTATAAGCAATAATAATCTTACGTTATTCACCCAAGATAATATCCCGCATGAGATATATCATGGAACATACAGAAATAAGCTTGAAGCTATACTTATAAGCGGTGGGTTGTCTAAAATGAATCGTAATCACATACACTTTACTTCAACAGAGTTATCAAATATTTCAGGTATACGACAGAACGCCAATGTATTGATATATCTTGATGTAGAAGAATGTTTGAAAAATGGTATAAAATTTTATAGAAGTTTAAACGATGTTATACTCAGTGAAGGCAACGAAAATGGAATTATAAGTTCCAAATATTTTGCCAAAGTAGTAGATTTGAAACTGAATCAAGAAATTGATATTAGCCAATATTGACTCATTAGTTTCATTATCGGTTAGGTCGTTGCAAAAAGTTATGGGTCAATCTGAAATATGCGATAGAAGTAACAAAAATTTCTACATTACAGGTTTGAAAGAAAGTTGTTAATCTGTAATTCGATTATGTCTCGCCTAAGTTACGCTCGGCATAGATGAATGTACCTTTTCTTACTTAAGATTAGATAGGATTCCAGAGCGCATTTCAGTTAGCGGTCTAGAGTCTTTTTTTTAAAAAAAGTATTACGAGCTATTATTCGGTTATGAACGCTTATCGGAAAACTTGGATCTTAGAAGAACTATTTTGTCCAGATGGGATTGCGCATATTATATATTGTATATAGAAAAATCTCTTGCGTTTTCTTCACTTCCATTTATGAAGACGGGAATAAAAAAATGGATTTCTAGAATTGGGCAAATACATCCTATAATGCGCCTCTTGTATGGGACATCTGAATGTGGGGATACAGCTAAAACAAACTAAGATAAACTAATTTATTTAGATCGTGACCCCATCTAAGAAATATAAATATTGATATCAAACTGAGAATGAAAGGACCATAAATACTTGCGAGAAACTATACATAAAAGGTCTAGATTATTATGCAATCGGTTAGAAAAAAAGCGGAAATTTCGAATTGCCAAAAAAATAATTATATAAATATACCACCGACTTTTAAGGGCTAGCCCCGACTGGATTCTATGGTCTCGAGTCTGGACTCTAGATTTTAACACCGTTTTGGTTAGCTTAATTCTCCGAAAATTTGCTTGAGTTACAAGCCATAGTATTTCTATGTCATGCTTCTGAATTCTTTTGCTCTTTTGCTTAGTCTAGATTCTCTTATAATTGGTCATTGAAATTATTATTTATTTAAGGGTTCGCTAAGTATATGTGTATATGTTTCGAGACGAGTACTTTCTACATCAAATCTTATTATATAAAATAGTGTGATATAAATATCCTTTTTGTTCCTTTGTCCTTCTTACGATATACTTCTAAAATTATAGTTTATTCAAGATCTGGATTAGTGTATAATTTACGGGTTCTAGTACAAAAATAATAATATAAATGATAATGTCAGAACGAATAGGATATATTTCTACTTTACCCTCATCTGGGTCTTTAGATAATCAAGACTGTAACAAAATATGTCAATGGTGCTGTTGCAATTGCTACCAAAGCTATGGCTCAATATTATACACATCTGCTTTGCGGCCTCCAATATCTCCCTTATCTCCAACACACAGAGAAGTTCACAATCTTTTGTATTATAGCCAATTGGCATACGGAATACATGATATCACTGATATTCTGTCTGAGTATCACCAACACGATCATAAAGTTACTTCCGATAATAGTAACTTATGTGAAGCACCTCTGAGTTCCTCCCAGAATACTAATACACCGGAATATACGCATGAACTAGTGACTTCACAAAACTCCTTTTCTTCTAACAGAGATACCCCTAAAAGTATTTCAGCACTAAAATTGCACTTACAAGAATCTGCTGGCAGTAGTACAGAGCAATCCACTGTTTTACGCAACCCCAATATCATATTAAAAGAGCCAACTAGATTTAATTGCCATAGATGTAACCATATGATGTGTCCCTATTGTCCTAAAGTTCGAATTAGAGACTTGCAACGTTGAATTTCTCCATTTCCAGTATATATTTAATGAGTAAATGACAATAATGATAATTAACGACGGCGTGAGTTCATTATAATATTAAACATACCCAATTACCTATCCTTCTCTTCATTGTATTTTATTGAAACAACAATATTTTGGTGCAAAAGCTGCGAAAATTTGTAACGGCTTTTTTCTTCACCAGATATTAAGTTAGCTTCCTATTTATATGTATTAGACTCAATATAATTATATTATAATATTAACTCGTACGATAGAATAAAGAGAGCAAAATCGTTTGCTGGTAAAATTTGGATCATTTCTTTTACTTCTGTATTACATGTGAGAGGCAAAGCCGAATTATAACTCTATTGTTCTATCTATAATACACACTGCAAGCAGTGAGCAAATGCATTAAATGTACGTATTCTATTTCTTATTCAACGATTTACGTTTTAACCACTTATCTCTTGATTTCAAAATTTTAGATTCCGATTTGGGCACGTACTTGGTTTTTGAATCAAATGATTGTACTTTAACATGAACTGGTCCATTAACAATGGATGTCTTACTAGCTAATTTTAATCTTTTTAACTTATCTTTCATGGCCTGTTGACGTAATAGTTTTTCATCTATCTCTTCAAAATCTTGGGTTCTTAGATGCTTTGCAGTCGAAGTTGGAATATTTGTTTGTATGGTTTGTTCAATTAATTCTTCAGGCAAAAATTCGGGAAGAGATTCTAGTTGTTGTGATTTGGATTCTTTAAGTTTTTTCAATTCTTGTTGATGTTTGTTTTTCAAGTCTATCTCTCGTCTTCTTTCTCTTTCGGCACGCCTAATAGCTGCATCTTCTTCTTTTTGTTTCCTTCTCTTTTCTTCTAGTTGCTTTTCGGATACTTTAATTGATTCTTCTTCCGGAGCCTCATCATCGGAATCTTCATCTTCGTCATCTTCATCATCATCATCATCATCATCTTCATCTTCATCTTGGTCTATTTCTTCTATGTCTACATTGTCTTCTTCTGCTACATCATAAACACTTTCCTCTGCTGTATGGTAGTCATTGTTAATTGTTGAATTAGCATCATCATCCTGAAACTTTATTTTTGTGGGCTTCTTATCCGACTTAATTTGACTCCTAGTAACCGCCATTTTCAATGTGTCAACGTATTCTCTTGTAGTTACAATAATTCTTTTGATTCACAGATGGCATCTCTTTTTTTAATACAGGCATTTTTTTTTGCAAAACAAAAAAAAAAATATTTGGTCGTGCAAAGCGGCAAATATATTCACCATAAATAATTTTGCAATCAATTAGAAACTATTAAACTATTGACTCCAAATACTTTCCATTTCCTTTTATTTATATCATTTCGTATTTCTTTAACATACTTAAAATCTTTCAACATCTTTAATGTTTGTGAATTAATTTCCACTCCATCTATAACTAATTCATCTATACTGAGACGATCAAAATTGTCTCCTTTTGCAATTCTTTTTAGATTTGTAGAGGAAGCATCAAACAAATCAATTAATCCGATACCTTCAACCTTCACACAGAAACTAAGATCTAGAAGTTTAAGATTACTTTTTTTGAAGTTCATATCACGTAAATCCCTACTGAAGTCCTTCAATGTCAGATTATCAAGGTCTAACTCATTTAGATACAATCTCTCCAAGTTAGGAGCTACTCTAATTAGTTGTTTTAAAGATAATATTAAACCAGAACCCACGGGAAAAGTATCTGTCTTAAAATGAATATAACCAGCTGGGCCAATTACTATTGTATTCAATTGCCCATTCATGTTACACATTCTAAGAAGTTTTAGTAAACCCTTATTGGATAAAGAACTTCCATATAAATCAAGATGTTCCAATGACGATAATTGAGGCAAGTCAGTAATATCAAATTCATTCAAGCTAGTTGCAGAATTTAACTTTTCTTCTCGGAATATAAGTTTATTTAGTTTTAATTTAGGGTTATAATTTTTCAATAATTGCAAGAAATCTAGTAATTTGAAATTCACATTATTCTCCATGATCAATTTAGTTAAATTGGGAGAATTGGTTAAGAATTCTCCCAACATAGGAAGTGTATTATAAAACTCATAGGATGCTATAGATAATTCTTTTAAATTGGGAAAAGTTTTGTCTAGAAATATAGGATAAGGATTAAACGTATTATTACCTGCAGCAACACGAGAATTTGAACGTAACAATTGAGGATGATTCACTAGTGCTAATGTTTCTAGGAAAACAAGACTAGAAGTGGAAACCAAAGATATCTCTATAAGTTTCTGATATCTTTTATCAGTAACAGGTAGTAAATCATTACTTGAGCCGCTTAGTTCCGGAACCGTAACTATCATCAGCAAATGTTTCAATTTTGGAAACAATTGAATTAATAGATTCTCATTTCTGATGGATCCCACAATTCCAAGCCTTAATTCTTGAAGGTTATTCAAGTTATTTAGTTTCCAACTAAACTTACTTAGCCTACTCAAAATAAGTTGAAATGATAGGTTGTTATCAAATATTTCTAAATTTTGAATACTGAAGTTAGGTTCCTGGATAATTAAATCTATGACTTTACTGAGATGTGCGCTATTGACTGTTGATCTAACTCTTAAAACTTTAACCTGCTTTGAATATGATTTATGAACTATTTTCTTAATTAACTTTATACCTGATGAAAATTCTGAATTAGTTATTTTTGGTTTTAGGATAAACTTATTATTGTATAGAGCAGGAATATTTGTTAATACATTATACCATAATTTGCAAACTTTATGACATTTCAATAATGAATTTAAAGGGAATTGACTGAAAATTAATTCTATTAAGTCTTGCGATAAATATAAGAATGGATCTACCCCTGACTTCTGTATACGTTTAGTTCTTCCACTCACAGAATCTTCCAGAGATCGCTTTAAAGGAAGCAATTGATTCAACTTACGATCTAACGACTTCTGAGAAGCCCTATTTTGTGATGAATTGTTTTCATCTGAAGATGAGCGATCTCTTTGGCTTGCTGTACGAAGTTTTTGATTTAAGTCTTTATACTGGCTCTTTAATTGCAATAATAACTTTTCAGGAACAATAATGTTATGTTGCTTAATAGATCGATCTATAATATAAATTCCTTCCTGATACAGCTTATATGCGTCAATATCTCTACCCATCCTTCGTAAGATCTTTCCAATTCGTAAATAACCCTTACAACTGATGGGATCAATTCTGGTGATTTGTTGTGCATCTAACAAAGCTTTTGATAATGAATTCAATTTCTCATGTGTAGCAGCTCTTTGGTCAAGAACTGAAACCAATGATGGATGAACACATACACCTATCACAGGAACTTCTACTATACCTTTTTCTTTACGGGCCTTCTTTATTGTTGAAATAGATAAGTTAGTCAAAAGTTTAACCAACACATCATACAATTTTAGAGCCTTATTATACTCTGCTGTTTTGAAATACAATATTGCCAACTCTAGCTTCTCATTCAATAACTCTAAAGACATTTCATCATATTGCTCGGCGTTCGTTACCCTGAATGTATTGAACGATGGTTGCAATCATGTAAACATTTACATCAAAAATATCGGTCGCGTCTCGCTAAAAACCGAAGGTACTGCAAATAATAATTATGTTACCCCATTAGGATATCTGAACAGGAATATCATTAATCATTCCTGCTAAGAGAGGTAATCACATAATTATTTAACATTATTATCAATTAAATAAGTTTTAGATCATATAATTAAAAGTTGATATCATGATATCAGGAGCATTGATACTAGAAATATTAGTATTATCCATTCTGATGGGGGTAATTACTTTTATAGGGGGTATATTACCTGTAAGATTATCTATTTCAAGTAATAGGATAAGAGAATTTTCTCAATTAAGTACAGGGATTTTAGTTGGTACATTACTTGTATTGGTAATACCTGAAGGTGTTCAAACATTAATTAGTGAAGAAGGTATATCTCCAATAAATATAAACTATATCGGATTTTCACTTTTGCTTGGCTATGTTACAATGTATTTAATAGATAATTATGCAATTTTAACAGCCGATATAAAGCTTCCATTTAAGATAAAATCACAACCATTTTCAGGACGATCCAATGAAAGAATTGAATCAGTATTTCATTCCACCGTAACTTTAGGATTAATTATTCATTCAGTAGTTGATGGAATTGCTCTTGGAACATCATATTTAAAGGAAGATTTACTATTGGAATTTGTTTTCTATTTAGTAATTGTTCTTCATAAGCTTCCTACAGCTTTTAGTTTAACTTCAATATTAATTAAAGAAGGTTATAATAAGAAGGATATTCAATTCCATCTATTATTATTTTCATTATCTACCCCAGTATCATCTATATTAATGTACCTTTTCTCGATATTAACTGGATTAAATAATCAATTCATGCTTGGGGTATTCTTCTTATATTCAGCAGGAACATTTTTATATGTTGTTAATCATGTTATGCTGGAATTACATAATTTTCATCATGGACCAGAATTAGTATCAATTCCTCCATTATCTGCTGATACAAGTGAATCTACTTATCTGGACAATTTAGTAAAGAGAGATATACTTATATATTTCTTAGGATTATCTTTACCAACGATTTTAGCATTACTAGGTATTGACTAAGGATCTACATTTATATATATATATATATATATTAAGGATTTCATGCATTATAATAAATAATAAAGTTATGACTAATTATACGTTAGTATCTTCGTTTATATCATACTCTTCTTCATCAACTTCGTAATCGACTTCATCACCACCCTCATCTTCAATCTCTCCTGCAAGTGGACTAAGTTCATAATAATCTCTTACTTCATTATCATATTCATCATCATCTACTGGATTACTTGCTTCATCATCTCCGAGAAATTCTTCTTCACCATAGTCATCAACATTACTAGTACCGTTACCATTACTATTACCATTAGTATCCAATCTGAATGCAGCAGAATCATCATCACTATGAAGAATTTCATGATCAAAGCTTGCTTCATCGAATCGAGTCACCTTTTTCTCTAAATCTTTTAGCCGGACTGGCATTGGTGCTTGATCCTGATTGATAAAATTCCTCAAATCATTAATTGAGTTATTACCCGATCTAGATAAATCTGTTCCTTTTAATCTATTAAGTCCTATGTACGAATTAGGTTTAGGGGTTGAAGCTGAAACTTTTGGTAAATTAGCCTTCTCCTTTTCCTTTCGATCGGTTTTATTCACTGGACCCCATTCTCGTTCCGGGGATTTATCGACATATGGATTTGTATCTGCACAAGGAACTCTTTCCGATTGATATTTAATCTTTTCAGTTTCGATATCGTGAGAAAATGATAAACTTGAAAGATCATTACTCAGGGAAATCTTTCGAGTTCTGAAATTGGTTGAACTCCTTGCCTTTCTAATTTTCTTTCTATCTTCGTATTCTTTATTAGAATTATTAGAGTCTATAATAGAATTAGGTAATGTTACATTGATATTAGGTATGGAATGTTTATGTTCATCAGCTTCTGAATCATTAATTAAAGTTGATTCTGCAGATACATTTCTATTGAAAAAGTCATATGATAAAGATGCTAATGAAGTGGTTGATTTCCTTTGAGGGAATCTTGATGAATTTTCTTGAGGTGTACTAATTGAATTACTTTTCTTCTTATTCACCATCTTTCTTATTGGAACATTTGCAGAATTATGTCTTCTTATTTCAGTAGGAAATTTGATATTTGCTTTTGGCTTTTCAGGTGTATTGGGGGTTGAAGTTGAAAATGATTTATCAGTAATCATTACGGGAGAACTTACTAATCCAATAGTTGATTTTCCTCTTTTAACTGATTTTCTATCTGGATTATGGGATCCATTAATATCATGTGAATCATGGGGCTTTTCATAAGTAATTCTATTATTGGCAGAAGTTATAATTCTTCCTCTAAGTAATCCTATACAATTATCAAGAGTGAATTCAACTCCACAATGATTATGAATTACTGTTATTTTAGGCCACGAAGCCTTTGCCCCTCTTAGTATAAAGTCTAACATAAATTCTGGAGTTGGATCATCGAATAATTTTAAGAAATCTTGAGATTTAAAATCCGGTAAAATCGTTATATCTCCAGAATAACTTTGAGTTAAAACTGATATAAGTTTAGTTGCTAAATTCTTACAAATATCCATTTCATTAAGCATTTGTAAATAATGAATTACTTCACAAGATAAAAAATCATAAGTGTTACTGACTGCAGTCTTAAGTTTATTACTTAATTCATTTTCAATATCACCACCAACTTTGGTAACAGCAGCTTTTAATATGGGGACTACATGAGGATTAACTTGTACTGCTATGATATGATCTACATTAAACATCTCCAGTAATCTTGTAATAGGTAAATCATTATCAACTGATCCATCAACATATTTGGCTGATGTATCACTATTCCATTCACGAATTTCTCCTGTTCTAGGATTCTTTTCATAAATTGAAGTAGAAGGAAATACTCCTGGTAATGAACAACTTGCACAAACGGCCGACCATATTAAACAATGAGGAGCTGTAAGATAATTTAATAATCTTGTCAGTTCATGAATTGATGTTGGAGATACAGTTATATTCAAGATTTTTCCTGATCTATTATATGCTTCTCTAAATGTTAAATCTCCTAAGAATCCAAGCATTGTTTGTTTTAAATCAGTTATATCAAAAAAAGTTCCATACTTTATAAAATGACTTAAATTTCCAAGAACTTTTCTAAATTGACTTTGATTAGGATCATTACCATCTGATCCAAATATTTTAAATTCTCTATCAGCAATTGTACTTAAAATTTCAATTATTTCTTCATTTGAATGACAACATAAAATACTTGCCATAATGGATCCTGCTGAAGAACCACTAATAATTCTAGGTAAAAGATTACATTCAAATAATGTAGCTAAAACTCCAATATGAAATATTCCAAATGTACTACCACCAGAAAGAACTAAAGCTGTTCTTCCAATATTTTTTCTTGTTTGAATTAACATTCCTAATAAATATCTATCATCTAAATTAACATCTGGATCATTAAGTAAATAATTTAATGAAGTTTTACATTCTTCAATATATTCTTCAATAATTTTCTTGGTACCAGTAAATGAATGTCTATATAAATTAACATCTCCCATATTTCCAAGATTTCTTATCCATTTAGTTCGAATATAATATAATAAAAGTTTATAATCTTTATTTAATCTTGCATTTTTCATTTCATTAAGATTATTATAGATAAGATTATAATCATATAAATCAGATTGAGGATTTGATTTCCATGAATTATTATTCATTAATTCATCTAATTGTAACGATATTTCATACCATTTTTTATAATTACTTGCTCGTTTTTGTTCTTGTAATAATTTATTAATGGCGAATTTTTTCTCATCAATATTAGGTAATAAATAACTCATTAATGGTAATGATCGTAATGATGGTAGTTGTAATTTAGCTATAATACCATCATTATTATCATTATCATTACCGGTTAATTCCGCATACCTATAAAACAACGCTTCAATAATATCGTCTACTCCTATTGAATTCACAGATACACCAGATGTAGGTGAAACTATGAGACTCATAGTGTACTATTACTATTAGTTGAAGGTTATAGTGTTAGTGTTACGAGTACTGGTAATGGCTGGTACTTCTCAAAACAAAGCTGGGGTAAATTTCGCCTGTGATGTTTTGCAGTATTTAGTGAGAGACCGAGCGACATTTATTCTACTGTATATTATAAAGACATCGCGCGACATTTATTTTTGCGACTGGAAAATTATAGAGAAGAGGTATAATTATTTAATATGATCTTCGCTTAAATTGTTCTTATAACCGCCCAATGTTAAGGAAATAACAAGTCCTAATTGGTTGACTTAAGATAGAATTATATACATTTTGTTGTCTTTTGGGTCAAAATTAAAGAGTCCAGGCTCTTGTTTAAAAATTCGGAATATTAGAGTCTACCAAAGTAAAGTCGGTTACCATATTTCACCATTAAATAAGGATAATAATTCTGATACTAATCGAAAGTTAAGAACATTTCTTTCAGAAATTGAAAGGAAGAAACATTTTAAACAGTTTGAACAATCTAGTAGATCACAAAGTAGTGGAATGTTTACTGTTTCAACAGTAACTCATATTACTGCTGATACAAATCATCCTTTAATATCTTTAACAACTCGAGATGGTGAACGATATTTATTTGGGAAAGTTCCTGAAGGTACTCAAAGAGCTTTGGTTGAAAATAAATTTAAATTAGTTAAACTTAAATCAATGTTTATTACTGGTACTATATCTTCATGGTCAGAAATTGGAGGATTACCAGGTTTATTTTTAACTTTAAGTGATTCCACAAAGAAAGGTATAGATATAATAACTGGTTCATCATTATTATTATCATATGTAGTAAGTTCATGGAGAAACTTTGTATTTCGTAAAGGTTGTGAGATTAAAATTGATGAAGCTGAATCTAATAAGATAATAGGTGATGATAATTTAGCTATTAAACCAATTAAAATACGACCTTCAGTAATTACTCCTACAAATTCTCAAGAAAATATTTATAAAAGACAGTTAAAGAAGTTAGCATCTTTAATGTTTCCTCGTGATACTTCTGCAATAAATGATAGTGATCCTGATTCCTATAAAGTTGACCCAACTGAATCAGATATTCATTATCGAGTTGAATTACCATTTATTAATCTGTCTAATCAAGAGGCTGTATCTTATTTGATTCGATTCCTTCCAATGAGAGGTAAATTTGATCCTCAAAAGGCTAAAGCTTTGGGTCTTACTCCTGGTGCAGATTTTCGTAAATTGAGTAATGGTATTGCTGTACATAATTCAGAAGGAATATTAGTAACTCCAGAACAAGTCCTTGATCCTTCAAATCACTTCGCTAAAATGTTAGTATTAGATATCCCAAATAATTCATATTTACAAAATACCATCACAAGTTCAGATTGGTTCTTAAAGGATGATAATGTAGGACATGAAGATATTGGGATTGTTTATCATTTCCTTGGAGAAGATATAGATTTAGATAATTATCACTTTATGGATAAATTTCCTCCAGAAACAAAACATATCATTTGTCATCCCAAATTATCATCCAATACTTTAGTATTTAGGAGATCAGCTATAAATACTATGAAATTAAAAACAGTTCTTCCTAATAATTTCAATTTACCTCATTTTGAAAAAAAAGGTTCAATTGAATTAGAGAATACCAACACCTTTAAACTTCATTCTCTTCAAAAGTTTATAATTACTGCAACTGGTATCAGTACAGATTTTGAAGATATACAGAATAATACATGGCCATCGCTTTACGAAGAAGAAATTGTTCCATTAAATCTTCCTGTACCAAGAGATGTGGTTATTAATGAACAACCAGCCCCCTTGAATTATGAATCTGGTTCATTAAAGGATAATATTCATATTACAAGTCTTGGGACCGGATCTGCAATTCCATCATTATATCGTAATGTAATTTCAACTTTAATAAGAATACCATATAAGAAGTCTAATGGAATTGAATATAAATCTATCCTTTTAGATGGTGGTGAAAATACTTTAGGTACTATGATGAGAAATTTTGGTCATAATGATAATGCACAATTAACTCAGATAATTAAAGAATTAGAATTCATATTTCTAAGTCATTTACATGCAGATCATCATTTAGGATTGGTATCTGTTATAAATAAATGGTTTGATATAAATAAAGATAATTCTAAACGCCTTTATTTGATTGTGCCATGGAAATATGATCATTTCATTAAAGAATGGTATCAATATGAGGCCCAGCTTAATCCAAATGCTGACCTTAAACGAATTTCGTACCTCAGTTGCGAAGAGTTTTTGCGTGATAAACAAAGAGAGTATAAGCAACTTGATATAGCTGAGTTTGAAAAGCTCTTCGATAGGAATAATATTCTGATTCCTGCTGAGCGTGCACCATTAGAACCATCGAATGTTAAGCTTATTAAAGAATTTTTCGAAGACTTGGGAATTAAGAAACTTGAAACTACAAGAGCAATACATTGTTCATGGGCTTATTCTATAAGTATTACATTCTCTCTTGATGATGGAGATTTATTTAAAGTATCATATTCTGGAGATACTAGACCTAATCCTAGATTTGTATCAATTGGTTCAGAAAGTGATCTCTTAATTCATGAATCTACCTTAGATAATGAATTAATTGAAGAAGCTCTTGCTAAGAAACATTCAACTATGATTGAAGCAGTTAATGTAGCTAGATATATGAATTGTCCAAAACTTCTTTTAACACATTTCAGTTCAAGATATTCTAATAAAGCTAATTTGATTACAAGTAGTGCTGAATTGATTGAATTATCAAATAGTTTGAATAATTACTTGAAAGAATATGGGGTAACACCAAATATATTTTCATTAGAAAATTCATTCATTAAAAGGAGATCATTTGATGATTTACAAATTTGTTATGCGTTTGATTTCATGAATATTCGTTATGGAGATTTCAATGTTCAGCAGACAGTACAACAAACTATTTATGATTTGTTTAAAGATGGTGAGTTAACTGAAGAAAAGATTGAGAAGGAGAATCTGAAGAGATTAGAAAAAAGAGAAGCAAGACGTTTAGAGAGATTAACCGCAAAAGAGTTTAAAAAAAAGCGTAGAGTTAGTAGTGATGAAGATGCCGTATCTAGTTAAAAGTAAAAAAAGTATTCATGTACATAGTGTATATATAATATAGTTGAAAAATACAAAGACGCGATATATCATTTTCTTATCAAGTAAGAGGGTGAGGGTATGGGCAGTAAGAGACAGCACCCATTACCATTTCTACAGAGTTGGTTGCAGAGTACTGTTGAGACATTGATCAGAAAAGATTATACTTATTCTCATAATATTGTAGCGAAGAACTTTATACAGTCTTCCTCTGCTGTGAAGTTAACTCCTATCTTGAGAATTTCTAGTTTTATTAAAACAACAAAGGATAATAGTATTACAGCAGTATTGACTGATTCTACTCATAAGATCTTAGTAAAATTCCCATTTAAGTCAGCTATAATTAATTTTGAAAATACATATAAACGTCGTATAACTCAAGATACTGTACATACTTTAGTAGTTATTAAAGATGCCAATTTAATTTTTCAAAATAGACAACAATTAAAAGAACAATTTGATGTACTTTATCCTAATGAATTAGATATTATAGTATTAGAGATTTTAGATTTAACTTTATTTCAACAAGAACAAATTAAATTCACATCTGTAGATAATTCATTACATTTTATATATGATGAACGATGGTATGCTAGACTATGTATACGACCGAAAATTGGTCAGAAATATATTTCAACAGATCCTGATGAATATGAAGGTATGATCTCACACGATGAAGATCTGGAATGAATACTAATAGAGACTAATATACTTACATATTAAATAATAATAATAATGTACAAAGAATTAATTAATGCAAAGTCTATTTACAAGATTACATGGTACATACCTACTTTTCTCTTCTGTCCCTAACCTTCATCTTATTAACATGCTTATGAGTTCTAGTCTTTTGGAACTTCTTAAGACCCCACATAGATTGAGAAACTTTATTAGATTTAGATTTACCTCTACCACCACCATGAGGGTGATCATGGGCATTCATAGCTACACCTCTGACTTGAGGTCTAAAACCTCTATGACGACTTCTACCTGCTTTACCCCAAGAAATAGTTTGATGTTCTTTATTTGAAACTACTCCTAAAGTAGCACAACATCTAAGATCAATATAACGATGTTCACCAGAATTTAATTTAACAATGGCCCTATTCTTCTCTGGATGTTTAGATAATAATCTTGCTGAAGTACCGGCAGATCTTACAAGTTGACCTTTTCCTTTAGGATGTAAACCGATATTATGAATGATTGAACCAACAGGTATCATACTTAAAGGTAAACAATTACCTCTACGAATAGTTCTACTAGATAATAAAGCTTCATCTATATCTCCATTATTTGTCTTTTTCATTTCTTCAATGAAATCTTTTGGAATACCAGAACGGAATGATTCAACTGAATCTCCTTCTCTTAAACCCATAGACGCCAATATATAAGATAAATCACCAGATTCTTCATGCTTTAATAAAGCAATATGACCTGATCTATTTGGATCATATTCGATTCTTAAGACAGTTTGTTTACCAGGTCTAAGTCTATAATTATCTACTAATCTTATTCTTCTTTTATGTGCACCACCTCTACCTCTTATTGTAATTTTACCGGTATTATTTCTACCAGCAGTTTGTTTCTTTGGAACTGTTAATTCTTTAATTGGTTTACCTTTAAATAAATGAGTATGTACAGGTTTTCTAAAATTAGTAGAACCAGGGAAAAGATGACCTCTATCATAACTCTTAATAACAGTTGGAGTTTTAGATAAAAGTAATTGTCTTTTATAAATGGCGTCTTGTTCTTCTAATTCAGTTAATCCTTCGAACACATTACGATTCTTTTTGGATTTGGTAGTTGATGTTGAATTCCAACGAATTAAATTGGGAAGTTCGGTAAAGATTTTTACCTGATTGACCAAGTACCTTCCCCCTCTATACGGTAACATGATACACTATTTACAAGGCAATGTATAATCAAGTTTATATAGATTTTACTTGTATTTAGAACTAGAGGTTGGAGTTGAAAAATTTCAACTCTTTTTTTTTCACTTTTTGATCGAGGTGCACTCCCATAGTTAAATCATAACAGATTTTTTTTATTTGTCTGACCAATGAAAATTGGCTGTACACCAAAGTGAGAAAACCCGAACCTCACAGTGGGAAAAAAAATTCATCCAAATATGAAAACTAAGTGGTTGTTAGAGAGAGAGTATTGTATTTCTTTCATATTCAATCGATTAATTAATTAATTAATATATATACATGATGGCTTCTCGTGCTTTCACCCGTTCCTTGGCTACTGCCAGTAAGAGTGTTAAACCTCCAATTCAATTGTTTGGACTTGATGGTACTTATGCTAATGCTTTATATTCAGCATCAGTTCAAGATTCATCAGTTGATACTTCATATCAAGCTTTATCAAAGATTCAAAATTTAATTGAAACTGATCCAAAAGTTAAGGAATATTTAACTAATCCTGCTTTAAATAAACAAGATAGAGCCACTGTTATTTCAACTATTAGTTCAAGTTTAAAATTAGATAAAACTACTACCAACTTTTTAAATGTTTTATCTCAAAACAATAGATTAGGTAACTTAAAATCAATTTATGAAAAATTCTCATTATTAAATGATGCTCATAATGGTATTATTGAAGCTAAAGTTACTTCTGCTAAACCATTAGATTCAAAGATTTTAAAGAGATTACAAACTGCCATTTCTAAATCTGAATTTGTTGGTCAAGGTAAAACTTTAAAATTAACTAACCCAGTTAATCCAGAAATCTTAGGTGGTTTAGTAGTCGAAGTTGGTGATAAAACTGTTGATTTATCTATACAAGCTAAGGTTGCTAAATTAAACCAATCTTTAAAGGAAGCCTTATAAGTTGATTGATTCCAGATTTAATGACATCTAAAGAAATATTAATTAAAGTACATGAAGCCTATCGTATCCATCAACCATGCATATCACTAAAAGGTTATCAATTGATTTCAAGTGATTTCAATTGATTCTTTTACAAACAATCATCATTAAATTAATGAAACTACATAATTACCCATATTTATATATATTTTTGTATGGTAATTAATTGGTCTTATTCTATTTATAATAGTCCCACCCCTCCCATTCTTTTCTTCTAAAAACCCTTTTACACTATCTTATAAATCGAAAAATATACGTTAGAATCAAATATCAAAATTACAGTAAATCAATAAACAATTATTAAATACGAAATAGTAAAATATGTCGTATCTCTTCGTCTCTTCTTCTCTTTCGTCACTTTGTCGGGTGCGATTTGATACGGAGAAAAACCAACATTACCTTCTATTTATAAATGCCTTGACAGATTGATAAACATATCAATAAAGTAAAGTGATTGATATAAGTAAATGTCTTCTTATCTGTCCAACATTAGAAGTGCAGCCGCATTGGCTACGCTCGTAACTATTTTGTTGAACTTATTCGTTTATTATTATCCTGATATTTTAAATTCAACTGATAAGTGTAATTGGCATAAATTCAATGATAATGAAGTTAATGAAAGTTCAAGATCTCCTCGATTATTAAGTCAACATGAAATTATCAATTGGTTACCAGAATTTGTTAGTGATAAGATTCTTTTAAATCTTCCTCATTTACAAGATTTAACTGATCAAACATCTAAATCTCCCTTTGATGAATCAAATCATGTTAAAGATCTTCATTTCTTATTATTTGGAGATCCACAAATTAATGGTAATTGGAAACTGACACCTTATATTAAAAGATTAGATAATTATGGAAATGATTATTATTTAGGTCATATTTATAGTGTTATGCAATCAAGATTAAATCCAAGTCATGTTGCAGTAATGGGAGATTTATTCTCATCTCAATGGATCCATGATTCTGAATTTTATAATAGAACAAACAGATTTGTTGAAAGATTATTTCCAAGACCATTAGAATATAAAAAAAATGTGGTTGAAACTTATGAAAAACATGAAGATTATGATTGGAGAGCTTGGTTAGATCAAGAAGTTAATATGGATCCAGTTGATAGATTTAAATCTCGAGTTTATAATGATGTTTATGATTGGTTTAATCATTCAGCAAAATATCCTAATTTTTATAATCCATTATTTATAAATTTAACTGGTAATCATGATATAGGTTATAGTGGTGATGCTACATGGCAACATATGGCAAGATTTCATCATTTATTTGGTCAAAATAATTATGTTATTAATTATAATAAAGGTACACCAGAAGAATGGAGAATTGTTATATTAGATTCTTTAACTTTAGAAGGTCCAGCTTTACAAGAAGAATTTCTTAATTATACTTGGTCATTCTTAAATAATTTAAATGATATTGAAAATCCAACATTTAAAGGTTCAACAATTTTAATGACTCATATACCATTTTATAAGAAAGAAGGATTATGTAGAGATGGTCCAGAACATAAATATTATGTTGATAATGAAAGAGAACCTTATAAAAATGGTAAATTAAGATCTCAAAATCATTTGGCTTATGATGTTAGTCAAAAGATATTAAATATTGTATTTCCAAATACTGATAAAGAAGGTATTATATTAACTGGTCATGATCATGAAGGTTGTGATGATTATTATAATTTAATTAATGGAGAATGGATAGCATCAAAAGAAAAAATTAATAAAGAAAGAGAATCAATTAGAGAAATTGTAGTTAGATCAATGATGGGAGATTTTAATGGTCAAACTGGTATTTTAACAGGACACTTTGATTATGCATCTAAATTCTGGAAATTTGAATTCTCTTATTGTTCATTTACTGTTCAACATTGGTGGTGGGCAAGTAAAATTAGTTTATTAATTTCTATTCTTTTACATTCTTTATATTGGATAAGCATATTTTAATTGTATATTGTACATAGGAAAATCAAACAAAATTATCACATAGAATAAAAAAAAATTAAAGAGTTTAGTCCTTGGTTATAAATAAAATTAAGCAGTTCCATTAATTGGCTGCTCAACTTTAGGTTCTGTAGCTTTTGATTCCGTAACTTTTGGTTCATCCTTTGGTTCCTTTTCTGGTTCCTCGACTTTTGATTCTTCCACTTTTGGTTCTTCAACTTTTGGTTCTTCATTAGTTTCTTCTTTTGGTTCTCCCTTATCTTCAGCAATGAACTGTTCAATGTCAGCTTTTGCACCATCGATACTGGCTTCTGGAGAAATTTGAATCTTTTTAACTTTTAAAATTCCATCAACAAAAATCCAATGAGATCTTTTAATTCCAGTTGGATATTTCTTTGCACCCAATGATCCAATTAACTCTCTTGAAGGATCAGATAATAAAGAATATTCCAACTTTTGTTTAGTAACAAAGTTCTTTTGAGATTTTGGTAAATCAGCACTTAAACCAAATACTGTAACATTATTACTCTTTAAGAATTGATAATTTCTTTGAAATCCACAAGCTTGTCTAGTACAACCAGGAGTTGAAGCCTTTGGATAAGCAAATATGACCACATATTTGGTTTTATTGGCAGCTTCAACTAAACTAACTTCATTATTATCTTCATCAAATAATGTAACATCAGGAATCTTATCACCTACTTCTAATTCGTTTGAAGTAGCACTTGGTTTTGCTGAAGAATTATTGATTTTACTCTTTTTCTTAGGTTGAACAATTTCTTCAAATGGCGGAGGAGGAACGCTTGGTTTAGCAGCTACTCTGGCAGAACGACGTAATTCAGGCATGTCAGCAATTTTTGTTACTTAATCTAATTGATATAAATCCTATAATTAGGATAGTTATAGAATAGAAAAATTTACTGAATGACCAATTGAATTTAGTTAGCTTAACATTTTAATTGGTGGTTAAATGAGTTTAGCGACTTTAGACTGCTCTGCCCACAGGCGACCCCCCAAAAATTATAGGCGGCCGGAAACCCACAGTTTTTCGCATTTTTGTTAATCTCCTGAGATTAGTGGGGAATCAGAAATAGGGACGAATAAGTCCAGACTGAGAATGAAAACCTAGTGAATGCGACAGGAAACGTGAGTAGGAGCGTGAGTAGGAGCGTGAATAAATAGAGCGTGAATCGGAACGTGAACCAAATGTAGACAAATCGGATTTAAGTAAAACTTGAAAGCAACTCTATGTAGGACTTTGTTTAACACCATTTTTACTAATCTATTACTTTTTATTACCAAATGTTGTTTTAAGTATAATGTTACTATAGTATTGATTATCGCCGCTAGTAGAATATATAATATCAGAGAATAAAATAGAACTGAATCTCTTGGTAGATTCACACTCTCCCTAACATCATGTGATTGAAAGTAGTGTATAACAATTGCAATAGAACATATTTTACTAAGTTCATAGAAATGGCTACGTCAAATGATGATTTAACTTAAAGATATATTCCCTGATTAAATTGATGTTCTCGAACATAATGATTCAGGTTTCACTACTCTACATTAGTTTCTCTACAAATTTCGTTAAAAATGTTCAAAACTAATTCATAATATTTCGTTAATTAAGTTGAAAATGTATCATAGAAGTCTCTATAGGCCCCCAATACCTGCAAGTATTTTCTCTATAGATTAGTAATTACAGAATAGTGCTTAAGTCCTGTCTTTATTATATTCATGTATTTTGCAACTTTGCTATAATATGGCACAAAATATTGAATTAAATTCATAAACGCACGTGCTGAATGTCACACGGACAGTCACGCGGAAATCTCGAATATAAAATTTTTTTGTGTCTGTTGATTACGATTACTTAACCTATAACTATCATAGCCAATCATCAAAAGGTCAAGTATCAATAGGCAATCAATCAAAACATTACGATGCCATCGGAAGAAGGGAAGCAGGACTCCTCGGCTTCACCTCTGGCAACAACTCCCATTAAGATTACTGATCAGGAGGATCAATCTGATGAGCCAAAGTTTACAGAGGAAGAAATAGTTATTGGATGTAAAGTTTATGTTACAAAAGATAATGAATTACGATTAGCAGAAATATTACAACAACATATGAAAAAGGGTAAACGAGTTTATTATGTTCATTATCAAGAATTTAATAAACGTTTGGATGAATGGATAAGTACTGATAGAATTAATTATAATCGAGCATTAATATTTCCTGAAGTTAAAACAGATAAGAAAGATGATAAGAAAGATAATAAACTGAAGAAGAAATCATCTAAACAAAAATCAAAGAATGATAAACTGACACCTATGCTGCAACAAAAATCTGAAACTGGAACTCCACAACCTGGAGATAGTGAAAATGCTGAAACTCCAGGAGGTGAAGATGAAATGGATTTAGATAATTTAAATGTTCAAGGTTTAAAAAGACCAGGTGAAGAAGTAAATAGAGAAGATGAAATTAAAAAATTAAGAACAAGTGGTTCTATGATTCAAAACCATTCTGAAGTTTCAAAAGTTCGTAATTTATCATGTATAATTCTTGGTGAACATATAATAGAACCATGGTATTTTTCATCATATCCTATTGAATTAACTGAAGAAGATGAAATATATATTTGTGACTTTACATTATCATACTTTGGATCTAAAAAGCAATTTGAAAGATTTAGATCAAAATGTTCAATGAAACATCCTCCAGGTAATGAAATTTATAGAGATTCAAAAGTAAGCTTTTGGGAAATTGATGGTAGGAAACAAAGAACTTGGTGTCGTAATTTATGTTTACTTTCTAAATTATTTTTAGATCATAAAACTTTATATTATGATGTGGATCCATTTTTATTTTATGTAATGACTATTAAATCTGATCAAGGTCATCATGTTGTTGGATATTTTTCAAAAGAAAAGGAAAGTGGGGATGGTTATAATGTTGCATGTATTCTTACTCTACCTTGTTATCAAAAAATGGGATTTGGTAAATTATTAATTCAATTTTCTTATATGTTATCTAATGTTGAAAATAAAGTTGGATCTCCTGAAAAGCCATTATCAGATTTAGGATTATTATCTTATAGAGCCTTTTGGACAGATACTTTAGTAAAACTTTTAGTTGAAAGAAATAATCCTACATTATATAGGAAGAATAATCCATTACCTGATGAAGATACAAGTCCTCCACCTACATCTAATTCAAGTGAAATTACTATTGAAGAAATTTCTGCTTTAACTTGTATGACAACTACTGATATTTTACATACATTAACAACTTTACAAATATTAAGATACTATAAAGGTCAACATATTATAGTAATTACAGATCAAATCATGGCCATATATGAAAAATTAGTTAAGAAAGTTAAAGAAAAGAAAAAACATGAATTAGATCCAAGAAAACTTAAGTGGACTCCACCACTGTTTACTGCTAATCAATTACGTTTTGGTTGGTAATGAAGTCACGTCGTCATAAACATTATGTATTTTTTAAATGTATATTAGTTTTATATTGAAGATTCACCCCAAATCTTTATACTCTTATCACCTTCACAAGTAATTAATCTTAATCCCAGCATATCAAAAGTTGAACTATATATTGTTGATTCTGTATATCCAGTTACTGGAGTAGTAGAAGTAGATTGAGTTAAAGTTCCTTGTTGATAATCATAAAATTCTACTTTCCCATCATCATATCCTGCAAATAATATATTAGAAGCAGGATTAATACTTAAAGTATTAATTATCTTTCCTGATTCTGATTTACCAAATTCATTCAATAAATGACCTTCAGGTAAAAGCCATTGCTTTAAATTACCAGTAGTATCTCCTGAACACATTGTCATTTCATGAGGATGAACAATCATCAGTCGTATACTCTTCGAATGTTGAGTTATTGTTAAAGCAGTTGATTGTTTTCTAAGATCCCATAATCGTATAGTACCATCCATTGAACTAGTTATAACTTGAGGATCTCCAATTTGACTTTGTACAGAACTGATATCACTTCTATGACCTGTCAAAACCATAATATCAGCTCTTGAACGTACATCCCAAACTCTTACAACTGCATCTCTACCACCAGTAAATAATAAATCTAATTCTGGATGTAAGGCCATAGAATAAATTCCTCCCACATGACCATGATAATCTCTAATTTGAGCTCCTGATGGGGAATTAGTTCTTTCTAAATCCCAACATCTAACGGTTTTATCTTCTGATCCAGAAAATAATAATGGATACCTAGAAGATATAGCCAAAGCTCGAACTCCCATTATATGTCCAGTTAATGTTGCTTTTATTTTCAGACTTGCTAAATCCCAGATCTTAATAGTTGCATCAGATGAACCTGTGGCAAACCATTTATTTGTGATTGGATCTACTTCTACTGATCGTACCCACCCTTGATGAGCTCCTACTAGAACTCTTAGAAGTTTCCAATTGGATGTATCTGAAGTATTAGAATGATGATCTTGTTGTTGTAAGTCACCTGTTGTCGGTATGTTATCATCATACTGTTCTGTGCCATTATCCTGTACGTTTTGATCTTCTTCATCATCATCATCTATTATTATCTCATCTTCATCAGTATGCTTAAGATTTTGAAAAGTATAGTCCATTTTGGTATTATTATACATAGCCTCACTTAGAGGGTCGACGGGTGGTATTAGGGTTTCCTCATCATCAGCATCTAAATCTATTAGATCTCTATATGTAGGCATTGTAATATTCGTGTATAGTCTTAGTGTTAGTGTTAGTCTTACCAGATTAATTTATGTGAAATATCAAAAAAAGGTTCATCAAAAAAATTCTTGGAGTATCACAAACCATTTACCAAATTAGGTTTGATTTGAAAGAATATCATGGATTGTCCATTAAGTAAAGAGTTATGCGATCATATAATTTCTAGTCGCGATGTTAAGTATACTACCATTGAAAGAATTGGACCTATTGAAGATATAAAACCATATATAGTTATTAGAGAAAGTGATAACTTGTTTATAGGTATAACCAAGAAGAATTACTTAAGATTGTTTAAAGAAGTTCATACATATTGGCACGAACAAATCCTCACTAAGGAGATTAATTATGAGGAATTAATTGAGAAAAGTTCTCAGGAAGAACTTCTCACTTTATATTATTTTACAATTGGGTATATGTTAACTACTCATGAGAATCATAGTATAATTAATATCCATGAATTAGTTGTTATGGAACTATATAAGACAAATGATAAAGAATTTTCAGTTGAATTTATTGAGAATGAAATTCATATAATTTTAACTTTTATATCGAGTAGACTTAGCAAAATCAATAAAAGTTCATCATTATGGTTTTGGCTTAAGAAATTAACAATTTGGACGATATTAGATCCTTTAATTTCTGGTAAAGATGTTCAACACGATGGTGAAATATTAATTTTAAAATCATTTCGAAGTTGTCAGTTACATTTTGCAAATTATTATGCTAATAACTTTTTAAGATGGTTATCAGGTATTCTTCTCTATGTTACTATTAGTATAGATAATCAAGTTGCAAAACAAATAGCCAATAAGCTCCTAGAGCTTGAATGGATTCAATTAAAAACCATTTGCCATAGTAACTTATCTGATAGTTCCACTTGGGGTTTAATGGAATATCAGATTAAACAACAGGGTCAGTATGCCTATAATATGAAGATAGTTCTTGATGAATATAATCGTATTATTGGAATACTTAATAACAATGGTATAAGGTACATTAATGTCGTTAATTCACTGGAATTTACAAGCAAAAGCAAAAGCAAAAGCAACACTAGCGGAGAAATAGATCATATAATACTATCGGAATTGAAATGGTTGGTTGATATCGATTGCTCGGTATTAACCCCATTTGTTTCTTTAATACGGCCTATGTTAGAACTTAAGTATAGCATTAAGAGTATAACTACAGTAGAAAGTATAGTAAATTCTAAGGTTCAGGACTTGAATAAATTACTTGAAGAACATCCTGATGATAAATTGAGTGGATGGTATGCCAAGCAATCGGACTTGGTTAAATTATTTAATAAACTCATTAGTCTTTTACAGGAAGTCAAGCAAGTAACCAGTTCGTAACCATAAAAATATACGACATTGATACCGACACTGACACCTACATGGTAGCGCACGCCACCCACCGAAAAAAAGTTTAGTCAGGGTACTGCAGCATTAAGGAGAAAGTGATAAATAGTTTACAGTAATTTGCATATAGTAACTAACCATTAAGACATAGTAAACAGTAAACATTAAGCCATGTTAAAATTACGAGAGCAACAGAGAAAGAGACAAGAAGCATTAGAAGCTTCCAAAGCCAACTCGCCATCATCGACCAATTCCCAACCTTCAACTAAAGCTAGTGGCGCTCAAGTATTATTACAAAAGAATTTAACAGAATTAGAATTACCAAATAGTACCAAGATTGAATTTCCTAATCCAACTGATTTCTTTAATTTTAATTTATTTATTAGTCCAGTTGCTGGATATTATAAAGGAGGTAAATTTACATTTACAGTTGCATTCACACAAAATTTCCCATTTGAACCTCCTAAAGTTAAATGTATTAATAAAATATATCATCCAAATATAGATTTAGAAGGGAATGTATGTTTAAATATATTAAGAGAAGATTGGAAACCATTTGTAAGTGTTACATCGATTGTTATGGGATTAAATCATTTATTTTTAGAACCAAATCCTAATGATCCTTTAAATAAAGATGCTGCAAATACTTTTGTTAAAGATATAAATCAATTTAGACGTGATGTATCATATACTTTAAAAGGTGGAGTATTAAATGGAGATCGTTATGATAATGTAATATCACGTTATTAACCCCCCTCTTTGTATTAGTTTAAGTTAACATAATGTATACCTATCTATATAGTCATAATATTATTATTATCATCATTCATCATTATCAATTCCACAATCTAACTGAATTATCAGTACCTCCACTAATAAATAAGCATTTCATCTTTGATTCAATTTGTTTTAATAATGTATCATATAATTCTTGTTCATTGGCAATCTTACTAGTATCAATTGTTTCTAAACTATACTTTGCAAAATCAATACTATTTATGAATCCTTCATGTCCAGTTAATATCCTTATACATTTAATATTCTTTTCAGTATTCAAAGTATTTAAATCCCAAATTCTAATGGTTTTATCTTCACTAGCACTAAATATATATTTTCCATTAGGATGTATAGCTAAAGCTTTTACCCAAGCTGTATGACCAATCATAGATGCGATTTCAAAACCCATACCATTATTATATTTTGTTGGTGATGGTGGTTTATCATAAGTTAATGTAGGAGGTGGTAATAAAAATAATTTAACTAAATTATCTCTACCACCAGATATACAATATTTAAATCCTAAAATATCTGTATATGATATATTATTTATCAAATCTGATGGGATATTAGGGAATTCAGATATATAGTTATTTAAATATTTATCTAATATAAAATTAGATGTTAATGGAAGAAATTTGACTGTTTCAACTACATGAGTATGTGCCACTATAAATGCTAAAGCTGTACCAGTATCTGCATGAGATAATCTTATTGATTGATCATTTGAACATGTTAATATAAAATCACCTAATTTATTTGATTGTTGAATATTTGATAACATAATAGTTGAATTAATATTGGCAATATCAATATCTCTAACCCAATCACTATGACCTACAAAACTTCTTAAACAATATCCATCTAAAAGATTCCAAACTTTAACTGTTTTATCTCGAGATACTGAATATAATATTGTTGAATTTGTAGGTGAAAATATAACTGAAGAAACTGTATGTTCATGACCTGTTAAAGTTCTAATATGTCGATAAGTTGATCCATTCCAAATTTTAATGGTTAAATCTGCTGAACATGATGCAAGTATATAAAATTTTGATTCTAATGATGAAGTTGATGATGATGATAAATCTATTGGATTATTAGACCATGCGAGTTTATTTATACCTCTGGCATGAGCTTTAATAATCTTTTCAGGAATAGTATTTTCATCATTAACAATATTCCATACAATTAATGAACCATCTGAACTACCGGCAAATACAATAGGTAATGTTGGATGAAATTTTGTACATAGTATTAATTGATTTGATTGAGTATTAAATGTTGTACTATTACTTATTGGTAACCAATTTATTCTATTTCTTTTAAATATTCCATTAGAATTAGAATTATCGTTAGAATTATTTTGGTGAGAATCCACAATAGTTCGAAGATTGCCTACTTCTGTTTCAAGATCCATTATCTTCTTTTGTAATCGTATTACAGTTGACCATTTCTTTTCTAAATAGTTCGGTACTACTCCATCAATATTTTGTACTTGTAATAGATTAGATATATTTTCAATAATGATTGATTCTCCATTTAATGTGTTCGATAGATATTGAACAATGGCTTTATTTAATTCATCCTGTTGCCTTTCAGTTAGGATCTGAGACTTCATGATCCTTCCTTACTTCCTTATCTAGAAATCTATATTATGATAGATCATATTACATATCGAAATCAAAACATTGCAAATTTTCGATGTCGCACTCACAATTTACACTACTAGTAATAAATTAAGCTAAGGTACATTTTTCATATATTGAACAAATAGTTAATAATCTATAAAGGAAGAGATGATATAATTAAAGGATTTATAATTAATGATTGGTTATTTACCAGATTTTAATGCGGCAAATCTTGCCTTTAATGCATCAAACTCATCTTGAGCAGCTTTAGCTTTTGAAACTGGTTTGGTCAGTTGTTGCTCTGCAATCGGTTCTGCGAGTTCCTTTTGTCCTCCACTAGGACTATCATCATCATCGTCATTATCATTATTGTTATTATTATTATTATTATTATTATCACCCTTTTCATTAATATCTTTTTCTTTTTCTTTTTCTTCATTTTCATCTTCATCTTCCTCTTGTGATGCTTCATACTCTTTTAATTTTGAATATGGAGCATCATATGCTCTAGCAATTTCACATAAATATAATGTTACTAATTCTTGTGAAGGTGGATCTATTTGACATCGTTTAACAATTTTTTCAGGTACATGATTATCTGTATTATCAATGGCTGCCTTACCGAATTCTATACCATATTTATGAATTAAACTATCTCTAATTGTTGTTAATTCTTTTAATTCTGTATGAGGAGCAGCATAAATAACTGATTGTACTGCTTCAATTAATCCTGAATCACAACTTGTACGATTAATATCTAAAATAATTGATATTCTAGCTAATAATAATTCACAATAAAGTTCTATAAATTCTAAGAGTTCAATATAAATATCATCTCGAATAATATTCTCTACTCTAATAGTTGCACTAGATTCTTTACCTTGATTTAATAAATCTGCTAATTGTCTACGTTGTTGTTTAACTAAGGCAGTTTTCTTTTCTTGTAAGAATTTCAGTTTACTAATGGCCATTTTAATGGCTGTCTTTAATCGGGTGGGATTGACTTGTGGTGGTGGAGTTTTAGACGACATTGTTTTACTATAATTTTACTTATTAGTATGACAATTGTATGGGGGATAGTCTTTATCTAATTACCCCAATGAGTACGAAAAATAGTTTAGTGGGTATTCGGCACGTGACGAACACTAATAAAATTACTACCACCACCACCACCAACAACTACGAAGTCTACTAATTCTACTAAATCATAATCATGTAATGTTAAATATACATATAAGAAAAATATAAATATGTATGTAGTATGCATGTATATGTAGAACTTAACTCTCAAGTACAACTGTATGTTCATGAGGAGGAGTTCCCTTAACAAGTACATCATCTTCATCATCTGCAATATTACCAATATTATCTGAGCTTTTAATAACTCTTTTTAAAGTACAACATTGAATTTCTTTAATCCATTCATCATTCATAATTTCTTCTAAAGTTGCTCTTCTTTTTGGATCAATTTGTAACATTCTATGAATTATTGGTCTAGATGCATGAGGTAATAATCTCATTAATCTATATGGACCATGGATTTGTTTATGATGAGATGCTTTCTTCTTAGCAGCAGCAGCAGTAGCAGCAGCAGCAGTGGCAGGTGCAGAAGCATCATTTTCATTATGATTACTTTGATTATCAGAAGCATCATCTTCTAATTGATCACCTGGCAGATCTTGCTTTTTACGACCATTAAACAGAGATTTCATTTCATTCTTTTTATTTTCATATTCATCTAATTTGGCATCAATTTCTTTTAATTGAGCCATTATTTCTTGAGCTTGTGCATCAGATAATATATCTGATGGATCAATCTTAGATGCAGTAGTAACAATACTTGCTTTCCTATCCACATCAGCCTTAAGATCTTGGGAACTCTCATTAATATTTTCAGTGGTGGCATTATTTTTGGTATTATTAAGTTTGTCATTAGAGTCATCATCAAGTGAATTATTATTAGCATTAGTATTAGTTTTAGTATTGTTTTCAATATTTTCTTTATCATTGTTAATAGTTTGTACAACATTTTCACTTGATTGGGTTGTCATTATTTGATCTTCTGGAACTTCATTATTATCATTTTCTATTGGTTTATCAGTTCTATCTTTTTCTACCGAATTTTCTAAAGAATTAGCAGTAGCATTAGCAGCAGCAGCTGCTGCTAATAATTTCTTCTTTTTATTCAGTTTAACGATAATATTTTTCAATTTTCTTTGTTGTAATAATAATTTATGACATTCATTACTTAAATAATAATCATGGAAATTATCATCAGGTAATGAATATAATTTAAAACTATTATCTTTTTCAACATTTGGTATCTTCCAAGGAAATCTCTTTAATGTCATACAACAATAAATTATAGCAATTGACCATAAATCTACTGGTTGAGGATTATAAGAATTTGAACTTTTTAAAACTTCCGGTGCTAAATAAGGATCAGAACCAACAATTCCATGACAATTATGAATACTATCTTTTGAATTACCATATTGATCATAAGGATATTTAAAGATAACAGCACTACCAAAATCAATGATTTTAAGAATACCATCCATTGTAATAACACAATTATCTAATTTTAAATCACGATGAGCTAAACCTAAACTATGAATATAAGCTACACCTTCTAAAATTTGTTTTAAACAACAATTAATTTCTTGTCTTGACATTTCTCCACTCATAACTACAGCAAAAAAATCAATAGGAGCATATTCCATAATTTCAAAATAACGACTATTTTCATGAATTATATCAATAGTTTTAATAATATTTGGATGTTTTAAAGTTGATCCAATACAATATTCAGCTGTACATTTTTTAGTATAATCTTTTAAAGTTTCAGTCAGTCTTCTTGGTCTAAATTCTTTTACTGCAAAAGTTTTTTGATCAGATGGTCTTACAATTAATTTAACTGATCCACCTGCTCCACTACCTAATTCTTTACCAATTTTACCATATTTTTGAACATATTGAGAATTTTCATCAGTAAATGGATCTTTATTCAGAGTTGGATGACTATGAGTTGCATTATGTAATAATTGTGAAGAAGTTTGATTAATTAATGTAGCCAAAGAAGTTGATGATTGTTCACGAGAATGTAAACCACTATTAGCTAAACCAGGTGGAGGTGAATGAATTGAACCATTATATTCAGATTTAGTTCTAGCTGCTGATATCTTTTTTGTTGGTTTAAATAATTTTTTCAAATCTACCATTGAACTGGAAGGTAAAAAGCTATGATTTGAATCTTCTTTATTAACAGGTTGTAATGTTTGTGGAGATGTTGTACGAGATCCTATAGAATTATTTTGACTATGAGCAGGTGAAGTCATTTCAGTATTTGTTTGATTAATTATATTAATACTATGTTGAGGATGAGGTGATATTATTTGCAGGGGTTGATGAGAATTTTGTTGATGATGTTGAACATGATGATCTGAAGAATTAGTTAAAGTTGGGCTTGTTAAAGATTCTGCTGATTCATGTCTACCAATATGAAAACCTAAGAATTTCTTAGAATGATTTGAAGTTGATGGAGCCAAATCTTCTTCTGGTTGAGAAGTTTGTTTGAAATGTGAAAATAATTTAAGTTTATGTTTATCAGGCATTATGACGTGTATGGAATAATTCAATGATATCTAAACAACTGGAAAAAAATGGTAAAATGATTAACCAAAATTACGAATACGAGTTATGCAATTAAATATTATGTTATGTTAATATTTGAAATAAGATAATGATAATTACGATTTCAAGGGTATAAAATTTCAAACTATAATATAGTTTATAAGGCGCCTCAGTTTATTAGGCAATCAAACACATCCAATGTTATTAGTGGGTATTTAATTTGATTTAATTTGATTTGTATTTCGATTGTGATGTAATGAAATGGACAGAAGCCAATATATGATATGAATTAAGTGGATATATGCTTTATAGAAATGAGTAATCAGGCAATTTGGTAATTTGGTAATTTGGTAATTTTGCGAAGTGACAAATGATAATGAGGTGTCACAAATAAATTTTACTTAGGTATACGGAACTCAAGTGGAATGAAGAAATAGGACTAAGTAAGATGAACTGAGTGGATTAAAATTGTTATGAGTTAGTTTAATAAACAAATTATAAAACTCGGTAGTAATGGTTGTTCTGGGAGTTGAATGAACAGGTTGTCAAACCCTTAATAGTGGGGATGGAAGATTGAAGTACAACGGCAAGTTCCTTAAAAAGCGCTCGGAAGTGGAGTGCCCTAACGTATATATGATGTTGATGAAAGGATCTTTCAATTGAAGTTATACCTGTTATGAAAATTATTCGTAGGTTTAGTTGTTACAATCAACTGATCATACAAATTGGGAATGGAATTTTTGTGCTCTTCAATTTTTTTTGGAAATGTCGTGGCGCAGGTGAGAGATAATGTCGTGTATTAGTTTCTTTTTCAGATTAAAAAAAAAAGGTCTTTTGGGTCTTTTCGACATTTTTCATTTGCTAATTCACTCATTTCTTACTAGAGGGAATTTTATTATTTTTCCGGATATACAGTCGCAGTCGCAGTGGGGTGCCTTCACTAAATTAAGAAACTCCAGTATTTGTTAGTGAATATAAAATCTATAACTCCTTCATTATTGTTTTATTTTCAGGATGTAGCGGTTGATAAATTTTAGTAAAGTTTAAGTTTACTTCGTAAAATGATCATAGATAAAATCGATTGATTTGTATACTTCTCTGATAAGTCTAATGGTTGTTAACTGTAACTTTAACTTTAACTATAAGTGTAATCTCATGACGCTACTAATTTACAAGCCAAGCCAATAATTGGTGGGGCTTAAGTGCGATGAAGGGGAAGTATGGAACGTCAGCTTCTGATTTTATAAAGTATTATTTATGCATTTTTATATTGGGGAGTTTGTTAGAGGCTACCTATTACTTACTACTTATTACTAACCACTTACTACTAACCACATACTTCTACTTATCTTCCTTAATTGCAGTACCTCTAATATGCTTTTGTCTTTCTGGTACATATGGTTTACTACCAGCTCTACTATGTTTTCTATCATTTTCTTGTCTTTTCTTTAAACTTTCAAGTTCAACTCTTTTAATTTCATTAGCTTTTTTAATAACAATTGGTACATGTCTATGTCTTGAAATTCTTTTAATTTCTGGCATATGCTTAAATCTTTCCTTTAATGCATTATCATATTCCATCTTAGCTCTTTGTCTTGAAGATTTAATTCCGGCTCTATCTGAACTATTGGCTCTCCAAATTCTTACATTAGTATCATCTGATCCACTTAATATATATCTTGCATCTGTAGTATATTTAACACAAAATATTCTTTGCATACGTTTAGTATGATAAATATCTCTTGAATGACCTTCTCTTGATCTAAAAATTCTGATGGTTTTATCATATGATCCAGTAACTAATTCTTCACCAGTTGGTGAAAAATCAATATCCATTATACCAGCAACATGATCTTTATAAACATTTAATGATTTATTTAAATTTCTCATATCCCATAAATATGCATTATGATCATCACTACCACTGGCAAAATTAAATGCTTCCATTGGATTCCAACTAATACAATTAGTTCTTAAATTAGTTACAACTTTTTGTATAGCAGTATTGGTTCTAATATCATATAAAACAATAGAATTATCTGAACCTGCTGATGCAATTATATTAGTTTCTGTTTTATTAAATTTTACAGTATTAATATTATCAGCACCCCAACTTAAATCACTAACATATTTAGAACGATTCATATCCCATAATTGTATAGATAATCCACCAGTTACAAATATATCTTCATTAAAATGATGATCTAATCCTTTAAAGGCATGTTCACCTAAAAATGTTTTAACTAATCCTTGACTCTTCTTATCATATACATCTTCTTCTCCAAAACCTGCATCAAATTCATTATAATTAACTGACCATAATTTAATATATTTATCATCTCCACAACTTAACATATGCGTTTTCCCAGGTGTTACACTTAAACCTGTAACTAATCCATAATGAGCTTTAAATGTAACTGTTTCTTGTCTACTAGTCATATCCCAATATTTTATAATCCCATCTCCTGATCCACTTGCAACTTGATTAGTAGTACCAAAATTCTTTGCAATACAATATACACCATCTCTATGTCCATCACCTAATTGACCTATAAATGGTTGAGCAAACATTCTTTCCAACTTAGTTGCTGTAACAGCTTTGGTATATTCACGAGCTCTTTCAAATGGATGCAATGCTGGATTTAAATTACGAGGAAGACTAGATTCTTGAGTATTTCTTACAGGTACATATTGGTCCGCTGACCTACTGATAGTCTTGATCTTCATGTCTAACTATATGTATGTATGTATGTATTTGTTTATGTGTGTTTATGTATTTGTATATGAATATGTTTAGTTGGTTGATATAGTCTCATCTCCATCGCTAAATTTTTCAGACTAATTTTTTTTTTTCGTATCGAGGCTGCTACACGCCGCAAATGATTACTGCAAAAAAGCTACTCTAGGTAAAAGTGATATATATGTTTATTTAATAAGTATTTATATATCGATACGTAAAATTACAGAATTATATTATGGTGAATGATAATATGGTAATGATATGGTCAGACAGACAATTATTATTTGAACAATTCAGTTAAATAAGGCTAATGAACTTAGACAAAATGGGTGCAATATTAATATTAATATTATTATTATTATTATCACTATTCTTTTTTTATTGCAATTGTAGGATGAATTTAGGAATTCAACACAAGTCCAGCTCATGCTCTTTTATAATCTTCTATTAGTTACTCTAATCTTTATTGTAATCGATAGAATAATCATGCTATATATGATGTTGAGTGCCTATGTTCCACCTTGCTTATTGATGTTCAAATAATTCAGATATTTAGTTAGTTAGTTAGTTAGTTAGATGTCTGAAAATGTCTGTGACGGGTGACTAATCTTTGTTTTTTTTTTAAAAAATCTATCAAAATAAGTAATTAAAGTGAGATAGTATGGCCATAAGAATATTAAAATAATCAAATTAAAATTGTAGTTAAAGTAAAATTAGTCAAGGAATTATAGGACAATATGATTACGAATTTGGATATGAATATGAATATGAATATGAATATGAATATGAATACGAAAGGTCAACGAAAATTAATAATAACGGTGAATAATGATACAAGTATACCATCTAATAGTAATCAAATAATTTCTCAGGTTTGTTCTATAATGAGATATCTAATACTAAAGAAACATCGTCCACATTTGATTTAGATATATCTTCTAAAAATGGTAATAAATCTAACAATTCATTATCATGAGTATCGCTAAACCAACTTGAAATTGGTATTGAATGTTGAGGATGGAATATATAAGATGCTGGAGAATTATCAATAATAATTGAATCACTTAATGGACGACCAATTTGTGATAAATTCTTTATAAAGTTACCTTGATAACTATAACAAGAATCTCTGAATAATCTATGATGAACTGAATTATGAATATCCAATTTATTTAATAAAGGATCTCCATATTTTGAAACTGAAGCAGTAAATACTACAACTTCAAACCATTGACCTACTTTTTTTAAGAATTCATCAACTCCAGGCCTCTTTATGACATAAACATAATGAACTTGATTTTCAATTTCAACAGGAATTGTGAAATCTGCCGTCTTTAAATATTTGAAAGATGAATGTACTAATGTTTCATCTAAATCAAGGATAAGACACTTTTTATTACCAAACTTTTTATCCTTTTTACCCAAAAGAAAACCAGTCTCTGGATTAAACGCTTGACCATCCTGAAGTTCAGTTAAATCTAAAACTGATTCATCTTCTTCATCATAATCATCTTCTTGTCCATAAATTGCTTCATCATCTTCATCTTCTTCATCAACTAATTGTTGACTATGGGATAATTTTCCATTAGGATCAGATGCAGAAGAAACTTGAGTTATAATACCTTGTTGTTGTTGATCGGTTACTGACAGTTTATCATGATGAGAACTTGGAGTATTGTTAGCTTCATCGCCAGTGTTTGTTATTGTATCTGTTTCATTAACAGAATTATCATCATCTAATAAATCCTTTTTCTGTATTATATTACCATCATTATTTGAACTTGAAAGTGCAGTGGCTACTATTTCAGGAGTTTGTTTTGATTTATGATGAGTTGATGTGGTTCCAACATGAGAGGTTGATGTTTTGCTGGTTTTTGTATCTTTGGATGATGATGAATTTCCTTTGGTATTGGAAGATGAAGGATTTATATTATTTGCAGTCATACCTTTCCGATTTGTAGTCGATGAGTCGTGTCTTGGATTTGGAGATTGGGATTTATCGTCACTGGATTCTGAATCTTCCACCAGGCAACAAAAGAAGATACTCATAGTATTATTAAAAAACTAATAGGTGTAAAAGGAATGAAAGTAGAAGTGAACAGAAGGAGTCACGTTAATTTTTAAGAATCAGACTTGAATAAAATGAATTGAAATGAATTGGATTGGATTGGAATGAAATGAATTCAAGAAAATTACAAAATATAAAGGATAAAACAACGTGATAGATTAACTTGTTTATATATGATGTATCAGATACACTCAATTATATTTGTATTTTCAACGTGTTCTAGCCCTTCTGGTTCCTGCTACTTTTGGCTGGGATGCTACGATATGCGATATGAATGCTGCTTCAATTAATGAAAACGGTAGGATGCTGTACGATTTGTACGAGCTTCTGGGGCACAGTACACTTACGTATAATAATGAACAAAGCCAATGAATGACAGCTTATCGTGATTAGTTAAATAAAGATATACTTACAGATGGGAGAGATTTTTAAAAAGGATATTTCGATTTTCTTTTTTCTCGCAAATGTCGCTGGTTGTAGCGTTGACTATTTTCCGATTATGTCGTACGTAATGCTTACACAAAGTTGCCGATAGCAGTTTTCCATTTCTATATATCTGTTGCTATAGTAATAGTTATTGTAGAAATGGATTTGAAAATAGTTAGAGCAATGATTATAATGTATCACAAACTAATCATAATTAATTTCCTATTATTTGAAGCTTTTATTGACAGAAAATATATGAGAAATGGCAAATATCAATTCGTTCCAACGACATTGTCCTCTTCCTAATCAGGACAGTACTTTCTTTTTTTTTTTATTTTACACATTAGTGCCGTGAGGTCTTTTTTTTTACAGATTAACTTGGGATGTGCCACTGGAGATATGCGTTCCATTGTAATTATATGTGTTTCTCTCCTATTATTGAATTGTTCTATTTTATCATGTAAGCGATATCCACACTTGACATGGCTATATTCCACCCTGCGACAAGCCATAAGTATTATTTTTGAAATGTAATTGAGCCAAATTAAGAGCATATAGAAGAATATGAGATAATTGGGTAAACTGAGACTTTTAAGCCGTACGTAAATTCCAACCTCAAAAAGTTAACAATTTGCTTAACAAAGTAGTTCCGGGAGAATTAAATTCTACACAATAATAATTCAATACAATATAATTACGCAATTGTTCATAGTCATATCCGACCCTTCACATCTTAAAACTGTTTTGTTTTAAGTTTTAGGGGGAGTATTTGCATTATTCAGTTATGTCTTGAATATGTAAGTATCCGCCCCCAACGGACTTACCTATAATATGATATTTACTGTATACCTTCAAGATATTCTTAAAATTTGATCTATGAACCATCCTCTTAATAACTCTAAGTTGTCGTTTAACGCTTCTTGTATATTATTAAATCTCATTAATAACATTTGAAATAACTTTCTATTAATAACTCACCAAGAGATACTTCTTAATAATTAACAATTTAGTACAATAAATAAAGCCACCAGCAATCAAATCGTTTTGATTATCTCTTTAAGTTGCGGATTCTTGGATAAACCGGACATAATTATATTTTATTAGTTAGCCGTGACAGATTAGTGTTGCTAATTGTACTAATTGTTCTGCGTTACAGGTCAAATTAGAAAGCTGCTAAAATGTACCCTACAGTTTATTTGAACCCCAGTAATCACCTAATCAACTAATCAACTATTGTAAATTTAAATAAACACAACTCTTTCTACGCTCCTAAAATTGTTGCAAATTCTGTATATTGCTATTACAAACAATCTCTAAGGGTACTAAGACAAAAGAAGGTATAAAGTTTTCGAAACAGAAATAGTTCATACCGTACTAATAGATTTATCTAATTATTAATTTAGTTAGTAGTTCACGGGATTTCGCACATATCTTGATTAAACCTACGAAAATATCAGAGCGCAATGCCATGACTGCACACTGAACAACTGCTGCAAAAAAGTTGCATTACGCTTAACTTCAGCAATCATTAATATTCAACAAGGAACCATTAATCTAAGCAATGAAGCTAGAAGAAATCATTAACACAGACGATGCTGTTGCTGCTTTGACTGGACTTGAAGAATTCGAACCTATCCAGATTCACTTGAATGGAAAGAACAAGTACGCTGATCTAGTGGACAAGTTAGAAGAGTATTTAAAGAATCCAGACATTGAAGAAATAAACATGTTCTTAAAAAAGTATAAGTTTGAAAAGGAATTTCTGAAGCCTGACTTGTTAAGAATTGTCTTGAGCGCAAATAACTTCCACTTGCTTACTAAGTTTCAATTTGAGACAACAAAAGATCTAATTGATGTAATACTCAAAATCCGTTCTACTTTTCTCTTAACAACAGTTATCTATGATTATTGGTCATTTTCTATACAGATGAGTTTAAAGCGTCCAATTATATCAAATTTACCCAAGGAAGAAGAAAAAGAAGAAGTTAATGCTAGGGATAATGGTCCCGATGATGATCCGGTTCTTAAATTTGATACAAAGTCTTCTGGGCAATTTAGTTCTAGCACTCCTATCAAAAGTCCTCTAGTTAGAAGTTTATCCCAGCCTACATCTGAAGAATCCAGTGTAAAACGTACAAAAAGAACATCAGGGTCACCTCTAAAGTCTGAACATAGAGATAATGCATTGAAATCTTACATTGGCTTGCTATATCCCGACTCAGAAGTAATTGACTTTCCTGTAAATGAGTTCAGTGATCTTAAACTAAAGACAATTCCTCTGGAGGGAATAAGCAGGAGGTTACGCTTTGAAGTTCCATCCACTTACACTGAAATGGATGTACAACTAGCTGCACAAAAAAATATCTTTGGTATTCCATCTCATTATATTCTCAGGAATACATTGACTGGAGGGACTAGGTCTATTACCATAAATGAGAATAAATTAGAAACACGGCCGGACTTGGAGATTGAGTTAGACAAGGGTCTCATTCCAATTGAGATCAAAAGGGATTCAATTATGAAGAATTTAGATTATTTTTATGGCAAAACTTCTATCAGGAAAAGAATTAATTTTCTAGAGATTTACAGCCAGGGTGTCAGAGAGGCTCTCTGTTGTGGTATAAACTGCTTTTTCCTAAGTGATTATACAACGACGTTATTTGTCGAATTCAATTCAGTAGGTGAATTTCAAGAAATTGAAGGCTGTACCATAACCAGGCCCTTAGTTGGAAGGATTATACGTATTGAAGAAACTAAAGATTCTGAATATTCAGCTAATTTTCATCTATTCCTTCTATTGAAGAAACTTCAAAATGAATATATTCAAAGGAGTAAAATTTTACCAGACTTGCAAAAGTATGACTGTCGTGATATCACTGTTACATGCTTTTACCGAGTCATAGATGATATTAATAAAGTATTGTTTAAAATGCCCCAATCTACTCCGTTTGCAGCCATTTCTGGAAAACTCTGCACACAATATGACAATACACTGACCATTAATATTGTGAACTCCATTTTGTCTAAGAATTTGCCAGTTGATATTTCTCCGTTATTTCAAAATGTAGATTGATTTATTGAAGGAGTATAATTTTGAGGTGTCACAGTTAAACTGTTTACATAATAAGAGATCCTTCAACCGATTTCCGAGGTCTAGTTAAGAAATATCGCACTTCCGACCCTTGTCCTAAGTCGATTTACGACATTTACAGAATTTGAATCCTCACGAAAAATTATCCAGCCATCTTCACAATTTTGTGGAACGCGTTTACAGCGAATTACCATTTTTGTAAACACGATACATGCTAAAGAAAAAGTCCCTTATTGTCTCTTAAGCTGTAGAAGAAGTGCACCAGTGGATCTTGATCTTTGATAATCTTCATTTGATCCTTTATTTACGGTAGTGAACTCATACTGGCACTTACCATACAAATTCATTCAGCTATGTCACAAATATCTATAACTCCTCTGACTCCACCTAGATCAAGCACTAAATCAACCAGATCAAATCCATTGTTATCTACTCCATCTTCATCCACTACTCCTATACAGCAACGTAATGGATTGGTAACTCCTTCAACTGTTAGTAAGAATAAGAATAGTTTTCAAATTACCCATGGATTAACTAAGAACAATAATAATGGAAGGTCAATGCCTACAAATACTACACCAATTGCTTTTAAGACTCCTAGTTCAATACAGAAGAAAAAATCATCAGCTCATCTAACTATTCCCAAATCATCAACTAAATTATTACCTTCTACGCCGGATTATGCTTTCACTCCTAGAAAGTCTCCAATATCTCGTAAAAGAAAAGTTATTGGCGGTGGTAATGGGATAAGTAACGATATCATTAATGACACGACTTTTACAATGCCATCTACAACTACAGGAAAAATCTCATTTGGATTACTATTACCTGCTCCATCAAAAATTGGATCTGGAAGACAACAATCAAGATTAACATCTAATAAAGATAAAATCTTTCTTTCATCATCTCATCTCTTTAATGATAATCATTCTGAATTTAATGATATTTTCCATGAACAAGAACTGGAAGAAGAAATGATTCCTCAAACTCCAAGTAAACAATTAATAAACGATAATTTAGTTAATCATTGGCATGGAAAATCTTATAATAATTACTACTCATCCGATGAAGATGAATTACCTACACGTACCGAAGTGGTTAACCCATTTATTAATAATGGATCTTCATCTACCATCAATAAATCCAGATCTATAGAATCAAATCCATTCACAAATAATAGTTCTCAATCTATTAATTATGATACACATATGGAATTAATTAATAATAAGACAGGTCACAGAAGAGTAGTTAAGTTGACATCCAACCAATCGAAAATTAAACCTAAGAAGTTGGATTTCTCAGGATTATAATACTAATCCATCACAAATCTCTCCCTTACAGGTTAAGGTATCCATTTTTTATTTCTTAATTCAATTTATACATATATAGTTATTTAGTATTTAGTTTAGTAGACAGCCCTATAGCTTATATGCCGGAAAATTAACTATGTAGAAAATTTCTCGATATCAGATAAAACTACTAACTAACAGAGAAGAGACCATTACTACTAACTAATATATAAATATATATATACAAACCATGTCAATTCCAGGATTTGGTGGCGGTATAGAACCGATAGAAAATACTAGTGGAGAATGGACTACAGTTGAAGTAACAGGATTTTCTGAATGGAGAGTTGAAGTACCTCACCGGACTATACTTAAATTTAAAGTTATTGATGGAATTGGAGAAATATTTGGGACTGAATTACCATTAAATGTTGAATTACAAGTTTCTGGAGTTAAGTATGCCGTATATGCCCCTTTATCTTCTGGATTTAAATTGGAATATAAAACATTAGCCAATAAATCTGTTATGACTAATGAAGATGAAGAAATTTCCGATTATATCAGTAATGAAACTCAAGCTCATCAAGCATATATTAATTTACATCTTGGATTACAAACTATTCGTCAAGAAATTAGAGATTATAATATATTAAATCCTCAGGATGTTAAAAAGGGACCTCGAGTATTAATAATTGGGAATCCAAATTCAGGTAAAACTAGTCTAGCTAAGATTCTTTCATCATATGCCAATAAAATGGATAGTACTCCAGTATTGGTTAATTTAAATCCTCGTGATGGAGTATTTAGTCTTCCTGGATCTATATCAGCCACTCCAATAAGTGATTCTTTAGATATAGAAAGTGCTAATGGATGGGGATTCACAACTACTTCAGGTAGTTTAATTCATAACCCAAAACAACCAATAGTGAAAAATTATGGATTTTCATCAATTAATGAAAATTTAGATTTATATAAATATCAAATATCTAAATTAGGAGTCACTGTCTTATCTAGATTAGAAGAAGATATAACCATTAGAAATTCCGGAATAATTATTGATACTCCATCATTAACAATTAAAGATATTACTATTATAGAAAATATAGTATCTGACTTTGAAGTAAATATAATAGTAGTAATGGGTAATGAACGATTATTAAATGATTTAAAAAAGAAATTTAAACATAAACTAGATTCTCAATTACAAGTAATAAAAGTACCTATTAGTGGAGGTATTGCTGAAGTAGATGATTCATTTATTAGAAGAAGTCAAGAAGAAACTATAAAGGAATATTTTAATGGTAATTATAAAACAAGATTATCTCCATTTAAAACCGATATAGATGCCAAAGATTTAACAATTTTTAAGGGAGTACTTTCACTGGATATTGCTTCTACATTATCATTTTTACCTTCTGCTGATTCATATGCGGCTGATGAATCTGATGATAAAGATGATAAAGATAAAACTGATGATAGTTTAACTAAATATTATTCATTATTAACTGAGCCAAGTTCATCAAATTTAGATAATTCAATTATGGCAATAACCCAATTACCTCAAACAAGTAATCCTGGTAAGGATTTACTTAATACAAGTATATTGGGATATGTACATATATCTAAATATGAAGATGACAAACATAAAATGAAGATCTTACTCCCCTTCCCAGGAGCATTCCCTAAAAATGTATTAATATCAACCAATATTGGTTTTAATGAATAATATAGAATAATAATAAATAGTATATATACATATTTTACTAATCAAATGGAACCGGTTTGTAGTGAACCTTTTGTTGATTTTCATTAATTCTTAGACTCTCTGATGCAGCAATAGCACTAGGAATCTTGATACCACAACAATCACCCCATGGATTGATAACATTATGAATATGACCACAATCACTATTATCATCTTCATCAGTATGAGCTTCAGTAACCCCTTCAGGACATGGTATTAAACTTCCAAACATGACATGTTGAATAATTGGAAGTTTACCTAATACCTCTGCCTTATACATTTTAATCATTCCTTCTTTAATTTTAGTCCAAGATTTAGCTGCCAGAATATCATCTAGCATAGGAGAATGCCATCTAATACTTAATTTCTGTTCTTGATTCTTGGGTAATGTTTTAATATTATTTATGAAATGAATACATTCAAAATACATATATTTCTTATAGTATAAATCAACCACATCTTCATTATGAATCAGTTTGGGTTTCATATGAGGATGAGTAGATAATTGAGATGAACCAAATAAAAATGGTAAGAAATGATAATCATCTAATCCCCAAACACCATGAGAACCTGCTGGTTCTAACCAATAAATCTTTTGTAATCTTCTCATAATTGTAATATATTTGGTGAATACTCTTAGAACAAGGGCCGAATAATCCGCATCTGTTACGATATTTAAAGTTCTTAAACATAATAGAAAACATATTAAATTCAATTCATGACCAGATCCATAATCGATTCTAGTTCTATTCCCCCAACATTCATTGAAATAAGTTGATACTTCTATTTCTGCTGCTTGAGCTTCTCCAAGTAATGGAATTAATAATTGACTAGAAGTTTGTGATACTTCATCATAAAAGTCTCTGAATTCAATCTTTCCAAATCTGGAAATGTTCTTATCTACTACTACGGGATTCCTATCAATAGTAGCATTAATTTCATCTAAGATATTAAGGATTTTATTGACGGAATCAGAAACATAGATATCAGCATTATCATTAGTTAATCCAGTAACCAGTTGTTGTAAATTCACCACAAACTCAAGAATGGCCGTGTAAGTAGGACTATCTATCCACTTGTCTAAATCTTCAGCGGTTAGAATTCTTCTTACAGGTTTAGTGAAATTCATTATGGATTACTAATCTATTATATAACTCTTACTATATATATTATAATCTTCATACTAAGTGGTTTTGATTTAGCCGACTTTGTATGCAGACCCATACAAAAGAAAAATTATTTATCGGTTGGATGTGAAAAATGGTTAAATAATAAATTATTAATTTTTCACTATTACTATAGCCGATTGGTAGGGAATAATGAGTAGTGCAATTAAGAAAGTTGCTACAAAGGCAGTTTTCTTTGAGTTCCCCGCCAACAAACATCAGTTCTTACGGGAAGTCGAAGTTTCACCTTCTTTAACTGCATTATGGGGGAAATCAACCCGTTCGGCTGAAGAGATTAATGCCGAATCAACTTATCCTGATGTAATTAAATCAAGAAAAGATATATTTGAAGAAATTAAAGTGGCCAATTCTGATGCTGGAGCATTCTCTTTGAAGTTTAAACAAGGTTTGACTTATGCAAAGGCTATTGGATCCTTTTATAAAGAAGGTATAAAGAAAGTTGGTAGAGCATCAAAGGAAAGACGTTTCCTTATTAATAATGTATCCCTAACTAATCAACTTAATAATAAAAATAAAACAGTATCAATAAAAGTTAAGAACTTTAATAAACTAACTCTCGAAATGACACAGGCATTAAGTATGGAAAATATACAAACTAATCAATCGGGACTGGAAAATTATGTTAAGAGAAAATTAACTGATGATAGATTATTTGTATTACCTCGAGTAGGTTACCAAATTCTTAAACGAAATCCTTCAGATCAAATCAAAATTCCTATTTTTGCTATTCTTGCTCTTATATTTATGGAGAGTACTCCCATTTTATGTTATTATGTCCCAGAAATAACTCCTAGGACATGTGTATTACCATCTATACTTCCAGCATTATGGAATACATCATCTTCTACAGCTTTAACTAGTTTAAGACAGAAAAGGTATAGTCCAACCAAATATGAAGATCTTGCTCATAAAAATGCATTCAATCTCCCCTTGGATGAAGCTCAATATCTTGCCAAGGCATTACGATTAATTCCCAGACATATCCCCACATTCTTAGTTCCTGAAATTTATATACGAAGGAAATTAAAGCATTATCATAATTATCTTAGAGTGGATAATCATTATTTAAGTGGTATGAATGGTAAGGGTTCATGTAATATATGGGATTTATCTACTCAAGAATTACTAATTGCATGTTTAGAACGTAATCTTATATTGGATATAAAGAAAGATCTTGCATACATTGAAGAAGGGAAAACTGTAGTCGAAAGACAGACTAGATCTGCAGATTACTTTGATGATTTAAGAATAAGACTATTTAAATTCATCATTGATTTCCATAAGTTTAATATTGGATATTTGGGAGTGAATCATCTCCTCAATTCCAAAGTAGATCCTAAAATTATTAATCTGTGGAGATCATTGTAAATATTTACTGTATATATTAAAGTATAATGAACGTAAAGAAATGAAAAATGTTTTAATGTAAATCGTTAAGTTGAAGATAAAGTAATATCATATGCGCTAGTGTTACGGTTTGAACCTCTTTCTTGAGCCAGTAATCTCAAAGCATTCTCAAATGAGTTCATGGGCTCTATTTTTGGAACATCAGATATAGTATGATTGTTTGGATCTCTATCAATTACTCTAAATCCAATCAGTTCATTTAAACTATCATCAATAAAGAAATGAATTGTATCATTATCTCGAATAGAAATTTTCTTACCCTTTCCAATAACTTGTTGCTGTACCAGGCATGAATTAGTACTCATATCTAATAAAGAAATCTGATATCGATTACCTGGTACTAGATAAGTTTTATTTATGATACAATGGATTTTAGACATCCTATCATCATCTATATGTGTATCACAAATTTCAAGTCTACCAATAGAATGATAATCTAATTCATGCATATGTATTGGAAATTTATAGATAGATTCTGGTAATGGTTCTAATGTTAACCAAGTACCACTAGGTATTTTTCCTGAAGTTTCTTCTGATATTTTCAGTAGTGGATTAGATATAGATATCCTCTTAAGTCTTTCATGATCTTCTATCCCAATAACTTTTTGTCTTTTAAAATTAAGAGGAAGTGATATTTCTTCACTACCAATTCTTTTAACAATTTCATTAGGTTGAGATAGTGAATATCCATCTAATGCTGGATTATTAGCTTTAGGTGGTTGACTTGCAGGTATTTGTGATTGAGGAAGTGGTATAACTCTTTTTGGTACTTTAAATTCATTCTTAGCATTCTTAACTCTCTTTCCTTCTAATGGTCTGAACATAACATCTTCATCTATTTTACTTATAGATGCATCAATTGCCAAACCATTATCTATCTTTCGAGATTGTTGTGATTGAGATTGGGATAAACTTAATGGCTTTTGCAGTTGAGATTCTTCACAATAAGCTTCATGTATCCAAGGATGATTTAAAGCTTCTTCTGCTGTTATACGTAATCTTGGATTTACTTGTAAACATTGCTTAAGAAAATCTCGTCCCATTTTAGAAATATGATATGAATTTAATGGTGCTTCATGAAATTCTCCTAGTTTAATTTTTTGAAACATTTGTGCTTGAGTTTTACCATTAAATGGTAAATGAGATGTAAGTAAAACATATACTAAACATCCTAATGACCAAATATCTACTAATGATGAATAATTTCTTTTAGCAATATCAGCTGTTTGATCATATTTCCCAGTTATTATTTCCGGTGCTACATATGCTAAAGTTCCACAGAATGTTTTCATGAATGTTGAGTTATCACTGAATTTAGCTAATCCGAAATCAGTTATTTTAACTAGAATTGGATCATCTTGCATAATTAATATATTATCTGGCTTTAAATCTCGATGTGATATACCTTTATTATGAACATATTTTATCCCTTCAAGAATTTGTTTAGTAATAACTTGTGTAGCTTCTTCTCCTATAGCTCCATTAGCAGCTACAAAATCCATTAAATCACCTCCAGGAACTAATTCCATTACTATATAATAATTATCCATATCTTCATAAAATGCTTTTAATGCAACAATATTTGGATGATCTAATTCTCGTAATATTGATAATTCTCGATCTACTCCATCTAATGCTCCACCTCCTGTATTTAATGCTTTCCTTCTATTAATGATTTTGACTGCAAAAGATTTACCTGTAGATCTTTCAATAGCCTTTTTAACGGTTGCAAATGCTCCTTGTCCAATTGTTTCATTTTTAATAGTAAAATCTTTATAAATACCTTCATCTTTTATTACTGAATTATTATTAGAACTTGATAATTTTAATGGATTATAATCTTCGGAAAATAATACTACAAATCGTGCCACATCTTTGGCTACTCCATTTCCTACTGATATTTCATCTCCTTGATTCAATATATAATTAGACCCTTTAACCAATCTACTATTATTAAGATATGTTCCATTAGTAGATGTATCTTGAATCCATAATGAACTATCATGCTCATTTAACCATACTCGGAAATGTTTATTTGAAAGTCTTGAAGAAAATGCCATTTTAAAATCACAATCGGTACCTCTACCAAAAGTCCATTCTTTTCTACCATCAATTGTAATTTTACTTTTAGATAAATCAAAGCAATTGATCTGACCAGTGGCACAAATAAATCGACATATTAGTTCGGCATCCACCTCTCGACCATCCTGAGTCTGTGTCTCCCGGGATTTCTGGGTCGGTTGAGTTTGCGTTGCTTGCGTGAACTCCATTGGTCCAAGAGAAACGGTTTAACTGGGGGGACACTTCCGAGATTTAGATGTAGGCTTCGGGATTGAAATTTTTTGTAGTTAATCCTTTACATTACGCGTTCTGTTAGATGAATAATTTAAAGTAAACAAAAGCGGAATTTATTATTTTTCCGTCACATGATTAGTTATCACGCGACACTGCACCTGATTTATTGGAGCTTTTTGTGTTATGTTATGTCATGTCGGCTCTATTGCCATTTAGGGTCCATTGTGGGGTCAATTTTCAACTTTAATTGAATCTCTTTGCCTCGTTCAATATCAATAATGGTTCTTTTTCACTTGATCTGGGGCAGTAGTATATCTTATTTAAATTGTGTTTGTAAAGATGTATTTCCCTTTTACTAACACAGAAGAATTTCGCGGATTTCTATTTTATCGAGATTTATGGTTAATTTTGTTGCAAAGTAATTGATATTTTACTACTTAGGTTAAGGGTAACCACGATATATATTTTTAACGGTTTTTCTTTACTTTATAAGGACTATGTAATTGAAAATATTATTGAATTGTTGAAATATATTGTGGCTATAGATTGTTCAAACAATAATATTTTCAATAACGTTATCAAGAATAATAGAACCTAAAGCTTTAACTGATAATCTACCGATTAAGTTAAAGGTATATTACGGTTCCACTTGTTTGGTAGACATGGGATAACACAAAAATAGTTGAAACGTTAGAAATTTATCTTTGATAATCAATATTTACCCTATCCAAAAACACTAGAAGACAATAGGTGATATTAGCTAACTTTCGTCGATCATTGGGTTCAACGCCATGACGAACTCAAGAGTTTTGAGGTATGGTAATATAAGGTTATCGTTACTGGACATATAGTGATGGAAACTACTTGTGGTTGTTTTAGCTTTGCTTGACATAATAACAAATATTGAAACAACAAATGCGGATATATAGCTATATTTAGAGTAAATAATTTGGTGGCTACTTTTTTGTTTTAAACTCCTCGGAGTTAACTCTACTACAAGTATCTGTTGACTCCAATAAATGAATCACCTGAGCATGCACAAACTTCTTGATCTGAATATAATTATATTACTATTGAAAATTTAAGTTATTAGAAGTATTTTTGATCTACAATCTATCAATATAATTATAATTGTTAATCTTCTGATTAGATAGCAGATCTGTAAACGGAACAATAGCCGAACTATTAATAAGGAGGTGGTGAATGTTAATTAATCCTTGACCGATTATTCATGTGTACTTATTCAAATTAAACCCGGTATCCGGAACCGGCAATTCATTCCTTCCATCACTATCTTATCGGCCCAAGTTTGATAACGCTTATATATAATTGCGAGGGAAGCTATTTTTTTCAGCCGAATTAGTAAATTTGCGCCGAGAAAAAGCCGCCCCGCGAAAATTCACTTAAACTTCTAACCCTTTGGAGGCTCAAAGTTGGAATGATAGATGTTATCGGTTATTTCCAAGCGATTAAAGGTTTGCTGCAGCAGTATACACCTTCCCAAATCTCGTTTTAACTTCTGATGACTCTGATTTGGATAACGGCAAGAGTCAAAGAGACTTATTACTGCAAATCTTGATCTACTGATAAGATTGGACTCCTTCTTGATATCCGGTAGGTTCTTGTATTTTCCGTGGACATAACCGATTTAACCTCGTGAAGAACTTAAAGTTAGAGTTAACTGTGGTTTAACTAACTATAGAAGTGTGGAATTTCTATACTAAAATTGCAAATTTAGCGGGACTACTGAACTGATCCACACTATCTGTAAAATCAGGCGTTACAATAAGTCATAAATAATTTAGGCATTAATTTGAACTTTAAACATACTATTGTTCTCATTTTAATTAGACATTGATAGGGGTGAGGCTATCACACACTTGATAAGGAACGGAAAAAATGTCACAAATTTCAATTTGTGCATGTTCTTAATTTAATTGTATTATCTTTGCTCTCTTGCTGGATAAATTAGCTCAAAGTAAGATCTGTATTGTTATGAAAAATCTTGATTCAAGTATAAATATCAACATAAAATCGTTGATTTTGAATATCGGTACTTCTATAAAATTCACTAGTGCAATAGACCGCAATAGACCGCAATAGACCGATATTTTTGCAGCTTATATAATTAGACGCAATGCTGGAAAAGAAAGAAAAATTTATTGAGACATTAGAACCAGTCTTGTCCTTCACTGAAGAGGACTTAAAGGATACCAATAATGTTCTCACTACTATTTTATCACCTCTGGGGAAAGAAGTGAAAATCACATCGGATGTTGATGTGGCTATGAAATATGCCATAGCAAATGCTGGTAAGGATATTGCTTTGGACCCTGAAGTTGACAGAAGGTTACTTCGTAAAATTGATATGTTCCTTATGCCTATTTTATGTTTACTTTATTGTTTACAATTCATGGATAAATTAACAAACTCTTATGCTGCTATCTTAGGTTTAAGAACCGATTTAAATATGGTTGGTGATATGTACGCATGGACTGGTTCTGCATTCTATATCGGTTACTTATTCTTCGAGCCCTTTTCAGCTAGATTTTTACAAAAATTCCCAGTTGCTAAAACAGCTGCTATTTTCATTGTCTTATGGGGGATTGTTTTATGTCTTCACGCTGTACCTAACTATGCTGGATTTATTGCGTTACGTACCATATTAGGCGCTCTTGAAAGTTCTGTTACTGTTGCTCTTGTTATCATTACTGGTTCCTTCTATAAAAGAGAAGAAGTATTTTTAAGGACAGCACTTTGGTTCTCCAGTAATGGTCTCGGTACTATCATTGGTAGTGGTATCATTTCTTATAATGTTTACAGAGATCAAGATAAATTTTCAATTCCAGCTTGGAAAGTTATTTTCATTATTACTGGATGTTTAACCAGTGCTTTGGGTATTGGTTTCTTCTTCCATGTCCCAGATGTTCCAACCCAAGCTTGGTTTTTGAATGAATCAGAAAGAATTTTGGTCGTGGAACGTATCAGAGGAAACCAACAAGGTTTCGGAAACAAACATTTCAAATGGAATCAGTTTAAGGAAGCACTTCTTGATGTCAAGACCTGGTTAATCTTCATGTTTGCTTTAGCTTCCGATATTCCAAATGGTGGTATTACTAACTTTGGTTCTATTTTATTGAATGAAGATTTAGGGTATTCTACTGCTCAATCTTTATTAATGCAAATGCCTCAAGGTGCAGTTGAATTTGTGGGGTGCAGTTTATTCGCTTATTGTGCAAGATTTGTTAAATCAAGAATGCTAATTGCTGTAATTGGTACTGTTATTACAGTTATGGCAGAATGTATGTTAGCTTTTAGTTCAAATAAAAAAGCTCAATATGCTGGTTTAACTTTATATGCTCTTGGTCCAATTGGTTTTATTTGTTTATTGTCTGTCATTTCCAGTAATGTTGCTGGACACACAAAGAAAGTAACAGTCAATGCTATATACTTAATTGGTTACTGTGTTGGTAACTTAATTGGACCTCAGACTTTCTTAGCACTGGAATCTCCAACTTATCAGACTGCTAAAATTACAATTGTTGCTTTTGGTTGTGTTTCACTTCTCTGTTTGATTTTAATCTGGTATTGCTATTGGAGAGAAAATGTTAAAAGAGATAAATTACCTTCAGAAGTGACTGCAAAATTCGCTGAAATCGAAAATCATGAATTTGCAGATTTAACTGATAAGGAAAATCCGCTCTTCAGATACGCTTTATAATGCTTACTGGTTAAGTCTTTATTTAGAATTACGTTAATAAAAGTGTTTCTTATTAAACTATACTATTACAAATTATTTTTTGTCTAATTCTCTGAATAACTTTAAAAAAATACTCTAAGCAAGACTGATAATGGATCTAGTTAAGGAAGCAATTGGTTTAAGTCCAGTTGATGCTTCATATTCATCATCAGATGCATATTCCAATCTATTAAGCTCTTCTTCCTTTTCATTGAAACCTCTGTATATAATCCAGAATAAAATACCAGCAATGAAGCATGCCACAGCAATTCCAGTATAAGTCCAAACCATTTTAGGATCAGTAGAAACTGAAGATAAAGCAATACCTAAAGCTGAACCAAATGCGTTGGTTACCAAGAAAAGGGAAGTTATAAAAGCCTTCATGGTTACTGGAGCCTTAGTATAAGCATATTCCAAACCAGTAATAGAAGCAAAAATTTCCGACATAGCAATCAAGAAATAAGCTGGAACCTGGATAGCAACATGAATATGATTCGGAACAGTCTTAAATTCAGGGGCACAAGCCTTTGGATGGTCATAACATGGACCTGCTTGGTAAATGAAATGTTGAGTAACAGCTGCATAGACCATAGCTACACTTGCAAACATGAATCCCCAAAAGATTTTCGTGATTGCCTTAAATGGAGTGAATTTTCTAATAAAAGGGTAGACAAATCTTTCACAGATTGGAATGAAAATAATAATAGACAAAGAGTTTATTGCCTGTAAAATATCATTTGGCAAACCGTGTAATTCCATTTGACCAGCTTGAGAAATAAAGTTATTAACCATTTGCCCATAACATAACCAGTAAATTGGATAAAATACAAATACCTTACATGCATAGAAAGCTCTTCTAACTTCTTCGACAAATTTATCATTCCATGGGTATCCTTTCTCTGGATTAAGGGATGGCTTAGCAGCATCCAAGTTGAAACCACTCTTACATCCAATGATCACAACTCTAAAAGTCTTACTAACTACTTTTTCATTAACAGGAACCTTGACGTATTGATTTCTTCCGATGATTAAAGCAGTTAGAGCGATGAAGAAGAAACAGAATGGTAATAAGTAAGCAGCCCAAAAACCGACATGAGCTTCTAATTGAGTAGTAGCAATAACAGATAATGAACCAATATTAATCATAAGATAGAAGAACATGAAAACATTTTGAATAGTAATGTTAGGATCAACAACAACTCTCTCACCTGATTTTAATATTTTTATAGCTGGTTTGGTTTTAGGAATTTGATCAGCAATTAAAGGTGAAACATTAGATTTAACAGCACCGGTGGATAAACCAATGATGATTATTGCAGCAATAAAACCTCCCAAGGCAGTATTTCTGCTAGTGATTGCAGGAAGGGAAGTTATGAACAAGATAAAAATACCAATAATATAGGTACAACAGAAAAAAGTGATTGTTTTATATTTACCCCAATAGGTATCAGATAACCAACCACCAAAGATTGGAGTAACATAACACCAAAATTGGAAGAAGTAGGATAATGCAGTAGCACCATTCTGATTCAAACCTAAGATACCTTTTGGAGAATCTTCAGGAGTGTTCTGCATGTAGTTTTGGAATGGGGCAGATAAACCATAATAAGAGAATCTTTCAGCCAATTCAACAATAGCAACTAACCAACATCTGATTGGAATGTTTCCTGAGATATGTCTTAAAGACTTTAATTCTTCAATGGTTGGTTCACCACCTTCAGGAGTTTCGTGACTATCTACATTACTAGTTGGGAGTTCTTTTTGGTCACTATCGCTACCCAGATGAACTACAGCCGTAGATAATTTTTCGGAGTTTTTACTTTCTGACATTTTGCCTTAATGCGTAAAAGCTTTTAGAGGTTTTCTACAATAATGGGTATAAATATAGCTATATATATATGTAACAAGAAAGACTACTCAAGAACAAAGTCTAAGAAAAGTTAAACTAACCAAGAATAGCGTTTATGTAATGATGTAATTTGATTTCATAGGTTTAATTAAATATCGTTATCGTTCTCCACTCAAATTACACGAATATTTACCATACCAAGACAATTTTACAAATCCATTCACTCGAATGGCACCTTTAATGTGTTTAATTACGGCGGTGTTAAAATGTCATGCAACGAGTACGCAAAATCAGATATGTGTCTGATGACCTTTCTTGTTTAATGAAAGTCTGCCAAGAAGTGTAAAATAGCAAGGCATTCTCCCTGATGCTAATTAAGCTATTTTTCTTGACTGCGAAAAATTTTAAAAAATAAGAAAAATAAAAAAATACAAATACGGAAAAAAGACAACGGATTTTAAAATATGTTCAGCCTCATGTTAACATAGAACTGGTTGCAAAAGGTAGAAACTAAAATTGAAAATCTTTTTATAGGTGGATATGAGATAAATGTAATGCTACTGTGGGGTATACTTTCCTCTGTGTCCTGCAACATATCAAAAGGAGCAAGGTACATAATGCGACTCTTCATAGATCGAAGGATCTCCTTCGGAGTATTATAGTTGAAGTAATAAATACACTTTCATACTTTTTAAAATTAAATGAGTTTTTCTGAATAAATTAATAAGTATATTAATAAAAAAATAAGGTACTATAAAAATATGCCAAAATATAATACAAATACGTCTAGTCGTGATCTAAGCAAGACTTCTGAAAGAATGAGGTAAAGTAGTCACTGGGACTAAATCGTCTTCTTCCGTGTTTGCTTCGTCAAATTCTAATTTGTTTAATTCATCTTCCTTGGCATTGTAATGGTTGAAACAGAGCCAGAAGAGAATACCAGCAATAAAACAAGCGACAGCTAAACCAGTATATGTCCAGACTAATTTTGGATCTTCGGAAGTTGAAGATAAGGCAATACCAATAGCTGAACCGAAAGCATTTGTAAGCAAAAACATTGACATAATAAAAGATTTCATGGCTACTGGAGCTTTAGTATAAGCATATTCTAAACCAGTGATAGAAGCCAAAATTTCAGAAATAGCAATTAAGAAATAAGCTGGAGCTTGAATAGCAACGTGAACATGGTTTGGAACGTTTTGATATTGAGGAGCACAAGCTTTTGGATGGTCATAACATGGTCCAGCACTGTAAATATAATGTTGTAAGACAGCTGCGTAAACCATAGCACCAGAACCAAACATGAAACCCCAGAAAATTTTAGTAATAGCTCTGAATGGTGTGAATCTTCTAATAAATGGATAGATAATTCTTTCACAAATTGGGATAAAAATAATAATAGCAATAGAATCAATAGCTTGTAAAATATCGTTTGGTAAACCATGTAATTCCATTTGACCAGCTTGGGAGACGAAATTGTTTAACATTTGACCATAAACAACCCAATAAATTGGATAATAAACAAAAACCTTACAAGCGTAAACAGATCTTCTAACTTCTTCAACGAAGTGATCATTCCATGGAAATTCTTTTTCTGGGTGAAGAGAAGGTTTGGCAGCATCCAAGTTGAATCCGTTTTTAACACCTACAAGAGCACACTTGAAAGTTTTGTTAACAATCTTGTCACCGACAGGAACCTTAACATATTGGTTTCTACCAAGAATTAATGCAAGAACAGCAATAAAGAAGAAACAGAATGGTAATAAGTAAGCAGCCCAAAAACCGACATGAGCTTCTAATTGAGTAGTAGCAATAACAGATAATGAACCAATATTAATCATAAGATAGAAGAACATAAAAACATTTTGAATAGTGATATTTGGATCTTGAACAACCTTTTCTCCTGATTTCAAAACTCTAATAATTGGTTTGGTTTTAGGAATTTGATCAGCAATTAAAGGTGAAACATTTGATTTAACACCACCAGTAGCTAAACCAATGATTATAATAGCAGCTACGTAACCACCTAATGCTGTGGTTCTATCAGTGATTGATGGGAGGGAAGTAATGAACAAGATAAAGATACCAACAATATAGACAATACAAAAGACAAAAATAGTCTTATACTTACCCCAGTAAGTATCAGCTAACCAACCACCAAAGATTGGAGTAACATAACACCAAAATTGGAAGAAATAAGATAAAGCAGTGGCACCTTGTTGATTTAATGCTAAAACCCCCTTTGGAGAATCTTGTGGGGAATTTTGCATATAGTTTTGGAATGGAGCAGATAAACCATAATAAGAGAATCTTTCAGCTAATTCAACAATAGCAACCAACCAACATCTTAAAGGAATTTCTTCAGAGACATGTCTTAAAATGCTCATTTCAATTTCTGTTGGAGTTCTACCTTCATCTTCGTCTCTGTTATCAGAGAATTTAAGAGCCTTTTCATCAATTTCCTCAACTAATTGAGAATCTTGTGGAGAACTACTTTCTCTTTCGGAGATATGCTTCTCTAAAGAAGATTCGTAAGGAACCTTTTCAAATTCTGTAGTAGACATAATAATTTTTCAATTGTCTTAAAACCAAGAAAATTAAAAGGTAGGCAAAAATAAGCTAGAAAACAAGAAAAACAATTAAAATCTTAACATAAAAGAAGAGTTTCCGTCAAATAAATATATTTATATTCCCATATAAGTGAAAAAAAGAAACAACCAAAAGTACGAACCACCGGAAAACTTTTTGATATTTTCGTAATTGACATGATGCACAAGATCTGTGACAAGTGGGGGTTGACTACTTGTCGTAATTATCTCAAATGAATCTCTGCCAATCATTCATTAAGGGTAATTTCTCATCTTCAAGTTGAGAGATGGCCGCACTATTATGATGTAATTAAAATAGTCCCACAAACAAGAAGTTTAGTCTAACTGACCCATGTATTTCATAAACTTTGTCCATTTTGGGTGAAAGTAAATGTGTGAGCCTTACGTTCCTGTTAAGGAAAGCCGACGATGCATGAAATTATAAGGCAATTTTAATATTTTCATGTAGGATTCTTTATACAAAAGGAATAAACTTCCCAAAGTAGAATTTAGGCAGCGAACTTTTTCGATGGAACATCAATTCATTGTTGTTTCTCAACATCATATGAAGTTAAAACAAATACATACACCCCTCTATTTACATATCTCAACCTATACTCCTCATTTAGGCTTTGAGAACATCTATAATTAGTATATTAACCTTCGTAAAGTCGATATTTTGAATGAATAGTAGTCATCTGAGTGACCAGCGGCAATTGCTTTTCCTGACCTTAAAAGTTTGCGTTATGCCGTTAAAAAATAATCTCAGGCAATCGTTTTGCCGCATAGAAAATTTCTTTTTTATCATTTATGCCTTCATTTTGCGTTCCATACTAGGAAAAATCATCGGCTCTCTTGCGCTTCGTGTACACTAAAGCCTGATTCAAGGGTTGTGCCACCTCGAAGCCTGGCTGGGTGTATGCATTTCAACGGTTTTTATTCACCTTAAATGCCGTGCATGTTTACATTTGAGGTTCGAAATGATGACTGTCTAATTTCTTTTAGTTTTTTCATTGTCTGTGAACCTACTTGTTAGGTTTGTGTTGGTATGTACCCAAGAAAAATGCCCTAATAACGGCTTCCATAATAAGGCTATAGATTTGAATCGGCCCTTGTTTTTAGTCTCATGTTCTTTTCAGTCACTCACTTAGTGAAAGAGATGTTCCTGTAACGGAACATAGGTACATAGTTAATATGAGATGACTTTAGAATTTGTGATTTGACGAGGATTTGGTGAGATCTAGTACTTCTATTTGTGATCATTTATTATATGAAAATCATCTTGAAGAAGCTCCACATCAATTTTAGGTTAATTACTATGTAACTCAAAACTTTAAATCTATTACAACTTATAGGATATGACCTTATTTATATATCCGAAACTTAGAAAATTTAAATTGAACGAAGTAATAATGATTAGATAAATCCACAGTTGAATAGGCTGATAACGAAAATACGCCATTAATACATAATCGTAACCATAATATCGAACCAATAATTTCGCAAGATCTACGGGTCCGCATGGTAACGAGGATGCTTCCTTCAAAGGCCCGTTACCGAGCCCATATTCAGATTCTCAATTATGTCAAAAATATTGCACAAAAATATAAATTATTTGGCGAGGCTCCATGCATTGCAAAATGTCACTTTTGCCTTAGAGGAATCGTAATTGTACGACTGTAATTTCGAACATTCTGTATAACGGTTATTTTTTGCCAGCGTATTCTATTGAATATATAAAATCTAGAATTCTATAGAGTTATTGATAAAAACTATATAAGGATAACTATAATTAAATTTATCTATTAATTAATTAACTGGCCAGTAACCTGGTAAAAGGAAATGCATCTTTTCTAATAATTCCTTCTTAACACCATGAGTACTTGTACTGACAGAATATTTCATTGAACCTTCTAAATCGTCAGCGATACCAGTACCGTTAGCGAATTCAACAGCAACAACATCAATCAATTTTGCAGCTAATTTATGAGCATTAGCGGAATTAGCCTTTAAATTTCCAACCACGGTTTCAACTGTAACTGGTTCTTCATTTTCATTCCATGAATCATAATCAGTAGACATACAAATCATTTGATAAGCAATTTCGGCTTCTCTAGCTAATTTTGCTTCTGGTAAAACAGACATATTAATGACAGATCCACCCCAAGTTCTATATAATCTTGATTCTGCTCTAGTACTGAATTGAGGACCTTCCATACATATAACCGTTAAATCTTCACCTTTATTAGTTTTTTCTTTAGTATGGAATGTTGGAGTATGTTGTAAATCAAACCCCTCTAAGAATCCTTGAGATGGAATATTATCAGAAATAATCTTATTCAATTTAAGATCAAATGGTTCACCAAACATAGCATGAGCCACAAAACCTTTTTCAAAGAAGGTTGAAGGTCTAATACCTTTAGTTCTATCAATAATTTGTGTAGGAACTACAAAATCTCTTGGTTTAATTTCTGGTTGTAAAGAACCTACAGCTGAAAATGAAATAATAGCTTTAACTCCAATATGTTTTAAAGCAGCAATATTAGCACGAGATGGTACATCAGAAGGTAATAAATCATGATGTTGACCATGTCTAGCTAAGAAAGCCACTGGGAATCCAGATTCAGTTACAGAAATTGTAATAGGAGATGATGGGAATCCCCATGGAGTAGAAATAGTTAATCTTGCCACAGGCTTTAAATTAGGTAAATCATATAATCCTGTACCACCAATAACGGCTAATAAGACTTTACCATCATAAGTATGTGGCAATTGATTAACTGCAACGCTGTCTCTATGTAATGACATCGCTAAATATACTTCTACTACTATAACAACAGTCGTAAGGGTCAATTTGTCATTAAATCAACACCCTCTAACTTCGGCTTCCACTGATTTCTTGAAAATTTTGGGTCGTGTCCTGGGATTACACACATGGGTAGCAGTAAAATGTATGTGGCGTAAAAATACGTCTTGTCTTTTGTCTGTTTACGTAACCTGTAAACAAATCAGATTTATTACGGAGTTACATGTTACACTTAACATGCAAATAGGGCCCATCCAACCTGTAAACAGACTTCCCGGCAGAATTTTCTAGTGATCATAAACATATCCTAACTAGTAAGCAATATAAGCCATATACTTACTATATACACTATTATGTTGAGTCAAACCATACGGAACTCAGTCGGTAGGGTAACCTCCACTAGAGGATATACGGCAGCATTAATTCAATCAAGATTTGTATCATCTAAACCTCCTTCGTGTAAAGATGATTCATTATTAACTCCCCCGGGCAAACTCAGTCAGCAGAGATATGGTAAGTCTAAAGCTAAGGGGAAGAGTGCCAGTAATGTTCAGCCAGTTGAAGGAGAACTTGGGGATGTGTTGAAATCCAAAAAGAGTGCTGGTAGAAGTAAAAGTACTAAAGTGAAGTCAATAAAGAGTGCTGTTAGTGCTAATGCTAATACTAATAGTAATACTAATACTATTAATGGTACTGGCAATTCTAATCCAGCAGCTTCTTATATACCATATTCACAATTCCCTAAACCTCCAGCATCCATACTTAGTAAATCATTACAAGATTTATATACAGATATGAATCTTGAATCTCTTAATGATTCTATAACTACAGATATATCTAATAGCACAAGTAAAGATAATAGTGAAACTAAAATTAAACAATTTGAAATTCCCGATAAGTATCTTAAATCTAAAATGATTGAACAAATCACTAGAAAAGATCGACAAATTGTCGATGAAATAGATAGTCTACTTGATATGGATAATGAACTTGAAATTGCCCAATCTCAATTACGAATTATTAAATTATATTATGATCAAGATACTGAATCTTTTCAACCTATACCAGAACATCCATTCCGTAAATCATTACTGGGAATGCTTAATTTAAATCCTGCCATGGATAATATCGATGATGAATATTTATGGCAATTATTCCCAAAGAATAAATTATTTGGTTCCTTACCTTCTGATCCAGAACAAGAATTAAAGAAGAAATTGGAACAAGAAACCAAAGCGAAACAAGAACAAAATGATAAGGAATACCTTGAATGGAAGAAATCACTTGCAAACTCCAAATCAATCTATGTAAAGGCTGGATCTCGTCGGAAAGTAGATCGAAAATCAGCTAGAAAATTTAAAAAGTTGGAGAGAGAAGGTAAACTTCCAAAACCTCAGGACTTTGATGATAATGACAGCAAATATGGTTGGGATTAAAAAAGTAAAAGTAAAAGTAAAAGTAAAAGAAATAGAAATGGTAAAAGTAGGATTACGTATGGTCTTGTGTATAGTTTAATAATTAAAAGTCTTCATTACTATATAAGTCATTAATGAGAGTGTAGTTGTTTATATATATATACCTTTAACTTATTCAATAATATTTAATTGAACATCACCATATCCGTACTTGTGCTTATTCTCTTCAAACACTCGTTTCAATTCATCCACATAGAGTTTATGATAAAAGTCTAATAATTCTTGAGGGATCTTTGTTTTGATAGTTGAGTGTCTGGGTTTATCACTGTACTTAAATAAATTGGTGAATGAATCCTTTCTTAGTAATTTCTTGACACCAGCTGAATCATGAGTCTCATGTTGCTTTTGTTTTTCCTTTTCCTTTTCCTTTTGCTTTTGTTGTTCATCAAATTCAGGATGTTCAAGTTTATACTTTTCTAATGTTCCTGTAGGAATATGAATGGGTCTACCCATACAAACATTAATAGGATTTCTATAAGGTAAGAATCCGAAATCATAAATAAATACCCCTCTTGCACTAAAGAATGGGATAGTAAATTTAAAATATGTCTTTAACCATTGTTGGAATGCATATCCAAATGATCCTTTTTCTGGTATAGTAAGTTTATAAAGATCAGCTTCTCCAAATGCAAAAGTTGGAACTAATGATACATTACCTGTTTCAATAGCAAGTTTTACAAATCCTTTACGTTTATGTAATACCAATTTAATTTCTCTCTTCTTTTTTGTATCTTTATTATCTACTTGATTAGGATTAGAATCATTAAATCCAATTCCAACATTATTATGTTCACCTACCATATTATTTAATAAAGATTCTTGAGCTCCTCCTACCACAATACATACAGAATTATCTCCATTATTAATTAAACTTTTAATATTTTTAGCTGAAGCACTTGTTAATCCAAGACTTAATAAATAATCTCGATAGAATGGGATAGTAAATTGTGTAGTAATAGTTAAAGGAAATACATGACCAATTCCTGGTAATTGTCGTATACCTTTAGAAGTATCATGAAATAAAGATTTTAAGAATCTTAATGGTGGATGATAAGGTTCATTTCTAATAGCATTAGTTGCAAATAATCCCATACATCCCATAGATATTACTCCATGAGGATGATAACCAAAGATATATCTAGGTCCAGTAGATATTCGTTTAACTTTACCTGATCTTTTCTCTGATCCAGAACTTGAACTAGATGATGATAAAGATGAAGAATATGATGAAGTTGAAGATACTGAAGAAGATTTATCATTACTAGTTAAAGTCAGATTAGAATGATGAGGAGAATGATGAACCGATACTGAATTTAATGAAGTAGTTGAATCATTAAGTCTCTTTCTTAATCCCAATCTCTTAAATACTATATCTACAAATGTTCTAGACTCTTCAGAAATTAAATCTTCTTCATCATCTGACCCTAGATAATCATCTTCAACAAAAACTTCTGTAAATGTTGGTTCAAGATCTACTGACTTATGAAGTCTAATGGGGAAATAATTTACAAACCAATCCCAAAGTACTAAATTAGTCATCCAATCACGGACTCGATATACCACCTTACCATTTGTAGGAGTATGTAAATCAAATCCATACCACCAAATAAAATATGGTAAGATGATGGTGCCCCATACCACCCAACCCAATGATACAGCAAATAAGAATAAACAAATAAAGAATGGAATGCATACTGTATGCCAAATGACTCCTATGGTCTGTAATCTTTGTCTTAATGGAGTGTTCAAAGGAGCAATATGAACAAAGTGTCTTCTGTGTTTTTTGTGTTCATGCTCGTGGTCCTGGTCCTGGTCATGGACATGATCATGATGATGGTCATGTTCTTTCCCATTTTCTTTGCCATGCTTATGCTCTTGTTCGTTCTCTCTGTGTTCCGTAGTGACTTTCTCCTGAGTCTCTGACTGGGTCAGTTCTTCACTACCCCCCTTCCGGTGCCGTATGGTCTGATCTGGAGTTGGTACAGGGACAGCAATAGGGACTGGTTCTACCATACTAGACACTTGCTATATTATATTATATTATATGATATTATATTATGGTATACTGGATGATAATTCTGAAAAATGATTTACCACAAAGTTACTTAAGCGGAGGAGTAAACAGTAAGGGATCCACTGCACTGGCAGGACGTTAATTATATATAGTATTCCCCACCTTTATGAGTATAATTAGCAATAGTTAAAAAAAGGAATTATAAGGTTAGCACAAAGCCGGAGGAGGGTTATATCCCAAAGGGGAAATTAGTGCACCCACATGATCTGAAGGTAGAAGTATAAGTTTGATAAGGTGTGTAGGTGTAGTTATAATAGAAATAGTAATGTACCAAATGTATCGGTAGAAGTAGAATTACTAGTAGAGGTAGTAATGTTGTAGTAGTGGTAGATATATAGGTGGAAGTATTACTGGGAGTAGTGGTGTAGTAGTAGTGCAAGCAAGAGTAATAGCATTACTGATAGCACATGATAATTAATAGTTCTGATAAGTGAAAATTAGTACTGATACAACTGATAACACTCATACAGAGATCCTATATACTTTAAAATTCTCTAATATACTTTACGATTACTCATCAGCTGATTCTTCTTCTATTACTCTTGTCCACCTCAAACCCTAATCCTAATATCGAGGCATACTATTAAGGAAAGCTTATCTATCATACATACTCATAGATAACATATATTGTTTATCTCTTGATCGTATGATAGTGACACACACATATACAATCATTACTCAAGAACTTGTTACAATCGAATGTGTATGTCAGTGGACTGAGCTCATAATCTCGTACCCTCGCTGCCCCTCTACTGATACTGTCTGGGCAAACCAAATTGGTACGCTACATTGTACAAACGGCAACAATGTAAACAGACATATATATTGTGCTCACCGTTATGGTACATAACCACTCATTGCAACATCTAACCACAAATGTGGCCCCTCTTTAGCTTAGATTTATAGTATGTGTATAGTATAATAATATATGGGGACTGGGTCGTGTCCCGCGGCTAGGTATCACCAACTATTTCTTCACTCTCCAAACTGATGTACCAGACGTGTTTTGAGAACTAGGAGCATAAATTCATGAGTAGACCAAAGAGAAAGGCGGCTGATCGTGACGGCAATGATCTGGATTCATCAGATTATGACGCGTATGAAAATAGCTTTAATAGCTCCCATACATTGACTGACAATCACCAACAGCAGTTCTACACGATCAAGCCCAATGTCACCAAAAAGAGTCGACCTGATTTGGCTCATGTGTTCACTGAGTCACTCATGTCTATTTTAAGTCCTAGAGGAAAACGCAATGCGATTCGCAATAATCGACCGCTACTGAGCAAATCGAACTTGTTCATTAATTTATTTGACGGCAGAGAGTCTAATGATGATGTTCGAAAAAGATACGAATTGTTCGAAGAGATGTGGTCACAGCAGAATGATAAGATCAGTGATATCTTGAACAATACTAATAAGCAATTATTCATACATTTACAGCAATTCATTAATGAAACAAACAGTGTTAAGTACAACAAGTTACCAGTAGGGTTCTTGCAATTGAGTTCTAACACCGCCAACAATCTTCGGATTTTGCAGGAATTCAACAAGTTCTTAAGTTCTGAAAATGAGACACATACTGACTACGATTATAAAGTAATCAACATCTCGTCAAAGAACTGCCACAACATCAAGGCTACGTTAAAAGAACTTGTTAGACAAGTATTGAACTCTATTGAAAGCAACTATTATGATGAGAGTGAAGACATTAAGAAAGAGAATAAAGATGAAGAGGATGAAGACGGAGAGGACGAAGAAGATGAAGAAGAAGATGAAGAAGTACATCAATTTCAGGGCATAAATTTCGGGAGTAAGTTGCTCTATGATCTTGATATGGTAGAGGAATGGTATACCAAAGCGTATAAGCTGAAACGGAAATTAAAGTTTGTAATTTTAGTTCAAGATACTAATTCAGTAAGTAATCATGTGCTTAATCAGCTCATAAAGATGTTATATGCGTACCGTTCCACTTTACCCTTAAAGTTAATCCTTGGATTATCATCCAACAATATCAGTAATTGGATCAACGATAACTTCAACAATGAAGTTCGTGTCATTATCAATGGATTCAAGTTTAAATGTAATGATAATAAGATGTTGGGGTATAATATTCTTCAGGAATTATTCCTTTCACAGTCCAGTAATCTTTGGCTTAATTTTAAGACAGCCACCATTATTTTATCACGATTTGAGAATTCGAACAACTCCATTGATTCACTCCTTGCTGAGATCAAACTCTGTTATGCCATTCATTTCTATAGTCTGCCCCTTAGTTCACTAATCCGTTATGATACATCTTCTTCCTTACACATTTCTGGTTTAAGAAAGCTTCCCTCGTTCAAGCGATACATTGAAAGGAAAGTCTATGAAGATGACGATGTTTCTGAGTTGTTGAAGTCTGATAAGACGATTCAAGACTTATTAGTTGAGAAAAGAGAACAGTTTAAATTATACAAGAGTGACATTATCAGCTTGATTACTGTCATTGATAAGTTACAGAGTTTAGTCCACTTCACTGGAAGGAAAGAACAGTTTGAGCTTTATAAGTTATTGATTGGTAATAAGCTCAGTGTGGGGCTGTTTATCAGTGATTTGAGTAAATGTTACAGTGATAGTGTCAACACTAACTTCAAGAGTAACTTCTATGAGTTCAGATCGTTTATGATCTCATATGATACAGAATGTTCGTTGGTGTTGCAGTTACGAGCATCTCTCAATGAGAACCAAGCCACTGGATTTAGTCAGACACTTGCCCAGTTCTTTAATTCACTCGGTAAGATCGAGCCATTAGAAGAATTTGTATTCCATGAAGTGTTCTCAATGAATGGAGGTATCATTACTCACAATTTTCAGCCCATTAACGAAGAGAGTTATGAGAATTTGATGATTAATTTGGTACGTCCCAACTTACGTTCGTCTATTGAAGGTGGGTTAGATAACAGTTCAACATACTTGAAGAACCCCCTCTTTTATCGTCATTTACAAAACAACAGCAATAAACTACACCCAGTAATCACTCTCTTGTTTCGTGTGTACAAGGAGGCTCCAACATCTATCAATATCTATGATTTCTTCATGGCATTTAAACAGTCTTTAAATAAGAAGGATATCATTCAATTGGTCAATGAACATGCTGATAACAATGAATATATTTCGAGTCTTGACATTGAACATAATGAAGAGGATTGGAACAAATTGGCATACGCTTGGTTTGTACAAAACTGTCAGGAATTGATAATGATGGGCTTACTAAAAGAGAAGTCTAAGGGTGATCATCTTGAGAAGGTGGTATGGAAAGGTGTATAGTATAGCATTTATTGTATATAAGAAACCGAATAACCAAATTACCAATTAACTAATTAACTAATTAACTATTTAGATTCATCTAGAGAATCAGCGTCACCGTCTTCGCCGGCATAGAGTCCGCCTGTAGCAGTACTAGCAGTAGTAGTAGCATCTTCAGCTGACGCATTGGCTACAGCAGTAGAGGATGCTGAGTCTTCAGCTACGGTGTTTTTAGCTTGAACTACTGGGTCTTGAGCTACTGGGTCTTCTGCTAATGGGTCTTCTGCTAGTGAGTCAATTATTGAATCAGAATCGTCTGTAACTTCAGCTGCAGGTTCCTTTTCATAGTCATCCGCATACTTCGGATCAGTTCCTTCTTTATCAATGTCTTCTTTCCAGATAGAGTTAGTAACATAGTCAGTAGCTTTATTGTATATCTCGTGGGATTCGTATCTTCCCGAGATGGCCGTGATTCCTAACAACACAATAAAAAGGGCAAGGATCACGAGGATCATAAACCTCAGGGATCGGAATAATCTGCTGGAGATGTGGGTGCTGTTGGAGAATTTGTTGGCCATTGTGGGGTGGTAGTTGAGTTGGTGGTGGTGATAGTGGTGGAGATTGTGGTGATAGTGATGTGCTGGAAATTTATTTGTGACGCGACTGCGAGAATGTTAGCGAGGATTTGCTAAATATTGTTAGGGAGAATTACTGAGTAGTCAGTGCGAATTGACTGTATAGATCGCACTGTAAGTATACATTTACTGTGTTCACTGTATTTACTTTGCTCGTTACTCTCAGTATCACTCTCAGTATCACTAAGTAATTTTCTGACTAGTTTAGTTAGTGAGGATTACTAACAATTTACAGTAACATGATCGCTGTGCTCGGTAAGTCGCTTCCCAGTAACCAGAGCTCTGTCCACTATACAGGGTAGTACAGTGTAGTGTCTAAGAAAACAGTGAACAGAGTACTGGCTTAGCGAACAGTGTACAATACTACACAAATCACTGATAGTCTTACACGTAACTTCACTATACTTCTGAACTCTACAATTCTCCTCTATCTATTACTGTATTATTACTGTATTATTACTATACTAACACGTTTAATATACTATATCGTCTATAACTTCCACCATGGATTCTCCACCTCATCCAACTTCTCATTAACCGTCTGTTGGATCTTTAATAACTGCTCTTTCCGTTTAGCTGCAGCTCTCTTCTTATCCTCTGCACTAGGTTGAACTTGATCTTGTTCACTATATTTAATAGAATACTTTTTAATTCCCTCCTTCTCATCCTTTTCTATCTGGGCATATGATCTATAATCAAAGTCTTCCATCCAGACATCTCCTAATGCATTGAAATATTCTTGTTCTTTAGGTGAATATTCAATTAGCCAACCCTTCTGTTCAGGAGTTTTTGCTGATCCAATAGAACTATAAGCACACCATGTATATCCCGAACAATATTGTCCCATATTAAACCATACTCTATCAGGTTCTCCTAAATCATTTGACTCAGTTAATTTCAAATGAGGTGGAACTATGGCTGCCTTAATGATTAATTTGGATGTGAAAAAAGTTTTAAATTCTTCAAGTGTCTTAATCTTTGTATACCGTTTTTTATGTTCAAACTCATGTTCAAAGTTAATTTTCTTAAGTTGATTACAGAATACATAACCTGAATTAAACCAAAGTAATGTATGATTATCTTCATCATTAATATGAGCTGGATGATTAGAACAAATCTCTTTAGACATGAACGATTGAGCTTTACCAACATCTAAAATACGTTCAGAATCAGGAGTAACTTCACCAATGGCAGCTGCAAAATGATTATTAAATTGAAATGATTCATCACCATACATAGCCATACTTAACCAAAATAATTCTTTGTCTCCATATAATCTGGATTGAATAGGGAGATAGAAATTAAGATGGGCCATAATAAGTGCTTGATTAAAATGACGACGTCTATCAATTAATACAAGTCCAGATTCCATATAATGATTAATATGTTTAGAAAAGAATGGTAAATCAATAGTATTATTGGTGACTTGATTTAATCCAAATACAATCTCATCAAGTTGATTATTCATAAAGTTCTTAAAGAATTGAATATCATAATCAGGTCTAAATTCAACTGCTGATCTATCCTTATAGAATAAAGTACCATATTGTTGATACTTCTTAAGTTGAAAGAAAAATCTAGGAGGTTGAAGTATTACTACATCGGCATCAAGAAAGAGCATTTCTTCAAAGGAATTGAATAATACTGCAAGAATCTTATTTCCAAATCCACCAAACTTACCCATAAATCCATCAGCTATGGTAGGATTTACTTGAACAAATGTTATGTCTTGTTTCTTAAGGCCATGGAAGCTGACAGTAGCAGCTTGAAATACTTGGAATTTAGACTCTGCTGATAATGTGGTGGAGTCATATACAATCTGAATAGGATATTCATTACCCAAATGACGTAAAATATGAATAAGACGAATAGTATTGTCTGTATGATCATCAGCAATGGTAAGGACTATACCTCTTCCACCAAGTTTGGATTTGTATTGTTGAAGAAAAGAATGAGACTTGGTGAATTGTGTATTGGGGATTAATTCATATGTCTTACCATCATGGGTTTCAAAGAGTGGTGATCTCTGACTAAGCCATGGATATATAAGAGTTTCAAGAAAGTGTTCATTATGGTAAGTAGGACTAATCTTTATTTCAGGAATGGTGGAAGGGATATAACTATGCTCAGTTTTACTAAACTCATTCATGAGTTTACGCTGATTTGCAATAAACTTGTCTTGAGATGCTGGACTAGCGAGAAAGCATTTATTGAATACTTTTAAATGGGTAATGTAATCATGTAATACTACATTATCTCTTGCCAAATTGGCTTGAATTTCGGCATATTCCTCCCGAAATTTAGTATCCTGTTCTACTGTAAGTTCTTCCACGTCAGGGAACTCTTTCTTAAGTTGTTCTAAGCACCATTTGAGATAATCATCAATTGATTTATAATGATCTCTATTAAAGTCAAAGTGTTTAGTTGGACTAATTATGGGATCACCCAGCTTATGGTTGGCATATAAGCTGTTGAAGTAAAGGTTACAACGGGAATCAAAGTCCAAGTGAGTTAAGACTTGGTATAAGTGGGTATTAAATAATGAAGCTGTATCGCTAGGATCATCAATAGTTTCAGTACCGTTAGTGAGAAAATAGTTATATACTATTGAATGAACTCCAGGATCATAACGAATGGATTTTTTTTCATCATAATCATATATGGATTTAGCCGGTACTAAATTAAAAAATTTAGGGTATTTCTTAGATAAAAATTTAGTAAAGGAATCAGTATTAATATTTGTGATAGGGGATGGTAAACTTGTGGAAATTCTGGGTCCGAGGTAGGTAATTTGGATCCAGTACCAGGTAGATAAGACCCATAAGAATAGTGCTATTCGAATAATTAAAGTTCGATATTTTCTAGCTCCTGGCTTGAATAGTGACATGATATAATTAGTGAGGATTAGTGAGGATCAATCACGATTAGTGAGAAATTTTAGTGAGATTTACTAAACTTAATGATAAGGGATGATAACTGAATATAATTAGTGAGGATTTAGTGGATCAGTAGATTATCTATCAGTATTCAGGGTAGTTAAAGGTGGCTAACTTCTGTCTCACTATCGGCTATTGGTGCCCACTCTAATAATTTACTGAGCTTTTACCGTAGTTTTTGAGTTTTCTGAGGTTTCTGACTTTTCTTCGACTTCTAAAAAAAAGTTTGTAAATAGAGTATAAAAGTTTCTCACCGTATTCTGCACAAAACCCATTTTTAATCTGTTTAGTACAGGCAGATGCAGGACCATAACCTTATCAGGGGGATGTCGTGTGTTTAAATGACGCGACATGAATAATTACATTTATTTTTAGTGATCACCATAAATAACAATGTAATTAATATGAACAATATATTGTTAATCATCATTACTTAAATTAATCTTTCTTCTACACGTATTTTAATGATAATCTTAAACTCAGATAATATTAATTAAAACTATAAATAGTATAAATAGTGAAGTAGAATTAAAGCAGTATAAATACAGGTATTCGCAAGTTTGACCAATTGCAATTGTGAGGGTGAACTTAACACCAGAAGTTCCAGATTCTGAAATAAAGAGGCTTGGTAGCTAAAATGGCCTTTTCTTCGGCAATCTCTTGTTTCAATAAATCTAAATCTAATTCTCTTCTACCAGTGTCAATATCAATATCCTTGGCTCTAATGAAAAGTCTCCATTCTCTCTTCCATAATTTATGGAATAACCAGAACACAATAACAACTGGTGCACCCAAGTATGACATGAAGAAATCAGAAGCATTTGGTGATCCACCTAATGGCCATAAGGCAATCCAGAATTGAGCAATTAATACTAAAATAATGATAATAGCACCATAAGCAGCACCGTAGACACCAACTTGAGAAGTGAATGATAATTCACTGGTATCTCTACCTTGAACCTTCAAAGCTCTTCTGAATCTAATTAAACAAACATTAATAGATCCCCAAGTGAATAATGATGATAAACCTGATAAAGCTAATAACCAGTTGAAAACATTACCAGATTGATTAGAAGCAGTAATAAAACATAATAAACCAAATACACATTGAACAATAATAGCAACTAATGGTCTACCTTGTTTATCAATGTAACCTAAAATCTTTGGAGCTTGACCAGAAGCAGCTAAAGCAGCTAAAGTTCTTGAAGAACCGTAAACCGAAGAGTTACCAACTGATAAAACGGAAATCATAATAACAACATTCATAACAGATGGTAAACCAGAGATACCAGCATTCTTAATGGCAATGACGAATGGAGAAGCTGAAGCATCAACTGATGAGTTAGAGATTAATCTTGGATCATTCCATGGAACTAATAAACCAACAAGAGTTAAAGAAACAATATAGAATAAAGTAATTCTCCAGAAAACTTGTTTAGTAGCCTTTGGTAAAGATTTTCTTGGATTGGCAGTTTCAGCAGCAGCTAAACCACATAATTCGGTACCACCAAAAGCGAAAGCAGCAGTAACAAAGACTGAACAAACACCTTTGAAACCATTGGAGAAAGCACCTGGGTTAGTCCAGTATTTACCTCCAATATATTCATGACTTGGACCACCACCAGCGGCTAAAATTATACCTAAAATGATAAAACCTGAAACAGCTAAAACTTTAACTAATGAGAAAAAGAATTCAGCTTCACCATAACCTCTAACACCGAAGAAGTTAATAGAACAGATTAAAACATAAAATATAACAACAAAAGCAGCAGAATTGGTAGTAGCATCCCAAAATTTAATAGTAATAGCAGCAGCAACCAATTCTAATGGTAAAACAATTAACCATTGCATAGCATAGTTCCAAGCCATAGAGAAACCCCATGATGGTTCAATAAATCTAGAATTATAAGTAACGAAAGCACCAGCAACTGGGAAAGTAACAGCTAATTCCCCTAAAGATTGAACAGTACAGTAAATCATAGTACCAATAATGGCATAAGCAATAATAACACCGGCTGGACCAGATTCACCTAATGAAGAACCAGAACCAACGAATAAACCAGTACCAATGGCACCACCAATGGCAATCATTTGTAAATGTCTATTTTTTAAAGATCTAGTAAGTGGAGAATTGGCAGTCATGATAGCAATCTTTTCAGTATCACTCAAGTTTGGGTCGATACCTAATTCGGCGGCATCTGCTCTCTTGAAACTATCAATGAATTTGGAGAAACCTTTTAATTCTGGACCAGACTTGTCAAAGGCATCAATATAGACACCACCATTTTTTTCAATGGAAGAACCATCACCGACGGCTGCTTCTCTTGATCTGATATAATCTAATTCCTTTTCTGGCATTGTGAGATTATGATTTGGGTAAGATAATAAAAAAATCTAAAAAACTAAAAATCTTTCAATTGAAAAGTAAGGGTGTTTAACGGGGTATATATATACATAGAATGTAGGGGTGGTAAGGCCAAGTACCTTCTATAATGGTAATTAAATTTAATAAGCCTTAAATTACAATGCAAAACCAAATTTAAAAAAAAAAAAAGCAATAACTGATACGAAAAAAAAAAATAATAATTTAAATCATATTGATACAATTAATACAGATAACTATTTGCCCTTCCAAAAAGATGATAGAAACTATAATCTATAGGTACAATATTAGCAAATAATGGGGTTGTCGAATAGATTGTGAAATTAATTTTTGTGATCATAAAAAGAAATGCATTATCAGTCTTCCCAATTAGGTAGTTGCCAGAGTAGTTTCTTTTTCTAGATGTACTTTTTTGATTTTACAGGTTACACATCCACTTTAAAGTTTTCTTATCAAGGTCCGAATACTCGTTAAATTGAACATGTAAATTAAACTAACCAGTAAATTCTTAACACAAAATAAAAATCGCCGTGCAGCACAAAAATAAAAATATACAAGCTGTGGATCTTCAGATGCTACTATAAGGTCAATAAACTGCTGTTAGGGCTATTTACCTTTACTCCATGCAAAATATTTACACGGCGTATTGACTTTTTGTTTACCTCTGTTGACTTTGATCAATTTACATGTCTCTTATTCATTGTTCATCTGTATCTACATTTCCCCATGTCTTAAAGCCTATGCCTTAAATTTAATCGTCAAGCAAATAAGCAACTACAGTTCATTATTTTTTTGGTTTTATTTATCAACTATCTCCTAGTTTATCAATTTCACTAAACCCCACAGATTTTTTGTTAGCTTCTACTGTATATATTGCTCGCAATTGGACTTTCTTAATGTTCTCAACCCCAATTGGGTTGCAGTGCGATGCGAATGCGATGAGATGAGTTAACCAGCATTTACAGCATAAAATAATAATAAATAATAAGATGGAAAAATGTACTGCCTTATTCAATTAACATTATCTACTAAATAACATAGAAAATAACGTGAAACCGAGAGATAACTAAAAATTAGCATAAGGAGGAGAGTCTATGAATTTTAATATTTGTGCTTTTTGACGTCTTCAATTTCTTTTTAGTCTTGCATTCTTTTCTTTTTTTTCTTCTACTTTGCACTTTCTCTAAGATAAACATACTTGTTAAGAGGCTTTTCCAGTTTACGATTTTTTACAGGTTAATCTATCATAGCAAGGCATTTTTCCTTTTCATCTCCTCATATTATACTGAAATTTACTATTAATATAATTATTAGATATTAACAGATAATCAATAAATTCGTTATTTTAAATCACACAGACAATCATTACAATATTGTTCTAAAACAATTGTTACAATGCCGCTATTTTTATTGTAGGCTAGGAAGCAACTTTCGTATTTGAGTTCCAACTCTAATTCTATTCACGGCATGAAGTTCTCGGTTGGAATCATGAACTACATTGGTCCATTCTGTAGCCTTTATTTTTAATGTACTAATTTCTTCCTATTATTTTCTTTATTGTGGTTGCAAGATCTCCCACATTTGGACACCGACCTTAATATGTTACGAAGAATTCTCTAGTGCGCTTACGCTCCGATATTTATCACCTTTTGTTTCACTATATTGCATATATGTCCTGGCGAGTATTTTCATTCGGTTCGTTGTCTCTTGCCGGTTAATTGTTTGATGAAGTTGCACAATGTTCTAATTAAGCATGAATAATCTATGAGCTATTATTGATATAAAACTCAAGTATTCTTACTTCTCATTAAATAGCTATTGGATGGCGCACAAAGACAAATTCATATAATATCATAAAAGTAAGACCTAAATGTGAAAGTTTCTATCAATGCCACTAAAGCTTTCTGTGATATGGACTAAATAATCTTATTTTCTGACTTTTTCCTTATCTATCACACAAATATTCATCCTTATCTAACAGAGACTTGATCAATTTCTTAGCATAATGAACAAGAACTGTTTTATCTAGCTCATTTAATTTATCTCAATCTGGTTACCGAGTCAATCGCCGTACGTGTATTTCTTCTCTGCATTTGTATTCTTCTTTTACCCTCTTTATGCTAATAGTTGCCTCTCTCAAATAACGAATATTTTTCCATTGAGAAATAATCAACTCGCAACTATCCCTTGACAAAACCAGACGAGAATCACCCCACCAATTTCAAACCATCTGAATGCCATTATTACCATACCTCGTTTGAACTAATCAATCTCTCATTGCCATCTATTAAATTTAATATAGGGCTTAACATGTAAATAACAATTCAAATTCGCTTTATCGCTGTTTGGATTTCCTATCTTGGAGTGCGGTTTACAGGTTAGGTTTTTGTATTAATTTTTCTTAATCGCGATAAAAAAAAAGCCTTCTTGCCTTTCATTCAGCAGCAACAATAAACAGTGCCAATGTTGTGTTGGTTAATCGCTTATATTGAATAATGCCGTGCAGATTAACTCAGAAAATAACCGATGGTCGTCAGTCATATCCACAATTGCACTAGCAAAACTGTATTAGATGTCTGTGAGTCCTATATGGTCCGATTTGTTTTCGTTACCGGCTATTTATTTCCGATTTACAAGATCTAACCCCACAACTTAAAATTGATTTAGCCAATGAAGAAATCATAATAATAAATCATATTAATAAAGTTTGTACTTTGAATCATTTGAAGAAGATATCCTTGTTCTGCTACATGAATAAATTATAAATCCGTGAGCTGGATGACTTGGCATTACTCTTAAAGCAATATCCGTTCTATCTTTACTAGCTACAATTGTTAACTTCTAATTAATACCGTAGTAAATGTATTTCAAGTATATACTATTTTGTGTCAATCTTAATCGTCTACAAAATTTAATTTTAAGCTGATTCTATCCATCTTTAAAAAAGTCTAGTAATTCCCATCTATACAAGTCACAGCTTGTCCACCCACATTAATCAAAACCTTACCTTCATTGTCAGTATCAAGATGTACTGTTAATTTAGCATCACGTCCAATTCTAGAACCTTGATTAAGAAAATAATTAGAATTAGAGTTTGAAATCTTGTGATTATTCAATATTGATCCAATATAAGCCCCAGCTGCCCCTGCACCACTTCCACAGGCTGGATCTTCATTTATTCCTTCAACTGGTGCTAAACTTCTTAATTCTAATGAGCCATCATCGTGCTTACCAAAAATATTGTAGCCAGCCCAATCATATTTAATACTTAAGTTAGCAATTTCAGAATAATTAGGTTCTAAATCTAATACTGCTTGTCCACTTTGTAATTGGAACGTCAACCATTTAGGACCATCATCTATTAATACTGGAGAACCTTCAATGGCATGTGTAGAAATACTCAAAGAATTAGCCACTTCTAGAATTTGATCTTCATTTATTTCAGATGGTTTGTAGTAAGGTAACTTAAAGGAAAGGAACACTTGAGATAAATCTTTAACTTCTTCATCATAACCTTTAATAGTAATTTCAACCAATCCAGCCCCACATTCTTGGATAATTTTATTATCTTTATTGGGTTTTATAAGTCCAGCTTCAAGTAATGAAAAACAAGTACCTATAGTCGGATGACCAGCAAAAGGTAATTCACTTTGAGTAGTAAATATTCTCACCTTATAATCAGCATCAGGAGTTGTAGGTGGTAATACAAAAGTAGTTTCCGAAAGATTAGTCCAATTGGAAATGGACTTCATTTCTGCAGTAGTTAAATGTACTGCATCAAAGAATACAGCTAAAGGATTACCCTTAAATTTAACATTGGTGAACACATCGACTTGTTTGAAAGTTGGCATCTTCAGTTATTTAGTTAAGTTACGTTAAGTATCTTTTAAGTCAATTGCAGATGTAATTAGTCAGGCACCATTTGAGATCTGGTGACATATTTATAATTTATAATTTTTCAACCGATCGCAGTTAACCCCGATTCCTGACTCATATATTGACACACAAGCTAAATTATTACTAACAATATCGGATTAATGTATAACACATGTATCAAACTCACAATTTCACAATTACACTATTTTTCAGTTACTATCTTTTTTATATTGGTTAATTTATAAACTGACTAATAATAGATGTACGAATTAATCTACAAAGTTTAATCTACAATTTTTTTGCAACTCTGGACCAGTCATCAAATTCGGTTTCACCATATTGAATAGATTTAATCCATTCTAAGACATTTTCAGTTAATGGTCCGAATTTATCTCCGGTTGGAACTTTAATATGTTCATCTCTAAATTCAATATTGTTTACTGGAGAAACAATAGCAGCAGTACCAGTACCGAATACTTCAAGTAATTCACCATTAGCAGCTTTTTCTTTAACTTGATGAATAGTGATTTCACGTTCACTAATAATCCATTCATCGGCTGATAATTTAGTTCTGGCTAGTTGTAAAGTAGAATCTCTAGTAACACCTGGTAAGATGGTACCATTTAATGGAGGAGTAACTAATTCTTTCTTATCACCATTCTTAAATACAAAGAAAACATTCATAGCACCAACTTCAGTTATATAACCTTCTTCACCAAAAAGCCACAAGTTTTGGTTATGACCTTTTTTAGCAGCTTGAGTTTGAGGTTCAATACTAGAAACATAATTAGCACCTAATTTATATTGACCATAACCCTTTGGCCAAGCTCTAACGGCATATTCAGTAGCTTCTAAAGAAACTGGCTTAAAGTTTGGTCCGAAATATGGGCCTACTGGAGAAGCAATTAAATATAATAATGCATGATCTGGTTTAGAAACACCTAATCCAACAGAAGTACCAATTAAAGTTGGTCTCAAATAAAGTGAATAACCTTCACCTTGAGGAATAAATTTCTTATCTACTAATAAAAATTGATCAATAATTTTTAAGAATTCTTCTCCATCAAATTCAGGTAATGCAGCTCTCTTGGCAGATCTATTCATTCTTTCCATATTTTTATTTGGTCTGAAAGTTCTAACTTCACCTTTAGAATCAAGGTAAGCCTTCATACCTTCAAATAATTCAAAAGAATAATGGAAGACAACAGTAGCTGGATCAAGAGTTAATGGATGACGAGGAGAGATCTTTGGAGCACCCCAACCTTCTTCTTTACTCCATTCAACTTCAACCATATGATCGGTGAAAGTTTTACCAAAGACTAACTCATCTTTAGGTAATGGACTAGAAGGAGTCTTAGTTAATTCTATAGTTAATTTAGATGCATCTAATGGTGCAGACATTGTGTTTTTATGATCTATACGATTTTGATACTTTACAAATAAATATAATAAAATAACTATAATATACTTATATATATTTGTAGTTAAAGTTCTCAATGAGTCAGTAAATTTTTCGGGCCTATCTTAGTAGCCATACTTTAGCCTAAAAGAGCGAAATTTTTCAGGTTACTCATAAATCTCGGCTATTGAAGGGTAACCTAAATTTATGGACACTAGTTCATTTTAACAGGCCCTTTACAGGAATACAATTATAAAAGTAATATTGTATTTACTTATTAAATTACATAATTACTAGTAAATTTATTATTTATTTAAAATATATGATAATTTATTTACTTCTGATAATCTTCAGGGTAGAAGATTAATCTTTCAACACCTGTAGCTGTTAAAATTACCATTCTAATTACACCACCAGATGATCCATCCCATTTTATGGCTTCACTTAATGCAGTTTTAACGAAATCTACACATTCATCCTTTTCCATAGAAGGTTTAAAATGTTCATTACACCACCCATAAATAAAAGTAGATCCACTACCAGCAATAGCATAGTCTTGTTTATGTATAGATCCACCAATTGGAATAGAATATACTGATCCACCATTCTTAGGATCATAACCTGCACAAATTATACCGGCAGTTAAATTATCTTTATTATTGTAACAAATTTCTTGAAATACATTAGCAGCAATTTCTGTAGTTGGTTTTTCATCTGGTGGTAATTGAGCACTAAATATTTGTAAATGATATTTAACCATATCAGCCACAGCTTGAGTATCGGCAGCAGAACCTGATCTACAACAATATATAGTATCATGAATTTGAGTTAATTTATCAGTAACTCTATTGGCAATATATGAACCGGTAGTAGTACGAGAATCAGCTCCTAATATGACACCATCTTTAAAATTAATAGCCATAATAGAAGTACCTAAATTCACTTCACCCTTTTTCAAATGATTGATATCAACTGTGATTCCATTCATTTCGATATATTATTATATTGGTTATTGTATGGTTTGTATTGTATAATGTATAATTATATGAAGATATTATAAATTGTTTATTCTATACTGGGTAGTGAAAGCAATTGAGAATGTTTGATTAATGCAGAAGATGACTGGGTGCTTGGTTTGTGTATGTGAACGTGACTTGCAGTTGAATTGGGGTGTACAATCGTTACTTTGAGTTGGTGTAAGTTTGGTTGTAAATAATTGCCACTGTTCAGTCATTTTCCACTAACAAATTCCTTCGATTTCTGGTTTGGCAAAAGTCGTGTCAATAGTGCTAAATTGTCACGTGTCTGATCACACCCTTTATTGGATTTGTGTAATTATATCTTTGGAACAGGGGATTTAAATTAGTCTACTGAAATGTGTTAATTTAACTCTAATTTAAAATTATAGTGATTTTGCATTCTATCATGTGCAACTCGACAAATATTGTACTAAATGAAGCTTTACCTGTTAAAGGATCACTAGTTATATCTCCTATATTGCACTACCTAATTTCGTTTCGTTTCAAAGCCATTCTGATCTGCTTTAGGAAACACTCGCTTAATGCAGGTCGCAAATTTTGCTTATCTAACCTTTGTCTATTTACAGTAACAGTAACAATAGTAGTACCAGTAGATATAGTGACACTTGTATTACATACAAAGTTATTTATAATATTGTCATCTTGACTTGTATATAGTATCACCCAAAAATAAACTGTAGCCAACATATAAGCTCGTATGCGTAAACCTGCTCCAAGGATTAGAGGCGGTCCACTTAAAGTCGCTTAAAAAGTTGTACGCTGTAATTACGCTTTATTTTCAGGGCATGCAGATTTTTGTGAAGGGTGTGTGTTATGTGTCGTTTAAATTGATTAATTATATATTTACTTATTAGGTAGATATATTGAAATAGTAGATAGTACCATGCGAAGATCTTTCACCTACTTTGGGTTAGTAGCATCAGCTTTGCTACTGTTGATTTTCATATGGTCAGTATATATTAGTCCACCCACATTGCCTTATGAAGAACAGATAGGCTTAATTGAAGAAGAATTAAAATACATTACAGATGATCCGTTAGTCACTCATATGGTAACATTTGAAATAACACATAAAGAAAAAGTACTAGGTATAATCAAAATGGCATTATTTGGAACTACTGTACCTATTACAGTAGAAAACTTTATTGGTCTAGCTACGAATTCCAAAGGGTTTGGATATCAAGATTGTAAGATTCACCAGATTATTGAAAATTTTGTAATTCAGACAGGAGATTTTGAAAAGGGTAATGGTTCAGGGGGTAATTCATTCTTTTATGACGATAATGATACTACTAATACTAATAATAATAATAATAATAATAATAATAATAATAATAATAATAATAATAATAATAATAATAATAATAATAAATACTTTAGGGCCGAGAATTATTCTATAAGTCATAGTAAAAAGGGTCGAGTATCAATGGCATCTCAAGGGAAGGATAAAATTGGTTCACAATTCTTTATTACACTATTACACGATTCTACCCATCTTGATGGGAAGCACGTTGTGTTTGGTCAAGTAATTGCAGGATTTGATACACTACATGAATTGGATATTATTCCATTAGACAAGAAAAACAGACCTATCGATAAAACCTATATAAGTGATATAAAAGTAATGAAATTACGTATACCTATTGGACGGCTGAGTTCAAATGGGAATCACCACCTGAGTATATAGTATATATGTATGAATTTGTTAACTAAATGTATTATATATTGTCTAGTATAAATGAGTGCGCAAAATTAAATTTTACTACTATGGCCATCACTAATAACTATTACCTATCATTAACACTAGTCGTAGCACACCATGTCTAAAGCTACAGACTTCCCCATAGTGTATGTTAAGAATCTTCCATATAATACATCTACTGAATCCTTATACCAATTGTTTGGTGAACATGGAGCCATAAATCAAATCCGAGTATCTAATCAAGAGCATACTGGTGATTGTTTTATTGTATATCAGAATTTAGCTAGTGCAACTAAAGTAGTTAAAGAATTGAATGGAATCAATTTCAATGGTAGATATATAGTTCTATCGCTTTATTCTGTTGATAAATCTAAACTTGCAGAAGAAGACTATGTTATACGACGTGAAGAGTTGGAGAGATTAAAAGAAAAGTATCAAATTAGTTAGTTGGTAGATTTACATTTTACCTTTACATTTTATATTTTAAATTTACGAACTTATGGATCTATAGAGATGAAGAAATGTGTAAATTAATCATTTCTTCTTTTTGTCAGTAATAGATAAATCAATTAAGGATAACAAATAATAACTAAGTAATCCAATAAAGACAAATCCAGAAATCTTTGCTACTTTAATAACATAACTCAACTTGGTATATTTGAATTTAACAAGAACAGCTAATTTGTTAACATCATCAAATAAATCTTGGAAATGAATAGTTACTTTAGTATGACCCTTTGAAACATCAAGATAAGATAATTCATAATCAACAGTTAAAGATTCAAATTTGACTGGAGATGAAACATTAACGAATTCAGCATTTTCTGGTAAATAAATTGATAAATAAGTATTATTATAACTAGCATCTCTAATTGCATTTAATATTGGAACTCTTAAAATATATTCATCTTCTGAATTATTAATTTGATGTAAGAATTCACCAATATTTTCATTCCAACCCAAGGTAAAATTATAATGCCATTGTCCAAATAATGGGAATCTTGGTTGTAAAATCAAATGATCCTTAATAATTTGATGAGTTGAAACAACTCCAACTAAATCAGTGAAATAATAATCATCAAAGTTGGAAGCGGAACTTGGGATTTCAAGTTGACTTAAAGCCCAATGATTTCTTACAGCTTGATATCTACCTTTAAGCCAATCAACTCTTGAAAATCCAGTTGATAATTGAGCTCCATTATTAGTTATTTCATAATATTCTTCAATTGATAATTTATCTACATTTGAAGCTGGAATCCAAACTGATCTGTTTAAATTATGTACAAAAGTTAATGGTCTATTATGATCATATAATAATCCCATTGGACTTAAAGTGAATGCATCAAGTTCTTCAACAAATGGACCATATTTTAAAGTTTTACCATCAACTACAGGTTTCATATCAGGAGCATTTTCAGTTACATTAATTGCACTTGGATCTTGTAAATATAATTCCATTTCTTGACCTTTTGATACTCCAGTAAATATTAAAGTATAATCTTCAGTTTTATAAGGAGAATAAGCAAATTTATTACCTCTAAATAATAAAGATTGAACATCATCCATAGCGATTTTAGAAGGTAAAGGTTCTAAAATATTAGTAATAACATATGTAACTTTAAATTCAATATTTGAATTAGGAGAAATTGGAGTTGGAAATTTAACTTTATATAATTTATTAGGAATTAATTCTTCATAAGTAACTTCTAAAGAAATTGGATTAATAGTTGAAAATGAAATGAGGGAAATATGAGGAATTGAATCAAATCCATCATTAACTGTAAAATAATATTCATCTTGTGGTTTACTTCCAGTATTAACTGCTTCAATTATAGATAATTCTTTAACATATGATTTAGAAAGATCAATAGTTCTGGAATAGTGAGAATTCTTCCAAGAATTTCCATCTATAGAATCAATCAAAAATGCCTGTGTAACACTGGCAAATAACACTCCCAAGAGAATGGATACTCTGCTCCAATTGACCATCTCTATATGTTATATAATCTATACTGAAGTGGATAAGCTTAATATTGAACTAAACAGGAGTGTATTTAGGATTAGTTGTTCAAACGTCAATTTTTCATATTCCTGCATACACGGCGGCGACAGTGGCACACGTGATTGCTTGTCGTACTACCGATTGGTATCCTATATTAAGAATGTAGTCATTACATTAATTGAAATAAGTAAGGTTTAATACTTCTTATTGGAATGTTGTAATAGGTTCTGATATCATATAATTAATTGGTATTTAAATAGATATCATTTTCATTTCTCTAAATATTACTTTTGATAAGTTTTAGTCCAAATTTTGCTGAAAAGGTATGAAGTCATCTATAGAAGACTGACAAAGAAATCTACCAAAAGCAATACTACAATAATTATTACTAAAGCTTATATACAACAAACATATTTGAACTCATAACAGATATAAAATAGATATTATAATAATAAGAGAATTACAGATACAGATAGATAGATAGATATCTGGTCAGGTGCAAAAGTAACGTGACCAAGAAATCAATTACTGAAAAATAGCCGCACCGTATACGCGTCAGAATTATGGGGAAGGCTCGGCCAACAGCCAATTAAAATTGCTAAATCAGGATTAGCTGCAATTTCAGGACTAGCAATCAACCACCCAGTAGCTGACTCCTTGAAACTAAACTCAAATGCAAAGCTGTTGCTAACTGCAGTTACTCACTAAAGTGTACAATAAAATTCTCAGTAAATGAATGCCCCCATAAATACAAACACATATGAAATGGCACAAATCATAATAACCCACGCCACCTTGCACCACCGAGAGAGGCAAATGGCTGTTAAAACAATTTACGATTTTTTTCTTACCTAACTACTATTCACTATTTACTATATATTATTATTTATTTAGTATATAAACTCCGATCCATACGTTGCCACTCAATAACCCATTCATATAGAGTGTGCTGTAGTTTGTACTTTGTATTCATCTCCCTCTACTTCGTGAATACTGTTACTGTTCACTGTGTACTACATTCTATCCAATTATCCAGTGGCTATAAACATCCACTGCGCTGCACTACTATTTCTGAGGTTTCTGATTTCTGGTGTCTATTTTTGCTTGTGCTACTGCTTCTGCTTCTCCGTCTTGCCATACATTAATTAAAGCTAGGTAAATATTTTTCGCTTTCTATTTTTTTTTTTTCACAAATCGATAAAAAACCATAACAAGAACCTAACCACTACCTACCAGACCAGCCACGGCCAGCCCTGAGTCGATCATTCCTATTACAGTTAATCATATACCATCCGAAACTTATAACCAACTTGTGTGGTAATAGAATCGATACATTTCCGAATAGATAACGACCCGAAACCGCAACGATACGTACCGGAATCGTATAAGTTCGCCAGGTGCTCCCAATCAATATCTTATACTGTACTTTGTACTATAGAAACGATAGACCTATTCAGTTATTATAATAATTATAAGTTAACAAATTAAATTACAAATTATAAATTATAAAATTTAAATTATAAATTATATTAAAAATGTCATTTCATGAATTAATCCCCGTTGTTAATAAATTACAAGATATTGTAACTACAACTCAACTTGCTGAATTAGATTTACCAATTTTAGCTGTTGTAGGATCTCAATCTTGTGGGAAATCATCAGTTTTAGAAAATATTGTTGGTAAAGATTTTCTTCCAAGAGGTACAGGGATTGTTACAAGAAGACCATTAGTACTTCAATTAATTCATGTTAAACCTGATGATCCACTTATTTATACAATTCCAAGAGTTGTATCTAATTATCCAAGTGATTTTTCTTCACCATCATCATCAAATGATGAAGATGGAGAAATTAATTTAGAAGAACATTTAAGAAAACATGTTCATGCAGCAAATGGAGGTAAAGTTAATCCACCAAATGAATGGGGAGAATTTCTTCATATTTCTGGTAAAAGATTTTATAATTTTAATGATATTAGAAAAGAAATTGAAACTGAAACTTTAAGAATTGCCGGAACAAATAAAGGTATTTCAAGATTACCAATTAATTTAAAAATTTATTCACCAAATGTATTAGATTTAACATTAGTTGATTTACCAGGTTTAACAAAAATTCCAATTGGTGATCAACCAACTGATATTGAAAGACAAACAAGAAATTTAATATTAGAATATATTTCTAAACCAAATTGTATTATATTAGCTGTATCACCTGCAAATGTTGATTTAGTTAATTCTGAATCTTTAAAATTAGCTAGACAAGTTGATCCAACTGGTAAAAGAACTGTTGGAATTTTAACTAAATTAGATTTAATGGATCAAGGTACAAATGCTTTAGATATCTTAAAGGGGAATGTATATCCTTTAAAATTAGGATTTATTGGAATTGTTAATAGATCTCAACAAGATATATCTGAAAATAAATCATTAACTGATAGTCTTTATGATGAACAAGAATTTTTTTCAAATCATCAAGCTTATAAATCAATGTCAAATAGATGTGGAACTAAATTTTTATCTCAAACTTTAAATAAAATTTTAATGAATCATATAAGAGAAAGATTACCTGATATTAAAGCAAAATTAAATACTTTAATGGGACAAACTGAACAAGAATTATTAAGTTATGGAGAAATACCTTCAAATTTAACAAATTCAAAAGAATCAAGAGGTGCTCTTGTATTAACTTTAATGACAAAATTTGCTAGTGCATTTATGACATCAATTGAAGGTACATCAGTTAATGAAATTTCAACAAAAGAATTATGTGGTGGAGCCAGAATTTATTATATATTTAATGAAGTATTTGGTAGTCAATTAGCTTCAATTAATCCAACTCATAATTTATCAATTTATGATATTAGAACTGCTATAAGAAATTCAACTGGTCCAAGACCGGCATTATTTGTACCTGAATTAGCTTTTGATTTATTAGTTAAACCTCAAATTCAATTACTTGAAGATCCATCTCGTAGATGTGTTGAATTAGTTTATGAAGAATTAATGAAAATTGTTCATAATGTTTGTTCATCAAATATTGGATTAGAATTAAATAGATATCCAAAATTACAAGCAAAATTAATTGAAGTTGTAAGTGATTTATTAAGAGAAAGATTAGGTCCAACTATTAAATATGTTGAATCATTAATTGAAATTCATCGAGCTTATATTAATACTAATCATCCAAATTTTGTGGGAGCTGCTAGAGCTATGCTGCTTATTGTTGAACAAAGACAAAAGCAAAAGGAATTAGAATCAAGAAATCGATTAAAATTAGCCGGAGAAAGAATTTTAAATTCAAAACTTCGTAATGGAGATGATGAAGAAGCTGATGATGAAATTGAAGAAGATATTAATTCTGTTGATGATGAAATTAAACAACCTCAACCAGTTAAAAATGGTAATGGATCTCATAAAAGATCTGATTCTAATAGAACCAATTTATCATTTAGATCAGAATCAACTCCATCAAATGGTCATGTATATCCTGAATCATTTTTTAATTACTTTTTTGGTAAAGATCCTGTCATTCATCAACAACATTTACAACATCAAGCTCAATTAAATCCGGTACCATTTAAATTCCCCTTACCACAAGAATCTACTTTACAATTCCATACTACTACTGGTAATAATAATCATCATCTTAATATTGATAGTAATCATATTAATAGTCATAATTCAAGTTCTAATACAATTACTAGTCAAACTGAACATTTTAAAAATATGAATTTAAGTGATCCATCACAAGATGATTCAACATCATTTGAAAGTGATGATGCAATTAATGAATTAAGTGAACGAGAACAATTAGAATGTGAATTAATTAGAAGATTAATTGTATCATATTTTGGAATTGTTCGAGAAATGATTCAAGATCAAATTCCTAAATCTATTATGTGTCTACTTGTTAATTATATTAAACAACATATTCAAAATCGATTAGTTGTTAAATTATATAATGAATCATTATTTAATGAATTATTACAAGAAGATGAAAATATTCAAGCTGAACGTGAAAAATGTATTGAATTATTAAATACATATAGAGAAGCTTCAAGAATTATTAGTGAAGTTGTTTAATATTAATTTCAAATCCTCTGTAAATAACGTGTTTAATGTTTTTATTCCATATAATTATACTATACCTATATAATTACCTATTACCTATTACATATTACCTATAACTATAAATATATTATACTTTACTTTACTTGAATTTAATTTATTTTTAACTTGTGTTTCCGATAATTACTTACATCAACTTTGGATATCCTCTTTGTAAAATATTGATAAGATTTAATTAATTCTGAATATTTTATCTTAAACTTATCTAAAGTTGATATATTATTATTATCAGTAGAACTGGTATAACTTAAATATTTATAGATTAAATCATGATCATTTAATGCTAACAAATAATTCTCAAGGATCTTAAGCATTGATAATGTCAAGGCAAAGAATTTAATTACATTAGGTAACACTTCAATTGAACTTGACAGTTGATTGTTATCATCAGCAGAGATAGGTTCTGGTATTGAAGATGAAGTTGAAGTTGAAGTTGAGGTTGTTGTTACTGCTACTGTTGATGAAGTATCAGGAGTAACATCCCAATCATCATGAATTAATAATACATCGAATATTTTAAACCAAACATCTAAATCCAAAAAATTTAAATCAATAAATAAACTTAACCACCAATTAAGAATAATTATTTCAACATCAACATTTAATTTATCAAATAATCCATATAATTTTGAAAGATATTTCTTTATATATATATGATTAACAATTTTTAAATCAATTTGAATTGAACTAAATGATTGATAAAATAATTCATATTTCTTTTCAATTGGATTATAATATCGTGGTAATATTTCTTCAATAATTCCAATAAATATCCAAAATATATCTTCTTCCTTTAAAAGAATTGTAGTAGAATTTGGTTGATTTACAAGTAATAATAAATTAGCCACAAGTTTATTCATCCCTTGATAATAACCAATTTCAGGTTTATAAACTATAAATGCATATAATATACGTTGTAATTTATAAAAATTTGGTCCTGGTTTTAATTCAATTAAATTATTAAAATAATAATTACTTGGTAAAGTTCTATGAAGATCAAGATTAATTTGTTCAATATTTTTCAGAATAATTAAATCATTTTCAATTTCAGATTTTGTCTTTGATCTATTTAATAATTCTTGATATTCTCCATTTACACAAAGATTTTTCCCGTTAGAAAATTCATACCATAATTGATTTCTATATTTAATTAAAATTCCTGATTTATGAATTAATCCTAATAATTTAATATAATTTGTTTCATCATGTTTTACAAGATTTAATCCCATTAATCCATACATTTCTAAATCTTCGGTATTTGATCCAATAACTCTATTTTTAATTTTATTAATACTTCTAAAGAATTTAGAATCTTCATTATTAGATTGTTGAAATTGTTGAAGTTGAAGTTGTTCTTGTTGTTGTTGTTGACGTCGATAAAATTCTCGATTAATATCTCTTATTAATAAATCCCATTCATTCTCAATTTGTTGATTGGTTATATCATGAGTTTTGGATATTTGTCGTAAATGATTAATGGTCTGATTTATGGGATTCTTATTTTGAATTAAAATGGCTATACTATTGGATAAGCTATTAGATGATTCATCTGAAGATTGCGGTGGTGATTGGGTAACTGGTGGAGGGGTTGAAGAAATTGTTGTTGTAGTGGTGGTAATATTATTTAAATCATTGAAAAATCCATACTTATCAATATTAATTGCCAATGAAGGATTTGGTTCTGATTCTGATAAAACTGAAGTATCAGATCGTGACATACTTTCTAATTCAACCGGTACTTTTACATTAGTATGAGAATTCAAAGTAGTATTTTCATTACCATTAATTGGAGGTGTTGATGATGACCGTTTCAAATGGGGTAATGATGATGATAAATCATCAGTTGAATTATTAAACCATTTAGTCAACCAATTAGAAGATATGGGTGATGGACTTGATTGACTATGGTGATGTATAGTTTGATTTATTATGGGCAATTGTGAATGTGTACTACCCAAAGTTGGCGCAAGAAGATCATGTTCATGAATTGTTGTGATCGATTTTAGTGACGATACACTCGATACATTCTTAGTATTATGATTATTAGTTATCGTATCATCATTGTGATCATTATGATTATCATTGTGATCATTATTATTATTATTATTATTATTATTATCATCGATTATAGGTTGAGGACGATTTAAAGATACTGCATTACCTTCATTATCTTTATCCATTTCATTCAATCGCTGATTGATCTCTAACGTAGATAAATTACTAAATTCAATACATAACCGAATTAATTTCTGTTGTTTTATAAAATTCTGTTGTTGAATTAATACTAATTCCGATTCTTTCTTAGATAATTCATATGATAATTGTTTAATTAATTTGATTGGATCATTTCTATACTTAAGTTGTATAAGTCTTTGAATTTGAGCCACTTTTAATTCATGTACCTTATCACTATGTTCATTATGTTGATTAGATGCTGATGTTATACTAAATAATGGATTATCATCATTGTCTAATGGGAATAACAGTTCTGTATTATTAGTAATGGGATTACTGTAATTTCTATTTCGATTAGATACACCCATTGCTATATCCCGGCCATTGTTTCCACTTTAGGTAATGAGATTTCCACTGGTTAATTATAGAAATTATAGTGGTATTGTAATTGGAAGGGTTCCAGAACACTTCTGTTTATGGAATTCTTGTTTATTATATTGTACAAAGTCACGCGACCATGCACCTGACCCATTTGCACGTGCAGCAATTATTATCAGTCTCAGTCGCATCTTATCCCTTAACTATTATTTTGTGATCAAAGCGGCTTGCAGTGGTGTACCTTAATTTTTAACACACAGCCTGATGTATTATTATTGGTCTCTCATAATATAATATTATATTATATAATAACAATGACAATAGAACTATTAAATAAATATATATATATAATTATGACATAGGTTTATTGTATGTAACAAATAGTTATGAGTTACTTAATGATTTAACGATTTGCAAGTACATATATTTAGTTATTAATAGTTTACAATGTAGTCATCAATAATTTTACATTAGCTCATAGCCTTCTATCGTCTATAATCATAATCTTATTGGTGGATGAACCTATTTGAACCCTTAAAATCATTGTCCCTAAAACAAGCTTTCTCACTTTTAGATCAAAAAGTTTCTCAAGTCAATTAATAGAACAAAAGATATTATCACAAAAAGTTATAAAATATATAACGATGTGTGCAGGACTCTTGACATGTGTCCATGAACTAAATTTATATACAAGACCTTTATACATTACCGTAGTAAGTTGAAATTATTATTTATGAATCGTTCCAGTAGCAAAGATATTTTTTATAAAAAAAAATCAGTTTTACTTTTACCTTTACTTTTACCTTTACTTTTACTTTTCACTGTGATCATATATACCTGTTAGTTTGTAAAGTTTTTCATCAGATCTGTTTATGAACTTTTTTTAAAGTCACGGCATACATTATACATTTTATTAGTAAAACTGCTAGTTTCAGTAACAGTTTGAAGTGTGGTTAAGTACCAAAAAGTAAACTAAAACTTAAATCAAAAACTAAATTAAAAACTCATATATCATTTTCATTTTCATTTTCATTTTCATTTTCTTTTTCATTTTCATCGTCATCGTCATTTTCATTCTATCATGTTAAAAAGGGGACAGATTTATCGATACATTGTGGTAGCAGTTGTTATCATCCTTTTATATAGTTTAAGTTTTATCCTTCCCTCAGCTCCGGGATTTCAATCATCTCAAGATGTGACAATTTCTCCTAAATTACAAGACCTTAATAGTCGAATTGAAGAAATGAAACAAATATCTAAGGCAGGTCCAACACCTCAACATGATCTTGACGAATTAAAAAAATTAGAAGCAGCTCAAGCATTGGAATTAAGATTACAAAAAGAAGAAGCAAGCAAAGCTCAATTAACTCCATCAAAAGACATTAATCAAGATAAAAGAGTAAAAGCAACATTTGTTACTTTAGCTCGTAATTCAGAATTAAAAGAATTAATTAAAGCTATAAGGCAAGTTGAAGATCGTTTCAATCATAAGTTTAACTATGATTGGGTATTTCTCAATGATGTCGAATTTACTCAAGAATTTATTGATCATACCTCAGCTATGACTAGTGGTAATACTAAATATGGTCTTATTCCTAAGGAACATTGGTCTTATCCTGATTTTATTGATCTTGATAAGGCTGCCAAAGCTCGTCAAAAAATGAAAGAAGAAAAAATCATTTATGGTGATTCAGAAAGTTATCGTCATATGTGCAGATTCGAATCAGGATTCTTTTGGCAAAATGAATTATTAGATGAATATGATTGGTACTGGCGTGTGGAACCAGGTATTCAAATTTATTGTGATATTGACTACGATGTATTTAAATTCATGGAAGATAATAATAAAGTTTATGGATTTACAATCTCAATTCATGAATTCTTAGCTACAATTCCAACCCTTTGGGAACATACCAAAAAGTTTATCAAAGAAAATCCACAATATATTGCTGAAGATAACTTTATGGATTTCATAAGTAATGATGGTGGTGAAAGTTATAATTTATGTCACTTTTGGTCTAATTTTGAAATTGCCAATTTGAATTTCTGGAGATCTGAAGCTTACAGGAAATACTTCGAATACTTAGATTCTACAGGTGGATTCTTTTATGAACGTTGGGGTGATGCTCCAGTTCATTCAATCGCTGTATCGTTATTTTTACCAAAAGAGAAGATTCATTATTTCCATGATGTTGGTTATAATCATGGAGTTTATCATCAATGTCCATTAAATACTCAATTCAGATACGATCATAAGTGTTTATGTAATCCAGATAATGATTTCACATTTAGAGGTTATTCATGTGGTAAGCAGTACTATAATGTGATGGGATTAGAGAAACCTATCGAATGGCTGAAATACCAATAGATAACATTTTATTTGCATACAAACAAACCTTTTACTTATACATCTACGTATTCATATTCATAAGCATCTCATAGATATACTCATCTAGTGAACTATCATCAAAAGTTTACAAGTCACGTATAAGTAAAATTTATAGACTGATATTTAATACATGTACAATATAATATTATTTATGTCACTGTTACAAAGTAGTCGCGAAATAGTGAGAAGAGCACATGACGTAATTTTACTAAAAAATTAGCGGAGAATTTCATTAGTAGCTTATGGTGGGACGATCATCAAGATAAGAACAGCGAATAACTAAAACCACCAAAACTACTAGTTCATAAACTAATAATCGATAACTAATTAGAGGGATAAAGATGGAACGAAATTACATAATTACAATAAATAATTGGAGAAGCTTTACATGTAAGGGATTTATATGTTAGGGATGGAAATGTATAGTTTTTAAGGCGCAACCCGTCAAAATTGGAAATTTACTATTCACAATGGAACAGGGATATAATTTCTGTTTAAGGGTCCTTGTGATAAATGTAGGATTTCACCTTATTATCAAAATTTGAAAAAGTGAAATAACTACTTAACTATCGTATTCTTTCTCTTGCTATTGTTTAGGGATATAAAATAATTCAACGAATGAAATTTAGTGATTGCCTGGTCCTGCACACACGGAATTGGCGAATTTACGCGTTTTACATTGCAAAAAGGTCGACGTGTTCTCTAGCCAGCACAAGACAAATGTCACCGAAACCAGATCAACTAATGACGAAACTTTAAAGGAATAACTAATAGCTATCAGGGAAGTGTCTATGATAATATGTAGGTACCTTATAGTTAAGTCAAATAAATCAGCCATTCATATAAAGTGGGGTATTTATCATGACTTACACATCATCATAATCATATGTAGACCCACATATAATATCTCACTATTGTAATGTAATACCTGCACAAAACCAATTAATACGACACTGTGAAAATGCAAAAGAAGATTCGCATTATCTATATCTGGTTGAGATTGATGATTATACAAATTGTACATATTGTAGGCTAGACTTACCAATAATTCTATATATCTTTTAAAAAAACATATATATAGTTATCTATACTGTAGTATGAATAGTCCAATCAAATCGCACCACTTCTGTATATACTTGGCTCAACTTTAATACTTGCAGTGCATATATAGTCTACGGATTTACTGCTATAGAAAAGTTAGACCAGCTAAGAAAAAAAGTGCAATTATTAACATCCATACACCCATACTTAATAAGCAAAAAACGCCATTAATATAATTTAAACCTGTACGTGAACTTTTTGACTTTGTAACCTAGAACACTTGTTCATTTCTATCAAAGCACTTGTTAAAGAATATCAGTGGAATTTTAAAATATTTTATATTAATTCTTCTTTCTGCTTTCTGTTTTCTTTTTGATTTCTATTCGATTTCTCTTGTTCTTTATCGAGAACTTGTTTCTACTTAAGTATACTTTCGTTAGTTTAGTTGTCTATCAGCGTACATCAACACCGCTAATCACTCCCTCAAAAAACCAGGCCCATACACGCACCAGCCTCCCACTTTTTTTTCAATCTTTCCCGTAATCAGCAAGTTTTACTTAAACAATTCAACTTCATCTTACTCTTGCTTGATAGATTGATCAAATTTCACCTATAGACTAGTTAATTAATCATCAAATAATCCAATAAGTTTATTAATCAACTAATTCATTATTAATTTTACTTATTCATTGATTAATTATATTCAACACGTCTTCCCCATCAAAAACAATTATATTTGTCCAAAATGGCTCCAACTAGATCAAACGCCCGTCTCATTAGATTCGGAATTTTTGCTTTTATTTTAATTGTATGTGGGTTCATTTTAACTCAAGGTTCATCATTTTCTGCTAGTACTGGTTCTCAACCAGCTCAAGTTAAATCATCTCCAATCGCAGCAGCCGATACTGGAGATGTTGGAAAAAGAAAAGGTCCAACTCAAAAACTCTTTGAAAAGGGCAGCGCTGAAGCTGAAAATCAAAAATTAGATGTTCCAGCTAATTTAGAATGGTCTGAAAAGGATAAAATTAAAGCTACTTTTGTTTCATTAGCTAGAAATCAAGATTTATATCAATTATTGGAATCAATTAGACACATTGAAGATCGTTTCAATCATAAATTTCATTATGATTGGGTTTTCCTTAATGATCAACCATTCGATGATGCTTTCAAGGAAGCTACTTCCAACTTATGTAGTGGTAAGACCAAATATGGTTTAATCCCAACAGAACATTGGTCTTATCCTGCTTGGATTGATCAAGAAAAGGCTGCTTTAGCTAGAGAAAGAATGCATCAAGCTAAAGTTATTTATGGTGGTTCTGAATCTTACAGACATATGTGTAGATACGAATCAGGATTCTTCTGGAGACATGACTTAATGAGTGAATATGAATATTATTGGAGAGTTGAACCAGATATTAAGATTTACTGTGATATTGATTATGATATCTTTAAATGGATGAAAGATAATGGTAAGGATTATTCATTCACTGTTAGTTTACCAGAATATAAAGAAACTATTCCAACTCTTTGGGAAACTACTAAGAAATATATTGAAGCAAATCCAAAAGTTTTAGCTGAAAACAATTTATTAGAATTCATTTCTAATGATGAAGGTAAGACTTATAATGGATGTCATTTCTGGTCTAATTTTGAAATTGCCAATTTAAATTTCTGGAGATCTGATGCTTACAGAGAATATTTCGAATTTTTAGATAGAGCTGGTGGATTTTTCTATGAACGTTGGGGTGATGCTCCTGTTCATTCTATTGCTGCTGCTTTATTCTTACCAAGAGATAGAATCCATTTCTTTGAAGATGTAGGTTATTTCCATGTTCCTTTCACTAATTGTCCTGTTGATCCAGCTATTAGATTTGGTAGAAACTGTAATTGTAATCCAGATAAGGACTTTACTTGGAGAGGATGGTCATGTACTACCAAATATTATACTGTGAATAACTTGAAGAGACAAAAGAATTGGGAAAAGTATACTTCCTAGTTTAGTTCTTCTTTAACAGTATTATTATTATTATATTATTATTATATCAAGATGTTATATAGATTGACTTTTTAGCTTTCTCTACTGCTAGTAATATTAATAAAATCAAGAATTGATATATGTTTAAATTGAGTAAATGAGTAGAGAATGTATGGCTTATTATGACTTAGTTACCGCATAAACTATTTCAAATGCGAACTTTAGCCTTAATTATGACAATATTACTTAGTTAACGTTCTTGTTCTATACACAATATTACTATTTCAAAGGTATTAACTAATACTAATAGATTCATAGCTAATGGCTTAAGTCCTTTAAATGTAATTGCAAATTTTTAGTGCGATCTGCAATGCATATCCGTAAACGGTAAGAATCATATCCCGAATCAGAGACAGGAATAGAATCAAATACTAAAGGATTTACCGAAATTTATAATACTATTAAAGTTAAATTACTTTATATAAATATAGTAAAAGAAATAATACTTATGCATTAACCTACTCTTTTACATTATTTAGAACTTATTGCCTGATAGTAACAATAAATTGTTATTAATAATTCCATAATAGCAAAACTTTTTTTGGTGCATTGTTTCAGGTGTTTCAGATTCCATTACATTGTGCTTTACTCGGTAATAATGTCAATATTACCAATAATATTATAAATTTATTCATTTCGTGTCATTAGTTCTTCTTTAACTAATATCCGAAGTCAAGTCTTAATCATTCACTCTTTACCTCAACTCTATCCACGTAAGTTGACAACAAGCTAACTGAATATCTGTATTTTTAGTAGTAGTGCACTAAATATATCACGAGAATTCTAATACTAAATCTAAATCTAAAACATTTCAGCTTGTAACATCTTATTACTCATACCCATTTCAACCATTTAATTTCATATTTATATTTCATATTTAATATTTTATATTTTATTTTATTTTATTTCCATTATACTCAATCATACTAAGTGTTCCAGTTCATAATGTCTCAAAGTTCAGTAGATATACCTCCAATCACTGTTAATGCTTCAGTATCTACATCTCCTACACCTTCTCAAATAGTTGCTCCAAGTCAATCACCTTCAAATCCAAGTAGTAAAGCAACCACTCCATCTTCATTATCCATGGCCAATAGAAAGAAAAATAGACCTAAATCTTTAAATCTTACCAATAAATCTCCAACAAATAGTGATCTTGCTCTTCGTATAGTAAGTCCTGGTATACCATCACTTAGTCAAGAAATGAAATCAACTATGATTAAATCTCAAAAAATTGAACTTCAACAAAGACATCTTATTGCTTCTATTAACAGTGCTGGTACCAATGGATCAAATCTAATTTCTTCCCCTGTTTTATCAGATGAAAGATCATCTCCATTAATATCTTCAACTTCTTCTGCTCCTACAATCTCAACTACTGCAAATACTACTTTAGGAAGTAATTCTGGTTCTAAGCCAAGCTCATCTACTATAGCATTTAATAATACAAAAAGATCACTCGCCCATATGGCTGATGAGCTAGATATTCATTTAAGTACGAAATCAAATTCTAAATTGACTAACTCAAAAAGATTAAAACGAGCTCAAATTCCTACACCACTTGTATTAAACCCATCATTAAATCAAGATCAACAACTTCATCCTACTATACAATCAGCTCCTATCAGACCACAAGTTCCTGGAAGTCATCTGAATCCTCAACAACAATTCCCTAGAGCTCGAACTGCCCAAACTTATGGGAGAACTATTCCTCCATTTAAACGAGTAGGTGCTGTTGGAGCAAATTCTTCACAATCCCAACTCTATGGTTATCCAGCACCTCATCGTATTCAATATAGGCCGGTTCCAAATACTCAAGTTGTATACCTGAATTTCCCAGTACCTTATATGTCAAGTTACCCTATTATACCATCACAATATGCTCAAAACCCTTATCATCAAGATTATCCAAGGCGAGCTGTAGTTCCTTACACATCTGTTAGTTCTCAGTTTCCTCGTGGTGTAAGATATGTTTCTGCAGCTCCTGCTAGTGGAAGATTTGCATATCCATCTCACCCTATAGCACAAAGAATTCCAAACGATGAAACTGAAGTAATTGATGTTGAAGAACTGGATGAAACACCAGCAAATTCTAACTACAGTGATTCTTCTCGCATGGCAAAGCTGTTTTCAGTCACAGATGTTTACCATGGTGACATTTCGAAAGTTGCACCTCTTAACTCACAACCATTGTCCGCGCAAAGAGAATTCTTTAATAAAGAAGAAGTTGAAGTTATTAGAGGACCTAGTCACGAAAGTGATGAAAATCATGCCGATGAAGGAACTTTAAATGATGATGATGAAGAAAATAGTGAAAAGCAGGATGATGAAAACGAAGAGAATATTCATGAAAAGAAGAGAACAATCCAGTCTCAACAACAACATCAATACTATTATCATCAACAAAGACATCATCTAGGTGGTGGACCATGGAGTAATGCCACACCCGCTACTTCATCCTTGAGATATCCTCAGTCAGTAGGTGTTAATAATCAATTCGAAGCAATTAAAAACGGTGAAATTTTTGGATCAATAAATTTGATGAATGAAAGTATATTTAATTTTAGAATTTTTAAGAACTCTTCGAATCATGATGATGAAGCAGAAAATGAGAACGAGAATGAAAATGCAAATACAAATGAAAATACAAATGAAAATGCAAATGAAAATGCAAATAGAAGAAAACAGAAGTTAAATGTAGATCATGAAGAAGAGATAAGTGAAGAAGCCGAACAAGACAAAACTCCCCCTCTATCACCGGAAAGAAACTGGCTCTTAAAAGAGAAAGCAAAGTTTTTAAAGATTTGTGAGACTAGCTGGGATAAATTTGTAGAATCTAAATTCCTAGAAAATTCAAATACTGCAACTTCGACAACAGAATTGCCTTGATCGAATTTAAGTTAGTTAAGTCTTTTGTTTTTTATAACACGTGCCTCTGATTTATTTATATTATATTTAATGTACATAGATATAGAATAAAGTAAATGATATCTAATAGAAATTGTACAGTGTCCCCTCATTATCTAAAAACGGTCGCTTTGATCGTAAAGATACCCTAATCGGGGCTTATTCAAATCGGGTATGCTGCAGTAGTTAATGATTATATCCGCAAAAAGAGTCACTAGTGGATTTACTTCCCAATTAGGCAAGTATGACTGTCTCGGTTTTCGCTGCAAAAAAAGATTTTTGCAATGGCTCCCATCAGTCCCATGGCGAAAATTGTTATTGTTTGAAATCATTGAAGAGTAAGAGTCCTATAAGAATCCATTCAAATCATGCTTTTAGTATTATAATAATTGTTGTTTTGTCTTTAATACAACAATTACAAAATGAACCAAATACCGTTGTTAGGAGGTTCTCCCTTCCAAGACTTGAAGTCAAATAGAACAGAAAGCCATTGCTCTCTTGTTGCAATTATAGATCCGTTATACAACAATGAATCAATAAATCCTTGTTTCATAAGGTCTCTTATTTTTCATATAAATGTTCTTATAAGTATCATTGGTTTATTCCAACTATTAGGAATCCTCTTTAAGAGGAAATACGGTAAATATAAGATACCTTTTGCTTTGGGGAATTTATTTTCAATTAAAAATGTTGGATTACTTCAACTATTCAAAATAAGTACAGTTGTATTTCAACTAACCATTTATATCATATTATATGCCAATGTTTCTGGATTCTTGAACCTATTAGGTGTAGGTTCAACCATACTTTGTATTACATTAGTAATACTTCCCTTACAGATCATTCAACCACTGAGAAATGTTATTTCTTGTGCATCTGTATTACTTTATTGGATATTATCCACCTTCATCAATATTACTGTTTTGATGATAGACCGATTTTTCAAATATAAGGTCTATACCAGAGAAAGTGGTTCGAATTTTATTATATTATTGGAACTAATCTTATTCATAAATTCATGTGTTATTTATGTATTAGAATTTTCCTATTATAGACCAACTGAAGAATTATTAGAACTTTATGCTATTAATGGATGGAATCTAAATTTTGAAAGAAATATTTTCAATGAATTGACATTTTCTTGGTTAAAAGGTATTATTGAAAAAGCTCATAACTTGAAATCATTAGAACATAAAGATGTACCTCCTATCCCTTCTGGACTAGATATGAACTCTTCTTACAATGACTTTGAAAAAAATTGGTCCCATTCATTAAAATCTGGAGAATCTTCTTTAGCAAAATCTTTGTTAAGAACACATATTTTAAGGACATGTTTTGGTGCTACTGTTGATATCTCCCAGGTGTTCTTTGGCTTTGCTCAAACTTTCTTATTTCAAAGATTTATTATTTGTTTCGAATTAGCCGAATCAACTCAAACTGAAAATTCTTACATCGTTGGTATTGCTATTGCTACAGGTATGTTCTTATGTACAGTTTTAAGATACTTTCTTGTGAACATATATTATTCAAATTATTATTCCATTAAATGCAAGCTTCAAGGGTCATTAACAAATATGGTGTACAGAAAATCCTTGAAACTTTCTCCAAATGCAAGAAAGGAGAAAACCACAGGAGAAATTGTGAATAACTTATCAATTGATGTTAACACACTTTCAGAGTTACCAAAATTAGTAGAACTTGTTACGGGTTTTATTAAAATTGTTTTAACATTGTTGTTTTTGACTAAAATTTTGGGTGTGTCAGCCTTGTCTGGTTTCATCTGTGCTTCTATTTTGGTTCCTATTACAACTATGGTAAGTACTTCAATTTCTTCCCTTTACAATAAAATAATGAACATTAGAGATGAGAGAACCAAGCTAACTTCGGAGATTTTATCATCTATAAAGATTGTTAAATTATATTCTTGGGAACAATCAATGACGGAAAGACTTTTTCAAATAAGAAATAACAAAGAGTTGCCCCTTGGAAAAAGAATTGGGATCTTCAATGCTTTATCAATGTTTTTATGGTCTCTTGTACCCTTTTTTGTACCTTGTGCTTGTTTTATAACATTTGCATATGTATCTTCAATACCTTTGGTCCCTGCAATTTGTTTTCCAGCTTTATCACTCTTTGATATTTTATCATTCAATTTACTCATACTACCAGATATACTTTCCCAGTTTGTTGAAACAAAAGTTTCCTTAAAGAGATTAGAAGATTTATTTTTGTTAGAAGAGTTGGAGTCAACTAAGTTTAAGAATTCATATGGTCCATTAGAGCCTAATGAAACTTTGGTTAAAGTCAATGATGGTGACTTTTTGTGGAGTAGTGAAAAAAATTCAAGTAATCAATCAACTGAAGATTTTGCATTGAAGGGCATCAATTTTGAAGCTAAAAATGGTGAATTGACATGTATTGTAGGTAAGACTGGATCAGGTAAAACATCCCTTCTTAGATGCTTTCTTGGAGAAATTCCTATTAAGCAAAAGAGTGGTTCAAGTGTATCATTTAATGGAAGTATTGCTTACTGCTCACAAAGTCCATGGATCATCAATGCAAGTGTTAAAGAGAATATTCTATTTGGTTACAAATATAATAAGAAGTTGTATTGGAAAACATTAGAAGCATGTCAACTTGTGGCAGATTTAGAAGTTTTACCTGATGGTGATAAGACGATTGTTGGTGAGAAAGGTATATCTTTAAGTGGCGGCCAGAAAGCTAGATTAGCTCTAGCCAGAGCAGTTTACTCAGGGGCTGATATATACATTTTAGATGATATACTATCTGCTGTTGATGCCCATGTTGGTAAGAACATCATTGACAGAGTTATTGGACCGCAAGGCTTATTAAATAAAAAGTGTATAATTTTAGCAACCAATTCTATAAAGGTGTTAAAGGAAGCTAACAACATTATCCTTTTAAAGGACGGAAGAATAGTTGAAACGGGAAATTATCAAGAATGCAAGCAAAATAATGGTGAACTTACAAGTTTAATTGAAGAGTTTGGCCATACTGAAGAACAAATAAATGAGACAACCAGTGAGGTACTAGAGCATACTGCTTCCTACATCCTGACTCAAGACGATGTGATAAGACTTGATGGTTCTAATGCTGCTGAAGAAAATTTAAGGGAACATAATATCGAGAGAAGAGGAAGTCAAGAACAAAGAAGACTCAGCATGGTATCTTTAGAACATAACTATGAAGATGATGATGGAGTCGAGGAAGAGCACGAAATAGAAATAAAAGCTGATATTCACAAGGAAAAGAGTAACAATGGTGGAATTAACTTTTCAGTTTATTTGCAGTATTTTAAGGCTTGCAATATTTGGTCCATTTTGTTTTATGCATTGACACATATCGGGACTATGTTGGCATTGATTCTGTCAAACTATGTCTTAAAAAACTGGTCTGAAGAGAATTTGAAATTTGGATACAATGCGTCACCATCGTACTATCTTTCCCTCTATTCTGGTTTGGGTATTACTGGGGGATTATTTGTTTTAGTGGGATGTCTGGTATTATGTATATTTAGTGTGATAAGGGCATCAAAGTATTTTCATGATACAATGTGGCATAAGGTTTTAAGATCTCCCATGTCATTCTTTGAGGTTACTCCTGTTGGAAGGATATTGAATAGATTTTCAGATGATATTAATCTTTTGGATGATCAACTTATTTGGTCTTGGATAGGTCTTGCTAATTATGTAATTGAGGCCTTTGGATTTTTAACGGTTGTTATTTATAACTTACCTATTATGGTAGTGGTAATTGTGATTCTCTTTTTCATTTATAACAGCATAAGAATGTACTTTATACCTGCAAGCAGAGAGTTGAAGAGATTAACAAGTGTTAGTAAGAGTCCAATATTCTCTCACTTACAAGAGTCTGTGATTGGAGTCGAAACTATTAGAGCCTATGAACAAGAGGAAAGATTCATTAATAATAATATAGCAAAAGGAAGTTTGTTATTAAAAACCATGTATGCTAGTCTTTGCTGTTCTAGATGGTTGTCATTGAGATTGCAAATGATGTCTTCAATCATGATATACTGCACTGCATTGCTGATAGTTTTTACAATTGGAACTACTTATAAGTTGACTCCAGGTTTGGTCGGGTTTGTAATGATAAGTGAATTAAACATTACAGCACTTTTGAATTCTATTATAAGATGTTGGGCCGAGGTTGAAACGAAATCTGTGGCAGTAGAAAGGATTATAGAATATTGCAAGTTAGAACTGGAAGCTGATTCTATTATTGAAAGCTATAGACCTAATTGCAGTTGGCCTAATAAGGGTGCAATTTCTTTTAATAACTATTCAACAAAATATAGAGACAATTTAGAACCTGTTCTTCATAATCTATCCTTTACTATTAAACCTCAAGAGAAGATCGGTATTGTTGGTCGAACTGGTGCTGGAAAATCCACTATTGCTATATCTATTTTCAGAATAATCGAAGCCTACAACGGTAATATAGAAATTGATGATATAAATACATCAAGCATTGGACTCTATGACTTAAGACTGAAACTAAATATTATACCACAAGATTCTCAAACCATTGAAGGAAGTATCAGACAGAATCTTGATCCTTTTGAGAATCATTCAGACGAAGAATTATGGAAGGCTTTAGAGTATGCTCATTTAAAAAATCACGTTGAAAAGATGAAAACTCCAAAGAAAAATTCTAATGAATCTAGTATTGAGTATGATGTAAGTTTATCAGCCACTGTATATGAAGGAGGTTCAAATTTATCATCAGGTCAGAAACAATTATTGTCATTAGCTAGAGCTCTTTTGAATAAATCAAATATATTGATTTTAGATGAAGCAACTGCTGCTGTTGATGTTCAAACTGATCAAATTATTCAAGACACTATACGATCTAAGTTTAAAGATAAGACTATTATTACAATTGCACATAGACTAGAGACTATCCTTGATAGTGACAGAATAATTGTTCTTGATAAAGGAAATGTTAAAGAATTTGATACTCCACAAAACTTGTTAAATGATAAATCTTCTGAATTCTATTCACTATGTTCTAAAGCTTCAATTAAAATTTGATAGTTAAATTAATAATAATACTCATATAAGTATATAAAATATAACCAATAAAATCTACTAATATAAAGAAACAAGATTTGGGTCATATAAACAAGTTGAAATACTAAGTAATTGTTTGGGAGGATATTCACCCTTGTCTTTTGGAGGGTCTAAGGATGAAAACATTTGGCATAATCTAACAAGTACATATGAAGCTTCTGTTAAAGCAAATTGTTGTCCCAAACAAATTCTGGGTCCACCGTTGAATGGTAAGTAAGCCCAACCTAACTTTCTAGTTTCAGGTTCAAACCATCGTTCAGGTCTATATTCATTGGCATCTTTACCATAGAACTCCAGAGATCTGTGAGTTGAATAAATTACATATGCAATTGGTTGACCCTTTCTGACCAATACTGGATCTTCACCCAAGGGTCCACCACCTCTTGGTAAAGTTGTATTCTTATTTGCAAAACGTCCATTTCTAGGAACAGTTGGATACAATCTTAATGATTCATTAAGAACCGCTTTTAAATACTCACATCTCTTTAAAGATTCAAAGGTTATTTCATACACTCTACTTTCATTACCTAATCCAAATTTATTGTCAACTTCTTCTCTTAGTTTCTTCCAAATATCTTTATTTCTGCACAATTCATAAAATGTGAACGATAAAAGACTTGCTGTGGTGTCTCTGCCAGCAAGTAAGATGTTTAACAATTGATCTCTTAATACTTTAGGATTCCTAGTTTCTTTGACTAGCTCATATAGAAAGATATATTGTTCCTTAGAAGCCTTCTCTAATTCTTCAGAGCTCACGTTGAGAGCCTTATTAACATAATGATCAGCAAATCTATGTACTTTCGCATTGGATTCTTTAAACTCTTGTGGATTAATTAAAAAATAAAGATCATTGAGCATTGCTCTCTTAGCAACATATTCTTGGGACTTATTAAAAGCATTAGCAAAATCTCTCCTACCATCAAAATTATCTTCTGGGTCAGTAAATCCAATAAATGAATCTTTTAAGCTTTCAACAGATTGACCAAACAAAACTGCTGTTGCGGTATCCACAGTAAACCTAAAGAATAATTCCTGGATATCAAATTCATTTTTATTATGTTGAACAATGTGTTTTGCAAGTAATTGAATGTGTGGTTCTAAAGCTTGAACATGGCCTACTTGTTCTTTTGAGAATTGTGGTCTTAGCATAGCTCTTGAATGCTTCCAACCTTCACCATCCAAGGTGAAAATTCCTTCACCTAACAAAGGATACAAGAATGCACTTCTTAACCCAAACTCAAAATCATTAAATTGAGTTGCAAGAATTGCTTTTATATTTTCTGGATCTTTAGTAAATATAATATCAATTCCCACAGCTTTCGTAGTAAGAGTACCAATTTCAGGATGATCTACATTCTGTAATACTGAATGATAAAACTCAACATATCTTCCTTTTTTTCTTTCCTTCTCCATTTTAAAGGGTCTCGTTATGCCATAAAAGCCATCTGATACTTTATTAGTGAAATCTTTGGCTCCAAATTTTTTCATCAATTTCCGTATCTTGAAAGATTGGTATACATTGTAGATTATCACCAATAACGGTACGAAGATATACCACTTGAGTAAAGCAGCAACTGACATTATATATTTGGAGCTTTTGTTTAATCTTCTAGCAAACAATTGTGATATTTATATATTTGGGAAAATATTTATTAATAGGGGTACACTTGCCAAACAACTCCTCCTAAAAATAAGTGTATGTTATAGGGGTATGATTATATTACCAATGGGACTTTGACTCTGAATGCAATAAAGTACTCAAATATTTGATCAATATATAGGATTTCGGATTAGTATAGCATCTTTGATTAAGTTTTATATAAAGTAATAAGTCAACCTAAATAACATAGCGATAAGCGCAAAAAGTGTGGAGTCCTCCGAATGATACTGACAAATAAATGCTTTTGAAGGTTTTTATACCTTTCTTACCCGGATTCTGAGTGATGAATGATTCATACATCTCTTACAAGTTATTATATGATTTATTAAATAATAATTAGTAGTTAGAAAATATTTGAAGCTAATACTCTTTAAATACCTCTTGTATCAGGATATTAAACCAGCCTGAATCATTAGTTTGATGCAGGTCCTGCACGTTACCTCATTATTCTGAAACACTATTTCTAAAACCTGTTGCAAAAACATTACGCTTATGCGTATTATTTTTCACACACACTATCCCATCTGCCTCGTAACATATTAATTCCCAAATTATTCACTTTTATTAATCGCTATTAATCATTATTAATCATTAAACATTCTACGACAAACTAACTATATAATACACAATGCATCTTAAAGATATAATTAACACAAACGATGCTGTTGCAGCTTTGACAGGACTCGAAGAATTCGAACCTATCCAGATTCACTTGAATGGAAAGAACAAGTACGCTGATCTAGTGGACAAGTTAGAAGAGTATTTAAAGAATCCAGACATTGTCGAAATGCACATGTTCTTAAAAAAGTATAAGTTTGAAAAGGAATTTCTGAAGCCTGACTTCTTAAGAATTGTCTTGAGGGCAAATAACTTCCACTTGCTCACTAAGTTTCAATTTGAGACAACAAAAGATCTAATTGATGTAATACTCAAAATCGAGAAAACACTTCTCTTTCAAACAGAAAGTTTCAAATTTTTCAATGATTATTTCAAATTTTCTATACAGATGAGTTTAAAGCATCCAATTATATCAAACTTACCCAAGGCAGAAGAAAAAGAAGAAGTTAATGCTAGGGATAATGGTCCCGATGATGATCCGGTTCTTAAATTTGATACAAAGTCTTCTGGGCAATTTAGTTCTAGAACTCCTATCAAAAGTCCTCTAGTTAGAAGTTTATCCCAGCCTACATCTGAAGAATCCAGTGTAAAACGTACAAAAAGAACATCAGGGTCACCTCTAAAGTCTGAACATAGAGATAATGCATTGAAATCTTACATTGGCTTGCTATATCCCGACTCAGAAGTAATTGACTTTCCTGTAAATGAGTTCAGTGATCTTAAACTAAAGACAATTCCTCTGGAGGGAATAAGCAGGAGGTTACAATTTGAAGTTCCATCCACTTACAATGAAATGGATGTACAAATAGCTGCACAAAAAAATATCTTTGGTATTCCATCTATTTATATTCTCAGTGATACATTGACTGGAGGGACTAGGTCTATTACCATAAATGAGAATAAATTAGAAACACGGCCGGACTTGGAGATTAAGTTAGAAAAGGGTCTCATTCCAATTGAGATCAAAAAGGATTCAATCCAGAAGAATTTAGATTATTTTTATGGCAAAACTTCTATCAGGAAAAGAATTAATTTTCTAGAGATTTATAGTCAGGGTGTCAGAGAGGCTCTCTGTTGTGGTATAAACTGCTTTTTCCTAAGTGATTATACAACGACGTTATTTGTCGAATTCGATACAGTAGGTGGATTTCAAGAAATTGAAGGCTGTACCATAACCAGGCCCTTGGTTGGAAGGATTATACATATTGAAGAAACTAAAGATTCTGAATATTCAGCTAATTTTCATCTATTCCTTCTATTGAAGAAACTTCAAAATGAATATATTCAAAGGAGTGAAATTCTAGCAAACTTACAAAATAATGGCTTGTATTTTACTACTAATTCTCGAAACATCATCGTTAAACTTTTTAACACAACCATTGAAAAATACTATAATGTGTTGTTTAACCAAAAGAAATCCCTTAGTATTCCGATTCCTAAACAGAAGGGTACTCTTCCCCGAAATATTCTTCCCCGAAATATTCTTCCCCGTAATATTCTTTCTTCTGCCAATATTCCTATTGCTACTTCTCATTATGATTCAGTTACTTCCAATAATTTAACTTCTGTAAAGAATGAGCCTATTAATGTTGTTAACGACTCGATTCCTTTTCATGATAGTTCAGCTACTTCCAATGATTTAACTTCTGCAAATTATGAGTCTACTAATGTTGTTCCCGGCTCGACTTTGGCCATGAATTCAAATTTTCCATCAACATTTAGTGCTGGCTCTCATTACTCGTATGGTCCAATGATTGATGAATTCGCATTAAGTACTGATCCAGATAGATTGTTTTCAGCAAACCCTTTTCTGAAAGTATATACAGAAGTTGCAGAAAGGTTAACAAAAGGTAAAATTTGCCAACATATGAGTATGAGATCAATTCATTCTGAATATAATATTATATCATTCATAAACGGTACAGAATTCAATACAACGGTAAGTATTGTGATAGAAATCCAACATATCCGGACTAAAGTAAGTTATATACTCAAGGTTATAGATCCGATACGATCACTGATTTTCACCACCAAGCAAAGCATACTTCGTGCTTCTTATCAAAGATGTTTAAAGCTTTTCTATAATGAAGTACAGGCACTCTTGAGGTTGAAGGAACAGGTATAACTCCAGAGCTACAACAGTACGGTTGTATTAAAGATGGAAGCATTGATACTTATATTGAAAACATTGAAAGTTATATGACAAATAGTGATCTTGCTGGACCCATTCTTCCATTATCCGGGTTTTATATGATAATGGAAAAAATAAATGGAGTTACATTAAAAATGTACTCTGGCGATGACAAGAATACCATCTATAAAAAAGCAGAAGATCAACTTAACAAAATGCATGCAAAAAATGTAATTCATAAAGACTTGCATAGCGCTAATATACTTATTGACAACAATAAGAATGTTAAATTCATTGACTTTGGTCTACTGAGTCTGCCATTAGAAAGATATGAATGGATCAAGAAACGAAAAGAGGATATTAAACATATAATTAATAGGATTAAAAGAAAATCAAGAGTTTGGCGATTAAAACCCACAGGTGATGAAATCAAGGAGCATAGAAAAATGCTAAAAGAAGAAGATCATTTACAACTAAACGACGCCTTTAAAACGAATCCTCCACCAGCTAAAAATGATATACAATCAAAATTGATGAGCAAAGACTTCAAGGACTTAAAAAAAATAATGTTCAGTGATATTTGAAAGTCATTAGATGGAAATTCATATACATTAAATAATATATATAAATATATAGTACAACTATTTAGAAACCGAATCCACCTCTAGCATATGCCATTGGTTTAAGATCAGGATGTGGAACAGCTTCGAATGTTTCATATTTAAGTGACCATGGACAATTTGGATCATCTACATTTCTGTGACCATCCCCATTATCTTTTTCATTATCGTAATCATTATTTTCAGTAATATGAATTACTGCTCCTAAATTACCACTTTGATCAACATAATTTGGAGCACTGAATACAGTAATTAATCTTCCATTATGTTCAATTTCATAACCTCCCATTCTAACTTCATGAGACCTTATCACTTTTCTAATTTTATTAGTTAAACAGAATCTTTCTGTAATATCAGGTCCAAATTGCATACCTATACCTCTCTTTGATGGTCCACGACCGTTATGAGTTTGAGGATCTGTCCATAATAATTCCATAGCAATACCTTCCTTAGGTGGTTGAGTAGCTCCTGAAATTGGGAATCTATTATATTGTTTAATGTCTTGTAAAGTGATTTTATCATCTGAGAATAATCCTCCATGCATACATAAATATGATTGATTAATTAATGTAGATAATGGTAATGCAGCAAATGATTCAGTAAATACATCAAATACTTTTTTAGAATATTTATGTTCACATTCATCAGCAAATCCATAAGTCTTGTTCATATCGATTGTTTCATGATTACCTCTATTTATATAAACAGATTTAGGGAAAATAATCTTTAATACATATAAATATAATGCCACTTCACATGACCATGAACCCCTATCAACAAAATCTCCATTAAAAAGATAAATATGATCATCTGAAACATAACCAAATTTTTCAAATAAATTCAATACATCGTAGAATTGACCATGAGTATCACCTACAATAGTAAGAGTTTTACCATTTTCCAATAAGATTTCATCTGAAGATTTTGATGGAGGAATTTTAGAATGAGGTAAAGATATTTCTACCATAGTATTTTCATTTTTAAATAATTCGTATACTTTTGCAATTATAGCAAAAACATGCTTTTTAGGTAATTTATCTCCATTTTTAAAAGCTTGAATCATATATTTTAAATAATCAATATTTAATCCATCAATTTCTACATGAACATCTGAATCTTTAGATTGTTTAGTAGCATGAATAATTAATTCAGGTCCTGTCCATGATTTTTCAGATTGCATAGAATCATAAGAAATACTATTTATTACCGTAGTTTTCTCATCTCCAGCTATAGCTCTTTCAAATGCTTGCTTTTTCAAATAACTTGTACATTGCTTATAATTTTCTAAAGTTAATTTATCATTAGGTAATTTAGCTAAAATAATTTTGAAGTTAGCTTGTGCTTCTTTATATCTTAAGATAGCCATTAATGATACACCTTTTCGATAATATGCCTTCATCAAATTTACATCCACTAATAATGCTTCATCACAATCAAGAATTGCCGATCCATAATTCTCTAATTTAATGTGAGCTTGAGCTCTATTTGAATAAAAGATAGCATTAGTAGGATCAGCTTCAATGGCTCGAGTATAACATTCTATGGCTTCTTCATATTTGTGCTTCATTAAAAACGCATTCCCCTCATCCTTAAGTCTTAAGGACTCCTGCTTATTATCGGTAGTCATACTGAACTTATCATTACTATATAAGCTATAAAGATATTTCACACATCTAAATTTTTTTTTCGAGCTTCTTTCGAAATCTTCGCTGTCGCACTTTCCTAAAGGGGAAGTTGATCATAATATATACAACTACTACTAATAATAATATAATATATACTAATAACTTATAAAATAATTATGTATTAAACAATATATGTGAGAGATAGATAAAAAGAATTGGAATAGAAATGTATATATGTAAGTTTTTAACCTCTGATCCTTAATCCTGAAGCTTGAGCACCAATTGAAGTAATTTCAGTAATTCTACAAATAGTCCCCTTTTCTTGAGGTTTATATTTAGCATTGACTAATGCTTCAGTAACATATTCATCTCCTTTATATATTGGAGTATAACTAGCAGCACAAATATCAAATTCTGCATATGGATCAAAATCAATATCAATAGCATCACTAGCAATAGTATTTGATCGAGTTTTAATTTTTTGAATTTGTTCAGCTCTAGCTCCAGTTGAAGAAATCTTTAAGAATTCTCCAGCAAAATAGGCTGAACTAGCATAATTTTTATTTTTAAATGATTGTTTGGCAGCAACTTCTAAGGCATTAAGTTTATGAGGTCCTTGAAGTTCAACTCTTGTAAAATATGCTGCTAATTCCAAATTACGTTTAACATCATTAGGTGATAATGTACGACGTTCAAGTTCTATAGATAATCCAAGAATGTATTCACGACATAATGTCAATATTTCTTTACATTTAGTTTCTTCTTCTTCATTATCTACTGTTATAACAGCAATAGTATAGATTATATTTCTGAATACTTCAATGGCTTGAACCAAATTGTTTTCTTTGAAATGTTTAAATCCCTTTTGTAATTCACCTTCTAATCCTTCAAAACCAGGAATTAAAGGTTTAAATCTATTAGGATGATCTTCATCATTATCAGATCTAATATAATCTCTCATTGGAGGTAAATCATCAAATCCTGGTAAATATAATTTAGATGCTAAATAAACTTCTTGGAATCTCTTTCTTAATGGTTCAAATTCATTGATACCTAATTGTTTATTTAATAAAGTAGCACCTTGTTCAAATGAACCAGCAGCAATAAATCCGGCAGCAGTCTTAGCATTCTTTAACCAGAATCCGATCTCTCCTTCTGCTGCACTAACTACTGGAAGATTTTCTTCAACTGGTATTTCATCATCTCCAATATCTAATTCATCCAAATCCCAAGCTCCTCCATCTACATCTTCTAATAAATCTTCATCATCAAATTCAACATTAGCTTCTGCATCAACAAAGGCGGGATTTTCTTCTTCTTCAATTGGAATATTGGCTTCAACATGTCCAGTAAGTAAAGCTGATTCAAAGAAAGTTAATGAAGATTCCTTTAATGGCCAAGATTCAATTGGATTTGATTTGACGGTTGGTAAAGTCACTGGATTACCAATTTCTGGTAATTGAATTGAACTTTCTTCAATATCAGCTTCTTGTAAAATTTGATCAGCTAATTCATTTAATCCATTAGATTTAGCCAATACATAAGCAAGTTGATAAGCACCTGATTGTATAAATACTTGAATCCTCTTTTGAACATCATTACTATATAAAGTATTTTGAATTAATGAAGAAATATCTCCACGATGTTCAGCAACAGTACTCATTTTACCTAATCTTTCTTTATCACCTTTATATAAATAAAGGAAAGATAATTTTTCAAATAAATGTAATTGTTGATAAACTAATTCAACAATTTCCAAATTACCTTGATTTAAAGCTTCTTCACCTAATTTTTCCCAAATAATATTATTATTTAATATTTTAGCTTGTTCTAAAGCTACTTGTAAATTACTACATTCTAAGGCTAATTCAAATCTTGTTTCAGGATCTTCAACAAATTGTAGTGCAACTTCTGGATAACCTTTCTTTTGTAAATAAGCAATAATATTTTGTCCAACTAAATTGGAATTTTTTATAATTCTTAATACTTCATTAAAATTCTTATTAACTAAAGATTTCTTAAATCTGTATTCTGTTGGATCAATTGTAATAACTTCAACATTACCACTTCTATTTAAACAATAAACTTGCTTTTGAGATACTTTAGTAATATATAAAGTATTTTCTAAAGTTTTAATAATTCCATTATCACCATTTAATAAAGTATATTTAATATGATTTAAAGTAGAATATAATAAAACTCCTGAATCATCAAAAGCAGCACTTTTAATTCGAATAGTTTCATGCATTGAAGTAATTAAATCCAAATCTTTTGTTGCAAGAGTTATAGTATGTTTTGATAATAATGCTAAATTTTGTCCATCATTTGACCAAGCAACATATTTAACATTATTAACTGAAATTTCTGATAATTCTTTTCTTTGTTGTACATCATAATTAATTACTGAATGACTTTTAATTAATAAAACTCTTCCAGGTCCTCCATATAATACATCATTAACAGAATTATCTAATTGAACAGTTTTTGTAATATTATTTGATAAATCTTTAACATGTAAAGTTTTAGAAGATTTAATAAATGTTGCAAATCTATTACGTGAAATAAATCCAGCAAAATTTCCTTCACCTTGTCTAACGTCAGTTGGTTCAATTGCTCCAGTAACATGCTTTGGTAAAGAAATTAAAGCATAATTAGAACTATCACCTTCACCATAAGTTACTAAAATAGAATTATCACTTTGATTATAAGATAAAGTTCTCATAAATGACCAAGTTTTACCAATTTTTTTTAAAGATAACATTGGTAATGATGCTTGATTAGTTTGAAAATCATAAGATTGAACTTGCTTTTCAGAATTAACATAAAATAATTTATTAGCAAATATTGTATGAGCTGGTCTTTCTCTTTCTAATTTAAAGACCATGACACCAGTATCATGACAAGCAGCAAATAAATTAATTGATGGATGAGAAGCAATTAACCAGAATCTATCATGTTCTCTCCTAAATTGTTTAATTGGAACTCTTTTATTTAAATCCCAAACTCTTATAGTTTTATCATCACCAACTGAAAGAATTAAATCTTGATGAGGATGAAATATAGCACATAAAACATTTGAAGTATGACCTCTACAAGTATCAACTTCCCAAGCTTTTGTATCACTCATTCTCCATAATTTAACAACTCTATCTTCACCAGCACTAACAATTAATGGTAAAGTTGGATGAAATGAAGCAAAATTAACTCCTTTATCATGACCTTCTAATACATATTTAACAATAGCATTAACATTTCCAAAAATATCTTGTTGAGGTAATTGTTGTCTTTGTAATTGATCTTCAAATGATCTAATTGAAGATGTTGGAGCTGAATGTTTCTTTCTTAAACCAGAAATATCCCAAACTCTAACAGTTTGATCTAATGAAGCTGATACAATTAAATCTTCAGTTGGATGAAATGATGCAGACATAACATAATGATTATGACCAGTTAAACAAGCAATTTCTTGTCTATTTTGCCAATTCCAAATTCTAATGGTTTGATCATCAGAACATGATATAATCCAAGGTAAATCACGATGAAATGATACGGCTCTAATATAATCTAAATGACCATTTAATGTAAAAATACATTTTCTTGTATTTAATGACCAAACTTTAATTGAATAATCATCACCACCAGAAACAAATAATGGTTGAGTTGGATGAAAATCAACACATCTTACGGGTCCAACATGATCTTCAAATCTATCAATTAATGTACCCATACGATAATCCCATAATTGAATAGTTGATGAATGTAATGATACTAAAACCCAGGGCCTCTTAGGATGAAAGGCTACTCCTTTGGCCCTCGAGGATTTAGATTCAAACTTAGTAAGCATCTTCATCTTGATACTACTACTACTATTTTCTTAACTATTGAATTAAACAATGCAATTCACTAATTCTAATTCATCAACACCTCGTTGATTTTTCATTCTGATTCGACTCGGTGGTCAATTTGTTTGGGAACTTTTTTTGGTGGGACACGTCTCTCTCTGTGCCTGAATGTTTTATTGAGTGTCTGTCGGTGTCTTTCTATTTCTCATGAAAACGACACCCTTGCCGCAGTACTTACACTTAAAAGTTCTACATTCGGTAATATACATATTTACTAGGAACCATAAATCTGTTAAATTAAATAGAAATTGAAATAAAAATTGAAATAAAAAGATGAAAGTATGAATAATGATCATATAAACTTATTTATTACATGAAAAATGAAACAAATCCGATAGCCATAGCACCAACTAAAGCTACAATACTACCAACAGCACGAATACCAGAAGCAGATGATGATCCACTACCAGAACTACCACTTGATTTTGAATCAGTTGCAGTTTCTTGAGAATTTTGTACAAATCCTCCAATTCCACCATTAGTATTATAAGTAGTAGTAGCTTGTGCCTGATTATCTCCTCCATTAGTAGTACCAGCTTCAATTGCTGGTGGACCATTAACAGTTTCTTGAGCATTATTAGTAGTATGAATAGTAGTCTTTGTAATTACTTTTGATCCACTAGTTGTAACAATAGTAGATGTAGTGTTTTTCTGATTAACTGGTTTATTATTTTGAGGATCAAATCCAGTAGCATTAGAAGCACCTAACCAAGTTTGTTTATTGGTTAAATAAACACTTCCTTGTCCACCAGCAGTTGAATTATAAAGATAGGCTTGTAAATCACTAGCATTTTTTGAACCTTGTAATGGAACATTAGGTGGTAAATCATAAGCTTCAACAGTAATGTTTTGAACGTATGCATAATAATAACCATACTGTTGAATATCTTGAGAATCCCAATTAATAGCACCACCAGCCCATTCAATAGTACCTAAACCATTAAGAGAATCACCACCAGGCCATAAAGAAAATTGAATTCTTGAAGGAGTTTGAGGGTAATTATAAACTTTAGTGGTTTCATTATAAGTATCATTTTTATTTAATGTACGAACTTTTTGACCATCAATATACCAACTAAGAGAATCAATTGTCCAATCAATTTCATAAGTATGATAATATTCAAAAGTATTAGTAGTTGAAGAATTTCTAGCATTGGTATAATTAAGAATACCTTCATAATAGAAATTGGTTTGAGGAGCTGTTAAATTATAACCAAGAAATTCAAAATCGATTTCATCTTGAATATCGGAGAAAAGAATGAATGCAGTAATAACCCCAGCATCATGAGATGTCTTTAATGTAGCACCAACTTTACCAAACCATAAGTATTTAGTTGAAGATACAACCGTACCAGTAGTTTCATTTGGCATTTGTAATAATAAAGCATTATTATGACCAGCAACCCAACCTGAATATACAAAGTCAGCTTCAGATGCATTACCTAAATAATCAGTTTGAAGTTCAACATTATTAATATCAGTAAAATCATAAGAAAAACTGTCCATTCTTGGCATAGGCATACAAGATGATAAATTAAATGAATATCTAATATCACAACCTCCTAAACAATAAGCTCCAGTACCACATTGACCATATTGAGAACAACATGGATATTCTTCAGGACATTGACTAGTTGTATTACAATAAAAGGTTTGAGGAGTATCAGCCAAAACATGTGACAATAAAGTCGAAAATATTATAGGAATCAAAGTCCATTTAAATGATTGTGAAATAAACATTTCTTAATGAATTTGTTAAAGCGAATGGCAAAAATTATATACTAAATATGAATGTAATAGGAATTTTATAATGAATTAAATAATGATAGTAATGGATAGATGATTTTAATTATCACCGAATCCGAGGAATAAAAAAATGATATACTATTTAAACGATGGTATTTATTGACTAACCGATAAAGAGAAATGGTAAAGCAATGGAATAGAAATTCTGATGGATTTCTTATATGGTAATGAGTCCAGATCAGGCTCGAAACGAGTCTGAAAATGATCGCGAAAATTTTCATCTTTTCTTTTTCGGTTCTTTTTTTAGAGTTATTTTTAAACACACGTAAAAATTATTGACTTTTTTCCCTTTTGGGAAACCAAATTGGTTTTTATTTTTAATTCCTATGTCTTAAACTAGATCTCTCAGGGCTATGGTATTGCAACCACTTTTAGTGCAAGTACTATTGATGGAGTTCTAAATTTGATAATGGTGAGGTTCGGCTCGTATGTGATCCGATAGTCAAGTAGTCAGTCTTACGAATATTGTATGGTTGTCATGTCCAATTTCTAAATGTTTGTACAGTTCCTACTTTTTCTGCTACTTTTATAAATTCTAAAAATATTGGACTTTCTCTTTTTCCATCATATTTGTTATAACACTCACGGTGCTTTACATTACCTCTCGCCATACATGTCCATTCTAATGCAATACTTTTAAGCTCTAGTCCTCTAATTCTTAAATCGTTTATCATTCTTGCCCCAGATTCTATTTATAGAAGGCCCCCTTTTTGTGAGATATGGCCGCACTCCCATGTTAATCATCCTAGCCGCAATACTTAAATAGTTGCAAAATATTTAATTATTTATTTAAATTGAAAATACCACCTATCTTAGTTTAAAGAATCTAAGATTTGCATCAAACCAATTAACCATAAAATATGAACTGTTTTAATAACTTTTTCATCATCAGTGAAGGCCATTGTAATTAGACTCAATAATAATGTTAAAATGTTAATACATTAAGACCACATATTAATGAAACTAGATTCCATTTCTTGTCAGCTACACCAAAACAAACACCAAAAGCTTTAGTTGATGATGCAATACCAGCAGCAAATAAGGAAATGCGTTCGGATTGCTCAGTCTGTTTAAGATTAACATATAAGATGGACTAAAATTGATTTTAAATCATAATCTGCCGTCGATCCTTGCTTTCGGCTAGTAATTCCTTGAGCAAAGTAGAATTTATTAAAGTTATTTTATACATTTAAATAATACCTATATATTTAAATTTATTAAGAATCAAAATTGTAGAGTACATCAATAATAAAAGAAATATAGTTCCTGTTAATAACAAAATATTTAATAATCACAATCAAGTATGAATCAAAGTAAAATTACAATACCTGCTGCAATAGCTAAACCAAACCCACTAGTTAAAGTGCCAGCACTATTAAAAATAAGGATATCTGTTGCGGCGGAACCTGGTTGAACAGAAGAAGTAGGTGTCTCACATACCGTATCACATATTGTAGTTATAAATGTACGAATTTTAATTTCACTTTCGTCTCCAGTTTCTACTGCTGCATATAAAGTGATTGTATATGGACCAGGTTCCGTATCCGGACAGTATGTTGTAGTAACAGTATGAACAATTGTGGAGAAGTCTGGACAATCGGTCACTGTTGATGGACATTCGGTAATGGTACTAGTTTCAGTGAGGAGAAAAACAGTAGTGATCCACGTAGAGAGCTCTTCTTCTTCAGCACTAATATCTTCTAATATGAGTGAAGTGTCATTACAAGATCCGGAATCTTCAAGAGAAATTGCCGTGAAAGTAGTATTTCCTCTAACCAAATAACAATAATAGAATGTGTCATCTCCTCTGAAATATAAATCGCCTTCTTCAGAGATATCAAATCCTGTCAATCCTCCCTCGGAAGCAAAGGTAATAAACGTCGAGTGCTCATTACCAGCGACAAGACCTTCTATATTGTAAAGCTTTCCATCTTGGATATAAAATGCAGAATCATCATCAGTTCCAACCACCAAATAAGTAACTTCTGGAACTGCTATACTGTCTTCACGTTTCAGAATGCCAGAAGCACTATCATTTGCGTTTTCTAAAACTTCAAGCGTTCTTAATGATAATCTGATACCATTTTCATTAACAGCGACAAGAGGAGCAGGCTCCACTCCCTCAGGAATTTCAATATCTTCAACAGGTTCGCTGGCTTCAGTAGGTTCTTCAGTAGGTTCTTCGGTAGGTTCTTCGGTAGATTCAGTAGGTTCAGTAGGTTCAGTAGGTTCAGTTGGTTCAGTAGGTTCAGTTGGTTCAGTTGGTTCAGTTGGTTCAGTTGGTTCTGTAGGATCTGTAGGTTCAGTTGGTTCTGTAGGATCTGTAGGATCTGTAGGGTCTGTAGGTTCTGTAGGATCTGTAGGTTCTGTAGGATCTGTAGGATCTGTAGGGTCTGTAGGATCTGTAGGGTCTGTAGGTTCTGTAGGGTCTGTATTATCAGGATTTGCGATTAAGTGAACACGACGACATGTATCAGTACTGACAAACTTGGTGGAAAGTAATTCTAATCCCAAGCTAGGTGACAAACATAAATAGAATTTATCTGATAAAATAGTGCCGAACTCAATATACAGCATACTATCAAATCGTTGAAATTTCACTTTTCCAGGAGTATCAACAAAAGTGAGGTAATTAGATTCCAGATCACAGTATCTACCATCGTCACCATAAAGAGCGGCATAACCTGAATCTATATTGAATGTATCTTGGGAATTTTCTTTTGGTGTTAAGTAAGTTATACCATTGACAGTGTAATATCCAAGTACCATATCCGGAACGCTTGACGATACATCTCTTGCCCATAGTCTAACATCAGTAGGAATTATACCAGTGAATTCATGATTAAAGTACAACGTAACTTCATGACACAAACTGGGATCGATGACCCTGGTAGTAAGAAAGGTTGGTTGTGATGTGCTAGGCAGTTTACATAAAAACATATCACCTGGTCTGTAGATAATATCAATATGATCTGGAGCATACTCTAACTCAAATTGTGTTTCACCGGGAGTATCAGCAAAAGTGAAGTAATTGGATTCCAGAACAACGCAGTAGTGAATATCCCGATTGTATAGAGCATGGGTAGCTGAATCTATATTGAATTGATTAAAATTAGCTGGCGACTCTATAAGGTATATACCATCAACCATAGGGTACCCACTAAGTACCGTATCAGGATATCCAGTAGCTTTTGCATTTAATTTAGCGTCAGTAGGGAGTAGACCAGTTGGATTGAAAGAAGGTTTGGGAGGAGGATTAGGGTCAGGATAAAAGAACAAATTAACCTTAAAGCATCCATCCACAGTATACATATTTCTAGTAAGTACCGTTTCATTCCAACTAGGTATATTACATAAGAAAAACTCACTTGATGGTTGTTGAACGTCATAAAAATTATTATTTTCAAAGAGCCGGAATTGTGCTCCATTAGTAGTATTAACAAAGTTGAAGTACAAGGATTGCAGAATAACACATGATAGACCTTGGCCATCGTAAAGTGCATTAGTAACTGAATCTATATTGAATAATTCATTGGTACGATCAGTTACTATTAAGTAAATTGAATCATTTAAATAGCCAAATCCAAGTTTCATTTCATTACGGTCTAGAGATCTTGCCCATAGTTGTTGATGAGAAGGGAGTAGTCCCAATGCAATAGACCATGGCAAGAAAAAATGAAATATAATGAAATATAGAAACATACTAAAAAAATTATTTATTCAGTGATATTGTTTGATAATTTATAACTTTTTATAAAATTGGGGAATTGCAGCCATATAAATAATATTCACTTTGACAGAATTTTATTATGTGAAATCGAGGTTAACGCGTAAGAGAAATTTATAATTAGATCGTACCGTGAGATTTAAAAGCTTAATACTAGTTACAGTATAAGAGTATTTGAATTAGTTCTGTTTACAAAGTCATGTTTACATTTTTAAGAAGATTCCAACTTTAAAATTAAGGAGTTGAAAACTTTATTTTTCGCAACGAGTTTTGCATCCAGTTTCCAAAACTGGAATCATTTTTTTAATATAAGCTTTGGATAACGGTGATCCAGTATTTATTTATTTACTTATTTATTTACTTATTTATTTACTTACTTACTTTTATTTATTTACTTATTTTTTTTATTTACTTATTTTTATTTATTTACTTATTTTTGTTTATTACTTAGAAACCTAAACTAATTATTGTTGTTGCTAAAAAAATTGTACATATTCGGCTGGTATGTAGAAGGCTGATCATAAATCAAATTACTATTGCTGTTGTTGTTAGCATTGGATGGAAGCACGGGTTGGCCAGGTTGATTATATTGTGATTGTGGTTGCGGTTGCGGTTGCGGTTGTGGTTGTTGTTGTTGTTGTTGTTGATGTTGTTGTTGTTGGTAAGATGATGGTACAGTTGGCGGTTGTTGAGGTACAAATCCAGTATACAGAGAACCAGAAGATGGCAAAGCTCCAGCACTTGGCGTCTTAGGTGGCAATTGTGGTGGTGGTCTAGCATAGTTGCCGGTATTGTGGTTACTCAAACCTCCGCTGTAAGGTTGTTGTTGTGGTGGTGGTTGCTGATGCTGTTGATAGTATTGAAGTCCTTGATTATATCCATCATTGACAGTTGGAGTATTATACAATTGTGGCTGTGGGAATGGTTGATGTTGGGGAGTTGTTCGATCAAAGTAGTTGGGAGTTGATGAACTTGCACTTGGAGATGGTGTACCATAGGTCTGGTTATACGAACCTTGGCCAGACAACCCACTTGGTACACGCACTGGTGGTTGTTGCAGTGGTTGTTGTGGAGGTTGGGGCGACTGATATCCATAACCTGTACTATGACCCGAATACTGGGGTCCTAAAGTTAAATTATTAAAACCCTCTGTAAGCGAAGATTGTCTAGAAGGAATCGATTGACCCGATGGAGGAGGTCGAGAAGATAATCTGTTAACTTCACTGTGTATCTGTTGTTTTAAACTTACAGCATAATTCAATAAATCATTATAAACTTTAGACCCTTTCTTTAATCCAGTAGAATATCTTTTCCAGCTTTCATTATAAAACTTAGTAATCTTAGCTGACTGATCTCTAATTAAAATATCCTGATATGATTTCAAATTTTGAATATTCTTAATTCTTGGGTTAGTTGATAAACTTTCCCAATTTTGTTTTAAATTATTAATAAATTTACGTTCCAGTTCGATTAATTTGTCTAATTCTTCATTATATGGTTGAAATTTTTTTAATTCTTCTGGGAAGATTACTGATTTAATTTCATTACTTGATTTAATTTTACTATTCAAAATTAAAATATCACTGATATCATCATTATGAATCTCTTTCTTTAAAGTTTCAATTAATTTGGATTTATTGGATTTAATAACGTTAATATCATGTAAAAGATCTTCTACTGTTTTAATATCTTTATTAATTATATCTTTAGGATCAACAAGTTGAGATTCATCCATATCTAATAAACTTAATTCAGTAGCAGTACCAGATTTATTAGAATTGGAATCTTTAGTTTTAAATAATTGTTTAAATTCATTAGAATTTGGACCCTTTTGTAAAATGGAATATAATCCAGCATTATCACTATTAATTAATGCGAATAATTGATTATCTGAATTAGTAGCATCATATAATGTTTTCTTTAAATTTAAAATTTCATCTTTAAATTTTACTAAAGCATCACTAAATTGTTGACCAAGAATACTTTCACTTTCACTTATAGCTTCATAAATTTTCTTTCTTAAATCAATAATCTTTTCTTTATTAAAGGCATCATTATTACTTTCTTGATTAATTTCTCCAGCAATTCCCAATAATGTTGCATCAATCTGGGAACCTTCATTATTCCCTTCAATGTTACTACTACTATTAATTAATTCCTTTATGGTTACCAAAGCTTTTGGTAATTTCAAATATTCAAGAACTGAAGTAGTTTCTTCATTAGATACATCAACTGCATCTAGTTCATTTCTTAAGAATTGAGATTTCTCTTCTGAATAAAAACTTGATAATTCATGAATATTGATAGGAACAACATTAGTTAAGAAGTTACCATAATTATATTCATTAACCTCTTGAAATAAAATATTTTGATTTATTGGAATAATTTTTGTACTATCCATTGGCTTTATATCTGGCAATGTTAACAAAGAAGGTATAATATCATGATATATTAAATCATTATCTTTAGTTAAATCAGCTAATTTTATAGCAATAGCATCCTTTTGATATTTATAATTATCTAAAATTTCATATGAATCACTTGATGAACTCTTGGCAATCTGTTTTAACCAATAACTATTGATTTCATTCAAGATTTCTTGTGATTTTGTGAGATAGGCCAAGGCTTCACCAAACTTTCTATTGGATTCTAAATGTAATGCATTGAAATAATATGCTAAAGATTTATAATAAATATGTTTAAAATTAATTGTAGCAGTCCAAGAAGGATCTAAACGAGCTGTTACATGTAAATTATTCTCTTCAACACTGTCTGTTGCAACAGCTTCACTATCTTCAGGATTTTCAAGAAAATTATCATCTATCTCACTTGAATCTATAACAGTATACTCATTTAATCCACTTGAATAAGTTGGTACTATACTTATCATATTATGACATTCTTCATAATGAGCAGATGCACTACGACATAATTTTGAAATTAATGAATTCTTCTTTTGTTCAAGATCACCAGTTACAACTTTAAGAACAAATACTTCTTGAGCTTGAGCTAACATTAATTTAACTAAGAATTTTACAGTTGATTGACTTAAATCAGCTGAAGGAGCATGTAAGAAATTTTCATTTAAGAATTGAAAAATTCCACTTGCTTGTTGAAAATATTGTAAGGCTTCCTTAGTTGTTTCATCATCTGATCCAACCGCTTTCTTTTGTGATTCTTGATATTTTACAGTGGCCAATCGAGATAATAAAGCACCTAAATTAAATAAAATATTAGCCTTTTCAAATGGTAAAGCCGCTTGTTTATGAACAATTGATGGCAGAAATGCATCAAACCATTCAAAATTAATCTTTTTATGTTTATTAACTGTAGCAAATGGAATACGAAGATCTAATAATTCCACTTGACTATAATATTTATAATATAATTTAATACTTGTAAGATCAGCATTTGCCCCTCTTATATCTTGTCTTAATTTATTAAAGGCATTAATATCTTCAATATAATCAGATGTAGATCCATAAACGGAAATCAAATAATTGCTCAATGGTTTAACCCAATTAACTTCGTCTGTTTTCTTGGTGGGGATATGAAGCAAGTATGTTTTCATAGTCAATAATTATGGTTATGGGTATACTATAACTAATTATCTTATATCATCTCTATTAATACGGGGCAAATGTCACCAGGTCCATATCAGGCAAGAAGGTCGTGTCCCGCGGGTGAAGCTCGGTGTACCAAACAGTAGGGTCCACAAATCTCTTATAATAATATATCATAATTGCTAATTGGTAATTACTAATTACTATTGTTCTATGAAATTAGTACTACTTAAAATAAAGATAGATATGTTATATATTACAGAAGTAACGATTATAAACGTATATTAATTTGTAGATTGTGTATTTGTCATTGTAGTAGTTCACTATCCTACTTTTCTTCTTACGTTTCTTCTATTCCTATACATCATATTAAACACTACTTAAAAACAAGATAAAAGAACTTACTACGATACATGTAACATTTCAGAATATCAATATGTTCAACTGCCACTCGTGGGTAATTAAAATGTCTGCTACTAAAAGCTCTTAAGATATAGTGCCTATGTTATTGCGGTATGGATGCGGATCATTACCTATATACAAAAACGTAAACAAACTATTTGAACTATTGAAAATCCTATAACTGAAGATCTGATACAACAATGCCAGAACAAGATGTGTATGATAGTCCTTCAAATGAGTCTGTACCGAGTAGGTCGTATCAGGGGTTGCTTCTAAACCAAACCTTTACCTTATACAAATCTACTTCACTTCCTTCCCTCAAACCATCAGACTTTAAATACATCAAGCATCAACTAAGTACATATTTATATGTCAATTATCAAAGAAGATCATCTGATATGATTCTACGACCATATTCTTCAGCACGAGAGGTTTACTTGGATTTGAAAGTTACAATCCAAGAAGATTCCAATGAGTACTACTCGACAAAGTACCTAATTTGCAAGTGTAGAAACAAAACAGTGATGGTTACACAATCATTAATATTTATAACAAAGATAAATAACAGAACTAGTACTAATGATGAAGAAAATATAAACTGTTCAACAATTGTGTTATCAAAACTGACGAGTATCCATCAATTGCTCATATCACTGTTAAACAGTATTTCAGCTGATGTACCTTTTGTCATAGAACGAATAACTTTGAAACCCGATATAATACCAACTATAATTAATGAACTAGCAAGAAATAGTTTGTCAGCGGTAGGAGATTTAAGTTTGACATATAATCAAGCGAATAAACAAATTAATGGAAATCTTAATTCAATACATATATCTATTCCGGAAGCAGATATAAGATCAATAATTGAACTGAGTCTGCAGAATGTATTGGATCCCGCTTTAGATCTTATTCAAAAATTCATCACAATGAGCACTTCCTTAAGATTGCAGAATCTTATAATATCTAGATTAGTAACTAGAAGAATTAATCTTTCGATCGATGGAAAATTCAAATTATCTAGTTATGATAACGATGCTAATAAAGATATCAATGATGTCATGATAATTCTTCTTAATGGTTTAACAAGTGTTTAGTTTAAAAATTTAGCATATTTACTTTATATTCAATATACTATTGCTACATTATAATGTAAAGCTTTTTTAATTTATTTTAGCTGCGAAAAAAGATATATAAATACACAAACTAAATACTGTAACAATTTAACAATTTAACAATTTAACAATTTAACAATAATAAACCATAAACCAGTCCAAAACATACAAAGCAGTATACCTTTGTATCAGATCTTATTTTGAACTGTGTAATAAACATTGTAAGGGGCGAGTTCGAACATAGGTTCGTTCAGATATTTATTTGCGTAGAAAGTAAATGCTTTGACCTTCCTCACTAGGTCACATTATCCAACAAGACGGTTGGACTCATGAACGAACGAGTTTAGTAGTCAAAGAAATTCATTCTTTGCCATTTAATTCTAACAATTCGTTACCTCAACTATCCACTGTATAAGCGACAGTTGAGTTTATCTATAAAATATCCAAAAATTCCTATACCCTATTTACAAGCCCATATATAATAATAAAAATATAAAAAAAATCTAGAGTTCGTCTACATCTAACATATTAAGATATCCACCCTTTTTACATAAAGCATAAAACTCAGAAGTTTCATCCTTCAACAAGTTTTTGGGTGTATCAAACTCTCTAACTTGACCCTGATCAAGTACTAATACTCTGTCACTATCAAGAATAGTTTCCAAACGATGAGCAATAGTTAAAATAGTTTTATCTTTAAATCTCGTTCTAATTGTTTCTTGGATGATCTTGTCTGTTTGAACATCCACAGCTGCAGTAGCTTCATCTAAGATTAAGATTTGAGATTTATTTAATAAAGCTCTAGCAAGTGATAGTAATTGCTTCTGACCTGCTGATAAATTAGATCCACTTTCAAAAACTGTAGCTTCTAATCCAATATTATACTGTGCCAATTCTAAAGGATCAGATACACTTGTCACAGCTGGCCCTTTCTTTTCTTCTTTATTAGTCTTCATTTGTTCAATATGCTCCTTTAAGTGTGCCATCTCTAATACATTCCAAAGTTCTTCATCGCTGTGAATATTGAAAGGATCAAGATTCTCTCTAATACTACCCTCAATAGTTTGTGCATCCTGAGGTATGATGTTCAATTTATGACGCAAATCATACAATCCAATAGAACTTGTGTCAACGCCATCAATCTCAATATAACCTCCTGAAGGTTCAATAATACGGAATATAGATATAGCAATAGTTGATTTACCAGCTCCAGTTCTACCAACTATCCCAATTTTTTCCTTGGGTTGAATCTCGATGTTCAAATCCTTTAAAACTGGATCTAAATTATCTCTATATTTAGTAGAGTAATTTTTGAAAACAATCTTTCCAGCTTCTGGCCATGATTCACGTGGCCTAGTTTCATTAATTACTAATGGAGCTTCTTGTGGAAGTTCACAGTATTCAAGGAGTCTTTCAACAGATACTGATCTAGTTTCAACTTCAGCCCAAAGCCTAATCATTGCATTAAGAGATCCAGTAATACCCAAAACATTAACCATAACAAATCCCACTAATCCTGGATCTAACTTTCTAGATGTTCCCAAAGTTGATAAAATCATTAAAGTTGTGGCGTAGATCATAACAGCAGAAATTGCTTGCAATCTCATACTTAACCATCTAGCACAACACAAACTGGCAAAAGTAGCATTATTCAATCTATCCAATTTAATCTCATTAAATGAAACAAATCTTTGTATCTGATCATAAGCTCTAATAGTTTCAATACCAGTAGAAGATTCTTGAAGATAAGCAAAAACTGGACTTCTATGAGCACTTGACAATCTTTTAAGTTCTCTACTTGCTGGAATGAAGTAAAGACGGAGTCTATTAAAGAAATAAAGAAGAACCAATAACACAAAAGTCATAAGTGGAAAATTAAACACAATGACACCTGATGCTCCAAAAGTATTTGTACCAAAATGGAATACCCCCAACCATAATTGAGTAAGAAAAGTATCTACCACATTAATATCTTCAGAGAATCTATTCAATATTCTACCAACAGGAGTTGTTTCAAAGAAAGACATTGGTGATCTTAAGACTCGCTTAGCCATAGTATCATGAAAATATTTAGAAGCTCTGATACCAGTCACAGTTCTTATTATAAGTGACGCAGCTAATGTAAAAAGTGCACCAATAAAGCCAATAAGTCCATAGGAAGTCAAATAAAATTGTGATCTAGTAGTTTCACCAACATCTAAATTGTTTTGAGACCAAGATTTTAAGGTATATTTAGCCATAATAGCTCCCAATTCATTTAAAATGATACAAATGGCCACAATCAAAAGATACCAAGGATTACTTGCTTTGAAATAAGCCCAATAAACACCAAGTTTAACTTGACCCTTTGCACCCTTTTCAATAACATGCGCTGTCTTTCTTACTGCTGATGGATCTTCATCTTGATCATAATCATGATCAAATGAGGCAATGCTTGAACGTCTAAGACTTGTGATGGACTCTACCGTGTCTAAGGGCACGTCCACTTCCGCAACATTAATTACTTCAGATGCATTTTTAGCATCTAAAATGGCAATATTATTCTCTGTTAAAGTTGAATTTACTGATGCATTTTCTTCTTCTCTAACTATGGATGATACAATTCCACTGTTCTCTTCAATTTCAGCTTCTTTCTGTCCAAATTCTTTTATTAATTCAGCTAACTCGTCTCCTCTTTTCATCACAGATTCGTAATTACCATCTTCAACAATTTTACCATTTTTTAACAAAACAATATTATCAGCTTCATGTAAGACTTTAACTGCATTAGTTGCTAAAATAACAGTTTTGGAAGATATAATACCATTTTTACCTAATACTTGATCAATAATATTTTTCCCAACATGAGCATCTACTGCTGATAACACATCATCTAATAAATAAATATCTGCTCGGGAATATACAGCTCTTGCAAGAGCAATTCTTGCCTTTTGTCCACCACTTAATGATATACCTTTCTCACCAACAATTGTTCTATCTCCATCTGGTATGATATCAAAATCAGGTAACAATTGACATGCTTCAACTGTTCTAGCATAAAAAGTTTTATCATATCTATAACCGAAAAGAATATTTTCCCTAACTGAACAATTAAGAATCCAGGGAGCTTGAGAACAATAGGCAATATTACCATTAACTTTAAGAATAGAATATTCCTTTTGAAGTATTGGCAATTCTCCTAGTAATCCTCTCAAAAGTGTCGACTTTCCTGATCCCACTTTTCCAACAATACATGTCAATTGACCTTTCTTAGCTTCAAAATTAATGTCAGATAATGCAATTTTCGATTCACTTTCAGACTCCACATTCTCTTCTACAAAAGAATTTACTTCTTTAGGATCACTCCACAAAAATGTAGTATTTTCAACAATGACCGAAGTATCACCTAATTTCAAAGATTCGTTAGTTTGTTCGACTATGTTTTCATCCAATTCAGACAAATCAATCAAGTCACGCAATCTCTTTAAAGATACTTTAGTATTGACAAAAGAATTAAAAAGTTCAGGAACCAATAAGATAGGTTTGGCTAAAATATCAAAAAGAGTTAAAGCTGGGAAACAAATAGCTGGAACCAATGCAACCTTGGAAACAATTGAATAAGTCACCAAACATGAAAATGGTACAAATATTGGAATGATAGTCCACATATACATAGCAATAGAATTTAAAAGTCCAATCTTCTTTTGAAGAACCAATTCTGAATCATTTCTTAAGCGAAATAATCTTTGTAACATAGGATTTTCCCATGAGTATAATTTTATACTCTTTATAGTTGTTAATATCTCAGAAGTTAACTTAGTCCTTGAATCTTTAACTACCATATTTTTTTTAATATACCCCATCATTGAAGCACTTACTTTACTACTTGCAGGAACTAAGATACAGGCTGCAAAAAATCCTGCGATTGAAGCAATCCCAATAATTTTGTACAAGGCAGCTAAAGTGAGTAATAATTTAATGGGAGCTGTCGCAAGTTCAACAAATCTTGGCATTTCTGATATAGTATTTACATCTACCGATAAATTATTAACTACTTCTCCCGTTGACTTTATTTTTCTTGCTTCCGGTGATAATTTTAGAGCTTTTCTAAATATCATATTAGACAATGACCCCTGAAGTTTAGCTTTAACAGCAAAATAATTAAAAAAGTAAAGATTAAGGCAAACAAATCTACCAACAGAACATAAAAATATACCTGTAGCAATAGAAAATCCAACTATAGGAGGTTCACTTTCTATTTCCAAACTTTCTTCTGAGCCTGAACTGGCACTAAAAAATTCAATAAATCGTTGGAACAAGAATGCTTGAGCAAAGCCTAATGACATTTCCAGTAAATCCATGACAAGCGATTTAGCAAAATCAAATCTGTGAACAAGGAATAAAGCATAAAACAAGGACACTTGTGATTTAGTATCTCCCAATTTTACCTTCTTCTGATACTTGTTTTTAAGATATGTTAACTTATCTTCCAATCTGAAATACGAGACATGAGTAGTCAACTCAATGGGCAAAGCTGGGATTTCATCAGTTTCCAATGTTTCAGTCTCGTATATATCCTGAATTAATTCCTCAAGCCAACTGAAACTGACAACAGAAATCATGTTTCTCACTGAAGAGACTTCCCAATGATTTAGATCATAATATTGAAGAAACTCACGACTTGGTTCAAATAATGCAGATTCTAAGTAGAAAATCACCAATGAAGCTACAAAGAGACAGATCTCAATAACATATCCTATAGAGGTTGAAGAGGTATTAGTTGCCGAAATATATACTTTGTTAACGAAGAAAATATCCTGAATCAAAATGACACCATTAAATAAGATTGATGCCATCCAATATAATAACAAGGACGCACATCCAACGACACTTCTAGTAGGCTCAATAATATGAAGTGGTAAAACAATAAAGGTGCAGATTATGAAGCTAAGTGCTAAGTTCAATGATTTCAATGACGATAATGATGGAATGAAGTTCATGAAAAGCAAAACTAGCAAAAGTAAGGAATAAGTGAAAAGGAATCCCAACTTTAAAAATTGATAAGTACCGACACTTTTCAATTTGAATGGAGATCCAAATCCATAGTTAATTGGGAATGGACCATGATGATTTTTGTAAATCAATTTGTACAACTGAAACAAAACAAAGCATCCCAATGAAAAAGTAGATATAAAATTAACCGAATAAATAAAGCATGGATTTAATGAATTACTATCGAGATCATGAAGCGGATATCTAAGTGAATCAAAAGAACAGGTCTTGTTCAGTGGCATTATGCCTAAATCTGGAGGATCCGACATAATGAAATTTTATCGTGAGAAAACAGCAATAACTATCAATTTAGAATTTTACGTTTAATAGGAAATAGGTTATAAACAAGGAATTAGATACATATTTATAGAGATGACTCACTCCGAGAATCAAGGAGATATATCCTTTTTGGACGCAATTCCTCCTACAAAAAAGATAGAGCCTTACCACAATGTGGGTTCAAACATGCATGCAGGAACGGAGTTAATCCAGATTATGCTTTGCATTTAAACATGTCTGATTATAGCAATCATAAAGATGTAATTAAAATCAGATTCTACTGGGACAGTTTATCTATAGTTATTGAAGATCCAAATGAAGACATACATTTGTCGTGTTTCTAAATAATGGAAAGGGAAAAGTGTGTAAATTTGCTTGATTTTCGCTTGACAGAACTTTCTTCTCTCTAAATATTAACCGTTGAACTAAACCCCAGGTCGCAAATGTTTACTAGTACGATCGATCAGGATTTTTGATACTAAATTCACCAAAGGATAAGTTAATTCTTAATATATTGGTGTTCTCTTCAGATTTTATAAATACGAGACAAAAGAGCCCTTCGTGGCATCGGTAAAAAAGTAAAATCGCCCTCAATATATACAGCGTGTAAGAAAGTCATAATCACAATCGTATGTTTTGCCTGAAATAGCTGTAACCGGAGTAGAATTGGACATTTCAAACAATCCTTTATTCGTATCATCTACGACTTTACAAAGGCATGTAACAACGATATTCCAACAATCATACTTTTGTAAGTCTAGTAGAACTTTTCTATTTTGTACGTAATCAGTTTGAAGTTTCTTCAATAGAAGGAATAGATGAAAATTAGCTGAATATTCAGAATCTTTAGTTTCTTCAATACGTATAATCCTTCCAACTAAGGGCCTGGTTATGGTACAGCCTTCAATTTCTTGAAATTCACGTACTGAATTGAATTCGACAAATAACGTCGTTGTATAATCACTTAGGAAAAAGCAGTTTATACCACAACAGAGAGCCTCTCTGACACCTTGGCTGTAAATCTCTAGAAAATTAATTCTTTTCCTGATAGAAGTTTTGCCATAAAAGGCCTCGATATTCTTTTTAATTGAATCCCTTTTGATCTCAATTGGAATGAGACCCTTGTCTAACTCAATCTCCAAGTCCGGCCGTGTTTCTAATTTATTCTCATTTATGGTAATAGACCTAGTCCCTCCAGTCAATGTATCACTGAGAATATAATGAGATGGAATACCAAAGATATTTTTTTGTGCAGCTAGTTGTACATCCATTTCAGTGTAAGTGGATGGAACTTCAAAGCGTAACCTCCTGCTTATTCCCTCCAGAGGAATTGTCTTTAGTTTAAGATCACTGAACTCATTTACAGGAAAGTCAATTACTTCTGAGTCGGGATATAGCAAGCCAATGTAAGATTTCAATGCATTATCTCTATGTTCAGACTTTAGAGGTGACCCAGATGTTCTTTTTGTACGTTTTACACTGGATTCTTCAGATGTAGGCTGGGATAAACTTCTAACTAGAGGACTTTTGATAGGAGTGCTAGAACTAAATTGCCCAGAAGACTTTGTATCAAATTTAAGAACCGGATCATCATCGGGACCATTATCCCTAGCATTAACTTCTTCTTTTTCTTCTTCCTTGGGTAAATTTGATATAATTGGACGCTTTAAACTCATCTGTATAGAAAATGACCAATAGTGATTGAAAAATTTAAAATTTTCTGTTTGAAAGATAAGTGTTTCATCGATTTTGAGTGTTACATCAATTAGATCTTTTGTTGTCTCAAATTGAAACTTAGTGAGCAAGTGGAAGTTATTTGCCCTCAAGACAATTCTTAACAAGTCAGGCTTCAGAAATTCCTTTTCAAACTTATACTTTTTTAAGAACATGTCTATTTCTTCAATGTCTGGATTCTTTAAATACTCTTCTAACTTGTCCACTAGATCAGCGTACTTGTTCTTTCCATTCAAGTGAATCTGGATAGGTTCGAATTCTTCGAGTCCCGTCAAAGCAGCATCGTTTGTGTTAATTATATCTTTAAGATTCATTGTGTATTATATAATTGGTTTCTCGTAGTAACTAGAGTTAATAGAGGCGTAGTGTTTTTTGCAACAGTTCTCGGAAGGTCGTGCAACGATAGAATCAATGTATGTGCGCATATTATTCGGTTAAGAAAGGTATGTATATTAGATCAATGCATTCAAACCCCTAACATCCTAGCTTCACGGAAATCGGTGAATATTATGATAACCCTACAATATATACTACTAAGTTAAATATCTAAATATAAACGGTATAATGCAACCTACTAATGCCACATTGAATGACGATAGTGGAAATCAGGATGATGATGATGAACCTGACGAATGGGACCAAAGAATTATTAACACCGGATGTCATGAGGAAAACCTCAAGTTGCAACTTTGTCATGCTGATACAGGGGATTGGAGGCAATGTACGAAGGAAATGGAAGCCTTTAGAAAGTGCTGGGATGAACATAATAATAATATGAGAACACTGACGGTCAACAATACGGATGCTTAGTTGGAAAATTTCCTAAATTTACTCCGTTGTATATAGATTCGATTAACCTGTAAATATTAATAAAAGTCATTTGCTAGTCTATATTATCTGAAGTAGTGATTGAATTCAGGTTAAGTTCAGTCTTCACAGTAGTAGCCTTATGTTTCATGAGCTTCTTCTGTCTGGCTGCTCTCTTCTTTGCTGTCTTTGCCTCTAATTCATGTTTCCTCTTTGCCTGTTTACTTTCAAATTGTTCTTGTTCCTCAAGTTCCTGTTGTTTCAACTGTTCATTTCGGCTGGCCTGTAGCTGATGCTTTTTGTTTCGGATATAATTTGAATAGTCAAACGATCTCTTCTCTATTTCAATGTTAATAATGTACTTGTCTTATATAGTCTTCATAAATAATACTTACGTTTATGTCCCTCTCCACTTTTATCATGATGCGTATCTTCCAGCTTAACTTCCTCAAAAATTCCTATCTCAGGATTCTTTCGCATAAGACTGTCCAACTGTTTCCGTTGAACATTTATTGGTGATTCAGACATTTTCTCACTTTTATATTTGTTCTAGTAATTCCAAACAATACGGCTGTATTCTGATCCATTGCAAATCATATCTCTATCAAAAGGATGCTCGAAAAATCAACTCGTACTAAACAGGAAATATTTACGAGCACCAAAACAGAGAATACTTAAACATCAAATTATTATTAGTGTAATAGTATAATTGTCGTTATATTTTATAGGTAATAAAGTATCATGGATGACCTGCCTAGTTTAGTATACAGTAGTCAACCAGAAAATAAGGAATTTCTACGAAATAGAAATATACCGATTCAAGAAGATCTGATTTCTATAGAGACTGATGATGAAGATACTTATGAAGAACTGATTAATGATTATTCTAATTTACATAATGATAGAGAATTATTAAAAAATGACAATGAATTCCAAGCAGTAATTAGAAAACTTAAGAGTGAAAGTACTCAAAGATTTAAAAATAAATGGGAAGAAATTCTTCATAAATATTCAATTATTGATGATGAAAAGGAAAGTGATGAAATTGATTTATCAACTGGATTAATAATACGAGATAATGGACATTTAAGATCATTAAATACTTCCAATGAACGAGTAGGAAATGTCAAACTTGATCGAAATATATGGGATTATAATTATGATGTAGATAAAGAAGTAAGTCAACAAAAACTGAATGAAGCACGTAGAAGAAGACGTAAACAAGAATTAAAAGCTAAACTTAAACAAGAACAGAAATTTCATAATATTAATTTACAGAATGAAATCAATTCTAAATCGAAGAAACGAATTCCAACTGAAGATAATTTATTACAATTAGATCCTTCACCAACAAAGAAATCTCGACTACAAATTTCAAGATCATCTAGTCCAATTAAATTAGAATATATATCACCAATGAAGGGTAAAATACCTTGTGAAACAGTAAATGTATCACCTATAAAAGCTCGAAATTTAAATAATTCTAATCCATTTCAAGATGATACTCAATTCTTACTGTATGTAAGTAAAGAATCAAGTTATATGTCATCTCATGATAGTGAAACTTCAGAAACTTCAAGAGCTAATCCCAGTGATGATTCAGATAATTTATATTCTACTCCTAAATATATTAATATTACCAATAATACTAATACTTATGAATCATCTACAGAAGGTGAAGAAAGTGAAAGCTTTGATGATGAATATCTGATTGTATTAGATCCCTTAGGTATTAATAATAATAATATTGATCCAATTCCAGAAACCATTATATATCAATGTGCATTTAGTGAATGTACATATTGTACAGGTAATAAGTCATTATATCAATCTCATTTATTAGAGAAACATTCAGCTGAACTTCATTTCATTGGATATCCCATATCTCCTATTCCTGATTATATGCCTCATAAGATTCGATTTAATGAACAAAGATTAAATAAACATTTCCCATTAACTTATGATGTACCACCTATTCCAGATTCAGGTGATGGACAAGCCATAATATGTAATAAAAGTTTAGAAAATGGTAAGCTTTGTCAAAAGAGTTTTCCAACTATGAAACATTTATTAATTCATCAACAAGAGAATAGTTGTTCTTCAAAAAAGCAAGTACTAATGTGTCCATTATTAGGATGTGGATTTCTAACTGAAGATGGATATTTAGAGTGGAGAGCTCATTTCATTAAGGAAAACCATCATTTACAGCCTACCCAGAGAGAATCATCTAACTTTCAATATGATATACTGGATGAATTGGAATTGGAAGAGGAAGAGGAAGATTCACAGCCAGGCGCTGTACCAGAAGATATCAATGAATTGTTTAGTGATGAAGATTCTGAATTTGACAATCAAGCAGATGAAGAGTCAGGTGCTGAGAATGAAGATGATGAACAAGATGATGAAGAAGAAGAGGAAGAAGAACAATTCCAATATTTATCTCCTATAAAACGAGAGATTAGACATGTTTCTGTACAAGAGCCATGTTTTAGTGATGTACCACTAATTACTGAGGAGACAACTCCCAAAGAGATTCATAATGATTCATTAGATGAATTATTCAAATAGGGTACTTTTATATTTGTAATAATAGATTAATTAATATTTACAATATTTCATATATACAAGATGGGGTAGAGAAATTAAAATTTAAGCAGTTGGTTCAGCAGCATTTGGATTTGAATCAGAATCTTTAGCCTTTGGTTTACCTTTAAAAGCATCATAACCTTTAAGATAATTATCAAATGCATCATTGGTTTCAGTAAATGGCCTTGGACCAACTAATCTTATCATATCTTCTCTTGTTAATACTTCCTTTTTAAATAATTCTTCAGCAACTTTATCAACCAATTCAATTTTTTCACTCAATAATTTATGACAAGAATCATAAGCTTCAGTAATTAATCGTTTAACTTCGGTATCAATTAATCTGGCAGTATCTTCAGAATACATATTATGAACTTTAAATCCAGAATTATCTTCAGTATCATAACAAATTTGTCCTAATTTATCAGACATACCTAATTTTAAAATCATTTGTTGAGCCATTTGAGTTACTTTCTTTAAATCATCTGATGCTCCACTTGTTATAGTATCAAAATGTAATTCTTCACTAACTCTACCACCTAAGGCCATAATCATTCTATGAGAAAATTGTTCTTGAGAAATTAAATATTGATCCTTTGGTAAATATTGCGCATATCCAAGAGCTCCTTGACCTCTTGGAATAATTGATACTTTAACTAATGGATCAGCATATTGTAAAAACCATCCACAAATTGCATGACCAGCTTCATGGAAGGCTACGGTTCTTTTTTCTTCAAGACTTAATACTTTAGATTTCTTTTCTAATCCAGCAATAACTCGTTCAATTGCTTGTTCAAAATGATAAGCTTCAACTGCTTCAGCATCTTCACGTGCAGCAATCAATGCTCCTTCATTACAACAATTGGCAATATCAGCTCCTGCAAATCCAGGAGTTAAAGCTGCTAATCTTCCAGCTAATTGTTCAACTGCTGCTTCTTTTAAACTTTTATAAGTTGTATAATTATCAACTTTATCATTTGATTTAAGATCTTCATCAATTTTTAAAGTTAATTTATCTAAATGAACTTTAAATATTTGTTTACGACCTTCAATATCAGGAATATCAATAGAAATATGTCTATCAAATCTTCCTGGTCTTAATAAAGCTTTATCTAAAATATCAGGACGATTAGTACCAGCTAAAACAACAACATGATCAGAACTTTCAAATCCATCCATTTCAACTAATAATTGATTTAAAGTATTTTCACGTTCATCATTACCTCCCATTTTACCATTACCTCTTTCCTTACCAATTGCATCAATTTCATCAACAAAAATAATTGATGGAGCCATTTCTCGAGCAGTTTTAAATAAATCTCGAACTCTTGAAGCTCCAACTCCAACAAACATTTCAACGAATTCTGATCCTGATACTGATAAAAATGGTACCCCTGCTTCACCAGCAGTTGCTTTTGCTAATAAAGTTTTACCAGTACCTGGAGGTCCAGAAAGAATTGCTCCTCGAGGAATTTTAGCTCCTAATTTTTCATACTTTTCAGGATCTTGTAAAAATTTAACAAATTCCATAATTTCTTCTTTTGATTCATCACATCCGGCAACATCTTTAAATTTAATTTTAACTTCATTTTCTTGATTAAATAATTTAGCTTTAGATTTACCAATTTTAAAAATTCCTCCTGGTCCTCCAGCACCTCCAGCCAGTGAAGCAGTTCTTCTCATAGTCATATACCATAAACCTCCAATTAATAAAACAGTTGGTAAAATTGGTAATACATAATTCATCCATGATCCTCTTTCTTCATAACTTATTGGAATTCTTTCATTAATTGGTATACCTAATTTATCTTGAATTAATTTCATTTCTTGTTCAAAAAATTCTAATGATCCAATAGTAAATATAACACTTGGATGTCCACTAACTTGATAAGTTTGATCAGATACTGCCCCAGAAATTAATTGAGCTTCAACCGCAAATTTATTAATTACAGTTAATTTTTTAACTAAACCTCGTTCTAAATAATTAGTTTTAAAATCTTGAAATGATAAATCTTTCAGATGATTTGAATCTCCATTTAATAAAATTATAGTTAATAATAATAAAAATACTGAAAATCCCATAGAATATCTAAGCATTGTAGATAAATCAATTTTAATAATTTTAAGATTTTCTTCCTTAATATCTTTACCTTTATTCTTCATATGTTCTTTCATCTTTTTAAGAATTTCTTCTTCTTGTTCTTTAAGTTGTTTCCTTAGTTTTTCTTCTTCAATCTTTTCTTCTTCTGTTAATTCTTCATCATACTTCTTCTCATCAATATTCTTACTCTTTTCCTCCTTATTGTCCTTTTCCTTCTTCTTTTGATTTGTATTTAAATCATTATGTGCTATAAATGACTGTTGAAACTTTATATGATTATTTAATGTACTAAATTGTCTTAATCCTATAAGATTAATATTAGTCTTAGTCTTACTTATTACCAGTCTACTGGTTCTCGTAGTAATTGTCCTAATAGTTGTTGGTAGTAGAGTAGATACTCCTCTTTTCCAAAGAACCATTGAAGTAGGACTGCCTCGAAACATTTCCGATAACTTCTACACTACTTCTTCTTATAGTTACTTATGAATTTATCGTCAATTATATACAGACTACTGTTCATCCGGGCTCTGTTCAATTTTCAGTTTCGCCTTCGAGGAAGGACCGGCATATAAGCCAGTGAGAGAGAGAGAGAGAGAGAGAGAGAGAGAGAGAGAGAGAGAGAGAGCGACACAGAGGACTCGCACAGAGAGAGACTGCCCTTTTTTCTAGTCCAAAACTACGACATCTCTTTCGTCACTTAGTTATAAGTAGATAGTATTTATTAATAGTCACTACTTATAAGTATATAAAAAAAGAAAAAAAAAGTTAAAACCAAAATAAACCAAAATAAACAGAAACAGCACAAAAGCACAAAAGCACAAAAGCACAAAAGCAATCTGACCTAAAGCTTATCAATGTCTAAATTCTTAAGATATCCACCTTGCTTACATAAGGAATAGAACTCACTATTTGTATCACTAAGTAATTTCTTAGGAGTATCAAATTCTTTAACTTGACCTTTATCTAATACAAGAACTCTATCACTATCTAAAATAGTTTCTAAACGATGAGCAATAGTTAAAATAGTCTTATCTTTAAATTCACTTCTTATAGTTTCTTGAATAATTTTATCTGTTTGAACATCTACTGCTGCAGTTGCTTCATCTAAGATTAAAATCTTAGATTTATTTAATAAAGCTCTAGCAAGTGATAATAATTGTCTTTGACCGGATGATAAATTAGATCCACTTTCAAATACTCGAGCTGATAATCCTATTTCATATTCAACTTTAGCATCTTCTCCTTCTCCTTGTCCTTCTTCTTGTTCATCGGATTTCTTTTCTTCTCCATCACCTTTGGCTCCCTTTTTAGTTTTCATTTGTTCAACATGTTCTTTTAAATGAGCTAATTCTAATACTTTCCAAAGTTCTTCATCAGTATATTGATCAAATGGATCTAAATTTTGTCTAATTGATCCTTCAATAGTTTGAGCATCTTGAGGGATAATATTTAATTTTTGACGTAAATCAAATAATCCGATTTTACTAGTATCAATACCATCAATTTCAATATGTCCACCAGATGCTTCTATTATACGGAATAATGATATAGCTATAGTTGATTTACCAGCTCCTGTTCTACCAACAATTCCAACTTTTTCACTGGGTTTAATATCAATTGATAAATCCTTTAATACTGGATCTAAATTCTCTCTATATTTAGTAGAATATTGTTTAAATGAAATAGCTCCGTCTGTTGGCCAAGATTCTGCTGGTCTATTATTTTCAATTATAGTTTCAGCTTCTGGTTTTAAATTAATAAATTCAATAACTCTTTCTAATGAAACAGATTTAGTTTCAATATCAGCCCACATTCTAATAATAGCATTTAATACTCCAGTAACACTTAAAGCATTAAGCATAACAAATCCAACTAAAGCAGCACTTAATTCTCTATCAGTACCTAAAGTTGATAAAATCATTAATGTAGTACCAAAAACAATTATAGCAGAAATACTTTGAAGTCTCATAGATAACCATCTATTACATACTAAATTATTAAAAGTTGTTTGAAGTAATTTATCAACATTATTAGTATTTCTAAAGATAAATCTATCAATTTGTCCATAAGCTCTAATAGTTTCAATACCAGTAACTGATTCTTGAAGATGAGAAAATACTGGACTCTTATTAGCACTAGATAATCTTCGAAGTTCTCTTGAAGAAGGTATAAAATATTTTCTAATACTATTATAAAAGATCATAAGGGCAACAACAACAAAAAACATAATTGGTAAATTATAAATAATAACTCCTAATAATCCAATAGCATTAAAGAGGAAATCAAATAATAATAAAAACACCCACATAATTTGTCCATCAATAACATTAATATCATCAGCAAATCTATTTAATATTCTACCAACTGGAGTGGTTTCAAAGAATGACATTGGAGATCTTAAAACTGCAGTAGCCATAGTATCATGGAAATATTTTGAAGCTTTAATAGTACAATAAGTATAAATAATAAAGTAAGCAAATAAAATGAATAAACCTGAAGAAATTCCTAAAGTAGAATAAACAACCAAATAAAATACTGGTTCAACATTATGACCAACTTCTAAATTCTTTTCTGACCAAGTTTTTAATACATAATTTCCAAGAATACTAGCAGAAACATTGGCTGCCAAACAAATTATATAGATAGAAAGATACCAATAATTACAAGCCTTAAAATATTCCAAATATACTGTTAATTTAACTTCACCTTTAGCGGCTCCTTCAACTGTATGACCTGTTTTCTTTATAATATCTGGATCTTCATCATCTTCATAATTATGATCAAATGATACAAAACTACCTCTTCTAAGAGTATTTCTAGATTCAATTCTTTCTAAGGCTTCATATTCACCTTCAACTGTTAAAGCCACTGCTGCAGCAACTTCAGGTACATTAACTGGATCATATTTAATTACATCTTCTTCTCTTAACAGTGAAGAAGAATTGGTTTCAGAAACTTCAGCAGATGCAATCTTAGTTTCTTCAATAGCTTCTTCTTCTTCCTTTTCATGTTCTTCTTCCTTTTTACCAAATTCTTCAATTAATTTAGCAAGATCTCCATTTCTAGCAGTAACTTCTTCAAAATTACCCTTTTCAGTAATGGTTTTATCCTTTAAAAGAACAATTTCATGAGCTTTATGTAAAACACTAACTGCATTAGTAGCTAATATAAGAGTCTTTGAAGCTAAAATTCCGGTAGAACTTAATACTTGATCAGTAATTTTCTTACCAACATGAGCATCAACAGCAGATAATACATCATCTAATAAATAAATATCAGCTCTAGCATAAACTGCTCTTGCAAGAGCAATTCTTGCCTTTTGACCTCCACTTAATGAAATACCCTTTTCACCAACAACAGTTCTATCACCATCGGGTAAAACATCAAAATCAGGCAATAATTGACAAGCTTCAACAGTCTTTGTATAAAATGCCTTATCAAATCTACAACCAAATAAAATATTTTCTTTAACAGTAGCATTCATAATCCATGGAGATTGAGAACAATAAGCTACAGTTCCATTAACTTTAATAGTTGAATTATCACCTTTAATAGCAGTAACTTCACCAAGTAAACTTCTTAATAAAGTGGTTTTACCAGTACCAACTCTACCAACTATACAAGTTAAATCACCCTTTTTAGCAGTAAAATCTTTAATTGATAAAGCAATATTATCAATACCATCAGATTCAACTTCTTCTTCAGCAGGAGGACGACTAGTATCAGATTTCTTTTCATCATTTATATTCCAAACAAAAGTTGCATTATTAATTTCAATAGCATTTTCACCAGTCTTAAGATTTGAAAGAGATCTTTCAACTTCAGTATTTTCTAATTCTTCAAGTAAGAATAAGTCTTGTAATCTATTAACTGAAACTTTAGTTTCAACATAATGAGTAAATAAATTTGGAAGCAATAAAATTGGTTCAGCTAACATATTAAATAAAGTTATAGCAGGGAAAACGATCGAAGGTACTAAAGGAATTCCCGCAATATTTGCAAAAGTAACTAAACTTGCACAAGTAATTAAAAATGGAATACAATACCAAAAGAAATTAGCAAATGAATTGAAAACTCCAATACGTTTTCCAAGGACTAATTCTTTTTGATTTCTTAAATTAAATAATCTTTCTAACATTGGAGTTTCCCATGAATATAATTTAATACTTTTAACTGAATTCATAATTTCTGATGTAAGTCTTGTTCTTTCATCTCGAACTGTCATCGATTCATTATAAAGAGTAGAAATTGAGGTACTAACTTTAGTACTAATTGGAACTAAAATACATGCCACTATAAATCCTGATCCAGTAGAAATACCCACAATCTTATATAAAGCCATTAATGTAAGAATTAATCGAACTGGAATAGTTGAAAGTTCAACAAATGATGGTAAATCAACTACGGTTGAAACATCTACTGCTAAATTATTAACAATTTCTCCACTAGTTTTACCCTTTCTTGATTCAGGTGAAAGTCTTAATGATTTTTTATAAATCATACTAGTTAATGAACCTTGTAATTTACTTCTAACTGAAAAATAAACTGCAAAATATCTGTTAAAACTTACAAATCTAGATGCTGCACAAATAAAAATTGCGGTAGCTATAGTAAATCCAACAATTAATGGAGGTCTTTCCTTACGTGAATCATCTTCAGAAGTACTAGCATTATTAAAGAATAAAATAAATCTTTGAAATAAAAATGTTTGACCAAATCCAAATAACATTTCTGACATATCAAGTATATAAGCTACCAGTAATTCAACCCAATGAATTTTAATAAGAATCCAAAATAAATTAAGAGATAATTTCTTATCCTTTTTAGTTGGATTAGAAATTTTCAGTAATTTCTTTTGTAATTTAACTTGAGCCTTTGTTTCAGTACTTGTCCATTGATTATAAAAGATATTATAACTTACATCACTTTTAATTCCAATTGGTAAAGCTGGTAAATCCTTTTGATCTAATTCACCTGATCTATAAATACTTTCAATAAGATGATTAAGCCAAAAAAATCCAAATTCAGAATAAATACTTCTCAGAGAACTTGGTTCCCAATCATTTAATTCAAAATATTCCAGTAATTCCTTTGATGGTACATATAAAAATATTTCAAATCCTAATATTATAATTGAATTAATTAATAAACCAATTTCAATAGTATAAACAATGACAGAAGATGTTGCATCATTTAATGGAAGAAATACTTTATAAGGAGAAAATGAATCTGATATTATAACCACAATATAAAGAATTATAAATATTGTCCAATATAATAATAAAGATGCACTAGGAATTATAGATCTAGTTGGTTCTATAATATGTAAAGGTAATAAAATAAAACTATTAATTATAACTGATGCAATAACTGCTAAAGAAATGACTGAATTCCAACTAGTAAAAACAAAAGCAAATAAAAAGATTGAAAGAATAGCTTGTAAAAATACTGAATTTAATTTTACTAATTGAAAAATTCCTACTGATTTAACTTTAAATGGAGAACCAAAAGAATATTTAATTGGAAATGGACCAAATTTATTATTAATTAAAATTGATATTAATTGAAAAATAGCAAACCCACCAAATATCACATTAAATAAAAATACAAGTGCACCAACAAAACAAGGATTTAATGAATTCCCTTTAGGATCATATAGTGGTTGCTTTAATCCACTACTAATAGTACATGAACCAGCTAAGGATAATTCCACAGCATTGGTTATGTCTACTAATCCAACTAAGTCAGCTATCAGTACAGACATGATGCACCAGCGACTTTAATATAGAAATAAAAGAAAAATTGAATAATTAGAAGAAAATTAATCGGCGATCGAATTTTACTTATAGTTGTCACACAATTCGCTTATCAGCAGAGTGAAAATTCAATATGAGTTGAAATAAATTTTTGTGGCTTTCAACGGCTATACGGGGGGCGGAGATATGGGGTGTAAATATACGGTGCTATGGTTGCATTTATCCAAGAATTTAAAAGGTTCTCAATAGAAGTCGCTTCCTATTGGTTGATACCCGCAGGTCAGCTTGCTAAATACAGTACAAAATTTCATTTATTATATGATAGAAGCCTATTGACCTTACGGCTTAATTAATTTTTGGCGTTAAGAGGTTATTTTTTTAATCTAATTGAGGGGGGCTCTGTGCAGGATTGGTTGCATTGTCTAAGGGGCGTTTACCCATTTAAAGCATTATTTCCACTGCATTGGGCCGAATGACTAATAATGGTATGAATTACGATCGAATAGTTTATTCTTCTGGGGTAGGTAGTTAAATTCATATATGAATTATTAATGCTCAACTTCAATTCTCTCTAACATCAAACTTAACAAGTTACATTACTGAGAAATTATATCAGTAATCTTATAGAGAATTACATATTTAATTATTCTTTAAAGATAACGCCTGAGGATTGTTAATTATAGAAATGTGGCCTAAATCAGAAGGAAATAATAATTGAAAATCTATCACGTACAAAAGCTTCTCAGGCAGGCTTAAATTTTAAGCCGTACAATTTCTAGCCAATAGGAAGCAGCATTGCTGACTGTCAACTCAATTGGGTATTCCCCTCTCTCATCCCTCTACTAAACTTAAAATTCTTCATTGGTAAAACAATGGGTGCTTATTCTAAAAAATTATGACTCATCAGGAGGAGATTATATTTTCCATAGTGATTAAGCAGCAACTATGCATAACTTGTCACGTATCCACTTATCTATGTGGATCGACCACACCCCATCAACACCCCCATCGACACCCCATCATACCTTTGAAATAATTACTATAACCGTCAATTATATTTATATATTTTGCGTAGCTACTTATCCTTTAATTATAACTCATGTGTCACAATCAGTTCTCTATCGTGAAATGTGTGAATGTTTCCATGACTGCCACATCAATTGCAATTGTGAGAAAAGTATATTGTGTTTGATGCGGTTGTATATGTATGCTGACATATTTCAGAGTTCCGAATGACCGCTAAAAACCGAGGCTGGCGCTACCACCCGGGACACCAAAATTTACACTCAAAGTATCTCAAAATAGAACGAAAAGCTTATTTTAGTCTATTAAATATTACAATATTCTATAGAATAACTATAAACCTAAATTCAAACAATTCAGTTGTCTAGAGTAAGGCAAAAAGAGCTAAAGGTATAGCAATGGTCCAGACCATGTGTGTAGAGGCTCCAGTACCTTCGTAGGCGAAGTAGGTATTTGGTGCAACAGAAGCACTAGAAACAGTAGTAAACAGATTGATGGTGGTGTCATAAATTCGGGTATTCTCGCTTGATTGGCTGGGAGCATCGGAATTGATACCAGCCTCTTCGTCGATAACTGGAGCATCGGTAGTAGCAGTGGCTGTAACAGTAGTTTTAGCAGTGGATTCAATAATAACATCGGATTTAGCACCACCACCACCACCACGAGAAGTAGGAACAACGATCTCTATTTCACTACTTAATGGCCCATAGGTAGTATAGATGGCACTTGGCTCGCTGACAACGACGTAACCAGTGGTGACGGTGGAGGTAAGGCAATTATCTTCGGAACAACTAGTTATCGTGACAATAGTTGTGTGGATGTCTGTGTAAGTAAATGTTTTCAGTGATGCTCTGTTAACTTTGTTAGCAGGGCTGGAAGAGTGTGTGTGCCCATCAGCAGGGACAGTTCCTGTATTAGTCACAGTTCTATCTTTGGTAGAAAGCTTGGAAGAGAACGAATTTTTAGTATTAGCAGAAGTAAGCAGAGAATCAGCACTGAGGGAAGATTCAGTTTTAACTGAAGTATCACCTGATGTAGACGGTTTCCCGACTTGATTGGAGGTAAATTGAGCTAGGGTAGAAGAAGGAAAAGCTTGGGTGGAAGTAGATTCCAATTCATTAACTCTAGGATAGGAGTGAGTCAAAGTCGATTCTACTTTATTGGAAGACGGTTCTGTTTGACTAGAAGCATAGTCAGGGTCTTTGGATGAAGAGCCCCCTGCAGAATATGAAGGATCAGTAGATGAAATATTTTCTGTAGAAGCATGATCATTGGATGAAGTGTCATGTTCAGTAGATGAATGAAGAGAAGATGAAGGATCATCTTCATTGGAAGCGGGATCAGTAGATGAAGCGTTATCATCCGTGGAAGACGTATCAGTAGATGAAGTATCGTCATCGGTGGAAGAAGTATCATCGTCAGTGGAAGAAGGATCAGTAGATGAAGCATCATCGTCAGTGGAAGAAGTATCATCGTCAGTAGATGAAGTGTCGTCATCGGTGGAAGAAGTATCATCGTCAGTGGAAGAAGGATCAGTAGATGAAGAGTCTTCCGTGGATGAAGAAGGATAACAGTCAACTTCTTCATCCAAAGCAATCTTGGCTTGTTCTACGAAATTTTCGTTATTGCTGTCAATATTAATCCAAGCACCAGAAGCATCCCAGATAGCAAGACCACCAAATGTCGGATCACATTTGAGTGGCTCAATGGCCACTTCAATGGTGTCCATGTCGATATAACCATTGGTAGATGGGTCTGCCGTTACACCAACTAATAACTTCATGTTAGGGTTGTAGGAGTTTAATACGAAGTCAGACCAAGTCTCATAGTTAAAACTACCATCTATGGAACAAGGGTTGTTATTGAATTGTATAAAAGTGAGGTCGAAGTTAACGTTAGCTAAAGCTTCACCGATGTAATCATCAGGGAACATGCACTTGGGGGAAGCAGTTAAGTAGTAGGGTTTGTCGTTATAGCTCAAAATGTTTCGCAAGTTGACAGCAAATACTAAGTAACCAGTGGTAGGACCCAGCTGTATATTTAAATCAAAACCATCAACTACAGCATCACCGAAAGGCCTTTCTGGATAATCGGTTCCTCCTGCGAATCTACTCCACAAGGTAGTCGCGAACAATTGAGCATCGTTAGTGTTGTCAAAACCGTAATCACCGTCGGGTCCTCCCAAAGATAGAAGCACGATCTTGCCTTGGGATTGGCAGGTTTTGATATCTTCACCGATCTGAGCACAGTTCATTAAGCCGTCATCAAAACTCTCGCTACATTGGTTAGTGAAGTCAACATTCAACGGGCTTGGGAACTGGTTCAAGAATGACAATATTATGATGTCTACGTCATTATTAGAACAGTATGTACTTAATCTTTCCTGACCACCAGCAGCGTTTTGGCCCCAGTATAAGGCAACATTGTTGGAGGCAGACACGTCAAAGGCAGTTACTGTCTTGATAATGAGGGCTAGTATGGCAAAACTAATGGATTGAATTGCTAGCATCTCTCTTAATAAATATGTATATATTGATAGGTAATGAGTGTATTAGATTTTTAAATGATAGAAGTACCAGAGAAAGAAGCAATTTACTAACCTTTCGGCCCTAGCTAAATAGACTACTATTTAAATGAAAATTCCATACTCAATAATAAGAGATATTAATGACTAGTCAGGTACATAGAGCTACTTAATTCACCACGCAGATTAATAGTGGAGAAGAATAAGGAAGATGACACCAAATTAGTGGTCTAATAAACTAAATATTCTCTAAATGCGGCTTTATTCTCTGTTGCAAAATAAAAAAATATATTTTTTCTTGGCCTTGTTCGCCTGGAGCGCATTGAATCAGCGAAAATCGGGAACCCGATAGTAACCCGATGCAGATATGATCTGCATCGAAAGAATATATACTTTAATACTTCTATTATTTATTGAAGTTATTTAAAAAGTAGAAACTAAACTGTTTTGTATATTGTGGCTAATGGTCTGTCCAGAATGATTATATTTACAAACATTATATAATACTTCATATAATAACTCTCACTCTGATAATGCTTGTATATGGGCTAAATTATATGTTACTTCAGCATAGTCTTTCTACAGTTCGAAAATTGCTTTGAACATGTCATTTAGGTCCATTATGTAATCCAGCAGCAAGTTCGACAACCGCTAGTATGGGTCAATGCAAGTTATCAACCGTAGTTGCAGATATTAAACTGAGCATAACTATAAGACAACTATTTGAATGATAATGGGCCCACTTGCAAAATTTCTTGATTATGAGAAACATCAAATTCATAGATGAAATTCTAAATGCTGCCATTAAAAGTGGCTGGTGTCGAACTCCTGTATAGAAGTGGCTGAAGAAGATAGTAACGTTTTTGGTTCTAGTTCACAAACTGCAATAGGCAAAGCTAATGAAGTTAAAACAGAAGTTGTTGGGATAGTTGATTTAGACTGAACCTCGTACAATTATATGTAGGGGATTTGGAGCTTAAGTATGCTGATGGCATAATAGCAGGAAGTACAATATGCTTAATAACCTATATAATCACTTCTATATCTCTCTGCAGGACCAGTTCCATGCAGCACTAAAAAGTATCACGAAATGAAAAATGAGGTAAGAGTTATGTAGGACTAAAGAAGCCATCAAACGGTTCATGAAGAAAACCGGAATTATTCTATGGAGAGGAGAAATAATAACAATTCCAATCGTATAAGTTCCCTATCCACCATCCAGCATATTATTGAAATAACCAATGATTTGAATAATTTGTTACCAATTGGTACATTAAATTTTTTCAACTTACCCCTTGATATATCTGACTTAGGTGGCTTGGATGTCAATTCCAATGCTTCAACATTAATTGATTCTGGCTCTGAATCTGAATCTGAATCTGAATCTGAATCTGAATCTGAATCTGAATTTATATTTAAATGGAAATGGTTAGATATTAATTTCTTTATTCAGATATGTAAATCCCAAGTCCATCCCATATTTTTTGATTTACAATTCCTTATTAATTTCAGATATATAATGGCAACTTTCTGTAACTATAATATTTATGATGATAATTCCAATCTGAAGATTACATTTTCCAAAGTGCGAATTTATGGTGTTCCAAATGATATACCAGGGTCAAGATTTATAACTGATTGGAGAGCGACTCGTCCTAAACATTTTGCCATTGAAAAGAATTTGAAATTTTCATGGCCTCGCTTATTGCAATATCTTGATTTTTCTCTTGCTAATTGGGGTATACCGTCTCAATTACTGTTTCACCAATTTTTCAATAATGCGCAATCACTATTGTTGATCGATGTGCAGGATACCCTGAAGGTTGAAGAGAAGGAATCACTGTCTGACTTGAATTTCCACATTCAAAGATGGTCATTCAATAATCATTATTATAAAGAGATTGGGCAACATTCAGGCAAAGATAGCCTTGGATCTAAAGTGCAAAAGATTTACAATCAAATTGATTCTCCTGATTTATCTTATTATGACAATAAGATTGTTAATTCTGGATCTAAGTCTTGGTCAATACCCTCAACTAAGGACGTATTAATTACTTTGGTCAATAATGCTAAAAAGGGAATCACTACAATTGATGGTGTCAAGTCAGATCTATATCCTTTCCAAATTCGTTCTATTGCCAAGATGTATGAAAAGGAATCCTTATCAAGAAAATCACTTATTCCTTCTTTTGTAAAGATACCGTCAATAATAGATAATGAATCTTTCTATTACTTTGATTTTCAAACTTATTTATTATATTCCAAGCCTGAAGTATATACTCTTCCTCGAGGTGGTATACTAGCGGAAAATATGGGTCTAGGAAAAACTCTTATTTGTTTAAGTCTAATATGTCTTTCTAAGTTTGAAGTATCAAAAATTCCTGATGATTTATTATTGCATGATGATAAAGAAGAACTAGAAATTGAAGAATTAATAAAAGGAGAGGATGGAGATCTTATCCCTTCCAAACCCAAATATATTCAAGGTATGAGATCTTTAGTCGATATTTGTAAAGAAATTATAAATCAAAACTCTCTATCTTGGAAGTTTTACGCCAAAGATTTATCTAATTCAGTCATAGATGTCTTGTCAAATGATCCAGGTTATTTTAGAATAAAACTTATAGATAGAGAATACGAATCACAATTTTCTTTACGAACAAGAAATCCATCACTAAGAAGGAAGTTACTTGAAGAAGATCAAGAAAAGGAAGGAAATATTTATAGAACACTTTACCTTTGCAATACTACTCTTATTATTGTTCCAGATAATTTATTTCAACAATGGATTTCAGAATTTAGGAAGCATATTCAAGGAGATTTCTTAAGAAGGCTATTCATTTCCAGTCAAGTCAGTAAATCGAATGATACTGAATACGTAACATATACTAAAGAGTTACCAATGGATCCAAAAGAACTCGTAAAGTTTGATTTAATTCTTCTAACACATTCATACTTTGCACGGAAAGTAGGCGATTTATCGGTTGATGAAAATCCCTTAAATCATATATACTGGAAGCGACTCATAATTGATGAAGGACATATCATGAATTCAAAATCTTCTAAAACAAGTGAACTTTGTAAGACTTTGCATTCTGAAAGAAGGTGGGCAGTGACAGGAACTCCAACTACTGGATTAACTAGACTACATATGGATGAAGAAGAAACAGAAAATAAGGATCTTCATAGTCCTAAGAAGAAAAACAAATATGTTATTAAGAATGAATTTAATGAAAAAGCTGATCTTGTAAAACTTGGAACCATTATAGGTAATTTTCTTAAGATTGAACCATTCCACACTCAACCCAAAACTTGGATGACAAATGTTATTAGACCATTAACTTTAAATATTTATGGTGCTGAAGAAAATTTAAAGAATTTATTAAATACCATTGTCATAAGGCATAACTTGAATGACGTTGAGCAGGATTTAAAATTACCTCAATTACACCATGAAGCTATTTTCCTTGAACCATCATTTCATAATAAAATTTCAGTAAATTTATTTACAGCTGTATTGGCAGTTAATGCAGTTTCTTCTGAAAGAACCGATATCGATTATATGTTTCACCCTAGTAATCGTCAACAATTAAGAAGATTAGTTACCAATTTACAAAGGGCAACTTTCCATTGGACTGGGTTTAAACAAGAAGATATTGAAACATTAATTCATATCTGTAATGTATCATTAAAGAAACGTAAGCCAGACGGTCTGTCTGTATATTCTGATTATGATTATCAATTGTTACAGCAATCATTGGAAGCTGCAAAAATTGCTCTTGAAAATACCAGATGGAGAACAGCAGCTTTATTGCATGAGATGCATTATTACGTTAAGGGTCTTCCAGACTTATTCACTAATTATTTTGGTACTGGAGTTCTTGAACGAGTGGATAATGTAGGCAATAGAGATGATATTGGAGTATTTGGAGCACCACATATCAATACAATTCAAGAATTTTTTTATAAAAATAGATTTCTCGATATGAATGATGAAGAAAAATTAAAGGAAAAGCTTTCCTTACAATCAGGGCCATTTTGGGATGTGTATTGGAAGGATAATGTTCGTAGAAATGCAGCAAGGTTTAATAAACAAGATGCTAATCAAAATCTTGAAGCCAATATTAAAGGTGGAGCTATTGCCAAAGCAATTAATACTCCTGATTTAGTTAAAGATTTCACTCCAGAACATGAACTTCGAAATGAAGGATTGAAAAATAGTAATGGATTGAATCCTTCATTAAAGGAGAAACTTCAAAACAATTATGGCCAAGGTCTACAATCTACTAATAGTATACATTCCAATAATCAGGAGAAAACCTACCAATCAATTCGAAAGTCTGAAATTTTAGGTACAGCATCTGCCAAATTGTCATATTTGGGAGCTAGATTACTTGAACATCAGCAAGAAGGTATTAAATCTCTTGTTTTTTTTTGAATTCGAAGATAGTGCCTATTATTTGACTGAAATGATGGATGTTTTGGGTATTAATTATATTATGTATGCTACCTTTATAAATTCAATTGAAAGAGGGAAAAATTTATCATTGTTTAGTGGTCATGATTGTGCTGAAGAAGGTGGTATAACACTTGTTATTGATTTAAAGTTGGCCTCACATGGATTGACAATTATTTCTGCCACCAGAGTTTATTTTATTAATCCTGTTTGGCAAAGATCAGTTGAAGCTCAAGCCATTAAAAGAGCTCATAGAATTGGACAAAATAATGAAGTATTTGTTGAGACTCTTGTACTACGAGGTACTTTAGAAGAAGAGATTTATAAGAGGAGATTACATAACTATACAGATTCAGAACAAAGTAAAAGATTTGTTATTGATGATCATGGTATGCAACAATATATATTAAAGCATAATTTTCTTCCATATCATTCTAATGAACTGGAATATACACCATTCACAGCCCCTTCTTTATATGAAGAACCTATGAAGAATGCTCAAGTTTTAAGTGATGATAATTATGAATTACCTGAACATCAATCACGTTCAATAGTTAATTCAATTCTTAAACTGTGGAAAATATTCACATTTTCTCAACAAAATTACGAGAAATTTATGAAATTGAAAACTCTGAATTCAAAAGGAGTTAATTCTCAAATAAAGGGAGAAAAGAGAAAGTCTGGAGATTCTAATGTTAAAAAGAGAGTTAGATTTTAGTTTGTTAATTTATAGAATAATAGATTAATTACTGTACATAATTTAAATATCCAACTCTCTAACTATTATAGTTTTATCTAATGAGCATGACAAATATAATGATCTGGTAGAATGATAATCTATATCAGTTATAGAACCCTTATGACCAGAGTATCTACCAATTATTTTTCTTGTAGTTAATTGCCAAACTAGTACATCTTCAGTTGAAGAAGAAAGAATTTTCATACTATCATTACTAAAGCAAGCTCTACTAATAATATTATCTTCTAATATCAGTGCACCAGTAAAAGAATGAGGACTTATTCTCGATGTACCCTTAGGTATCTGAGGTTTAGCATTACAAGTAATTAAGTTCCCATTCATACTTCTAGCTAATAAGATTGAATCATCATTATTTACTGAAAGTGATGTAATTGAATCTCCCTTAGTGGGACAAGTCCAAAGAACTTTATCAAGCTGTCGTATATCATAACACAGTATTGATGGATCTATTCCTGAAATAAATAAATGACTACCATTATTATTAAATGTTCCTGTTAATAATGGATATTGAGTATTAATTTTATTAATTGCATCTCTTTCTCTTATATCCCATAAACAAGCAGATGAATCATCTGATACACTAAGGATTATTTCTTCCGGAGATATATCTACTTCATTAACAACCATATCATGACTAGTGAATTTTCTTATTCTTTGTCCTGTAGTAGTATTCCAAATTCCAACAGTTGTATCAGCACTTGCACTAATTATAATTGAATCATCATAAGACCATTTGACTGAAGTCACGGCTGATTTATGACCAGTTAATATTCCATAATTAGATGATGAATATTCATCTTGATCTTGACCAGAAGGAATCTTCCACAATAGTATGGACTTATCAGCTCCTCCAGATGCTATACTAAATCCATTATGACTAAATTTCGCAGTTATTACTGGCCCATCATGACCTTCCAATGATATGGCTATTGCCTGGTCATTGGATGTATCTACTGATTGAGTAAGTTTATCACTTGGTTGATCGATCTTCTGTCGTTTAACCAAAGACATTATCAAATCATTTAGTACTGATCTCTTTAGACTGGTGGTGTACAGTTAGTGCTTATTACCTTTTACAATAGATGGGCTCGCGATACTTACAACCGAAAACAGTAATTTCTTCCGCTTCTATTAAAAGCTATACACTACTACACTAAGTTATATATATATATATATAATTATATAATTATATTATTATGTAATCATATTATTATTCTAAGAAATATATTGATAAGTATTATTTTCTAGACGTTTCATATAATCTTTATCAATTAAATAATCAATAGCTTTCTTAACATCAATTACTCTTGCTTGAAATCTACTAACTGTTTGAGGAAGAACTTCATTAACTAAATCATTATGTTTAATGGTCTTTCTAGATTTCATAATTCTAACAATACAAGCAGAAAGGAAATTCTTACGAGTTTCATCAACTTCTTTATTAATTTCATCTTCTTCTTCCTTAGTTTCTATAGATTTAATAGCACCAACAAAATTAACTCGTAATTTTTTAGATTTATAATCTTCAACAATTTTAAAACTTGTATCTTCTTTACCCATTGCTGATTCACCTTCTGGAGTTTGAATTAATAATTTATAAGTAACAAATGGTTGTAAATGCATTTCAAATACATTTTTAGATCCTCCAACAATTTCATGTAATTCTTCAAATGTATAACTACTCTTTTCATTAAATGCCATTAAAATCATAAGTTGAGGATTACTAACAATAAATGTAAATTTTTGAGATTTTTTAGATAAATTTGCCTTTAATTCTGCTCTACCATGATGCCAAAGCCATTTAAGTTGTCTTCCATTATATTTATTATCATGATATTCTAATACTTTATTAAATTGTTCTTCAAGTTGAGGAGCAACTTTTAAATTATATTCTTCTTTATAATCAAATGGCCACATATTTTGAGCTAAAATTAATGGATTAAAATCTTTAACTGGACCAAAATCTCTAATATTCAGTTTTAAATCTGCTGAAGTTTTCATATCAGCAAACATTCTAGTCATTTTAGAGGTATATTCACTTGAATTTTCAACTTGTAATCTTTGAAGTAATGATTCTTCTAATTCTTCTGATTTAGAAGTATCAGTAATTAATCTTTTTGCTAATTGACGACGATAATAATTTTCAAATTGATCTTTATCATTTAAAAATTTAAATACAATCATTAAATTATCAGCAGTCATATCCATTGTATCAACATCTTTACCACCTTTCTTTAAAAATGTATCAGCATATTTAGCTAAAAGTTCAGGAGTTCTACATTTTGATCTTTCAGTTGGTGAAGCAATAATATTCTTATTAACAAAATGACGACTTGCATTATCTAATGCTTTAATAAATTTTGGATCATTAGCAAATGCTTTAAAAACAACTCCTTGATATTTATCATGATGAGCAATTAAAGTATGAATATAAGTTTTAGTATCAACATTAGTTACACCTCTCTTTGGTTTAGATTTAACTTTTGATTGATCTTCAACTAATTTTTCACTTTCACTTTTAAGTTCTTTAAATTTCTCATCAGCTTGTTGTATAATATAATTCTCTAAACTTAGAGCTAAAGGATCTAAACATTTTGGAACTCTTGATAATAATTTATACATTCGAAGAATATGATCAAGTTCATTTTGTTTTATAAGACTAATAAAATAATCATGCATTTCTTGAGCATGATCTTCAATTAATGATTTATTTAAAGTTTCTAATAAATGCTTCTTTGTATGTTCTTCTAAAAAATTATTTGATCTTAAAACTTCTTCATTTAATCTAGTTTCACACTTTTGCATATAATCAACTACATTATTTTTAGCTAAGAAATCACTACTTTCCTTTTGATAATATTCAGTAGTTTCTGTTAAAAATTTCTTTTCAAATGAATTAATGTATACAACTAAATTTGGCTTTTTTAAATCTTGAACATCAATTCCTAAAAATACTAAAGATTTAACTGCGGTTGAAATTAAATAAGTATCAACAATTTCATTATCTCTTTGTTTTTTAATTAATTCTAATACTTGACCTATTAATTGTTTTTCATTAGGTTTAAATACTTCTTCTCTCCATTTCATTAAACATAATGTATTAACATCATATACATCTCTTCTACCATCTTGTCTTTCCTTTTGAACCCAATGCCTATTCATATATTCAAATACATTACTTAAATACCGAGCTCCAATTGTATATCTTGTCCACTTTTTAACATAAAATTCTAAAAGATTATCATGCTTTTCTGATAAAACATCTTTAAGAACTTTAGTTAAATATTTATCTAATTTATTATATAATTCTGCTCCTGGTAAAACATATGAATTATTTGAATCTGATGATCTATTACCACCTATTATACTTGGAATTAAACTTACAGAACGTGATTTATTAATACAATAATTATAAATGGCTGTATAACAACTCATATACATCACTGCAGTAACTCCTTCTTGTTCATCATTTGTACCTAAAATAAAATCTAATCCAGGTTGAACAAAGTTCCATGTCTTTTTAAAGTCTGCGCTTGGAGGCAATGCAGCCATTATTAATTGAATCTAGTTTATACTAATAATAATAATAAGTTTAATACTTACTATAGTTATATCACCAATTGATATTCTAATTCCAGTATATACTATTTACTTATAATCCTAATAATATATACAAGAATCAAAACTTTGTATGAATTCTAGCCGACTAATAGATTGTTCTCCACCAAAAGTTTGGTTGGTTAGTGTTGCGAGTTTTTATCTGTGTGAGTGGGAAATTTCGGTGCGCCTTTGATCGCTCACGGTTGCAGCAACTGGGATAAATGGGGAAGGTTTTAGTAGGATAAATTAATATAGGGAAATAAATAATGTTAACTAACTAATGAATAATATAAATAATATAAATAATATAAATAATATAAATAATATAAATAATATAAATATATAGAACGTATATAATAATTGTTTGATTTTATTTTATTTTGTTTTGTTTTGTTAATCATTGTTTGGATTGGCAGAAAGACTCACTCTATCAACTACTCGAATTATACTAACTGTAAATGTAATTACCCAAAGGCATAATACTGTAAATAATAAAGCTGCCAAAGCTCGTTGTCTTCCACAAATTGAACTAACAACAGGGAAAACAAGTCCAATTTTAGCAAGATCTGGATTATCATCTTCAATACATACATATTCCTTATCATATAATGTATTAAATGTTAAAGAAAGATTGGCTGATGAAAATATTATAAATAATAAATCTAACATAATTAATCTCATTTTACCTAATGGATCTCTTAATCCTAATGGTCTACCATTATATTCATCATAAGCAATATATACAACATATACTATGGCACAAGTATCAACAACAATTGACATAATAGTACTTGGTTGTTCTTCAACACTTTCTCCATTATATTGTCTTTTAGAATAAACAAATATTGAACAAGCAATTGCTAATGAAATTAATGATATTATAATTATAAATATTCTTAAAATTAATGGTACAAGAGGATTTTGAACAAATATCCGTTTAATAGTAGGAAATAAATCTTTTCTCTTTTCATTAGACATCCAATATCCTGCTCTAGATCTTACTTTAGGATTTTCAGGATCATAAGGTAAATGATCTTCATCATTATGATGACGTTTATGACGTCTAAATTTAAAAAATCTGAAAAATGATGTGGAATTTTCTAAATCATTTGAATAAGTTTCTTCACTTGATACCGGACCAAGTAAGGCTGATTTTAATCTATCATCACCACCCCAATGAGTATTTAAATCCCATTCCTTTTCTGATACAAATTTATCTAATTTTATTTGTCCTGTTGTATAACTAGCTGGATTAGCAATTGATGATATAAATGTACTCCAATTATTATCTAATGATTTGACATAAGGATCATTGGCAAAACTTAAATATTGATCATCATCGGTTGCTTTAGAATGAATTGATTTAATTGAAGGATTTATATCTGATTGATTATTATTTACATTTGTATTATTTAATTGTTCTCTATAATGAACTTTAGATAATGTATCTAGAACATAAGGTGGTATAGTATTTGCTGAATGATTATATGTTCTAATATTCGAAGTTTCAAATGGATTTGTCGGTACTGTTATTCGAGTGTCTATACTATTAAAATTATTGTTACTGTTTAAAGTTGTTGCACCCGTGCCATAGCGGTTCTTTTCTATAGAGTCATCTTGCTTTGGCCGGTCGTTTAAATTCAAATCCTTTTGACTCTGTTTCGAATTGTTCCGGCTTGGTTCAGCCATTATAACATCCCTTATCTCTCAAGAACTCTTGTAGCTATAGCCTATTATATAATTATATGAATTTCATATTGACCTACCTCTTATAGGGGAAGGTTTGAGAATTACGATGACCTGCACATAATAGGCTCCATTGAGCGCAATAATGCGGGACGGAACTTGACGTTATTCTGTGGTGTTTCCTATTTGGGACAAGGATAAAAATTAACTATACGATCTATACGATGTATACGTTCTATACGCTTATGTTCAGTGATTCATAATATTTTATTTTTCATAATGAATATTGAATATTTAATATAAACTAGTTTAATGAATTTAATGAAAGAGTTCATGTTACTGAATTAATATGAAATCATATTTTGTGTTTTATGGTAGCGCACCTTTACATTAGACTATGGCAATACTACAGTATTAGTATAATAACAAATGACTAAAGATTGTATTAAGTTAGTTGTGTCAACTGGTTCCGATTTCTTTTGACTAAGACTAACATATTTATAATAATATGGAGTTAATACATTTATAATAGTATAGAATTAATATATGTATACCTACAGTTTTCGTATAAGTATCTGGTCATTTCTCACACAATTCTTGTAATAACAGGTGGACATGGTATTTATGTATATCTTGTCATAACTAGCCGTATCTATCGTTGTATAGGCTGAAATTTCTGTACGTCAACCGTTTTCGTAAACTCCGAATAAGCCTATTCTCCACCAAAATGTGGAAATTTCAAAAGATCGAAAGATTGCGACAGTGCGATATTAGCAGAGGAGTTATTTTGATTGCTCTATTACGGAGTTACATAACTCTAAGAATTACTCCAAATATTTAGTTAGCTAGTCATAACATACAAATGCTGAGATTTATAGGAATTCATAGGACTGTTGTCCAATCCCTGACACTAAAGTCTCAAATTAAATATAAAGGATTCGCCCCCACATTATCATGCGATTGCTATCTTTTATCTAGGCGATATCAATCTACAGTTGGTGGCAATAAGAATAATAATAAGAATAACATTAATGATATTGAAGACTCGACCAATGAATTCAAATTTAAGAATCCAATTGATCATAATGCCATATGGGTAGTTTCAATTCCTATAACTACATCTCGTTCTTATATTTATTGCCATCATAAACCCAGTAGTTTAGATAAGTCTCAATTAAAGAAGTTCCCATTAATAACTAAAATAGAATCTAGATTAATTGGGGTTGCTACTAAAGGTTGGAATAAGATAAGTACTTCTAAAATATCTGTTAATCAACGTATAACAAAATTAATTAAACAATTATTACATACTATTCCTTATGAAGAGAACTGTTTAAAATCATTCCCTTCTCAACAAGCCATGATTCGAGAAATTAATGAAGAATCTTTAGATATAGTTCATAAAAAGTTGAGATCAGGTCCATCGCCTAATAATTCAATAGTTCAAACTGAAATTGATGATTTGAAGATCCCGTTGGATCAATTAAAGCCAATTCCATTATATCATCCATCATTTCAAAATCCTACCACTATATTGAATCAGTTGTATAGATTTAGAGATAAAGAACAATCTAAACATTTGAAATATGCCGTCCTTTGTGCAATTGGAATCCCAGTGACATTACCATTTGCATTGATTCCTATTATTCCTAATGTTCCAGGGTTTTACTTAGCTTACAGACTTTATTGCCATATTAAAGCATTAGTTGGGGTTAAACATTTAGATTATTTATTGGAAATTGATGAATCATCTTCTTTAAATAATAATATTAAAGATGAAGAAGAAATTGGATCTCAATCAGAGACTTTAACTGATTTGAAAGATGTAATAGATACCAAACATCTTACTTTCCAAGCCATACCTCAAATAGATGTATGTTATCGTGGAGAAGTAATAATGAATCCAGACTCAATACAAGAAGAAGAAAAAGTAATTATTGATGAAGTAACAATTGAGAAATTATGTGATAATATGAATTTAAATCATTTAAAGGAAGATTTATTAAAATCATTAAGTCAAGAATCAGCCAGGCTTAAAAAAGATATTAAAGTCAATGATACTGTGGAATAAATGAGCATGTAAATAGATAGAGAAATTAATCCTTACCTAAAGATTAAAATAACAAATTAGTACATTTATATATGTATATATGATAATATTATGGGATATTCAAAAACTATACCCTGATTAAACTACTTATATGGGGTAAATTGTCATGGTTAAACCCTAACTATATACACGTGACTTGTAGCAGTCACGCCCCCATAGTTAACAATTCTTGTCTCCTGTATATTATTAATCACTCAATATTTTTCGTCACTCTTTTTGCTGTCTTAGTTCGGTGAGTGAGATCCTAGTAGCAGTCGTCGGTTAAGAATATTTATTTCTTAACTATATTTCATTTCTTTTCTTTATACCTTTTTCTTCTTTTTCACTAATTAGACACTAATTATCATTCAAAATGAGAAATAAGTGGAGAAAGAAGAGAGTTAGAAGACTTAAGAGAAAGAGACGGAAGGTAAGAGCTAGATCCAAGTAATCGGACAGCTTGATTTGATTGAAAAATATTGGTAGAAATTATCTTACCAAAATTGTTAACAGATTTTACAATGAATTAAAGATTCATCGAATGTTTTGATATATGACTTGAATGAATTGAAGAAATGTTGCTATGATAAATACAATTGTTTTTTGTATATGTTTTATGAATTGAATTTGATTGAATCGTGGTGATGTGTTTTATGTTTAAAGTTGATGCTATCTTTTTTATATAAATATATGAGGATATTCCTTAATGTGATCTTTGTTATTTGGTGATGATATTTTTATTGAAATTTTCATTATTTCAATGGTTTTTATTCTAGTTCTTATATAAACCTACTTATCTTTTTCGTTATATTTTATAGCGTAATTGATTGTAATGTCCCTATATATGTTCATAAAAAATGTATGCCATTTATGGTTTTATAATTTTACCTGTAGTATAGTTGAAACTGCTTAAATCTAGTAATACAGCATATGGAAAGTTATTACATAGCACAACACACTTCTGCAGTAAATCCTCTTTGAACAACTCCAATAAAATTTTCATGAGAATTGCCCACCAATTATTGGTAATAAAAAAGTTCGCAAATGCAAAAATTTGGCTGCAACACAAATGCGTTTACCATTTTAATTAAAACTATTTACACTATAAATAATCAGTGGAACACGAGGGAATTTAGAGCTTTCAAACCAGCGATGGAAAGTTCACAAGCGGTCTCAAATACTGTGTCAAGCAACAATATTGATCCTCAGAATCAGAATCAACTGGCGCCAATACCTATTGTATCGCATAACTTTAATACCCACTCCCAACCACTAGATCCTGCCCAAATTGGAGAAGATACAATTAGATTAGGCAATGAAGATCATTTGAAAGTTAATTCAATAGAAATTCCTGTAGTTCCAGAAAAGGTGGGGGTTAAAAAGAAAGTCAACCAACTCAGCTCCGTTATCTTCAGTTCCATTAGCAAAAATCCCTAAAATACGACCATCATCAGACTCAGGGCCATCTTTTCATTTTTACTCTCCTAGAACAGATAAATTCAGACGTTATAACACATATTGTTTTGCAAATCATTCATCAAGGGAATTTCATACCTCTAGAATTCCAAATTCAACTGGCAATATGAGAACTAATGTTGATTTTATAGACTTTGGACTAGCTTCTGTTACTTTACCTATACGGCCTAGTTATCAAACAGCTTCATCATATGATGCTTTAGAAACTTTAAATACTTGCTCGGATGGAAGTATGTTTCCTTTTAGAGATATTACTTCAATTGTTCAATCGCCCCATGAACCACCTATAAATGTTTTACCACAAAATATTGCCAATAATATAAGAAACAATGTCATTAAAGAAAACAATAGTAGATTGTTTCCCAATAGTGATTATTTTCAGGATTACTTAGAGGATAGATTAGTTAGATGGAAACCTACTGATTCTCAACATAATAATGAATCTACCATTTTGGGTAAACATCCATTTCAACTTCTTGATTATGGGAGGAAATCAAGAAAGGTAGGTCCATTTAAATTCTTATCGACTATAAGTTCATGGTTTGTTTCAGAAAATGTTATAGAGAGTCCTGAATTAAATGTAGGATCATCTTCAGAATTAATGAATTCAATTCAACCTTCAGTTACAAATTTATCGATAAAGAAAAGAAATGATAGAGGAAGAAATTATGATAATATAATTGGCAAACTAACTTTAAGGCCAAACAGTTCTATTTCAATAATGCCAGGATCTGTTCAAGCTCTGCAACAAAGTAATGGGGTTACAAATCATATTAATAATGTACCTAATTTAAGTCAACATCCAAGTTATACTCCAAGAGCTATACCAGTTAAAGACTACGATCTTAATTTTACAAAAAGAAGAGATTCATTAAATAATTCAGATGATAATTTATCAGTTCTTGATACATTAGATAATGATATTAGGCATCTTGTTGATGGTAATGATAATTTTGTTGTAAATTGTTTGGATGGTATACGGAATATATTCTTATCAGCCGTAGCATTCTGTTGTGGACCAATTGAATAAACTGAGTAAATATTTTTAAAATGACTAATGTGTATATATTGTAAAGACGTATTTAAAATTTTAATAACAAAGGTGATAAAATTGTAACTGTAACTAAAATGAAATAATTAATAGAAAAATGTGACAGAATTAAATATAAAAGATTTATCTTAAAATAAGGTCTATTCTGAAGCTTCAGCGAATCTTTCAGAAATAGAAGTCAATAATGTATTGAATTCAGCCTTTCCTTCACTTTCACCTTTAGAAGGTTCAAAGAATTTGGCAGATGAGACTTTATGCTTAATATCAGAAGTTGCTTCAGATAATTTAGACCATTGAGCACCATTGGCAACAGCCTTTTGAGCTTCATCATAATATGAAATAAAAGCTCTCATCATATCAAAAGTTTTCCAAATTGGACAGAAAGCATCATAAGTAGAGTAACCATTTTGTTGTAAGAAATCTTCTTTAATTAAATTAGCCACATCTAAAGTAATCTTATCAGAATCAGATAAAGCTGATTTACCAACTAATTGAACAACTTGTTCTAATTCTTCGGCATTTGAAATGATTTCTCTCATTTTATCTCTTAATGCTGGGAATTCAGGATAATTTGAATCATAATACTTATTTAATACATTAGTATATTTAGAATATGAAACAGCAGTATTAATGGATGGGAAATGTTTTCTTTGAGCTAATTTTTTATCTAAACCCCAGAAAACTTGAGTAATACCTAATGTAGAAGTTGTAACTGGATCGGAGAAATCACCACCAGCTGGAGAAACAGCAGCAACAATAGAAACTGATCCAATTCTATCAGGAGAACCAAGAGCAATGGATTTACCAGCACGTTCATAAAAGGAAGCTAATTTAGCACCCAAATATGCAGGGAAACCTTGATCGGCAGGCATTTCACCTAATCTACCAGAGATTTCTCTTAAAGCTTCAGCCCAACGAGAAGATGAATCAGCAATCATAGAAACATTCTTACCTTGATCTCTGAAATATTCAGCTAAAGTAATACCAGTATAAATAGAAGCTTCTCTAGCAGCGACTGGCATATTAGAAGTATTAGCAACTAAAGTAGTACGCTTCATAATTGGTTCTTTTCTACCAGAAATTTCAGTAAAAAGGTTAGGGAATTCTTCCAATACTTCAGCCATTTCATTACCTCTTTCACCACAATTGTGTACAAGAGCAGAATTAGCTAATAAGAATTGATGATCAGATTCTTCAGAAAGAGTAATACCATAGAAATCATCAACTTCTTTTTCTTGAAGGTAGAAAGAGAATTGTTGAGGTTCACGACTAACAGCAACTGGTTCAATAGATCTTTTACGAGAATCAGCACATTTAGAAAGAACTGAATCTAAAGCTGAAGAAGCCTTCATATGAATTCCATATGATTCTTGATGACTAATACCACCAGCAACAATGGCTGCATCAGTAGAAACAGAAGTAGTAATACCTAAAGAACGAGCAACAGCTACAAGACCATCTCTTACAGTAGGATAAATAGTTTTAATGGTTGCACCAACACAAGTTTTAGATTGTTCATCTCTCTTAATATGACCATCTGAATCAACTAAACCAGCAATGAAATATTCACGATTTTCTATAGCTTCACTACGATAGAAAGTTGGAATTGATTTTGAAAGTTTTTTACCATCAGATTCAAAAATTTCATTAATTAAACTCCATAATAAATTAGCTTTAGTATTTTGAGAACGATGAATACCTTTACCACTAGTTTCAGATTTATTTAAAGTAATAGTAACATCACGAGATGATCTATGTTGAATTTCTTTAATTTCTAAATCAGCAACTTCAGCACAATCTCTAATACGAGATTTAATTTCTTCATCTCTAGAATCAATTGAGAAAGCTAATCTATCATTAAGACCACTTCCAACCCATGAACCTAATAAATAAGAAACTTCTGGAGCAATTGAACCATCATAACCATGTTTTTCAATTAATGAACCTAAAACATTATTTTCAACTAAAATTGGAGAAGAATATTGTTTAGTAGCACGACGAACATTATAACCCATTTTTGCTACATCACGAGCTTCAATTGTCCAATTAATATTCTTATTAGAAAGTGAATCTTTAAATTCATTAGCTTGTCTAATAGCAATTTCTGGACCTTGAGTTTTATGAGAGAAAGATTTAGTAATAAGTTCAACCATTTTATATTGACGACCATTTGATTCTTTTTGATCATTCAATGCAAAATAAGTTACAGAAGTTTGTTGTTCACCTCTAACAACATGATTTATAACATCAATCTTTTGATTGGTAACAACGACCAATTTATGAGTGGCATTACAAGTGTATGAAGTTGAACCTTCAGTTAATTCAACTTTATGTTGAGCCTTTTCAGTAACATCATACATAAGTTCTCTACCTCTTGGTAAAGCAACAACTTCTCTTGGAAGACCATCTTTACCCAAAACTTTATCACCAATATTAACATCTTCAATGTTTCTATCTTTACCATTAGACATTAAAACTTTGGTACCTTTAGCAAAACATCCAACATAGATAATAACATCAGAATTAGAATATTTAGATAAAGATTGAGAAATAACTGTTTTACCACAACCAAAAGCACCTGGAATACAAGTAGTACCACCTTGAACACAAGGGAATAAAGCATCTAAAACTCTTTGACCAGTTAATAATGGATAATCAGCAGAAAGTTTTTCAGCAACTGGTCTTGGAACTCTAACAGGCCAAGTATGCATCATTGAATAAGAATGTTTTTTACCATCAAATTCAACTTCTAAAACAGTATCATCAACAGTATAAGAACCAGACTCAGCAATAGAAGTAATAGTACCTCTAGCTCTTGGAGGCAATAAGATTTTATGATCATTTAATAAAGAATTTTCATAAATAGATCCAAAGATATCACCACCAGTAATATGGTCACCAACTTTTAAACTTCCTGGAGTAAAATCATATTGAACAGTTCTTGATAAAGCAGGAGCATCAACACCTCTTGGAATATAAATAGATTGAGATAAATCTTTAATTGCTTTTAAAGGTCTTTGAATCCCATCATAAATAGTTTCCATTAAACCAGGACCTAATTCAACTGATAATGGTTTACCAGTTCTTAAAACTGGATCACCAACAGTTACACCAGCAGTTTCTTCATAAACTTGAATAGTTGCTTTATCAGCATTAATACGAATAACTTCACCAACTAAATTATCATGACCAACTTTAACTAATTCATACATAGCACAACCAATCATATTTTCAGCAATAACGACTGGACCAGAAACAGAATAAATTTGTCCATAAAGGGATTCATCAGCATCTAAGGAAAGACGCTTAATTTCCTTACGAGCATTTTCTAAAGCACCAGCCTAAAAGGTAATGTTAGTTAGTTATAATGTTCATTTATAAATTATTCATTGAATATTTATAAAATATATTTTCATATATTTTCATATATTTTATTTAAGGTTCACTATGAAAAATTATGTCAAAATATGTCCGACAATCCTTAACTACCAATTCACTTAAGAAATTCCATATTAGACAAGTCAATTCCATAGTAAACTTTAACAATTAGTTTGTAAACATACCATTTTCAAATTATATCTATGGTTTAATGGGTTATAGTACTTAATGAAACGAACGAGGACGTCTTATCATCTCAGTCAATTTATCCCTCGTTGCTTTTCAACGAAGTGAGGTCGTGCGGAAAATCGTTTTGTCAATTAGGCTTACCGATTTGTAAGGGAACAGTGGCTGATAAAGTGCGAAGAGATGAAGATTTATTGATTGATACGAGACAGTTAATTAAGACAACAATATCTCAATTAGAAGTTCCTTACTATAAATGGTTATGTTATGTCAAAGTATACAGAACACAATATTGTACCTATCAATTCTTACAATCAGATTAAGATGTTTATAGTAAGATTTACTATTAGCATTACTATTAGTAACTTTTAAGTATGTGACCGTAGATTCATTTATGTTATTGATATATAAACTTTTACATATGATGATCATCCCTTTATCTATGACAAACTAGAATCAAAGCTTACCTCCCTTTCGAGCTCTATCAAGTGCAATATCGCACATAGCTTCAAAGGCTTCTTGACGTTCTAAACGGATATCTCCGCGAACTATTCTCTGTCTCATATTTTCCATGATTACGGATCTAGGCCGACTGTTCACAAACACAACATATCTTAACCCCGGAAAGGTCTGTTCATATTCATCATTTAATCGTATTAGTTGTTCTGCTTCTTCTCGTGACCCTTGTAATGATTTCTGTTCGGCTGATGAATGCTGAGATAATTCGGTATTGGTAACTTTTGATGATCCACCTAATCGAGGATGGGCAGCTATAATTTTTGATATACGATTATCAATAGGAGAATTGGCTGTGATTGAATCTTGTTCAGCTTTATATAAGAACTCTAATAATACCCGTCTAGTGGCTTCTATGAATTCTCTATAACTTTTGAATTGCGTACCTATACTAGTAGATAAGATATTATCAATTATAAATGTTGATAAGGTCTCACAAGGTTCAAATAAAAGACCTAATGTGTCCACTTGTTTTTGCCTAGATATAGTTCCTAGACTTTCAATTGGCGGTAATGACATCTTTACTTACTGTCAAATTGAAATGTAAATGTCTGAAATCTACAAATCTTAAATTCCTTATCGGTTCAATATGAGAGCCTTTGAGTTACTATTTATACTAGTGCAGCATAAGAAAATTTTCGGCTGACTCCGAACATTAATATGTATAACGACAAATTTGTCTTTATTACTAAATAAATGCAGAAAAAGATATATATAATATATAACGAAGTAAAGGGTGCGACATGTTACAAATGTTATGCAATGAATATGTGATGAATTTTATAATGAATCTAAGTGAAATGTTCAAGTTGTCTTAACCTGGCTAATTCCTTCTTTGATGGTGCACCCTTTTGAGAAATTAATGGATGTCTCCAATGTTTAACATAAGTGAATAAAACATCAGCTAAATTATCAACATCTTCTATACCTAAATCTTTAAATCCTTTAGCTGAAGGATCTATAACTTGATTAATTAAATGTCTTTCAACTTGATCTGGATTAGTCATTCTCCAGTAAGCAAATTGTTTAATTTCAGCTATTAATTTAGCTAATTGAACAGGAAGATAATAATCACCAAATGAATAAGAAAATGGACCAGCATTAGAGAAATCTTGAGTAATACCATGAATCATTTGTCTTATTTCAAAATAAGATAATTTTTCTGGACCAGCTAATTCAAAAGTTTGTCCAACAGTCGAATCATCAAATCCAATTTTTTCTAATGCTCTAGCAACATCTAAAACATGAACTGGATAAATTTCTTTAGCATTCTTATTTGGAGTCCACATTTTTAATTTTGGACCTAAATAATTTAATAAATTATCTTCTCTACCATACATTTGGGATGGTCTAACAATAGTTGCATCAGGTATAATATCTTTAACTAATTGTTCACCAATACCTTTTGTAGCATAAAATACTGAACTTGAATTTGGATTAGCATTATAAGATGATACATGAACAAATCTTGGAACTCCAGCATCTTTAGTTGCTTTAGCGATTCTTTCAGTTAAAGCAATATTAACATCAGCCATTGAAAAATTCTTAGTATTATAATCAGCTCCAATACAATTGAATACAATATCAGAATGAGCAACTGAATCTTCAATTGATTTAACATTTCTTGCATCAAATTCAACAAAATTAACTACTCCTAAATCTCCAGTAACTTTTAAAAATCTCTTTTTCATATCATCTCTAAATGGTACAACAGTTGTAGTACCATGTCTTGCTAATTTAGAAGTTAAATAACGTCCTAAAAATCCTGAAGCTCCAAATACTGTTGCAGTATAACCAGTTCTTGATGATCTACCACCTGAACCAACAGATATATTAACTTTACCATTTCTAGTAATATTAATATCTGATTCCAATACTGAAGTATAAATTGTCCTACTTCCTAATTGTCTAGTAACATTTCTATTTGTACAAGCCTTTAACATCTTCTGTTAATTTCTGTCTTATCCCCTTTATCTTGTTGGCTATATTATATTCTCATACTAAAATTTATCACAACATCCATTTTTTCCAGTAATGCGAAAATTCCAACTTCTGGTTGGTTAATTAGGGTCTTACCTGCACACAATCCATAAAACTTAAATATAATAGATTTTATAGTAATATATAATAAAGTATAAAGAACCTAAGAACAGTATAGTTGATATAAAACAAAAGAAACAAAGGTACAAAACAATAAACAAATAAACAAATAAAAAACATTGCAAATTGTAGGGGGGAGACATAAAACGAAAACTAGTAGAGATTACAAGACAAGACAAGACAAGACAAGACAAGACATAGAAATAGATCAAAAATTAACTAAGTAAACAAAACAAAGGAGAATAAGAAATCATAAGAAATAATCAGGAGTCTTTCTAGTTACAGTAGGTTCACCTGGTCTAACTGAAGGATCATATTGTAAGAATTGTCTATTGTGTTGTTCATCAACTTCCATAATAGCAGCTTGATTCCCACATCTATAACAATAATTTGGAGCAGAAAAAATTGTTACAACTGATTCTTGATGTGACCAACTAAAACCTTCCATTACTAATTGATGAGCTCTTGCAATAAGACTTAAATCATTGGTATGATTGAATTGTTCAGAAATATCTTGACCAAAAGTGAAACCGGCACCTCTTGGACTAATACCCCAACCACCTCTATCATCAGGATCTGACCATAATAAATCACACATTGGACCTTCATGAGGTACTTCTTGTATTCTATTTAATTCTCTTACTTGATCAATTGTTTCAATCATTGGTGATAAACCACCATGTAAACAAAACACTTTATTATCAACTAATGCAGTAATTGGGAAATAATCAAATAAATCAGTAAATAATTTCCATACTGCTGCTGAACCATATTTTCTTAAACATTCATCATAAAATCCGTAAACTTGGGTAATTTGTCTTGATTCATGATTACCTCTTAATATAGTAATTCTATTGGGATATCTTACTTTCATACAAACAAGATAACTAACAGTTTCAACTGAATAGTAACCTCTATCAACATAATCTCCCATAAATAAATAATTTGTATCAGGACATGGTCCACCAATTTTAAATAATTCAATTAAATCATGAAATTGCCCATGAACATCACCACATATAGTTACAGGCACATGAACTGGTTGTACATTTTCTTCGAATTGTAATACTTCTATTGCCATATCACATAACTTTTTAACATCAGCTTCTGATAATGGTTCACATTTACTTAATTTATCAATCCATTCGTCTAATTGATTGATTGATCCTATAGCATTCTCATCATGCACATTAGATGAAAGGGTATTTCTACCATTAGTATTACTATTATTAGTTGATGTGGAAGCTTTTGGATTTGTAACTTTTAATTTGGTTTGATGTTCTTCAACATCTTCCATTGGAACATCTGTATCTAAATCCATATTGTAAGTATTTATTATTATTATTATTAAGTGTTTAAGTGTTTAAATATGAATCAAGTAATTAAATGATTGATTGATTGATTAATTTGATTGATTGATTAATTATTATTTGATAAATAAAATAATTAAGGAATGAAGGAATGAAAATTTTTAGGAATAATTGAAATAAATAAAACTTGACGTCAAAACCGTTAAAAAATTAGGGGAGTTTAAAACAATGCTAAATGGAATGAATATAATGCTAGAGAATGGTCTGAAATTGATATTACAAACCTTTAAATTGAATGAGTGAAGAAATTATAATGGATTTCAAAATCAATATTTGAGTCTGAATATAGGGTTCAGTCAATAAGATTTAAAATGAAAATTTATGTAATGATTAATTAATCCAACAATAGTAATTGAAATAATTAATTTGAATGAATATAAGTTTATTTGGGTTAATACTGTAATGAGACTTGATTCAAGGGATGATGGAATGTGAATGATTTGAAAGGTATTGATCCAAACAGAACAAAATTGAATTGATTGGAATCGAATGTAATTGGGGTCAAATCAATTGGATAGGTTGATTTATCTTAATATTGATTGGTTTGTTGATTTATTCAAAGCAAACACGATCGGCTAGATATATCAGGCTTGTATGTTTGATGAACGACTTTATGCTTCGAGACACTGGTAAGGTGGGGTCGTGTCGATCGGACGCTGGCTTGTACGCTAATCCTCGTGTGCGCTTGTCTGATTGGCTATCACCTCCTGCTGGTTTGGCTGAAGGTTTAGGTAGGTTTGGGCTGTCTGGTTAACAATTTCAGCTATAATCTTACTTAACTTAAGCTTAGTGGATCTCCCACAGTTCGGTTTTTTTTCCGATTTCCAAATTGGTGATGGTTCCTCAACATCCAAAAAGGGTGTGTGGAGGGCCAAAAATGGTTAGCGCACAAAGAGAAAGTGGAGCGAACTCAAAGTAAAGTTAAACAGAATATTCGCAGTGGAGAAGGTTTAGTCTATTTAAATTGTTGTTTGTGTTACTGATAGTGAGATATTATGGAGGGGTTGTTATATGATAATCAGTAATTTAACTATTGATTAATTAATGATTTGGTTTGTATAATATATTCCAATGTTTATCATTTCTTAGTAGTCTAATTTCAATTACGTAATGATGCCTAGAAGTGGTCTTAGTTAGAGTTTATTTACTTAATTCTTATATTTTCATATTTGATTCGTAATCTTTCTAGTCTAAATATACTTCTTTCTATGTAAACATAAATAATTCTATATAATTTAATGTTTCGCTAAGTAGTCTGATTATAATTCGAAGAGCTGATGTGGCTTTACCACTAGCCCTTATTATCCATACAATTATTCAAGTCCAGAGCAAGGAACGTGAATCAGGGGAGAGTTCCTGTAAGTAGTTATCTTCTGGAATCCTATTCGCATCTTCAGCATCGTCATCGTGATCAATACTAAATCGCTTTTCAGGAATACTTGGATCTGAAATGTTAGTAGTAGTATCATAAGAATGCCCTTCCTCTAATGAATCATGAGTTTCTGAAGCATTATTAGTATTATCCTGTAATTCTTCTTGTAAATGGTAACCAGAATTTCGCTGATCTTCTAGCTTTTCTTGCGCATCAACAAACCAATTATTCAATAAAGTGTCTGTCCTTATTAATAAGCCAATATGATTAAAAAATGTAAAATGTAAAGACAAGTAATTTGTGAATGTTAAAAGTTGATTTGCACTATCTGGACTGAAAAATTTTAGTTTATCTATTTCTACATTACCTGGATTGTTAAATTTATTTTCAACATGTAAAATAGCTTTTAATAAATGTAATAAATGTGGTATCAATTGATAATTAGAAATCCTCAATTTGAAAACTTCTGATTCTGATGGCTGTAATTGCTGATTTAAATTAGCAATTAATTTATATAATTCCTTCCTTAATACTTCAAATCCAATTGGGTATATTAATAATAATTTAAACAATATCACATTCCTAATAATCTCGAATATTCTGTCATTATAACCTGTGTTAGATTTGGTTTTGGTTTTATTTTTAATTTTAAATGAATTGATCAATCTTTTTAGTCTCCAGTAGTCTGATAAAGTCCCATCTTTGGCATACTTCAACTTCACATTAAAACTTGTGTTTTTACATAAATTTGAGAAATGTTTCTCATCATATTCTTCTTCATCTTCTAAGGAATTTAACAATTGGAAAAGTCTATCTGGTTGATTATTACTTTCGCATCTTATTTTATTATAAGTCAATTGAGTTATAATATCATTATTACGGAATCTATGCATATTATAATTAAATGATGAAAATATTAAATAATATCTTTCAAATGTGAATATCATTTCAAATAATTCTGAAAGCTTAATATTTAAATTGTTATCGTTCTTCTTAATATTAATTAATTGAAAATAGGTAATACTCCTATTCAAATTTAATACTTTTTGATATTCTTGCATCTCATTTCCAAATACTTCCGTTAAATCACTATTACTATCACTCATGTTAACTGCAATTATAGTATTGGTTAAATTTAACGTATGATAATAATTGCAAAGATGCAAACAACTCAATGACATGTTATAAAATATTTCGTGAAGCTTGTGTAACTTATTTTCACTATTAATACTATTTTTTTTGTTTTCCCCAGCTTTTGAGCTAACTGACTTCAGTGGAATCACTGAAGGAACTATTAAATTCGTCTCTAAGATAGAAAATATTTCAATACACTTTAAGTGACATAACTCCTTAAAAATCTTGAAATCCCTATTCATGTATTTTCTGGGATATTTAGAAAATTCAAAGAATTTTCTCTTCTTAAATTTGATTAATATTTCGGCAATTAATAAATTGATAGTAAGGATAATAAGAATTTGTGATAAATATAAGGGATAACAATGGTGGTTTGAAAGATCAATTTTTTGGTCCATTGGAATAATTGGAGGATTTGATCCATTGACTAAATTGACATTTAAAAAATCGGTTAATTTACTATGATTTAAAATTAGCGATTGAACTGTAAATGGTAAAAGTGAATCACGAATAATTGGTTCTTCTCCTATTAATTTTATATTCTCAATAAGATTTGAAAGTGTTGGCCTATATTCAATAGTCTCATTTTCTTGGAAAATATTGGGTCGGGATGCCTTTGGAGGGGGGCCTGGTGTTTTAAGTTGTCTATTAAATGTACACTTAATTTTATGTCTTTCGCATCTCTTACAAGTTGAGTTCTCTTGTTTAATACAACGAACTTTCTTTTTATGACAAACATCACAAGCATTACTAGTTATTTTCTGTACTCTATATCTGTGCTTTCTAGGCTGTAAATGTATATTGGTCACACGAATCTTAAGTTTAGTTGATTTAGGAGTGGTGGCTATTCTTGATTCAGCAGATTCTTCACTTTCTGGATTATGTGTATATGTCTTAGTAAATAGGCTAAAGACCAGCCTTGGACTGTTAAGGCTATTCTGGGGGTGATTAATTGTAGTTAAACTCATATTGATAGGCATAATTATATAAATATATAGTCTTAAAAAATGGTACTATGTATGCTCCTTCAGAGGTACTATGGTTAAACAAAGATAGTAGGGATAAATAGGATCTAGTATTTGAAGGCAAGAATACTAATAAATGCATTGATCTGGGGTGGGCAAATTTTGAAGAGATTAAAGATTGCAAATTTTACGAAAAAAATAAAAAATATAGAACCCCACTTCTCGTATGTCACGTACCTCGTATTTGTCTGATTAATATTAGGTAAGCTTAATTAAATTATTTAGTGTGAAGTGCAACTAATGATTGTCAAAGTATTTGATAAGTTCATCTCGGTGAGTCATTTTATGCCCTACATAGATTTTGACAAACATCAGAGCCACACGTTGATAAGAAAATGATTCAATCTAATAAATTAATTACCATAATGAACAATTTAACTTTCGATTGTTATACTTTCGATTGACAGAATGGGTTGTCAAAGTTTTTTAACTTAAACCTTTATCCATCTGGAGATAATTGGAAAACTTTGTTAGTCTATTAGCAAATAAGGTGGCAAACTCAGGGGGTCGCAGAAATTGCCCTTTTAGGATTACTTGTCTGCAAAATGCATGATCACAAAAGCAGACAACAAAAGAATAATCGAAGATTACTTAAATTGTAGGTTTGATAAGCGATAAGCTAAGTGATAGATTAAATATTTCCTATTCAAGCATACTCTCTTTGTTCGAATTGTCACAGAACAATTTTCCTGATTATGATTTGTTGTGAATTTTGAGACGTATTATCGGAGCATGTAATGATAATTTATATTTCACCACCATAAAAGTAATTAAAGGCATTCGTTATTTATTCAATCATGCATGTCTTATAGAAGAATATATATAAAGTAAGAACTTTGTAGAAACATTAAAAGAATGATTATGAAAGATGACCTTTAAGCGATTTAAGAATACCCTCATGTTAAGAAAACATAGAAAGTAGCGGTGACATACCTGTATTATAAACTCTACAGTTAGGTTACTACGATGGTTCTAGATTAAGAAATTTGCGGATTATTTGTATATTGCTTTACAATTATTCTAATATATACATAAACAAATTATTGTATATTAGTACTTGGCTCCGTCGTGACAGACCAAGAACAATTACTATTCTACCCGTAATAATTATTGTTACTAGAACAAAAATTGATTACTGTCTCTATTTTCTTCTGGTTTAACTGTATTATTACTATTATTTATATTTCCACCACCTCCAGAGCCAGAAAATATATTGGCCAAATTTGAAAAGCTAGTAGATGATCCTAGCCATTGCAGCAAACTAGTAGCACTAGCACTCAATTTCAATGGATTGCTTGGAGTACGAACAGAACCTGTCTGATCAGATGTAGGCTCCGTTCCAGTACTACTTGTTGGTATACCGAAATTGCCATTATAATCAATTGTGGCAGTAAATGGAGTTAAAACAGGTGGCAATGGTTCCTCTATAGGTATTTGAGGATTATATACTGAATTTGAGCTGGATATCATGGAAGAAGAAGTTGTAGATGCTGTGATCGATGAAGATGATAACATACCAATCATATTTGGTCTTGCTGGAGGCTGATGATAGTTCTGAGGCTGCGAATAATGATTCTGCTGAAGTTGCCCAACTTGGGAAGAACCCTGCTGCAGGGGAATAAAATACAGGTTCATCATTTGAGAATCTTCATCTTCAGGAGTCGAAGTTCCATTAGTACCAGAATTGGTCGTTGATAATCTAGCATGTCCCAAGCCTGGAGGTACAGTGTAACCATGAGAAGTTCCATCCATAAGGGCGGAAGTATCTAAATCAAATGGTAATGCAATTTCTGTAATATTATTAGAAATAATTCCAGAACCTTGATGCAAATTCAGTCTAAGATTTATTGGTTGATTCTTTAACCTATTGATATTTTCTTTTAGGTTTCTATACCAATTATTCAATAACGCGTCTGTCCTTATCAATTTATTAATATTATTGAAAAATGTAAAATGTTTAGCCAAATAGTCAGAAAATGTTAAAAGTTGATTTGCACTATCTGGACTGAAAAATTCTAATTTTAATTCATCTATTTCTATATTACCTGGATTGCTACTTTTAATGGCTTCAATATGTAAAATAGTCTTTAATAAATGTAATAAATGTGGTATCAATTGATAATTAGAAATCTTTAATTTGAAAACTTCTGAATCTGATGGTTGTAATTGCTGATTTAAATTAGCAATTAATTCATATAATTCAGTTCTTAATTCTTCAAATCCAATTGGATATATTAATAATAATTTAAATAATATCCCATTCCTAATGATTTCAAATACTTTCTCATTATCATCTGTCTTATCCAGGACTGGGATTAATTCATAAATTTTCCTTTTGAGTCTCCAGTAGTCAGATAAAATACCATCCTCTATATAATTCAATTTAACATTAAAACTTGTATTTTTACATAAATTTGAGAAATGTTTCTCATCATTTTCTTCTCCATCTTCTAAGAAATTTAACAATTGGAAAAGTCGATTTGATTTATAATTATTATTAATACTTTCACGTTTATATTTCATAATTTTATTACAATTCAATTGAATTATAATATCATTATTACGGAATCTATGCATATTATAATTAAATGATGAAAATATTAAATAATATCTTTCAAATGTGAATATCATTTCAAATAATTCTGAAAGTTTAATATTTAAACTATTATCATGTTTATTCTTAATATTAATTAATTGAAAATAGGTAATACTCCTATTCAAATTTAATACTTTTTGATATTCTTGTATTTCATTCCCGTAATTTCCATCTCTTAAAATATTATTACTAATATTATCAGTAGATTCCTCATTTATAGTAGATGTAGGAACTGTTGGGACTGCATTTAAAGTATTGGTGAGATTCAATGTATGGTAATAATTACAAAGGTGTAAACAACTTAATGATAAATTATAAAACACTTGATGCAAATTATTTAAATTATGGCCACTACTATTAATATTATTAGTGGTGTTATTATTATTAATAGTAGTAGTAGAAGTAGTAGTAGCAGCAGTGGAAGCACTATTAGTAGTATTAGTGGGATTATTATTGTTGGTAGAATTACTGTTAGAATGAAGAACATTATTAATATTATTACCACTATTTCCAACAATACCACTTGCACTTGGTCTAACTGCTTTAGGAGGAATTACTGTAGGAACAATTAAATTTATCTCAATGTAAGAAAATATTTCAATACATTTATAATGACATAAATTTTTAAAAGTTTTAAAATCTCTATCCATATTCTTTTTAGGATATTTAACGAATGTTTTAAATTTTCTCTTTTTAAATTTAATTAATATTTCGGTAATTAATAAATTGATAGTAAGAATTATAAGAATTTGTGATAAAAATAATGGATCATCATGATGATTTGAAAGATTAATTTCCTGGTCCATTGGATTAATTGGAGAATTGAAATAATTAGCAAAATTGGCATTTAAAAAATCAGTTAATTTACTATGATTTAAAATAAGCGATTGAACTGTTAATGGTTGAAGTAAATCACGAATAATTGGTTCTTCTCCTATTAATTTTATATTTTCAATAAGATTTGAAGGTGTTGGTCTATAATTGGGCCCGATGTCTCTTTTATGATTAGTATTATTATTAGAATTGGTTGATAAAATAGTATTAGAAGTAAGATTATTATTGCCAAGATTTGAGGAAACAGTTGAAGGGATTGGAGTTGGATTACTTGTAGATAAATGAGATATTGATGATCCTGAAGCTTCTAATTCAATGGCTGGATCTTTAACTGGACTAGATGATTTAATACCACTAGCTACTGAAGTATTACTAGGATCACTTGGATCAATAACATTTCTAATTTCAGATATAGCTTGATAATTAGTAATCTTTTGAAAAGTAGTGGCACGACAAGTCTTTGGACCTGATTTACCAATATCTCTATTAAAAGTACATTCTATTTTTGCTCTAATACAAGGTTTACATGGTTTTCCTTCATCACAACCAACTTTTCTAAAGGCACATCCATCACAAGCATGATAATTAGCTCTTCGTTTCTTCTTTTTATTTATATTATCTTGAGGTTGTGTATGTTTATTGGTTACGGGAATTTGACGTTTGGTTGATGTAGAAGATTTTACCTTGTCTCCATTAAGGGAAGCTATTGAAGATGTAACTGCTATATTTTCTGGTTCAGGTGTGAAAAAACTTAGACGTGATTCATTATCATTGGTTGGGATAGATGTTAAAGATACATTTTGAGATGATCTTAAGTATGGACTATTTGTTGTTGACTCTGAAAATTGTCCAACATTATTAGAAAAGCCAGAGAAACTCATTATGACAGATTAATCAATATATATGTATGTATGATTGATTGTGAGGTAAGTTCCAAACAAGTATAAAGAATAATTTGAAGTAATATTGTTGAACAGGACTCTCCTCACTGTCAGAGTATTCTTCTATCCTTCAAAATAATGTAGGGGTGATGTGATAAGTAATGAGTAATGTTGGATTATGGAGATGATATGAATGTTTGAAGTGATGGTATAATATTGAAATATATGTTTTACTATACAATAAACTCTAGTAAATGAATATCTAATTAGTACAAATTATTCAGGCAGACAAGTCGAATGAAATACTCGGCAACTTTGTCTGTAGGATAACCACAAGTGTTCCAATAAGCTGGATTAAGTTTAGTAGGGTCTTAAGTAACTTGAGTCAGCTAGTGTAGGTGAGCGAGGCCCAAAAAAAAAAAGAAAAGAAAAATTACCTGTATCGAAGTGGAGACAATAAACGGGAAAGAATACACAGATTTATGTTAAGGGCAGTCAGAGTCATATACAGACTTAGTGGAGTACTGATTATTTGTCAGTTAAATGTGTGTGGCTTGTGGGCTGATTAAAGGTATTTAGTATGGTAGTATACTATAATATATTATATTATAAGTGTAGATAAGTTATGTTTAGGTTTACATTGACATTTACATTTACGTTTAATTATTAATATTAAAACTAAAATGTACCAAAGTCCGAATAGTTAGTGGACAAGTTAAGTTTAGTCAAATCGAGTCCAGAAGATGGACAATCTGTACTCCGAAGTTAGGATGTGTAATTCCGAAACCACTAAAGTTAAAATAAAATAATATTAATTACTAATTTATACACACTAAATAAATTTCTGCGAGCATAGGGATGGTGGGGTAGTATCATTTTTACACCAATGAGTTCTTTGATGGCCAATAAATTTGGGTATTATTTATTTGTCGATGTTTTTATTTGACATAGATACCCATCAAAATGGCATTTGTTTCGAGTGGATGTTTGTTAAGCCTTGTTGATTATTTTTAAGTGATACACCATCTCATTGTTCATATATTACTTTTTATTAACGCGGGGTCGAAAGGAGGGGTATCACACACCCCGTCTCGTACCGAATATATCCATTCAACATACTATACGCATCCGATTTCTATATTTATACTGTTCTACTACTCTATACTATTAATTAATGATCTATACTTTTGTTGACTGTTACACATATCTAAGAAGATATTGTATTTAATATTATATAGTGAAGTTAATTGATTTGTAGGTAACACTTCTTCGTGGATCAAATAACCATTGGCTTGATTTATAACTTGCTTCATTATTTCATAATAAGATTCATCTTCTATTAAATATTGTTTGGATGATAATTTAACTGCCATCTCTGCAATCATTGATGCACCTTTCACAACATTATACTTTGTATTGTTATTAGTATCTGACTTAATTTTTATAATAGGTTTATGAATTATATCACTAAGTAATTTTAAGAATCGTTCATTAGAACTTTGTGATCCAGTAATAATAACTTTCCATACATTTAAGTTATCAGATAAGAATTCTGATAATATTTGTTTAGTCTGAAAACAAAGGAACTCAAGTATGAGATTATATTTGATAATCAAACTTGTAACATCCTTTCCATTAATAATAGAACAATGATCTAATTCAGGTGTATTATTCTTACCATCAATAACTATCTCACTCATTGTGAAATCAAGTAAAGGACTTCTATTTCCATTAATATCACCATAATAAAAGTCATTTTTGATGATTGAATTTATCGGCTTTTTCAATTTCTCTTCAATTTTAACTGTCTCATCTTCAATCCATTTGAATATTAAACCAATATCATTGGTATTAATATGGCTATGGATTAATTCTGCATAACTTTTGAACAATCTTTCAAACAATAAGCCTGTAGCAGGCTGACCAAATTCATATACATTATACTTCTTTCCCCATATATTAAATGGGCCCCATATACCATGAATGAAAGGTGGATCTTGTTCTTGATTTTGACTTGAAAAAATGAAACAAGTTGAACTTCCAGCCACCATCGATAATATTTCTTCATCTAAACTTTCTGATTTGATTATTGTAGATAACCAACCAGCATAACAATCAATACATCCATGAGCTACAACTGCATCGATACCTCTAGTAGAAAATCTTCCCATAGGGTATCCCAACGGAAGAAGTTGTCCACCACCTACTTTTACATTGTTTACTCCAAATTTTCCACGTAAAGTTTCTTGACTCCATCCTTTGACTGATCCATCAATTGCATAACCTTCCTTATCAGTTGTGACCGGTTTATATTGGTACTTATTTTCAATACCAGTTAATCGTAAATTTATCCAATCGTATAATTCAAAAACGATAAAATTTTCAGTAGGATAAGTATCTTGAAGATATTTCAATTTGGGAATTCCTAATTCCGGAATAATTTGTCCACCTAATCTTCCCTTAATTGGTGTAGATAGAGTTTCATTTAATTGAATAGTTTGAGTTGTTGAAGAATTATCCATCCAAAGTAATATATCATACACTTTATCATCATTTGAGTTTGATGATCGGAATTCAAATGGGTTTATTTGTAAATTATCACCTATAGTATTTGATATTTTCATTACTACCATTGAACAAGTAGCAGTTGTTGATATACCTTTAATATCATTATAAGGTATTTCAATGATTAATTCTTGTATAGAATTGTATATATCTTGTGATGATTGACAAATAACATCACCAATAATATTATGCGTATGAATTGGTTTGCTCCAAGATTCAAAGATTCCTTTTTCAGAATTACGATAACAAACTCTCACTGAGCCTGTACCAATATCAATACCAACTGTTGCCATGGGTAGTTGGAGAATGACCGATAAGGAATTAGATTAGTTAATGCGCACAGTTATTTTTGCAGTTTTCTATAAAATAAATACAAGTGAATAATTAGCGAAATAATTCAAACGTAAAACAAACCTAAATTAAAAATACAAATTGTAAAACCTATAAAAAAATGATAAAAATATAACAAAGTCTATGTATAAGTAGTTTATGGAGAAAAAGAAAGACTGATAACTGAAAAACTTTTTATTGAAATTCCCAAATTAAAACCTGTTGAACCAGTAGAATGAATAGATAATACTCTTTTCTATCTAAAGAATAGTAGCGGTTGAACCTTGTTGGTTAATCCATCCTTGAACAGTTTCAGCAGATAAAACTTCATCAAATGAATTAGCAACTTCAACAATGGAGATATTACTACCATCAAAGATAACAGCAGCAGCTAAAGATCCACTGGTTGGTCTTTGGAAATAATCTTGAGATCCACCACCACCTTGAGCACTACCATTATCACCTTGACCAGTATGTAAATGAGAAATTAATCTATCATCACCTGAAGTTAAGATTTCAAATAAATCTAATTCACCACAACCGGTTAACCAACATGAACAAGTAGCAGCACCATATTGTAAAGTTCTTGGAATTTTAGCATTTAATAACCAAACAGCTGGCATATCATAATTGAAACCTGAACCTGAAGTAGCAGTTGGCATTTCAAATTCAAAAACAAATAATTTTTGATTACCTCCAAAACCATGGTAAGCTGGAATACCTGATCTATAGTAACCACAATCATTACCACTACATTGTTGACCAGAGAAAATAACGTATTCATTATTAGATGGAACAACAACATTACCTAAAGCAACTGGGGTTGAAGAACCACCTGAAGCATCAGCGTTAGCATAAGATAATGAGTTACCAAAAGCTGAAGACCAAACACCAGAACCAGAACCACCATAGTAGTTCATGAAGACAGTGTTGTCAGCATTACCTGGAGTATAGTAAGCAACTCTTTGCCAGTCACCAGCAGCAGCAGAAGGAGAACTTGAAGAAGCAGAACTTGGAGCAGCAGCTGAAGTTGATGAAGTTAATAAAGTAGTAGCAGCTGGAGATGATGGTTGACTATTTGGAGGTGGAGCAACAGCATCAGTACCGGCATTTGGTGGAGGAGCTGGAACTGTTGTTTGAACGGTAGTTGATGATTGAACTGGTTGACCATCAATATTAACCCAGACAGTTTCAGTAACTTGTAAGATTTCAGTTGCTCTTTTATGTTGATGATGAATATGTTTGGTGGTACAGTCTTCTTGAGCTATATCTGCAACATCTTGTTGAGCATTGGCATCTCTTTTAGCGTGGGCTGAGCCAGCAGGATAATAAACACCAAATTGTAATAATTTAATTGGACCTCTGAAATGAACAGATAATTCTTCATCTAAAGGACTTAAATTACCAGAGAATGAATAAGGCTGTTGAGAACAAACACCAGATGTTTCATCCATATTTGTAACATCTTGATAAGAACCAGAAAATCCTACACCAGGATAAGTAATTTTGGTAGTTTCAGAACAGTAATAATTACCATTACTTTCAGTACACCATGCATTAGCAGAAGCCAAAGTAGTAAGTATAGATACTAAGACTGAAGAAGTGAATTTCATATTTAATTCTTTAATTCGTTGGGTATACTTCTAATTTTTATTTTGAATGAATATAACGAATTTATAATAAAACAATACACTTCAAGTAAAAGGAATATTGAATAGTAGAAAGGAACGACTAAGGTTGGAGTAACAAGTGGTACACTTAAAATAAAGGAATGACAGATATTTCGAACTTTTAATATAATATGAAAAGGTGGTCGAAATAACGGAAAGGTACACACTCAAATGATTTTTATTACACGATAAAAGTAACAGATATTGATACGTAAACGTAAGCCTTGTTAGTAGGTGTAAGTAAAGGGAATGAAAGGAGTGACAAAAGTGGGACGTTAGTTAGGCTAATACAAAAGCAAAACAAAACAAAAACACAGAGGGTGGGATTCGCCAAATAAAATGTAATTTACTTAGAAAAAATAAATAAACAAAATATTAAAAAAAAATCAATATTGTAAGGGGGGTTAAGAAGGGATGTCCCCGATTTATATATATTTTATATTTGTTAAACCTGCTTCTATTATAATAAATTGTATATAATAACCAGCTAAATTAGGTTTTATGGTACGGGAGGGATTTGTTTTGATACCCAAGACATTTATGTAACGAACCAGAAATATTTCGCAGTATAAAATTTATTTTTTAATTTTCTGCTGGTTTAGGTGTTACACAAACACGAGAAAATTTCACTTTTGTGAACAAATATATAAAACTTTGCATATAGATGTGGAATGGAACACACCCTCGGAATAAACTCTAATGTATGAGTGCACGTGCATATTCCATTCTAAACTTTTCGGATTCCGGACATTCTTTTATTCGAAATTTGTTTAACTAGTCGTCTCCTTCCTATTCGGGAAGTATTCCTGCCATTATTGGCCGATTGCCGTATCAATTTTAGTTTAGACTAAGTATCTTCATACCATACCAGCTCATTTTTCTTGTTGTTCCATGAATACCTAGTTTGCTAGTTGCGTTACCAAGCATCGCCTCTTAATAATTAAAAATTTATTAATGTATTCATTAAATCATTTTTATTCTTGTATGTCAAGCGACGTAATACAAAGGTAGCAATTAACAACACTAACACTATACTCCTCACTAAATGTGAACAAAGAATTGTCCTATAAATTCGTACTATTGTTGCATAGCATTTATTTAAATCATTTCTAGTCGCCTTGCTTTACTTGACGACTCCGTCTGTTCTTACTATCTTTCTTGCTTTAGTGCTGCTTTTTTCTTTCTTTCTGCCTGCTTTTTTTTTCCTTCGTGTATTTGTGCCGTCTTATCGTCAATGATGATAATACTAGTGCGCGATAATCGATGATAATCGATCTACCTCGTTGCTTATCTTGTACGGTCTTTCGTATTCAAATACCTTATTATGCAAACAAACAGTTACTAATCCAAATCATTTGCCGAGAATCAATCAATAAGAACAATGAAACCACTTACGTTGCAAACCGTCACTTAGTAGACTTTTTCTTTTTTTTCTTTGTTCCTTGTTGATCTGGCGCGGTATTTTGCATCAAGTCGAGTAGCGAAAATCTCTGGTACTGAGCGCTGGTTATTTTACTAGATCGCTGGTTATCGCAGTTACACCCGTTATGGCATCTGTTGTATGATCTTACTTGGCATTACAACACCCCGTGGATCAGTTTTGGCAGGTAGATTTACTCCACTTTGGCAGTGGTCCACTTATGAAAGAGTCGGATCAAGATCTTTCATCATTTTAGTAATCTTTATCCAGCACGGCCCGATAGCCCTGTGGCTGCAGTAGACTTCAAATTTGATTTAATATTAACGAGATTCTCGTATTCTAAAAATTAAATTTCAAATCCAAAGTGGTTGTCAATTAATGCTCAATAGCCGGCACTTCTTTGTTATATCGACTTCTTTACTTGAGTCTATTGTTATATGTACAATAGACATTTGTATTGATCTATCAAATGTACACAGATGAGCCTACAGGTTGCATATTAAAGCAGATAGTTGTATTTGTATTTTTAATTCTTCTGTAAAACATTCAGTTTACTTACCCACTAAATGTTGTCATATCCATATGTCAGAGACGATCAACTTCAAATATCTTCGGTTAGCTCATCTCTAGGTATTAAGAAGATTTGTCTTTTAAATAACTTATTCAGTAGTATTAATTTACTTCTACTCACTAACTACCTACCCGTTTTCGGACACTGCATCGCACCTATTTGTAAATCATATAATATACATATACATATGCCTTTAAGAAGTATATGATGTCATGATTAATTTATCCAACAATGCAAAATTTTTATTTTTTGCTCATTTGGCACTTTTCAACGGTTTTTTACGGCTTGCATTGCACATAAATCAATTTATTGAAGTCCATATTAACTCACCTGCATTCAATTTCATATCAAAAATTGCGAAATGCCACTATTTAATGTAGTTCTGTATCTCTAGATGTGTTATCTCCGCTTTGTAAGTTCATTCTAGACAAGATTAACACTTGAAAAAGAAACTCCGCATATAAAGCCCGTATAAGATCCAGGAACAAAAATCATTAAATACATCATCGATCTGCAAAGTAATAACTACTTCTCACTTTAGGATTCTAGAACTTACATAAGAGTCCGGAAAATGAATTAATAAATGCCAATACTTTTTGTAGATAGTTAGAAAGTAGAATTGTGAAAATTTTTCCTTTTGCAGCTTATTGTTTCTTTTTAATTCTAGATTTATGTCAAAAATTTTCAAAAATTTTATTTTACTGTTATTGCCGTATTTAATATTTGTGAGCCTTCCAGGATGTTAGAGGATTTGTGAAAACTAATTTTTAATATAATTTAATAAATAATGTATTCATTTCAAATAGGGTAAGGAGTAAAGATTTACTCTTTTCAAAAGTAGAATAAATCACGTGATGTAAAATGTGATTAGTCACATGATCAGAAGAGATCCTGCATACAGAGTCAATATTATAATTTTTTTATAGAAGGCATCGTAGTTAAATGTATTAGAAGTATAGATAACTTAAATCAGATAAGATCAATATCATAAATGAGTGAAAGGGCATTGAAGAAACAGAAAGTGTCTGAAGAGTCTACTGCGGAGATTGTTGCAGAAATAGCTGAAGAAAATTTACGTAAACATCCTCATGCAGTTGAAAACAATTCTTTGATTCATCACGATGATGGTGAATTTTCCAAATTTAAGAGACATGAAACAACTGCTGAACAAGCAGAAGCTCTTGAAAATGGTCATGAGAATCCATTCACAGGTAAGCCATTTTCTCAAAAGTATTTCTCAATTTTGAAAGGTAGAAGAGACTTACCTGTTCATGCTCAACGTGCTGAATTTTTAAAGATATTTCAATCTACTCAAATCATGGTATTTGTTGGGGAAACTGGTTCAGGTAAGACTACACAAATCCCTCAATTTGTATTATGGGATGATTTACCTCATTTACGTGGTACTCAGGTTGCATGTACACAACCAAGAAGAGTTGCTGCAATGTCTGTTGCTGCGAGAGTTGCTGATGAATTAGATGTTGAATTAGGTGAAGAAGTTGGGTACAGTATTAGATTTGAGAATAAAACTTCTAATAAGACAATCTTAAAGTATATGACAGATGGTATGTTATTAAGAGAAGCTATGGAAGATCATGATTTAAAAAGATACTCGGTTATTATACTAGATGAAGCGCATGAAAGAACATTGGCAACAGATATTTTAATGGGTTTATTAAAACAAGTTAGTGTAAGAAGACCAGATTTAAAGATCATTATTATGTCAGCTACCTTAGATGCTGAAAAATTTCAAAATTATTTTAATGATGCCCCATTATTGGCTGTTCCTGGTAGAACTCATCCTGTTGAAATTTATTATACTCCTGAATTCCAACGTGATTATTTAGATGCTGCCATTAGAACTGTATTACAAATCCATGCCACTGAAGATGAAGGTGATATTCTTTTATTTTTAACAGGTGAAGAAGAAATTGAAGATGCATGTAGAAAAATCTCCCTTGAATGTGATGAATTAATTAGAGAACAAAACTGTGGACCAGTAGATGTTTATCCATTATATGGGTCCTTACCACCACACCAACAACAAAAAATTTTCAATCCTGCACCAGAACCATTAAGACCAAATGGAAGACCAGGAAGGAAAATTATTATATCTACCAATATTGCTGAAACATCTTTGACAATTGATGGGATTGTTTATGTTGTTGATCCTGGTTTCTCAAAACAAAAGGTTTATAATCCAAGAATCAGAGTTGAATCTTTATTAGTTTCACCAATATCTAAAGCATCTGCTCAACAAAGAGCTGGTCGTGCTGGTCGTACAAGACCAGGTAAATGTTTTAGATTATATACTGAAGAAGCATTTAAAAAGGAATTAATTGAACAATCATATCCTGAAATTTTAAGAAGTAATTTAGCATCAACTGTTCTTGAATTGAAAAAGTTAGGAGTAGATGATCTTGTTCATTTTGATTTCATGGATCCTCCAGCTCCAGAAACTATGATGAGAGCATTAGAAGAATTAAACTATTTACAATGTTTATCAGATGAAGGTGATTTAACTGCATTAGGTAGATTATCATCACAGTTCCCATTAGATCCGCTGTTAGCTGTTATGTTAATTGGATCTCCAGGATTCAATTGTTCTGAAGAGATATTAACTATTGTTGCATTATTATCAGTACCTAATGTATTTGTTAGACCAGCATCTGCTAGAAAGAGAGCTGATGAATGTAAGATGAGATTTTCTCATCCATCAGGTGACCATATTACTTTATTAAATGTGTATGACGAATTTCAAGGAAATGATGCATTTGAAACTGGATTACATCAATGGTGTAGAGACAATTTCTTAAGTTATAGATCATTAACTAGTGCTAAGAGTGTCAGATCACAATTAAGAAGAATTATGGAAAAATTTGATTTAGAATTGATATCAAGTACAAATGAAGATGAAGTTAGAAAGGCACTTGCTGCTGGATTTTTCATGCAAGTTGCAAAGAAGAGATCAGGTGGTAAAGGTTATTTAACAATAAAGGATAATCAAGAAGTTTTAATCCATCCATCGACTGTGTTAGGGAAAGATCCTGAATGGGTTATATATAATGAATTTGTCTTAACAAGTAAGAATTATATAAGGACAGTCACCTCAGTTAATCCTGAATGGTTGGTTGAAATAGCTCCAAAGTATTATAATTTGGAACATTTCAATAAGGGAGATGTTAAATTATCGTTAGAAAGAATAATAGATTCAGTTGAAACTAAGAAGAAGATTGAAAAGAAGGAGAAAAAGGAAAAGAAGAGTAAGAAATAGTTATAATCTAATAAATTGTATAATAGATAGAAAATTAATAAGTCATTTAGATACACTGTGCGGAATGTAGTAGAAAAGATAACCCAAGGTGAGAACTGTAAGCTTACTTTGATAAGTAAAATTTTGACAGTTCCTTGGTTGCAGAACTTTCCTAGTAAAGACTGCTGGCATAATTTTTTTTCACCCAAATTACGCTTTTAGGAAATAGGATGATGCACGGATGTTTACTTGAACGGTATTAAGTATAAAATGACATTGTCAGGGCCATTCTTATACACGTCCTACCACATCATATCCTAGAATAAAAACATTCCTATGTGTTTATAAGAGTGATAGTCATATCCGTTATAAATTTTGAAAAGGGGTAATGTATGCTTCGTTATGAGACCTTTACTCTTTGTTCCGAAGCATAAAGCAAGTCAGAATTTTGATTCAGAGTCCTTTAAAGTACTGAATGACTAGTATTCCACAAAGCACCAATGTAACGTACCGGCCGTCCCCATAAGTAACATTACAGCATATGATTAACTGCCTGATGTACAGGAATAGATTTAGGCGCAGGCACCCAATATTCGTGCAAATGGAATGTCCCGATTAGGAAATAAATTATCTTTTTGTCAGTTGACACCTAATTAAAAGATTATTCTGAGATTAATCTCGTTTAGGAAACATGTTATACATCAAGTAGTAGATATAAACATAAAATGGCTCAACTTCTCCATCCGTAATTGATCAGTTAGTGGCTACGCTAAGAGTTACTATAAACATAGTCAGGTTATTCGTCATTTTAGATAAAAAAAAGTATACGAGTATGCTTATGCTTTTGTGTAACTACATTTTGATTCAGAAACCGCCCTACTTTAACTAATTCATTTGAATCATTCAATATACCCAAAACAGGTATATAATTAAAAAGTATATATAAGAAGACATATGTCATTGACAAATATCACAAATTCACGTAGTTAATATGTGGAAAATCTATTGAGTAAAATTTTTTAATTAGTTCTTTAATCATAAGCCATAGCTATAGTCATATAGATTTTCTTATCTACCATAATAATACAATATACTTATTTACTAATACCTATATTCGTATATATTCAGTTCCATACACATAACTTACGTTCCATAAGCTTCTTTTGTAATCGATTAGAAGTAATATTCCTCATTGTTGCTAATACGGGTTTTGCAACTACATATAGGACCACTTAAACATTTAAACAAAAACACGAATCATTTTATTATTTTTTTTCTGTGCTCGTCTAAATTCATATTTTGAAATAAAACAATTCAATCTGAAATAATTAATAAATCAAGTAATTCATATTCAACTAATTCAATAGATATCCCTTATTATCAGATTTATTACCAAGAAACAATATCGAATTCAAAGATTATAAATCATAAAAGATGGGTCTTTTAGTATCTAAATTATTTAAAAATCGAGAATTAAGAATATTAATGCTTGGCTTAGATAATGCTGGAAAATCAACTATATTATATAAATTGAAATTAGGTAAAACAACTACTACAGTTCCAACAGTTGGTTTTAATGTAGAAAAAGTGAAACATAAAAACATTTCATTTGCTGTTTGGGATTGTGGTGGACAAGAAAGAATTAGACCACTTTGGAGACATTATTTTACTGGTACAAATGCTTTAATATATGTTGTTGATTCTTCTGATATAGATAGATTAGAAGAATCTAAAAAGGAATTATTAAGAGTCATAAATGATAAAGAATTGGTTAATTGTTTATTGATTGTATTGGCTAATAAACAAGATGTTCAAGGAGCTATAAAACCAAAAGAATTAATTGATAGATTTTCATTAAATGACTTATCAGCTGATCATACTTGGTCAGTAATTCCAACTATTGCAATCGATGGAACTGGTTTAGTTGAAACATTAAATTGGATTTCAAGTCATACTAAGTGAAATAAAATGAAATGAAACGAAATGAAATACTTTTACTGTTCATATTATGTAATTACAATTAACTACTTAATTAGATTAATTGGTTCAACTTCTTCAATTCCTCAATTATAATCTTACAGCCATTTAAATCAAATTATGTTTAATTAATTCAATTCTACTTTTAGAAATTTACTTATGCATATATATTTATTTACTATTTTATATTTTTCTTAATTATAATTAAATGTATTATATATATTAGCGTTTCAAGTACCTACTTTAATTTAAATATAATCTAAACAGTCCAAAGTTTAACTCCACCAGCTTCTTCACCAAAATAAGATGCACTAGCCATTCCAATGAATAATCCAGTTTCAACAACACCTACTAAGCTCTTAATTTTATTATGCAAATCTGCTGGATCTTCAATTTCACCAAAGTCAGCATCAATAAGGAAATTATTATTATCAGTAATAACTGGACCAGCTTTAGCCTTACCTCCTTGTCTTAAAGTAATAGTTTTAGCACCCAATTGTTTTAAATCTTTAGTTACTTTAACATATGAATTTGGAACAATTTCAATTGGTACACCTTGAGTCCATTGTTTTCCTAATACATTTGATTCTTTTCTATAATCAGCAACTACAATGAATTTTTTGGCACTTGCAGCTACTAATTTCTCTTGAAATAAACAAGCACCTCCACCTTTAATTAAACTTAATTTTGGATCAACTTCATCTGCTCCATCAAAAGCAATATCCAAATCAGGAAATTGTTCAATGGTACCTAATGTTAATCCATTATCAATAATTAATTGTTTGGATTGGAATCCTGTTGGGATACATATAAAGGAATCCTTATTAGGTAATTGTCCAATTCTTTCTGCAACATAAACAACAGTTGATCCACTACCTATTCCAATATATTTAGCATTAGGAGGGAAATTATCATCAACAGCTTTATAAGCAGCAGCTTTCTTTGCCTTTTCAACTAATGACATGATTGAATATTTTCTTATAGATGGAATTGGGAATAAAATGCTTGAAAATGATCTTGACTTCAATATACGAATATATCCAACCATATAATCAAATCAAATTATGACATATTCTGCTCCGTTAACGCACGATGTACAGTATACTCCAGATTTTGTGATGGTACAAGTTAAGATATCAATCACGCTGCATTATGCACGTGCACGAGAAAGAGTCAAAAAGTCAATATCGCCAAAAAAAAAGCAGTCCCATTTGATCACACGCAAATCATGTGATACAATTTTCTATGTGCAGTAGAAGTTTTCTTTCTAAGTTTAAGAATGATAATCTGTAAAGTTCGCACCAGACGAGTTTTTCATAAATAATTTACAGGTTAAATCGTTCATAATGAAAATTGTAAATACTTTACAGGTTTATACATCAAACCTGTAAAAACCTCTAATTTGTATAGTGAATTTTTTTTCATCCCAATTATCAGAAAAAATAGGTTACTTTCAAAGAGTATCTTCTTAGTTTTACTAATACTTTGGAATATCATCAAATATATATAGTATATCGAATATGTCTGCTGCCAGCAAGATTTTATCTGAAAAGCCAACTGAATTAGAATTAAAAGTTGCTCAAGCTTTTGTTGATTTAGAAGCTCAAGCTGATTTAAAGGCTGAATTAAGAGCTTTACAATTTAAATCAATTAAAGAAATTGATGTTTCTGGTGGTAAGAAAGCTTTAGCTATCTTTGTCCCAGTTCCATCTTTGACTTCTTACAAGAAAGTTCAAACCAGATTAACTAGAGAATTAGAAAAGAAATTCCCAGACTCTCACGTTGTTTTCTTAGCTGAAAGAAGAATCTTACCAAAACCATCTAGAAGATCTAGACAACAACAAAAGAGACCAAGATCAAGAACTTTAACTGCTGTTCATGATGCCATCTTAGAAGATCTTGTCTTCCCAACCGAAATCATTGGTAAGAGAGTTAGATACTTAGTTGGTGGTAACAAGATCCAAAAGATCTTATTAGACTCTAAGGACTCTACTGCTGTTGACTACAAATTGGAATCTTTCCAACAATTATACTCAAAATTAACTGGTAAGCAAGTTGTTTTTGAAATCCCAGGTGAAACTCATTAAATAATTTGTTAATCCTCCTCCTCCTCCTCCTCACACGTCCTACTCACATTTGACTTCCATATCACACCTATATTATATATTTTTGATGAGAACTTTATGAATAGATAATTTGAAATTATAAACTACTTTACTTTAATGGATTGCCTTGGTTATTCATATCATTTTTTTGTATATTAGAAAGGTTGTTTCATATTTTACCATTTCAGTTTCTTTCATATTTTATGTGTAAATCACATAATAATAATAATAATGATAAATGATCCTAGTTTGGGGTTTATTATTTCACATTTTTATCAATTTCATATGTTCTCTGAAGCATACATTCTTCATACATAACTAACCAACCATCCCAAACCAAAATACTTTTATATATATATACGTATATAAAAATCTTTAATAAAAAAATTCGGAAATTTAGAATTTGCCATTAATTCGTAGATATTATTATTGTTATCATTTATTTTATTATTTATACAGTCTTAGTATGTTTCTTTCTATATTTTCCTTACATAACTAGATGGAAATACTCCAGTAGATCCGTTAATTTCTCCCTTTGTCCATCCATCAATATCATCTTCTATTAATGTGATCTTATCACCAGCATTAATACTTATTTCATCATCTCCATCAGCTACATAATCATATAAAGCTTCAATATATTGAATCTTTTTTGCACCCCTTCTAGGAGCAACTGCAGGACCCTTTTTCTTACTATCTCCATTACTTGATATTGAACCTCGTTGTACTGGAATTGTAGATGATTGATAATCATGAATAATTTCAATATATGCAGTAGGAACTAACCCTTCTTGCCCAGTATCCATTCTAACTTCAGTCCATCCTGATCCATCAGTATCTTCTTCAAGTACATTAAAAGTTTCTCCTACATTAATTGATAAAGTATCACCTCCAGTTGATTGGAATGCATATGTTACTTTACCTCTTAAACCTCCTGAAGTTGTACTATCAGCTATTGATGATGATATTGATTGACCTCTATTTCTTCTTAAACTAAAGAATCGAGAATTAGTTGTATGATGACTATTATTTGTTTTAACTGTATGTAAAGATTGAGCATCAGATGCATTATCTGGTATTGAAATATTATTATCACCAGATGATTTCTTTGATCCTCCTGATGATTTAAATATTCCAAATCTTGATTTCTTTTGTTTATGTTGTTCTACATAAGATAAATCTTGATCACCAGCGAATTTCTCAATAATTTGCATTTCAACATCACGTTTAACTCGTAAATTATCATCTTTTAAAAATGTTTGTAAAATTGATAATGATGTATATAAGGGACCATCAAATTTTAAATTTAAACTTGCAGGATCAGTTTTACGAGATCCAGTTGATTCTTCTAATTTTTGTTTTGAATCAATACATCTTTGTTCAAGTTTTGCATATTCATTTGATGCTTCATTTAATTTTCTTTTTAATATATTTAATTCTGGTCCAGTGGTAATTAATTCATCATCATCATGCCAAATTGAACTTGGAATAAATTGAACGTCAGCTGATTCTTTCCAATCAGATAAATTATGTTTAATATACATAGTTGTATCTAATCGAGGATTATTTTGATCAATTGTTTCATCAATACTATGTAATTTTTCTTTAATTTTATCACAAGTATTACGTTCAATAATACAAGCATTTTTTAAAATTTTATTAACTAATCCAACTCTTATCTCATTTAATTCTTGATAATAATCAAGTAATTCAGGTATATCTTCGTAATAATATTTCTTCTTTAATGTATTAGCCACATAAATATTTAATAAATAATCATTCTTACCAATATTCATTTCAATTGTTTTATCTTCTAATCTTTTCTTATATTTATCACTAGCAGATTTTTCACTTTTATCACGAGCTGATTCAGTAGATTGACATAATGTATCATAATGCTTTTTTGATTTAATTACTTCATCATCAATTTTTTGTTTTTCATTAGTTAAAAATTCATTAATTCCTTCAATTTGTTTACTAATTTTATTGGTTTTAACTTTTAAAGTATTTAAATTATCTCCAATACTAGTATTTAATTGTCTATTAAATTGAATCTTTTCATCAGCAATTGCTTCAGTTTGAGTTAAAACATCTGTCCATAATACTAATGATGCACTTTCTAATGAACCAGGGGTAATAATTGGATTATCACCAACTGATAATGAAGCAGATAATTTAGATTTCTTATCAAAATACTTTTTACATAATAATTTCAATTTTTCAGCATGTTCCTTTTCAAGAGCTCCTCTTTCTCGATAGAATTCTTCAATATCACTTAAGAAATTAATTCCATTATTAATCCATTTTGATGTGGGTTTAAACCCATCCTTCAATTCGTTACCAATGGATATTTCTTCAATTGACATTTCCGTTGAAAATCTTCAATTACAGATATACAATTTATATTATTTAACTAATAATAGCCCCAGATTATCTATCAGATCTCATAGTGAGTTGGAAGAAATCGAGACATTTATTCGATAATCATACTCACCATAGTACAATGTCGCACGACATGGGCTTTGAGGTTATCGGCTTTTTAACTAATAGGGGGAGGGGGGAAGCAGCTAACGATTAAAGGTGGTAACACTCCCCACTCAATTGTTCCACAGTAAGTATAACATTGTGTATCACAATGTATATATATCCCTATAGATCCTTATATGTATGTACGTATACATTTATATATGTGGCATAGAGAAGTAATTGGGCTTATATTATTTAATGAGTGTACTGTTAGTAAAAATTATAGAACTATAACCTTATTTTTGAGGGCCCACCACTATGCTATACACCAAAGTTATATAACAATGGTAAATACAAGAGTAGTGTAAAAATAATATAAATGGAATGAAAAGGAATAAAATAAAATAAAATTAAGTTGTAATTGTATGGAATGTCTATTCCAATTGATGTAGCAAGCCGCGTAGAAATTAGATTGTCAGGGCTCATCTTGTAGACTTGTAGTAATTATAATTGTAGGGATTAAATTTTATTCAGTACAAGTAATTTGCGTAACCAATCCATTGATAGGTCGAAATTTGAAAATCCAAAGTGTGTTTCCAAAGTGAGGGTTCCAAGATTTTCAATCCTTAAACTCGCTTCGGGGTTATTGTCTCGGCCAATTCATATAAATCAATATCGTGCTCATCGTAAATATCCCAATTCTACCTTTAAATTTATAAGTGATACTTATCGAGATTATCGAGCATTAGGTAAGAAAAATAGACGTTTAAGTGATTTCTTACAATTTAGTATCTATAGAAGAAGAAGAAGAATTAATTCTATGGGTGATAGATCATTAAGTCCTCCACCAGGATTTGAAAATGGTGGAGAAATTCCATCTCAATCACAATCTCAAACTCCCTTAAGTAGAAGACAAAGAATTTTAGGATTTGCTAAAGCTACAAGAGAAACTTATATACCAAAGATTACTACATCTGTTGCACGTTTAGCTACTGATGCAAGTAGAGCATTTAATGGAAGTGATTTATATGATGAACAAGGTCGACTTATACCTCCTAAGGATACAACAATTCAATTATTTCCTTCTTATACAAGACAAATAGATGGGAAATATTATGTTGATGTAAAAGGTTGGGTATCATGTCCTGGACTTATGACAAGAAAGAATCGATTAATATTATCATTAGCAAGACAAATAACTCGATATAATTCTAATGGAAATAATTCATCTCAAGCATTAAGTCAATGGAGTAGTGAATCATTAAATCATCAAGATATACTTTCAGCCAATGAAAATTCAGATTCAGAATCGATTAATTCTGAACTGTCAAAATTAGAAGATAATTTAAATCCTATAAGTTCAATAACAACTCAATCTTCAATTAATTCTGAAGAAATTCTTAAGGAAAGATTAGCATGTTTTATAGCTAGATCAATACCGAATACTGAAGTTCAAATAGTTATTGGATCTCATAAAAATATTGATGGTAATAATATTATAATTAAATCCGTTAATACTGATGATTATGGAAATTTTGAAGCAACTATTGAAGTTACTTATACTCCTTCAATTGTTCAAGTAAGATCAGGTATGGATGAATCAATATTTACATTTCAAGAAATAATGCTTGTACCAACTATTGGTATAGGATTAATTAGTGATATTGATGATACAATTAAACTTACCGGAGTAATTGGTGATAAAAGAGAATTAATGACAAATTTATTATTAAATGAAGTAACTCTGTGGAATATTCCATCAGTTGTAAAATGGTATGATGATTTATTTTCTTCAAATAATATATCATTTCATTATGTTTCTAATTCTCCATGGCAATTATTTACTACTATAGATCAATATTTTAAAGCCGTTAAATTACCTATTGGTTCTGTTCATTTAAAACAATATTCAGGAAATATTTTATCATCATTAATGGAACCATCATCTACAAGAAAGAAAAGATCATTAACTAGAATTATTAATGATTTTCCTCAAAAGAAATTTATTTGTGTAGGAGATTCAGGTGAATATGATTTAGAAGCATATGTTGAATTAGCAAGATTACATCCTGGGAAAGTTATTGCTATTTATATAAGATATGTAAAGGATTCACTTTCAGATATTGATGATATGAAAATCTTGAGTGAATTAAGAAGATTATTAACTACTTCATCATCAACTAGAAAAGCTCTTAATTTAATTAATCCTGTAACAGAACCAGAACTTCAACTTCAACTGGAGAATTTAATTGATTTAAGTTCTTCTTCAGATGATGAAACGCCTGAAGATCCTCAATCTAAAATTGATGGTAATATTAAATTAAAAGTTCCACCAATTATACCTAAAAAGCCAACTGAATTAAAGGGAAATACATTATCACCTCCATTACCTTCACGAAATTATATTAAGAGAGCTCAAACTGATTCTCAATTAATTGATCATCAAACTCATTTAACAGAAGAACCTTTACCTTTACCACCAAGAAATAATTTAGTTCATGCTAATACTGAAGTTCCAAGACATGATTTTAATTTAATTGATAATTTACAAAATATTTATGAATCACCATATTTTTATGAATTAGAAGAAATGGATAAAAAGGGAGCTAATTGGATTAGAAAAATTGTTACAGCTCTTAAAGATTTAGAAGGTACAGGGACAGAATTAAAGATTTTTACTGATGAAGAATCTGATTTCTTTAATTCAAAGAGAATATATGATGAAATTAAAAATTTAAAAGTTTAAGTATAATGTACATAAATAAATAAACAAAAGAATTTATTTATTTTTAAAAATAAATGATAATATACATAATGTAGATGCAAAGTATGAGGGAAGGTATCACCAATAATAAATTTAGCTAGATGTTTCAATTTCAATTTCAGTTGTAGTTACTTGTTCATTATCTAATTCAGATTTATTTGAATTTGATTCAGATTTTGATTCAATTTCTTGTTGATAAAATTCAGTTACATGAGATCCATCACCATAATCCTTAATATTTTGATCATCTTCATCAGGTAAATCTTTCTTAAAAGCAGATAAATCAAATTGTTCAGTTCCATCATCTTCTTCAGTATAATATTTATCAGAGAATTTCTGTAAAATGACTTCTTTACCAGTAAGTGGTCTCTTTCCAGATTTCCCATCTTTCCTTCTATCATCATCTCTTTTAGCTTGAACTTTTTTCTTCCATTCATTAAATGATTCAATTGTAATTGGATGAAATTTAGATTTATCTAATTTACCTCTTTCTAATTCAATAAATTCTTCTAAAGTAATTTGAGGTTCTGATTCAGCTGCTATTCTTTCTAATCTCTTTTGTTCTTTTGTTTTTAAAACAAATCCTGCTGGTAATGAATGTCTATATTTACATTCATTCCCACCATTTGGACATACCCAAAACCAACCATATTTACCATTTTCAACAGCATCAATAAAATATTTACAAATAATATCTGTTGTAGTTATTGGATTTCCATGCTTTGAAGAAATAACTTTTCTTAATTTTTCTTCATCCCAATTATCCATAGTATCTTCTTCCTTTTCTACTCTTGCATCAGTATATAAATCCTTTTTAGCAACTTTTCTTCCAACATTTGGATCATGAGAGAATTTACATTTATTACCCTTTGTACAAAGTCCTTGTTTAAAAAATTCACAAAATATTGATTTTGGATCAACTCCAAAGGGAACTTTTTGTTGTTGAATTCCAAATAATGCAGCTGCTTCCTTTTTAGCATCTTCTGCTGCTTTCTTTTCTGCTGCTTTCCTTTTAGCTTCTTCTTCTTTCTTTTTAGCTAAACCTCCATCAATTCCTGCTTTAACTTGACTAATATGTTGTTGTACTTTCTTTGATTTATTTTTATTTTTCATTCCAAATGTCTTATCTTCGGCCGACTTGGCCTTGGCCTTAGCCTTATTCTTATCTGAAGGTTGTTGTTTCTTTGGTGGCATTTCTGCTTCTTACTACTTCCGAATAATGAGTACCTCTTCTACTGAGCTTCATCTCTTGCGAGTATAAATTTTTTTTTTTCAACATAATTTTTCACAGCTAGTGAGATAACGCTGCGTAAGGTAAAGTAGTGTTATAATATAAGTACTAAGTATAGTTTACAAGCAGTAGAACATACTTGTATATTGAGATAAAGCTAGCATCTAAAACAATAGGAGATGCAAGTATAAAGATAGAGGAAATGTGTAATTATATAGTAATTTAGGATCTAATAATGTTGTAGGCTGTATGACAAAAGTAGTGTTATATAAAGTAGTGTTATATAAAGTAGTACAGTATTGAGAGTATTATAGTAGTATTGAGAGTATTGAGAGTATTATAGTAGTATTGAGAGTATTGAGTGTATTATAGTAGTATTGAGAGTATTGAGTGTACTATAGTATTATTGAGTATACTATAGTTTGTGTTGTGTACATGTATATTATGTACATATATTATCATTATGTGATGTATAACATATATGTAGAGGTATAATACTTACTCTGTATAAGTAGTATTGTTTGTGTGTACAGGTATGATTTGAGTGTATATTATGTGTGTGTGTCTGTACTATGTGTATTATGTATGTGTACTATGTGCGTACGTAATAGAGAGCGCTACATGCATAATATAGTCGTAATATTCATTAGCTATTGTTTCTATATAGTCAATTATCGAAACTTTTGAGATTTCTTATCTCGTAATTTATTACCAGGTTCTACTGGAACTGAACTAGGTGAATTATTTATCCCAGTTAAACTTAAACTACTCTTATTTGGTGCATTAGCCCATAATGTTGTTTCTGCTGATGTTGATGAATTATAAGAATTTGGAGAATTCTTTCCTACTTTTTTTGATCGTTTCTTACCTCCTCCTAATAAAGTTTCAAATCTTGTTGAATTATCATTTGATGAATAACCTTGATTAGTTTCAAGAGATGTAACAGTTTTTGGTGTAGATGTATAACTTGGACTATTAAGATTTTGAGATTTAAATGGTGAAGTTGAATCTTGAGGATCAAAAGTTGGAGATAATTGCATTACTGGAGTTGTAAATGCATCAGTTTTTGATCTTAAACTACTTCTACTACTTCTAAATGGTATATAAGATCTTTTAGCATTGGCTGTACCTCCTTGATGATTATAATTAGTTGGACCAATTGAATCAGCTAAATTAGTTTTAAATGAATTAGTTGATTGAGTTCTTGCTAAACTTCGATTTAAAATTACTGATACTTTTTTATCATAAATATTTGGAGCAGAATCCATTGGAGCCAGATTATCACTTGAATTACTATATTTAGTATCAACAGATGCACTATGAATATGATTTAAATCTCGACGTTCTTTTGGTTTTACAATAGAAACAGGTACTGTACCATTATTTTCAGTATCTTTGGTAAAAAATGAATCAAAATCATCTAAGGCAGCCCATACATTACTTAATGAAGCTTCTGGTTCATCAACACTAACAGAAACTGTATCACCATAATCATTAACAGGTGCATAATAATCTTCCAAATGGAATTGAAATTCTTCATCTTTAGTAGGTTCTTCATTTTCATCAACTAATGTAGTAATAACACAAGTTGAAAATACTGCATGAACATTATTTCTTGTACTAGCAGCTGTAACGGCTGGCATAGGAATTGCCCAACCACTTTCATCGGGGATTCCAAATAATGTAGCTGTCTTTTCATATTCCTTTTTAATTGAAGTATTACCTAAACTCATTCTTAATACATCTCGATCTAATTGAGAACCAGAAATAACTACTGCTTCATCAAGAACTTCTAATGCTGCTTCAGCATAATCTGTTAATAAAAGTCGAAGTAATGGAGATATTAAATCAGCTCCAACTCCAACAAATTCATCTCTTTCAAGATTAACTAAGGGAAATACATGTTTTAATATACTTAAAGTTTCTAATTTTATCCAAGGGATTTTATTAGATAAAAATCCAAGAAGTAATACTAAAGATTGAGCTTCATATTCCGGAAAGAATAATGATTTAATAGTTGAAATAGTTTGAACTAAGAAATCCTTTTTAGATCGGAATCGATTTTTAGATAATGAAACTAAAATTCTTGCCAAGGCAGGTTTATCAGCATTAGTAGCTAATTTACTAATACTTAAAGCTACTTGTTCAATTTCTGGAGTTAAAGTCTTTTGATCTAATGCATGTAAGAATCGAGGCATATTAGCTAATACTGCCATTAAAACTCTTACATTCCCCATACCAATAATTTCACTATCTTTTAAAGTATTTAATTTATCAAGAAATTTCATTGAAGATTCCCAAGAAGTTGATGATCTTAAACCAATTAAAACAATATGTTGTAAACCTTCAAATTTCCCCTCCCATTTTGGAGGAAATGTTGATATTAAACATGATACAGTATCTGCTGCATCTAAATCAATTTTTGAAACAAATTTATTTAATGTTGAAAGTACTTCAATAAATTCTTGTTCATGAATTGTACTTAAACATGCTACACTTGACCAAAATAATTGAGGAAAATCAATTAATTGACCTGAATCTAATTCTGCAGTTATGGCATTTAAAGTCATTAAAATTTGCATTGCAAATCCTTGAATATCTAAAGTTTCATCGGATATTGTATTTGATAATCGATGTAACATATCCTTTAACATTCCTTGATCTAAAAATGATAATAAAGATCTAAATACTTGAAATGATCGACAAGCTATATGTCTAACTGCACAAGTAGTGGCCCAATTTAATGAAACTCTACTCCAATCATCTTGAATATTTGTATGAACTGTGGAAAAGATTTTTAAAATATTTCTTGCTAAAAGGTCCATATTTTTAGGAGTTCTAGCTCCCTTTTTATCATTATTAAGATCATCATAAACCCAAAGATATTTATAATGATCTCGTTGTCTTAAAGTTTGAATAGTTTCTAAAGCATTAGGAGCATTAGGAGCTAAAGCATGAATTAAATGAATTAATAAAGTACCTGCTTGTTCTTGAACAATAAATAAATAATGATCTAATAATGAAAATGCTACATGTAATAATAATGGTAATTTTTCTAACATTTTATCATTTCTTAATGTTAATAAATCTACTAAAAATACCATTGATAATTGTCCAATTGAAAATGCTGCATCCTTTTCATTATAAGCAATAATTTTCCAAAGATTGGCAATATAAGGAAATTGAATTTCATTATTATTATTATTATTATTATTATTATTGTTACTATTATCATTATTATTATTATCATTATTAATAGTTATTGCACTAATTTTTGAAAGTGGAGGTACCATCAATTTAGGTTGTAAATTATCAAGTAATTTATCAATCATTATATTAGGATCTGATTGAGAAAAGGCTAAATAATCAATGATTTGTCGAGAATATTCTACAAATGTAGGATTCTTTCTTTCTAAACAATTATTCATAATGAATTCAATAATCTTATCGAAATTATTAGGTTTACCTCCTAAGGCTACCCATAGGGCTTCTACTTCATTAGATATTTTTGAACTGAATTTAACGGTAATTTCAAATAAATTACATAATACCATTAATGACAGATTATCTAATTTCTTAGTAGTTAATGTCAGTTTTTTAGTATCATTATCAATTTCATTGTCATTGTCATTGTCATTAGAATTATCTTCATTGGTGGTAGTATAATTTAATACTACTGTTTGAACCCATGGAAGTAAACATGATAAGATATCTCTGCGTGATGAATTATCCACTAAATTAAAGTATTTAGTCATATAACTTATTCTTATAAATGCTCCTTCTGGTTGTAAAGTGGCTATATGATTAGATATATCAAATAATGCTCGTTTATATACCACTTTAGTTTTACAAGTCACTGATTCAGTAAATTTATCTGAAGTTGTACAAGTATGATAATACTGATTTTCTAAATACTTTAGGAGTTTAATAGCTCCAAATCTTACTTCATAACTATCATGACCTACTAAGAATCCTGCAAGACACATTAAATCATAAGGAATATCATCCGGAGGTGTTGATTTTAAGAATACTTCAACAAATATAGTAAAATAACTATCAGTTGTCTTTAAAAACTTTTGAGATGTATAACATTGTTTAATAACTTCTTGATAAATTTCTGGAGTTGAAAGATTTAGACTAAGAATATTTCTTAAGGCGATTCTTCCAATTTCATGAGCCTTATCATTATCAGAAGTAAATAATGCATGAATCCAATCCATAAGAGCAGGAATATCAAAAGACATTACGGCTTGTTGACCGGGGATTTCAAGATTAAGATTATGTTTAATATGTCCTGAACATAATACTGCCATACAACTTAAAGCTGAATTTTGAAGGGCTTTCTTTTCAACTTCAAGTATAGCCACTACCGATGCAACTTCCTTTTGTTGATTAACTCTTTTTACCATACTATTATATCGATCATCAGCAAGTGAACTAGATTCTCCATATCCACACCATTCCTTTAAATAATTAAAACATCCAATTCTTGCTTCAAATGGTAACCATTTATTTAAATCAGATTTACTTTCAAGTCCAACAAAGATATTCTCTAAGAATCCACAAAAATATCTTCGAAGTCTTTGAAATTCAATACTTATTTGGGTTGAAGGTAATGATAAAAATGTCTTTAAATTCTTAATTATGGCCACTAAATTAGCAATTAATCCTTCATCATTATAAATTAATTCGGCATTTTTAAATCTGGTAGTATTATTTAAAATGACTCTAATCATTTCAATTCTTAAACTATCTTCTTTAGTATCTCGTTTATTATTAATATCCCATTCAGTTACGGTAGTTGGCATACTTTCTAATAAACTTTTAAAGATATTAATATTAACTGAACTAAGACCAGATATAACGGCTTCTCTAACCATTTGTTGTTGAGATCTTAAGAGTGGAATAACCATTCTAAAGATTGATTTGGCACTAGTAATCTTTTGATGTTGAATAAAAATTTGCATTGATCTTTTCCTACCATGAGTTGGATGATTTGGAAATGAAATCTTTTGATCATTAGTTGAAGTTAATGAACTACAAGCAAATATAAGATATAATTTCCATTGATTTATAAGTACTTCGGAAGGAACTGTTATTGTTGATCGAGTAAATATTGAAGGAGTATAAGATCGATTATTTTCTGAATATTCAAGAACAAATTCATGCATTTGTAATACTGTAACACAAATAATTGATCGACATAATGCTACCGCAATAGGACATCTTTCAAAGAATATATCTAATAATTTAGGATAAACTCTAAACCAAATAGTTGAATCAATTCCATAATCTGATTCTGCTAAACGAATTAAAATATTCTTTCGATTTTTTAATTTAGATAATCGAGTTCTTTCTGGTAAACTTAATTCTTTTCTAAATGGTTTAATTAATTCTAAGAAATCTACATCTTCTAATGTATGAATTAATCGAGTCCCTACATCAGCCGCAAATTTAGATGAACTTCGTGAATGTTTTCTTGAAGAATTACTTGTAGAATTTAATGATTTAGATGATTCATCAGTTATATTATAAATGGCTTGATCAAATTGTTCAACTAATTTTAATATAGTTATACCATAATGTCTTATCTTACAATCTTGAGAACATAGAAAGAATAATCCATTACCTTCAACTTCTTCAATTACAGTAATAATAGTTTTCCATTCTAATTCATCACCTGGTTTTAATTTATTAGTATCTGATAATGATGAATCAATTGGTGCATTAGCCAGAGAATTACTTAAATCTTCATTCTTATGATTAATTTGATATAAATCATTTAAAACATCTTTATTCATTAATTCATCATCTTGAGCTAATGGATTAAAATATTCTTCTGGACCATTTCTTAATTCAGCAATCTCTTGAAATTGCTTTAACCAACAATTTAATAATTCCACATAAATTCTTAATAAACTACTAAATTCAGATGAATTCATATAATTTATATCAAAATGAGGATTAGGTTTATCATTTAAATGAAATGCAAGTTTGGCAAAGGTTGTAATTAAATTACTAGAATTCTTTCTAGAGGCTAATCTCTTTAATGATCCAATGGCCGCATTGGCCACTCGATAATTTTCATGAATTGAATTCCGAGTTAAGATTTCAATTATTTGTTTAAATGGTATACCAGCCGCTGAAGCCATTTCACTCGTATGCAGAACCATTGTCCAAGGTATAACTTCAATTAATGTAGCAAATAATTCAGTATGAACATTTTTAGTTATTTGATAAGATAAATCAATTCCAAAATGAAATGCTGAAAATGGTGAAGCTGATTTAGTTGAACTTATTGGAGTTGGAGGATTAGAATTAGAATTATCTGATTGAAGAATTTCTGATCCATATTGAGTATCTAATAATTTTAATAAAGTACCAAAAGTTCGACATATTTCATCATGAGATTGAGCATTCGTTGAATTTCTAGCAATAAACAGAAATTCACTTGATTTATATTTATGTTTCTTCTTATCTCTTGAAGTTGATTGAGATTTTGAATGTCCATCAATATCATTTAAAAATCTCATATTAAATATTTCATCAGTAGGAAAATTAGGTTTATTACCATATTCATAATCTTGTAAGATCAGTAAATAACTTTTAACTACTAAAATAATCTTTTCAGTATACATATTTTCTAATGAAATTCCGGTAAAACTTAATTTTAATAATTTAATAAATACATCATCTAATACATAATTTAAATGATTAAATCCAATAATTCGAATTAATTCAACTAATGATCCAATAAGTAAATTATCAAAAGTTATCCATTGTTGCTTTTTACTGGTAGAATTATTATTAAAGAATAATAATTGAAATAATTGATCTAACTTTTTAACAGTATTATTTAAAGTATCGGGTAATCGATATATATAAACCCAAATTAATCTTCCTATACATACAATATAAGTAGTCTTTTCATCAACTTCAACTTTGGGTTTTAATTTAAATGAATTATCTTCAATAACTTTCATCCATTTCTCCGAGAATAAATCTCGTTTAGATACTGATAAAGTTGATGTCATTAAATGTAATGAATAAGCCCATCCACTATTAGCAAATGAAATGGCTTGTAAAGTTTGATTATTATTATTTCTTGAATCAAACGTATATGAATTGGTGGTACCACTACTACTTCCAGTATTGGTGGTGGTACTGGTGGTAGTACTAGCTCCAAGTCTTAAATAATGATTCCATATTTGTTGAGCCTTATAATAAATCTTTTCAATCCCTTCAACCCAGGTAGGATGATTAGTTTCTGCCGTTAAAATATTAGCTAATGGTAATACTAAATGACTTAAGACTTCACAATAAGCAAATATAATTGTTTCATTTTGTGAACTTGAAAAGAATTTAGCTAATGAATTAATAAAATCTGCACTTTCTTCAAATACTTCTAAAGGATAATTAGTAAGAATTAAATATCTCATTCCACTAATTAATAAATGTAATTTTGGTTCATCTTCTTGTTTAATATTACTAGGAATTCTTTCTAAATCTGCAATAAATCTATCACTAACACTTAAAAATCTCTTTTCTGACATAAATCCTAATAATTCAGCAAATAAATTCCAATTGGCAGCTCTAACTAATGATTGACTAGTACTTATTGGATCAGTAGTTTTTAATTGAGTATAAACAATTTCTTCTAATTTATCTTCTAAATCTTCTCCCATAATTTCATAAGATGTTTGTTTAACAACTTCAATTAATACTCGACATAATATATAAATTGACGCTAAAGATTTCCTTTCTGCTTGAATGGCGGTCTTTTTAGCTTCTGAAATTCTAGCATCATAATAATATTTTTGTTTAATAAATTCATCTTCATACCATCCTGGAGTCTTAGTATTGGTTATTGAAGATGAACTAGTGGAATTTGAATTTGAATTCGAAGGTAATGCCGATGAAGTTGATTGATTTCGACGATGGGCCACTTTTGAAAAACTTTTACTTCTCATTAAACTTAAACTTCTCTTAGATCGAGATGCTACATTACCTCCCTTTATTATTCCTGGATTTGATGGATTAACTATAGTTGAATCACTAGAATCTCGTGAGACTTGTAATAAACTACTTTTAGCCGTTTCTAAGGTTCTTTCAACTTCATTAGCTGCCATAGTAGCAACTTCACTCTTTGATTTTCTCCAAAACATAACACTATCAATTACTGGTTTAGGTTTCTTTCTAGCTATATAACCTAATGATGCCACGATTTTATCAAAATGAGGATCAACTCCTTCTGATAATAATTCAATTATTGGAGGTTCAATATCTAAAGGATATTCAAGACATGAATTTAATTTCCGTTCAGCATGACGAACAAATTGGGTAAATACTATATGTAAAGTATATTCAGCCGGAGTTTTCAGTTCAGTAGCTAAACCTCGTCTTAAGCTACTAAATTCTTCACCATTTGATAACATTAATTTTTGAGAATTGGTTGATGATGAATCGGGTGGAGGTAATTGTGGTGATGGTTCAGTATGATCATTATTTGATATAATTTGTGACATTGGAGATGCTAATTGTTGAGATAATGAAAGTTTCGCAGTTTTAGAAGAATTTAATCGAAATGTATCGGGTGATGTTAAATCAGTATTTGTATCAACAGATTCATAAATTAATTGTTGTTGAGATGGATATGATTTTTCATGAAGATTTGGTGGATCTTGTAGTTTAAATTTGGATTTTAATTCATTGGGATTGGTTTGTAATAGTTGAATTCTTTGCGTTCCATCTTCATTGGTTAATGGTAAATGAGAATAATTAGTGATATATTGTGGTGATACTTCATAATCATCATGAAGATTATTAATTGATGATGAGTTGGGGTATCCTCGTCCATTACCATTACCATTGGTGTTGATATTCGTATTGGTATTGGTATTGGTTGGATTAGTCCCGTTTATACGCAGCTGAATCATTAATCCACTAACATTTTTATAAGTATTCGCTAAATCTGCTTCGTCATCTTCGTCATTATCATCATCAATCGAACTATTCTTTAATCCTTGCTCCATGTCATTGATCGAACTATATACAGTAGGGTCCGAAACGACTTGGAACTGAGGATCTTCATCAATATTAGATACGGATATTCCATTTCCATTTCCATTCCCATTCCCATTTGAATCGGTATTTCGTATAGACGATGGACCTTGTCCAAGTTCACTATTCAGTTGATGTCCTAATTGGGCTTCCAAACTTGGCGAATATGTGGACAACTCATCCAAGCTGGGAATCTCAATCATGATATGCGCGAGCAACTGTTGAACTGTATGACCGGTTCACTATAGATAAGTATAGTAAGGTCTAATATTAAAATTATCTAAAGCAAAATAGTTGAACAAGCGAGTTCAAAAATGTTTGCTACTATTGTTATTATTGTTATTACGGTGCAAATAGCCAAGCCGACTTTGATCGCGCACAGAAAAAATCTGATCTGGTAACCTCTTTATGGTATGGCTGTCTTTATGGCAGGTGATGGTTCGATGTAGGAATTGATGGTGTCAATGAAATGTGTCAAGGATCGTCTTGGGTATATATACTTATGTGACTGTGTATACTATTTGAATACTCTGTCTATTCTATATATCCTTTGTGTGCACTTATGTGTACTCTATGTGTTCTCTATGTGTTCTTTGTTATTGTAATAAGCCTATCACCTAAGGACTTATCCCCTTTCAAGTGTGGAAGTGGAACCTTTTCATGCTTCATTAATAAAGTTCTTCTATATTCACCTCATCACAAACTCTAATCAATTCTACCTTAATTGTAGTCTGGTCAACTAATTAGTCGTCTTTACAATTTGATGAGTTTCACGTGACTTCATTAACAATTAAAGTATTAACTATATAGTGTAGGTGCATAATTAACTCATCTACCGCCACTATTTTCTCCATCGTTAGCTTTAATTTATAATGATCTATATTGCAAATAGTATATTACTTGTTTGGTTACACCCAATTCTTTATAAAACTGCATCTGAAAATGAAAATGTGAAATGTGAAATGTGAAATGTGAAATGTGAAATGTGAAATGTGAAATGTGAAATGTCATATATACATTATGTACAGCTTATATATTTATTTAATATCAATACTTAATGGTAATTGTGTGGTTGTCGAAAGTCCTCCAAAGATTAAATTAGTAAGCTGGATAAATTGAGTATATTTATTAATCATTCTTTGTCGGAGTAAGCTATGTATGCATGTGTCAAAGTTCATAAAAGACCAATGCTTAATACAGTAGTTCAACATTATCATGATAGTTATAGCACAACTGTAATTGGAATCATTAAGTGTTAAGCAAGAACAATGACTTATCACTATTCTATTAGCATGATCAATATGAGGAATCTTATCATCTATTAACAAGTTGAAGTTGAACTAGAACAAATTATTGAACAAATTAATTTGAAACAATTACATAGTAAGCGATGAAATGCTAAGCACGATTTCCAATATTTCAATCTTCTACTTTAAATTTGCTTTAGGATTGAAGCAGGTTCATAACTTTATGATGGTAGTCTCCATTATTAATTCATGGCATTTGAGTGACTCATTTCTAAGGTTACATTCAATTACTTGGAAGCTTTTATATATTTGGGCTATACCAGCCATCAATATACACGAAGTTGGTTAAGGGGCTTTGCAAAAGATCGAACTACTATTTGTATGGTATTTTTAAGAAATACGACTTATATATTAAATTATGAAAATATAAAGTTATTTTTCAGAGATTTGATATCCTAACATATATAAAAACAAGATAGTTAGGATATTTAGAGATAATTAGATAACGGTGTATGTTACCATGAAGTAAGTTTCTTTAATCAAGTTGTCTATGGTAGATTCCAAAAAAAATTTTATTATAATTGTTCCAATCCTGTCTTTGTCGTTTTCGGAGTAATCTAAGTCTATTATTATTAAGTGGTGCTTCCCTTCTACCATAATTCCCACGATTATAGGCAATGAAGGACATTTCGAAATCTATAAGGGTTACTTGATTCAATTTTTTATTGAATAAAATATTCTCAGGATGGAGATCTCCATGAGAAATATTTTTACTATGCAAATCTTCAATGGCTGTCTCCACTAATTTAGCTATTTGTTCATTCAATCTGTAATGTTTCAAAGGCCGTGAATCCTTTTTTTCTAAAATCAAATAAAAGCCAGTAAAAGGAATACTCTTTTTTAAATCGAGTCTTTTCATGAAGCCTCTAAATTGGCTTTGGATGAAACCGAAATTTATTAATTTTGGGATGAAAGTTACATCTTTTAAATAGATGTAACTTAGTACTTCTCTAATAAATATAGAAAACACAGCACTAAGAATTTCCTGAAAGCTAGAGAAATCGGTATTTGAATTAATAATCCACTTAAGTCTGCAAGGATCGTAAAGTTTAATTAAACTATTTTCACCGTTAAGGACTGCTATAGTTGAAAAGCTCTGATGAATTAATCTTCCCCTGATTATTTTAGAAATATTTAAGTCCTCAAAATTTATCAATCTGAAATTTTCGTGAAAATAAATTTTGCCAAATCTTCCTAGTTCTCTTCGGGAAACTTCAACCCCCAAGCCTCTCAATTTATTCTGAGTTTCACGAAGCACATCAACTTCAACTTCAACTTCAACAAGACTGTTTCCACTTTTAGGTAAAGTTAAAAGATCCGCAGAGTGTTTTGGGGAACTGACATCTAGCAAAAGTGTCTCCTGGATTTTTGTTGTAAACTTTATAAATATATCATATTGGCTATTGATTTTTTGCAGGAGTCTCTCTTGATTTGGAACTAACTTTTCTCTGAAATTATCTAAGTTTATAGGAGACCTATGCTTAAAACAATAACTTATCATTACCATGATAATCGTTGCAAATCCATAATTAGAATTATTAACTGTAAAACATGAACTTCTGATAGATCTAAGGTTTGTATGAGTTACAGCATCGGTTGGGAGAACCTGATCATCTATTACACATAAAATAGTAAAAGAAAAATCTGAAAGGATAAAGCAGTTTGACTCAGAAGCAATGGCTTGAGCAAAGCCTTGCGAATAGATTTCGATAAATGGCTTAGCACCAACACGAGTTTTTTCTCTACACAGATTAAAATCATAATAAGCTCTTTCTAAGCCTGAATATTTAACTTCTAATGGAATGTTCAAGCTTCCGAAACTCAATATTAGATCAGGTGTAACTTTTTGATGGTCATGTTTTCCGAGTTTGAAGGGTAACCTTTTTTGCCTTTTAATCTCTAATTTAAAACTGTTGCCATTTTCATCTACAATTAATCCTCGAGCATTCGTGATAGCATTTTGGATTAATGTCTCAATTTCTGATTCTTGTGTCACTTCAATTGGTTCTAACTGGGGGTAGTTATAAGCGGGACTAAAGACTTCTCGGAATTCAAATGATTTAATATCTTCCTCAAGCTCTGTATTGTCGACATGTGTTGGACAAAAATATCCAGCCACTTCAAAGAACTTATTTGGAACATTATATTTCTTGGTTAACGGGTTTAACTTTCTTCTTTTGATTCTTTGACCGACAGGATGGTTGTTGGGTTTTATTTTTTGGACATCTTGCTTATAATTTAAGATCTTAAAGCCAAATCCAAAACGTAAATAATCGTAAAGTAAGTGCTCTTCTTCACTATTTAGTGGTTTACTTTTGTAATCATCTCCATTAATGATTTTGGAAAATCTCAGCATAGTAAAATCACGAATGGCGTCTTGTAAGAGTTTTAATTCAGTAACACTTAGATCAGCTATTATGATATAGCTATGCAAAAATTTGAAAAGCAATATCATCATTTCCTTAAAACTTTCTTTGTATTTCTTTAATAAGAATTTTACTATAGTTTCAATCCTTTTTGGTAGTTCAGTAGAAGCATCAATCTTGGTTGTATTCAACAATTCAGTAAACTCTTGAAGATCATTTTGATAAGCTTCCCATAACGGTTTATTGGAGGTGTGATCTAGAAATATTGGTGCTTCTTCTTCCCACAATCTTCTAGCATGCTTGATACTAAGCAATTGGGAAATTCTTTCCATCGAGTTAAATGATTTAGCTGTTGAGTGTGGATATGATTTTGGTGTTGATCGACTATAAATTGAAGCGTAGAGTTTTGTGGAAGCGACTAAAATCTTTTAGGGAAGGAATAGCAGAATTTGATAACTAGAAGACAATTCACCAAATTCACCAGTTACTATGTTTAAGTAATGTGGCTAATATAAATTCTAAGATTTGAAAACTGACAGGGACTGAAAGTTATTTGTATAGTCTTATACAGAACCCAAGTAGTTAACTATATTGGTTTATTGCTGCAAAAAAGGTTAACTTCGTATAGAGTAACATTATGTGCAGTCCTTTTTGCCGTTGCTCATTCTGTGCAGGCACTTCGATCCAATCTCGAAGATATACCGAATAACTGAAAAATTATAATTAGATTGAAAAATTCACGATAGACGATAGATAAGTATATAAAACAAAGAACAAAGAATAAAGAATAAAAAATAATGGCTCAGGTTAATAGTGAAGAACCTGTCCATAATGTTCCCACGTTAATTAACCAGTATATTGCCAGTAGTGGGAAAGAAGAAGATTTACAAGCAGGAGAAGTGTATGCGCAAGAATTAGCATCGCTTATCAATCAAAGTCAATTAACTATGTTAGGATTTATTCAAAATTTAGGATCTTCGTTAACATCTGATTCCGATGCGTTAAGATCCAAAACTGTTCAATGTTTAGCATCTACTTTAAAATATCTTATTGAATCATCGAAAATTTCTAAACAAGATGTAATTGTATTAATTGAATTTCTTCTAAGTAAATTTGATGATAAAGTTAGTTTACAATATACTTTAGAAGCATTAAAAAATTTAATTCAAGCAAAGAATTTTATTCCTACATTAAATAATTCATTATATAAAATCTTATCTAAACTTTTAGATGATTATGATCCAAAAAAGAATCTTGCAAGAATTAGATATGAAACTTTTCAAATATTAAATTATAGTTTAAAATTATATTTACCAAAGAATCAAGAACTTGATGATTTATTTGTTAAAGTATTTATTCATATTGCTTCGGGAGAAAAAGATCCTCGGAATTTAATTATATCTTTTGAATTAAATTCATCTATTAATCAATTACTTAAATTTGATATTATTGATAATGAATTACATAAAGAATTTATAAATGAATTATTTGATGTTTGTTTTTGTTATTTCCCTATATCTTTTACCCCTCCTGCTAATGATCCTTATAAAATTACTGCTGATGAATTAAAATTAAAATTAAGAATTACTATAGCATCTCAATCATATTTTGCAAAGGATTCATTTAGTAATTTAATTGAAAAATTAACTTCAACTAATGCTATAATAAGAAATGATACTTTAAAAACAATTTTATTATGTATTCAATCATATTCAATATCTCTGTTAGAAGAATATTGGATTACATTATGGAATGCTTTAAAATTTGAAATTTTACATAATGATATATCTATTTTCAAATCAAATTTACTGACAATTATTCCTCAAGATTATGATCAAAATATTGATGATAATGATGATAATAAATGTTTAATCTTAACTTTAGCAATTATTGAAACCTTAGCTACAAGATTAAGTAAAGAATCTGATCAACTTGATAATTTAATTAAAACTATAACTAATGAATTACAAGAGAATTTATCTAGTTTAAAGGATAAATCAAAACAGGCTACATTATTATTATCAGTAATTGCATCAATTTCAATTGAAAGTTTTGATCAAATAGTGGCATTTTTATTCTCTTATAAAGTATGGGGTAAATATGTTGGAGTTGAACAAGACAATGAAATTGGAACTGAAACTGAAATTGAAATCACTTCAGAAGCGGGGGATCCACCAAAGGAAATTGATATTAATCAAGTTCAAGTTCAACAACAAGCTCAACAACAAGATGATATATCATTGACTACTGCCAAACAACGAGATTTAGTAGATAATATAGGATATTTAATCATTGGATTCCAAGTCTTGGGAAATAAAGAAACTATTGATATTATTGAAAAATCACATTTTGATAATTATAAAGATCACCTTTTATTATTTTTAGGACAATTATTAGTAACTTCCTCCAATATTGAAAAAACTTTAAGAAGTAAAGTTGTTCAACAATTAAGTAAATTAACTTCATTACCTAAATTTTTAACTAGTAATGAAGTTAAATTAATATTTGGATATTTTAAAGATATTTTAATAACTGCAATTACTGATACAAATGAAAATTGGGAAAAGGATCTTGTTGTAAGGGAAGTTATTAGTGGAATTATAATTAATCTGAATAATAATGGGGATTTAGTTGTAGAAATTATTATATCAAATTTATTAAATTTATTAGATGAAACAAATTTAAATCGATTTAATAAAGTTCTTAATGTGATTAGTGATTTAAGTGTTAATTATCAAATTTTAGAAGTTTTATCAATTCGATTATTAAATAAAATTAATTCTATTGTACAAAATGATAATTCAGAAAAGATTAAATATCTTACCCTTATAATTGAATTATTTATTAAATTAATTACTAAAATTGAATCATCTAATCAATTCTTAACTAATACTTGGTATAAAAATTTTATACCTAAATTATTAAAATCTATTCTTCAAGTATTACCTTATGATTTTGTTTTAATTGAATTAACTGGATATTTAATTGGGTTAATTATTAAATTTATTGATAAATCTAAACATCAAGAAATTTTAATTAGATTTGAAAAATCATTTATTACTAATCAAAATAATGAAGAATTTAATGGGAATTTAATTGAAATTAATCAGGGTTGGGAATATATATCTATATGGAATCAAATCTTATCAAATATTGATGAAACTGCTTCATTAACTAATAGTATTGAAATAGCTCATCAAGTAATTAATATTATCTATAAAATTGATAATACTGATGAATATTTAAGAATTCAATATTTACAAAACTTATCATTATTATTTAATAAGTTTATTGATAATGATGAAGAGATTAATACTTGTCTTGAAAGGTATTTATCGCCAGTTTTAGAATCTCAATCTCAATCTCAATCTCAATCTCAATCTCAATCTCAATCTCAATCATTAACTCCATATTCATTATTATCATTTGAAATATTTGTATGGATATTGAAATCTTTAGTATTAAGAATGAATAAAATTGGTTTAACATATTTAACAAAAGTATTAGATACTTTTGATAATAATCAAATTTCAATTGAAGTTAAACGTGTTATTGGAAAGGCACTTAAAATCTTATTCATTGATTTAAGTATATATACTAATCAAACTCCAGAAATTAATCCTAAGAATTTAATTTCAAAAGTAAAGAATTTAAAAATTAAGTTATTATATAAACAACAAATTTTTGAAATTATTTTACCTAAATTAATTAATAATATTGAATCAAATAATAATTCTAATACTGAAATTTATTTAAATTCTTTATCATTAATTATGGAAGATTTACCTAAGAAAATTTTAATAAGTCATTTATCACAAATTTTACCATTAATATTAACAAGTTTATCATTACCTAAATCAAAAATTAATCCTGAATTATTAACTTCATCATTAACTACTTTAAATATTATAATTGAAGAAGATTCAAAATTAATTGAACCTCATTTACAACAAGTTATTCCAATTCTTCTTAAATTAAGTGTTAATAAATTTATTGTAAATCGTAAATTAATTAATAATGAAGAAATAAGAGCAAAAAGTTTAAAGAATTTAATTCTTATATTTAGTACATTTGGTGATTTATCTAAATATAAAAAATCTACTTTACTGGAATTAGTGGTTGCATTAGATGATAAGAAGAGAAATGTTCGGAAATTGGCTTGTGACTTACGTCAAATATTATATGAATTATAGATAGTTTATAGATTTTAATATAGTATAGTATAGTATAATATTATAGTATAGTATTATATATTGTACAAGTATATGATGAATAACTAATCTGAATCCTCTTCATTATAATCAACAGGAGCTAAACCTGGAGTTAAACCAGGATAAGATATAAAACCTTTCTTGACTTTTTCATCAAAATCATTAAATGCAGAATTAGTTGATATTCTCTTCTTTCTAAGACGTTTAGATTGTTTATTACCTACTTTATCAACTAAATCACCTCGTATTTCATCCAATTCATCTTGAACAGTAAAATCACTTATATCACTAACATTTTTTATTTGATTTATATTCTTACGAACTAATTTTTGTAAGTATTTAGTTTCTTCTTCACTATGAATTTTACGATTCTTAATGATATTAAATTTAAGAAATTTCTGAAATTTCTTATCATCATCACTTCTCTTCTTTATTTTACTATTACGTTGTTTCTTTATCTTTTTCTTATCTATTATATCATTGCTAGTTGAATCTAACTTATTTGAAAGTAATTGAGTAGATGTTAATTTTTTAGTCTTAGTCTTAGTTGATTTTGTTGTAGAATTACTTAAACTGGAACTGGAGGGTATTATATTGGAAAGAAGTCGGTTAAGTCCAGCCTCTGCTTGAAATCGAGAAGACTCGGATTTAAATGACATTATATTATGTATGACTGTCTATATGTTTTATGAATGTCTACTACGATATTTCATACATAAAAAAAATTAATTATAGAGAAGAGCTTCACTTAATTGATGCAGGTATGGCACGTGAATGTGCATCACGTGTACGGTCACGTTTGAGATTCTCTCTCTCTCTCCCAGTTGGTTTCTCGTTTTTTTTTCCCAGGGTTCCAAATTTATTTCTCATGTGAAAAGTAAACTAAAACGTCATTTTCACAGAATTTCAGGGGTGGGGAAAAAAATAATGGAATTTTGTATCGGTAAGTTGCAGCATTTCGTTTCGTTTTGGGGCAACAATCAAAGTCCGGAATAAGGTATATAGAACTTCTAGAAATGTTGGACCAAAGTTGGTTTGGATACTGAGCCAAGGTTTTAACTTTAACTCTCTAATTGGAAAGATTTTTCTGGGGGAGTAGTAAAATCAACCAGGTAGATAGTGAACTAAAAAGAAGAATTAATCATTACTGAGATATAACAAATGGAGTTGATCATTCTGCAAAGAAAACAAGTTGATATAATAGAATGATTTAAATTAAAACTTAAGTAAAAGTTTCTTCTATAGCTCGGTTGAAATTTTTAGGCTATGTACTTTTCTAGTTGGTTTGTAATTTATTTCTCTCATACGATCTTTACTTGTAAATATAGATAGCCGTTGATGTAGGATACAAGAGTAACAGCTTACAAGGAGAAGTACAAATTAATAATTATCATGAGCATAATCCTAATCATATTAAAAGGAGGAGTTAAACGGGGGTTAAACTATAATTCAAAGTGATAATTGCAAGATTTGAATAGCTGTGAAAAAAGATCATAATGCTGGTAATGATTTCTCCATCATAAGATGCAAAAAGAATTGGAGTATTTATGTGAAAGACCGAGTATCTCGAAAGTGACCGACCTTACCTAACATATTACAAATGATCTTCTTTATTATGATCAGAATTAACCTAAAGTATGTCTACCGAGTAACTATAAGCAGAAGTTCCCCCTCCCCCACTAACTCCAGTAACTTTGTAGCCTCAGTGTGACAAAAAGTTTTAGGCTAGATTATGTACAGTACCTTGCTAAACGTTAATAAAAACAAATGTAACCGAGGTAAAGTGAGCATCATTCTATGACAAAAATTACCGAATTAGGCAAGGATTATTATATTGTACTACTTTAATTATCACAGTCTTAAATCAATTCACATGATTACAATTGCTAAAGTATAGCAGCGGTTCTTTTTGTTAGTTATCTTAAGTCTTTTCTTACTTGACATTTTTCAAATTAGGAAAAGTTTGGGGTAAAATTTCATGCATCGGACTATTAGTTGGTTTACTTATCGATTTACTTAATATATATATATATATACCTAGCCCATCCATTCAACAAGTTTTAAATTTAATTGTTATTTTAATTTTCTTTTTACAATTAATATATTATATTATTTATTTAGTTTCTTATTCAAAGTTAACTAATCTATCACATCTAATCAAGTCAAAAATTAAATATGTCTGTTTCTGATCCAACATTTCAAGCCTCTGAATTCTTACAATTATTAGAAGCTGGTTTAGGCAATGATGATACTAGAAAGAAGGCTATTGCTGGTGCTAAAGCTGTCATTGTTTTCACTTTAAAGAACAAGGACGGTAAGGATAAATCTTGGATTTTAGATTTAAAGAAAGATGGTACTATCAAGGCTGTTGAAGGTGCTCTTCCAAAATCTGATGTTCAATTAATTTTAAAGGATGCTGATTTTGTTAAATTAGCTGAAGGTAAGGCTAATGGTCAAAAATTATTCATGAACGGAAAATTAAAGGTTAAAGGTAACTTGATGAAGGCTACTGCCATTGAAGCTGTCTTCAAGCAACTTGACCCAAGACCAAAATTATAAGCTTGCATTAAATCTATTATTAATATACTAGATTATAACCTTTATAATACAATTATTATGTAATAATTTAATTATCTTGTGCTTGATGCATTTGCAATTATTTATATTACTATAGTTGTATATATGCTTATATATTAGTCTTTGCTAACTATTATCTGGTTAATTATTATTTATTTTATCGATTTATTTACATTTTTAATCTTTTTTATGGATTCATGAAGAATGAAAAATATATGAAATTTAGATTCATAATTGTTAGAGTAAAATTGTAGAACAATCTAAAGAGCAACTCTGATCATTCCATTATGGAAAACCTGGAGAAAGTCAGCTGCATATAACCGATCTAAACATCCATGCCTCAGTCTTTAGACCAACTCATGAAATATTTAACTACTAATATAGGTGTGGACGCAAATTATACAGAGTAATGAGTACAGACCAGTCCCAATCCATAATGACTTCTGGATCAGAAGGGGGAGATTCTAAGATTTCTGAAGAATCATTATCAATGTTTTTTGATTCTGACTTTAATGCTGCCAATTATATTGATAAATTATTTCAAAATATAACTAATTCATCTATAACTACTGGTGCTACACCTATATCAACTTATTCTAAAAATTCATTAGAACATTTATCTAATAATATTCTGGATTTATCTACTCATTTAGATTATTATACTACTGAATTGGCGAGTCAAAGTTTAACAGTAAAATTAGATACTTTAAATCATTCAAATTTACCAATATTACCAAAAGAATCAGATAAAATAACTGATGATTTATTTACTGGAACTTCTAATAATAATAATTCCAATCAAGAACTTACAAGATTAAAATATTATATAAATGTATTGAATAATTCAATCATATCCTTACAAGCAGATTTATCATCTATACATCTGGACGTTATAATGGATGAAGAAGAACGTAAAAAGATAAGGAAACAAGATGAAACAATAAAGAGTTTAACATCTTTAAAGACAGTCAAATCAAATTTAATTAATGTACTTCAAATCTTTGAATTTTTAAATAATGCATTTGTACAAACATTAAAATCAAGTAATACAATACAATATGAACAAAATGAAGTTAATATTTCTATTGAAGATTTTCAACAATTATTAAATGAACTATTTGATACTTTAAAATCTCAATTAATAGAAAATAAAGGGACTGCTAAATTAGATGATGTTATTAAATATATTACTAAATTAATTGATCTTGGAACTATATTTAATAATTTATCAACATTTAACTCACCATTTAAAAAGTTTATAAATAATTTAACTACAGAATTAGCAAAATATCAATAGATCTACATACTACATTACATAGATTTAATTCATTTTAATTCATTATTGGCATTAATTAAATATCCTATTTACATGTAATATCGTTAAAATAACTTTTTCCCTTTTGTATAGTACAATAATACTAGATTTTACCTTCTAATCTAAGCTTTTCTTGTTCTTCTTGTAATTCTCTTTGTCTATGTAAATTTCTATTCAATACATCTAACTTTCTCATTTCTTCATGAGCATCAAAATCTCCTGTTGATAACTTATCATAAGTTTCATCATATTTACCAGTTGATAATGGAGCATTCCCTCTCATTCTCTTTCTCATATCAAATACTCCATTTCTACAATCCATAAATGCTCTAAAATTAGCCACACATAATTCAGGTAAATCTTTCTTTAATTCAGGATCTGTTAAACAATCTTTAGGTGTATTTCTTTCTATTAATACACATGGTGATCTTTGCAAACATATGGCTAATGCTTTCTTTTGATCTTTACAACTATACAGCTCTCAGTTAGTATTTATTCTAATTTAATTTAATTTTACTTTATTTGGTTTTATTTGTTTTATACTTTCACAATTTCAAATACATACCTTGCACCCATAATTAACTTCTACTTTAATAGTATGGTACTAATGTCTTTCTTGTATGTGGTCAAGCCATTATACTTTTTCATCTTCACCTTTTTTTGTGAGAATCCTAATTAGGTAATGTGTCGTTACTTTCACTTTCACGGAACACGGTTCATCTCCGACATTTCAATAATGTCGCATCATGTTACACTACTTCTGATACTCTTTATTGTCACTTATTCTTATACCTTTTATATTCCCTCATATAAATTATGTGTGTATCGTATAGATACACTACTCCTTGATTTCCTCTAACTATTTAAGTAGGTGGATTCCTCCTCGCTTATGAAATAGTTAGGTTTTTATACTCTATCAAATATATACGCTATCAGCTATACTACTAGTTCACAATCGATTCTAAAGCTCTATACTATTTGGTCAAATCAACTACCTTAACCAACCCCTTCCGTAGGGTAATTGTTAATCAAACTCTGTCATCACTCTTGTTACAAAACCCCATATTCTTCATTACATTAATACACCGAGTGCGACATACCAATTCCTGCACTTAAAACCAGTTATGGAGATCTTTGTAAAACCATATTTTACGATCCCTGTAACATTGTCGAAGAGGGCCATATAAATTACACATTCCTTCCTTAGACTTCACTAAACTATACGCTAATAACGTCTTGATATTTATTAGTCTTGTAAGTAGCTAGTCTAAACTCACGAAGAACACCACTACTAACAATACTTTGTTGAACAAGTCACCATGTATAATACCCTATGATGTACATCTTACCCACAATAAAGAGTTATAGAAAGAGAAACTTCATTGGTGCAAGCCATACCCATCTTGAACATTAAAGCAATTAAGAGTATGTTCAAGTAAGCATAAGCCCTAGTGATATAGGCATATAATATGGTTAGGTCTGAGAGGTTATTTTAACAGCTACTTATTGCATCTTTGATCCCCTAGTTAAAAGTAACGTTTTCAGCAATTTATCAAGTTCTTGCTTTAATTTACTTTCATCTTAATTATTGAAGAAGATAGTATATCATCAGATAGTGCGGTTTCAGCTCAAACTATTAATTATCCGTTCATAAACAGATTCATTGGTCTTGATAAGTGCCACATGTATGCTTACTAGAGAAACAATTAATGCTTTAACAGCGTATTTATCTGAATTAAACAAATGTGAAATTAGATCCAAATAAAGATAAAAATTTAGATGTATTTCCATTAACTTGTTGTAATAATACATTAGCAAGTTTTTGTTCATTCTTTTCTCCTGTTTCTTTATCTATTCCACTAAATTCAGGATTACCTCCAGTTAAATTAAATTCTAATTAATAAGGTTCATAACTTTCCAAAAGATTTTGGGTTTTAGAAGTTGTTCTTTTGAAAGTCATTGATATCGCTGGATGAGCTATATTTTTCTTGTGACTTCTGCCAGTGATGGTTCATTGACTACTGAAACCTCTGTTATTGAAAAAGGGTTCTCAAGAGAGGTGGAAAGAAAATTGCAACCATATTGAAAGAAAATAGATACCAAAACGGCCCATGATTACTAAACAATAGGTGAAAAATAATAGCAATTGATGAATCTAAGTCTAAAATATATAATATTTCCTCTCTTTTTGTTTACATGTGGGATCAATTAGTATTTGATATATAAAATTATTATACAGATAAATATACTATAACAACGAATTAATTATAAACTTGTAACTACGTAAACTATTAGTTGATTCAAAGACAGGGAAAGTAAAATCCAGAATAGCTACATTTGGTTCATATTTTTCAATAAGTTGATAATATATAATTGGAATTACTTCTTCTTCTTGTACATTCTTTTAAAAGACTTAATTATCATTACGAGGGACCTGTGGATCATTATCATTTAAATCATTTAATTGAATCTCATGTCCATCATGGCCTTGACGTTGGTTGACATAACGTGTAATAACGTAAAGAGCATAACTTGCTAAAGCTTCAAATATAGATAATCCTCCCAAAATATAACCAGCAGTTGCCTTACTTATTGCCCCTCCAGCAGAAATTATTGTTATCACAGCACCAGTTATAGTAATTAAGGTTATTAATAGATAAATGGAATTGAGCCATCTTTTTGAGTTTGGTGATGCAATAAATTTATTAAAAGCCCTTCTTATAGGTGATTGGTTTCTTACTTCAACAGCTTCCGCTTGGCCTTGTGCTTCGGCTTGGGCTTGTGCTTCGGCTTGGGCTTGTGCTTCAGCTTGGGCTTGTGCTTCGGCTTAGGCTTGTGCTTCAGCTTGGGCTTGTGCTTCGGCTTGGACTTGTGCTTCAGCTTGGGCTTGTGCTTCAGCTTGGGCTTGTGCTTCAGCTTGAGCTTGTGCTTCAGCTTGGGCTTGTGCTTCAGCTTGAGCTGCTGCATCAACTTGGGCTTGTTCCATTTTTTATGATTTGAAATGGTTGACAGTGTTGAATAAGTTGAAATGGTTGACAGTGTTGAATAAGTTGAAATTGTTGACAGTGTTGAATAAGTTGAAATTGTTGACACTGTTGAATAAGTTGAAATGGTTGACAGTGTTGAATAAGTTGAAATGGTTGACAGCGTAAAGTTTAGGCGCTGTTGCAAAAATCTTTTCTTTTGCAAAAATTTAACGTAAATAAGTGGAAACAAAATACGAATGCCATTGTATTATTCATTATATGTTCATTATTAGAAAATAGAGAAGCTATAATCTACTACTGATTATAAATATAGAAGCAAACTGACCAATCCATAACGATAACGTTGTCACAAGAACAGATTAGTAACAGCAACAAAATGTTTTCAAAGTTTTGTTCTTAGTTTCAAACCAATGCCTAGCTTGAATATGGATAAGATGATATATGTCCTTTTTAATAGTGGTTTCCTATTCTTGAAGTGCAAAGAGCTTTGGTTGCAAAATAAATTTTCAGACTTTTTTCCCTCTCTCGTATAAAAATTACGTCGTGTGGTAACCTATTCTCTATAAGCTCACAGATTTAATTGAGCTTTCAAATAGCTAATTTAGCCCAACCCGGTGCCTAGCCCCCAATTGGCACTGTAAAGGACTATCTTAGGTCCGATACCATAATGATGCTTTAGGTCGACTTTAGCCAAGTAACCGTACTTGTCCTCACGTTAAGTCTATTTCGTTCTCTGTGTATTTGTCACGCGTACGCGGTCATGTGCTGAGTTGTTAAAGGATAGGCAATATTTGAGCCGGAAACGACCTAAGGTTACATTGTGATAGATTTGGCTGCAAGTTTAATTACACATAATAATACTGGTACGAGATTGGCTGTTCATTCACGATGACTGAAAAGTTTTCTTTCTACTTTGGCGAAGGTTTAAATTTGGGCAATTCTCCCCAATCATTATATAGTTACTACTTTATAAATTGGTGGAGAAGTTTGTAATTATATATATATATATATATATATTGTAACCGCATTAAATATAGGTCCTCACTCTCTATAGTTTCCTTAATGTATTTTCCTGCATCAATAGCTGCAAAAAGAGGTAATGACTATCTCCTTATAAATATTAACCAAGACCACCAATTTTACTGCAGTAGTGATTTGATTGCCTCTAAACCATAAAATAATGCCTTGTTCAGTATTACATAAATTTCGTAGCTTCATATCCACACCTCCAAACACTCAAACATGTACTGAGTACTCGCTTCGACCAACTAAAAGAGCCACAAGTTTGGAATCCTTGCCTGACGACATTTTAGCTCGGATTATAGATCACTTGAATCAACTTGACGTGTTAGACTTATGCCTAGTAAACTCAAGAATTCACAAATTATGCATGAAGAAGCTATTCAGGGTAGCTTTCATTAAGCCCTTGGAACCACGGACCTTCGTTGTTCATCGAAAATTGAATTCACTTAATTATTCTCAATTCACAATTGTAAATCCTAAGAAGTGTCCCCGCAAGAAGAAATTTCAGAGATTAATCTTTTATCTAGGGCCCAATAGTCCAAATAAAAATTATTGTCATCTGCTTAAGTATGGATATTATGCTAATATTGATCATTTTTTGGATCCCAAGAGGGCCGAGAAGATAATCAATCAAAGATCAAGTCGAATACTAATCATAAATATGTGTGATCAATCAACTAGGGCAGGTAAAGATTATTACTATAAAGTAAAAAGTTTGGCAAGTACTCTTGGTGTGTTTAAGAGAATACATTTGTCGGTAAGAGATACTCTGTTCGAAACAATTAAAAAATTCCAAGGGATATTTGTTGGAGTCAAGTGCTTGTCGATGAGTATGTTCTTCAGACCCGGATACATTGATAATTGTGAATCATCTTTGTCCCTATTCCGATGTGAAAATATTACAGAATTTGAAATTGAAACTGATTTTCCTAGCCACGGGGATAATTTCTTCTACAACATGATAAAATCTATGCCAAACATAAAGATACTTGTTATACGAATCTGCGTTAAACCTACATGTCTACATAAAACTATAGAATTATTATCTAACTATCGTATTCAGAAGTTTTGCTTGGACGTTATACGAAGGCAACCACATATAAATGTTCGTCAAAACTGTGATATCGTCAAGGCTTTGCTTAAAAGTTGTGGTTCCACTCTAGAACTTGTTAGGGTCAGCCTTTGTGTACGTTTCGCACGTATAGGATTATCAAAAATCGACTTATTTTGCAGTGATGAGTCTGATATATGTGAAGAACTTAACGAAGAGGTTAGGAGCTTAGTAAGTTGGGTCAAAGATACTATTACTAACTATCCAAGATTGGAATATTTCATATTCTACAATTATCAATTTGTAATAGACAGGAAAGTAGAACCATATAGGTGGATTGAAATAAACAACAAAGAGTTGTGATATGAACCGATTTTCCAGCTTTGTTATTAGGTTTTTATTCTTTGGCGAAGAATAGATTTTTATGTCCTTTGTATTTATAGCTTAATGTATAAAAAATAGATCTGATTATTGTCTATCAAAATCTGCTACTATATATATATTGTAACCGAAGTCGTGTACTATATAAATCGTCTCTATAATTATTTCCATGTCATGTGGCAACCGTAAAGTCACTATCAACCGAGTGCGACAAATGCCGGTGTGTATATAGACCCCCATTAAATTGGATCATTGCAACTGATACTTTTAGGGTCTATATATAAAATAAACTTATACCAATTTATATAATTCAATTGAAAATAATAAACTGTGTCATATAATTTTGTTATGACTCTTACATTTATCCCCGGAGAAGTGAATAAAAGTCCGTATTCTGTTCAACAAGTTATATGGAAACAATTTCATATCATTGTCTATGGTTCAGGAAATAATCTTATAATCTTAAGTGGAAAATTAACTAATTTTAGTAGTCATCTTAATGTAACTGCTAGTAATATTAATAGAAATCTTCAAACTATATATCTTGAACAAGATCCAATTGCTATTGATATTAATCCAGAAAATGGTTTAATTGCTATATCATTAAATAGTAAAATAATTATTTATAAACCGGCTAATGAATATATGTTAAAACCTCAATGGACTCAAGCATTAGAATTTAATGTTGAAGATAATTATCATATAAATTGTTTAAAATGGGCTCCAATAGAAGATGAATTAATTGTGGGAACGAATAATTCATTAATTCTATATCATATATATAATGAATTTGGAATTATAAAATATAATAATCGATGGTATTCTCAACAAACTAATAGTATAACTGATGTTAAAATAACTAAATCAGGTAATAAAATTATGACAACTAGTGGAACTTATGATCGATTATTAAAAGTATGGTCAAGAATTAATTATGGAGATGATAATACATTATTTGAATTAAGTTATTTAAATCATCCTAAAGATACTTTTATTCTTGAATTTCATTGGAGAATTAGTTGTGATCATAGTGATTCTAAATCCGATGATAATAATAATAATAATAATAATAACAATAATAGCAATAATAAAAAAAGAATTACTGATAGTGCAATGGCTGGTATAAAGAATATTCGAGGTTATATTGATAATAATGATGAAGATGGTGAAGTGATTTATACTTTAACTAATGATTATCAATTTCATGTATGGGCATCTCATGAATTTAGTGGTCATAGTCATATAAGTAATTGGTCAACTTTAGATTTAAGTCGATCATTTGGTAAAAATGATCAAATTGCTTGTACAATAATAATTGAAAATTATTATCTTGAAAAATCTTTAATACCTCATTTAAAGGATGCTGCATTATCTGCTTTAGGAAGTTTAGAACATTTTGATTTATTATTAGTTGTATCAAAATCAGGTAAAGTTATAATTTATACTATTGAAAATGTTACAACAACTCCATTAACCAATGTTAAATTTACTCAATTAAATCCTCATATAACTTATAAATTTGATATAAATACTTTCCCAACAAGTCTGTATGATCTTGGGAATATTCAATTACAAGATGAAGAATTAACTATTAAAAATATTACATCAGAAGAATTTATAATTAATCATATAAAACCTATATTAATATCGGATATTTCTTATGCAATTGCCACTCAAGATTTTTCACCAATTTCTTTACTTATTCATGATAGAGTTAAAAATACAATTAGATTTAATGTATTAGATTTTGAAAATATAATAAATCCAACAAATGAAAAAATTCAAGATTTAGGTTCAGTATTAATAAATAAATTACAAGGTCATACAAAATCAATTAGAAAACTTATAAAATCAAATTCTTCATTTACTAATCGAAATATATTATTATCAGTTCTGAATTTTCCTGAACATAATTATATTTGGGAACCAATCATTCTTAATATATCTAATGCTAAAGTTATGTCATTAACTAAAAGATTTAGATTAAATGTTAAAGCTGTGAATGATAACGATAATGTTAATGTTAATGTTAATGATATTAATTTAAATACTCCTTCAGGGATTTGGACTGCAGTAATAATTAATGATATTGAACCACCAATTGGAACTTCAAGAAGACATTTAGTTGTTTCTATTGATAAAAATAGTGTATTAAGTTTTTGGGATTGTAATGGATCAACTAAAGATGATCAACCGGCTGATTTAATTAATACATTAGTTATAATGGATAATTCCAATGAAAGAATTATTATTGAACCTCAAGCATTTGTATTAACTACTTTACCATCAATAAATATTAATATAAAAGAATATTGTCTTGTGGCTATTTATAATAAAACTTTAATAAGAGCTTGGAAAATTTCAATTCATTATTCTTCTGGTAAAACATTTGAATCAATTGATTTTTGTAATTTAAAAATTGAAGGTTTACCTCATAAAGAAAATATTCATCAATTAGTTACTATAGATAATTTTATTAATGCAATTGAAAGAAGTTTAATTGCAGTAATTGATGAAGAAGGTTTACTTCGAAGTTTTGCATTAAATCTTTCTAATTTAGATTCAGGAATTATATCTTGGAAAGAAACTCATTCTGTTCATACTAATATAAAAACTGCTAGTAAAATTCATGGTGCAACATTTATTAATAAATTAGCAGTAATTGATCAATTTGGTACAAATCTTACAATTTGGAATATGAGATCAGGAGTTTTAGAATATTCAGAAACTTTTCCTCAAAATTATGGACAAGTAAGAGATATTGATTGGACATTTATTAATGCATCAAAGGAAAAACTGACATCAAATGCTATATTATCAATTGGATTTGATAGATTTGTTTTACTTTATACTCAATTAAGATATGATTATACTAATAATATTCCAACATTTGCTATGTTAAAAAAAATTGATATATCTGATTTTACATCTCATGAAATTGGAGATCTGATTTGGTTAAATGATGGATATTTAATAATTGGTAGTGGGAATCAATTTTTTATTGATGATAAATGGATTAAATTAGGTTCAGGAAGTCTTGATACAACCATAAGACAATTAATGATAGGTTATACTAAAACAGGAATTCAACTTGATAATCATGATCATGATGATGATGATGGAGGTTATAAAAGAATTGATAAATCAACTGATGAATTAGTTTATGATATATCTCATTTAGTTAGAATTCTTAATGGTCCCTTACCAATTTATCATCCACAATTTTTAGTTCAAAGTCTTTTTATGAGTCAAATTAAATTAGTTCAAGATATTTTAGTTAAATTATTTCTTGATATTAGAAAGGGAGATCCAATTTCTTGGGATTTAAATTTAGATATTACAAAAGAAATAATGGATATTGAAATGACATCTAAACATTCAGGTGGAGGTCAACAAACTCCTAAAACAGAATTTCTTCAAGCTGGTAGAAGATTTAGTGTATCACTTGAAGTATTTAAAAATTTTGATTCAAGTTTAGCAGATATGTTAATTGATAAATTAATGAGAGTTTCTTTACCATTATTAACTAGACATCAACAAAGTACTTTAATTTCAATTATTACAATAGTAAAAGAATTAAAACAATATACATTATCATTAGATGATAATGGAGTTCGATTCTTTATTGGATTTAAATTATTTCAATTATCAACTAAACAAACAAGATTATCTATGAGAGATATTAATTGGGCATTACATAGTGAAAATAAAGAAATGTTATTAAATATGGTTGAAGATTATTTTAAAAGTAGATTAAAATGGGAAAATATTCGTCAAACAGGTTTAGTATTTTGGGTTCATACTGATAGATTATTAAAACTTATAGAATCAGCTGCAAGAAATGAATTTAGTGATACAAGAGATCCATCAGGTAGAATTTCTTTATTCTATTTAGCCCTTCGAAAAAAGCAAATCTTATTAGGATTATGGAGAACAGTTAGTCATTCAGAAAAGCAAAAAATGTTAAACTTTTTAAATAATGATTTTAATGAAAAACGGTGGAAATCAGCAGCATTAAAGAATGCCTTTGTTTTATTAGGTAAACATAGATTTATTGATGCAGCATATTTCTTCTTATTAGGAGATTCTGTTAAAGATTGTTGTGCAACTCTTGCTAATAAAGTTAATGATATTCCATTAGCTATAGCAATTTCAAAAATATATCATGCATCAGATCCCAAAAATTCTGGATCTGATACTATACATTTTAGTGATAGTTTAAGATTAATAATTGAAAATTATATATTACCAGAATCAATTCATAAGGGAAATAAATGGACTACTAGTTGGATATTTTGGCAAATGAATCTTAAAGAACTTTCTATTCAAGCTCTTGTTAGATCACCCTTAGAAATGATTGAAAGTAATAATGATAAATTTTCAGAAACTTGTAGAAATAATTATATTAAAAATATATCAATTTCTACTAAAGGTCAAAGTTTTTTAAGAGATGATCCAGTTTTAATTCTTCTTTTTAATGATTTAAGACAAAAGAAACTGAATTATTTAAAGGGTTCATTAGGAATTAGTCTGCTTGAAGAATTTGAATTTATTAAAAGAGTTTGTGCTATATATACAAGAATGGGTTGTGATTTCTTAGCATTATTACTTGTTAGAAATTGGAATTTTATTATTAGTGAAATAAATAAATCTTCAACCATTAATACAGGTAATGGATCTTTAAAGAATGGTGTATCACTTATAGATCATGAACTACTTAATGGAACTAGTCAAGTACCTAATTTATTGGAATCATTTACCGATGAAAATAATAATAATAATAATAATAATAATAATAATAATACTCAAAATAAATTTACAAATAAAGCACCCCCACCTCAAGTAGTATTTGAAGAACCAGATATGAGTTCATTTAATTTTGGGTTTTAAAAATATGCATAGATAGTTTAAAATCATATATTTATATATTTAATCATAAAATCGTCAAGTCTATTATTTTCATTATTAGTTTTATTTAATGTTACTTAAAATACGTTATTAGTTGATCGTAAAACAGTAGTAAGTAAATCTATAACATTACCCCAAGATTCAGTAATTGTAATAATAGCTCCAAATATAAAAAATACCCACATTCTTGAAACAATTATACCTTGAATAGTCGCAAAAATCATTGAATTTACTACAGCAAGTACAACTTCTGTTGATTCATCCATTTCTTTCCAGAATTGTTCTGAATTTTCTAAAGGTCTATCAATTATACCAATAAGTTTCATAATAAAACTTCTTAAAGGATGAAATCTTACTAAACTTAAAATAAAATTATCCCAATATTCAACTAAATAATTTCGAACATATATTAATTCAAATTTTTCAAAAGTTTTCTTCTTTAGATATCTTGGATCTCCATAATTTGGATCGAGTAATTTGGAACAATCTTCAGGTCGGACTTGACAAAATGGTTGAGATAATAGTATTACTTTAAAATTAACCTTAAATTCCTCAATTGTGAATGGATTAAGTATATAAGGTACTACAATAATAGCTGAAACTATTGGTAATATTACATATATAATAAATTTAATATTTTCTATTATTGCTTGTCTATTTCTTACCACACTAGTCCGAAGATCTCCATAACATAATGAACATGCCGATATAGGCAGGATATTTATCGGCATTTAGATATTAATATTACTATTCTAATAACAATTCAGAAATTTTGAAGAAACATATAAATCAAACTCCATTACGATTCAATTTCAATTTGGCATCATCTGTTACCCCTTTATTTAAAGTTCTGTGCACTCTTCCCGATTTGCGCGTTGCGTTATCATTTTTTGTAGTTATGTGGAGAAGATTCAATTGCAAAAACAGAGCTCTTATTTCACTTCAGTGCGTATTTAAGTAGCAAATATCTTCTTTTCAAAAGATAGATGTAGTCTAATTACAATGACTTAAAAATATAAAAAGATTAAACTTCCAAAAGATTAAGATTAGGTCAACCCTACCCGGGACTCGAACCCGGAGTCTCCCGCTTAGGAGGCGGGTGCCTTAACCGTTTGGCCAGCAGGGCTTGTTTGCAGTTCAATTTTGTTTTTTGGTTTGCCACAAGAATTCAAAATCCGGGGTTTGAGATTTTTTAATCAGAATTTTTTCCAAATCTGTAAGGATTTTCATTGATATTACAAGTTAAATCGATGAAATATGTACTGAAGTTCCTCCTAAAGTTGTTAAAATAAATTTTAATTATGTTTTGGTGGCTTGAAATCGATTTAAAAATCTTGGGAATTTGAAAAAAAATTGCAGCCAATAGACGGCAATTTAGCAGAATTAAGACGGGTAATCTAGTCAAAATTAATATGATCTACTCTATCCGAGATTTGATGCCCTTATTATAAATCAGTGCTTTATCAAGTTGATTTAATTTCAAGTTGATTTAATCTTGCTTTGGGATAGGTAATTGCCAAACTTTTGGCAATAAACTTCCAAAATATTTTTTTCGTAGCAATATATGTATTCTCACTATGCACGATATAAAATTATATATAGAGTGAATAAGAATAATAGCAAAATTTTAATTTGTATTTAAACAAGAAATCTAACAAGTTATATTAATAAAAGTGCACAAACACTTTAACTATCAATACACAGCAAGAATGTACATAATTCAAAGAATGGAAAGTTTAATTGGTTTGCTTGCACCTCCCTTGAAAGGCAGACGCCGAAATACAATTGAAAGATAGCCCGCAGAATTTTCTACCTCTTTTATCGCATCTTGTGTATTGTTCTATGTAATAATTCTAAAACATGTATCTAAATAAAAATGCGGTAAAACTACTAAATAGTTACTTTTCTTAGTTCAAGATAAAAGCATTCCATCTATAAAAAAAAAGGTAAGGATAGATTTACGCATAAGATAAAATATAAAGCAAAGTATAAAATATCTCATTACGAACTACTAGATATTGAATTTAATTATTAGGCGAAAGTATTATGATATACCACGTAATTAAGTACTGATTTGTGTGATAGGTTTATATTGGGGAAAAAGATAAGTTGCTTTTTTGCAGTTCCACATAGCCTTAGTTCCCAATGCGGTAATCAAAGTCGTGCTCACATGCCCAAAATGGATGGCCCCTAAAAAATTAGAGGAGACAAGAAGAGATAGAGCGAAGCCTAATTTTAAGTCGAGGTTAATTTTCATATACCGACCATTACAGTATAGAACAGCATATAAACGGACACGCCCTACACACAAGTCCAACAAACTTGGGTAATCACACACAGGACCAATATATCAGGATTAGCAATTTGCTCGGTATATTTTTCATCACCATTCATTTTAAGCTTATCCTCATCCCAACTGCACAATGAAGTTAGTCCATAGCTTATATGTTCTCCTTCTGTCGACTTACTTAGTCGCCAGTTTGCAATTACCGTTTGATACTTCAAGTCTTTTTAAGTTCAATGATATTTTAGATGGAGATATTTATCGTCATTATACTACTCTTAATGAAGATGAGTTACCAATTAACTTGTATCAATATCACGATGACTTTGTGATAAGAATTGATTATTCTGACAACCTCGAATTAAAAAAGTATATTTTACTATCTAAATCCACTGAGAATAATACCAATATTTCATTTCAAAAATGGTCTAAGAACAATCATGGTCAATTTATAGATTTACAAATTAATGAAGAAAATCTTATTAAATTAATTGAAAAATTCCCAACTATAAATTACAAAATAATTATTGAAGATTTAGCCCAAAGAGTGTTTGAAACATATCCTGAAAATCATGCTAAAGCAGGATTAACCAAACGTGATAGTAATTCGCAATATAAGTATCAAGCTACTGAAGATGTTATTGCCGAAGCTAAAGTTAATGTATTATCTGAATTATTTTTCAAAGAGTATAGACCATTGGAAACTATAGAGGCTTGGTTAGATATTTTGCAACAAACTTATCCAGATATTCTTTCTTTTGAAGATATTGGTCGTTCTTATGAACATAGAACTTATCGAGTTGTTCATTTTTCAGTTCCAAATTCTGATATTGAACATCATGAAAGAAAAACCATTGTTGTTACTGGTGGTGTCCATGCTCGTGAATGGATTTCAGTAAGCTCAGTATTATATACTATTTACTCCCTTATATTGCATTATCATGAAAATCCAACTTCAAAGATTTTATCTAATTTGGACTTTTTATTCATTCCTGTTTCTAATCCAGATGGTTATGAATATTCTTGGCATACAGACAGATTGTGGAGAAAGAATAGACAAGAAACTGTATTTCCAACTTGTTTTGGAATTGATATTGATCATTCTTTTGATTTCCATTGGACTAAGTCATCTGATTGGGCATGTGGTGAAGAATATAGTGGTGAATTACCATTTGAAGCATTTGAATCTCAAATTTGGGAAGAGTATCTTAATGAAACCAATAATGATCATAAAATTTGGGGTTATATTGATTTACACTCTTATTCTCAAGAAGTTCTTTATCCTTATGCTTATTCCTGCAGTGAACAACCAAGAGATGAAGAAAATTTAATTGAACTTGCTTATGGTATTGCTAAGTCCATTAGATTACAATCAGGTAAAACCTATAATGTTTTACCAGCATGCATAGATAAAGACGTTGATTTATTACCCGATTTAGGATCTGGTTCAGCCTTAGACTTTATGTATCATAATCGAGCATATTGGGCTTATCAATTAAAATTAAGAGATAGTGGAAGTCATGGTTTCTTATTACCAGGTAAATATATTGAACCAGTTGGAAAAGAAATTTTCGCAGGGATCAAGTACTTCTGTTTATTCATATTAAATGATGAGAGATAGAGTCCCAAAAATTAAAATTAAAATTGAATTGAATTGAAATTGTTGTATTTGTATTTCCATATGAAAGTAGTGTAGTTTAAGTTTTTGATTTTTTGTACAATAAAAATAACCGATGTATTTATGCAGATAAGCTGTAGCCTGAAAAAAAAACATTTAATGTTGAAAAATAAAATTTAATTTATCTTTGCAATCAATACGGGGTAGAAGTGCACAGTAAAGTTAACTGCGTAGTATGAGAGTAGTAATACAAAAAGTGAAGAAAGCTTCAGTAACTGTTGAAGGAAATGTTATTTCCAAGTAAGTATAGTTATACGATGTTTGAAATTTGAACACATTTTATTATCAAGTAAGCATACATACTAACAACATGTCCAGAATAGATAAGGGATTAATGCTTTTGGTAGGGATTTCAACCAAAGATACTGAAGATGATGTAACAAAGATGTCTAACAAGATTCTTAGTCTTCGAGTTTTTGAAGATTTATCTCATCCTCCTCACACTGCTACTAAATGGTATGGGAAACCATGGGCAAAGAGTATAGTTGATATTGAAGGAGAAATCTTAAGTGTGAGTCAATTCACATTGTATGGTACAGTCAAAAAAGGTACAAAACCTGATTTTCATAAAGCAGCTAAGGGTCATATCGCCAAGGAATTATATGACTTATTCTTACTGCAATTGAAGACAGGCTTAGATGGAAATAAAGAAGATTCTGTTGATAGTAAAGTTAAAGATGGTGAATTTGGAGCCATGATGGATGTTGAACTAATTAATGATGGTCCCGTTACTATTGTATGGGATACAAATGATCCCACCTTGTAAATAGATAGATAGACGATAGAAATGATAAACTTATATGTAATTATAATATTAACTAGATTCTACTATAAAAGTAAATTGAAAAGAATTGAAAAGAGTTGACTATATACCATTTGAAGCACATGAAAAAGGCTTTCCATAAGCATCTGCTTCATAAGACCAAATAATGGATTGAATAGTAGCGTATAAACCAGGACCTAAAATGTAAAATCCAATGAGTGCAATTAAGAAATTAAGTAAGATTTCACCTTTACTCCAAAGATTTGATCTTTGGAAAATTTCCCAAGTTGACAATTGTCTATTTTCTAATTTATAATAATATAATTCTTTCAATTTGAAAAAAGCACGGGACCAGAAGAAGAAACCGAAAGAACAGTCAAATAATGAAGACATCAAAGATAAAAGATCACTGAAGAAAGGAATAACTTCTGCAACGACGAAAGCCAAGACCCAAAGGATAACATTTATTCCACCCCAAACGATCCAACCTTTAACGGTATGACTATTTCTGTGAATAGAAGTTTTATCAAAAATATGTTGGAATAAGAATTGAGCTGAAACATTGGAATATAATGCACCTAAGAAAATAATGGTTGGGACTGCAAAAGAAAAGGCAATCTTCTTATATTTCAAACTCAAAGATCCAAAACCTGGTGAAGTGATATAATTATTACCAACGTAAATGTATACAATCACACCAGCTAAAGAGAATAAAAGAATTTCCAAGATAGTAACTGCCCAAAGAGCCTTTTTGAATTCTTTTGGTCTTTTCATTTGAGAAATGAAAGATGGGTAAGTAACTTGTCCAACAAAAGTGTAGACAATGTTTAAAACAGCAGACATGATATTGACATAAGAAGTGCCTTTAATTGGCCAAGCAGTCCAAACTATAGGTAATTCTTCTTTTTCATAGCCGAAAGGATGATCTTGTATACCAGCAAAAACCATAGCTAAAACAACGGCTGTGAACATAGTTATTGCTGAGAAGTAACCAATTATGGACATATGAGAAAATGTTCTTGGTAAAGAGATCAAGAAACAAATAATAGCAGCGACAACACCAAAGGCTACAGAACATATAGTAGTATTACCAGTAATGGTATTAAGATATTTAGCTCCAACTAAGACATGTAAAGCTTGAATTAATAAATTATTCAATACAAAACAAATAGCAGTTAAATACCAAACCCATTTCTTACCCCAGAATAAATGTTGACCAATATCACAAACATCAACCAAGTGTGGATATGCAGCACAATAATCAGCGACAATAAGACCCGTATATAAAACAAATAAAGCAACTATAATAGTTACAATTAAACCTAAGCCTACTCCCAACACAGAATAAGACCAAGGAAATGACATAATTGCCAAACAAATATATTCACTGAATAATAATCCAGCAGTCTTTTGCCATGAACAGTTTCTATAGTTGATATCATGTTGAGATTCGAATTCTACTTGTTTTTGTAAATACAAATCTGGGTCACCTTCAAGAGTTGATTCATCATCGAATGGGACAGTTTTTAAATCTTCTTGTTTTTCATAATCCGATTCCTTTTCAAGATCTTGACTTAGCAATTGTTGCGACATGGCTGCAAGGAGTACCTTTTAACAATTTTATACCTACACTAAAATAATTGTCGATGAAAAGTTGAAGATCAACCTTAGTTTAAATTCGTTTTAGGAATATATCTATATTGAAACTGGTAAAATAAAAGTCTTCCAGATTTATGATAAAGAACAATGGAGAAGAGGATATATATTGCTATTTATACAGGCTTTACAAAAAGGGTTACAAATACGAGAAATAACAAAATTAACAATTTTATTGGTCCTGAAACTTGAAATCGTTGTAATGTACTCTTACTACATACTTACATATGCAGTAAATAGTATAACAAAAATCTAAATGCAGCGGTGCGATGACATGCCCCCAAGCGATATTATATTGCTAGATTGTTTGCATCAAATGATAACTAAGAAAGATAAACGGAAAAAAAAATAAATAAAAATAGAACGAATTAACTTAAAAATTGTGGTTGAAAGAAAGTGAGGCTCCTTCCTATTTAGGCAAATGATGCAATTTAATCTCTATATAACAGATTTAAACAGGACGTATCTTAGTACAAACAATAGGAAAGTCTAATTATTATAACAGTAATTAAGCAAATGCACGAGATGAGTTGCAAGATACATTCACCATAATTGGATAGAATTACGAGTAATGAAATTTTGGTAACTTAATTGATATAATTTGATCGTTACGGCGTTCTAAATTCTATTAATTAATTCATCAACCCCGTCTTTTCCTTTTTAAGATTAAAGTTGACCGTTATCGCTAATTTATGTTTGATGTAAGATGTCATTATTATAATTAACCTAAAATAATATCTTGTGATACATTAGGGAGATTACAGCCATTTTTGGTCTCAATATCCCAATTGCAAAATGTATGTTTAAATCAGCCGTATTCATGTGCTTCTATAAGCATTTACGTAAATTATTTGAATTGAAGGTCAGTTAGCAATAGCCACTGCTACATAATTAAATTATAACTTTAACAAGTGTTGAAGAAGCATGAACAGGCACTTCTGTAGAAGTCAAATTAAAACTTCCGGCCCGTAAAATGTCTATTTCTGATCTACAAAATCCTTAATATTTTATTTATGAAATTTATATACAAGAAGGCATTATTTTAAAAATATTTTAAGACTTTTATATCCCAATCAATAGACTTATAACGATTATAAACGTTATAGTTACTATCCATCCGTATTTAAAGGTATCATGAATATGAAACCTGTCTTCTGGATCAAATACAAACTCATTGAAAATTCCCTCGTCATTTCTATGATGAAAAAATGACTCCCTTGAAAATAAAGAAGGTATTATATTATCTCTAATTCTCCAAAAATTTGGATTTATGAAGTAATCAATAAGATTATATTTATGAATGAGTATGGTTACAAGAGTGACGAGAATAATTGATCGTATCAATGGTCGTCTGAAAATTGTAGCATGATTCTTTCTACTCAAAGATTCACCATTCTTATCTTTTGGATCCATTATTGCAGCCACCAACTAATACATTTAGGATTGATTAAATCGTCCAAGGTGTTTTTGTAGTTTACCTTTTATTGACCAATTTCTTACCCGCACTATTTTTGAATACTATTTTTTTCTCCACCTCAAATCATATCAAATGATAAGGCTATAAAGACAAGCTAGCTAAGTTAAAACCACTTGGTATCAAGAGATTACATTCTTTAAGTTATCTGACTTGATAAAGTTAATAATCAAGACCCATCTTCTATACAACGTTATATAACAAGACATCATAAAGTACGTTGCAAACCCAAACACTAGCATTAAAATACACATTAAAAGCATTAGTCTCACTATATAATATACAATATCAACTTCAGCCAATATAACTGAAAAAATACTGATAATTGGGTCCAGAGCCAGCTGACCATTTTCAAATCCTTTACCATTATATAACCAATTACTAGTGCCTTCAGTTGTGTTATATATTGAATTGAACGCATTTGTGAAGGGTGGTTCAAATTTCTCATGATCAAAGAAAATTGTGAATGGTGATTTAATAAATAGAATGTTAAAGAAATCAGCCCATATATTGTAAATTACAAGTTGAAACAATTCCAATATTTTAATCATATCGTTATACTTTTTTGATAATCTTACTTGTACTTTAAGGCTCTGTTATTTACAAATAGTCTAATCTTTTTTGGGTCCGTATTTTATCTGAGTGGCTGTTTGGATCTTATCAACAGTAGGTACATTATTGCGGCAAGGATCCAACAATGAAAAGAAGAAGACAGTCAAGCCATAGCTTAAAAAGCGATCGTAATGACAGTGACAATGATAATGTGAGTCGCAAAATTATAAAAGTTGATTCACAATTAGTTAATTTACCTACAGATATCATTAAATTAATATTTGATCACTTATCAAATCAGGATATCACCAATTTATCAGTTGTTAATCGTTATTTCCGTCAAAATTTGCAACCATATGTATTTTCAAAAATCAAGACTACATGGCATAAATTAATACAAGAATTTTCAACTTCTAAATCCAACTTCTTTCATAAATATTATGAATTTATAAATCAAATTAGAATTATAGATTGTTATCTGTATGGAGAATGGCAAATAGATATATTTGATGAATACTTGAGTCAATTACCTAATTTGACACATTTATTATTGAACTCTAACACTTCATCTAATTGGTTGAAATATCGTCATAGTGATAACTTAACTCAATTATCATTATATTTTGAAAAGGATCATTTTGAAACGTTGGCAATTTCTCAATCGAAAACAGCAACGTCTGCTACCAATTTTCATCCGAATCCTCATCAAATGGTGCTGCCCAGAATTTTCAATATTAATCACATCAAGCATTTCAACAGACTTAGGAAATTAAATCTTAATACTTATCATTTTATTTGGGAGGAGGGCGAGTCAACTTCATTTGAGGAAATTCTAATCCATTTAGTTGAATTGAATTTAGTAAATTGTTCATGGGAGTACCCTTTTAAATTATCACAATTCAATACTCCGACTAGAGCATTGAAAATTCTTACTTTACATTATTTTAATAATAATTCATTTATTTTATCTGAACGTTTCAATGAGTTCCTACTAAATATTGAAGAGAATTTCCAAAGTTTGAGTAAACTACAAATGATAATTGATCACGATGAAGAGCATAATTATGATCGATACAATACGTTTGAAATGTCATGGGATAGAAGATTACCATCTAATATATTTGACAAAATTATGAATAAAAATTACTTCCCTTATTTAAAGAAAGTTAAATTTTGGGGTTGGTATATAAATCTTAATAACTTGAATAATACTGTACGAAAACTAAAACTAGATGAAATTAATGACATTGAAGTTATTGATTTGAATAGAGTTAATACCCCTATGAATGGTACCAGAATAACGCACGATGACTACGATAATGATATGATAATTGAGTTAACTGAAAAGTTAATGAACTACTCTGTAAAATTAATAAGTAATTAGGATTTTATATAGATGATTTTACACAAAGTTCGCGCCTGCCCGTATACAAAATTTAATATACTTAGAATGAATTTTTCACAACTATTCAAATTTACATTGAACATTAAGAATTTAACGATGATACTACCGTATGTGTTAGGTATATTTCATATTTTGGGATTATGTTTAGCTAATACTGAAACAATCGTTTTCAAAGTTCCTTATTACTACAATATCAAACCTCATGCATCATATTACGACGAGACGATACGAAATAATGATATCATACACTTGAATGAAACACACTCTCTTATTAAGGATTATCCTATTCAGACGATTAAAACATTAGATAAAGATAAACTCACAAAATATGTTATCCAAGTAGATGACTATAGTAGCATTGAAAGACCAGAGAAGACTTTACTTGTAAAGATCAATAATTATGGAGACGAAACGTTTGAATCAAATGATTTTATTAATGTTAAGCTTTGCTGGCCCACTATTTACCCATTTGACTTTAAATTAGATTATTTATTCATAAAGCCAACTGATTTACAAACGCATAAAAGTGAAGAGCAGAATAATGAATTAGATAAAGAATTAGACATCTACATAGCCATATCGTATAAGTTTTTTGCACACAGTTATAACCCTGAAAAATATTATTCAGATCATGAACCATTAGAGTTCCATTTATTTATTAATAAACTTGCTAATAAGTGGATTCCTATACCTAATGAATTATACCAATTTTTGATGTATTTCGTTGATTTATTAATACTTGGGTATAATCTTATTCCATATTTATATGACTACATTTTTCAATAAAACCTTTTCTTTCTTTTTTACAATCAATAAATTTGTATATATAATAATTACTGTCTATGTGTAGTATCGTAATACGAATGGAAGTTATTATCATTGGTCTAAATAGTTTCAAAATATTAGCTTATTGTTATTATTTGACGCACGTGACGAACATTACACAAAACCAGAAATTAGATGCTCAGGAGAAAAGGACATGACTTATTAGGTAAATGACATTTATAAAGATTCTTCGACTTTTTAATTAATAACTCAATTGAATTATTGGATTTAATAATTGATCAATTAAGCCATTAATTATACTCAATTCATCATGTCCACATCACCATTAAGCGAAGATGATCCCTTGGGACCACCAAAAAATACTCAAAACTTAGATTTATCTAAATTATCCCCAGAAGAACTAACAATTTATAGGAGGTATGGTAAATTGCCAACTACACAACAAATTCTTTCAAACAAATTTAGAGAAAAGAAATACTTTGATAGTGGAGATTATGCTATGCAAAAGCAAGGAGGTAATAAAAGTGCTTTATTTCCTGGTGTAGGTGTACCTTTAAGACATCCTAATGCTGAAAAAGTTAAGGAGATGTCTAATCGAAATAGTATTAGTGCATCTAATGCGGGCTTCTTATTTAATGGAAAATCAAGTTTATTGAATGAGTCAACCCCAGATAAGAATCAAGAAACAAAAGAATCTTGATTTATAGCAAGAAATATTACTATTAACTATGGCGTTTAGAACTGAAGTCTTCATTAAAACCGAAACAAGGGGGGAAGGGATATACCAAGAAATGAAACAATCTTTTACATTCACTTGATAGTTGGTCAAGAATATCATAAAGATTCCTCCATTACCATAAAATATAATAAATATCTAACCCACTGAACACAGTACATCACAATCGAAAAATCAATGCAACTGCATTATCATAAAATAGGTCGGTCATCTGAATATAGTTCAAGATTTCTATTAGTCGTTCTGGATCATTTCTGCTATATACATACAAACAAACAACATTAGTCATATAGGTTGGAGTTATTATGAATCTCCATTCGTGACAATCCCATCAATAGTTTTGATTTCAATTTTACTTTTCTTAATCAGTCACGAACTAGGATATAGTACGCTTGACATACTATATGCGCACTTCATTATCGCTGGTTTATAGCATATATAGTTTTTTTTATAATTGGAATAACTCGATGTGTATCATCTGGTTTCCGTATAATATATACCCATGATATGATAATGAGTAATAATTGTAGTATAATATATTCATGCGGAATATAAGAAAGAAAATGATTATATGACTAATTTCAGGGAAATAACCCCAGTAAATACTTACTTCTTTTTTCTGAATATTGATATGTTCATGGTACCAATCTTTTACTCCATCTATAAAGGTGTAAATGGAATTTACAATAACAGAAGATCAGTTCAATGGTTGTCTCTCTAACTTTAATAGACTTTTAATTGATAATTTGACTTATCAACCAGATCGAGAATCAAACACCAGTTTCGAGTTAAAGTTCATAACAAATTATCTTAAATCGAGTCCATCGATCAGTTACACTAAGATCGAGTTAATTCAAAATCATAAACAAAGTAAAGATCTAAATAAAAGATATGGTATAGAATTTACAATTTCTTTTCATGAATTATATAAGGTGCCAATATTTTACTTTCGACTTTATGATAATGATACTTTGATACTTTTCAACGAGGATTTACTAAGTCAATTGTCTGAAATATTATCATATAAAGGATACAACGTTCCCAATTTTCTTATAGAATCACATCATATCTATCAAGAACCATGGTTGAGTTTACATCCTTGTGAAACAAGTGATTTCATGACTGAATTCATCAAATCCAACGAACAAGCAAATGAACCTCAAGATATGTCTATTAAATATCTTTTAGGCTGGTTTACTAATTATGGACTTAGTTCCATTTATCCCAGATTAAGTTTAAGAGTAAATAATTTGCAAAATAGTTAGTTTTTAACTACGGAAAATACCAATCTTTCATATACGTTATATATTTTGTAAATAAAGAGTTCTAATAATGAAAATAATGAAGAATAATAAAGTACAGATGAATAAAAAGGGATATCAAATTATATTTGATTCTTTGTGATGCCTTTAAATATGAATTGGTCCTTTGTGATATATCGTAATTTGGAATTAAAGTGTGATGCTAAGAATAATAATGACTTTGAAGTATAGAACTTCTTGCTTAAGGTTGAGCACTAACCCTCTTTTCAGTAAAGATACGACATGGATATTGATCAGTGAACATACCATGTTCTGGTTCTTCTAAAATTCTCCATTGGAATTTATTTAATGAAGGTGCTACAATTGGTTCACCAGATTGACCTAATAATTCACCTTTTATGACATTGGCTGGAACTGATTGTAAAGTAGTAGCTAAACTAATAGGTTGATTTGAATCAATAAATACAGATAATTCTTGAGTACCTTTATCACCAATTGAAATTCTTGGTTTTTCAGCAGAACCTAATTGTAATAAACCAGAAACTTTGGTTTGATCAAAACCATGAACTTGAGGATAATTTCTTCTATAATCTCTCTTATGGTATGCATTACCAGCAATATCACCAGCTGGTAAAGTTATAGGATCTACATACTTTTTAGCGTCTGAAATTCTTGCTCCTGGTGGTTCTACACGGAAACGATTGACAATTGGATTACCACTAGATCTATTTGGTACTAAAGCTAAAATTTGTCTGACTTTTTCCCAAATACCGGTTGATTGGGTAGTATACTTCTTCCATACTGGAACTGGACCACCTGACATCGTTTATTAAATTTGTATTCTGTGAATCTTTCTGGAGCCTTAATCAGATTAAAGTCTTCAGTGTATTTTTGATGTGGTATAGTAATCGCAAATTTTCTGTTGGTTAATTGGATAATTTTTAGAGGTCGTGCGCGAATGCTCAAAAATGTATATGCAGGCAATTTACTGTACTATTTATTTACTGCAAAATTCAATAAATCATTCATTACAACTACATCTCTTTCAATTCTATTCAGTATAATGTTTCAATGTATACTAGAAGTAAAAAAATATAATTGTAAAGATAAAGATTAAGATATATATTATAAACTGTTAAGTCTAAATACTGTTCTTCCTCTAATCCTTGTTTCCCTTTTCGCTGGTGAGCTCCCATTATTGTTTTTGCAGGCGGTCCTCCCTTATATGTGGGGGATCCTAGCGACGGGCCCGCCGCTGCAGATAGACCTAGACAGAACTTGTTAGTAATTTCCCTGCAGGGCTACCAGTTTCCTTTATTTTACTTTACGTGGAGTAAAGTACTGAAACCTCCACATCCTATCTTCCCTCGGGGGCATTCCTAGAAAATTCTGTTAGTGGGCCCCGAATTTTATACCATTTGGGATTTGAACCGTTCAGCTTTAAGGATTTATTTATATCCTTTTGTTATATACCACTGAACTATCATCCCCTTTCCCCTGTTTTAGACTGTTTTAAACTGGGATACCTGTTGCAGTTCAAGGTAATAATAAAATTGCCAAAATGGTAGCGCGACCATTTTTTAAGCAGCTGCAAACTACTTTCCTCAACGTGAGTTATCTGTTTTCTGAGTTACTCTGGACAAAATAATGTTGGTTAAACCATATTTGTTTCTTCATATGTGGATGAGTGGTTGCAAATTTTCTGTTTCATGATACTCACGTTTTGTCTTCTTTTGTGATAAACTTCATCTTTATAAAAAATTAACACGCCAACATTTAATACATCAAGCTGCATTAATCATTTGCTCTAACTAAATAATGACCGAATAAAGGATCTTATTTAAATTGATCTAGGTTCATAATAATAAATATTTAGAAATTTGAATCCGTAAAAGGAAATAGAAATTCTTCTTTTGTAAAGATGTACCCCTAAAATTATAAAAATGTGGGGATATTGCTAAATGTCTGATCCCTTAAAGCAATATAATGCCTTTAAGTGTATGGCCAAGAGATTATAAAAGATGATTTATTAAAAGCTCTGAATTGGAAATGTGTATAAATAATTAGTGAAATTTCGCTCTTGGCAAACTTTGGTTAAACTATTCATAGTAAAGTAAGAAGTTACGATGTTGTTCTTTAATTTCTTTACCTTAATAATTCTTATGGTTCAGGACATTGCCTTGTCTGCAGATGCACCCCAAGTAAGTGATTCACCTCCCAATACTGATTATATTGCCTATTTTCATCCTAAAGAGATCAATGGACATTACGACGTGCGTGGTTTTATTTCATTTGAGACTTCAGAGAAAGGTTTTGTTAAAGTCCATCTTGACGTAGATGGCTTACCCACTACTGGTGGACCCTTTCCATACCACGTTCATCAATACCCTGTTCCCCCTGATGGAAACTGTACTGGAACTGGTGGCCACTTAGATCCTTATAAGGGCGCAGCTACTGACCCAGGTGATCCTGCAGGATTACAAGTGGGTGATTTAGCAGGAAGACATGGTTCCATTCCAGTTGGAGTCTATCAATATGAAACTTATTATGTTGATCATTATATTTCTTTGAATCCTTCGGATCCAGCTTATATTGGTGGCTTAAGTGTGGTCATTCATTTGAATGATTTGACCAGAATAGCTTGTGCCAATATCACAATTTCAAGTCTGGGATGTTGGTGATGCTCATTATGTAAATGTGGGTATTTCCTAATCTCTCAATATATATATATATATATAATACATATAAATATATATACAGATGAAGAAAATAAATGAATTTTCGTATATAAATTGATGACTGTAATTATATGTATTGGCTCTAATGAAATGTAAAATTATATAAAGAACACTTAAATAGCATGAAATTTATTTAGCAAATAAACCTCTTCCAATTTTACCAAAGATGATTAAACCACAAAAAAAGAAACTTCCTATCCATAACCAAAGAGCAAGGATATCTTCATGATTAAAGAAATTATATTGATTAATAAATGTATAATTTTCAAGATAAACCATTAAACAAGCCAAACTACTAACAAGTAAAGAGCTCAAGAATCCTGAGAATGTACCATCTAATAAAATCCATAAACCGGGATTTAAGAATGAGAATATAATTGAAACTTGTAAAAATGAAGACCATTCAATATTTCTAATGGCATAACTTATTCCTAAGAAAGTTATTGAAGCTCTTAATAAGTCATTAAATAAATTTGAATAACTTGTTGAATGATGAGGAGTAGGATTTGAACTTAATAATCTTTTACTAAAAGCAGAAGGTAAAAGATAATCCATTAATGGATGAATAGTTCCCATTAATAAACCTTGAACTGTTAAAGCAAAAATTTGATCAAGAATGATAACAAATTCATCATTAATCGGTATATAATTTCCAACTTTAAATTTTTCTAATAAACTAAAGAAGAATACATTAGTAATTGTCATTGGGAAAGTTGCTAATTCATTATCACCAAAATGATTATAATTAATATGTTTTGTAATTTCATTATAAATAAATGCAGAAGATGATAATAATAAGATTTTAAATAATAATGGAGTATTTGATAACAGAATTGTTGGTTTTGTATTAAATTCCAGTTCTTCTTCAATAGTACTATCAATACTTGAACTTAAACTTCCATCAGGAGACATTGCATGACTATTAAAATTACCATTTGTTTGAAGATTATGATGATGTTGATGCAAATGAGATGTCAAATCATTGACATTAAGATCGGTTGAAGAATCATTTAATTCTTGATTTAAATTTAATAAAGAATTATCATTATAAATTCCATAAAGAGCAGATTTAGTTAAATTTATTACTGAATCAGTTCTATCTAATTGTGGGGTTGATGCACCAGAAGCAGTATTTGATGATGAACCTCCTGGACTATTTAAAGATTGAAGATTAGTAGATGACATGGCTGCAGCCTTTCTTAAATCACTCATTTTGAATAAAATATCCTTTGTAATCTATTTATATAAATGAATGAAATGAATAATTATAATTATATATAAATAAATAAATAAATAAATAAATAAATAAATAATATTATCCTTTTAGTTTTTATACTATGAAATGTTCTAGTCTCGTTCGTTGATGTTACGCTTTTTTTCGACTGAGTATTTTTTTCAGCAATTTGGGTCACCCGAGAAATATAACTGTATGCTGGCAAATGTACAATGTGAGAAGTAAATCACGATATCCATAAAGAAACACTTTCGCAACTAATTATATAAAATCATACATTTTTTTTAATTAATTTATATATGGTTATAGGGGATACGATAAAATATTTGACCATTGTTCTCTTAAAATATCATGTGCAGATCTTGGTTAATCCTTCTAGGCTCATGCTATATTACGTACAGTATCTCTTAGTATCAATCCTAAATCAACTTTCCTGTACATATCTTAGCGTCTGCTGAAGTCGTATAATTGTCATGTTACTTTGAACTTATCTCTGTCTAAACGAGCACAAGTACTAATATATGGACCATTTTCAGAACCTGGCAATTTGCCACACGTACTTCCCAAATAGGCAATGGGTGGTGGTGTATTGGTCTAGGTAGAGAATAAATAAGAAAAAGCCTTACCGCAATACAAACAAAGAATAGCGCTCTGTATACAGGTACTCAGACCCAAATATCTACAATAACAATAAACAGGTAAGCTAGATGTATAAATAAGTAAATTGAGATTTACACAGAAATGTCGTCTACTTCGAATGTTTTTGAGACTTCAGAGGGAAGTGATGCAGTCAATAAATCCAATCGAGTTAAGGGGAAAGCAAAAGATAAAACCAATGGGAAAGAATCTTCTGATATAGATGATGGACTAGATGATCTACTTAATGAATTAAAAGATGCATCAGATGAAGATGAGGAAGAAGATGATTTAGCACTTACCAGTGGAGATGAAGAAAATTTAGATAATAATTCTAATACTAACAATAACAATGACAATAATAATCAATTTACTTTTGATGATCAAAGTGATGAAGAACCATTATTTTTATCTTCAGATGATGACGAGGCATATGGTGATATAGAAGATGATGATGAAAATTATACTTTAAAAGATGGGTTAAGATTAGCTCTGAATTTTAAGATTAAAAATAAAGGAGCATCTAAATCCAAATCTTATTGGAGAAGGAAAATGTTAAGATCTACCAATCGAGAATTAGATCCTGAAGTAAGATCGAATTTATCTCAAGCTAATGAAGCATTTGTTAGAAATGATCTTCAAGTTGCTCAAAATCTTTATCTTGAAGTTATTAAAAAGGATCCAAAGAATTTTAATGCTTATAAAACATTAGGTGAAATATATAAACAACAAGGAAAATTAAATGATTGTTGTAATTGTTGGTTATTGGCTGCAAATATTCATCCTTGGGATAGTCAATTTTGGGGGAATGTTGGTGAATTATCTAGTCAATTAGGTCATATAGATCAAGCTATTCATTGTTATAGTAGAGCAATTCAATCAGATACAAATAAAAGTGTAAGATTTGTATTAGAAAGAGCAATCTTATATAAAGAAAAGAAACAATTTGGTAGAGCATTAGAAGGATTTCAAAGAGTTGGTCAACAATTTCCTACTGATACAATGATAATTAAAAATATTGCTAGTGTATATGTTGAACAAAAAAGATTAAATGATGCAATTAATTTATATATGAGAATTCTTGATAATAATATTAATCCAAAACCTGGTTTAAAACAAAAAATTCCAAAATTTGGTTGGGCAGAATTAAATATTTTACTTGAATTATATATTCAACAACATTCTTGGAGAGTTGGTATAAAAGTTATTAAATTAGCTTCAAGATGGTTACAAGATAGAGAAAATGAGAAATGGTGGGATGATAATGATGATGATGCAGAATTTAGTGAGAAAAGAAGAATGGAAATAATTGATAAACTTGATAAAGAAGATGTTAAAAAAGAAGCTCGTGAAAAAGTATATCATTTACCTATTGATATTCGATATAAAATTGGTACATTACGATTAGGATTAGATCAAAAAACTGAAGCTATGAATCATTTTGAATATTTATTAGAAGATGAAGATGATATTGCTGATTTATTTTTTGAAGCTGGTAAAGTTCTTGAAGAAAGTGGATATCATGAAGAAGCCTTAACATTTTTAACTCGTGCATCACTTAGTGATGATTTTAATACTTCAACTGAATTAATTAATTTATTAGGAAAATGTTTTATTGAAGTTGGAGATTATCAACAAGCTCGTCAAGCTTATGAAACTTTATTACATCATGAACCAGATAATTTAGATTATAAATTAGCCTTAGCAGAAGCATTATTTCATCTTGGAGATCCAAGAGCTGGTAGATTAATTGTTGAAGTTTATAAAAAACATCCAACTACTGGAGATTCTTTAGAAACAAAATCAGATAGTGAAAAGACTGGACCAGAAATTGATGTTGAAAATAATAATTTATCATTAATTAAGAATCAAACATTTAGAGCTAAATCATCAAAATTAACTGATCAAGAGAAATTAGAAATTGAAAATAATGCTAAACGTACAGTATTAGAGAAATATAGAAGAATGTTAAGATTAGAAGAATCAATTAATTCAGGTGATAAAGTGGCTGTGACGGCATGGATGCAATTGGCTTCTCAATTAGTTGAAATGTTTATGAGAGTTCGAAGTTTCTTTCCTCGAGATAAAAATCGAGCCTTTAAGGGGATTGTATTATATAGAAGAAAGAAACAAATGGGACTTGATGAAAAATTAGCCAGAGTTTATAATTTATATGAAGGGATTGTTAATGATGAAAATTATTCTCGACAATTTTTAACTTCCAAAACAGAATATAGAGGTCTTAATTATAATGAATGGTTTGTTATATTTGTTCAATATGCTATATTTTTATCTAAATTTGATAAGAATATTGAATATGCTAATGAAATTATTGAAGTTGCTATGTCAGTAAGTGTTTTTGTTCAAGATAAACAAAAGGAAGCATTATTAAGAATTATGAAATTAATCTTTGGAATTTCTAAAGAAGAAGCAAGTACAACTATTACAACATATGTTAGATTTTTTTTAATTTCTAATCAATTTTCTCCATTTATTTATAAATTTTTCATATGTTGTTTTGCTTCTGGTATAAGATCTTGGGATACATTTACAAATTATAATCAACAAAAATTCTTTTTAAGACAATTAAAAGCTTATGATTCTATTATTCAAGGTAAAAGAATTACTGGTATGGCTACTATAACTGCCGATATTGAAAATGTTAAATTAGCTAAAGAGCATCCTGATTTATTATATGTTTATGCTAATTTATTAGGAGGTAGTAGAAGTTATGTTTCATCTGTTGTTTATCTTAATCGAGCATATAAAGAATATAGTCATGATCCAATGATATGTCTTGTATTAGGATTAGCCCACGTTCATAGATCAATGCAAAGATTAACTACAAATAGGCATATTCAATTATTACAAGGTTTAAGTTATTTATTAGAATATCGAGAATTACGAGAAAAATCAGCTTCTGATTATGAATTACAAGAAATTGAATATAATTTTGGAAGATTATTTCATATGTTAGGTTTATCATCATTAGCGGTAGTTCATTATAATAAAGTATTTGAATTTCATGATAAATTAAAGGATGATAATACATATGATTTACTGACTGATGCAGCCTATAATTTATCTTTGATATATAATATCAATGGTAACTCTTCATTAGTAAAGGACTTGACCGAGAAGTATTTAGTTATTTAACTGAATTGTATATTATGTACATTATAATTGTAAGTATTATTGTATTTGTATTTATATTTATTTGCAGTTGTATTGATTGCCGCAAAATTAATCTCATCGTTCACCGACCCAAAAAAAAAGTAAATTTACACGCCATGAAAAATTCCTGATACGGTAGGTAATAGTTCCTGATAGTAGAGCATAATAGACTAACAGCAATATGGTTAGAATAAAACATAGATACATATTATTTGAAGTATTATATCCTCCTACTAAATCAGGAGAGGATAGTGAGACATTTTCAAATTCTCAAGTTGATGCATTATTGACTTTACATCAATCATCTCCTAGTACAATTAATGGTAAACTTATAGTTTCTATACTAAGGAAATCTATTCAAACTTATTATGGAGATCAAGGAGCTGGTACCGCTGCTGTTCTGACGATTGTTAAATATTGGAGTAATAAAACTTCTACTGGTATAATACGATGTGATAGACTGGCAGTTCAAATGGTAGTTGGAGCATTAACATTAATTGATAAATTAGATAATCAAAATATAATTATACGATGTACTCATATTAGTGGAACTATACATAAATGTGAAGAATATTCTATTAGAAAATCAAAGGAATTAATTCGACTTATTAATAAACAAACATCTAAACAAAAAAATGTATCTAATTTCTTACAATCATTACAAGAAGGTACTAATATAAATGTTAGTGATAAAGATGATGATGATGATGATATACAAGGAGATGATGAATAATTAAGTATACATTAAACAATAAAACAAATCTAATTAGCATAATCTAAAATGGTGTTATAAAACTTATCAGCAAAAATATCAATTGCTTTCTTTTCATCATGGTATATTTCATCATATTCTGCTGCATAAGATAATACTACGTTTAATCCATTGGTAGTTGTAACCATATTAATAATGAAATGATATGTAAGTGCAGTGTTCAGACCAAAATATACATCTTCAATTTGAAACGAACAACCTTCAGGTGAAATAACTCGTCCTAAGTTTGAAATTCCAACTGAGACTTTTCCATCTTTATTTCCAATTCTATTATTGAAGTATTTAAAGATATCCATATACTTATAAAGTCCAATTAATTTGAATGATTGCTTAGTGACAATATGGTCCATCATGGACTTATATAAGTATTTCATATATTTCAATAAATCTGTTCCAATAGGTGGTAATGTAATTATATCACCACAAACCATTGTTCCATATTTAAAATTTTTTATATCCTCAGAATAATATCGTCTACCGTTAACAGCAATCAGTGAAGTTGTTGAGAATTGGGTTTTTGAATCAATATACTTAAATATTGTATCTTGTAAACATTTTGTTGCAATAATATCAAAATATGGTGTTAATGTAATTCCATTATCTCTTGTGAAAGCTAAGAGTTTAGAGACTTCTGCAGGAGAATAATGAAAATATCTATATTTACTTCTAAGATCCTTCTTGATTGGTTTCCACTTGAAAATAGGATTTACTCCTAAATTTGCTTTAAAAGGATTATTGGTGGTAAACAATGATTTTAAATACTGTAAAACTTTGGGTACAATACTTACATATTTCTGTAAATAGAAGTTAACAACATTCCAGATCGAAGGAATAAATAAATCAGTAAGAGTTTCAACAGGTGTAGTAATTTTAGAAGGTAAATATTCATAATCACGTTCATAATCGAAAATAAATTCAATAAATTCTTCTTCTGCCTTATCTAATTCTTTAATTAAATCTTTGTGGAATTCAAGTCCACACATCCCATCATACAGTGAATGATCATAAGCAATTCCAATATATTGAACTCCTGCAATAGTTTCAAATACAACTATATGCCATAATGGTTTCTCTGAAGAATAGTTCGATATAGTTACGTTATTCATATATTCAATGACAGATTCATCAAATTCATTTATGGGTACATATGTAACAGCATCATCGAAATTTATTCTATCCACAAATCTTCTTTCCCAATTGGTATATCTAATTTGTTTACTATTAGGATCATCGGTCTTTACAAATGTATGAGCCAACCAAGTGTTATGAATTATGAAATTTCTTAAACCATTGGAAAGTAAAGCCTTCGATACTGGCTTATTATATTTTGCAATTAAATTAAAATTAGAGTAAAATCCTTCACTACCTCGACAAATATAATACTTCTCATTAAATTCTGGAGCTCGAATATGCGCTTGATTCATGTCTGATATATACTTATCTTCTATAAGGATAATTGTTATAAAATTTCTCTAGCAATGGGAGGAATGGTCGTTTATATGTATGAGCGGACCGATAATCTCGTATTTTTTCCACCTTCCCCTTTAGGACTTTATAGGCGATCATGACTCATGAAGTATACGTATAGATTCTTTAATCGGTGAAGTGATATGTAACCGATAGAGTTAAATGATCCCCATGAGTATACAATTATCATTAATGATACTGTACTATTTTTTATAAAGCAATTAGTTTGCTTGTACCAATGGCCCTATGAACACTCTAACCTCCCACCAGTCGGCCTAGAGTCATATCGCAACTGTTAACTTTTTTTCCTCTTTAGCGAATATGATTTTGGAATGCGCTTAGAGTTCCATTAATTGAGAATACATAGGTAAAAGATGGAAGAGTAAGTTTGGCAAACTTTTCAACATCGAAATAGATTATAACTATATAGCAAAAGGAGAATTAAAGTGTTACTGAATTAAGATACGGAACGAACAATTTTATAGCCATGACTTCCGTTGACTACTCTTTATATTTGGTTACTGATTCAACCATGATTCCCGAATCATCAACTTTTCTTAAACAAGTTGAAGATGCTATTAATAATGGTGCTACTTTGATCCAACTACGTGAAAAGAAACTTCTGACACTTGAATTTATTGAGCGAGCAAATAAAGTTCATGAGTTGACTAAAAAGAAGGGAATTCCCTTAATAATTAATGATAGAATTGATGTGGCATTAGCTATTGATGCTGAAGGTGTTCATGTTGGTCAAGATGATATGCCTGCAAGTATTGCAAGAAAATTATTGGGTCCAAATAAAATTTTAGGGGTTACATGCTCCAATGAGAAAGAAGCAAAAGTCGTAGTAGACGAAGGAATTGCAGATTATGTCGGTTTAGGAACCGTATACAAGACAAACACAAAGAAAGATGTCAAGGATCCTGAAGGAACTGGACCTATTGGGATAAGACGTATGTTACAAGTTTTATCTCAATATCAAAAGAAAAATGGTAAGAAAATATACAGTGTTGCAATTGGAGGTATCAATCATTCAAATGCAAGCAAAGTCTTATACCAATGTTCACTTCCTGACTATTCACTTGATGGATTGGCCGTTGTTTCTTGTATAATGGCAAATGAGAATGCTGCTAAAGCTACAAGTGATTTGGCTGAATTAATCAAATCAAAACCAGAGTGGTTGAAAAATATTTCAACCTCCAGTAGTGAGGCTAAACTTGAAAATAAAATTAAAACACTTATTGAAACTAAACCATTAGTTCATCATATTACTAATAATGTTGTTAAAAACTTTAGTGCTAATGTAACTTTAGCCATTGGGGCATCTCCCATTATGTCCGAATTAGCAAAAGAGTATGAAGAATTTGCTTCAGCAATTCCATCTCTCGCCTTACTAGTAAATTTAGGTACTCCATCAAACGATTTAATGGATATTTTTAAGCACGCAATTAGAGTATACAATAAATATGGTAAGCATATAGTATTTGATCCAGTTGCATGTGGTGCTTCCAAGGAAAGACTTGAAAGTTCTAGGCAATTGTTGAACACAGGTCAAATATCTGTTATTAAAGGTAATGTAGGCGAGATTTCTTCAATTTGGAAATTAACAAGCACTTACCAAAAACCTTCTGGTGATGAGAAATCTTTAATGCAAGGAGTTGATTCTATTGCAGAATTATCTGAGGAACAAATCGTTCAAATTGGTAGAGAAGTATCTATAGATTTCAAAGTTGTTGTTGTTATCACTGGGGTTACGAACTATGTTATTGAAGGGTTAGATTCACTTCAAAAAGTTAAGGGTGGTCATCCATTAATGGGTTATATTACCGGAACTGGATGCTCATTAGGAAGCACAATTGCAGCTTTTGTGGCAGCAAAAGCTGATGGTACATCAAAGCCAACTGTAAATATTTTTGATGCTGCTGTTGGTGCAGTTGAACTTTATAATATCGCTGGTTTTAAAGCTGGTGAAGTTTCGAAGACACCCGGAACATTCATGACAAACTTTATAGATCAATTATATTCATGTACACATATATAAGTTAATATTTAGAATTTAGAGATAAGTATTAAATCATCAAAGTAAATGAAGTCAAGTTCTTTGCGTAATTACCTATAGCGTAAGCAGCTGCCCTCGTATTATTGAACAAAGATTTATAATTCACTTCAGTGTCACAACTTTTAAGATTGCATGGATCATAGGGTCCTAGTTGTCCTCCAATTAATGCTACTTCATCGATGGTTTTAATTTCATCAGTCCCTGCATAAAGTCCACCAGTAGGAGTGTTATTATCAAAAAATAGATATGATGGATTACTAGCTTGTTTCCAAGGGATTCCATTCTTATCAAAGAATTCTGCATGACTATCAGCAATGTGTTTTTCTCTTATAAATCTTGTTCTAGTATAACTTTGTGTGAAATGGGGATAATATATATGATTCATATAATTTGTTGAACCAATATTATTATAAATTAAGTACATTTTTACTGAATCATCTGGTTCACCATCCAAATTATATCTAAATAATTTTGAACCCCAAAACACAAATCTCACTTTATTTTGTAAGTCGAATTCTGTCAAGTAATTTGCTATGTTAAGTAAAGCAATTACAGCAGCAGCATTATCATTGATTCCTGGTGTATTGGGATACGAATCATAATTGGTACCCACTAAGATGATACTATCATTTCTTCCAGATTTAGATTCAGCAATAATATTTAATGACTTGGCTTTCATATCAACAGTACTATTTGAAAAAATTGTTACATTACTAGTTATTTGCTTTAAATTCGAAAGGTATTCAGCATCTGAATTGGAAACTTTAAAAGGCAAAACAGACAGCCCACAATATTGACACTCTTCGGGATATTCTACCTTCAGTGATATTTCTTGTGGAGTTGAACTGTTAACCAACAATAGGCGTACTCCAAGCAGATCCATAATACACTTCTTGACCTCTATATGACATCCACCATCTTGGACAATAACTAAAGTATTAGAAGAAAGTAATGGGTAATCTCTTTCCTGACAACCATAAGTATTTAATTTAACAACATCAACGTCCTTGACATTTTTAAATCTAACTGGTCGAGTATAAATATAAGGATATAAAGTAATCTCTTTCTCTCCAAATTTTAAGAAATTTGTATTTGAGCTATAAGGATAAGAATTTACTTGTTCAGTAGAAATTTCATAGAAATCCTTTAATTTATCAAGGCGATTTAATATAAATTCTCCAGTCTTGTTGTGATCTATTGAACCAACTGATCTGTCGGGGCCAGTTAATAATGATTTTAAAGCGGTGATATCATTTCTTAAATCCTGTTCAGATACTTTCTTTTCAAGCCTACAGCCTCTTACTTCTCTTGATAAAGCATTAACAGTGATATCATTCTCATCATCAACATCATTAATTTGTACTCCCAAGCAACATGTTATAAATATAAAATATGAAAATAAATAGTATAGATTCATTGTGAGCGGTTAGTTTAGCCTCCACGATACTACTAAGTGAAAATAATAAGCAACAATAATATTTCTATTTAAATACCCGCCGTTAGCAGAAATATAAGTGGTACGATTTAAATTTTCAATTTGCAACTATTTCAGTATAGATTGCAAAATTATCGCAAATACCCAAATAGGACTAATTACAATCTGTAAAAAAAAAGACGAAAACTGTAAAAAGCAAGAGCGTGTTTACTAAATAGGGAACGCATCACAAAACACCTCGTAAGATAAACTTACTTTAGAGAAGGGCATCTTCTATAAAGCTGAAGAATAAGATAGTAAACAACTAATGATATGGTTCGGGAAGGGAAAAGTACTAATGGAGGCAAATCCAAAAAGTCTCAACTACCTCCTAAACCATCACCAGTTTCAAATATAGAGAAGATAGGTTCATTAAATAGATATCCTGATAAGGATTATGCTAGAGATTTATTACATCAAATAGTTAAGATGGTCGCTCCTATTATTCATGAAAATAATTTTAAAGTAGGAACATTATGTGAAATGTTTCCTAAAAGTCCGAACTTATTAGGATTAAATGTTAATCGAGGACAAAAGATTTTAATAAGGTTAAGATATCATTCTAATGAACGACTGTTTCTTCCTGTTGGTGATTTAGTAGAAACATTTTTACATGAATTAACTCATAATATTTATGGTAAACATGATGAGAAATTTTATAAATTTTTGGATGGTTTAAAAAAACGATTTGAAGCTATTCAATATGGTGGAGTAGATTCTTCATATAGATGTGAAGAAGAAGTTTTAGGTTCAAAATATGATCCAATAGGGGGGTATGTTTCTATTCGTGACAAGAGAATAAAGGAACTAAGTAAAGCCAAGTATAAATCGGAAGCTAGAAAGTTAGGTGGAGATACATCAAATTCAAGAATCAATAAGCCATCAGTAAATGATCCTAGAGCAATAAGGTTACTTGTTTTACAAGCCGCAGAGAGAAGACTTAAAGATGCCAAATGGTGTCCATCAGATGTTGATATTAGTGAAGTTGAGCCAAATGATAAAGATATTGATATAATAGAATTAGATGATGAAGAAAATATTTCTGAAATAAAAAGAGTGCCGGAAAAATGTTCACAAGAATATAAAGAAGTGATAGATCTTACCAATGAAGAATATGGAGAGCCGTCAATGGAACCATCAGAGATAGTTGTTATTGATGCATGTGAGAAAGAAACATATTCAGAATCAGAAGGTAAAGGTAAAGATGAAGGTAAAGATAAGGATAATGATAATGATAATGATAACGATCTAATTGAATCACCTATTCAATATAAGGCTATTTTGGCGCAACCTAAATCTATACTTAGAATTGATGATGACACAACTGCTTGTGATAAAGATGATAAGAAAGTTCAATTTTCTGGTCTATTACCATCATTTGATGATGATGAAAAGGGTAAAGGAACTAAAAAGAGTGGAGATAATGAGAGTGAAGATGAAGAAATTCAATATACATTTTCATTATCACCCGGACGAGCATTTTTTGGACAAGAAGAAGTTTATCCAAGGCGAAAATTAGTGGCTGATCTTAATTTTGATCAAATAATTAAGAAAGGAGATAAAATAGAACCTAGAAGACATACGGCACCCTCAACAAATAGAAGGAAGAAAGCTTATAAAAAGGTAAATTCTTCTAAAAGAAAGAATACGGCACACAAGAAGACAAGTTCCGAAGCTAATAGTTTAAAGAAGACCGTCAAGCCAATAACGTTTCAGGACTTATTGTAGATAAATTTTTTTAGATTGTAATAGCTTACATAATGATAAATGACACAATATTTTTTATTTTATTATGAAAGTGAAAAATGCGGGATGTGAAAAATTATTTTGCAATACGTATCATTAACTAAAATATATCATTAATTAAAATATTTCCATTAACTAACCATTTTCTTTTCATGGATAATAACTATTCAAGTATGGCATTGACATATAGTTGGTTATATATAGTCCTAGCACTATCAGTGTTAGTGTTTGGAAATGATTTAATTGAAGATCCACAGAATGATCTTACAATTAAATTAGTTGCTCCATGGTCTAGTACTGATTTTAAATTAAATTTACTTGAAAGTATAAGTGTTAGAAATGCTTCGAATTATTTACCAACCCTTTTAACTTTATTTAATTTAAATGAAGATGATAGTGAGTTACAAACTAAACAACCAGAACAAATCTTTAATCAACTTATTACACAACTTCAGGTTGATAAAGAGACTAAATCACTTATTGAATTTGATATTACTTATAAAGTTAATTCACCTCGAATTCAAACTCATTATGAACATTATAAACATGAAGTTGAAGATGAATTTTCTAAAAGATTGATTAAAGAATGTAAACATGATTCATTTGGTAAACAAATCTTATCTGATGAAAAAGTTAAGCATGATGCATGGGTTTTATATAATGATAAATTATATTGTTCTTCTGATGATCTTTATGCTTTAAAGACAGATTCAAATTCAAAAGTATCAATTTTACCATTCGATAGAATAATTGGTGACAATGATGATGCCCCCTTATTAATATTATATGCCGATTACAGATCAGATCAATTCTCAGGTTTCTTTACTAATCTCTATCAGAGTGCTCAATCAGGGAAATTAAGATTTATATGGAGATATATTCCAAGTCAATCAACAACTGAAGATGAACAACTTGCTGGTTATGGTATAGATTTAACATTAAAGAATAGTTATTTAGTTGATGATGATGCTCAAGATATCTCTGATCTGAAAGTAAATTCATCATCAATTAAAAAACTTGATATAGCTGAAGATTTCTTAAAGATTAAAAATCAAAATGATCTTAAACTGATATCTAAAAAGGAACTTGAAGATTTAGGAGCTCAATTAACTTCATTTATTATGAATAATCAATATACTAATTATTCAAAATTTGAATTATTAAATTCTATTCTTGAAGATTTTCCTAAATTTGCTCATTATTTAACTAAAGTTCCTAAAGATGGCAATTTCGATAAAGTTAAAGAATATATGCATAATAATGAACTAGCAGGATTAACATCGGCTTCAACTGATATATATATTAATGGATCTCCAATCAATAAATTAGAATTAGATGTATTCAAATTAGTTGAAAAAATTGAATCTGAACTTCAATTAATTAAAGATTTAAAAGATTTTGGACTTACAGTAGAACAAGCAAAAGTTCTTATAACAAGATATGCAGAAATAAGTGCAGTAAAACAATCACAATTCCGGTCAGGAAATTCCGTTATGGGAAATAATGAAAATAGATTTAAAGTATTTTCAGATTCTTATAAGTTAAAGAAAAGAGGAGGTGTGGTATTTTTTAATGATATAGAAGAAGATCCTAATTATAGACAATATACTACCGATAGAAATGAAGCTTATTTTGGACCTGAAGCTCTTACATTACAATCAAATCAAATTCCTCCACTTCGTGAAAACATTCATGATTTAATATTTGTAGTTAATTTCGGGAATAAAGAACAATTAAGAGTATTTTTAACATTAACTAAATTAATATTAGATAATGGTATACCTCAACAAGTAGGTATAATTCCAATTTTAGGAGATGATCCAATAGATTTAAAACTTGCAGAAAGATTTTATTTCTTAGTTGAAAAGGCTAGTCCACAAGAAGCATTAGCATTAATTTATAAATATTATGAAGCAGGAAATGGTGATGAAGTTGAAGAATTACTTAAATTAATTGAAATTCCTGAGGATAATAAATTTGATGAAAGTATTTTATTAAAGACTTTAAATAAATATTCTATTGAAACTGCTTCAATTATATTTAATGGAGTCATATATGAATTAGATTCTCCTAATTGGCAAATGGCTATGGGTAATCAATTATCTCAAGATATTGCCTTAATAAGACGTCATATTGAAGATGGAATTCCTAAGGGTAAATCTTTAAAGAGTTTATTATATGAGAATGCAAAATCAGAAAGAGATTTAAGAATTATACCTAAAGATCCTGAGAATGTTATTTATAAATCTATTGATAAAGAATTAATTTCAAATTCAACTGTTTTTAAAAAGAGTGGATTTTCTTATGATGTATCAGGAACATTTTGGTTAATTGGAGATTTTAATAAATTATCAGTTATTAAACAATTAATTACTTTATTGGAAATGCTTGAAGAATCTGAATATGATTTTCAAATTAGAATATTTAATTCAGGAACTCCAGTAAAGGTTATTGAAGAAATTAAATCTAAATTTATACTTAGATCTTTAACTCTTAGTGAAATCGAAGCAATATTAGAAATACTTATTAAAGTAAAAAGTTCATCTGAATCACCAGATATTGAATCAAGAAAATTTTTAGAATCGAAAAAGTTACCAGTTTATCATACATTTATGTTATTTAATGGACGTTATTTCAGATTGGATAAGAATTTTTCAGAAAAGGAAATTAATTTATTATTAGAATATGAATTTAGTCAAAGATTAGAAGTATTTCAAGATGTTGTAAATAGGAATACAGACCACTTTAAAAATAAGAAACTTGTTGAATTTAATAAATTTGGTAATAAACTTAATAATAGAGATTGGTTTGATTTAGTATCAACATTAGTAACAAAATCCTTCCATCCTGATGATAAATTATATGTTACTGATGTTAATAGATTTGATTTATCTAGATTAGATCCTAGGAATCTGTTTGAAATATCTCCTTATGATCCTAAAAAGTTAGTTGACATATTCTTATTAATAGATCCCTTTGACGAATTTTCTCAGAAAGCTATTAGTATAATCAATAGTGTCAAAGATTTTTCATTTGTAAATACTAGAATTTTATTACAACCTCGAGTTGAAGCTATAGATGATGTAAAAATCAAGAGATTTTATAAGGGAAATTATCCCTCATCCAAGTTACAATTTGATTCTAAAAGTATTATTAGTCAATTTAGTACTAATTTTACAAATATTCCTGGATCAACTTTATTGACAACAGATTTAGATATACCTTCACGTTGGATTACTACTGCCAAGGATAGCTCTATTGGAGTAGATTTGGATAATATTAAGTTTGATAATTATGATAATAAGTCAATTTATGGAACTTATGAATTAAGAAATATATTAGTAGAAGGGTTTGCTCGTGATGTTTCTAATGGTAGATCTCCAGCTGGTGTGGCAATTGAATTAGCTCTGAAATGGTCATCAGATGATTATTATACTGATACTAATATAATGTCTCACTTAGGATATTTACAACTTCAAGCAAAACCAGGTCTTTGGAAATTTAGAATAAAAGATGGTAAGAGTTCAAAACATTACTCTTTATTATCTAGTACTGAAAATAAGTTTACTTCTAATAATGTTTCTAAATCTGATGAAATAATTAGTATTTTGAATCTCAAGGGTCTTACTGTGTACCCAAGATTAAGGAAGAATCCTGACTATAAAGATGTTTCATTCTTATTTGATGATGATGAATCTGTAGTTGAAGATAATAAATCAAATCAAAAACCATTGGAACTTGTTAACAAATGGTTAGGTAATAATAATTCGAAGAAACAAGCAGATATTAATGTTTTCTCAATTGCTAGTGGTCATCTTTATGAGAAATTAATTTCAATTATGATGACATCAGTAACAAAAAATACTGATAAACTGGTAAAATTTTGGATTATTGAAAATTTTGTATCTTCAAATTTTAAACAATTATTACCTGAATTAGCTCAAAAATATAATTTTGATTATCAATTTATTACTTATAAATGGCCAAATTTCTTGAGAAAGCAAAGAGAGAAACATAGAACTGTTTGGGGTTATAAAATGTTATTTTTAGATGTTTTATTTCCTCAAGATCTTAAAAAAGTTATCTTTATTGATGCAGATCAAATTGCTAGAACCGATTTACAAAATTTAGTAGATATTGATTTACAAGGTGCACCATATGGGTTTACACCAATGTGTGATTCTCGTGAAGAAATGGAAGGATATAGATTCTGGAAACAAGGATATTGGTCTCAAGTTTTAGGAGATGATTTAAAGTATCATATTAGTGCTTTATATGTTGTTGATTTAGTACAATTTAGAAAATTAACTGCTGGTGATAGACTTAGATCCCATTATCAAAAATTATCATCTGATCCAGGATCTTTATCAAATTTAGATCAAGATTTACCAAATAATATGCAAAGACAACTTAAAATATTTAGTTTACCACAAGAATGGTTATGGTGTGAAACTTGGTGTTCTGATGATACATTAGGTAAAGCTAAAATGATTGATTTATGTAATAATCCAATTACTAAAGAAAATAAGTTAGATACTGCTAAACGTTTAATACCAGAATGGACAGAATATAATCAAGAGATTGAACACTTGATTTCTATAGTAGAAGAGAAACAACGTTTACAAAATACTTTAAACAGCAAAAGAAATGAAAAAGAAAAAGAAAAAGAAACAGAAAAAGAAAACAAAAATGAAAGCGATGAGGACCATGATGATGAACAATGGCTCCATGATGAATTGTAAATAGGCTATTTAAATAAATATTAAATGAAGTAAGTAAGTAAGTAAAATTAATAAAACAATTTGCAACTTTTTTTACAGCCAAAAACGTGCCACGTGTCACGTGTACGACTCTGAACAGAATCACATGCGTCTAAAAGTCAAAGGTAAAGATAAAAATGTTCTGCCTAAAACCTTTGAGCCTCTAAAGGTTGCGGTTCCGGCCCCCAAATTTTTCTGACTGCATACCCATCAAAATTTTTCAACCCACACGTTGTAGAGATTGATTTAAACTCTGTTTAAAAGGTAACAACTTGTAATATAATATACTTGAAAATAGTTTGAAGATTAAGTTATTAAATCCGATCTTTTCATTAAGAATAGGATTAAACAAAATTTGATCAAGAATAGATCGAAATCAAGTATATTACTTATTTAAAGATTAGTCATAATGAAGATTTCAGAGAAATTACAACGAGCTCATTCATCACCAAATCCTCCTCCAGCAACATTCTCATTTGAGTTTTTTGTTCCTAAGACATCTCAAGGGGTTCAAAATCTTTATGATAGAATGGATAGAATGTATGATTTAAATCCAATTTTTATTGATATTACTTGGAATGCTGGAGGTAGATCATCATCTTTAACAAATGAAATGGTTTATACTGCTCAATCAACTCTTGGATTAGAAACTTGTATGCATTTAACTTGTACTAATATGAAAATTGAATTAATTGATGAAGCTTTAGAAAAGGCTTATGCTTCAGGTTGTCAAAATATTTTAGCTTTAAGAGGTGATCCTCCATTAGATGGAACTGAATCTACTGGAGTATTTACTTATGCAAAAGATTTAATTGCTTATATTCATAAAAAATATGGTAATCATTTTAATATTGGTGTAGCTGCTTATCCTGAAGGACATCCTGAAGAAAATAATGATGAAGAACTTTTACAACATTTAAAAGAAAAATGTGATGTTGGAGCTGATTTCATTATTACTCAAATGTTTTATGATGTTGATATTTTCATTGATTGGTGTGCTAAAATAAGAAAAATTGGAATTAATTTACCAATTATTCCTGGTATTATGCCAATTTCAACTTATGCATCATTTGTAAGAAGAGCAAAATGGTCAGAAATTCATATTCCTCAACATTTCTTAGACGTTTTAGAACCTATTAAAGATGATGATTTCTTAGTTAGAGAAAAGGCTACTATTTTAGTTAGTGAAATGTGTCAAAAATTATTAGATTCTGGTTATGTTAATCATTTACATTTTTATACTATGAATTTAGAAAGAGCAACAATTATGATTTTAGAAAAGTTAAATATTATTGAACCAGTTAAATCTCATGAAGTTATTGGAGGAGCAGAATTACCTTGGAGAAAATCTTTAAATCCTCAAAGATTAAAAGAATCAATTCGTCCAATCTTTTGGCAAAATAGAAAATATTCATATATTTCTAGAACTGCTACATGGGATGAATTTCCTAATGGTAGATGGGGTGATTCTAGATCTCCAGCTTTTGGTGATATCGATCTTTGTGCTACTGAATTATTAAGACATTCTCCAAAGAGAGCTTTAGATTTATGGGGTATTCCTCAGAATTTAAAGGAATTATCTAGCTTAGTTATTTCATACTTGAAAGGAGATTTAAAGGCTTTACCATGGTCTGATGGACCAATTGGTGAAGATACAGCAGTTTTAGTTGATGGTTTAGTTAAATTAAACCATAAAGGTTTCTTTACTATGAATTCCCAACCAGCTTTAAATGCTGTAAGGTCTAATGAAAAAGTCTTCGGTTGGGGTCCAAAGAATGGTTTTGTTTATCAGAAACAATACTTAGAATTCTTCTGTCATAAAGATTTAATTCCTAGCTTATTATATAAGATTGATTCATTTAATAATAAGGAAGGTGAATCTTCTTCAAATGTTATCTCATATTATGCAGTCAATAAAGATGGAAATTTAACAACCAATTGTAATGATGATGATATTAATGCAGTAACTTGGGGTGTATTCCCAGGTGAAGAAATTTTACAACCTACAATTGTTGAAAAAATCTCATTTTTAGCTTGGAAGGATGAAGTTTATCGTTTGTTCAGTGAATGGTCTAACATTTTAAAAAGTAATTTAGTTGTGGCCGATGCTGAAAAAGTTGATAACTTTACTAAATTAGTTGAAGATTTTAACAACAATTTTGTATTATGTAATTTGGTCAACAACAATTTTATTGATGATAATGAAACAATCTTCAACTTAATTGATGATTTACAAGTTCCTGATTTACAAGTTCCTGATTTACAATAAATTTTTTGTTTATCATCAAATAGTCAAGTCGCTATATTAATTCATTTTTTTTATTTTCACTATATCAATATTTATTATTGATACTTTTTTATTATTTGCTTATATTTTAATTCACTTATGCAGGCCCAAAAGAAATCAATTAAAGAAGCACTCAACATGCTTCATAGTTAAGAACAACTTCAACATTTGTTCTTATACTTCAATCCTTTTAAAATGTGTTGATCCATATTTAATAATATGGTTAATGATTACGATTTATTAATTCATTTTGCATACATATTGGAATATTATTCTTATTATTCTTATTATTATTATTATTCCCAATATCCAATTTTTATTCATTTCAACAGTATTAAGTTTTACAAACATCAATGTTCTTTGTACAATTTGTCCTTTTAGTCTTTAGTTTTGGTTCTGGTGTTAAAAGTCTCCTGTGTATAGTGGCATCCTCAACGGTATGGTTATATAAAAGATCTATAGTTATTGTAAATAATTCTCACAATTATACATATTATATGATTCAACGGAAATAATTCCTCATTAATTGTAAACGGTATAGTTAACTACTAAAAAAAATTAGATTCTGCAGCAGATAATTCCGTTGCCTAATTTGGAAATGCGTACAACCACTGTAATCTGTTATATTAATTGACTATTCACATTGTATATATATATAAAAGAATTGAAAATCTAATTGAGATGTGACTTAACCGTTTAAGTGGGCTTCAGCATGTTTATTATATCTACCACCAACAATTGGATTTTCATCAAGAATCTTATCAATAGCAGCTAAATCTTCATCAGATAATTCAACAATGCTACCAAAGTTACTTTCAATCTTAGCAGTAGTAGATCCAGAAGGAATTGGTAAAATCTTTGGAAGATTCTTAATACCTCTGTATTCTTTAGCACCAGAGATCTTAATGATCCATGATAAGGCTAAAGATTCTAAACTAGTCTTCTTAACTTCATGAGCAAATTTATATAATAACTTGACTACTTTGATATTTTGACCAAAGTTTTCTGGATAGAATTTTTCAAAACGATGTCTCATATCATTTTCTGGAATTTCCTTTAAGAAATCAGGACTTTCAGCAGCTTGGTCAGTTAATAAACCACGACATAATGGAGAATAAGCAATAATTGGAATTTGGTGTTCAGCAGCTTCAGCCAAAATACCATTGGTCAAGATATCCAAAGATAATAAAGATAATTCAATTTCAATACAAGAGATTGGATATCCTGAGTGAGCAGCTTTCTTAATACTTTCAATACCAACTTCTGAAAGTGAGATACCATCAATCTTACCAGCCTTAACGTAATCTGCAATATAACCAATAGTTTCTACATAAGGAACTTTAGGATCAACTCTGGCAATTTCAAAGATTAATTTTGGTCTTTTTGATTTTTCAGCTGGGAAATAAGAGATAATATTTTCAATTGACTTAGAAATTGATTCTTTTGATCCATCTGGAGATAAAGTTGCTGGATTAATTGCACCTTTAATTGAAATAATTAATTTTTCATTAATTTCTTGAGGATTGGAATCAACAAACTCTTTTAATAATTTCAAGTTTACATGATTTGGACCATAAAATTCACCACCGTTTAATAAATGAGTACCAAATTCTTCATGAGAAGTAATAAATCTGAGTGATTCTAATGATTGTTCAGTTGGAGGTGGAACCGGTTTCCAAGTCATTGACATGGTACCGAAACCAAATCTTCCAGTTAATTCAACAGGTTTTAATCCAGACATTCTGTTTAGTATAGTAACTTTGAGGTGATTGATTGTAATCTTATTGATTTCTTATTATTGAATAATTTTGTCTATGAACTTTTACATCTATTATATATTCAGTTTGTGACATGCAGGTCTTGTATTTAGCAAGCTTTACTAATTTATTATCCGAGACCTGCATGTAACGGTGAAATTTACGATTTCGGAGCATTTTCCCGATGGGGAAAGATCCCGCAGTATTATAAGCGGAACTCAGCCAATGTAGGCGAAATCAATATTTCAAATGTTGCTGCTGCAAAATATTATAGTCTTATGTGATCGAAATAAATAATTTAGGCTCATGGATGTTACTTTTAACTTCCTTCGGAAAATATAGAGGTACCGTACTATGGAAATTACCATCCGTATGTTTACATTTTAGCCTCAGACCAATTAATATTTGATCGGTTTCGCGGCATTTAGCGTAAAAGATTTTTGTTGTCTCGGTGTTGCATCCATTTGCGATTTGACATAAACAAAGTTCGGTATAGAGTATCGGGTGGGCAATAAAGTTGCGTATGTTTAGCTATTCTATTCTATTCTATTCTATCTATCTATCTATCTATCGATTTAAATATATATATATGGTACCGTAATACCCTATACAACGGATATAGTATACGGATATACGAGTTCATAAAATGAGTTAGTTGATATATTATCTAAGTCGTTACATTGAAGGGATGTAACTTCTATCTTAGATAAAAGTACATATTCCGAGTGACTAGATTTTTAGCAATTGCAATTTCGAAGTGGATATCCTTATTTTCTTCGTCATTTACTTGTTATTATTTGATTTGGTGATACTTTTTTATTGTAAGCCGGGTTCTTATTGGGATCTGCCCATATAAAAAATTAATACTGACAAGCGCTCTCTACTTCGTTTATTCTATTTTTTTTTGTTGTTTATTATAGTATACATAGAATAAGAATCTATTACAGAAATGGAAATGCCGTCTAAATTGAAAAAAAAAAGTTGTCTTCAAATGCCATCCGAAAATCCCTGAGAAGGACTTTTAACGTAGAAGAAAAGTACAAATGTTGGTATGAACGAAGTGAAACTAATAGAAATTGATAGAAAGTAAAATTGCGACAAAAGAAAGAATTCCAGTTGTAGGTATAGTCATTGAACCAGCAGAACCTTCAAAGGCAGGAACTCCTGAAGAAGTAGGAACATCTACTGGAGAGGTTGATGATGCAGGTGTGGATGAGACAGTGGTTGGAACTGGTGTAATGGTTACGTAAGATGTAACACTAGTGTGTGTAGTGATAACTTCTTCATCCTCTAATTCAGGTTTCTTAGGCTCTTCAACAAGGCCATTGAATACATATGTTGTAGTGGATGAGCTTTCGACCGGAGTATCAGTAGAAGTTCCAGCTGGAGTAGTTGCAGCTGGAGTAGTTTCAGCTGGAGTAGTTTCAGCTTGAGTAGTTTCAGCTGGAGTAGTTTCAGCTTGAGTAGTTTCAGCTGGAGTAGTTTCAGCTTGAGTAGTTTCAGCTGGAGCAGAAGAGCTTTCAACTGGAGCGGATTCAGCAGGAGTGGATTCAGCAGGAGTAGTACATGGAGTGGTTGTCTTATGGACAGGCTTTGTGTGGGTTAAAGGACAGTAAGTAGTGTAAGTGGTAATGACTTCATCTGTTGTTACGGTTACAACAGTCACACCAGTGGTTGCAGAGGTTGTTTTACAGCCATTGTCATCACATGATGTAATTGTCACTATGGTTGTAGAGCTGGCTGTCTCAGTAGTATAGGAAGTTATTTCAGCTGGAGTAGATTCAACTGGGGTGGATTCAGCTGGGGTGCTTTCTTCTGGAGTAGTTTCAGCTGGGGTGCTTTCTTCTGGAGTAGTTTCAGCTGGAGTAGTTTCAGCAGGAGTGGATTCCTCTGGAGTAGTTTCAGCAGGAGTGGATTCCTCTGGAGTAGTTTCAGCAGGAGTAGTTTCTTCTGGAGTAGTTTCAGCTGGAGTGGATTCAGCTGGGGTACTTTCTTCTGGAGTAGTTTCAGCAGGAGTGGATTCCTCTGGGGTAGTTTCAGCAGGAGTAGTTTCAGCAGGAGTAGTTTCAGCTGGAGTAGTTTCTTCTGGAGTAGTTTCAGCAGGAGTAGTTTCAGCAGGAGTGGATTCCTCTGGGGTAGTTTCAGCTGGAGTAGTTTCTTCTGGAGTAGTTTCAGCTGGAGTGGATTCAGCTGGGGTGCTTTCTTCTGGAGTAGTTTCAGCAGGAGTGGATTCCTCTGGGGTAGTTTCAGCAGGAGTAGTTTCAGCAGGAGTGGATTCCTCTGGAGTAGTTTCAGCAGGAGTAGTTTCTTCTGGAGTAGTTTCAGCTGGAGTGGATTCAGCTGGGGTACTTTCTTCTGGAGTAGTTTCAGCAGGAGTGGATTCCTCTGGGGTAGTTTCAGCAGGAGTAGTTTCAGCAGGAGTGGATTCCTCTGGGGTAGTTTCAGCAGGAGTAGTTTCAGCAGGAGTGGATTCCTCTGGAGTAGTTTCAGCAGGAGTAGTTTCAGCAGGAGTAGTTTCAGCAGGAGTAGTTTCAGCAGGAGTAGTTTCTTCTGGAGTAGTTTCAGCTGGAGTAGTTTCAGCTGGGGTGCTTTCCTCTGGAGTATTTGGTTTACCCGGAGTAGTTTCAGCAGGAGTAGTACATGGAGTGGTTGTCTTATGGACAGGCTTTGTGTGGGTTAAAGGACAGTAAGTAGTGTAAGTGGTAATGACTTTATCTGTTGTTTCGGTTACAACAGTCACACCAGTGGTTGCAGAAGTTTTAATACATCTGGCTTTGTTACATGATGTAATAGTTATCACAGTTGTAGAGCTAGCAGTCTCGGTGGTGTATGGAGTTTCAACTGAAGTGGTTGGTTTACCTGGTTTTCCTGGAGTAGTATGATGACATGGAGTAGTTGGTTTACCTGGGATGGTAGGGAAAGTATGCTTTCCAGGAGTAGTGTGGTCACAAGGAGTAGTTGGCTTACCTGGTTTTCCTGGAGTAGTTGGTTTGGCTGGAGTGGTGTGGTCACATGGAGTAGTTGGTTTACCTGGGTAAGTATGTTTACCTGGAGTAGTATGATCACATGGAGTGGTTGGTTTACCTGGGTAAGTATGTTTACCTGGAGTAGTATGCTCACATGGAGTAGTTGGTTTACCAGGAATAATAGGTAAAGTAAAGTTAGGTTTTTCTGGAGTAGTTACTTCATGAGTTGTTGGCTTATCAGGCACAATAGGCAATGTCAATGTAGGGATAGGAATAGTAGTTTCTTTGCATGGTAAAGCACCTGTAGATGCAACTAATATAGCAACAGCTAAAAGATTCAACTTCATATCCAAATTTGTTGGTTCTTATTACACTGGAGAAAATTAAAATAAATAGAGTTTAGTAAAGAAGTCGATTTAACGGTATTTATATAAACTTGCGTGTATGGAATATGGGATCAAATGAGACGAATTTGAGATTTCTAACGGGCATATGGACTGCCTCGATATTATTTTTTCCAAATCCAATCCAAATAAGAACGACAACAGTTATAACTTAGTGTAAATAGACCACTAAAAAATGCTTTAAATTGCATACTAAATCTAATTATAGACCTGATTCAAAAATTTGACGAAAGCAATGGGCTAAGAAATTCACAAAAAATATTTTTTTTGCAGCTCCAATTTGTTCCTGAATTTCGTATAATTCGCATTAAAGTTTTAGGCGACTCATTTATTTTTTTTATAGGCTAAACTTCCTCAAATTTTGACGGGCTGTTTGTATATTTATCATTAAGAAATATAAACGATATAATTGAGTTATTAAGTTCATTTTGACTGTCACATCTTGTTGAACCCTCTCCAAAGGTCTATATGTTTAGAACAAGTTTAGAATAATTCTAATTAAATTTTACTTGTGAATGTTTTGAAATCTGCACACATTCTTTCAGCCGCAACCCTGCGCCTTACATACATACCGCATCTAATAAAGCTTCACAATAGTAATATTAATGCTTTCTAATTCGATAAAGCAAGGCAAATCACATGACATAACATACAGTATAGCATTTTGCATTTCAATTGCTATATTTTTTTGAGGCAGACGGTAGAATTGAGCTACTTAATTTAGTGATTGACGAGTATAGTTTAATTTAGTCAATTATGATTAGTACTTTTCTGGGCAATTATATTCTATTATTAAATGAACCGATTCTTTTCACGATACGTGAAGTTGTGCAATTATACAGAAATGAACCAATTAACTAGCAATTATATAAGAAGTACATAGTCCTTAACGCAATAACTAACTCTAAATTACCCATTAACCTTTGGAATGTATAAACTCGTGTTTGTAAACAGTAGATTAACTGTTTATGTTTCTTATCGCGAATGATTTCTCTTCTAAGTTATTACTTTCTTTTCATACCAATGTACCAACACGCCAAATTTCCAAACCCATTATTTTGAATTTTCCAAATTTTTCATCAATTTGATCATTTAATATCTCATTACCAAAGGTTTCACATCTGTAACTTACCCCTTTATACAATGATTTGTCAATGAATAATCCATTTTCTCCGTTGGATGATCCGATTGATATGAATTGACTATTTGAAAATATTATATTATCATTAATCCCAGTATACATAAATGCTTTGAATCTTATTGCTTGTTTTCCTTCATGCTCGCGGTTGCCATGGGAAAGTACTCTAGGGTTGTAATTTTCACATTTCCAAAGGAAACATTCTCCATTACCATAATATCTTTTATGTTCCATAATCCTTAAGTTCTCATTTAAGTAACAACCAAATATAGAATTCTTTTCATCTTGAATGATTAGAACATAGCCTTGCGGCCTTTTAGCTTCAAATGAATTGTAAGATGATGAGGCTCTTCCAACAACCATACTTTTAACAATTGAATCTGCATAACCTCTATCTTGCTTCTTTTTTTGTAACTGTTGTAATTGAAATTCAGGATCACAATGGCGATATAACGTATTTAATGAAATCCCATCTTGTTCAAGGGAGTAAACCATTTCCCACTCATCAAATAATTGTAATCTAGCCGGTAATAAATTTCGGATATTACTAGCCAATTCATCATCCAACAACCTATGTTTTGTAGTCAGTTTATATCCTTTTAATGATAAAGGTGATAAAGGAGGTAAATAATTCGAGCCAACAGAACTTGATCGTGATGATCTAATAGATTTATCAGTTGGAGAAGGTGACTTTCTGCCTATTATACGATCGAAAAAGGTAGATCTTTTTCTTACTTGAGGGGGAATTTTATTACTTAACTTTTCTATGGAAGGATTTGAGTTTTGAGTTGGACTTGATGGTGAAAGGGAGGCCGGAGATGGAGGGTTTGAAATTGTTTCATGGTTGTGATTATGATGAGTTGACTTCTTAGATGGCATATCATTCGATTCCGAATCACTAAGATCTATTAAATTTTCAATTTCTCCATCATGCATATTATCTGAGTAAGGTTCGTAATCATTTGGTGATCGTCCGAACATATTGATATTTGACTAAAGCAAATCGGTTATGTGAATAATTATGAATTTTAATGCACAAAAATAGAATAATAATATTTAAGACTTGGCAAATTCGCTGATCATCTATATAACATGAGAACACAGATCTAGATCCAAGGTATTAAATGTCTATTTGGTAAGTAATTGATCGATGAGTCTTATCTAAGAATATGTTGATAATTTTAAGATGCCTGTGCTGGCCTAATAATTTTGCCTTTTTTTCTTTGTGCTACGTAAGCAAATACCGGGGGTTTTAAGTTTAGATCCAGATAGTTCTATTGGTTAAATTGGATGACATTCGACAAGTTTATAACATCTAAATAACTTCTATAGAGGACTATTTACAAGTTAAATAAATAAATGTGTAAAGCCAAGACACATGGTATATATATAGAAACAATGATTATGGAAGTCTGCGCTAGTTTTGCGGAGAAGAAAAAGTGTACTTTTCACGGAGCATCTACATAATACATAATACATATACAATACATAATACAATACACAATACATAATAACTTTAAACTTTTGAAAATTAGTTATTATGAAAGTGTAGTAAAGAAACTAACAATTGAACGCCTATCTTAACACTATCTATGAATTGTATAGCTGGGAATGCTTGAGATAATTTTTCATCTAAACCAGCCATGCCAGCACAGCCAAGCAATACACAATCTATGTGCGAATCTTTATATTCACCATTAATTATCAGATCTACTCTATCATAAATCTTTTTAAATTCTTGTGGATCACTTAGACTTAACACACTAACATCTAATGCTTTAGTTCTTTCAAACTTCTTGAATGGAAATTGTCCCGTTTCAATACCCACAAAATCAGTTATAGCATGATCAAGGATTGATTCCCATTCATTTACACTCGTTAATATAAACAGCTTTCTAAAACAAGCATTCAGAAGACTATATAACAATGTAGCTTGCATGATTCCTAATATCGGCTTCTTGGTAAGCTTTCCTAATGAGTAGATTAATGGATGATCTGAATAACAACATACTAAGAATCCATCATACTTTTCAATTAATTGGTGATCAATAATATCTGGTAAAACTGCTTTCTCTGATAAAATCGAAGTATCTTCATTTGTAATTTCCTTAGGTGCTGAATCAGGCGCCGTATAATAGTGAAATTTAGTTTCTGGAGGTTCTACTAAAATTTTCGTAAGATTATCTGTAACTTTCTTAGAACTGTTAGGATTAATTATAAGTATGTTGAATCCCATCTTCTTTATTGTAGATAATAAATAACAGTGATAAGAATGTTTTGCAAACGCGAATTTTAACACTAATAATTTTTCACCCTACTAATTGAAGATCAACTCAACTTATCGCCAAATAGGTATTTAACAATTAAACAATTAATGACTTGTTATTCAAAATGTCATTTGTAGGAGTTCTAGACTCCAGCATATATGCTATAGTATGGTCTAAATGTATAATGTCATTAACAGCTATGTCTGAACATATAAAATTTGTTATATCAGATCAATCATTATCAATATCAGCTGTGAATAGTGCAAAAACTTCATTTGGTGGGATTTCATTTGATAGAGAATTCTTTAATGAATATTCTGTTGATTTCGATGGAATAATGAGGGATGGTTATGAATCAGATGAAGAAGATGAAGATAATCGAGGGTTTTATTCATTTATTATCAGTTCCAAACATTTAGCTACATTATTCAGAAATATTGATGCTAAAGATTTAGATTATATCTGCTTTAAGATTTACTGGTCTAAGCTGGCTCCTGTTACCATGCAATTCAAATTTCTAATAGAAATTAAAATGAAAACATTAATAGTTAAAAAGTATCAAACGAATTATCAACCTGTTTATAGAACTCCAGTAACAATTTCTTCAATTTATAAGAAAGAATTACTTGATAATAACATTCAGATAGATCTGAAGGATCGAATAAAGCAAATGATGATTGCTCAAATTATTCCTAAACAATTTCTTGATATGGTTCCTGCTACAACAGAAGATTTTAAAATTGAAATTAAACCAGATAAAACTCTGTTTACAGCTTATACTAAGCAAGTATTAAAAGATAGAGATTATTTACGACAGCCAATGTCGGTTTCAATATCATTATCTCCAGAAGAATTTCCAAACAGTAATTTATCTGAAGTTTTTGAAAATGAGAATGATTACCAATTCTCTATAAATTTTAGATTAAGAGACTTTAGGAATTTTTTAACATTAATAACTTATGTAAGTACTTCGATTGATGCCAACATAACGACTGATGATTATGTTAATCTCGAAACAAATGATATTTTTGAAATAAGTTTTAAAAATCCTGGTGATCCTATAATATTTGAATTACAGAATATTCCAAATATATCAATCAGATTTATTCAAATTACAACAGAAGAGAATAATGGCGATCAACCTAATGCACAAGCAAAAGTAACTACTACCAATAACTCCTTAAAATTGCATTCACATGTTCTTCATAAATTAATAAATAATAGGGCTGTTAGTAGATCAGCTAGTGCTCCTTCACTGCAAAGAAACAATGATCTTATGTCGACGACTAACAAAATCATTTCACATACTTCTAAAGAGGTAAGAGGTAAACTAAATCATTCCAAATCATCAAAAACAAGTTCAGAGGTTTTTACAAATAATCAACAAGTGCGAAGCTTCAGTCCATCAATTTCAACTGAGTTTGATGTTGATGTTATTACTTACGGTGATGAAAGTCAAGGATTAGAACCTATAGCGAAGAAACAAAAGGTCTGCATTAAATCTCTGAAAAGGCCCGAAAAGAGAATGTTAATTAATCCCAATGCTGAAACAGACTACTCGGACTCTGAAGATGAGACTGAAAATCCTGGTCCAGATAACGTTTCCTTTGGTCCTACCCAACTTCAGCGTCCAAAATCAATCTTTGATCAATAAATACTATTTATTCCTATGTATATTAAATTCTATAAATCATTAATTTCATTAATCTTAATCTATGTTGTAGGTTTCCCCGAATTTGTCTTTGATATTTCCATGACTCATTCGATTAGCCCATGGTGTATCATCTTTCTCGTAACTAACAGGTGGAAGTTTAAAAGGTAGTCTGACGGGTTGTACGTCAGATGTTGCAACTGTGTCAATTCCATAACAAGGAACTAGCTTTTCATTTTGTTTTGGAATAATCATTACACTCAATTCATAACTTGATACTTCATATTTACTTGATACTCCCTTTGTTTCTTTCTTTTGAGAGCTTCCTCCCCAAGCTTGCTTTGACAAGTTATGACTGCCTACTAATAACCACTTGAGACTATTCCAATTATCACCATTATCACATATAAAGAACTTGCAATGAGGCATAACAAATTCCCGACCAGTGACTTGATCTTTACCTGAAGAATTCCATTTTCGGAGGTAAGGCTTTATATTTTGTTCATATTGATTTTTATGTACAAAAGATTGAGTATAATTAAAATGAATTGCTTGGCCGGCACCAAACCCAACATTATTAGTTGACATTTCTTTTACAGAAGGAAATATAAGATGTGGCATATAATAATGATCTTTCTGATGTTGTTTAGAAGATTTTGCTCCAGGCTGTAAGATCTTGAATTCTTGATTACCAGAAAATACCATTGGAGCTATAATATGAGTGAATATAGAACCAGTTTGACTCTTTTCCACAATTGATGGATATGATATTGAAGTCACTTGAGCCAAGAAGTTATACATTTTGGAAGCAGTTCTATTATCAATTAATAAATGGTTACGTTTCAAAACTTGATAAAATTTTCCATAACCATATATTTCATCATCCTTATTACTATTAAGAATATCATATACGCCAGGAGCTGAAGCGATTAATTCTACTTCAATTGACAGGAAATTAAATAATTTTAATCTTTCAACTAAAGAATTTATGTCGGGTTTATTATATTTCAATAGATAGTCAAGTAAATCTTTTCTGAATCTACTACCTTGAATAGTTGTGGTTTGTCCCTTCTGTAATCTTTCTGATCTCCAGATCATTTGAGTGAGACCACCAAAATCAAGTTTGGTGAAATTGCAAGTCATTATGACAATTTCACATGTATCATCTTCAAAGAAATTTATCATCATTTTTGTATGATGACTTCCAAATCTATTCGGTATATTAGCTATTATCTCATGATAGTTAAATTTAGAATTGATAAGATCAGATACTGGACCAGGTTCTAACAATTTTGAACCAGTAATGAAAGTTATTCGTCTTCTCTTTTTGGAAAACTCTGGATGTAAATACTTTAAAAAGAATAATAAGTCCACATTGAAATTAAATTGAAATGTTTCCAGTAGATCTTTTACCCCTACTAAATTATGGATCAGTATGGTATCTTTATTTACTTTCAGTTCCTCAGATTGATCATAGCTAGGATTATATAATAACTTAATAGGCGACTTTTTCAATTGCACCTTAATGATATCCTCCTGAGATTCTTCATCAGATGATATATCAATGATATCTGGAGCAGCTACATTACTACTTCGAGATTCTGCAGATGTCAGATTCAACTTTGGCCTCTTGGGCATATTTGCCCAATGAGAAGCAGCTGCCCTGAAGGCTTCGCTTCGTTTATTCGGTCCACCCGTCATTAACTTCCTGATCCCAATTCTTACCTTCACTTTGTACTATGTTAAGCTGTTAAAATGGTCGCACTAGATATTTAATTTGTTACTAATGAAAAGCGATACTCAGCAATTGAAAGCAAAAAAAAGTTCACATAGATTTTTGGAGCAATTGGTTACTATTACCATAGAGATATTACATAACTGGCTATATTTACTTAGTTTACATATCTAATCTGTGGGGGGTGCATCATTAAGATCTTCAAGTATACTTAAAAAATATGATACATATTGGACGTTCTTGTACAATAGAATTATTATCAGAATGTGTGATAATCCTCTACTCCAATATCACATTATTTTCGTTAGTTGAATCCTTCACTTATTGGAGATACTCTCACCTGTTGATGGTAAGTGTGATAAGTATTATTTCTGGAATGCTCATGTGTCCCGTTAAGGTAACGAAAATCGCACCCAATATGCGACATCTTTTGTCTCACAATTTTGCGACCTGGGGAAATTTTCAGAAAGGACAAGTGGAGTTTAATAGTACATATAGCAAACCAATTACCAGGCAATGACGATAACTTTGAACTATACAGATGGAGAGATTGTATCTTCTCCAACGGTTATAATTAATGGTAAAACTTCCACTGGTATAGATCACGGAATTATCTCATTTACTAATAATAGTAATAAAGTATTCCCTCCGCAATTTGCAGAAATAAGTACCCATGGGAACTTTAAAGCCATTGTTCATGTATCACCCGATGAAATTAATGAATTTAAGATTGAAGTGGCTTCCAATGGATATATTAATCCCTTAGGATTTGCAGAATATAAAGGAGATAATGCTCAAATTATAGATCATGGATCATTAAAATTAACATTTAAACCTTTAAATAATAAACCTGTTCATTTATGTTTAATAGTTGGTAAAGATTCTCCAGGAACTTTCGATATGCCTAAATACAAATTGAATAGAGGTGAAACAAATGATTTGGATTCAGCTATTAGAAGATTAAAAGTAGGTGGAAGATTAATGCAAGCATTTACTCAGGATGAATTTAGAAATGTAGGACTTAGTAATCGATCATTTCAATTTACTGAAGAAATTCAAGATTTTCAAGGTATTTATGGATATAATGTTTCATCTCCTACCCCACATCAAGAAATTAAAATTCATGTTTTAAGATCTCCAAAGACAGTAGCTGAACTTCGAGATCCTAATATTGCCCAACAAAATCCTCATGCTACAGATAATGGTGGATTATTCTCTCATGCTTTGGATTTAATTAAAAGTACTCCAGAATTATTTAATAAATTTAAACAAAATGGTACTGCTATTCAATGTGCTTGTATGTATCTTGATTCTACTTGGGATATTTCAAATAAATTAATATTGACTCATGCAGCACTTGGTGGTGGAATTGATGAGATTAAATTAGCAATTTTTGGATCTCATGGTTTACATTCATGGCCTATTAGTTTTCCTAGAGTTATTCCAAGTTTCTTGGATGCTACACATTTATCAATAAATGAAGTTGCTAATGATTGTAATCAATGTGGTACTAGTTGGGAATGTTTAAATATTACACTTGGAGCCTTTATGCATGAAATTGGACATCTTTTTGGAAGTCCTCATCAAGTAGATGGGGTCATGTTAAGAGATTATATGTGGCTTAATAGATCATTTATGACAAGAGAACTTGAATGTCTTAGAACCAATTCTCGTGGTGCACATGTAGATCCTGCTGGTCAATGGCCAAAAGTTTGTCATTGGAATTTATTAGATTTAATTCGTTATTTACATCATGATTCATTTGCTTTACCCATTGACTCTTTTGGGAAAGTATATGCAACTACACAAGCTCCTAATAATAGTTATGTTGATAATAAGAATCCTTCCCTGTATACACTTCCTGATGGTGGAGCAGTAATTAAATCAGATTCAGGAATTTTCTTAGTAGAATATATAACTGATGATTTAGCAAGAGCTTCACAAATTTTTTATCCTCAAACATATGGAGGACCAGGATTTCAACATGAAATAAGTATTGATTTTAATTCAAGTTATAATTTCGTCAAACAAAAGACACCTAATGCTAAGGATGATTTTTCTGTTAGAATCTTATCACTTGGAGGAGATTTATTCATAGATAATTTCAAAGCTCATTGTGATCTGGCAAAAGGTGATATAATTGAGAGTGATTTTGGATTAAATAGAGGCAAAATTAAAGGTTATAAAAGTGCCTTATTAGGTCGTAAAAATAATAGTAGTCAACGAGTGATTGGATTTGATATTAAAACTATTTACAAGATAAGAATATATCATGGAAATGCATTAGATGGTGTTAGATTTTATTTCAAACAACCTTCGAATCCTCAAGCACCTCCAAAAGTTCCACCTAGAAATTATTTAAGTGGTTTAAAGAATCTTGTTCTGAATAATTCTCTGAGTGGTGATGATAAAGTAGTTACATTAGGTAATGAAAGACCGCATTATTCTGATTTCACATTAAATCCTGGAGAAGAAATAAATAAATTTCATTTTAGAAATGGTGCGTGGATAGATGCAATACAATTTGAAACCAATACTGGTAGAATCTCACCAACTTATGGTAAAGTTGGTGGAGGTCACCTTTCGACATTAGAAGTTCCAAACAAACAATTCACCATTGTTGGAATGTATGGATTTGTTGGTAGTTGGATGGATGGTATTGGAATTGTTTATACTCATAACTTATAGAGAAAAGTAAAAGTTTGTATTTGTTTATTATTATTCATCAATTTGTCTTTCAATTATTTTACTCTTTGCTTGATTATATTCAATGGGATATTTCTTAATCACACCCTCTTGCGTAGACTTTGGCTTTATAAATGGGAATATTGAGCTTTGATCAGGTCCATTTTTCAATCTTACTAATCTTCTTTCTATATCTGTTAAATCATTTCTCATTTGTTTAACTCTACTAATCTTAGATTTACTGTCAATAGAAAAATTGTATTCATAAAGATTTTGAATGGTTTTAAATTTGGCAGCAAGTTGGGCATGTTTCTCCATTATGATTTGATTCTGATTATTTAATTTCCCACTCAATTGAGCTTGTAATGCTAATGATTTATCTAATTGAACTGAATCAAGTGCATGAGCTAATGAGTTAGTTAAGTATGTAGCATGTTCCGATAAACTTCTTGTAAATGCTAAGTGAGGGGCATTAGCAGAGTCTTCTTCATCATCTTCACTTTGTATATAATCATCGTCACTGTCTGATACAGAATGGTCGTTAAGGTTTACATTATTGTTATTGTTACTAGTATTGACTTGTTCACTTACTGATATAGGTGGTACAGGCTCTAACTCTTCATTGTTTAATTGTTCAACATCAGATTTAACATACTCTACACGCAGACTATCTATTTGCTCTTCCCTAGAGCCACTATGTGACATGTGCAGACATTGAACAATTAATGGGGTAAGTCCGTTATAAGTAAAGTTTGGAAATTTGTCTGGTTTTGTGGAGGCTAACACAAATGGATCGCGAATGCGATTGAATTTTATGAGCGAATCATCAATTGTGATCAAATAGTAAAGTACACTACAGTAGAATTAATTAGTAGAGAGGCCCTTACAATAATAATGGCTTCGTTCCAGTTGCAGAACTCTGAAGTTCTTGCGCGATTGAAACCATTTGGGATTCTGTTTGAGAAATCATTAAATGATTTAATCAAAGGAATTCGAAGTCATTCGAAAGAATCAGCCGAAAGTTTACTGGAATTCTTAGATTTAGCAATTCAAGAATGTAAGACTGAATTAACTACTACGGATTTGGAAACTAAGGCCATGGCAGTATTGAAATTGGCATATTTAGAGATGTACGGTTTCGATATGTCATGGTGTAATTTCCAAATCTTAGAAGTTATGTCATCTTCAAGATTTCAACAAAAGAGAATTGGATATTTAGCAGCTATTCAATCATTTAAGAATGAACAAGATTTATTAATCTTAGCTACAAATCAATTTAAGAAAGATTTAAATTCTCATAATCATGTTGAAATTGGTTTAGCACTTAGTGGTATTGCAACTATAGTTACTCCAAATTTATCTAAAGATATTAATGATGATGTATTAATGAAATTAAGTCATTCAAAACCTTATATAAGAAAGAAAGCTATATTAGCTATGTATAAAATCTTTTTACAATTTCCTGATAGTTTAAGATTAAATTTTAATCGAATTATTGCAATGTTAGATGATCTGGATGTATCAGTAGTTAGTGCAACATTAAATGTTATTTGTGAATTATCAAAGAAAAATCCTAATATCTTTATAAATTATTTACCTAAATTCTTTTCAATATTAGAAGAAACAAAGAATAATTGGTTAATTATAAGAATTTTAAAATTATTTCAAAGTTTATCTAAAGTTGAACCAAGAATGAAAAAGAAGATTTTACCAACTATAATTGATTTAATGTTAAGAACTCAAGCTTCATCATTAATATATGAATGTATTAATTGTATTGTTAATGGACAAATGCTTAATATTGATTCTTCAAAGGATAAAGAAACTGCTAAACTTTGTATTAAACAAATTATGGAATTTTTTAAAACTAAAGATTCTAATTTAAAATTTGTGGGATTAATTGCCCTTATTAATGTATTAAAGATATTTCCAGTATTTATACATAAAGTTGATGGAGTATCTGAAGTTATTATGGATTGTATTACTGATCCTGATTTAATTATTAAACGTAAAGCACTTGAAATTTGTCACTTTTTAGTTAAGGAAGATAATATTGTTGAAGTAGTTAAAACTTTATTGGTTCAATTAATTCCTTCAGAAAATTCAACTGTTCCTGAATCTTTAAAACAAGAAATAATGCAAAAGATTATATTTATAGCGACTCAAGATAATTATTCAAATATTCCTAATTTTAAATGGTATATTGCTGTATTAAAAGATATTATAAATTTAACTTTATTACCATTACCTTCAACTAATACTACAGCAATTTCTCAAGTTACTGCTAGTATAATTGCTGCTGAAGTTGGGAAAGAATTTAAAAATTTAGCTACTAAAGTTCCTTCAATTAGATCAGATATACTTAATAGAGTTATTGTTGATGCTGTTAAGAATCCTCGAATCTTAGATGTTTGTCCAACATTATTAAAGGATTTTTATTGGATTTTAGGTGAATATATTGATGAATTAAAAACTGATGATGAAAGTGATGATGAATTAGAAACAGAACAAATTGATAATAATAGTATAATTGGATTAGGACTTAAAGTTCAAATATTTAATGCACTTATCAATCGTAGAATTGATAAATTATTACATTTATCTCGAGATTTAAACTTTCCAATTTCTTCCAAGTTAGTCAATTTAAATAATTATGAAGTAATCACAGTATTAATTCAAGCTTTGGTAAAATTATTTAGTAGCATAGTTTCAGATTATAATGATTATTATTCAAAGAATGGTACATTCTCTGAAGATAAGTATAATCAAGTGGCATATTATTTATATAAATTAATTCAATTTCTTAATAATTGGGAGAATCATATTCATTTTGAAGTTCAAGAAAGAGCATTGTCATGGTTAGAGTTTCTTAAACTCTCACTTGAGGCAATGATAGATGGTGATAATGCTGTTATCTTGAAATTAGAGACAGAAGAAGTTGAATTTTATAAGAATTTCCTGAAGAATAGTGAATCAGGTACTAATGATATCGATGAAGATGAAGATGAAGAGGAAGAGGAAGAGGAAGTATCTGATTCAGATTCAGAAGAATCTGATGATGAAGTTGATGTACCAAATAATGACTATGCTAGTTTAGAGTCGGATAAATCACCTATAATCAATCTTGATGATGATGAAATAGAACAAAATCCATTTGCCACAGTGAATGATGATGAACCTGGATCAATAAGTTCTGATAATAAGGATAAATCATTACCAATGTTACTTACACATATTTTACCATCATTCTTTAAATCATATCAATTAAATCCCGTATCCAAAAACTCTCAAAGAAAGATTGGTATTCCTGAAGATTTAGATCTTGATACTCCAATTAATCCTATTGATTATCAATTGGAAGATTTTATTTCAACTGATGTTCATAGTGAAGAATATAATTTATATTTAGAAGATGATTTAGATGAAGTAACAATTCCATTAGGTAATTTATCAAATTCAAGTGAAGATAGTGTACGTAAGAGACAAGAAAGATTAGAAAGATTAAAGGATGATCCATATTATCTTACATCAAGTAATGGTGATAGGTCCAATAAATCAAGGGCTAAAAAACCTTTACTTATGGATGAAAGTAAAGATTCTAGTATAGAGAATTTTAGTGAACGAGCTACAATAAACTCCAATGTCCCACCATCACCACCAAAGAAGAAGAAATCAACAAAAACAAAAACAAAAACAAAATCTAAAAGGGATAAAGTTATTATCTTAGCTGAAGAAACTATTGAAGGTGGAGATGATGACAATGATGAAGATATGACGGTATCTAAAAGTAAGAAATCAAAGAGAAATATTTTAAAGATTGATTCATCAAATCTTGACAATTTTGATCTTAATTCAGTAGCTACTCCTGATGATTCTTCTTTATCAAATAATAAAGGTTATGAATATGATATAGATTTAGAAGAATTAAGAAAGCAATTAGCCGAAAGTGCCATTAAGAAAACTGAGAAGGAAGAAAAGAAAAAGAAAAAGAAGAAGGAGAAGGAGAAGGAGAAGAAAACTGTTCCCACTAAAACAAGTTCATGTAATCATACTGATTTGAAATTGGAACATGATTCAGATTTAATTGGTCCTTCAAATGATAATAGTATAGTTACGGTTGTAAAATCTAAGAAATCTAAAAAGAAATCAAAAGCAGCAATTATAGAGTAAATATTTATTAAATAATTTAATATATTTAATCACTTGCTACTAAAGGTGTTACTTCGGAGATTATCTCCACATCATCAATTAATTCAGCAGTTTCTGAATCATCAGTTTCTAATACAGGTTGATCTTCATTTGGTTTTTCACCTCTAACTTTTGAGTAACCAATACGTTTGTAAACTTCTAACATATCATCTCTTACTTTATTACAAAGATTACCAACATCTTCCTTTGTTACTAAAGAATCAGTTGAAACAGGTGGTAAAACTTCAATTGTAATTTCTCCTGTATTAAAAATCTTACGTTTTGAACTAAAAATATTGGAAGTATTACTAACAACTATTGGAACAATTGGAATTCCTGCTTGTTTAGCAAGATGAAATGCTCCTTTCTTAAATGGTAAGAATTCTAATTTTTCAGTTCTTGATCTTGTTCCTTCTGGAAATATAAATAAAGCTCGATTATCTTTCTTTAATGATACTAAAGCAGTATCTAAAACTTTCTTAGCTTTATCACCTTTACTTCTATCTAAAAAGAATGTACCAGAAAGTAACATAAACCATCCTAAGAATGGTACAAATTTTAATGATCTTTTTGCTGTAACAGAATATCCTGGTTGAAATATTTTACCTAATACATAAATATCTAATGAAGATTGATGATTAGATATATAAATAGCAGGACTTGAATGTAAATATTTTTCATTAATAACTTTTATATTAAGACCTAATACCCATGAAAATAAATGAAAGAAAGCTTTGGCCACGGTGTATTGAGAATATTGTTGTTTATTAATTATCTTTAAGATAATTGAAGCTATTACACCATATAAAGCACAACCACAAATTAATGACCCAAATACAATGGTCTTAAAATAATATTTTAATGTAGATAAAAATTTACCCATTGTTAATTAATTACTATAAGTAAAGTAAGTCAATATAGCAAGTTTTAATTATACCCACCAAAAATTTTTAAACTTCCTCGCACCCCAAAAAAAACTTTGGGGTAGTATCAACACATTTTTAGTTAGAGTAGAGAGGTAATGGCTACAAATAAACTGGACAATTAACAGTAATGAACAGTAATGAATAACAATTGAGTTGGTGAAGATCCGTCAATTATACATGAGTCAATGATATATACTATTGGTTACTAAAATGCTGAAAAGAAATGGACAAATCATTAGAGATTCCATATTCTATATCTGAGTATGGTCTATTTACGTAATGTAAATATATGTGGTAATTGTACAACCATGAGGACTGAATGACTAGTATAATAATATTGTTTCAATTTGTTCTTGAAGTATAATAATAATAATAATAATAATAATAATATTAGTAATATTAATAAGAATAATAAATAAATAAAAATAATGAACTGTACTGTACTGTAAATGTTGAGGCAACTCTATCATTATCTTCTATATCATACTAAGGGTTCGTTTCGTCATTGATTCTCTTAATTGGTAGCTTTTTCTTCTGTCTTTCCAGTTACATAATGATGATTTACCCATCTAGCACCTTGACCAAGTTGTGCAAGTTCATTAACAAAATGACAACCAAATAATAAATAATTCTTTGGTGTCACAGCCAATGAATATCTCATAAACACCAATGAATATAAAATTAAAGAACCAGTCATTGGACCACTAATTAAATCGGCATCTTTATTTAAATCTAATACCGCAGCTACAGGAATACCAAAATTTGATACTGGACCCCAAAAATGAGTTGAACATACATATCTCAAGCTTTGCTTGGAAAATAAAAACTCTTTAAATCCTTTAAAACCTGCTGACATTATTAATTATCTTAATGAATATATTATATATGAAAATCTAACACTTTTGAGGTTAATTGGCACTAGATAAGTCTTATATCTCATTTTTCTTTGAAATCAAAAGGAATAGACGGTTTGTTGAACTCCGCCAGTCACGTGCAGGAAAATCCGGAAAAAAATTAGTTTCTCCTCTAAGATCCGCTATTTCTGTACCGAGAAAATAGCATTTATTTTGCAATCTATTGCGGCTTACCCCACAGGTAAATGGAGAAAAGTAACCTTATATGATTATAGGGTTTTTCTCCACTGCGTTTATAGTTTAACATATACGAATAAAAAAAACTTTAATAAAAAAAGTTCAGTAAATTTAATATCAATTTTACTTATAATGTTACAGTTATGTTATCTATATATACAATTATACTTTTGATTTGATGTTTTGTTTATTGAGTCTGATCATTTTGCTTACGTTGAACTGATTCTTCCACTTTGCTTTGATTAGAGGCAGATTGTTGAAATGTCTCTAACCCTGTAGAGTAATTCATACTTTGAGGTACTTGATATTCTGATTGATTAAAAAATATTCTTCCTTGATTAGATTGAGTGTTTGCTCCTTGTTGGTATTCCTGAGGAGCCCTCTGCGTATCACTCTCATGTTGAATTTGTGTCTGTGGTTGAGAAATATCTTGTTGCTGAATGAGTACTTGTTGCTGCTGTTGCTGTAGTTGCTGTGGTTGTTGCTGTAATTGAAACTGCTGTTGACTGACCGATGTCCAATTCAGAACGTATTGATTCGTCGTTTGATTCGTAATTTCAGGTATATTGAAAATAGGGTTCGTTTGAGATCCAGAAACATCATGTATTGGAATATTAGAGTTTTGGTTCATTCTTTTTCTCATGGTCTCTTCATCTACAAGGGAGCCTGAAGGAATGGAACTTGAGGAACCTGTATTTGTAGGGCCCGTTGAAGATGATGAGCCTACTTTAAATACACTTGAAGAATTATTCATGTCATCATCACTTGGAGAACTAAGATAAAATGGAAGGTTTTCGGGATTAGTTAACCAGAATGGATCATTAAATTGAAATCCATAAAGATATTCAAGATCTGGATTATCAAACTGGTTGTTTAAATCTATTGAATTAGAAGAGTTGTGAGGAATAGGAGCCCCTACTGTGATGCCTAAATGTGAACCATAATTCCCTGAAAACAGTGTCCCCATATCTTCTTGGTGTCTTCTTGACTTCTGTTCTTTTGATTTCTTTCCTCTGTCTCTTGTAGCTTTCTTTCGCCCTGCTTTCTATATATGGCTTTAATATAGATTAGGACTTTATTTATTAAGTATAAAATATTTGGGGGCCACATCTTTGAATCATTTTTGAAAGTTGTTTCGATAATGGTATCAAATCGAAGTAAGGAATTTAGTTTTTCTTCTATCCTTTTCAACAACCTGTTGTTCAAAACTGATGACAGAATGTTTATAATAAAATCTTTGAATTTATAATGCAAAAAAGTAAATATCACAATAATAATTTGATAGATAAACAGGTTTAAAAAAGGAAAATACCCTCTAAATATTCTTCCAAATTTCACCAAGTTGTTTAAATCTTTTTCCATATCCTTAGTTTTAACATTATCTTTCTGCTTCCACGAATTGTCATTCAAGCGCAATCTCTTTTCTCCAAATATCTTAAGATGATTCTGAATAAATGTTATTAGCAAATTTAAGCTCTTACATATGGAATCCACTAAACATTTAAGGATTTTTTCATATTGTTTTGTATTTTCAAACCGATTCATAAAAGGTTCAAATAATTTTGCTCTATTAATATGCAAGGTAGTCAAATCCATTAAAAGGTTAACTTCGTCATATTCCTTTTGCAAATTGGTTATAGCGTCAAAACTTAAAGAACTTCTTTTGTTTTTTATAACTTTTCTTGCCATTTCCAATTGCTTTATTTCTTGATTGAATGTTTCGTCTAGTTTTAATAAATCTTCTACAGAAATTTCAGTCATAAAGCTTTCGATCAACATCAAAGTTGACAATCGCAAACATTCACTCAATCCTATCTTTAATAAAATATGTGTCTTATCTTTATGAATATATAATTCCTTCAAACTATTAGATAATCTCTTTATAGATAAAGGTTCTGCATGATTGACTTGGATAGATATTGGATTCGGTCTTCCTAAAATTGAACATACTTGACTTGTCAAATTCTTAAGTGCAAACCAAACTTTAAATCTTGTGATATCTTCTTCTTCATCATTGGAGTCGTTTCCACTAGAATCTTCCTTTGACTCTTTTTCACTGCTTTCTGTCAGTTCAGTGCTGCTGCCTCGAGGTAAGCCAATAGATGATGATGAGGAATTACCAGTCCTAACTTTGCCCATCACATGTAAGCCAATCGAGTATGCAATTGAGCAAGTATGAAACATAGTTGACCAACTCTCTTCATATCTCTGTTCAAGAAAATGAAATTCGGTACATAGTATATATGCTTGTATAGTAAGTAAAGATTCATTAATCAAATTTCTTTTCAATTTCTCAAAATTATGGAATAATACATTATTGGTTAAGTAGCTACGGAATTTCTTAAACAAATGAATTGAAGAAAAAGGTAAGACTTCTAATTCGACAAAATCCCTTGGAGTCAATCTTTGGATCACTAATAACAAAATCATATATAAAACTAATAAATCATCATCATGTTCCCATTCTTTGTCTTTAATATCTTGATAACTATCAAGAAAATCAATCACTCGCTTCTTAGAAATGAATGAAGCATAATAATTATTGAGTTCAAAAAATAAACCAACCAAACTCTTAATTATTGAATAATTCAGTTTTTGTAAATCTTGAAGAGTCTCAGAATCTGAACTTAATTCAGGATCATCGTGCTTGATGAAATTGAGTACTAACATTGGCAAGGACTTCTTGGATAAACTTCTTTCTACCAAATTTGTATTTTCTTTCAATGATGCTTGGGAAGAATTATCATTTTGTCTCTCCCACTCCAATGACTTTGAATCTGATGATGATGAAGTATTTTCCGCCATATATATATCTGGATTTGTAATATTTGCATTATCCAATTTTTGTCTCTTTGAAGACGTCTGTCTTACTCTGACATTAGGAGAGTAAGAATGTTTGGTTGGAGTTTCTAAGGATCCGTCTTTTTGAATAAGCAGACCTGACATTTGGTCGTTTCTATCTTTCATGGAGTCCATGATGAATGGAGATTGGGAACTATAATACTTTTCACCTACATCGGGAGCCGACATTGAAATGGGATTTTCTGACAACGAGGTGGGAACTAATGGAGTAGTTGATAGGGGAATTGGTTCATTTTGGCCCGAAGAAAATCGAGTCAATTGTTGATTAAGTTTAATGTTATCCTGCAATAATTGTAAATTTTCACTTTTCAAAAACTCCAACTCATTTCTTAAAGCAAGAAAAGAGTTTTGTACTTCATTAGCATTATCTAGGGCTTCGTCGTCTCTGTTAGAAAATTGGCCGGATGTTTGATTATCATATTTTAATGAAACAGAAACCGAGGATTCCGACAGCATTGGATGAGGAGGGGCTAGAGTGGAAAATATTATGGGTTGAGGATCAATCAATGATTGAGAGGATGATGAGGAGGAAATCTGTTCTTTTATTCTAATATTCCGGAAAGTTGAGGGAAATTCACATGGAATATTACGTTTGATGCATTGATTGCAAGTCTTCTTTTTATTACATTTAATTTTTTTTCGACGGCATGAAATACACGAAATTGGCAGTATTTCCGACATGTTTGTTGACCCTATGCATATGTATATATAGGTTGTTTGACTTAGGGCAGAATTATGGCCTATTAAAATTTTTCAAATTTCGGAGTATTGCTAAGTACTCGTACTTTATTGAGTAGAAAAATATTTTGTGCAACTAGTTTTTTAGCAGCCAACAGAAAAAATAAAAAAAGCAAGTTAAACCGAGAATACAAGGTACCTAACCAATAACCACCCAAAATATCCTTAACCTCTAAACCAATAGTGTGATGTTTTAGGAAGAGAATGTTCAAAGATAGTTTTCGGTTGAATTTATACAGAACTTAATTTGTAAGCTAGAAGCAAATTCAACGAATGATTTTTGACCAATTGTTGTAATTGGTAATTCCCTATTTCGAATCTATATATTGATCAATTTTATATAGATATTTTTGATTAAAACCAATCCTGAAATGTAGAAAAGCTGGAAACCAAACAATATAGATTAATAAACTCAAACTAAACAATTATAACTTACTTTCTATTTAATTCTAATAAGTAAGGAACAACAAATAAATTCTCAAGCTGAAGTGTCTTAGTATGATAAATTGTTTTGAAAAATTCGAAACGCCAAACAAGGAATTGAATTCTTGACTATTAGGAAGATAAACAGATATACTTAGTTAATTATGATGATGATTCTTGTATTCTTTAGTTAAATTATTGTTATTGTGATTAACTCAGTTTAATCAGTGATATGAATTATTATGAAGATTTACCACAATCTGAAACCGAAGATCTTCTGTCTTATGTACACTTCTTCTTTTTAGTTACTAATTGAAAGATGATTCAAAAGGAAGTCACGATATTAAATGTAAATTTAACTGTAGTATTTAAGCTATCAAGCCTAGTAAGTGATTGTCTTCGTGAGAGCCTTTACAATTTAAATGAATGTAAAAAAGGGATATATGAAAACAAACGATTTGTAATGCCTTGTTAAATACGCTTTTAGTGCGCAATGCCTAAGTTAATATACTGTAAACTTCGAAGACGATTTTGTTCAAGGGTTAATGAATTCTTAAAGGTATTGATGATAATACCTTCTTAACTTGGTAGAACAGATAGTAGCGTCTGTAAACTCCTCTAACCAAGTAAATTTTGAAATGACAAAAATGTGTTTATCAAATGAATTAAAAAATAATGAGTGAATCAAATCGTAACTTAATTTTTGTCAGATTGATAACCATAAAACATGTTTTTCATTTTTTTAAAATGACCACTTGTTGGCAGTGGCTAATAGTAAACGGAAGTCCGAAGTTATGATACCCAGCACCTATTGTTTTGTTTATCTAACGATATGCAACAATATTAGGTGAAATGATATAGTAAATTTTGCTAAGGAATAAAAGACTATATCTTCTCAATTACCTGTTTTTTAAACAGGACAAATATTTAGGTTTAAGTATTCAATTTCCAGCCAAAGCAACTGATTAAGTCAATTTAGTTTCTTAATTATTTTTTCTCTTCATGCAAAAAGAAATAATTCGGACAGTATATGAATTACAAGACTTGTAATGTATAGGACAATGTAGCTACCTGCATTTTGACCGATTCTTTGCTACATAACAGCCAACTCAAAATAACCTAACATCCTGATTTTATTTTCAATTATTAATTTATTGTTTCTCGAAGAATAGCAAATGGGAGCATCTATCATGCAAGTCGAAAATCCTGATGATATTTTTTGAGAAGATTCTTAGATAATTTGCTTATCCTAGTCATGCATCGGGAACCGGCCCAAAACAGCCTATATTTTCATGGAATTTTTTAGCGATGATGAGCAATAGTGATGCTGTAGTGTCCTTTTGAATTAATTAATTATAAAAATAATAATTATATTATATGTTAATTATATAATTGTTAGTTGCGGGTAGTGGAATTAGAATAAAATTTGGTTACACAAAGATTCATCATTTTTAAGCTTGATCTCAGTTATTTTCATTTTGGGGGTCGGAAAAAGCATTAAAAATAATCAGAAATTTCAAAAGTACCGTGGCAGGCTTTCACATAGATGAGTGCTTATTCGCAACTTAAACGAGGGCGGTGTTATTGATTATGGATCAAGCATTCGGTTTTATGCAATTCGCCGATTTTAGAAAAAAGGAAGTTGCATCTTCAAACTAATTATGAACTAGGAAAGGAATTCCGTGCAGGCTTTAAAAAAAGCAAAACGGCTAAATTTGCGGTAATTTTGCAAGCCGTGTTTCTTTGTTAGTGAACTCATATTTTCTTGTAATGGTGGATTACCGAACGGAACTATTCCATAAGTATTGTTAGTTCTAAGCGATGCCTACACTGTAACAATTAAGTACTCATCTAATAAGTCAAATTTAAAATGTTTGGCATCACTAATAATTACTAAGAAATCGGTAATCAAAATTCTTTTCGCCTTTTGGGTAATTTTGTGCTAGTAAAATAATATTTTTTGACTGAGTTTCAGCGCATTACTTTGAATGTGTTTGAACAATGTTGTTGAAGAGAAACTGTGTCAGCATTGGGGAATCCCGAACGAAAGTTTTTGTAAAGATGAACAAAATAATTTAATTAAACAATAATTAAGCGTACATTCTAACAACTTTAATTGATTACTTTGTTTTCGATTAAAATATTAATCAGAAATCTGCTTGGTTTTTTCTGCAATGTTAAATTGATTGGTACCCCCAAATCTTTAGTTCGGAATAATATTTTAACATCCTGGATTTATGATTCAATAAAAAGTAGTGCAAAACCTTGTCCCAGAATTCAACAATGAAGTATCAGGGAACATGATCGCTGATCATCTTTCAGATAATATTTGATTCTCATTTTGTTAAGGTACCAACTCTTTTAACTGTGTTGATTGTATCTAAATCACCACTTAATTTGTTGTCTTAATCACCTTTTTTTTTACCAACATAAAAATCATTTATTATTATATTGGCTCTTGAGGCAAAAGGTTAGTTGATGTAGGCTAATAACGGTTGGATGGTATTTTCATAGTTCTTACATTCGTAGAGTGGTTGGTGTATCTATATCTGGTGATGGCAAATTGACATCGATATGGATTCCATTGTAACTGTGGTATGATTGTTTTTACATTTATTTGCCACTTCAGTATTTTGTTTGGTGATGGGGTAACGATGTTAAATTATTTTTGAATATGTTTGAAATTGAGTGATCTCGTAAGCTTAATAAGTATGGAGTTCACATTAAGCACTAACCTTACGTATATTTGCGGTTACTACCTATTTGTTAACTGAGAGGAAAAGGAGACAAGATCAGAAACAGTAAGCATACTTATGGTTTATTGAAGTTGGCGGATATGGTCCAGAACCGAATATAAGACAACTACAATCGAGGAGGGACAAGGTTTTTTTCAGAGTTGCCCAAAAAGGAAAGTAAGCTGCAAATTGGCAATTTTCTTATTACGTTATTGAAAATAGACGGCCACTTTAGTAGGCTCCACAGATATTCTAATAAACTTCTGTGTAAGTAATAGATATTAATTATTGTTAAACTTATTCATATTATGGGCCGTGAAGTTGATATAAAATACTTTAAAATTTTGATTGCAAACGAGGAGGAGTTTTTGACATTGAAAACTGCATACAAATACATATACATATTGGTACATGAAGTACTCGTATTGACTTTTTGAAAACTACGTTCTGGTCTCTTCTTTGTTTTATTCCTGAAATTGATCAAAATGAATGAGCAAGAAATGAATTTAGATACCTTTTTGAACATAACGGATGCAGTTGATATTTTAGCTAGACACTTCCAAAGCAGTACAAAAGTAGATTTCTTTCAAATTCAAAGAGAAGGTATCGAAGCTTATGAAAAGAGGAAAGTCCAATTAAATAAATTTCTTTCATTTGTGAATGATACTGAAGTGAAAGCATATCTATCTACGTATGATGTATCCCCTGACTTACAAGAATCACCCGATAGAAATAAATTAATATTTTCTCTTTTCCAAATAAGTAATTTTCATCAATTAGACTCCATTTCAATTCCCAGTGAACTCCCCTTCCGCCTGATATTTTCTAAAATTAAGGAGGATATTGCCAAAAGGGTGCGCCAGAATAATATTGACGAAATGAGAAGGACTTTTGAAGGTTATTTCAGTATTAATATGTTCCTCAGGGTGGACCTTCTTAGTTTTAACTTCTTGAAAGGAGAAGATTTTCATAATTATGCTTCGAGTGACTATGATCTAAAATATCTTATTGGGAACTTTTTTCCAAGCTCAACTGCCTTGAATTATGAGATACCTGACAATTCTTCGTATGTTGTAAGTAAAGAACACATCAGAAACTTTCCTTTGGGTCCCACTAATGATAATCATCATCCAATACTAGTACTGCAAGTACTAAACCTCATTTGCTATCTTTTGAATGAAAATTTCAAAGTCCAATTAAAAACAAAGCTGGAAATAAAGAATAATGAAATAAATAGATCCCCTGACTTTGTTTTAAATTTTGACGGACACAGCAAACAAATTCCAATGGAATTTACCAATTTCAGTTTCGATGAGTATGTTGGTTTGAATGGTGATAAAACAAATAATGATGAGAGTGGTATTCATATGAATGAAATGTTTACTCAGGTGCTCCGACATTGCTTTGCATCCAATTTCCCTATTGGAATATTAGCTAACTATACTCATTTTCTTGGAATTGACTTTACTAGCTCGGTAGTGCTGCAAACATTTTATAAATTAAATGAAGGTAAAACTCTAAGAAGTCTTTCTTGTACTATGCTAAATCTCAGAAGTGCTCTACATATTCTCATTCTTTAAAATTAACTTGGAGAGTTCTGTAAATAAACAAATTATGTCAACATTGCTTAAAACATTAATCATTAGAGGTAAAGAACGGAAATTGCACATTAATCGGTTATACAAGTCCTTGGGAAGAGTTTTCGAAGGCTTAATTGACTCACAAGCAAATAATCTAGGAATTCATGCTTCTCAAATAAAATTCAGTAATACCAAGGATCGTCCAATAAATATTTTTGATGAATGGTGTACGGAATTGTCAAACCCTTCTGAAAATAACAAGTTGGAAAAGTCTAGTTTGAAACTATTGAAATTTTTCAGAACTAGGGGGCAAATTCTGATTCAGAATATACAAGATAAGCCAATGGTATGGTCGAAAATCATTTCTGGAGGAAAATTTGGCTCGAGAAATATAGTGGCACAAGTTCCAATAACAGATCAAAACACAGATGTAATTATGAAGATATATGATCCTGTTCGGTCCCATGTATTCATACAAAACGACTGTGATATAGCTAAGACATTGAAAACTTGTTTGGAATTATTCAAGGAGGTATTAATTCTTCAAGTACTTGGTGATCTTCCTAATTTCCCTAAAATTAAAGACGTAGGATTTATCAACAACACTAAAGGAGAGTATGTTTATGAGCTAAAGGCCAATGAACCACATGTTGCTGGATTATATTTTACTTATCCATTCATACAAGCTGAACCTCTTAAAAATTTTTCTTATATAGAAAGGCAATCATTGAAACATGAAGTTTACCGAATTGTTAAGAGTATGCACGAAAGAAAAGTTATACATGGGAACCTTAATTCATTTAACATCCTTGTTGAGAGTCTAGAGGACCAAAAAGTATGGATAGTAGGATTTGGGCATTCATGTGTAAAATGGCGTGGAAGATGGTACCGTTGTGAGAGAATTAAGAACAAAAGACGAATGCTACTTGAAAATGATGATTTCAATTCATTAAAGAAACTTTTTAAATAGGTGATTTGTTGACTTGATGATTTGAGATAGCAGTGGTAAAAAATTAGTTAAATAATAGCTTTATTTTAGTGTAAAACATTATGACATCTGAATAAATATAATAAATTAAATTGCAATGTGTTTGTTTCTGAGAGGCTGCAAAGTGAACTACATACAGATCCTTAAAAAACGATGAGTCCCTTTTTTTTTGCGCCAACTTCAGTGTAATTGTATCTATGGACACGACCAAAACTTTCCTTTATCTTTTGATCCTTATCTTTAGATAACACGCATCTCGGAGGCATTGTTTTGGTTCGGATATCAGATCCCTTTGCCTTTCTCCTGACCTACTTTATAACAAGATTATAATTCTGTAACACTTTTCTTCTTCGTTTAGATCATTTTTCTTTATATTTTATAAATTAATTGTGAGAATCATTCATATTCTTTTAATTTAACAGTAATTAAAGCCAATTCTCAACTTATCTAATTTGCCTTCGTAAAAAGATAAGGAAGTAGTATACGCATATCACACATACATTTAAAAAATACAAATTTATAATCAATTAATATTTATACATTAATATCCTTATACTTACTTATATTTATATTAATATTTATTTAAACTTATTTTTTGAATTTATTTTTATTATCAAGCTTTAACCCATCAAACCAATTGAATGATTCGGGAACCCTATTATAGCTCATCAAGTGCCACTTCATATATCAAACCATCAAATCCCAAAATATATTCATTTATTTCTCATGATTTACCAACCATTAATTCAAACCATATTAGTGTAGCTCCAAGTTATCAATTATCCGCCATAAAGCTTTCTCCACCACCAACCACATCTCATGGATCTAAATCATCATTAAGAAGAAATTCAGTTGAACCTTATTATACAAAGGCTGTTAAAATTGGTACTTTACCTCCAAGAATTTCTTCAATCTTTAAATATACTTTTGTTGATGATGAAGATGATATTCAACCACATCATCGTCAAAAAGATAATTCAGATGATTTAGATGATTATGCTGTATTATCAGATTCTGATAATGAACCAGTTATTGATTCTGATGATGATTCTGATAATGGATATCTTTTCTTTGGGAAAAGCAAATCAGTAAATCATCATAATGTATTGAAACCACCTTCTTCAGGTGAAAGTTTATCAAGAAAAGTTAGTGATAATTATACTTCAAGATATGAATTAGATACTGATTCAGAAGATGAAACTATTCTTGTTGAAGAGTTCAATAAATTAATGAGACCTATAAAAGCAACTAAATCAGATAATAATCTCTTTAATTTGAAACCACCTCATTTACAAAGCTTGAATGAATTAAATGATTCATTATTACAAAAATCCAATAATCCAAATGTTTTAACTAATGTTAGATCAAGAACCATTTCTGAAAATTTAGTTGAACCACCTAAATTACATATGAAGGTGTATAATTATGAAGATATTTTCACACATCCTGCTCCTTTAAAAATAGGTTATGATCGTGATGATTATGACTATGGTTTTGAAACAAAATATTTAATTTAATTTAATTTAATTTACTTTACTTTACTTAGCAGTAACCACTTTCTTTCGGTATTTAGTCTCTCATTATTTTGTATTTGGTTTTCTATATGTTTATGTATTTATACGGGTTATAAAGGAATATAAGCAATTATAAAAATTTGTTAGTAGCGAAATTCTCAGTATCACAAAAAGATTTATACTAGGCTAAAATTTTGTTAGGGAAGAGCTAATCACTAAGTTGTATATAGTATACTTGTAAGACTAAACCCATTACAAAATCATATGGACTTTGTATATGCTCCTCCGCCTCCCCCATCTTCGTCTAAGAAGACTGGTGGATCTACTAATGGAATTCAACATGCACAAATATCAGCACTGAATGAAGAATCCTCTACAAATCATAAGAATAATAAGAATAAGAATAATAATAATAATAATAATAATAATAATAATAGACGGTATAATAAACATAATGCTAAACAAGTGTATAATCAACTGAGTAATAACATCAACCAAGAGATAGCCTCTTCTGTGACGACCCTGTTATTAGACTTACCTACTTACTTACCTAATGAAGAGCCTGTAATTGATGTATCGCCTAGTACTAAAGATCGCGATGAGGGACCCATAAAAGATAAAACAGATCTTGATAATAATGATGAAATCAATAATGAAGTCAATGATGATGAAGTATCTCAAACTGTTAAAGATCCATCGCAACCTATAGTTATACCAGGTACAAATATAACATTACAAACTGATGAAGATATAGCTAAATGGATCGAAGAAAGAAAGAAAAGATGGCCCACTAGAAAGAATATAGAATTGAAAGAACAGACACAAGCACAAGCACAGGCACAAGTACAAGTACAGGATCAACAGAATGAAATTAATAGTCAAGATCGAAAGAGGCGGAATTCGAATTCAAATTCAGATACTCCAAATACAAAGAAAGCAAGAAATATTTGTAGATTTTATCAATTGCATAAACATTGTAAATTTGGTAATAAATGTAAAAATCTCCATGAATTACCAGATTCATCTATATCTAAATCTAATAAATTTGATAATCCAGCATTTAATTTACCTGATATAGAATCTACACATTTTAAGAGAACAATTAATGATATTCCAGTATTAATTCCTAAATTATATAGTAATATTCAAAAATCTGGAGGTAGATTATTTAAACATTTAATTAAACGAGAACATTCAGAACATGAAAATAATGTTATATTACAATTTATTCAATATTTAGATACTAAGGGTTTAATTGATCATGAAGTTATGAAAAAGCAAAATTGAAGTAGTATTATTCTATATATAAATATGAATGTATAAATACTATAACTATCACCATATTTCCTCTAATATAAATCACCATCATATGATTTAGTACAATCTAACATTATTGTACATTGTTTACCAATATCAGCTAATTTACTAATAACAATTTCATTACCTTCTCCAAAACCATAAATAGAATAAGGTAATCCAACTTCTTCACAAAATTTAATAACAAATGGTTGAACTCTTCTAAAATTATGTCTAGGAATTCTTGGAAATAAATGATGAATTGCTTGGAATTGTAATCCACCATGTAAAAAATCAAGCCATTCAGGACAATCTACATCCATAGTAGTTCTTAATTGACGAGATGGGAAGGATTCACTAACTCCTAAATCAGAAGTAGACATAGCAAAATGACTTAAAGTAATTTGAACATGAACTAACATAGTAGCAATATGACTAACTAATACATATAAGATTCTATTACCCCAACCATCAATTGATTTAAAAACTAATAAGTAAAAAAACCAATAAAAGAAGAATGATAAACCTGCTAATTCAAAATATCTAAACCAAGCTGCCTTACCATGTCTTGGACCAAGTCCTCTAATTAAATGACTCCAAGATAAAAAGTAAAGATTAAATCTTCCAAAACATAAAATTGGATAGTATAAATATTTTTGAAAGGGGATAAAAAATTCAGCAGCTTTATCAAACCAAAGATAATTATCATAATAAGTAGAATAAACATTATTAAATAATCTAACACTAACGGCAAAAAATGGTAAATGTTGAATATCTGGATCATGAACTGGATCATTTGTAATAAGATGATGAACATTATGATTTCTTTTCCACCATCCTAAACTTAAACCTCCAAACCAATCAGCAATAATCATACCAAATAAATTATCGAGTTGATAATTATGAGTAAGTGATACATGACCAGAATCATGAGCAATAAATGTCATTTGATGCCATGCCAGACCCATACATATAGCACTTAAAGTTAACCAACCTATTTTAAGAAATGAAAATGAATATAACATAAGACTACCAATCTTAATGAGTTCACGACCATAATTCCATAAATCACAAGTATAAAATCCATTTCGAATAATTGTTTCATGTAATTCATTATATTTATCACGAAGATTTTGTTGAGTATCATAATCTAAAGCAGGTAATTGTAAAATATCTTGACGAGTTAATTCATTATCATAATTTTCCATTAATAATTTTGGATCTACAATAGCAGATTTTTTTGCAATTGTTTCCGTTACTTTTTCATCAATTGGGAATAAATTATTGGTATTTTCTTCAGTTACTAATATATTTTGAGGTACAACAGGTTTTACAGTATTGACTTTTGGATATCCAGCTGAATAATTTGTAGGAAATTCATCTACAGTTTCATTAGGAGATTCATTTGTTAAAGAAGGTGAAGCTGTTTCTTCTAATGAACTAGTTGAAGATATATCATCTAATTTATCATCTAATGATTGAGTTCTTGCAACCAAAATTTCATCTTCCTCTTGTTGATATTGACCCTTCTTATAAATTCCACCTTGAATTGGAGGTAATAAATTCTCCCAATAATGATCAATTTCTCCAATTTTCCAACGTGAAAATATACTTATAGTTTCATCACTATGATAAGCATTCATTTCATCAGTTGAATCTCTACCTACCATATGATATACTGCTTTATCACCCCCAGGATGATTTCTGATCCAATTGGTTAAGTTAAGAACATTCTTTTTATATATGACAATAGCTTTCCCCTCAGCTATTAAATCGATAACATCAGCTCTTGAAAGTATATTAACTGGTTTCTTAGACATGGTGATATAACAGATATTAACGAAAGACTGGTTGAAAAATCTGTAAAAATGCTAAATTATCGATACTTGCAATTTTCAGCTATATATGAAGATGTTGCGGAACTTCCACAAACGGGAATTTTTTTTTATAGCCCACGTACCGATCCGGAAAAATTACAAACTGCTCGTATAGGAGTGGTTCGATACAAACGCACTCCATTGTTGCAAAACGACCAAGTTGAAAATGTATATGTATATATTTTATTATACTTGTAAATATAGAAGAATGACTCGTACAGAATATTGAATAAAATTAAAATTAAAATTAAAATTAAAACTAAAACTAAAATTAAAATTACATTTAGTAACATCTATTTATAAGTTCATAACCAATAGGTAAAATAATTGGTATAAAGAAATTGTCATTAAGATTAGAAGTACCTTCTAAGATTGCACTTAAGAAGGTAACAACAAATAAATTCTCCCAATGAGGATCAATTGGGATATAAACTGAATTGAAATTAGTAGATAAATAGTAGTCAATTGCTTTAAAAGCAACTAAATTAGAAATAATAAAGGCTGCACTTCCTTGAATGGATTTATCACTACCTTTCCATTTTATTGAACCAAAACTTCCTCCTATAATGGATGCAATTGCGTCACCTAAGCCTAAAGCAACAACTCCCATATATCTTATAATACTAACTTGTGTTGTACCATTTAAAATATAATCATATATAATTGGTATAGTTATGCCTACTAATAAGTAGATGTAGGAAAGATTAAAAGGACCCTGTAAATCTTTTTCATCTTGAAATTGAATTAAAATTTTGGACAAGTACTTACCTAAGAAAGAAAATTTGGAATATCTTATAATTTCAGCTAAGATGAATACTATTATAAGACCAAGTAAACTGATCAAAGTGAATTCAACTTGTTCAATTAAAATTGATGGACTGAATAATAAGATTACAATAATTAAGAAATGCCAGCTCTTTCTTCTCCAATTTTTTGACCAGTTCTTAGCAAGATAGAATATAGTTGGAACTATAACGGCTAACAAACTCAACCAAACTTTTAAGAAGGTTAATCTTTCTTCATTCTCAAAAATGTAAGTGTAAATCCAAACAACGGAATTCTCACCCAAGGTTGGCTGTAATTGATAATTAGTTAAGAAATAAAACATAGCTGAAAATACCAGACCTGTAACAATATATGGTAAGTATAAATAAAGTGGATATGAAAATAAAGTTGAGGCAACTAAACTAACAAATAATTTTTGAAAGATAACTAACGGCAAATAAGGTTCAACTAAATCGTGATTCCATATAAGATTTGTAAAGATCACTGAAATTAATTGAATTTCAGCTCTTGAGAAGCTTCTTTGAACTTCAATTTCAATTATTTCATCTTCTATATCGATTTCATCGTCGTCAACTTCAATTTCAATAATTTCAATGTCTTCATCAAAGAATCCATCGTTTATATAATTTAAACCAATACTAATAACAAAATGAGTGAGACAAATTATAACATATTGGAAAGTTGGAGTTTCTTCACTGGTGTTATAAATTTCATAAAAAGCAATAGAACTGAAGACAACAAAAAATGGATGTAATCTATCAACAATGAAATAATTGAGGGCTAAATTAACATTAAAAAACTTTTCATTATAATGAACAATACTAAATAATAAAGGTAATAAAACACTGTAAAGATAATTAAATTCTGGAGGATATTTAGTTTCTCCAGGAGCAAAACCTTTAACATAATTTAAGATCAAAGCTGCTAATATCCCAATAAAATTAGCACCTATAACCCACCAGGTTTCATTTAATTTTTCTAATTTTTCGTAATTGGCATATATAATTTGTGATAGATAAAGGAATACCAATAATTGAACAGATTTTAACAAAGTCAATTGTTCATTTAAGAAGTCTTGAACTCTATAAGTAATATTAAAAGGAAATCCGGCTGTTTCTAATTCAACATCTCTTTCTTGTTCTTGTTGTTTCTCTGAATTAATTGAATCATTTGGCTTTGGCTCTTCAGTAGCTGCTGATGATGCTAAAGTCTCAGGGTCGACATTTTGAAAAATGGTAGCTGTAGATCTCTGGGTTGCCGATTGAGGTTTGGCCTCTTTCGTAGCTCTGCTACGTGTATTATACTTCTTTGGTGGCATTCCCTACTTTCCCTTAGATTAAATCATAATGATTTTTCAATCTTTATGGGGCAGCTCAAATGAGGTTTTGTTCGGCCCTGCTCGTTGACGATTGTTCAGTTATGCAGGCAGATCAATTTTCTTTTCTAGGCAAATGTAATTAGGATATAACTAAGATATTACTAGAATATACAGTTTTAATTAAGTTATGTTTAAGATATAATTGAGATATAATTGAGATATAATTAACATATACCTCGGATATGACCGACTACATTCACAATGCATACCCAGGCTAGATTATTTTAATTATGCCTTAAAATATGAGAAGAGTAAAACTGTTGAAACTACAAATACATAGGGGTTGTTAGAGGTAGAATCTACTTTTTAATCATAAATATAAATTTAATTTATCTCTATAAATTCATGTAAGGTAGAATTCACGTGTGTGTTGTTATGGTTATCGTGGTATAGTTGTATGTATTGTATAGTATATGTCGCACTGTATAAACAACCGATAAAATCATAGAACAAAGATGGCGCCTATATATCGTAGCAGATTTTGATAGACAATAATCAGATGTATTTTTTATACATTAAACTATAAACACAAATCTATTCTTGGCCAAAGAACAAAAACCTAATAATAAAACTGGAAAATCGGTTCATATCACAACTCTTTGTTGTTTATTTCAATCCACCTATATGGTTCTACTTTCCTGTCTATTATAAATTGATAATTGTAGAATATGAAATACTTCAATCTTGGATAGTTAGTAATAGTCTCTTTGACCCAACTTACTAAGCTCCTAACCTCTTCGTTAAGCTCTTCACATATATCGTAGTCATTACTGAAAAACAAGTCGATCTTTAATAATTTTATACGTGTGAAACTCCCAGAATAGTTGACCCTTACAAGTTCTAGAGTGGAACCACAACTTTTAAGCAAAGCCTTGACAATATCACAGTTTTGACGAACATTTATATGTGCGAACGTTTCTCGAATATCTAAGCAAAACTTTTGAATACGATAGTTAGATAATAATTCCATAGTTTTATGTAGAGATGTAGGTCTAACCCAGATTCGTATAATAAGTATCTTTATGTTTGGCATAGACTTTATCATTCTGTAGAAGAAATTGTCCTCGTGGCTAGGACAAATGCTTTCAATTTCAAATTCTGTAATATTTTCACATCGGAATAGGGACAAAGATGATTCACAATTATCAATGTATCCGGGACTGGAGAGCATACTCATCGACAAGCAATTGACTCCAACAAATATCCCTTGGAATTTTTTAATTGTTTCGACCAGAGCATCTTTTACAGCCAAATGCATTTTTTTAAACAAACCAAGAGTACTTGCCAAACTTTTTACTTTATAGAAATAATCTTGACCCTCTCTAGTTGATGGATTACTCATAGATATTATTAGTATTCGACTTGATCTTTGATTGATTACCTTCTTGGCTTTCTTGGGGACCCAAAGATGATCAATTTTAGTATAATAACCGTATTTAACCAGAAAACAATAATCTTGATTTGGCGCTGGATAATAGATTAATCTTTGAAATTTCTTCTTGCAGGGACACTTTTCAAGATTTACAATTGTGAATTGAGAATAATTAGGTGAATTCAATTTTCGATGAACAGTGAAGGTCCGTTGTACCGGGTGCTTAATAAGAGCTACCCTGAATAGTTTATTCATGCATAGTTTGTGAATTCTTGAATTTACTAGGCACAAGTCTAACACGTCAAGTTGATTCAAGTGATCTATGATCCGAGCTAAAACTTCGTCAGGCAAGGATTCCAAACTTGTGGCTCTTTTGGTTGATTGAACTGAGTAATCTAAACATGTTTCGGTATTTGGAGGTGTGGATATGAAGCTGAATTTATGTAGTGAGCAAAACATTGAGCAAGATTTTATAGTTTAGAGGCAAGCAAATTTTTACTGGAATAAAAACGGTGGTTTGGTTAATATTTATAAGGAAATAGTTGTTACTTTTTTTTTGCAGCTATTGATGCAGAAAATACATTAAGGAAATAATAAATCTTATAGAGACTGAGTGCCTATATTTATTATATAGATAGTACACGACTTCGGTTACAATATATACATATATATATTAATTACAAACTTCTCTATAAAGTAGTAACTATATAATGATTGAGGTGAGTAGGTCGGCTCTTGAGGCAGTTGTTCTGTGACAACTGTATAAACTTTTTTGACTTTCCCTAAATAGGAAGGTATGGTTGCAATTTTCTTACATATTTAAGGAGAAAAAAATGAATAGATTGACACATTTATTTTCAGGAATTCATGTACAAACAATATTACGATAAGATTATAATTCGATACTTGTGGATGAGTAATATTTAGTTTAATACTTGAGGAGTTATATTTGTTTAAACTCTGGAACGATGATTAATCAATCTTCCAGAGAAAGTACAATATACTTTCTTAGTGATATAGGTACTTTCTGTTCTTAAACATTGTGCTTTATTATAATCAACACTCATATCCTACCTTAAAAGACTACTATTGTGTATAATTTAAATATAAATTGTTGTGTATATTATTATATGTAATTAAATTTATATATGAAGAATATGATCTATCACTGCGTGATCGCATAATAGAATTGTGCTGAAAAATACAACTGTAAATGAAAAGACAAGGAACTGAAGACATAATCAAAATTTATAATCCAATCAGATCGGTTTCAACGAAGACTACTAATGGAAATGCCTAAATAATAATATGTATGTTCATAATACATATACTTTTGTTAGTAGATTCCTATAAGTGCATACGATATGTTATCTGAAAATCGTATTTCCAGTGATTATTATACATAAGGGACATGAGCATATATTCAAGCTGTTAAGTCACGTAAGTATACAATGCGATTCACACATGGAGGTGAAAAATTGCAAAATTATATTTTAATATGTTAGTAGATTCCTATATTCTAATTAAGTTACTGAATTCTTTCGATCCTTTGGATCTTACAGAGATCAGTGAGTGACACACAAATAAAAGGATACAAAAGATATGCAGCAGTTTTACTTTCTTATATAGTTCCTTATGGTAGTGTATCTATGCAAATTGACACAATTATTGATTTAAAAATAACCACAAACGATTCCTCCGATCTGAAACAAATGTAAAGAGGATATTTGCATTTTGCATTTTGCATTTTGCAATTTTATTGTTTTGCGACATGCGACATTTCGACCCATCAAAATTTAACGCGTCCTTTATCGAAAATTTATATTTTTCACTATTTACAATTGGAGTCAAGTCTACTTAATATTCCAGAAAAAGTCTGTATTAATAGGAAATATTGTTAGTAATATAGAATTGATAATGTATATTAAGAAGATTATCATACAAGGGTTTAAAACCTATAAGAATCATACTATTATAGATCTTGTATCACCTCATCATAATGTTGTAGTAGGACGTAATGGATCAGGTAAATCTAATTTCTTTGCAGCTATAAGATTTGTATTATCAGATGCTTATACTCATATGACAAGAGAAGAAAGACAAGGATTAATTCATGAAGGTTCTGGAACAGTCATGAGTGCATATGTTGAAATTATTTTTGATAATAGTGATGGAAGAATTCCAATTAATAAAGTAGAAGTATCAATTAGAAGAACTATTGGACTTAAAAAGGATGATTATTCATTAGATGGAAGATCTGCTACGCGTTCTGATGTTATGAATTTATTAGAAAGTGCTGGATTTTCAAGATCTAATCCATATTATATTGTTCCTCAAGGAAAAATCACATCTTTAACTAATTCTAAGAATGGAGAACGATTATTATTATTAAAAGAAGTTAGTGGAGCCACCGTATTTGAAAATAAATTAAAAGAATCTATAAAGGAAATGAATAATTCTAATTATAAAAAGCAACGAATCGATGAAACTTTACAATCTATTGATGAAAGATTATCTGATTTACAAATAGAATCAATTGATCTTAAGAAATTTCAACAATTAGAGAAATCTAAAAAGATTTTAGAATATAATTTATTTGATCGAGAATATAATGAATTAAATCAAACTATTGAAGATATTGATGAGAATTATAATACTTTATTACAACAATCATCTCAAGATTTACAAGATTTAGAAAAGAGAGAAAAATTATGTCAACAATTACAATCAACTATTGATCAATTAAAAGTTTCTTTAAAGATTTCTAGATTAGAAAAAGATCAAACTAATTTAGATTATAATGAATTATTTAAATTAATTTCTGCTAAGGAAGTTAAAATTCATGAATTAAAACATTCCAATGAAGATTCAATTGAAAGATTAAATTCTATTCAACAACAAATTAATAAATTTAAAAGTTTAAAATATGATAATGAATTAAAAGTAAAGGATATTAAACCAGAAATTATCAATTTACAGAATCAAGAATTGAAATTAAAGGATAATTTAAGTGAATTTAAATCTAAACAAAGATCATTATATTCTAAACAACAAAGATTTCTGAAATTTGAAACTAAAAAGCAAAGAGATACATTATTAAATCAAGAAATTAGTTTAATTAAACGGCAATTAATTTCTAAAGATAATGAAATAAATCAAATTAATTCGCAAATTAAAATTAATGAGAATAATATTTCTGAATTAAATAAAAAGATTACTAATTTAAATTCTAATATTAATAATGAAGAATATCAATTAACAAGTTTAAATTTAAAGAATTCTATTAATGAATTAAAACTTGAATTAAATAATTTAAATGATAAACGTAAGATTCTTTGGAGAGATGAAATTAGATATAAAAGTATTTATGATTCATTAAATAATGATTTAAATAATGCTAATAATTTAGTTAGTCAAACTATGGATAGATCTCAAGCTCAAGGGTTAAATTCTGTTAAACAAATTGTTAATAAACTTAATCTTCAAGATAAAGTATATGGACCATTAGCCGAATTATTTAATGTTAATGAAAAATATAAAACTGCTACTGAAGTTATTGCTGGAACATCATTATTTCATATTGTGGTAGATAATGATCAAACAGCTTCATTAATAATGGAAGAATTGGTACGAATTAAAGGGGGTAGAGCCACATTCATGCCAATCAATAGATTAAATAATGGTAATGGTAATGGTAATGATAATGATCATGATATTATTTATCCTGATAGTAATGAATATCAATGTATTCCATTAATTAAAAAAATCAAATTTGATAATCCCCTTATTGGAAGGGCAATTAATCAAGTATTTGGTAAGGCTATAGTAGTGGCAGATTTATCAATTGGAAGTGAATTAGCAAGAAAATTTAAATTATCTGCTATTACCTTAGATGGAGATCGTGCTGATACAAGAGGGGTTTTAAGTGGAGGATATAGAGATTATAAGAGATCACGACTTGATGCATTAAAAGTTCAAAGTAAAAAGAGAAAAGAATTAACTAATGTTGAAAATGATCTTAATGGATGTGTTAAAGAAATTGAATTATTAAATCAATCAATAACATCTGTCAATAATGAATTACAATTAAATGTTCGAGATTTAGATAAATTACAATCACAACAAGAACCAATTAAAATAGAATTAGCTAGAGCAAATGATAAGAAATTTAATTTACAACAAGAATTAAAGGGTTATCAACTGAATATTAATAATTTGAAATCGATTAGGAATTCATTATCGATTAATTTAAAACAAAATGAAGTTGAATTAAATTCTCAATTTGCTCAAGTATTATCTGATAATGAAATTGAACAATTAAATCAATTAAATTTAAATATTAAGATTACAGAAAATGAATTAGATAGTATTGTTACTAAATTATCTGATTTAGAAACCCAGATTTCTAGTTATGAATCAGAATTAAATAATAATATTATTCCTAAATTAACAAGTTTAACTGTTGAATTAAATAAATATCAAACCAATTCACAAGTAAATTTTGAAGTTAAAGAACATGAACAAGAATTAATTAATTTAAATAATGAATTATCTAAAGTACAAGGTAGACAAAAGAAAGTTCTTGAAGAATTTAATGCAATTAATGAAGAGATTCAAAAAAGTGAATCATCTTTAAAGAAATCTAATGATCAACAATTATCACTTTTAAAGAAATTAGAGAAATTCTCGAAATATAGTGAGAAAACTCTTAATAAGAAATCTATTTTAGTTAATAGACGAGATGAAGTTCAAAAAAAAATTAGAGAACTTGGAGTTTTACCAGAAGAAGCATTTCATACCAATGATAGTAGTAATGATGATTTACTTAAAGAATTGAATAAAGTTAATGAAGAATTGTTAAACTATAGTCATATTAATAAAAAGGCTATGGAACAATTTAGTACATTTAATAAACAAAGAGATGAATTAGTTATAAGGCGTGAAGAATTAGAAACTTCAAGACAATCTATTGAAGATTTAATTAAAAATTTAGAAAATCAAAAAGATGAAGCTATAAGGAAAAGTTTTAAACAAGTTGCTAAAAGTTTTAATGAAATATTTGAAACTTTAGTACCAGCTGGTGTTGGTAATTTAATTATTCAGAAGCGTAATAGTATTGATAATGGTAATGGTAATGGTAATGGTAATGGTAATGATGGTAATGGTGATGATGATGTCCAAAGTGAACAAATAGAGCAAGATAATGAAGATGGTGTTAATGAGATCACACAAAGTCAATTGACTAATGAACAATCAATTGATAATTATGTGGGAGTAGCAATATCTGTATCATTTAATTCTAAACATGATGAACAACAAAGAATTGAGCAATTATCAGGAGGTCAAAAATCATTATGTGCTATTGCATTAATTCTTGCTATTCAACAATGTGATCCTGCCCCATTCTATTTATTTGATGAAATTGATGCAAATTTAGATACTCAATATCGTACATCTGTTGCAAATATGATTAAACATTTAAGTAAAGATGCTCAATTCATATGTACAACATTTAGACCAGAAATGTTACAAGTGGCTGATAAATTCTTTGGAGTCATCTATAGTAATAAGGTCAGTAGTGTGAGTGAAATTAATAAGGAAGAGGCTATGAGTTTTGTAGAAAATCAGCAACAAAATTGAAAAGTAAATAATTCATATAATGGTTAATGTACTGCACTAAATTAATTGTCGCAAAATATGTAAAATGTACCAAATATAGTAACCAATTTGGAGGCTTATACTTAAGGTTTTTCTACTATGATTGGATAATAAGCCCGTCTATTCTATTAGCGATTATTTTTGTATACAGTGTTCTTACATTTTATTCATACTTCGGATTTATCGTTAGTTTAAACTATGTATTTATTTGATACTACTTAGTGAGCTTTACTTAAGTCATCATATATGGAGACTTAACTATGTCTAATATTGCTAAAAATAGTAATTTATAGCAATCTTAATAGAAGAGATAATTTAGTGTTGTAACTTCTAAATATAATCGGCTGCGCTACTAACCATAAAAACCATCCATTGTTTATACATATAGTCAAGGAATCCCGAGATCCTAGATCCTAGATCCATTGATCTAACTAACACTTTATACATAGTGCTAGACGGGAGGGTGTGCGTATTTACCGAAAGTGAAGTTCACGTGATCGTTCCAAGTTACCTTAGATTTAAAAAAAATGACACAGAAGACAGCCAGACATTCTACACCTGAACGCACAAGTTAAATAAATAAATAAATATAAATAACAATATATTTCTTCTTTCTTTTCTTTTAGTTTATTTATATTAATATTTATATTTAAATATATCTTTTTAAAAGGTTATTCATTAATTCAAATTAAGATGGTATGTACTTACAATGCATTTATAAATTGAGAAGGTCCATAGTCGGCTATTAGACATGTGCTACAGTTAAAGTTAGTGCTTCAAGAAAAAAGATGTTAGCGGGCCAGAAAATATAATTAGGCACTATATCCGACTCAAATTTACCAGGTACACCTTGCGCAGTGTATATGTAATGAACAGGTTTAGAGGATTCTAAGTTTATGTTTAATGAATATATAAGAATAAAGCAACTATAAGTAGTTGTTGGTTAAAGTCAATTGCCAACATGTTTTTCCAATTCCAATTGACTGGTATATAATAGAGAATCTCCAACAATCAATAATAGCAGTTTGTGTCCGCGATGGAAAATGAATTTTTAGAGGGGGCATTAAAATTTCACATCCTCACCGCAGTAGCTAAGCTTTGTATTTTTGATACAGATCATCGCTGATAATGGTGCGACTATGGTGCTATTACCTAATTAGGCAACTTCCACTTGACCTTTCCTTTTTATGACATTGTCAATGGTCATTGTTTACTAACATTAATTTTATAGTCTTACCAACAAGGTCCTCCACAAGGTGGTTATTATCAACAAGGTCCACCACAAGGTGGTTACTATCAACAACAACCTCAACCAATGTATGTTCAACAACAACCTCAACAACAAAGCGGTGGATGTTTACAATCATGTTGTGGATCATGCTGTGCTTTAATCTGTTGTTGTTGTGCTGAAGAATGTCTCGGTATGTTGTGTATGAACTAATCTAAAAATATTAATTCATGACCGATTGGCTGATTTAAATTCATCATAATCTTACTAGAAAAAAAGTCATACCCGATTGCAAAAAAAAAGACAGAAGAGTATTCTCAGTGTATTATTATTTTTATTACCATTATTATAAACAACTATACTATACCATTTTTATTTATTATATTGAAACTGATTCTGTTTAAAAGTTTGGTTCCAAAGTTTTTTCCATTGTCATACTGCTGGTCATTTCCCAATTCATAGAATGAATAGTATGTTCTTATATTATCGTATAGACTATTTCAATTAAAATTGTTGTTTAATTACTAGATAGCAATCCCTATGATAAAAATTATGTAGTCCCAATCTTAATGAGCTGTAAACCCACCAGAAGCAAAAATAGTTTGACCAGTAACCCAAGCACCTTCACTAACTAAGAATCTGATAATTGGAACAATATCACTGGTTTCTGTCAATCTTTGTCCTAAACCAACAGTCTTATAATAAGCAATTGATTCTGGTGTTTCTTGTCCATACAAAAATGGTGTATCCATTGGACCTGGAGCAACGTTATTAACTGAAATACCTCTATCATAAATTTCTTTGGAAAGTGCCTTGGAATACCATTCAACTGGTGATTTAGTACCTTGATAACCAGAATAGAATGGAGTATAGGCTGCCAATAATGAAGTAACTAAGGAAACAATTCTACCATTATCATTAACTTTCTTCCCAGCTTCCTTTAAAAAGAAAAAGGCAACTTTATTATTAACTAAATCTAATTCATCAAATTCAGCTTCAGTAACTTCAATCAATGGTTTCTTTAAAACTTTTCCAACATTATTAATAGCAAAATCGATACCTTTTTCAAATTTGGTTAATGCTGCATCGAATAATTTAGTCACATCGTCAGCTTTGTCTAGGGCTCCTTGATAAATTTCAATCTTAACATCAGGATACTGTTTTTGTAAATCTTCCTTGAATTTAGCTGCTTGAGATGCATCACTTCTGTAATGTAAAAATAAGTTGACACCATGAGCTGCTAAATCTTTAGCAGTTTCTCCACCCAAATTTTTAGTTCCTCCCGTAATAAGGGCAGTTTTACCCTTGATAGTTGAATTGATTGCGAAAGTCATGTTAGTTAGTATGTGTACTTATTTAGCTTATTGCTGAGAATTAACCAAAATACTACTTTAAAGAAATTTCTCTACTCTTTTATACCATTCAGTTCTTCAATCTGTTGTACGTAGATCACTTTAAAATAAACAGCAATCGTGGTTCTATTCTCGTCGTACTTCAGATATTTTTTGCAATTGTGAATTGTGGAGAGCAGCTGCATTTTTCGGGGCTTTCGCCAAATAAGGAAATACCCCTTTGCCAACCAATTTCATCTTCAATTGTACATACATTTAAAGTTTCGGTGACACCTTACATTAGAAGTTTAAGTACTCAAGCGAGGAGTATAGAATCCCTAGCGCTCGGTCGTTGTATTTCCATAGACGACTTTGTGAATTTGAAATTCGGTATTGGTATGAACTGTCGAATAAGCAATTTCAATTCCCATTCTGTCTGTAAAACCTAATTTATGGTCTATTACTGCATATTTATTATTTACTTAACACATTAATATTTGTTATATGTATATATTTATAAGAATTTATAATTTTGTGAAATAGGTATAGGATAGAGAACAAAATCAAAAAATCTAATTCTTACCGGCTTTCTTCTTTTGAGAAGTAGAGTTCTTTGGTAATTCCTTGGTGAATGGAAGGAATTCTGGTTCACCTGGAATATACTTTCTTAATACTTCTGGAACAACAATACCATCTTCCTTTTGGTAATTTTCCAAAATACAACATAAAGCTCTTTCAGTAGCACTTAAAGTGGAGTTCAAACAGTGAACATATTTCTTCTCACTTTGGTTTTGTTGTTTAATACCACATCTGATTTCTAAGTTTCTAGATTGATAATCAGTACAGTTTGAACATGAAACTAATTCCTTATATTCCTTTTGGAATGGGAACCATGCTTCTAAATCGTATTTCTTAGCAGCAGCATTGTTTAATTCACCAGAAACAATTCCAACAACACGATATGGTAAACCTAATGATTGATAAAATTCTTCAGAAATACCAATCATTCTGTCAAATTCTTCCCATGACTTATCTGGTTCAGCTAAAACGAATTGTTCGATTTTTTCAAAAGCATGAACTCTGAAAATACCCCAAGCATCTTTACCATGAGAACCAGCTTCTCTTCTAAAACAAGATGAGTAACCAGCGTATCTAACTGGTAATTGTTCTTGAGGAGATTCAAACCATTCACCAGCATGGTAAGCAGAAATAGGTTGTTCAGAAGTAGCAATTAAATATTTTTCATCTTCACCATCAATAACTTTATATAATTCTTCATCGAATTGAGATAATTGAGCAGTCTTAGCCATTACATCTTTATTCATCATAACTGGAGCTTGTAATGGAGTATAACCCTTTTTAGCTAAAAAGTTTAAACCATAGTTAATTAAAGCTTGATTTAAGAATACACCATAATTTCTTAAGAAATAACCACGGTGACCAACAATTCTAGCACCTCTTTCAGGATCGTAACCATCTAATCTTAATAAAACTTCATGATGAGATAAAGCAGCTGGAGCACCAGTAGCAGCAGCCACTTGAGCAACTTCTTTATAATTTTCTGGTTTCCAAAGTCTTACTAATTCATTATTATCTTCATCTTGAGAATCAACAACAGTATCATGAACAATATTACCAACTTGATTAACTTTAAATCTTAATTCAGCATCAGCCTTTTGTTCACCTTCAGTTAAAGCTTTTTTCTCAGCTGTTAATTTTTCCTTTTCGGCAACTAATTCAGATGCATCTTCTTTAGCTTTAAATTTTAAACCAATTTGCTTTTGAATTGCATTGATAGCCTTATTTTTTTCATCCAAGTCAAATCTGATCTTAGTCCATTCTTTATATTCATTGATAATTTCATCTACAATTTCAACAGAGTCACCTCTCTTTTTTTGAGATACTTTAATTTTTTCTGGTTCTCCTCCTTTTTCAACAAGGAATGCGTTAATGTCTAACATCTTGTCCTAATAAGTATTTAATCTTAGATGAGACTATCAAGTGATGAGATACATTTCAAACTTTGAGTCAGAATTTTTTCGGCTTACCTGTAAATTTTTTTTGGTGTATGTGGTCGGGTGCTTCTGGTGTGTATGTATGCAGGAATATCATTTTTACATACTTTCCTCCAAACTATCTACTATAAACCGTTTTAGTAATAATAATTGTAGTTAGTGCTATAAATCTTGTAGAGTCATTAGTAAACAGAGAATGGATAATTGACTTATAAAAAAGTGGTTGAAGAAATGAAATGAAATGAATGAACTTTTATTTGATAGGCTTACTGGAACTATATCTCCATTAGAATTTGCTACAACATTAACAGAATCATTCTATTCAATCCTTCATCAACGGGCTAAAACTGGAGTATTTCCAGCTAATTGTCATAAGAATGCGGCTGTTAATAGTTTATCATTAGAGACCAATGATTATCAATTTTTACTTAGTGGATGTGCTGATTCATCAATTAAATTATGGGATTTGAAGAAGCAAGAAACGCAACGAAAAGAAAATGAAGTAGATTCTTCATATATAAAAACTGTATCTGAATATGATGACTTTGATTATGATAATCCTGTTGAAACTTTTTCAAATGTAGCGACAATACCTAGAAAATCTGCCCATCAATTTGGGATATCAGGTTTACAATGGTGGCCCTTTGATACTGGAATGTTTGTTACGGCATCTTTCGATCATACTGTTAAGATATGGGATACCAATGAATTAACTCCTGTTCATTCGTTTGATTTGGATAATAGAGTATATTCAATTGATATTTGTGGACAATCTTCACCGAATGGTTTAACATCAACTGCACTAGTAGCAGTAGGTAGTGATCAACCTTTTATTAGATTACTTGACTTACGATCAACTTCTAGTTCACATACTTTAACGGGTCATAAAGGGAAGACTTTAGTAGTTAAATGGCATCCTATTAATCCTAACTTATTAACTTCTGGTGGTTTAGATGGTGAAGTTAAAATCTGGGATATACGACGGAGTAAAAGTTGTTTATGTAGACTTGACATGTTGAAAACGAATACTACTCAGGCAATTTCTTCAGATAATTTAACTAAAGCATCAGTAAAGGCACATCTGGGTCCAGTTAATGGTTTAGTATGGGATGAACTGGGTATGACTTTATATACAGCGGGTAATGATGATAAGGTAAGAGTATGGGATATGGTATCAACTTTAGCTCCACCAGTTAATAAATTGGTTAATTTTGGGCCATTGACCAGAAACAAATATCCCCAAACGATTCCAATGTTATTAAATCCAAAGGGAGAGACTGAATTACAATATTTATTATTCCCATCTGAAAGTAGTGATGTATTTGTTTATCGTACTATCGATGGAAAAATGGTATCTCGATTATCTCGGCGTGGAAGTAAGAATTCAGGTAGAACTACATCAATGGCAAGTGCTGGACCATTTACAGGAACTTATTTTTGTGGAACAATGGATGGAGAGATTTTGATTTGGTCTCCTCATTGGGATAAGCCTAGTGTGAAAGGATTTTTGGAACAAGCAGAACAAACTGAACACGATCTCGATCTCGATCCTCTCCAAACATATAAGGAAAATCAAGAGCAGTTAAAATTGCTCGAAGACGATAAATTTTTTAATGCAAATTCTTAAATTTTGCAGTCACTCCAAAATACGCATAAAAATCTATATGTATAGTATATATAAGAGGGTGCAAAGTTCTGATATTTATTGTAAATAACTTTCACTTCCTTTTCTTCTTTATATTCATAATATAAGATTTAATTAACTTTTAATTGATACCAATGAAGACTCAAAGTTTGATTGCTGCAACTATTTGCTTAGCTCCATCAGTGTGTGCTGGTAACGTAGACTCAAATGTTAATATCGAAGCTCGTGAACATTTCAGAAATGTATCTAAATGGAAATTTTGGAATGGGAATAATACTTTTGTGCCTACAACACTTCTCACAAGAAGAATCAGTCTTCCAACTGGTGTAACCAAATTTCCTAATTTTCCAAGGAAAACTGTTACAGAGACACTTACTGTCACTGCTAATGAAACTGAAGTTAGTATTTTATCTGAGACTAATTTAGAGTTTTCTATTTTGCCAGTATATGAAGCTGCTGAAACTGGTTCTGTAATTAACTTAATTTAATTGTGATTAGTGTTAATCTTTATTATGCTTATATTATGTAATGCTAAGATTATAATTCCCAGAGAAGATTTATTAAATATTCATTAAATGATAATCCCCCTCTTATTTTCAAAAGAATACTACTTGCAAATATACTTCAATACTTTAATACTTCAAACTTTTTAGTTGAATACATTCAATAATATGGGTAATTTACATAGCATAGCAAGACGTGTTCCATTCTTTAAATAATTAACCTCCCTATTAATTTGAATTGATTATATCCAACTGCCTATTGATAAGATCTACAAGATACTAATTATTGTTTATAAATAATCTATTTATCTAAATATATATGTTGTTTTATATTAATAACATCATTACCCGCCAAGTGTTGTTGAAATAGCTGCAAAAGGTTACAAACTCCTGAGACATTTGTCTGAGGTGGTGGGTAGATTAAATGCGACATTCTCTAAAGAATATTTCTGATTTTGGAAAATTCGAGACATTTACCTCCAACAAGTATTAATTAACCCATTATTATAGACTTTTTGAGCTACCGTGAAGATGAAATGGAAGTTACAGATCTTATTGATCCCTAGTAATTATGCATTGTTTCCTACAGAAACAATTAGTCCTGAATTTTTTAAAAAATTCATTCATTTAGTAAGTAGTGATAAGTCGCTAGAAGAAAATTATGATTCTATAAAAGCAAGATATTCTAAATTATATCCCGATGAAAGTCCATTAATAGTTGAAGGTTATCAAGATAAACAAACATATGATCTCGATCCTGATTTTTTAGTTGAAGAAGTATTTGAAAATGGTGATACTTTAAGAATTATTGTGAAAAATGCCTTTTCAAATTCAAGATTAAGTGAAACTCCTCCTCCTATATCTTTAACTACCAGTCCAGATAATGGATCACCTGATGATAGTAATATATCCTTACCACCTCCTACTAGTATTAATGATACAGATCATATAATTCCTAAGAAACGAAAAGCTAAGAGTGTTAATAATAAATTACTTGGTAAGAAAAGAATAACTTCAGGTATGTTAAATTCTCCACCTCAATTGGATGATTTAAGTGAACCTGAAATTGATTCTGAAATTGAAAATGGGAAACATGATGATGCTTATATAGATGATGAAGATCCTACTACTTCGACTCCTAAAAAGAAATCAAAATCAAAACCTAGTATTTCAAAAAAGGATGTACTTAATTTAATTAATAGTAAAAATAAATCTGATAAACGCGTTGATAAGGAGAAATCTCGGATGAGTGAATCTAAAAGACTTTCTCTTATGAAAAGTCTTTCAATTGAAATGAATTCTGATCCTCATACTACTGAAAATGTTAATCGAGGAACACGAGCAGCTAAGCAAGCAGCTCTGATAGCTATATTAGATGAAATAACTCCCAAATCTTCAACTAAATCGAAATCTGTAACAAGTTCCAGTACATCATTGGTAAAACCTTCTTCAAAAGGTTCAAAGACTGCAAAAAATTCCAAAACTTCTGGTACTTCTAAAGCTGCAAAAGAGAAAAAATCATCACTTGGTTTGAAAGATTCCACCCCTATTTTAATCAGTAATGATGATACATCATCACCTAGTCCTGGGGGTAGTAAATCAGAAACTAATTCTATAATAGCTAATAAATCACATCTTCAATCTGAACCTATAGAAATTGCTAGTGATGTGGAATATGATCCAGAACTGAAATTAGGTTCATTTTATGTTAAAATAAAGAATTTTGAACGTCATCTAGATGAAAATATTGATCCAAAAACACATTTACCAAAGAAAATGGATCCATTACCTTATACCGGTAGTAAACTTGAATCTGAAATTTTAGATCCAAGAGTTGAATTAGTACTTCATAGGCCAAAGCCAAAATTAGAATCTCTATTAGAGAAACAAAAAAAAGTCGAGAGGGAAGAGCTCCAAGAAAAGTCCGTTATTTCTATAAATATTAATGAAGAATTAAGTGGTAGTGATGTTTCTTCCCCATCTCCTGCTATATCTAAACCAATTTCTACATCTATAACTACAATAACAAATGAGAATAATGAAAAACAACATCCTTCCGAATCTCATGATGGATCAAATGGTGCAAATATTGAGGTTGAAGGACCAGAAACTTTACAATTGGTTGTTTCAGATTCTGGTTCAGATAAAGGTGGTGAAGGATTTAGATCACCAATTCCTCATGAAGATACTCATGAAGTTGAAGTATCACCAGTTTCAAGTATTTCCTCTAGAACTGATGGTTCATTAACTGCCCCTTCAACCGCTTCTTCGGTTGAACAATTTGTTGAAACTTCAAAAGAATCTTCAGAATCTTCAACTAATTTTAATCCTTCATTTGGTCTGAATATTACTCTGACTTTTGGTCAACCAACTAGTGTAAGTTTTGATAATCCAAATCCATCTAGTGTAAATTTTAATCAAGGATCATCAAAAACTCTGTTGGGTGAACCTGCCAAGTTAATTAATGATTATACTAAAAAAGATAGTATTGGAATAAGTTCTAAGATTTCCAATGCGAGTTCTACGCAAACGAATAGCATATTTAAAGAGAATAGGACATCTGGGTCAACCCCTTCCTTTAAGACCACCCTAGTTAAAAGTATTTTTGGAGGTTCTGCAAGAGGTAGTAGCTTATTCAAGAAATCTTCATCTGCATCAATGAAGAATGAACATTTCCGAATTAGAGAACGAGCTCTAGCACGTCAACATGTTAGTCCTGCAAAATTAATGAATAATTCTCGTTCATTTTCTTCATCTGAAGCATCTAGTGAAGATGATAATTCAGAATTAGATGGCGATAGAGATAGAGATAGAGATAGTAGAAAATCTAGATTAGTGGCTGCATTCCCGCTTAGAAGTGATCTGAAAAAGCATAAATCTGTTACCTTTTCAGAAGAAACCACTTCTATACCTGAAGATATTTTAGGGTATCATGAAACTAAAGATGATGGAATTGATTCAGATCCAAATGCATATGCATACACAAATAATAATAGTAATGGTAATGGTAATGGTAATGGTAATAGTAATAGTAATAGTAATGGTAATAGTAATAGTAGTAATAATAGTAATAGTAATGGTGATGGGAAAACTAATACTAATTCTCGTGCAGGTGGTTCAATTGATAGGGTTATAGCACCAGATGCTCCTAAATTAAGTTTTGCTAAATTTATGGAAAGTCGAAAGTCGGAATTGGCTTCGGAATCAAAATCTGATGAACAAAAGGTTGGAGAATCCATTAAAAAACCGGTATTATCATCATTAGATGATATTGATTCTATAGCTGATGTTAAGGATAAGGAAAGTCCTTCTCCTATTCCTAACAATACCATTTCTAATTTTCTTACTCGTAGTTTTGATTCCACTAATGATGATAATGATGAAAGTACTAGTGAAGATGATACTATAAATTCTAGTAATGAGAAATTTCTTCATTTAAAGAATGTCGATGGTCCTCTACAATCTTAGAAGGTTATTATTGTTTTAATATGTTTGTGTATATTCAGTTCGCTATCGTAGGCATTGTATTAAAGAAAGAAAGAATATATTAATTGAAATATTTGTATTATGTTTTATTACGAATCTAATATAATTTATCATTAACGCTTATGATAAAGACTTCTGCCTATAATATTTGTTGTCCATGATTTATAAGTTATATCAGGAGGTAATACCGAAGTAATTGCCCTTAATATTTCATTATAAATATCACCAATAAACTTTTCTGCAACTTCTGGTTGTTCAATTAATAAAGCTGCCATATAACTTTCAAAATAATCTCCTAAGAATTCTTCTTCATAAATTCTGGTCTCTGATATATCCCTTTCAGGATGTAATGTACCAGTAAATAAATAAGGAAGATATTCTTTCCTTATTATATTTTGAATTATTTCATCTCCTAATCCAATATGTAAGTTATATGCTATAGTTAATTTTGATAAAAGTGTATTGGTTGCCATCATAATTCTTAATAATTGATAGGTATTATTATTTACTACTTTATTTCCATCTTTACAGAGTTCATAAATCAATCTAGTTGTTTCATGAGCTAAAAATAAATCACCTAATCCATCTAAAAATGATAATTCATATTTCAATATTCTATATTGCTTATGATCTAAATTAGAATATCCATGCTCTATCAATTTCTTTGCAAATTCATGGTTAGGAACCAATAATAATCTATAATATTCTCTATGCATTAAAGCTTTAGCTAATAATTCTTTATCATGAATTTTTGGTAAGGCTGGTAACATGATCCTATCAGATGTTGCTTCATGAAATGTTATATATGGTTTTTCTTTATTATTATATAATAAATTATAATCAATATTGACATGTTGAAAATATTCTTTTAATAAAGATAATGCTAAAGCATCTTGTTTATCAGAAATCTTTGGAATATGAATTATTTTATTTCTTGTTTCCATATAAATATCGATTATTTTATCTAAGAATTTCTCTACTTCTTTCTCATTATATGATTGAGATAAATAACCAAATATTATGTATAACCAATGCCTTAATTGTAAATGATGATCAGATGATATAAATGGATCTGCATTAACTAAGAGTGATTCATTAGAATTTAAAAAGTCCTTTAATTTCTTAGATGACTCACTGGTAGAATCAGTCAATTCCTTTCTAATAAATGACGTTATATCATAAACAACTTCTTTTATTATACTACCACCTCCAACAAATAATAAATGTTTAAATCTTCTGTATGATTCTAATCTTAACAAGTCAAATCCTAAACTTGAGAAATGAGCCTTTACAAATTTATTGGATTGTAAGATAGCATTCAATTGCTGAGGAATTAAGATATTTGGATGTTTAGTTGTATTTCTATATTGAGGATGAATAGTAGTAGTTGCAGTAGTATCAGTAGCAACCCTAGCAGTGGTAGTAGATGATGAAGAGAGATTAGAATTTCTTATCGCAGTGCCAGATAACATTCCTTTATGTGAGATCCTCGTAAAGATCAGAAAGTTTATCATTGACTTGAACTATATATAAACTTACAGACAGGAAGGGAATTATTTATATATTTTTAAATATCTCCAATTCCAAACTATATACTATAACATGATATTTACCCCAAACGTGTATGAATCATCCTGTATAATACCTTTGTTTGTATGACCCATTTCTTAACCCCACGAGCTGCGCGCAATTTCAGTTTGTTTACAATTACATTTTTTGCACCTACTGATAAGGATGATGCATGACTGTTGCTTTAACCTTATGTATAGGTCACAATCACAACAATAAAGAATATGTTTATTATGTATGTTCCTGTCTATAATTGGTTTATTTGTATGTATATTGGATGTTACTGTATCCTAAGACTTCTTTTGGTTGATTACTGATGTGGCAGTATGACTCTTAAGTAGTAAAGCGCATTTTACACTTATGCAGCTATTAACTATTAGCGAATAATTAAATTAAACCTAAATTTAGTATTTAAACTCCACTAGACTAATATGATTTCTTATGACTAATAAGTAATCTGTCACAATCTGACATTGTGTTTGAATTATCTATTTCTCCATACTCTTAAGGGGTTAAAACATCCTTAGGATAATCCTCTTTACTGTGCAGCTTTGCCCTGTATTGGAAAGACTCTTACTGTGGCTTATAGTTGACCTCAACCTATACATCCTAATAAACTTTGAATAAATTTTAGTTATTTTGGTCATGCTAATTTTGTTAGATTTTAACAGTATTTTTACAATGACTCATTGAAACGCTAGCACTCAAACTCTCTTTCACTAATTAATGCTGAAATTTAATAATAAATAGTAATAATGGATATATTAAAGAATATTTAACAGAATTTCTAGGAATTGAATCTAAGAAGAGGAAATTTAGTATTTACGTAGTCAGCTATTATTTATAAGGGACCTACAAAAAATAAAGAATAATATAGTCAGTATTAATAAAAATTGTACATCCTACTTGGGAAGTAAACGCAGTATTCATTAAGTTAGAATATTTTACAATAAATATGAAACAGCTAATCCTAATTCAAGACACTAATCTATTTATGAAACACTCTAGAACCTAAGTGGATCTATTTATATTATAAGGCACGTGAAAAATATCACGATTTTTTAGAATTTTCCTGCATATAAGCGTATAATGCTAGCATTGCTTTAATTGAAGAAAATATTCATTCGTCTAAAGGACGGGATAGCTTAGCAGCTTCCTTAAAAAGCTGAAATTGCTTGATTCTTAGTACGGCGATAGGCGGTATGAGCCCAACGGTTCGAGGCCTGCCAGGAACAGAACGAATAATCCGGTGCGACAGCCTAGCCCGCTGGAAAAAGATCGGTAACGATCGAATGGTTTAGCGACCTCTGAGGGGAAAACTTAATAGTATCCTCAAGAGTACCGGGAGGGAAACCTATTAGCTAAATGCACTAGGAAGTACCCACTAAACGCATTGGTGGAAACCTATTCATCGCCTATTAGCGACTAGCACTCGCACTAGGGATTCTAGGGAGTACCGGCGTAAAGAAAAGTTCGTAGTGAGAGGCATGGAAACCTGCTCGCTGGTCATAAATGGTTAGCTACCATACCAGCAGTGTACGGTGAAAAGCCTAGTCGACGATTAACTTAGTGAAGGCCTCTTACTTGAAAGAATAGCTTCTTCAGTAACGAGAGTTAGTAACAGAAAGCTTAGCGGCATTCAAATAGCGGGACTGATCCTCCCTAAATTTGGGCACCCACACAACCTTAGTGGGCACTTTTCTTTTGCGGCTTTAGCTCAGTTGGGAGAGCGTCAGACTGAAGATCTGAAGGTCCTGTGTTCGATCCACAGAAATCGCATTCTTTTTTGGTATTTAAGTATGAGAATCATGAATACTGATATTATATTTTTGCAAATAGTATACAACCCTTCATTATTTTAATATGTCATAGTGGTTTTACGTCTGCTAATTTTCTTCTCGCTATATTTTTCTCGCTATTTTTTTCTCGTTATTTTTTTCTCGCTATTTTTTTCTCGCTATTTTTTTCTCGCTATTTTTTTTTTCGCTTATGTTTTTCTGGCTATTTTTTTTTCTCGCTAATCTTTATCGCAAATGTTTATCGCTAGGCTATTCGGCTATTCATTAATCATTATATATATATAGAATACAACTATTAGGCAACGGTCTCTAAATTTAATTTACAGAATTGTCTTAATTCTATAAATTCTTGAGTTAAAAAGTCATTAAACACAGTTTCTCCAATAATCAACTTAAAGTTGCAAAGATATAAAAAGGATACTTCTAATCTGAATAAATCTTTAGTAGTGATACCTCCTACTGTAGCGAATGATTTCTGTTTCTGATAAACATCTTCTAATTTTTTTGTTGAACATCTAATGGAAGCAAGAATTAATCTATAGACATTTGATTGAGTTAAGGGGACAATATCTAATAAAACACATAATTTAAATAACATGGAAGCAGAATGAATGTAAGAAGTTACCGAAATTGATGATGAATAAGTTTTAATTCGAACAAGAAATTGTTCAATAGTTAACGGAGGTATCTTAATCAATTTAAATATTTTAAGAAGATGACTTGTTTGAGTTTGACGTTTTAAATCTTGATTGTAGGCATATTCCTTTCTGAATTTTTCATGATTTATATCGCTAATAGGATTTTCAATTGGATCTAAACAAGAGTTTTGAACAAGAATTTCAATAGGGATATAAGGTGGATGAGACTTATCGGTCACATTATCATCTAAATTATCACTATTAGCCAATGAATCTGGAGTTGATTCTCGAAATGAAGTTACCAATCCTTCTTTAGAAAGAGTATTACTATTAAGTTTAGCAAACTTTAATGGAGGTGATAATGGAGGAGTGGCAGAACGACCAGGAGGCATAGTTGATATATTGGAATCATTTAATGTATACATTATACTGTCTGAATTTATAGTTGGTGGTTGTAATGGTTGTGGTTGTGGTTGTGATGGAGGAGGAGGAGTGAATTGGTTAATTTCATCTAAATCAATACCATATCGAGCTAACTGTTGACGTCTAAACTCAACAAAGAGTTCACGATTTGATTGTAATTTGATGATATCACTAAGAGTTGTACACATAATGATTATGGCATGGAAGACATGAAGGTTATTGATGGTTTTAATTCCATGTGCGATATCAAACACCAATTCATCTAGGGAGACTTCATCGATGGAAGTAGGATCATCAACGAATGTTTCTTGTGACGGTTTTAACGGTATATCACTAATTTCCTTGACGTAGGACATACTGAACAGATCGGTGAATAGTGAGTGATGGTGAGTGGTGATAGTGAGTAGTTACTAGTGAGTGGTGACTAGTGAGTAGGTAGTAGATAGTAGTGAGTAGTGAGTAGTCAATATTGAGTAGTAATTTATGAGAAGTGAAAGTAAAGAACGTTAAATAACGGTAGTATAATAAATGAACGATAGATTCAGCAGGACTAGGGAAGGCTGAGGAAATAAATTTAAGACTTAGTGAACTTAGTGTAGCGAGTAGTAGCGAATAGTTACTAGTTAGTAGTGAAAATACGCGCCGATGAGAACACCCATTAACTAGAAATATTTTGTACTGATCTGTTTTTAGCGTGGTCATTCACAGCTAAAATTTGCGAATGTGAATGTGAATAGCGGTGAAAAAATGTAGTGAAGAAATTAAAAATTTCACTTTCGGCAGTCATGTGACTTAAAATCTGAATCAGAGTTGAGGTTACATTAATTATGGGGTAATTTGTTAGAGATCAATAGAGTTACTATCGTTGTCGTTTATTATACATTTGCTAAAAGTTAATAAATTTCATAATACTACCGGTAGTTTTACTGTCTCACTGGCAGTATTACTATCTTTCTGATAATTATTGACATCCATACCAATTGTATTGATTGATGTTATTACCATGACAACAATTGATAATAACCTTCTTTTACATAAAAACTTCTATCAGTCACGCTCATAAATGTAAACAAATATTAAATATAGAATAAATATATAGGATTTACTAGTAAAACAAAAATTACAAGCCCTCGGAACTAAATCAAAACAGACACGCTCAGACAAAAACAAAGATTAAAAATCTTTCTTCGCGCAATTACGCATAAATCAGACAAAGGACGACTCTATACCACGACATTATTATAAATAGAAAAGCGATTATTTTAAATGTAAACATATGCACGACATTCGACCCTCTAAATTTTTTTTTTCTTGGAGACATACAGCCCTTTTCCCCCTAATAAAATTTATTAGATCCCACCGATTTGGACCGACATCACCACATCCCTAACCAACCACTTATTACAACCATTCTGATTGTTTTAGTTGTTTACTTGTTATCACTAATTCAAGTTTCTTCTAATCAACCAACTGGATCAGAATCATCACCCACGGAATACAGACCATCCGTGCCGATCAGATCATAGGATCGTTTCTTTTTTTTCCATTTCCATTACGTAAAGGGCCTTGCTTATAATAAAACACCGTATCATCAAATATATCACTATTAAAAGTAAAAGTGATTTGATTTAATTTGATTTAATTTGATTTGATTTAACTACTAAGTGAATTATACTAATTATAATTCCTTATCACCATCTGTTTGTTTATATCTACTACATTTATTCATTATGTTAATACTATATAAATCCGTATGGACTTTAATATTGTTCATATCATGGTTAATAACTCCTACTTTAGCTAAACGAGCCCTTTCAGCAACTTCTTTAGTTACATGTATGCAAGGGTCACAAATTTCTCCTTCATATTTTAATGTTACATTTAATCCTGATGATAGATCTTTAACTTATTCATTAGATTTAGCTACAGAAATTTCTTCTTATGTTCTTGCTCATGTTCAAGTTTATGCTTATGGATTCTTAATCATTGAAAAAGATATTGATATGTGTACTTTAGGTTGGAAACAATTTTGTCCTGTTTATCCTGGTTCAATGCAAATTGAATCTATTGAATATATTAGTGAAGATTATGTAAAGATGATTCCTGGTATTGCTTATCAAGTTCCTGATATTGATGCAGTAGTTAAAGTGGTAGTAAGAGATCGTTCAACTGGTGTTCAATTATCATGTCTTCAAGCTGGATTTTCTAATGGGAAAACTATTAGTCAAACTGGTGCTAAATGGGCCACGGCCGTTATTGCTGGTTTAGGATTATTAATTGCTGCTATATTATCAACATTTGGAAATTCAAATGCAGCTTCTCATATTTCAGCTAATGCAGTCTCATTATTTCTTTATTTTCAAAGTGTCGTATTAGTTTCAATGCAAAGTGTTGAAAGAGTTCCTCCTATTGCTAGTGCTTGGGCAGAAAATTTAGCCTGGTCTATGGGACTTATTAAAGTTCAATTCATGCAAGATATCTTCCGTTGGTATGTTCAAAGTACTGGTGGAACTCCTACCACATATTTCGTTGGTACCACTACTCAAATCTTAGTTCAAAGAGCTGTTGATTATCTTAATGTACTTCATGATCATGTTAAAAGATCACTTGAATTTGGATTAGAATCAAATGCTAATTTGGTGGTATTAAGAGGTATTAAAAGAATCGGTTATAATTCTCATATTGAACCTACTTCCATTGTTGTCACGGGATTTACATTCTTTATACTTATAGGATATTTATTAGTATTCATTTTGGTAATTATTAAATCGGTGCTTGATTTATTAATTAGATCAGGAAAATTGAAGTCTAGACCATTTACTCATTTCCGATTAAATTTCTCGCAAATCTTAAAGGGATCAATATTGAGATATATTTATATTGGATTTACTCAATTGATTGTTTTATCATTATGGGAATTTGTTCAACGTGATTCTCCAGCCGTTATAGTACTTGCAATTCTTTTCCTTTTATTACCATTAAGTGTACTTGCTTATTCATATTATAAAACCCTTACATTTGGTAAGAAATCAATTCAAAAGCATAAAAATCCAGCTGCTATCTTATATGGAGATGGGAAATTCTTAAATAAATTTGGTTATTGTTATACTATGTTTCATGCCAATAAATATTGGTTTGGAGTAGTCATTTTATCCTATAACTTTATTAAAGGGATCTTTATTGCTTTTTGTCAAGGTTCAGGTAAAGCTTCTGCTTTAATCTTATTTATTGTGGATCTTGCTTATACGGCCTATTTAATTTATGTTGGACCTTATTTAAATAAACCAACTAATATTCTTAATTATTTGATTTCTATTGTCACTACTTTGAATTCATTTCTTTTCATATTCTTTTCTGATTTATTTGGTCAACCAGCTTCGGTGGCTTCTATTATGGGTTGGGTATTTTTCATATTAAATGCCGCCTTTTCATTAATTCTTTTGGTATTCATTATTGTTTTAATTGTTATGAGTATTATCTCCAAAAATCCCGATGCAAGATTTGCTCCTGCTAAAGATGATAGATCATCATTCCAAAGAAAATCTTCTATTAAACATCGTAGTTTCTTTGGAGATTCTAAAAAACAAGGTATAGAAGAAGAAAAACCAGTTAATACTAATGGTGAACTTGCTGCTTTAGGATTGGCTGCTCAAGATCATGCTACCGATTGGGAAGCTCAAATGTATAAATTAAATGATTTATCAGGAGAAGAAACTAGTAATAATGATATAATTACTCCATCAGATGATGGTAATGAATATGAAGCTAAAGAAACTTCAGGAGGTGGATTCTCTCGATTAAAGAGTATGGTGGCAAGAAAACTTTCTACAAAAAGACATATAGATTCTGCAAGAGATACTACTTTAGTAAGTAGTAGTTCTGATTCCAGTAATAGAAAATCAAATATCAGAATGAGTGATACTTTAATTCCTAGTAATGGTGAAGAAGAAGAAGAAGAAAATAATGATGAATATGACCACTTTGACGAATCAATAAATCACACAGCTCCTCGTATGGTGCAGCACAATAGAAATGAATCTAATTTCTCATCCAATTCCATAAATAATGGGCCTACTCATACTACAAATATTGTATAAGTTATCCCCTTGCATTATGTTGTTGTAAAAACTTGTTTGTATTTTAATTTTTTGTACTTTTATACCGTTACCATTATACACTTGTCATGTGCTTAGAGATGTAATCTCCCATAATTTTTGTAAATTTTGTAGATGTACTAAACCTGATTTTCCATAAGAAAGAAATAAATTTGATTTCTGATCTAAAGAAAGGACCAGTTCAAATTTAGAAATTAAACTATCATGAGATGTTAAACTTGGATTCTCCAGTTCATCAGCCCAATTCAAATGGTTTCTAAGTAATCCATTGAAGTCAATAGGAGATAGTAATTTGTTTAAATAGTTAGCCGTAGTAGATATTGCTTTAGAAATTAAATGAATATCAGCTTCTGAATAATCATAATCTTCATTAACTTCAATTTTAGTAGCCCAAGTATCTTTATACATATCAGGAGTATTAGAAGTTGAAAATCGAACATTTAGAGGACTAGCTGTTGAAAGATAGGGAATGGTTTGAGTTAAAGCAGGATTAAAAATATTAAATAATTTATTCAGAATCCACTGCTGAGTACTATCAGCAGCAATTAAGGGCAGAATCGGTTTGGATAATGATGGTTCACATTTCAAATCGACGGATTTGAGGAAATCAGTTGGACTGAACAGTTGAAATATTTGTTTCTTTTGTTCAGCACTAATTGAACATTCAAAGAGTCCACCTACAAATGTTTCTGGAACATAGAAGGATAATTTCTGTTTAGCATACTTTCTTCTTCTTGCCATCTTGTAACATACAAAATTTCTAGCTTCCCATTCCATTACTGACTGAGGATCTGATTGAATAATATCTTCATAGTGTTGACGAGATTTATTACCGGTATACTGAATCAGTTTACCACTAGTTAGACTTTCTACTGTTTTATCAAATACATGTCGAACAAGATTTCGTAGTCCCACCACTTTGTTAAGCACTACCAGCTTGATTCCACTAGTACCTTCATTTGTAGTATCAATCATTTGCGTTACTTCGATATCATTATCCACTAAATTAGCGATAGTATCTTCAGGCTTTAAAGTCATCATATCCCCCAATTTAGGTTTAAACAAACAGAATGGTCTATCCCAATCTACCCCTGAACTACTTTGGGTCCTAATATGCTTCTGATAATCCACAATTCCATGATCACAGTGGGTTAGGACAAGAAAATGCATACTAACTGGATGCAACAATCCGGCTATCTTGTACTGACGATTGATCTTAAATCCACTGAAAGGGAGTTGGTTGGTTCCACTGGGATCACATATCTTGTTTTCAGTGAAGTACCATGTACCACTAACTAGCCCCACACAGCTTATCCACACTAGAATCACTAGAACTCCAAGCATTATCGTTTATAATACAGACTCTGGGTGCGATTGGCTGCCAAAATCACCACTAAAATTTGTGCGAATAAAGATATCTAACAATAAATATTTGTATAACTTGAATAACATATATAAAAAGAAGTAAAGAAATTATATAAAAAACAATCATAATCTTGATAGATAAAAACCATTGTATAACTCTTCCAGTAAGATTCATATTTGGAGAATAAATAAACATCAGATTTCCATAATGGACCAATCTGAAATGTTTCCTCTTATGAAGCCAAATACTTAAATAAACCAATATAATAATAACATAATAACATAACAACACAATAAAAGAATAACTTAATAACATAATAACATAATAACAAAAAAATCAAAATTTAAATCGACAAAACCAAAAACCAAAACCAAAAGCCAAAAAATTAAATAACCAAAATTTGTAATAAACTTTGCCAATCATAAGTTATATAATGAGCTCGATTGTGACAAAATTTGTGGTATATATATGGGTCACTACTAAATTTAGATCTGTTGATATTTGAAATTCTTTTACTATAATTGTTCTGAATCTACACCAAGACCAAGAGGATTTTCTATTTCATTAATTCTGTGTTCGAAATCAAGATTTAAAACTTCCTGAACCTCTCTAAATGCGTCAAATTGGCCTCTAAGGGTCCTAAGATCATCTTCAAGGTTTGTTAGGAGCCACTCAAATAATTCAATAATATTTGCACCTTCAACTAATTCTTCCAAAGGCTCACTTATAGTAGATAATAGGAGCATTACTGTTAGGACTATTTTAATTTTAATAACAGTACTCCAAATTAATACAAGTGTGAGTATTTGAGTTAATCCAGCGACTCCATGGATTGAACGTCTGACACCAGTAATAACACTTCTATGGACAACATTTGTTGGTCGGGGTGACGTACCTTCTACTTCAGCTTCAACTGGTTGTTCCATATTCTTCTTTGATTTTGATATAGAATTTTGGTAAAGGGTTATAGTTTTGGCTGGGTTTTATAAGTGGCCAAGGACGAAGGATACGCCTTCTAACTCTCAGACGAGGAATGTATTTGGAAGTACTGGAAACTATTCTTATATGTTTAAATGATGGTGATAGGTATTTGTATTAATATATTAATTCACAGTTTTTTGAGCTTACCCATTTTTTTGCAGCTATGAAGCATATTGGTGCATAAGCGAGCCGCACATACATCTTCACTCGTGATCAAGCACATGACCCGCTAAATAAATTTTACGATGAGCAGAGATAAATTGAAAAACCTGAAAACTATATACTTAATAAGAGAAAGAAACATCAGTAACAGCAATGGAATCACAGCAGTCCAACAAGCCGCATAGGGGCGGGACGGCCAAGACCACTGCTAAGAAGAAGTTACATCAGAATGGTCAAAATAAGAAGGCATTTGCCGTGAATGCACCTCGAAAGTTGGAAAGAATGGCCAGAAGATCTCATGATGTTAATGAAAAGAAGTTGCATGTACCCATGGTGGATAGAACCCCTGATGACGATCCTCCTCCAGTGATTGTGGCTGTAGTGGGACCACCAGGTACGGGGAAAACCACTCTTATTAAGTCATTAGTTAGAAGATTAACTAAAACTACTTTAACAGAAATTAAAGGACCTATTACAGTAGTTAGTGGGAAACGTAGAAGATTAACATTTCTTGAAGTTAGTAATGATTTAAATTCCATGATTGATGCAGCCAAAATAGCTGATTTGGTACTTATGCTTGTGGATGGAAATTATGGACTTGAAATGGAAACTATGGAATTCTTAAATATTGCTCAACATCATGGGATGCCGAGAGTTTTAGGAGTTGCCACCCATTTAGATTTATTTAAATCTCAATCTACATTAAGAACATCTAAGAAACGTTTGAAACATCGGTTCTGGACTGAAGTTTATCAAGGTGCTAAATTATTTTATTTATCAGGAGTTATTAATGGAAGATATCCTGATCGTGAGATCTTAAATTTAACAAGATTTATTTCAGTTATGAAGTTTAGACCATTAAAGTGGAGAAATGAACATCCTTATTTATTAGCTGATAGAATTACTGATTTAACTCATCCTCAACAAGTAGCAGATGATCCAAAATGTGACAGAAAAGTAGCTATTTATGGTTATTTACATGGTGTACCATTACCATCTCAAGATGCCACCATTCATATTGCTGGAGTTGGTGATTATACTGTACATTCAATAGAAAAACTTCCTGATCCATGTCCTACACCATATTTTGAACAAAGATTAGATGATTTAGAAAGAGAACGAGCCAAAGCTGCAGCAGCTGAAGGTCAAGAAGTTGCTAAAACCACCAGAAGACGTAAGAGATTAGAAGATAAACAAAAGATTATCTATGCCCCCATGTCGGATGTTGGAGGAGTCCTTGTAGATCGAGATGCTGTCTATATTGATGTAGGAGCTAAAGAGTCGTTCAATAAAGATACTGAAGAAGAACTTGGAGAAGGAGAGAAATTCGTGACGGACCTTCAAGATGTCCAGAAGACAATGCAAGAAAGACTTGAAGAGGGTCCTGGTTTGCAGTTATTCTCCAGTTCATCTGCTCTCAATAGAATTGGCGAAGAAGAAGAAGAAGAAGAAGACGACGACGACGAAGATGAAGAAGAGGACTACGATGAGGACGATCAAGTGGTGGTTGATTCCGGAAGAAAAGCCCTCAGAAGACCCAACGTCTATGGCAAAAGCATTGCCGAGGATGATGAGTTTGATAACGAAGTGTCGGACGACGACGAAGACCACTACGACTCTGATGAACCAAAATTGGTTGATATTGATTTCTCCAACGATAACTATGCCAATGATAAGTTGGAGTATGTAGAAGACTCGTCCTTAGAATCAGATGAAGAGCCTGCCAGTGTGGCTGCTCGTTTACAGGGCAGTGTACGTAGACGATGGGATATCAATAAGTTATTATACTTGAGCAATATCGATCCAGCAGAAGTAATTAAGAGATGGAAGGGTCAAGAAGAAGATGATGAAGAAGAGGAAGAAGATATTGAACAAGAAGAAGATTTCTTTACCAAGAAGAGTTCAGCCGAAGTGTCTGAAGATCTCGATCAATTCCAGCCTACTTATCCATCTATAGATATCTTAAGAAAGAAGTATGAAGATAGTGATGAAGAGTATGAGAATGGATATAAGTTCTTAAAGGACAGATTCCTTGTGGCACCAAAGATGAGTGAAGAGAATGGAGACGAAAAGGAGGGAGATGAGGAAGAAGTGTATGGAGACTTTGAGGATTTAGAGGGAGAAGGAGAAGACGGAGAAGAAGGCGGAGAAGAAGAAGAAGAAGAAGACGAGGATGACTTTGCCGACTTTGATGCCGAAGAACAAAAGGAGGAAGAAGAAGAAGAGGAAGTGGACGACGAGAATCTCACTACTGAACAAAAGAGACAGCTCAATGCCGAGAAGAAAGCTAAATTAAAGATGCAATTTGAAGAAGAAGAGGATCGGGAGTTTGGAGCCGACGATCCGGAAGAAGAAGCCGAGACATGGTATGAATTTCAAAAGAATAAGATGGCTAAACAATTAGAAATTAATAAGGCCGAATATGAAGAGATGGATCCGGAACAAAGAATCAGTATCGAGGGATACCGGGCCGGATCTTATGTTAAGATTGTATTTGAATCACTTCCTTGTGAATTTGTTAATAATTTACGTCCGGAATTCCCTATAGTATTAGGAGGATTACTTGCGACCGAATCGAGATTCGGAATCATGAATGTCCGGATTAGAAGACACAGATGGCATAAAAAGATTTTAAAATCTCAAGATCCTCTTATTCTTTCCTTAGGGTGGAGAAGATTTCAAACCTTACCAATCTATACTACATCTGATTCTAGAACTAGAAATAGAATGTTAAAGTATACTCCCGAACATGCGTATTGTTTTGCCTCATTCTATGGACCTTTAGTGGCTCCAAACACGACCTTTGTCGGATTTAATATTATCGATAAATCATCAACCACCGGATCTTTTAGAGTGGCTGCAACAGGAATAGTTGAAGATTTAAATTCATCAGTTGAAATCGTTAAGAAATTAAAATTGGTAGGACATCCATATAAAATCTTTAGAAATACTGCCTTTATTAAGGATATGTTTTCTAATGCATTAGAAGTAGCTAAATTCGAAGGAGCCTCTATAAGAACCGTTTCGGGAATTCGAGGAGAAATTAAACGAGCACTTTCTAAACCGGATGGCCATTTCCGAGCAACTTTTGAAGATAAAGTATTAATGTCAGATACAATCTTTTTAAAGACATGGTATCCTGTACCAGTTAAAAAATTTTATAATCCAGTAACTTCTCATTTATTACGTGATCATGATGAATGGAAAGGTATGAGATTAACTGGACAAGTTCGAGCCGAAAATAATATTGCTACACCATTAAATTCTGATAGTGCTTATAAAAAGATTGAAAGAACTGAAAGAAGATTTAATGCACTTAAAGTTCCAAAATCTATAAAGGCTTCTTTACCATTTAAATCTCAAATTCATACTATGAAACCTCAAAAGAAATCAACTTATATGGCTAAACGTGCTGTAGTGGTTGGTGGTGATGAAAAGAAAGCTAGAGATTTAATGCAAAAGATTGCTACTGTTCGAAAGGAAAAGGAAGCTAAACGGAAATCTAAAAAGAGTGATAAATTTAAAGAAAGACTAAAGACAATTGCTAAGAAGGAAGAATTCCGAAAGGAGAAGGAAAGAGAACGAAAGAAGGAATACTTCCAGAAAGAAGGAAAGAAACGGCCTTTAGCTGCAAGTAGTTCCAATGCATTTGGAAAGAGACAGCGTACATAGACATACATAGACTTAAAATATATATTAGCTAATTTACTAATTTACTAAACCTATAAGTGATATTCGACTAATCGCAGATCAGCCGTCAATAAGTCATCATCGGCCCAAACTATCCGCATAACATCATGGAATTCTCGTGCATAGTATATTTGAATTCCGAATTTCCGCAAGTAGAACTTTTCCACTTGATCCATCTTAAATTCGACTTCTTCATTGTCTCGAAGTAATTCAGTTAATACTCCAGTTCCGATAGGTTCACCGGCTTCTTCAATGCTTCGACCATACTCTTCAATAAGATCTTTCCGATTCTCCCGAGGAATGATCATTCGCTTAATATGACCATTTAAATGAGCTCCCATTAATTTTTCTTTAACTCCTCCAATTGGTAATACTAAACCTCTTAAAGTAATTTCTCCTGTCATTGCGATATCCGAGGGCACGGCCCGGTCCAACACCACCGATAAAAACAGAAGTGCCATAGTAATTCCGGCCAGGGGTCCATCCTTAGAAATTGATCCCATAGGTACATGCATATGAATATCTAAATTATTGAATTTATCAATTAAATATTCATCTGATTGATCTTTAATATTGAATAAATTTTTATATATCAACAGCTTAATAAATGTTAATCCAATCTTACCACTTTCCATTAATACATCTCCTAATCGACCAGTCATATTTAATGAACACCCGGAATTGGAGTTACCTCCATTACGATTACCAATCCGTTTATCAAATCCAATACTTTCAAATACAAGTACTGAACCTGATCCATCAGAATTATAAGATAATCCATTAACGATTCCAACTCGCGATCCATTGTACCCCGGGTCGGAACTGGCGCCGCCCCCGGAACTATAAGGAATTCCTAAATAAATTGGTAAATCATTTTCATCAATAGTTCCATTATAATTCTTATGAGAATTCGAAAGATTTTCACAATATTCTACTGCCTTAAACCGACAGATAGTACCTAATTTCCGTTCGAAATTCCGAACTCCAGCTTCTCTTGTATAGTCTACAATAATCTTTTTCATTACCAGTTCCGGGATTTTAACATTCCCCATATCAATTCCATTCCGTTTAATTTGTCGAGGTAAAAGATACTTTTTACCAATAATTAACTTTTCATTATAATCATAGGCTCCTACTTGAATCATTTCAAGTCGATCTAATAATGGTCGAGTCATATTATGCGGTTCATTGGCTGTACAAATAAAGATAACTTGAGATAAGTCGACGGGGAATCCTAAATAATGGTCAATAAATGTATTGTTCTGTTCTGGATCAAGCACTTCTAATAAAGCTGCTGATGGATCTCCATTAAATTTATTAACTCCATTATTACCCCCAATAACTTTATCAATTTCATCTAATAAAATGACGGGATTCATGGACCGAGATTTTCGTAACGCTTGAATAATAAGTCCGGGCATAGCACCAACATAAGTTCTTCTATGACCTCGAATCTCACTTTCATCCTTAATACCTCCGAGAGAAATCCGTTGAAAGTTCCGACCTAATGCGGTAGCAATAGATTTAGCAAGGGAAGTTTTACCAGTTCCAGGAGGTCCTGCTAACATAATAATTGGTGATTTATTAGTTTTACTAATACTAAGTGATTCAGCCGTAGGAATGTCACGATTAGTTTTAGTTATAGAAGTCTTATTTTTATTCTGTGCTTGTTGATGAGCTACTGATGTCTCATCATTATTGGCAATAACTATAGACCCCGAACCAGACCCAGAAGTAGAAGTAGAAGTAGAACTGGATCCTGAACCATTTGAGTCGGCAACTACAGCATCTGATAATGAAGACTCCTGATCAACAGAGGTCTTATCAGCATTCATACCTAATAACTTTAATACAACAAGATACTGAATCAACCGTTTCTTAACATGTTCAAGTCCATAATGATCATCATCCAATTGTTTCTTAGCAAATACCAAATCAATCTCCTTATTGGTTTTAAATCGAGTCACATACCGATCCCAAGGAATATCCATAACAATCTCAAGATAGTTCCGGATGACATGGAAGTCGGAATTGCCTCCACCTCCCGGTCCATTACTTGCCGATTTGATTCGTTTAAAGTCTTTAACAATTAATCGTTTAGAATCCGAGCTTAATGAACTAATGGTAGGAAGTTTATTCTTAATGAAATTAGTAATGGCTCGTAATTCATCATCATCTTCTTCATCTTCTTCATCTTCATCCATTACTTCTTCAACATCACCAGCTGATTTAGTACCTACACGACGAGGTTTAGGAGTTGAAGAAGATGAAGAACCCGAACCCGATCCTCCATTGGTTGACCCAGAAGACAGCAGTTGACGATTAGTACTATTACCCAATTTATTCTTGTTGGTCATACCTTCTAAAAGAAGTCGAATAGATTTCAACTGATTAGCCACCACATTAGCCTTTTGAATATTGGTGGCTTCATTATAAAACCAATGACTAATAAACTTATTATTCTCATGTAAATGATCAAAAGTATCAATCAATAAATGAATCATATCTTTAATACATCCATTACGATCTTCAACATTAAGTTTACTCAATAATCGTAATTTAAGATTATTAGGAAATGGAAGTATACCTCCTGTAAGATCAATTAATCTTAAATATGTTTTAGTATCAACCTTATTATTATCATCTCCAAATTGACTATAGAGTCTTTGTAAACTAACAAACGCCTTTGAAAAGTCTTTAGATCCCGATAATTGTAAGTAAAGAGCAGTAGCCAAAGGATTAAGTATTAATAAATCACTATCATCATGAGCTGGAGTCGTTGGATTAGGAGTTGAAGACTGATTTTGAGATTTAGAACTCTTCTTATTAACTAATGATAAACCAGAATTCTTTCCATTAGCAGCATGACGACTCAAAGCTTGACGGTATTGAATAAGAAATCGATCAATGGCTTTAAATAGTGTCGTACTAGATTGTTTTAATTGTTTAAATTTCTCTTTAACATCATAAAGATCGGGATTCCAATCCACTTCTACCAACTGTTCATTAGGTTGAGCCTTCTTCTTATCACCTACTTTTAATCCCCGAGCCAAAGCTTGAAATGTTAATTTGATATTGGTGGTATCATCAATAATTCCTACAATCCGAACCACCGTTACAACTCGGCCATCAACTGGTTTTACATCTTTAGGTTCTTTAATCTTATCCAAATTAGGTTTAATGGCTAAGGTAAGCCAATCAAAGTCTGTATGAGGATCTACCTCATACAGTGGATCTGCAGCACTAGCACCAGCACTTTTCAGTTGAGTTTCTAATCGAAACACTTGTCTAATACCTTCTACTGCATCATGAGTAATGACTCGAGGACTAGTGAATTCACTAACTTCTTCTCCATTCCCATTCCCATTCTTATCAAGATTGGAAAAGTCATATTCATTAAGTAAATTGTTAATAATGGATATATTAGATACTTGATGATGGAATCGATATAAAAGTGCAGCCGCTTTGAATCGAGAGAAAGTAACATTATAGATGATACCCGGTAATAACACAAGATTGGAATCGAGTTTGTAGGTGGGAAGAACCACCTGAGATTTACGAGATTTTCTTACCATACTATTGGGAGATAAACTTAAAACTTATCAATAGTTAAGGTAATAGTTGTAGTAGTAAAATTAGTATTAGTTATAGTAGTAAATATAGTGGTAAGTGTAGTAAAGTTAGAGTGTGGTAGTGGTCAGTCGGTGAAATTTCGCAGGGTGGGGATACCCGAAACGGAAGAATATACCGAGGAAAGCTGGGGTATGGAAATATCCAGTGAGTATTACAGTTGCGGATTAGTAGAGTAGTAGTATAGTACAGAGTAGTACTGTACACTGTATACTAATTAGTACACTGTATACTAACTACTCTGTATACTGTATACTGTACACTGTACACTGTACATTACTCTCTACACTACACTACACTACTCTCTACACTACTCTGCACACTACACTAAACTATACAGTATTATACCATACTATATTCTATATCGATAAGCATATACATACTTACAGTATTCTCCTATATACATACTTACAGTATTCTATTTACACTACTACTCTACTACAATACATCCTTTAAACTAACTTGTCCGGATCCTCTCGCAAGTGGTTGAGGTTGACTATCACTCTTCTTCCACCCAATCATAAAGATAATATTAAACGTCACCGGTAATGTAGTAACCCCCTTATCATCAGTCTCTCCATGTAAACTCTTATATATTTCATTAGCTGCTAATAATACATCTCGTGGTAAAGTATTAGCTCGTGAAAGTACGGCATTTTGCTCTCCCATAGCTTGTAAATCTTCACATACTGAAACTATATCAGGAAATCCTCCTACTACTACATCTTCTGCATCAATAGTTAACATACTAAATCCGGCTCGATTTAATAAGGTTCCTATATCATTAACATTAACTAATGGAGATACTCGAGGTGAAATTCCACCTTTCCTTTCCATTTCAGCCAATTGTAATGAAGTTCTTAATTCATATAATGTATCTCCTCCAAATAATGTACCCATAAATAACCCATCTGGTTTTAAAATTCGATTAATATTGGCAAGTGTACCAGGTAAATCATTAATCCAATGTAAGGAAAGATTAGATATTACAGCATCATATTGATCAGATTGTTCAAGGCATGTATGATTAAAACTTTCTTCATCTCCAACACATCTTATTACTTCCCCCTTAAATTGTTTATTAAATGGTTCATCTATATCACGATAAAGTAATTCTTTAGATGAATCTAACATATATAATTGCTTTATTTTATCCTGAATTACTAACTTATCATTATTAAGTTGTTTAGTAATTTCTGTCTCAGCATAATCTGCTCCCACCGGTATTTCAGTCTTAATAGTAAGATTCTTAAGTAAATTCCCCAGATGACTACCGAAATCAAGTACTTTAGTAAAATCTCTAGTAATGAAGGCTAATCTTTCTATGGTCTTAAGCGCAACTTCATCTCGTAAGTATTCCTTCTTTCGAGATAATTGGGGGTTAAGTTGAGCAATTCTCGATCTTTGAACTAATTTAGCTCTACGATCAAATACATTGAATTGCAGTTGTCTTGCTTGAGATTCGGCAGACGTAGCAAGACATCTTCGAGCTCCATACAATCTATACATTTGTTGTCTACTGTCAATAATTAGTGATTGCTTGCTTTGCTTGCTTAGGCGGCCGGGAATTTTTCACTTCTTACCTACTGAAAATTGCGATATCAGCGATGCCATAAACTCCATACAATTTTCATAAACTCTCCTAATGTTACACTAATAATGATACCGAGGACTCGACTACTATCATTACGGTTATGTCACCACCGTATAAATGGAATCCGACCACTTTCAACTTCATACCCTGACGAAATCAATCGTAAATCGCTTATAAGTACCCTAAGCACCACCAGCAAAGATCGAATCTCCAAACAAGATTTCCCCATATTACACAATTCTGAGTCAAGAGATGGATTTTTACGATATTTAGTGGATTTCAACTATGACATACTCGCTTGGAAGTACTGTGAACTCCTCAAGTATCATAAATTCCCATTAACTAACACTACATATATATTATTGATGCGATTATTAACTTCTTCATCTGATCATCAAAGTATAACTAATGCCATATATATTTATTTAGAAGCCATGAGTCACTATAAACTCGATTCTCATAATTTGGTCCAACCGTTAACTTCTACTGAAAAATATTTATTAACTAGAGATTTACTTAAAGTACTTTCGAAATCCAATGACTTCACCACCGTCTATATATTAAATACTATTTGGAAGATATTCCTTAGAGAGGTTAGTAAAAAAGATGATTTAAAAGTGTTATACCATGCCACATACCTTGGGATTATGTTAAACAGTGGTCAGAACGAGTTAGCAGTGAAATACTTCGAAGATTTATTACTTAATGAACCAGATATAAATACTAATGTATTACCTATCTCGACAATACTAGACAAACTTATCCAAGATAAGGATTCTGATACTCTTGTAACAATAATTAGAATGCTCATAGATCATAATATTATCGTTGAAGATATTCAATGGATACAGATTCTAGAACAAGCAGTCAATGCTAATGACTATGAATTGGTCTTGTTAGTCTACGATAGTTTTGTTATGAGAGGGTTTAAGGATTCCAAGATTTCCATAGAAGATGCCATATTCCAAGACTTGAAGTCTAAAGATAGTGGGCTCAATAAGATCAATGATCAATTGATTCATCAAATGTTACATACATTAAGTTCTAATGGAGATGTTCAACTGACTCTAAGTTTAATAGAATCTCATTATCTTCATAAGACTGCCAAGGGAGAACGAGCATTAAGTAAAGATTTATGTCTCATTATAATCGATTCCTATTGTAATTATGATGATAATGATAATGAAATTGATTTAGATATTGAAGATAATAATGTAAAGCAAGTACTTAATGTATTAAATGGATTAGTTGAGAAACTTCAAAAGGATTCAACAAATGAGGCATTAACTTATCGCGATATTTGTTCATCATTATCCATTCGATTTTGGAAGTATTATACCTATGATGAACATATTAATAAGGCTAGTATTAAACGACAAGAGATTGAAGAATCAATAAGGAATTCGGAATATGGTCAACTGTATATCCCCAGAAAGGTATCCAATGAAAATATCTCAAGATCAAAGTATGGAAATATGCTCTCAAACATGAGTATTCTTAATAATTTCATTCATATTCATATCAATTATATGGTATCTCAACCGGAATTTAATAAACAAACTATTACATTATTCATTAATTGTTTATTGGAACATATAAATATTTATCAAAATTTCACAGCCATTACAAAAGTATTACAAACATTATATCATCTCAATTCCAATTACATTGTGGAATGGTTAGATAATGACCTGTTTGAAATAATTCTAAATTCCTTAGCTGAATGTTCGGCTGGGAAACAATGTTCGGTTGTTTTATTCAATTATTTTAAGAACAATAACATTCCCCTTCACCATCACCATTATGCGGCATTGATCTCGGCCAATCTTCGAGGCAATGTCCATAATGGACTCCAATATTTCTTGTATCACTATTTGAAAGATTATGGAATACATACCAATATGTTGAAATCAGTAGAACTGATTAAAGAAGAGATCATAGCTAATTCCGCTACTGCTAAATTATTGAATTACATTGAATCAAACCCTCGGACTGTCCCTCTGGTCGAAGAGTTAGATGATTTCTGGATTAACAATAACTTATGTCTTGATCCTACTCGGATCGGGAAGGAAGAGGAAGAGAATATTAAGCTAAAGAATAGAAAGTACTATAGAGACTTTGATGTTAGAGATTCAGAGGTTCTAGTTAATGTTCTTAACCGATAGATCATATATATTTTAATGTACATAGATTTAACCATCTACAGCAGCTCGTAACTCATCAGCATTAATATCAATTCTAGTAGCTCTCAGTTTCATTAAAGTTGTAGAATCCCATTTAGCCTTTAACCCTTCAAGAATACTAGCTTCATCATCAACATCTACAAGGAAATCAGGGTATCTCTTTTTAGTACTAGCATCTAATACAGAATCATTAGCAAATGTATTTGAAAATAATGAAGAAAATGATCCATTAAGTGTCGAACCAAGCAAGGTAGAATCAATAGCCATTCTTAAAATATTATCAGCATGACATGCCAAATGATCATAGTCAGAATCATTAGCTGTAGGTTGATGTTTAGGCTTTGAAGATTGTAATGAAGTTGGATTATCGGTTTTATTTACCACTAATGCCTTGTCAAACTTTAAAAGCTTCTTGTTGGATCTCTGGTTATTAAGTTGAACTTCTTTTAATACGGATACAGGGGTGGAGGTTTGTTTAGAAGGTCCCGAAGGTGAAAAGTATATAGTCTTATTGGGGATTGGGGTATTATGGACTGAAGAAGGGTGCAGTACTGTAGGACTACTACTATTTTCCTTTTCATTTTTGTCTTGGTTTCTGACTCTTTTAACTCCTCGTTCCTTCTTGGTGGTGGTAGTACTTATTGTACTATGGCCTATTTTGACTTGTTTGGTAGATTTCTTAGTGATTTTAGTTGGATACGCAAGCTTATAGTTATTAACTATAGCTGCTTGTTCAAATAACAAATCCAGTAAAGGGTCATGAATTGATTTAGAACTATTGCCACTAGTTACTAATGGTTTATCAAGCACAATTGGAGCTCTTTCCTTAGGTATATCATCCATCTTTAAATACTTCTGTAAAAGTACATCTCGGGGTATTAATAAATGACTGCTTGATACTTCATATTTACTAGGGTACCAATATTCAAGACTGGTTTGAGGGTGGATATTATAATTAGACATTGCAGTTGGGCCTTAACTAGAGGTGGTTCCACTATAAAAATTTAGATAATACTCTATATATATAGTAATAGATAAAGGTTCATCGGAATTGAATTGGCTTTGTTTATTGTTGTTCCCGATTAGGAAATGTAATTAGATATTTTTGCGGCAATGGGGGATATGTATTACAAACTAATGGGTCATGTTTCTCACAAGTGTGGAGAGCATTCATATGTATATAAAATAAATAAAGTTATATAGTTAGTGCGTTAGTATAGTATATTGGTTAATGGGATATTGTAGTGAATGGTGGTGGACTTGTACAGTACAGTATAGTGTATCTATCATTACTCTGCTACGATACCTGTTAATATGATAATGCCGCCTATGTTAAGTTTCAGATAGTAGTCCATGTTCTACTAAGTTTAACTTCTACCAAGTTTATTTTTCCATTAGATGTACTTGGTGTACTGTGGTGCTAAATATACTATTAAGAGTCTTGTAAGTGTACTAAGTATAGTATTATGTGTATACTTAAAGTAATGTCGCATTATGTAATGTCGTCTCCCCACGACATCATGTTATCATTTGCGCGACTATGATTGGCTCAAACTTCATATGGTTCAATTACTGTAGAATGAAATATATTTCTACTATATATACTATTATACTATTATACAAGATATGGGACAGTCTAACTCTTACTGGAGAATCAGTATACTGGCCGGTCGTAAAAAGTTCGTTACTAAAATGAATATATTGATGATGTTCAGAAAACAATAACTGTAGATCTGGAGATGATCCCATAGGACTTAAAAAGTCTGTATTTCTGATAACCATCTATGCTAGTTGTTGGATGAATAATTAATTAATAAATGTAATGCTTGGGAATTTAGTATCTTTTAAATACTAACGTATAATTTTTTTTGAAATAAAAGTATCTGACTCAATTTGACTATTCATATGGATTTTGCAGATACTAGTATTCATAAGTTAAAATACATATTTCATAATATTGAATGAAAATGTCACTGAATACCATATGAATACAATTGTAGGTAATTGTTATGGTGTATACTGTATCTCTATATGGATCTCTCTTGATTGACCTTCTCCTGTTGTTTCTTCAATCTCTCATCAATTATAGAATCGTTACCATGAACACCATCTACTGGACAAGGTACCAATGAATTGGCTCCTACCAACAATACACAAATAGCAAAGGTTGAACTGAATAAAGAGCTAGTAACTCTGTTCCTTTGAGTAGCTCTAATAGCGAACATTATGATTTATGTTTATATTTATTATGTTTGAATAATTGTTTGAAATTTAAATGTGAAAAATTATGAATATATATATATATGTCTCAATGACTGTGTTGCAGAACCTCTTAACTACCTTGTCAGCTCTAGTGCTACAGTAAATATCAAATTAGTTTAGTATTAGTAGTATAACCACTTGTTAAATATTGGATGTTTTTTCATCCATCTCTTACCACACTGAAAAATTGGTGGTCTCATGCGGTCACGTGCAAAGTGATGGATGAACCAATCACTTTATTGGGCTTTGTAGTCATACATTAGTGTAAGTTTAACCACCATAGAGATAAAGTTTGAAAGATCTAACTACATGAATAATTACTCAGTTGTGAATATTATCATTATCCATTAACTAAATATTAAGCTATATACAAAATGTGACTAAAATATGTACTATTAATCACTAATCACTTTTTCTTGCAGTGTAAATGAAGAAGTAAGTCACTCTTTTGAAGAAGAAATCCATTTTTTTTACCCAGGTATTTTACATCTTGAAGTGCAACCTCCTTTGAAACTATTTTAACATGAACCGCTTCCACAATTTTAGCCAACTTAGCAGTAGTACTAGCACTACTTTCAATGAATACAGTTTTTTGAAATTCCCCAAGTCCAAGGGATAGCAAAGTCTTAGCTGCCTCCTCAGGTAAACCAACGGATGACCTTCTCTGTATGACTTTATAGATAACTGACATCGTATATGTATGTCTTAAACTAGGTGAAGTTGAAGGTGAAGTTGAAGGTGAATGTGAATGTGAATGTGAATGAAAAAAATCTTTTAGGTTCGAGATATTGGGCGTACGTACACGACCGCGTCAATACTATTAACTGATTGAATATTGCAGTAATTCAATTAAAGTGAAATTTAACAATAATTATTATTAGCAACTATGGATGATGAAGAATATCAAGAAGATGTACTAATTAGACGATTGGATATAATTCATTCGGAAATTTCCAATTGCATTTGTAAGCTTGAAAATGCCGTACACACTAATGATACTAGTAAATCTACCCCAACATTTAATAAACTAAAGCTACTAATTGGAGAATTCGAACCCAATCCGAAATTATTAGATGGACAACTCAGTAGTTATATCGAATCATTGACCAATCTATTTTTAACTTTAGATCCGAATTGTTTATTCAGTCAAAATATATGTGAAGTTATCTACGTTTTCAGTAAGATTCGTGGGTTTAAATTTGTTAGTAATTATTTTTCATCAGACATTTATATAATAGATAAATTAATTGATTTAATTAATCAATGTGATAAAGATAATCAATTATTTGTATGTCTTATATGGTTATCTAATTTAACCTTAGCCCCATTTAAATTGAATAGTATTGATTCTCATTTAATGCATAGTTTATATACTATTGGTTTAACTCATTTAAAGATTCATTCAAATGCTTCTAAAAATCAAATAGTAGCCCTGATCTTATTATCTCGATTAGTTACTCGTCCAGATTCATCAGAAATTTTACAATTATATTTATATAATGAAGTAGAATTAGAATGGAAATCAAATTCTTTAGATACAACTGCTAGATTAGGACATTTAATTACTTTAAATAAAATTCTTAAACGAATTACATTATCTGAACAAGATTTAAATATCATTTATGATTTAATTACTTTGGATTTACTTGAATTACAGAAGGATAAAGAATCTTTGAATAATATTAATATCTTGTATATGATTAAGATTCTTAGTAAATTATCGTCTAGATTTACTAATGATTATTTAAAGATTTCCTTAATAATTAATAACTTAATTAATGATGTAATGAATCTATTAATGAATACGAAACTTGATATGAAATTACGGTATGAGATTGCAAAGTCACTCTCCGATATTAATCGTAGTCTTTCATTAACAGCTGTAAATTATCAACACCAATTAATAACATATTTAATTGGTTTATTGGAATTAGATTTTAATCAAGAGGAAATCCAATTAGACTATGAAAGAATATCAATCCCTAAGTATCATACAGTTTTATTGTTTCTTGGATATATATCATTAAATAAATCATTACCAACAGAGTTCATACCTCAAATCTTAAAGATTATTCATAAGACATTATTTGTGGAACAAAGACGTTTTCAAACAGTACTTGGAACTCAAGTTCGAGATTCATCATGTTTTATTCTATGGTCTCTATATAGATCCTTGAAAATATCAGATTTAAATCTATACAAATCCCAATTCTTACTTGTATTATTTGATTTGATTAAAGTAATTGTTTTTGATAGTGATTTAGTGGTTAGAAAATGTGGAATTGCTGTTTTACAAGAATTCGTAGGTAGATTTGGCCAAATGGTGTTTAATCATGTGGAAGATTTAAATGATAGAGGAGCTTATATCATTAAATTCGTAGAGATATTTAGTAATCCTAATAAGTCATTCCAGTTGATAGATGCACTTGTCGAAGTCAATATCAATAAGAACTTATTTATACAGGTGTTGATAGACAAAATATCTAACAGAGATATTCCATTTGACCTCCGAAAACATTATTCTCATTGTTTGAAAGAGGCTATAGAATTAAAATTAAGTATGGTTGATTCTATTGATTTTGGATTACCTGTTAAGAATTATACTGTAGATGAAATAATTCAAAATTTGATTGATAGCGGAGCATCAATTTATTCTATAGTTGAAGTTATGCCTCATAACTACGCAAAGTTCTATACATATTTGGAACAGATTTATTCAAATTATGAGATCAGTCAACACCTGGATAATAGTGAAAAGGTTGAAGGGTATATTAAATTGTTAAACTATTTATTATCCAACAAAACTGGTTTCATACTCACATCTCATACTTGGAAGGTATTATTTCAGGCTACTAGAGTCAATGAAAGTGCTTTGGAAGAGTTTCATAAATTCTTTTCCAGCTTAAGCAGTGATGTTATAAATGATAATTTCAATACAATTGTACATAACATTGAGAATTCTAATTATATCTTGTCACTGATCATTTTCAATTATCGATACTTTAATTATACTCAACTACAAAATTTGATAAGAGTCATAGAAAATACGAATATTGACTGTGACATTAGAACAAACTTGTTAACTAATTTACTGGCAAATTTTGATTTGGTCAAAAATGATGAAGATATATTGACTAGACTCATACATTTACTTGATGATTATACTGTAACTGAGAGGGGTGATGTAGGATCTAAAATTAGACTAAGAGTTTTGCAGTTGATAGATAATCACTTTAACATATTCCGTCCTTTCTTTTATCAGATAGAATTGAAAGCTGTTCGATTAATTGGTGAACTTATAGATAAAATTAGAATATATGCTTTTCAATTATTATTGAGAATGCATGATAATATTCAAGTCCAAATTCCATCTGAAGTATCGTCAACTTTCTTCAAAGTATTATTTGAGTATTTTCACCAAAATATACTAGAATCGGGACAGCAAGAATTTATAAACCAATTTTTAATTGGTATTTCCTTTACTATAGGAGCCACTGTTGCTAATAAAGAAATTATTAATGAATCCTTTACTAAATTTTTACACTTGTTGAATAGAATAGATGAGACAAGTCAACTTTCAATTCTTAATACCTACTTGGATAATTTGCAACCATCAAATAATAAATCAATGGTTACAAAATCATCAAAAGATAGACAAATAAAATTATATATTATGATTCTTAAAGTATTTGATCGTATATTTGAAAGTAATTATCAATTTCCATCATCTTTCAAGTTTGAATTATTGTTCATCAGATGTTATAATCTACATATCAATACTACTAATTTTAATAGAATAAGTATTTCTATCAGAATATTTCAATACATTACAGAGCAGGACTCGGTTAGTCAAGAATTAAAAGTTAAAATTCTCAAACGATTAGTATGGCTAAGTTGTCAACATAAGTTACCAAAAGTTAGAAAATTGGTAGGTGATGAGATCTTATTTGAGATCAATCAACATCAAAATAATAATAATTCGCAGCAATTACTTAGTGAAATAAATTGGGAGAAAGAACTGCCCAATACATTAAAGAACAAGATTTCAGTTTTAGAGCAATTATTGATAGCACAAATTAATTAAAGCATTTTAAAGCATTTTCATTAGGGCACTTATAGACCGGAAGAAATAAAACATATACATAAAGATCATTTCCAGTATACTTTACATATAGACCGAATATAGAATAACATAACAGGCAAAACTAATTCAGCTGAACCTAACCTAACCTAACCTAACCTTATCTAACCTCTTATAACTTACCCGCAGCTATTGAGCGATAGATAATATATTTTTTATATTTTTTATATTTATTATCATTTACCATACATTTAGTTAAAACTTTATTGCATCATTTGCAATATCTAATATCATGTCATGAGCGATTGGTTAACTCATAACCCGAGAGCCAAATTGTCTGAAGATCTATAATATTTCTCTTCAGTGATTAGATTATTTAATGATGGGTTTACGGCATGGCTCGAGTTGGAATCTTCATTCTGAGATGATGGAGTAGTGGATGAAGTGGATTCAGTTGGAACTGAAGATTCATTAATAGGGATAGTTTCAGGTTCAGAAGGACTGTCTGAAACGACAGGAGCTTCAACAGAGGATGAAAAAAATCTGTAAGGCATTTAGTAATTAAAGTATATAATGAAAAGAAGATAAGAGAAATATTAGCAATAAAAAACAGAAAGGGGGGATATTTCATCAACTTTATAGTGCATGATGATATTGACTGTCAAAATATCAAATACGTATAAAACTCTATAAAATTCTATAAAATTTGTTTCAATACAATGGCATGCATCGCTGAAACAAAATTGGAGTAATACTGTATCGTATCGGATCGTATCGATTTTACGCTATAAGCCTTTTATTGTATGGATCACACACTATCGTAATTGCGGGGAGATTTTTCAATTACAAAAAAATAAGCTTAGGAGAAGTTAGTTGAGTAATTAGTAAACAGATTTCCTGCACTTATTTGTATGTCATAAGGTTTCTGTGTAATGTATAATGTTTCTATGCCTATGTAATTCTGTGTAATATCTGGTGGTTTGAACTTTACTTATAAACTCTATTCTATACTGTATGATGATTTCACAGTAGAATTGAAAAGTAAGAAACTAATGGTTATAGTAATACTCCAATGATACAGAAAAATCAATTGTGTTGTACCCAGATTATCTCTATAGAACTAACTCTAACCTCCAATGAGATATTCTTACCTTTAAGTACATTATACAGCTTTGCATTCTGTCGGTATAATGACGACTTAGTTACTTCATAGCTAAAGTAGTGAGCGCGTGACTCCATGCTCGATCTCCTTTTACCCGACATTTTTTGAAAGTCTGGGGAAATTACTAACCAATGAAAATCCGGTCATCCGAGGACCCCTAATATTGTATACTCAAACCAAACTATCTACAACTCTATTTACCATTTCCACTCATAGTATAATTCCTATTCTTCGTCTCAAAAAGGCTCAGAATAGTTGGGATTGAGTTGAAAAAAAGCCTTTGAATCGCTTATTCTCACCGTTTAACCGGTTGGTTAAAATCAGCTAATTTCTACCAGATGGGTCTTAAGCCCGGCTTGATAAACAACAACCCTTCACCGTTAGACTCTCAAATGCATCATCCACATCCTCAACCATTACTTCTGCTGCTGGTGGTTTCACGACCCTATCAAGCCGATCAACCCAAGCAGTCACAAGACAATGACGATAGTATCGCCCCAGATAAATCGAGTTCCTCTGAAGAGAGTAATTCAAAGAAATCTAAACGAAGGGATTCAAATGATAAGAGTGATAAATCTCAATCCAATTTTAAATTGATAGAGACTACAACTGGTATTCGAGTATCACAAGCCTGTGATAGATGTCGAATTAAAAAAATTAAATGTGATGGACAATACCCATGTCATAATTGTAAAAAAGTTGGGTTTGAATGTAAAACTAGTGATAAATTAACAAGAAGAGCATTTCCTAAGGGTTATACAGAAAATTTAGAAAAGAAGTTGATTGAAATGGAAGAAGAAAATCGATTATTGAAATTAAAATTGTCTGGAACTAATGATAATGATCATGATAATGATAATGAAGTTGATAATGCTAGTAATACTAGTAACACTAATATTGATACCATAGCATCAACACCAATCTCAGTACCAATGGATCATACAGTTAGTTCCACTCCAAATCTTGTAACTTCCAATAATAAAGTATTATTAACTAATCAATCTACTCATCAAACTGTTCAAATTAATAATCCTATAGATCAAATATTTAATCTTGATTCTAAAGGAATTATTATAGGTAATGATAATATTAATTTTGAATCACAATTCAATCATTTATTAATTAATTTAAATTTACCATTTTTAAAAATCACTAATTCTCATAATTTCTTATTAGATGATCCCAATAGTTATTTATATCATCCATCTTATCATTTTTATAATCAAATTCATAATAAAGATTTAGATGTTATTTATAATCCATTAACTGGGAATCATTCTATTCCTACCAATCCAACAGCTTTAGGTTCAACTACAGATATTGAACATATATTAACCAATAATCAATTTCCATTAGATATTTATGATTTATTTATTAAATTAATTAATAATTTTAAAAGATTATTTAATAATAAAAAGGAATTAGATAATCAAATCATTCAATATTTTTTAAATTATAATGTATTTATACCAATATTTGATTATAAACAATTTATTGCATCTTATGAAGCATTTCATACTATGTATCCATTTATTTTTACATATGATGATTCAACCATTAATGGATTTAATTTATCAAGCAATAATGATTATCAACTTGTTAATGAATATTTAATGACAATTATTCAAATATATGCTATGGTAATGATTAATGATCCCACTATAAATTTAAATTTATTACTAAATCATACTGATCCAAATTTTACTTTAAATATAAAGAAATCAAATTCTAATCCAAAGGATAATAATTCAATTATAAAATCTTTATATGATTTTTTACCTTATTTTAATAATTTTCATGTATCAATAAATCAACTTCAAACTTATGAATTATTCTTATATTATTCTTTATTAACTAATAATAAAGAAAAATCTTTAATCTTATCTTCACTTATTAATTCTTTTATTGGAATTTTAGGAATAAATTTAAATTCTAAAAATTTATTCTTTAATGATTTATCATTAAATTTAATTCAAAGAAGAAATCGAGTTAAAATTTTTTGGGTATTTAAAGTATTATTAAAATGTTTTAATTTGAAATTTGGCTTTAAACCTAGTTTAAATACTACTGTTATTAATCCTGTAACCATTGATAGATATTTTCAATTAACTCCTGAAAAATTATCTGGATTATTGGATGATGATAAAACTAATGATAGTTTATTTAATACTTTATTAAAACCAAGTATTGAATTTTTAAATTTAACTAATATAATTATTCCTTCATCATTTTCTCCAAATTATTATGAATATCTTAAAAAATCAAAAAAGAAGGATAGTTTACATTCTCATCATCCTCATCAAAAACATCTTGATTGGATTTTAAAAGAAGATGATGGAGAAGGTAATGATGGTAATTTAAATTATAATTTTAGTCAATTTTTAACTATTGATAAAAATTTATCTAATTGGAGAAATTCTTTAAAGGATAAATCTATTAATTTAACTAGTTTACATACAGAAATGGGTTTATCAAATATTCTTAATATTACTACTAATAATTTATATCATGACCTTAAAGATGTTTCTAATTTTAATATGGGAATTACTCAAGAAGGATTTGTTAATTATTATACAACAGGTTTACCTGATATTCATACAGCATCTCAATTAATTAAAATTCAATTAAATTTTCATTATTGTTTAATAAGATCTATGAATTACTTAAATTTTATTGTGGATAAGGAATTAAAATATAATTATTATATTGAGATTTCAAAAATTAGTCGCGAAGTCTTAAACTACTTTATTTTAATATTTGATCATGCAAGTAAGTCTGTCGAAGTTAAGCTCGATCCTAAGGGGTATAACCATAATAATATTGTTATGGAAAGTTTAGGATTAGATGTGGATGAAGATGGATTTGTGATAAATGACTTTTCAGTTAAAAGAAGAAGAGCATCAAATTCTAATAATCAAAATGTTATTAAACGTTTAACCAAAGAAATACCAATCTCACCCTTTAATCCGATGATGAATGGATTATCTATGACTATAATTAATCTTAAAAAATCGATGATATTACAAATGTTATACCTTTTAATTTGCCAATTAAAATTCTTCAAACGTAAAGAAATCAACTTAATTGATGATTCTATTCAAGTTATAAATAAAGCAGCCGATTTATTTATTAAAGTATTTATTAATTATAAAGTTGGGGTTAATAGAAAGGATCCTAAAAAAGTTAAAGAAGATAAATTGTTTGAAAAATTAATGAATGATGAATTAAAAGATGAGATATTGAAATCTCAAGCTGATGATGGTGATGAAAGTGACGATGATGATGATACTATTCTTGATTATTATCAACAAATTGATTGGGATGATGAAGAAATGGATGAAGATTTGAAATATTTAAAAATTTTGAAATTTGTCAAGTATAAAAGCAATACCATTTTGGATAAGATTCTACAAGATAAAGATGACAAGGTTTCCGATTCTTCAATCCCTTATCATAACCATCATCACCATCATCATCACCATCATAACCATTATTCTCAAGTGAAGCAAGAAAGTACTCCTTCTTCCCTTGATTCCAAACCATCACAACTGCAACTCCATCAGCATTCACAAACACAAGGACAAACGCAACTTCCTTCACATATTTCCCAAGCTAGTAGCTCTCCATCAAACTTCTATGCTAACTCCGGATATACTTCTTTTTCCAAAGTTCCATCATTATCGAAGTTTGATTTCTTTGATGGAACCACAGCTACAGGGACTCCTTCTAATTTGACAGCATTAACTCCACAAGATGAAGAATTATCGAAGAAGGAAAAATTGGTTATTAATGATCTAATGAACCTTAGACGTGGTAGTCAAGGAAAGCTCTATAATCAAGGGAATACCAATTGGAATAATAGTACTGGAAGTTCATATGGTAATTCATCCAATCCATGATTTATATTCTCTCTATTTATTTTGTACAGTTACTGTATTATAAATTGTATTTCGTCATTTATTTATTTATTTATATTTATTTATTTTAAATGAACAATTCTTTGTCTCATCTTTATTTTTGGACTAATAAGAAACCATGAACTGTCATGTTGTAATAGCAAAGAAACTGTCAAGTATAAATCTTGTAATGGCTTCCTACAGTACAATATCTTTATTAATTTTGTTTGAATTTTGCAGCCATTTTATCATTTATTTCTTTGGATTGACTAAATTTAAAGGATTTCCGAGTAACTTTGAAATCATACAATACTACTTCCAAAGCTAATACTAAACTATCAGTAATTTCCTATTGAAATAGTGTGAGATTCTCCGAGTTACCAGGTGAATTTAATAAATAATAAGTAACATTACATCTTCACTACCTTATAAAATCACCATTTTCCTGCATACAACCATAAAAATCCTGCATATATGCATATATTGGTAACTGAACTTAAGTCAGAGACATTTTTTTTCAACTCAGTTGCCTGGCTAGCTCAATCGGTAGAGCGTTTGACTCTTATGTTAGACATCAAAAGGTTGCGGGTTCGACCCCCGCGTCGGGCTTCTTAAAGCTCGAACACGAGTAAGAGCAACATCTTATTTTTTGCATCCATAATTTATTTATAATGTTTGTTAATACCAATCTATTTAGTTTAAGAAAAGTTGTTTTCTATATTTACTAATTCTTCATTCTTTTGGACTATCATTTTTAGAAAGTATTTTCTCAGGCATAATTCATATTAAGGTCGTAAAAATGTTCGTGAATTTTGGGAGATTCCACATTAGCATCGAGGTTTGAATCATAGTATGTCTATGTAATTGAGACAGGGCGTCATATTAGTTCAAGGTTGGAAGTGTATGTTTTAGTAACAACTGGATACGGTACTTTTATTAAACAGTTTACACATAGATGCAATGAGTGAAGCAAGGTAGTGATTGGCTTCTTTATACCTCTCGGTCAGATGAAGCACTACGACTTTTGCGAACCTCTAATTTCACTATAATCTCTTCTTTATAAGTGAAAATTCCATCTGATTAATTCTTTTCACTTGTCTTATATAGATTTTGCCTAACGATGAGTTTATTCTCATTCTAGGATTTTCTCTTTACATTTATAGCTTAATACATACGAATAAAAACAAAACTGATATCCTTGTCATAGACGCCTCCATAAGACATATGATAGCCATTAGATAAGGCAATATACCTTGGACCCCGGTCTCTGTATATGAGGGTATGCCAATACCAGTAAGTGTGATAGTCGAACAATATATATGTTCTACCTAAACCCCCGTTCCTGATAAGGAGGAATAGCAACCTTACTAGGAAAAGAGACTTATCAGTCGGAGTTAGTGTACTACATGGATTTAATATCTCATAGCTATTTATATGTATATAGATATAGATTTTAAGAACCTGAAATGAATAAACTAAAAGCTTCCAACCAATATTCCAAATAACCAACAACATCAATCTACTCTCTAAGAAAGTCCAATTCTTCATTTCATTCTACATCACATCTAATTGATAAAATCTTCTGTGCAGCCTACACTTCATATCAAAGAACAAATACTCCAGTGACAGACTTCAGTGATAAATTAAATTATATAATATTATATATTAAGATACAATTTTCTACTACCTGTTGAAATAAAATGAATAAGTTAAGTAGTTATACATCTAGCCTAATTTCTATTGTTTTATGGATCATCCTTAATATAAATTATTGGAAACACTGTCAAATTATTTGTAAACAAAAGCACATTGGATTCAGATTAAGCTGTTTTACTGAAATTTGGAAGTCCAGATATCTATACTATTTGGTAACTAAAAATGTTATGTAAATTATTTCTTCATTCGTTTCGATGTATACAGAACGTAAGATAATGAATTTGATGAATAATATTCAATGTGAGTTTTAATCTATTCCAGACTATCTAAGTAGGTACCTTTCAGTAAATATAATAACGACCCCAATTACTTATATATATTAGAGAATACGTATCACCTCTGAAAAAAAAAAGGAGAAGAAGTCTGCAATTATTCATATCTCTATACATCCGAACGTAATCTGAAGTTAGGTGATTCGAAAACAAAACCTACTATTCTGATTTTTATTTCGTATGTATTCCAGTATTGTTTCCACTCTGTAGGTGTTAATGAGAGTACTCTAAACCAAGTATTAGGAGGGACTAATTCTGATTCAAAATGGGCTACAAAATTTTACCAAAATCTGGTAGCGCCGGGAATCACGTGATCAAAACCGTGATACAAATTAAAATTTCACCAAAAAAATAGGCCATTTTTTCCTCAACGCAAGAGCCTGGCTAGCTCAATCGGTAGAGCGTTTGACTCTTATGTTAGACATCAAAAGGTTGCGGGTTCGACCCCCGCGTCGGGCTTAATTAAAGCTTGAACACGAAATTTGAGCCTCTTGCATTTTTTTTAGTTTTGCAGTCATTGAATAATGGTCTGTAAAAACTACATATAATAACGTAAACTTAATTTGATTTAATAATGATATATTTTTTCAGAGACAAGAATGTCCAGTTAAAATTGAATACAAACTAAGAGCCGTTTAACAAAAATAAACTAATAACTAATAATATAAAACAAACATTTACAAATATTGAATAACCGGAAAACAAGTCAACTTTCTATGCCCTGAGAGTTCTTGTGCTACTGTTACCCTTTTGAGTTCTCTCTTTTCTTTTAACCTTTTTGAATACCGCAAACGTTGGACTGAGAATTAAACAAAATTCAAAGATTTAGTGATAAACCAAAGCTAATGCAAAACAATAATGAAAAACTTTCATGACTAAACGCTTTCACAGAAGTATGATATGCGAATAAAAATGAATGAATGAATGAATGAATGAGTGAATGAAAAATAAATAAAGAAATACATAAATAAATAATTGTCATGAGTAATGTATTTAAAAGATCATATAGTTAATATTAACAATATACTTTCTTTAATGTTTTCCACCAGTTCTTTCTTTTCTTAATTCATTTTGTTGTCTTTCCACTTCAGCATCCCATACAATAAATTCATCCAAACCTTTACCAGCTGGAACCATTGGCAAAACAGGAACTTTCTTTTCAACAATGACTTCCAATAAAACAGGACCCTTAGCATCTAAGAATTTCTTGACACCGTCAACCAATTCTTCTTGAGTACTAATTCTAATACCTTCAACACCCATAGCATCGGCTAATTTCATGAAATCAGGATTGGATTGATGTGTATGAGAGTATCTGTGTTCGTAGAAAAGTGATTGCCATTGAGTTACCATACCTTGTTCTTCATTATTTAAAACACAAACTTTAACAGGAGCATTAGCTTGGACAGCAGATGATAATTCAGTAAGAGTCATATTGAATGAGGCATCACCATCAATATCAATAACAATTGCATCTGGTTTAGCAATTTGAGCACCAATAGCAGCAGGTAAACCAAAACCCATAGTACCTAAACCACCTGATGTGATCATTGTTCTTGGTTTGGTCCAAGTAATATGTTGAGCAGCCCACATTTGATGTTGTCCAACACCAGTAGTATAAAGAACTTCTTTATCATAAGTAGAAGCTTGTTTGGAAATTTCTCTAATTAAAGTTTGAGGTTTAATTAAAGAACCTGGAGTTTCTTCTTGATATGAGTATGGATATTGTTCTTTCCATTCATTGATTTGGTTAATCCAAGCAGATCTATCCTTAACAGTATGAACTAATGGAATAAAACTCTTTAAATTCGAAGTAACATCACCTTCAACAGCTTCAGTAGCTTCTACAACTTTATTTATATTCTTTGGACTAATTTCAAAATGAATGATACCACCGCGGCCTTCAAGAGCAGCCAATTTTGCAACTGGAGCAAATTTATTAATATTAAGAGTGACTCTATCATCAAATCTAGCTCCAAGAGCGATAATACAATCGGAATTTTGGATGGCAGTATTGGCAGCAGCATTACCATGCATACCCAACATATCTAAAGATTTTGGATCTCTTTGATCAAAAGCTCCTAAACCTTGTAAAGTTGTTGTGACAGGGATATTTGCTTTATCAGCTAATTCCTTTAATAATTTTGGACCATCTTCATTATTTAAAATACCAGCACCAGCGTAAATAATAGGTTTCTTTGATTTGTTCAACAAATCAGCAGATCTTCTGATAGCTTCAGTAGTAAAAGCAGTATGTGCCTTTTTAGTGATTTGACTAAGAGCATTTGAAGGTAAAGTCGTATTTATTGGAATAGCATGTCTTAAAATTGAAGCAGTTACATCTTTTGGTAAATCAACCAAAACTGGACCTGGTCTACCAGAAGTGGCAATTTCAAAGGCTTCATTTATTCTTCTTGGTAATTCAGCAACATTTTTTACCATAACGTTCCATTTAGTACAAGATCTTGAAATACCAATAACATCAGCTTCTTGGAATGCATCAGTACCAATGGCAGTAGTTGGAACTTGACCAGAAAATGCAACCAAAGGTACACCATCCATAAGAGCATCAGCTAAAGGAGTTATAACATTGGTAGCACCTGGACCAGAAGTAACAAGAATAACCCCTGGTTTACCAGTAGCCTTTGCATAACCTTCAGCCATATGACCAGCACCTTGTTCATGACGAGGAAGAACAAAGTTGAACTTATCTGAATTATAAATGGCATCAAAAACTGGTAAGATAGCACCACCAGCATAACCAAAAACAGTATCAACATTATGTCTTAACATCATTTCATGAAAAATTTCTCCACCAGTAAGACCAATAAATGAATCATCCATTACTTGTTCAACTGGTTTATTGGTTATAGCTGAATATCTTCCAGCAGGATGTTTTTTACCAATCTCTGGAGTTCCATTAAAGGCAGGGGCTGGGGTTGGCCTTGATGTAGAAGTCATGGTAGCATTTTGTAAGTTTGTTTTGGTAATAGTTCTTATTTGATTATAAGTATTCCTTTTAATCATGTTAATCATCTTAGATGATTGACGACCACCAGTTTGTTTTAAGTTACTACTAAGCATGATGATATTCTTATTTAATTATAATCAAATATAGTATTCAGCAAATCGAATCTGGGCCATATATAAACGGATTTTGAAAATATCCACCCTGTAATTATACTCCGCTGAATCAGTATGAGTCAAATAGGACAATTTTTCAGTGCACAAAATTTTTTTCACTATAAAAGTTTTGCTGCGAAGAGCGAAACCGGAACGAAAAGTTTCGCTCGAGCGGGAACTTCCAACTTTGTTGGTCACGAGGTATGTATTTTACTTATTTTCCATTTAAATATATAAGATTAAGCGATATTTGATCGGTGAACGACCAACCCTAAATAGCTGCAATTCTAAATAGCCAACTAGCTATTGGGTTAAACTTATTCAACCAACCGAATTGTGCTTACTATTAAGATCAGAATTTCATCTAAGTATATTATATAGTTACTGTTTTATAAAATTACTAGAAGATATATAGAATATTTATTCGCATAGTTATTTTTCCATGTGATCGATAAGTGGGGTCAGATAATTAAAGTTGCAAAGAATACCATTATATAAAAGCGAGTTCTGGTTTTCTCAACTATGTTTACTACTCCTTAAAGTATGAATTGTGAAATAAGTTGACGTGTAGTTAATTTGTATCGACCTAAATAGTTAAACATAACCTACTATAATTGAGATCCATAAGGATAGTTCTACAATTCTTGACTTATCACATGTGTGTAGTTTACTTTGTTGTTTCTGCTAACCGTCAAATTTGGATAGAATTACTTTTCAATTATGAAGTGATGCAGTACAAACTAATGCAAAATTAAATAAGTAAATAAATAAATAATAATTCATTACTAACGATAATAAATAATACAATATATATATATATGTAGTATCAATAAATGTTTCATTAGTTGTATAGTCTAATCAATTTTCTTGGAAGAAGTGGTTATTTGATCGGTAGCTTCTTGTTCATAGTCGTTATTTTCACTAGTTTTTCCAGACTGTTTCTTTTCCTGAGAATCACCTAAACTAGAATGCTCATAAGTATCATCTTGATCTGCTACTTCCTTTATTGCTGCAACTGCAGGTACACGAGCAGTATTGGAATTACTTGAATTTCCAGCATAGCTTTCAGCCCTGGAATGATTACTAGTGGGGAATCCCCAGTCTAAAAAGTCTCTTCTGACTTCAACATAATCGTATGCAAATTCACCTATTTGATCTTCATCAACACCGGCCTCTTCACCATTGTAGTCAATTCTTAAATGTAATCCTGGAATCTTATCTATAACAAAACAAAGTATACCAGTAACAACCGCACTATATACTATAGTTGCAAGAATATAAGCAACTTGTACGTATAATTGTTTCCAATTATGGTCTAGCCAACCACCTTCATGTTCAGTTACTCCATCATATCCAATTACTGTAGAGCTACCAAAGAAAGCGTTAAATAATAATCCAATGATACCAGCGATTCCGTGCTCAGCTAATACATCAAGGGAATCATCAACACGACAAATGTATTTAATCTTAGTTGACAAGTTACAAACTAATCCCGACACAATACCTAATATCACTGAAGCCCATAATGGAATCATACCTGAAGAAGGTGTAGCAGCAACTAAACCAGAAATACATCCAGAACAAACTGCAACCATTGACCATTTATTTTCCAATCTGAAATCTAATAAACACCAAGAAAGAGCACCAAATGCACCACTCAAATGAGTGTTCATCATGGAGTATGGAACTTTAATGGAAGCATTTGCACATGAAAATCCATTAAAGAATAACCAACCAAGGTAAAGTAATGAAGTACCTAAGAAAATAGTAGAAATATTATGAGGTCTGTAGTTAATCATGAGAGTTTCATTTCTGCGACCTAAGAAGGCACTGTAGACAAAAGCCAGTACACCACTTAAGATTTCGACAGGACCACCACCAGCATAATCTAAGACTCCTGATTTAAAAGTCATGGCCCATCCACCACCCCAAACCCAGTAAACTACTGGACAGTAAACAATGGTGGCCCATGCAAATAAAAAGATACAAGCAGGTAAAAAACGACCACGTTCAGCCACACAAGCTCCTGCTAAAATAGCCAAAGTGACCAATAAGAATTGCATCTGAAAAATAGCAAATGCTATTTGTGGGTAATCTGAACCCTCTGAGGCTCCCAATAAATCTTTAAAACCAAAGAAATGCAAATTACCAATGAATCCATTGGTAGCATTATCAGAAAATGCTAAAGAGTATCCCCAAAAATACCATTGAAAAACGCCAATAAATGATGACATTATACAGATCCAAATCATAGATAGAGCTGATTTTCTTCTGGATAAACCAGAATATAAGAATGCTAAACCTGGTACCATAATCCAGATAACAGATGATGCAACTGTGAATGCTAATACATAGCTTTCATTATAATTTTGATTTTCAGTGAAGATTTGTCTTCTTGTTAGTACTATTCTTTCAGCACTCATTATAATATAATGTTAAATGACTATATGTAACGTATGATGTGATAATATTCGCAGTATATATTGCGATGGATATGCAAATTGAATTGAACTTTAGATTTAAAGATCAAATTAGATTGGAATAAAAGTTCAACAAAGCAACGCTAAGTTAATGAATGTATAGTAGAATTGAAATAGTGATTTGCAATTTATAAGAAAATGTAAAAATAATGTAAAGTAAAAGTAAAAGTAAAAGTAAATTATACTCCAGTAAATGTAATTCGAAACCAATAGCGAATTAACCCAATAATATATATATATTTGAAATAAAACAAATTAAATGCACCTGTAAGTTAAATAAATTTAGAGGATAGTCATACCATATATATTGAAAAAAAAATAAATTAAAGAATTAATTAATATTAACTAGTGTTTGACTCTTGAATCACAAAACAATAGACTCAAAGCTTAAGCTTGCACTTTTTCTAGTCTACTACGCCTATATTTCAGCTCATCTTTGTAATACTAACGACCTCATGTGCAAAATTATGTAGCTTCTCTGTATGACTATTAGCCTGATGAGCCTGTTTGCAATTTCTTTTTTTTTTACATATTTTTTTAAGATTTTTTTTTCCTTTTTTTGCTTTTGCGCCTTCTGCCAAAAATATGTTTAACATTTAGCCTATCCTCCAATCATAATGAAAATTTGCTTATCATAGTGGTTAAAATATACAGTTCGTTATCTTACCTATCCTGTATAATGTAAGTTACACCTGTTTTACTACTATCAGTTATCTATATATTTCTGGTGCTTTATCTTTTTTAAAATATATATACTAGTGTTTGCAACTTTATGTCTGTTTTGGGGTTCGCAAACTTGGTTCGTTCCATGCATTTTTAGCCCCTGGGAATTATTTTGAAAAACCTGATTTATTATGTTTTATTATATGTTTGGTAGAATTTCATTGATAGTCGCGATAGCTAAGAGAAGGACGGAAACTTATTCCGCCCTTGTCCTGCACAAGCTGGTCTTGGCGTCCATACTTAAGGTTTAACTATGACGCTACCGGTAATATAACGATCTTAATCTCAATCCAATCAGATTGGTCTTCTCTCACGTGACATCGGCGCTTTTTTATATTGTTTAAATGGCATGCGGCGGAAAATCGTTAAATCACCGGGCCTGAAATTAAGTTTACAGGTTAAATCCTCAAGATTGCAGTTTATATCTACTAAGTAATATTTATAAAGTGAGTTTAGCAATTTTTAAATTATAAATGGTAAGAGAACAGTAAATTAAATAAATAGTCTAAAGGATGCCCGTGTTTTTGTTTTTGTTTTTGTTTTTGCTTCTATTTTCTTGTTGTAGTTACGAAAATCAATCTAAATTAAAAATAATGGCAATACAATGGAAATCACATTAAGGAAGATACTGCTTTTGGCATAATTTGTAGTACCCAATCCTTCATATCCAACTAATGTAGGAGTAGCAATACCGCTAGCAATAGGACTAACAGAATACGAGGTTTGACCTGTAGTTGTTATAGTAGTAGTCTCAGGAACATATGATTGTAGAGTAGTAATTGAACTAACAGCGACGGATGGTGATTCTTGATTCAAAGAAGTTGTATAAGTAGATTCGTTTGCAACCGAAACCAAAGTAGAGCTAGCTACTATACTTGCAATTGTAGTTTGTGCTGGAGTTGTAACTGATGATATACTGACACTTTGAATTGGGCTACCAATTCCTGTAGTATAAGTAGTTTGACTAGTTACATGAGATACAATTGGAATACTGGAATTTTCTACATAACTCTGTTGATTACTTTGTACAGGTTTATCAGCTGAAACAGGAGTAGTAGCAACAGGAGTAGTAGCAACAGGAGTAGTAGCAACAGGAGTAGTAGCAACAGGAGTAGTAGCAACAGAAGTAGCAGCAACAGAAGTAGCAGCAACAGGAGTAGTAGCAACAGGAGTAGTAGCAACAGGAGTAGTAGCAACAGGAGTAGTAGCAGCGGGAGTAGTAGCAGCAACAGGAGTAGTAGCAACAGGAGTAGTAGCAACAGGAGTAGTAGCAGCGGGAGTAGTAGCAGCAACAGGAGTAGTAGCAACAGGGGAATTATTATTTGCTTCACAAGTTGGACAGTAATATATAGTTTGCGTATTGGTTACTATGGTAGTAACAACAACATTATCAGGCCTAGTATAAACAACGGAGCTTATAACAGATTGGATAGAAGTTTCAGCTGCTTGTCCTGGTCTATAGATAGTAGTAAGGACTTCATTGGAAGGTATAGAATCAGAAGATGAAATATCAGTAGTAGGGAGTGGTATAGTCTCAGATGTGGCTGCAAGTGATGAACTTCCAATTGGCGTTTCTATTTCAACCGTAACCAAAGTAGCTTCACTAGTAGTAGGTAAGGTAACTGTAGTAACATATGTATTAGTCCAGCCCACAGTGATTGTAGTCGTCGAAATTGGAGTTTCAATTTCAATAGTCTCAATGGTGGTGTCACTGCCAAATGGTAAGGTAGTAGTATAAGTGTATGAACCAGTCCACTCAGTGGTGAAGGTGGTAGTAGTTAAAGATGGTGCAGCATCTGGAGTTTCAATTTCAATGGTCTCAATGGTGGTGTCGCTACCAAATGGTAAGGTAGTAGTATAAGTGTATGAACCAGTCCATTCGGTGGTGAAGGTGGTAGTGGTGATACTTTCTGCAGCGTCTGGAGTTTCAATTTCAATGGTCTCAATGGTGGTGTCGCTGCCAAATGGTAAAGTAGTAGTATAAGTGTATGAGCCAGTCCATTCAGTAGTAAAAGTTGTAGTAGTGATACTTTCTGCAGCGTCTGGAGTTTCAATTTCAATGGTCTCAATGGTGGTGTCACTACCAAATGGTAAAGTAGTAGTATAAGTGTATGAACCAGTCCATTCGGTGGTGAAGGTGGTAGTGGTGATACTTTCTGCAGCGTCTGGAGTTTCAATTTCAATGGTCTCAATGGTGGTGTCGCTGCCAAATGGTAAAGTAGTAGTATAAGTGTATAAACCAGTCCATTCGGTGGTGAAGGTGGTAGTGGTGATACTTTCTGCAGCGTCTGGAGTTTCAATTTCAATGGTCTCAATGGTGGTGTCACTGCCAAATGGTAAAGTAGTAGTATAAGTGTATGAACCAGTCCACTCAGTGGTGAAGGTGGTAGTAGTTAAAGATGGTGCAGCATCTGGAGTTTCAATTTCAATGGTCTCAATGGTGGTGTCGCTACCAAATGGTAAGGTAGTAGTATAAGTGTATGAACCAGTCCATTCGGTGGTGAAGGTGGTAGTGGTGATACTTTCTGCAGCGTCTGGAGTTTCAATTTCAATGGTCTCAATGGTGGTGTCGCTGCCAAATGGTAAAGTAGTAGTATAAGTGTATGAGCCAGTCCATTCAGTAGTAAAAGTTGTAGTAGTGATACTTTCTGCAGCGTCTGGAGTTTCAATTTCAATAGTCTCAATGGTGGTGTCACTGCCAAATGGTAAAGTAGTAGTATAAGTGTATGAACCAGTCCACTCAGTGGTGAAGGTGGTAGTAGTTAAAGATGGTGCAGCATCTGGAGTTTCAATTTCAATGGTCTCAATGGTGGTGTCACTGCCAAATGGTAAGGTAGTAGTATAAGTGTATGAACCAGTCCACTCAGTGGTGAAGGTGGTAGTAGTTAAAGATGGTGCAGCATCTGGAGTTTCAATTTCAATAGTCTCAATGGTGGTGTCGCTACCAAATGGTAAGGTAGTAGTATAAGTGTATGAGCCAGTCCATTCAGTAGTAAAAGTTGTAGTAGTGATACTTTCTGCAGCATCTGGAGTTTCAATTTCAATGGTCTCAATGGTGGTGTCACTACCAAATGGTAAAGTAGTAGTATAAGTGTATGAACCAGTCCATTCGGTGGTGAAGGTGGTAGTGGTGATACTTTCTGCAGCGTCTGGAGTTTCAATTTCAATAGTCTCAATGGTGGTGTCGCTACCAAATGGTAAGGTAGTAGTATAAGTGTATGAGCCAGTCCATTCAGTAGTAAAAGTTGTAGTAGTGATACTTTCTGCAGCGTCTGGAGTTTCAATTTCAATGGTCTCAATGGTGGTGTCACTACCAAATGGTAAAGTAGTAGTATAAGTGTATGAACCAGTCCATTCGGTGGTGAAGGTGGTAGTGGTGATACTTTCTGCAGCGTCTGGAGTTTCAATTTCAATGGTCTCAATGGTGGTGTCGCTGCCAAATGGTAAAGTAGTAGTATAAGTGTATGAGCCAGTCCATTCAGTAGTAAAAGTTGTAGTAGTGATACTTTCTGCAGCGTCTGGAGTTTCAATTTCAATAGTCTCAATGGTGGTGTCACTACCAAATGGTAAAGAAGTAGTATAAGTGTATAAACCAGTCCATTCGGTGGTGAAGGTGGTAGTGGTGATACTTTCTGCAGCGTCTGGAGTTTCAATTTCAATGGTCTCAATGGTGGTGTCACTGCCAAATGGTAAAGTAGTAGTATAAGTGTATGAACCAGTCCACTCAGTGGTGAAGGTGGTAGTAGTTAAAGATGGTGCAGCATCTGGAGTTTCAATTTCAATGGTCTCAATGGTGGTGTCGCTACCAAATGGTAAGGTAGTAGTATAAGTGTATGAACCAGTCCATTCGGTGGTGAAGGTGGTAGTGGTGATACTTTCTGCAGCGTCTGGAGTTTCAATTTCAATGGTCTCAATGGTGGTGTCGCTGCCAAATGGTAAAGTAGTAGTATAAGTGTATGAGCCAGTCCATTCAGTAGTAAAAGTTGTAGTAGTGATACTTTCTGCAGCGTCTGGAGTTTCAATTTCAATAGTCTCAATGGTGGTGTCACTGCCAAATGGTAAAGTAGTAGTATAAGTGTATGAACCAGTCCACTCAGTGGTGAAGGTGGTAGTAGTTAAAGATGGTGCAGCATCTGGAGTTTCAATTTCAATGGTCTCAATGGTGGTGTCGCTACCAAATGGTAAGGTAGTAGTATAAGTGTATGAGCCAGTCCATTCAGTAGTAAAAGTTGTAGTAGTGATACTTTCTGCAGCATCTGGAGTTTCAATTTCAATGGTCTCAATGGTGGTGTCACTACCAAATGGTAAAGTAGTAGTATAAGTGTATGAGCCAGTCCATTCAGTAGTAAAAGTTGTAGTAGTGATACTTTCTGCAGCGTCTGGAGTTTCAATTTCAATGGTCTCAATGGTGGTGTCACTGCCAAATGGTAAAGTAGTAGTATAAGTGTATGAACCAGTCCACTCAGTGGTGAAGGTGGTAGTAGTTAAAGATGGTGCAGCATCTGGAGTTTCAATTTCAATGGTCTCAATGGTGGTGTCACTGCCAAATGGTAAGGTAGTAGTATAAGTGTATGAACCAGTCCACTCAGTGGTGAAGGTGGTAGTAGTTAAAGATGGTGCAGCATCTGGAGTTTCAATTTCAATAGTCTCAATGGTGGTGTCGCTACCAAATGGTAAGGTAGTAGTATAAGTGTATGAGCCAGTCCATTCAGTAGTAAAAGTTGTAGTAGTGATACTTTCTGCAGCATCTGGAGTTTCAATTTCAATGGTCTCAATGGTGGTGTCACTACCAAATGGTAAAGTAGTAGTATAAGTGTATGAACCAGTCCATTCGGTGGTGAAGGTGGTAGTGGTGATACTTTCTGCAGCGTCTGGAGTTTCAATTTCAATAGTCTCAATGGTGGTGTCGCTACCAAATGGTAAGGTAGTAGTATAAGTGTATGAGCCAGTCCATTCAGTAGTAAAAGTTGTAGTAGTGATACTTTCTGCAGCGTCTGGAGTTTCAATTTCAATGGTCTCAATGGTGGTGTCGCTACCAAATGGTAAGGTAGTAGTATAAGTGTATGAGCCAGTCCATTCAGTAGTAAAAGTTGTAGTAGTGATACTTTCTGCAGCGTCTGGAGTTTCAATTTCAATAGTCTCAATGGTGGTGTCACTACCAAATGGTAAAGTAGTAGTATAAGTGTATGAGCCAGTCCATTCAGTAGTAAAAGTTGTAGTGCTAACTTCCGAAACTGTTCCATTTGATGAACTGCCACCTGGAACACTTTCAATATATACTTGAGAAGAAGCCTGGAGTGAAGATCCATCACCGCATGTAAGTTGATACACTAAAGTAAGATAGCTTCTATCATCCGTTAAAGGTTGAACAGCTTGAATGAAAATTTGGTACCCTTCTGGAACATTGCTGACTTGGAAAGCGACAGAATTAGCGGTACAAACAGCTCGGGTCAGGGTTATATCATCGTATGATTCAGGTAAGTCAAAATCATTTAAATCATTTGTTCCATAAATTTCATAATTACTACAAGGGTATGAGTTTGGGCTTTGAATTCCGACAACACCGCTCGATACACCCCCTGGACACAAACCAGTCAACATATAAACCTGAAAAACTTGTTCGGGCGAATCTCTGAATAAAGCTCCCAAAAATGGATTAGTTTGGGGAATATAGATACCATTTCCCTTCAAATTAACTGTAGCACTTAATCCGTCCCATGTGACAGTGTTTTGACCAGCTGTGAATACACTAGCACTAGAAAGATCAGCAGAATGAGTGGATCCACCAAAATTAAAAGCAAAATCAAATGAAAGTGATCCCGATATAGTAGTATCAGGATATGATGAAATTCCAGTAGTAACTGTGCATGTCAAGGAAGAATAATCATTATTAAATGTTCCCAGGTAAGGAACACAAGTTGCTACCACATTTCCATTGGCATATAAATCGATAACATCTGTACCTGCTCTTACTGCAAAGACATTGGGCATATCTAACGTAAAAGTATCACCCGGAGAAGCATTGCTAGTATCTATTTGCCATGTCAAAGAAGCAGTTCTTTCTTGTTCTAAATCAGATAAGAGAGTGGTATCTGATATACTTAAGCTTGTGAAAATATTGCTTAGTGTTGCAGCCAAAGCAATTTGAGCTGAAACGAAAAGTAATGTGAATAATTGTAAGACTAACATTGTGATAGTAGATAGTAATAATACAATACTTTTAAAATTAAGTTTCTAACTTCGAAAGAAGATTTATCTAAATGTCTGGGAAATAGACTCTTTCTATATAGTAGCGAATATGGTTAATAAGTCATTATTTGAGCTTCAACTTTCTATGGAAATGTTTCATAATTACAAAAAAGAAATCCGAGTATTCTATTTCCAGAGCAATGCTCTGAATGATTATTAGATGTAAATCCTTATTAAAAATAATTTGTTTCACTGGCCATGATGTAAATTGAACCATATGCACTAATCGAAGGTCAAATCAGTAGTAAACTGCTCAATCTCATCCCTCTCTCCTACCTGAGGTAGTCATGAAACATATGGACGTTGCATAAAAAATATCCAGACTCGAGATGCTTCAATACATTTTTTTAGAATTATGTCAAGACCTTGATTGAGATTGTTCCTTTGCAGTCCTAATCTGGTAATTTTGATGTAAAATCTAACACTTCCACAAGCTTTATTTTCTAGCGCGTAAATTTGATGCATTTCTTTTTTTTTTGCATGAGCATTTTTCGCAGCAGCTTGGCCCCAAAATGGCGTATGTCATGTCTGCAGTGAATGGGCAAGCTACCAAATCGGAGTTGGATTTTAAAACTTCTTCATGTGTATCAAGATTGTTTCGGTAGTTTCAGATGGCTCTTTAATATTTTCAATTTATTGAATTTTTTTTCTACAATGGGTGTTGAAATAGAAGTTAACACGAGTTAAATATATATGTGAATCAGAATATGTACAATAATCATAAGTTCGTATATACAATTGGAAACTTTCAAATAAATCCACTTTATCAAGTATTTCAAAGTTTTACTTCATTGTTTGAATCTCTATATTTTTCATAAAAGTGAAATGATTCAAATCCGACTTCTACCATAATTAATATGATAATAATCCATTCTAATCGGGTACCTTTCTTCTCATTTAAAACACTAAGAAATTCACGTTGTTCTTCAGTAGCATAATCAAGTTTCCGATTTAGAATAGCTATTCTAGATTGGATATCAAGAATTTTTGAAATTGCATTATAAATTCTCTCTAAGGTAGGTTCACTCCAATACAAATCTGGAGTTTCAATTAATTCACTGTAGAGATTCAACTTTCCTCTAATTAAAAATAGTTTACCCGTTAGCTTCAAAAAATCAGATTCACTCATGACAATTTTATTTCCTTTTGATAAAAATTCAGCATTTTTCTTTGTTATTGTTAAATGATCCTCAAATTGCATTTCTAAAATTGATAATCTGGTGGATCTCGATAACCCTATTGCGAACGCGGCTCTGTCTATAGTTCTTTTCTGTTCAGTCTCACCTTGCACTACCATAATTTCCCCTTGAAGGTATGAATTTCCATTATTAAGAGGTTTTTCTGGTAAGGACTTCAACTCAATCCAGTCCATCTCTTCCGACTCATATTCATCATACTTTTCAATAATACTGTTTCTGAGATTTGAATTCTCGAATAGATATTGATAAATATTTTCTTCCGTTAAGTCCCAGCCAACCAAAGTACCATTAGATAAAATCATCAACTCTCTATCTAAATAACGTACAGCTATGACTTCGTCAGGGATAATGACTGTGTACTCCAATCTGTTTAAAGTCGGGATGAGTTTGCCAAATTCTATACCATCACCGATAGTCACTGAAGTTACTATAGACAAGTATTTCTCAAGGGTTTCTGAAGGATTTACATCAGTGTTCTTATTTAAAAGGGATAAAATATAATTCGTTGACTCAAAAAGAAATGAGGGATCAGTTCTTCTCAAATTCTTTTGAATTATATTCTTCTTTTTCAAATTGAGTGTTTGACGATTATATGAAGCTCCTGTCAATGAGATGGATCTCTGGCATACTGATGATATGAGATTTTGACCACACTTAAGCTGCGGCACAACTCTTAGGCTTGATCTAAGATGTAATCTTGATAATTGAAACATCCGTTCAAAAGGCAATAATATAATGTGTAGGCTTGTATATGAAGTGCTGGAGTATATTATTGCAAGAAGGACATAGTTTTGCCAGGGGTAATTTACAGTAAAATGTTAACAACTCGTGCACGTGACTTTTGGCCACATTGATGTGACAAAGATCAAAAACATGATATTGGATTTGAAGACATCTTGTAGAGTAAATGGTATTTAAATAACAAGGAGAAAAGAATAGAATATATCGTATAATTGAAAGAACTCTTAACTTACAGGCTGGCTATAATAATTTGTCAGTAATCTTGGGGATAAGGGGGGAAGATTACGTATCAGAAGTAGCTCGTAAGAATAGTTACCGTTATATCGTGGTTCAACAATATATATAAGGTACATATACGAGCAGATAATATATCTTACAGTCTGGCGTGAGCCATACCACGAGATTAAGTATTGTCATAATGTTGACTTTAGATCCCGGTAGATAGAAATATTTTCGGCAATAATTAAGACCCGAATTGCATCTATATAACTATAAATCAACACAATAGCGGAAAGATTTAAATACCGGATAGATGAAAAATTAATCTAAAACTATTCTGAATGAGTGATCCAGCTGTAATTGCTAATATAGCTGAATTTCTATTTTTATTACTGCGGTCCGTCCAGTAAATAGCATGCATAAATTTTGTTTACATTTTACCCGATTAGTTAATGTAATTGCCATCATTAAATTTCGCGCCTTAATTAAATCTCTAAATTAGATACATGGTCATTTAGACATAATGAAAGGTGGGAGGGGAGAGTTAAGTAATGTTAGATAAAATGAAGTTAATTTTAACCAAGGTATGTAATAAATTATGAATAAGACAAGACAATATAAGTCAATTCTCGGTAAGAGAAAAGAAAGAATTAAAAGAAACCAAAAGAACCAGAAGGAAAACAAATAAATACTGTATAATCAGGACAAAAGACCCCTTACTGCATTGCCTCCTCTAGTAGTAAAATTAACACTTGGCTGATATAAAAAAATGCTAAAAATTTCAAATGTACTGTATGAGTCCAAAACAAAAGCAGAAATAGACTTCTAGAGACCAAACTAAACCAAACCAAAATAAACAAATGATTCACAAAATCAAATGATTTGAAATAGAACCAACAAAACATTCCATCGCCCATGACCTGCCATTACTTTCTAATGAAAACATTCGCTGATATAAATATAGTATCAAAACCGTTTTCTTTTATTATCTATTTTTATCTTCTATATAAATCATTCTAACTTCTAACTAAATAATTAATTAATTAATATTATTATTAGTAGTAGTATTTGTTATTGTTATTGTTATTAGAATTAACTATACTTCGCTAAAGAATCACTCCTTCTTCCCATAAATTGTGCATTCCATAATAAAAGTATTCTATTCTGTATATACTTACGACATCCAACAATCAAATTCAAGACATTATTGCTATCCATCTCGTTGCAATTGTAAAACACGTCTCACAAAAGTTAGTCAATCCCATACACAAAAAAGTTTTTCCTAAATTGGATCCAATTTTTTTCTGAAGTTTACAAATAAATACTGACCAATTTCAAGTTAATATTCAAATTTGATTCCAAAACTTGATATTTAAAGCTAATTTTTGATCTATATTAAGTCCTATTATCAGTCAATTTGTTTGTTGAACAAATAGATATAAAGAATTTCATTCGTTCATTTACTTTAAATATTTTTTAATTAAAAGATAAACGCTCATTACTTTATATAATTAATTAATAATATGTGTGGTATCTTTGGTTATATAAACTTCTTAGTTGATAAGACTAGAGGTGAAATTATTGATACACTTGTTGATGGTCTTGAAAAATTAGAATATAGAGGTTATGATTCAGCTGGTATTTCAGTTGATGGTGATAAAAAGGGTGAATGTATTATTGTTAAATCTCCTGGTAAAGTTGAAGTTTTAAAGAAATTAGTTGCTGATCAAAAAGTTCCAAGATCAACTGTTTTTGATAATCATGTTGGTATTGCTCATACTAGATGGGCAACTCATGGTCCTGCAACTGTAATTAATTCTCATCCTCATAGATCAGATCCAACTGGTGAATTTATTATTGTTCATAATGGTATTATTTCAAATTATAATGATTTAAGAACTTTATTATTAGCAAAGGGTTTCCAATTTGAATCTGATACTGATACTGAAGTTATTGCCAAATTATTTAAACATATTTATGATTCTAATTTAGAAGAAGGTCTTCATCCAGATTTAAATCAATTAACTAAATTAGTATTATCAGAATTAAATGGTTCTTATGGTTTATTAGTTAAATCATCTCATTTCCCAGGTGAAGCTTGTGGTGCTAGAAAGGGTTCTCCTTTATTAGTTGGGGTTAAAACTGAAAGAAAATTAAAGGTTGATTTTGTTGATGTTGAATATCCTGAAACTGAAACTACTAGTGGATCTGCTGCTCCTCAAAATGATTTAGGTTTATTACCAGTTGCTCAAGGTGAATCTAATTTAAGAACTTCTCAATCAAGAGCTTTCTTTTCTGAAGATTCTATCCCAATGCCAATTGAATTTTTCTTTGCATCCGATGCTGCTTCAATAATTAAACATACTAAAAAAGTATTATATTTACAAGATGATGATATTGCTCATATTTTTGATGGTGAATTACATATTCATAGAGCTACTAAAAAGAAAAGTGATGAATCTACTACAAGAACCATTGAAACTTTAGAAATGGAATTAAATCAAATTATGAAGGGTCCTTATCAACATTTTATGCAAAAGGAAATTTTTGAACAAACTGAATCTACTTTTAATACTATGAGAGGTAGAGTTGATTTTGATAATCATAAAATAACTTTAGGTGGTTTAAAATCTTGGTTACCAACTATTAGAAGATGTAGAAGATTAATTATGATTGCATGTGGTACATCATATCATTCATGTTTAGCAACAAGATCAATTTTTGAAGAATTAACTGATATTCCAGTTTCTGTTGAATTAGCTTCAGATTTCCTCGATAGAAAATCTCCAGTTTTCAGAGATGATACAATTATTTTTGTATCACAATCTGGTGAAACTGCTGATTCTATTTTAGCTTTACAATATTGTTTAGAAAGAGGTGCATTAACAGTTGGTATTGTTAATACTGTTGGTTCATCAATTTCTAGACAAACTCATTGTGGTGTTCATATTAATGCAGGACCAGAAATTGGGGTAGCTTCAACTAAAGCTTATACATCACAATATATTGCCTTAGTAATGGTTGCATTATCTTTATCTAATGATACTATTTCAAAGATTGAAAGACATAGTGAAATTATTGATGGTTTAAAGAAAATTCCTGATCAAATTGCTAAAGTATTAAAATTAGAAGATTCAATTAAATCTTTATGTAAGAATGAATTAAAGGATAAAAAATCTTTATTATTATTAGGTAGAGGATTCCAATTTGCTACTGCATTAGAAGGTGCATTAAAGATTAAAGAAATTACTTATACTCATGCTGAAGGTGTTTTAGCTGGTGAATTAAAACATGGAGTTTTAGCATTAGTTGATGAACAATTACCAATTATTGCCTTTGCCACTAGAGATTCATTATTTCCAAATGTTATGTCAGCAATTGAACAAGTTACAGCTAGAAAGGGTAAACCAATTCTTGTTTGTAATGAAGGAGCTAAAATATTAAGTCAAGATAAAGTTATGACTACATTAGAAGTTCCAGAAACTGTTGATTGTTTACAAGGTTTATTAAATGTTATTCCAGTTCAATTAATTAGTTATTGGTTAGCAGTCGATAGAGGTATCAATGTTGATTTCCCAAGAAATTTGGCTAAATCAGTTACTGTTACTTAAACTTAAACAAGAGAATTTATTTAAACATTTATTTCTTCGATTCATAAATTGATTCATCATTTGGGTTCAAGTACTTATATAATTATACATACGTTGTATAAAACATTTTATATTTAATATATCTATCATTTAGTAAAAATCGTGTATGTACAAAATAAAAAAAAAAACATTAATGAATATAAACATAGTAGGAATAATAACTATACATACATAATATATACACCTTTATCATCTACTGATAAACCAGTTACTTACCAATTATAAAATAAAAATAGGGTTACTTAAATGAATAAATAAAGAATTAAATAAATTAACAATCTTTTGATTATTTACGTTTAAAATAATCTGAAGTTGTAAGATAAGCAGCAGTGAAATCAAAAAGTTGTTCACCAACTTGTAAATACTTGTTTGAATAGTATTTAAGATTTGGGTATTCATCACCAAAGGCATCATAATCAACAGTTAATCCAGTATTTCTTTTAACACCAGCTAAGAAGGCTGATAATAAAGCCAAGTCTACTCCTATATGAACTGCTTTTCCAATCTATACATATAAATTAGCACTAAGTTATATAGTTAATCAATTTATCTTTTTGTTTGTTTTACATACATAGGCGAGGGAGGCAAATCTCCATATACTAAATCAAAAAAAAAGAAGACATGAATAGAATAATCATAGATAATTAGATAATTAGATAATTAGATCATTGGTACCATACTATCACTACAATTATTAGTCAATTGTAAAGCTAAGTCTGGTCCATCATGATAATCATCAATTGTCAAATGTAAACTGTCCCGGCATCAGCCCTGCCCCAGCTTTTTTTTGATTTTGTGCGGGCTAATGGCAAAAACCCTCACCTATATTAAAAGATAAATAGAATAACTTCCACTCATAGTGCAATATTGTCAGTATTAAATTCTCAATCGATACAATTGTATACAACAGTCATGTATACCAAATATACATACCATTTTTATTTGTTTAATATTTAAATGTTTAATTGTTATAAACTATATATCTATCAAAATCAAAAAAAAAAATTAGAAATCTAATTTATGTTTATCTTTTTATATTTTCCCCTTTGAGGGAATGTTTACCCGGAAATCAGTTTATTCCAAGCAAAAATGAGACGACTACATAAATTAATGAGAGCCACTAATTTATCTCATTAATCAAGTCAATAATAAAGATACCAATATATTATACTAAATAGATTTAAGGATAATGATATTTTTCTTTTGGCAGATTATATTGAGGTTAGGGTAAATTCATGATATGAATTATAGTTACGAATCATTATTCTATTAATGAGTTGAATGTAAGTACTTTTGGTATGTTGTGGTACACGAGGCGTTGCTCGGATGACTTATGTCTATGTTATATGTTTTTTGTGTGTAGATTTATGAATATGGCATTTGACGGTGAATTAATAGAGGTCATGATGTGGATTAAGACCTCTATGGATGTAATTTTGGTTCATGGTTTGCTTATGAGGATGAAGCACCCATTATCATAATGAATATTGAAATGAGTAATCAGTAATGAGTGATGAATAATATTGCGATATATTTATCCTTATATATTCAGTTTACTACCAAGTTCATTGTTATCAACTATACGTATCCATAACATGATTGGATTCAAATATCAACCAAGGATTCGTTTCCTCCCCTAAACTCTCCCCCATGTTGATAAATCTGCGCTATTTGTCTGTCATATATAGTATAGCTTTATTTCCTCTGTACTACATTTATTTTCCACTTGTAAGCGATGACAACTAAAGAAGCCAGAATAATTATCAACATGGTTGAAGAGTTTGAGTTAATATCCTTCCCTTTCAATCTAGTCTCTAAGCATATATGACTAGTTGTTAATGTTGCAGTTACTGGGGTCGTATTTCCGGGTAATGCACACTCTTTCGAGTCTCACTAAAAAAGGTGAGAAGGGAAATATTTTAGTATGGATAAAATATCTACTTAGTTATAGTATACCCCCATTTATTATAATTTATTTAATAGGGATATCTATAAGGTTAGTGGATTTTGAGAAACTTATCACATACAAATATTAAACATTTATTGCTAAATAATTTAGTCAAGTTCATTTTCAAAATAATTGTGTATCTTTTGTTATGGCAGATAAGTACAGACCAACACCATCTGGTCCTAAATCTCTGAGAAACTATACTTCATCGTATGGTTCTTCTTCATCACCATCTGGTCCACAATCAAAATCATATCATAAAAAGGATACATACAAACCTGAGAATAGAAGGCGATATAATAATAATAATAATAATAATAACAATAGTAATAATAACGATCGTGATCGTGATAACTATAGACCAGACGTTTACAAGCCATCTCAATCTCAACCTCAACCTCCACAATCAAATGCACCAGCATCTTCTGAATCTTCAGTAATTCGTCCATCAAGACCATCGGGTCCTTCAAAATATAGAGAAAACAATCGTGATTATGAGAAATCTTCTCCCAGTAATGATAGAGGTATAGGATCCAAACGACCAATGGTTCCATCTGGTCCAAGTAACTATAAAAAGAAAAAGCCAAGAGATTATACTTCATCATTTGTAAGTAAAAGACCAGATGGTCCCAAAGGTTTCCCTACAGGTCCAAGAGATTATACTAGACCCAATGGACCAGGGTCAAGAGGTCCATCAGTACCCATACAAGCAAAAAATCCAAAACCACGAGAATTACCAAAATTATTGCCATCACAAATATATTCTGTTCAAGTCACTAGATCAACCAAAGTATTTGATCGAGTCCAACAAGTTGGAGAAGGTACTTATGGAAAAGTTTATAAAGCCAAGAATAATATAACTAATGAATTTGTTGCATTAAAGAAATTACGTTTAGAAACTGAAAGAGAAGGTTTCCCAATTACATCAATTCGAGAAATAAAATTATTACAATCTTGTGATCATGAAAACATTGTAGGATTATTGGAAATGATGGTTGAAAGTAATCAAATATATATGGTATTTGATTATTTAGATCATGATTTAACAGGATTATTAACTCATCCTGATTTAAAATTACAAGAATGTCATAGAAAATTTATTTTTAAGCAATTAATGGAAGGTCTTAATTATTTACATAAAAAGAGAATTATTCATCGTGATATTAAGGGTTCAAATATTTTATTGGATTCAACTGGTAATGTTAAAATTGCAGATTTTGGTTTAGCTAGAAATATGAAAATTTTAAATGATGGTGAAAGTCCAGATTATACTAATAGAGTTATTACAATTTGGTATAGACCACCTGAATTATTATTGGGGGCTACAAATTATGGTAGAAAAGTTGATATTTGGGGTGTTGGATGTTTATTAATTGAATTATATTCAAGAATTGCAGCTTTCCAAGGATATGATGAAGTAAGTCAATTATGTAAAATTTTTAATATTATGGGAACTCCAAGTTTTAAAGATTGGCCAAATATTGATAATTTACCATGGTTTGAAATGTTAAAACCTAAAGTTAATATAGCATCTAAATTCAAACAAATTTATGAATCTCAAATGAGTGAATTAAGTTATGATTTAGCCATAAAATTATTAGCATTAGATCCTGCAGCTAGATTAACAGCAGAACAAGCATTAAAACATGATTATTTTATTAAAGATCCTCAACCTGAACCATTATACTTTTTGAAAGAAGTTAAAGGTGAATGGCATGAATTTGAAACAAAAAAGAGGAGAAGGCGCGAAAGGAAAAGATTACAAGATGAAGCTAAAGCTAAAGAAATGCAAGAAAATTTATCTAATAAAAGTAAAGATAAAGAAGAATCTAGTCAACAATCAGAGATTAATGAAGATGATAAACATGTTACAATTGAAGAACCTGATATTTTAAAGAGTGATAAACCATTGGATGAATATCCCAAAACTGAAGATTCTGATTTAGCAGGTGATAGGGATTATCCTAAAACTATTGATAGCGATTATCCAAGATCTGAAGGATATCAATCAGCATATTCACAAACTAAGCCTAATGATAATAGTTCTGATAACGAAATTACTGTAGACAATAATAGGGATGAAGTAGAGGAGATTGAAGCTGAAGCCCAAGTGACAGATTAAAAATATGTACCTCTAAATAATATATATATATATGTATATAAATCTTTATTCACACTTTTTTTTTATGCAGAGAAACGATCTGAGTCCTGTAGAAAACTAAAGCTCTACTGTTGATTATACCACCATTATCAAATCAATAGTTAATTCACCATGTCAATTTTAATGGTCATATTAATGGTTAATATGTTGCAAATTGTTCAAAAGTATAGTTTATTGCAAGCGGAATCAGATACTCTTTACACGTCAAAATTTTCAAACACATTCAATTCGGAATTCAGCAATTGTATGGCTGAAGTTGAAATGAATAATGATACATATAAATTATTAGAAGTAACTGAGACTGAATCATTAAAGTGTGATCTTTTCAATGATATACTTAGAAATTGTCAAGATTCTGGATTAAAGGATAACAACTATTCGATCTTTCAATCATTGATTGACACAATTTGTCAAGCAGCCACTAAGGAACAACAACAACAAAATGTTAATGATATTTTACAAATTTGTAATGATGATGCTTGTGATTCTGACCAACATCTTGATAAGCGACTTCTTGATCCTAAATATTTGGATATCGACTTCGATGAATACTATAATCAGAATAATCAAAAATCTCCCAAGGCTATGACTTATGATTGTAATTTGATGCAAGCAATTAAATCCACTCAAACTGTGGAAGATAATGTGATGACTATATTCACATCTACATTTACTGTAAGTAATCCACTGGAAGTTCTGCTTACTGTAGTAGAATTCATTAAAGTAATAAGTATTCCGCAGCCCCTGTTGTAGTTTTCAATGGAAAGTTACGATAAATAATTCCTCCCAACTTACTAATTCAATTAATTTTGCTATTTACTACTATATAATCTTATCTAAAATTATTCTACTCATTCTCTGCTTGATTAATTATTCCTATTTAGGTATTATAGAACTAGAAGTTATCTATACTTTTGCAGTCAATATGCGTCACGTGCCTGAGCAATCACCGACGGAGAAAGAGGTAATTTTTAGAAAAAATAAACGGCTTACAATCAGATGATTTTCTCGGTAGTTATAGTGTTTCAGGGTATACTGGATATACTTGGAGGTCCATTAATAAATAATAAACACTTCGAAATTATACAGTTCCAACATAAGTTTGGTTAACTGTGGGTGTGACCAAAACATATTTTTTTAATCGTTTTAATTTAAAGTAAAATTTTGGTTAACATCGTGCTAAGAGAATATTAGCCTGACCAAATTTTAAGTGTAAGTGATCATGGGTTCATGTGCGTCAAAACAGCCTAAGGAGATAAATCCAAGTGGTAATGTATCCAATGCACAAGTGAGACGAGATGGTCAAAGAAAAGCGTTAAAAAAGCCGTCTAATGCGAACAGTACTGTTGTTGCGGATCCTAATATTACTGGTTCTAATGGGAGTGCAACTTCAGAAACAATTGGTAATGATATTAATGGTAAAGTTAATCTAGATCATAATACTTCAGCAGATTCATCAAATGAAGTAGAAAAACAAACAAATACGCCAACTACAACTCTTACTAATGGAACTGTCCCTGCAGGTAATGGATCAACTGTTAATGGAAGTCAACAACAACAACCGCAACAACAACAGCCAGTTTCTATCAACCCCGTTGATGTTGCTGCTGCTCAATCACAATCAGATTCAAATGAAGTTAAACTTTTATTATTAGGTTCTGGAGAGAGTGGAAAATCTACTATTGTTAAGCAAATGAAAATATTACATCAAAATGGTTATACACCATCAGAATTACAAGAATATAAGCCATTCGTATATAAAAATATCTTGGATTGTATTAAAAATGTTATAAATGCTGTAATTGATTTACAGCCAGATTTAATTAATAAGAAAGATGAAGTAAAACTAATAGAAGAGGAAAATGGAGAACAAGACAATGATGAAGAAATTAATGATGAAAAGATAAATAATGATCAAGTTGTCAAAAATGGTAATAAATTAAGAAAACATATTCTTGAATATGATGATTTAAATGATGTGTTAGATTATGAATTTTCAGTTGATTCTGAACAAATTTTTAATCCAGATATTGCCAAAAAGATTAAACAAATTTATAATACCCCTGAAATTGAACATTTTATTAAATTTCAGCAAGGTAAATTTTATTTAATTGATTCTACTCATTATTTTTTATCAGATATAGATAGAATAACTAATCCAGATTATGTACCATCAGTTAATGATATTTTAAGAACAAGAAAGAAAACTTCAGGAATATTTGATTTTAAATTTGAAATGGGTAGTGGTTTAAATATTCATATGTATGATGTTGGAGGTCAAAGATCCGAACGTAAGAAATGGATTCATTGTTTTGATAATGTTACATTAATTATCTTTTGTGTAGCATTATCAGAATATGATCAAACTTTATTAGAAGAAAGTAGTCAAAATCGTTTAGAAGAATCATTAGCATTATTTGATTCAGTAGTTAATTCAAGATGGTTTGCTAGAACATCAATTGTATTATTTTTAAATAAAATTGATGTTTTTGCAGAAAAGTTGAAATATTCACCTTTAGAAGATCATTTCCCCGAATATACTGGAGGTGATAATATTAATAAAGCTGCTAAATATATTCTATGGAAATTTAATCAAGTTAACAGATCAGGATTAAATATTTATCCTCATGTCACACAAGCTACTGATACTTCAAATATTCAATTAGTTATGGCAGCTGTTAAGGAAACTTTATTGGAAAATTCCTTAAAGGATAGCGGATTATTACAAACTACTTGAATCAATCCTTATTTAGGCATTATTCACTAAAGACTTTACGACTATCTCATCAATTCAATACGAATTGTATTTGCATACTTTTTTTTTATAAAACAATTTATCACCATATAACTTTATTAGGTGACATTTACTTTTCTTATTGAAAAGCATTATTAGTTTATGGTGTAAACGTGCTTTATCTATTTATATAGTATCAAAAATTAAATTATTTATTTATTTTATCTAATGGTTTTGTTTGTTTCGTAGCGCTCGTCTCTTAATCATTACTTGGCTGCAAATTCATCACGACAAGTTAAACAACTTGTTTATTATACATTACACTATCATACATATCTATACTATTATAGGAGCAGACTAAGCAACTGATGAATAATATTCAATAAAATTCAATAGTCTAATACAATCAACAATCAACAATCACATGAATAAATCTTTTATTTACGTTTGAGCTTCTGGCTTAGATTCATCAATTGATTTACTACGAACATAACGTAAATTGAAGTTCCCACTTTGAGTACCTCCTCGACCTCTTCCACCTCGAGCTCCACCTCTTCCTTCAAAATTACCTCTCGACCCTCTTCCACGACCCCTAAATGAACCTCTTCCGCGACCTCTACCTCTAAATGAATCAGATTCAGGAGTAGAAGATGATGTATATATAGTTTTTTCTTCTGATGCAGAAGATTCTTCTCGTATACTTTCTCCTAAATTTTCTTTAGTTTTACTTTTAACTTTGGCTTCACTCTCAATTCCATTTTCAGATCTTGTACTTGAACTTATGATTTCAACTGAATTCTTATTCTCTTTAATCTTATCTTTACCAGATATTCTTGGAATAGACTTGGCTGCAATAGAAACTGATTCATTCTTTACTACATTACTATCAACTTTTTCTGCAGAGACAGAATCCTCACTACTTTTAGCTTGAGTATCTTCAGATTTAGTTGTAGTCTCTATTGAAGATTTATTGTTGAATACTCTACTTCTATTTTTAGTTGGTGAATGAGATCTTAATTTATCACCAGGATAATAAGGTTGCCTCTGAGAACGATATCTTCTGTATTCATTTGATTGTTTATCACCTTCATTAGCACTATTATTGCCATTACCATTATCATTATTATTATTAATTGAAAGACCATTACCATTATTATAAGAATGATTATTATGATAACCTCCACGTTTGTTATAACTATTATATGATTGGTTTTTATATGGCCTCTTTTCTTTTGGTGGAGCTTCTGTTGCCTTCTGTACTAATTCATTTAAATGCTTTCTAAAATCTGGTCTTTCTTCCTCTTCTTCTACTACTACTTGTTCTTTTACCTTCTTTACTGGCTCTTCAATCTTTACAGCTGAAAGAACTTCAGTTGTTTTATCTACTTCATCTACAATCTTTTTATTTATTTCAGACTCTGACAGTGGATTTTGTTGATCAATTGATTCACTCTTGATATGTTCTTCTGTTTGAGCTTTAAGTTTCTCTTCTTCCTCTAATTTAATTACTTCACTTTCTTTAATTGTTAGATCTAATTTCTTAGGTTGAGGTGAACTAGTTGTAGTAACTTTTTTCTTCAATATTACTGGTTTAGAAACTACAGTTTTTTGGGTATGACCTTTTGTTGGAGTATTTCTACCTCCTGTACCAGAATGTGAATCATGAGCTTGACCACTAAGCATTTCTGCCATACTTTTCCCTGAACCATTAATGGCATAAGGAGAATTTAAAGCTGGAGATGATGAAGTTGGAGGAATTACCTTTTTAGGTTCTGGTACAGCTGGTGATTGTATTGGTATTGAAGTTGATGTTGGTATAGGATTTATGGTAGTATTACTAGGAATTGGAGTTGTTCGTTCAGATGATTCAAGAGATTGACGTTTTAATATTGAATATGGCTTTTTACCATTTTCAATTGAAGCTCGTCTTGATCCAGAATTTAAGGATGATCTCCTTAAAGTTGGTGATGCCTTTTCATGAAATTTTTTAATTGTTTGTTCAACATTTTCAGGTTCACCATCTGGTCCTAAAGTTTGTACAGTTGTATTATTTAAATTAATTAATTTTTTTTCAATTTCTTGTTGACGTGATAAAACATCTACTGGTTTAGCTTCACCAAATGGATTTGATTTATGTTTTATGGGTTCTTGATGATTAATTATATTTTGATGATGCAAAGGAGGTTGAAGTGGTGGTTGAGCATGAATTGGTCGAAGATTTTGATCTCGAGGTGAAATATCTCTTAAACCTCCACCTGAAGAATTTCGATGAAAATTATTTCTTGTTGGATGATATTTTGATGGATCTAGATCTATATTATCTAGTAAAGCCATATGACGAGGTTGATTTTGAGCATGTCTATTTGCTATATAATCTTCTTGAATTTGATGAATTTCATTAGCATGTTGATTATTAAATTGAATACAATGTTGAAAATCATTAAAATCTGCCAATTCAGTAACTACACGTCTTGAACCTTTATAATATAAATCATGCCATTTTAATACTTTAGCTAAATCAGGAGAATTCAGTAATTCAACAAATGCAACTTTTTTAATAATTCCAGTTTCTAAAATATTTGTAGAAGGATCAGCCACTATTTTTAATTTAACAAATGTAGTAAATCTACTTCGAAATAAATCTTCAACAAAGGCATCATTTGCCGTTACAGGAAGATTTAATAATTTAACAATATATGGTGGATTATAATCATGATTTCTCAGTCCACCTCCATAATTTGTTGAAGAATATCCATCATTATAATGAGAAGTTCGTTCAATTGGTACTGATATTGATGCCATATCAATATCATCATCTACCCAAGAGCCTCCAAACGCTAAAAAGAAAATTAATTAGTTAGTATTGTTTATAAAGATTTCAAAGTTATATAAATCATTCATTTGAATTTGAATGGTATATACATACATTCATCGTTGAAGAACTCCTGTAAAGTCATCTTCTTTGGTGGAACTATAAATATATATTATGTTAGTACATCTGGTGATAATTTTGAGGTAATAATAAGAAAATCCTGTAAGTGACAATTAATTATGACAATAATGAATTAATAATATATATCCATATATATATATATATATCCATATATATATATCAATAATTATATATCAATAATTATATATCAATAATTTAATTAATTTAATCAATTGGTATTGATCCTATCATGGAGTAATGTATATAGTTCATCTGTCCCCACTTTGAACATACTACTACATGACTTTATTGTTTCATCTTACAGTCATAATCTTATATCAATTGATTAATATTACTTACCCATATTGCCGCCTAACACTTATAGATCAATCTATATGTTATGAATTATTATACGACAAGAAATTTATGACAATTCTGTAGTTTTAACTATGGACTCTGCCTTAGCAGCTGGTTAGGGTTTTTTTCTTTAAAGTGTTTATTTTTGACGAGTGACGATATCCTAAAATAGCAAAATCCTGTGGTTTATTGTCACGTGAACTACGATATATATAGAATATATAATATATAAATATTTAATTAATATCAATCTATATATCATTATCATTGTCATTATCATTATAAATCTTTATAATTATCATAAGACTTTCTCCAATTGGCAAAAAATCCAGTAAAAAATTTAATACCTAATCCAATATCTTTACTACCAACTGTAGCTCTAATTGAGTGCATAGATAATTGAGGAATACCTAAATCAATTGTTCTTGCTCCAGTTTGTAAAGAAATAGATGGTCCAATAGTTCCTCCTGATCTAGAATCATTTCTAATTTGGAAATATTGTAATTCATCTTTATTAATCTTAGCTAATTCTTCAACTAATGCAAGACCAGTAGAATCAGTTGCCATATGACCATTTGGATCTAATGCAATTGCAACCCCCTTATTTGGTAATGGTTTATGATGCTCTAAATAAACCAGTTCAAAATTTGGATTAAGTAAATGATTAACATCTGCTGATAAAATAATGGTATTAGAATAAGTTAATCTAATTTGTTCTTGAACATCTAATGATTTTGGATTATAATATTTAGATGCTAAAACTCTACTAACTGCCAGTTCAATAAATCCTCCTTTAATACCTTGTCTTGTAGCTGATCCAATTTCTTCATTATCAAATAATCCAACAATTGAGAAAGAATCAGATTCTAATAATGAATCAGTATCAGCCTCTAAAAGTGCATAAATAGCAGCAAATGAACAAACTCTATCATCAACTCTTGGAGCAAAAATAAATTCATTATTTAATCCACCTTTAGTAGCAGGATGAACATCATATAATTGTAAATCCCATTGAACAATATCTGAAGCTTTAACTCCTGAAATTTTAGAAATATATCTAATTAAATTAATAGAATGTTTACCATATAATGGTGATGATTTTTCTTCTTCTGTGGCTGGAGCTGGTTCTTCAGTTGAAAATCCAATAACTGGAACTGCTTGAGTTTCTTTATTAAATGGTCCTTGAGCTGGAGTTCCAAAATGTGGAGCTAAAGTTGGAATATGAGCAATTGGATTTGGTGATGAATCAACTAATTTTGGTACAATTTTTCCAGATTCATCTTTAACTAATAATCTACCTCCAACACCTAAATCTCTATCCCACCAAACATTTTCTAAAGTTCCAGCATAAGGTGCAACCCCTAATAATTCATAACCTTCAACTTTATTTTTAGTTGAATTTGGTTTTAAAATTACAGTAAGTGAATCAATATGAGATCCAATAACTCCAACCCCCTTTGATGCATCCCAATTTTTACCAACAACAAATGCTAATAATGAAGAACCATTTCTAATAGTTACATATTTTCCAGCAGTTAAACCTTCCCATGAATCTTTTTCATTAATAAATTTATAACCTTTAGAAGTTAATTTTTCAACAAAATAATTAACAACATGATAAATTGTTGGATTATTAATTGTAAATGAAACATATTCATCAGCATATTTTTCATAAAAGGAATTAGTATATTTATTAGCAATAACTTCACTACTTCTTCTACTAGAAATTGGAGTTTCAGCTTCAAGTTCACTATCTTCAACAATTAAAGTATCATTTTTGGATTTTTCAAGATCTTCACTAAGTTGTTCAATACGACTTAAAGTAGAACGTAAATTATCAATGAACCCATTTAAGTCAAGAGACTCATTCTTTGAAACAGACATTATAATATTATATTATATTTTATTTTATTTTATATAATTTAATTTCTAACTATTAAATTCTAATTACTAAATATCTTATAAATATCAATTCAAGTTATTACTCGACTATATATACTTTGAACAAAATTATGACGTTATAGCTCTGTGGCCACTGTATAGTATGGCGGGGGCTAAATTCCCTACATATTGTGGTGAGCGTTATCGCATAATATCGGTGCCTATTTTGGAAACGGCACAAGCAAAAGCCGAGCCGCAGTCTGCCCAATTCGTCTGCGAGCCAGAAAACTGCCTAATTTAGGTTTAAATCCATCCCGAATAGGAGGGAGACAGAGACTTTTTAGATCGTCATAACTCTAGTTTTGCATTAGGAAATTTCATACAGTATATATACATATATATAAACTTTAGCTAATATTATATTGAGTTGCTAATTATGGTCTTTCAGCTGCAAAAGTAGCAGCAACAATTAATGGGAATACTACAGTAACATCAGCATATACTTTAACTGATTTTGCTTCACTTTTAATTTTTCCCCAACTAACAGCTTCATCAGGTCTAGCACCAGCATCAGATCCATCAAATTCTTGACCAGTATTAATATATACAGCATAATCAGCACCATTTCTCATCAAACATGCATTACAAATATGATGTTTAATTAATCCACCTCCTAAGATAATCATACCTGCTTTAGAAGCAGCCATTGACATTGAATTAACTTTTCTAATATCAGCAACAATATCAAGTCTTAATTGTTGAGGTGATGCCTTAAATGTATGAAAGAATAACATATCACCAATAGAACCATCAGTAATTGCAGGACAAAAAATTGGAATTTTATTTTTATGAGCCCAATATAATACAGATGATTCATCATTAATTTCTTTACCTAATCTATCAATTAATTTAGATGGAGTCCAAATTGCTGGAGAATCAGCATTTAAACCTTCAGAACCTAATTTCTTCATCTCTTCTTCTTGTTCTTCTAATATTTTATCTAAAACTGGTACAATCCATTCTTCAAATTTACAATAATTATCATTTGGAACTAATAAATTACCAATTCTATTCATACCTTGATCTCTTAAACCTTTACCAGGTAAACTAAATTCACCCATATAAGTTGGAGCCAAACATTTAATTAAATCTTCTTCAATACCCCCAGCACTTGCAACAATTGCACTAACTTTTTTATGTTGAACTAAATATCTTAAAGTATCTCTTAAACCAGAAGATATTAAATTAGATGTATAACCCATAAAAATAGTTGTCTTTTGAAATCCATTATCATCAAATTCACCTGTTCTTTCATGTTCGGGTAATGAATCTATGTGTTCTCCTCTCCATGATCTCATATCATCTATAATTTCACAAGCTTGACTTAAACTAGAAGCTTGAAATCCCATAGTTTTCATGGATTTTATTAAATCTACAGCTTTCATATTATAAGCTTCATCTTTAGAATAATCTATACCTTTAACTTCTTGAAAATCTTCTGGAACAGGTATAGATTGTTTCAATACAGCATCTGATGCCAAGTTTGGTAATTGTCCCGAGCTCATACTGTTATCTGGTTAATTATATAGATAAGTATAGATAGCATTGGGTGTAAAATTTTTTTTTTCAGATCATTTTTAGTTATATTTTTTCTAGCGCATCGTATAAATAAAATGTACTAATTTGGAAATCATAGTAATCAGAGATAATGGTGAATTATTATTAACTAATGAATATAAAGTACATTTAATTGTATAAATAAAGATCGTATTTAAAAGATAGTAATAATGTATGAAGTAGAATTTAAGATTTATCGATTTTGTCACAGTCAATTGAGGTAAAACTGATAGACTGACACAAGAATATTCAACAGTAGCTTTAAGCTATGCACAAAGTTGAAATAGTGTAAATCACAAATGGTCCTAAACTCAATGCAAATTAGAAGAAGAAAATATCTTGGAGGGGTTTCCATGAATAAGTGTAAATTTTTGTTCCCTGAAGGTCATGAATTGTGAACTGTTTAGACTCTTTCACTGACTTTTGGTTCCCAAGCAGTATGCTTTGGTTTGGCAGTATTGTAGGTAACAAATGCACCAGAAGTATTAGTTAAATTTGGCTTATGTTTCTCTGGTAAAGGATATGCTCTAGTAACTTTTTCATCTCCAGTTAAATTAGGAGGTATAGTATTGGTACCATACCCTAACCAATAATGCCAACCTGGCTCAACTTTAGAAATATCAATTTGTGTCCATCTATCATTATATTCTACCCATCTAGTTCTTAAATGGATTTCTTCAGCATTATCTGTTTCATAATATTTGTTACCATAGTCATCTTCACCTACTAACCAACCACTCTTAGTATCATTATGAGTTTGAATTTGCCATAAAGCCCTTCTTATCCCGGACTTGTAAATGTTCTTGATAGTACGAACAATAGAAGTAGACATTGTAACCTATTGCTTCTTAGTTGATATTACTAGTACTATTCAACACTAACGGTTTATACCATAATTTTTTTCTCCATTGGTTTGATTGGGTGAACAATTTAAATTTCAGTCACGTGATTTTCTCAAAAATTGAATGCTACCAATTTGATTTCATCCATTTACTCTTACTTATAACTTTGATTTCATTTTATCTACCATACCAAATTATAATTAGCTACAATATAAAGTAATTAAATAAGTAAAGATATTTATTCAAAAAAAAGTTTTTTTTTTTTTTTTGGTTTTTATAAATTTTATAGTATAGAAAAGAGTAGAGAAAGGAATTAAAAAGACAGATGAAGCAAAGTCAGTAAAATAATAACACAACGTAAATAGAATTGAACACTGATTTCTTTTCTTTTTCATTACCAGCAAGAAATTCATTAGATATGCCAGCTAAATTCTTCCATTATTATCTAGCGACCAAAACCATATTATCTTTACCTGACCAGCAAAAGACTTGAATAAGCAAGCTTAGACAATGACACATCTGTTTGGTAAAGCACCCCAACCAGTAGAATAGTTGTTGTCCTTAGCAGATTGTTGTTGTTTAGTAGATTGTTGTTGTTGTTGAGCAGCCATTGTGAATATAATTGTTTGATGATTAGAAAGAAAAGTAGACAGAATTCATCATCAATTGAGGATTATCAAGGGGTTTATATACTTGATTTTTTACTACTATTAACCCAGTTATGATTAGTACTAGAACAATATTTAGTTAAACTCTGTCAATACCATACATTGATGATGATGATTGCAAAAACTCATTTGTTCCAAATTACATATCAAGTTTCCTAATCAAGACATGACAATGATTGTCAGCTTAAAATTTTATTCGCAGCCTTTCCAAATCCGCCTTTCTAAGTTTCATACAGCAGCAATCTAGTTTCCTATTACGGTCACTGCAATGTCAAAACTTTTAGAATCACAAGTCCGAATAAAAAGAAACTCACTTTTGTTCAAATTCTTATAACCGTTTGAGATCGCCTTTCCGTGTTTCACCTCTTATCACAAAACGCATTTGAAGTGACTTCATTTATATATTGCAGCTAGATGTTTCAAGGTTAATTCTGAAACGCGTAACCCAGAAAATTATTATACAAAAAAATATGAAACATGCAAAGAAACCCATACGTAATAGATTGACAGCATCAACAACAACACTAATCGTATAATAATAATAGCAGTCATGAACTCGTCGGATAATTCGTCAATAGAAAAGCATCAACTTGAAATTGAAAATCTTCAAAAGTTGCGGGCTGTCCTCCAAGCCGTCAAAGTAGCTACTGACAAGATTCATGAAGATATTGAAACTATCACTAAAATTAATCATGGTCAGATTTTACAAGAATCATTGGAATTAAAGAAAGTATTAGAGGAAATTTAGTAATATTATTGAATTCCCATTTTGCGAAAAATTTTTATTATATGATAGGCTATGAATTCTATATACATTATTTAGCTTTAACTGTAATCTTTGGGAATTGTTTGTGATATCCCTTAGATATATTAACTTTGTACAAGGTAGATAAGTCATTAGTTTTAGATTCTTTGACTATATTGGTGAATTGAGATATTTCAAGTGAATAACCAATTGAAGTCTTTAAGATATCCTCATACCATTTAATCACTTGAGTAGTATCTACCCAAAATTCAGAGATTCCTTCAGAAGATTTAAGATTATCAATAAGATTCTTATACTGTTGAATTGAACTATCAATTTTGGTCTTAATATGATTCAAAATCAGTATTGATTTCTCAGGTTCTGAATTATCAAATTTAAGTGAATTATTATATTGTTGGAATGTAGGAAGATTTGGTATACCAATACTTGACCAAGGCTTTAATCTCGATTTAAAGATCAATTCAGATTCAAATACAGGAATCAACTTGTATGCTGAAAGAACGATAAGGTAAAATGAAATACTTTCTAATAAATTACTAAGTGCTGCCCAATATTTAAGGAGGTATTCATTATGATATTTTTGAATAGTCAATAAATATGGTAAATGCTTCTGAGTATTGATTTGATGTTGATTCTTAAGGTTTTCCTTTTTAGGACCAGCTTTAACTTTTTTGATCTTCTTTGGATGAACTTTTTCAATATAATGAATTTTATTAGTAATGATTGTAGCTATTCTAGTTGATAAAAGCTCCATAAGTAGATTTATAAGGTAGTTACTATACCAATAAATAACGTAAATTTCAAAATCTTGATATAATTCTAAGGCAGTCCCATTCAATGCAAGGTCAATCATAAGATTGAGTTTAGTATAGTAAATGTATGAACTTATAGGTAATGCTGGCTCTGAACCTAAATCATCACCAATTTGGAGGGTTGAATAGATATCTAGTTCAAATGATTCCCATGAAACTTGAAGAGTATCCCATACCAAGAGTGCTCTTGATGTAAGTTGTTGTTGTCGACATGGATTATGGGCGACAATGCATAGATTTTGATATAGTGCATTCTCCAACTCTCCTACTAATGCGAACCAATCATCTTGTTTTTGAGAATTAACATCTTTATCATCATTTAAACGAAGAATAGTTGAATTAGGACCCACCACTGCTGAAATCAGTTCAAACACATAATCTGTTAATGTTAGAGTGTCAAAACTACCAAGTATAGATTTATCATCTCTCACCAAGTATAATTGAAAGAATCCTCTTGCAATAACATTAAAGTCCTCAATTTGATTGGCAATATCAAATCTTAGAAAATTTTCGAATTGAATGAACGAACTTGTGGAATTGGAAAGCTTGACATACATAGAAATATTGGAAAATAAGGTTGATAAGCTATCCCATGCTTGTGATGAGGGGATTTGGTAGATTTCACTAGGTATATTTTTATTATCCATATCTAATTGAACAAATTTTGAAAATGATCCTTCAACAGTATTGCCATATTCTTGAACACGTAAAAAGGAGATTTGCTCTTGTGCTCGATTGAATATAGAAGTGAGATGAGTCACTTCATTTGTTGGATCAAAGAGTTGAGAACGATGTTCAAAGATAAGTATTAACTGAATTAAACATTTTATCAAATTCAATTGTGATACTAGGATATCAACACCTGTATGAGATTGAGATTCAGAAAGTAACCATTCTATGGTTGTTTCTATATGTTCAATTATTTCATCTGGATCAACATCCATTAAGAAATCAAGATTCATATTGCGCATTGTTAAGTCTTCTTCTTCATATAAGGAATCCTGACCCACTTTCAAACAAATACCAATGAATTTAGTTAATCCAATAGAAAATATTTTTAATGCACGGTGTACTAATTGATATTCAAATGTTGATGACTTATCAGTAGATGTAGATATAGATGTAGAATTATTTGGTAATCTCTTTTCCGAAAATGAAAAATGATCTAAGAGATCAATATATGGACTTCTCCTGAGAGTATAATTGTCCAACAAAATCAGGATGTAACGATTGCTCAACACAGTAACTGGAAGAGAACTATGATTTAACCAACTCATAAGTAATATAATCAGTCTATTATTTATTGAAATAATTTGATCAAGAGATTGTGGGGCAGAAGTATCGAATTCCAATTCGATTTGGGATAATTGAATTAATCCAGTATCTAATTTGGGATTAAGAACCTCAAGAGCTCTCGTACCATCAAGAAGATTAAAATAATCGGATTTAACCACTTTATTGTTGGTTATAAGTGATAAGGAATTAAATACTTGTTCAGTTATATCGACATAATCATCATTATTAATTAATGATTTATCAGTCTTCGGATGATCATCATCTAGATTTAAAGGGTCTAAAGTTGGTTAGAAAATCATTATATGACTATAACAGATCAATTCTGTTTATAAAATTATACATACCTAGAGATATCATTACTTATAGTAGTAAAGGATTTGACAAATAGTTAATTAAATAGGCTGTGAAAAGTAACGAATTAAAAAAAAAAAATTGTCCATATATTATATTTTCTTTAATTTTAGTCCATTTCGGAAGAGTTATGTCGTAAAATCAGTGTAAGTTGTGTCGTAAATACGTTACGACAATCAGATCAATTCTACGACATAAATGCGTCACACAAGGATTTTGACAATACTGCGGGGCGGACTTTGACATTGACAGACTGAAAAAGGATAACGCAAATTTTGTGTAATATTTAAAGATTGATATATAGGGAAGGTAAGTATCAAATGTTGGAATAAGGGCTCATATTCCATTAGAATAAATAGTAGGTTACATTAAATTAATAATGGGATAGTTGAGTATACAAATACAGCTCACAAACTGTTTTATTTTAAAGTTTAAAAGGTGCTTTTGTGCATATGGACATAATTTGCAACTTCTTTTCATATGTTATCCCAATTTATTGGTAGAGAGGATGCCGATGACACTTATTGATGAAAGTAACTTAAAAAAATGCAACCACATTATACAACTCGGTGCAGTAAATGTAGTTGCAGTTCCGATGGTTATGAGGCTACTCACAAACGTAATTTTTTATTTACTATTAGATATAGTGAAGGCGGAGAAATCTCGGAGTAGTCTACGGATTCAACAGATAACCTGGGATTGTTTTCCTTTTGAATATGATCTATTATTGCTTTTGCAATTTTACAAGTTTAATTATTCCTTAGAATGGAAAATTGCTGATTCGGCGAATGAGGAATTCAACTTGTTCTAGAACAGTAGCGATATGTTCTTTGCTCGTGAGAGAAAATCTTACGCTGTATATGGGGTTGCTGCTTTAAGCATTTATTGCTATCGAAGCAATCTGCCGTCAAGATTAACCATTCGTATTAATCATCCATAATGCAATTTTGAATATCTTCTCCTTCCATCATTTGTTAAAAATCGTGTTGATAACACGAAATTCATTTAGTGACAATATATGACATAAGCTCCCATACTCCGAAGAGAGTCTAAAATTAATAAGATAATTACTGATTTCAAATAGAGAATATTTGCAAGCTGAATATGATGCGAAAGCCTGATGGTGCTAGCACTCTTATAAAATTTTAGGCTAGATAATTATATGAACACACTAGACTCAATTGTTTATTTCATGCTATATGAGTCATTTAAATACCTCAAAAAATGTTGCAGTTAGATATTTTTAGAGTGCCTTAATTAGGTACTAATCTTGCTCTTTGATTATATAATTTTAGACCATTCTAGCCGTACAGCACTAGACTGTCAAATCCCGTACAACAATTTTGATCATTCTTTTCTGGCTATAGGAACAAAGACGTTTTATTTTTTCTCATTGTTTTCGATTTGTCAGCGTGGATGTTTGAATTACGAGGGAAGGGTGGCGCACCCGGATTTCATACATTAAGGTCGATTTTACTTTCATATCTTAAAGCTGGGTGTGTCCAAAAGTGGGGACGGAGACGGGCTAAACTTTCCCATACGGAGTTACACTAAAGATTGACTCTGGTTAAAGCTAAAGGACTACGACTTATAATTATAACTATAACTATAACTATAATTAAAGGACTTGAATACATCAATTGCACAATGATAAATCTTACTAACCATGATATCCGAAAGTAATTCTGGTACAGCGATTCTCGAATATATTAGAAGATGAGAAAGATTGATGTTACTTAAGACATGAAAGGCGGCTCCACAGTTTTCCTTTTATGTTTCATTTTGTAATTAACTCTTCGGAAAACTGTGTGAACTAAAACGTGAAATTTAACTTTTGGGCCGTTTAGCGAATATCGGAATTGACTTGATAATATACACTGCAATCTACAATAATCAGACCATGATCGTATATTACATCCTCTTATATTTTTTAGTATCTTACATACGATCATTGAATGAGGCTGACTAGGTGACATTACGTATTTAGTTTAGTTTAGGAATGGCTACTATCAAAACTCAGTTAAGCCATAGAAATGAGATGAGATAAGGGGTAATTACAAGAGAGCAGAAACGAGATTCCGATCACCTCGTATAAGGCTATGTCCTACCCCCGGATCTGAACTTATCAATCCAATCTCCTTTCTTTAACCGTATATGTACTACTTCTCATATAAAAGAAAGCCATATCCCCATTATTGTTAACGAGTTACAATTTAGAAACTTTACGTTTTGTTCTTTGGAATTCAGTAATTATCTTATTTGTTTGTAATTGAATATCAATAAATAAATATAACAAATTGAATCATCAATCAATCAATTAATCAATTGATCAATCATATCATTCAATTCATTAATACATTAATTCATCCAACAAATTCTCTACAGAGTTGCTTAGTTACCCCTATAAAACTATATATGATCACATTGTCTGAGATTGTCAATAGAACATCTTAGAAGAAAGTAAAATTCCTCCACTTTAATTTTTATTCACAAGACACGCCCCTCAGAAAGAAAAAAGAAATTTTTCATCATCAAATACACGACCCCATTTTTCTGCCTGATAATACCCAAAGTTAGTGATTAGTAATAGAGATTTAATTTGAAATTATCGAAGACATAGTTTTTATATATATCTTCTTTTTACCAGCCGTTTGATATAATAGCATAACTTAATAGTTGAGTTTAATTCATACAGTTGAGTTGTCATTTCCTCTCTTATTTGTTGATTTGTGGCTTTTAATCCACTTAAGTTAAAAAGTTGTGTATAGGAAATCCTTAGAAACTCCTATTAATTTATTTTCTCATTCTACATTTACATTCATATTACATTTCCATTCCTAGACTTGCTCCATTATTTTTAACAAATATTTACAATGACAGATATCAAGAGAAACTTTTCAGAAATATATGGAAATTCTCCTGCTTCATCATCTTATGATACCCCTCCTCCTGATGGACATGATGATAAGAAATTACATACTAAACCAGGAAGAAAACCTATAGAAACTGAACCTAAATCAAAAAGAACTGCTCAAAATAGAGCTGCTCAACGTGCTTATCGTGAACGTAAAGAACGTAAAATGAAAGATTTAGAAGATAAAGTTAAGAATTTAGAAGATAAGAATATTAAAGTTACTACTGAAGCTGACTTTTTGAAGGCTCAAGTTGAAATGTTAAAGAAAGAATTATCAAGGTATAGAGGTCATACTGATTTTAGTGATTTGCATTTACCTACTAAAGTTGGACATTTATCTAATCCAAAAACTGGTGGCTATGTTCCAACTTTTGAAAATAATAATACTTCCAATAATGATGAATCATCTGCATCTTCTGTAAAATCTGTATCTGATCATCCGTCTACTTCCAGTTCAGCTACTGATAACTCTCCTCATCAACAACAATTTTCGATTGATTTTCCTTGGTCAAAGGATAATTTAAGAAATAGTTCATCAGCTTCTGCTAATCAACAGCAACAAGTTCCAGATTTAGTATCAGGTTCATCTTCATCTACATCTCCATTAAATGATAATTTATTGGTATCTCCTGATTCATCAGTTACTTCAGGTCATACTAATTCTAATATAATAGCATCTAATTTGGATTTCACAACCACTTTTGAAGAACAAGTTGATCCATTTTGTGTTAAATTGAGTGAGGCTTGTGGTACTAAGCAATGTCCAGTTCCAAAATATAAGAGAAGTGATTCTAAAGGTTCAGTATCTACTAATGCCCCAATACTAGGTGGTGGACAAGATCAACAACAACATGCTCAATCTCAAAATAATGCTCAATCTCATCGTGCTTCTCAATCATTAAATCAATTTAACTCTCCATTTTCAAATTTAGTAACTCCAACACCAAATCAATTAGGTTCTGATTTGGATTATTTAAATGATCCATTCTTTAATGGTACAGCTGATGGATTTAATTTTGATTTATCCAACAATAATAATAATAATAGTAATAATACTATAAATCATAATTCTATATCATCATCTGTATCATCTATTAGCACATCAAATCATAATAATACCAATATCACCAACAACAACAATACTCCAGCAACTACTACTTCCAACGCTTCTAATAAACAAAACAATGATCCATTACTGTTCCTTAATGATAATAATTTTGATGTTAGTCTTGCATTTGCTGACCCTAGTTTACAACAGCCTAGGCATAGTATCGTCGATGACTTTGACCCTATTTCCTTATTAACTACTGAAGAATCAATTTATGATCCTTTAAAGAATAATAGCAATAATAATAATGGAAACAATGGTAATTCTAGTATAAATGTTAACTTTAATTTTAATGAATTTGTTAAGAGTTCATTACCATCAGAAACAACACCAAAGGATAGAAACTATACTACAACTGCATCTGTTGTTGATGTTCAAGATGTGGCTGCTGATGATGATGATGATGATAATCTTGTCGTTCCAGCTCCTGCTGAATCTATGAGATGTAGTGAGATTTGGGATAGAATCACTGCCCATCCAAAGTATACTGAAATTGATATTGATTCATTATGTAATGAATTGAAGAATAAGGCTAAATGTTCCGAAAAGGGAGTAGTAATTAACTCTGCTGATGTAAATCAATTATTGGAACAAAGTGCCATGTTGAAACGTTGATGTATTTTCTAATTCTTTTGGTTCTGATTAACTGGTTTACTTGAGTTGTTACTATTTTTCTTTTGTTCTTTAGTTCGGATTGCTTTCCTATATTATTATTACTACTATTATTATTATTATTATACATTTTAGTTTTTTTTATGATGTGATACGCTGCTATTCAAACCTTCTGTATATACAACAATATAATACTTTTTATCACGATATGTACTTTATACTATTCATTTGGCTCTATTTTTGAAAAAATATATTTACTTAGGATTTAGTTAAGGTCTGTTTTTTTATATTTTAATTCGAAGGTTAATTTATGAGACTATAGTTTACATTATTGTAGTTTAACTTAATAGGAGTCAAAGACTTCATTGATAAATGCAAATAGGTAAGTACGAAAAAAATGAACGGTACGGGAATCGAACCCGTGACACCTGCTTGGAAGGCAGATATGTTAACCACTACACCAACCGTCCTTGTTGGTTGAAAAGTTTCTAAAACTGCATCTCACGGAAACGCAACATCACGCTTTTAGTCACGTGTAAGTCACGCTTTTATCATGCTTTTGGTCACGTTTCTCTCTGCGCTACCATTAAATATTAGGATAAGAGATAGATCCAGCTGCGAAAATCCTTATTTCAACTTAATGATAAAATCAGCTTCATTGGTCATATCAGAAATTCAATAATAATTAAATATTCTCTTTCGGAACTAAAAGCAAATATCGGTTCTTATACATTAAGAAGTTTTTATAGAATATCAAAGAGGTTTGTACGATAACTATAACAATACATGTTAACAACAATGGTGTACCAAGAAATAAATTAATCGTTCTTTATGTCCGCCGTAATTTTCTTGAATAAATCTGGAAAGATTACTATATTTCATGTTTCTATTGAATACCAACAGCTTAGAATGAAATTTTAAAGTGTTGATATTTTTGATAAACTTCGACCAAAATATTAAGAAAATATTACAAAATATAATTCACAAGCTTAGTGTAAAGATTAGTGAAAAAGATTAATATTTTATTAGACTAATTGTTCAATTTCTTAAAATAATAAGTAATAAGCAGATGAATAATAGCATAGTCTAGCAAGGTTATGAAGCTCTTTTTGTGCGAGAGACTGGATTAATCGTTCACATGCATAGAGAGAAAGAGACCATATGCTTTTTCGATTTTCTAACATCACAAGAAAAACTGCAGGTATAGCCTTTATTATCCTTAATAAAGAAAAAACCCATCTAATAGTGTTGAATCATGGTGTGATTGTTTGATACAAAAATTAACAACTTACAGCTGAACGAAGCCATGAAATATGTATGTTTGCTATACGATGTTCTCCAAGGAAACAAACAAACAAAGGAAACAAGCAAACTCACATAGATAAATAAAGACAATGAACAAGTAATTCAATATTCACGGCCGGATACAAACAAATCCGGAGTACTTCCTTCATTGCTTTATCCGAACTTATGCAAAGACCCTTAGGTCGGATTTGCAGCTTTTTATTGCAACTCCGATCTCGTATAGTTTTGCGAGGGTACGACGAAAAATAAGATTGTAAGGCTAAACGACAGGAAACTATTTTTGTAAACGAAATCCAAACGACGGGAACGAAGATATGCATGATTATATACAGTCCAAGAGACACGAAGATTCAACGAAAGTGTTTACCCATTTGAAAAATGGCAACGCTAAATTTTATTAAGCTTATTTCTTTTTAGAAATTATATATATATCTTTAAAGAGAACTTGTATTATCAATTCAACAGTTATAATAAAGTAAGACTCAACTCATACAATTAGAACATAATATATCATAATAATAAGATGCCAGAACAAGTTGTATTAGCTCATAAGGATCATAAAAGAGATGCTGAATTCACCAAAGCTTTACATGGTGAATCATATAAGAAGACTGGGTTATCAGCCTTGATGGCCAAATCCAAAGATGCATCTGTTGTTGCCAATAGTGGTTACTTTAAACATTGGGATGGAGGTGTTACTGAAGATGATGAAGTTAAAAGATTAAGTGATTATTCTCAATTAACTCATCATTATTATAATTTAGTAACTGATTTTTATGAATATGGTTGGGGTTCATCATTCCATTTCTCAAGATATTATAAAGGTGAAGCCTTTAGACAAGCTACTGCTAGACATGAACATTTCTTAGCTCATAAAATGAACATTAATGAAAATATGAAAGTATTAGATGTTGGATGTGGTGTTGGTGGTCCAGGTAGAGAAATTACCAGATTTACTGATTGTGAAATTGTTGGATTAAACAATAATGATTATCAAATTGAAAGAGCTCAACATTATGCTAAAAAGTATAATTTAGATCATAAATTATCTTATGTTAAGGGTGATTTTATGCAAATGGATTTTGAAGCAGAAACTTTTGATGCTGTTTATGCTATTGAAGCTACTGTTCATGCTCCAGTTTTAGAAGGAGTTTATTCAGAAATATATAAAGTTTTAAAACCAGGTGGTGTTTTTGGTGTTTATGAATGGGTTATGACCGATGCATATGATGAAAACAATGCTGAACACAGAAAAATTGCTTATGGTATTGAAGTAGGTGATGGTATTCCAAAAATGTATAAGAGAGAAGTTGCTGAACAAGCTCTTAAGAATGTTGGATTTGAAGTTGAATATGAACAAGATTTAGCTGATAAAGAAGATGAAATTCCATGGTATTATCCATTAAGTGGTGAAATGAAATATTGTCAAACCTTTGGTGATTATTTTACTGTATTTAGAACTTCTAAATTAGGTAGATATATTACTACTGAAGCTGTTGGATTAATGGAAAAATTAGGTTTAGCTCCATCTGGTTCTAAACAAGTTACTCATGCTTTAGAAGATGCAGCAGTTAATTTAGTTGCTGGTGGTAAGCAAAAATTATTTACTCCAATGATGTTGTATGTTGCTAGAAAACCATTAAATGCCAAAGATTAGTTGAGCTAATCTTTTCATCTTCCATCTTATCTATCATACATTGTAAATGTCATACCCTTAACTTATTTAATTAATATACACTAATAGAAATGAACGTTCAGTACATAGATCTATAAAATACATATATTCTTTTTAGTATACCATACCATACCATACCATACCTTTTAGTTTAGTTTTAGTTTTTCACAGCCACTACTCTTCTCTTCTCTCATCCTAAAACGTGCATCCCGATTAGGAATCGGAAGCTGCGCCGCATGCAGGTCATCTTCCCCCTAAGAATTTCATTTGCGCAACTAGTTCCATTGTTGCTTCCATTCATTCATTCATTCACTTATTCATTGACTAATTATATAAAGATACTTATCTCTTGTAATTGTTATAAAAATAGTTTACTATTGAAATCTCTAGTGTATCAATTAACTTTTTTAAAGAATTGATTTATTTGTATACTAACTAGAATTAGAATATATCAAATTGAGATCGTGTGGGGGAAATGTCACTTAGCAATCCAAATCTTGAAGGATACTCAATTGTTCGAGAATTTTGGTTAAAATACTATAATCCTTCGAAACAAACATTTATTGCTCCTAAAAAATGTAGTGGATGTTATAATGATGATAGATTTGTAATTTGGGCAGTATCAGTTGCTGCACAAGCTGTAGTTGATGGAGCTAGAATTTATCCTGAATTAAGACCTTTAATTCCTAATGCTATTCGTATTTTTCAAAAATATAAGAATCAACATATTAAGGGATATTCAGCTGCTGAAAATTCTGGTAATGATAGAGATATTTATTATGATGATGATGCTCAAGTTGCTAGTGCCTTTGTTACAGCTTATGAAGTTACTGGTGAAAAATATTATTTAGATCAAGGTCGTGAATTGGTAAGATTTCTTATGGGAGGTTGGAATGATAATCCAAATGCTAAGACTAAAGGAGGAGTTAGTTGGCATGTAACTAATCATTATTTGAATGCTTGTACTACTGCTGAAGTTGCTAAAGTTTGTTTACAAATTTCAAAATTTTTACCTCAAGAAGCTCATTATTATGTTGAATTTGCTGCTAAATGTGTTGATTGGTTAATTGCAGTTTTACAAGATCCAGGTGATAAATTAATTAAGGATGGAGTTCAAGATACTTCTACTAATATTAATGATACTAAATGGACTTATAATTTAGGTACTACATTATCAGCTTCTTCTCATTTATATTTTATTACAAAAGATAAGAAATGGAAAAAAATTGCTGATGAATTAGCTAATGCTGGTATAAATCGTGGAGTATTCTTTTATGATCGTGATTATGATAATTCAAAAAGATATTGGAGAGATTCATCATATTTTGTTCAATTATTAATTGAAGGACTTGCTGATTATTTATTATATGTTGGTGAAGAAGATAATGGAGATTTACCTCAAAGAATTCATGAAGAAATTAAAAGACATTTAGTTATGTTTTATGAATTTATGAGAGATCCTAAGGATGGATTATATATTCAAAGTTTTGAACCTCATTTAACTTATAAAGAAGTTTATGAAACTAAATATAAAGCACAATTTGGTGATAGAAAAGGTTGGGGATTAAAAGATGAAGATAAAGATGGTGATCAACCTCAAAAATGTTTAATGGGTTGTGCAGCAGCTGCCAGAGTATTTTTTCAAGGTGCTAGAGTTGTACCTCAAATTTAGACCTTAAAAGTAAAGTAATGATTTGCTTATATTGACCTTATTGTTTTATTATGTTAATATATATATAAATATAAATATATAAATATACAATTCTATATTCAAATGCAAAAATTTATTTAAATCTTTAACTTTGGTAAGTTAAATGCAGCAGTTGTAGGTAATGCAAATTGTGGTCTTTCCACAATGATAATTTCATTAAGTCCAAAATTATCAACTTTCATAATTGGTCTATATTTTGTGGTTAACCAAAATGGTTTTTTATCAGTAGATACATCAGCTTCTTCATCAGTTTGAATAATTTGTTGTCTTAATCTATCTATTTGACTTTGTTTTAAAGATAATTCTAAGGCATCAGTATTTTCTTCAACAATATCAATATTACCATCTATAGTAGGAGTAGATGATGAAGTTTCTTCATTAATAGTTAATCCATCTCTATTTCTTTTCTTAGTTTGAGAAGTATTCTTATACTGTTTACTAATTGGAATATTTATAGATAAATCAAAATATGCTAACCAAGCTGATCCATATATCCATACACGATCTTCTTTAATAAATATTCCTTGAGCTTTATCATCTAATGTTAAGAATTGTTGAGGTAAAAATTCACTATTTCTCTTTGACCATGAAGTTAATAATCCATTAGAAGATTGTTGTTGATTTATAAAGAATTCATATAACTTATTTTCATCTGTTAATACAACTATTTTATCATTATTGGAAAATTTAACTATATGAGGGTATGATGATAATTTTGTAATTATTGAAGATTCTTGATTTATTAATGAATATACTTCAATTGATCCATTAAATCTAGAAATAACAACTTTAGATCCATCAGGTGATATAATTAAATTATTTATAACATTAATATATTGAAGTTTACCAATAGATGAAGTTTTAGATGAAATAAGTTCAATTTCATCATCTAATTGAATGGTTTGATCTTCAATATTAATTGTAAAAGTAAATATTTGTTCATCATAAGTTAAAATAAGAAATTTAGTTAAAGAAAAGAATTTAACTAATTTTGCTCCACTAATTAATGATGTAAATGAATCATCTCTTATTTTAGATACATTAAGTTTATTTTCTTTAGTGATAGAATCTAATATAAATACTTTAACGTAATTTAAACTAGAAACTATAAGAAGATTTCCTTGTTCATTAATATCAACATTAACAATATTATCATCTTCACTTAATTTTAATTTAGATATTAATTTATGTTTTGAACCAGGAATAAGTTTCCAAATTTTAATTTCTTGATCTTGCCATAATATTATAAGATTATTGGTTTCATTTATAATTACATTAGATTTTTGTTGATTAATTAAAAGTTTTTTATAATTACCATCATGAAATTGTTGAATTGATTGAATAACAATAGATCTTTCAACTCCTCCACTTATTAAAAAATTATGACCTATACTTTCAAAAATTGACATACTTCTAATATCATTAGAATGTAATAGACGATTAAAACTATGAACCCATTTAGATGAATTTTTTGAAGTTATTAAATTAAATTGATGAATCTTTCTATCAACTCCAGCAGAAAAGATCTTTTCTTCATTAATATCATTTACTAAACTAAGTATATCAGCCTCATGAACTTTAAAACTTTGTAATAAAGCAAAATGATCTAAATCCCAAAATTTAACTGATCCAGTAGAATCACCACTAACAATTTGTCTTTTCTTTGGTAAAATAGTTATTGACCATACTAAAGTACTTTCTGTCTTAGATTTATCAACTCTCATAGTAGATATAATTCTACCTTTAGTATCACCAATAGCACTCCAAGTTCTTATTCTACCATCAGCACAACCTCCTACTAATAAATCATTTTCATGCCATTTAATACTTAATATTCTAGCATCTTGTCTTTGACATATCATATCATGTTCTAAAGATCCAAATCCTCCAGAAATATCAACAATTACAACTGAACCATCATCACATCCTACTGCCAATTTATTTCCATCTGAATTTATGGCTATTGACCAAATAATTCCAGCATTACAATCATAATTTGTGATTGGCTTTAAAGTATGAAAATCCCATTCAGTAATATAAGTTGAACCTCCAACAGAAAAGAGTCGAGGTGATTCTCCTACTTCATCACTTACACTCCAACAAAGTCCTTCAATAGATCTTCCACGAGATCCTGGAAATGTTAATTCATGAGTCCAATTATATTTAGGATTCCAAATTTCTATATCTCCATTACTTCTACCTACAGCTAATCGAAGATCATTGGTAGTCGGCCTTGTTAATGATGATGAATGCGAAAATGCCGTGGCCGTAATGGTGTGAGGCGTGTAATCTACAAATCGACAACGATGAATATCCATTATAATTTGCCTCTTTAATCCTTTTTGGTTTATTATCTAAGATCTAACTGTCATAGTTATAAAATGCAAAATAGTGAAAAATCTCTCATCACAATTTTTTTTTGAGATGGGTCTCGTGACTGCGCACGTTATTGAAAAATTCAAATCCACACAAGGCTGCAAAATATGTTAGTTACTGATAGTACTTTCATAACCATACATCTAGTACTTTTCTGTACTAAGTTAAAATAGACAAAGTTGATTGTATCAAGTATAAAAGTCAAGCTGAGTTGAATTTGAAATAAATAAATAAATAAATAAATAATAAAATAATTAAAAAATATAATATAAAATACTACCTAGTACTATACAAAGCCAACAAAACTGTTTATAAAGCTTAACATTCTTATAAACCATTTATTTTCATCAGTATTAAGAATCATATTTATGATCAATTCTTTCTTTTGTTTACCCTTAGTCCCAATTGGTTGTGAAACTAGTGTCTTTTTCACAATGACATTTTTCTTAAAACACCATACTATGAAAAGAATTGCTAATAAGCTAACGGAGAAATTCTTAAGGAAGGTTAAGAAATGTTTACCTAAGAATTTAGCAGTTTTTAAAAGCTTTTGCTTTAAAATTTGTATATCATCTAAACCGTCATATATATTATTATTATTAATATTGTTGATTTGTCCATTAGATCGGTCTTGTGAATGATGCCTATCTCTAACTACTTGTCTTGTCAATGTATTTATTACCAGATTAACTTCATGTTGCCAGTTTTTAAAATCTTCAATACTAACACCATTAACCAACGGACCTGCCTGTTGATTATTTGATGAACGTATATTGGGTGGCAAGGAATACACTGAATTAGTAGTATGACCACCTTGACCACCATGATGTTCAATAAGTGAAGATTCACCTAAAAGTTGACTTTGTGGTTGAGATTGATGAAGTCTTTGTTGTTGAATATATTCATTTATAGAAAGTGATGTATTTCTTCTGGAATGACTATATATCTTTTGTAAATTACTCCTATATTGTTGTTGTTGAGGTGTTACAGTTGAAAACCGATCAGATTGGCCAGCTTGACTTAAAGAAGGTGAATAAGATGGTAAAGGTAGTGAAATACGATCATGATCATTATCTTCATCATCTTGTGGTGGGAGATCTTTAATTTGATCCCATAAATATTCAAGATCACTTAAAAGTTCTCTTGCTTCATGAGTTCCACTAGCATACACTTTCATGGTTTCAATAAGATATGAGATATATCTACGTTTAGCTTCTGTTTTAGAAAGTCCTTCTTCTCTTTTCCATGCATCCCATTTCTTCTTTGCTCCTTCATCTTCAACTGTAAATCCAATAGGACGTGGCATTATTCCATTAACATCACCTTCTGTAGCTTGTTTATATAATCCATATAATCTAATTCTGTTTTCTGCTGGTGGACGAGGCAATGATCCATAATTGGATCGAGTTGATAAGGCTCTTATAGTAGTGATTGCCTTGACAAATACACGATCTAGAATATAAAATTGTTAGTTAAACAGCTTAGATAATCAATAGTATTAATAATTTATAACTTACCAACAGAATCGGCCATTTTTGTTGAAGAATTAAATATTGATGCTTGCCTACAATCAATTCAAAATATGGAGATATTATAATGATTTAGAGATGATAATTGTTAGTTAGCTATGATGGGGTTAACTGTTTGTTGATAATTTCGTTCATTGCGGATATCGATTTAGTGGGGCATCTTTAATGCGCACGTGAGTTCTTAGAAATTGAATTGTTCTTTTACCGATTTACGACTTTCTACCTACTTAATTTCTATTTTAGGAACAAAACTTTTCGTTTAATCATAGTATAAACTGGTTCATTAGGTGACTGCTTATGTCATCTAATCTTCTAATTAAGAGTTACATCTTTGGTGTGGCCTAGTAGTGTACCGTAGCGTAGTTTCCCCGCTTACTGATATCAATTCTTTCATTACTGTGTTATCTTTGAATTAAAGCTAAAGCTACTATGATCATAATTATGCATGATACTGATTTCTACTTCTGACAGAGTCATAAATCTAATGTGAGTGATTTAACTTTTACATCGAGTTGATTGATTTTCTTCTTTTTAGTCTTTATCTTTCTGTGTTTGCTTTGTTCTATATATTGTGGATGCGACGTTATTGTGTAGACAAGCTCTTCAATTGTTGGTACACTTCTTGTATCCAAGTATGTCCTATAAAAAATTGCAAGTTGGTAGAACAAGATTTCGTTATTAATGCGAAAATGACAAGTTCTGTCTAACTTCATTAGGTAAGGTATTTTTATTTCATTTAAGAATTTAATGTAATTGACATTTAGACTATCTTTTTCGAAAGAGTCAATTCTATTTACAAAGCCCTTAAGATCTACATCAACATTAGACCTATAAAATCTAACAATTTCTTTAATCCTTTTTGCATGTATATTTCTTTCATTCTCTTCCAATTTGGGATTACTTCTTAAAATATGATACTTAAATGCTCCGCGTACATATACGTGAATATCATATAATGACGGAAAATTTTCTGTAAGATATACCCCTTGAACTTTAGTGTGGATGTGACTAAGTAAATTTATGTCAAATTGAGTAAGAAAAGCTTTAAATTCAGCGCCTCTAAATGGTATATCCATGAGAAATTCATCTTCCTTGGTGGGCTCCATTTTATTTGCAACTATCTTTTCCAAACCAGGTAGTTCGTAATACAATAGTGTAAGTGCAGTTGACCATTTCTTAACAATTTCACGTTTTCTGGATAATGGTTCAAGACGTGTAAAGTATTTGGCAGCCGAATTTGCAATAGAAGTAGCCAAATCATCAACTGCAAATGAGTTTAAGAAAGTAGCGAGTTTTTCTGGAGATATGGAAGAAGGTACTGATTCAACGTCAAATGTCAACTTATTTGGATACGACTTATTGAACCCGTCAATGAGTTGTCTTATCCTCATATCCCTCGACGCCATACTGTAGTATTACTGAATGTTGTTTATTTGGAGCTTATCTTATACTAAGATCTTGTTAATACTTAAATAAGGTTTACTTGGCAGCTTAAGTAATTGCTTATGTCATTTTTTTTATTGTCTATTCTTTTAACAAACTATACAGAAACTTACAAACCTTTCAAACCTGATAATTAAAGTCATTAAACGTAAAGCCATTTTTACATAGAAATGTTATAGACTAAATCTTCTTCACTTTTTTCATTTTAATTAAACAATCATCACAATACCATTTACCCTTAGGAGGATTTTTAAATCCTATACATGGTAAATGGAACCATTCTCTCTTACAATCATCTCCATCACATCCTACCATTTCACCAAATGATACTTGATTACAATAACAATAAGTTGGTTCAACATTTGATGAAGATTTTTGACTAGTAACTGTAACACTTTCAATTTTTAATTTTTCTGGTCCATGAACTCCATTTGGATCACGAGATTCAATATCAATATCTTCTTTCTTAGGTTTTGATTTCTTTTTTGCTGGTCCATTATTACCTGTATTATTTGAATTATTTGAATTATAACCATTAGATGATGAATTGGCATTTGCTGCTGAAGCTGGAGTTCCTGCTCTTTGTTTCTCATCAGCATCTTTTCTTGATCTTTTCTTAGGGCCATTACTTGATGAATTTGATCCTAAATTATTTGAAGTTGCACTAGCTTTACCACTATTTGATCCAGAAATAGGTCCACTTTCTAAAGGTGTAATTTCCTTATTAGATGATCTCTTCTTTTTAGTACCTACATGTCCATCATCAACATCTTCTTTATTTGCCTTCTTAGCAGCCAAAGCTTCTCTTCTACTTTCACTTCTTTGAGATTGAGCTGACCTATCAGCACCATTAGTATTTGCATTTAAAAAATTTGAATCCATAATCATAGCTGGATGATTTAATGGACCAATCCTAATAGATTCTGGTATTTCATTATTATTAATAATTAACTTATAATCACCATTAATTCTATACATATGTTTATTCAATAAATCTGTAGCTACTGATGTAACATGCATTTTTTCTTCTAAACATGGAATAATTTCATTAATTTTAGATTTAATGAGTGATAATCTGTTAAGATCATTATTAGACGAACTTGTTTTAGTAGATTCACCTTCTGGAGAATTAGATTTCTTCTTTTCTTCATGTAAGCCTTCAATATGAGTCTTAATAAGATAATTTATTTGAGGAATAGAGTTTATACATTTAGCATCAATTTCTTTTAATAAGGTGAAATATTTGATCAACTCTAAAGGTAAGGCCTCAAAGGCATCACTAATATCATTTAAGCCCGGTAATAGTTCATTGATGTTAGAAATATTCTTGGCTCGTTGTTTATACTGTTGGAATTGTAGTTGTTGTTGTTGACTCTTTAATCGGTTGATTATTCGTTGTGATTTTTGACGAGATGGTAAGTCTTGATACGTCATTTTTTTATTCTAATTGTTTATAACGATTTACAGGGAATTAGTAACAGTACTTTATTTATAGTATTACTTCAATATTCGAATCCTCAATACGGTTAAGGATATAATCAGGAATATATTGGTTTTCCTATCTCTGCTTAACTAATCCATTTCCATTTTTGATACCCATCCGTGGAAGGAGACATTGTTTGGCGAGAGACATTTTTCTCAGAGACATTGGGGGGTAACTTGTAGAATTATATTAACACGTAAATGCAGTTAGTTAACATAGTCAATATCAGTTAACACTAGTAATGTATAGCATGTAGAGAGGATAAGGATTATATGTATAAGGTAGGTTATGGTAAGAATTTTAGTCAGTCGTATACATCGAAGCAGACTAATAAATCTTTTCAAAAAAAGATTTTAGACTATAACAATTGATATCTTTTTGCAATTTGACGGTCAACCCCTTAGTTAACAATTAACTGTCTCTATTGATAATTGTAAATTTTTAGAGTATCAATTGAAAGCATGCGTTTTCATTTGTTCTTGTTCAAGCAAAGTCCACTAAAACAGATATTGAACCATGACCACTAAGTACGCATAAACTTTTGACCCAACCATAGTGAATACATAATGTTTACCAGGCGATCCATCACAAAGAGTAAAATATAGCTTAAATACTACATCACTAAAAGGATACCTAGATAAGATGATAACCTCATGCCAAAATAGTTAAGTAAAAAAAGCATATTTATTGTCAGAATAATCAATTCAAGTAAGCATTGTGTGTCTGTAAATATATATGAAAAAAAAACCCATAAAAAAATGATGAAAGCTAATGAAATGGACCTATCATAACCATAGAGGAAGATGGATTATAATGGTGAGTAGTCAGCTTGCCTAATAAATCAGAATCATTCTAGTTTGCACCAAAATAGGAACCAAATACGGCATTATCTATTATATCAAGATATAAAATAATAATGATCTAGTACCAGAGTGTTGGCAAACATTCAAAAATATAGAGGTTTTAGAGATAATGCTTATTAATGGACACACACTTAAAACTTGAATGATATTTCAATGACATGGATAAATGCTTATTTTCAACTTCTATTTTGACAATTGGAAATCTTTTCCTTCTTTGAATCTCTTTAGTTCAATTAGAGAACTTACAGCATTCCACTTCTCACAATTAAATCAGGTTGGATGAATGAATGAATAAATAAATCGAGTCATTTAATTCAAGTAGTTGCTGATGACTGTATGAATAGAAAAATGTAGTTGAGTATAAGATAATGAAAAGGATGAATGAATATGATGAATGAATAAATTAATTGGATGAAATGGAATGGAAATCAACAAATTTTCTCTAAAAACGTTAAAGTTATTTGATTAAAAAACCCTATTAAAGAAACAAACACATAATTATTATTTATATAGATACAATTTAATTTGCTGAGTTTAGTTTTCTGGAACATCAATTTCACCAGCGTTAATGGCTTCAATGATATCATGAGGGTTCTTGTAGTTAACTCTACAACCAACAGATTGAGCAGTACCTAAGATTTCTTTGGTGACAGAAGCTAAGTTCTTACCGAAAGATTTGTCTTTCATTTGTCTAGCAATTTCGAAAATTTCTTCTAATGGAATGTTACCAGAGTGCTTGACATTCTTTTCCTTCTTTCTATCTCTAGGTGGTTCCTTTAAGGCAGTGATGACTAAAGATGAAGCAGATGGGACAACAGAAGCAGTGGCTTGTCTGTTTTGAATTCTTAATTGAACAGTAACTTTAATACCTTTGAAATCTTTGGTAGCTTTAGCGATATCTTCACCAACCTTCTTTGGGGATAAACCTAATGGACCAATCTTTGGAGCTAAGGCAGATGAAGCACCAACTTCACCACCGACGGCTCTTAAGTAAAGGAACTTAACTTCACTTGGATCAAACTTTGGAGGCATCTTGACTTTATTGAGTTATTATGGTCTATGTATCAAGAAGTGATAGAATTAGAAAGTTATATCAAAAATTTTTTTAACGTATCTGGCTAATGCTCACAGTGAAAAAAAAATTAATGTATGAATCCTGTACAAAACGGTCACATGACAAAAACAATTTGAGTATTAGTTAATGGAAATTACTTTTTATAGTGCTATTACACTAATTAGGGAAAAATTAAATCACGTGCAAAGAACGTATATCAAGGGCTTCAACCCTAACGTATTACAATTTGCAGCAATACACTACTGGATTATTCATATAATTTATTTACAAGTAAAGCAGTGGTAAAGCTAATTAAGTCATATACACATTATATATATATATATATATATTTACATATATACATTTATACTATAAAGTACCTCCAGGGATTTCATCGCCAATTCTACTGTCTTTATACATTGGGTTTCTTACATCATCATTACCATGAGTATCATCTTCATTAGTTGGTGTAGCTAGTTGTCGAAGCATTATTGCTGGATGCTTTCCCAATTCTTGTAATTCTTTGAAAATTACTACAGGCTTTTCCCCAAGTTTAAGGATTCTTTCCTTATCACCGTAACAAATAACAAGCACGTACTTTGACCAATCATCTCGAGGGATGTGATGCCTTTTCATGGCTTGTTGTAAGATCTTAAGACACGAGTCTTCAGTAGATGCACGTAATTGTTTTAATGGTTCATTACTGTGTGAAGAGGTTGTAGCACTTGTAGTATGTGTAGGAGTAGTTGTTGGATGTGTGTTACCATTAGAATTACTCGATGTAGGTGCTGCCGATCCATTTGTAGTTGTAGCTGCTTTTGGACTTACTGTTGTTTTTGGGAGCCCCGTAGGAGTGGTAGTTGTGGTGGAACCCTGTGCTGGAGTTGATGAAGCAGTTACTGTTTGTGGTATAATAGCTGTTGAATCATCATGAATACTTGATAATACTGCAGTTGAAGACAGTGACTTTAAAAGTGGTGGAGGCAAATTACCACTTAAAGCTTTCACCAATTTAGGTCTTAAAACTTCACCATTACCATTTGTGACTGACTCAGAACCAGGAGTCGAATTATTGTTGGCAAGATCTTGAAGGTTTCTATTGGAACCACTGTTTGAAACACTAACTATTTTAAAATCATTATGCGATGAAACTTTTGGTAGAGTTTGTGATATAATTTTTCCTGTTCCCATAGAAAGAACTGATGCAGTCGAGAATCTGTTAGAATATGTAGGACTAGGTAAATTTAAACTTCCATTCACAGTACCACTGTTATTATTATTATTATTATTATTATTATATGCTAAAGTTGTACTTGATATTGCTGTAGACGATGAAGTATGTCCAATTGAACTTGAATTCACACTATTACTTCTTGATATATTTTTATGACCAGTTAAAGTAGAATCGTCATTGGCTGTTGATCCATTATTATCAAGATAATCGAAATTAGAGGCTGGACCCGGATCTAATGTTGGAGTTGGTAAAGGCTTCGATGTATCTTTAAGAAGTCGAATGACTGGTATAAGATCTGTTTTCAATTTTATGAAATTATCGTTCAATTTCTTAAGATCTAATTGAGACTGATTAGTGGGTGATTGTGGAGATGGTTCACCCGATTGAATTTGTTGCTGTACATTAGTATGTTGTTGATAGATTCCATTGATTTTTTTAATCATATCTTTAATTAACACTGTTGAAAGAGAAAGGGATTCTAGCGAGACATAATTATTATTTATGTTAATATTGTTTAATTCATAATCAGGATCATTGAAAGATTGAGGAGGATGTTTTGAGTAGTGATCAGTAATTAAGTCAGATATTGAACGTTTTATAAGCAATCTAGTTTGTAGTTTAGATATTCCTAATTCTTTAAGATGATCTGTGGTTATAAAAGGTAGTAAAGATCCTTCAATGTTTTGATCTAAGAATGTTGTACCGATTAACTTTTGATCTTGTTCATTTGGTAAGATTGAAATGATATAGGATGATACTTGAGCAGGATCCCATTTGAGGAATGATTCATGGTTAATTAGTGGAGATGTCATTATGAATAGTAACGTAAGTAGGATCACCTATACACACGAAGTGGGGAAACAGGTGAGATAACGATAAAATGAATTTGAAATTTAAAAGCTCTGGAAACAGTAAAGTAGTATGAAATAAAGGATCTCAGTTAAATTACCATAGGATCTGATCTGTTCAGTTATAATTGAGAATGGATCAAAATTGATAGTGCATAGTCTTATGAAACATTCACACAATTCACAGTCGTATAGTATGCCGGCTTTAAATCACTGATTTAGGATATAATTTCGGGATTTGGAACTGAAGATAAGGCTGAATAATATTGATAAAGGATAAGTTGGTGATTATATAAGTTGGGCTGACTTGTGGTTAGTGTAAGTGAGAATTTCACGTTAACATCAAATAAGATCGTTTACTTTTACTTTGACATTGTCCCTCCATAAGGCTTAAAATACCTTAAATTGTTTCAGAAAAAATGAACGCCTTTTCTCGGTATTGTTTAAAATTTTGTGTTCTGTAAGAAATAGAGAATTTATAGGTGATACAGCCTAAGTTACAACATTCAATTCCCATGAAATGGTCTAAAATAGACGAAGTGTGAGAGGATGTATTGGTGTTTGTACTACTTTATGTATAGCTATTTAGGAGTTTCTAATAGAATATTCTTTAACTTTTGATTATACTTAGTAAAATCACGTGATTTTCATAATTAATAAGGGTAGCCTAGAAATTCGCGTCAGATAAAATTTGCAACTATACAAAAGAATATTTTGTTTATTTTATTTACTAATTGTACTGTTCTGTGATGACTGAGCACTTCCCATAGTTAAACTAGTACTTACGTTCAACAATGGCATGTCTAAAGTATAAGACGACCTACTTGCCAATCCATTATGTTTGTGATCATGACCATTAACATGACTGTGAATAGATCCGTTTTCGACATGACGATCATGACTTTGATTATGACTATGATTATGATTATGAGTATAATGAATGATATTATGACTATGGTAAATATTCGTTGGTTGATACGATACTGACCGTCGCATTGAAAGCATATGTGATGAACTTACAGTTGGAACATTTGCATCTTCAGTTGTAATGATTGTTGGAATCGATGATTTAACTCTAGTTTGTTTCAGTTTATAAGACTGTAAATTATCTAAATGAGGATTAGGATCAATCGAATCTCTGATCGCCACCGAACTACGCTTCGATTCATAAGAGGTAGGATCTTTAAAGTGGAGTGAACGTCTTATTCGCGAGACTCTCCGAATTGAGTCATTATTATTATTATTTTTAATGCTATAATTATTATTATCGTCGTCAGTATTATCTCTTCTAAATGTCAAAATATTCCTGACTTTGTGACCGGTAGACCTGATTATATTAGCCATTTGCTCTTCATACTAACTACAGCTTTTCTTAAATTTGGTAGCTTAGATCTCATATTCTTCGGATCACATATGGTATATATAATACGAAAACTATAATACACAAACTATATTTGCTCATTAAAAATTAGCGAGCTAAACGACTGAAATGAGGAAAAGAGTGGAGATAAAAAAACTACGGAAACCGGAAACAAACAATGTTCTAAGAAAAAAACAAACAAAGAAGTCCCGAAAACTAGTTATTTCTGATTGACTCTTTATGATTAATTATAAAGAAAAGTGGGTCGTAGTCAGTCCATTTTGATGTAAATGATTTAACCGAGCTTGCCATATTATTTCGTACAGCTTTTAGGCTGTTAAGACCGGTCAAGTATCACTGGTTTGTTGCGAATTAGTCTTCTGTGATGCTGTCTTAAATTTTTGATGAGCATTGTGCAAGACTTTTTAAGACCGAAGAAGTTTCACTTACACCCGTGAAGAGCCTGAACTTATATTCCTAACTACACTTGATTTTAAACTTTAGACATATGTTTATCACACGTCTATAAGAAGGGATTTAATTTAGCGGTTTTATTATTAACATACGTTAAACGAAGCTTATGGGCTGCTAATTAGCCAAATATGGGTCGGCTAAGAAAAAATGTAAAATTCTATAGCCGTCCGATCGTTTCATAAGTATACCAAGAAATAAGAAATATAGCGGGAGAGTATGCAATGCATAATATAAAATTACGCTTACTTCCGTTTAATTCCTTAGAGATGATTAATATATCAATTAACTTATACTGCCAGGAAATGATGGCAAAAAAAACGAACCTACAACAGGAATATATAAAAAAAATGTCTATAATCTTTAAACCTTAATAAATATATGCTATACCCTATAATAAATAGATAAATAATAAATAATAAATAAATGACCCACTAAACTCAACTAAATCTAACCTTTTTCTGACTTTCAATATCTTCATCGCTTAAAATGACCGTGTGTCCCGCTTCAGGGTTATAACTCCAAACATCATCACAATTATCCACATCTTCATGAGTTCTGCTTCTTGACGTTGATTGCGTATTTAATCCAATATCGTAAGTGTAGGAATTGCTGTTTTGACCGAATGGATGTACGTAATAATGGTCATCAGTAATTGAATAACTATCTTCTTCTTCAATGGCTTCTTCCTTACTAGATGCCAAAGATATGCCGTCAAAAAATGGAGATTGGGGTGGTGAAAACATCGGACTCATTGTTACATTGCCACCAGAATTCGTCCTCGGTTTGTATTTAGGAGCTAAAGCACTCGATGATGATATTACATTGGCATTAGTTACTTGAGATCTTGTAAGAACAGTGTTCCGACTACCATGACTACGACTATTGTTATTCCCAGTATTTTTCCTTCTTACTGATGTGTTTGAATCTGAACTGTGATTTCGTTTTAGGGTTCTCTTTTCTTCCACTTGGCTATTACTATTATGTGCTGTAAATTTTAAGAGCTTCTTTCTTGGGACAACTTTAAGAATATTTGTAGGATCTAAGACGTACATTAACATCTTCATTGGTAAAGTATCCATTGTACTCAGTTGCAGTACAATTTATTAATATATATATGTAATTAATAAATTAATAAATAAACCATTGAAAAAAATGAAAGATTTGAGGTTATACTTATAATGTTTCGAATCAAAGTTCCGGATCGTAATAATATCTGTAGTCAAATGTACCTTAAAACAATTTTCGGTATATATTATTAAACATGACCGTCCGGTGTTTTCTTTTTTTGCATACTGTAAACGGAACAGAAGGAATTTAGTAAGCGTAATTGTGCCAGCCGTAATTTTAAGCTCCGTAATTTGCGCTTAAATCATCGGAGCAGAGTGCTACTAACAGTAGAAAAATAATAAATTAGAATTGAATTTTTCGGTGTTTATTACTAAAGTTTTTGTGCATTTTTTTGCTTTTTTTTTGCAGAACACAAAAGTTTAAGCTACATTTCCTATTTTGGCAGCAGCCGATTTTCGGATTACATACAGGTTATCTCCATCGTTATTTCCTTCCCAATAGCTAGTGTAAGATCTAATTGAAACCTTATTTGACTCATTAAACGATGAATTGCCACCACTAACGCCACTCGGTCTATATAGTTCTCGTAAATTTATTCACTACTAAATGTTTATCTTTCAGTCACTGTTGGTAGTGATCGAATTAATCATAAGCTATGTCAGCCCATTATCACCGAATTTTTTACCAATTAGTTAGTAAATTCGGATGAATGCTTGGTTATGAAGTAATCACGTGCCATCTATTCACATTAGAAACTACTAAAACCCCGGAGGAAACACTTTAATATTGTAAATCTACTATGGTGGTCACTCGTACCACTCAACTCCACTCCACCTACAGGCCATTGTGAGAAGTGTTACACAGTAACCTCCTTGATAGAAAATCCATCACACTATAATTATTAATTACAAATATATTTTTTACCGTTGACATTTTCCATGACTAAATAACGGATATCATTGTTCCCCACCAATTGAATGTGAAATTTGTAACGCTAAGAAGATCTTAGTATCCTCCACATCAATAACACTCTATCAATTATTTTCTGAATTATTTTTCGGTCTGAAGTTACGGCCGCATTTTTATTTATTTAGATAACGTAAATGCATATAACTCTGTTACAACAATAGTGCTTGTATTTCTAGAATATTGTATATCGTGCGGCACTTCTCAGGGGGGAACTCTTTCCACTGGTATCGAAATCGTATATGCCTCCACTTTTGCACCCATTTAATGAATACGGACACATTTAGACCGTCGGTTTATCGAGAACTCATTAGCGATGAATGGTTTACGCTAATGTCTACACCGTTTACAACTTCATTTACTTTGACCATTGACATCGTAAATCAGTTGCCCTTTTTAATCTGTTCATTGCAGAGAATTAGTATTATTTAATAGATGTTGAAATAAATATTCTGCCGATGTCCTATTTAAGCAATTAAGATGTGCTTATTACGTAAAGAGTCAAATGATTCAGACAGAATCACTCTCTTGATTGCTCATTGAGTATCTAAATTCCAAGAAGCAGTTTTTCAAAATTTAATGAACTCTTTTCTTCAAAATTCAACTTTCAACACCAAAAATACATGAAACATGTCCCTACAGCATACCTCTACAGAATACTAATGTAAAGGGAGTGGAATTTATACAAGTACTATTGTATTAATAATCTAGAAGGAGTGATGTTAATTGATCTTATGGTGCTTATAATTGTCGCAAATAGATAGTATTTTCGAACTTGATCTTTTATTCACAATGATTATATCAAATACACCAACTTCATGTTGATAGTCTTTAAATGTTGAAGATCTTAATCTTGCCGAATCATAGATTGTTCCATTATATATAAATTTTTAAAAATTATGAAAAAGATTCAATAGAGAGAGTGCCAATTAGTTGATTAGGATCGCAACTGCCTAATTAGGCTATCCGCGGGCGGCGGGTGTCGCTTAGCGCATTCAGATAAAAGTTGGGGGACATATAAAATGAATAGAATTTTCACTATTATCTAAGTGAATAATAATAATAATCGTACCAAGCAAGATGGTCGAATTAAAGAATCCTAATTTGGTCAGATCAGGACCATTTGTAAATGGTGAATGGATTAAATCCAAATCTTCCAAGACTTTTAAAGTCTTCGATCCAGCTACTGAAGAATTGATTATTGAATTACCTGATCAAACTCCAGAAGAAATTGAATATGCCTTTGAAGTCAGTCAACAAGCATTTGATAAATTGAAACATACTTCTCCATATCAAAGATCAATTTGGTTAAGAAATTTATACAATTTAATGATTGAAAATCTTGATGATTTAGCTAAAATTCTTACTTGGGAAAATGGTAAATGTCTTGCTGATGCAATTGGAGAAATAAAATATGCTGCTTCTTACTTTGAATGGTTTGCTGAAGAAGCAAAAAGAATTTATGGTCACACCATACAACCTGCTAATCATAATAATAAAGTTATGACTTATAAACAACCAGTAGGAGTTGTTGGATTACTTTGTCCATTTAATTTCCCTTCTGCTATGGGAGCTAGAAAATTGGCTCCTGCTTTTGCAGCTGGGTGTACTACTATTTTAAAACCAGATTTCCAAACTCCTTTAAGTTCTTTAGCATTAGGTTATTTAGCTCATGAAGCTGGATTTCCTCCAGGAACTTTTAATGTTGTGTTAGTTAGTCAAGCTTCAACTCCAGAAATTGGATTGAGGTTCTGTGAATCTCCAATAATAAAAAAGATTAGTTTCACAGGTTCTACCCCAGTAGGTAAATTATTAATGAAACAATCATCATCCACATTAAAGAAATTATCAATGGAATTAGGAGGAAATGCTCCAGTCATTATTTTCGATGATGCTAAACTTGATTGGGCTGTTGAACAATCAATTGCTTCTAAATTTAGATCATTGGGTCAAACATGTGTTTGTGCTAATCGTATTTATGTTCAATCAGGAATTTATGAAAAATTCTGTACTAAATTCGCTGAAAAGGTTAAATCTTTTAAAATTGGAAATGGGTTTGAACCAGGTGTGACTCATGCATGTTTAATCAATGGCAGAGCTATTGAGAAGGTTGAATCACATTTTAAGGATGCTGTTGATAAAGGGGCTAAAGTATTGATCGAAGGTGGTAAATTACCTCATTTAGGTAAGAACTTTTACGCCCCTTCTGTCATATGTGATGTGACTAATGATATGAAAGTTGTTAGTGAAGAAACTTTTGGTCCTTTAGGAGCTATAATTAAATTCGACAATAAGGAACAAGTGTTAGGTTGGTGTAATGATACTCCATATGGTTTAGCATCATATGTCTTTTCAGAAAACTTGAATAATATCTGGTACATGTCTGAATATTTGGAATCAGGTATGGTTGCAGTTAACACCGGGATTTTTACCGATGCTGCTATGCCATTTGGTGGAGTTAAAGAATCTGGTTTTGGTAGAGAAGGTTCATTATACGGTATTGATGATTATACTGTTGTTAAATCTATAACTTTGGGTAATATTTACCATTATGATTAATTGATTGATTCATTGAATATATGTAAAATAACTATATAACAATAAAAATTTAATAATTTAATAAACTTAATTAAACCTTTTCAATAACAATAGCAGAGGCACCACCTCCACCATTACAAATTCCCACTACACCTAATTTGGAAGTAAGCTTTTCTTGTTGCAAAATATTAACCAAAGTAACTAAGATTCTAGCACCTGAACAACCTAATGGATGTCCCAAAGCAACTGCACCTCCATAAACATTCAATTTATGAGAAGGGATATCTAATAATTTTGAATTAGCCATTCCGACTACCGAAAAGGCTTCATTTACTTCAAAATAATCAATATCATCTACAGTTAAACCAGCTTTGCTTAAAGCTTTTGGAACAGCAAGAGAAGGAGCAATGGTGAAATCCATTGGATCTCTTTCAGCTTCTCCATAACTTCTAATCTTGGCAATTGGATGTAAATTATATTTGGTAAGAGCTGATGCTGAACAGAGAAGTAAGACAGCAGCACCATCATTCAAAGAAGGTGAATTTGCAGCAGTAACAGTACCTGATTCGATGAATGCCGACTTAACTGTTTTCAATTTTTCAGCATTATATTTATTTAAGTCTTCATCTTTAGAAATTGTAATAGTTCCTTTTCTGGTTTTAATTTCAACAGGAATGATCTCATTAACAAATTTGCCATTTTCATAAGCTTTGATTGCCTTTTCATAACTACCGATTGCATATTCATCTTGATCTTCTCTAGAGAATCCAAGTTCTTCTGCAACTTTTTCACCGGCATGACCCATAAGTAACTTTTCTCCAAAAGCATTGGTCAATCCATCATATTGTAATCCATCAATCATTTCAATATTTCCATATTTATATTCGCCTCTTCTTGTTTTCCCGTTAAGATAAAATGGGACATTTGACATTGATTCACTACCACCAACAATTGCAAGTTCAGATTCACCTAATAAAATATCTTGAGCTCCTAAAATAACTGCTTTTAATCCCGAAGCACATACTTTATTGACAGTGGTAGAAATAGTTGAGGTTGGTAATCCAGCTCCGATGGCAACTTGTCTTGAAATATTTTGACCAAGACCAGCTTGTAAAGCTGATCCCCAATAAACATGATCTATAGGAAGTTCTTGATCAAATTCACTAACAAATGATTTGACAAGCTGGACACCTAAATCAACAGAACTAAGGGATGATAATGAACCTTCAAAGGATCCAATTGGTGATCTTTTTGCAGCAACTATATAAACTGACATTTGTTTAACTTTTACAACAGTAGAAAAAGAATGAAGTAATACTTTGTATAATTATAAAATATTATATTAATTCTTAGTAAGAGATTTATAAAGGCTTTTATATTGTATACTAAAGTAATTTTGCACCAATAGTATAATTACATAATTACAACAACTATACGACGATGTATGGAAAGTTATCGTATAAGCTATCGGACTTGAGTCTCGTGACACAAAAGCCGAACCGAATGCGTATAACTCCGAATTAAAAGATCTAATTTTAGTTTGGTTAGTTAATATTTATTTTAAATATCTTATACTAATACAACTATACACACATGTATATATATACACCATATATATATATATATATATACATGCATTATACATATATATAAGGGGATATATGGGGGCTCTTAATGCTTAGTTGATTTATATTTTGCAACGAATTTATTATGGAATTGACCCCAACTATCGATCCATTCATTACCAGGAGGTAAGAAAGTAGTTCTTAAATGATAAGTATCAGGAACTTGACCAAATCCGTTACCTGGAATACAACAAATACCAGTATTTTCTAATAATTCAATACAATAAATATCATCAATTTGTAAATTAGATTGTCTTGCACGTGAGTATAATAAATGATAATCTTCTTCTGCAAAATCTAATTTAGGGAATAAATACATTGCTCCCATTGGTTTATTACATTTAATGTCTTCCATATTTAAAAAGGCATTATATAATAAATCAGCACGAGCTTGTAAGTCACGATGAATAGATGAAGTTTCTGATTTATATAATGGATATGATTCATCACCTTCCTTAGGAGGATTAATCATTAATTCCATTAATGCTTGACCTGAAACAACTGAACATAAATTAATAGAAGCTAATTTAAATAATACATCACGAACTTCAGAATGGAATCCAACAAGTTCCATATAACCACCTCTTTGACCACATTCACCAGATACACCTTTAGAAGTTGAATGTAATGATGCTAATTGAACATTTCTATATTTGTCATGATTAATTTCAAGTAATTCACTTAAAACACGTTTCATGGAAATGAATTCACCTTTAAAGACATTCTCTTGATAAACTTCATCAGCAATAAGAACAATTCCATATTCAGCGGCAATATCAATTAAACTAACAATATCATCACGAGTTAAAATAGATCCAGTTGGATTACCTGGATTTATAACAACAAGAGCCTTAAATTTAATATTTGGATGTTGAGCAAGAAGACGTCTAATTTCTTCAGGATTGGTTGACCAATTATTATTTTCATCTAAGAAATAACCGACTGGTACAGCATTATTTAAAGCAATAGTAGCAGTATATAAAGGATATTGAGGAATTGGAATTAAGAATCCAGATTGTGAGTCAGATGATAATATTTGTAATAAATACAGAACAGCGGCTGATGCACCTGAAGTAAGAAAGATATTATGAGGATCTGAATAATGACCATTATCTCTTTTAGTAATGAAAGATGCAATTGATTCTCTAATTAATGGAGCACCTTGAGAATGAGAATAAGCACCAATTGAACCAATATTATTTAAAAGTTTAATGGCTCTATCCTTAACATCTTGAGGAAAATTCACTTGATTAATGATGGAAGGATATTGTAAGATTGAAAGTACTTGTCTATACCAAGTTAATGGTTTTTGATCTAATTGTTGAGGATTACCAATATTTGCATTAATAATTTTATTGAATGGTAAACCATGAGAAGCAGGATTCTTTTCAATTAAATCTCTTAATTCGTCGGCAATGATTGGAATTTTACCTCTAACTGCATAATTAGCTTGAACTGTTTGTTGATTAATATCTTTAATTGAAAGTGGTTCAGCTGGTTTAAAAGTCAATGGAGATCTTGAATGACTTGATGTAGAAAAGTAATAATGATGTGGAAGTGGAGAAGCAACTCTTGGTGGAGATAATACACGAGTTGAAGTCATGAATGAGTATAAAATTCCAACAGTATTGGCAGGAATGATAAGTCCTGATTTGACTAAAGTAGTAGTTGAAGACATGACTTGATATTTATATAAGTAAAGAAAAAAAATTGATCAGCAACAATAAACTAGGTAAACGAGAATGAAATAAATAATACTAATACTAAAAATTAAATTCGGAAATAATTGAATTGTAATGACTAATTTTGCTATATCGGAAATCAGTAATTAGTTACTATACTTGAGATAACAAAGGCCTAAAGTTTAATTAACTAACTGAATCAAAGGTTGAATGATATTTTGAAAAATTTAGTTTGACTTCTTCTCGGTTAATGAGGGGTAGATTTTATGGGGTAAATGGCACTAGAGGGAAAATTCTTTTGTAGGCTAGTGAAAATTTTCTATGTGACAAAATGGTACCACTTCTAATAAAGATTATATAAAAATATTTAGAGACAATAAGTGACTATTAAGGTAGCAAAAGTTTGATAAATGAATAACAATCAGTACAATATATATATATATATATGAGTAGTAAGTACTTGATGTAATGAAATGAATTGACCTTTAACTATGTTCGTGAACTTTTAGAACGAAAACTTCAAAATTCGAGTTCAATTGAGTTAATTTAAACAAAATTTGAATTTTATTACTTTATAAGTAATGTTTCCGTGATCTTTACAGAAGTCAAAGTAGAGAAAAACTTGATACCTTAAGTAGAGAGGAAAGAAAGACGTCGCTATAACTAAAACTGAAAATTTTTTGTTTATCTCTTCCTCCGAATTACATTGAAGATAACATAAGTAGAATTCGGACTTTAAGTGCCGCATCACGTGCACTTATCATCGTGACAGAAGTTAAATTAAAAAGTATTAGAAAATGATAAGAAAGATACTTATTAAAGTATCTGTGAATATCGATGACCAAAAATTCTATCATACATAAGAAATCTATTTAACTGAATCAATATAATAAATATAATAAAAATAAAGAAATATAATAAATAAAGTCGTAAGATTGTTATATTGTCTAAAAAAAAGAGTGATCATGATATTCAGAAAAGTAGTGCGCCTGTACCAGGATTAAGGTAAACCCCAGAGCTGATTAGGGCTGGCTGGAGATGCCCTATTAAATAACTAGCATTATGTAATATTTCAATTTAAAGCCACTCATTTAGAAGCCTGAAGGCTCAGTATTACGTATATTACGACGTATTATGCTAAACGTGAATAAATATAAATATACATGTAATATTCGAGAAAGGATCGTACATGTAATTTGATGTACGATGAGATCAACCTATTAAGAAAGGAACGGTATTTACAAACAATATACATCATAGACATTATATACATCTCATGATATACGATCAATAATGGTTGACCATTATATACAGAATTATGGATAGAAATTGTACTATGTCTCCAGGCTACAATTACTGCTACGATATAAAATTTCTTGTCCCGTCATATGTTATGCAACATACAGTATACTGAGCAATTTATTTATTGGAAGTAAAGTGCAGCGTATTTGTTCATTATTCTTTTTCTTATTTATTATATCTTATATGCCCATCTCGTATCATTGTTCTGTGAAGTGAGGATATTGCACATATTCACTAGCATATATTTTATGTACTGTAACATAAAATAAATGTAATCTTGTATGATTACCCCTTTAATACCTAGTATAAGTAGTAAGTCATCTCCTCTTTTTTTCATCCCTAATTATATGTCTAAACTTATCTAAAGAAGTGCACACATCCCTTCGATAAAATAATTATTATTATATCTTAAAACAATACATCTATAACAACCAAAAATTTTTCTTACATTCATTTCCCCAGTTTTTGAAAGGCAGTTTTATTCCTTGTTTATTGTTCTGGTACAAGTTCTAGTTCTTTGGTATAATTTTATTTCCATATTATTCAAATCAACTCATCACAATTATTTATCAATAATTTCCCCTCTTTTTCCCATATTATTTGCACTGTTGAAATTTCAATTATCATTAAAATTTTAACTTTTAGATTGACATCACCCCTAAATTGCTTGCTTTTCATTAATGAATTCTATCTCATTAAATTTCCATCCAAATACTATCTAATAATTTCTTCATTTGCTAGAATTTCCATATATTTTCTAAAGCAAGGCTAACTTAAACTAAGCAAAGATCTTTTTTTTTTTTACCCCAAAATTTAAATAATATTTTTAACAATAAAGGGGTATTTGCTTTTGTGCTATTACTTAAAAGTAACACTATATTTATATAAAGCATCGTATATCCAAATCATTCATTATTTCATTATATAACTACACAACAACTGTTAGTGATCCTATAAAAACTGTAATAACTATTTAATTTTAATTACTAATAGTATAACTACTACTACAGATAATAATAAGATTATACTTTTGAATATAACTTAACTATTATATTCATAATGTCACACAATACTAGTAAGTATAAACGATGCTCATTAGCTATTGAGTCACCAGTGGATTGTCCTTCTAATAATCCTTTGAATGCATTCTTAGTTTATTCTACTTCGAGTGAAACAGAAATGGGGAATAGTGCTAGTGCAAATGCTAGTGTTAATTCTAAACCAAATGCTGTAACTACATTTTATACATTGCACGACTCAGGATCAACGACGGAATCAACTTCTGATTTACATAAATCAAATTCAATGCCTAATATGACTCCTTCACCATTAAATGGGAAGCCACCCATCAGTAATAAATATAATTCAAGTCCAAATAACTTTATTGCTCCATCACCAACATTTAGAAGAAGAGTCTCATTATGCGATTTAAATAATTTTAATGATGAACTTCGTATAATTAATGATTCTAGAAAATCATCGATTGAAAGCATAAGTCTGGCAGGATCCAAAGCCACTGCCAGCACAAAATCAATGTCCAATTTATTGGGTTCAAGGGATAGCCTAAACAGTTCACACCAACATTATTTCAATCCTGATTTTAAATTTAATGGCAGTAGAGACAGCAATATGTCTATAGCAGAGTCAAAGACTTGTAGAAATCATCATAGACGGAATTCTATTGCCCTTAAATTTGAGAACCCTAAAGTTATTGATTAACTTAATTACTTTAAGACTCATAACATAATGCATTCCAATTTCACTTCATTAGCATATATTATTATATTTATTATTTATTATTATTCGTTTCTATTTAATCATTTCATTTTCGTTGTTATTTAGTGGACGTTTCCAGTGTCCCCTTTCATATTTTTACCGGATCTTCATAAATTTGTATATACCCTCAATAACATATTTGGAAAAAAAAGTTTTGCAGCTTTTTTCGTAGTTCTTTTAATCTCTCTCTATGATAATAGACCTACTATAACTATGACAATTCTACGACAATCAAAGAGTCTTTCAAGACTATTCTACACCGAACAAGACCCACCGTCAGTAAACTTAATTCCTAAACCAAAATTAACTAGATCATCTAGTTTTAAAAGCTTTCTAAGTCTAAAGAAACCTAAGAGCTCAACCAAATTAGCTGGCGTCAAACGTACTTCAAATGACGAATTTAATTATGAACATATTAGCAACAACTACTGTACTCCCAATTTTCAAGATGAATATATATCTAGAGTAATTTATGGTGAATCGCCAACCCATTCTTTCGAATCATTTCTTACAGACGAATCATTTCAAACTTCTTCAGTGATTGAAAAATATCAAGCTAATATAGATACGTATTATTCAATAACTCGCCATGATAGAGATATAGAAAATTCTAAACATGAAGGAGAAGAAGAAAAAGAACCGGATGATTATACATACAATCAGTTTTCAAATTATAACGATACATTAACTAAACATAGAGTCATAAATCAAACAAATAAGCGATTATTCCCAAGAATTTATGATGATTGCAGACGAAAGATCAGTTTAATTTGGCTGGAATGTGATTCTGTTCACCCCACTGTTAGAAGCAAAACAAGATACAATAATAATAATCCATTCGAAGCAGATACTGAATACAGTCATAGATTATTATATACATCTGTTCCAGATACCAAACAGTTAGATTATGTTACATCTGCTGCGGAATTATTCAAAAAGAGACTTACTATGAATCAACTACAGGATATGAATCAGGCAGTAGATAATAAAACTATAGACACTAATTCTCATATTGATATTATAACTACAACTAAATTAACACCTATACCACAACAAAGTAAACAATCCCAGTATCAACAGGACCATATCATTGTCAATTCTAACGATAGAAACATTTCTAATTCAAGAAAATCCGAATCACAAAATATCAAACCATCCCATACCACAACCCAAAAGCCCTTTAATATCTTTTTCAGTTTGTTTAGTCGTAAAATATTTAAATATTAAGTATTAAATATTAAATATTAAATATTAAATATTAAATATCAGTTGCAAAATCGAGTATATATTTTACCTTATTTGTTAGTCTTTGATATTTGATTTAAATCTTTTAATGAATAGTAATGTGAAGAAAATTCTTTAACTAGCTTTTCATCAACTAATAAACAATTTCTCATGTATTCTTTACTAGTAAGAACTAATTCATGATATAGTAATAATTTTGGAGGAGGTTTCAAACTATGAATTGAAGATGATGGATGAATATGACATGGTTGACCATCAGTTGACTTTAATTTTCGATAAGAATCACCCATCATTGAAAGTTTTACAACGTTTGGAAAATATCCAGCTATAATTGATTTCTGGATATAGAGGGGATTGAAACTATCAGATTTCTTGTTTAAGTTTATTCCCGATCTTTTACATAATTTTGTAAGTTGATCTTTAACATTTTTAACTCTTCGGAGTGTTTTATATTGGACATAATTATCTTGACACCATTGAGATGAAAAGTCTGTATCGACCCATTCATTCCATATGTTGAGTAATGTGAAATGATCACCTAGTTCATGATAGAATTTTTCATGTCTTCTATTGGCTTGATCTTGTTTATCTTTAGGTCTATAAAATAGTGTTGATGATTCACCAAGCATAGAAATTATAGTAATAACTTCATTAGTACATTCATATTTTTTACTGGTTAAAACACATTTAGAAAGCATAGGATCTATAGGAAATTCATTCATTTGTCTCCCTAATTTAGTTAATTGACCCTTAGAGTTAAGTGCACCCAATGAATATAATAATTCAAGTGATTTTATTATACTTTGATGAGATGGTGGATCCATAAAATCAAAATGAATAAGATCATTAACTCCAAGGGATAATAAAAGTAAAATTATTGATGATAAGTTAACCCTAAGAATTTCTGGAGTTGCATTTAATTCAAGTTCATTATAATATGACCATTTAGTAAATAATCGGAAACATTTTCCTGGACCAACTCTACCTGCTCTACCTGCTCTTTGATCTACTGATGCTCTTGAACATGGAACCACTACTAAACTTTCCATAGCTTGAACTGGATTATAAACATTCTGTTTAACATAACCAGGATCAATAACATAACTAATACCATCAATAGTAATAGAAGTTTCTGCAATATTAGTAGCTAAGATAACTTTCCGAGAATTTGGGGGAGTGGGTTCAAAGATTTTCTGTTGCATATCAGGAGGTAAATTTGCATAAATTGAACAAATCTGTAATTGATTGGGTAATGAAGTACCTAATTTCATAATGGATTCTTGTAAACTTTCTTCCATTGATTCAATCTCTTCTTGACCGGTTAGAAATACAAGAATATCTCCTGGTAATGGTTGGGTTAAATGAATTTGAAATATAGTCGTTATAGCAGCTTGTATATAATTAGCTTCTGGATTAGATGTATAATGTATAGTAACTGGGAATCTTCTTCCTGGTATATTTAAGATAGAAGCTCCATTGAAATATTTCGAAAACTTTTCAGCATTGATTGTTGCTGAAGCAATAATTAATTTTAGATCAGATCGAGTTTTGATAATATCTTTCAATAAGCTTAATAATATTTCTGTTGATAATGTTCTTTCATGAGCTTCATCGATCATGAGAGCTCCATATTTAGAAAGGGTTGGATCATTAAGAAACTCTCGTAATAACATACCATCTGTTAAATACTTTATAACAGTATCATCACCAGAATTATCATCAAATCTAATTGTATACCCAACTTCATGACCTAATTTAACATCCATTTCAGAAGCAACTCTATTAGCAACAGATGTAGCAGCTACTCGTCTTGGTTGTGTACACCCAATAATTAATTTTCGATTTAGACCATCTTTACTTGTTGAATAACCAGCTTCATGTAAATATTGAGGTAATTGTGTAGTCTTCCCACTCCCAGTTTCTCCAACAACTATAAGTACTTGATTTTTCGATATGGCATCAAGAAATTCTTCTCTATACTTATATACCGGTAGGGATTTCCTTACTTGATCCATTGAACTTATTTTAATATCTTTAACTGTAGGAGGAGGAGGAGGAGGAGGAGGAGGAGGTACAGGTTCATCATCACCTTTTAAAATATCATCTTCATTATCATTGTAATTAACAAATTGTGAATCATCAAATACATACTCATACTTGTCACTATCAGGCAAATTAACCTTATCAAGATTTGTAGGTAATACTCCTATTTGTTTGGCTTTATTAAATTGTTCTAATTCCCATTGATTATTATTAGTGGATTTGGTTCTACCTTTAGCATCAGATTCAATTTCACGTCTCTCATTTCTATAATTATTACGATGAAGAAGTTCATACTTTCGCTTCTTACTATTAGTCGATATATCTTCTTGATCTATATATTTATTACTAATATTTTCTTGTTTAGTCTTCGGTATTACTTCAGGTTGATGGTTCGGGTTAGTTTCGTCTTGAGTCGAGGTTTGACTATTGACTGGTTCTATGCCCAAAGGTGCCAACTCAATCTCTTCGTCAGATTCGGCTTCATCCTCAAACTTCCGTCTTCTTTTCCCTCTACCGGTCTGAATGGCCGACATTGTTTATTAGTACCGTCTAATTGACTTGTAAGTCCGAATTACATCGGTTCCGGAATTTTTCAACTACCGGATCATCACCAAAAAAAGTATCGCCCGAAGAAAATAATTTAAGCACTATCTCCAACCGGCAGTGATAAGACAAATAAAGTACTTTTATTACTGTTCTAATTCAGAACAAACAAAGCTCAACTATGAGTTCCGACCATTTATCCCCAAGTACTTCGAACTTATCGGTCAAAGTTCCTAAACCGAGGAGATTTAGTCGAATTGCTCCTGACAATGATTCATCTAGTTCATTCTTTAACTCATCGGATCAATTAATTGCATCTCCATTTATTGATACTATTAATGATGATTTAGATCATTCGAGTCATTTGAAAGACATTACACCCAATGATACTATTACCCTGACTACTGCTACAATACCTGCTAATACAAGTATATCTGAATCTTCAACTACTTCAAATGCAAATACCACTACTCCTCATCCCTCATATATTCCACCATGGACTGAACCTTATATTATTGGTATAGCAGGGAATTCAGGATCTGGTAAGACATCTATTGCTCAGAAAATCGTTCAAGAATTAAATCAACCTTGGACAGTTCTTTTATCATTTGATAACTTTTATAATCCCTTAACTGAAGAAGAACGGAAACAAGCATTTGAAAATAATTTTGATTTTGATACTCCAGAATCTCTTGATTTAGATTTGGTTATTGAAACAGTTAATTCACTTAAGAAAGGTCATAAAACAACTATCCCAGTATATTCATTTGAACATCATAATCGTACAGATAAGACCATTACTATTTATGGTGCTAATGTTATTATTATCGAAGGGATTTATTCATTATATGATCCACGATTATTAGATATGATGGATTTAAAAATTTATGTAGATACAGATCTTGATATTTGTTTGGCTAGACGTTTAACAAGAGATATTCTTTATAGAGGTAGAGATTTAGGAGGATGTCTTAAACAATGGGAAACTTTTGTTAAGCCTAATGCTGTCAAATATGTTAATCCAACCATGTATAATGCTGATTTAATTATTCCTCGTGGGTTAGATAATGTAATTGCTATCAATTTAATGATCAAACATATTGAGAAACAATTAATTCTTAAATCAAGTCAACATTTGAAATATTTACAGACTTTGGATATTAAAGTTATTGATTTAAAAGATTATAATTTAAAAATCTTACCTATAAATAATCAAACCCGAGGTATAAATTCGATTTTATTTGATGAAGAAACAGAAAGATCTGATTTTATCTTTTATTTCAATCGTATCAGTAATCTTATAATTGAAAAAGGGTTAGAGTTTATAAATAATTATGAACCAATTTTAGTTAATAATAATTATCATGGATTGAAATTAATTGATGATATTGTGGCGATTAGTATTATTCGATCTGGTGATTGTTTTATGCAATCGATTAAGAAAACATTTCCCGAAGTAAGTATTGGGAAATTACTTATTCAAAGTGATTCAAAGACTGGTGAACCTCAATTACATTATGATTCTATACCTAATGATATTGAGAATAAAAAGATTATGTTATTTGATTCACAACTTATAAGTGGAGCTGCAGCAATCATGGCGGTTCAAGTTTTATTAGATCATGGGTGTAAAGAAAAAGATATTATATTATGTTGTTATTTATCTACTGAATTAGGATTAAGAAGAATACTTAATGTTTTCCCTCATGTTAATATTGTTATAGGGAAACTTTCGAATATTGGAGAGAATACTAACAATTGGTATAATCCTGAAAAATGTAGAGATAGTGATTGGCCATTTAGAAATAGATATATAGACAGTTTATACTTTGGAACTGAATGAGAAATTAAAAATATCCATTTAATTTAATTATTGGAGCTCTTGTTACTGCAAATTTGTAGTGAATTGCAAAAAAACAAAACCAAAGTCGTGTGCATCTCAAATCAGACGGAAAAAAATGTTAAGAGTAGCGTACAGATGTGTGTAATAATGTGGATCAAATGTTTAGTATATCAGCCAATATATACAAGTACAACTTTTATAGATATGCTTGTACGAAGTATAAGTAAGATCCGACCCGGAGTTCAAGTTTATGTACGACGGAATATTCAGGTAATCCGGAAAAGGCATCCAAAATTACCTCCAGATGCAGATATTACCCTCATCCCATCCATTCTACAATCAGTGGAGAATGAAGCTAAACTAAGTAAAATAACATTTAAAGGTCATAAAAGGACTCAAGAAGAAGCTTTGGAATCCATTCTTCAAATTCTTGATGAAAGTGTTCGAGAAACTAATAGTAAAGTTATCAACAACGATCCAAGTACAGTTTTACTTCCTCGTATACTTCATACTCCATCTAAATTTAAAGAAGCTATGAAAAGTCGTAATGTTGAATACTTATCAAAATTTGCGAATGATTTTGGTAGAAGTATTATTGAAGTGGCAGTTTTACAAGTATTAAATTCTGAAGCAGTATATTTCAATTATCCTGAAATGCTTGATAATTTAGATGATGTAAGTAAATTCAGGAATACACTAATTGATGAATTGATTAAAAAGAAAAATCGTATAAAACTTAAAGGAGACGCTATAAAATTGAATGGTAAAACTAAGGAACTTAGTTGGTTTCAGAAAATAGCCAAATCCTTTGAAGAAGATATGAAATTTACTATGAAACAAATTATCGAAGTTCTTAAAACTGATATTATACCATCACAATTAGATAATGAAAATAGAGTTCAATTTTGGAATATACCACCTATGACTGTTCTGGATCTTGAAAAAGTTACTGAAAAGGTCTATTTCAGTGATTATACTACTGCAAAGGAAGATATATTTACTCTTAAATGGGTTAGATGTGGTCATGAGAGGTTATTATCAGATAGTACGGCATTACTTACATTTTGTGAAAACAATGAAAGAGTTTTATGGAGAAGTGTTGAAATAGCTCAAATGGCAAATCGTCTAAAAGTTACTGCTAGTAGTAAACGATTAGTTAATTTAATGCATTTATTTGAATTAGAAGGGAAACTTCAATTTGAAATTATGATGAAAAGAATTTTATTAAAAATTTATAATATTAAATTATCTAAAGATGGGCATGTTAAAGAAGAATATCAAGATCCTACTAAAGAAATTTTAGTATATAGGAAAAGACAATATTGGCAAGTTAGAGGATTAGAAGGTAAAGAAAAGAAAAGAAATAATGATAAAGACAATCATTATAATATGGATAACGTTACTCCTAATAAATTATATGATAAGATTGATGAAGAATTATTATTAAAAAGATTTATTGAAAATGATGATTTTCTTAATAGATTAAAGATTTCAGTAGCATTTAAATCTAAATTACATCATAGAATTAAAAATGGAAGATATATTATGGCAATTAATGCTAGTAGAAATCAATATAAAGGACTTAGTGATGAAGAAATTAAGAAGAAATTAATTGGATATTTCGATAGATTTTGGAGATATATATGTTTATATTATCCTACAGAAGGATATGCATGGATGCTTCTGTGTCTTTCTGAGGTTAGTAATACTAGATATAGAAGAAAAGTAGATCCTGATTTTAACTTTAAGCTCAATCAAGATTTGGTTGAATTAACAGTTTTAGATTATAAGAAAATGATTGAACAAATGTTAAATATTGGATTAAAAGATATGAAGAGTCGTACTAAGGTTAGAGAGAATATGGATTCTAGTGAACTCCATAATTTTATATTTGAGAGTATTGAAAGAATGAGACATGGATTCCCTAATTATCCAGGAGATGCACGTCCTGAGGATGAATAATTTATAAATTGTATATAGTTAATGAAATGCATACCATACCATACATTAGAATTAAATAGTTAAGAGTATGATAGCGCGAGGTAGGCCTTAGACAAGAGACAAAACGACAAAAAGAGACACCAATCAGAAAAAATCAAAATCAAAATCAAAATGGTTTGAGTAAAATTACTTACATAACCATTGTATGCAAAGTCTTAGTAGATGTAACCGCATTTTAATTTATTAAGTTAATTAGTTAATTAGTTATTTATGCAGTGCAGTTACCCGTCGTCTATCTTGCACAGCCGATCTGTAGCTCACGTGCAACTAATTCGGCCCATTTGGGTCTAGACCAGAAACACGCCATACATATGCAAGGGATGAAAAAAAAACACGCGTATAAACTAAATATTAAATGTAATATTGTAATATTATAATATTAAATATTATCATACTGTACAGTATAAGGGTGGGTGGTGTCGCGAGCTCGAAACTTTAATCAGGATTCAGTAAATAAGTATTCAGTATTAAGTAAAAATAGAATTGAAAAGGGAAAAAAAGGGCGAGAAAGGGCGAGTGAGAGTCGTGTGGAAACGTCCAAAACCAAAACCACCGATTTGTTTCTTTTGTTTTAAACTTTTTTATTTTTTTTTTTTTATTTACTATTACAAAATTATTCAAAATTTTTTTCGGTTAAAACATAAAGGAAAGACACCTATCCAGAACAAAGTAGTAGTTGAACTAGACTAAGTCAGAGGAGTGTTAGTAACGTTTGAAACTTCCATATATAATAACCAGTACATTCATTTATTCATCTGGGTAATATAATTAAGATATAATTTAACCCACTTTGATTTTTGTGACTGGAAACAATAGTGATCTGTAAACTAATCTTTGTTTACTCCTTCCATTCCTTACCTAAACAAAGAAATTTATCCATCCACTGATTGATTACATTCTTAATTAACTACAGTGTTTAATCCAATCCAATATTCATTATCACTTTCTTATCATCACCAATAAGTGATACTTGAATCCTTTTCTTCATCTACTATTGGAATACTATTACCCTTTTTTTAATAGAGTTCATTCTAGTCCTTCCTTTCGTTTTTGCTCAGGATATACTATTACATATCAATTAAATTAAAATTTATAAAATTAAAATTAAAATTAAAATTAATTCATTGATACTTTCATTCACTCCATTCCTTTCCATTCCTTACTATTCAATATACCCATACCCAAACCCATACCTTCATTAATCCCCCCTTTATATACATATAATAACTTATAACTCATAATTCATAACTCATAATGCTTTCATTGCTTCTACTTTCTTTATTAACTACATCAACCATAACAGTCAATGCTGATGGACTAGGCTGTTTTCTGTCACTTCCATCATCTGCTAAATCAGTAGGTAGTTATACTTATCAAACTCAATCATATTGTGCGGGTCAGTGTCAAGGTTATGCCTATGTTGCTGTTAAAAATGGTATTGATTGTTACTGTTTAAATTCACTTCCAAGTTCTAATTCAGTTAGTTCAAGTCAATGTAGTGTACCATGTGCTGGTTATGGTTCTGCTACTTGTGGTGGAGTAAATTCTTTTGAAGTATTTGCGGGTAATGGTAATTCCAATCCAGGAGTTGCTGAAACTGGTCCATCTTCAGGAGCTGCCTCTACTGCTTCCACCCAAACGACTACCAGTTCAACTGGAAATGGTCCATCTACAACTTCTAATCCAGCTACAAGTAGTTCTGCTGATTCTGATAATGAAACTGTTCAAGTTGTTACTAGTACTGCTACAAATGATAGTGGTGTTATTGTTTATAAAACCATTACTCAATCTACCTCTACTTCAAGTCCAACTTCTTCAGAGTCTTCAACTTCAAGTTCTGCATCACCTTCAACATCTGGTTCATCTTCTAATGATGATAAAAAGAAATCATCTAGTAAAGTTGGACCTATTGTAGGAGGAGTTATAGGAGGTTTAGTTGCCTTAAGTGCACTTATTGGAGGTATTTTCTGGTTTATTAAAAGAAGATATAGTGAAGATGATGATGATGATTATGATGAAGAGAAATTTTATGATAGTAATCCATCAGGTTTAGGTAGAAGAGGTGGTACTGGGAAAGGTACTCGTAGAAATAATAAAGATAGTGCACTTGATATGCCAATAATGAATCCATTTGTTCATCCAAATGATCAATTAGCTTCATCTGATCATAGTCAATCTACAGATGGTATGCCTACTAATGTAATTGCAACTAATAATCAAGCTTTAGTAGATCCAAGATTAAATCCTTCAATAATGGGTAGAAAAAGATTGAGTGAAGGATCTTTGGCTGATGAAACTGACTATTCTAGAAAAATATTACATGTTATTAATCCTGATTCGACCCTTAATTAACGTGATTAAATAGTCATTATGATCTGTCCATTCATTCTATTCCATTCACTCACTCACTCACTTTCACATAGCATTCTTTTTCTACTATTTTTATTCTTACTACTAATTCTTCATATTATTACTACTATTATTCTATTATTATTACTATTTACTGCTGTTTACTGCTGATATTTCAATTCAAGTTATGATTATTCTTACCCTTCTTATTTATTTATGACTCCCATACTTTATCTTTTTTATTTTATTTTATTTTATTTTATATTACTCTTTACTTTATTTTATTTTATTTTACTTTATTCTATTCTATTCTATTCTGGTCTTCTGTCTTTGTATAGTCTCACCCCTGGCGTATTCATATACTTGCTAATAATATATGTCTAAAATTGTTCCCCGGATATGTCGCACATTTCCCATTTGTTTTCCATTCCTATTTGCCATTTTCGCTCCCGCTGTCTCTTACAGAAAAAATGTCTCCCTCTCTGTCTCTCTGTCTCTGTCTCCCTGGCTCGATTTTGAAAATCACCATCATCCATCTGAAATCATTACTAACCCCAGTTTGTTTTATAGTACTTTTTTATTATTTATCATTCTATTACTTCTCTTACGACATTTATTTGTAATATACTATATTTATCAATTGGTTGTTTTATATTATAACATTTATCAATTGTTCGAGATAGTTTTTATTTTATTTCCGTTTATCACCTCACCTCACCCCACCGACCAGTTGACTTACTTCAGTTGATAAAATTATGACAAGACCAACAACTCCACTAACTTCTGGCCCAGGTGGTCAATCTCAGTGGCAATCTTCAAGTCATAAAGTTCCAGCGTATGAAAAGTCAATTCATGAAAAACTTATTGAAATTTATAATACGGTATTATCCCTTAAGAATAATCGAAATAAATATATTAATTCTAAACAAATTTATCAAATTTATGATGGATTTTTACTTTGGTTACATGAACTTAAAATTACTAGAAAGGATGAAGAATTAAAGGGTTTAAATCTTAATTTACCAAATAATAATGATTTTTTAATTGATGATATTTGGCAATTATTATCACTTTGTTTTGTAACTTGTGGATTAATTAAATTTGCTCCAGCAACTTATAGTTCATTAAGTACAGTTAATAAATTATTAGATCATTTAAAAGAAGGTCAAGTATATACTTATGAAGATTTAAAACCAATTAGAATAAGATTAGATGAAATTAAATCAATTATTGAACAAAAAAATGATGATGATGATTATGATGAAGATAATAATAATGGTGATTATCAAGAAGATCCAAGTAAATCTCATCATGATGAAGAAAATTTATTATTAAGAACTAAATTAAATAAATGTGAATTACTTTATAATTCTTTAGAATCTAATTTTAAGAATTTTCCTCGTGATTTAGAATTAATTTATAATAAATTAATATCTATTAGAAAAGTAATTTTAAATTATTTAACAGCAAATTCAACAGAATCTAATAATAAAAGTATACATAAAAAAGATCCAAAAATTATTAATAAAGTTAATCAATTAAAATCTGATTTAAAAGAAATTGAAAGTTTACGTGATATTAATGATGGGAAATTTCATTCAAAATTAGTTGAACCATCAAAACAACTTCAAAGTGATAATAAAATTCAACCAGTAATAAATGGATTAATTGATGATTGTAATAATTTATTACAAGATTTATTAATTCAAAATGAATCAACAAGTTTATCAATTGAATTATCTAAATTAAATATTAAAGATGATTTAGAAGTAGATGATTTAATTACTAATGAAGATAAAGAAAAATTAGATAATTTAAGTAATGTAAATTCAAAATTTGAATCAATTTATAATCAATTATCTGATTTAAAATTAAAATTAGAAAATTTATTAGTTACAAGAAGATGGACAATGAGAGAAACAGATTTATATAGTTATCAACAATTAATAAAATCAATTGATGAACAACGACTTTTATTAAATAATCAAATTACTGCCAATCAAGCTGATGATTCAAGTCCTTCAATAATTCAAGATAAATTAAATATTATAAATAATCATTTAAGAAAAAATCATACTTTAATATTATATTTATTAAGAAGATGTTATGGATTAATTTATAAATTATTAGAAAGTTCTGAACCAGTTAGTGAATCTTTACAACCAATTCATAATCAATTATCTACAGTTCGTAAATGTTTATTAGAAATTAAAAGAGTTGATGGTTTAAATAATTTACGAGAATTATATCCATTTCAATTTAAATTAGCATCACTTGATAATCTTCGTAATGATGGGAAATTTATTATAAATAATCAAATTCCTGAAGGTCAAGCAACACTTAATGCATTACTAGAAGAATGTTTTGATATAATTCATGAATTAAAAATTGAATTAGAAGAAAAGGAAGAATTAAGACATGAAAGAAAACAACGTCATCATCGTAAAAATACTAATGATGATGAACAAGATAATGAAAATGAAAATGATAATGATAATTCAAGAGTACATTCTCATCTGATATTATCTAATTTAAATTCTTCATCAGTTAATCAAAGTGTTACTGATTTAACTGATGATGAAGATATTAAATCTGATGATGAAGTTGAATTAAAGAGAAAAAGATATGTTGGATTTAATGAAGCTGATTATGATCAAGAATCAGAATCAGCTTATGGAGATGAAGATGAAGACTTTGATGATGATGACTATAACTTGAGTGATGACGAATATGAAGGAAATGATTACTATTAATTAACCAATTAACCAATTAAAATTCTTTCTCTATAACTATAACTATATATATACTTTCTACATAAATATCTTACATATATATATATATATACTAGTACTACTGCTATATACATTATATTGCCTATCCTCTACCTTCCTCTAGGAAAAAAGCTCCCTATATTTTCCTGGTGCGGGTAACATGCCTGGCTCCCTGGCTCCCTGTAGTAGACGAAAAAGAAATTCAGACGAGCCAGAAAAAATAGAGGCAAGGAGCAGTGTGGAATTCACTACTACAAATTGCCATCGACACTTCCACATCAATAACCATACTACCATAGTTAGTGGCGTATATTCCAGTACTACATTCTAGATTCTAGCTAGATACTTAAGAGTTGATAGATAGCATAAAATATAACATAATATAATATAATAAAGGAGTATAGCGTATATCATATACCACAGTAACATAATTTAAAAATCCTTTAAGTATGATATCAACTGGCTTTCATTGGGGGTCTAGTAGTCTACCAGTGACTGAAGATCATAAGCATAAATCAGGAAATGAAGATAATTCAAATCCTATTATAACTAGTACATCTGCATTAAATTCCATTCATAACACAGCAGGAACTGTGTCTGCATCATCTAAAACTATTCCTCGAAGTTTACCCCCTATGAATGATAAAAAGAGAAAATTTGATGATAAAGCTCCATCTCCAATCCCATCTACAACTAGTTCAAGAAAGTATCATGAATTACCAACAAATCGTAATAAAAAATCAAAAACTCCTCGTATTTTAGGTCAAGTATTACCAGTCCCTCGTCTTATTGAAGTTTTAGATCATAAATCTCTTCAATCACTTTTACAAAATTTAGTTGATTTACATCCTGAAATAAGTAATACTATTAATAATTTATCTCCAAAACCTTCAGTCAAAGATTCAATGGAATTATTACAAGTTAAATTTAATGATATAATTAATCATTTACCTTATAAATGTGATGAAGAAAGTGATTATTCTTATCTTCGTATAAAACCCCTCCTTAATGAATTTTTAAATTGTTTATCAGATTTCATATTAAATTTCTTACCACCCATAGAACATAATATTATTAATTCACTTAATTTTTTGCATTTTATAACTAATTTAATTCATAATTTACCTAATTTTACAAGTAATGAATTCCAATATACTAAGATGATGGCTTATGAACAAATTGCTAATACTTGGTTTATTGTTTTAACTCAAAATATTCAAGGTATAGAAATTGATGATTATATGTTACCTCCTGTATCTAATATACCAAGTACTGAATCAAATCAATTTGAAACTTCAAATGAATCCATTGAAAATTCCATAAAATTGGTGAAAATCATTGAAGAATTAGATTTATTACAAAAATTATCTAAACATAATGAATTAGCCCTTGATAAATTTAAAAATATCATTGAATTTTTAAAATTTGAAATCAATCAAGTTGAAACTTTCAATCATATTTATCAACAAACTGCTGATTCCTCAGCTTCTTCATCCACAAATGGTGTGTTTGGAGATTTGATTACAGTTGATTATTCAAATTTCTCAATTTCAGCTCGTACATCTCATTAATCGTCATTCTCTTTCTTTTAAATAGTTAGTCATAATTTGGTTTTATAGAATCAACATTTTTATTCTGTCTGGTTTAAAAACTTTCTTGCGTGTATTGGTGTTTTTTTTTTTTGCGGCCAGTTGCAAAATTCCTACCTAATTTCTTCTCTGTTATTCAAACTATTGAAGTATCCATCTTGGCGGCAATAAAGGTAATGACTCCTTCTTCATCTCCTGGTTCGAAACGTCATTCTATTATAAATGTATTCCCTCCATCATCATCTCTGGATGATACTTATCAGTATGAAGTAAGCTTTAGTAAGGCCACCATAAATTGGATTAAAGAGTTCCCATCTTGCTCTTACATATGTTATGATAATATCACTGAACCACTAGTACTATATAAAATGGCTAGAATAATGCTTCCTGATTCCGAATTTATAAATAAAGATAATGATTCAGTTTTCTTCTTGGAGGATCCTAGTGCTAGTGCTAATGATAATGATAATGATAATGACAATAGTCTAAGTCTTCAGATAAATCTTGTTCCAGATCATGTTAACGATGATTTAATTATCAAGCAATTAACTATACGACAATTTGGCTATTTAGAACAACTCATAAATCACCATGTTCAAACTTGTATCTCGTACAATGCTCTGCTTCAATCTCTTCTTCCATTTCCAGTGGATTCATTAAATTGGTTGAAATTTGGTATTCTTAAAGATCATAAGGAGTTATATAGATTCTGTCAGATGTTCCTTTTTATAGGATTATATACTTCTAAATTTTCCACTTTTGGTCCAACATATATTGAATTCCTTAATCAAAATGATCAATTCCTTCTAAAAAGCTATTTAAAAGTTTGTCAAGTGAATGAACTCAAACATCAACCCATTCAAGAAGTGGGTATTTATAATGAGGATGACATCTATGGTGATGATTATAGTGACATATCAGACTTGAGCGATATGAAACAATTCAATCTTACAAATAGAAATGAAGTAAGTAATGGAAATCAGGTTTACAATTCATTACAATTACAATATAATTCTACATTGATGATTTCTAAAAGTCAATTTGATGCTATTAAATGGGAGAATGCATTACTTGAAAAATTAATATACCAAATGAAATAAATATAAATATATATATATATACTACAAATACTACTTGAATCTTGATAAAGCAGGACCTAATAAATCTTTCTCTTCCGGTATACCTCTGTCTTGCTTGTACTTCTTTTGTCTTGCTTCCTTTTCCATCTTTAAATTTCTTTCTATTCTTAACTTTCTTTGATCAATAACATTTTGAGTCTTTTTACGTAAATGTTTTCTGAGTGAAGAATTCTTTCCTTTAACTTCTGGTTTGATTTCCATCTTATTTTCTTCACTTCCTTCAGTTATTTCACCTATTTGTCCAGGTTTTAATCTTATACTATTGGCTCTTTTATCTACTGTACCAATGACATTTGGATCTAATGATATAGTATCTGGAGATAATTTATTCATTAAAGCTCTAACTTCACCTTGTTGTCTTTGTTTAACTGATTCATATGGATTTAATTCTAAGGCATCATAATTAGCTTCACCAGCTCCTGGAATAACTAATGAACTAAACCCTTTAGAATGTCCTACTCCAAGAATATCTTCGAATGGAACAAATTTTGCTCTTTCAACTTTAGATGATGGTATTAAATGATTCATATATGGATCTGATTGTTTAGTTTTAAAAATATCCTTCCATACAGTTATATGAGGTCCCCAACTAACACTAAGTAATCCTGTATCAGATATATCTAATGATTTAGCTGGTGTAGGTGTATAATAATTATCTAATTCTTTAAATTTTCTTAAATCCCATACTTTAAGAGATTTATCGGCTCCACTTACAACCATATATTTACCTTCTCTATCAATGGCTATATCAGTAACTGGTCCTCTTGCTGATAACATTTTAGCTAATGGAGTTGACATATTTGGTGCCCATAAAGATACAGTACCATTTGAATGTCCAGCATGCATAACTGCATTCCATGGATTTTGTTTAAGAGCTTGAGTTGGACCTAATTTAGTTCTTAATTCAGATACTAAATTACCCGTTGATACATCATGAAATTTAATGAATCCAGTATTACCAGCTGTTACTAATAAGAAATGATATGGTAAAAAGTCAAGTAATGTGGAATCTATATGTTGTTTTAATCTATGCAATTCTGTTCCTTGATTATCATATATGAAAGTATACTTCTTTTGAGCTACAGCAAAATATTGATTATTATGTAAATATTTTACAGCATGAACCGTTTCATTAAGGAATAATTCACAATTCATAGCTCCCTTTCTCCAGTCTATTGATGCAACATGACCTTTAATTCCTCCTAATAAAAGATCTCGACCATTTCGACTATAATCAATTTGATATGGTCCTAATTTAGGTAAATTTAATTCAAACTTCTTATTGACTGTTTGTTCATCCAATACTTGTTCTATATCTTGTTGTTGAAATTTAAAGGTTTTTTCCATAGGAGAATCAGCCTCTAAGAACCCTGTTTCTTCAGTAAGAAGAAGATCAGTTCCTGCTGCTGATCTAAGGGCTTCCTTATATTGATTATCGAGTTTCTTTAAATTGGCATTTAGTTTCTTATCCTTTGAATATTTCCCCTTTTTCTTTTTAGCCACTCCACTATCACTTCGTTGGTACTTTTCTGTACCTGGTCTATCTATAGACCCCATTTTAGCAGGTGGTGCCATTTTGTACTATAGTATAATTTAAATTATTACTATACATTTGAATCAGTATCAGTATTAACTAAAGATTTTTTTTGAGACCATCTCCATCGCATACATAAAAATTTCAGGGGACTGCATACAGACACAGACCCAAACCATCACCAGAAAAATTACAGTGAGATGGTTGCATCAACAGATGGTTGAAAAATTATGGGGAAGGCTTATACCAATTGTGGAAAGGATTTTAAAATTAAATTGAGATTGGTTTGGGTGACATTTTAGTTGGATATATTGAAGAGCAATCATTGACTGAAAGGGTTATAATTTCAATCATTACATCATGTTATCGTTAGGAAAATCATTAAAGACGGGAATGGGATCGTATCCATTAGTTGGAGCTAAACGATTCTTAAGTAATAATTCCAAATTAGGTTTGAAATTGAAACCTACTTTAAAATCGAGTTTTATTCCTTCACCCATCACATTTGCTATTGGTTTAGTGGGTTTAGCAGTTGGAGGTTATTATTATCTTGATGCTAGATCAGCTTTACATGAATATATTGTATGTCCAATTATTAGAGCTACAACTTCAGCTGAACAAGGTCATAAATTAGGAATTTTCTTTATGAAATATAATTTAACTCCAAGATTATTAGATGATGATATTAATAATCCTGATGATATTTTAGGTGTTGATGTATTTGGAACTCATTTAAGAAATCCAATTGGTTTAGCTGCTGGTTTAGATAAAGATGGTGAAGCTATTGAAGCTTTATTTAATAGTGGATTTTCTTATGTTGAAATTGGTTCAATTACTCCTTTACCACAACCAGGTAATCCTCAACCTCGATTCTTTAGATTACCAAGAGATGATGCAGTTATTAATAGATATGGATTTAATTCTTCGGGACATTTTAATGTTATAAGTAATTTGAAATTAAGATTTAATAAACTTTTCCCATCTCATCCAAATCCTTATTCAATGGCTTTTAGACAAGGTAAATTATTAGGTATTAATTTAGGTAAAAATAAGACTGGAGATGAAATTGAAGATTATGTTTCTGGTGTTGAAAGATTAAGTCCTTATGCTGATGTTCTTATTATTAATGTTTCATCTCCTAATACTCCTGGATTAAGAGATTTACAATCTGAATCTAAATTAACTAATTTATTATCAACTGTAGTCGGAAAGAGATCTATTAATTTATTAGGTAAATTACCTCCAATTTTAGTTAAAGTTGCACCAGATTTAACTGAACCAGAATTAGAATCTATTGCTAATAGTGCTAAACAAGCAAAAGTTGATGGTATTATTATTTCCAATACCACCATTCAAAGACCAGTAGATAAACTTTTAACTACTGATAAAGAACTTATTAATCAAACAGGTGGACTTTCTGGTAAACCATTAAAACCTTATTCTTTAAAAGCTTTAAGAACTTTAAGAAAATATACTAAAGATTCTAATTTAGTATTAATTGGTTGTGGAGGTATTTCTAATGGTCAAGATGCTTTAGAATTCGGTAAAGCTGGGGCTACATTCATTCAATTATATACTGCTTTTGCTTATAAGGGTCCTGGATTACCTGGAAAAGTTAGAGATGAATTAGTTGACTTATTAAAGAAGGAAGGTAAGACTTGGAAGGATATAATTGGTGAAGATGATAAATGAATGATATTATCAGCTTAAGTATTGCGGTGTGGGTGTGCGACTTTTTATAGAAGGTATAAACAAAAAAAAAAGTTATCAGAAATTCTATAGAAAATGTAAACAAACTCACTATATATATAGACTAATAGTAATTAAACAGTATGTCGTCTTCACGGCCAGTGACTCCGAATCTGAGACGGAGTAGTGGCAATAACAATAGTAATAGTGGAGGCTCACATAGGCGACATCTGCATCGATCATCGGGGATTTATTTGTTAACGCAATCTCCCAAAATTCATTACCCCATAGATCCGGATCATTTACCATTAGAGTCAGCATTAAATACTGAAAAGTTTGAAAGGTTAAGTGATTCGTTAGAAGAATTGGATGCGAATTTGACCAATTTACAATCCATTCATGAAGCTATATCAGGACAATTCAATGAATCATTTGCCAGTTTCTTATATGGATTAAGTATTACAATGTGGTGTGTAGATTTTCCTGGATGTCCAACAAAGGAAAGTTGGGCTAAATTACAATCAAGAAGAGAATTGAATGAACGAATTAAAGGTCTTGAAGAAAAAGTTAAACAATCGAAATCGAAAAATGAAGATTTGAAGAAGAAATTAAGAGAAGTATCTGTATCGTCTAGAGCTCCTATTATACCTGATAAAAGATCATTATTTAGTTCAAATCATGCAACTCATATAGTTGATGAAGATGAGAGTCCATCGTTTGCATCAACAAATTCTGCTACTGCTAATGCTATTGCTATGGCTACTGCTTTTGCTACTGGTACTGCTACTACCACCACACCATCATCAAGATTATCAAGAATCCCACAGCCGGTAAATAGATCTAACCAAGAAGTGACAGTTAGTACCACAACATCCAGAAGAGTGGGACCCAATTTAAATCAACCACCTCGATATCTTAAAGGATTATTTGATAGTAGTAATACTAGATCATCTGCACATACTGGATCAGCAACGGGTCCTACAGCCTCATCCATAATTAGATCTACAAAATCAAAATCTATTTTGAATACGTCTGCACGAAGAAATCCGGTTAATGCTCCACCCAATAGAATATCGAAACAACGGCCATTTAGGTGAATTGCCACTCTTTAATAATTCATAGCATTTCTATTCCACTTATGTATTAGTACCATTCATAGTTATATATTATATATTATAATAAATTATATATAAATTATATATTATGTATATGTCGTATCATTATGTATCGTTATTATCATCATCATCTATCGTCCTTCCGTCAATTTAAGCATCAATTCATACTTAACTTGTTGTACTGATTTTTGTTGTTGGCTGGCTATCACCAAGAGGTAATCCTTATTATCCATTGAATTGATAATGGTCTGTTGTCTCAATTGCTCTTGATAGTTCAATGGAGTGGTATTCTCATCATTCGACAGAGATGTCAGAGGTAACTCTGACTGAGCATCGTTTCCTTCTGGCATGGTCTGTATGACTGTGGGTCAACAAAAGAGTTAATGCTCACAACAGGAAAGAAAAAAATGTAGACATACACTCACTTGAAAAATTACCAACCACTGACCCACCGATCACCAAAAGGGTTTATAGTGCAGTACATAACAATCGAAATGTCTGAAAGTAAACCATTGAGTGCCGAAGAGAAGAAGAGACTTCTTCGTGAAAGGAGAGCTGCCAAGATGGCAGGTGGTAAGGCTACCAATAGACTTAATACCATATTAACTCAAGGTTCATCTGTCAAGTCTTCTCTGGTAACTTCAGTATTGGATAAAGAAGATTCACCTTCTCCATCACCTTCTGGAACTACTGGAACCACAGTTGGTTCTGATGACTTACCAACGGCTACTACAACTGCATTGGATATTCATAATAATCATGATGATGATCCTGATATTCAAGATATTTCTGCATTTTCATCTCCAAGTCCTGATCCGGAAAAGTTATTAAACTCAACACAGGATATTGATGATATGTTCACTAAGATATTTTCGGGTGCTGATGGTGCAACTGGACCAGGTGAAGATCAATTTGCTCAAATGATGAAGATGTTTGGTCAAGCTGGTGCTGGTGCTAGTGCTGGTGCTGGTGCTGATGGACCCAGTCCTGAAGATTTCTTTGCTGGTACTCCAGTACAAAATGAAGAAGAACATCAATATCAAAGAGAAGTAGCAGCATATAATCTTTATTATCATAAACAATGGAAGTTTAGATTTTTAATTATCAGATTCTCCTTTATCTTAATTAATTTCTTTTATCATTTCTTAACTATCCCAACGTTTAAGGCATCATCATATTCATATATTAGAGATATATCTTATGATACAACTACAACTACAAGTTTTATAGTTTGGTTTACTACTGGTGAATTAATAACTATTGCTACTTACTTCTTAATAAGTATGAAATATGATTTATTTAAAACTACAACTGAAAATAGTATATTTATAAAAATTCTTTCATTTGGTTCACTGTTTTTACCTCAATTACAACAATATCGTCCATTAGTAGTTAGATGTTTATCTTATTATGAATTACTTGGTATATTTCTTGCTGATTTATCATTAGTAGTCGTTCTATTTGGTTTATTGAGTATTTCGTAATGAAAAGAATATATATATATATGTACAAGTAAATAAATTTATTATGATTAAAATGATTTCTTCATTTGTTTTCTCTTAGCTTCAATGACCTTTTCTGCAGTAGAAAAATTACCTTTCTTCATAAACGCATAAATTAAACAAATTGTACTACACAATGAAAGTCCAAACCATGTGACAAGATATTGTAAATGGTTATTACTATATTTTATTTTTGGAGTTGGAGCAATTGGTACACCTTGTTTAATGAATTCAAATTCTTGATATTGCATGGTTACATCATCACTATATTCACCAAGTCCTTCATCTTCAATTTCTCCTCCCTTTGGAGTAGTTGGAGATATTAAACCAAATAATGAAGTAATATTATTTGAAGATTTCTTTGCTTCTTCAGCATTATGTCTCCATTCTGGATGATCACTTAAATCATGAATCATTTGACAATAGATAGGTAAACAACCAGTTTGTTCTGCCATTTCTGGTACATCATATACATGGAATAATCTTTCACCCTTTTTATGATCAAATTGTAAATAAGATTTTTCTGGCATTACTCTAAATAAAGCTTCAATTTCAATTTCTCCTTGTGGAAATGCTAAATGAGATAAATAACCTTTCTTTCTTGACTCTGGTACAACTTTATCCTTATGAATCCAACCTCTTTCTACAAGTATTGGTTTACCTCCACTACTTCTTATAAAAGGTGTAATAACAAAATAACCCATTTCACCATTTTTAATACGAGGGCCTAAGAAAATTTCTTGAGAATAATCAAAATGACCTTTACATTTAAATCTTCTATATTGAAATTCTTCAATAATACTAGGATCAATATTTGGTGGTAATTCTTCAATTGCAGGTTGTGCTAAAGCATTTTCTCCTTTAGTTATTAATTCAGTTTTCCATTGTAATCTTTTAACTTGCCAACATCCTAAGGCAAAACTGATTACAGGCATAGCTATCATTAATCCAAGTAATGTTCTTCTTAAAATAGGACTTTTAGCTTGTTGTTCCAATATTGCTAAGTTTCCTTTACCTGTCTTAATGGGTTTCCAATCCATGGTAGATGTCTTAATTGTACGACTAATTCGTTTAGAAATTGTACTACTATTGATTCGGATCAGTGGCATTGTCCTTATGGACGATGATCTAATTCCCAACATCATTATGGCCATAATTTAATGTGACCTTTCTCTATACTTTTGTAGATACTTCATGCTTTTTGATACTTCATACTCTTCATTTGATCGGATGGTCGTGTCTCGTGGTCCTAATTTTTTTTCACTCACTCGGATTTGCACTCCGAATTGGTCCACTATCTCGGAATCAAACCCCATCAAAACCCCCCAGATTTCGGTATATATATACCGTTGCTGATCTTTATCTTTTTTTTTTTGATTTGATTGCTCTTTTGGGTATTTGATCTTTTGATCTTTTGATATTATTATTATTCTCATATTTATTTCCATTTCAATATGGTGACTACTATGACCAAAGAGAGACAGGAGACTATTAGTCGATTTAATAAACAGTTATGGCAAGCTGGAGTGGCCGGATGTTTAGAAGGTACATTAATTGGTTTATTATCTGGATGGTATATAAGTTATAAATATAATCATGGACATAATACAAAATTCTTTAGAACTCCTCATAAATTTTGGTATCTTGTTAGTTGGAATATAGTGGGAATTATATTTTCAACTGATATAGCTAAAATGAGAATCAGTAAACAAATTGCTATTGAGGATGAGATTAGAAGGAATCTTATTGAACAAGAGCTCTACAGTACTAATCGAAAGAATAATTAAACTAGTGCATTAATAAGAGAATCTACTTTATATAAGAATAGAATCTTGTAATAATAATAATAATAATAATAATAATAATAATAATTTAGGAATAAAAGGCTTCTTCGTGGAATTTCAATCCATATTCATTAGACCATAACTTAACATTTTCAACCAAAGGTTTAGGACCAGCCGAAATAACCCAGATCTTTTCAGCATTTATATCTTCTTGCTTAATTTTATTTCGAGGTAAATCTCGACAGCATACCAAATTATTATCCAGATCTTGTTGTGGTCCTATACATTGAGTGAATCCTTCATTAATACACCAATTGTAATACTTATGACTCAATTTAGGTCTTCCTTTAAATATCTTATTCTCAATATTCAACCTTCTAATGGTTTCTCGGAATTGTTTAAGAGCTGAATTAGATGTTGAGTCTGTATTAAGTATGAATGGCTCATTTATACTAGATTTCCGAGAATGGTTTGGAGATAAAAGTGGTTTGATTTTGATAGAATGACTTTCTTCATCAAATGTGACCTCTTGTTCTTGAGCATTATACTCTTGGACAAGGAAGTCATTGCCCCGTTGCACTTGATCTGCATTCTCGCTATCTTCTTCTTCCTCCTCTTCATCATCTATGGCTGATTGAGTAAAGCTACGATATGAATAATCATGAATTTCACATGGACTTTCGCTAGAGTCATTATCAGACTCATCATTATCAACTGAAATTTCGACATTTTCAACTTCATTTTCATAATTCAAAGTATTGTTCCTATCATATTCGTCTTGACTCAAGTATTCTAAATCATCGTTTGAACCATTATTATTGAAATCATTCACCAGTAACAAATGGGTATTCTCTCCTAATTCAAGATCAGGAGGGAAAGTTATATTATTAATATTATTAGTAGTAGCAGCAGTATCAGTATCAGTAGTTAGTTTACTTAATATAGAGCCATAACTCTTATGATTTCTAAGATGATTAGGGGTAATAGAGGATTCATCGTAGTTTCTACCGGTAATAAATATTTCAAAATCATCACCATGAATAAAACCATCGAAATATTTTAATATAGAAACATCTCTAAAATCTTTAATAACCCAAACAATCTTACAAGGTATTCCATGATAATTCATTACTCTTAATATTGGTAATGCAAAGGAAATAGCTGAACCACCAATAATAATCAATATACGTCTAGCATTAATATGAAGTTTTGAAATTGAAAATGGTTCTTGAGATGATTGTTTGGAATTAATAAATAACAAGTTTGGATCATAAGATCCTGTCACAAGATAAGGTTTATTATTTATTAATTCAAAGTTACTCTGTCTAATAATTAGTTTCTGAATAGGATCTTGAGGTAATGAAACTAATGTATAAGGATGATAATTAGGTATTAATTGTTTATAGGCTCTTACTAAGAAATTAGGATGATAATTAGTTAATCTAATATGTGAACCTGGTTTTAAAGGAACATTTTTTATATACTTTTTAGGAAATTCAATCAATGATAAATTTGGGGATGCTATAGTAACTTTTAATGATGGAATAGTTGTAGTTAAAGTTAACCTATAAATGATTTGATAAGTAAGAATCCCGATATTTACTATGGTATAAGTAGTAATTTTATAGGGTCTAACATGGAACTGAAGACATATTACAATGATCCAGGACCAAACATAATGATTAATATAAAATAACTTATAGTATTTATTTCTTAATTTGGATAATGAAGTTATCATCATTATTAAAAATCCTCCTAAGGCTATCCAACCATAAATATTTTCATATTTCCACATTTTAAACCAAGTATGCTTCTTGTGGAAGTAACCAAGATATAATCCAGCATGAATTACTGCTTGTAAGATAATTATTCTCGATAACCATTTATGAATTGGGATTAATGATAAATATAAGGTATTAGGTAATGGAGATGGTCTTAAACTAAGGAATAATATGGTAGGTAAACATACGGTAGCTATTCTACCTAGACGTTTAGCTAAATATATAAGATCTCCATTATGAATATCAACCAAAGATAATGTAGATAATATTATTAACCAAAATATTACTTGAATTATGGTGGGCATATGATAAGCTAAAAAGAATAAAGTAGATTTAATGGTTGATGCAAAATATGATTTTAAATCAGGAGATGAATGAATATATCGATTTAATTTTGGATTTAATGATCTCATATATTGGAAATGATTAAATGTATAACCATGCTTTATAGCATATCTCTTTAAAGGTATCAATAAAACAAATCCTACCAATATACAAGTCGTTATAAATCCATATTTATCGGTGATTTCTTGACGTGAAAGTTCATACTTTTTATTTTTAGTAGTTGGATAATGGAAATCTAACCAAAAATCTATTAAAATATTCCCATCATCACCATCAGTGGGTGATGGTTGATTCGACATCGCTTCGCTTTCTCCACAGTTTCGAAGATCGGAGATCAAAAAATTAATGTATAACTTTTGAAAGGAAACTATGAAACTCTCTGGTTACTACAAACTTGACACTTATGGTATGTCTATTCCATATACATCACAGTTGAGTTTCTTACACAATTTATTTGCTTTAACAAACGTATTAATTTTTTTAAATCGACCGGAGCTTATTTGATCTGATAAAAATTTGACTTCTTTTGGCAGGAGGTTCCGAGCCCGCGCCGGAACTTTTGTTCCGATGCACGCTAGATTAAATAGATAAAAAAATCGATGCCGTGTAAGTAGATGTTAATTTATAAAATAATTTATGAACTAATTATAAAATAATTTAAAAAAATAATTTAATAAAGTATGGGTATGGCTATTTAGATTTAGAATTCTCACAAACATAGGCATATGAGTTTATTACAGTTACAATAAATAAATACAGGTTTAGAGAATGAGTCTATAGTACAAAGTAGGAGTTAATAAGCTAATACCTTAACATCTTGGGTCGATTATTGTTGTTATTGTTATTGTTGTTCTTAGCTTTATTACTTCTGTTATCAATTAATCCTGATCTGGAGGGTTTACTTATACCAGCAGAACTCGAAGTGTTTTTATTAATCACTCCTGATCTTGTAGGACCGTTATTTCTGTAGTCATTTTGGTTATTCTTATTCTTAAAAAGTACTCCCGATCTGGACGGACCATTATTCTCATTATTATTATTGTAGTAGTTATTATTATTGTTGTTGTAGTTATTGTTATTGTTATTGTTATAATTATTTTTACCTCTAAGATTATTAACCGCTGTAGCAGCCGAAGGAAAGAAGTGATCAACAGCATTGTTAACAGCAGGACTCATTATGTCATGATTACGTACAGTTTTCTTTTTCATTAAATTATCAAAATTAGGAGAATTTGAAGAACGCTTCCTGTTATTATTATTGTTATTGTTGTTGTTATGATTATTGATACCGTTATTGTTGTTGTTGTTGTAATTATTGCTGTTGTTATTTCTATTCCTATTGTTATTCCTGTTATCATGCAGCTCTAAGCTCTTGACAAAATTATCCAATTCACCAGTAACGTTATTGCTACCCGATGGACCTGTAGGAATGCTTTTACGAGGTGGTAATTGGGTTGAAAGAGATGGTATTGGAGAAGGAGAACCAAATTGAGGACGTCCAAAAGAAGATTGCATTTGATTTGGTTGAGATTGGAAGTTTCTATATCCTGATAGATATTTAGTTCTTTTAGACTTAGAAAGACTATTAAAATAAGCACTTCTTAAGTTTTTAGGTAAATTACTTCCTGAGAATGCACTACCAAAATTAGGAACTCTTGAAGTTCTATATTCATTACAATCATCACCATAATGTTCATTACTACCACAATTATAACAGAATAAATTTGGTAAATTTGATTGATCTAATTCTTTATCATTTGATGTTGCTGATTTAACCACTATATATGATCTCCATATTGTTGGACAAGTATCTGAACTATGATTAAATGTATCACATGTCAGACAATATTGTCTCTTTTTATTTTTATTAGTACAACTAATAGCCATATGACCTTTTTCATTACATCTAGAACAAATAAGAGTGGTTGGACAATGAGTTTCATAATGATCTCCTACAACACCACATTTATGACATACAACTGTTTTACATTTAGATCTTATATGACCTCGTTTATGACAATTTCCACATAAAGGTCCTAAAGCATGAGCTTGATTAATGGAATCTCCTGATTTGGGATCAATAACTCCAAAATATCTTCCCTCACCTCTTAATTCTATTAATTCATCAGCATCATCATTAACTTGTTCTAACGTGAGTGAAGTTATGGCGTTATTACCACTAGATGACTTATCATCTCGATTATTTGTCAGATTATCTTCCACTTTAGTCGATGAAGTATTATCACCCACTTTTAATGAGTCTACAATACTCCTTAATGATGAATTTCCCGTATTAATGGTCGTTGTATTGGTCGTTGATGATGAATTTACCGATGGCATAGTACTTGATGTTGATGATTGAGAAGCACCTGACGCCACATATGCTTTTGCTGAAGCGGTCGTGGTGCTCACAGTCGGTGTTGAATCCTCTATGAACGGTAGTACGTCACTCATTTTGTCTATTTCGACTGTATCTAAGTATGTGCTCAGTACTTAAGATGCTTTGGTTGATATCTAAAAAATTTCTGACAAAAAAAAAAAAAGAAACAATGTGATACAAAGACGACTCATTTCTTAAGTATGTGATCGGCTTAATTATGCTCAACTAAGCACAAGGTTTAATATTTGTTCAACTATGAGATTGCAAAATATATATATAGAAATGGCAACTATAAAATGTACATGTACATCACTCCTACTTATTTAAACTGTACGGCATATTAAGTGGATGTCCATGTTTATACTTTTGTCTATTAGCTAGATAATTTTCCACTCCTGGATCGTCTCGTTGTTAGATAAAATTATGTGTATCGCTTACTGAGTGGATGTCCAATCTTGTATGCATGTCTGCCAATTGGATAGCTTTCTGCATCAGGATAGTCTCTCAAGTCTACGTTTGTGTGTGCGTAATCACCCTTCACATAGGGGTTGTGTTCAGGCCAAAGAATCTTGAAAATATCCCTATGACTCCTTGTAATGGGTTTTATTTCTTCAACTTCTACATGGGCAATCGATGCATATGGAAGCTCGGACATCATATAAATTTTCTTATCACATACATAATAAAATGAACTTGCCAGAATAATCGATGTCCTTCATCTTGATTTTATCTCCTTCTATCACCACATAGTTCGGTAAGTATAATGGCCAATCCCCTCCTGGCCATATTGGTGGTTTCTGTCTAATATGCTCTTGAATATCTTCTTCCTTTTCAATCTTCATATATTTAAATCGTGCATTATGAACATTCAATTATTCATCGTGGAAATGGAAGATCCTTAACATCTTGTACTATCGTTCTCCTACAATTCATCATAGAAGGTGGTAAAATGGTAGTATATAAATACAATTACATTCTGGTCAAGATAATTCACACCTATATATGTTGGTATGTTTGTGTTTCATAGCAATATCTAAATATTTATGGCGCATTGAGAGGATGTCCAATTTTATATTTTTGAATGCCAATCGGATAGCTTTCTGCATCAGGATAGTCTCTCAAATCCACATTTATATGTGCGTAATCACCCTTCACATAGGGATTCTGATCAGGACGTATAATCTTGAAAACATCCCCATGGCTTCTTGGAATGGGTTTTATTTCTGTAACTTCTTCATGGGCAACGGATGCATATGGAAGCTCGGACATCATATAAATTTTCTTATCACATACATAATAAAATGAACTTGCCAGAATAATCGATGTCCTTCATCTTGATTTTATCTCCTTCTATCACCACATAGTTCGGTAAGTATAATGGCCAATCCCCTCCTGGCCATATTGGTGGTTTCTGTTTAATATACTCTTGAATATCTTTTTCATTTTCAATCTTCATATATCGAAAGCGTGAGTTCTGAACATTCAATTGTTCATCGTGCAAATGGAAGATCCTTAACATCGTTTACTATCGCTCTGCTTGACTTCATGAAAAATGTAAATTTTGAAACTGTATAATATAAATACAACTTCGTTTAATGTTTGAATGATTTTGCGTAGTCTTTTTTTCGCAACCTCGCCGCAAACAATAAGCGCAAATCTATTCAAATAAAACTTAAATCCCCACTACTTCATACAATTGTAGTACAAAAAAAGTTGCTAAATTAAGGAATGTGTATTGGCCAAGATAAACACTCTTCCTTACAGTTACAATTGTGTACCATGAAGTAGAATGCTTGGACACTAATCACTAAATGAATACTCAAACAAGCTTGTATAGTATTAATGCCTCAATTATTGTACTTTATGTGCTCGTATTTGTGTAAAGCTTCCATATAGAGTCTGTTTCAATTTGGAATTGAGCCCATTGTAAACATGTTTTGGGTCTATTGACATTGATATTACATTTCTATTATTGTATCATATGACTTAAGATGTAATTGCTTCTATGTAGTTTAACTGGTTTCTTTATCTCTTTTGAACGCTTCTGTTCAGTCAAAAAAGAGCTATTGCAGATTTATCACAAAAGCCAATTTAAGACAATACGGCATTCATGGGTATAAAGAGAAGTGACGTGGGATAAGGTATTGTAGTGGTTCACATACGCGGTTATTCAATTAGTAATTAGTGCTTAGATTAGAGCTCGGTTTGAGATTAGTATCTCAATTCTGGGCATCACAAATAAAAAGAGAGCATTAGAGTCTATTATTTTGTGGTTGTAACTAGGCATACATACATTCATATGATATGATCCCCATAAACTAAGATAAAGCTAAAATAATAATATACATCAAGAAACGTATTTCATACATCGTTAAATGAAAGGGAAACTAGACTATAATAATCGGAGTGAAACAAAAAGCAAACCATTATTCAATTAAGGGCAAAATTAAATAAGCAATCATTAATATGATTTGAAAAGAAATTAGTAGTATTTGATAAGTTAAACTGTACCACAAATAATGAAAATTCAAAGTTTTTTTATTATACCATTTTGGATCTTATTTTTAGAATTATTAATGTGGAAAAGATTATAAGACATTTCTGACAATGTGAGCATTGACTTGTCCCTGTAATGAATCATCATTTGGATCATTTACTTGTAAACTTGTCTTTAAGAATTCTTGCTTCTTGAAATAAGCCAAAGCATAACAAGCAGAACTTATTGTAAATAAAATAGCAACTACGAGTAAACTAGTAGCTTGAACTGTTAAAGAAACCCATTGAATAACAGCATTCAAAAGATAAAATCCACATCTTGGTAAATTTTCATCGAAATTCTTAACAAAATTAACAAATGTATCAGTTAAGGGACAAATTCTTAATAAAAATGGGATTTCAACAAATGTAACAACCAATCCTTGAACAATACATATTATTGAAAAAATTATAACCAATGAAGCATGAAAGATATTAGCAATCCCTAATGCAAGACATAAGAATATGGTTAATATTCCAATCCATTGACCATATAAGGAAAAGTTCTTTTTCCTAAAATCGGTCGAAAGACCACCAAATATATTGGTAAAAATATCTGAAATTGCCATCCTTTAATAATATCTCTCTATTAATCACTGAATTATAATCTGTAATACTACAATTGGCTTAATATACTTAATCAATTATATTGTTTAAGATAAATCCCTTCTAAATTTGACACCAGCCCAGTTGCTGGAGGTGACGATCGTATACAGGAAATGGACCGAAGATCCTTGCCGCGGCGTGTTACCCTAAAAGGGAAGAAAAACTCTATGAGATGGAGTAAACGAAGTGAAAAGTTTCAACTCATAAAAGATTAAGGGACCATTCTCATGGGGAGAGAAACAGTTATTGGATTAGTGGGGAAACCTTCTAGTGGGAAATCCACTACACTTAATTCTCTTACTGATGCCAATGCAAAAGTGGGGGCATTTCCATTTACAACTATTGATCCTAATAAAGCAACTGGATATCTTGAAGTAGAATGTGCATGTGCAAGAGTTAAACAACTGGATTTATGTAAACCAAATTATGGATATTGTAGAGATGGTAAGCGTGGAGTTCCAATAATGTTACTTGATGTGGCAGGTTTAGTTCCTAATGCTCATTTAGGAAGAGGTTTAGGTAATAAATTCTTAAATGATTTAACAGAAGCAGATTGTTTAATTCATATAGTTGATGTTAGTGGAACTACTGATGCAGAAGGGAAATCAACCAGAGGTTATGATCCATTACAAGATATTGAGTGGTTACAGGATGAGATTTTCCGATGGATTCTTGGGAATTTAATGGAAAAATGGCCATCGATTGTTCGTCGACATATTGCTACTAAATCTTCAACCTTGGAGACTTTAAGAGCTCAATTAGGTGGGTATTCTGCTAATACTCAATTAGTAGCCAAAGCTTTATCTTTAATACCTAATTTACCCCCATTAAATGAATGGGATAATGAAATGATTGAACGAGTAATTCATTCATTTATGGAAGTTAAATTTCCTACAGTTTTATCATTGAATAAAATGGATCATCCTGATTCAGATAAAAATGTTTCTAAAATCATTTTAAAATATCCTCAACTGAAAGTTGTTTTGACATCTGCTATAACCGAAGTCTTTTTACGAAAATTGAGTAATCAAAAATTTATCAAATATGATCTGGGAACTGAATTTGTTGACACCATTGATGATTTGGGTCCAGAGCTGGGATTAAAGCCATTAGATGATAAATTAAGAAATAGAATTGAAAATATCCGTGATTTAGTACTTTATAGATTTGGATCAACTGGTGTGATTCAATTATTGAAGAGTGCGGCTGAACTTCTTGATTTAGTACCTGTTTTCCCAGTTAGAAATATTCATAATTTTACGGGAGGAAATGGATCCAATGTATTTAGAGATTGTATATTAGTTAAACGAGGATCAAGTGTGATATCAGTAGCTAAGAAAATTATGGGAGATGTTACAATAGTATCTATTGAAGGTCTTGGAGGGATTAAGATTGGAGAAGAAGATACGGTAGATATTGGTAAGAATGATATTCTTAGTTTCAAAGTGATTTCTAGTCATTAAGCATTAAATATTGGACATTAAATATCATGTAAATAGAATAGAAAGAGTATATATAGTTAATAGACTTTAATGTATTATAGAATATAGTATTAAGATCATTGATGAAAAAGATAAAAGTATTTTCCGACCATCCGAGATCGGCATCAATTCCGTTCGTATACGGTGAGAAATCCGACCAAGAAAATTAATTCATACACAATACGTAATTGAATTAGTAGTACATAAATAAATAAATAATATAAAGCAATTGCTGAAATTTTTCATATCATACATCTTTTAGTATATAGTTGATATTTAGGATGACTACCGACTTTGAGAAATTGAAGCAAACCATAACTAGTACGAGTGTGAGTAATGAGCAAGCTAAGAAATTACAGCAATTGATTGATAAATTGCCATCGATTCTTTCTAAATTAGATAATCCTGAATATGATGAGATATTTGGATATAGAATTAATATTGCTCTGGAGGAGTATGTTAATGTATCGATCAGAAATGAAATTCTTTTAAAGTTTCTTGCTGCTGATAAGTACGATTTAGAATTGGCTACTAAGAGGATTATTGATACTTTAAATTGGAGAAATGAATTTCAACCATTGAGTGCGGCCTTTGAAGAAAAGTTTGATCCTGAATTAACAAAATTAGGAGTAATTACTGATTTTGGTAAAGATGGAAAAGATAATTTAAAAGTATTAACATGGAATTTGTATGGGAATATTAAATCACCAAAAGAATTATTTGAAAAATATGGTGAAAATGGTACAAAAGTTGATATAAATAATGTTAGTAAACTTCCTGGATCGTTATTTTTAAGATGGAGAATTGGATTAATGGAAAGATCATTGGCTTTAATTGATTTCAGTGATAGTCATAATAATAAGATTGGACAAATTCATGATTATAAAAATGTATCTATGTTTAAAATGGATCCTGGTATGAAACAAGCTACTTCACAAATCATTGAAATCTTTGGTCAGAATTATCCTGAATTATTAAGTATTAAATTCTTTATTAATGTTCCAGCTATAATGAGTTGGGTATTTACATTTTTTAAGAAATTAAAGATTATTAGTCCTGAGACTCTTAATAAATTTGAAGTATTAAGTGGAGGAGATTTAAGTAATTGGTTTAAACGATCAAGATTACCTAAAGAGTATGGAGGAGAGATTGGTAGTAAATCTGGTAGTAATGGTCAAACTGATGAAACTATCTTTGATATTGAAGTTAGTAATTCAGAATATAAGATTGGAGAGTATGGACAAGTTATATTAAAGAGATTAGGGGATAAGGAAATTGCTGAGATAAATAATGATGTTGATTAGGGGAAAAAGCCATATAGATAGCTGTGTATGTTAATATAATATATAATGTTTAGTATGTTAATAAGGCTACTATAATGTATTCTCCGGTAGCGGAGAGACAGGAACAAGAACAGTACAGTAAGGCTTATATAAGAGATGTGACAAATTTGTAATTAAGCGTAGTAGTGTGCAACCAAAGTTTGGTGGTGACTATTGGACAATGATTCAATGTTCAGCACTGTGTTTTTATTGTATACTGTATTACTGTGTATTGTATATTACTATATACGTGTTTGTGTGTAGTGTATTTATGTGTCTATTGGTGTGTTACCAAGTCGGATCGGCCAAAAGAAAAATAGTCATAAAATGGTGGGGTAGAAGGTGGGGGACACCCACAATGGAGGGGTACAACTCTAACACACACATAGCTTAACATAGCAGTACTCTCGACCTAACACTCCTTTACAAAATCAACGAAACTTTTCAACTCTCTCTTCTTAGCTGTTGTTAATTTAGCTCTTGTTTACTCTTCTTCACTAACTTTAATTAGGATAATTAATCCGAACGAGCCTACTTATCTTTTTTCCTTTTTTATCACTCACACATTTGCTCGCGGTCACCTGTTTTTTTGGGCCTCCACGTAAAAGCTTACTATCACCAACTACCTCCGCTAAATAAACTTTAACTATATAACTACATCACTACATCCAACAGTACCTCCCACAGTACCCCCAACAACCCACTGCCATGCACCAACACAGAAGCTTCAGCTTCGACAGGTTCAAGGCTAAAGTTAGAAGAGCTTCCGACGGCCTGGCTCCCGCACAAGTCTCACCTCCACTACACAATGCTCCGCAGAAAGCAGATCTCCGTCGCAACAGTATGTCCAGCAGCCCTATGATCATCATTAGTGAATCGTCCAATGAACAACTGCTCCATCTACGCAACTCGTCGTTACCTGCCACTGCTCGTCACACACACCGACTCAGAGCTCAGTCCCTTTCCATCATCCATGCCACAGCCTCACGATCCCGATCTCGTTCCACCTCCCGAAGTTCCATCAACATCACCAACAGTAACAGTACGTCCACCAATAATAACAGTAATAACAATAACAATAATAATAATAATAGCGGATCGGGACTCACTCCCACGTCGTCGCCTCCGCTGCACTTCTCGTCGTCGCTCCTCGGATCTAAGAAGCAAACGAAGGAGTTGATCAAACAGGAGACATCGCAGATCATCTCTAAGAAACTCTGGCATGTGCTTGCGGATCTCGGGCTTCAGCAACCGATACCACTTAAGACCACCAACTCATCGGCCAATGGATCCGTCTCCAAATCCGTCCGATGCTATGTGGCTAATACCAATGATTGTATTTATCTTCCACCCGCATCTTCGGCTAGTTTCACTTATGAAGATGTAGAGAACGGCGGAGCCGTACGAAGAGATGAGGAAGAAGAAGAAGACGACAGCGACATAACTCGTACGGATTCTCTGGCTCTGACGGAGTTTGGAGACGATGCTCAGCAACAGCACGTCCCCCACAACCTCCAACAGAAACTCAAATCGTTCCTGTCTCCCAACTACCTCTGCACCAAGATCGATCTGGATTTGGCCATACCCCATACATTTGCCGTGATCATTGAACTTCTGAAGGATACCACCACCGTCAGTAACCTCAAATTTGAATTCCAATCCCTCACCAGTATCCTCTGGCCCAGTGGGGATCCGTATAATAAGGTTCATACAAGAGAGAAGTTTACTATCGGAACTATGGAATGGTCTACTACATTACATAACTGCGATTACTATATCAATACGTCCAACTCCAACGATACCAAGGTGGGCAATATCACGCCGGATGAACTCGCCCGCCGTACAAGAGAGTATAGATTGACGAGTATTGGAAATTCGACTTCGACTTCGACTTCGACTTCGACTTCGAATTCCAAAGTTGAAGTATCGGCCGATCATCATCATCATAATCATAATCAATCCGGGGCACCGGTATCGGATGACTATACCGACTACAAGGCCGGTCTATATGTATTTCTCCTTCCGGTCCTTCTTCCCGACCATATCCCCGCCAGTATCATCTCCGTCAATGGCTCCTTACAGCACAATCTCGCCATCAACTTCTCCAAAACCTCCGACAAGTTGAACCGCAAGATCAAAGTCCTTGCCAACTATAATCTCCCGATGGTCAGAACTCCGCCGTCCTTTGCTAATTCTATTGCGGATAAACCCATCTATGTCAATAGGGTATGGAATGATGCACTTCATTATGTCATCACTTTCCCCAAGAAGTATATATCTCTCGGCTCCGAGCATGTGATCAATGTCAAACTTGTACCACTTGTTAAAGATGTTATCATCAAACGGATCAAGTTCAATGTATTAGAACGGATCACTTATGTATCGCAGAATCTTTCCCGAGAGTTTGATTACGATTCCGATGATCCTTATTGTACCCGAACCGATACCGGCAAGATCAGAGAACGGATCATCTCCTTGTGTGAATTAAAGACTAAAGTCAAACAACTGTCGGCCACCACCGGAGCCTTGAATGATCCCTATAAGGAGGAGATTGTCAAGTGTCCCGACAACAATCTCTTGTTCAGCTGCTACGAGCCGGAGGACTCGACCATTGAGGTTGAAACAGTGAAGAAAGCCAAAAAGAAGACTGGCCAGAACAGTCACAATCACAGCAATCACAACAATCACAATAACAATAATAATCAGAACTCGGCCGACACCATGATAGCATCTCCGCTCGACATAAACATCTCGCTCCCGTTCTTGACCACTAAGATGGACAAGATCTTGAAGACAGCCCATGACGATGAGCATTCATTTGTGTCTTCTCCGCCGACATCTCGTAAGGCTTCACTCTCCATCGATCACTCCCACACTGGAACATCCGCATCCAATACAGCCGCACCCAACCCTACGGCCTCTACTACCGAAGCCGAGTCCCCCTCTCATCATTTGTTACATCTCCTTCAATCACCATTATCATCATCTCCTCCGGACTCCGTCTACCTTACTCCGGATGCATCCAATACCATTTCCGATGAGTACATTTCCCTGCCCATGACTCACTCATCATCGCTTCCGGAAAGTATTCCGCAGGGCTTTACGGTGGTGTCAAAGGCTCTCTATCCGGACTCCAACTTCCGTCATATCCAGATCCATCACCGACTTCAAGTATGTTTCCGGATCTCCAAGCCGGATCCTAAGGATGACTATAAGATGCATCACTATGAGGTGGTGGTGGATACTCCACTTATCTTACTTAGTGCCAAGTGTAATGATCAATCTATTCAATTGCCCCGTTATCATGAGGTCGAACTGGAGACTTTAACGGATACTCCGCCGGTCTTCCGCACTCCTAACTTTTCATCGGGAGTATCTATTCAACCACTCGATACTTCGGTATTGTATGGTGAGCAACTGGAACAACTTCCATCATTTGAAGAAGCAACTGCCACTTCAGGTCCGATCACTCGGTCCTTCTCAATCGGCCTGAATGATCCGCTAAGTCGCGTACCTTCTGCTTCTGGTCCGTCCGTCTCATCTCCGATCTATCCTGCTGAACCAGCACCGGCCTATGAAGAAGAAGATGATCTGGGTATCTTTAGTTATGACGATGATGATGTATCGCCGACAAGAGCCGCACCGGTCGAAGCTGAAGTCGAAGATCTCGGGATCGATGAGTTAGTCAGTTTTGATGATCCTTTACTTAAGCTGCGGACATCCGTTGGTTCATCATCATCGCGGCTCCGTTCATCTCTTGTATCTTCATTTGCACCTAAGACATCATCGGCTCAAACAACTACAACTACATCGACTCCAACTCCGACTCCGGCCCGCAAGAGCTCCAGTAAGTCGAGTCTTCCACTACCACTTCATGGTAGTTCGGCCGCAGATGAAGAAGGATCAATCAGTTCCAAATCAACCGTTAGCTCACAGGCTCTTCAAAGAACCGGAACCGGCCAGGCATTTACGGATGTATCATCTACTCCAACTACAGTATCATCATCCTCTTTGAATAAATCCAATCATTCAAATGACGATGAAGTCGACTCCATTGTATCATTGAACCAGACTAATGCGGCTGGAGTTGCCAGTGTTTGTGATGCGGATGCGGACGATGATGATAAGGGTAGTCTCTTCACTCAGGACACAGCGTACTCACAGAAAGTTCCATTGTTGACCAACAGTAACCGGACTACTGAAACCATCAGCAAACCAACAACTTGTCCATCCACTCAGTTTGGTCATATCTTGACTCCATCGATTACTGACTCCAGTATGCTCACCACGACTCCCACCAACACTGACTCCTCCACCACCAATATCGGGCTAACTCTGGCTCTGAATGATAGTATTGCTCTTGGGGAGTTAGTTAGGACCCAGCCGCAGTCCCATGAGCTTTATCACGCCTTAAGATAAAGTATATAGTTGTATAGTTGCTAATGTTATAGATTTTTGTTCTGTGTCGCAAACGGCTTGTAGAGAATAGACATCCGCATAAAACGCATCAGACGCGACAAACGCATCGAACTCTGAAAAATCGGACCACCCCACCGTAACAGCGTGGTACATTTTATTCATACCTCGAACCGGAATTACTTGTATCCCCGGATTTAATTTTTCGTATCATTGACCGGAAATTTTCATGTTCGTAACACAATTTTATCTTCATAGAAATCAGCATATGTTGTCAATCGGCAAAACTTGTTCTGCCCAGCAAATCTCCGTTTTGGGAAGCAAATTTCGTGGATGCGTGGATGCTTTGCTTGGACACATACTAATTTGAAGGATGCTTGGATGTTTTCTTCAAAAATACTGGGTACTCCTCATTTCATCTTCCTCAGAGAATTAGAACTTCAGGTATATATATGCCTCTTTCTTGTGGAGGATTATAAATCTTACATTTATTTACGTTGTTTTCAGTACTATCAATATTTTATCAATTTTAGATATGAGATTTAATTTAATCATTTATACAACTTTTTTCAGCTTAGGGCTTTGTGCCTTAAGCTATAGTGACTCGCTTTTAGCTATCCTAAATAATCAAATCGATCCTAATGACAATAGTATTGGTGAAGTATGGTTTAACACCACAGGATACGGTCTAGCAGATTATGGGTTTGACATGATAGATGACTATGGTATATATTCATATACATCCTACAATTACTTAGTTGCATTAACTAATTTAGCTAGTGTTGCAGTATCAAAAGGTTACCATGGTGATGTGGTATTTTTGTTCTATAAATTCCTTTATGCTGGACAACACAACTCAACATCTATCGATTACGAATCTGACATGCTTTTAGATATTGCAAATTTGTTATCAAGTAGTAGCGGTAATATAGTGAAGCGTGATGCAACATCTCTTTTCGACATTTTGATTAGCACAACATCAAGTGATGCAGTTTCAAAAGTATATGAACTTGCATCTCAAGTGTCACCTGAAAAACTCGCAAAGGAGAAAATCCTATGATAAAAATAAACTTATCATAAGGCAAAACCTATATAAGAAAATTATAGAAAATTATAGGTAAGTAAAAGAATTAATCAGGCATTTTCTACAAAAATACCGGTGCAAACATGGGTACTCATATATATATGCCTCTTTCTTGTGGAGGTTTATAAATCTTACATTTATTTACGTTGTTTTCAGTACTGGCGAGTTACTTACTATATATTGGTGGATTGTTATCAATATTTTATCAATTTTAGATATGAGATTTAATTTAATCATTTATACAACTTTCTTCAGCTTAGGGCTTTGTGCCTTAAGCTATAGTGACTCGCTTTTAGCTATCCTAAATAATCAAATCGATCCTAATGACAATAGTATTGGTGAAGTATGGTTTAACACCACAGGATACGGTCTAGCAGATTATGGGTTTGACATGATAGATGACTATGGTATATATTCATATACATCCTACAATTACTTAGTTGCATTAACTAATTTAGCTAGTGTTGCAGTATCAAAAGGTTACCATGGTGATGTGGTATTTTTGTTCTATAAATTCCTTTATGCTGGACAACACAACTCAACATCTATCGATTACGAATCTGACATGCTTTTAGATATTGCAAATTTGTTATCAAGTAGTAGCGGTAATATAGTGAAGCGTGATGCAACATCTCTTTTCGACATTTTGATTAGCACAACATCAAGTGATGCAGTTTCAAAAGTATATGAACTTGCATCTCAAGTGTCACCTGAAAAACTTAAGAAGAGGTGGTTATCAGAAGCTTGTAGTAGTGCTCATCAAGCAGCAAAAACAGTATGTAGATCATTACTAGCAGCTGTTCGTATTGACTTATCATGGAAGTCAGATGGTCCAAGAAATATTCAATATGGATCCTGTTTTATATCGTGGAGTGCGAATGCTACTTTTCAAATTGATGATTTGTACAATGCTGCTGACTACTGCATCGAGTCCTGTGGCCTGGCAAGTGTTAGTTGTGAAGTACGGGGTGTTACGTTGAATGGCTACCTGGTAGATCAATGTTTGAGTAATAGGGCAGATGGCTGCACTTAGACTCACTCCAACCAGCTATAATTATGCCAGTTTCTTCATCATTTCATTTATATTTTCGGTCCTTGTGTTATTTTTTCAAATTTGTTAAACCACCTACGAGCTTTTTCCTTTTCAGGAAGGGGTATGTAGTATACTTTAGTTGTACACTACAGGCCAATACTTAATCACTTGATTACTTACATAATCATGGGTTACCCTGTCTCCTGTATATTGGTGTTTTCTCCTTCCTCTGTAACTCACCACTTGAAAGTTGTATATTTCTTTTAATATATGCTTCGTAGAGAGTAATTATATTTCTACAATAGACATATTACTATAAATCATATATTTATATTCGATCTGTTTTTTTTTATTCGTACTTGTGAGTGCGCGGCCTTGAACAGTATTTTTCATGATCGCACCTTTGTCGTGAACGAGTCGCCTGGAGTTGTAACAACTGGTGTTTCGCCTACAGGAGCCCAGCCACCACTTCTTCATGTTTATATGAAATGCCGCTTAATCGATAAACACACAGTTCGACCAATAATCTACATCAGTATTTGTAATTTCAGTAATATCTATCTTGTATTTTCTTTTCTGAATTTCTAGCAACACTTTCTGGTCTAGCTAACTTGAATGAAAGTCAGCATTCTTTACTTACATATCTATAGAGTGTAGATTGGCTAACGGACATTTGTTCAAGATTATGAATCAATGAATCCATCATTTCATCTAGTGCAGATGGATTTTCATCTATAAAATTTTGAAGGTGTTCTTTGTGTTCCCGATTCAATTTAGGTTTTGGAGATCTGCCATCTTGCTTAGGGATTGGTGGAATGCTACTATTTTCTTTATAGCATTTACAAATAATTGTGGTATGAATAAATTGTCTTAAATGGTTTGAATATGGCACGAACAAATTCGACCAAAAAATAAAATGGCCGGTTTGGAAATTATTTGCTCGGTTGGTCTCAAGAAAAAAGTCGGAAGTATGAAAAAAGTAAAAACACTGTACGACTACTACTACTACTACTACTACTATAGTTTCTAATACTACTGTTCCTCCTGGTACATCACCACAATGACTCTCGCTCGGGTTCCAACCAACGGCCGAGTGGCTGTAGTGGGTGCGGGCATCTCCGGCCTCACCTTCACATACTTCCTCTCGAAATTGAGACCGGATCTTCGTTTCGATATCTACGAACAGTCCGACTCAATCGGAGGATGCATCCGATCACAATACTTAACCACTCCTACCGAGTCTATCATATTAGAGAAAGGGCCTAGAACATTACGAGGAGTCAGTGAGGGATCATTATTGATAGTGGATATGTTACGTCAGCTCGGTCGAGCCAGTTCAGTACGAGTGCTCCCCCGCAATTCTATCGCTAATAAAAAGTATATCACTAATACAGATCGTCGTATAGTACAAGTACCGGATACCATATTAACAGGCTGGAAATTCATTAGAGACACTGCCATTGTGCGGCCGACACTTCTCTGGGGCCTTTTGAAGGAACCGTTTGTGAAGAAACCTCACGAGAATGACAGTACGGACGAGTCGATCGAACTGTTCTTTACTAGACGGTTAGGAACTTCCGTACTTACGGACTCAGTCCTCAGTGCTATTATTCATGGTATATATGCGGGAGATGTGGCCCGCTTGAGTGTTAAGTCAATCTTACCGTCAGTCCGCAAGCTAGAGATTGACCATGGCTCTCTTGGAAGAGCTCTAGTTGCTAAGAAGTCGAAGTCTGAGCCTAAAACATCGGGCTTGTCGCCGGCTTTAACTCAGTACCAACACCAACTATCTCCGGATGCCAACCTAGAGGAACTCTCTCTTTCGCTAAAGAAGTTCCCTATGCTTGCCTTAGCAGGTGGTTTACAGACGTTACCGAACTCATTGTATGAATATCTCTCTTCCCAATCCAATGTCCAATTCCACTTCCATAGTGATATCTCCCAGATCGATCCTGTCAAGGGGACAGTTACAGTTAACAGTAATCAGAGTTCAGTGGTACAGTATGATCATATCCGATCTACCATCTCTACTAAGGCCTTAGCCAAAGTACTACAAGTGGCTCCAGCCATTACAGAACAATTACGCTCTCTTGAATATGTATCCGTCTTCTTGGTCAATATCTATACTCGGACACCCACTTTAATCCCTAAAAATGGTCACGGGTTTGGATTTTTAGTGCCCAAGCTAAATGGTAACAACCACAATTTACTTGGAGTCATATATGATTCCGATGTCGAACAGAATATCATCCCATTAGATGGTGAGCGTGATGCTGGCGCCACCAAGCTGAGCCTGTATAACAAAATCACTTTAATGATGGGAGGTCATTACTACAACAATAAAACCATCCCATCATCGGGTGTTAACATCCGCATAGTTAAGGACATCCTCACAGACTTCTTGAACATCGATTTAAGTCACAAGAACCTCATTATACGTGACGAAGCCGCCATTGAATCTAAACAAGTTGGTGAGTTAGAGGAGAACGATATCCTCATTTCATACAATCTCCATCAGGACTGTATTCCTCAGTATAATGTAGGCTACGAACAGCTTAAACAAACAATGTTAGATGAGTTCGCCAACACTAAACTCTCGTTTGGAGGTATGGCTTTCGGTACAGGAGTAGGAGTACCTGATTGTGTGGTTGACAGTTTACAGGCATCACTACAGTTAAGTAAATAGTAAGCAAGTATTAAAAATATATATATACATACACACTATGTATTCATCCAGTTCTCTATAGTAGGCGGGAATCGAAGAATATTGATTCCATCTACTGTGGGAAACACATTATTCTTGGCTAGCACCACTTTACGAAGTCTGGGAAATATCTTACCCTTAATCAAATTCTGATCAATTAATGCTATAAAGATATTTTCAATAAGGAGATCATTGTTGTCCAACTCGTCCATGGACTTAATCAATGGTAAGGTTAGTGGATTGGTATCTAGTGAGAGTCTAAGACCGACTACCACATGGTCGTAGTCAATAGTGGTAGGTTTACCGGTATTGATCCATATCTTTTTGAGCAAGTTTCGGAGAATGACCATCTTAGACTTGGTTAAAAGTAATAGCAATAAGTTCTGAGACTTTAAGAATTGATAATTCTCGAGTACTACACTATTGAACAGTCGTAAATCTCCTGATTTCATGAATTCATTGAGCTTATAGTAGATATGAACAAAAGTAGGTACATTACCTCCATATATGTCTGAGATATATGATATGTTCATATTCAATCTCTTCCCTATCACCAAACTTAAGGGTAGATGATATTGTAACACACGAGTAATATTCTTAGTAGCACTTACAGGCAAGTTCTGAAGACACCAATCAAAGTTGTAGAAAGATGACGTAATCTCTTGCTTGATGAGATAGAACTTGGCCAAATAGTATCTATACTGTAACTGTTCAAGCTTATCAAAGGCTTGAAACGATACATTAGCATTATTCATATTGGAGAACACATTCCGACAAAGTAACGGACTATTGATCTTAAAGTATACCGAACACAACTTATTACTAATGAAAAGTATGATGTTCCGTTTAACATTAGAAGCATCATTAACCTGAGATCGAATGTTATTAAACATCTTCAACAATATGGATGCCAAGTATGTAAGTCGAGGAACCTGACAGGCTTCCTTATAGTAGAGCTGATAATCAAGATGATTGGCTAGGGGTAACACCAATGTCATGGCATTCTTTACTACTTCAATAAGTAAATGTCCACGAGCATTATTACTGAACGCTATGGACACATCATTAACGAATGACGTATACAAATCAAACGATTCAAGACTAGACTGAGGATTTAACTGGTTACCCACTCGGATGAAGCTCGCGACCAATTCGTTGAGCGCAAGCCATTCTCCGTCAAATAATTGCGCGGCCTCTATGACTGCATCCACCTGCGCATCGTCCAACTGAAATGGTACTTGGTTAAATTGAACTATATACCCATTAACTACTGGGTCTAAGCTTAGAAGTTGACCCAATTTAGTGATGGCAACTTGTTTTTGGTTACTACCAAATCTAGCCACTTCCCCTATTTCCGCTACATACTGATGAACGATTTCCATTGGGGCTTCTCTTTTCTTTTATCGCACGTACTGTGTGTGTGTGTGTCTGTGCTTCCACTACTACCACTGCTTAAATTCTTTTCTGCTAAACTCTTTTCTGCTCAACTGTGCTCTGCTAATCGGCGATGGTTGGCTGAGAAAAATTACCACGACTGAAAAAAATACCTAACATCGTTAGTGACTAATGGTGATACTCTGGACACTAGCCAATGGTTTCGATACAGCAAAGAGCGTTGCCGTCTCGGTCTGAACCTCAGTCTGGTTCTGAGTCTCTGGTTCTGGCTCAGTCTGAGTCTCAGTCTCAGTCACAAACTCAAACTCAAAATCAAACTCAAACTCAAACTCAAACTTCACGATCGACTAATGCAAAGAAGTCATCCACTCCAAATGGTCCTCTTAAGCTCGTAATACGTTTACTACCTCCAAGACTAACCGAGCAGGAGTTCATCGCTCAACTGGCCGAATATTTCGATCAAGACTACACTAAACTAATAGACCAAAGTTACTATGTGCAAGGAAACTATCTGCAGAATTCATTATTTGAAATGCCCGAATACTCTCGAGCTTACATATCATTCAAGAACAATGACGATTTGGAATCATACCGTAAATCCCTTATAGATAAACCCTTTACGGAAAGTGAAACTAATGACTCCATAATCCCTGTAGTGGAGAGATCATTATATGATAGGATGCCTAGTCCAGTAAAATCTTCTAGTGAAAAGTCATTAGAGACTAATGAGTTATTCCAAGAATTTTTGAAGTATCAGGCTGGAGAAATTAGTACATTCAATGTTGTTGAAATCCATAAAGCCCTTAAAAAGAAGAAGAGAATCGAGCTCCGGAAGTCTGATTCGAAGAAGGAGAAATCACGCAAGAAATCTGAAAAGGTGAAGTCTGAGGATGAAAAGTCGGGAAGAGACAGAGCTAAGGAATCTAAAGATAAGAGTAAAGAGAAATCCAAAGAATCTAGGGATAAGAGTAAGGAAAAATCCAAGGAGAAGAGTAGGGAGAAATCTAGAGACAAATCTAGAGACAAATCTAGAGAGAAATCCAAAGATAAGACTAAAGATAAGACTAAAGATAAGACTAAAGATAAGTCTGACAAGCCTAAAGAAAAGGAGGATAGACCTAAAGATAATTCTAAAGATAAGACTAAGGACAAGTTGAAAGTAAAACCAAAAGAATCCAAAGAGTCAAAAGTACCGAAAGATTCAAAAGATTCAAAAGTACCAAAAGAACTAAAAGAACGAAAAGTACTGCAAGAGTCAAAAGAGCCTAAACCAAAAGACTCTAAACCAAAAGACTCTAAACCAAAAGAACTTAAACAAAGAGATAATAGAGAGGTTACACCAAATTCAGGTGACCCACAGGACAAATCAAAGACTAAAGAACCCAAACGATCCAGACCAAAGACACCAAGAGACAAAGACAAAGACAAACAGGACCCTGATACCCTCAAGGACACTAAGCCCAAACAAAAGATAAAAATTATGAGAAGACCACCGTCGACTCCTCCGTCTTAGTTTAGTTTTAGTAGTCTCACTACGCACTCCGTAAACGTATATAGTCGCACTGTAATCTTTAATACATACCCACTGAACATCAGTATTCCGCATCGGCTCAGTAAGTTTGTACACCACAAAATGTAAACATTGGCTTAAACCAACCATATATAAACAACAACAAAAACAACAACAACAACCACATCAACATAATACCAACAAGAAGGCACCCGAATGGACAAACACAATCCATTGTTGCCCTTCGCCTTCACCAGCTCATCATTCAATGATAAGATCCCCCTTAATACAACGCCACGAGAGAGATCCATCATTGACGAGAATGCCCGTAGTAAGTACCATACTCGAGTAACAGCCAGTCCATTGGCTCGACCCAAGTTAACCAATGCCAGTTTAGTCCCCAGCTTGAAACGTCGGATGGGTGAAAGTTTCAATGAGAAAGATGATATTAAGAGACGAGAAGTTGTGATGGACGTGTCGAGCGATCAGCCAACAGAGGTAGATGAAGATGAAGATGAATATGAACATAACTATCAAGGTGCAGATAAATATGGTGATACTGATCCTAGTATTAATTGCCGTTATCTACCTCCTAGTAGTCCTCCTGTAGAGCCTCCGTTGTTGTCTGAGTTTGATCTTTCTACCAACACAACTTCCAACTTCAATGTGCCTGAGTCACCTCCTCGTCATCAATTGAGTCATCGAGACAAAGTTCATATGTTACCCAGTGAGATAGACGATGACTCCTCCTACTTCACCTCCAGTAAGAGATCTCATCCATTCTCATCTACCATCAATAATATTAATAATCCTAACATTACCAATCCCAGCTCCGATGCCGATTTCGGTATTGATAAATTTCATCGCTTCAAAGGGTCTATAAACCTCCCTTCATCGGCCAATGATATAGATCAAGATGAAATCGAATACATAAGACAGAGATCCTATAATAAGGCACGAGCAACCATCCTAGACTGTTTTGAAGAAATAAGACCCATTATCAATTTAGAAGGTTTGAACCTTTACGAGATCCCTGATGAAATAAAGGATTTAAATAAAATAGTTATATTTGATATGGAATTGGATCAAGATAAGAAGTTTCAGTTGTTTCTAACTAATAATAACTTATATGAATTGAGTCCATCATTATTCAAATTTACTAAGTTGAATGTCTTGGGGTTACGACAGAATAAGCTCAAAACTTTACCTCCATTGATTGAAAAATTGATTAATCTAACTGATCTATCGCTTGGAACAAATAAACTCAATTATTTACCATTTCAAATACTAAATCTACCCTTATTACAAATGTTTCAAGCCGGTCCTAACCCATTTATGCCCATCCCAACAGATGCAATCCCCCTAAATACAAATGAAAATCATATTCATATCCCAGATAAGAATCGAGAGTTAAAATATATTTCAACCATAAATTATTTGGGTTCAACAAAGGTAAAACCAGTACCTTCATTAAAGACGCTTTGTCTAAATAAAATCGCCAATTATGATGTCACATATCAAGAAACAAAAGACTGGAAAAAGTTTACTCCTAAAATATATCATCATTTAATAATAAAAGCTATAAAAGGTGGTAAATACAGAGATCATTGTAGTAGTTGTACAAATATTATTGTTGAACCTGTTGCAGAAATATTTGAGTGGTGGAATCTTTTACAGAATAAGAACATTCCTATCCGAAGACAGTTTTGTAGTGGAGGATGTTTGAGTAGATATGATTATTATGATCACTATAATTCACTCACATAATTACTGGGAAATACTCCTGTTTTCCCATTCATGATACCCTTCCACCATAATCCATCCTTATCTAAAATTTGTATTAAGTCTCCAGGTTCAATTGAGAGATCATCCTTTTGTTGTGCTTCGAACTTGTATATGGCTTTACAATACTTCCCATCATCTCCAGTAGTAGAAATTATTGGTGTTGGTGTGGGAGTTCTGGTTAATTCAGAAAGGTAGGATTCTCTAAAATTTATGATTGATAACTTATTTATTTCATCTAATGCATACCCATTTTTTATTTCACAATCTCTAATTAATTTCTGAATATCTACATTGATCAATTCCTTATAGTCAATATTCAATAATTGAGAGTTGTTTTGTAAAATGTCAACATACGTGGAAAACATCTCAGCTTTATGATATAAAGTTGATAATTGGCATTGATATAAAAAATTATTGACCAACTTGAAGAAGTAGGGTAACTTGATCTTGAGTTCGTCGTTTAATTGATCATATATCTTCTTATTGGCATCTTTCTTCCTCTCCAAGCAATGTAATTGTTGTGATTGTTTTATTGTGAGAACTACTCCCCCTTCCCTTTGTTTTAGCGTAAGATTTTCATGATCGTTATAAGCTAAATCGTAATCAAGTAGTGCGACTGATCTTTGCTTACATCTCTTAGAAATGGTCTTAATGATCTTGAGCAATTCTCCTACTTTAACTTCAATGAGCTTATCATGAGTTTGTCTTTCAGGATCTTCTAATACCTTCAAACCATCAACATACACAACTTTTTCTTGCCATGAAGAGTACTGTCTATCAAATGAATCTGTATCTATTTGTAATCCCTTAGTTAAGCTCTTATATGGATCAAATAACTCTTTAAATGTATTCCCAACTATTTCGGCTTGAACCTTCAGACGTTCCAGCACTTCCACAAAGATTTTGGTGTATTTGACAAAACTGATAAGATTCTTCTCCAAGTGAATTAAATCTGACTCTAACTCATTGAATTCTTCATCGACCGTGAACGAGTTGTTGCTGAACCTCATCTTCTGTTTTAGGAATTGGGGAGTTCTCTTAAGTTGACTCCAGTCCACATGGTCTCTGGATGTTGTGTGTGTCTTTAGAGCTTCGTCGGCAATTTTCAATTGCTTAGATACTAGTCCTGAGAGTTGGTCCATTGGATTATGAAGGAGATATACTTCGGCGTCTAAGTAAAGAATAACAATAGTGAATTTTGCAGTTGTTTATGCTTGGTGGTAGCGCGTCTTGTTCTGTCTGTTCGATTTTGCAGTAAATAAAATTGTTAGTCCCAAAAGTCAATTCTTCATATTCTTATACTTATACTTATACTTATACTTATACTTATACTTAATGTATGCTATTGAGTGTTTATAGAAGAAAGTTGTTTTTCACTAATGTCTACATACAAATGATATAAATGAGCTAATGGTGCTGTATTGGTGAATGTATATATTCTCTACAAATTGACCAATTTTCTAGAGAAATCTATTAGATTAATTGTTAACTATGGATATACTTGTCTGTTATCTGTAAAAACAACATTACCACCCAAACATATTCTAAATATTCTAAATTCTAAATGCCTGTCTGACCCCGACTGACTCAAACAGACTCCCACTATAGAATAGTGTAATATACTCAAACAGTATAGAGCTTTAGAATCGCTAGTGAATTAATAGTATAGTTGATAGAGTATATATTTGGTAGAGTATAAAAACCTAACTATTTCATAAAGGAGAAGGAATCCACCTTACTTAAATAGTTAGCGGAAATCAAGGAGTAGTGTATCGATACGATACACACATAATTTATATATAAAGATAAGTGACAATAAAGAGTATCAGTAGTAGTGTAATGGAGATGAATGTGCGCAGACAAATAAAAATTTGACAGACGATTGACTGCTCACAAATGACTAGCTAGTCATCACTCCAGTATGTTTCTAAAGCATCTTTACAAGTCTGCATTTGTTCCTAGAGGTATAACTCCACAGTATACAAGTATAAGATCCTTATTTATTGCATCTATAGGAAATCCCGAGCCAGAATACGAGGGTACAAGACATAATGTAGGTCATAGATTGATGGATCAATTGATCAATATCTATTGGAAAGACCAGTTAGAGAAGGTAGGAGAAGACTACTATAGATTGAAAAGAACCCCACATGTAGTATTGTACAAATCTAATGATTCGTTCATGAACTTACAGGGTTATGCCATCGTTAAACACTATCAACAATTCAGAAATCAGGGTAGTGAAATACTATTTTTGCATGATGACGTTCAAGTCCAATTAGGTAAATACCAATTCAGGCGTCCGACTCGTTCTCACAGAGGTCATAATGGATTAAAATCAATAGAAATGTATATGGGAAATGCATATAGAAATATAGCTATTGGAATAGGCAGACCCCAAGATACGAAGCTTGCTCTACTGGAGTATGTTCTAGAGAAGTTTACAGAAAAAGAACTTGAAATAATTGACTTTGATGTCCTACCTAAATGTGTAAAAGAGTTAGAAACCTACCTAGTGGGCGAACCTACCCCGTTGAAGTAAAACAGGAGAGCTCTAGTCAAGCCAAATGACTCATGTGTCACAAATAACTATATCAATATTATTAGTATTTGTATTACTTACACTATTACTACTATTTATACTATTACTCATTGTAACACCATCACTGTATATAGCCATAGACTTCGTGTACATACACTACCTGTAATTAGCTGAATATAAAACTTGTAACTCTCTACCAGTATACCACTCACATCTCACCCAACCTGCAATTGATGCCCCGTTAGCGCTCCGAGGGAACAAAAATTGATTAGTACCTGTTAGTGTTTTTTCTTTTTTTGGTATGGCTTATAGCCCATGACAAACTAGTGGCCTAGCAGGAATAAAGAGCGTATAGAGCAGGATGGAGTTCAATCTAGTGCTAACGGCTGAAAGATCAGTGGTAAGAGAATCTTTGAAAGGTAAGTAACTTTTTACAGTTTATTTGTTTATGTACTATGACACGCATACTAACTGAAATCTGATATAGGCATAATATGGACCATATTCTTTAATAGATTATTAGGACCGATAACTCCTACAACTGTAGACTTCTTCAATGTTACCTACTCAATGGCTTCAAATTTATATGATTTGGATTCAGTGATCGATGAGAAGGTCAATCAGTTGATAAAGGGTCTGTTTGATAAGGTAGAGGGGAAGACCCCCAACACTGGTCAAGTTATAATACGATTCTACGATGGGAAATTATTAAAAGGTAGAAAGTTGTCTGGAGGTTCAGTAGATACTGGTGGAGGTGGAGGTGGATGGTTTAGTGCAGGTGCATCTACTACCTCCAAGACAAATGATAATGCATGGGAGTTATGGACTATAACAGTCGAATGTTTACCTATAGAGGAACACAAGGAAGCTTCATCGGGAAGTACCAAAGAGATAAATGGAAATATCAAATTATCTATCAAGAGTTTTGAAGATAATTTAAATCAAATATTTACTACAGTAGATACACATAAGGATCATATTCCTCCAATAACATCAACAGCAAGTGTAACATTTCCTTATACTATCACAATAGATACAGGTATCCCACCCAGGATATCAGCTGAAGAAGTCACCAGTAGCCAGCCACCGCCACCATCCACTACAATGGGCCAGTGGTGGAAGTGATTGCTCAATTCACTGTACATATTATATAGATGGAGCAAGCACCGACTACTGAATGAATAAATGAATGAATACATAAATAAATAAATAAACAAACTAATGAATAAATAAATGAATGAATAAATAAATAAGAGTTTACTATATATATACTAAGACATATACATAATCAGCTGATCTACAAATTTGAGCTATACAATCCTTCTTCACCTCTCACAAGGATACATTCATCTTCTTGAACAACTTTTTCGAATAAGCCAATCTTATCAGCTGTCTCCAAAACAGTTGCATCATAACTACCTGGCTGAAACCACAATCCCTTGATCAACTTCTGATAATTGTCATGGGAGGCAATCTCCTTTAAAGTTGTGGCTGTGATAGAAGGAGGAGTCAAAAATGAAATACTCAAACCATCAACGTTACTCAATTTATAGCCACTCAAGTCTTGACCCTTTTCAATATGATCTAATATAGTAGATACATTATGAATAACAGTTTGTCCTAAAATTTCTTGCTCTTTAGGATTAATGGGGATTACGGAAATATCATGACCAACGTACCAATTGGTGATCTTAAATCCAAATTTACTAGGATTATTACTAGCCCCAGCAACAGCATATTGACGCTGAGGTCCAAAAAATGATCTTATCTTAGCTTTAGTTGACATAGTGTTTATTGTGGTGGTATGGTTCCTGATTAATAATGTTGGTGCTTCAGTTGAAAATCCGGGGTTCGGTTGGGGTTCTCTTAACCTGTAAATGGGACTCAACATGTAAAAAACATTACACACGATTATTTTACATGTTAGACAAAAAATATCAAAGAGACTATAAACTAGGTCCATACTATCAAGCTCATCACTTGATACAAAATAATTTACAAGATATAGTCAGAGTCAGCCATTAGAGAGTCGAGGAGAGAGGGGCCATGGCAAAAGAGAAGCGAACAAAGCCATGTTCAAACTGTAAACGATCCAAAGTTAAATGTATATATACAAATACTTTACCTTGTGAAAGATGTATAAAGACAGGTCAAGGTCTGCATTGTCAGTTTGTACCAAAACTTCCATCATTGAAATTACCTCCATTGAGTAATAGTGAGGGTCACGAGTTGAGTTTACCTCCGTTGGGAGTTACTGCGTCAGCAGGTGGTGCGAACACGAGCGTGAGCGTGAGCGTTTCAGGTTCTAGTAATAGTATAAGTTCAGGTTCATCATCTCTTAAAAATGGTACAGCACCATTACCATCTACTTCATTATCATCCAGTCAGTTCTTAATTCCCACTAATTCTATATCAAATCATGCTCATACCACTAATAATGATGGTCATTGGCGTTCACAGATGGAAGATAGGATGAATAATGTAGACAATAAACTAAATGATCTAGTGGATATATTGAAGATGAACCAGCAATACTTATTGGAATCACAACGGAGAACTCAACAGCATTCTTTACTACAGCTGCCATATTATAACCATGCCGGAGTACCGTTACCGTCACCACCACCACCACCACCACCGCCTCCCGTAAGTGTTTCTCCTGTCTCTATGGGGCATAGACATCAGTTAAATCCTACGAATATATACCCAGCATCCCGCATATACTCACCCATACAACACCAATCACAAGCTCCTACACCACCACTATTACAGCCAAGTAGCTCTAACTCAAACACAAATACAAGTACAAATACAAACGCAAGTACAAACACAAACACAAACACTAGACACGAGTCCCACAAACGACCTCATTCTTATACTCAACCAACAGCCGAAGGCAAACCACCTAAGAAGCACAAGTCAGATGAGCTACCAGAAGATTTCCGTAACGGTTTTCTATCGAAGGAAGAAGCTACAGAATTGTTTACTTTCTTTGATACCAATATATCTCAGCAATTATTTGGTTTTGAAATATCGAAAATATCCATTGATTCTATTTGGGATTCTTGCCCTTTATTGGTATGTGCAATTTGTTCCATTTCATCTATTCATCATCCCGAGTTATCTGCTAAATCATCCTCTTTACAAAGTTATTTGCATAATTTATGTTCCACCATTCTATTTAAGGGTAGACCGAAGAATGAAACTGATGGCTTCAATACTATAGTAGCTTTGGTATTTTGCAGTTTTTGGTTAACTGATTCTCAAATGTTTACTGGATTAGCATTGCAGTTGGCCAAAGAATTCGGTATGAATAACCCTTATACAACAAACAAAGACAAATTGAAATTATGGTATTTATTATACATATTGGATGGTCAACAGAGTCTAACATTCAATAGACAACCTTTAGTTAATGCTCAAGAATATTCATTGAAGAACAGTCGTGAAATTCTCCTTTCAGATAAATTAAAGTTGAAGCCTACTGCTTCTACTACTAATCTTTTAATTGAAAATAAAGACGGAGAAAAGGATGACAACTATAAGGATAGAGAATCAGAGTCAGAGTCAGAGTCAGAGAGACTCACTGACATGCGGTTAGTATCTCAGGTAGAATATAATCAAGCATTAAATGAAGCATTCAAGGGAAACGCTTGGGATTTATTGATGCCTTCATCCTTTGGAATTCCTTCTAAGTCGAATTTGGAATTAGATAGATGGATGGTATCATGGACTGTTTTATTAGCACCAGGTAACCATGGTGCTGTTTGGTCATCCAAATCCACTTTGATCTATTATAACTTTGCAAAAATGCATATAAATTCATCAGCTGTACGTCAATTACAGATAAACCCAAGTGATGAAAAGAGTATGCTTCCAAAGTGGGAGTCAACAGTCAAAGTTTTTGATAAGAGAATAGAATCATCAAATGATAGTAATGATCATCAAACTGAAGAAGAAGATGAATTTATTTCAAATAAAGAGTTGATGTCAGAAGATGAGACTATAGTGAGTGCAAATATTGCTGTAAATGCTGCTCAGACGGTATTGAACTTGGTAATTAATGATAATGATATTCTCGATAACTTAAAGTATGTACCAGTTCATATCCATATAATGCTTTATTATGCTGCCTTATTATTAATTAATCCTCCAATAAAATCAAATAATAAGTCAATAGAACTTTCAGAGAAAGATTATCATTTAAAAGTATTACAAAATTTGGAAGTTGTAAAGAACTTACAAAAGAAGATTTACACAAATCTACCAATTGATACAAAATTTGGTAATCGATTAATCCGAAGTTTGGATGAAATGATAGAAGAAAAACTAGCCGTTATACGAGAAAAGGTTAAAACTTTCCCGGATGAAGATAGAATTCTACTAGAACGAGGAATAATGGCATTAGCAGATAATTCAAAAAATATTGTCGAAATTTTTGATCACGATTCGAGTCATAGAGGATCAACGCCAGAAAGAATTGCAGCATGGCCAGGATCTAACCATGGTCATCCCTAAAATATACAGTTTAGTAGATATATTGATAATTATTTATAGACCCTATTTACGAACATTAGAGCACACCAGCCTAATATTCATTTTTACCACATTTTAGATATCTTGTAAGAACCCTTCATTAAGTAAATCACTAACACTTGCTCTTTCAACCGGATCCCAAATAAAAATTTTATTCAAGAATTTTGTAAATGACTTAGTTAAGGTTTGATTTTCTGAATATTTATTCAAATTCAAACTGATATCTAAACTCTTTGAACTTAATTTATATTGTTTCTTTATATTTGAAGAATTGAAACTACTCATACCGGAGTTGTTAAGATGGAAATTAAGAAGGGACATATTGATTTTCCCATTAACATCAAAGATTTTGAATAGTAATGTTTTCTTTATTTGTTTCTCATTAATTGATGTTAATTGTAGGTTATTAGAATTGATATTTGAATATCCACTAGATTTATTAAGAGCTCTTCTTAATCTTAATATAGTGGTAGACTTTGGAGCTCCAAAATATTCTAAAATTAATCCAATTTGTTCTAATTCATTCTTACCTGGAAGTAAAGGAAATCCCAAAAACAATTCTACAACAACACATCCTAGTGACCATATATCTATTTTCTCACTATAATTTGCACCCATAATAATTTCAGGAGCTCTATAAAATCTTGATTGAATATATGTAAATGAAATTTCATTCTTATAACAAGAAGAACCAAAATCAATTATCTTTACATTAATATCATTTGATTGAGGATCAGATGGCAAATTTATCATTATATTTTCAGGTTTAATATCACAATGAATTATGTTAAACAGATGTAAATATTGCAAGCCTTGAAGTAATTGACATGACATTTTTTGAATGATTGGAATGGATAATCCTCTGAAATTGATCAATTCCAAAAGGGTATATAAATTTATGGTCAAGAGTTCTGTTACAATACACATATGACTTCTAAAATTAAAATGATCATAGTATTCAAGTAAGTTTTCATTTGTATTTTTCTCTTTCAACAATTTCAACATTTTTATTTCATTAATGGATTGTAAAGACCAATTCAAATCATTTTTAATTATTTTTACAGCGACTATCTTGTTGAATTTATGATCCTTAGCTTTTACAACGTTCCCAAAGGAACCATTTCCCAATAAACTGATAACCTCATATCTATAATTGATGTGATCATTGGGGATGATTATATAATTCCCATTTTTATCATCAAATCCAAAATTAGATCTATAACTTGTGATATTTATTTTCCTGTTAATAGTTGTTGGGACATAGAAGACTTCGGGCTTTCTGATAATTTCACCCCTTTCATAGACATTTAATTTGTTGAGAAGTGTATCATCAGGTAATATTGGTATAGAAGTCAGACCTTCATGACTGTTATCTACTTGTAATGGATCAAATAATTCAACGTTTGATTCAAAAAGGATTTTATACATCTCTGGAATTGAATTTATTTTGGGAATAATATTATCGCTTTGAGGAGGTACTTGACGATTATTATCTGATAAGGTAGATCTTGGGTATAATCTAGTAAAAACGTTAGATGAATTTGAATTTGAATTTGAGGCTGAGGAAGAAGAAGAAGCTTCAGAGGCAGGTAGATATGGTTGACTTGAAAATGATGTTACAGGCTGTGATACATTCCTCCTCGTCGTGTACCTCTGCCTTATAGGTGAAAAGTCATTATTGAAATCTTTACTAAACAGTTTATTGGGTGATACGCCAATATTAGTGATATCTACAGGAATTGTATGAGATGAAGGAATCGCAGGAGGTTGAAGCTGGGTAGCATGTGATAAGGTGGCAGACAAGAAACGTCGAGTTCTCTGAGGATCTACTCGCTTCTTTGACGCCATTGGTGATGAATATTTGGATGCCTGAAATGGATTACTTTGTTTCTTCTGAAGCGAAGAAGTGGTTTCCTTCATAAATGAAAATTGATATTGCTGTTTAGAGATAGGCTTCTCGGACATGGGGTAACTTATGATTCTCTTATCCAGAGCGTGTTTAATGGTTGACATTGATTTTGCTGTGGATGAAATGTTCCGAGAGGGAGTTCTTGGATTGATCCCATTCCCAGATGAACTTAATAATCGACTAGATGAAGTAGAAGGGATCCTTGAACCGGAATGTTTCGGTGAACTATGTTGTTGTTGACCATCTGGTATTAGACTCTTTGGATACACCTTTTTCTTTCTAACAGGAGATCTATTAATATCGATTCTAGACAAGTCATTCTGAACACATGATACACCTTCAGTCATTATCAAATACGATACTAGAACTAGACCATGTATCACTTCTACAGATATAATTCATCAGGGCTCTCAGATATCGAATGGGTATGTTGACGTTTTGGTCGGGACACGTCAGGGTCTATTTTTCTTCTGAGCATCGACAGAGTTATAGTTCTTAACTATGAGTGAGAGCGAGGAAGAAGAAGTTATGTATCATACTTTAAAGTCAATATGAGTAAAATAACCAGCGTGGAATCATACACGCAGCAGGAGGTATTGCTATTATCTCAAATATTATATGTAAATGATTTACGTACAGACAAACAGATAGCTTCAGCTAGTGATAGTTTGATCTCCTCCATACTATCGGAGTTCAAAAACCACGCCGTAATGAAACTAGAAAACAAGTCTATCAAACTAAATACAAAGTCACAATTAAAAGAGCTTTATGGAAATCTACTAAAGAAGTATGAAGTCAAGAACACTGAGGAATTGGCCAATGCAACCTATTATGGTCGCATGGAGGAATTGGACAAGCAGATAGAAACTTATAAGCATGAATTTCAGAAAATTTTGAATGAATGAATGAATGAACTAATGGTTCATTTTCCCTTCTATACTTAATCTGCTTATTTGTATATATTTTAAGTATAAACGTGTATATTAAGTTATTGTATAATAGATTCTGTTAGATAAAAATGTCTCTGTTTAAATGTCGTGGGTGGTAACCTCGGCACTGCGACATCTCTCATATTGCGGAGTCGATGATCAGCTCCTAGAATTATGATAACTAGCAAATAACATTAAAAGGGAAGTAAACATAGATGAAACTTTTCAATAGATCGATTTATTCCATCATTGAGTACATATTGTAAAAGGGTTGCCATCATTTGTCGCAAGCTTTATATTATTGATTAGGATATCCTTGTTTTAAGCTTTGCTCCTTCTACCCCACATTTGCCCAATATGTCGTCGTCCCTGCCATCACTGGTATCAATAGTACAACGTCCAACTAACTCATTAGCCATATCATTATTTAATGTATACAAATCAAACAGATCCTTATTTTTGAACACTGCTTATATAATTCTATTGACAGCGGCATTCTCAAGAGCTACAAATACTGGTGATCCGGAATCTAAAAAATCAAGAAGTTCAGCTACAACCGGAACATCATCAGAAATAGATGAAAAGAAGCATCCAAAGATATCTAAAGAATCCTTTCGAAGATTAGCTAAAGCAGTTGTTCCATCTATTTTTGACTCAACTATTTTGCACTTAACATGTCATACTGTGCTTTTGGTGCTACGTGCTTTATTAACCATTAGAGTTGCTAATTTAGATGGTCAATTAGTTGGCGCTTTAGTATCAAAGAAATTAAGGCGGTTTTCAAAACTTCTTTTGTTTTGGATGTTTTTGGGTATTCCAGCTTCTGTAGTTAATGGATTATTATCTTTAACAAAGCAGAAGTTAACTAGATCGATTAGGATAAATATTACTAATAGTATTATGAATGATTATCTACCTGATAATTTGGATGCTAATTATTATTCATTAATTCATTTATCGCAAGGCAAAATTAAAGATCCAAACCAAAGAATTTCTACTGATGTGGCAAGATTGAGTTATGCATTAAGTAGCTTACCTGGTCAATTGCTAAAGCCTACTTTGGATTTACTTCTTTGTGCTCGTGAATTAAGTAAAAGTGGTGTAGGAAATGGTGAAGGTACATTAGTTCTTGGTATGTTAGCACATTTCTCCACTAGTATTTTGAGATTTTTCTCTCCTCCATTTGCGAAGTTAGCATCTGAAAAGGCAAACTTAGAGGGCCAATTAAGATCTTCTCATGCAAAAATTGTTGGTAATAATGAAGAAATCGCCTTTTTGAGAGGTCACCAACGTGAATTGGATTATATTGACTATTGTTATTATACATTGGAAAGATTTCTTAAGAATGAATATTGGAAGAAAGCTATTCACGAAATTGCGCAGACATTTATTGTTAAATATCTTTGGGGGGCAGCTGGTCTAGTATTATGTTCAGCTCCTATATTTATTAACAAATATATGGGATATGAGCCAAATCCAAACCATGCTGGTGATTTCATTACTAATCGGAGATTATTGATGAGTGCTTCAGATTCAATAGATAGATTGATTTATTCTAGAAGATATTTATTGCAAATTGTGGGTCATGCCACTAGGGTTTCTGATTTTCAAGATGTATTACATACAATAAAGAATCAAAAGTCTTCTAATGAAAATGTTATTAGAAATGATGATGAAATAACATTTGATAATGTTAATCTATTAACTCCTGCCGATGTTACATTAATTGAAAGTTTGAGTTTCTCTTTAAAAACAGGAGATCATTTGTTAATTGCAGGTCCCAATGGTTCTGGTAAATCTTCACTTTTCAGAATGCTAGGTGGTTTGTGGCCATGTAAGATTGGAACAATCACAATCCCTAATTCAGAAAATATGTTTTATTTACCACAGAGAGCCTATTTGACAGCAGGTACTTTGAAAGAGCAAATTATTTACCCTCATTCTTTGAAGCAATGTAAGAAATCAGATGCGGAATTAATTGATATATTAAAAGTTTTGAAATTAAATGACTACATTGATAATTTGAATGAAGAAAAATCTTGGGATGAAGAACTATCCACTGGTGCCCAACAAAGATTAGCTATGGCAAGATTATATTATCATCAGCCAAGGTTTGCAGTGTTGGATGAATGTACATCTGCTGTAGCCCCTGATATGGAGCAATTTATGTACGAACACGCTCAGAACTTAGGTATTACAGTTCTATCAGTAGCTCATAGACCTGCTTTATGGCACTTTCATAAGTATTTATTGAAGTTTGATGGAAAGGGAAATTATTATTTTGGTAAATTGGATGCTGAAAAGAGATTGAAATTCGAACAAGAAAGGTTATTGCTTGACAAATCTTTGAGAGATATTCCTATATTGAAGGAAAGATTGAGTGAATTGAAAAAAGTTTCTAATGCACAACATAAAAAATATGGTATTAAATAGTTATGAGTTATAGAGTTAATGTATGCGTAGATATTTCTTTGTAAAAATTTCGCAGTCGCGGATGCAAATTTCTGAGTCAAAAGGATCTTATTTAACTCGAAGAGCTCCTAAATAAAGGGGCGTCAAACAGCAAATGTTGAAAAACTTTCTAACAAAGTCGGTTTCCATATCAACAGTTGTCTCTTCTTCCAGTAGTGATAATGATAATGCAGAGGACAAAAGGGAAGAGTTGGTTACTATTGACAATCTCCAGCAAAAATCCATACGAAGATCATTTTCATTCACTCATCCAGTTAAGGTGGAAAAGTTCGAAGAGATAGCTAATTCAAGTCATGACACTTCTAAGAATAGTATTGATCCATATTCCCCTACAAATCTAAAGAAATCAAGAAGTATTACTTTCAGCGGCAAGCATTTTCCTATTGTTAAAAGAACCAAATCTGTTCAATTCAAATTAGCTAATAATAGCACTATCGAGTTGTCGCCATCAAATAATCCAATTAATACTTCTCCTACTCAAGGCGGTCCACATTCACACTTGGAAAATAGTAATGGTTTCACTTTGGGAGCTGAATCTGGGAAAGTTCTGCCTTTTAAGGAACATCGAACTATGGACAATGTAGTCCAAAGAAGACTATCGGCTGCTTTTGAGGATTTCCCCCTTATCAATGAAGAATCATTCAAAGAATCTGATCCTTCCGCTTATGACTTATCATCCGGAGGAGTAGACAGTCCATTTCCTCTATCTACTAATTACGATACTAGCGGCGACGAACTGTCCCAGAGCTTATCATCATCAATAAAAGCTCGTCACACTGATGATGTTCAGGAACACACCTTTACACTTCTAAAAGACTTGTTGGAAATTGAGGATAAAGAGCTAAATTTAGATGACACTTGCCAGAAAGTAATACAAGCATATAATGAAAAGCTCCAAAAAGGGGAAGAGCTTATGCTAAACATTGATACTTTAAGAAAAGAAAAGGAATCTATCGAAGCGTCATTACTGAAAGAACATGAAAGAGTTGAATTTTTAACAATTGAACTTGAAACTAAAAGTGATGAACTAGAAATCCAATGTAAAACTTTGTCAGAAAGTTACCAGAAACAGTTGGAAGAACTTAAGTTAGATAACGATTCTCTTTCCAATGAGAAGATAAAGTTAAGAAATATGATACAGAGGTATAGACCACAAGAAAACTGTATAGATTTAGCTGAATTAGTAGAAGACATTTTTAGAAAAGAAGAAGAGTTTGAAAATAAAGCAAAGGATTCAAATGATGTCATTCAAAGAATGAGTCTTGAAATCAACCAACTTAAATTTTCAGAACACGAATGTTTGTCAAAATATAACCAAACTAAAGACAGTCTCGATAGATCATATCAGGAGAACAGTATATTATGGAATCAATTAAAAGAAATCCGTGAGAATTTTACAGATTTAGAATCAATTATTAATAAAAAAGATGACCAAATCAAGACTTTGGAATCCAGCTTGAACAATAGAGAATTACTATTGATTGAAATGAGGATCCAATTGCAGGATTCAAGAACTAATAAGTCATATCTTGAAGCTAGAATAGAAGATTTGCTTCTTAAAATTCAATCGTTAAATGGACTACTAAGTGAGGCTGAAAATAACTCTAGAATCGATACGTCCGAATCGGAATTATTAGAAAATCAAACTGAAAATGTTCGCTTAGCTCATAAAAGGGAATTGTTAAAACTGGGGAGTAAAGTGAAGGAAATTAAAAATGTAATCTACGTGTCAAAGGACAAACCCACAACTAGTAATGAATTGGTAAATGTTTTGAAGCAAGAAGTAGAACATCTTGTTTCTAAAAATATTAAATTACAACATGATCATGAAATATCGGAGAAATCATTAGATATGACAAAGAAGATTCTAAATCAAATTCAAGACACCAATGCAAAACTTTTGCATTACAAATCAGTTCAGAAACAAAAGTACGTAGAATTACACAAATCTAATCATTTGGCGATAAGCTCTATAAAGCAGTTATTTAAAGGTAGCTGGGAACTGATATCTCCATTAATTTATGAAGATTCTCAAGAATACTTCGAGACGTTATATTCCAAGTTTGATAAAAAGGCAGTTTTGCATTCAGATGATGGGTTTATAATAGATAAATTAACTCGCTTCTATCAAAGGGTAATACTGGATTTGGTAAATGAATTTAAAGTTCACGAGAAACCAGTCTACGATGAACTAGACAAACGTGAAAGAAAATAATAAAATAAAAATAATCTATATCCTATCTTATTTCGTAAAACAAGTTTCAACATACTTACCATCTTGTAATAAACTGGTTAATATACCAGGAAGAACTTCTACCTGTAATGGCTCGAATGGAAAACTTTCTCCATCTACTGAGATATAATGATTTTTTGGATTAGATAATCTGGGTGCTAATCTGTAAGAAAGAATCTTAGAATGATGAACTTTCTCGTTATGAACGTGCAAGCCCCGATCTAAAGATGATAAAATCGAAGTTGTCTCAATAATAGAAGTATTCGTATCTGTGACTATCATGTCCATTGTACCATCATTGGGGAGGGCAGCAGGAAAAAACTGGACATCATTTGATATGTATGGCATCTTCCCCACATATAATATATTTAAGTTTTTCAGAACTGATTCTGCTAACTTTGTCCACGATGCTGGAGGGGGTTGATTCAACTCTGGTCCAGAAACCTCTAAATCATTTTCAGTGATTAAAGGAAGTTCATAGGGCATACTTTCTCTTTCAAAATCGACAAATCCTTCGTTTCTTGAATAATGAGAATCAAAGTGATCAACAATGTCCTTTTTTGATCTTGTAACATATTCTACATATACATCACAGGGATATTTAGATCTTTGAATGACTCTTTGTGCTACACCCAAGTCAAATCTTATTGGACCCATCCATCTTAAGTGCTCGGTTCCTATATCAGAATCAGCTATGATACCATAACATTGGGATAGAAAGGACAACTTTGTCGACTTCCTCAGACCCACCCCTTGCGTAACAGCCATTAAATCCAACTTTGTTCTATGGGCCTTGAGCATATGAAAAGTAGCTAACGAAGCATCATTACTTCCATGAGTGCTTAAAGAAAATGCGTTTCCTGAGCCACAGGGTAACTGAGTTACAGCGATTTTATTAAACGCTTTCACACCACGATCCTCTCTCTTAAAAAATCCATTTATCACTTCATGGGGTATTCCATCGCCTGAACAACAGGCTATTATATCATATTTTTCAATGTCCATTGTTCGGGCTATTTCAACTGCATGCTGTGAGTATTCCGTTTCCACATACGATATTTTTGCATTTGCTGCAGTCAAAACAGGCAAGATGTCTTTTTGGTATACTTGAACTGCTTCACCTCTCCCTCCATGAGGATTTATTATCACTAGGATAGAAGGGCTAACTATGTGATTTTTGTAAGATTTGGAAAGTATGTGATCAACAAGCTGCTGTGCCGAAGTTTGCTCATGCAATGGTCCCTTGATCTGAATATGTATTGTCTTAATTTCCACTGACTTTTTATGTCTTGGCAGCACATAAACTAATTCTAATTCATCCTGATTAGATCCCCCATCTCCTAATACACTGCACCATAGTATATTCCTATAAGGAATCTGATCAATAAATGAAGGAGTACTAGTAGGAAAACAGTATGAGAAAAAACTAGACTTTTGAGATTGTTCAGCATGTAACGCAAGTATGTACTGCTCAGAAACCTTAATACCTGAATCTCCTAGGGAACTCTCTATGAGATCCGTATGCTCATACAATAATCTTTCGCTGGACATTCGGCAATACCTATTTACAAGTTAACGGTAAAATGTTATGAAGTGTTTATAAATATTTTTAAATATTTCGGGAGTAACGCGGCAAACAAAAATCAAAATCGGCAGTGCAGCAGTTAATAACCGCAGTCGCCCTATTAGATTTGACTTTGAAATGATACATAAATTGAGATGATGTGTTTATGAATTAATGGAGATAACAAGAAAAATTGGGCCTGTACAAAGTATTTGTATCCAAATGACACTTATCTTTAGTGGCTTGTATCTTTGGTGTCATAGAATAAATAATGCATGAGGTACTTTCATGCATTCCAAATTTCGCAACAAAAGCAGCTTGAATTATAAATTCATGTAACACGTCCGATTTGATTTTATTAATATCTAAATAGTTAAATCAGTTTTTAAACCATATTAAGTAAATGGAATCTAAATGAATTGGAAATAAGTAAATATATGCTTCGAGAGTATGTTTATTCTATGATTCTTGATGAATGCCAATGAATAGTGTAGTAGAATTGACTTAATGTTTTTCACTATACTTTTTAAAAGTGGGGTTATATCCTTCTCCTTTTATCTTTTTCTATATTTTACTACTGTTTCTCCATATATTTCTAGCCGAACACAGCTCTAATTTCAGGATGTTACGTCCACAGTGGCTAAACTAAATTTAATTAAGGTACATGTAAAGTCAGACTCATACGGCTCTTCCCCCAATTAGAATATACAAAATTGGAAAGGGGACAGTACATAAACACCTCCTTCCCTGAAATAAATAAAATACATAGGTATATTAGGTTTTAGTATAACAACATACAGTGCAATGCATTTCTCATCTCTTTTATTTTGAATTACCATTAGTGTTTCCTCTGTACTTGGGTAGTTAATCAGACCGCTGGTAGCTTCGCGATATTGGGTCCTTTCAGTTCGTTAGGCAAAACGTCTAACGCAGAGCTCAACTTTTATGACACATTGTCTGGAAATGCTCAAACATTAATGATTAGCTATGAAGTTACACAGCGTCAGTCTCATTCTAGTATCAGTCCTAATGTACAATTCTATCAATTGGTTTGAGCTACATCAATAACCATTTTGAGTATATCAATTTTACACGAGTTAAAAGTTTACTCTCTAACAAAACAATTAAGAATGCATCTACGTCAAATATTAATATGCTAAAGAGTCTAAAAACAGCATATTACGATAGCAAATATTAATACTGCCATTGACGAGAATATGGTTGCTTGCTTTAGATAACTCAGGAATACGGTGTACTAAAATTAAGTTTGGAAGAGCTACTGTCCCAGAATTTCCAGTTGGTGTTTCTTGTACATCTTGCCGGGCATATTAACAGAAGCTTACATGTAGTATATTTCATATTCCAAACTTTCCTCTCCCTTTCCAACCTAGATTTGTACTATTTATAAAGAGCTTCTACACACCCCCGAAAAAGGGTCTCTTAAAATTTTGTCAGCTCTAAAATGTTGGTACCACAGGAATCAACTGGTCATAAAATGATTTTATCGACATACAGTGATAAACGACAACAAGATTTGACAGACGACGAGGGAGTCAATTATAAAACTCCAAGGAAGCGTGAACAAACCTTTTACTTTCAATATGAACAATTACCAAAAAAAATTCAATCCAATCTGGATTTGTAATCTCTATAGATAGTTACTTTATTCTAAGCAGCTTACACACACATTTACGGCAGGCATCAAGATCTCACGGGTAATGCCTACACCATAAACTACGTAGTTTAATAAAAACTCATACATCTCTACAATAATGAATTCCCAAACTCTGCAAGAACGACTCAAATTTACAGTGTGGTTTACAATCTGCCAGCCATTTTAATATCTGTGAAACCGTCACTTTTGGTGACTCAAGAAGAGGAAGATACTAGAGTCATCACATATTATAGATCTATAATATCCTAGTATTATATTTAGAAAAACTAATAATGGTTGAAAGTCATATCTCTACTTGAAATGAATTAACAACTGTTGGTAACCGCTTCTATACTGATACCCTGGAACCCTACGGAACTATCCAAATAGCAATCAAACAGGGAACCTATCACCACAGCTGCCTTTGAAAGCAGCAGCGGACAACTCCAGTTTAAGAGTAGCCAACGTCTAGAACCATATACTTGGACTAATGCAATTCATATCCATCCACACATCACCCAGAAGAAATCATTCAGCTTCTGGAGTCACTTATCAATGCGAATAATCACAATCCATGTCAATTTTAAGATCGTTACCACTGGAAGACCAATTACATTATCTACAGCGCCGGCAGATAGCTGAGAAAGAATTATACTAAGAATTGATAGAATCTTGTAGCTCAATCTCATAACAAGATCATCAATATAATCCGAAAGATTCTATGTTAGACTCTTAAACAAAATACTTATATGAACATAGCTACTATGTAAAAGCTATATTTACTCAGTATGGCTATATGAGGTCTATTTTTAATACCTCTGAGTTTTCAGATTCTTTTAGTTTCATTTACAGCAATTACTTCCGATGATGGATAAAGCTAATATCACAATAATAGAGTATCCCATCATATTCACACAACCATTGCAGATTACAAACATGTTGCAAAACAAATCTTACGTCGAAAATTATAATTTTATAAAATACATGCCCTACTGAACATTATTTATCCCCCCATAGCATTATATACTAAATCTAACCTGGGAAGCATTTTCGTGGTTAAAGAGGTATGTACACGGCTTGAATAGTTCTTAACAAGCTGATAAAACTTTGTTTTCGGTGAAATTCATATAAAGGTCACATCTTGGTGCAATTGCTGAACATAATCGATTGTTTTTCTCAAAAAGTAATAAATGAGCGCAAGTTGTAAGTATACAGACATTAAGAAATATTTATTCTTCTATAAGACAACGCTCACAATCTTGAATAACTTAGAGAGGCCAAATTCGAACCTTTTGCTACTACTTCCTAACGAAGAACTACAATTAACATGCATGGCTTTTGATTCAGTTCTTAACCACATAACAAGATCATCTATGTCTTGTATATTTAAAATTCCATGGTTGCAGGCTTTTAAACAGAATACTTATATCATAGTCACTATATTAAACCTATATCCATAGTAATCATTACAGGTCTATCGACACCTCGCTAATATCTCAATTCTAGAGTAGCTCCCTCCTATTTTTACAACCATTGCAGGTTACACACGTATTGCAACATTAGTTGAATACCACTAAATCAAAATACTTATAAAGAGACTACATTAACATAGATTTCTACTACATTTTAATAATCAATATGTCGTCGTGATCTGGTTCTGGGATGGAAAACGAAATAAAAACGCTCCTTACTAGCATTTCGTCAATTGTAATAGTCGAATATATAAGACGTTGCGCCAATGGTTTACGTAGCACTATATATTCTTTGTTTCTGAGAGTTTTAAGTCGTTTTCAATGCTTTCTACTTATTTTGGAAAGATTAGATCAAGTCCAGTAAATGAAAGAAAATGAGGGTGGATAGGAAGGAAATAGTTATATGAGATATATTATAGCCGAGTACTGTCTTGAAAGGAATGTTAACTGTCTCTGAAGAGCTTGCAGCGTAGAATGATTCGTGTAATAGAAAGTGGATCTTGTTTAAACGCATAAGATCCAATGGTTGTTTGACAATTGGTATTATCTTGAACGATGGCCTCTAGGATCATTTTTTGGTTAGCAATCATAGGATGCAAGTGTAGGTAGGTATAACCTGTGCTGAAATGGACCACATTTACCTATTATTATGTAAGTATATATGTAACGAATATGATTAATAGATGTGTTTTGTTTTAAGACTGCATTGGATTGTACTCAATTTACAAGATATCTCGTTCTGAGACGGAAATCCGAGCAACGATTTATAGATTTTTAATGATGAATGATGTATAGTATTTTAAGAATCGGGACAGTAGGCGTACGGTCCTCAATCTCACAATGGGATCATCGAAATCTTGTACGACGTTTAGTGTTGTAGATTCCATAGTTGAATATCTCTTAAACAAAATACTTATATTATCATAGTTACTATATAAAACTTTTATAATTATCCATAGGGTTATTAGCGGTCTTTTATACCTCTGAGTTGCACACATATTTGTTGTAACAATAACTCTAATAGCACATTATTAGAGTACCTTCTTTCTATTGTTATAGAATTTGTAACAAGGTACAACCATTTGTAGCAAGTTAAACGTCTTCGTGTCTTTACAACCATTGTAGCTTCCAAGCGTGTTATAACAACAGTAAGAGCTGGAACAGAACTCTTTCTTTGGTATGGGTCGTAGTTTGCCGTATAGAGAAAGGTGAACGGTTATCGATTAAGGGAAATGAGTTGCACAACGGAAAGATTTGAAGTAACAATAATATGGGCCCATTATCTAGGAGCTGGAAGTTACAACTCGCTCCTGATGCTAAGGGACAGCTGAATTATATAAGTTCAGAGTAAGATTTTGTTAATTCTTCTTCCTGACTGCGGTGTAGGTTGATATGATCGTAGTACCTAGTGGAAACGATAAAGTTCGTCAAATTAGTATTGGTTGTGGCCTATTACGGACGTATGAGTAGTTCTAGAATGTATATGAGTGTCATTACATTTAGGTTTGTAAAAGTCATAATAATGAAGCTATATATACAGAATTCATATCCAGGTTATATAGACCTTGGGAATATTAGTTATACATAATGAGAACTTCAATTTGAGTTCTGAGTTAGTTTGCAAATATGAAAATGACTCCTGTTTGTTAAATTCTAGGTATTATTGGTTGCTTTCTAGAAAAAGTTTTTATTTCGGGTATTTTCTATCCTTTCCTATTTTCAGATGCTTCTGTACCAACTATTTAAGCATCATAACATTTTAATGTTTTATTTAGTATGTTTCATAGTCTTAAATCCTGGGTATCGATTATTATTGCAAATCTATGATACTATTTCTGTTATCAGATGATGATTCTGTGCAACAAACCTTTAAAAATAGTTGTTATAACGTTTAAGAGAAAGGCTTCAATCCCTATGCAACCTGAATTTGTACTCTCTACAGATACTTCCTTTATTTTAGACTTCTACTTTTTATTTAGACATTTAGTTATAGGAAACACGCTGCGGAAATAAAAAGAAAGAAATGATGTTTTAATTTGTATTGAAATTTACTGTATAATGATCATTTTTTCTTTATCTGTATTTTTAGTCGCCTTTCTCGTTATGCCGTGAGTTGTATTCATGTTTTATATTTGTTACTCTCATAAAAATAGGAGCTAATTGGGATTTTTGATATCGTTCGATCTTGAATATTCTATTTTTGAGTGTCTTTGAACTATACTTATGGTATCGATCTTAACTTTTAAGAGAGTTTTTTCCTCTGGTATAGGTCATATTCCGATATCCCTATCCAACCTGGATTTGTATTCTCCATAGATAGTTTCCTTCCTATTCTTTATCATTAGGGAATATATTTCAGCTCCCGTTAAAAAAAAACCATTTTAGCTTACTTTTATGGAATTGTAACCCAACATACAACATGATCCTCATTAATTTCTGTCTGCTCTTCTTCGATTTACGTATAAAACAACAGAAGTTCCAGAGATGCCCAATTTACTTTAAAATCAACAACGATAAGTTGTGTGTTCATGAATTAATTTCTTCAAAGGAGGTTAATTATTAACATGAAAATTTGACTTAAATGTAGTATTAATAACTCTGCTCATGATACGAAACATTTGAATTCGGTGCAGTGAGTGCTTTGGGTACTAAATATGAATACTTTTAAAACTATAGTATGTTTAATCCAATAACATTTTGTTAATTTTTGAAAATCTGTAGTTATGTGAGTTTCAGATTTGATCAAAACGTATATTTTGCGATTAAGTTAGCGTTAAGTAAGATGGACTAGTTTGAAAATAATAAATATATAATGAGAAATTTATGTAAAACAAATTCGACTGCATGTCATATCAAGCCTTTTCCTCGATTTTAGATTGAGCAATCACTTGGGTAACTTGAAGCATTGCTTGTCTTGATTCGTCTGTTTCTTTTGAATAATCACCTAATGAAACTCTCTTAGGACTATTTGCTGCAAATATTTCTTCCATTTCTTCCAAGGTCTTACCTTTGGTTTCAACGAACGTGAAATAGATGACAAAGAACTCAAATACATCCCAGAGTGCATAGAACACATAAAACCAGAAAGAAATATTAGCCATAGCAGTTGGAGTAGCAAATTGATTAACAAATTGAGCAGCACCAGCAGCTATATTCCAAATTATAAATGATCTTGATCTTAAAACATTAGAGGAAACTTCTGCTGGGTAAATCATTTGCATTGGCGTTATACCGAAACCATATCCCATACCAAACATGATAATAAATCCAAGTGCAGTCTTGGAAGCTGCAGCAGCTCCTGTCTTGATATATCTAGCGGTTGCAACGGCTAAACCTGTTAAACAAAGTGCGCAAGCCATGGTTGAAAACATGAACATTTTTCTTCTTCCAACCTTTTCATGGAAATAGGCACCACAAACAGCAGCTACCCATGAAACAAGTGCATAGACAGCATTCATTAAAACAATCTTGTCCAAAGATGTCCATCCAATCTTAGATAACATTGTTGGAAGATAGTACGAGTTACAATTATTTCCAGAAAATTGACCAAACCAAGCAATTGCAATAACTAAGAAAGTTCTGTAAAGATTACCCTTGGTCAACACAGGTCTAATATCCAATAATTTTACTGGAGATTCTAAAGATTCGTCAGCAAATGAAGCCTGTATCTCAGCTATTTCAAAATGTAAAAGTGGGTGGTCCGCATTTCCATTACAGTGATATTTTGCAATAATTTGCTTAGCTTCCTCAACTTTTCCTACCCCAACTAACCATCTAGGACTCTCTGGGAGCCACCAACCGAATACGAAAACTATACCGGGAAAGACACATTGTACCCCAAAAGGAATTCTAAAAGTTCTTTCCGAGTAAGGACTGTTGTGTTTGAAAGCTCCATAAGCAACAAGAGCTGAAAGGATAGCTCCAATATAGTACAACGTACCAGCGCAACCAGCTATTCTAGCTCTTGCATGTGGCGGGGTAATTTCTGTCAAATATAAAGAACCTGCAGACGCGGATAGAACAGTAAAAAATGCCATAAAGAATCTACCCGCAATTAAAGTTTCTTTATTTTGTGAAACAATCGTAATAATACATCCAATAATAATTCCTAAGCTTCCCCAATGGATTATTTTTTTTCTACCATAGTAATCGATGAGTGGACAAAATAAGGCTGCAACTACCTGTCCTATATTAATAATGGAAAATACTATCCCGGTACTAGTAGAAGATTCAGGATCCAATTTAAAGAACATAAAATACGATGGTTGTGTATAAATACTTGACATAAGTGAAGTATCATATCCAGTTGAAGCAGAAAGGAAATACACTAAACCACAGGAAGCAAGTAATGGAATCATAGGGCGACTAAATATTGGAAAGACATCAATTCCTTCCCAAGTATTGGGAATGTTATCTTCTAACTCCTCCACTTGGGGATCAATTTTATCTTCTTTGGTTGGACTGATATCCAGATGTAACAGCATATTAATTATTTAATTTTATGATATGATCTGTAATCTTTTAGTTCCAACATTTTACTTCAGGACTATTCTTCATATATTTATACAGAAGCTGTGAACTGATTATAATCTAGTTAGTTTCTTGAGTGATAAATCCGGTCAAAAACTTTGAACATTACTTGTGAATGCTAATTCGAAATAATTGTCCAAAGGGATTTGCGGCAAAAAGAATGTGTAACGGCAACAATTGATCGGATTTATTACATTAAGCTTTTTTATTTTTTGTCCTCTGAATGTGGGGGAGAAAAATGAGGGCCTTTTGTAGAATGTCAATAAATATGCGAGTACTAACAGCTGCGCCGTATGTTTGAAGCGAATTAAGTAGTCCCATTTAAGTCAAGCAATGATCACCCTATTACAAAATATAGTATGGGCAAGAAGTTTAAGTATGAAAAAAGCATTATCTAACAGAGTTAATTTGATTATTGAAAGTTTATGTTAATAAAATAAATCCCCTTATTCGATGTTCAGATGATGAGTATGCATAATATTGACTTACAACAGGCATTGAAATGATCAACAATGGGCTATTTGGATCAACGAGCGGGGTTTTATTCAAAACCTAATTTAAATATATATTTGCTTACTAGATTAAATTTTATTACCGAATGGTTAAATTATTTAATCCGTGTTACCTAAACGAGCCGAGTAATTCATAGGTAAGCTAACTTGGGTCTTATGTAGACCAGAAAATTCAGCCACGTAAATTTATTATGATCAACTTAAACGTTTCTCCACTTTTTGCTTGATAAAACCGTTCGTAATTTCATTATTCTAATGATACAAATTTATTTTTACTTGATATTTGATAACCATAAATATGAATTGAAGAATACTTCATTCCTGATGTGTTGCTCTCCATCAACATTTCCGGGTTCATGATGTGTGCTTGACATTAAAATTCCTAAACAACTCTGAAGTTTTCTCAAAATTTGATTATTATTTACAAGTATACTAACTTCGTCCTCTAATATTATTCTACCCTCCATTGATGCGTCAAATTCCTTACTAGGCGATATTTCATGTTGATTAAATAATTCGTATTTATTCTGCCTTTGCATTAGAAACGGAATTACAATAACATCCCTAAACGCTAAAAGAATCGAATTTTCAATCTCTATATTAGCCGTCAGCCCGACACTGCGTTTCGACATGACATGAAAATTTTTTTGTAACGGATGAAACATACTAATCAAGTAAAACCTTATCTTTTGATTAAAATAATCCCATTGTTTTGTAATTCTACTCCAAGAATGTATAAATGTAAGAGCCGGTGAAGCTTTACCATGGAGAGTTTCATTCTTAATTATATCTTCCGAAATTTCAAAATTATTGTAATCTTTCAGAAAAACAATCATTGCCCTAGTGAAAAAGGTTAACAAGTCCAGCGAAACTTCCCTTACCTTGAAATCATCTATAGCCTCCATATTATCCAATTCTAATGATAAACCACTTGATGAATTTGATTTGCTCTCTCTAGATTTCTTTTGTCTATATTTTGGGGATATCATCGTATTTTCCTTTGAGGAGGAGCTTTGTTTTAAATCTATTTGGTAATTTTCCTTTATGAAACTGGATACATCTTCAACTGTAAAGCCAAGATTAGGTATATATGCACCTCCATTCATTCTTCTTTGTTGTGATGGAATGAATAATGGTTTTGTTAAAGTTAGTAAACTCGTAAAAAATCTAGAATTTGCTTTATTAAATTCAAGTGAATAATTTTTATAGTATTCATTATCTAGATTCGTATCGTCCTCTATACCTAGTCCCAATTCATGGTTAACATGCTTGTGGGTTATATTCTGAATAAATTGATCAGTTGGTACCATGAGCTTTTTATGAAGATCTTGTATTGTGGTGTGTTCCGCTGCGTTGACTTCAGAGTATTCTGCTTCAAAGTCTGGATCTGTGAAATTATACATTTTGGCGTTAGTTTTATCTGAAATATAAGAGTTTGATCTGATTGATGATAATGCCAAGGTAGTTCTTGAAGGATTGCTTCCTAGTTTCAGTTGAGTAGGTGAATCTTCTTTGGAAATGGCTAATATTTGGCCATCGATATTTCCTTGACTATTGGTATGTGATCTATGAAATAAATTTTGAAAAGTTGAAACCGGGGAACTAACCGATCCCTTTCTTAATGATCTATTGGTATCATCAAACAGTCCTGAACTCAATATTTTTTTGGAAACTTTAAGACCATGATGTCCAGCTGTCTGAATAGTCAAATCTGGTTTGTTTAAGTTAGTTTTATTAGAAAACTTTAATTTATTCTTAGGTAATTTGAATAAGGAGCCTGATTTCCTGAGCTCTATGGAAGTGAGGGTAGAAACATCATCATCATCATCATCATCACTATTATTTCTAAGAAATTCTTCTGTTAAATCAATTGGAAGATTGGTACCTGACCTATTCTTAGTAAATAAACGTGTCAATGGATTGTTCTTGGTCGTACTAGTACTTAGAGTTGAGATCAGTGATGTATTTGTATTTAACTTTTTAAGATTATTAAATCCGACGCTAGATACCTGTGATGATATATTCCCACTGGATTGATGAACCGGTATATTGGATGAACTAGATCCATTCAGATGTATATAAAAAGGCGATCCCGCCTCGGTGTCATCCATTGCTATTGATGTTCAGGCATGAAAATTCACTACTATCTCCTATACAGTTATTTCGGACTTTAATTTCGCTAAATGCGGAAACAATAATTTTCTGCCTGTACACTACAATTAAGGTCTGTAATATATTTTAGACGTCAACCATATACATGTACTGCTTTCTAGTCTACTTCAGATCAGTAAAATTAGGTGTAATAAGTGTTGGAAATAGATTATGTTTTGTGTATATTAACGTATTAGTCATGATGATCTCCTAATAACTTTACACTCTTCGTCTAGACTTCCTATACCAATTGCCGATCCTACAATTAAATAGATAAAACTGAAATGACTTCTGGATTAGAGGTTAGAGGTTACGACAGCATTACCCTGATAATTCAATAATGATATAATTACCGGAATGTTTGGACATTTTTTCACATTAATATATTGTTCTCTATGAGGGTCCAATATGGTAGCGAAATGTTTTGGTCCCAAATCGGTTTTTTGTTTGCAGCTTTCCTAATTAGGAAGCTATGTAAACAAAGACAATTTCAATCAAAACAGTACATCAAAGAGGGTCAATATGGAAGTAATGAAATCGTATAGAAGTATTGGCGTAAAGAAGATATATCTATTTTTGTTTCTTTCTTCATAGTTAAGTTCATTATAGGTAAGAATTCACAGTATGGATCCGTTTAATTCAAACGAGAATCCATTCAATGATGACTCTCCAATGCTTCCTGGAGCTGCATTCACTAGTGATAAAGCATCACCTAAACGATTTCAACCATTACAGAGAAGAGATTCTGATGAAGAAGAATTTACCGCTTTCCCCCCAACACCTCAACAAAGACACTCTCCCAATATTTTTACAAGAAGTACTGCTAGAGCTCAAGTAGGTGGAAGAAATACTTTAGGAAATACTCCTCATTTACAATATGAATCTGGGACTACTCCAAGAGCACAATTCACATCAAGAGAATCACCAACTAGACAACGTCAAACTGAAATTACAATCATGGATGATGACAACTTAAGCATTCGAGGATCTCCTAGATCCCAATTCGGAGGTAGTAATATTTCTAGCGAAAGATTCTTAGCTCCACCACAACCTATTTTCTCACCAGAAACGTTTGCCGAAGCAAATGTTCATGAAGATGATCAAGCAACTATTGGAGAAGACAATAACGAATTTGAATACAAGGAGAAACAGTTTGAAGAAAGATCAATTTTCTCAGAAGCAACTGCTTATTCTGGATCTTCTTATGTTTCTAATGATCCTCATACTGAAAGTGAATATTTTGGTGCTTCAATTGATGGAAATCTTATGAACAATATCAACAATGGATTTATTCCAAATAGACAAAAGACTATTACAAAGAGAAAGGTTAGGTTAGTGGGTGGTAAAACAGGGAATTTGGTTTTAGAAAATCCAATTCCAATAGAGTTAAAGAAAGTCATTGCTAGAACTGAATCACCATTCGGAGAATTCACAAATATGACTTATACTGCATGTACTTCAGAACCAGATGATTTCGTAGCTGATGGGTTTACCTTAAGAGCCGCTAAGTATGGAAGAGAAACTGAATTAGTTGTATGTATCACAATGTATAATGAAGATGAATTTGCTTTTGCTAGAACAATGCATGGTGTTATGAAAAATGTTGCACATTTATGTTCAAGAACAAAATCAAAAGTTTGGGGAAAAGATAGTTGGAAGAAAATTCAAGTTATTATAGTTGCAGATGGAAGAAATAAAGTTAATGAATCAGTTTTACAATTATTAACCGCTACCGGTTGTTATCAAGATAATTTAGCAAGACCTTATGTTAACAATAAGAGTGTCCATGCTCATATTTTTGAGTACACAACACAAATCTCTATTGACGAAAATCTTAAATTTAAAGGTGATGAAAAGAATTTGGCCCCAGTTCAAGTTTTATTCTGTCTTAAGGAAAGAAATCAAAAGAAAATTAACTCTCATAGATGGTTATTCAATGCCTTCTGTCCTGTTTTGGATCCTAATGTTATAGTTTTATTGGATGTTGGTACCAAACCTGATAATCATGCTATATATAATTTGTGGAAAGCTTTTGATCGTGATTCTAATGTTGCCGGTGCAGCTGGTGAAATCAAAGCTATGAAGGGTAAGGGATGGATAAATCTTACCAATCCATTAGTGGCTTCCCAGAATTTTGAGTATAAGATGTCCAATATTCTTGATAAACCCTTAGAATCATTATTCGGTTATATCTCGGTCTTGCCAGGAGCTTTATCAGCATATCGTTATATAGCATTGAAAAATCATGAGGATGGAACTGGTCCTTTAGCTGCATATTTCAAAGGTGAAGATTTATTGAATGACCATCATAAAGAAAATGAAAATAATAAAACCAACTTCTTTGAGGCTAATATGTATCTTGCGGAAGATCGTATTTTATGTTGGGAATTAGTTGCTAAGAGGAGTGATAACTGGGTCTTAAAATTTGTCAAGCTGGCCACTGGTGAAACAGATGTTCCTGAAAGTATTCCTGAATTTCTTTCTCAAAGAAGACGTTGGATTAATGGTGCTTTCTTTGCCGCCATGTATTCTTTGCGTCATTCCAATAGAATTTGGGCAACAGATCATTCTTTTGCTAGAAAATTTTGGTTTCATGTCGAGTTTGCTTATCAATTCATATCATTGATTTTCTCATTCTTTTCCTTGAGTAATTTCTATTTAACATTTTATTTCCTTACTGGATCTTTAATCGATAACAAACATATTGGTCACAATGGTGGTTTCTGGATCTTTACGTTGTTTAATTATCTTTGTATTTGTGTTTTAACTTCATTATTCATTGTTTCTATTGGTAATAGACCTCAAGCCTCCAAGAATGTTTTCAAGACTTTAATTATTCTATTAACAATATGTGCATTATATGCTTTGGTTGTGGGTTTCTATTTTGTTTTTAATACTATTTATGAATTCGGTATGGGAGATTCATCAACATATGTTCTCATAAGTATTGTTGTATCATTATTATCAACTTATGGTCTTTATACACTCATGTCGATTTTATATTTGGATCCATGGCATATGCTTACTTGTTCAGTACAATATTTCTTAATGATACCTTCATATACTTGTACTTTACAAATCTTTGCATTTTGTAATACTCATGATGTTTCCTGGGGTACCAAAGGAGATAACAATCCAAAAGAAGATAAAACCAATCAATATATTATTGAAAAAAATGATAATGGTGAGTTTGAAGCCACTGTTGTTGATGTGAATGTAGATGAAGTATATTTGGAAACATTGTACAACATTAGAGCCAGAAGATCAAACAGAAAGGTATTATCTACTCATGCTCCAAAGCCAAATATTGATGGGGAAGATTATGCTAAGGATGTTAGAACTAAAGTTGTCTTAACTTGGATGGTATCCAACTTAGTATTCATCATGACAATGCTTCAAGTATATGATCCTGGTGAAACCAAAAGAAATGCTTACTTAGCCTTTATCTTATGGACAGTTGCTATTTTAGCTATGTTCAGAGCTGCAGGTTCCTTGGGATATCTTATCCAAAATTCAGCCAGATTCTTTGTTGAATCTATAAGCAAATATAAAAACAAAAAACAGGGTTATCTCTCTGCTGGTCATAATCCTTTAAACTAATTATTTATATACTGATACCTTTTTTTATAAATAGAGTAGACAATACAGAATAGTCAAACTTTTTTTTAGCAGCCATTTCTGAACACATGACCTGTGTTTACTATTTTTTCTGTCCTATGTCGCACATCGACTGGCGACATCGCTTTTTCAGTTTTTCAGATGTCTGATCTGTTGATGGCTGTTTACAATAAGTTTCGTGTAATTGCAACATTTAACTTATAGTAGATTAGATAGCACAATGGTAGCATTGGAAAGAAAGAGAAAAGAAGATGGTTCTGGGGAACAAAATGGAACCAAGAGACATAAATCGTTCAATACCGCATCGTTTATCTTACATTCATACTCAAAGTTACCAGACTTAAATGAATTTCCAAAGGGAAAATCAGAACCTTTAGATATCTTTGTTTGGGGGACTGGGTCTATGTGTGAATTAGGTTTAGGACCATCTGCCAAGAACAAGGAAGTTAAAAGACCAAGATTGAACCCATACTTATCCAGTGAAAAATTAGGAGATACTAAGATTGTTGATTTTTCAGTTGGTGGAATGCACGTTTTAGCATTAGATGGTAAAAATAACTTATGGTCATGGGGTACAAATGATAGTGGTGTATTAGGAAGAGATACTTCTAAAGCCAAGGAAGTTTTAAAAGATATGGATGCAGCAGATGAAAGTGACGATGAAGATGGAGATTTAAACGAAGAAGAATCTACTCCAAGTTTAGTAGAAAATTTACCAAAAGTTAAGGGCGCTAAGATTGTACAAATTGCAGCTACTGATAATTTGAGTGTTGTATTATATTCTAATGGTGATGTATATGCTTGGGGAACTTTCCGTTGTAATGAAGGTTTATTAGGATTTTTGAGAGAAGAAATTAAATTACAAGCCAGTCCTCTTAAGATCAAAGAATTAAAATCCATCGTTCAGTTAGCAGCTGGTAAAGATCATTTATTGGCTTTAGATTCTAAAGGTATTGTTTATGCATGGGGTAATGGTCAACAATTTCAACTTGGTCGTCGTGTCCTTGAAAGACATCGTTTACGTAGTTTAGAACCACAACAATTTGGTTTATATAATATAAAGTATATAGCTAGTGGTGATTTCCATTGTTTTGCTATTGATCATGATGATCAAGTATTTGCTTGGGGTTTAAATCAATATGGTCAATGTGCCCTTACTGATGTTAATGGTGAATTAGAAGATGGTTCATTAATCACCAAACCTACCTTGATTCCAGCTCTTTCAAACAAAAATATTGTTAAGCTTGTTGCTGGAGAACATCATTCCTTAGCCTTAACTAGAGATGGGGACGTTTTTTCATGGGGTAGATATGATATGAAAGAAGTTGGTATACCTAAGGATAAATTGCCTGAGGCAACTTTTAAAGATGCTCATGGAAATCCTAGATCGGTTCCTGTTCCAACCAAACTTATCTTTGGTTCAGGTAAAACTGACGTTAAAATCAAAGACATCGGTACTGGGTCTCATCATTCATTTGCTGTAACTACTGATGGATTTGTCTATGCATGGGGTTTTGCTGATACCTATGCTCCAGGTTTAGGACCTTTAGATGAAGATGTAGAAAAACCAACTAGAATTGTTAATACCGCCACTAAATCCTACGATATAAAACTTATCGATGCTGGTGGTCAATTTTCAGTTAGTGGAGGTACTAAAATAGAGGATGAAGATGCTGCTGAAGACAGAGCTGATAAATATGAAGACATTGATGAATAGAAAAGTTTATAGGTTTACCTTTGTACAATTAATATATGCTTGTATTTGAATTTGAACTTTTTCGCAGTAATTTCCGATAAACTTATTAGCGCTTGCTCTAACGTAATCTATCATATATTACCTTAAAATTCATAAACAATAATATTACTATAATTACTGTATAAAATGGATTAGTATCTCGGAATTATGATTACCCAAAGTAAAATATACAGCATCTCCTGGGAAAGGAAACTCTAATTTATCATTTAAAAATTTGGCAACTATTAAGGCAAATTAGGCCAATCCACACGACTTTTCAAACAGGAAAAGATTTTCTAGTGGGACGTTCCTGGCCTTAAATACAATCTCCTATGCTTAGTTTCTTAATAACTAGACGTTAGACGTGTTTATAGAGTAACTTATAAGTAACTGGTATCGAAATAGACGTACTGGAAATGTTCCAATCGATACCAAATCAAGGGCAAGCGAATGCGCCTGCTCAAGGGCAACCTAACCAACAAGCAACTTCAACCGACCCGACCAACCCCAGCAATAAAGCGTTAAGTGATGAACAAATTTACCAATGGATATCTGAATTAGTTAGTGGTACTAATAGAGAACGTGCATTATTAGAGTTGGGGAAGAAGAGAGAACAGTATGATGATTTGGCTTTAGTTTTATGGAACTCATTTGGAGTTATGACTGTATTATTAGAAGAAATCACAAGTGTATATCCATATTTAAATCCTCCAACGTTAACAGCTTCTATTTCCAATAGAGTTTGTAATGCTCTTGCATTATTACAATGTGTTGCATCCAATGTTCAAACCAGAGGATTATTTTTGAGTGCTAATCTTCCATTATATTTATATCCATTTTTATCTACCAACGCCAGACAAAGATCATTTGAATATTTAAGACTAACGAGTTTAGGAGTCATAGGTGCTTTAGTAAAGAATGATACTCCAGAAGTAATAAATTTTTTACTTACCACTGAAATTGTTCCTCTTTGTTTGAATATTATGGAAATTTCATCTGAATTGTCCAAAACAGTAGCCATATTTATTTTACAAAAAATCTTACTTGATGATCAAGGTTTGTCATATATTTGTACTACTTATGAAAGATTCCATACTGTGGCAACAGTACTAGCCAAGATGATTGAACAGTTAAGTGCAACTACAAGTAATGCACAAGTTCCTCCTCAAAATTCCAATAGTTCAGGTAGATTATTAAAGCACGTAGTAAGATGTTATATGAGACTCTCAGATAATTTGGAAGCAAGAAAAGCTCTTGGAACTTTACTTCCTGAGCCCTTAAGAGATGGTACATTCTCTATGATATTACAAGATGATGTCCCTACTAAGAGATGTTTAGCACAATTATTAGCCAATATCAATGAAACTCAATGATTTAGATGTCATGCTGCAAGTACGGGTTTGCAGCCATTCCCAACTGTATAATAATGTAAAATGTCCATAGTATGTATTTGATATATATATAGAGAGATCTTTGTATATTAGCAATAAACAAATGTTTCAAAAAGCGCATGAGAATTTCCGGATACGGCAAGCTCATTACCGAGCGATAAAAAGAAAAAAGAAATGCTACATTTGCAGACGGAACAGAGGTTAAATTTACTTATCAGGATATTAAAATTTTTCAATTATACCATCTTAAGTAAAACCTAGGGAAGATGTCAAGCGTTGAAAGATCACACCAGTCACATCAATTCACCCACTCCAATACCAAGAGAAGAGCCTCAGTTGTATTTGGCTCAGTTGGGAAGGGAGGTTTATACATCCCTCAAGATTTTATTGGAGCTGGGACTTCAGATGCAGATGAGTCATTGAGTCCTGCTGTAACTGGAGATGATGAAATATTTGAAGCTAATGAAGCCAATGAAAGACTGGCATTGTTAAGTCCAGGTCCTAAGAATTCTAGATTTCGTCGTAAATCAGAAATAGCTCGTGAATTGTTGCAAGAAGAGAGAGAACTCTTAAAAGATCATAATTTACCAGTTTATGAGGATGAAGAACAATTAATTGATGCATTTGAAGAAGCAGTATTGACTAAAAAGATAGGTGAAACTACTGCCTTAATAGAGTTGAAGGCATTGATCAAATCTTCGATTCCTCTTGTATTAACATTTTTATTACAAAATTCCTTATCAACAGTTTCAGTATTCATGGTGGGACATTTAGGTGCAACTGAGTTGGCTGCTGTATCCATGGGTGCAATGACAGCAAATATAACCGGTTATGCCACTATCCAAGGTATAGCCACTGCATTAGATACTTTATGTCCTCAAGCTTTTGGTGCCGGTAAGTATACCTTAGTCGGTACTTATTTACAGAAATGTTCTGCATTAATTATAGTAGTCATGTTCCCAATCTTAATCATTTGGATGTTTTTTGGTTATGATTTGATTTGTCTTATAGTTCCCGATAAAGATACTGCCAAATTATCGGCTGTTTATTTACAATACATTGCACCAGGTATTCCAGCATATATTTTATTTGAATGTGGAAAGAGATTTTTACAAGCCCAAGGAGTATTTCATATATCAACTTATGTATTATTAATAGCTGCTCCTTCCAATTTAATAATGAACTGGTTATTGGTTCAATTGTTTGGATACCTTGGTGCTCCAATGGCAGTTGCTATAAATTACTGGTTAATGGCTATTGGATTATATATTTCTACAATATATTTTGTTAAACCTGAAGATACTCCAACTGGCCATCATCCATTGATTTGTTGGGGAGGATTGGATCTTAAAGAAGCTTTCAGTAATTGGGGAAAATTAGTTAATTTAGCTATTCCAGGTTTAGTTATGTTGGAAGCAGAATTTCTTGCATTTGAAATATTAACTTTAATTGCTTCATACTTGGGAACTGTTGCTCTTGCAGCTCAATCTATAGGTGCAACAATGGCATCTTTAACCTATCAAGTCCCATTTGCTCTTGGTATTGCATCATCAACTCGTATTGCTAACTTTTTAGGTGCTGGTCTTGGTGGAGCTGCTAAGAAATCAACTCAAGTGTCATTAGTTTGTGGTCTTGTTGTATCATTAGTAAACTTTTTAGCATTATTTTGCTTCCAGACTCCAATTGCAAAGGCCTTTACTGATGATGAAAACGTTATTAAAACTGTTCAAAATGTTATGTGGTTAATTGCTTTGATGCAAATCTCGGACGCTGTGAATGCAAACTCAGCAGGTTGTCTTAGAGGTCAAGGACAAACTAAGATTGGTGGTATAATCAATTTATTTTCATATTATGTTGTAGGTTTACCATTATCCATATATTTGACATTTTACTCACCAATTAAAGGAACTCTTCATGGTCTTTGGATAGGTAGTTGTGTCGCATTAACCATTATCGGTGGTGTTCAAAGTTATTACGCTGTATTTGCTGATTTTGATCATTTAGTCGATGAAGCTAGTAAAAGAACTAATATAGAAGGAGTTTAAATATACTAATGACATTATAATATATAATATTACTATCTAATATACAAGTATGTATCACTACACTTAAAAGGCATCTACCATAATTCCTTCTTTAGTAGACTCAGAACCAGTCAATCTTGGTTTACCAGCCAATAATTCTCTACGAATTTCTGGTCCAATACCATGATGGAATCTTTGTCTTACAGTCTCTAATAAGAAGTCTCTTTGATCATCGGTTATATCATTCTTATAACGTTGAGCAAATGCTAAGAAAGCCTTATGCCATACGACAGGTAATTCTGGACCTTTTTGATTTCCATTATTTTCAATATCCATAGAATCTTGGAATTGTTGTTGACTTGCATTTCTGAATCTCATAAAGTAAAATACCAACTCATCTAAAGTTTGGTATGGTAAAGCATATTTCTTTTCAATTAAAACTCTAATGAAAACAGTAGTAGCTGGTTTGAAATCTCTTTGTAATAATTGAGTTAAGGCAACTGATGAATGTAAAACTGGAACTGAAACTTTTGTTAAGACAGAAGCAGCAATGGTAGCTTCTCTAACATTACAATAACCATCTACCAATGGTAATAAGAAACCTTTAAAGAATGCAGCAGGCTTATATAATGATTTCTTTAATGCTCTGTAAATATGATAATTTAAGGAATGATCTTCGGAATCCTCTATGGATGATCTAAATCTTTCTAATAAAACAGTTTGAATGAATTTTTGAGCTTCATTAGCTTGTAAATTGGATACAAACAACTTAGTGGCTTCATAGACAGCATGGGGAGTCCAAGCATCAGGATTAGTTACATATAAGACATCTTCCCAATTTCTTAAGGTTGGTAAAACTTTAAATAATTTAGGTAACTTACCATGGGTATAAGTAGATAAGATTTGTCCAATTTTTTCATAGGCAGCAATAACCTTTGGTGGTAATAAAACACCCTCTGCTGGCTTTTGCTTTTCAATTTCCTTTTCTTGAATCTTAGCTAAAATCTTATCGGCTAAGTTTATGGATTGTTCTCCAAGACCACCATTGGATTGGAAATATTTATTATATAATTCAGCATCCTTTTCATCGATTTCTATTTCTTCTTCATCATAGTATTCTTCTTCACCTTCAAAATCAGAATAATCTTCACTTTCATCTTCATCTTCTTCTTCATCTGCTTGTGACACTGGGAAACTAGATCCAAATGATACCCCTTCGTCTCCTTCTTCTTCTTCTTCTGCTTTCAATTCTTCTTGTTGCTCTTTGGCTAACTGCAAAATCTTTCTTGAAGTAGATGCATCTAGATATCCTTCTTCTTCTGCTTCCTTCTGTTGTCTCTTAGATTTAGAATCTTTTGAAGCTTGCGATGACCTTGGATTAGTTCTTAAATTTCCACCTTGAGAAGAGATATCTTTATAAAGAGGATTATGACGAGGTTTACCTCTAGATTCAGACACACTGATCTTACCCATGATCCTATACTGTTATTGATCTGTTTGTGTCTATATTACCTTTACTAAACTAGGCCTACTTACATATATATATATTAAAAATTAAAAAATCGAATTTTCAGTTCTGATATTTTTTTTTTTTCCCCGATGCTCACGAGCTCTGCTCATAACTTATCTTCACAAATAGTGACGAGTATATTAACTCTTCACCAAGTTTATCTCTGATGGGTAAGTACCTGTAACCCTGTTTGAGATCAGTAAGTCTCATCACAAGACCACCGATAAAAGTACCTTTATCACCTTCATTATTTAGTGACAGAGTAGAGTATACACTGAGCTTTATAAATACCATTTCTGATTCTGTAGTTATATTACCTTGGAAAGTTTCATTCCAAATAGGATTAAATCCATTCTCTGATATGGTACATGTATTATAAGTCATTATCTTAGTTTCATCATTTAATGGTGATACTCCAAAGATCTCAATAATGACATACGGATTTATAGCATGATCTTCATCCTTTAATTTAGGGAGTTGATGCGCACTAATCATAGTGATAGAAAACTTATAAGTAGTTGATATCATACTAATAACCAGTTGTCTCATAGATTTTATTAATGGTTTCCGTAAGGAATTAGGCTTTAAAACATATCCTTTCCTCTGAACTCCTTCAAACATTGCTTCATTTAATTGTTGTCCTAAATCATATGTTTGCCAATTGGTTGCAACCATTTGTACTCCTTTACACCAACATCTTAATGGTAAGAAATTACTTGATGATACTCTAAAACCAGATGGGTATACTCTCATTAAATATTTCCTATTATGTTTATCAATAGCAATTCTCTTACTTTCATCCTTTAACATTGATTTTATTGTATTTTCACTAAGTGAGAAACAATGATTGAATGTTTTGGATTCAGGTAATGAAAAGTTCCTAAATTTTATACCTTGAATATAAACTCCTAGAGTACTCAACTCTTCAATAATTTTTGCATGTTTTTTCTTTCTTCTTCCAATAATAAACCCAGTTCCAGAACCATTATCTTCACTTAAAGATGTAGTTGTCGTTGTTGTTGTAGATGATAAGGTTGGTGTAGTAAAACTTCCATCTACTGGTATTAAATCGCTAAATGGACTAGTCTTTTTAACTTTAAGAAGAATCTTATTCTTTAAACGTGCTGGTGATGGTAGAATTCCTCCAATATCAATTCTTTGTAAGATTACAGTATCTCCCAAGATATCCTTTAAGATAGTAACTAATTTCCTCTGATTGTTTGCATTACAATTTATTTCAAGACTAACTATTAATGGGAATGTAGTTGAAACAAAGGCAAAATTTTTTATAGCCTTAATAACGTTAGTAAAGGAAATTGCAACAGTAAAGGTTCTCCCATGATTTACAATAGGTTCACTATCATCATTTTCACCATCCCATACATCTATTTCAACACATCTACAACCTCGTTGTAATGCTTTAATATAACCTTCAACTGATGACTCTCCTCCAACCTGTCTTCCCATCAAGTATGTATTATGAGATGAAGATATGAAATACTCATTTAGAGGATGATTAAAATAGTCAGGTATTTCCTCAAAAATTGATTTTACCGGTTGAGAATATTTAGAAAGTAAATAATTATTGAAATTTTCTGGTAACCAATAGTCCAGACTCTCAGAACCAAATTTCCTAAAGATCTTTTGAAGTTGATCTTCATCTATACTTTCATTTTGAGTAGTTGATACAAAATTTTTAAATAAATCAAACGACATCCTGTGTTGATTTTGACCGCAGATACTATGCCAAATATCTTGAATATCGCTTCTTCTCTTTAAATATGATACAAATAATTTGAATTGATTAAAATTTAAGCCATCTTCAAATACTGATTCATCAGCATTTCGAGTCTTCTTAACTTCATTAAACACTGTTTTTAAGTAAGTTATACTTAAATTTATGTTAAGACGCTTAGAATACTTTAGTATATCATTAAAGGATATGAATTCTCGAACATGATGAATTTTACCATCTTCATTATCTCCACTAGAATTTCTATGTCTACCCATTATAATTTCAATCTTATCTTCATCTATATTATTGGCATCAATAAATAATTCTTTAGCCAAATATTCTCGTAATAATTTTAGATTTTTTATGGCATTAATTAATTTCCTTAAATCATGTTCTGAATCAGCAATAAGATGTAAAGTTTTCAATTTCTTTTTAATTTCGTTGAAATAGATAATAGTAATCCATTGATTTTCAAACTCTTTAGAGATATGTAATTCTTCTCGATAATTTGTTGCTTCTTTCTGATATGAAACGGTTTTAATGTTATCTAAAGAAAATTCATATACTTTTGATTTAGGAGTATGAATTGAACTAGGGACAACTTTATGAAAAGAATTTGAAGCTGAAGTAGTAATGGTTGAAGCTATAGTTGCTGAAGGAAATGAAGCATTCTTCCAAGAGAATATAAAGTTACTAGGATCTATCTTAAGTAATATTCTCTTTTTTGATTTCTGAGATACTTTCAATAATGATAATCCTTCATGTAAAAGAACTTGAGGTACTTTAATATTACCCATACTTCTATAAATAGATGGTTCTAATTCAACTTCATCACCATCAGATAACGCCAAATTATTACCGCCACTATTTCCAAGATGAAGAAACGGAATTGGACTCTTTGAACCCGATGCTCTTCTTATTAAAGAGTTAGTGCGAGATCGAGGTGGTGATATCGGACCCCCAGTAATATCATCTTCAGACTTATTTTTATGAAGAAACTTTCGAAATAAGCTTCTACCTGTTTGTGATGAAGAATCTCCTTGACTATCATTAGTTCTTAAATTAGTAAATAGTGTTGGTAAACTTGACAGTACTGGTGAAGAATTAGATCGATGCTGTAGTATGGTGGCATGAGGAGGACTCTCATTTGATGGGGAAGTTTGATTAGAACTATCACTAGGACTTATGATGGATGTCAATCCTATTTGATGATCTGAACTCATGATACTTATTGATCCCTATATTTGTAACATTATCGCCACTAGCTCGGATGAGTTATAGGTCCTAGAGGCTTAAAGTTACTTATGGCCCCTAAAAGTTCTCGCTACAGGGAATTTTTCAGTCTTGTGAGAGAGCCATGGCAAGACAACCATTTAGTGATGATTATATTATATTATATTATATTATATTATACACAAAGTGGATTACAAATCTATATCAGTTTCTAATCTAACATCCATATGGGCATTATCTAAAAGATATTGTTTAACATCATTGACCTCATACTCTCCTCTATGGAATAAACCAGCTCCTAAAGCTGCATCAATACCACAATCCATTTCAAATACTTCTTTAAAATGATCAGGATTACCGGCACCAGATGATGCAATAACAGGAATAGATACATTGGATTTAATTTGTTGTAAAAGTTCAAGATTGTAACCTTTGTTAGAACCATCATGATCAATGGAATTTAATAAGATTTCACCCGCACCTAAATCTTCACAAGCTTGACATAACTCTAATGCACCTAATTCATGAACTTTTCTACCACCTTGAGATGTTACTTGATAATAACAATATTTCTCTCCATTAGGTCCATATTTGGTAGAATCAGTTATTTCAATTACTTTCATATTAGTATCTTTAGGTGATGATATATATTTTCTTTTTGGATCAACAGAAATTACAACGGCCTGAACTCCAAATGTTGCTGAAATAGTTTCAATTGAACTCTTTCCAGTTTTTTGTTTATTGTTAGCATAATATTGTTCAGCAATAGTAACAGCATCTGTACCTATACTAACTTTATCAGCTCCTGATCTGAAATATAAATCTGCTACTTTAACAGCTGGAACCAATTCACCAGAAATTGGATCAATTAAATCTTTAATCCCTCCTCCAACAGTTAAAGGTACAAAGATTGTTTCAGCTGCCTTAGTTAAAACTTTTAACATAGGTAAATCTTTAATAGGAGAATTTCTAAATGATGTGATATTTAAAAATGTAACTTCATCAGCTCCTTGTCTGTAATATTTAGTAGCTAATTCAACTGGTTTACCTAAATTTCTAACTTTATTTGAACCATCAGAATTAGATTCTCTTACATTATATTGATCACCTTTAGTAACTACTAAATCACCATCATCATTAGATCTAACATCAAGACAAGCAATAATTCTTCTACTTAATCCAGTCAATGTTTTTTCGGATGCTTCATTAATAGTAGTGGTAGTTTCATTAGGAGCAAATTTATCCCCTTGTAAGAAATTTCTAATTACTTTTAAACCAGCAATACCTGATTTTTCAGGATGAAATTGAGTTGCAAAGAAGTTTTTATAGGCTACTGCCGCAATGAATGTTTCTGATCCATAAGTAGTATAAGCAAAGTCCCAACCATTAACACTGGCTTCATCAATAACCTTTTTATTTGCTTCATCTAATACAGCAGCGTATGAATGAACAAAATAAAATTTATTAACTAAATTAACTCCATATAAAGTCTTGGACTTTTCAAGGATTTTATCACCAATTTTAATTTGACTTATATGATTCCAACCTATTTGGGGTACTGATTTCTTCAAACTCTTTGACTTAAATATAGGATCATTTACTTGAAATTTATTAAGGTTAACAGATAATAAGTCTAAACCATTAACTTGGAATTGATTTTCTTCTGATGATTTGAATAATGACTGTAAACCTACACAAATCCCCATCAAGGATCTTCCACTTTTTATATAATTATTGATAGGTTCAACCAAGTTTCTATCACGTAATTCCTTTACGAAATGTCCAAAGTTACCTACACCAGGAAAGATTAATTTTTCAATTTGGGAATCATACTGTTTGAATTCTTCTTCATTTTGAATGAATTTAATGTCATACCCACCAATGTATTTGATAGCATTGGATAAGGATTGTAAGTTCCCACTCTCAACATCAATTATGTATACAGTTTCCATACTCATGGTTATTATAAGGTTGAATGTATTGAATTGGTTATTTGCTCCGTATGTCTCATAGATATTTTTCACATTTTTCACTAAGGAAAAAAAAAGAGTCAACCCAAAAAAAAAAGAGTCACCATTTTTATTAGCAGCCATTCAGTAAGATGCAAAACTACTTGATGCGATGTCTACAGAATACTACAGATATTTAGGAAACAATATTTATTTTAGAGTGTCTATGATACAAAAGTAAAGAAGAGTAGGTAATAAAGAGAAGTAAAGAGTGAAAGGAGAGAAAGATAGAGAGAGAGAGAGAGAGGAAGGTGTTAGAGAATGCTCGAATATAAAGAGCCTAGAAAACACCAGGGTATATATATAATACCCTATTTTTTTGTTTTTTATGTTATTTTTTGTTTTTGTTTTTTGTTTTTATGTTTTGTTTTGTTTTATTATATTTTAGAACCACCATTCAGCAAAAAGTGAAGAATAGAAGTCTTCTTCGACTTGATTGATAACTCTTGAATTACTGAGTTCTTGGTAGTAGTCATCAGAATTAGTATTAGAATTAATATTATTATTTGTATTAGTTTTAATATTAGCAGCAGTAGTAATTTCAGTAGTATCAGGATTAACAAAAGGACCATTAAAATAGCCATCTTCTAATTCTTTTAAAGTTTTTAAATATTCATCACTGTCATCTGAACTACAATCACTATAAATGGAATCAGAGTCATCATCAATATCATTAACCAGATAACATTTGGAAAGGGGACTAGGATATTTTTCTTTTACTGGTTTAATATATGGATCAATTACTGGTATAGTTAAATCAGGGAATTTATGACCATCTAACATTGGTTTTGGCATTCTACCATAATCATACTCTACAAATTCAATTTCATGATCTTCAGGACTAGCATTAATAGAAGGAGAATTGTTTTGAGGTTTCTTAGCTGGATTACCAATAATAGTAGGATATGCAATATAAAATGGGCCTGTTGATGTTCTATAAGGAACTATGATTCTATCCTTATAAGTATCACCACCTGGTAATAAGCTTCTAAAGTGTTCTTGATATCCACGACTATAAAACATATTTTCAATGTGGTAGAATTTGTACATATCCATGACGTTAGTAGCAAAATAATTTATATATCCAACTGAAGAACTTTCAGTAACTTCAAAATCATAAGCAGTTGGATTTGGTTTTGAATATGGATTTATAAATGGTACATAAGATTCATTTGAAATATAGTTGAATTCAGCTTCAGAGTCAGTTTCAGATTCAATGTCAGAATCAGTATCAGTATAAGCATCAGCATTAGTATCATGATTAGTATCATGATTAGTATCAGGATTAGTATCAGCATCAATATTAGTATTAATATGAAGATTAGTAATAATTTCAGTTTCGGTTTCAGTTTCAGTATTGGTATTATTATCAGTATTACCATCAGTATTATAAGTAGTAGTTGAAGAATTGAAATTATGATCTGATACAAAACTCTTATTAATGAATGAAGTAGGCTTTTTACAAATAGTTAAATCATCTGCAGAATTACCATTTTGGTTAGTAGCAGTTGAACCATCAAAGTCAGATATAATTTCTATATCTTTACATGAGTTTGTATCATCATCATCAACAACAATAATAAATGATGAAGTATTTGATTGAGTTTTACATTTAATAAAACTACCAAAGGAAACAACAGAACTAGAACTAGAAGTACTAGTGATTGATCTACTATCAAATTCAGAATTAGATGTACAATCAATATGAGATGTTTGATTAATTGAAGAATAATCAGAAGGAACTGAAGAAGGACTTGAACTATTAGAGAAGACAATAGGTCCACGGGTATAAGAATCAGAATTCGAACTAGAGTCAGTATTTAATGACTTCCATTGCAGTCCATATCTAAATGAATCTCTTAGTCTTACTAGACTAGACCTAAAACTATGTCTTCTCAAAGTGTTAACAGGTTTAGTTCCATCAAGTATGTTAATATCACAAGTATCAGTAGTAGTTGAAGTAGTATTACTTTGATAAATATCAGAGTTAACAATAATATTTGAATGATTAGTAGAAGTAGTGGCAGATGATTTTGATTCAGAAATTATTGAAGATAATGAGTGTCTGAAAGATTTTCTAAAAGAATTATTAGATCTAAATGAACTAAATGAACTAAATGATTTGGGACTACTAGAAGGAGGTTTACTAGTATCATCAGAATTATCATCACCAGAACTTTTAATATAATCAGTTAATCTTTTTCTAATAGATTTTGATTTTGGAATTGGGATTTCAAAATCTTTAAGAGCAGCAGAAGAAGTTCTACCACCACCAATAACAACAACATTAGTATTAGAATTACTAGTTACAGTTGGAGATAAAGGTACAATGTTTTTGGATTCAATTCTATTTTGAATTTCATTAAATCCATTTCTAAATGATAAACGGCGATGATCAGAACCAAATAAAACACCAGAAACTGAAGTACAAGGACGAGGTTTTCCAACCATTTGAGGAATACGAGAGTCATAAAGAGCTTCTCCTTGAGGAGTACCATAAGGAAATGTACCAATTAAAGCACCTTGGAGTCGAGCATTACTTTCATTTCTCATACGTCTAATTGATTCAAAAGTTTCAAATTCAGATTCAGAGTCAGATTCATCAATGATTGAAATTAAAGGAGTTGATTCATCACCACAATTAATAAAACTATCAAGTTTATTTGCACCAATGGCACAAGAACCGACAAGAGCGGTAAAGATTGTTTTCAAAGCTTTGTATTGCATTGAAGGAGGATAATTAAAACGGGGAGTAGTTGTATAAATTTGAATTATAGAAATTATCAATAAGTCAAATTGAAAGTGTGTTGGGTAAGGAGTTTAAAAGGAGGAGGATTTAATGATAATACAAATTGAGAGTTTGCAAAAAGGAATTTGTATGGGTGCAAAAAAATAAAAATTAAAAAATTGTTAGTACACAAAATTGCTCATAATTAAGGAAACTAAATTTATCTAGATTGTTATATATTGATAAGTAATCATCTAAAAAGTTAGGAAGTAATATAATAAACTTTGACCAGCAAAGGGTAAACTACTTATGCGGTTGACGCTGCACTACTACTGACTGTTGAAGAAGGTTTTAACCTTTTTGTACAAGTAATATTAACATGAAAGAATACATTATCTTTCATACTTGACAGAATAGTTTCATCATGATCTTTAAATGTTACACAGTATTCATCCATTTTACCAAACATTTCATATAATTGCATTCCAACATGGGTTAACCAGAAACTATTTAAATCATTTTTATTGTTTAAAACAACAATACCAAATTTCACACTTCCCTTACCAAATAAATAATTAAGTTCATGAAGTAAGACTTCAAGATAATTAGGAATTACATCAAGATAATCTTGAACATCTAAATCCATAAATTTCCATCTACGACTTGAATTTTTTGGTTGATTAGTAAAATTTCGAATAGACTCAGAACCATATTGTAATACAGGAGCTTCAAGAACACCACCTGGTTTCATAATACGATAAAACTCTCGAAGAATTGTTTTAAAATTCAATGGAGTTAATTGAAGACATAAATCTCGACTTTGAATAAAATCAAAAGTTTCATCTGGAATAGTTAATAATGAATCAGAATAAAATTCAAAATTCATTGGCTTATGAGAATAAGCTCCTGATGGATCAGGAATTTCATGACGACGGATTTTTGAATATTTAGGAGAATGATTATCTATATTTTTCAATAATCTTATTAATCGTTTAGGAGTATGAGATTTAAAATCTTGAAAGTTTTCAAAGCCAAGTTTTTGAAAATAGTATGTATACAATTCTGAATCACTAGGTTCAAAATTCTTTTTAATTGTCTTAGGTTCAACTTCCTTATATAGTTCTAATTCACTCATAAGTTTTGCATTTTCAACATAGCTGTGACTTTCAAATACACGAACAAATGGTAAAGTAATTGATAAATACCAAGCATATTGTATACTAAAATAAGTATTATAAAGTAATACTTTAACTGATTCTGGATCATTTTCAGACATCTTTGCTTTATATTTATCAAATAATGAAGTAACTGATCGAGCATTAATTATGAAATTATTAGTTAATTTTGTTAAAATATTGATATGATATTTCTCTAATAAAACGAATTCATATGATATTTTAGCAATTGATTGTAACAATAAACCATACTTAACTGTACTTGAATCATCTTCATCATTTGAAATATCTCCTGATTCTTCTCTTTTTAAAACAAATAATGCATCTGCAATCTTATTAAATAAATCTTTATATCTATAATGAGCTTGTTCAGTTTCAGATAAATTATTTCGATTATAAACTGGAGGTAAATAAAGTAAATAACGAACGTAATTTGAAAAATTAACATGAACTAATTCTTCATGATTTTGCATGGGTCTATTAGCCAATTCCAGATCTTCTAATAATAATTCACGAACAAATTTTCTAGCTCCAGCTAATTCATAAGCAAGAATACTTTCATAAAATCGAATATCATAATGTTGAACCAGTTCATATTGTTTTAATAAATCTTTTGAATTTTTATGACGATTAATGAATTTAAGAATTAAATGATTCCGAACACTACCAAAATTTATGGCATCATTACTATGATGTTCAGATAACATTTCAAGAAAATTATTATATCTAAAGATATGATATGCTGGTGTAATTATTATTGGTTTCATTGCTTCAATTGTATTGAGTTGAGATAAATCAAGTAAAGTTTTAAAAGGTGGAATATCAACTGAATGAACAGAAGAGGCTGCCAGTTGAGTTGGAGAAATTTGTATCAGTTGAGATCGTTGAGATTTTGCATCCGAATTAGATGTTGCAGATGTAAAAGTAGTTGAGAATTTTCGTGAGAATCTAGATGAAGTAGAACCCTTATGAGTAGAAGATGAAGAAGGTCCTCCACTAACACCAGATATTGATCCAGTATTACCTGGTGGAGTACTCATCATAAGACCTGCATTTGAGTGACCTGATGATAAGGAACTATTTCTTCTATACTTAGATTGATTTGAACTAGCAGGTGCTATGCCTGAATTATTACTTGAAGCAGTTGAATAAGTTGAATTTTGTCTAGCTCTTTCACGTTCTCTTTCATTAAGTATGGTTAAATCTGACCAAGAAGGAGCTCTATTAGCATTTATATTAGTTGTATAATAATCATCAAGTTGACGTCTTGTTAGTCCTGGTGATGAAGGGAAATTTGAATTTTGATTTTGTATACCTGGAGCTGTTGGAGGGTTAGCTGCCACATAGGTTGTAGCATATCTTTCTGCTATATAGGAAGGTTCAGGTTGATCAATTGAATGATGAGGATTGGTATAAATATTTGGACTATTTTCATCAATTGGTTTTGAAATTGATGAAGATGTATTGAATGAATTTCCTGAAGATATTATTGAACCAGTATCTGATGGATCTGATATTTTTCGACTTGAAGGTCCTGAATTTGAAGAATTTGGATGAGAATATGAATTTGATTGAGCTTGAAGATATTGTATTTGAGGTGGAGATTGAGATGATGAAGGTAACAGCAGATGAGATGAAGCTCGAGGATGTTGATCATTAAAAGTTTCAGGTATATCAAGAATTGGAGTTTGAGATTGAGGACTTTGAGTTTGGGATTGAGAAGATTGAGATTGAGATTGAGATTGTGCTTGCTGTTGTCTTCTCTCTGATTGGAGTTTCTTCTTTCTCCGTTTCTCTTTCTCTTGATTATGTTTATTAATCTTTTGCTGAGTCTGATACGATACAGCCGGTACCACAAAGAAACTCATAGTGTCTTATAATGAATAGTTTAATTTAGCATTAAGTGATATATGTATAGATCAAGAAAATGTAGTAGATATAGTGATTACTTTTATGTGCATTCAAAAAGGTATCGTTACTATATAACTCAACTCAAAAATGTATGGAACTCAACAAAAAAATTATTTAACAAAGTAATTATATAGTCAATATCTCTTATCACTTATATTCTTAATAACTACACACTGTTCAATTGGCTCTATACTCCAATGCAAAAACGGTGTTAAGTACCTATTTAGGTTTTTAGTCTTTTTTTTCTTCCTCAAAATAAATTTTAATAAATTTTTAGCTCCTTATTGTTTTGGTTTACAGATTTTCTATGTAGCTTACATAAGCATAGAAATTGAGAGATAACAAGAATTTTTCAATAGGTAATTATTCGGCTGAAATGTCGAGTAATTTGATAATTTATTCTTTTAATAGGGGTAGTGCTGGTACCGGGATATGTTAGTATAATAAGATTAATTATTGATTTAATATGAATGTATGACATTGAAATTATTGTATGTAAAGTATTAGGTGTTAAATGATAAGGAAATGACCAGGGAGTTAATCATTCATTAAATACCTGCATGTAGACAATCAAAATCTGATAAATACATTAAAGGCGTCAGTTAGGGAAATGGCTCGAATATCTTCTACACTATGGGGTCGTGCCGAGGAACACCTTAAAACCAGGAGCAGTACACTAAACAAATGATTATTTGTATGTACTTTGCCTCGCATAAAGTCATCGCTCCTGCATACGAGCCGCGCCCTAACAAAATTAGACATCATTTGTGTCAAGTTTTTAAAGATTCTTTATTGTATGGAATTCTGCAAGACCACCTCTTTTAACCACATCTGATGACATTTCCATATTTTGTCATTGTCGATACCGATGATCTCATTTATTTTGTGTCGATCAATGAATTTCATAATTATATATATATATGTAGGAATTCTTAATTCTATTAATGTAGTAAATATTCTTATAACCCCATACTCAATTCAATCAATTAAATTAACTCAATTCAATTACAATTCTTTTAATTGAATTCTAACTATTAAACTTAAACTTACTTAAATCAATTACACACTATAATTATGTACATTGAAACAATTTCAAAGCGAATGGCTGAAGCCACTTCCACTGTCACTTCTAATTCTAAAAGATGGATGATGGTGCCTGTCGTTCATGGTGGTTGGCACAATCATAGATGGTACTTACTTCTTCTTTTAATCATTCCTGTCGTGTTGATGCTTTTAGTATATTGGATCAGAAGAAGAAGATTTAGAAAATTAGCTAAACAAGCACAAAATTCTCCAAACCAACAATATTATGAATCTCAAACTCAACAACAATATATTCCACAAGAACAAAGTGGACCAACAAGTTATATTCCTCCAGCTTTACCTCATGGAACAAATTACTCAAGACCAAGTGTACCACCTCCTCATATCTTAGCTCAAGAAAAAGATGCTTATAATAATGTGGTTCCTCCACCTTATGTGGCTCCTCCTCCAGAAGATGCTCACGTTAAGGATTAAGCCAATATATCCATAATTTAGATTCATCCCTAGCATTGTTGTCATTATTTTTTATTTCTTCCCTATATATTCAATTTATACTTCTTTCTCTGTATTTTATGTCATACTTTTAACTTTCCTAATATGTTTTAATATATTCTAATATATTTTGTCTTACTTAAATGTTGGGTGCAAAAAGTCTATTTAAGGTTTGCTTGTAGAGATAAATATGTACAATATACATTTTACTTTAAATGTATAATATTTGCAACTCGCAGGGTAAGTTTTGATTAGATGACTCCTTAAAAAATAAGGTTAGTTAGAACGCCACTACGGTCCTAGAGAATTTACGAGGCTTAAATAACATAGTATAGAAGTGCGAAATCGATTGAAATTGATTAAAATAACACTATAGTACATTAGTTGTCTTCATCGACTGGAATGGAATGGACGATTATTTAGATGAACACTATATTAGAGAATCTCTGAAATTTGTTTTAGAAAAATATTACAATGAAAAAGATTACAATTTCTTCAATAATCCCAAAGAAGAGAAGAAGTTATTAGCGAATTGGTTACCATGGAAGAATAAATTGTCCCTGAATTTAGTAAATCTTTCAACTCCAGATGATGAGAGTGAATTTGACAAGAAAGAAAAAGTACTTCGTAATAATCGGACAAAATTTGGTTATATTGTATCAAACTTTCATATCATTCCAGCAAGAAGACACTTCAGACTAGATGAAGCTTACACAAGTAGTGAAGAATATATCATTGACTTGAACACGGCCTTTCTTCAAGTTAATGACATGGCAGGAGATGCCATTTACTCTCTAGTAAAACATAGAAGAGACTCGACAGAACGAAATACAATTAGAAGCACTATAACAAATCTCATATTTGTATCTATTTCAATTTGGATTACTTTCCCTAGCTTCAAAGAACCAACTATTACAAATGATACGCCAATTATTTCAAGAAATGATCATTTTAAGAAGTACTGCCAAATTGAACCGAAATTAAAAAAATGTGATGATGACAAGTATATTTTAGAGAACTTGGAACAGGTTTCAATTTCTATCAGCAATTTAAAGAAGATAAGTATCAATAGACCTTATTTCCCCAGAAATTTATTAGTTAACGTGCAAAATATTCTTGAATTTATATCACTAATATATTTGGATCCTATTATTGATTCATGGAGTACTCGTGGTGGCGGTAATATATGGAGTTGTCAAATTGGATATGCAGATTATGCGAATGAATATGCAGACTATGGAGGTTCTCCAGAAATACGCTTTATTCAACTTTTGCAAGAACTGAATAACAAAGGTATACAACGATGGAATTACAAAGTTCCAATGGAAATTAAAATTTCCGGCTTGAAAAATTTATTCACTGAGGGCAAACATCTGGAAAATGACTTAAAACAAGTGATCAATTTATGCGGTTTTCAAATGTTGTACCATGAAACTACCATCGCATTTGTAGTGGATAAGAATTGTGTATTAATTGTTGAAATAGACGAAACGAATTTTGAGCAAGAAGTACATAAAAAATTCACCGAAGATGAGGGTTTTGTCTTTGAAATTAGTTTTATGGTAAGAATGCTAGATCATCAACTTGGTTATTATGGAATTAATACGATCGTACTCACTGTATTGAGTGATGCATTTAAAAAGTTCAATGAAGGTCTGATTGAGAAGAAAAGCTTGAACAGATTAAAAAAATCCTTGGTATTGACTAAGAGCGAGATGAAAATAGAAACAAAGTTTCGAAATCTGTTTGTTCGTGATGTTTGGTTTGGCAAGTTCTCACAATTATTGAAAACTGGAGACCAATATGTCAGCGATATAAATTCCAATTTTAAGATATCTATTCCACAATACAAATTCGCAAAATCACTAAAATATAAAACTGATGAACTTAAAAGGAGCGATTTTGAATATGTACGTACACTACAATCTGTAGGCTTAAATGGAATTGGTTTTTTTTCTGACATTATTAAATTGAAGTACATTTCTGGACCTAACAAGGGTGAAGAAGTAGTTCTAAAGGTCCTTAATCCCGTTTGTTCTCCTAGCTTCTCTAATCAACTTTTCCCCAGAGATAAATTTTTCAACACACTATCATATGTCCTTGCATTATTTCTTTCCGAGTTACGAGCATATTTCATTTTGAATAGTTTTAGTTTTGACTTTTCGAACGATGTGTCAAATTATGTTCCAAAGCTTTTCAAATTTGGATTCATGGATTGGAGCAGCAGCCGCAAAGGTAGTAAAAATTGGTACAAAAACTTACAGGGCTTTTATTTACTTCTAGAGTACATCCCAAATGTGGCGAATGAGATAGATACAGAAGTACTTTTACAGGAAGCCAACATTGCAATCGATGATATACATCTTAAAGGAATTCTTCATGGTGCCATTAAATTTGAAAAAATAGCATATCACAAAATAAAAAAACAAGTATATTTTCTAGGATTTGGACATTCGACAACCAATGGATCTATCAGGCAAGGAATAGAGGAGTTTGAAGAAGCTAAGAAAAAGGAAAAAGAAGAGCTACAGGCTGTCATAAATCCCCACCAAAGTCCGGTATTAAACAATAGTGATACTACACCCGAGCACGTAGTTCTTTCTCCAACGTCTTCAATAGAAGACAATTAGGCTAATTATAATAAATCGCTAATTGTTGCAAAATATTCCAGTAATATACAGGATTTGTCTATGTCGTGTGGTAGCTTAATTCTGACTGAACTCACTGTTCAGCTTATAAGTCAGTAAAATCTTGGAGCCCACCTCAGGTTCAATACCAGGATGATACTAAAGATAGATTTTAGCTAAATACTAGTTTTGCTTTCGTTAAATCGGTTTCTTACTCTATATATTACATAATTCAATCTAGATCTAAATTTATGTGGATGCACAATATGTCTAATTATAGAAAGGTATATTGATAGTCTTTTGTCCGCTTTAACTAACTAATTTTCTATATTTATCATCTTTCTTAATCAATTAATTCCGATCAAAGCCAAGGTGGACCGATTCTAAGTAGGCCACTATGTGCCAGACAACGACCACGCACTTTGAGCAACCATACTGCACACAACCCCACACAAACTACTAAGCCCATGCATTACATCAGGCAAAGGGAAAAAGCAAAAGGAAGAGGGATAACGTAATTTCAGGTAAAGGCTTGGCCTGACTACAAGAAAAAAAATACGTATGAAAGTATTTAATATCATAACCATTCCTTTCATAATATAATTAAGTGATTTGAATCGTTTACTAATTTCATAGACTGAATAAATTGTAGATAATTCAATAAAGGATGTTCATTCAAAAGCTCTCTTCAGCCGCATCCTCGGACAGTGATGTATCCTTGGTGAAGAGAATAATTTATTATTCGAATGGTTATACCAATCCATGGTATCGTCATAGATGGTATTTATTATTCATATTATTAGTACCTCTTGCATTTATAATTATATTTGCACTTAGAAGAAGAAGATTTAGACAAAGACCAGTCGTTACTCAGCAACCATTTCCAAATCAACAGCCGTCAGGAGGTTATCCACAAACCACTCAAACTGGCTCGGCTTATTATTCTCAACAGGGACAAGGTTATGGAAATACTGGATCAAGTTATGGTGCTTATGTACCACCACCACAACCGGAACAAAGTTATGGTGGAGGCTCCTATGAACAAGCAGGATATGGTCCATCAAGGGTTGCTAATGATGAAGCTCAAGAAGTTACAGGCAGCTATTCAAGACCAGAAGGACCTCCTCCTGGTTACAAGTCTTAGATTTAAATGGGAGTAATGGTTTGGTTTTACAATTTATATATATAGTTAATGTATCTCAAAATTATAATCATACTAAACGTCGTATTAAATTTATTTTAGAAGATTGATGTCTCACTATGTAAGCATCAATTTAATGCACACGAGAATTAGTTGCTAAAGAAGATTGAATCTCTCAATCAATCTACTATTCTACAGCTCAATGACTTAAATGACTTAGATTGATTAACTTTTCCGGATCTTTATTTTTCGGCTCTAAACCGTGGCTCTTTAATATGAGTCATCTTTATTTCTTGAATATACAGTACTTGGAAAGGCTGTAAGATATATAGTCATCCATATCGAGCTAGTAATAAACTTTGGTCAGGTAGCTCCGATTGATGACTCGGCTTAGTTTTAATGTTCAGCCGTTGCAATAAAAAATACGAGCGCTGTAACGGGAGACGAGAATTATAATTGGGCCGAACATTAACAGCACATTGTGTAAAACGGGTTGCCCAATCTTATCGAGAAACTCAGTCATCTCTAATTCATTAACATAATAATGAATATTCTTTTTAACCAATTGGGCATTGTAATTACAGCCATTGAGCCGAATGAAAAAGGAATATTAATACATTAATTAACCATTACGTAATTACAATATCCAGAATTTATAATATTTCGACTATGTTAATATTTGTTCCGACGGTAAACTTGTAGTGATTGACGGTTTGCTACAATGGAGTATATAGCATGAAATTTAAAGCTTAAATCAATCATGCAAATTTAATTAGGGCCGTGCGTATTGCATCCGCATGCTTGATTTGGAACACGGTTAGACGAAATTTAAAATTTGAAGAGATTCAGAAATTACAAACGAGTCATTCATTGTTATGTCAATCACTTACATTTTGGCATCTGAATAAATGTATTTAATTGTAGATAAACCACATCGAATTAAGATGTCGAATTAAAATCACTTTACTTACAGTAACATAAATCAATTAAGCTGACAATATGTATATTTCAGGAGAAGGGCCAATAATTATAATAAAGCGTGATATTAGCTCGGGTCATGTCCTTGTCGCTGTAATCTTGGCTGTATTGTTTCTGTTAATTGTTTTCATTATAATATGTAGAAAAGTTTGTTTAGGACCATGATCAAAACCTTCAAATAGGACTATCAATACAGTAACAATTCAGCCTATACCTTCTGTGGTACTCAATAATATCAACATTAATACACTTCTCCGACCACAAACTAATCTTCAAACAATACCCGCTACGACCTCTAGAGATAATGCTAATAATACTAATAATGTCAATAATACCGGTGAACACAGTCTGGATGTAGTTCTTGATGTCAGTGTATTGAATGATAGGTCCATGCACGATTACCTCAACCTTGAAACTCCAAACTTTCCTCCACCGACATATAAACCCTAAATTTGAACAGATAAAATCTGAGGCGCACTACTTTTGCAGCCATTTAGTATATGTTATTTCCATCTTTTTCAAATCAAATAAAAACCAATTCACACGTATTTTGTCAAATCCGTGGATATTAACTTATTACTATTGATATATATAAAGGAATGGATGGAAGCAAAATTTTTTTGCTGTATCAATTGTATAAGAAATAGAAATATCTAAGGAACGTTATCTCAATTGAAAATTGGAGTTGCCTGTTTCGAGTAATTTATTTGAGATTCTTCCTTTCACTATGCTTGTTTCTCTTCCCTTTCTATATTAATTCACTTCAAGCCTATTTCCAACAGAATTAGAGGATCATACTATAGCTCATTATTACAATCAATAGATCAATACATGCTTATTCCCAGAGATACCTGTCTGCAAGACAAATATCTGTTTTCTGAAGTTGGAGAAATCATTTTGAATATATATATTGGGATTTTATTAGTGATGCTTGGACTTTTAGCAATTTTTATCATAATCGTTATTATTTTAGAAACTAAAGATGAAATTAAGAAAAATAGAGAAGAAGTAAAAAGAATTAATGACGTCTTCACAAACACAGTTCCATTGCACGAGCTCCCCAGACATTAAATAATAATCGGATTCTTACAGAGGATGAAGTAAATGGTAAAAAGACTCTCAAACTACAACATCCAGTCTGCAAATTTTGGAAATAGGGTAAAACATAAATTTATACTTAATTAATATTCTAATAAATGTTTAGATTTGCAATTTATTACAAACACTAGACCTATTTCAATTGAAGGCTTATTGTTTTACTCTTTGTTTATGTCGTATTGATATAAACGACCATTAAGCATAAAATATCACTTTGTAAATTGTAGTTGCTTCTTTTGGGGTCATTTATTGCGTAATTGTGTTAAAGATGAAAATGAGCAATACTATAAACCCCATTTCCAACAGAATTAGAGGGCCATACTTAACTTATTAATACATAGAGATGTTTATTAGCAGAGAAAATTGTTCAGAAGAAAATGCAAAACCTTTGAATATAGCTTTGGAAATCTTTTTATGTATACTTTTTGGGATTCAAGTAACTAGTGTTGTGTATATAATAATTTCGCTGATATCATCTTATTTTAAAGAAAGAAAAGATAGACTAAATATAAGGTAACAGTTCGAATTACACCCGTTCTACAATGACTTTAAGATGCGACGCCTAGGTCTATAAATTTTAGAAAAGGAGAACACATATAATTCTAGTTAATTGGATGATTTAACAAATGAGTAGTTTTTATTAATTATATAACAATACGAATTTAATACAAAAATTTATTTAATATTAAGAAGGGATCATGTTATGTGATAAATGACTTCAGGATGCTTAAATCAACATTTCTAATGGGTTTTCAATAATTCTCTTTAATTCCTTAATGAACTCACCACCAACAGCACCATCAACAACTCTATGGTCAAAAGTACCAGTGATAGTAATGACATCTTCAAATACAAAACCTTGTTCATTAACATTAGATGGAACAGCCTTTTTATCAGTAGTACCAATGGCAAGAATAGTGGATTGAGGTGGGTTAATAATAGATGTGAAAGCATTAACAGCATTGTTCATACCTAAGTTAGAAATACAAATAGTACCACCTTGGAATTCTTCTGGAGCTAATTTACCAGCCTTAGCTCTCTTACCTAAATCTTTAACTTCATTAGAAATGGCAGATAAACCTTTAGTATGAGCATTCTTAACAATTGGAGTAATTAAACCAGTTGGGGTGGCAACAGCAACCGAAACATCAACATTACTGTATTGTCTAATGTAACCTTGATCACCAAACCAAGCAGAATTGACAGCTGGAACTCTTAAAGAAGCTAAAGCAATAGCTTTAATTAATAAATCATTAACTGATAATCTATATCTTTCATCAGCAGAAGCATTTAAGGAAGCTCTTAATTTCAATAATTTTGATACAGAAATTTGTGATTGAATAATGAAAGTTGGAGATTGTTGAGTCGATTGTAATAATCTAGAAGCAATAGTCTTTCTCATAGTAGTAAGAGGAATGTCTTCAAAAGTAGCACCGGCTGGGGTAGCAGGAACAGAAGGAGCAGCAGCAGCAGGAGCTGGAGCCTTATAACTTTCAACATCCTTGGCAATAATTCTACCATTTGGACCAGTACCCTTAATGTTCTTTAATGCGATACCTTTTTCTAAAGCAATAGTTTTGGCTAATGGAGATGCAAAAATTCTAGTGGTTGGAGCTGAAGTTTTGGTGGCAGCCGGGGTTGAAGTTGGAGCTGGAGTAGCTGGTTCAGCTGACTTAGCTTCTTCTTTTGGAGCTTCAGCAACTGGAGCTGGAGCAGCAGCTTCTCCTTCACCAGCATCAGCAGCTGTGAAATTTTCAAAAGCAGCAACATCAGAAGCATCTTCAACATAAACAGCAATTGGTTTACCAACTGGAATATCTTTAGCACCTGAATCAACTAAAATTTTAGCTAAATAACCTTCTTCTTGAAATTCAAAATCCATGGAAGCTTTATCAGTTTCAATTTCAGCAATTGCTTCACCCGGAGATAATTCATCACCGACTTTTTTAGACCAAGAACCCAAGTTACCTTGAGTCATGGTTGGTGATAAAGCTGGCATATTAATGACAATATGAGGAGGAAATTTACCAGAAGAATATAATCTAGCCAATTGATAACCAGAAATATTAATCTGTTTATGAGCCATAGCTCTAACAGCCAAAGCAGCTGAAGATCTTGAAGCAGCTAAGAAGGCAGACATTTTTTATATATATACTTGGGATGAGACGGATGGTAAAAGGGAATGAAAAATTGAAAAGTTAAAATGAATTTGGAATAGATTGATAGATGATGGATTGAACAAGCTACCTCCTTACTTAGTACAGGTTGGTAAAGTATATACAAACTAATTGAAGGAATTAGATCTTAAGATGTATTGATAAAAATGTCATATTGCTCCTATTGCCTAGATTTTTTTTCGTTGGTTTTGATGAGAGCGGCACCTGCATACAGCCCATAGTTAACGTTTTTTTCCGATATAGTGTCGGTAGACATTGATGCGAGCCTTGATGATTTCGGAAGTTAAACGCCGGACTCAACAACCGATATTCGCCTAAGTCCCGGATTGAATAGGATAGGAACTAAGAAGATGTGGTACAGTACTTTATTAATAAGTAGTAATTTGTTTTGTATGTAATTGATCTATATAAATCATAAGATAAAATTTAAAGTTAAAGATCTACTTGATCACTATTATAATACGATTTATCTATGTATGATGATTTATCATTAGTAGAATTATTACTACCATTGAAAAATCCTCCTACATCACTATAACCTCCAGAATCTTTTTTAGTCACCTGATCTTCATATATAACATTAACAGCTCCATTCTTAACTAAACTATCTTTAGCAGTTTGCCATGAAAATCTAATAAATCCATAACACCATCCAAATACTTTATCTACATTATTATTTAACCATTTAGAAGTATTGGGATCACTGGGATATCCTGACCCTAAATTATGACCTTGTAGAATTGTTACATTATTATTAAACCATTTTAAATTTTGATCTCGAGTAACTTTCGCAACAATTGATGCAGTACTTACTATAGGATATATACTATCAGCCTTTTTTGCTACTGTAATTTCTATACCTTCAAATATTTTACTTAATTTAGCTTGATATGTACTTGGAGGTCCAACAGTATCAACATATACTTTCTTAACATTTACACCACGAGAAACTATCAGCTTAATTAAGTCTATAGTAGTATCATGAGCTTGTTCATTTAAATTATATGCTTTCCCATTACATTTAAGCATACCTGATGAAATATCTCGTGCTGTAAGTGTAGTTGTAGCCCATCCAACATGTTTATTAAGTTCGGAATTTTTTTGTTCAATAGTATCAAATAATTCTTGTCTTCGTTCTTCTTTTAAAGTCTTGGAATCAGCAAAACCATATTTCTTTTGTAAATCTTTCAGAAAGTTTTCTAATGAATACGCTATACCATATACCATAGGACCCAAGACAGGACCTCTACCTGCTTCATCTACACCTAGAACTACTGGTAATTCTTTATTTTCAAGGATTTCAATAGGGATCTCTGAATGATAAGTCGATGATTTGAACTGTAACGGCGACTCTATAGTAGTTACCGAAAGTGGATATACTGTTTGAGGTTGTTCTGTTTTCCTCCTTTTATAAACTGGCTGCGATGATTCTTCATGATCTACATCAGACGCTATCTCCGGATCTTCAGATGTTGTCCTCGTTATTCCCATTTTCTATAAGCTTGAAAATGTTACTAGAGATAGTATTTATATACATATATTTTTATAGCTGAGATATTTCACTATACGCGTCAGTAAATATTGGCTAGTTTTATGTCGCGACACAAATAAATATGACACAACTCAATTTATGACAAATCTATATTCTATAACTATATACATATTTAACTAAGATAATTCTTGACACTTTCGTAAACAACAAACGTCACACATGTAGCAGGTAATACACGCACAATGTTTGCACTTAGTCCTTTATAAAATCCCTTAATTCCACCTTCATTAATATATAAATCTCGAATGATCTCTCTTAAATGACTATTATTCCTTGTAATCTGTATCCTAGAACGAATTACTTGAGTAGGATACATGACAATCATACTTGAAATTTTTGATAATGCAGAACAGTAAATATATTGGAGCGTTGTCAATTGCTCATTTGTTTTAACTGATTTAGACTCATTTATATATGATTTTAAATTATCATAAACAGTGAACTGAATACTAGCTTGGAAAATCAGGGCAAGACTAGGTATCAAACCCTTCCAAAAACTGAAAATCCCCTCATTTCGAAGCATGGTAGATATACCATGTCTTAAAGACTTATAACTCTCACGTTCATGACTTGAACTACTTAAAAATCTTGTCTTTAGTACCCATATTGGATTTGTAATAATCGATGTTGTAATACCAGCCATCGAAGATGCCGTGAAATAATACATGGTGGAATTTTGAGATCCTAAGAGAGACTTAAACTCTGCATATAATGTGAAGTATAATGACCATGCAGATATATTTCCAATTAAGTTGGGAATTATTCCTCGATAAAATTGCTTTAGAACATGATATGAATAATATCGATTTATAAAATTCTTTGACTTATAGAGGTTGTAATCTAAGACTGAATCTCGCCTAATCCTAGATACAACTTGAATTATAGAATTGAATGGCTGATTATTTGTATTTACATCTGTATGAGCTAGCTGTAATCTAACCTTGATTAGATCTAATGGATGCCCTACAATTGTAGTCATGAATCCAGCCGAAAGGCCAGCTAAAGCATCGATTTGTCGAGGATCTGTTAAAAACTTTCGGTTATGTCTCGGCAGGCTTGATTCCATGCTTGCTGTTGTCTGACTCATATTATATTATACATGCTATGCTATTCACAAATGACTTGTTCTGGGTTGGTACCGTTGTGTATGTCATCAGGAAGTGTACGCAAAAAAAAGACGTTGATATTTGGGCTCTTTGGACTACGATATCGGAATTCATACGATTTCTACGATATATAATTGGAAGTTAACGGGCTACAACATACAGTTACAAGGATTATTAACCAAATAAGACATCATTTACAACATGTATTTAAGAAAGAAGTAGAATACCGATAAAACTATATACATATATCTTCTAATTTTTTCATCTTCTTCTATGAATCATTACCCAAATTACAGTAATCATTATAAGTTCCAGGTGAATACATATATAAAAACAAATAATAACTTGTAAGTGTTATATAGTAGTACTATTCATCTTCTAAGGTGAAACTCACAATAAAGTTGAAAACTAAAAGATAATCACAATTTCGAATACTCCATCAATCTGACTTCAATAACAATAAGGTATACTCATCTATTCCTTTTCATTAAAACATAAAATTATCTAAGCAGATGGGAAAGGACTCAATAAATTAAATAAAGATGGCTTGTTTGAAGTACTAGACCATCCCAAGTATAAGACAAAAGGAATGAAACCATAGTGAGCAATGGTTTTAGAGTAGTCTAAAACTTTAGCTATTCTTTCTTTGGATTCATCAGATAATGTGATTTGATATTTGTTAACTGGAGAGTCGGACATCTTTAACTATTTTGTATATTGACAAGCGGTATTAGAGAAGGTTACTACTAATGCCTCCATCTTTTGAGAGCAAAAAACTTCAACGAACCTGAATGGATTAAGAAATTTTTGTGTGCAGGCACTTACATAAGCACATACATTAAAATATATTGCAAAATAACTAATGATTTATACTATTAATATTCAGAGTTAAATTCGTAAGAATATCTTTTGTAGTTAATAATGAAGGATCAATTTGGAAATAGTTCTGTCCAATTAAATAGAATCCAATATCTTGATTGGTGATTTTCTTTGGTTTAAGTGTTTTATATGCATTGTACATTGTTCCATAAGGTGGTAAATCTGAACTATTAAAACGTACTGATTCAGTTATTAATGATTTTATAAAATCTGTCTGAATAGCTCTTGCTGGTTTTCCAGAAATACTGTCAATAATAATTGTAGGTTTGAAATCTTGTTTATTAAGCAATGATAAAAGATATGACTTATTATTAGTAATTTCTGGAGATGTAAGGAACACAGTACCTAATTGAACGGCGGATGCTCCCAAGTCAATATATAATTTAACTACTTTCGGATCAACTATCCCTCCAGTAGGAACTAAATCAATATCAATGTTGTTATCATCAACATATTTTTTAGATTTAAGAAATAATGCTAATGTTGATAAATTCTCATCAAAATGCTTCAGAGTTAAAAAGTTCCCACGGTGTCCACCTGCCTCATATCCCTGAAGAACTAATATATCTACCCCAAGGCCTACCAAATATTTCGTCTCTTCAAGTGACGTGGATGTTATTGCAACCTTTATCCCCGCACTTTGTAATTTCTTGATTGTATCCTTCTCTGGATGTCCGAAATGAAAGCTTATAATGCTAGGCTTTAATGTCGTAAGATATTCTATTACAGATTCATTATTTTCGTATTCCTTAAATGAAATATTCCCATTCTTAAAGTTGGAATCCTCGTGATCCAATGATGAAATGGAGAGGGCCTCTTTATACATTTTTTTCCATGAGGTTATTTGACTTTCAGTAACAGGATTTACGACTTCATGACAAAAGAAATTCAAGTTCACTATTTTGCCACCTTCATAGTTATCAACAATTGACTTCAATTTATCAATTCCGCTAGGTGAACGGAAGTCAATCGTTGATACGGGGATTGAACCTATAGCTCCGAATTTAGTTACTTCATTTGCAAGCTCAATGGTAGATATTCCTGCCATTGGAGCTTGAATTATCGGCACTCTGATCCCCAATTTCTCACAGAACTTGATGCTTTTAGACATACTTAATAGTTTCCTAGCCACTGACATCTTAAATAATATGTAAAGCAAAATCTAGTAGTCTTGAAGTTTATTTATATAGGTAAAACTAAATAGTGGGGCACCGAGATGTCACTTTAGTTTTTCCGTGGATCTGATAAAAAAAATATACATTAACTATAAGGATAAAAGGAACTATTACATATATAAAGTTGTCAAAGTGGTAGTATTGAAATATCCAGTAAAAGTGGGTTCAATCACTTGAACAAAAGTATTATCATTTACAGTAGTTTGATCTAATGTCTGGGGACCCTCAGAAACATGAATGTTAGCATTTGCATCATCAATTTGTTGGATTGCTTTAGGACATACCAAATTTTTACCTGCTCTACAAGCCACTTGAACACTATTTTTATTAACCATAGTAAATTTTGGAACTTCTTTCCATCCTTGAGCATGTAATCTTAGTTCAGTAAATCCAAGTTTTAATTTTCTGATTTGAACACCCTCAATAACAATATCCTGAGCCATAATTTGAAACATAAGATTTTCATGGGGTCCAACATCACAAGATAATTCACCGCTAATTGATTGACCAATAGTGACATCTGATCCGAAAGTGAGTTTGACACCAAAGAGTAAAGGAAATTTGAATGACGTAGTTATACCTAAACTTGAATCTATTGACCAACCTTGTTTATAGTTTGCAGGTTGACTAGATAAGTTTTCACGACATCCTCCTAAATTGGCCCAGATGTTATCCTTTCGAGAGGTTTTCATATGTTTAAATCTTATTTGAACATAATCAACCTTTTTATCATCATTTCCTTCATCGTATTGCCTTTGAGGATCAAATGAACCTTTATAATCTTGTTGTAACATACGTTGGCCAAGAGTTTCAGAAACGATTATTGAATTATCATCAAGAATCCTAATCATACCATATTTCTTCAAATGTGAAACCTTAACATCGTCATATGTTTCTACTGTTTCAATGTTCTCAGGATTAGAATAAGCACGAACAAGATTAGATGGTTGCTGATAACTTGTTTTTGGTTTGAAGAATAGGATGGCTGATACTGGAGATAGCAAAATGGCAAATAAAAGAATTGACTTAGGAAGCATGATTCACTTAGCGCTTTTGATAGTTTTCTAAAGATGAGGTAAAATATAAGATTACGTTCATAAAGTTTTTAGTCAATTTAAATAAATAATCTACAATTATTGTTCTGGTTATTATAACATATAGCGTAGCAAAATATAGGCTGCAAAATAAGCATAACAGTTTTAGTTTCGCGTTTGAGCCAATGAGAGTGCTAAAAAATATTATTAGTAAGGTACCACTGAATATATGATGCTTACCGTTAAATCACATTTGGGAACTATGAAAAAAAATTCATATTTACGATCTAAATCATAAGCATATCGAATATATGTTCATAACTACTGAAGAAAGAATAGTTTAATTACCACAAAAAGGTAAGGTACGTTAAAATTAAACATTAAAAATAAAATGAAATTAAATAAACTTCAAATTTTCATGTATTATATCAAATTCGATGGTTGTGTATATATCATTATATAAATATATGCTCAGGTCTCATTTGTCATAATATAATTGGTTCAAGTAGTAGTCAGATCATTGCATACCTTGTGATGATTCGATCTTCGTACAATTTTTCACAGTCAAAAGAAAAAATAAAATTAAACGACGATAAAGCAATTGGGATACGACCCATACAAAACCCAAAAAAGAAATTTATTGAAATTCTAGCTAATGTGTAAAGTACAATGTTGTAATGAATGGAAAAGATGTATAGTTTGTTGAGATGATATTAGTATGATCGATGGATGGTATGTAGGAATGATAATATATAGTTATGAACAGCTTGTTCATTTGAGTTGTAATAAATAATAAGCACCAGATGCAAGTAAAAAGACCAAGACAGCCAATAATGGATAACTTGAACTACTAGCATCACCACCGGTTTGATTCATAATAGAGCTGGTCTTCTTGACAACACCACCTTCTAATTTTCCAACTAATAAGCCAGATAAGATTTGATGGGCATCATCAGAGTGACCAATATCGTTGAAGGCTTCAGTTGCATCGGAACCAGCAACATCAACAATAACTTCTTCACCACCTGGATGTTCATCTACATATTTGGTGACATCGTAAACTTGTCCATTATAAACAATCCATAAATCATCAACTTTGTTATGTTCACTGACTTCATCAATGGTATAAGTCTTTAATTCTTCAGACATTTTTATTATTAATATTTATTATGTTCTATAGTTGATCTAATTTAACCAAATCAAAGGAAGAAAGTGATAAGTTCTCTGATAAGTTTTTCTGGTGATAAATAAATTTTTGCTGTGTCGTTGTATTTATTTATTTATTTCTTTTAATTTGTTGAGTGAGGATATGAATTTTTTTTTTGCAATAGATATGCTTTATGTTGGCTGAAAAATATAACTGTATATAGTTAACCTACTCCTTGATTAGCTAATAGGTATTATTATAAACTAAGGGGAATATTCATTCTTATATATTATTTTACACTCATTTTATACTCTGAATTTTTGATCTTATTTTACTATACATATGATATTGCAAATTATCGAACGATCTTAATTACCTTTTGCCTTCCCCTTTTACAATGTAAGTTTTTCACCCAAACTAGCCAACGGGTTTAACCCCATTAACAATCAACCCACTTATCTTTTTTATTTTCAGAGTTATGGCTTGTGAAATTTATTTCCTATTTAATAAAAACTTATCACAGTCAGTAACATCCACACATCAATACTTATCAATATGACCGCGGGATACCTTAGCCTAATAGGGAAGGAGTTACAACCGATTTTGGCGGCTCTAAGATCATTTTCTGATTTAACCCAAACATGTTCTCAGATTGAAATGATTATCTAGTTAAGTTCAACTTCTAGCATTAACGATAGCCGCGTATACATTTTAGCTGTGCTTGATGCAAGAAGAATCTCGGAACATTTAAAATATCTATGCGCAACATACAATTTGAGTAAAGTGAACTTGTTACAATCAGTTTCCAAAGTTTTCTTTTCTGGAATTGTAGAGTTTGTTTTGATTGTATTAGAATTAACCTGAAATACAACTAAGTAGACATGGTCTTTCGAATCTAAGTGCTATAATATACATTAAATGCTAAAAACTATTGTATAAGATTGGAGAGTTTGATTATATATTATTTAAATCAAAATCAATACCCTTCGATTTTAACTCCTTTTGTTTAGCTTCCTTTTGTTTTTCAAATCCGGCAACCAACTTAGTCCATTTCTTTTCCGATTTTGGTTTGTCATGCTTATGTTTTGAAATCTTCTTCCATGGGATAACTTTGAACTTTCTGTCTGAACCCTTAAATAAATCCTTTCCGTTAAGACTTGATTCAACAACAACTTCACATTTTATTAAATGTCCGAATAATAAATAATTGTTCATTGTTTCGGCAGCAATTTTAGCTACTTCAAGATTATCAAATTCGATAAATCCAAAATGCTTGGATTTACCAGTTTTCTTATTTCTAGATAACTTTAAATTTATTATATTACCGAATTGTTCAAAATATTGAGTTAATTCGGCCTCTTGAAACCCATTTGGTAAACGACCGATATATATAATTCCTGTTTTAGATTTCTTATTGGCTGTGGCTGATCCACTAGATTGTTCCTTGTTGATTACTTTATTAACGGTATGTCCAGAAGTTTTGGTTTGGATCTTGATTTCTTCTATTTGCTCTTCTTCATCATCTTCACTAGATAAACCTTCTAAATCGTCATCATCATCTTCTTCATCATCATCACCTTCACTTTCTTCAGATAACTCTTCTTCTTCATCATCTTCTTCGTCTTCAGATGATTCTGGTAATTGTAAATCTTCTTCAATTTCTTCTATAGATTTATCATTCTTAATATTAGTTTCTGGTTTCGAGTTGGCCTTAACAGCCTTGACATTTCCTGCTTTCTTAGCCATCTTTGTCTATACTGCTTTGCTTAAATCACTAAGGTTCATACATAATATCTAAAATTTTTCAGGCATATATTTTTTTAGTACAAGATGAGATGGGGACATTTACGGGAAAAATGTCGCACACTTATGACACGACATTTTGCAATCTATTTACTGGTTACACTTCAATTATTAGAATCAACTATTAAAGCTTGATTCAATAGTTTGAATGTCTTAGAAGCAGGTAATCCCACCACATTGAAATAATCTCCTTCAATTCCACAAAAAAATAGACTACCAACCTCTTGGAATTTAAACCCACCTGCCACATTTAATCCTTCTCCTGAAGCAATATATGCATCTAAAGTAATATCATCGACACTAGTGTCAAATATCAATTTAGTAGTTTCGATATCACTATAGATCTTATGGGCACCACTAGATCCATTAATTTCGTTAGTTTCATTACTTACATTAGTTACATTTTGCCTTATTAAAGTTATGGCTGATATAACTTCTATATCACCTGGAAATTGTGCATACTTCTTGAACATTCGTCTTTGATTCTCTCTGGTACCTGGCTTTTCGAACACTTCATCTTTACATTTAACTATGGTGTCACAAGTAAGAATAAGTCTATGTTGATTATCAACATAATTATTGAGAATGTACTCCGCCTTAAGTCGACTTGTTTGTGTGACATATTCTCGAGGAGTGAATTTCAGTTTATCAAGATTCTCCTCAAATTCAGATGCTTTTACTTCAAATTTCGTTATAGGTATACCTAAATTATTCTCAAGGATTTCTCTACGTCGAGGAGAAGTTGATCCTAAGATAAAATGGATTTGAGAAAGTGCTTTGTAGACTGGATGCTCCTCATAGAATGATGTCATTGTATAAGCCAATTTCGTATCTTACCTTCTTTATACTATTCCTATAATTGACTATATAATCCTGTAAACCCCTTTAATACTCTGCTTTACTCAACAGAATTATACTCTACTGTAACTTGTACAATCCATATACTTTTATGCTATTCCCAATCGGGAAAGCGAGGGTGTGGAAAATTCACCCACACAAAAATGTCACCGCTACAAATAAGCATACCGAACAAGCCCTACTAAAACTAACTAAGGGCTACTATATCTCATAATTTCATAGGGGCCACCATATAGTTTTATAGATGGAATAGAGATACCACGAGATAACATATACTACAGCATAATCTTCACCAATGAGATTACTATACCAAGAAGAACCTCGAACAATTGCATTATATTCATCAACTCATTCCTTACTTCTTCATCAACCTCGAAAATCGAAAAAGGTTATTGTAGAAATTAGTCCAAATAATCGAGTAACTAGAGAAAATGGATTTAAACCATTATTAAGTCGAGAAGTCTTTGGATGTTTAGGATTAATTCATTTAGATCAACAAACATTTGTAGCTATAATTTCTGGAGCCATTACTAATGTAGCTAATCCAGTTAATTATGAATCAGTTGATAAGATTTTTGGAGTTGAATTTATATCACTTAATAGTGATGAATGGGATTTTATTAATTTAGATTCAAATGGTATGCCAATAATTACTGCATTAGCAGTTGATGATAATTATGATGGAAATTATGATTCTTCAGGATCTCTGACTCCAACTCGATTTGTTCATCCATGTTTTGAATTAAAGAAATTATTATCTAATGGTTCATTTTATTATTCAAATGATTTTGATTTAACTTCAACTTTACAAAGTAGAGGAGTAGTTGATAATAATTTAAGTAGTAGTGGGAAACCTCATGTAACTAGATCAATAATTGATCATTTTCAAAAGGAATATATGTGGAATTCATTTCTTATGGATGATTTATTAAGTTTTAGATCAAATTTAGATCAATATAGTCAAGAGATTGTTGATGAAAATAAATTCTTAGTATCAGTAATTCGAGGATTTGCAAAGACTATTCCATTAAATTCTTATCATGATTCAATTACTCTTATTTCTAAACAATCTTGGAAAAGAGCTGGTACAAGATATAATGCTCGAGGTATTGATGATGATGGGAATGTAGCTAATTCAGTTGAAACAGAATTTATTTATTTTCAACCATCAAAATCAGCAATTTTTACATTTGTTCAAATTAGAGGTTCAGTTCCAGCATTTTGGGAACAAGATACAACATTAATTAATCCAAAAATTACAATTACAAGATCAACTGAAGCTACACAACCGATTTTTAATAAACATTTTAAAGATATTCTTAATAAATATGGTGATTATCATATAGTTAATTTATTATCTAAATCAAAGCCTAATGAAATATCAGTTTCAAAACGTTATAAAGATTTATATCGACATTCTGATTTACAACCTGATGAATCACTTTATACAGAATTTGATTTTCATCAAGAAACTAAACAACTGAATGCAGGATTTGCTGCTGCTTCAAAGATTTTACCTCAATTAGAAGATTCATTAGCAAGATTTGGATGGTTTTCTTATGATATAGGTAATCATGAAAAGATTATGGATCAAAATGGAGTATTTAGAACAAATTGTTTAGATTGTCTTGATCGTACTAATTTAATTCAACAAATTATTTGTCAAGAAGTATTACGAGTAATTCTTGAGAATCAAACAACTGCTAATGCTTCTTATAGAGATAGAAATTATCTTGAAGAAATTAAAGCTAAATATAATACATTATGGGCTGATAATGGTGATGCAATATCTCAAATTTATACTGGTACAAATGCATTAAAATCATCATTTTCAAGAGCTGGAAAAATGAGTTTTGCAGGAGCCCTTTCAGATGTTACAAAATCAGTATCAAGAATGTATCAAAATACTTTTGTTGATGGTAAAAAACAATCAACAATGGATTTATTATTAGGTTATGATGCTAAATATAATAAACCTGTAAAAATCTTTGATCCAATTAATGATTATGTTACAGAACAATTAAAACTTCATAAACAAGAATTTACTACTTATGATAATATTAAAATTTATGTGGGAACATTTAATCTTAATGCTTTAGATCCAATTAATGTAAATGATTTAAGTAATTGGCTTTTCCCTCCTGAAAATTTTGGAGAAGATTTACCGGATGTTTATGCTATAGGATTACAAGAATTAATTGAATTAAATGCTAGTTCAATTCTTAATGCTGATCCTGCATTACCTGGTAAATGGGCTAAAATTCTTAATCAACAATTAAATTCTCAAAAAGTTGAATATTTATTATTAAGAACAGAATCTATGACTTCAATGTCACTTTTCCTTTTTGTTAAAAAGTCTCAAGTTCATAATATTACTCAAGTTGCTGGTTCAAGTAAGAAAACTGGATTAGGAGGTATTGCAGCTAATAAAGGAGCTTGTGGAGTTCGATTTGATTATGGTGCCACTTCATTTGCATTAGTTACTTCACATTTAGCAGCAGGTATATCTGCTATTGTTGAAAGATATAATGATTATGCAACAATTATGGGAGGTTTAACATTTACAAGAAATTATACTCTTAAAGATCATGATCATCTTATTTGGTTTGGAGATTTAAATTATAGAATTGCATTACCAAATGATCATTGTAGAGCATTAATTGAAAGTGGAGCCTTTGATGAATTAATATCTCTTGATCAATTAAGTCAAGAAATGGATACTAAAGGTGGAGCATTCTTTGGATTTTCTGAAGGTTCAGTAAAATATTATCCAACTTATAAATATGATAAGGGAACTGATAATTATGATTCATCAGAAAAACAAAGAGTACCCTCTTGGACAGATAGAGTTGTTTATTTGGATAAATATGATGATGAAAGATTAAAACAATTGAATTATAATTCTGTGATGGATATAAGAGTTAGTGATCATAAACCAGTCTATTCTACATTCAATAGTAAAGTTAAATTTGTTAATTCAGCTAAAAAGATTGAATTATCAAAGAAATTATATGATCAATATAAGGCAGAACATGAAGGTGATACTAATTTATTAGAACTTTCTACTACTTCATCTACTAGTTCATATAATACTATAAGTGAAAATGATGTTAGTTTATTGGATTATGATTTGAAATCATCATCTCCAGCTCCAAGACTTCCAACTCGTCCTATTAATGGAAATGGAAATGGTAGTATTAATAGTAATGGTAATACTAATAGTCCAGCTAGAAGAGTTCCACCTCCACCAACAAGTCGGAAACTGAACATTACTGATTTTACTCAGGAAAAGGTTCGAACTGCTCAAACTCTTCCTAGAAGATTACCTCCAAAACCAGACGAAAACTTTTTAATTAAAGATACTCCAACTACAAGTGGTCAAGGTCCTCCACCTCCACCTCCAGTTCGTAAAACTGTTTTATCTACATCTACTAGTGCCCTTAATAATCCAACTCCAGTAATTGCTAAACCTAGATTACCACCAGTAGGATTTACAACTACACCACTTATTCCTAGTAGATCTAATTCAGCTACTCCTGCTACTCCTCCACCATCCAAAATATCTCTTGCTAGTCCAAGTGCTCCTGTACTTGTACCTAGATCTACATCTCCTACTAAATCAGCTCCTCCAATTGAAAAACTTGCTGTTAAACCATTAATACCAAAGAAACCAACACCATTATCTACCAATAAAGTCGTAAAACATCCAGAAGCTAGTAAATCAGATCCTGAGATAGCAACCACCAAATCTTCTAATAAGTTAGGTTCAATTAGTGCCCCAGTTCCTCCACCTCCAAGACTTAATAATAGTCAAACAACTCCTATGCCAATTAGTATGTCTGACTGGAAACCTTTGGTCCCCAAATGATATATAGATTTCATTCCTATATATACGACTTTTATTACGTACACCGCACCTGCATACTATTCCGCGCAAACCCCTACTAGATCTCTCACAGACGTTTCATCGTTGGTAATAGTTGTACAAAGGATTTATGGTACTTAGTATATGGTGATTCCTGATGCGCACACGACCACCACTCTACGTGAAAGATATCAAGACATTGAAAAGTGTCTTGGAGATACCGTAAGTAACAAATAAATAATTAATTAATTAATTAATAAATAAGTAATAAGTAATAACAAAATGAGTTCTAAGAGAATAAAATACGTCTCGATCTCTGTACCTGTTCTATATGGAAATCATGCCATACGATTAACACCCGAAATGAGAAAACCTACAACTCCACCTGATCATACTCATCAATGGACGGTATTTTTCAAGCCTGTAATTGATGATTTTGATTTAACTCCATTAATTAAAAAAGTCACATTCAAATTACATGAGACTTATGAAAATCCAGTACGATCTATTGAAAAACCTCCATATCAAGTAACAGAATCTGGATGGGGGGAATTTGAAATAATTATTAAATTACATTTTCATAGTGGAGTAGATTTAGGAATTAATGAGAAAAATTTCCAAATCTTTCATGGATTAAAATTACATCCATTTAATCCTCAAATTCAACCTCCAAGAGAAAATGGTGAAGTTCATTCGGTATTATATGATGAATTAGTATTTCTGGAACCAACTGAAAAAGTATTTGAAATCTTAACTTCAAAACCATGTAATTTATTACCTTATAAATTATCTACTCCTGATAAACGTGATCAAGAATATACTCGAACTGATGAATTAGATGAAGTATCTAGATTGGAAGTTTATATGAAGAAAGTAAGAGAAGAAATAGAGAATCAAAGAAATGAGTATAAGGATTTGGAACAAGAAAGGTTAGCATTGTTACAATAATAATGATTTATTTCAATGATTTAAAACCAATGTCATATAATGTACTATAGAATATAATGAATGAATAAATAATTAAATAAATAATTAATTAATTAAACAAGGTATTATCCTTGATTAAAATATGTAATATACTCTTCTACAAATCCCGGTAATTGTTCCAACTCAATCCCAAAATTCAAATGACTAGATAATCCACTATAATGTCTATTAACATTCTTATTAATCATACGATGATTTGAATTAATTATAATTGGAATGCTACACCGGATAAGAAAATTCTTGTCAATGACATAAAGATAATCTAAAGGATAAACACCTCCTCCAAGAGGATCTTTGATTTTAAAATGATTTACAAGCAGTGAGCATTGATTATTAGTGGATATGGGAAAATCAGGGACAGTATCTTCTTGTTGTAAATTGTAAGATATGAATAGGATATGTGATTGTGACAGAGACGAGTTGGCAGTTAAAGAATTAAATCGTTCTGTTATAATATCTATATATTCTTTACCTTGTACTCCTAAGAATAGTACGAATTTCAAGCCAGTATTTTCATAGATATTACCCATATTGGTATTAATTATCTGATTAATTATCGTGGATATGTCTTCATGTAATTGTTGCGCGTCTTGCGATGGTATAAGAGTACTAGGATGTCGATGATTTTGTAGTAAAGAAGCTGATTTCTTTCTTCTTGCAGTAATACTAGTAGTGGTAGTTGCAGTAGATAAGTTAGTAGATTCAATATATAGTTGTTTAAAATCACTTATACTAGGAGAAGGAGATATCTCCACAATTAAACTATCAAAGCCTCTCTTCATATTTGGATACTATTTTATAAGAACTGATAAGTGTGGTGTAAGTATTTTATGTGGTTGTATAGTTTTTCACTATTAGATATGGAAGGACTTAAATTTAGAGACTATAGACATTTGTCATCATTATCAAGTCCGGCTGGGCTGGTATGGCATAAGGTATTTAGCTCACTAAAATTTTCGCATCCCCGCTGATTGCCTAACAATGTTAGGTCTAACCACACTATACCGAAAGAAGGAAAAAAAGTGGAGAAGGGTTAGTGAAAAGTTAGCTAATACACTGTTAGTTACATAACTATTAATACATGTCTAATCGTTTCTACTAGTCTGTAGAGTTTGATTATCATACGAAGTCTGCACTCTGCTATACTTAATGAGCCTTATTAAATGCTTGAAACAGATAGTGACTGTATAATAAGAAAAGGTTTATTGTGACAGATATATTTGAACTGTACTGATTAGTATGTTCAGTAGATGTTCAGTAGATGTTCAGTACATATTCTGATTTTCAAGTTCAATATATTTCTGTATGTCTCTCCAAATTATTTCGCAGCTACTTTTTGTTAGTTATCCCCCACCTCTAAGCGCTTATACAACAGACTTAGTTGAATATGCCTAGGCTCCTTAAGGAATTGTTCAGAACTTCAGTGAACTCAATCGGTTCATTAGTATCATCATCTTCAGATTCAAAAGATGAATTTGGTTACACGCTATTTTCCAATGATGACTCTAGCTTAGACTCTGTTGTATTAGAGACTAATAAATTCATTAGTAAGTTGGCCCAGACCAATGGTAGTCTCTATTCACTCATAAATCCAAATGACTTAGAAACCGTCTATGCTGATGACGATTCGATATCCAGAAGTTCATCATTTTATTACAGAAATTCAGGCTTGTACAAGCATTTACTTGATGACATAGAAATAGCGAGTGATCTCAGCGGATTTACACCACCCGGATTGGAACTGGCTAACTCAGATATAAGTCTAAGTTCAACTACTTATAGAGGTATTTATATCGATCGAATTAATGAATACTGGAAAGAGGTTACAGATAATATATCAATAAATAGTGAATCCAGTCTACACAGATATGATCCTCCACCTCCACCACTAACAACATTATCTCCTCCACTATCACCTCCACCTCCACCATCATGTTCACGTTCATCGTCATGTCCTTCTTCATCTTCTCATTTTCCTCCACCACTATCCTTAGACCAGTCTTCTCAAGAAGTACACATCCAATCATCCACTTCAACAGATTACAAGAAGTATTTCCCGAACATGTACGAATTGATTACTGACAGCCGGTACCGTTGTTGAATTACTGCAAAAATCAAAATGCCACTAGAAAAAATGCGGCAGCGGCCCACCACCACAGGAAAAAACAAATCAACAAACAATTCCACCATCACGGAACGGACTGATCAATTAGTCACTTATATATACATATATATATATAATAATCTTTTCCTTCTTCGTTCAGTAATTCTCATACTAGTTCTCATACTAACTCAGTACACTTCTGTTCCTATACTTACCCTTACCCAATGACACTTAAAACAATATACATAGCCAGACATGGGTATCGATCCAATTGGTTACCAGAACCTCATCCTCCCAGTCCTACAGGAATTCATAGTGATCCACCATTAGCAGCTCATGGAGTTGAACAAGCTAAACAATTGGCAGGATATTTACATTCTTTACCAAGTTTAGAACAACCTCAATTTTTAATATCTTCACCATTTTATAGATGTGTAGAAACTTGTCAACCCATTGCTCAAATGTTATCATTAAAAGTAGTTCTTGAAAGAGGAGTTGGGGAATGGTATCGAAAGAAAAGGAGAGTAATTCCAACTCCAGCTAATTATGATGTTTTACATCAATTTTTTCATGAAATATTAGTTGAAGAATCAGAATGGCCTCGTGATGAAACTGTAGGAGTTATACCTTCACTTGATGGTGAAACTCCTTCAGATATATTTGATCGTGCATCATTATTTTGGTCTAAATTTATACCTATATTTGAATCAAAATATCCTCAAATAGATACTATATTAATTGTTACTCATGCAGCTACAAAGATTGCCTTGGGAAATTCTTTATTAGATTTAAAAAGTGTTCATGATTCAATTGATGAACATGGAACTAAATTAAGAGCAGGGGCATGTTCTTTAGATAAATATATTAGAAGCAATGAAAATTCATGGATTAATAAAATGAATGGTAATTGTACATTTTTAACTAAAGGAGAAGAAATGCATTGGGATTTCCTGTCGACTGTAGAAGCTGGATCAGATGAAGATATTAGACTTCGTAAAGAACGAGAAGAATTAGAGAAGAAGAAACAACAACAACTGCAACAACAACGAGAAACAACTCCTGTGACAGATATTGCTAGTGGGAATGAAGGGATTTCCAATGAAGATTTTGAAGTAAGTAAAATTTAGAGAAATATACTATTTATTTTTATTTTGATTAACTAACTAATTTGTAATTTTCTTAGGATATATATGTGACGGTAGATATACCGATGATTGGGAAATCTTCGGTTGGGTATGATGATTCTAGTACTAGTAATGATCTTAGTAGACACCATAATAAAGGTGGTAATGCTAATGCTACTAGTAGTGGTAGTAATAGTAGTAGTAATAGTAATAGTAATACCAGTACAACTACTAGTACTAAAGTTAATTATATAAAGCCTTCAGCACAATTTCAATTCACCGATTTGAATCATTCAAATCCATTAATTAAATTATCTAATAATGCAGGAGCTAATGGAACTGGAGGTAGTAATGATATTGATGGAGGAATAGATAATATCAATGTAATTGATGGGAAAATCTATGAAACTAATTGGAAACGATTAGTTGGAACCGATTTAATCTTTGATGATTATGGAGAATTAATTGGTAAAGTTAAAGAACATTTAACTATTAATGAAAATGTTAAGATTAGTGCTAAAGAAATTAAAGATTCTAAGATTAAAGATGAAGATATGGATGATGGAGATGAATTAGTTCATGATCTGACATTTTTAAATAGAGCTATAAAGTATGCCAAGAGGAAATCGGCTACTGGTACTGGCACTAGTACATAAATTAAATTAAATTAAATTAAATTAAATTAAATTAAATTAAATTAAATTATATTATATTAATTCTCTATTAACTATTAGCTATTAGTAGTAATACTATTTCAAAGATATAACATTCTTCTGAACATGAGTCATATACAGTTGTAAACTAGTATCATCAGTAAGTACATCAAATCTATTACCATACCCTAATAAATGATTAGCATTGGTTGCATAACTAGTTGAAGGATTTAATTTAGCCATAAGAAATCTCGCTTGAGAACCTCCTTCATCACAATCAATAAATCTTGGTAATGGGAATCTATCCATTAAAATTATCATAGCTTCCTTTTTAGGAGCTTCTAAGAATTCTTTAAAATGTTCATATTCTGGTTGATCTTGATAACCAGCTTTTCTCCATTCAGCTACGGTAGATCCATGATGAATTAATATTTGAAAGAAAGTATCTAATAATAAGATTTTAGAATTTCCTAAGGATGCCGAATCTAATAAAGCTACCGTTGGTTCATTATTAATTTCTCCTGTTGATTCATTAATTGATCCAAAAGTATCTATATCATAACTTAATAATAATGGTTGAACCATAAGTAAAGAATTATTAACATCTTCATGCATAAATACATGTCTAATATAAGCTGTTTCATCAGGTGAATTCCCAAATACATTAATAAATTGGGATCTTCTTAAATGATAAATAAATTGAGGAAACATAGAATATAAAGTAGATAATCTAAATGATTCTAATATTCCTGCTTGATATTGAGCAAATCTTGCACAGAAATCAATTAACATTTTATCGAGATTCTTTAAAATAGTTTGTGCCTTTTGTGATGTAGTAGTTTTAATATCTTTAGTTCCATCAAAATTATTAGGTTGTAATTTATTTATAGCTTCTCTTGCAACAATAACTAATGCTGCTTCTTGATCAAACCCTCTACCTATAGATAACATATCAGTATCAGCTACAACACTTATGGGAATAGTAGTAACTCTTAATCTCATTTCTCCCGAAGGATGTTGATAATGAAATAAAAATTGTATATAAGTTGTTTCAAGAGCATTTGAATTAACTTTATCAAAATAGATTGCATAAGATGATTGAGGATTTACATTACATAATTTCCAACAATTAGTTCCACTTTCTCCTATAACATAAGTTGATAAATATTTGCCATCAGTTGATCTAACAAGTGGTAAAGCTGTTGCATTACCAATTAATCCTTGAATTTTTAAATCAACACTACATTTAACTTCTAATGTAGCATTAAATCCCATATCTAAGAAATCCGAATCTTCAGATTGTTTTTTAAAGAATTTTATAAAACTTTGTTTAAAAATTGCCGTATTAAATGAATCACTCATAACAACTGTACCACCAGTTTTATAACAAACTTCATCCATTTCAAATAATCCAACTTGATTATAACTTCCAATAAAAAAATTACAACTTAAACCTAATGATACTAAAGATTTTGTAATATCATGATAAAATTTTTTGGCTGGTTTAAATAATGAAATATCAGCTTTAGTCTTTGATGGTCCACTAGTTGGAGCTTGAGGTAAAGTTGAATGTTCTAATTTATCAATATCATGATGAGATCTTAAAGGTTCTTTTAATAATTTATTAACTATTTTCCCCGGTCCATAAGTTGTCATACCTCCAATAAAGCAAAGTATATGACCACCAGTGGTTGTTATATGATCACCTAATATTGATTTTAATAATAATGATGCAATATTAAGAGCACTACCAGTAGCTCTTTCAGGTCTTTGTTTATTCTTTGGGTGAGGAAATGAATTTGGTACTAAATTTTGAATTATATTAGTTAATTGATATTCTACAATACTTACTGGTTGAATAAATCTTTTACCAATAGCTCCAATTATTTTATCAGCATTTGATTGTTGATTATAAGGAGATGATGAAGTTAAACCTTGAGCTAATAACCCTAAAGATTTAGATATTTGATCAAGAGTATAATGTTTATTACCATTAAATGTAAAAGATTTTAAATCATTACTAATTAAATCATGAACTTGAATATGTTTACCAAATGATATAAATCCAACTAATGCATTTTCTGGTAAAAGACTTAAAGATATAATTAATGAATCTTTTAACGATTCAAATGCATCGGTTATATCTTCATCTTCAAAACAAGTATCTACCACATAAAAGAAAATCGGTGGTAAAGAATTAACTTTACCAGTAAGATATTCCACCGTAGTATTTTCAAAACTTAAACTAGGAGGTAAAGTTTGAAAATTGGGAGGTAATTGATTAGTGAATGAACAAAATGGACAAGTCCAAAAGTTATTATTAGATACATAAGAATAAGGATTTAATATGGCAAAGCATTGAAAACATGTTAATATTAAATCTTGGGGTAATAATTGAATTTCACTCTTATTATTTAATGGAGTATACATGGCTCCTAAGGGAAGGATATTCCGTTGATGTTGAAATTTCGATTTGGGTACGGTATTCCATGATAATCTTACACCATCTTGTTCTTCTCGTGCTTCAAACCCCGACATGGCACCGGATACCTGGCTAGCTAAATAGTTAGTTAGTTAGTTACTAGTAGTTAGTGGGTTCGGTAATAGTTTTGTCGGCTGAAATATTTATTTTTGTTGGCCGAGTATGAGCAGAAGAGAGTGTAGAAGAGAGTGTAGAAGAGAGTGTGTAGTAATATAGTATAGTATTACACTATAGAGTATAGTATAGTATAGTGTGGTATAGTATAGTATAGTATAGTATAGTATAGTATAGTATAGTGTGGTATACTATACAGTATAGTAGTAAGTGAAGTAGAAGTAGTACACTATAGTATAGTGTGGTATACTACAGTCTAGTAGTATAGTATGCTATATTATAGTAAGTCAAGTACTATATACTATACTATACTATATTAAGTGAAGTAAAGTAGTACACTATAGGGATAGTAGTACTTGTATATGCTATATGGTATCTGAAGTATAGTACTTATATTGTGTCCACAGTACATATAGTGTATTAATTAGCAGTTGTATATGTAGTATATTAGAACAGAGTAGTACAGTAGAGTATACAGTAGAGTATACAGTGGAGTATACAGTAGAGAGTAGTATACAGTAGAGTATACAGTAGAGTATACAGTAGACCATAGTTACACTAGTACAATATAGTAACAGTACTTTTCAGGCAGAATAATACTATTACATAGCACTCCCTATTACAATCTACTACACTACTATTACAGCACCCTTACTACAATAATTACATACTTACAACAATTCTTCACAATGTATAATGTTTATCGTATTTATAATTTAGTACACACATCTACTTCTGACCAGCTTGACTCTTAACCCGATTATACATATCGTTAATCTTCTTACTGGGCACTTTAGCTGGCCAGTAAAGTCCGGCGTATGACCACAAATGTTTGTTTATCTTAGAACGTTCTGATTCTTTCTTAGGTTTCAATACTGACTCAATATGATCTCCAATAGTTAATAATTCCTTACGTAATATAGCTGCCCATTCATGCTTATCAAGTCCCTTATTACCCTTATGTAATCTAATTAGCGATTTAGATACAGGCTTTAATGTGACTTTACAATCTCCTTCGTCCATACTATCATATTCCAAGTCATTATGTGAATGATGATGTTCACGTTCGTGTTCACGTTCATGCTTGACTTTGGTATGGTGATGGTTATCAAGTCGAGGAGAATTGGTGCTGGAATTACCAGGAGAATTCTTTTGACTGTATTTCTTGGGTAAGATCTTCTTCAATGCCAATTCAGGTGATTGAGACTTGTTGGCTGCTGGCTTTTTAACTTTATTATTGTTGCTACTTAATGGTGTTTGACCCTCTGGTTTAGGTTTTCTTATTCTCTTCTTACCTGGAATAGGAGTAGAATTACCATGATCATCTTCTTCTCTCAATAATAAGAATAAGTAATCGACTCTTCTACCTAAATGAACTGCTCCAGGGACTTTCTTAGATGATTTTTCCTTCTCCTTTTCCTTTTCTTTTCCATTTCCATTTCCATTTCCCTTTTCTTTCTCTTTCTCTTTCTCCTTCTCCTTGTCATCTTCAGGTGATGGCTTCTTATCGCCATTTTCTACCTCTTTTTCATCCTCCTTCACTTCAGTTTCTTTACTAAGAGGATGAGCATGACCATGAGGATTTCCAGGAGGAGCAGTATTTTCTAAATACAATTTATTCTGTAATCCCAATATAGGATCATCTCTAATTTGTAGCCAAGATCCATACCCAAATTTATAAACTCCTACTAATAACATAGCATCATCTTTTGGACTCCATTCACAAGACCATGCCGATACTTGTTTGGGATGTTTTGGTAACATAAAACTTGTAGGATTTTCTTTAGGAATTAAAGATTCTAAAAGTTTCATATCTACTGGTCTACTTAATACTAATTCAGCATTAATATTTTTAACTCCTTGATATTCAAATAATACCGCTTTCTTTTCCTTTTTCTTGGCTAACCATAAGGCTGTTGGATTAGATTCATTATTATTCTTTTGTTCAAGAGCTTTCTTTTCTAATTCAGCTAAAGCTTTAGTTCTTCTAATTTCTTCTTCTTTAACTAATTCTTTAGATGTATTAATAATTTCATTATAAGCATGTTTAACTAAGACGGGATTTTTATTAGTTATACTACCATCTTCAACTAATTGTTCCCATTTACCAGCTAAATCTCCAAGTCGTAATATAGATCGATAAATTCCTCTAATTTCCTTTTCTGATAATTGATGATCTCCAGCATTTCTACGTTTAGGTCGATTAGATGATGAAGAATCTTCACCATCATCATCTTCAATATCACTTGGAGCCACTGAACCATTTTCAAATTTTCTAACGGTTGCTTTCCGTTTAGAATACATGGCAATTTGTTCTTGTAAATATTCTTCATCAGCTTTCCTCTTTTCTTCATCCTTTAATTTAGCCAATTCATCTTGGGGTATAATATCATCCCATTCTACATCAGCTTTATAATCAGTTACTTCGAATTGTTTAAGGAATTCTTCTGATCCTAAATTAGATTCTCCAAGATCTGGTGTGGTTACATGTTCTTCGGCATGACTTAATACTTCATCTAAATTTAATCCTTCTAATTTCTTTTGATTATCATTGGCCAGAAACATATTGCCAGCACCAAATTTTAAAATTTGACTTAATTGTTCAGTTGATGGTTCAGCTTTAGATCTTTTAGCATTTGGATCAGTTATACCTAAAGATATAATAGCATATTCTAAAATCATTTTCTTTCTAGCTCTTTCAAGAATTTGTTCTTCTACAGTATCTTTACTAACAAATCTATAAACTGATACATGATTCTTTTGACCAATTCTATGAGCTCTTGCCATAGCTTGTAAATCAGCTTGAGGATTCCAATCAGAATCAAATATAATTACTGTATCAGCCGTCATTAAATTAATTCCTAACCCTCCAGCTCTTGTACTTAATAAAAATACAAAATCTTTTGAATCAGGAGCATTAAAATGATCAATTGAAATTCTTCTTTGTGATGACGGTATACCTCCATCTAATCTTTGAAATTGATACCCCTTTATAGATAAATAATCTCCTAAAATATCCAACATTCTAACCATTTGACTAAAGATTAATACTCGATGACCCTCTTTTTTCAATCTAGTTAATAATTGTTCTAATAAAACCATTTTACCAGAAGACATAATGATTCCTCGAAGAATATTATCTCGAGTGGTTGAACCAGCATGAGATAATACTCGATCTTCAGCTCCATCAAATAAATATGGATGATTAGATGCCTTTTTCAATTCACTCATTACATTTAAAAGTGAGATTTGTGAACCTTTATTACCAGCATTTAATGCTGAATAATTCTTGGTTATAATATTCTTATAATAATCAGTTTGCATATCCGATAATTCCACTCTTAAAATTCGTTCTGTCTTTGAAGGTAATGATTTTTCAACATCTTTCTTTAATCTTCTTAATATAAATGGTTGAATCTTTCGTTGTAAATCTTTAATATATTCTTCTTGTTCATCATCAGGAGTTTCAAAATCAATTTCTTGATTAATATCAAATTTTCCTGGCATAAGAAAATTACATAAAGCTGCTAATTCCTTTATATTATTTTGTAATGGAGTCCCAGTAATTAATAATCGATTAGTTACTTTAAATCCCTTTAATGATTCATATAATGAAGATTCAGCATTCTTTAATCTATGAGCTTCATCCACCGCTAAAAATTGCCATTTAATTGATCCTAATTCCGATCTATCCTTTAAAATATATTCATAAGTAGTTAATAATACATTAAATTTAATTTTCCCATTAGAATTAGAATTATTATACCATTCATAATCTCTAATAGTCTTTCTAGCTTCTGTATTACCCAAATAATAAATACAATTAATATCAGGAGCCCATTTTTCAAAAGTTTCTTGCCAAGCAGGAATTGTAGATAATGGTACAACTACTAAATGAGGACCATTTTGACGTCTTGAATATATTAACCATGATAAAAATGCAATGGTTTGAACAGTTTTACCTAACCCCATTTCATCAGCTAAAATTCCATTTTCATTTCTTGACCATAAAAATGCCATCCAATTTAATCCAGTTAATTGAAAATCTCTTAATTCTCCATTCTTAATAAATACTGGTTGTTTAACTAATTTTTCAAATCTTGGTCTTTGAGATAATGGATAATTAGCTGATAGATTGGGTAAGATTTTAGATTTAAGTCGTTGTTGATATTTAGATACTTGATCAGGAGCAATCTTGGCAATTTCTTCACCATCTTCCCATGAACATTCATCATAATAAAGTCGTTTCCATTTAACAAAATATTGTAATTTAGATTGTCCTTCATTATCTTCAATTCTTTCACTTTCAACTATTCTTTCAACTTGACAATATTCTTCTTGTTCATCTCGTTTTCTTTCTCGTTCAATATCCATAGCTTCAATATCTTCTCTAGTAGTTAAAGGATCAGTTCTAATTTCTTGATCTATAATAATAAATTGTTTAATATAATTCTCAACTTTTCTAAATCCTTTATAATCCTTTAATGTCAGCCATTTCTCCCAAGTATTATGTAAATGTGATGCATCAGTCCATTTAATTCGAAATAAATAATCTAATTTGGCATCTCCAGTTTGTTCTGCATTTTCTTCATTAAGTTTATGATCCATGACTAAATCAATACCTCGTTCATCTTCGGGTTCATTGGCTTGTTGATAATAATAGTAATCTCCTTCTTCTTCATCAATTTCTTCTTCACTCTCTAATAAATCATCATCTTCATAATCTACATTATAATTAATAGTCTTACTATTCCGGGATGAAAATCGAACTTCGGTAGGTATAACAGGAGTAACTGATCTCGATTTAGAATTGAATTTAGTTCCACTACCATTTCTCTTATTATTGGTTTTCTTACTATTCCCATTTCCTACTGACTTCTTCTTCTTATATTTCGAATTAGAATTACTAAATTCTTCATCTTCGCTATCTTCAAATTCATCTTCTTCTTCTTCTTCTTCATCTTCGTCCATTATTTCATGATCGAAATTTGCTTCTGATTTCTTCTTCTTTCGTTTAGGAAGTTCTTCTTCTTCTTCATCACTTTCATATAATGTGGCAGTACGTCTTTCACGAGTTGATCTTCGAAGTCCATATAACTCTGGATTGAGTTCGGCCTCTTGAGGAATATACTCCTTTACCATTCTCCCGAAATTAATACAAATATACCTGGTATATATGGGAATGATATTACTCTTACTAGGCGTATATTAAGGTATAGTCCCACTATCTATCTACTGACTCTATGGGTGTTGGGTATGAGTTTTACTGTCCTGATACCACTAGCGTAAAATTTCCTCAGGTGGGATTTTTTTCAGTGCCGGCCGACAACGACAACAACGACAATTTTTCAATGGGGGTCAGTTGTGATTGGGGCAATAGGAGGGAGGGGGCAATGAGAGAAAGGTGGTATGATTATTGCTACAGTTATAGAGTATGACAATTTTCAATCACTATGGATACATGTGTCATATTCTTAGTTGAGTATAGTAGCTCCAACAACAGTCTGTTCATTACTTCTATACACCAATCAATTAAGGGAGATCGATTGGGTGGGTTTGCTAACTAAAAAAACAAAAAAAAATTGGCTCTTGATGCGGTCTTGATTTTCTTTGGTTACGGTACTTGTATGTTGATTTGTTTAATATATTCATTTTGCAGCCAACGTCATTGGTTCATATGTCATTACTAACATCACCAAACCATTGTCAATTACTTTTCCAATTACATCTTTACATGTATGGTCAACTGGTCCACAATGTCGTATGACATTAATGAGTATATTACCAAACCATCATTCCCATCTTATAGCACCATACAACAACAACAACAATAACCATAAATCTATAGCACACATCAATTCACCAACAAAAAACATAAAAAAATTTCATTGATACAACAATACTTGATTACATATCCACTACATAGAAGATATTATTAATCAACTCACGTTGCCATCCTATGGATTTGTAAATTCAAATCATAATTGCAAAAAAATCACATTCTTGCAACAATCCTAAATCGTTAGTACCAGACAGATCCATTGTTAGTCTCCACATACATAACAAACATCCGTCACAACAAGTATATCAATTCATACTGTTAATCTCAAAGTATTCCCACTATATTCTACATAACATCAGCCGTTTATTACGTACATCGATGTCAATTATCTCAAATCTCAGATCGTTATCATCTTACATATAGTATATCTTATGTATGGAGTAAACTCCCTAGTTAAGCATTATAAAATTCAGGGGGGGGCAGCAGTGGGAAATTGAATGTTTTTATATGGTGAGATCTTGATCTGCGCACGCATTTTCATTTTCAATGGCGGGTTACCCGGATGTGGTATGTAATACTATAGACTATATCAGTAGGAATAGACTGCAAATAGTAACAATATATGGTTATTAAGGATGCAATAAACTAGATAGAAGATATTCAATGAGAGATTACAATACGATTTATATATACCATATACGATTTATATATAGCATATGTGATTTCTACATACAATTTACGTATTATACATACAATTTACGTATTATACATACATTATACGAATTGTACATACATTATATACAAAGTAAGTCAAATTGTGTATCATTCACAATTATCACTGGTCCAACTTGAATATTCCTTATATAAGTACCTTAAGTAGCTTAGAATATCATGACTACCTTCCTACCTCCCACCAATCATAAGCTTGTATTTACTAAGCGCATAGGACAATTCACTGCGACACGACCGTCTTAACTATGTCCCATCTATAAACTAGTGCGTGTAAAATCAAAAACCAACATTCACTATAAAATTTATTTGTTTTGTCCTGCATGCAACTGAAAAAAATTTCTAAACAATATACGGGCAGACCTTCGAAAACACCAGAAGACATAAATCATCATCTATCTCTTAAGTTATATATAGTACTACTACCTTAGTAAGACAATAATAGACAAGACAAGATGAGTTCAGACAAAGGAACAAGAATTGCCATTGTCAACACCGATAGGTGTAAGCCTAAGAAGTGTAGACAAGAATGTCGTAAAGGATGTCCAGTAGTTAAAACTGGGAAATTATGTATTGAAGTTACACCAGCATCAAAGATTGCATTTATTTCAGAAACTTTATGTATTGGTTGTGGTATTTGTGTTAAAAAATGTCCATTTGATGCCATTCAAATTATTAATTTACCAACTAATTTAGAATCAGAAACAACTCATAGATATTCTGCTAATTCATTTAAATTACATAGATTACCAACTCCAAGACCTGGACAAGTTTTAGGTTTAGTTGGTACAAATGGTATTGGTAAATCAACTGCTTTAAAAATTTTAGCTGGTAGACAAAAACCAAATTTAGGTAGATATGATAATCCTCCTGATTGGCAAGAAATTATTAGACATTTTAGAGGTTCTGAATTACAAAATTATTTTACTAAAGTTTTAGAAGATGATATGAGAGCTATTATTAAACCTCAATATGTTGATAGTATTCCTCAATCTTTAGCTAAATCTAAAATTAAAACTGTAGGTGCTATTTTAAAGGCAAGATCTCAAAGGGATGATGCTTGGGATTATTTATTAAAAGCTTTAGAATTAAAACATGTTATGGATAGAGAAATTGATCAATTATCTGGTGGTGAATTACAAAGATTTGCCTTGGGTGTTACTTGTGTTCAAGATTTTAATGTTTATATGTTTGATGAACCTTCATCTTATTTAGATGTTAAACAAAGATTAAGAGCTGCTGAAGTTATTAGATCTTTATTATCAGCTACAACTTATATTATTTGTGTTGAACATGATTTATCAGTATTAGATTATCTTTCTGATTTTGTTTGTATCTTATATGGTGCACCATCCGTTTATGGGGTTGTTTCATTACCTTCTTCTGTCAGAGAAGGTATAAATATTTTCTTAGATGGTCATATTCCAACTGAAAATATGAGATTTAGAACTGAATCTTTACAATTTAGATTAGCTGATTCTGCTGCTGATTTAATCTTAGATAAATCAAATGCTATGAGTTATCCTGCTATGAAAAAGACTCAAGGTAATTTCAAATTAACTGTTGAACCAGGTGATTTTACAAATTCTGAAATTTTAGTTATGATGGGTGAAAATGGTACTGGTAAAACAACTTTCTGTAAATTATTAGCTGGTTTAACTCCTGCTGATGATGGTCAAGAAATTCCAAAATTAAGTGTTTCATTAAAACCTCAAAAGATTGCTCCAAAATTCCCTGGTACTGTTAGACAATTATTCTTTAAAAAGATTAGAGCTTCATTTTTACATCCTCAATTTCAAACTGATGTTGCTAAACCATTAAAGATTGAAGATATTTTAGATAATGAAGTTAAAACTTTATCTGGTGGTGAATTACAAAGAGTTGCTATTGTTTTAGCATTAGGTGTACCAGCTGATATTTATTTAATTGATGAACCATCAGCTTATTTGGATTCTGAACAACGTATTATTTGTTCTAAAGTTATCAGAAGATTTATTTTACATGCTAAAAAGACTGCCTTTGTTGTTGAGCATGATTTTATTATGGCTACTTATTTAGCTGATAGAGTCATTGTATTTGAAGGTCAACCATCTCTTAATGCTTATGCTAGAACTCCTGAATCTTTATTAACTGGTTGTAATAAATTCTTGAAGAATTTGAATGTTACATTTAGAAGAGATCCAAACTCTTTTAGACCAAGAATTAATAAATTAGATTCTCAAATGGATAAAGAACAAAAATCCTCGGGTAATTATTTCTTCTTGGATAGTACCGACTTATGAACAAACAATAAGGGCAGCATTTTCATTTCATTCTTAATTAATATAGTCTTTACTAATAGTAAGTCTATATTAATTCTGTTTCACCTCCTGTACATTAGTGTTTCAATTGCATACAATTGGAAGGTTTACGACGTTCCATAGCCATTCCATTCATACTAGACTGTTTTCAAGTTATATCTTCTTCTCTTACTCCTCTGTTATGGATGTTTATCGTTGTTTTATCTCCCCTTTCTTATAAACACCATTGATTTATCTCTCTCTCACTCTCTCTCTACTCTTATTGAAGGTTGTATACGTTCACATGTTTCTGTATGTATGGATTGGCTCTCCTCCTGGTTTTATAGATATGTATATAAGGTATATACCCTATTTATTACTTAATAATAATTACCAACAATTTCTTAAAAGGACAATTATGCTGCAAATTTCGTCAGTGTGCGCACCAAAAGTTGGACACGTAAAAATTTCTTTTGCCGGCTGAAACAATTTAGCTCCAGCAGGTGTGTTGAAAAACTACTGCGACTAAACCGTCATAGTTAAGTAAGCATAGGTTAAAGTAGATTAAAACAATAAACCAGTATGAGTCATCCAGCAGTACAACATGCCGGAGGCGTTGCCGGAGCAGGAGCCGGGGCCGGAACAGGCAACTTCCCTGTGCAACCCTCAAATCAAAGATCTCCTGTAGCCATTGCTATTGCTAATTATTTATTTCAAAATCCTGTATTAAAGCAAAGAATTGGATTATTTGATAATGAAAGAGATATAGAATTTTTCAGATTTAAACGATTGGTAAGGGCTTTGGTTTCAGAAGATTATAAAAATAAACAAGCTAATCCTAAAAATGGGTTAGTACCAATTACTAGTGAAGTTGAAGCTCAAAAAGTATTAGTATTACTTATTCAAAATCAATTAATTCTTCCTGTTAAAAAATTACATTATGCTGAAGTAAAGGCTAAGAGATGGAAACCTAATAAATCTAAACCTACATTAATTAGATCAGAAAAGGCATTTGTTGATCCAGATGCTTATTATGCTTGGCTTTATTCTAAACCAAATCCTTATATTATATTATATAGTATTTTAGCAGTTATTGTTGTATTTGCCATTATATTATTCCCATTATGGCCTCCATTTATGAAAAGAGGTGTATGGTATTTATCTATGGCAGCTTTAGGATTAATTGGGTTATTCTTTGCTATAGCCATTGTTAGATTAATTATCTATGTTATATCTTTAGTTGCCTTCCCTAAACCATTCTGGTTATTCCCTAACTTATTTGAAGATTGTGGAGTGATTGAAAGTTTCCAACCGGTATATGCATGGGAAGAGCCAAAGAAGTCTAAAAAGTCCAAAAAGTCAAAGTCAAAGTCAAAGGCTACTACCAGTAATGAGAGTAATGAAGCTTCATCTAGTGGGGTTACCAGTGGAGCCCAAGTGAGTAATGGATCTGTTACTACTCAAAAACGTAAAGTTGTATTGGAAGAAGTGCAAGAGTAGAGTAGAGTAGAGTAGAGTATGATATAGTATGGTAGAGTATGATATAATATGGTATATACACGCATTCTCTAACTCACATATTGTTCTATATACCATTCAAATATATTAGTAAAGGTCTAAGTATATGACTATACTGTACTAATTGTGGGTATCCCATTTAGGCAATACAACGGTGTAAGCGCGCTAGAGGTCATGGCCCAAAAAAATAGTGTGTCATATTTCGGAACTTTACCCTAAATAGTTCAGTAATACAAGCAGAATATACGGTAAGAATCACATAATGGTGATAATAAACGACTTATCATTCAATCAGGATAGTTCGTGTATATCGTTATCCACATCGGAATATCATAAGATTTTCAATTGTGAACCATTTGGAGAATTTTATGCTTCGAGTAGTCAGGGAGGCGTAAAACGGTCTATCTCAAATTCTATAGAAGAAGAGAATAATATTAATAATGGGATACGACTGAGAACTAATAGTAATAGTGCAGGAATTGCAAATGGGAATAATAATAATATTAATGATGATAGGATCTTTGGTAATGTTAGTGATCCAAATATTAATGATTCAGGTTTATACCCCACAGCTTATTTAAGAATGTTATATTCAACATCTTTAACAATTATTATACCTGAATCTACTAGTAAATTAGGTAGAAGAGTTTTAAAGATTTATAATTTAAAACAAAATCTTAAAATATGTGAATTAAATTTTACATCGAATATTATTAATATTAAATTAAATCTGAAACGTTTATTAGTCATTTTAGAAGTTGGACAAATTTATATTTATGATTTAAGTTGTGTTCAATTGGTTAAGATTCTTCAAGTTAATTCATTTTTAAATGAGAATACTAATACTACTAGTCCACTTGTAGGAGATTTAAGTTCTAATAATAAATCTTATCTTGTATTACCTATCTCATTAATTAATGATCAAACTGATTTATTTAATACAGAACCGTTATCAAATAATAATAATAATAATAATAATAATAATAATAATAATAATAATAATAATAATAATAATAATAATAATAATAATAATAATAATAATCAAATAACTTCTCGAGGTAATTCTCAACCTTCAACTCCCCTTTTAAAGCCAAGTGATTCAACTATTATAAATAATACTTTAAATTCACTTATTGTTTATACTTCAAAAGATCATCATCTTCCTAAAACTTCAAATATTACTCTTGATGATTTGAAAAAGGATAGTTCAGGTTGGTTAATAGTATATGATACTATTGAATTAAAACCAAAATTAATCTTTAAAGCTCATAATTCAGGTATTGGTAAGATTAATATTTCTGATAATAAGATTGCTACTGCTTCAGTAAAGGGAACAATTATACGAGTATTTACTATTGAAGAAGATAGTAATAATGAAACCCTTCGTATATCAAAAGTATTAAGTTTAAGAAGAGGACATAATTTAGCTAAGATTAATACTCTTAGTTTTAATAATGATAATACCATATTAGGTTGTGGATCAGAAAGTAATACTATACATTTTTTTAAATTAGATGATAGTGGCAAATATGATGATGATAATGATAATGATGAAGAAGATTTACATGAAGATAGTGATAATGAAGGTGGTAGAGGTAGTAATGAAGAAGGAGGAGGTGGCGGAGGAGATTCAAGTCGATCATCAGAAGATTTAAATGAGAATTTAGCTAATTTATTAGTTTCAAAAAAACAATCATCAACATCTCCTATTGAAGATAATGATGGAAATGGTTCTGGTAGTGGACATTCATATTTTAGTTTTGCAACTCTTAAACAAACTAAGAAATTAATTAATAATCAATATACTAAATCATTTATTAAGAAATTACCTTATAAAGATTATTTTGATAATTTAATATGGGAACCTCCTAGACGTTCATTTGCTTATATAAAATTACCTGAATATACTCCACCACATTTTCATCATCATTATTATGATAATGAAGATAATCAAAGATATAATCGTATTCAAGATTCTCCTAATAAAGTTGAAATTGGGTATAATAATCTGTTGATATTATTGGCTAGTTATCATACGGGGATATTCTATCAATATCAATTACCCAATCCTCAACGTAAACATCATCGTCATATAAGTCATGGGAATCGTCGTGGTAGTAATGGAGATAATGGTAAGCATGAGGAGCATGAAGAAGAGAAGAGAGAGGAGTGTTATTTGATTAATCAATATAACATGATTTAATTTAGTTTAGTTTAGTTTAGTTTTGTTTAATTTGGTTTGAGTTGTAGGTTGTTTTGTAGAGTAGGGTAGTTAGGTTAGGGAAGGTAATACATATTCATGAGATAAGTATTGTGCGGTATTGTATTGTACTGTTATTGCATACTGTGACTATAGTATGCAGCTCTACTGTAACTGTACTCTGTACTGTACTCTGTACTGTACTCTGTACTGTACTCTGTACTGTACTCTGTAGTGTAACAGTAGTGTAGTACTGTAAGTTATCCAGTGTAGTACAGTAACAGTAGTGTAGTACTGTTGTATAGTACAGTACTCTATACTATACTATAATATACACAACTACTACGCTACCATACGTCATATACTCACTTTAACTACATTCTTCTCCTTCCCCTTAGCCGAGTCTTCTGTGGTTAAGGTTGCGGTGCAATCCCTATCTATTCTTTTTTACCCCAGCTTTTGTATATCCGCTAACTCAAACTCCGGCTAATACACCACACACAAATTATTGTAATTAACTAATAATTAATATGACTATTTTATATACTGAGTTGACTCATTTACTCCACTAAAACCTTATTCAATTATATGTATTCTATTCGACTGATTTATACAGTTAGTTATTTACTATTACTTAGTTAATTGAATTCCACTGAGAGAAACACCCATGCCGCAGTACATCCAGTCCAGCTGTCTCTCTATGCTCTCTCCCTCACCCCCATTTTCACATTCAGCTCCAACGGAAGGAAAAAAAATTTTCCCGTGGAAAAAGACCACACCCAACCAACAAACCTCACTAGCACCAGAAAAGTATTGAGGACTCCCCACTTTGAAGTGAGAGTTTCACCACTACTATATAAGGAGTAATTATCCCCTATAAATAAGATTTCATACTAGATATAACTTTTGTATAATGCTAAGATCCAGTATTAAACCAATTGTATCTTTCCATTCTAAGGTATCATTAACTAGAGCATATCTTAATTCTACTACCAGATCAATGTCTTCATCATCTTCAACAAAAGGTGCAACTTCTGCTTCTGCTTCAGGTAAATCAGAAGAAGTAGAAGAAGATGTAGTATTATTTAAAAATGAAAATTCCGCAAGGTTAATTGTATTAAATAGACCTAGGAAATTAAATTCTTTAAATACAGAAATGATTAATTTAATAACTCCTCGTTTAATTGAATATTCTAAATCAACTAGTAATAATGTTATAATTTTAACTTCAAGTCTTCCTAAATCTCTTTGTGCTGGAGGTGATGTTGCATCATGTGCTATAGAAATTTTAAAAGATAATCCTTTATATCCAAGTGATTTCTTTCAACAAGAATATAATTTAAATTATCTTATTTCTACTTATCCAAAACCTTATGTTGCACTTATGGATGGTATAACTATGGGTGGAGGTGTTGGATTATCAGTTCATGCTCCATTTAGAGTGGCTACTCAAACTACTAAATTAGCCATGCCAGAAATGGATATTGGGTTTTTTCCTGATGTTGGTACAACATTCTTTTTACCAAGATTAGATGATAAAATTGGTTATTATTATGCTTTATCAGGTGATATTTTATCAGGTTTAGATGCCTATTTTGCAGGATTTGCAACTCATTATATTAAATCAGAAAATAAAGAAGCTTTAATAAAAAGATTATCAGTTTTAAAACCTCCTGTCATTAATAATGTTAAAACTACTACTAATGAAATATTAAGTAATCAACAAGAATATTTTGCATTAGTTAATAATGCCATTGAAGAATTTTCAGAAACTAAATTACCTGAAGATTATAAATTCCCACTTTCTCCTGAAGATATTACTATTATTAAACAAGCCTTTTCTCAACCAACTATTAAAGATGTTTTCAAATTTTTAGAAGGTAGAAAGGATAACTTTTCTAAAACTTTACTTGAAAAATTAACTAATAAACCATTAAGTTCTCTTAATATTGCTTATGAATTATTGAAATTAGGAGAAAAGAATTCTATTAAATCACAATTTAAACAAGAATTAATTGCTGCTACTAATATAGTTAATATTCCTGCTAAAGAAAATGATTTTGTTTTAGGAGTTTCTCATAAATTAATTGATAAAATAAAGTTACCAGCTTATCCAACATGGCATAATGGTAATGTTTCTGAAACATTTATTAAATCAATTTTAAAATCTTCTATTAAAACAACAAAATCATTATCTGAACCATATATAAAATCATTCTTTGGAGTAGATTTCGATCAATATCCTCATCATATGGGTTTACCATCTAATCAACAAGTTGCTGATTATATTACTGGTAATGATGGTTCGGGTAGATCTTACTTGCCAACTCCAAATGAAGTTCATAAATATTTTGCTAAGACAACTAATAATAAACTTGGTGTAGAAGCTAAAATTAATCAAATTTTACAAGTTCATGGTGAAGCTTCCAAGTATGATAACAAGTATGTATCTTGGAAGGCATAAGCTAACAATAAAAAAAAAAAGAATTCATATTGTACATAGAGTAGACTTTTAAAATATATACTGATTTTAAAATATATACTGATTTTAAAAAATACATATTTTTATTTGATTTATATAACTAAGAATAATTAATATTATAATACACTATTTGAACTTTTCTACAATTAAATCTTCACCCAATTCTTCATAATCAGCTTTAGTAACAAACCAGTTATCTAAGGCAATCTTTACACTATTAGATTCAATACCTTCTTCAATATTACCAGTATCATTTAACATATTAGCTAAATTACAAGCTCCTAACCAACTTCCAAACAGTCTATCCCAAATTTCACTTGAAGTATCAGTACTTGAACTATGTCTTACAGTATTAACACTATAAACAAATGCATAACCTGGATAAACTTGTGATACTAAATTTCTAAGATCAGTAATAATTTGTTCAGGTAAATCACTAAGATTTGATGAACCTCCAGTAATTAAAATATTTGATAATAAATCTTTAAATATTTCTGTAAATTTTGCAAATTTATTATGTGATGGATTTGAATCACTTGAACTTGGTAATAATGTTTGTTCTAAACTTTTTAAAGCAAAAAATATGAGATCAACAACTCCATGAGTATGAGGTTTATCAGGTGTTGGAATTGGTAAAGTTATATTTGGTAAAGGATTAGCAATTGGATTAAGTAAATTATTTAAAAATTTAGGAGTATCTTCAACATTAATATGACCTCTATTCTCTAATTGATAAAATTTTAAATCATAATTACTTGATAAATTTTTATATTCTTGTAAAATATTATGACTAATATAATAATTTTTAAATGAATCAGTTGCTGAATTATATTTATTTGGAATTAAATTTTCAATAGATGTCTTTGTTTGTAAATAATTTAATACATGTAAATTTACAAAATCTCCAGCATATTTTGAATGAAATGATGCTTTATTTTGAATAATTCCATCTAAAATTGGGGTAACACTAGTTGTTGAAGATCCAATATCAATTACTATTCCTGTAGATCTACCGGCTCTATATAATTGTGATAAAGGTGATTTAACTAATGAAAATATAGGTACTTCAAATTGTTCAAATGCAATTTGAGTGGTAGTTAATTTATTCTTTGAAGTATTCCAACTTTGTTCAGTCATAACTAAAGGATATTCTTTTGAATCAACTGGTGAATAATTATCAATATTATTATAAACATATTGCCAATTTTTAACTATATTATCAAAATCATAAATTAATCCATTATCTAATAATGTCATTACTTCATTATTAGGATATTTATTAATTTCTTCATCTCCTACTATAATTGTTCCATTAGAATCTATAGAATAATTACTATTGAACACTAATGAGGGCAAATCTTCCAGAGCAAACCCCGCCTTGGTGCTGTAGGAGCCATTGTCTATCACTACGGCTGGTGCTGTATATGCCATATTGTGATCTATATAAGAATTGAACTGGGTTTTGGTGGGTTTTGGTGGGTTTCTGTAGTATATAAGGCTGGTTATTATCTGTGTTGATATTTGACCGAGTTGGTGAAAAAAAATGGTAACGGTAGAAAAATGTCGTGGCAGTGCGCACTGGACTCTGGACTCTACTGGATTGGCACGACATTTTCCCACTCCTCAAACATCTAGACCATCATTTTTGATTATGAGATATCACTAATGAGTAAACTGATTTATCAAACGTTTATACAAGTTTCTTTACATACACCAACTAAATATGCTTAGAAGTGTAGTGAATAGAAAGCCCAATGTTGGGTCATTAAGAAGATTTCTTCAAACTGCTTCTGTAGGTACAAGTTCCTTTGCTCCACCTCCAACTTTTCAAACTTCAACATTATCAAATGGATTAACTGTAGCTAGTGAAGTAATTCCTGGAACTAAAACTGCAACTGTTGGAGTTTGGATTAATGCAGGATCAAGAGCTGATACTCCTGAGAATAGTGGAACAGCCCATTTCTTAGAACATTTAGCATTTAAAGGAACTAATAGAAGAAGTCAACCACATTTAGAATTAGAAATTGAAAATTTAGGTTCACAAATTAATGCTTATACTTCAAGAGAAAATACCGTTTATTATACTAAATGTCTTTCTAAAGATATTGATCAAAATATTGATATTTTAAGTGATTTATTAACTCAATCTAAATTAGAAGATCGAGCTATTGAAAATGAAAGACATGTTATATTACAAGAAAGTGATGAAGTTGATAAAATGTTAGATGAAGTTGTATTTGATCATTTACATGCAGTTGCTTATAAAAATCAAGATCTTGGTAGAACTATTTTAGGACCTCGAGAATTAATTAAAACCATTAATAGAAATGATTTAGTTAATTATATTACTACAAATTATAAAGGTGATAGAATGGCATTAATTGGAGTAGGTAATGTAGAACATGAAGAATTAGTTGAAAAGGCTAAAAAATATTTTGCTAATATTAAACCATCAGAAGTTCCATTTAAACAAAATGGAGGTGATTTACCAATATTTTATGGAGATGAAATTAGAATTCAAGATGATTCATTACCAACTACTCATTGTGCATTAGCAGTTGAAGGTGTTAGTTGGTCAGCTCCTGATTTCTTTACTGCTTCAGTAGCTAATGGGATTGTGGGAACTTGGGATAGATCTGTTGGTATTGGATCAAATTCTCCTTCACCACTTGCTGTAACTGCTGCAACTGGTGGACCTGATAAAACTCCAATTGCTAATAATTATATGGCTTATACTACATCTTATGCTGATACTGGATTAATGGGAGTTTATTTTTCAGCAGAAAAGGATGCAGATTTAAAATTATTTATTGATGCAGTATTACAAGAATGGGCAAGATTAAAATCAGGTAATATAACTGAAGAAGAAGTTGAAAGATCTAAGGCTCAATTAAAGGCTTCATTAGTATTAGCATTAGATGATTCTACATCTATTGCTGAAGATATTGGTAGACAATTAGTTAATACAGGATTTAGATTAACTCCAGAAGAAGCATTTGAAAGAGTAGAATCAATTACTAAACAAGATGTGGTAGACTGGGCTAATTATAGATTAAAGGATAAACCTATTGCTATATCTGCTGTTGGTAATGTTAAAAAATTACCATCTCATGAATATATAACGAAAGGTATGTCATTATAATAATGCATTAAGGGATATATATACCAGAAATGAAAATTGTACATAGTTTATTATTAAGTTTTAATACACCTTTTCTTTTTTTTTTATGATGAGGTTTACTTTTCAATAATATCAACGGCTGAGGAAACATTATCAGCATTATCATCATCATTAATTTCTTGTTCAACTGTACCTTCTCTAATTAAAATAGATTCCAGAGGAACTCTTTTCATAATTTCTCCCGGCTTGAAAAGTTTTCCAATATTATCAATCCATCTTCTTCTCTTTTCTAATAAAGTTCTTAATCCATTATTAGCAGCCTGCTGTTGTGGAGTAGAAGTATCAATCTTCTTTTTCTTACTTTTACCTTTAAGTCTTTTCATATATGCTTGATCAACTTGTTTATCTAAATCTTCTAATATAGCACAATATTCTTGATAAGCAATTTGTTCTTCAACAATTGGAATTAATTTCTTTCTATTGGCTTTATTTCTACTAACTACTTCTCTTAATTCTCGTTGTAATTGTCTCATTTCAGCACATACTTCATCATCTTCTTTATTCTTAATCCAATCATCATTATCAATAATACTGGAACTTGATTTTTTTATTCTACCACCAATAACATTTTGTCTTATACTTAATTTTGTTTCATCTTCTGATACTGGTAAATTCATAAAAATTCCAATATATTTTAATTCTCTTCTTAATCTATCTTCTATAGTACTAAAATCATTAATATCTCCAGTTAATTTATAATCTTCTCCACTATCCAATTGAGTGGCAATTGAAATATCATGATTTTCTTCATCATTATTATTATTAGATTCATCATCATTCCCATTACTTAAAGATCCATTCCGTCCATCTCCATTATCTTCTCCATCTTCATCTCCACTTGCTTCTCTTGTACTTAATATAGCAGATAAAAGTCTACTTGATAATGGTCCACAACTTATATCTTCAGTATATAATGTATCATCATTTAAATTATCAACTGTACCTTTAGCCTTATATGAATCTATTGGAGCTTGTTGATAAGCAGGAGAATTTAATTTAGAACTTAATGTAGCATCTTCATCAGCCCAAACATCTGCATAAAATCTTCCAAGTTTAGGTATAAGGAATGGAGTAACTTCTGGATCATAATCAGTCTTTTCCATTCCAGGTTGAATATTATATCTTTCATTTAAAAATTCAATATCTTCATTCAGAAATGGTCTAAAGTATGATTCTATATATGATTGATAAGTTGTAAATTGAACTTGATTACTAGGAGCTTTAGTCTTTGAAAAATCTATATTTGGAATAGGTCCTGGTAATAAACTTTGTAAATCATTTTCAGGATATGAAGCTACCCCATATTTACGTTTAAGATATTCTTTACCATGAGTTTCTAATCCATGATTATCTTCTGACCATAATCCAAGCTCGGCTATTGCTTCAGCAGGAAGAGTTTGAGATGTAACAAATTCTGATTTAGGATTTTTCAATCTAGTATCATTCTCATGAGTAAAGGATCCTGATTGAACTGGAGGTACGGGATCATCTTTGGTATTTAAATTCTCCTTGGACTCTTCTTCATCTTTATCATCAGTGGTGGTTATGACTTTCCTCTTTTTATTCAATGCAGTCTCATCACCATCTTCTTCTTCATCATCTTCTTCTACACTTATTTCTTCCACTCCTCGCTTCTTATCATTACCATTACCATTACCACTACCATTATTTTCTTCTTCATCATTTTCTTCGGTCGCACCTTCCTCTTGTTGTTCCTCCTCCGCATCTTCGGTATGGTCGCCCTTGTTCAAAATTTGTTTGATTCGCGTTAAAATTGAATCATCGGTAACTTCTACTGCGTCCAATTCTTTTTTCAACCCACTAAATAATTTACTCAAATTTAATAAGATCTTAATATTCGGTATGGTTCTTACATTATCACCATCTAATAATCCGACAGAATTATCATAAGTTAATTTCAATTCATTTATTATGGCATCCAATGTGGTGGATGCCGAATTGATGTCTGACGTCATAATCGATGATTCTCTATGTTCGGACCCTCTATATTAATAATCGCAGCCTAATATCTGTTTGTTGGACTAGTGATTTTTTTTAGGCTTTGAGTTTTTGATCGAGTTCGAATTATCACCAACCGTGCATCCATGCCGCACTACATACTACAAAATACTATAATATATTATGTAAAAGTAAATGGCATTATATATACAAGTGTACACTATAAATAACTATAGATATTTATGTTTATGGTTATGTTTATGTTTATGGACTGAATTCAGCTACGTACTTTTCATCCTTCTTTTCCTTAACAAGTTCAACAAGTTTATTGACTATCTTATGTTTAGCAATTGGAGCATCTTGAGGTCTCTTCCAGCTTTCTGGGAATTCTGGTTCTGGTGCATTTTTATGAGTACGTTTCATATGACGTGAATCTATTGGAATATCTGTGAAATCTGACTCTTTTGAATGTTTAATTAATTTATTTAAAGTATCAACCAAGTATCTAGCATTTTGAGCAGCTTCAGGATATTGATGAGATTTGTAAGTGAAAATATTAGTATCAATATTAAATTTATTACCAGCTAATACTTTGAAATTATGTTGAGCTTTTTCATCAAGTCCTAAATTATTCAAATCTACTTTTAATACTACTGTTCTATTAAATTTATTTGAAGTTTCGTCCCCAAAATCTGTTTGATAAGTTAATTTTATTGGACTTTCAGTTGGTTTAGGTGCATTATAAGGCTGACGGAATTTAGCCAATAACGGCATTTCATAAGCACTAATTCTAGTTAAATGTTCAATTCTTCTCTTTTCATGAGGAGTTGCTCCTTCATCTATAACATAAACATTACTTCTCTTCTTAGGTAAACCTTTTAATCTCAGAGGTGTATTATTCATAAATCTTTCTTTAAATCCATCAATAGCATATGTATAGTCTAATTCAGGTTGACCTTTAACCAATGAACTAATGGTTGAAAGAATAGCATTTCTTTCTTCATCACTAGGATTATATTTTTCACCCATACTATTCTTTCTTAAGTTATGAAGTTCAAAGATTTGATCGGCTGGTAATCCCTTCCAGGCATGAGGATTTAAATACAAAGGTGTAGCCTTTGAAGAATTATGACGAATCTGTTCAAGGCATCTCAAAGCCACACTGCCCTTTTTAGATATACTCATGTTTGGATCAGATAGTGTCACCTTCTGGATTAGTGGTGATTAAAATTGTTCAAAACTTTTTTTTTCAATTGGTACAATTTTTTTTCACTATAGGAATTGTGAAAAGTACACGTCCTTTAATTAAGTATAGCGATAGTCAGATAATATAAGTCACTGAGTTATAGAGTACTATATAGAAAGAATAGTAGACTAAAGAGTGTTCTGTTGTGTTGCAATGGTGCATTAGTAGTCCAATAGTACCTATTCAATATTAATGTCTTATTGTTCAACCTCACGTTTCACTTTACTATCCTTATGTTCTGTAGCTTTAGCATATTCGTTGGCATCCTCTTTCTTGATCTTCTTATGTTGATGACTATCATCATCATCTTCATCATCATCAGTTTTTATTCTCTTCTTATTAGCTGAAAAGAACAGTGTGATAGGCTTATTCTTTTTGACCTTTTCGATTAATCCCTTCAGCTTATTGGATGGGTTCCCAACATCCTTAGATACTTCGTAACCTTCAATATCAACATAAGCTTTATTGGTTTTAGTATTAAGAATTTCTTCAAGTACTTTCTCCAGTAACTCCTGATCAGGATTTAACCAATCATACCAAGCTTTTGTATCAGGTTCTAAAAGTATAGGTTTCCTATCATGTAACCATGAAATATCTCCAAGATCTTCTCTTGTTGCTGGTCCTGTTAATATAGTAAAAGACGATAAATATTCATCGTTAACATTGTAATTACTCTTATAGTTGGTATTATGAGAATACATTCCTGCCAAGTATATTATTGGACTCTTAGTAGAATGAACATAGTTTGGTATTTTAAGTTTAGATCCTTTGGGCTTTAACCATTCGAAATATCCTTGAATGGGTACCACACATCTGGTTCTCTTTTTACAACTATTCCATACCGCTTGACCACTCAGTAAACTTTCTTTACGACAATTGAAATATCGAGCCTGAGTTCTTTGTAATTCTTTTGAATATTCATTACCTTTCTTGCCATCTCTTTCAGTGGCTGCTGGATCTTGAGGTTTTGCCCAAAATGGGACTAGCCCAAACTTCAGCAGTTCCACTACATATTTATAATCTAAATTATTATTACTAATGGTATTTACCATATAAATTACTATGGCCGTATTGGTGGGAGCAATATTATAACTGCCATCCCATTGATTGACTCGGGTAAAGTCAAATTGAACTCGTCTCATATCATCTTCTGATCCTCTAATACTACCCTCATAAATCCCTGGTGACGATTCAGTCAATTCCTCATGTTGTTCATGAGAAAACACCGTATTATTAAATTGCGATGGTAACTCGTTCAAATTCACTCCTAGCGCAAATCTTCCACACATTCTACAATGGGCTTATCTTATATGTCTTTACTTTAATCTTCGTTAATTAAAATTATATTACGGAGTTCCCAGTCTTTATATAATTGGCGCGCTTCCGCATTGGGCAATATGGCAGCAAAAAAAAAGTATGGGGCAGAGCCACGACACAGTAACGTCTTAGTCTAAAAACAATAACCCTCCATCAGGGTCATCATTTTCTGTTTTATCATTTACATAATAGTCTGGTTGAGAGTCTGGGTCTAGAAATTCATCATAGGACTTTTCAAAATTATTAGTGCTTTCAGGATCATCGGAATACTCGTCTTTTTCTTCTCCATCAAAATACTCTGGTTGATCTTCTTTACTGAGAAATTCGTCGTATGTATAACCTGGAGATGAGGTAGTATCAGTAGCTCCATTTTTAGTATAAATATTTGCAATAGCAGCCTCCTGTTTCCTTTTAAGAGCCTTTAGGTAACTTTCTCGTAGTAATTTCCTCTTTATCTTCTTAAACGATTTATACTCCTTGACTTGATTTTCAGCTGCAAAATGAGCTTGCTCGGGTGCTTCATGATCTACTTCAGTACCTAAATGAGTAGGCTCTAAGAATTTGGGTTCTTCCATATCTTTAGGAAAATATGATTGTTTGACTACTCCATTCTTAAATTGAGGATTATATTTGTATGATTTACCATATCCTAATTCCTTCATTAAATTAGTAGGAGCATTTCGAATATGTAATGGGATAGGTAGTTTTGTTATATCAGGATTTTCTCTTATTAATTGTTGAGCAGATCTTAATGCTCTGTATGATTTAGTTGATTTAGGAGCTCTAGCCATCTTCATAGCACAATGAGCTAATATGATTTCTCCTTCGGGCATTCCCACAAACTCTATAGCTTCCTTTGCAGCAATTGCAAATGGTAAACATGAACTATCTCTTAAACCAATATCTTCACTTGCCATTACAATCATTCTACGAACTATAAACATAGGATCTTCACCTCCACTAAGCATCTTTACAAGATAAAACATAGCAGCATCAGCATTTGAACCTCGAACAGATTTATGAAATGCACTAATAGTATCATAATGAGATTCTCCATGTTTATCATACATATTATGAAAATTTCTAGTCTTTAATAGTGGTTTTAATAAATCACCCGATATATTTATAACACCAACTCTTTGTTTATTATTAATAGAAAAATTATCGGTAGATAAATATGCATTTACAGATTCAAGAATGTTTAAAGCCACTCTTGAATCTCCCATGGCTAATTCAGCAATATATTCAAAGGCATCTCTCTTAAGGGAAATAAAATGTAAATCATATAGTAACTTTCTTAGTCTATTGATTTGATATAACGCTCTTTCAAGAACTTTAATAATGTCATCTGATGTTAAAGGATCCATTACAAAAGTATGCATTCTAGATAATAAAGCATTGTTTAAAATAAATGATGGATTTTCCGTAGTCGCACCAATTACTGTTACTACCCCTTTTTCAATGACTGGTAATAATAAATCTTGTACAGCTTTATTAAATCGATGTATTTCATCTAAGAATAAGATAGTTTTCCGACCAGTTAAATTTCTTTCATTTTCTGCTTGTTGAAATGCTTCTTTAAGTTTCTTAGCATTAGCATCAGCTCCTGATAATTCTATAAATTTACAACTAGTTTCATGAGCAATGATTCGAGCTAAGGATGTCTTCCCTACTCCCGGTGACCCCCAAAGTAAAAAAGAAGGTATAGTGTCTGCTTTAATAATATTTCTTAATAATCCGTTCTTACCTAATAACTTCTCTTGACCAAAGAAATCATCTAATGATTTAGGTCGTAGTCTCTGAGCTAATGGTATACTAGCTTCTCGTTTAAGTTTGGCTGTTTCTTGTGCCTTTGTGAGATAACTAGATTGTCTTGGAGGTGGTGGTGATGATGGTGGTTGAGTAGTAGTAGTAGTAGAGACAGAAATTGATTCTTCGGCTACTGGTGATTTTACAGTATCTTCTTCTTGTTTGACATCTTCCAGAGTTGATAAGGGTATCACCTTAACCAATTCCTCTAATGAGGGCTCTTCAGATGACTCATTCTTTAATTTCTTCTTCTGTTGAGACTGGATCTTCCTCTCTTCTATCAATATTCTTGTTAACGTAGGCTTAGTCTTTTGAAGTTTTTCAAGTTTTTTCTTTTTAGTACTGGAATAGTCAGCTTTCAATCCTAACACCGAAAATGCATTTTCTACTGGTCTTTTCTTATTTTCTTCTATAATTTCTACGTCAAGAGTTGAATCGGGAGATGCTTCGGAGTCCTCCACTATAGTAGTTTCTTGATTGTCTAAGCATGAGTTCACGTGTCTTTCCAATAATCTTTGAGGTATTGATCGAGAACATATGGGACATACGTCATTCACCTGAACTACTGTCTCATTCATAATGGTTACTGTACATTATCTATTTGTACTTATTATCTTTATCAATAAAATCTATAAATTATTCATACCCCGAAGAGTACGCGAACAAAAAAATATTTAGAGTATTATGGAGATATCGCCAACATTTTTGTAGACTATTAGTCAGTAGTGAAAGGAGAGAATATATAAAATATGAATAAAGTAAATTCAGTGGAGGCGGAGTCGTTGGGGGTAAAGAAGAGAAAGTCAACTCCACCGATTTCTAGTGGACAAGTTAATAATAAGAAAGTGAAAATAGAGGATCAACCACAAACTCAAACTCAAACTCAAACTCGATTAGCATATAGTATAACACCAGAAGATAAGAATGGAAATGATGTAGAAGAAGAATCAGTAGAAGAGATAGCGAAACAGTATAAGAAGTTTAAGAATGCTGCCAAGTTTGATTTAAATTCCGAAGAATTGTTTTGTATATGTCGTAAACCTGATAATGGAGAGATGATGGTTCAATGTGATGGATGTGAAGAATGGTTTCATTTCAAATGTATGAAATTAAAACAAGAGAATTCTAATTTAATTGCTAAATTCTTTTGTAAATTCTGTGATTGGCAAAATACTGGTGTCACATTATGGAAGAGAAAGTGTCGAGTTTCATGGTGTAAAGATCCTATTCGGAATGATTCTAAATATTGTTCTGATGAACATGGAAAATTATTTATGAAAGAACTATTAGTGGATAAGAAGCCAATCACTGATCATGACTTAGCTTCAAATAAGATTAAAACCATTATGGATCATTCAGGTTATAATTATGAAGTATTAATTAATTTGGGTTCGCAATTTCCTGAATTAGATATAGTGAAAGAGTATAATGAAACTAATGGAGCTAATATAGATAAATTTCCTACAGAAACTAAGCAAGAACTTAATTCTATAAAGCGAAGATTTCTTAAAATTAAACAACTCATAGAGAAATTTGAAAAAAGAGAAGCATACTTGTTAGAGATTAAAGAAAAGAATAAATCACTTAACGATAAACTTTTACGAGCAATTTATCCTGAAGTTAAGACTGAAGATACTACATCAACTTCAGGTAAGAAGAAAAAATCATCTAAAAGTAAAAAACTAGACATATGTTTTCATGATAAACTGTTGGATAAAATATCTACAGAGAAGTCCATAATAGATGAAATATTGACAAATGAAGATCAATTCAATAAACTTAAAACGACTATAGAGCAAAAAATAAATGAAGAATCAGATGATGTATTATATAATGAATTACTTTGTATTCAAGATAGGAAGAAATGTCCTAGACATAATGGATGGTGGAACTTATTAAATGATGAAGTTACTAAAAAGTTAATTGAATATAACCAAACATTAGATAAATTGGAAGCTCAAAAGAAGGCAGCCTTAAGGAATTATAGTATTGAAATCTATGATAATTAGAATCCTATGATAATTAGAAACCATACTTTTCAATTCAATTTCATTCCTTCTTTAATCCATTTATAGTAGCAACTAATCTTCTAGCATGTTTATAGGTTCTAAATTCTAATAAATATATTCCTTGCCATGTTCCCGTAGCCAATCTACCATTAGTTATAGGTATACTTAAACTAACACCAACAACAGTACTCTTTACATGGCCAGGCATATCATCAGGTCCTTCATCGGCATGTATATAATCATCACCTTCTGGTGCCACTTTATCAAGTGAATTGGTCATATCAACCCTAACATCAGGATCGCAATTCTCATTAAGTGAGATCGCAGCACTAGTATGTTGTAAGAATAAATGTAAAACGCCAACTTCATAGTTCTTAATTTGGGGAAGATGTGATAAAACTTCGTCTGTGATGAGATAACTTCCTTTGCCCCGTGCTGCAAGTGTGAATTTCTTCTGTTCCCATGTGCTTGACATTGTAGATACTATTCAGGTAAATAAGTAGGGCAGTCTTTGATAGAGCAATCTAGGGGAATTTTTTATACGCACAGATTTGGTGTTGCATATCGAGCGCGACCAGTTGTCTTAACTAGAAGTATTTCAAAAGGCCATCAGTACCATTAACAAATTTAGTAATCATTGTAACTGTTTAGTCGACGTAGATGTACAGTAGATATATCAAAAGGTATTACTTGAACATGGTTTATATGTGTTGTGTGTCCAGGTGTGGGAATGATTATTCAAATATTGCAAATTTTGTAAAAGTTTTGCAGTTAATTCAGATTAAAGTTAGAAACATGGTGCTATGAAAGTGCAAATTTTACATTCAACTATTTCAAAGTCTATATTTGAATAGAATACAAACTAAGCATAAAGTAGAGTAGTAATATCGAAGCTTGGCATAGCCTTAATCATAAATACACGGCAGGTATAACACCAAAGGTTTACATGCATTTTGCACAAACAATTTATGAAAATAAAATGCAGACTCTTTTTAATTTTAATACTGAAATGGATTAGCATTGTAATAAGAACTACTAGAGATTATGTAAAATTCACAGAAAGTAGTATGAGGACGTTGTGGGATACAAAAGTTCACTGGCATGTTTTTAATAAATACAGAGATAACTTCACAACCAGAAATTCAACACATCTCTAATTAGCTTTAAATCAAAGCCAAGAACCAATAATCATAGAAATCCTTTCAAAACATCAAAAAACCATTAATTTCGGGCTCAATTGGCAAATTTTCAAAAATAAATGTAGAGCCTTCATAAAAGCACTTTCGAATTATTTTTCTAAGAAAAGGCAACTTGTCCGAGTGGTTAAGGAGAAAGATTAGAAATCTTTTGGGCTTTGCCCGCGCAGGTTCGAATCCTGCAGTTGTCGCCATTCTTTTTTTTTTTGAATTTTTTTTGAACCCTTAGTACGACTAAAGCACTCGTCCTAAATACCTAATGTGCATTTAAATAAAGTAATTACCAACAATGTAAAACCATCACATCTCTACTACAACTACTAAGATCGAATGACAATAATGAACGTTTTCTGTGATAAGAACAAAATTCTATGACAATCAAACATACATGGTAGCGCAAAGACAAGACCTGCAGAGAGAATGAGATGAGTGGATCTGAAAAAAAAAATTTCAATGCTTTAAAGTACTAGCAGAGGTACTATAATTCAATATTATATAGAACATTGTTACCACATTCAAGAATGGAATTAGCAGTTCGTCAAGAGGACGCTGATGTGTTGTTGAAAGAAAAGAACGTACTCAATGAAAGTGTGTTGGACAAATATAGAACCGGAGGACAGATTGTTCAAACAGGATTAAAATATATTATTTCATTAATTAATGAATCATATCATTTAGCAAGTAGTAATGGACAACCAATAAGTGTTCAAGAATTATGTATATTAGGAGATTCATTTTTAATTAATTTATTATCTAAGGTATATACTAATCAAGTAAGAGAAAAGGGGATTGCTTCACCTACTACTATTGAAGTTAATGAATTAGCTAATGGATTTTCACCAGAATTAGATGATGAAGGTCTGTTCTTTTTCACTGCTGGTGATATTGTTACTATTTCTTTAGGTGTTCAAATCGATGGATATACTTCTCAAGTTAGTCATACTTTAGTTATTTATCCACCAGGTATTGAAATTAATAATGAAATTAAACCTGAAGGTCCATTATTAGGTAGTAAAGCTGATGCAATTTGTGCTAGTCATATTGCTACTGAAACTTTAGTTGGATTATTAGGTTTAGCATTAACTCCAGAAAAATTACCTGAACAAATTAAAAACGAAGGTGGTATTCATGGTTCAACTATTAGAAATATTGTTGATTCTATTGCTGAATCATATTCATGTATTGTATTACCTGGATCAAAAGTTAGAAGAGTAAGAAGATTTTTAGCAGGTCAATCAGAAGGTATCGTTGCTGAACGTGATTTTAAGGGTGTTGTTTGGGATGAATCTCATCAAGAAGAAAGATTATTAAAAAAGGCTCCAACAAGTCAAGAATTAATTTTAGCTGATAATAAAGTTAAACCAACTAGTACTAATAATTCTACTGCTATTCCAACTGATGAATTTATTGTATTACCAGGAGAAGTTTATCAAATTGATATTAGAATGTCTTCAATTGCTGATTTTAATGAAGTTGGTTTAATAACTTTAGAAGAAATTGATCAATTTAGTGGTAAAAATAATAGACAAGAATTTAATAGTAAAAGTACTATACATATCAGAGATTTTGCAATTAATCATCAATTAAAATTAAGAACTTCAAGAAAATTATTAACTGAAATTGATAAGAATTTCTCTGTATATCCATTTAAATTATCATATACTTCCAATCATTTCCCAATTAACTTAGATAAAGATATACCAGAACAAGTTGAAAATATTAAGCAAGATTTAAAAACTTTTAAATTAGGTTTAAGTGAATTAAATAATAGACATTTAATTAAATCAAGACCAATTCAATTAACTAAATTTATTCCTTTAGAACAAATTTTAATTAGTTCTAATCCAACTGGTAAACATGGTATTGATTTAAATAAACCAGTATTACCAGGTATGGAAATTCCATTACCACAATTAGGTATATCATCATTGAAATTAAAGTCATTATTAAATAAACATGGAAAATCAGTTCCAAATGTTAGAGAATCTACTACAGTTATTATCAATAATGTATCTAATGGAGAAATCATTAGATTAACTGGAGGATCTAAATCTAGTTCTCCAAGTTGGGTTCATTCTCAATATCAATTAAAGGGAGCTTATGTTGAATCTATAAATCAAATTGGTCAATTACTTCAAGATAAGAGATTTGGTATTAAGGTTAAAGAATGCTATCCATTTAAATTAAATAAAGATAAATCGGTTGAAACCATGCAATTAGATTAAATAGCATATATATATAAACCTTGAATTTTGTACATTATTTAGAGCTTTTAATAGTTACTATTCGAATAAAATTGGCATCTATAATTTATTGAACACTTGATCTATAAATCATTGATTTCCATTTGTAGTATAGAATCATCCCAAACAGGCAAGAAATACTCACTTGCACAAAATATAAATATAAATACAAATGATTTCATCATCGGTTTTGCAGCTTAATTTGGCTTATTACAATCTATGTTCAATATGTTGCAGCAAAGGCGGTTTGGCGGTTTGTTGATCTTCACAATTTCATATTAATAATCATAAGATCCAACTACGTAATGTAATTACAATAAGTTATCGGTCGTGAGACGATAGCACCTTTAAGCACTACCCCAAAAGAGTTATTTTCTTCCACAACTGGATTGAAAATTTTACATCTCATCAAAGAATTAGATTTATTTTTAGTCTACATAATAATACTTAGCATATGAATGAGACATACGTAGTACATATGTAGTAATAAACTCGAAGGATCCAACCTGTAATTGATTCACCCCTCATTTTTTACAGGTTGCCCAAGCCAGTGAGTGACCCGCAAACTGGTATGTAAGTACGCATTTTGAACTGCAGGGCACGACCCCCAAAAAACAGCAAAACAGTTTAAAAAATTTATATGGAAGCACTAACTATTTACGACTATTTATATACCACTACACCCTAACCAACTTTTTAGAAAAGTATCAAGATATAATCAATCAGAAAAATGTATGTTATCTATGTAAGAAACAGATTATGACAATTGAATGATGAATTGACTTTGTTGAATGATTGATTGATGAGATAGAATTGAACAATTGAAGGAGTCAACTGATTCAAACAAATTAGTGTTGACGGATCTGATCTTATTTGATCTAATTGATATTGAATGTGTAATGCATGGTTAACATGAATCTATGAAAAATGGATTAACATATTCTTGTAGAAGATCTACTCATACTAATTAATTATCATCAGTGATTGCCCCTTTAACTCAACAAGATATGACATTAATCCCTGATTTAATCCATCAAATAATCAACTATAAATCCGCACAACCATATAATTAAACAACCAACGAAATCAACATACTTATCTACACTTAATGTCTGTGACTGTTAATAAATCTACAACTATTCTCAGATCATCATCATCAAGAATCACAACATTGCTTCCAGATCTACTACATTATTATAGCTTCACCCACGCGATGAAAGAAAAGACCAATTGGTATTTCTATACCATTTCTACAACTCTAAACTTCTTCTACAATATTCTTTGGAATCTCTTCTTACTTTATATTCACAATATCGATGGATTCTCGTGTTTTGATCCATCTATAGCAGTGCCGCTGGATGCCATCTTCACTGTTTTGCTTTTCTACTTATCCTTTAAGGTGGACGCACTCCCTTTCCTTTTTTGTCTTATTTTTTTCCCATTTTCGTCATTTCCTTTTTTGGATTTTGTCAGTCTCACTCGGACAATTTGTCTTTGTTTCTTTTAGACAAATCAAGAATGGCCAGCTTTTTGTTTTTTTATTTTGTGTCGGGGTTATTAGTACTGCAAAAAATCCCTCGCCTTTCAAGGAATTAACTATTGATGTGTGGGGGTTTGCATACCATTTTTTCGACATTTTTGTTTGTTGCCCAAAATATGGGCGAAAGGTGGGTGGTAGGTTGGATATGCGGTGAGAGTGACAATTTAGTGTGAGTTTTTTCGAAGTCCTCACTAAATTTTGTTCATTCATTGATTTACCTCACTCACTGTCATTCACTCAAGTTAGTCGGCGATCAGGCAGTCAAAACTTTCGTTCTCTCTCCTTTAAATAATTTTCTTTTCTTAAATTCAATTCCTTTTCTTTACATTTTAAGGTCGAGTCTTTTATCGTTTAAGTGAATATCTATAGAAGTATGTTTGTGGTTGCTATACCTATGTTTTGATATCATAAAATTAGTTGATTAATGGTTTATTTGATGGATTTAAATCGCACTTTAATTATTGTTTACCCTTTACATTTTATATCAAATATGTATGGGGAATTTCGATAGAATCTAATTGATATCGTGATTTGAATTAGAATCAGTTAGATTCATTCTAAATTAGTTGATAATTTAAAGTTATTACCAATTCATCATTCATTTAATTGATCTGTTTAATAATTTTTAAAGATTGTAATTACTAACTTAAAATTTTTAGTTTATCGTATTGTATTTTTGTTAATTTTTGTTATTTACATTAAGTTACAATTCATATAATCATTTATATTATTTTTCATCATCTCATATATCATTGTTCAAATTTTGTATCAAACAACTGTACCCCTTTTACACATTTATAAATTTTTTATTATCAAAGAATAACAATAAAGTTCATAATAATAACTCAGAAAAATACTATTAAACAATGCCTGCCTCAAGAGAAGATTCCGTTTACCTTGCTAAATTAGCTGAACAAGCTGAAAGATACGAAGAAATGGTTGAAAATATGAAAGCTGTTGCTTCATCTGGACAAGAATTATCAGTTGAAGAACGTAATTTATTATCAGTTGCTTATAAGAATGTAATTGGAGCTCGTCGTGCTTCATGGAGAATTGTTTCATCAATTGAACAAAAAGAAGAAGCTAAAGGTAATGAAAATCAAGTTTCATTAATTAGAGATTATCGTTCCAAGATTGAAGCTGAATTATCTAAAATTTGTGAAGATATTTTAAGTGTATTAACTGATCATTTAATTTCATCTGCTCAAACTGGAGAATCTAAAGTATTTTATTATAAGATGAAGGGAGATTATCATAGATATTTAGCAGAATTTGCTGTTTCTGAAAAACGTAAAGAAGCTGCTGATTTATCATTAGAAGCTTATAAATCTGCTTCTGATGTTGCAGTTACTGAATTACCACCAACTCACCCAATTAGATTAGGGTTAGCATTAAATTTCTCAGTATTCTATTATGAAATTTTAAATTCCCCAGATAGAGCTTGCCATTTAGCTAAGCAAGCATTTGATGATGCCGTTGCTGATTTAGAAACTTTAAGTGAAGATTCTTATAAAGATTCTACTTTAATTATGCAATTATTAAGAGATAACTTAACTTTATGGACTGATTTATCTGAAGCACCAGCTGCTAGTGATGAAGTTAGTCAACAACCACCATCAGAAGTTAAGCCAGAAGAAGAATCTTAAATATAACAATAAAGAAAAGAAAATAAACAAAAGAGAAGAAGAATCTGAATTATCTAAACTAACTAAATTAAATAAATAAATTAAATTGAATTGAATTGAATTAAATTAAACTGAATTGAATGAAATGAGGAGGTAATCCTGAGTAAGTACTGAAAGAGTTAGAGTCAACATTTTTAAGTGATTGTATATTATTCTTTGGTTACTTCTTAGTTGTTATTCTTACCTTATTATTATTATTTTTACTACCTACTTATTACTTATTAAATGTTGTTATTATCAACCAGTCTTCATAGTATTTCTATATATTGTTACCTTTGATTATTCTACTATTCTATTTTTATTTATACTACTGTTTTTATTACATTTTTATCATTATCTATTACTCTATTACTCAATTCGTCTAAATTATTACTAAGTACTGCGGCACGGGCCTTCCTCCCCGAAAAAAACAACGCGTCCTCAAAAATTTTCGTCTGAAACTGGCATGGTGTGAATCAGCATTTTTGTTGATACTTATCAGTGTAACCAGTAACCATTGACAGTAAACATAATTAGAGTAAATTAACAATAATGCCTGAACCAGTAGGAATCGCCAATTTGCCCAATCAGAGACTTAAGATTGTGTCTCAACAAGGAGCTACATTTACTATTATGGTATGTGGAGAAAGTGGATTAGGTAAAACGACATTTATTAATACATTATTTGAATCATCATTAAAACCTTATGTTGAACCACAATCAAGACATAATAAATTTTCAGGAGCTCATCAAACTGTTGATATTGATATTGTTAGAGCTATATTAGAAGAAAAAAATTTTAAAATTAGATTAAATATTATTGATACACCAGGATTTGGTAATAATGTTAATAATCATGATAGTTGGACTCCAATTATTGATTTTATTGATGATCAACATGAAGCTTATATGAAACAAGAACAACAACCTTTAAGAGTTGAAAAGAAAGATTTAAGAGTTCATGCATGTCTTTACTTTATTAGACCAACTGGTCATTCTTTAAAACCTTTAGATATTGAAATTATGAAAAGATTACTGACAAGAGTTAATTTAATTCCGGTAATTTCAAAATCAGATACTTTATCTCCAAAAGAATTAGCAATTTTTAAATCAAGAATAAGAGATATTATTGAAGCTCAAGATATTAATATTTATACTCCTCCATTAGAATTAGATGATCCAGCTGCTGCTGAACATGCAAAACAATTAATTGAATCTATGCCATTTGCAATTATTGGTTCTGAAGATAAATATGAAGTTGATGGTCAATTAATTAAAGGTAGAAAATATCCTTGGGGAATTGTTGAAGTTGAAAATGATCAACATTGTGATTTTAAAAAATTAAGAAGTTTATTATTAAGAACAAATATGTTAGATTTAATTTTATCAACTAATGAAATTCATTTTGAATCTTTTAGATCAATTAAATTAGGAGGTTCATCAAATGGTGATGAAGTTAATGGAGAAGGAGAAGCTAATGGAGAATTAAAGGATAAAGATGAAATTACTAATGAAAATGGTGAAATTATTAAGAAACCTAGTAATATTAATAAGAAACCTAGACGATTACATAATCCTAAATTTAAAGAAGAAGAAGATGCTTTAAAGAAATTCTTTACTGAACAAGTTAAAGCAGAAGAACAAAGATTTAGACAATGGGAAACCAATATTGTTAATGAAAGAAATAGATTAAATCAAGATTTGGAAGAATTACAAAGTAAGATGAAAACTTTGGAGGATCAAGTTAAGAAATTACAGCTTACAAAGCGTTAGTATATAAGAAGAATGTAAGTAGAGTAAATATGAAACTGTTTTATTAATTGATAAATTAATTGATATAGATGAATCAATTGTAGTAGTAACAGTATCTAACTGACCCAATACACATATTAATTATATAGTACTAGCACTACATATCCAACTACTGTATGATTAGTAATTGAATCTTTTTTTAATCTGTTCTACATTTACTTGTAAATTGTTCTTGATTTAGACCGACTATGCTACATAATATAATTCATAATATTGTTTAAGGATTGTCTGTTTGATAAGCCCGAGGGATTGTTAGGGTACATCTGAATCAGCATAAATATCCTGTAGATCTCACTGTGCCTCTGTATTACTGTGAGATTCACGCTCAGCATACTACGCACTTATCACTACTGTTTCACTACTGTATCACTACTGTAGTAACTTAGTCTACCACATACGCATTCTACTAGTCCAGTATACTCACAATTGTTCGTAGTCACTCTCACTACTAACTAAACTACTACTGAGTCTCACTAATTCTCACTAATTCTCACTAACTCTCACTAACTCTCACTAACTCTCACTAATTCTCACTAACTCACTAATTCTCACTAACTCACTAATTCCTAATTCTCCCTCAAATTCCTCATCGTCCGGCTATCGACGGGAAAAAAAATTTAGCCGTGTTATACCCAAACCTCTTCTACACTAACTATCCATATTGTGCTAAGTGTACTGTATTATACAGTAGTTCACGGTGTGTCAGTAACTCATAGACCTAGCTGCAAATTAATTGCCAAATTTTCAAATCTTAAAATCCACTTGTTAGCTAATTACTGACTCATGTCGTCACTACCCACTGAGGCTCATTCCCTCTACGACGATAATGCCTCTGCCAATAGTAGTACTACTGCTACAAATGCTAATGGTGCGGCTAATAGTTCTTCCAATTACCACCACTTGAGCAGTGTCTCACCTCCATCTGTAGGTCCTGAATCACCTCCTCTAGCTGGAGGTAATCAGAAGTATAAACGTAATTACCGAGCCTGCTTAAATTGTCGATTACGGAAAGTTAAATGTGATTTGGGTCCTGTGGATAACCCTCGAGAAGGTAAGTGTGCTCGATGCCTTAGGGAACGGAAAGAGTGTGTATTTGTAGAGTCTAAAAGAGGAGGACTGGGTAATGTTTCTACAGGGAGGAAGAAGAGAAAAGTCGACGAGGGAGAGTTTAGTGGATCAGAGGGGGCAGATACAGAGCCAGAAGTTCATGTTCAAGTGCCTGTTCAGCCCAAACCTATACCTCGATTACCTCCAGTGGGTGATATGCTCAGCCAAACTGTTCGACCACCACCAGTTCCTCTTTCTGACGTGAGACAGACCCAGAAACATCACCACCACCATCACCAAAACCACCAAAATCAACATCAACAGAATCATCAGAATCACCACCAACAACAACCGCAAAACCCCCCTCCCCAAGATGACTTCCCTTCCAATGCCAACAAGAGCAACAACGACCATTTTTCCACTATGGAAGGTGCACTTGTATTCCTTGCCAATGCAGCTGGGACCATTGCCAAGGCTGATGAAAGAGATAATATTGATGCTCGAGTTAAACATGCACAGTTAGAAGCTTCAGCGCATTCTCGAGGCTCCTCCGACGATGTGACTGGAGTGGCTACACCTGACGATAAGTCTGGGGTATCGCCAGTAGCTCATGTCAGTAGTGGAACACATACTAATTCAGGCTTACAGTCTACTGAATTCAGTCTGTCAGCTCCTCAAACGACCACCAGCTCCCAGTCATCAGTACCACAGTACATACGCCCTAATTTATCCCAGCGTATGACTATGCCCGCTGCAGAAAACGCATACATTGTCCGTCCCAGGGGGTCTAATAAATTATCCAATATTGAATATATTGGTGGAGACAATGGGATATTAACAGAGGATGAAGCTGAACGACTCATCCAGCTATTCTTCTCCACTATGCACCCATTCTTCCCGCATTTACCGACATTTCTTCATTCATCTAAAGTACTTTCAGGTTACCCTATTTTACTCTGTGCTATTCTCACTATTTCATCTCGGTATCATCCGTTTGAAAACAATGCAGGTACTACAGCGGGGGGAGTACCTCGGAATATTGAAGTCCATGATCGATTATGGTTATATGTTCAACGGTTGATCTCTCAGACTGTGTGGGCAGAAGCCAGTACTAGATCCATAGGGACGGTATTTGCATTCTTGTTGTTTACGGAATGGAACCCTCGAGCTATTCATTGGCGTTGGTCTGACTATGCCAATAAGGCAGATGATGGGAATGATGAATTAGGAGGGTTGAGTAATAACAGTAACAATGGTAATGGTGGTAATGGTGGTAATAGTAACGTTAGTAATAATACCAACAATAACAATAAGTCGGGAGATGTTAGTAATTTGGCCGGTTTAGGAGCCATGCGACGCAGTTACCGAATGGCCTGGATGTTGATTGGGTCAGCTGTTCGTCTAGCTCAGGATATGGGGTTTATGGAGATCAGTTCTCGGACATTTCTAGCCACTCACATCGCCGAGATCAATTCCGTAATGAACATCAGTAGACGGTCTATGTTGGGTCATTCCCTCTCGGAGGTGGACTTGGATGAAGACGATATCTCTGAAGAAGCATTGGCCAAGTCAGAGGATATGGAGGATCGGATCTTGAACTTGAATGAAGAGGAATTGAAGAGACTCTCGACGGATTCAACGTTGCGATTCACACTATCACAAAAGGCACAAGTAGAATTACTTCAGATCATTTCTATTGGCCATGAGTCTCTCTATGGGTACAGAGCCCAATTGGGATCATTAACTCAACGTCAGAACTTATCTGTTTTGAATTTGATTAGTCCCCTCATCAATAATTGGGGTCGTAAGTATAACCATTACCTTGTACCTTCTAGTCATAAACTTCTTCGGAATGTATCTAATCTTCAGGCACATTGGCTAAATCCCCAGTCTAAGATCAGTCGAGAGATTGCTGATAGTATTGAGAGGGAACTGTTCTTGTTTGAATTCAATTACGTCAAGCTTTACATCTATTCGTTAGCATTGTCTCCTTCGCCTCGTTCACTTAATGAACAGAAAAGGAATCGTAAAGGGAAAGTCACCCTTAAGTTGGATGAGATCTCTAAATCAGCCAAATACATTGAGCAAGCATTCAAGTCAGCCAATGAGATGTTACTGTCGGCTCATCGTGTACATCGGTTGAAGATGTTACGGTTTATGCCTGTCCGATGGTTGACGCGTATGGTTAGAGCAGTGGCATTTATCGTTAAGTGTTACTTGACTATCACAGCCCATAAGAATGGTACTAAGAACATGACATTGGCCGATACGTTTGATGCCACTATCTTATCGCTCAGTTTGATCAGTGTGGATGAGATCATTCACAGTATTCAACGAGCAGCCATTACGTTACGTGACTGTTCACCGGATGAGTTACACTTGTGTACAAGATACTCAACAGTGCTTATGTACTTGTGTTCGGAGATGAAGACAAAGGCCAAGAACCTACAGGAGGTGAACATTGAGTATGATCCTATGGGAAGAGAGGCAGGGGCAGAGGTAGAGGCAGAAGATGCAGAGGATGCAGAGGAGGAAGAGGAGCAGTCGGAGTCTGAGACTGAGACAGATACTCATCCAGAGAGACAGGTAGAATCTGTGAGTCAACCCATGAGTCAGCCCATGAGTCAGCCATTTGTAGTACCTGTACCTCCACACACTCAGCCTCAGCCTCAGCCTCAACCCCATACTCAACCATATCCTGCCACAAACATGTACCAGTCTCTGTCCCAGTCACAGACACAAACACAAACACAACCACAGGCCACTGTCCCTCAATTCTCCTACTCAGTGTCCAACGAAAGTATCACTCCCAGCAATACTAACACTGGTAATGCTAGTCCAGTTCCTGGACTTACTGGAGAATGGTTCATGAATGATAAGAACATTGGGCTTGATTTTGTAGTGCCATGGATGGAATTGATAGAGCAGCAATTGCCCACAGCAGACTTTAACTTTGATGAGCAGATGTTGAGGTAGTGTATATTATAGAGTTTATTATAATACATGTTAAATTACAGCTATATAGTACAGATGGGAGTAGTTACATAGAGTAGTGATAGTACTTACTAGTAGTGTACTTGTGACTCTTTGATACAAGATATGTTTCTCTAGTACTCTGTAAACAATTAATTGTAGTCTTTCAGCTATTCCAGCTCTGAATCTCATGAACAACTTTGAAGAGTGCAGTCTCCATATATGGCGATGACTCACTCCGAGGCAAGTAAGTCTCAAGCAGTCCAAGCTCTCCTATGGACTGGAACGTCTTATTCAATGGTGACGACTTTAATGGGTTATACAAATTATCATGTGGTTTAGGAATATCCAATACTTTCTTCACATCAACATCTAAGTTCAATGAGTACTGAACTTCTGGAGTAGTCACCAAAAGTCGATTGATCTCTACCAACTTATCCATACAAGAGGCGGCATTGATATTACCTCGTTCAGCCATAAATTTAAGTAAGGCAATTCCCTGATCAACCTGTCGGAACTGAACTTGATGAGCCAGACGATGAGGTTGATGGCCAATACAGGAGATACTGATAAGTAGTATTAGAGCCAGAAACAAATGCTGAGAATCCCAGAATCCCAAGATGAAGACCTTCTCATTGACAAATAGATGACTAATGATATCTACCGTAGCACAAGAGGTGAGAATCCCTCGTGCCATAGTAGCTTCTACATCCTTAAGATTCTCCTTATCAATGATCGGAGATGTCGTCAAATAAGATGATGGATCCACCATTAGTGAAAGTAATGGTTTAGTAATTAAGATAATGAGTTGGTGATATCGTAAGAATAAGTTAGCAAGATTCCGACTTCCTGTGGTGGGATTTATAATAGTGGTAGTGGCAAACTGAGGATTCAAAAACGAATCCTCAAAGTTACGTATCAAGTCTTGAGAACTGGCCACAATATTCTTAAGCAAAAGCTTCTGGTTGAATTGCAGAGTGTTGATATAGTTGATAGAGAAAGTTCTCATATTGGGCCCATAGATGAGTCGAACAAACTTGGCCACGTACTTGGTGAGATGAACATTTACTTCCAAGATATTGTTATCAAAGTTATGGTTACCCACAAGCGGAGACATATTCTCGGTGGGTAAGTCTACATCAGTATCGGTGAATTGGAAATGCACAGTCTTAGTAGCCCAGGTGGTGTCGATAACAAATACAGACCACCATAATTGTTTAGCCTTTTCATAGAAAATGAGGTCGGATTTCTTGTTTAATGGTTGACGATGATACCCCAACGCTACAGCTGATCTAGCGGCAACTCCCAAGTAATTATACACTGTACTGTAACGATTCAAATTAGCGGCATAGAATCCCAAGAGTAATGCACTTTGAATGAACTTAAAGTCTACGCCTTCTCTCGTTAATGGAAAGAGATGTTCAGCTAGCAAGTAGTATTGCATGCCTGGAAAGTCCTTGATCGATGTGGAAACGATGTGGGTGGCTAGGAGTTGTTCTCCAAAGGCAAATATGATGAATAGGTAGCATAGTGAGAGCTGACATATCAGGACTGCTGGATCATACGGTTGGTGAGCCAATACAGTATACGCTCTGTCGAGGATATCACGGAGTTCCACAATATCTACAAGATAAAATTCTGACGAGTATGTTGAGTATATTTTATCAACAAGCGTCATAGCCCTCTGTTTGTCGGGCAAGAGTTGTTGACATACTTTTAGTAGATCGAGCTTTAAAGACTCGTAACTATCGACATTCAATTGCGAGTAGAAGTCTTCAAAATTGACATTGGTAATGGGAAATTGGTCTGCGGTGGTGGAAGCAGATGAGATCGTCACCATGGATGCAGAGCCTGGTGAAAGGAGGGTTGGCTGATGAGGTAATTGTTGAGGCTGGGGTTGAAGTTGAGGTTGAGATTGAGGTTGAGGTTGATACTGGAAGTAATGGGTAGAGGCTTCTTCACGGAAAGGCATGGATTCTTGTGGAAGGACATGATGCTGTCGAAGCATATTCTCTAGCGACTCTACTCGATCATGGAGACGATTCAAGTCACTCTCCATAATGACAATCTTCCGGTCCTTTGTTGGATATACACAGGCTTCTGGTTTACTAATGCTTTTGCAATTGGAACATGCTGGTTTCTCTCCTGAACATTTGATTTTGGATAATTTACAACGAGTACAGGCATAGTGGGTACGACCAAATACCTTTAGTGGTTTTGGTTTCTCATGGAGACTGTTGGAATTGGCAGCCGAGTCGTCACTCATTTGTGGAGTAATGATAGGGGGATGCGAAGGGGTTATTGTGGGCCTATTGGGCGGCTGTTAGGGGTAGTGACAGCAGCGTGAAGGAATAAATTTCTGACAACAGAGCCACTTGGCTACGGGTTATATATCCACACGAATAATCGATACGATTTTTTTTAGGCTAAAATTCCCGTTAGGCTTTTTAGGTTCTGGTGGTTTGGGTTAAAGCTGTGGGACGCCGATTGAAAAATTTGGCAGCATAATTATTTTGATTTATTATGTTATTTTATTTGTCTTATTTGTCTTTTTTTTGGTTTTATTTTTTTTTTTATTTATTTATTTTATTTATTTTATTTTTCAGTGCTCTTTTTTATTTTTTTTATTTTTATTTATTTTATTTGTTATTTGTAACTTGAATTGGTTTCATTTGCTATTTGTTAGTTCTAATTATGTTTGCTAGTAAATTCCAAATTGGAACACAAAGAAAGCATGTCGAAGGTCAGCGTGCAGTCTTCGGTGAAGGCTTGGGTGATAAGAGTCGCTTGTAGAGCTTACCGGGAGCTTGCTTGATCGTTACTGATCAGCAATATTGGTTATGTTACTAGTATTTTATTGGATTGGTTATGTATTACCTCAATGATACTTTCACTGTTCCTAGAAAAAAATATACACACGAACCACATATTCATAATATTATTAATATTAATGTCACAGTGCAATCCCAGCAACTTACGGGCTTCTATTGTCTCTTGGCTCGACATTCAGTTCCATGAATTATTTGTTCTCCGGTGAGTGATTTTCAATTCCATTTTTTTTATATAACTGCTTCAGCTGTCTGCTAATGCATCCTGTGCAGCTCCGACGTTACACCAAATGCCGACTGACTACCAACTCAATTTACGAATATTGAAAAATATTTCTTACTGTTACGGATAAACTAACCCAAAAACCGTGATCTTACATATCAGATAAATATTCGTCTGACCATTTTGTATTTAAAATAGTTTAAATATTAATCCACATGTTGCTACGAATTTGTTTATTGAGTACGTCACATGGGCGCTCAAGCGTTGTATTGAGTTGTACGGTGACCATAAATTATATAAATTATATAAATTAAATAAATTAAAGTTGTATTTTTAAAGAGGAGCAGCTATGGAAACCAAGCGGCGGTGGCGTAAATTTACAATGACCGGTAAAATTGGGAATCTATTACGAAAGACTCAATTTCAGACGTAGTCACCCACATTTCAGTTAGTCAACTCTGGGCTGCCCATAAGGATTTCCGTAGTCACCAAATCTCGATAGGAGTCATATCACGTGCCAAGGCGGGTCCCTACGATATACAAAAATAAAAGGGGAAACGCCTGCAATTACTAGATTAAGTAAAATGACGAGATGGACGAACCTGTGATGGTAATAATATTATGCTATCTGCAGTTAACTTCACAGATATCTGGCAAATAGGAGATAATAATCTCAAAAAGAAAGCCTCTATAAGAGTAACAAGTTAGAATCCAAAAAATATTCCCAACAATTGCATTAGATTAATTGACTTATCCAAGGAGGTGGAATATACAGAGTCTTATTAGATTAGTATGACTAAATTAAAATGAGATTGAGCCAAGCTTTGCAGTTAAATGATCCACTTACGGTGCATTATGGAATTCCTGACTTTTTTTAAACTTGGGGATTCATTTTGCATGAATATTAATATTTACGGAGGTGGTACGTTATAATCCGTGGAGTAGATGATAATAGCAAGATTTTTTTAGCCGTGCCCCGTCACGATTTACGCAAGTTCGTATGAATGGAATATAAATGAATGATAAATGAGAATTGAGGGGTATTTTGATTCGAAGCGATATGACTTGTCTCTCTAATAAAATCCCGTAAGTACGAAAAACTCTCCTCATACATAGGCCGGTAACATATTACTGAACGTGTAATAGATTTATTCTATGACATACATTACTCTAATCTTTTCTTTTTCAATTAAGAAGCTTTAATGTGCTCTTGTCGCATTATTCTTTATAGATGATAGAGATGAATTGCTTTGGTTAGTGATTCTCGTAAACATTATCAAAATCTACAAAAAGTATTTTAAGCTTGGCGTTCATAACTAAATAAAATAGAGCGAGTAGCAAAAAGATTACAGTTCAAGAAATTCGGTAAGCTCCAAACAAGGTTGCACCGAGAATTGATCAGGGTCTATACTACAATTAAGCTATTTGTGGTCATATTTTGTCTCTATTATGCAGAAATAGGGACAAGCGATTAAATTGAAAATCATTACTTTTCTCATAAGTCGCAGAGAATCTACCAATTCCCGAAATAACATAAATTACAATTGCAAGCCATATTTGGTACTGGTATAACTTCTTCTAGTTTTCTTGATTTTTTGATCTGAATCTTAAATATAGTTGACATATCCAATCAAGAAAGTCGAGGCTTTTCTTTACATGTTCCATGAATTTGAAATTAAGTTTCAAAGTTTGCACTTACCAGCATTGAATTAATGAAAGGAAGAATGTCATCCTCTATTGATCATCAGTCAAGCGAGAATTGAAGAACATTCTATTCTAAACCACAAATTCCCTTTGTTATAAGGTATGTAACCTTAAAATGCCGGCATCAAAGTAAAGTGATACATTAAAGAGGCACGAGCTCTGGGCTTACGTAAAGATAAGGAATTTTACATACAAGTCCAGTTGTAACTTGATGATAAGAAGAAATCACCAAATACTTAAGGAATATTAAACAAAGAGGAATCACTTTACCATAAATTGGGCTATGAGTTTGTGTAATAAAATCTAATAATAGCAACAATGTGCCTCTTTAGATTTTCTCCTTCTTTCTGATATTTTCCTTCGTTTTCTTCACCCCCTTAATTGGTTATAAGCCAGCATTTTGTTTGGTTTAACAAACCTTATTATCATATGATTATAATGGTCAAACAAGCTTCATGACAGTAGATTGCTCTGACTGTGAATATTGTTTATATTGTTAACTCACACACTATCGTCTACTTTGTAGTTGCTCTCATCGTCTAGCAATGAGAACAATCAAAGATAATTCAGGCTTATTATTTCTAATTGCAAAATTCATATTAATGCAAGCACTCCAATAAGCTTTTTTTTAAGAACGCAATTTCAGTACCATCATGATGTGTCAATGCTCAAGTGGTGAACATGCTCCCCCACCTTATAAAGACAATACTGTTCGTACAAACTTAGTCAATCGCTCACCCTGGCATAACTCTATATTTTATTTTTTCCTGTCTTACATGCATTTAAATTACTAGCATATTGTTGATTTCCTCTTTGGGACTTAAAATAAACAAATAGTTTATTCCGGTTCGAGTATTTGGAGTTCCGAGGGCAGATCAAACAGTGCTGAAAAACTAAAAAGGTTGAACAAAACCTTTTCTCGAGGCGGCTCTCTTTGAATGAAGTAATGTTCCCTGACACAGACTTTACATTGAACCCTAGATAATATTAAACTTTCCTATAGTTAAGAACCAAGATTGGATTGAATCGTTGAAAAAGTTAATTAGAGTACCTTTTTTTGGTGCCCCTACTGGAATTATAGTAAAAGACTCCTTCTTACAATTTCTTTACAATTGCCCAGAATAATCTCTCATCATGCCCACACCTTAATTTACTTATCATAATGACTGCAATATTTTCTTGTGTTGAGTATATTCATACACAGAGATTCGGTCGGAGCCCCCCTATTTTATGCTGCGGAAATAACTCACCAAACTAGTTTTAAATAATACTCTAATTTCTAACACTCATAGTTTGTATAATAGTCAATATCCATAATAATGGTGAGAGTATCTTTAATAGCAATAGGTAAATAATAAACATAAATCTTCGCATACAATAAGAATAATAACTTTGTGTTTCCCCCTAGCTGTGCCTATACCTCTAAATCGCCCACTCAATTTCCATGCTCGTTCGTCCCTAAAAAAATTTCCCACATTTCTTTGACTGAGGTTCAGTAGTATAAATAGAAATTTTGTGTAAGAGTTCCGCTTATTCAATCCTGTAAAAGCCCTTGAATTTTTAAATTCCTCTGATTTCCAATTTTTACTTCGAATTTTTTAATTTGTTGAACTTCTTCTTCTTTCGTTTTTTTATAAATCACTAGTCTTTTCAATCAAGTCCTTTCAAAGTCCATTTGCAACTTCACTTTCGCTTGTATTAGTTGTCTGAGAAATAGATAGAAATTATTAGGATGCAATTCAAAAACGTTTTCACCACCGCCGCTTTGGCCGGGTTAGCTTTAGCTGCCGATAACAGTATGTATTAAAACTTTTACATTTTAAATAGCCTGCCTTTATATTGAGTTAATGTCCAATGGATTTCCATTGGATTTCGGTTATTTTCAGAGGTTTTTAGACTGGCTCACTTGGTAAAGTCAAAAGATTGACTTTTGATGTCAATAAGAAATGAAATTGGAATTGGAATTCGAACTAAATGTGGTCATTGGACAAAGAAGCTTGACGTCTTTCTTGTTTCGTTATGTTTCGTCCTTTTCTCATATGTTCGGTAATTCATTCTTTAATTTCGTTCTTTGAGCCGATATTACCGACTGGCACCAGCACCCATCGGCGTCGTCAATTTTTAGGGATTGACTCGAGCAATCCAAGGATTGACTCAGATCATGATGTCGGACGATGCTGCAGATTCATTATTAATGTTCATGTTAGCTTGACATTAATCTGCATTGAAGAAGTGGCTCAAAATGAGGAGGAGTCAAAGAATAGGGAAAATAAAATTAGGGCATTTTTTCGGTTAAAGAGAATTGGGCTTTATCATACTAAGTACCTTTGCTTTGCCCTTTCAAATTGGCTTGCTATTTATGCTTAACGGCTATGAATGGTTATGTCAATAGATTATGCGAGATATTTAATGATTTAGTGTGCCATCACTAACCTTAATCATAATTAAAATTCAATTTTTGCCGTGCATCTAAATTAGTTTTTATACATGCTTATGATTTCCCTTTTCCAAAGTCGGAAGAGTTTGAATTTCGAGGGTAGATCAAAAAGGCGTCAAAAATAAATAATGTCTGAAAAATATTGACTCAATATACAGGAATGCGGGGACTGCCTATTTTGGTATTCAGTATTGATATACTAACAATCTAATTTCTAGACTCAACTTTAACTACTGCTACTCCTTCAGTTGCTAGTGCTTGTACTTTCTCAGACTTTACTGCCACTAACTCCGCACAAGTTGCTCAAGTTTCTGCTTGTGCTACTGCTGTTGGTGATATTACTATCCAAGGTACTGCCTTTGGTGGTATTGATCTTACTGGTGTTCAAGCTATTTACGGTAACCTTACCGTTCAAAATGCTACTCTTGCTGTTACTCTTAATGCCCCAACTTTACAAATAGTTTCTGGTACTTTAGAATTAATTGCTAACACCATTTTAGCTACTGTTAACTTTGCTCAATTAACTACTGTTGACACTTTACACTATAACGCTTTACCAGCTTTAGAAGAAACTGGTTTAACTACTGGTCTTACTTCTGCTAACAGTGTTATCATTGAAGACACTGGTTTAACTTCATTACAAGGTATTAATGTTTACAAGTTAGCTACTTTCAATGTTAACAACAATGGTGACATTGAATCTATTGACTCTGGTTTAGAATCCGTCACCAGTCTTTTATCCATTTCTTACAATGCTGAAAAGGTCGATGTCGTTTTAGACAAATTAACTTCCGTTAACAACCTTAACTTACAACAAGTTAACTCCTTCTCTGCTCCAAACTTGACTTCTATTAATGGTTCTTTATCTGTTGCTTCAACTTCATTAGATACCATTGAATTAACCGAATTAAAGTCTATTGGTAATTCATTAACTATTAGTAAAAATGACGACTTGGATCAATTAGATTTCCCAGTCTTAAGTTCTGTTGGTGGTGCTTTACAAATTTCCGACAATCCACTTTTAGAATCTTTCCAAGGTTTCCCTAACTTGACTCAAATTGGTGGTTCTGTTAACATTAACGGTACTTTCAACAACGGTACTTTCCCAGCCTTAACTAAGGTTGCTGGTGGTTTTACTTTAAAGACTGATGGTGAATTATCATGTTCTGAATTCCAACAATTGAATCAAAATGGTGACATTAAGGGTGACAAGTACTATTGTTCTGGTGCTGGTGGTGCTTCATCATCTTCATCTCACAAGAGTGGTAACAGTGACAGTGGATCTTCTACTGCTTCTGGATCTTCTGCTTCTGGTTCCTCTACTTCTTCAAGCACCAAGGCCGGTGACGCTTCATCTAATTCTGGTAAATTAGCTGCCGTTGTTGCTGGTTTTGCTGCTGTTGGAGCTGCCATCTTCTAAGGATCCTACAACTACTAAAAGAAGTTATCATCACTTCAATTGCACAACAAAATAACAGATTAAAAGATTTCTAAAATAGATACAATAATATTCAAGATTCATCATGCTTTATTATCATCCATTGATTGTGACTTACTTTTTTTATAGTGTTCAAAATTCCTTCATCAACTTTAAAATGAATTATTATCAAAAAAACTCTGCTTTATGCAACGCTACTTTGACTTTTGTATATGTCTCCTCTATATATAATTTTATGTTTTCCTTATAATCGTCTATGTTTTTCTCCGTTATCAATTTGTTCTTCTCCTGTCAAGTAGTGCTTAATATTATTAATTTCAATTTAATTATTTATTGTAGAAAATGGTATACTATACACTTCTCTATCTATGTACAAGTTATTACTGTATCTCTATGTCATCTCCACTTTGGTGCTGAACTACCTCAATATTCAACAACTTGGCTACTTCCCTAGCATACAAATCACCCACTTCCTTAACACTAAGAGATGTCAATTCGGGTTGTAACGTTTGAATAGATGTGGCAGTGGTATTCGGTAACCCACACATCTCAAACGTATTTAAGAACTTCAAGTCTGGTGCAACGTTAAGGCCAATCCCATAAGAAGTAATGGCTCTCTGAATATTACAACCTACACTAGCAATCTTAAAGTCATTCTTAGCCATCCACACTCCTGGATTCTCATTGGTATAGCTATCTAAGTCATAGTTCTTCTTCAACAAGTTCTGAACCGACTTCAATAAGACCGAATCCACAAAGCATCGAACTGACAAATTCTTGAACTGCTTTAAGTCCAAAATGAGATACGCCACTAGTTGACCCTGCCCATGCCAAGTGATCTGACCTCCTCTTTCTAACTGATGATATTTACATCCCAAACTTTCAAACTGAGCGATCTTTTCAACCATGGAAGGATCTTGCTTCAACTTCTTCCCCCCAGTATATACATTCTCAAATTCAAATGTTAATAATGTTGGACTGGGCTTGATATCCAAGATCTTAGTAAGCAACTCATTCTCATAATCATTCAAAACTAAACCTTGAGAAGCCGCAATCAGCTTCTGTTTTCGAATCTTACTCTCGATCTTCTTGAAGTCAAGATTGGCATTCACCATCATATTCTGGATGGCTTGTCCCTTGTCGAACGGAGTAATCCCATCAAAGTGGATATGCTTCAACGTCTTGTAGTTCTCTATCAACGGTACAAACTTGGTCGAACATGACGCCCCACCAGCACTCACGGAACTGTTGAACCTTCTCCACGCGCAAATGGCTCCTCTGTTCATTCTGCCACCAGTAACTCAATAACGTTGCACACTTCGTGATACTACGCACTGTCAAAAAATTTCTAGATTATAGTTCTCTTTGTCCTTTGTTTATTGAGCGATACACCCATAAACGATTTGGTCATGCCACAGGAGACAACTGATAGAAAGCCATTGCTTGAACCTGCACCTATCAAGACTACTGTATCAACATTAGCAGGACTACAGTTCACTACTAATCAAAAGAATGCGCAGACCACCACCGTAACTACCCCCACAAATGTATCGTCTAAATCATCCACTATCAACATGAAGTCCAAACCTTCGACTAATCTAAAACCTACCAACCCCATAGTTCCTCCTAGTTTGAAATTAACTAGTTCACCTATTCCATCAGGATTTAAAATCAATAAACGTACTATAGTATCCAATGATTTCAAGCCTAGAGCGAAAAAGCTTATGGCTGATTCATCTCCAAACTCAACTACTGATAATGATACATTAATTACATCTACAGAGGAATTCAAATTCCTCTACAAATTGTTTGTACCCAACAAGTACTTAATTAAGAATAATAAGATGTCGTTAAACCATTTGCTAACTCATTTACCTCTTATTATTCCATCGACTTATGATAATAAGAAGGACTATTCGCCATTGAATCTTCAGATCCATTTATTTCTCAGTACGATTATGGTCAAGTATGTCAATTCATGGTATTTAACCAAATTAAACACCGATAACTATGATGTTTTACAATTAATTTATCAAGTGCTTATGGAGTTTGTTAGAAATTTTAGTTCAAGAGTAAATAAAGTAATTAAAAGTGAGGTAACTTTATTCAATCTAGTGGATGAAATATCAGTAGCAATCAATACTCATATCTTGGATTTGGTTAATGACAATAACCGATATGACTTGAAGATATTTGATGAATATTACATGAATGCCAATTTAAAGAATAGTTTTGCCTACGATCCTCATAAGGATTTACAGACCATTATCGAAGATTATTTGGAGAATAGTCATATCATTTTTGAACGTAATACTGATCCATTAACATATTTTAGGATACTAGTTAAAAATATCCTTGAGGTGATATACTCCAATGATTCTCCCGTCAACCCCTTGTCATCCACTATAATTACAAATTTAACTATAACTATCGTTAGTGATCTTGTGCTATCGATTATATTCGAAAAGTTGTCATCACCAAATTTCATTCTTAATGATGTAATAGGTAATATAGTTGATTTAGTCATAGATTCAATAGATGCTAGGACAGCATCCAATAAACAAGTTAAGGCGAAACAGGATACTACAACATATTATGATAAAGTTCAATTTTATATAACAGCTGCATATACAAGGTTGAGTAGACTTATAGTCTCCACGAAATCAGTAGAACCGAAATCAACCTCCAAAGATACACAAGTTGATATTTTTGGATCAAGCGTATTTCAATTAGTTAACACTATTGGTAACTTATCGGCCAGGAAGCCGTTAGTTTCCAGCATAATTAGTATTGTTGTACAACTGCTTCAATTAAATTCGTGGATCTACAATAAAGTGAATTCCATTTTCTCAGCATATGTCATGAAGAAATTGATCCAATCACCCATACTAGGCGAGCAGAGTCTCAGTGGACTCATTTCATCTCTCAGATTAAACATCTTCTACAAAGAATCTACGGAGGAGCAGGCTCCTCTGTCTCCAGATTCATACACTACCATAGACCAATTGACAGAAAAGATCTACGACTTGATTAAGAACAAGATTCCCCAGTCGTTCGCAAACCCTATTATTAGTCCCCGTTATTCGTTTTTTGGTCTAGTGGGTGAGAACGACCAGGACTTGAAGGTCCGAATCCGGCGAATGTTGGTCATCTTCAACTACAATGCATCAGCAGCGTATGATAACAACAACAACATCAACAGCACATGTGACTTGAACAAGCTATTGATTGTCAATATATTAGATACCATAGTTAGAAACCTATATCCCGAGTTAACGTAGTAGTTATGTTAATGGTACACGGCAATTTTGCAACTTAAAGCTCGTAGTGCGCTAAACGAAAAAAAATGGCGTGGAACCATTTCTCCAGTTCTGGAGAACTTGAAAGTAACAAAGTAAGTAAATACATAACTTGTGTAGACAGAGCTTAATGATCGGGAATAGAATTGCCAGTAGAGGTCTGTTGAGTGTAGCCAACCTCAGTCAGACAAGACAATTTGTTCTCACAGCAGCAGTAACGGCAATTGGCTCGTTATTGTTTAGTGAGAATAATCGTTTAGCTCTGAAGATGGAGGAAGGAGAGTTACATAACAAATTTAACGAAAGAAGGCTGAATGTAGTAGACAAACCGTTGTTTACTCGTCCACAGCCAAATTATCCTGGTCATATACCATTGTATACATATGAGAAGCTTTTAATGTTTGTAGGATCTTCGATTGGATCGTTTTTCCATCCAGAACGGAATGAATTCATTGTAGCACTTGGAGAATCCAGTGCCATTCTGCCTATATTACGAGCTTTACAAAGAAAAATGTTGGCAGATCCAACTGGGAGACAGATACTTAGAGAAAGACCTCGAATGACATCTACTTCATTGGATTTAGAGTATTTAAGACAATTACCAACCAATTCTATTGGTAACACATATGTAAGATGGTTAGATAGAGAAGGTGTAAGTCCCGACACTAGAGTACCTGTGAGATATATTGATGATGAAGAATTGGCATATATCTATCAACGATACCGGGAATGTCATGACTTTTACCACGCTGTGACGGGATTACCTATAATTATCGAAGGAGAAATCTCAGTAAAAGTATTTGAATTCATGAATATCGGAATGCCTATGAGTGGATTAGGAGCATTATTTGCTCCCTTACGATTAAAAAAATCGCAAAAGGAGAGGTTATATAATATATACTATCCATGGGCCGTTAAGAGTGGTCTAAACTCTAAGCCTCTCATCAATGTGTACTGGGAAAATATCTTAGAACAAGATATTGATGAGTTTAGAAAAGAGATGGGTATAGAAACACCCCCGGATTTAAGAAATTTACGAAAGGCATACTTTGAAAAACTAAAGAAGGAAAAGAAAATAGTCTAAGTATATATAAAGTAAAACTCTGTTAATTCTATTCTGTACATAGTTAATGATATCTCAATTGACACATTTTCCATGGGATGAGCCATTGTTCTGTTGCGCAGCAGCCCACTGTTCTTGAATGTTTACAAAACCCGGCATGGAATTTCATGATGAGCTGAGGGTTGCTGTCACTAAATGTAGAATTCTTTTCTAAATAGTTTTGTTTAATTTATCTTAGTTTAATTACTGACCATTAGTTTGTATAAGATATCATGTCGCAATTACTTTATAAATATTTCTTGAAAAAGGTATGTTACACCTCTGTTACCACTATAAACTTTGCTTACTAGGGGACTTTTCTAACATTAATAATCTATGTAGACCCAATTAGACCACATTGCCACAGCAGGTCCCGAAGATGACCCATACTTCGAGACTATTCCTGATAATGAATTACATTTTTATCAAAGAAAGGGAGCCAAGAGAAGAAGAAAGCTTCCAGATTTCATTCCCGAGAATGACTTAAGGGTATTAGAGAGTGTCAAGAAGCAAGCCTATCGTCTTGACCTTCAATTGAGTTTATGTGGTTACAGATTAGGCTGGTCTGGTATCATTGGGATATTTCCATGGGTAGGAGATGTCATAACTTTGTTTCTTGCCTTGAATATCTTAGACACAGCTCGAGCAATTGAAGGAGGTTTACCCCCACTTTTGGAACTGAGAATGTACTTCAATATCGCATTGGATTTTGGGATTGGTTTAATCCCATTTGTGGGGGATGTGGTTAATATCTTATATAAGTGCAATTCCAGAAACTTTGTATTGTTGGAGCAGCATTTGGTTAAAAAGTATGGCCATGCTGCTGCTGCCGTACCTGCTACGACTGGGACCACAGAAGTCAAACATTCCGCAACCTCTGCAAGCCTTACTTCACCAGCAGCAGCACACACTGCTCACGCCACTCACGCTGCTGAGGAAGGTTACCCTAATGAGAAGGTTCACACTAATGAGAAAGTTCCTCCTGTTCACCCTGTTCCTCCTGTCACGGCGAGTGTCGACAAAACTTAGACACCTAAGACTTGACTTTTGATTATTGTTCTGTATTTAACTATGTACATTAAGACTTTATTACTTCATTATTTTACTGTTTAACTAACGCTCTACTTAACTAATACATGATTGTTCTATAATTTAACTTTCATTCGAGCTCATCAAACCCTCGTTCCAATGCATCTATCCGATTCTTGAAATCTCCGATAAACATACGTAATTGGTCGAGCTTAAGGAAGTCCAATTCCAATTGGTTACATTGCTCAAGCAATCGGTCCACTTCCTGCAATTGACCTGGCAAGTCCAATTGGTCCTCAAAATAGTTTATTTCAATGAGGGACTGTTTGTGACGGATTGTCTCATATGTGTCATCGGCCAAGTTTGCGATATGATCATTAATTTTGTATATTAAGTAGTCATAACTAAGGGCCAATTGTTTGATCTCTAGTGGATCAGGATCAGGATCAGTATCTGCGGTAGACATTGGCACCAGTTGTGAGTCCACCATGGCTCCGTACTACTTTCACTAGTCCAAAGTTTAATCGTACTCGCTAATACTCTCACAAACCACTCTACCTTCAATTCTCACTAATCACTCGCTAAATACTCTCACTATTTCTCACTAACTCTCGCTGGCTTCCCTATTGCCCCTATCGTCACACTTGCCGCGCAAAATAAAATACCCAGGGAGAAAAACGACACTCCCACTGGATAACCTCCACCAGGTCCAGCAACCCATAGTCAGCAATTGCATTATAAAGAGTGACAACACAACCAGCACTACCACCAAAATCCACTACCGCTACCCCCGTCACCAACATCATGTCGTTGTCCAGTTCCAGTTCCTATTCACTTTCGAATATAAACCCCAAACTCTTAAGACGAATTTACCGAGCCTGTCGTCCTACCAACAATGAACCCAATTTAGCCTTAAATCTTGAAATTTGTGATTATGTTAATGCTAAACAAGGGTCCACTCCACGTGATGCTGCTATAGCTGTTGTAAAACTCATTAGTCAAAGGGATCCTCAAACTTCTGAATTGGCAATTGCCCTTTTAGACAATTTAGTTAAGAATTGTGGATATCCATTCCATCTCCAGATATCTCGTAAGGAATTCCTTAATGAATTAGTAAAACGATTTCCAGAAAGACCACCATTACGTTATTCTCGAGTACAAAGATTAATTCTTGCACAAATTGAAGAATGGTATCAGACCATCTGTAAGACTTCAAAGTATAAGGATGATTTCGGATATATTAAGGATATGCATCGGTTATTGGGTCATAAAGGTTATATATTCCCCGAAGTTAAAGTTGAAGATGCTGCAGTATTGAATCCCTCGGATACTTTGAAGTCATTAGAAGATTTACAGAAGGAGGAAGCCATTGTTCACAGTGCTAAATTACAAGAATTAATTAGAAGAGGAAAGCCGCAAGATTTACAAGAAGCTAATAAATTAATGAAGATTATGGCTGGATTCAAGGATGATAATGTTCAAGAAAATAAGAAACAAGTAACTGATGATATTGCTCGATTAAAGAGGAAAGTGGAAATCTTGGCTGAGATGTTGAATACTATCCAAAACTCTGGAGGTAAAATTGATGATTCTAATGAAGCCATTATTGATTTATACTCATCAGTTAAAAGTTCTCAACCAATTGTCACTAAAATTATTGAAGAAGAACATGATGATGAAGGTAAAGTTCAAGAATTATTAGGATTAAATGATAATATTAATTCTGTAGTTACTAAATTCCAATTGTTTAAAGGTGGGAAAGTGGATGAAGCATCTAAGATTTCTGTTTCTGGTGGTGCAGCTGCCAGTAAAGCAGCAGCTGAATTAAATTTGATTGATTTTGATGATGATGATGTAGGAACAAATCAAGCTGATGATCAAGGTTATAATGATTTATTGAGTGATTTAGCCAATTTAGCCTTTACACCAGCTCCTGCTAGTGGTACGGCATCCAGTACTGGTGGATCTAGCAATAGTAATGATCTTCTTAATATCTTTGGATCAGGTGGTTCAATTGCTTTAGGTGGAAACAACTCTATACCAAGCCATAGTGCTTCTACCACACCTTTACAACAACCTAAACCAACCACTAATAGTTCTAGTAACGACTTTGATTTGTTAGGTAGTGCCGGATTAAACTCACCATCTCCCCAATTACAATCAAACACTTCATTAGATCCATTCGGATTAAACTTCCCCAGTTCAACTCCTAGCCAAATCCAGGCTAGTGCTCCTAAATCCAATCTCTTGATTAACCAATCCAATAATCTTAAGATTGAGATTGGAGTGCTTCCCAACTCCACCAGCCAATTGTTTAAAGGTAAAGTCCTTTTGAGTAACCCCTCAGCTTCCACTTTGAATCAGTTGAAGTTCCTTATTGCAGTTCCTAAATCCTGCAAGCTCGAATTGAAACCTCAAACTAGCGAGACATTATTTGGCTTTGCCAACAATGGAATTTCCCAAGACTTTACTATTGAAAACCCACAGAGTAAACAATTAAAGATCAAGTGGAAAGTGGAATATGCAGTTGGTGGAGCTAAGTCAGAAGAGACTGGGGTCAGCATCCTTAATGAATAGATAGTCTTTCTCTCTTTCTCTCTTTCTTACTTTGTTACTTTCTTCTTTGTTTCTTTGTTTCCTTGTTTCTATATCTCTTTCTTTTTATTTGTTCGTCAGTTTATGTATAAGTCCAAGCTTAGATTCTACCAGTAGTCCAATAAAATATGTGTAATAACAATCAATAAATACGCATTATAACTAACTATAAATATACCTACCCTACAAGTTGCCCGCAATCTTTGGCTTAACCAATGTATCATCAACGATGAATATGAATCCATTATCCACCTGTTTGACTGATTGTACTGCAATCCAGCCTGTAGATTTATTCTTATGTTTATGAATGACTTCTACGGCAAACTTTTGTGTGGTTTCATCTTGTTTAATCTTCAATAAGTCTCCATTTACCAACTTAGTCTCTATAAGTTTATCCTCCTTATTGATGGACAAATTCTGTTCAAAGTTGGTAACTATATGGTTATTGAGGAAGGATTCAATGTTCTGACTTAAGATTCGTTCTACTGTCTCATCATCCATCTTATCTGTGATTGGATTAGGAAATTCCCATGGCTTTAATCCTGATAATTTACCGGCTATAGCTTCATTAGTTGGAGCTACAATAATCATCGTCTCATTAGTTAACTCTGTCTTAATGGATAACTTCTCATTATCTCTAATGTAACCAGACATAATGGAAATGGCTTGAATCTGTGGCAAGAGCGACTGTAAGACATTCAGTTTCGAGTCGTCTTCATCAATAATAAATCGAAACTGGTCTTCGCCGCGCTTGTCATACGATTCTACCTCATGTCTGACTGCATCCTGAAGTTTTGTTAAGTCCACCGAATATTTCGCATCTCTTTTGGAGAATCCCGCATCTTCCACTTCAGCTTCAATAGCACTCTTGAATTCATTCAAGTCTACAATATTTTTAGCATCTCTCTTGTGTACTGCTTCATTTTGGAAGGCAGCATTAATCGCATTTAAGTCTACGACATTTTTGGCAGCAGCCATGGCCACTAAGAAAACATACGTTATCACTTTAGTCGTGTGCATGTTTGTGTATTTGGTGTTTCTTGGTTGTTGGTTGTCTGAAAGATTGTGATTGATAACAGCTAACTTGTAGATGATTGCTGATGCACTGATGTTTCATGATGGTTTTCACTGACCGAAATTAGGATGGGTTCAACCCGCATATGTATTGCCTAATACGGAAGGTGGTTTTCATCCTTTTTTACAGGTTAGACTCCCCTACTTGAGTCACTGTACCACAACTACACCTACAATTACACCTACATTAAAAACTACATCAGCCGAACAAAACTGTCATTATCATAACAAACTTCTATTACTATACTATACACCCAAATTGTCAGGATGTGGTAACGATGGCGTCACACTTAATCGCGACTTTTTATCCTGAAGATTCAACCTCGACAAACTATACTTCAATCTCTCCTTCTTATTGCGTAAGAACTTTAGTCTTGACAATTTAGTACTATCTACTTTACTGATTTTATCTAACGGGATATTGGTGGATGTGTTGGTGTTGGAGGAGGAAGTGCTTCCACTCAATCGTACAGCTTGAAGATCATACTTATTCTGTAAATTCACCTTTCTCTTATTGAGCTTCACAAGTTCTCGATCAATAGTACTCAATAACAGACTCAATTGTGGCTCTATTTGGCCCTTGAAGTTGACTTTTGCATTCTTCAAATCGGACTCGGGAATGAGTCCAAACACTCGTTTGGTTAAGAGGACCTTCTTAGTGCGCAGCACATCTTTGGTACTATCGTACAACACCTTGTACGAGTCGTCTAGAAGCCGCACTGACTCTCGCAATGAGCTGAGACAGTTACCGAGTGAGTTGTAGGGAGCTGCCATAGTGAAGTCTGTTTATATGTAGTAGTAGTAATAGTAATAACAGTAATATTGATAATGTAGGTAGTGTTATGTAAACAAAAGTAATGCAGTACGCGCACGACCGACCCAAAACAGCTGCCGAAAGTCAGGTGCGAAATCGGGCCAGACAGACCAGAGTACTGCTACTAGAACCTTAACGAGGGTTCTATCGTCAAGTGTCAGTACAGTGGGAACGTAAAGGACCCGTACCGCCATGGCCGACATTCCACTCCATCTCGATGTCGCTGATTCGTCTTCAATCCTGCCCTTTCCCCTAAGTGGAGATACTGATAGTAATAGTAATAGTAGTAATAGTAATAGTACTAACACTAGTAGTAGTAACACTAGTGGTAATGGTAATTCTATTGGTGGTAGTACTAGTAGTAATATTACCGGTAAGAATACAGTTATAATGGGCAATCGGAAACGTTCTAATTCACAATCGCAAGTGGTAGCCAATGCTACTCCAACTCCTGTTAATGTCAATGTTAATGGATCTTCTGCTACGACTACATATATTCTCCCTCCTGGTCATCGTCAACATACTTTACAACCTAAGAAAAGGAATCCTGTACAATACTATGTTACATTGATTCCACTCAATGATACATTTATAAAGAAACATTTACCTGTTAGTACGTTTCCTGAAACTACAAAATTAGGGAGACCAACTGGTACTAAACATAAACCAGATGTAACTAATGGATATTTTGAATCTCGAGTTCTAAGTAGAAATCATGCCCAAATATTCATTGATCCCAGTAATGGCAAACTTATGCTTCAGGACTTACATTCGTCTAATGGTACATATGTTAATGATGTCAAATTAGGTGATGAACCAGTAGAAATCAATGTGGGAGATATAGTATGTTTAGGATTTAATGTTCAAACTGAATCCACCCATAAACAGATTAGTCTTAAGATTGAAAATATTAGTGTAATTCCTAATGCTTCACCTTCCAATTCATCATCAGACTCATCATTCAATTTCTCACTTTTGAAAGAAGACTCAAGCATAGAATTCAAACACTTGAGCTTTATTGAAGACATATACAGACAAATTAAAGCTCAGGAATCTCAACCAAATTCCACTACAAAAGCACAAAAGAATATTGAAGAAGTTACATTTGATAATGCTTTATTTGGAGATATAAATCCTACGTTTGAAGATAATTTATTGGGGTTATATTCAAGTGCCAATTCTGGTATTTTCAACAATTCTCAAATCACTAATTCCAATACCTTTGAAAGCATTATCAACCTCTTAGTAATCAACTTATCGAAAATCAAGCAACAGAACAATAATTTAAATTCCATAAGTCAGTTCTTAACCAACTATCAAGAAAATGTAAATTCCATTAATTCAAAGTATCTAGATAAGCAATTCAAATTAAAGACTGCAACTATTACTAGTGATTTAAAGGCCGAAAGAGCTACCAATGCTAAGCTATATGAAGAGATTGTATCACTTGAGAAACAATCCAGTAAACTCGAAGAAACATTGAATCAGATGTTAAAATCATCCGTACAAGAACGTGATGAACTAACGAGTAAATATGATATACTAAAGGATAAATATGATGCTTTACAGGTTCAATTAGAAACAGAAAGGAAATCGAATAAAGTATCTCGAAGTTCATCTCGAAGAGATTTCTCTGAATTTAAGGATGCATCGACAGAATTAATCCTAGAAGAATTCCCGACTACCGATCATACCAGTTCCAATTCGGAATTACTATCACCGAGTGATATATCTAATGGTAATGGTAATAGTGTGGATAGTCATTTCCACCCAGAAGAAATCTCATTGCATCGGAATGGAGATGATTCTAATGGAGGCAGTAATGCATTAATGACTCCCACTACCCCTCATCACAATCAAGATAATGATAATGAAATTAACGAAATTATTCATAATTCTGCAGCAAATATAGTGCCTGACGGTAATAATCAGTTTCCTCAAATACGTCGTCGTAATGATAATGTAGAGCTAACACCACCAATCTCCGACGACGAAGACATTGTTCATCACGATATAATAACACCCGAAGAATTAGAGGAATTAGAAGAAATAGGTAATGACAGTGAACTCAATGGTATTTCGGAAGAAGAGCGACATTCATCGATATCCACAATCAAAGCCATATTTCATACTGAAGAATCTGAAGCTCCAGAGGCATCAGAGGTACCCGATAATTCTGATTCTCCAGTAACTACACAATTACACAGATCCATCGACCCGCAGTACACAGTACCCATAACAATTGCTTGTATTTCAGTGCTTGTGCTAGCCTACTGGTTGAAGTCGTTAGATATGAACGCTGTTAGTTAGTAAGTAAGTATAGTTAAGTATAGTAAGCATGGCTCCATGCCGCAGTAATAAAGTGTACACAGTGCCTGTTTAAGTAAGTCGTAAGTGGTGATAGTTTTGCACCCATGCCGCAGCAGCCCACTACATAACTAAAGTCAACTTGAGCAACCCCAACTTTACCCCATTACCACCACACAACTTAAGCATGACACTCACCAGCGTAGAACAACTTGTGGAATTGTTAGCAGACAGCCACACTTACAGCTATGTGGAATTTCTAGGGCCAGAAACGGGGGATAATTCGCCCATTGGCAACACTATAGAGTTGTTCTGTTTCGGTAATTACCAGCAGTACTTAACATACAGGGATCAGTACATTGAATTACCACTACAGTGTGAGATTAAATTAGTCAAGTTGAGTGTGATAGCGTTGTTCAATGATTTGGATGGGTCCAGTACTGGAATCCCCGTGTCGGATATACTATCACACCCTCAATATGGTATAGGCTCCGGGTTACAGGCCATTGGGATAGGATTTGAAGAATTTATAATGGATATGATAGATGATGGGTTGGTAGAGGCTCAGATAGATGATACTGATTTGGTTCTGCTTCGGTCTGTACAGTTACGAGATGCCTATAGTAGTGATATGTATGAATTAAGAGTACTTGATGAACATGGAGATATCCCTACTCGGTCTGTAAAGTATGCTATAGAGAATATTCGGGATTGGTATACTAACAAGTTAATACCACTACAGAAGCAATTGAGTACTACAAAGAGTACTGGCGATAGTCCCCAATTGGTGGGAGATAACAAGGAGAATACTCGCAAGAGAAAGACTCCTGATCATATAACATAACATAACGTAACGTAACATAACAACCTGTATTATTGTATGTAGGAGAGTAGTAGCTACTTAATAGTGAATAAATAAATATAATAAACTCATGCAGATATGGAATAGACACACACAGAAGCCTATCGTCTAAGCATTCCAGGTCTTCTTGATTATACCGGTTACACCACCATCTTCCGAGGTTTCAATCTTATATAATCCGTAACCAGCTACACCAGTACCAAAAATCAATAAGTAGTTAGCATAATTATGGTAAGATCCATATACTCTCTTAGGAATATAATCAGTAATACATGATTGAAATCCAGTATAACAATGATATAATAATATAGTCAGTAATGTAGAATCTAAAATAGTAGAAGTTCCACCTACTAAAGGAGCCAAAGTTAAAGGAGCTAAAGCAAATGCAGCAATTCTTTCAGAAGTCCAATGATAAGAACCTTCAGCCTTATGAGGTTTAGGAGGAACATAAGCATCATTAACTGTACCAACAATATAACCAGGAGGTTGAGGAATGGTCTTTATACCACGAATTAAAAGGGCAGCACCGGATCTGGATGCTCCAGTAAGAGTAGGACGGGTGACTAAGGAGATCATTACTTGTTCACTACAAATGGTGGAGATACAGTATAGTTGAGCTTAGTGAGTTTGTGAATTTATTGCTGGGGGGGGGGGACCCCGGACTTTGGTTGGTAAGCGCGGAATGTGATTGGCTGGACCGGGCGTGCTGCCTCAAGTCACGTGCTTTTATATTATATGTACAGGTACTATTACTATGACTATTACTATACAGGATAAAATGACTATATACAGGACTACACACTAACTATGTACAGTAGAGTGACATTTACGACAGAGTTCCTCCGGTTGTGGAGCTGTATGTTTCCAGCAACGCGGGCATTTGAAGTAGGAAGAGGCACGGATCGTTATGGTAAGTGGTTGTTCATCAATGACGATGGTAGAGGTGGATTTCACAGTCGGTTGTATGGCAGAACCACCTGATGGGGTAGTGTCCACATCAACCCCCGATACCAACAAGTAATCATCCAAATACAGCACATGACTTTGTAACAATGTATAGAGACTACTGTTGTGGTCTGTCGCTAAAGTTATCTCTAATTCAAGTTTGTTTTTGTAGAGATTCTGAGCCCTTAGTGTGTCCAATTGCTTATTGACATGGTCTCTCACCTTCCATAGCACATCGAACTCAGCTTCAATAGATTCATTGAGGAACTGAGCCGGTAATTGGTAGAAGGAGTTCCAGGGCATCATAAAGGGAGATGACTCTGGAGTTCCAAACAAGCGCTGGTATTCATACCACACCTCTTGAGTGAGTAATGGCTGAATAGGTGCAAGGATTCCAATATAAGTTCTAAGGATATGTGTCAACACTGTTTGAATAGACCGTCTTCGGATTGAATGCTTACTATCGGTATAGAGACAATCCTTAGACACATCGAAGTAGATGGCACTGAGAAGTCCATTCATATGGAAGTTGACTTCATTAACCACTCGGGAGAAGTTGTGACTCTTGTAGTGATCTACACAGCTGCTTTGGAGTCGATAAAGTGTCGATAAACAGTACTTATCCAATGGACTTAACTGACCATATTCCACCATATGATCCAGAGTAAACTCATTCAAATTCCCCAACATATACTTAAACGTAACTCTCAATTTCTTGACATTCTCAAATACTCGGCTCAAGATCTCCGGTCCCGCATTGACATCTACTGTATAGTTGGAAGAAGCTACCCAGAGCCGTAACCCATCGGTCCCCAATGCCGGAAGTAAAGGTTTACCTCCTCCTTCAATAGCATGCTGGGGAGAGATCACATTACCCAATGACTTAGACATCTTCATATTCTTACTATCAAGGGTAAACCCATGCGTAATGATAGTTTCAAACGGAGCTACGGCCTTAAAGTCGGCACCATTGGTTCCGGAGGCTATGATCTTATTTAAGAGCGACGACTGGAACCAGCCTCGGTGTTGGTCACTGCCTTCTAAGTATACATTGGCCAATGGCTGGGATGATTTAAAGTCTGTCTGATCACTGAGGGTTGTCCAAGATGTTCCCGAGTCAAACCATACATCCATAGTATCTTGTCCCTTACGGTATAAGTGAGCCGAAGACTCAAATGATGGTGGTAACCAACGGGTTATATGTTCCGGTTCTGCTACAAACCATTCATCGGTTCCATATTCCGATATGCGGTCGATTATATACCGAACAACTTCCATATCAGCTAATGGTTCATCAGTATCTTTATGATATACTATAGGAAGTGGAACTCCCCAACTTCTCTGTCGGGAGATACACCATTCATTCCGATTACGAATGAATGACGGAAGTCTATTCCGACCAGACTCCGGCCAGAACTGAACCTTTTCCAATGCATCTATAGCTACTTGCTTAATCTTCTCAACATTGACAAACCACTGCGGCGTAGCCCGTTGTATCACGGGAGTCTTGGACCGCCAGTCATACGGATATGAGTGTACAAAGTTCCGATCGATCGAATAGATCATATCTGATTGGTTTAAGAGGTCTAGACACTGAGTGATGGTTGAGGTTTCGGTGACTTTGAGGTTGATGAGGGAATGGAAACCAGCGGGAAGGTGATCTGCAATGTACCGGCCTTGTCCATTGACTGAGGAACTGATGGATAAGCCATGGGATTTGGCTATGAGGTAATCATCACCTCCATGAGCAGGAGCCGTATGCACAAGTCCTGTTCCGGCACTGGATACCACGTGATCTCCATGAAGAACCGGATGTTCTATTCTGTCATTGGCAGCTGGATTGATATACCTCAATCCGACAAGTTCAGTTCCACTAAGCTTAATGTCCACTTGTGTGTAGTTGGTGTTGAGACGGAGAACTTCTTCCGCTAATGGCTGTGCCACCACAAGCCATTCTCCACTATCGGAAGCAATTACCGTATATTCAAGCAGCTCGTTTACACACACGGCCTTATTGGCTGGAATAGTCCATGGCGTAGATGTCCATATTAATAACTTTAAGTTGGTATGTTGGGGGAGACGCGCTACCAAGTGCGAAGGAACATTAACTAATGGGAACTTAACATAGATAGCCGTAGATTTATGCTGGGAGTTATATTCCAACTCAGCTTCGGCAAGAGCGGTTTGAGTTTCACATCCCCACCATACAGGCTTCAATTGTCGGGAAAGAAGGCCGTTTTCCATGAGTTTCTCAAAGATCCGGAGCTGGTTGACTTCGTAATCATGGGCCATGGTGATGTAGGGGTCGTTGAAATCGGCCATAATCCCGAACTGAGTAAATTGCTGCTTTTGGTTGTCGATCATAGTGGTGGCTAAACGTCTACAGGCAGCTCTGATCTCGACGGCGGAAAGCGTTTCCGAAACAATCGGGACATCTTCCTCTTCCTCTTTCTTGTTCTTCTTGTTCTTCTTCTTCTTCTTTTGAGTAATGGCCTTGATTTCATTCTCAAGATTAGTGGCCTTCATCTCAATAGGCAACCCGTGACAATCCCAGCCTGGTCGGTACTTTATGAGGGCCTGGTTGTGGATTAATTGGAATCTGTTAATGATGTCTTTAAGGATCTTGTTGAGAGCATGGCCAAGATGTAAATCCCCATTAGCGTACGGAGGACCATCATGGAGTACAAACGGCTTTCTGTTACTATCATTGAAGTGGTGTGATTGCCACTGGTACAAGTCCTGACTCGAAGTCTTGATGAGGTGATCTCTGTCATTACCCTTCGGGATTTTGGGTCCGAACGCTGTTTTCGGGAGATGTAGTGTGTTGGTAAAGTTGGGAGCTGTAGAGGCACGTAGGCGTGATACGGACAAGTATCTCCGTACGTTTACCGTTAGCATTGGTTGGTATGGTGGAGTTTGTAGAGAAGTTGTAGTGGAGTAGTGTTGATAGTGAAATTTTTCAGCGGTATTACTAGCCGGCGAGCACACAAAAAAATCGGGACAGTGAGCATACGGGATGTATGTATTATGAATGGTCAGACAGACAGACAGACAGACTTTACATAAAAGACATATACTAATAATAATATCAGACATAATATAAATAAATAGACATATATAAACAGACATAATGTATAAATAAATATAGACATATATAGACCATAGACTATATAGACAAAGTATAGACCCCATAAAACTAATACTATAGGCATATAGATCTATACACTATAGATATAGGCTAGGTAGTATAAAAAGGCCAGTACAGTCACATCTAGTTCTTGGCAATAGACTTGACTAATTCAATGTACTTTTCAGTAGAGAATGACTTTGGTCTTTCAATTGGTAAACCAACACCTCTATCGAGAATTAATTGTGGTAAGACACCAAAGGCTCTTGAAACACCGAAAAGAACAGTATAGAAAGATTCTTCAGTTAATCCGTAGTATTGTAATAAAACACCGGAATGGGAGTCCACATTTGGCCATGGGTTCTTGGTCTTACCATGCTTGGTAAGAACACCTGGAGCAACTTCATAAATGTTGGAAACCAACTTGAATAATTCATAGTCTGGCATGTGCTTAAGAGCAAATTCTCTTTGAGCAGTATATCTTGGATCAGTCTTTCTTAAAACGGCATGACCATAACCTGGAACAACTCTACCGGCATTAAGAGTTTCCCACAAGTATTTTTCAATGTTTTCCTTAGAATAATCACCATGTAATTCTTCTCTTAATTTGAATAACCATTCTAATACTTCTTGATTGGCTCTACCATGTAATGGACCAGCCAAACCATTCAAACCAGCAGCTAAAGATAAGAATGGAGATGATAAGGCAGAACCAACTAAATGGGTGGTATGAGCTGAAACATTACCACCTTCATGATCAGAATGAATGGTCAAGTATAATCTAAGTAATTCAGTGAATTCAGAGTTACCACTGAAACCTAATAAATTAGCCAAGTTAGCACCATAATCTAATTTAGGATCAATTTCAGCTGGTAATTTACCATCATGGAAAACATTTCTGTAAATTCTAGCAGCAATGTTTGGTAATTTAGCTAATAATTCAATAGAATCTTCATAAGTGTATTTCCAGTATTCAGACTTGTTAACACCCTTAGCATAAGCCTTAGCAAATTGAGATTCAGATTCTAAAGCAGTAACAGCAATAGAGAATTGAGCCATTGGATGTAAATGAGATGGAGATCTGTCAATTAATTCTTCAACATGCTTTGGTAAAGCAGATCTAGCAGCCAATTCTTCAGATAAAGCTCTGGTTTGAGCTTCAGATGGAACTTCTCCAGTTAATAATAACCAGAATAAAGCTTCTGGTAATGGTTCTTCACCACCTGGAGCCTTTGGTAATTCTTTTTGAATGTCTGGAATGGTTCTACCTCTGAATCTAATTCCTTCAATTGGATCCAAAACGGAACCTTCCCAGACTAAACCTTTAATACCTCTCATACCACCATAGGCTTGTTCTAAGAGAACTTCACCAATAACCTGAAAGAATTGAGTTAGTATTACTTACTTACTTACTTACAATATTTCAGACATTTCAGACAATTGTCTATTCAATACTTGAAAATCGGAATTCGGTACCGGTTGGAAATTATACATCGGAAATACTCATGTTTCACAGTCAAAAAAAAAGAACGAGCCATGGCCCCGAAAAATTTAATTTTAAATGTTTAAATTTTCACTGACTTTTCGGACATTTTTTTCCAGGTTCGGACTTTTTTCACGACTGCTATCTCGTGCATGCCGAGATGATGGAATTGCACAGGTCAATTAGGCATATGATATGCCACTGGTCCGACCAATCCACCTGGTCCACTTAGTCCACTTAATTGAATAAGACCAACGAGTACAATTGCCTTATTGAGCTTAATTAACCAAATAGACAATTACATCGTCTAACACTCTCAAATGTAGTTTTATCCGACTTTCGAAATATTGAACAACAAGCATAATTGAATTATATGAACAATTCAATTCTTACTGTCTTGCCTGGATTTACGAGTTAGTAAAAATATACATACGGTTTTACCATATTCCTTCTTTAATTGCTTGATTTCTTCAGCCTTTTGAGGTAAGATTTCTTCTAATCTAGCCTTCAAGGTTGGTTCGGCAGTAGCATAGGTTCTGGTTTGTAATAAAGTTCTTCTGGCAACGTTAGATGAACGTTGAATTGATTTTAAAGCTGACATGTTTAATAAGTTACCGACCAATTACGAAATTAAGTAAATAAATAATTCAAATAAAAGAAGGGTATTAAGAGGTCTTCAATAAAATTTGAGATGAAAAAACAGCAGGGGGATTGTTATTTATATATTTTCATATATTAATTCCTTTCGAACAAGTCCGTCGGTATCATAGATATGTCTGATCCATCCATCATTTAATATTTACCTCGAACAAAAAAAAAGTGTCTGAATTTACAGGTTACGTCTAATCCAATCACAACTTCCGAAAATGGTCACTATGCAGTGACCTCGGAATCTAACGGACCTTTGCATAGTTAAGCCAAATTACGTCGTGTGCGTGTACCAAGCCCAATTCTAGTTTATATCCATACATATCCTCGGACCTTAATATCCAGCCTCTACACTGTACACCTTATACCATAATAGAGTTCGTTTTAATTGCATATATACTTTTTTTCTACATTAATAAAATCACATTTATTGTACATATATAATTATATATATGCGTAACCCCGTACTCCATAATGATATTGGGATCCGACATTCAAAACCATTCTTTACTCTCTCCTTGCTCATCACTCAGTCATTGTAACAGAGTCTACACTCAGTAACACACTCACAAAATCCTGTATGGATAAAAAATAATATTAGCCGGATCCTCCAATTAAATATTGCACTTTCCCCAGATTTCGGAGTGAGAAAAAAACAGCGAAAAATTTCCAGTGGCTTTTTGCAGGTTAGACTCAGATGGACTGTTAGGCAGACAAAAAGTAAGTGAATAACTAATCAATATCACAGAGTACATGTATATTTGTACATTCGTACAAAGCTTTGTGTTCATTGTTAAGTAAATAATCCACTCTCACAAAGAATAAGTCTGGAGAAAGTCGTGTCGTTGGATTTTCTCGGATCACTAATAGTGCCAATTTCAATTGTCCTATTGTAATTTTATTAGTATGTACACTGTGGATAAATTTGCTTGTGCCGATGCGTGGTTTTCTGTAGACTGTGATATAATCTGTAAATATGGTTTGTTTCCATTATTGTTCTTTCTATTTGGTTCCGTTTAGTGCCAATGCCGCGTAGTTGACAAATGGTTTAATTCTTTTACTAACAACTTTAACAAACTAAACGGTACCCCAGAAAATTTGATCAGACAATTTTCTTTTTTTTTTAACTAAGGCCGTATCTCTTTCCTACGGCCAAGTCTTACCGTATACTTCCAGTTACAGATATATTTACAATTACAGTTTCAGTTTCCTTCTTTCTCGGTCCAGAATTATTTTTGTCTGTCGGATCAAAATAAGGTTTGTAGGGTTCACCAATCGTTCTGTGAGTTTTCTCGGAGTGGTCCCATAATTGAGCGTAAACTGTTTAATTCTTCCAGTGGGGCACCCCCACATTTGTGACTACTTCGAGTAATTCGGCTGATATTAAACTCCGAAGTCATACGAATATATCTTGCCATGCCTTTGTATGTTATATTATGGTTATAGTGTTGTAATGGTGTCATTTGTGCTTAAGGGTCGGACATCGGAGTCCGGCAATGCTTTAACTAACCTGCGCAAATATATCGGTAGTACCAACATTAAATTTACTGAATTTGTCGAGCATTCTAAACTTATTTGAAATAGAATTACTGAACTTCAACAAAACCGACTACATTGAACTCATCATTAATATCATTCATTGCACTATCGTCATTATTCTCACCTACTTCACCTTCGCTATGTTTAACGATCTGTGGTCGGGCTTTGAGCCTCAGTCTCAGTATTCGCAGCCTGAAAAATTAATTTACCGACTCATCTCTTAACTATCACTATACTCTATCCACCACATAATGCTAGCGAGGATTCTAGGTGGCATATACTTGTCTTCAATAGAGCCTCTCAACCAAGAAGAAGATCTCCATGCTTCTCATAGTATTACCCACATTTTAAGTGTCATATCTGGGCCCATACCGCACCAATCTACTTACACCTCATCGCCTTATACCCATAAGCAGATTGACATTACTGATGAAGAAACCAGTAACATACTTGATCATTTTGATGAGGCATTGGCCTTCATGCATTCAGCCATAGTCACTAGCAAATCTACTGTGTTAGTTCATTGTGCCCAGGGCTCATCCCGATCCGTCATTGTGGTGATGGCATATCTTATGAAGTACTACAAGTTGACAATGGATCAGTCGTTGTATGCCATACGAAGGAAGTTTGAAGGGGCTGTGATAGAACCCAATCAGTCATTTTTACAGCAGTTGAAAGTGTATGAGACAATAGGCTTGAGTACAGAGGGAGCTATGCAAAAGCCGGTGTATAGACAGTATCGCATTGAGTTGGCCCTTAAGCAAGACCCATCGGGCCAGACAGTCCGAGATTTGAATATGTTTCAGTTCACATCAGACACTGAACTTGAAGCAGAAACAGAGACAGAGAGAGAAACAGAAATAGAAACAGAAACAGAGCCACAAAATACACAGACACAATCTGATCTCCGATGCAAACGGTGTCGTCAGACATTAGCCAAGTCATCACACATTGAACTCCACGACATACCCGACCTCGACTCCCGCCAGTCACAGTTCATTAAGACAGCCCCTAATTCCAGACGTATCATCAGTGTTCAATCAGCAGCATCCAGTTGTAGTCATTTCTTCCTCATTGAACCGTTAAACTGGATGAAAGATGAACTTGCGCTCGGAAATATAGAGGGTAAGTTTCAGTGCCCCAAGTGTCAGGCCAAAGTAGGAGGTTACTCCTGGAGGGGCTCTCGATGTTCATGTGGTAAATGGATGGTACCTGCACTCCACTTACAGACAGCTAAAGTTGATGAAATCAAACCCTTTCAATTACATCAACATACCTAATCTATGTATATAACTAACTAAATAATTAATTAATTAACTAATCAAGAAAAATTTTAGTACCTAATTACCTTCTACCACCATGGAAGTTTCATACTCTTCATCATTTTCATCCCGAATTAATCGTGATTGTATAGGACTAATAGAACTAGCAATAGTTGTAGTATTGGTAATTATGCTACGACCAGTGTTATTCATACTGGTAGCAAAAGTAGCGGCAGAATTAATCACATAATCGGCACTTAAACTATGATCATCTTGATACTCCACCTCATCAGCCATAAACCCTTCATCATCAAGTGGCATCAGCACCAGTTCTAGACGATGCAGGAAGTATCTGCGATTTGTATCATCCACTTGCTCTTCTGCGTCTCCTTGTCCTTGTCCTTCTCCTTCTTCTTCTTCTTCTTCCACCTCATAATCATCATCAGCATCAGCATCACCATCCACTATATTAGCATCCAAATCCTCTTGATCATGCACTAGCTGCTCTTGGATATCGACATGATTATGAGAATTCTCTGCTGCTGCATTACCATATGAATGGTTATGGCCATGATCATGATCATCTCCTTCTCCGTCTTCATCATAGGCATACAGCCTAGCATTCTCATAATCGATTTGCTCCAACGTCTTATTGATCCCAATAGGTCGTATCGACAAATAACCGGTCATTCTGATTCTTGTCAATTGATCTATTTTCAGCTGGATTAATGGTGTAGTGGTGACAAATTTTCGAACATTACGATACCCTGGTAACAAATTAGTTGATTGAATAGTGAACTCCAATTCAGCAGCATTGGCTCCTGGAACCTCTGCTGAATATGCCTGTAAGGGTGGAGCAAACAATAGTCGAGATTGTTTCCTCTCTTCTATCAATATCTGTTCGGCTGTCGGAGGTCGATTACTGTTGGTAGTGATAGAGCCCATGATGGAGCTCGAGGTAGTGGACGCTGATACTGATTTGTCACTACCAGATGACACTGACACCGCTTTACGGTTCTGGTCCTGATTCCATAGGGTATACAAGTTGGCTGGGAAGAGAGCCGGCGAGTACATACTGAGTTACAGTGGAGATATATCACGGTTACTGTGGGGAGCAATTGAGTTAGTTGTCTCTTAACTACTGTACTGTACTGTCTTCACTGGAGAGATGTCTCGCGGCCCGCCCACCTGAGTGCGTAGCGAGAGCGCAAAAATTTAGCTGCAAATTTGAGAATTAGCGTTATAAATCCTTCAGCAATTACTTTCTATATACTGTAGGATAACCTGTAGGTATTACACTATAATAGGGGTATTCTAACTGTATTGATGTTTATATAGTGAGTTGTATAGTGAGTTGTATAGTGAGTTGTATAGTGTGTTATATACTGTACTATATCCTGTACTATAGACTATAGACTCTATACTGAGATCCGTTTACTCACCCTCATCCTCACCCTCATCGTCTGTTAATACAAACTCATCAAGAACTCGCTGTTTCTCTCTATCACTATCGACTATATACTGTTGAGTTGCAATAGGGGAAGTATTGTTCGTAGGCCATATAAACCCTGACTCCTGCTTAACTCCACCTAATGTAACAATACACCCATAACATATGTTTAGTGGATTACCATGAGGAACTTCTGTAGATTGTGATGATACACCCACAGAATCCTTATATAACTGGAGATTCTCATGATCTTGTTCAGTCTCAACTGGTGCAGCCTTATTAACTGTAATATTTCTTAACCAATCACCAGGATCTTGATAGATCTCAATACCACAGATCTGACAATGAGCGACAGTACCAACATTATCATCAACCTTGGGAGCTCCAAGTTTTTCACCAGTTTTAACAACTGTTGATGCTGTGGATGCATAACCTGTGGCATCTAGTTGACTGAAATATCGAGTAGTTAAATCACGAATAGTCAAGTTCTTATTGATTTTGGATTTAGGAATGGTAGATACCAATACAGACTCATCTAGTCCAGTCAATTTGGCATATGCTAGTATCTCAGCATACAATACATCTCTAAGAGGGAATAAGATTTGTAATTCTTTATCATTATATGCTATTGTATGATCAGCTATAGCTTGATAGATGGTGGAACCTCTTCCCTTGACAGTTAAAGCAATGATTTCATTGGCAATTCTGGTCATACTATGACCATATATTATGGTTTGACATCCTTCAATATATGCTGTTCTTGCAATTAAATCTTGATAGATTATTGTCAATAAATCTTCAATAGATGACTTGTTGGGACATAGTTTTAAGATATCAAATAAAGTATATTTAGTTTGGGCGGTATATGGTAAAGTAATTCCCGTGAAATCATCATGTAAAATAATCTTTTCAAGTATTGAATCATCAAGAATGTATGAATTTAAGTCCAATACTTTATAATGAATAGGTACAGGTTCATATCGTTTGACAAGTTCGGGCAATATATCCGATATTCTTTTATTCAAACTATTCAATTCAAACTCATTAAGATTCAATATCACCAATTCAAATCCCTGTTTACCTTTATGAGCTTCATACTGTTCTTGAAGTAATGATGCCATGACATCTAAAAGGACCAATGATGACTCACCACCAGATAACGCCAACAAAACACGTTGGGTTCCAAGTTTTTCTATCAAAGCTCCATATTTCACCTTATATTTATCATCTTGCATCTGTTTCCGTTGCTTTCCTCTAATGAATCGGATGAAGCATGCCTTACAGAAAGGTTCCTTTCGAGTGATTAGTACGGCATTTTCTTGTTTACAACGCTGACATTTAGCCACATCACTGTCTGACAGACCGAGAAACGTAACAGCCGGATTTTCAGACATCTCTACTATTACTTACTGACTTACTGGCCACTATATAGTGTCTGACTAAGACTAAAGAGATGCCTCTTCTGAAAAATTGAACCTGCAAAATTTTTATTACAGGTTGCGATACTGCCAAAAATCATAAAACTACTCAACTGAGCAGAAAATGACGGTCAAACCTTTAAACAGAGGCTCATAAGGACACCACAATATGACACGAAGGCCATCGGATAATACTGAAGTAACATCGGATGCGGTTGATCCGCAAACCACACCAATTCCTACAAAAATTGTCAGTAATGATGAATCAGACATTGTGGAGAAGGAAAAGGAGAAGGTGGACTTCACCAAAGGTGGAGTAGACAAGTTTAAATTCTATCCTGACAATCCTGAAAATCATCGTCACAAATATCGGTGGACCATGAAGGAGCCATCGAAATTTTATGATCCGTGCGAAGAAAGTAGACAGGCATCGCTAAATTGTATATTGAGAAATCAGGAGGATCGAACCGTGTGTCAGGATTTCTTTGATGCCTACAAGGAATGTAAGAAAGATTTCTTTAATAAGAAGAGAAAGGACAGACTTGAAGGACGTAGTGGATGGGGGATATGGTGATATACGATTTTAAGTATATATTATTCATAAATACGTTAAGTACATATACACAAATACGTTAAGTACATATACACACACATTAAATACAAACTTGTACATACACACTAAACAATGCCAAATGTAGGATTACCACTGGCTACTTCCCAATCAGAACTATGACGTTTAATGCTTCCAGATAACATACACGACTTAGTAGGACGATGAGGATCAAAGTCGCGCGGGAGATCTCCAAAGCTTTTGGGTAAAGTAGCACGCTGATCGGCGGGGAAGTCATCAAAGTCAGAGTAGATTCTCGTGGCTCCTATAGAATCCTCTACTCGAGATAATGTAGATTGAACAATCTTACCTACCACATCCTTGTAGTGAAGATATGGTAATGAGTTATGGATCTGTAACTGGCCCGACTTCCGGTTGATGGAGCATAACAAAGTAGCTACATCACGGGTAGAATTCTTAGACACCAATTCTTCCTTGACGACTCTCTCAAGAACACGCTTGTAGTTGTCGGCATAACCGTTCTGACTCTCACAATGGTTCAAGAGATAAGTGATACAACTCTCCAAGTACTTCGATACATCCACACGCATAGTGAAGAGAATGTAATTCAATTGGATATTGAGGAGACTGGCGGATTCATCCTCAGTAACCTGTTCACATAATCGATGTGCCAAGGTGCGTTCCCAGTCTTCAAGCTCACGAAGTTTTCTGGTACTGGTAGGACAGTAATTGACTAATTCTCTTTGACGAGCCAATGTGAATTTGGTATGTTCATGTATATAGTCATCGTCAACATCATCATCATTATCAGTTTCAGAAAGCATATTGAATGATGAAGATGTGCATACCATGGACTTCAATTCATTCTCAACATAGTAGAAGTCCGATTGGATTTCTCTTAAGTTACGCTTGAATGCTTGATACAAATAGTTCACTTCTGACTTATCGACTTTAGGTACATTGTTAATGGAGAAGCTGAGTAAATTGTTGCGTAAATTGCGGAGGTAATTAAGTAAGAATGTCTGCTTGAATTGTGCTAAAGGTTGAAGTTTCATCCATTCCAATACTTGTAAACGTACTCGACTGGATTTAAGTTTAGATGATGAAGAATGTTTATGAACCACATTGTCGCCAGGTTTCAGAGACGAGAGGAACCGTAAGTCATTGGCTTTAAAGTCCACAATGTCTCCATCCATAGGTATTGATAAAGGAGCCGGACATATAGCTCCAGGTCTTGGACCTGGTCCTGGCCAATGTAATTGAGGATCCTTAAGAAGCTTCTCCAAGATATTCAACTTACGGCGAATGAAGTGACTCTTGATGTAGTTATTGTAATAAAACAGACCATTGATACCACAGAAGAATTTGGTAAAGTTAACAATCTGACACTTTATATCAATGTTGGGGTAGTTTCCCCATAAGAATGATCCATCTATGGTCTTGTTGGTATAGTCAATGTTAGAAAGAACAATATCACATTCACACCCTCGTGTTTGTTCCGGATCAAGCGTCACCGTATATCGTAGTCCCGATTGGAAATATGAACTGAATTGAACATCAATTATCTTATCCTTATCATGACTTGTTACATAGTCTATGGGTTTACTTTTGAAGTCATGGAATTGTTCTGCTGCTGTGCACTGTGATGATTCAATAGTAGTATCACTTGTATCAGGGCCAACCTTTTGCTTTTTGAATGACTCCGATTTCTGAGTACTAGTCTTAGCTTTCCTCTTCTTGACGGACTTGGTTGGAACAGTGTTTGTCCATAATAGTCCCAATCTTCTTCTTTTCAAGTACACATCCATACGTTGCTCTAGATTAGGGATAGGTTCACCCAAATCACTAACATTAGTGGTACTAGATCGATGTCCATCAACTACTGGAGCAAATAAATATGAATATTTAGTGGAGAGGTCCATAGGAAACAATAAACTACTAATCCTATTAGGTAAGCTTGTACGTAAGTAGGCGGATATTTTCTGTTCAAGTATACGAGCTTCACACTCAATCTGGCGTCTCCAATTCTGGTCATCTTGCTTACCGTTATTCCTACTAGGAGACTCTTTCAGGCCTGTTGTTCCCTTACCTTTGGGGATAATCACTTGTCCAATTTCTGGATCGTAATTAGGATTTGCTTGCCTCAGATGAATGGCATTCTGTCGTCTTAAGTCAGAAGATGATTCAGGGAATAGTAAATAATTGTCATCATCATCATTGTCATTATCATTGTCATTATCGTAGGTATTCATTCCATCGTTGAATGAATAGGCATCATGAAGAGCTGCTGCTGCTCGTGTAGCAATCTGAACTGTAGAGGGGCTTGGAGGTCTTAAAGATGTAGATTGTCTAGCTGATGAAAGTAAATATCGTTCACTTAATACTTGACTAAAATCTCGACCTGTAATAGTAGTATCTCTTTCTCCAATATCAGGAGGTTCAAAATTAAACCGACGATGATCAGCACTGGGACGGAAAGAGGCATAGAAGTTGGCTCGTCCAATAGCATCTTCTTCTTCAATGAGTTCATTATCATCATCATCAATATGACTATAATCCGCTTCAGTATAATCCAAATCCTCTTCATCATCTCCACTAGTATCGTCATCATTATGATCATTATCATAATCAGATTCACCAATAATAGCCAGTCGAATTTCTCGTACTTCCAGAGGAGTATTGGCAAATGAGAGGGCCTGTAAAAAGTCATCTATATTGTTGGACTCAGTAGAATCAGCAAGACCAATGAAATTCCGAAATGACTGTAATCGAGCATTGACCATTGCTTCTCGGAATCGTCTATCTTGTCTGAATCTGACTCGGGATGGTTCAGCATCTAGCCAAGGTGCAGTAGTAGGGGTACCTATGGGAGGTAGGGAGCGAAATGGTGGCGATATACGTATCAAAGAGCTGGAGCTGGAACCAGAACCAGAACCAGAACCAGAGGCTCTAGGCTCACGTTCAGTAGGGATATAAGTGTGGAATCGATGAATACGATCATTGATTGGGGGTATACCTCGAGGAGGTGGAGGAGGTGGCGGTGGTGGTGGATGTTCTGGTAGTGACTGTTGTGGAGGTGGTCGAAGTTCTGTTGGTTGTTCAGGGTCGGTACGGTTACCGGACAGACTGGTGGGATCTGGGGTAGGTGGTGGTGGCATTGTGAGTTAAGTTATTTGTAGTATTGTAGAGTACAAATATGCCTGAAACGGAGATATTTTTCTAGTTTGGATATTCTAATGGTTTACTTAGTGATTTTTAGCGAGTTAGAGATGAGCAAATAGGTAAATTAGATGATGATAGAGGAATAGATTTAAGTAGGAAGAAGGACAATGGAGTAGATTGATATTGAGTGGGGCAGCTCATGTGGTCGGGGTCATGTGATGCTACAAAGGAGAAAGTCGGAAGTATACAAAGTATACATAGTATAGATAGATAATTATTAGTGGTAGTAGAATTGATTAGTTGTAATTGGTAGTAGAAGTAATGAATGAATAGTGTTAGTGATGGTTATGAGTTAGTTATGAGCTAAATTACTTAGTTAGCTTATATAGAGTGTTTCACATGATAATAGAGATTAATAGTGTGATAGAGAGTTTAAGATTCAGTACGGGAGTGCACAAGAGATTGAGGAAATCCGTGTAGTATAGAACTACTATATTACTATAGTCATACTATATAGTACTACATTTAGTCTTACAGTAGTCTGTACAGTTACTAAGTGTTAAGTTAAGTACTGCAGTGAGGGTCCATACTGCGGTAAGGAGGCAAAAGGTTTAAGCTCCATGCGTCATCAGAGATGTCGTGTGAGGCCCAGACAATGTCGCGCAATTTCAGATAAAAAAGAAATGAGAATGCACGTCAAACACACGGCTGCCACACTGAGACGAGCAGACGAAGACATTGAACATAGTGGGAAGAACAAGTTCAAGTACAAGTGAACAATACATATAATATTATAATGACAGCATTGTAGTTTATCATAGTAGTACATTGTAGTAGTATATAGTAGGAGCCTATAGTAACACCCCATGACACAAGATGATGTAGAGATAGGTAACATTGTAACAGTAGATTGTAGACATTCCAACGGTGACAGCACGACATTCTGTCTGTCACATGTCGCATCCGCTTCGTATTTGTAACAGATTATTTTTTTAAGCAAATGTCTTTTGTTGTCCTAAACGAAAGATACCACCAGAAAACAGACACAACCACAGACAAAACCACAACCAGAGACATTTAAACAAAGCATATAACGTAAGACATACGCTCACACACACTCACTTATACACACACTCAAACAGACAGACACATATACAAATACATATATATCTAATCAGACACAACAGAAGCACAAGTTCATATACAACAAAAATAAAATGACTTCTGGCTCAGTGTACATCTCCATTAAACAATTTAATGCTCGACTCGGAGACGAACTCTCCCTTAAAGTCGGTGATAAAGTCGAAGTACTTGCCGATGATAGTGAATATAATGATGGATGGTTTATGGGAAAAAACCTTCTAACTAATGAAGTCGGACTTTATCCGAAATCTTTTACTCAAATTCTTCAACAACCAACAAATCCTGATAAATCTTTATTAAGGTCTCGATCAAGACGTGTAGCCAGTGGGAATAGTACAAATTCAACTATAAATAATTCAAATAATACTAATAATGGATCCAGTTCTGGACTCGGAACTCCTATTTTAAAAGTCAATCAAATTACTGATTCAGTTGAACAATTGGATATAAAAAATAATAGTCCTGAACCCCTTGCAAATTCCACTAGAACTGAAGATTTAAACCCTCATGAAGCTTATAAATGGACTCCTCAACAAGTATCATCATATTTCTCTCTTGTATTAGGATTTGATTTGGAAATAGCCGGTAAATTCGCCAGACATAAGATTACTGGAGCCATTCTATTTGAACTTGATTTGGCTCATTTAAAAGAGTTGGATATTGACTCATTTGGTACTAGATTTGAAATTTATAAGGAAATTGAAAAATTAAAGGAATTATCTGAAAAAGGTGGTAAATCTAAAATTAAAGCTCCTCCTGTTCCTCCTACAAAAATCGAAGATACGGCCTCTTCAAATTCAGAAGATGATTTTCAAAGTCCTAATGTTACTCCTTATTCTAAAAGTAAAGAATTTGATACTAAATTAATGCCTTCAGCTCCCTTAACTACTTCTACCAGTACTAATAGTTTTTATAAAAATCATCAACGTAAAAGATCTCAATCTATGGAAAATCTTAGTTTTATTGATGATTTAAATAGTAATTTATTTACATCTCCTAGAAAGGCTCCTCAACCTCCAACTGATAGTCCAATGAATGAAGCATATAAATTTGGTAGTGGTCCAGTACTTATGGCTCCAACTCCTCAAGATCATGGGATTTATCGTACTAGATCTCATGCTTCAAGTTTACTTCAATTAAGTAGGCCAAGTTCAAGTGTATATGAACAATCAGTAATGAGTAATCATAAAAAATCTGGTTCTCAAGTATCAGGTAATGGACATGGAAGAGGAAATTCTAGTTCATCAAATAATAATCATCATAAAAGACATTCTTCCTTATTCTCATTTTTATCAGTAAGTGAAGAAAAACCTTTGAATACTAATAGAACTAATAATTTAGCAGGATCTCAAACTCCTAAGGGAGATTTACCTAAATTAACTTTAACATCTCCAGTTAATCTTAAACAAGATAATGTACCTTCAGCTCCAACTCCATATTCACCTAGAAGAAATAATCTTAATGGATCAATTCCTAATCGAGCTGATTCTCCATCTGATTTAACTATTGTAGATATTGATAATGTTCAATTATCTCCTAAGAAAGGCAAATCTGGTTCAACTCCAACTTATAGTAAACCAGATTTAACTTTTGGTAGAGATGAAAGGAGATCAGCCTCAGATTCTCCCGGTCCAATTCCTTCAAGATTAAAAGGTTTACGTACTGTATCAGCTCAAAATTTAAAGAATATTACTGCCTCAAGAAAACTGAAAACTTCAGCTTTTACTGAAGGTATAAGAGAGATATCACCAGATGAAGCAATAAAATCTGCATCTTATAGTGGATGGATGTCAAAGAAATCAGGTAACGCCTTATCATGGAGATCAAGATATTTTACTTTACATGGAACTCGATTATCATACTTTGCTTCACTTAAAGATAAACGAGAAAAGGGGTTAATTGATATAACAGCTCATAAGGTTATACCAATTAGTACTGAAACTGATGAATTCTCCGAAAGATCTGATAAATATACGGCTTTAATAGCTTCTTCAACATTTTCAGGAAGTTATTGTTTTAAATTAGTACCTCCAGCTCCTGGATTTAAAAAAGGATTAACATTTACTCAACCAAAGACTCATTATTTTGCGGTTGAATCAGAAGATGAATTAAGAGGATGGATGAAAGCTTTAATGTCTGCTACTATTGATATTGATGATAGTGTTCCAGTAGTTAGTAGTTGTTCTACTCCAACGGTTAGTTTATCTAAAGCTCAAGAATTATTAGCTAGAGCTCGAGAAGAAACTAAACTTAAAGATGAAGAATTACGAGCTCAAGGATTTCAACGAGGTAGTACTGTATCTGATGATTTTAATCAATTTTTAAATGATACAACAAATGATTTTGCAACTTCAGTAGATTCAGGTAGATCTCATAATGATGATTCTACGGCTGATACTTCTATACATCCTCCTAAATTATCTTTAGATACATCTTCTAAAGGTACAACTCCAAAGACTCCTTCAACTCCTCATGTAGGTGGTACAAGTTCAACTTCCGGTCCTGGTCATAGCTCACTTAGTGGAGGTTTTGCTTCTCCTTATTTATTGGCATCCGGTTTATTATCTCCCAAATCCGGTAATGCTTCATCATCTCCTACTACTGCCACCACTCCCGGTCTGAGAACCGCCTCGGATTTCTTTCCTGATGTCACTACCGGATCAACATTAACCAATGACTCATCATCAACAACAAATAGCACAATAAATACAAATACTACCACCAATACTACAACCCCCAAGTCTATCTTTTCCAATAGTAATGGCCGAATCTTAAGTGGATCCCGTAAGAAATTGGCCGGAGAAAAGTTAATGGCTTATTCAAGTGATGGTACCGGTAATCACAGTTTTGTCATCAAGGCCAAACGATGATTGACTATAACTATGCTATACTAATTTTCTACGTTTATTTAATTTAATTTAATTCGATTAATTTAATTTATTCTTCTTTTATATCTTCTTTGTAATGTATTATTTTGACTTCCGGTGGTAATGTATACGGTATTCCGGGCACATTCACGTGACCGCACACAAAACCCTTATAAAGTAAACATTTAAAAGTGTCAAATATCAACAGTACAAAAGTAAACTAATCCACCAAAAAGTGTTATAATCATCACTTAGAACTATTGAATTCAGATATGACGAGTCTCGAGGGCGATATGCCCGGACCCTCGGAACCCCAGTATGTTCAACAGTATCTCCGATCCCTTTGTATTCATAGTTTAGATAGTTTTAACTATGGTAATGCCGAATTCTCTAGTGAAAGACTTATTGCCATGGACCCCCACAATCCGGATTCCATATATTTATATTGTCTTACATTATTTAAACAGGGTAAATTCAAATCTTGTTATAGTAAATTAATTAATAATGGACAATTTATGGATATAAGTCTCGCTTGTGCTTACCTCTTTGGTCAATGTTGTATGAAATTAAAGACTTATAAAGAAGGAATATTTCAATTAACTAAAGTTAGTGGGATGTATAATGAATCTGAAGTACTGACAAGTTATCAGAAGTTTAATTATGAGTTCCAAAGATCCATGCAGCCCGATACATCACTGATTTATCATTTACTTGGTGATTTATATGGAGGTATTAATGATATAAAGAATAGTGCATTGAATTATAGTCAGGCCTTAAGATTTAATCAATTTGATTTTGAAGCATTTCAACAGCTATGTAAGTTGGGAGTCAAAGTCAGAGTCAAATCCATCTTTAAGTTACAACCTAATTTGTCTACTACTACCAATACTAATAATGAAGAATCTATGACAGAATATACTGATCATTTCACTAATCCATTTTCTAATACTGAGACTCCTGTAATTCATCAAGATGATACATTTGCCAATCTTTCAACCCCTCGAATTAAACCTACAGCTGTTCCTGATGCTCCACTACGGAAATCTAATTTAAATACAAGTTCTAATTCATTTGAGTTTACAAAACCTATATTCCCTAATACAGATGCATTTGGAGGCAGTAGTAATGATAAGAAATCTACGAAAAGAGAGAGCACATATTCACGTATAACGTCTCGATTGACTTCTTTGCCAGGCAGTGGCTCTAGTAGTACCAACAACAACAATAGCAATAACAATAGCAATAGCAATAACAACACTAATAGCAATAATAGCAATAATATTAGTAATAACAGCAATTCCAAAGTGCTTGAAACTCCAGGCAAGAAGTCCAACGTTCGATCCAATTTGAAAAGAAATACATCCAGTTCGACCATTGAGGTTATTAATAGCAATGGAGGTGCATCATCAAGTAATAATCAAATTATCCTTAATAAGGAGATTGCCAAGAGTGAGAAATATTTGGCAGGACTATATATTATTTTTGCTAAAGCATTTAAATGTATGAGCAAATATGATTGTTATAAGGGAATAAGATTACTTGAACTGTTATCAGAAAATGAAAAGGAAACTCCCTGGGTATTGAGTAAATTAGGGAGATTAAATTATGAAATAATTAATTATAAACAAAGTGAATATTATTTCATTAAATTAAGAAAATTAGATAGAACAAGATTAGAAGATATGGAATATTATTCGACATTATTATGGCATTTACATCGAAAAGTTGAATTATCATATTTAGCTAATGAACTATATGATTTAGATAAAGAAAGTGCTATAACTTGGTGTACTATAGGTAATTTATTTTCATTAATTCGTGAACCTGATGAAGCCATTAAATGTTTTAATAAAGCAATTAAAATTAATGAAGATTTTACTTATGCTTATACTTTAAAAGGTCATGAATATTTTGGTAATGATAATTATGAAATGGCATTAGAAAATTTCCGAATTAGTTTATTAAAGGATAATCGTCATTATAATGCATTATATGGTATTGGAATGGTATATATTAATTTAGGAGATTATCAAAAGGCTGATTATCATTTTCGAAAGGCAGTATCAATTAATCCAATTAATATAATATTAATTTGTTGTATTGGAATGGTATTAGAGAAACAAAATAAGAAAACTCTTGCTCTTAAACAATATGAATTGGCTAATAAATTACAACCTTTAAATCCATTACCAATTTTTAAAAAGGCTCAATTATTATTCTCAATGCAACAATTCACTCCAGCTTTAAAAAGTTTTGAAATCCTTAAGGAATTAGCTCCTCAAGAGGCTAGTGTACATTTCCTTTTAGGTCAACTATATAATATTCAAGGCGATAAATTTCAAGCTATTCGAGAGTTTACTATTGCCTTGAATTTAGATCCTAAGGGGAATTATTTGATTCGCGAAGCTATGGAATCGTTAAAGGAGAAGTAGGGGTAATAAATAAGTAATAGAGTAGGGTAGTTACATATAAAGGATATGTTAGCCTCACCACTTAGTAGTAGGCTTAAACTTGCCATAACAAGTATATAATTCTGCAATACACGCATAATGCAGATGAGTAACCAGAGCTACTACGCCTTTGTAGGCCAAGAGCCGCGTAGGCGACGCAAAGTGATTAGATTCGCATAACAATAGAGCTTTTATAATAGAAGAGGAAGGGATGAATTACAATGAGAGTTAAAAGTGGTGTAGCCAGACCGTGTACAGTGTAGCACATGTGTCCAGTGTGTACATGAGCCCAATGTGTATACAGTGTGGACAGTGTAGTGTGGGGAGTGTTTACAGTTTGTTTACAGTTTGTTTACAGTAATAGTGGTTAGGTAGAGTAGATCACAAGACACGACCACAGTACACTAAATCACCGACAACATACACTGCGTACACGTACCCTGCACATACTCTATACAGTCCCTATAAACCCACTGTCTAACAAACTCACACTATCACAGCTTTCCTTAGTCCGTAATTACGTGGCCACACGCACGACCCAGAAACCGTTACACAAACAAATTCGGCTACAGTCGATATATTTACCAACACATGAATCACGACTAAAATTCAACATAATTATACATTTGTTGTTAGTAACAGTAGTATCGTCAGATATCTCGTGATCAGTTAGTTATACCATTCTTTCGTCTATATACCCCTTTGGTAAATTTTGTTGCATTGCATTCACGTAACTGTGCAACGCTTCTAACACTGAATTGATAATAATAAAAAAAATTTTGGTGATAGTTTGTTTTGGTGGAAAACTACTGTGGATAATCAACAGCTCACTATCGCTAAAGTGAGACAACTAACCAGAACGAAGTTGTTCATTGACGAAAAAGTCGTGCTCGTCGATCTCACGCATTAACTCGCGCGATTCATAATATGTACATTCAAATTCATATATCTCGGTGGCTCATTGCTATTCAGCTTATAGCGTATTCATCGCTAGCATACGGATTCAATTGGGGATTTTCCAAGTCTGTTTATAGTAAGGGAGATACAGTTGACTTACTACTTAATAAAATAGAATCAGATAATACTCAATTACCGTATTCATATTATAATTTACCATTTGTATGTCCGCCAGGACTGAATGCTCGTGCAAGACATTTATCACTTGGAGAAATCTTAAGAGGTGATCGAATTTGGGAATCCAATTATGAATTACGATTTGGTGTTGATATGCCATGTATGAGATTATGTGATTTAATATCTCGTGAAACTGGTTTACAACGTGCTGATAGTCTTATTAGGAAAGGATATGTTGTTCATTGGACAATTGATTCCTTACCTGGAGCTACTACTTTTGTTTCCAATAATAAGAATAAGAAATATTATGCTGCTGGATTCCCATTGGGATTCGTAGATAGTAATATGGCTTATATATATAATCATGTCATGATGGTAATTAGATATCATTCTGAAGGTAATGGGAAATATTCAATTGTAGGATTTGAAGTATACCCTAAATCAGTTAGTAATGAACAATGTCCTGGTTCATCAAAGGATTATGAAAATTTTGCTATATCGGTTAAAAAGAATAAAGGAGGAGAATTACAAAAACAAAAAGTTATAATTCCTTATACTTATTCAGTATATTGGAGAGAAGATAATTCAATTGATTATGATTCAAGGTGGGATTTATATTATGAAAATGAATCAAATAATAAAAATCATCATATTCATTGGTTATCATTCACAAATTCAGTAGTATTATTGTTTTTATTGACATTAATTGCTACCCTTGTCCTTTTAAGAACACTTAAGAAAGATTTATCATCATCTCTGTCTACTGGAAGTGCTGAAGAACCAGCCAATTGGAAATCTCTTATATCGGAGATTTATAAATCTCCATCATATGTTATTCCCTTAACTACTTTAGTAGCAGCAGGAATTCAAGTTGTGGTGGCATTGATTGGAGTTATTGTAATATTTGTTATTAATTCTAAATTCTTTATCCCAGGAGCCAAAAGTTCTAGTACATTCTTTAATAATCATGAAGGTGCCGTAATCTCAATCTCCATATTCTTCTTTGTCATTTCAGGATTTGTTAGTTCATATGCTGGTATTATCCTTTATAAATTTTTAAAGAATGATAATATTAATCATGAATATCCATTACCAGCAGTTACTAAATTGTCATTATTATTCGGAAGTTTCTTACCGACATTTATATTGACAGTAGTATTCTTTTTAAACTTTTTTGTATGGGCTAAAGAATCATCATCTGCTATTCCATTTGGAACCATAGTGGTTCTATTATTATTATTCTTTATTATTGAATGTCCCTTAGGTATAATCGGAGGGATTATTGGTAATAAAAGAAAATTTTCACCTCAATCATTCCTCATTAATCAACGAATTTCAACTAAAGAGAATCCTTCTAATATACTTGGAGGTAAACCAATCAGAAAATTACATCGTTATAATTCATGGTTATTTAGTCCATTACCTAGTGTATTAGTATTTGGATTAATACCATTTGGTGTAGTATTTGTTGAATTATTATTCATATTTAATAGTGTATGGTTAGAAAAGACTACATTTTATTATATGTATGGATTCTTATTCATAACTACTATGATTCTTATAATAATTATTGCTGAATCAACAATTATTGCCATATATATATCCCTTTCAGTATATAATAATCCAAATTGGCAATGGCTTAGTTTCCGAGTAGGATCAAGTATAGGATGGTATATTATGGCTTATACAGTATACTATTTTACATTCTATTTAAATGTTAAAGATTTTGTTAGTAGTTTATTATACTTTAGTTATATGGGATTAGCCTGTTTCCTTATCTGTTTAGGATTTGGATCAATAGGATTATTCACCGGATTGATTTTTGTTAGAAAAATCTTTGGAACTATTAAGGCTGATTAAAAGAAAAGTCAGTCTTAATATCTGCATTATTATTATTATTATTATTATATATATACATATACATATACATATACATATCTACCCTTATATTATTTTTATATCATGAACGTATATTTTGTAAGTTTCAAAGCATTATTGAGTCTAAATAATGAAAAGAAATAAATAAAAAGAGTATGAGCTTAATCTAAGGATGAAGCACCAGTAATAATATCCACTAATTCATTAGTAATAACGGCTTGTCTGGTTCTGTTATATAAGATGGTAAAAGAGTTAATCATTTCACCAGCATTCTTAGAAGCGTTATCCATAGCATTTCTTCTAGCAGAAACTTCAGAAGCATAACCTTCAGCCATTGCAGCTAAAATAGAATTAGCTAATGAGAATTCAGCTAAAGTTTCCGAAGTATTTTCTGATTCTAATTCATATTTACTTAAACCTGGAGCCTTTTCAATAGCTTCAGCAGCAAATACAGAGAATTTAGATGGTTCAAATGAGACACCAGAAAGGAATTTATTGTATAAAACTTCAATATTATCGTATTTGCCTAATGTTGCAATTTCATCAGCAATTAATGAAACTTCAGTAAAGTTTGGAGCTTCTTTACCAACACCATTAAATGATAATTTTAATTTATCACCATGAGTTCTTAATAATTGAGTTTTAACTTTATCACCAATAGTAACAATATCAACTTCACCATTTAATTCTGCAGCTCTTCTTCTAGCTGATTTAGAAATTTGAGAATGAATAGATCCACATAAACCTTTATCAGAAGATACAACAACTAATAAAGTTTTAGATTGTTCAGGAGTTTCTGGTTCAGCATTAGCATAAAATTCAGAATCTGATTTGTTGAACACTCTGGATGATGCCATAGCTCTTTGAGCTTTATTTAATCTAGTGGATGCAACGATTTTCATGGTATTAGTAATTTTTTCAATGTTCTTAATAGACTTAAGACGCATTTCAATTTCTCTTAAAGTGGCATAGTTTCTACAATTGTTAGTAATTTATTATTGATATGGTGATACTCTAAGTTAGACTATACTATACTACTAAATAGTCAGTCTTTCCTAGAATTCTCCCTCTATTTCTTGACACATACCTGGCCCCGGTAGTACGGGCGACTTGAGTTGCACCTAAACGAAACATGTCCAATTGCAATTGATCTTACTGGAGGTTATAGACGTTAAACTAATGGGTTCACCATTAAATTTCAACAAATTTTTCGGTACTGTTTTTTTCTTCATTGGCTCTTAACTATGGGAGCTCATAGTTAGTGCGCGAGGTCCATAGTTAACGATCGGATTGGGGAATATTTCGATATTATTGGCTGGCGCCAATGCGAATGGGCGGGACACGACGACTACTACTACTACTACGCTGCTCCTGCAGACAGTATCCAATATAAGCTACTATCATAATACAGTATGACTACTACTATGACTTCTACAATCACTAACATAGTTGATAATAAAATAATGATAATAATAATGATAATAATAATAATAATAATATATAGAAAGTAATATTTATGCTATGGATGAGACCACTGGTCGTCTATGCTACAGGATCCATTCTCTACTTGGATGGATCATTCTTTTGGTATCCCAAGTATCCTTGTAGTGGATAAGTTTCAAGCATCTTCATATACTTTAAAATTAATGGTCGACAATTTTGTTGAGCATCATGTTGATGATATTGTTTACATTTTCTTAATGCTTCATGAGTAACCGTTAATTCATATGACCTTATCCATTGTTCTCTAGTAAATGATTTTCTAGCAGCATCTACTTGAGGAAAGTTATCATAATCTATATCGTCAAACGAGACCAATTCCGGTCTAATGTGTTCGCTGTAGTTATCTAAAGCTATTGTTAAAGGTTAGTACTTATTCTAGTTATAATGTCCATTTCAATTTAATTATGCTTAACATACCCATCCTCTATTTGTCTCCCGTTGCTTGGCCTGCTTGGTCAATACTAACTGTTTGCACATTATAAAAAGAAGAATTTTAACTGGAAGAAAAATACCCTTTTGGTAGGCACGGGACACGACCCTTGCTTGCTTTTGGGTGGGCCGCACCCTAAACCCGGTTCGCCTATGATCACATGGTATAGATCACGTGCACACCACCGTCTCGAGGAGCCGTAAATTTTTCAACTTTAAAGTTAAATTCATATGTCAAAATGTACGTGTCAAGATTAACCTGAGGTGTCAATTAAGTAGTGACCGTCATTAGCCGATCTATATCGTAGATAAGATATGACAACCGAAGAAAAATCCAAAGTTTCAAGTGAGCCAATTCCAATTCCAGTCACTGCAAGGACTAGTGAAGTATTCCGATTCAATGCTAAATGGGTAGCATATCTTCATGCTACCAGTGCCTATGCTGCATTTCTTGTTGCATTAATAGTGGGTTCAACCTTACATTATCATAAGATAGTGCAGAACTCATCGTATGGATATCCTGATGAATGGTTTCCTAGTGTTTCTGCTACAATTGGTGATAGATATCCTGAAAGATCTATATTTCAAATATTAATTGCTGTAACAGCTGGTCCTAGATTTTTATTATTAATATTTAATTTCATTCGTCTATATAAACCTAATACTTTCTTACCTTATATTGCCATAATTTCAGGAATACTTAGAACTTTTACTTGTGGAGGTTTTGTTTATATTACATCAACTGATGATCATGATTGGCATGATATATTTATGATAAGTTATATTATATTAACTATCCCTTGGAATGTGGCTATCACTTTATTATCAGATAAGAAATCTATACAAAGATCAGGAAGATTCTATACTTCAATCTCATTCTTTGGAACTTTAATACCTTTAATATATTGGTTTATTCAACATAAAGTTCATGTAAGAGCAGGTGCATATTCAATCTATGCCTATTTTGAATGGGCACTTATTATTTTGGATGTAGCCTTTGATACTTGGTCTATTGTAGATTTTAAAGATATAGATATTGTCTTTGAAGGTAATGGTATATCTTTAAATTCTACAGTACCAACCCCAAAAGTATCTGAAAAGCAAACCCCATTGACTGCTAATGATGAGTTTACAACCTTTGAATTCATTATCAATTCCATAAATTCATTCATATTCTGGTCAGTCATAACTTCTTTAATCTTATGTGTATGGTACTTCCCCTTATGGCATATGGGAATTTCTGGTTATGAAGCAGCTGTATTTGCTTTATTCATTCCTATAATTATCTTAATTATACCATTTCTTAGAAATTTATTAGCTAAAATCCCCTTTGTTACTAGAACTTTAACAGTATTATTTGGAATTGGAGCTTATAAAATAGAAGATCCTGAACAAAAATTATTAGCTATAACGGCTGGTACATCATTTGGAGTTATTTCCCTTGTAGTAGAACTTGGAGCTTTATCAACTCAACCTAAGAAATTCTTATCATTTATAACTACTTTTATTATTGGATTAACGGCTACATCGACAGCTAAATATTTGAATTACTCCAATAATCCTATTTGGGCCATAATGCATCAAGAAAATGGAGGTTTCAATGAAGTAGGGATTGTTATTGGATTATTGGGTTCACTTTTAACTCCTAGATTAAATGCCAATACTTTCGCCAAACTTCCAATTCAAGGTGGATCTTTCTTATTAGCAGCCATAGGGGTCGGTGGATATATGTTTACTATTCATTCATATTTAAGTGATACATCTACTTTAGCATTATGGACTTGGGAGGGTTTCCCCATAATAGGTCCAACTCCTATAACTGCAGGATTAATTAATATTGGTTCAATTATAATTGGAATTCTCTTATCACTTTCTGGATCTCCAATAATTGAATCATCTCTATATAACATCTTCTTAGGAGGTGGAAGTGCTACTATACTTTACTTTTTTAAAGGTTGGTTAGGATATTTGGGTGCTTCAGTATATACCATCTACATTGCTTCTATTTCTCCTTTAATTTGGAAATCCACTATAGGTTATAATTCTGGTTTATTATTCTTTATTGGATTCTTTTATTATGTGGTATTGGCCTTGGCCAGTGTATGGATTGTTGCTTATGCCTTTGTTCCGGGTGGATTCTTATTAAGAGAAAGAACTGACATTATCTTAGCCTCCTCATTCATCCTGATTTTGGTGGGGGTATTTAATTATAATGTTAGATTCAATAGTAAAGGTAGGAATACTTCTCCATTAAACTTTAAATCTTGTACCCTTGTTAAACAATCTCTAGTTGTTTTAAGTATCTTATTGGCTATAACTGGTTATGGATTTAATGTAAGATATAATAACCCATATCAAAAACCATATAATGAAGCATCTAAATCATTCACAGCCGGTATATGGTGTGTTCATTTTGGATTAGATAATGATATGTGGTCTAGTGAAATTCGTATGAGAAATTTAATTAAAGAAGCTCAAGTAGATATTATTGGATTACTTGAAACAGATACTCAACGATTAATTGGAGGTAATCGAGATTTTACTCAAACAATTGCTGAAGATTTAGGTATGTATGTTGATTATGGTCCTGGACCTAATAAACATACTTGGGGAGCAGCTTTATTATCTAAATTCCCCATTATAAATTCAACTCATCATTTATTACCTTCACCAGTAGGAGAATTAGCTCCAGCAATTCATGCAACCTTAGATATTTATGGTGAATTAATTGATGTAGTTGTATTCCATTCTGGTCAAGAAGAAGATGTAGAAGATAGAAGATTACAAAGTTTAGGGGTTCAAGAAATTATGGCTAATTCAACTAGACCACTTGTATTATTAAGTTATTTAGTAACTGAACCATTACAGGGGAATTATAATACTTATGTTAGTGAAAAATCTAGAATGTATGATATCGATAATACTGATTGGGATAGATGGTGTGAATACATTTTATTCCGTCAATTAAAGAAGGTTGCTTATGCTCGTATATCCCGATCAACCATTACTGATACTGAATTACAAATTGCTAAATTTAAGTTACTTACTGACCAGGAAAAGCTTGAAGATGATCAACCATTCTTATATGGTAATAACTATATTGATGAAAATACTATTGATGAAAACTTAAGAATGCCTCAATTGTTTAGAGGAGATGGGGTAAGAGGCCATAGATATCATGTGTTTGATGAGCCACGATACTTTGCTCAGGACAAATCACAAGTCCATAGCGAAGGAGAACAAGAGGAGCAAGAAGTGGAGGAAGGACAAGTAGAGGAAGATTATGAGCAATAGGCTTACATAAAAGTTACATAGAGTTAGTTACTGAACATGTAGAAATCAAATCAAACGTTAATGATATAATAAATAATGTATGTACTACCAGTATTTATGCTAATAAGACTTGCGCCTCACTGTCTTCTTCACTATACTCCGACTCGGGAGAATGGTTTGATTCTACTGATGCATTATGATGATGGAATGCTTCATACAATTTGAGCTTCTTTCTTATTCTTTTCAATTGCCATTTGATAGGAATTAAAGGTAACTTACCAGTTCTTTCTTCATATAATTTGATTTCTAACCAGGAGATTACAGCTATCCAATATAATAAATATGAACTTACACTACCATAAGTTGCAGAATTAGTCCAACCTAAAATAGCATTAAAAACCATCCACCAGCCATCTTTGAGACCATCACAACAATTTACATGCCAAATACTATTGGAGATATCATATGATCCTGGACCACTACCAGTTTCACTAACATCTACACCTCCACATAATTGAACATATCTCTCTAATTCAAGAAACCATACTCCTCTACTAGTTAAACCAGCACTAACTAAATAAAGGAAACATGTCAGACAAATGAGGAAATATTGTAAGGACATTTTATTACCTCCTTGATATAATAAGTAACCAATAAATGATCCAACCAATATTCCAGCTACAATGGAGAATGCAATAGCAGAGGGAGAATAAGACATACCCATTCCTCCTATAAATACTACAGCCTCTAAACCTTCTCTTAAGGTAGTTACAAGAGGTAAAAGGGCCAAGAAATACTTTTTACCAAACGATTGTCTGTGTCTATGGCTTAAAGACTTTCTCGATGATTTTCTTAAAGGTATACGATTAATTAATGAAGTAGATTCTTCCACCTCACCATTAGCACCATCTGAAGCTCTTCTGAAAGAGATCTCACTTTCTGAACTAACTATTTGATTTTGATTTTGATTTTGATTTTGATTTTCTTCTGGATCTTGATTTTCTTCTTGATCATCATCTCCCAATTTAGCAATTTCTTCTTCGCCTTCTTCATCTTCACCATGAGAATCATTAGAATGATATGAATGACTCAATTTGATCCACCACTTAACCTTCATAACTTTATTGATTCTTAACAACCCTATCCCCATAATTGTTATAACAACACTAGAAAGTAACGAAAAGGTCCCCTCCCAAATTCTTTCCGCATAAAACCAATAATCTTTCCCAATATAATAGAAACATATAATAAATACTAACCCAATAATTAAACATATAAATAATCCCAATATAGCACCCAACCACACTTGTAACTTGAGCTTTCTTTGAACTTTTTCAAGATGAGTTGCTCGATGAATTTGGCTATGACTATGACTAGTCGAAGTTGAAATTGAAACTGAAGATGAAGTATCCTGAGGAGGATGTGGTTTCAGATGAGATCGTTGTTTGATGAACGATAATAATACCGAGATGATGATGGCTGTTTCTAAGGTTTCCCTTAGAATAATAAAAAATATCTGGATTGAAAAGTATCCCTCCTGACTTGCCATTCTCGCACTTACTCGCTATGGACCTCTGGTTCTATAATAGTTCAGTTTTAATCTGGTTGTGGGCGATTTTTCACTAACCATCATAGTGAACTTCCAAGAAAAAAAATAGTACACAGCAGTATACTAAACTATAAATAGCTACGAGTACACCACTTTCCTAAACACTAAATGGTGATGCTGAATTTACTGAACTACACTACTAAAACTACACTACTGTAAATATTGTAAACTATTGTAAATTACCCTTATTACTATAACACTATAATCATCATTTCTACTATAATTACAATCACTACTCTAACTAATGTAAGCATACTATGTATACTTATCATATGTATAATCAATTATGTATTAAGAATTATCAGTACATACTCTAACTAAGGCAATTGCCGAACAAATAAGGTTTAAGGGATGCAAACAAATTTAATGAAACACGAACTATTACGCGTATTCACTAGTCACTGACCCCGCAAGTTTAGATAGGAGGAAATTCAATAGTAGCGGATAAACAAGTAATAAATTCATCATCTTTAGTGTAAGCTCTAGCATTAACAATATATTTACCAGGTGGAACTTCATTAGGAATAGCCACATCTTTACTAATTACTTGAGGACCCTTAGCAATTGGACATTCAAGATCAACTTTAGTAATCTCTTCACAAAGATCAAAAGTTTGATGAATTAACTTTATGAATCCATATCTGACATCTACTTCAACATAAGCTCCTTCTTCAATATCTTTTTCAAGGAATCCTGTAGCTACAAAGGTTAAATTTTGACCTCTAGTTGGTGGATTAGGATCAATAATAACCTTTTGTAAACTTAAGATTTGAGGTTGTGATGCATCACATTGAACAATAGGTGAATCTCCAGGAACTGGTTTCTCATCCACATCAGGAAGTTTGCCAATTACTATTTGAGGAATTTCAATATCAACGTTATCAGATTCTAAATTGAATACTGATAATGCTTGCTGATAAAGGGGTTTGACAGATGGAATGAGACTCAATCCCTGAACACTCACACAACTGGCTAAGGCTAATGCAACGACACTTTTGATGGCTACCATGCTGGACTCTATGTATGTATATAAGTAACTATATAAAAAGCTATTGAACTAATTCACTGGCTCTTTTGCTACTGGTGGGTGTGGATTGTCATCTCGGAATGACGCCGCAAATTGACTGATAAAGAAAGTGGAGGCATGGGGGTTTTGTTCGTCTCTATCGCTGTGTGCAGGAAATGTCCCAATGAGGAATGTGCCCCACTCTTAATGGCTGCAAACTACAATACGATTATATTATATATATATTATGTTATATTATGTTATATTATATTATATTATATTATATTATGTTATACTATACTATACTATACATAGTTACTAAAACTGTTTTCCAGAAACTAGCCGGAGATAACCAAGTTGGCTGTCATAGTATCAAATCGCTCCCTAATTAATTTGTTCTGAATTTGGAGCAACTCATTATATAATGCTGGTCCATTAGGAGTCTTTAAGAGTTCCAGTCTTTTGGTATCCGATAACTTCCATATAACTGAATCATTCACCGTTGTGAATGTGACTTCTCGGTTATGAGGTTGTTGACCCATTTCAAATAGATCTCCAAATGCTGTCATAGGAAGAATACTAGCATGTAATTCTCTACCTTCATGCTCAAATTTAAATATAGATCTAACCAATCCTGATTCAACAATAAAGAAGGTAGGTTTATCTTTCGATGTATTATAGAATTGATAATCTTCTGGAATTTTTTCCTTAACAAAGAATTCGGCTATTCCCAGCCAAAATTCTTCATCTTTATCAGATAATCCTTGAAAAGTTATCATAATTAATGGTAATGGTTGCTTTTTAAATGAACTATCTACACTAGAATAATATTTAGTTTGTGATTTTTGTTCATCATAAATAGTTCTAGTTGCAGCTTGATAAACTTGAGTAGTTCGAGGAGTTCCAATTTCAAATGCTTGATTCATTAATTGACGATTATTCAAACTTTGAGGAGAAAATATAGATTTTCTTCCTGGGGAATTACCTCCACTACTTCCACCTCCTCCTAAAGGTACTTCTCGAACTCCTTCTTTTCTTTTAACTGTTTTATAAGTTTTTAAAAATGCATTTTCACACCATTCCAATGCATAATTAAGAGTTCCAAATAATTCAATGGTACCTTTATCATTATCACTACCAAAACCAGCATCTCGTAATCCTTTAATTATATCACCATTTTCTTCAATTGAAGAAATAATTAATTGAGTATTAAATTCATTAGTAAGATTAAAGATTCGTCTAAATCCTTCAGCAGCTGAAAAATCAATTGAACTAACTGATTTCATATCAATAATTAAAAACTTTATTGGATTTAATTTAAAGATTTCTTGTTCAAATTTTTCTCTGATTGCCCTTTCAACTCCTCCAATAGATCCAAAGAAGATAGTACCTTGTAATTTAATAACACATATTTGATCGCCAACATTCTTAAGGAATTCTTGTTGTTTTGGATGTCTTAAAACCGTTGATCTAGCTACTGCTCCAGAATATACAGCTTGAACAACCGGACTTCTACCAGCTTCAACAACAAATGAAAGACAAGCTAATAAGATACCTACTAAAATACCAATGACGAAATCAAAGGCTCCCATAGTAAGAACAATAATTATAATGGTTGAATATTCAATTTTTCTTAATCTACCCCAAGTATCATAAACTGATTCCTTCAATAATTCATAACCCAATAAATAAATTAATGATCCAACAACACATACTGGAATATAACCAATAACTACTGGTCCAGTCATCATAACTGCTCCTGTTGCAACTGCCAATAATACTCCTGCTAATCTATCATGAGCTCCAGCTCTTATAAATAATACAGAATTTGTATAAACAAGATAATTTTGAATCGAACCAACTAATCCTGATAAGGCATTAGAATAACCATGAGCAACTAATTCACGATCAACGTCAACTTCATCCATACCCACAGTAACTGCCAAAGCAGGAACATTAATTGGTACATGTAAAATTCCAAAAAAGGTTAATGCTAACATAGAAGGAAATTGTTTAACAACTGCCCACCAATCCACAAGATGAAATTTATATAATGAATAAAATCCATACCAAGGTTCATTATCTTCTACTGATGGGAATACCCAACCGAATTTCCTGGCACTTTCTAAATTCCAACCTGGAGTTATTAATAATATAAGATGAAATAGAATGAATACTGCCATAAAGAATAATGGTACCAATAATGAATTATGATATTTATGTTGTAATAATATTAATAATAATGCGAGAGCCAAAGGCACTGTCCATTCTAAAAATACCAATGGATTATAAAATAGATATTTGAATGTATCATAATTATATATCAATCCACCTTCTAATCGAGATGATACTTCAATACCAGTGGCAACTAAAAAGTATCCTACCCCTCCAATACATCCTACAAGAATATGTCTTGGAAAAAATCCTACCAAAGCTCCTAATTTCAATTTACCTAATAACCAAAACACTAAACCAGTAACAATAGATGATAATGCATAACTTGTAATGGTAGTAGCAATTATTGCATCTTGAGATGCTTGATTAAGAGTCATCTCAGCAGCAATTGATAATGCCATAGTATGAAAGAATGGAGTAACTTCAATCATTTCTGATCCTATACCTGATTTAAATGCTGAACCACCTAATGAATAAATTAATTGAGATACAATACATGACATATAAAACATTGATAACCCCGCAGGAGCAAGAGATGCAAATACTGATTCACTTACTGGGAACATGATCATTCCATAAGATAATCCATCTAAAATATTCAATAGAGTACCTAAGAATACTGCTGGTAAATAATGAACTGGTTTTAATAAGTATTGATGAATTAAACTTGGTTGTGTAGAACCAATCGGTTCTTTAAAGCTGTTTTCAACCCCCAAAAGTCCTGCTTGAGTAGTTGAAGTTTCTAAATCATTTGAAGGTTCATAAGGTTTTGAAAAATCTCGAGAATTATCTGTATCATTAACATAAGAGGTTATACTCTGCTTATTTGATGAATCTGTCTTAGTTATTAATGGAGTATATTGAGAAGGTTTTCTACCTCTTATAATAGGCGTTGGAAGTGTAGAAGTATGAGAAGTATGATATATTTCTTCATTAGATTCTGTATCTTCTTCTTCAAGTGATTGTACAGCATCTTCATCTGTATCATCAGTGACTCCAATATTTGCTAAATTTGCAGTTTGTTCATGAATTGCTAAACCTGAATATACAGCGGGAGAATTAATATTATTTATACTAGCTCGATGGCTCATACTAACATAACTTCTACCTCCAAAGTCAAAGGGACTAGGAGAATTATTTTGGAATGAATTGAATGCATCGGTAATGGAATATTTCCGTTTATGGTTGATATCCTCAAAGAGCTCGTTAGAGTCTGTCGGTCTGGATGAGGAGGAATATGACATGACTGTATAACTGAATAATTCACTATTGAATAACTATCACTCACTAACTGAATATCTTATGCTTTTATACAGATTGTCTATAACTACAATAGTACTAAATCAAAAACAGTACTGAAAAATTCTAAATGGTCCTCCAAATAATTCTGGAATCACCTGCTGAAATCTCAGCTATAATATACAATAATAAAATATAGAGAATTATGGTAATTAACTTATCTAATTAGTCGGATATAAATTGGGTGGGTAGATAGTCCTGCACAGGGCCCTGCCTGCCCTGGTCGATGGAGTCGGAATTGGACAAAATTGGCATTTCGCAGTTACTTTCTGATTTAGAGTCAGATAACGACATAACTAATACACCTACAGCGAGCACAATGTTATTTCTTACATTATTTCTATAGCAACTACCATAGTGTTATTGATAGTTGGTATTTGACTGTGGTTGTGTATGTTTATTAAAGGTCATTGATGGTTTAAGGAGTCTGTAGCTGTGAGCGAATGTTTAAAGCCGTAGAGTTGGGGGCTCATAATTAAATTAGCAGATCAGAGTCTGAAATTTTTTTTAATACTTGTATTACTTATTACTTAGTTGTCTTGGAAGATTTGCAATTATCGCTTACTATACATATGCAATTAAAAATTTAAAAAAAATTCAAACAGTAATAAACATGTGGTGTTCCTTGTAATTAAATAAATAAATTAATTAATTAGTTTATACAGTAGAACAATGTGGGGCTATACAAGTCATGTCTCCATGAAAATTCCGCCTTCGTCTTGCTGTCTTTGTTGACATATTATTGTACTACCACTCCAGTTAGGCTTAGACAATTACTTACTCTCCACAGTCAATAGTAAATAGTATAGTAACTTACTAACTTACTACTACTAACTACCAATATTAAATTTACAAATTCACTTAGTTAATTTCTCTTCTACTTCTTAATCACATGGTAATGTAATTATTATTATTATTATTATTAGCACTCCTAATAGCCCCTAATGATTTGCATCCTTCAGCTGTCAATCCACACATTAGCCAAGTGAAAAATTTCTGTCCGGGTAATAATATCCGAAATTGAATTGGCAATCGCAATCGTAATTGTCCATCGTCCAATTACGGCTAGCAACATAAATCACGTGCACTTACACTACCGAAAATAAGCATTAATAAACCATTAATGAAAAAGTGAAAAAGTGAAAAAGTACATGTGCACGACCCACTCACTCACTCACTCATCTTTTTACTGATCTTACAACGCGCTTAATTTCTGACTCATTACCGTTTTAGGCCATCAAATTTTTTCAAAAATTTTCACCCATCTTTCTTCATTTATCCCACACCTTTTCCAAGGCTCAACCTTATAACTATTCTATATCACTGGAATCGGTAGTGATAGTTGATTGTTTCATATAATTGTTGTGTTTTCTCACTTAATTGCCTCATGATACAGTTAAGAACGTTGGTTGCTCGTCAAGCAACTCATATACATAATTATTATCATAAACCAACAAGTTCTTCAATATCTTTATTTAAAAGATTTCTTAGTACTGAACCAACTTATCCTGGTGCTGAATTATTAAAGAATTTTAATGATGAACATGCTCATAAATTAGTTGATGTATCTAAAGTTTTAGTTATTGGTTCTGGTGGACTTTCTATTGGTCAAGCTGGTGAATTTGATTATTCTGGTTCTCAAGCTATTAAAGCTTTAAAGGAAGCTAATAAAAAATCCATTTTAATTAATCCAAATATTGCTACCAATCAAACTTCTCATGCTTTAGCTGATGAAATATATTATTTACCAGTTACTGCTGAATATATTACTTATATTATTGAAAGAGAAAGACCAGATGGAATATTATTAACATTTGGAGGTCAAACTGGTTTAAATGTCGGAGTTAAATTGGATAAAATGGGGGTTTTTGATAGATATGGTGTTAAAGTATTGGGAACTCCCATTAAAACTTTAGAAACTTCAGAAGATCGTGATTTATTTGCTCAAGCCTTAAAAGAAATTAATATTCCAATAGCTGAATCTATTGCAGTTGATACTGTTGATGATGCCTTGGCTGCAGCTAAAGATGTTGGTTATCCAATTATCGTTAGATCTGCTTATTCTTTAGGTGGTTTAGGTTCAGGATTTGCTGCGGATGAAAATGAATTAAGAAATTTAGCTGCTCAATCTCTTTCTTTAGCTCCACAAATTTTAGTTGAAAAATCTTTAAAGGGTTGGAAAGAAGTTGAATATGAAGTTGTTCGTGATAGAGTTGGTAATTGTATTACTGTTTGTAATATGGAGAATTTTGATCCATTAGGAATTCATACTGGTGATTCTATTGTTGTGGCTCCATCACAAACATTATCGGACGAAGAATATCATATGTTAAGATCAGCAGCTATTAAAATCATTAGACATTTAGGAGTGGTTGGAGAATGTAATGTTCAATATGCTTTACAACCAGATGGATTAGATTATAGAGTTATTGAAGTTAATGCTCGTTTATCTAGATCTTCTGCTTTAGCATCTAAAGCAACTGGTTATCCATTAGCTTATACTGCTGCTAAGATTGCCTTAGGTCATACATTACCAGAATTACCAAACCCAGTTACTAAGACTACTTCTGCTAATTTCGAACCTTCATTAGATTATATGGTTACTAAGATTCCAAGATGGGATTTATCTAAATTCCAACATGTTAAAAGAGATATTGGATCAGCTATGAAATCAGTTGGAGAAGTTATGGCTATTGGTAGAAACTTTGAAGAATCATTCCAAAAGGCCATTAGACAAATTGATCCATCATATATTGGATTCCAAGGTGATCATTTTGAAGATTTAGATTTTGTATTAGCTAATCCAACTGATAGAAGATGGTTAGCGGTTGGACAAGCCTTATTACATGAAAATTATTCGGTTGATAAAGTTCATGAATTAACTAAGATTGATAAATGGTTCCTTCACAAATTAATGAATATTGTTAATATGTATCGAGAATTAGAAAGTGTTGGAACCTTAGATAAAATCAATAGTGATTTAATGAGTAGAGCTAAGAAATTAGGATTCTCTGATAAACAAATTGGAATTTGTGTTGGAGCTAAAGAATTACAAGTTAGAAGTGTTAGAAAGAATTTTGGTATTATACCATTTGTTAAGAAAATTGATACTTTAGCTGCTGAATTCCCTGCCAATACTAATTATCTTTATACTACTTATAATGCTACATCATCAGATATTGATTTTAATGATAATGGTACTTTAGTATTAGGATCAGGAGTTTATCGTATTGGATCATCCGTTGAATTTGATTGGTGTGCAGTTTCCACCGCTAGAGCCTTAAGAGATTCTGGTCATAAAACTATTATGATTAATTATAATCCAGAAACTGTATCAACTGATTTCGATGAAGTGGATAGATTATACTTTGAAGAATTATCTTTAGAAAGAGTATTGGATATTTATGAATTAGAAACTGCTCAAGGAGTAGTAGTTAGTGTTGGAGGTCAATTACCTCAAAACATTGCTCTTGATTTACAAAAGCAAGGATGTCAAGTTCTTGGTACTAACCCTGAAGATATTGATAAAGCAGAAGATCGTCATAAATTCTCTCAAATTTTAGATTCTATTGGAGTTGATCAACCTCAATGGAAAGAATTAACTTCTATTGCTGAAGCAGAAATCTTTGCTAATGAAGTTGGATTCCCAGTATTAGTTCGTCCATCTTATGTTTTATCAGGAGCTGCTATGTCTGTTATTAATTCTAAGGATGAACTTGATTTAAAATTATCTAATGCTGCTAAAGTATCTAGAGAACATCCTGTTGTTATTTCTAAATTTATTCAAGGAGCTCAAGAAATTGATATTGATGGAGTGGCCAGTGAAGGTAAAGTATTAGTTCATGCAGTATCTGAACATGTTGAAAATGCTGGAGTTCATTCTGGTGATGCAACATTAGTTTTACCACCTCAAAATTTATCTCCATTAATTTTAGATAGATTAAAGGAAATTGCTGATAAAGTTGCTGAAGCTTGGAAGATTACTGGACCATTTAATATGCAAATCATTAAGAATGATCAAAATGGAACTCTTAATGATTCTCAATGTGAATTAAAAGTTATTGAATGTAATATTAGAGCTTCAAGATCTTTCCCATTTGTTTCTAAAGTATTAGGAATTAATTTTATTGATGTAGCAGTTAAAGCTCTTATTAAAGAAAATATTCCTCAACCAGTTAATTTAATGAATATTAAATATGATAGAGTGGCAACTAAAGTTCCTCAATTCTCATTTACAAGATTAGCTGGAGCTGATCCATTTTTAGGAGTTGAAATGGCATCAACTGGTGAAGTTGCATGTTTTGGTAAAGATTTAGTTGAAGCTTATTGGACATCTATTCAATCTACTATGAACTTTAATGTTCCAAGACCTGGTCAAGGTTTATTATTAGGAGGTGATTTAACTAATGATAAATTAGGTCAAGTTGCTAAGACTGTTTCCGGTTTAGGTTATAATTTCTATTCTGCCAATGAACGTGTTAGTAACTATTTGAAACAATATGTTGAAGAACCAGTTGAAGTTATTGAATTCCCTAAGACTGATAAACGTGCCTTACGAGAAATCTTTCAAGATAAAAAGATTGGAGCAGTTATTAATTTAGCTAAGGCAAGAGCTGAAAGTTTATTGGATGAAGATTATGTTATGAGAAGAAATGCTATTGATTTTGCTATTCCATTATTTAATGAACCAAATACTTCATTATTATTTGCTCAATGTCTTAAGGAAAAGATTGGTACTAAGATTGCCTTTGATGTAACTCCTGAACAAGTCATAATTCCACAAGAAGTCAAGAGATGGAGTGAATTTATTGGTGGTAAACCAGTATAAATCAGTGAGTGAGTGACTAATTTATTTCTAACTGTATGAACAATTATTACTTGTAAAAAAAGTTCAATTACTTATTTAATTTAAATATTAATATTAATATATAACTATCATGTGTAAACAAACAAATAAACAAATAAACTAAAACTGAAACTGAAACTGAAAACTCTATCCCATAATCCATCACAATAAATCTTCATCATCTCTGTCAACTACAGAAGTTTTGATTTTCAATAATAATTGAGTCTTTAACTTATCAAGTTTAGAGAATTGATCATATTGAAAGACTTTTTCAGAAAATTCATCTACATTTCCCTGATCAATACATTCAAGAATATCTTGAATTAATGTAAATTCTCTTGTTTGTTGAAAAGATGGATCATCAGAAGCAAAAGTTTCAATTCTTTTCTTAGCTTCAATAGGATCTCCAGAACTTAATACACACAAGATATTCTTAAAAAAGTAATCCTTTAAACTCCAACGAGTTAAACTATTACCAATCAGTTGTTTAATTATGATATCATATAATTCTATAGCTTTACTATAATCACCATTTAAAGCTGATAAATCAGCACATTTAAGAAATGCTTTATTAGCTAAAGCTTCAGCATGATCAGTAGTAAAATAATCACCTGCTTGTTCATAACTTATAATTGCATTAGCATTATCACCCACAGATTCATATAATTCTGCTAAATCAACCGTAAAATTAGCTGCACGTCGAAATTGACCATTTTGAGTTAAAAAGATATGAATGGCTCTAGTTAAAGCATCAATCGCATCACTTGGTGATACTCCCTTATAACATTTATAGGCTTCTACTAAATGATTAGCCAGATCATTATGATTATTTAATTTCGATTGAATATCGGCGGCTCTGATAAATTGATGACCAGCCAATTCAAATTGCTTCTTTAATCTATACAGATTAGCAGCTTGAATAATAAAGTCACAAGCGTCTTCTTGACGGGTAGAAGATCCGCCAGAGAAGAACAGTAATAAACCCAGTTGTGGTTTGAGAAGCTTTTCGGCTTCGGCTAGAAAGTACTGAGGATCCGACATGGTAGTAGTGGCGGTGGTGGTGCTGGTGGTGGTAATAGTAAACTTTGTATGACTGTCAGTATGACTGTCAGTAGGAGTTTTAAGTGGAGAGTTATTTCTCTTTTCGGTGAAGTCGCACGACCAGTGCGTGCACACAGCACCGTACAGTACAGTCCATAACAAACATAACATACCCTTAGTTAAGCTGCCTCTACTCAAACTAATGACCATGACAGATACCAATAACGTAGAGAGAATTCGGTTTGAACGACTCGAATTGGTGTGCCGTAAGGCGTTGGAGCACCTGATCAAAAAATCACTCTCATTGGACCAGATTAAGGCATGTTACCCCACGATCTCATCATCTGAGGACGGTACAAGAGCTCTAGAAGTAGCCCGATCTCAGATGATAAGTTTCTGGAGAAGCAGTTCATTAAAGGAGTTTGAACTTATCTTTAAGGAGCGAGACATTGAGGCCAAATTGAATGAATTGGATGAGGTTATTCAGATGGCTCATCAACGGAAGCTGGCTGGAGTAGAAGTGCCTACTAATATAGAGAAGTATAGTGCTAAGGAAATCATTGATTCTACCGTGTTAGACAGTTCAGAATCAACTATAGAGAATCTTACTATGATATATAATCAGCTTTGTGAAGATAATCGGGAGTTTTATGCCGAATTGAAGGACTTAACGGCCAAGAGTGAAACAGTCAAAGATGAAGTTAATGAATCACTAGCGACATTAGACAAGGAAGTGGCTACTGTAAGTCAGGGGAATCCTGCTGCTAAGATAGAAGCATTACTACTGGATTTTGATAGTGTGTGATGGGTTATGTAAATCTGTGTAATTATATAATAATTAAATATGTATAATATAATATAGTGTATGATAGTGTAGACTATGTTATGTAGACTATGTTATGTAGACTATGTTATGTAGACTATGTATAATAAACAAGTCAGTGCAGTACTCATATATACAGGACTATGTACTGGTGTTTGTGTTGCCACTTTCGGAGCTCTCAGCAAGTTTGGCTCTTGCAAGCCTGGCTTCTTCCTTAGCTAACTTTTTCAATTCAATTTTTTTCTCCTTCTCTAATCTGGAATTCTTATATAAAACAAACTTCTCCTTAGCCACTTCATGATAGTCACTAACCTTTTTACGTAAGGCAGCAACCTGTTCCATCTTTTTCTTAACCTTATCCGAATGTTTGATTAATTTCTTTTCTCCCCATACTTTATAATCTTCAAAGTATTGTCTTCCCATTGGGAATTCTCTGGTGATAACATCATCGGTTAATCCTAATCTGGCAATGGTAAGATAGTAATCTTCTGGTCTAACTCTCTTTAAATATTTCAAGATTCTTTGTCTTTGTTGCACTAATTGACGAATATATTGAGTGAATTCATGATCCTTCTTATTGGCACGAACATGATCCATACCAAAATGAATCTTTACAGTCATAACAGCAGCTTGGACTTCTGGAGATCCACTATCTCCTTCAGATCTACTGAATTCTTCACGTGCTAACTTAACGGCCAACTTTTTCTTATCTGCTACACTAGTATTTCTAAGATGAAGAATAGTCATTAAGGCTCTTTTCTTTCTTTCTTCTGCTAATTTGGTGGCTTCATGCAATACAGAACTACCCTTAGCTTTATCTAAGGCAGCCTTTTCCGCACCATATACTAATGCTTCAAATTCTTCACGATCAAACCCTCCAGCAAGTCTAGTATCTTGATTGGCTACTTCTCTTTTGATTCTTTCCATGAAGCCTCCCTGTCCCAATACAGGATCCACTTCAAAGGGTTTATTTGTTTCATCATATTTCTTAAGATTATTAACATCTCTAATAATACGCCTTTGTAACTTCCTCTCTTTCCTTCTTATACTCTTAGCATGTTTCGGGTTTTGAGCCTCTATAAAGAGCTTGGCTGCGTATCGAGGGTGTCCCGGCACAAGACTACTGATAGGAGCCACTGGAGCTCTCCGCAATACTATCCGTCCGGTACTGAACGCACGTACACTATTTGCAAACATCCTCGTCTTACTGGCGAATGGCTATTGGCTGAGGAATTGGTGGTGATTTGTATTGGTAGAGGTGGTTGGAAGTGAAAAAAAATTTCACGATATTTGGGGTTCTTTTGGTATGGGCACGCAATATCTCCATACATTAATTTTTCACTACTTAACTATGGAGAATTAATGGTTATTGACTTATTCTGATTAGTAGAGGTTATGGATTCGAACGTAAGTATATCGATACGGACGTTAGTGGGTCGGTGGTTCCCTAAACCGCCTAAGAAGTTTTCTAGTAAGTTGGTTAATGAGGTAGTAGACCTTATAGGGCAGAATCTGGTACTGGAACTGTTACAGGAAGAGCTGGTAGAAATTCTCTTAGCCAGTGGATATTTTGAAGCTGTGGTGTGGAAATTCTTTCATAGAGATGTTTCCAGTGCCCATTTGGGACTCGTGTTGGCATTGGTCAATTTGGACTTTCAACTTAATTGGAGGAGAAAGAAGCAAAAGCCATTATTAGTAGAGACCGTTCTTCGTAGTGAGCCTGCTGAGGCACTTGTAGAACGGTTATTGAGTCTTACGTTGAGTGTAGGTGAGCCTCAGTTGGATAAAGAGGTGGTTCGTGCATTTGAGTTTATGCGTATTTTGCTTATTCATTACTGGGATAATGATGTAGTCCAGAAATTAGTGGTACCGTTGTTTAGAATATCTTTTGCTAGTGAAGTGGTAGATTATGTAAAGAAATTGGAATTGACAGGGTCTGAGTCAGGAGCTGACACTCAGTATACCAGTACCTTGGCAAAATTGCAGCATGTATGGCTTTATAGAATGTTGGTTGCCTTTGTACTGCGAAGTATTCAACAGAATACACAAGTCGGTGATACCTTTGACTCATTACAAAACCAGTTGCTTCGAGTATTGACTATTGCTGTGGACAGAACTCGAGGAAACAGCCTAGTGCTGATTTTATTATATACCAATATCAGTGAGATACTCATAATTACAAAGGGGCATACTCCGTTGGTGCAAGCTTTCAATTACTATTTGCGATACGAAGATAGTGAGTATCTTGATGATGATGATATATATTATTCGAGAAGCTTCACTGAACTTCAGGTAGGTTTATCAAACTACAGGACTGTTGATACACAACTTATACTATCCCCTTCCATTAGGAATTGGACAGAAACAAGCTTGGCTACTTACTTAAGCTCCAACTATACCGAAGATCATTTGACATCACTAGACAAGGTTTATACAAATCTACACATTGTGCCTGCAGAATTGCGATTAAAAGTTCTAGCTACAACTATTGCTTCATCTGTATTTGCAACTAAGTCAATTGTAGAACATCAGAATCAAATTCTTCAGTATTTCCCCATATCATGGAGGTTTAATAGCCATGAAAATAAGAGAGGAGATCCTTTGTATCCAATTATTTTTACTCATGATTCGTCTTATTATGAGTTGACTAGACGAATCACTATGAATCTACTCGATACTGTGAATTTTGATATATCAAAACACATTGGACAAGTGTTTGACCGATTGAAAATAGATACCAATGGAACCATAAAAGGCAAGAGCAAGTACTTTCATAAAGTGAACAGTATCAAATACAAGAGCCCTAACTACTTTGAAGTCAAGACTAATACCAAAGCGCCTGAGTATCCGCTGAAATATGTTCTTTTAGTGGAATTGATCAAGCCTAATCCTCATAGTTCTAATAAGGCATTGAAAGAGTATGGGTTAAATTCAGTAATCTTATGTTCCATTAAGTCGTGGGATAGAGAACTAGTAGTGGAGACTGCCATTACTGATAAGCTGTTTGAAGATAGAGTTGGATACATCATTACATTGCCGTACTCTCGCAAAATTGAAGAGGTTGTACGTATTACCAACAGACTGCACACTTTGCCAGATGACTTCTTCTACAATTTAAGGGTTTCTTTATTGAATCCCCCAACTCATACTCAACCATCTCAAATGGATGAAGATGATAATGTGGCCAAAAGAAGGAAATTGGAGTCAACTAATTTTGTTATCACTTTACAGGATGTACTAGGTTCAAGTATTATAGCGTTACCTTGGAGTCGAGAATCGAATTTTAGTAATTTTGTACAAGACTTTTTGGCATCAACGAATACCGAACGCACTTTAGTGATCGTTCCATCTGACTCTGTAGTGTCTAGATATTCGATACGTGATCTATTCAAGCTCAAGGACTCGTTTCAGTTTACTAGTTACTTAGAGCAGTTGAAGGCAGATGCTCAAAGGATTGAAAAATACTTTGAACATACAGAAAGTACTGGCTCTGGTTCTGGCTCTGATTCCAGACTCTACCAATTCTATGAGAATCAGATTAGAGAAAGATGGAAGAAGTTTATTGAGTTGTTTGATGAACATGGCAGCACAGACACACTTAACCAGTATCCATTTAGGGGAGAACTGGAGACATTTGAAACATTTGCACAAGTGGTTAAGCACTATGAGAACTTGTTGAATCAGATTGCATTGATTCAACGAGTTAATCCATTCAAACCTGATGAAGATCGGGTGTGGAGGTACTTGTATGAACATCATAACATTATGATATCTTATGATAAGTATCTACACTATACTGACAGTCTGCACGGGACATTCGATAATGTCATTGTTTTCAATGGTTCACTTGAATCCTTTTCCATCATATTAGACCAGCAGCAGTCTGGTCTTAAACGGTTTGTAACTGTTGGAGGAGAAGTGTACGATCATCTGATACTGCAAGACGTTACTACTAGTTATTGTAATGTAAATGCACCTATCTTGATAAACCCAGGCTTCAAATATAGATCCCAAACTATTGAAGCAGAAAGTCAAGTCCTGGAAGCAGAGTATTCAGTACTACTCTACCAGTACATGAGACTTTTGGGATATCCACAAGATCAGATATGTATATGGGCATCTACGGCTATTCAGAAGATATTGATAGAAGAAGTGCTAGCCAAGAGGTGTACTATAAATAAGAAATCAGGAATCAAACAGGCAAGAATTGCCAGTGACTCGAAGGAAGGGTTCCAATTCGGATGGCCCGATGTTATCTATGATGAAGGTAGAGATCACCAGTATGATGATTATTCATTTGCAATAATCTCACTATATGGCAGTGTTAAGTATAAGGCAAAGTATGAAGACTTGCCAGGCCTACGAGGTAAGTACTTTTTATACACAGGAGAAGATCCTCAAGTACCAGTAGCCGCCAATTCATCATCAAACAATACACTACAAATAGTTACTGGAGAAAATTATACTTCCACCACTCGTTCTACTGCCAGTGAGTACTCCATCGAGAACAAGGACCATTTCGAGATATATATTACTCAAATGACTCAAACTCGTATGGGGAAGCATTAGATGGGTGTGTGTTTTGTGTGCATTACATAAGCCGCAACTCGAAGGTCAGTGAAAAAGTAAAATTGAATAAAAAATTTGTTCAGCCAATGGCCACTACTTAACATTAAGTAAAAACAGTCAATATATATAATGCATAGAGCTATGATTAGTAATGTCATGAGACATGCTGTAGTGGGCGGAGTAGGAGTTCGTAGTGTTGCTCCTGTTGCGCTTACTGCAGTTAGATACGCCCCTGTAACCTTTCCTAGAAGAATGGTGAGATTTGCATCTACTGAAGCTAACAAGGCAAGTGAAGAGTCTAGTGAAAAATCTGAAAGTAAGGAAGAAGTTAAGGAAAATGGTGCTGAAAATACTGCTGAATCAGCTGGTGAAGGAGCTGTTGATCCAATAGCTGAGTTACAAGCCAAATTAGATGCTAAAGACAAAGAATTAGCCAACATGAAAAATCACTACGCCAGAGCCATTGCTGATTTCCGTAATTTACAAGATACCACCAAGAAAGAGATTCAAAAGGCTAAAGATTTTGCCTTACAAAAGTTTGCTAAAGATTTATTGGAATCTCTCGACAACTTCAGTTTAGCTTTAGAGTCCGTTAAGGAAGACACCTTAAAGGCCAATGAAGATGTTAAGAGCTTATACGAAGGTGTTAATATGACCAGACACGTTTTTGAAAAGACATTGAACAAGCATGGTATTGAAAAGATTGATCCAATCGGAAAACCATTCGATCCAAATCAACATGAAGCTACTTTCCAAGTACCTCAACCAGATAAAGAACCAGGTACTGTTTTCCATGTTCAACAAACCGGATATACTTTGAACTCTCGAGTATTGAGACCTGCCAAAGTCGGTCTTGTCAAGGGAGCTGAAGACAATTAGGTCATTTCTACATAGTCTTGTAAATACTGTAAATAGATAATTAATAATTAATGGTTTACTGATATATTTATTAGTGTATTGACATTCGACCGCTACACATCCAACATCCGACCAATACTTACCGGTCGCACCTCATGATAACTACCGACTACGGCACGGCAATCACACGTGACATGACTCACCACCGATCAACTGATTGCCCCAGACCACAAAGCCGAGCTCACCTCCATGAAATTTTTCACCAACTCCCAGTAAATTCTTCATTAACTTTCAATAATTTCTTCACTACTTCTTCAATAACTTCTTCATTAAGTATCAATTGCCGCTAGCATGTTATCAGCTCGTGCCACCATTCGTCGTGCCTTTTCTACCACCTCTCCAGCTTATAAGACCTTGAAGATCGGATTGATCCCCGGTGACGGGATTGGCCGTGAAGTAATTCCGGCCGGTAAAGCAGTCTTGGAAAACTTACCTGCTAAGTTTGATTTACAATTTGAATTCATTGACTTACAGGCCGGATATGAATTGTTTCAAAAAACTGGAACTGCTTTACCCGATGAAACTGTTAAGACTTTAAAAGAATCCTGTGATGGTGCCTTATTCGGAGCTGTATCATCTCCTACCGTTAAAGTTGAAGGTTACTCATCACCAATTGTTGCCTTAAGAAAGAAGTTGGGATTATACGCTAATGTGCGTCCTGTTAAGTCCGTTGAAGGAATTGGTAGACCTGTTGATATGGTTATTGTTAGAGAGAATACTGAAGATTTATATATCAAAGAGGAAAGAACTTATAAGACTGAAGAAGGTTATACTGTTGCTGAAGCCATTAAAAGAATTACTGAACCTGCCACCACTAAGATCTCCACTATGGCTTATGATATTGCCTTATCTAGACAAGCTATCAGAGATGCTAGTCCTGGTACTAAACAATTACATAGTAAGCCATCAGTAACTGTAACTCATAAATCTAATGTTTTATCACAATCTGATGGGTTATTTAGAGAGGTATGTCGTAGAGTATTCGATGCTAATCATGAACTCTATGGAAATATCGAATATAAAGAACAAATTGTTGATTCTATGGTATATCGTATGTTTAGAGAACCAGAAATCTTTGATGTAGTTGTGGCTCCTAACTTGTATGGTGATATCTTAAGTGATGGAGCTGCTGCTTTGGTCGGTTCATTAGGTCTTGTTCCATCTGCTAATGTTGGTGATAATTTTGCTATTGGTGAACCATGTCATGGATCTGCTCCTGATATTGCTGGTCAAGGTATCTCTAATCCTATTGCTACTATTAGATCTACTGCCTTAATGTTGGAATTCATGGGCTACAAGGAAGCTGCTGCTAAGATCTATGAAGCTGTAGATGCTAATTTGAAGGAAGATAAGATTAAGACTCCTGATTTAGGAGGTTCTTCTTCAACTCAACAAGTCATTGATGATATCATTAGACGTTTCTAAGTATATAATATTTACTAGCTAATGTTTTTGTATATAATACATAGTATCTAGTACGGCTTGAACCGTTTGGACTTCTTGTCCTTATGCTTGTGTTTATCTTTGTGCTTATGCTTGTGCTTCTTCTCTTTCTTGTCTTTCTTCTCTTCCTTCTCTTCCTTAGCAACTTCAAGTTGCACTGGTTGTGCTTGTCCAGTCTCATAGCTTGGGAACTCGACTGGTAGGGCCCAAAGTCGGATTATGCCATCTTCCCCACCTGTAACAATAGAATTACTGTTCGGTATTGTCAAAATATCTCTTACGACTTCTTCGCCATGAGCTCCTGGGAAATCAATCACATTGTTGGTGTCAAAGGCTTCATTGACGGGATTAAATGGTAACAAAGATAACTTCAGTTTGGAGTTAGCTCCATATGCCACGTAACCATTGTATGGTCTGATATCTACTACATACTCACAGTCAGGCCATACTAAGCGGACGTCTCCCAAATCAGTAGGCTCTGGTTCAACATTCTCTTCATAATTGGTATCGTTCAACTCATAGAAACTGAGAGTCTCCATATGTGATAAGATACCAATACGTCTTTCTCTAGTAAAGTAGCATGAATGGACAGACTCGTAGTTAATCACTTGATGCAATGCTTCATCCTCATCGGGTTGAGTCAAGTCATACACATTGACATATCCATCGGTAGATCCTGACATGAGATATTGTGAGAGAGTCGGATGGAATTGTATGGTAGTGATATCATCATGATGAGAGTCAACAAATGACTTGACCACTTGATTGGAGTTTCTAACATCCCACACGTGCAACTCCGCATCTACACCTACCAATTCCGTACCACCAGCTAACAAATTATTGGAGTAATCTAATGATAAGAAGGTAGAATTGTTAGGGTTAGATAAAGTTACGACATTTTTGCAACTTCTCAAGTCATAGAGCTTAACTCCGTCAGTTGAACATGAACCCACTGTATGTTCATCTATAGTAATTAAAGCATTAATACTTGATTCATGAGCCTGGGGTATCAGGATAATTGGAGTCGAACTTAACTGGTCTATCAGGTAAGCGGTTAAGGATCCATTACTGGATGAGGCAATAATTCCTCCGTAATGTTTAAGGTAACGTAAACTGAGGATCCAGTTATCAGAGGTACTGGAGTTCCATTCATAGCGCAACTTTGACAGCATCGGTTGAATTAATCCGTGGTAGCATAAAAATATAGTAATCCCGATGGCTAGATACATTTTTTTGCGCAAAAAAAAAAAAATAAAGGACTATACCGATGAAGTAAACATTACAATCACTTACAAAATCACGGACCACAAGCATAGACAGTCATGAGTAGTGTAGTCAAGAAGTCCACCCAGTTCAAGCCGAGATTCAAGAGTAAACCTATAAGGAGAAAGCAGGGCTCGGCAACACCCGTTCCGGCAACACCTCCCGCCACACAAGCAGAAAAGGAGGTTCGAGATGGAGATGAGGATGAGGAAGGTGAAGATAAGGCCAATGATAATGATAATGATAACAATGAGGAATTGAATGCATTTGATGATAAACACATAGACATCGCCATAGGTGAAGAGAAAGTAGAGAAAGTTGCTGAAATCGTAACCCCAGTCTCGAGTCAAGTGTCAAAGGCTCCCGCTTTTAATTTCACCCTTCGAGCCAAATCCAGTGGCTCAGATAAGAAGAGTGTGCCAAGTACTGCCCGAGTAGAGGAAGAGATCGTTGATCCAAAGGACTCGTCCAAAATGGCGACTCCCAGTTCATCAGTAGAATCTAATCTCGATGAAAAGGAGAAGGACCATTCCGATGAAGAGGTATTCAAATTGCCTGTACCCGAACGGGAAAGACAACATTCGCTTGTGCCTCAAAGAAGATTATCCGGTATAACGCCTACGGTGATTCGTAGTAGATCCGGTTCGATTCTGGTCAGATCCACGATCCCTGAAGAATCAGAAGTAACCAATTCCCATACTCCAGCTAAGATCGGTATACCGGTTGGTAAGACTGTTAAACGTAGAAGATCACTGGTGGCTACGGGTCGTGGATCAATAAAGAGACCATCATTAGTGATATCCAATACCAGTGGTAGTGGTAGTGGTGTACCTGTGTCTGGACCTGTTGCTTCACGTGGTTCAACCACTAGCCCTGCTCCAGTAACTGTTACTGTACCTGTACCTGTTCCATCTTCGGCTACTCCCGATGATTCTAGTGAGAAAGAGAATAAGAAAGAAGAAGCCGATGATTCAGCCATCCTTCACAAGGACCAGACTGAACCATTCGATTCCTCCATCTACGTTATAGGGGTTGATCCCCATACGAAGAGGTTGAGAAAGTACTTAAGACCAGGAGTGCAACTCAAGCCCGAAGACATGCCTGCGGAACTTATACCCGAGGCACCGGCGGAGTTATCAACCGTCATCACAGGTATCCACCAATTACCATTAACTAAAGTTGACGATAAAGATGCCGAACTATATGCCAAAGTGGAGTTTGACGTAAATGCCATGACTATGGCGGATTTATGTAAACCCTTCTTACCGATCGGGAAGCCAAGCTCGAACTTTGAGTTGGTAAGAGAAGCAGAAAAGAAGATAGAGGAGAAGAAGAACCAAAGAAGACAGGCGAGAGAGAAGGCCCGTAATGACCGGATCTCGCTAGAAGAAGCCTCGGGTGAGTTATTAGGCGAAGTAGAACAGCTCCAGGCCACTAAGAATACCAACATCAACAGTCTCCTCGACATGGATGACTTTGATCGCCCAGCGGCCAATAACCTCCAGTTGAAAATGCATGGGGACCAGATCACTTTTGATCAAAGCTCGACTTTGGTAGATAGACACCAGCTGACATCACACAGCAATCTCATTCGAGAAGAGTCGAACCCTTTTGAGAATCCTATCACCTCTTCATCATACTCCAAGAGAAGGCATACGGACCGATGGAGTAGTCAAGAAGTTAATCAATTCTATGAAGCATTAAGTATGTTTGGAACGGACTTTTCCTTAATTAGTCAATTGTTTCCTCACCGAACTCGCCGACAGATTAAGCTGAAGTTCAATTTGGAGGAAAAGAAGTATCCTGAGATCATTGAAATGGCATTAAGAAGGAAATTGCCGGCGGATTTCGAACGTTATTGTGCTGAAACTAATAAGCAAATCAAGACATTGGATGCCTATAATGAAGAATTGAAACAAGTCAGATTACAGCATGAAAAGGAATTAACTCTCATTAGTGCTGAACGGGAAAGAGCCATGCAAGAAGATGCTGAAGCCAGTAGAAGAAGAGAAATTGAAATTAGAACGGGAGCTAAGACGATGACCAGAGCTGAGAAATTGAAGGAATTAAGAAAGAATGAAATGGTGGTGGGGTCTATTGATGATGTTAAGAAGCAACGAGAGGATATAGAGACTGTTTAGAGGTTCAACTCTTGAGATATATATATTATTATTAGAGTGTGTGGTAGCGCGCATATTTTTTTCTGATTTAACGACAAAGTTGCGTCTTAATGCAACATGATAAAAAATATACGAAATATCACGTGTAAGACTCTGACTCAGAACAGACTCAGAACAGACTCAGACCGAGTCAAATGTGAAAATTTAAGCTTAGAAAACAGAAACGGAAACGGAAACATATCCTGATTTAGAATCCTATATATATCCTTACATCTCCTCTCATATTTCATAGCATCGTATACTTATACCATACTGTCATAGACTTACAAAATGATCTATATGTAACTTTATCAAATCTTAATCTCAATGACAACTAATATAACTACAACTAACGATAATTCACCAATGCGTTCAAGCCCTACGAATCCTACTACTACCAAACTTAATACTATGGGCAGCAGTGGTGTTAAAGACTATGTATTACATACAACCCCAAAAGTTAACATTGATGATCCATTTCAAGTGGCATCTTTAAATCTGGTTAAGTTTACTATTCGTAATAGACGTGCCAGTTGGATAGTTAAATATAGACTTCACTTGATTGTACTTTTGATAAGTGTAGCGGGTGGGTTTATGTATCAGAATCAAATATTACCATGGAATCACTTAACCATTTCGAACTCTGATGTGTTCACATTGGGAGGTTTAATTATCCTATTAGCTTTGGTATTATTAAAGCAAGAACCACAAGATACATTAATTGTAATGAAAGGTATAGGATTACAATTACAAAGTGTTAAGAGTTGGAAACTCATTCAAAATCAAACCAATCATTTTATACCTTTGAAAAATACCATTGATTTAGTCATCCATGAAGGATTTCATAATTATGGACAAGTAATATTCTATCTTTGTATATTAACTAAAACTTATAATGGCAATGGTAAGGAGATTATTCGAAATAATACAAATCATGATAATCTTATTAAAGTCGTCTTTCCGGAATTCTTACCCAAAAAGGATACTTTACTACAAGTATGGCGATTAAGTAGAGAATTATTATATGGTGATGTTCATAGATATTGGAGAAGAGTTCCTGGACAAGGATTAAAGCAAGTTTTGTAAAACAAATTTTTATACAGTATGTATTAAAATGTATATATTGTTCTATAAAAAATAGGTTGACTAAAATAGAGAATACCGGACTCCTTATGTACTTTCAAAAGTACTTATTGTCAATGAAAACCAAATATAAAAATTTATAGTGTAATGAAAATAATGTAAACCAAACTAAAAATTCCTTCAGGAATAATTGAAACTGAAACTGAAATTGAAATAAAAAAAATGACATTTAGTGAATAAATAATGTAAGGTAATTTCGATCATTTTTCACCTAATTGTCTAAAAATATAACTAATATTCTTTCTTTGAACTAATTTTGCAACAGATAATGTAGCAGCAGAATAAGCTCCAATGGACAATAGTATCTTAGAACCATTGGAAAAAGTTTGTGGGTTTCTGTAGGCAGTATAAGCGAGAGTTCTAATGAAGTTTCTCAATATTGGTCCTTGAAATGATTGAGAATAAAGCATTTTATAATGTGCAGTGTAGTGTAGTGTAGAATGTATAAGTCTATAATGATAAAGAAATAAATAAATGTAAGAGATGGTGAATGAAGACAGAGAAGGAATAAGAAGCTATTTATATACATTTACAATTAATCAACATAAAGAACACGAATACGACTCATCTCTAAAGGATACTAAACATAGAAAATGAGTCGTAAGATTAGACAAGGACAAGAAACGCATAGGGATCAATTAATCACCATACGCAACATTTTGCGCCTCAAGCATTGTGTCAAGTGCATCAATTATAAAATAAGGAATATTGTTTTTTCGCTACATTTCCATAGTTTAACCGTATCCTTGTCGTTTAAGCCCTTCGATGTAGGACAATATCGGAATCCTTATTCCTATAAAGGAAAGTGCCTTAGATGAGATGAGACATTTGGCAAAAGGTGATGGTGCGATGCAACCGCAGCACACGGAAAAAAAGAAAAGATGCAAAAAATAAGACAAAAGTGAGCCTATTTGATCATCTGGAAATTAATTACCGAATGATCGCGTCAGTTATCTAATTGACGAGCGTGAGCTTTCACAGCTTTGGGTTTATCTTCTTGTTTATGGGTGCATTTGTATAGTTACGCTTACTGTTTGTAGTATGTACCAATATAGAACGCTATAAGTAACACAACCAATCTATAACAGCGCTATTACGATAACAGTGCTATTACGGATTATTAGTTGTCTCAATTGGCTTGTCTTGATGATTATCTATGAACAGGCAACATCGTACTGGACACGGCAATGTTTAGGTTATTCTACTTAAGCGGCACCTAAAAGCCGTTGAAGCCTCGATTCAGAAGCCAACTTCCGAAGAAGGAATAAATTCCTCCTAAATTATCCGAAAAACTTTATTATAATACGTATGCCCTTACATGTATGAATCACAAAATGTTCAATATGTAGATACTTAAAACAATAATATGATTCATAGTCATATTACGATTTTAGACCCATAGTTAGCTAAGGAACACTAAGAAGCTTTTGATGTACAATACCGAAGTTTTCTATAAGGCGGTTGAATTAAAAGGCACGCGACTTAATAACACTGATTGGCTATAACCTTAATTAAATATAAAAGTTTATTGTAAGACAGTTGCTAATGTACATTTAAATATTAAGGTTGGTGTAAAACTACCAAAGTCTTCTTTAAGGCGGCTGAATTAAAATGCACGTGATTTAATTAATGAAAATAAGGTGCTCTATTGCATTGGTTCGTCATAACTTTAATTAAAGTTATTGAAAGAAAACTTCGTAGATACCCTTGAGTAACCACTTGCTTAACAACCTGCTTAGCAACTTGCTTAATACATCCCTTGACACCTTGCTTGATACCTTGCTTGATACCTTGCTTGACGCCTTGTCTACCAAGATATGCAATTATCAGGTTTTGTTTTAGCAGCCACTGCGCTCTTGCGGATTGCTTTAGCTAGTGATATCAGAGAAGAGAAGTATGTTCAAGTTGTACCTCAAGCTACTCTGTGGTCTATAGGTGCAGTCATTGTTATAGGAAGTATCGCTGCATCAGTCAACTCAGAATTGAGATCGTTCACCAGAGTAGGTATCGCTCTAATGGCTAATCTTTCGAGTATATCTGCAATTTTCTTAGGTGGACTAATGACTGGCTCGGAACGATTTCCAAATAATCCAGAGTATTGGGTTTTTGAAGGTGATAAAATAGATGACAAATTGCTTCAGTTATATTTTATTCTCAGTGTTATTATCTTCGTAGGTGCATGTGGATTCCAGAAGAAATCGGCAGGACCAATTGCCTTTATCACGATGGCGACGAATACCATGGCATATGTTTTGTTGCATCTGGTTATTGCAACTGATCAATATGTGTTAGATATAATATCAATGATCTTTGAAGCATTCGTATTAGCATCTACTTTAATGTCATTAAGTATAATTTTCACTACAGATTACAAGTTTTCATACAAAAAGTTTAATTTGAAACATAAACAAGAAGGCTCTGAAAAATCCGATTCAGAATTCTCTAGACAATCTTCAGTAGATTCATTGGAAACAGTGTAAACTCAGTATAAACTCAGTATAAACTCACAAAAGGAAAGGACTCTTTACATACCGTAGCAATACTAGTAATGTGAGTTATGTATTGCGGCAGTGGTGTTTTCTCTAGGTGAGGCACTACTCGTGGGCCCGGATTGCTGTTTTAGGAAATAAGAGTAGCAACAAAGTGTGTAATTCAAATACCTCAAGCTATTAGTAGATGAATGTTCAGCGAGCAACTGGTTGGTCGGAAGAGATTGGACATCGACTGGATCAATTCCAATTTTTATATGAACGTTATATATTTATAATACATAATAGTCAAGTAGCAACTGTTGTACAAGTGCGGTGTAGAAATGACCCTCTGAGCAATAATATGAATGATCGTTTTCGATTTTTTGCATACATTCTCTATTTCACGTAGAGCTAAGATTGCCCCTCCCCTTCCATATACAGTCAGTAATTGAGTATGTTTGAAATTTATAGTTATATATATTAATTATTCTTAATTTATTCTTTTCTCATTATTCTTAAGCCTATAGAACAATAAACTCTTTATTTATCTGGGGTTTAATCGTAATGTCATCTACTAGATATTTATTAGCAACTGTCGCAATTGCAGGAGGCGCCTATTGGTATGATCAAAATGTTCAACCAATTATTCCTAGGCAACAAAGAAATGAAATTAAACAAGAATTGAACAAATTTCAAGACAAAGCCCATAATCAAATTGTTCAACCAGCTCAGGATTTGAATAATAAATTGACAAAAGAGATTAAAAATTCCAAACAAGAATTGACTGAAGCTAAGGATTCTAGATTATATAAAGAAATCAAAGCTGTACGTGAAGATATTCAAGCTTCTTATGATAAAGCTGTAAAGGATATTGATGAGGATAAGAATATTCTTGTTAAAGCAGTTGGAAAATACATTGATGCAATTAATAGTATTGGAGAATCAGCTACATCCAAAGCTAATGAAACTAGAGAAGAAGTAACCCAACAAGTCGAAAAATCCAAAGGGTGGTTTGAAGATTGGTTTGGAAGTAAGACTGATAAAGTTGAAGCTGAATTGGAAAAGTCCAAGAAGGATTGGTTAAACTGGGGTACTTCTAAGCAAGATGAATTATCAAAGAATTATGAAAATACTAAAAAACAACTTGGAGAACGTTTTGATAAGGAAAAACAAAGAGCCATTGAACAATATGAAATTGCTAAAAAGAATTTTGATAACTTAGTAGCTGATTTACAACCAGATTCTCCTAATAGAGAACAAAAGTTATCCAGAGCCAAACAAGATTTAACTAATTCAGTTAATAATTTGAAGGCTTATGGAGATGATCTTTACAAAGATTACAGTGCCAAAATCTCTAATCTCTTTAAATAATGTATAAGTCTATTATTGATTCATTTTTAGTATTTTGTTTCTCTCTATATAAGTACAATAAATAAAGACTGCAAAATCTCTGCTAACATGTCGCACTTAATGTCTCTAATGAGAAGACTAATATTAATAGTGAGAATGAAGAATATGGGGTTTAGGTTTTGTAACAAGAGTGATGACAGAGGTTGAGTAAGTTAACAGTTACTCTACGGAAGGGGTTGGTTATGGTAGTTGATTTGACCAAATAGTATAGAACTTTAGAATTGATTGTGGACTGGTAGTATAGTTGATAGTGTATAGAGTATAAAAACATAACTATTTCATAAAGGAGGAAAAACCCACCTACTTAAATAGTTAGATGAAATCGACAAGTAGTGTATCGTTACGATACACATATAATTGATATGAGGGAATATAAAAGGTATAAGAATAGTATCAGTAGTAGTAGCTTGATACGACATTATAATCACGACAAACATTGGCCTGCAGATAGCCTATAGAAATTTTTGACCCCACTAAAAATTTTCAGGATTCATATATACAATATGTATACTATATATATACTATAGTACGATATAAGGTCAAAATGAGGATATTTCGAAGATTTATCCATATTAAGAAGATACCTTCACTATACTGGGGGAACAATGAGAGAACAAAGGGTTTTGGAACTAAAGAATTACTCGCTAAATTAAATTTAATCTATTATCCTCATTCGGGACTCGTACATTGGTTACCATTGGGATTACAGATGAGAAATAAGATTGAAACTATTATTAGAAAACATATGGATGAAATCGGATTTGAAGAAATTGAACTTTCACTGTTGACTGATACAGCACTCTGGAAAGTGTCGGGACGATTAGATACCAATAAAGAATTATTTAGTGTAGATTCTAAGTTTCTATTATCACCAACGTCAGAAGAAGAGATCACTGCTTTAGTGAAGAAAACAACAAGTAGTTATAAACAGTTTCCTTTACTTTTTTATCAGATTGGTAATAAATATAGAAATGAAAAGAGACCAAGAGGTGGATTGTTAAGAGGTAAGGAATTTCTAATGAAGGATGGATATTCATTTGATTTGAGTGAAGAGGCAGCGATGAATACTTATCATTCAGTATTTGGAGCTTATGAAAAGATATTTGATGATTTAAGATTGCCTTATGTTAAAGCTGAAGCTGATAGTGGGGATATCGGGGGTACCTTAAGTCATGAATGGCATTATTTAGATGTGACTGGAGAAGATACGATATTTGAATGTAATCATTGTCATTCTACATCCAATATAGAAAAGACATTATCATATGCAAAACCTATAAATCAATTTCATCCAGTGGACGTCAAATATTTCCGAACTACCGATCACTCAACTTTAGTTTGTGCTTATTATCCTAGAGGTAGAGTTTTAGATACTAACTTTATTAAGAATGAAGTAGATATTGATTTAGATTCCGATATTCTGGAGGAGGAATTATTAGAGGATTTTTCTGATCAAGAAACCCTTCCTAGTAAGAAATTTTTAAGAATAATGGATTCTAGATTATCATCTCGATCAGAACTACCTGAGTTCCCAATACTTTTTCTTAGTAGAGCTTCCTTTACAACTTTAACAGATATTCCTATTGTTCAAGCTATTGATGGAGAAATATGTACCCTGTGTAATAAAGGTGAATTAAAAGCTTCCAAATCTATTGAAGTTGGTCATACGTTCTATTTGGGTGACAAGTACAGTCGTCCATTTGAATGTTCAGTTATCATGCCTGAAACTGGACGTCAAGATCTAATTATGGGATGTTATGGTATAGGAGTTAGTCGTATTATTGGAGCAATTGGTGAAGTGAATCGTGATGAAAAGGGATTAAGATGGCCTGCTATAATAGCTCCTTGGCATGTTACTACTATTGAGGCGGTAGATGGAGACTACAATGAACTTTATGAGCAATTAAATGAAAATGATATTGATTACAAACTTGATCATAGTGATAATAATTTAGGAAAGAAATGTGCTCAATCCAATTTATTGGGTATTCCTTTGGTTTTGATAGTAGGTAGAGATTTTCCTATAGTAAAGATAGAACCTAGAGGCAAGAGATTTACTGATGATTTAGATTGGAAGAAATTATATGAATCCAAACATGAAGAATTTCAATGGACAGTTAATTGTGATAGAGAAGGTAATGATGTAAGTCATAGTGTACATAAAGACGGAGCTATTGCCGTCATTAAATCTTTATTAAAAGATATGTAAATAGATAGTACCAATAGTATATTAGAAGAAACTATTATAAAAATACAAACATTAATACTTAAAAAAGTAGTATTAGAAAATATTAGAAAGAAAAAGTTAAGTTATGAATTAAGTACATGATATATAAAATCGAAAATTGTCAGATTGAAGGTATCTATCAATAATCCCTGATTATTAAAGCTTCACTGATTTATTAAAATTTAGTTGTAATTGTTATAATTCATAAATTTAATTTAAGTAAATTTACCAGTTATCTTTGCAAATACATGTAATATAATTACTGAAAATATGAATCCAACAGCTAAAAATAATACAACTAATGGATCAACTCTTAAACCTTGAGCTTCATCAGTAAATAATTTCATCATAGTTGATGAAGAACCTCCAGCACCAGCTGATCTTGTAGATAATGGTAAAGCATTTGAATTTTGAGCTTTCTTTTCAGCAGTTGACTTTCTCTTAACAGCACTTCTTAAACCACCTGGAGCTTGAGCAGATGAAGACGACTATATAATTAGTTAGTAATTGACCGATTATAATAATACTAAGAATACTTATAATACTAATATACTATGTATTACTATGTATTATATACTATGTTATACTAATACTTACCATTGTATTATTATATATATGAACTTAAGTAACTTATACCTCAATAATCACTAATTAATACTACTGAAAAATTCCTCCCGAATCCACACGTATACATTTCTCTCACTGGTGTCACTGTCGAGTTGAGTCTGTCACCCAAATTACAATAAAATTGGGCCGCACCACACAAAAAAATTCTCAACTGTCTCACTTAGTTTTCAGCAGGGCGAAAAAAAGGAAGGAAATGTCTAATTATGACGGTCAAATTTATAGGTTTTCAAAGCTATATCATAATATTTAGCTAACTTCATTAAGGGAAGGTTAAGTTAAAGTGTTCAGAGTATTTATCTACTGATTCCTGGTTATTATATCGCTTTTCTCACGATTTTCTAGCGTTAAAATTACCATTACTAACCAATTCCCGCCGTTATCACTTTTTGACCGTCATAAATTACACACATCAATAATTTATTATACTTTGTGGTTACTATTTAGTTGAATCAATCAATCAAGAACTCAAACTCATCTTCCAACCGGTCTTTCATCCATCCGCCCCATATTTATTGTTATCATTGCTTAGAGTTTGTATAAAATTTCAATTAGACATTGATACACCTTTAAAGCTTATTTATTTATATATATATTAATACTACTAATTCTAATCCAATTTTATAAAAAGAATGGATTTAAGGAATTTATCAGCAACTCCAAATCAGTTGGATCCAGTAATGCAACGTCGCCCGTCATTATCATCATTATCTTCAACTTCTGGTTATTCTTCATCAAATTATGGTGGAGGAGCACCTGGTGGAGGTGTCCCAGGTGGAACTAGTGGATCAAATAGTAATAATAATCCAGGAAGTAATGGTAATACAACTCCTCAATTAACCAATCAAAGATTATCTATTGGTTCAAGAAATAACCTTAATTTACAAAGTTCTTGGTTACAAAATCAATCAAATGCAACTAATGTTGCTCCATGGGTTGAACAACAACAACAACAATTAGATTCAAAACAACAAGTTTCACAATCTACTGGTAATTCATCAAATCCTTCAAGTTCTGGTGGTAGATCTGCATCTCAATCAAGTCAAAATGTACAAATTAATAATACCAATCAAAATGGTGATGAAACTGATATTGATGCTGATGATGAAGATGATGATGTAATTCCAACTGCTATAGTAATTAAAAATATTCCATTTGCTATTAAAAAGGAACAATTATTAGATGTAATGACTAAATTAAATTTACCAATTCCTTATGCATTTAATTATCATTTTGATAATGGAGTTTTCCGAGGTTTAGCATTTGCAAATTTTACTTCAACTGATGAAACATCTTTAGTTGTTAATCAATTAAATGGTAGAGAAATTGGAGGTCGTAAATTAAGAGTTGAATATAAAAAAATGTTACCAGTTCAAGAAAGAGAACGAATTGAAAGAGAAAAACGTGAAAAAAGAGGTCAATTAGAAGAACAACATCGTTCTGCTTCAAATGCATCATTAGCATCTTTATTATCTGCAGCATCAACTACTGCAGCTACAAAAAATTTAAGTGTTAATGGTATATCTAATTCAAATACTGAAAGATTATTCTTTAGTTTCCCATCAAATACTAGTGCTTTTATTCCAACTCCACCTTTAGAATTAAATTTTAATGATCCTGAAACTTTAGATTTATACACCCAATTAATTCTTTATAGAGATGATCCAGTTAAATCAGTTTTTGAATTAGCAATTGCTCCTGTTAATTTAAATATGAATCAAAGAAAAGTATTATCAATTTTATGTAACTTTTTAAGTTTATTGGAATTATTCGATAATGGACTTGTGATAATTCGTAGAAAACCAGGTTATATTCCTCAACAATCAAATACATTTGCTTCACCTCAACTGCAACAACAATCTCTGCAACAACTGCAACAACAAGGTTTAGGACCTTCACATTCATCATCAATGATGAATTTAAATCAATTGGGTCAATTAGTAAATACTCCTACCGGTTCAGGTATTCCAAATAATGCTCCAATTCATCCTGAATTACTCAGATCTCAAAGTCAAAGTTCAATTCCTTTACCAAGACTCAGGCAACAAACGGGAACTCCAACTCAATCAAATTTCCCACAATATTCTCAACAACAACAACAGCAATCCCAACAGCAATCTCAACAACCACAGTCTATTCAACTTCAATCTAGAAGTTATTCCCAATTTGGTTTATATCAACAGACTACTGGTGGTAATTCTGTTGGTACAGGTTCAGGTTTAAGTAGTAATAATCAAATTGCTCCACCTGTTGTCACACCCACTATGATTTCCTCTAGTGCAGCCGCATTATTAAGATCTTCAAATAATAGATCTTATGTTGATGTTAGATCAACCCCACCTTTAGGAAGTAACAATATTTATTCAAATCAACAATCACAACTTCAACATAATTCTAATCAAGCAGCAAATTCTCAATCAGTTACCAATTCTCCAACTCCTCAACATCATAGCCATATTTTACACCAACAACATCAATCACAAACCCATTCTCATCATCTCAACCAACCAATTTCTTTAAGTCAGCTGCAATCTCAACAACATCAACATCAAAATCAGAATCAACATCAACACCATTCAAATCAAAATCAGAATCAGAATCAACAAAATCATCCAAGTCAACCATCAACACCATTCCAACCATTCCAACATAGTGGTAGTTTTACTTCTTTACAACAAGCTAATTCAAATGGATTAGATGATTTTAGTGATCCACTCGGTAAATTTAGTGGATTAAATTTGGGTCCATCTACTTCAGCTAGTGGAAATTTTGATACAAGTTCTACCAATAATACTAGTTCAGGAATTTGGGGACCAAAATAGATGAATCATATATTAATTAAATGACCTTATGTCCAGTGAAATGATTTAATGTCAAAACTTACAAACGTAGTGCTATTAATGAATATTATTTAAATGAATGAGACATGATAAAATAGAGATACTTCTTTATTGAAGTATCATCATATTAAATGAATATAATCAGAAATTATTTTATTAATGTATTTTTAACGAGAATGAGATGGATGAATTTTTTTAATTAATTCATTTATTATTCATTCCTATTAACAAAACCAGAAAATTGAAAAACCCAAAAAAAAAAAAGAGATATGTCTAGACAAGACATTGAATGACTTTAAAAGACGCCATTAATTAGTTTTAAATTAATATCTTTAATATTAATGATCCGCCCATATATAATTATAACTTTATAGAACTGTTTTTTTTTACTTATAGTCACCATGTTTCGAAAGAATACAAGAATATATATTAACAATTATTATTGAAAAATGAATTATTAATGACGATCATGAAAGTTAAGGTTAAAGTTAAAGTTAAAGTAAGTTATATGAAATAATATAATAAGTATAAATTAGTGTAGCTAATAATAACAGAGGTAAAAAGATAGATATAATATAAAAATAATAATGGGAATGAAATGGATGAGTAAAGCAAAATATATAAATTCTAAAGATCAAGTAGTATAAGAATATGTAATGAATTGAAATCTTAATTTATAATGAGGTAATGCTGGACGAGGATTAGTGATTAGTGATTAGTGATTAGTGATTAGTACTTTTACTTTGACTTTGACTTTGACTTCGACTTTGACTTTGACTTTTATTCAAGATCCTCATCATCATCTTCATCATCTTCATCATCCTCTTCTTCTTCGATATGTTTCTGATGGACATCATCATCTTCATCATCTTCATCTTCATCTTCTTCATCCTCTTCTTCAATAGATGTAGTAGTAGTAGAAGGAGATTCTTCAGCCATTCCAAAGTGTTGTAATATAGATTGAGCTGAATTTGTATCTAAATATATTACTCCATTTTCATTAGTTATAGCATTTGAAGCAATTAATTTTTGTAATGATGGTGGTACTCTTCCTGAGAGTTCATCTTCATCTTCATCATCATCATCATGAAGTGAATCATCATCAATACTATGAAATGATGATCTTGTACCAAATATATTATTACTAATTGAAAATGGTTGACCAATATTTTGACCTCCAAGATTACCTCTATTATTACCATTTTGATTTGATCCATGTTGTCCAATTTCATATATTTCTCCATACATTTCCTTATATATTTGTTCATAAGGTGGAGATATTGGTCCATATTTAAATGTAAGATTATGATTATTAATATTATTATCATTATTCTCAAGTTTTTCAATTCTTGAAATAACTTTATCATACCATTGATCTAAAGTTTCATTATTCTTATAATCTAATAAAACTACAATTGAAATTGACATATTATCACATCCAATTCCTGATCCATCACTTGTTGGTGCACAACATAATTCCATAATTTCTTCACAAATTTGAGTTAATGATTTCCTTTCATAAATACCTCGTCTTACACATTCAACTGCTCTTTGCAGTGATAAACAATCCCAAATCCCATCACATGCAAGAATCAAAAATTCATCTGTATCATAATTAATATTATGAGATAAAACATCAGGTAATGCAGTAACTATTTGTTCTTCAGCTGGTAAATCTATATTCTTTTTAAATTCAAAATCAGCTATACCTCTTGATAAAGCTAAATTACCATTAACTCTACCCATATCAACAAATCCTCCGGCATTACGAATACGAGCCTTTTCACCTTCATTTGAAGGTTTATGATCAAATGATAATGCTTTAGCAAATCCATTAATTGACATAATAGTTCTTGAATCTCCGGCATTACCACAATAAATAGTATTAGGAGTAATTATAACAGATGTAGCAGCACATCCACTATCATCATCAAATCTAAAATCTTTTAAAATACTTTGATCACAATTTAAAAATCCATGCTTTAAAGCATTAATATAATCCTTTTCACCATAAGCTTCAGTTTCTTTAATGATTTGATGAAGATTCTCTCCAGCAAATATAGCAGCTTTTTCTCCTCCATGACCATCATATACACCAAAGAATGCAATATGTTCATCATCATCATTATTATTAGTATTAGTATTATTATTATTATTTATTTGATTTGAATCAGTAGTATTAGAAATTGAATTAGAATTAGAATGAATAGTTGATGGAGGTTCATCATCTATTTGAGTTTCATCTTCTCCATCTTGTTCATCTTCATCTTCATTATCATTATTTGAAGAATTAAATTTAATTGAAGATCCATTAGTTGGTTTATAAGTATTTAAATTTAATACCGTAGCATGAGCATCTTCCATAGACATTCTCCAACCTTGCATACATGATAAGGCATATACAAGATATTTATCTTGACCTTGTTCTGAATGTTTCTCAGTTATAGGAGCTGAAAGTATTTGACCCATTCTATATTTATAGTATTATATTATTATATTTATATAATTATTATAATTATAATCACTATTGTTATTACAATTATATATGAAAGATAAATGCAATTAAATCACTGATTGTGCGAAATAACAAGTCGCAGACAAAAAAAAAATCTCTTATTAATGATGACTCAAACCGTAATTGGATACACGATTGGTTCAACTGTTGATAATACTAAAGTTTAGTCGATAAATTTTTTTTTAATATGGAGATGGCACAATTTAAGCTCGAATTGGTTTAATGATAATATAGTTAAATTAACTTATAATCTTAAACTGATGTTTCAAACTTACTGATTGTCAGTTACACAGATCGATACCGTTCTCGTGACTATGACCCAAACCTTGTTAATTCGATTTTGATTATCGAATTGCTGTGGTGGAGTTGAATTTTAGTTGAAGTCGAGCTGGACATTTTCCGATTTATTTTTTTTTTTTTTCTTTTTTGAATTTCTTTCTTTTGTTGAATCTTTTGAATTCCTTTTTTTGGCGTTTTTTTGGAGTTTGTACAATTACACTCCATTGATCTACCTGCTATAATGTTAACTACCCTTAATAACTATAGATCTAACTTTGGTGACTTATGAATCTCTTACTTACTAGTAAACTCATCGCTATTAATATAATTGCAGGTCACCTGTCCGGTCATGTGCCCTTTGCCACTCGTTAAAGTTAAAAAAAAAAAGAAAGGGCGCTCGAAATTCGTCTCGAGGCTTGTTAAGCCCGACGCGGGGGTCGAACCCGCAACCTTTTGATGTCTAACATAAGAGTCAAACGCTCTACCGATTGAGCTAGCCAGGCCCTTTCATGTGGAAAAAAAGGGCTAGGTTTGTGCCGACTTCTCGTTTCACTTCTCGTTTCACGTGATAAATATCACGATTTTTAGCCCTCACGTGATATTTATCATGCGTTTTTATCATTTTTAGACAATTTTCGCATGTTTTGTTCCCAAATCCTTTTTTGCAATTATGTACTTTAAATATAACCATGCTGTATATAAATTGCCAAGTTAAAAGAAAGCATCTGTACCCCTTTAAAAATATAAAATATAATTCTCGAAAATACAATACGCATTATTCTTCAATTTTAGCATTTAAAATATTTATGCAGTCTAATGAGCGTATTAAAGAATTACTTCTTACACTTAGATTTTTTGTAGGAATACTTCCAATTCCCAACGCCACAAGTATATTATACACTTCTCTAAATAGTGGAATTCGTTTATATAGAAACCCAACAACACAATAAGAAAAGAACATGGGATAATTATTAAAATCAAAGTGGGTTATATTGTACGATTTTCTAAAGCATACGAATTTTGGTGGTATTACTCCACACATACAGTAAATAAATATAAATAGAGAGAACTAGTAATAGTGAAAACTTTTCTCAGAACTTGAAAACTATCAATAATGAGAAAAATATTTGATTTAGTCTATCTGGGTGAAACAATATTCGTATCTTGTTACGTTACTCAATGGATGCTTCTTGAGAGATATGAAAGAATTCTTGATAAAGAACTGAAGATCATAAAAGCCAAAGAAGAGTCTCGTAAGCGTAAGTGTAAGTAATTCTATGGAACTGCTATTTGAGTGTTACATGCATAAAGAAAGCTTTGATATATGTGTTTATTATATAATATTGTTATAAACCCAGTATCATATAGTGTTAATTGCTACAAAAAATTTGCAGACTTTTCTGAAAACGTGACTATTCATGTGCCACATCACGTGAATTTGACACATACGCGACACCGACATCAAGGGATTTGTACTTTATTTATATAATGTATACAAAATGTACGTATAAACATATAATAAATTCCCATTGTATTATTAGAATAGATGACGATTCCCTTTCAATAGGAACTCTCATCTGTATCATAATTACTATATCAAATTATCTAAAAAATCTATCAATTCAATAATTATTTATCTCATTATTTGTTTTATTTCGTTTTGTACTGTTTGATTTCCTAATAAAGATCAAGTGATCTGATCCTATCATTTGTTATAAACAATGGATCGACGTCTCTTAAATCAACTTAAGATAACAGACAATTATGAATACTCGGATCTTGATATTCAAAAACTTGATCTTAATCATAGATCTCAAAGATATCATGCTCCTAATGATTATTCATTAAAGAAATTAATTCAAAGGACAAGAGGTAGTAATGATAAGAATGAGAATTTATCAAAAGTACGAAATGGTAATAGTACTAATACTAATACTGTATCAATTGATATATCCAATCCAAAGCATTTCTTAGTCACAATAAATTATAATTCATCTACACGTTTAAATCATAATAATCACAATCGTAATCATCATCATCATCATCATCATCATCATCACCATAATGATAAACCCAAAATAATTCTCAATTTAAAACCTTCTAAAACCAAAACTTCACTGGATTCACGTCCCTTACCTTATAAAGGTATTCTTGCATTTCCTGATTGTATTATAAATGATACTGATCCTCGTAAACATGATAGAGCTATATTTGATAAATTCTTAACAAAAGGTAAAGAACTTCGATTAAATACTTTTTCTTCATTCACATCAAATCCCAAAGAAAATACTCCAACATTAGAAGAATCTTTAAGTCGAGAATCAACTCCTATTATAACTACTAATCCAAATCATTTAAAATCAAAAATTAAAAAGATTGTAATAAGAGATTATGAAATTGAAACTTGGTATACGGCTCCATATCCTGAAGAATATTCTCAACTGCCAGTATTATTTGTTTGTGAACATTGCTTAAAATATATGAATTCTCCAATTTCATATCAACGTCATCAATTAAAAAATTGTAATTATTCAAATTATCATCCTCCAGGAACTCAAATATATCGAGATTCTCAACAAAGAATTTCTATATGGGAAGTTGATGGTCGGAAAAATATAAATTATTGTCAAAATTTATGTTTAGTGGCTAAATTATTTCTTAATTCAAAAACTTTATATTATGATGTTGAACCATTTATATTTTATGTATTAACAGAAACTGATGAAATTAATCCAAATATTCATCATTTTGTGGGGTATTTCTCTAAAGAAAAATTAAATAATTCTGATTATAATGTTAGTTGTATTTTAACTCTTCCAATATATCAAAGGAAAGGGTATGGGAATTTATTAATTGATTTTAGTTATTTACTTTCAAGAAATGAATTTAAATATGGAACTCCTGAAAAACCTTTAAGTGATTTAGGACTTTTAAGTTATCGAAATTATTGGCGTATAGCTACAGCTTATAAATTAAAAGAATTATATGAGAAATATTTACAAAGTTCTTCATCTACATCATTATCAAATACTTCATTAACAATTTCAATTGATATTTTAAGTAAATTAACAGGTATGATTCCATCTGATGTAGTAGTAGGTTTGGAACAATTAGATGCCCTTATTAAAAATCCAACTACCAATAAATATGCTATTGTATTTAATTTACCTAAAATTAATTATGAAATTCAAAAATGGGAAGCAAAGAAATATCTTACTTTAAATAGTAAGAATTTATTATGGAAACCAATGTTATTTGGTCCTTCGGGAGGTATTAATTCTGCTCCAACAATAATTTTACCTAATCCTTCTGGTTCATCATCTATAACAACTCATAATACAATTGCTTCTATTGTAAGTTTCTTGAAGGATGATATAAATAATCCTTATTCATTTGAAGAGGAAGCCTTTAAAGAGATAGATATATATAAAGATATGAATGAGAGAGATAATGAACCAGATGATAGTAATAATTTGGATGATTATTTAATATGTTATCCAGGAATTCAGTATAGTTCCAAGAAGAAATTCCCATTCAAACAATCAGGACCCATTAAAGAACCCAATCCGGTATCTACTGTACCTGTTGAGGAACTTGATGAGATATTGGGTGAAGACGAATCCATTGAAGATGAAGAAGAGGAAGAATATGAAGAGTATTCTATAGATGATGAAGATGAAGAGGAGGAGGAAGACGAAGAAGAAGTGGAACCTGAAATAGTCGAATATGAAGATGAGGATGATGCAGAAGAAGATGCAGACGAAGATGCAGAAGAAGATGTAGATGAGGATGAAGCTGAAGTTGTTGATGAAGTTGAAGAAGTCAGTAATATTGCAGATGGAACTGCTGCTATCTCTGAGAATAAACAACAGATATCTGAAGAGAGTGTCCCAGTCGTAACTCCATCTTCATCACCTCCCAGAAAAAGAGGTCGACCTTTAGGCAGTTTTAAAAAGAAAGTATCTGTACCTGTTAAACCAGTAATTGCTACCAGAACAACTCGATATCAAACTTCAACTACTTCGACTCGGTCAGCCGCCGCCTCTAACAGTACAACTCCTAGACGAACTTTACGATCAAGATAAGAACAGAAACAAACCCCTATTTTTGTATTATATCCATTATTTCTATTCTAATCTATGTATTATATATGTATAATAGACAAGACAAGACACGAATTATTGTGACTTTGACTTAAACTTTAAATAGTTTACATGAATTTTCGTATACAATATCTATAAACTTTTCAATCTGTTCATCAGTTTTTAAATCATGAAGTGCACATAGAATTTGAGCCACTTGACCAACATTTACTGGTTCATTCCTTGATTTTATGAAAGGATGAGCGAATTTACCTATTCTATATTCAATAGTTTCTGGAGTTGCATGATTTTCTAATAATGATTGAACTATAGCACTATGTTTATGAAAGTTTTCTTTCTTTATTGATGGGAATGGGAGTAAATCATCTAATTTAATATCTGATTGTTTCTTTTTATTAGAATTCAAACTAACATCTGATTCACTAATTTGTAATGTAGTGTCAAGTTCAGGATAAAACTTATTAGGATACGCAGTTAAATATTTATAACTAGCATGACTTCTTCTAACTTCGCACCATGGAGCATCGGTTTCTATCATAAGTTTTTCAATAGGAATTTTAGCAGCTACAACTAAATTATCATCAGTCTTTAATGAACATCCATTTACACCAAAATAAAATCCTAATTTTTTCAATTTTTCTAATTCTTCAATTGTACCTGTAAATGAATGAATTACTCCATTACCGAATTCTATAGATCCATCATCAATAAATGGTTTAATAATTGATATAAAGTCATCACATGCACTTCTCATATGTAAGAATAATGGTAATTTAAGATGCTTTAAATTTGAATAAATTTCTAATTGTTTCTTAAACATTGTAATTTGTTGATGTTTACTAGAATAATGAAATCTATCATAATCTAATCCTATTTCTCCAAATGCTTTAAGATATCCTTTATTATAACCTTCTTCAATTAAATTTTGAAGTTTAAGTAATTTTTCATTTACATCTTCTCTTAATTCTTCACTATAATGATGATTACCTGATTGCTTTTGATAAAATTCTTGAGCAACTGTACATGGATGAACTCCACCAGTTGAATTAAAATTATGAGGATATTGTTCACATAAATGGAAATGATCTTCTGTTTCCTTTATAGAAGATGCAGTAATTAACATCTTATCAACATTAAATAAATGAGCTCGTTCAATAACTTTTCCAATATCTCTAGGATGTTTAGGTTCTGATGATCCATGATAATAACCATTAAACATAGAATCAGAAAAATTAACTCCTATATCAAAGTATCTCGGTCTCCATACATTCTCGCTCATTGTCTTGTGAGATATATTTCGTAAGATACTTTTAAACATACATCTATTGGATAGTATCAACACTTTGTCGACCTCAGCTCAAACCTAATTTTTTTGGGGCATCTTAAATTCGCTATTTGCAATCTATCACATATAATTATATATATATACATATATATATACAAAGATAAAAATAGATATTTAACTTAACAAGCTATTATAATGACAGACGATTTAGATAAGATATTATCTATAGAGGAGTCATCATTTTCAAAAGATCTTGAAATTGACCGGATATTGAATTGTGATGAATTCGATTATTTTGCTATTTTAAATATTAATCCATTGAAATTCATTAATGATGATACAGGATTGTTAAATACAGTAAGAAAAACTTATAGAAGACGAAGTTTATTGATTCATCCTGATAAGACAAACAATACTAAGGCTCCATTGGCATTTGATAGGTTTAAGAAGGCAGAAACAATCTTATCTATTAATTTGGTAGATCTTATTGATACAGATGATATCACATTACGAAATAAATTGAATGAAAAGAAAAGATTAATAAGTATATATGAAGAAATAAAACAGCAATTAGGTATAGAAAATGATAGAGTTGATATTGATATTGAACTTGATCGTATAAGACAAGAAGTACTGATAATTTTAAAGGAAGAAGTAGAAAAAGATGAGATATCCAGATTACAACAACAACAGAAAGATGCGGCTAGAATGGCTGAACAAACTCAACGTATGACAGAACGACAATTAAAGAAACAAATGGAAAATAAATGGGAAGATGACCGAGATCAACGAGTTAAGAGTTGGCGAAAGTATACTAATAAAGTAGAGAAAAAGGCAATTAAGAAGAAGAAGAAAGATATAAAACCTAAAGTGTTAGCATAGATTATGTAAGTTGTATAATTTGTATAAATATATCATAATAATTATCGGTCATGTGTATATTAGAACCAAAACAAGGATGAATGATTTGGCTGTAAAAATTTAAAATCCCTTATGAATTAAATTTGTGAGGGTAGAAAAATTTGTAGGTAATAGTATAACTAGATCAGGATTACCAAATCAGTCATGGGACAAACAAGTATTGTACTGCTAGCCGCAGTGGCGGGTGTATCTTTTGTCGCAGGTTACTATATTAATCAATTGCGTGACTACGGATCGAACTTAAACTATAAGCGTCAAGGGTATAGACGAATCAAGTCCAACTCATCATCATCCACTTCATCGAATTCAACTGATGACTATACTGATGATGATGATGAAGAAGAAGAAGAAGATTCTGAAGATGAAGGTATTGATATAGATTCAACTAATTTAAATGAAGTTCCAGGTGAAGTACGAATGACCCTTATTGTTCGTCAAGATTTAAAAATGGGTAAAGGTAAAGCAGCTGCTCAATGTCTGCATGCTACATTAGCATTATATAAAAAGATTACTAATCCTCAATCTGCAGCATATAATCCTGATATGGTTCAACGATGGGAATATGGTAATGGACAAGCTAAGATTACATTACAAGTTCCTAATCAAGAAGAAATGGATACCTTATTTGCTCAAGCTATATCATTAGGTATTAATGCATATATTGTTCATGATGCAGGTAGAACTCAAATTGCTGCTGGTAGTGCTACAGTCCTTGGATTAGGTCCAGCTCCAAAAGCAGTAATTGATCAAATTACTAGTGATTTGAAATTATATTAATCCACCAATGTATATACATGTATATAATACTAGTCAGAGTTTTGAATTGAAGAATATCTGTTTATGAACTATATAATTTGGGACAAACATAAATGTTATGTCTTCGAGTTTGCGGGTTTGTCTGTTAATATTACAATCATCATCATCTTAAATCATCTTAATCTTCTTCTAATTGAATCAGTCACTGTTAATGGATTAACAGCTGAACTGGCTCTTCTCTTCTTTCTCTTTCTTGAACTTCCAATGGAATCATCAACATCAACCAATACATCTTCATCTTCATCTTCATCATCATCTTCTTCACTACCTATTCCACCAATTACATCATCTACATCATAGAAATCATCAACATCATCTAATCCAATTGATGATTGTCTTCTTCTTCTATGCTCTCGAACAGCTGTAGCTCGATGACCATTTCTTAATTTTTCTAAATAATCTATCCTAGACCAAATCTCTCCTTCTGTTCTTTGAGGTAATAAGATAGATAATTCTGCAAATGATAATTCTCGATTACGACGATTTATTAATAATTCATCTTCTTCCATAGTCCATGGAATATTTAATACTGGATTTGAAGTTTTCGAAGTATTTGATCTATTCTTTTTAGTTTTAATAACTCTTCTAGTAACTGATGAAGGATTTGAATTATCTTTTTTACGATCAACTTTTAATAAATCTTCTTCTTTTTTATCTGCATTATATGGAATAACAACTGATCCTGATCTAGAATAATATCCCAGTCCACTACCTATACTACCATTTCTTAAACTTGAAACTGTAGTTTGTTGAATACCAGCTGATCCACTAATACTTGAATTTCTTGATGGTCCACTAATACTTCCTCCAGCTCCACCAAATAAAATTGGTAAATGAGCCAAACTATTCAGTTGATGATGAGGAATATTCATAGATTTTGAAGGTAGTGAAGATACAGAAGCTCGTAATGAAGACACAGAATTTCTATCGTCTCTTACTATTTGAATAATAGAATTATTATGTTGTAATCCAGTACTAGTAGATACCCCTACTGAATTTGTTGAAGCTTGTGAAGTAGAATTTCTAGGAGTTATTGCTGATGGAGTTTGAGGATGAGGTTGATTATGAGGTAAATTCATTGTTGGATCAATTGATATATCTGTATAATACCCTCCAGTAGCATTATTTCCAGGAGCATTATTTCTTGTTTGAGGATCTAGCACTTCAGTCTTTGGAGAATTGTCGTAAGTTGTATGATTTAAGTGACCTGGACCACCAATGTCATTATTATTATTATTACTATTATTTGTACTGGTACTAGAGTTATTATTATTATTATTGTTATCGTTGTTGTGATGATTACCCGATCCATTTGTACTTCCATTATTTAATCGAGGAGAATTTAAACCCGGAGTTGATGGATTTGTTTGTGATGATATATTATAATTTGGAAGTGGACTCGAAATGTGAGAGGGAGAATTGGATAATGCATTTAATCCAGCTAAAGCATTTGATATATTATTATCGTAACCAGTAAATGTGGCACTTGATAAGGGAGAATAAGCTCCTTGGAATGAACTAGTTGTTTCTTGTTTTAAAGATGATATGGGTTGTTTCTTTGGTTTCTTTTGATCATTTAATGGTCTTGCCGGGATCTGAGATCCTAAAGCAGCTGCTGATTTAGGAGGATTTTTTAAATTTCCTGATTTTAATCTTCTCCATCTGAATTGACAAGCATTAGGAGTTCTATTATTAAAATGACTAGCGATTTCTTTCCATCCTAATTTCTGTTGATCCTTAAGATGCATTAATAGTATATCATCTTCAGCATCCCATGAAGTTGGAGTTCTAGAAAAATTCTTTGCACCACCACTAGTAGGTGAACCACCCACATTATTCTCATCAGGACTTTGATGATGAGAAGATTGAGATTGTGATTGAGGTTGAGTTAGTGATTTATCTGATATATCACTCAGGGCTAAACTCATCATTGATAGGGTAGAAATGAAGGGAATAATTACTCAATGCACAACTTTCTAAATAATTGCTCGAGATATTGGAATGTCCCAACAAATACAATGATGAAAATCACTTAAGTACTGCAAAAAATTGGGTTTAACCACAAATTATTAATTATACACTGCGGTGTGGACCTCAAGATGATCATCGTTGGTTTCTCGACGATTGAACAATTCCGCACCGTACAACCCACAAAAAATACCTTAGTGATCATGTGAGCAGTACTCACCAATTTCCGGTCAGACAGTAGAGATTAGTACAGTAATCAGTGACAGTAACTAGGAAAAAGTCATTGATTAATAGAGATGGTTATGTAGTGTATGTACTGTGTATATGGGGTAGAAATAATGAGTTATCTATTTATTTATTTGTTTATTTGTTTGTATGTTAAGTAGTGACTCTGTACTTGTGCTACATTCACACACTAAATTAGGCGAGTCAAAATAGCGTAGGTGCCAGCCTCTACAATAATGTTTTGAATGTCTTCATCTATAATCGTAATCTACATAGTTAAGACACAAACCCTACAGGGTCATACTATTTACTTTACTTTACTTTAGTTTAGTTTAGTTTACTTTAATTATCAATACCAACTCTTTCAGCCCAAACCTTTTCAGCTTCCACAATGGTATTATTGTTGGATTTCATTTTATTCATAGTCTCAATGTATTCATCATACTCATCACTATCAAATACAATACCTCCTCCAGCTTGTAAATAGGCAACTCCATCCTTATATACCATGGTTCTCAATGCAATACAAGTATCCATAGTTTTACCATCATACCCCCAATGTCCAACAGCTCCAGCATAAACTCCTCTTTTTTCCTTTTCTAATTCTCCAATAAGTTGCATAGCTCTAACTTTTGGTGATCCACTAACAGTACCAGCAGGAAATATTGATCTAAATGCATCAAATCTTGTTTTATCTTTTCTTAAAGTACCACTAACTTCAGAAACTAAATGCATAACATGAGAAAATCTTTCAATAGTTAAAAGTCTATCAACTTTATTACTTTCTGGTGTACAAACTCTATTAACATCATTACGAGCTAAATCAACCAACATAATATGTTCAGCTCTATCTTTTAAACTTGATCTTAATATTTCTGCATTAGCTTCATCTTCTTCATTAGTTTTACCTCTTTGAATAGTACCAGCAATTGGATGAGTTACAACTCTACCTTTATTATCTGATTGAACTAATAATTCTGGTGAAGCTCCAATAATTTGAAAATCAATTAAATCAACATAAAATAAATATGGTGATGGATTAACTGTTCTTAAGTGACGATATATATTGAATGGATGTAATGAAGTTGGTCTAGCAACTCTTTGAGATGGAACTGCTTGAAAGATATCACCTTTTAAAATATGATTCTTTAAAGTTGAAACATGACTTTCATAACCAGCTTGACCGATATTTGAAGTAAATGTTTGATTAAGTTTAATAGGTGGTTGAATTGGATTAATTTGTTCATTAGTAACATTTTTATCTAATAAAAGATGTTCAACTTGTTCAATTTCTTTAACAGCTTTTAAATATGCACTTTCAAGATTAGTTGATTCAGAAATGTGAATATTATTAATGATTTGAAATCTTTGATAAACATGATCATAAGCTATCACTAAATCACATAACATTAGTACTGCTTCAGGTAATTCTAATACATCTTTTAAAGGTCTCTTAGTTTTTGGTTCAAAATATTTAACACAATCATAAGAAATATAACCAGTTGCACCTCCACTAAATTTAGGTAAACCTGGTAATTGTGCTTGACGATAATTATTTAATTCTTTTTCAAGAATAGTTATTGGATCAACATTAAGAAATTCATTACTAAAAATTTTAATATTATCACCAGTCTTTATAATTTTGGCTGGATTAATACCTATAAATGAATATCTATCAACTGTATCACCTTTTACTGAAGATTCAAATAAAAATGATGGTGAACGATTGATTTCATTTAATTTACTTAATCTTAAATATGCTTGATGAATAGTTAATTCATCATTAGCTACATACTTATAAATAGGATATAAATTTGGTTGAACTTCACTATCATCATGTTGATGAGATGTAATATTCGCACCTAATGCTTCCAATGAAGGTTGAATTGTTGACTTATTTAACATGTTAGTACAAAATGGGTTCGATTACTACACTAGCCAAAATGTTATATTATACTTACAACCATATCTATATACAGAATTATGGGAATTGGTAAGGGGTTTATTTTATTGCTAAACCTATGGTGACTCAGAGGGTATGGGCTTTCAAAAATTTTTGAGTGAAAAATTTAAGATGCAGGATCGCGATATTAGCGGTTAAATATTATATATATATACATATTATGTCGTGTACACGACTTTGTCGCCGCAGCTAACTCGAGATGTTGCAAATAAGTATGCTGCAATTATGAGTCTATAGATATATCTATCTATCTATCTATCTATATACATACAGTAAGTCTATAGATCTATATAGTGTCATTAAAACGTTTCTACTTGTCGTAATATACATTGACCTCCTACTGGGTCTAAATACATGACTTTGTCACACATGACAAGCGAACCAATGGACAGATTACTAGTTTCAGATATAACTATTTCAACTTCTAAACCTAATTCTTTACAGAAACCTCGAACTAATCGAGCATTAATATCATTAATTCTATATCCAGGATATGTTATCACACACTCATAAGTAGGAGTAGTTTCCAGTAATTCATTGGTATGTAATAAACCATACTCAAGACGTTTAAGAGTTGCAAAGGAATTCAAATGATGATTTATATAATTTGACCAAGTTTGAGCTAATGATAATTTCTTAATTTGAATGTTTAGAACCAGAGGTTCCATAGTCCCATTCAAATTATATCCTAATCCCTTTAAATAACTGAACTTATTAATGAATTCTATATGATTTAAACGATCAGAAGATTTATTCATAAAGGCAGTACTAGCATGAGATTGAATATAATTAAGAATTTGTAATTGATTAATAAATACTTCAAAATCTTCAAATACATTACAAAGTTTAACATACCCATTCTTCATACCTAGGGGAACATTTCTCAGATTTTTACCTGAATTAACTACAAATTGAGATCTCAGTAAATAATTACTACCAATAATATTTGCCAGTAATGATACATGACCTAATTCATCTCTTGAAATTAATGTTTGATAATAAGTATCAGCAAGAAAACTAGGTAAAAAAGTATTATTATGAGATACTAGGGCATTATCATCTTCTCCTCCTCCTAATTTTGAATTTAATACTTGATTATCTTGATCAAGTATAATACTTTGTTGATGAGTTATAATGGGGACTTGATGATATTGACAATAAGTAGCCGTTAAATTGCCCACAAATTTTTCAATTTCATTAATAAAAAATTCACTTTTAGGGAATTCTTCATTACCACCACCAGTAACAATAGATGATGCACCTTCATGATTTCTAAATTTAAAATGTCTCTTCATTATATTAAATATAAAACAAACATTATGAATATCTTCTTTTGATAATAATTTTGGTTTCTCAGGATTAGATGATTGTCTAAATGGTCTGGTAAATAATCTAAATGGAGATGAAGAATCGGCTTTACCTGATAAACAATCTTCTAAATCATTTGCAGGGATATTCTTAATACAATTTAATGCTAATGAATCAAATGAAAAGCTAATTTTCTCTTCTAAATTGGAAAATGGATTAGAATGAAAGGTATTATATTCAAATGATATAGTTAAACAAGTAGTTGGAACTTTGTTTATATTGTTTAACCTATCCATAGCTCTAGTACTACGAGTAAATATATCACTAGCATTGGAATATGAATATTCATCCCCAGATACTGTATGATCAATGTTTTGATTATTAAACTTTAACCCATTCCAATCTAGTGATCCAAATATACTGGACAAGTTATTCTTCAAAGATTTCATATTCAGACTATTTGATGTTATATGCTTTATAATATTACTATTAGGTGATATTTTAGTTACAATATCAGGAATATGAATATTAATAGAATACTTTCTAGAATTAATCTTCTCTATTGATATAGCCAATACTGATTCCTTTAATATTGTTGAACCACCATTATTTAATTTTATTGGTAATCCATAGATTATATGGTCTGTATAATACGACTTCTGATTACGTAAATGAGTGAAATAATCACTAAGGTTAGTAGTTGGAATTGATGATGATGACATTAATTGTCTCATAGAAGTTATGGATAATGCATTATGATTATGTTTACCTAATACATTAGCAGAAAGTAATGGATTAGTAGCAGTAGCAGTAGCTGTTTCTATAGATTTGGTTCCATTATCATATACATGTAAATCATGAAGAAATTGATATATTTTAGCTGGTGATAATGGTAATTGATTCTTAAATACATCAAATCCTTCAACCATAGTCATTAGTGATGGTTGAGGATGAATAATTAAAAATTTTAAAACATCTATAATATATTTATAATGTCTACCTTCCCAAATATTGAAATATAAATTGATATCATCAAGAGATTTTGCTTTATCTCCGACTTGATCTTTTAATAGTTTAGTTAAGAAACTATTACATTTAACAAATTCTTCAGGATTTGAACAATTGTTAAGGAACTTATCTATAACCAAACAATTATATTCGGAATTAACAAAATAATCTGAACCCTTTGGTAATTGATTTGAAAACTGATGAATAATATTAGACTGTCTGTTGAATACATTAAAAGATGGGACCATAAAATTAGGAGAATTAACCATAAGTATATGTAAACTCATTAATAAAACACATTGATGAAAGTAGGATTGATGGATTTTAACTATTAATGATTCAGAAAGTCTTAAAGATTCAATAAAGTCAATTAATGATATGGAATTAATAGTATATTGTGATGAATATTGAGCATAAAATATTTCTAATTGTGGATTAAGTTCTTGACTCATTTGTAAACTGGAACTTATAAATTCCTTAAGTATACTAATTATTTCTGATCTACCCTTATATAGAGCATCGAATCTATTTTCTAAGATTTTAAATGATTCAACATAATCTGATTTTAATACTTGATTTAAATGAAATGTAACTGATGATGGAGCTACTGATTCTATAATATTATCAACACTAAGCACCACAAGCTTATTATAATTCTCATTAAACTTCGATTGTGCTTCCCGTAATACTATCCCTATGGATACAGTATTATTTGGTTCATCTATATATTCAACTATTGAACCTATCGTGGGACAAGTATTATTATTAATTCTACAGATCTCATCGAATGAACCAATGGTTTCTCGATTAAAATCTTCATAATTCAAAGTATTAAACTTTCTGGATGTTCTATCAGTTATTCTATCATATAATCCTCGAGGATTTAGTACTGGCTTTCGAGATGTCATAATATTCTTAAGTATGATTTGTTGCTCATCTTGTGGTTGAACATACTGAGTATTGGGGTAAGTATTGTGATCTATGGAGTCATTTTCTAAAAAGAATTTGGTGGAGGTATGTCGTATGAGTGGTAATTGAATATATGGATGTCGCCTTATTTTGACTAAAGGTCTTATTCGTAGTAGAAGTGTCATACTACTGAATTTATATAATGGATTATATGATATTATATGATAATGGAGTGCATGGAATGGGTGTATCTCTACCAATAGTGGACCAAATTTAGAATTTGAAAATGGAATGGAAAGCTAAGAGTATAGTTACTCAGTGAATACTATTTACAAGTGGATAGGATAGATTATGTATAAGTTATATTGACTAATACTGGAGGTTAATGTCTTGAGACTCAAGTGAAAAATTTCATTCGCACTAGGAAAAACCAACGGGTCTCACTAGCTACAGTATATGTTACGACAATACGTTATAGGAGGATACGTTATAGGAGTATATGTTGTAGGAGTATACGTATACGACTATATGTTATATGAGTACATATTATATATATGAGTATATATTATATATATATATATTATATGATACGTTAACTATATTGAGTATATAACTTCTAAGTCCATCTCTGTACTATGACGGCATTCTTCAATTTAGCATCAGCAACAGTTGTATCATCAGATTCTTCTATAGGTTTAACAGGGAAGGCATGGCTTAAGGCAAATGATCTTGATTTATCATCATTAAATTCATGATTTCTTACAAATTCATATACTTTCTTTATAGAATCAGTAGATTGAAATTTATGTGATGTACGCTTACCATTAGCAAATCTAATTTGTACTAATGAATCACCTTCACCTTCTGGTTGTTTAGGTTCAGTAATTGTATTAGGAGTAGAAATAGTTTGTTCAGGAAGATTAGTAACTGAAGGTGAATTAGATAATTCACCAGGAACAGGAGATCCTAATCGTTGACCATGACCATGGAATCCTCCAATTTTTTTCTTAGGAGGTTTCCAATCTTCATCTGTCTTTTTAAATACTGATACATCAACATCTTGACCAAATTCAACATCTAATAATGACATAGGTACTCTACCTCTATTTAATTCACTTAAAACACTTGCATTATTAGGATCATCATATCTATGTAATGGACCATCACCAACTGTGAAACCTTGTTTCCAAAAGGTAATTTCTCGAGTAACTTTAGCAGGTCTCTTAGGTAATCTACTATTTGGATCTACAACTTCTTGAGATGGTGTACTTCCATCACCTAATTTAAATCCACTTCCACTAAACTTAGGTGCTTCAGGTTCAGATTGTCCTGCCGATGGTCTATCATCAGGTTGATCCATTTGTTCTCGAGCTCTTTTAAAGATTTGATCAATTAATGATTGTTGATCATTACCACCTCTTTTATCTTTATTAGGATCTTCAACTTGTAAAGCTGATTTTTCACCGCCGGTAAAGAAATTTGTATTTGTTTTATCATCTTCAGAATCACCTTCTTCATCATTTAAATCTCTAAATGTTCTGATTCCACCACTACTTCTACCTCTCAGTTGCAACCCATGCTGAGATTGTGATTGACCTTGTGATTGTGATGATGGATGAGTTGCAACAGAAGCAGAAGTAGAAGCGGATGAAGATCCTGATCCACTAACGGTATTATTATTATTATTGCCACTGGCATAAAAATCTTCTATAGCAGATACAATATCATTCTTATTTCTCAGTAAATATTGTTCTGCTAAATATTTAGAAGAGCTAGTAATAGAAACAAATTGCTCTATTAATTGTTGTTGATGTTCGATTTGATTTTGATCTTCGCTGTCCGACATTTTCACTACAACTGGACTCTCAATTGGGTCCTTAAATTTTAGTTTATTATACTAACAATTGCTTTCTTACTAGTACAAATTAGGTAATTATCCACTAATTGGTAGATGGCGAATTATTTTGTCGTGGGAGTATGTCGTGGCGTGGAGTTACCAATACGCACTCAACCGCTACAAACAAGAAGTACAGAAAAAAACACAATCAATCTACACTTGTCTAATAAATATAATAAATATCGTATAATAAAGATAATTAATTATAATATATAATAGTAACCGATGTTGAAATCCCAAATAGTTTTAAACCCCTTCTTCCCAACCTCATAGAGGTAGGAAATTAAAAATAACAAAACAATATATAAAGACAGTAGTAGTATGAACAAGAAGTAATCATTAACCACTAATCATCATAATAATAGTAGTAGTAATAATAATAATAGTAAATAAAAAAATAATAGAATAATAGTAATAATAAAAATTACATTAATGTTGAATAAATGTAATCAGCAGATACAGCATCAACAATATGAAGAATTGAATAATGCAAACATAATCATATCTTAACAATAAGGGGCAAAATAAACAAAAAGAGTTAAAAATTCATATTAATTCTTTTTAGTACTTAGCACGGAAATCCTTAGCAGCATTAACCATATTAGTTAAAGATTCTTTGACTTCTGGCCATCCTCTAGTCTTTAAACCACAATCTGGGTTAAACCAAAAGTTAGCAGCTGGATAAACTTTCAAGATTTCTTCAACTCTAGCAATAAATTCTTCCTTAGATGGAATTCTTGGAGAGTGAATATCGAATAAACCTAAACCAATATGGTTTGGATAATCAGAAAATTCTTGAATGTAGTTTGGATCATCCTTTTTAGAGAATTCAATAGAAACAACATCAGCATCTAAAGCTTTAATATGGTTTGGATCTAAATCTGAGTAACAGAAATGAGAATGGATTTGAGTAGAGTTGTCAACACCTGAAGTAGCAACTCTGAAAGATTGAGCAGCCCAGTTCAAGTAATCAGATCTTTCTTGTCCAGCTCTTAATGGTAAACCTTCTCTAATAGCTGGTTCATCAACTTGAATAACAGTAATACCAGCAGCTTCCAAGTCAGTAACTTCATCTCTTAAGGCTAAACCTAATTGTAAAGCTTGAACCTTACCAGAAACATCGTCTCTTGGGAATGACCATCTTAAAATAGTAACTGGACCAGTTAACATACCTTTAACTGGTAATTTAGTTAAAGATTGAGCGTAAACTGATTCTTTAACAGTCATATTCTTTGGTCTAGAAACATCACCAACAATAATTGGTGGTCTAACATATCTAGAACCATAAGATTGAACCCAACCATTAGTGGTAAAGGCAAAACCTTGTAATTGTTCACCGAAATATTGAACCATATCATTTCTTTCTGGTTCACCATGAACTAAAACATCTAAACCAATTTCTTCTTGGAATCTAATAACAGTTTCAATTTCCTTGTTAATAAAGGTTTCATATTCTTCAGCAGTAATAGTACCTTTAGTGAATTTGTTTCTGTTAATTCTAATATCTTTGGTTTGAGGGAAAGAACCAATGGTAGTGGTTGGGAATAATGGTAAGTTATATTTTTCCTTTTGAACAGTTAATCTTTCTGGGAATGGAGATTGTCTAGTAGCTAAAGATTCAGTAATAGTAGCTAATCTTTCTTGAACCTTTGGATTAGTAGTAATTGAAGATTCAGTTCTAGATTTAATAGAAGCGGCATTAGCAGCAAATTCCTTAGAAACATCTTCACCAGAAACTTCCTTAGCAATAGTAACAACTTCAGAAACCTTTTGAGTAGCAAAAGAGAACCAGTCTTTAATAACAGGATCTAATTTAGTTTCAAATTCCAAATCAACTGGAGTATGTAATAAGGATGAAGAAGTAGCCACAACAACTCTTTCAGCACCAACTTTAGCAATAGCCTTCTTAACAAATTCAGAAGCCTTAGCAAAGTCAGTTTTCCAAATGTTTCTACCATCAACAATACCAACAGATAATTTTTGATCTTTAGATAAAATAGCAGCAACTTCGTCAAATTGAGCTGGAACTCTAACGAAATCAAAATGGAAACCAGCAACTGGTAATTTTGAAATAGCAGCTAAGTTTGGTCTAACATCACCGAAATAAGTGGTTAAAGTTAATTCTGGTAAATCTTCACCAACTAAAGCTTCATAAGCTTGTTGGAATTTAGATTGAACATTTTCTGGTAAATCTAAAACTAAAATTGGTTCATCAATTTGAACTTGTTCAGCACCAGCAGCCTTTAATTTAGCTAATAATTCTTTATAAACTGGTAAAACTTTTTCTAATAAAGAAATTGGTTCTAAATCAAGAGAATCTTTATCAGCTTTACCTAAGTAAAGGTAAGAAACTGGACCTAAAATAACTGGTCTAGTGTGAACACCTAAAGCTTTAGCTTCATTGAATTCATCAACTGGTTTAATACCAGCACTAGTGTTTAATTTAAATTCAGTTGAATGAGAGAAAGTTGGTCTAACATAATGGTAATTTGAATCAAACCATTTAACCATTTCTAAAGCAGTAACATCAACAGCAGCAGTAGTTTCAGTAGCTTTTCTTTGTAAACCTCTACCCATAGCAAATAAAACATCAATTGGAGCTAAATCAAATTTAGTATATCTTTCTGGAATAGCATTAAATAAAAGAGATAAATCTAAAACTTGATCATAGTAAGAGAAATCATTTGAAGCAATAATATCAACACCAGCTTCCTTTTGTAATTTCCAATTGGTTGATCTTAATTGTTTACCAGTGGCTAATAATTCATCAACAGTGATTTTTCCTTGCCAATAAGCTTCAGTAGCTTTCTTTAATTCTCTTTGTCCACCAATACGGGGGAAACCTAATACAGATGATTGAACCATTTTTTTAATAATAATAATATTATTATATTAGTACACTAAATTTACAAACTATAAGATTAATAGATAATAGTTTGAATAGCTTAACTAACAATTAAGAATTAAAACAAGAAGAAGAAGAAGAAAAGAAGAAATAAGTGAAAGTGAAAAATTTCCATTACAATCTCGACGAATCGGTTGATTTAAATACGGGACATTTTTCACTATGCGGTGTGCCCCAGACACTCATCGTCCGCTAACAATTAGTGGTAAAAAAAAAAGTTTTGTCGTATCGGATTAGGCTCACTCAACAAAATTGTAGGGGAAAATTTTGTGACTCTGACGAAAAATTTTCATATAGGGCCGGTGGGTGCGGCGAGCTATTACTACGGTCAATTGAATGTAATGTACTGTTCTTACTTGTGATACATTATACGATTGAGCAGAAATGAGTAAAGTTGAGTAGAGTTGTAATAGTATTATTTGCAATTACTGTGTTACTAGAATTACACGGTTTAGTATAATTTATAATTCATAATAGACAGACATCGTGCCACAGCCCATAGATCTTACTCACTATTTACATTAATATCTATATACAATATTGCAACCAGTACACGTTGGATTGATATTCGTCACGTGCCCTTTATTTGCCAGCCAGATATTATCACATGCACTTAATCTTGGCTAGACTATCTGGTGCGGCACTTTATGATGAGAGCGCACGTGAACGGCCTGCATATCACCCAACTAACTCACTAACAATGTGCCTTCTATATATTTCTTACCCAATTCTCTATTGTAAATCACTAATGTATACTTATACGCGTCTGTAGTACGTAGTATGGCTAATGTTAAATCTTCGTTAATAAAAGCAGGTTCGTAATTGCGATACTTAAAAGATTTTAATTTCAATCCAGGCTTTAATTGGTGGATCCAATGCATTAGTAGCGTAATCATAAATGGTCCATGAACTATAGTGGTAGGTAAATTCTCAATATTGATGCAATATGATTTATTGTAGTGAATCTTGTGAAGATTATAGGTGAGCATACTGTATCGTAGTAAATATTCACTGGATAATTTGATTGTTGTTTCATATTCCACTTCAGCCTGAGGTATAGTAGATATTGATGATGATGGTTTGGCATTATATAATTCATTGGTATATACTAATGTTCTAGCTTCTTTAAGTACCTCTTGTTCACCGTATGTGAAATTTCGGATAATATTTACAAGTACTGAGCCCTCAATTACTCGAACTGACTCAATGGTTTCTTTACATTGAAGTAATTCATTACTTTCTCCTGTAATATCTTGTTGTTTAAACTCAATCATCCCTTTAGCCCACATTCTTCTAAGAAATATAGATGTTTGTTTATCTATATCCCATGGTGCTTGATAATTATCATATCCATCATGTCCAAGTACGATATTCTGTTGATTACAATATAGAAAATGAAACCCAGCATTTAAACGTACATCTGTTATTGAATGAACGGATTTAGTAGGAGTTATAATCTTCTGATTAATATTGGCATTAGAATGAGATGCTTGAAAGATCTCATTTAATAGATTGATTAAATGGTTGGTTGAGCCAACCGATAAATTATCACGAAAAGTCCAGCTTCTCTGTTTGATAACTTTACTCCATTCGTATATAGTATTTTTAGGTATCATTAAGCCTGTATAAGTTTTAAAGTAGTACTTATCTATAAGTTTGGGGTAGGTAGTGAAAAATCGATAATGTCCGGATTGGGAAAGTGGAACAAAAAAAAAAATTGCATCCATACATCAAACTCATCTTACAAAAAAATTTAGGATGAGTATCTAAAGTAAGTACTTAGTAGAAGTGATTAATAAATCATCCAGCCAGAATGAGTCAGAGTACTAGTGAGGCATTAAAGAACATTAAGAACAAGCAACGGAGGCAGAAAGTGTTTGCTGAGTTGAAACATGCCAAAAATAAAGAACGTCATACTAAAAGATCCGAACGAGCTAAAGAAGAAAGAGCAGATCCAACTTTAAGAGAAGAAAGATTAGCAACTAATATACCAGAAACCATTGAAAGTAAAAGAGTTTATGATGAAACCATAACTGCTGAAGTTGAAGGAGTAGATGAATTTGCTCAATACTTTCTTAGTGGAAAACAACCTAAAATATTACTTACAACTTCTGAAAATGCAAAGAAAGTAGCTTATGAATTTGCTGATATTCTTATGGATTTTTTACCAAATGTTACATTTATAAAGAGAAAGAAGGAATATAGTATGGTTGAAATAGCCCAATATGCATCTAAACGAGATTTTACTGAATTAATAGTTATTAATGAAGATAAAAAGAAAGTAACAGGATTAACATTTATTCATTTACCTGAAGGTCCAACATTTTATTTTTCAATAACATCATTAAGAGATACTAAACAAATTGAAGGTCATGGACGTGCTACTAATCATATTCCAGAATTAGTTTTAAATAATTTTAATACTAGACTTGGTAAAACAATCGGAAGATTATTTCAATCAATATTTCCTCATACACCAGAAATTCAAGGTAGACAAGTTATAACATTACATAATCAAAGAGATTACATATTCTTTAGAAGACATAGATATGTATTTAGAAATGAAGAAAAAGTTGGATTACAAGAATTAGGACCTCAATTTACATTAAAATTAAGAAGAATGCAAAAGGGAATTAGAGGAGATACTGTATGGGAACATAGACCAGATATGGAACGTGATAAGAGAAAGTTCTATTTATAATTTATATTATATATTATACCTATCATTTGTCTAATAGAATATATATAGGATTTAGCATGTATATAATATAGCATGTATATAATATAGCATGTATAGTAATAACAGTCGACTGCATATAAACACACAACGAAAAAGAAAATCAATAAATCAAACATCCGTGCCGCAACGGTTATTTAAAAGGCGATAATTTAAGAAAAAAAGCAAGGACTGCACACAAAACACGTGTTGTTTATCTTTTTCATCCACTTCAGTGAGAATGACTTACAGGCGGCCCAAGCAGGAAAAAATGAGAGATTTAATGTACGCCTAAAATTAGGAGACTAACATTATAGAATTGCGGAGGGGTTGAAGTGAATTACTGACATAGTAAAGTATAAAGTATAAAAGTGCAGACAATAAGTAATTTAGTATAGAGATTAAAATGTACCAATAGGCAGCCCCACAATAAATGTCAAGTGATAGTTTACTATTGCTAATACGATAGTTCATTAGTATTACCATTAATAATTGTAATGGTACAATCAGTCCCCGAGAGAGTCCGTAATTTTCTGGACCACGCTCGCCTACATGGCCAGTAAGCATAACTCAGTTGAGCAAGCCAACATTCAGTAATTATAGTCATAATAAGATCCGTAGCGTACCGTAGAACACAGTAGAATAACCGCCATATTCATGAGTACTCAACAATACTCATCAGTACTCACCAGAACTCATCACTAACACAAATAACATGACTAATATCACAACATTGACTCTAATCGGTCGCCCTAGTAAACTTTGATATCGCACTCAGTCCCCAGCATTTCCCAGCACTGTTTTTCGCTCACTCTCACTAATTCCTCCTCTCGTGACCCCGTCCTCTCCTTTCTTTCTTTCATTACCAACTAATTTTTCCACTGTAATTGTTAGTGGTTTAGGATAAATTTATAATAAATCGTACAGGGCACCCCAGTAAATCTTAAGGACTTAATTATTGAACCTTAATTACTGCACCTACCATTTCTATACGGGAACTTAAGGAAATCTCAACTATCATCAAATTACAAATTTACTGAGTCCCACCCCCCGGCAATATTTCATTTACCGATCTCACTCATCTTGTATTATATATATAACATATTTATCAAACACTCACTTCCAATTCCAATTCCATAAATGACAATGGATAGCGGTGGAGTTAGTCAAATTATAAACGCTCTAGAAGTTGTATATGATTCCAAATCATCCAATTTTCAAAGACGACAAGCTCAAGAATTTCTTGAATCAGTTAAATTAAATGATGAATCTCCATTTTGGGGTTATCAATTAGCATTACCAGAAAATTATGGAAAGAATTATATTGTTCGACACTTTGGATTATCTTTATTACAAAATTCAATTAAAACAAAATATCATTTATTTGATCAAACAAAATCTCTTGCCATTAGAAATTGGATTGTAGATTTATCTAATAAAACTAATGAAGATGATCCTCATTATATTAAAGAGAAATTAGCTTTCTTATGGGTTTCAATTGCTAAAAGAATTTGGGGTTGTTATTTAGTTAAATCTTATTCTAAAGATTCTGTAATAATTAATAATACCACTACTACTTCATCATCATCTAATGATTCTAATAATGGGAATAGTAATAATAGTACTAATCATAATAATAGTCAAAATCATAACAATATCAATAACAATAATAATAATAATAATGATGATAATAATCACAATAATAATCACAATAATAATCATAGTACTACCAATTCCAGCAATATCATATCTTCAGATAATGATAATCATATCGATAAATCAGGAAATAATTCTGCTAATACTACAACTAATAATGGAGCCAATAATATATCAATAACATCAAATAATGGTGGATTAAGTCTATCAACCAATTCCGAAACAAAAGAAGGTTCTGGTTCTGGTTCTGGTTCTGGTTCTGGTTCTGGTCCATCCCCTTCAGATCTTGAAGATGGTTGGGCAAATATGGATCATGAACTTTGGAAATTATGGAATAATAATTTTGCTACACGAGAATTATCAATTATAATTATTCGAACATTATTTGAAGATATTTATTTATTGGATGATCCAATTGCTTCTAAAAGAACCGTTTTATTAAATCAATTAAGTGTACTTATTATAACTCCATCAAATGTTATTGATAATATTTATGAAAGAAATCCTCATGTTTTAATATGTAAAGCAATACCTGAAGGTTGGTTTTCAATTTGGAGTAAATTTTTAATTGATATATTATCAAATAATGATGTTAAAAGTAATACTTGTCAAATATTTGTTCCTAAAATTTTATCAACTTTTAAAACTTGTTTACATTGGATTCAACCAACCGTATTAAGATCAGAAAATATAATGCAAACATTAATTAATATACTTACTTTACCTGATATAAAATTAAAAACTTTAGCAGTTGATTGTTTACATATACTTTTTACAAGAAATTATATTAATCTGGAAGATTTTGAATTTTTTATTGGATCTATTTTTACAACTGAAGGTATAAGTAAATTAAGTGAATTTTATTTATCATTAGAATTAGATCCTGAAGATATTGATGAACAACTTTATTCATTATTAAAGAAAACAGTTGAAATGATTGTTTCATTAAGTGAATATCTTAATTTATCATCAAAAAATAAAGTATCATGGGAAAATTCTGATGTTGATTCATATTTAAGATTAGTTTTAACAACCACAAATCATGCAAGTTTAATAATAAGTGGATTATCATTACAAATGTGGGTAACTATATTAAGATTTGATGAATTAAGTTCAAAAGATGCTATATTAAAAATTTTATTGGATTTATTAGAAATTGCTGCTAATAGAACCATAAATTATAATAATGATGAAGATAATATTTCTAAAAAATTTCTTGATGTTGATTTTGATAGTCCACCTGATGCATTATCATTTTTACTGAATTATAGAAAATTTAATGAAGATATTGTAAGAATAACTATATGTAAAAAACCTGAAGAAGGATTAAGATGGTTAGAAAATCGATTAGAATTATTTTTTAGTTCTAAAGTAGGTAATCAATGTATTACTGAATATAAATTAGATGAAAAATCTTTAGCATTTAATTATGGTACATCACAATTTAATATAATTGAAAATTGTATTAGAGGAATTTCAAGATGGAGAATTTGGTATAATGGAGAAGATTTTGATATTGTAAATGATCAATTAAATAAATTAGTTGAAGGATTAGGTGAAAGATTATTAGCTATGAATCTTGCCTCTCCATTATTAATTAGAAAACAAGTTCAAACTTTAGTACAATTTGCTCCATTATTAAAAGATGTTAGTCCATTAATGTTTCAAGTATTAGAAAAAATTTTAACTACCGCAACTTTTGAATATCCTGATAATATAAATGATGAAGAAAAAGAATTAATTCGAGATTTAAGAACAAGTTGTGGTACAGAATTAAATCGTTTAGCATATATTATGCCAGAATCACTTAAAAAAATTTTTAATGATTTAGAAAATGTAGTTGCAAATATTTTATCTTCAAAAAAAGTTACTGATCATGAAAATGTTGCATTTAAATCATTTTTATTAGTAATTGCTTCAAGATCAAGTATTAATGATAAAGATGAATTATTTGCTAAAATAGTTGATCCAGAATTATCAGCTTGGTCAGCTCCAGAAACTGAAAAGGGTTTAATGGATTTACATTGGTTTATGGAAAGAATGGGAATAGTTGAAATTGCATCATATTTTCAAAAACGTGGTATAACTGCCACCACTAATCTTTTAGAAGCAAAAATGGATGAAGAAGGTCGATTATTAAAGAATAGATTAAAAGATCATTGGTCATCAATTTTCCCTATACGAGCCACGAGAATTTTTATACAATATAGTATAGAAAAATTAAGTCATGATTCACCAGAATATCTTAATTTATTAAAATTATGGAAACCAAGAGTTAGACCAATAATTCCTCATATTCTTCAATTATTAACTCAAATTCAAGCTTATCATAATCCAGAAAATTGGAAAGATTTACCTGATGCTGTACAAGCATTTGTAAGATATAGTTGTATGGAAAGATTTTGGCAACAAGGAGTTTCAATTCAATCAAAGGAAACTTTTATTGAAGAAAATGTTAAAGCAGCATTAACTTTAAGAGATTTTGCTGATTCTGTTGGACATTTAATAAGATATACTCGAGAATATGCCTTTTTAACTATTGGATCTTTATCACAATTAGAAGATACTTTATATGAAATTCCAAATATTGCTACTATGTTTTGGAAAGCTGTTGCAGGTGATACTCTGGGAGTTACTTTACATAGTTGGAAACATATGATTAATAGTAGTTTAAGAAGTGTTATTAAATTTTGTCCAGTTAAATATGTTGATGTATTTATGGCTGAATTATTACCAAAAGCATTTATTGATATTGATAAATTAATAGTTAGTAGATGGGAAAAAGTTTATCAAAATGGATTAAAATTACAAGGTAATGAAGACGATGAAACATTATCAGAAGAAATGATGGAAGAACATATGTTAAGACAATTAACTGCCACAGTAGTTCGATTTTTAATGGATGTTGTAAGTCAATATAATGCTAAATCAATAACTGATACTCAATTTGCATGTCGAAGATTAATAATTGAAAATAAAGAAGTTATGGCACCATTTTTACAAATTTGTTGTCATATAATTATGTTTAAAGATACCAAATGTTCATTTAATACAATATTAGTTGTAAGAAATGTTTTACTGGAAATTTTATTAAAAGATGATGAAGTTGATATTTATTTATGTGATAATTTAATGAAAGCATTATTACAAGTTTTAATGGATGATTATTTTATTGAAACTCATGGAGAAGCAGCTGTGGCATTTACTACATTATATTGTAGTTTAAGATCAAAGAATGATTATCCAGCTCGAGTTATGATACAATTTTTACCAAATATAACTACTCAACATGTTAGTACTTTTGAAGGATTATTAGTTAGTAGTAAATCTTTAAGACATCAAAGAGCAGCAGTATTAGAATTAATTAGAATTGCAAAAGAAACTTCTGAAGAATCTGATGAATTAGATAAACGTAAGAAGCAACTTGAATCTGCAGGATCAGCAATAAAGAAAAAGTCAACTGGAATAGATATGATGAATGATCCATTTACTGAAAATGCTCCTTTAGATAATTTATTTGGAGAAGCTTAGGGTAATGTATAATTGTAATAAGTTTAATGTATTTAGTCGTATTGATTGGTGGTGTAGACTGTAGTAGTATGCTGTTAGGATACTGTAGTAGGATACTGTAGTAAGTATAGAATAGTATACGGTAGTACTCTACAGTGTAATGCAGTAGAGTATTGGGGAATAGTACAGTATACAAAGTGTATAGTATAGCAGTGTGGTATAAGTTCTGTATAGAGGTATAAATTCTACTCGTCTCAGTATTTACACTATATACTCCACACTTTTATTTACACTATATACTCTACACTTTAGTATAGTGTAGTCCACTCTATACTAATATCTTTGATATTCTATACTCTACACTTATAGTATTGTTTAGTAGAGAGAGTAGTAGTAGAGTATAGAGAGAGTAGTAGTAGAGTATAGAGAGAGTAGTAGTAGAGTATAGAGAGTAGTAGTAGAGTATAGAGAGTAGTAGTAGAGTATAGAGAGTAGTAGTAGAGTATAGAGAGAGTAATAGTAGAGTATAGAGAGAGTAATAGTAGAGTATAGAGAGAGTAGTAGTAGAGTATAGAGAGAGTAGTAGTAGAGTCACTATCTATCCTCTATCCTCTACATCCAAGCATTCACTAAGCATTCAAGCATACAAGAATACACTATCTAACCTCTACCCTATATCCTCTATATCTAACCATACACCAAGCATCCAGCCATACAACCATTCAAGCATACAAATACTCCAAGTTATCGCGACATTGCAGCCAGCAAGTCGCACCCTCACACGCACACGACACTCACCGTATAGCACGACATGCACCAACAACTCATAATAACCAAAGACGGTAATTAATCCGGTTACCAATACTTTTCATTAACTATTTATTTACTACCTGTATATCCCCAGCAACCAACCCATTGACATAACTAAATATAAAAGTTATCATATACAAAATAAAATATACCATACCTTAGTAAAATAAATAAATAAATCAATAAATCAATAAATCAATACATATTAATAAGTTCCACTATGCCTATTAAATCACTTGAATCATACTTATTCGAAAGGAAATTAGCTGGAACTAGTTCTATTGAAATTTTACAAAATGCAACTATTGGTATAGATGTTGAACATTATTTATCAAGAATATATACTTTTAAAAAGGAACAATTTTTATCAGCCATTGGAGGAGTTCCATCATCATTAAAAGATTATATTCAATCAGATTTATTAGTATTTAAAGAATTTAATATTAAACCAATATTTATAATTTCTGGTTTAAATATTCAATTACAATCTCAAGATTTAAAACCAAATGAATTATCATCTCATGAATTACAATTAGAATCAACTTGGAATAAATTAGCTGCTAAACAACCTTATTCTTATAATTCAATTGAAACTTTTAGATTATTTACTGATCCTTTACCTTTAAGACCAATGATTAATGATTTAATTAAATTCTTTATTGAATTTGGTATAGATTATCTTGTAGCCCCTTATGATCCATCATTTCAATTATCTTATTTATATCAAAATAATATAATTGATTCAATTTATGGTTCAACTGATTTATTATTAACAAAAGTTGATAAATTTATTTTAGGAATGGAATTTCAATCAAAAGATTTTAGATATATTGATAAATTAAAAGTTTTAAATGAATTACATTTAACTGAACGTCAATTTTTAGATTTAAGTATAATGGTTGGTTGTACTTTACAACCAACAACTTTCCCAAATTTCCCTCCTTTACCAAAACCAAATCCAATTCAACCTTATCCTCAATTAAGTTATTTTAAATTAGGTTTAGATATAATTTATCAATATAATTCATTTAATAATAATGCTGATTTATCTGGTTATATTGCTAATCTTAATGATCCAAATTTATTAGATTTATATTATAAAGGTCATTCAGCTTTTAAATATTTACCAGTATTAAATAAAGAAGGAATTGTTGAATTATATAGTGTTGAAATGGCAAAACTTGATATTTATGATAAAGAATTTTTATTACCAATTCCTAATGATTCAAATGCAAATTCAAATACAAATACAAATCAAAGTGAAAAAGTTACGGTAGTTGTAACTGATAAATCAAAACTTATTAAAGTTCCAACTGATGTTCATGATATAATTTCTCAAAGATTACCCCCTGAATTTTATTTTTATCAATCTATTGGACTTTTACCAATTGAATTATTAGAATCTATTACTAAAGGTCAATATGATATAAGACCTCCATTAGAAATTGCTATGAATGATACTTATAGAAAATTAATTAATTCAAAATTAATTATTGATAGTTTAGATTATCAATTTAATTTAATTACTCAATTATTAGCTCGTTATTATCAAGTTAAAAAGATTGCTGTTAAATATTGGTATAAAGAAGATGTATTGGATTTAAATAATAGATTAACTCCTCCAATATCTAAAAGAATTGATAAATTATTTATTCAAAGTGATGAATCAAGTGAAACATTTGATTTAAGTAAATTCTTTAAAAATTTAGTTGATAATAAAGAAAATTTAAGTCAAGCTTATATTTCTACTAAAGAAATTAAAACAAAAGAAGATACAATTTCAACTATTTTCTTAAGAACTTTATATTTATTTGGTTTTATTAATGAAAAGAAAGAATTAGGTTCATTAGGAAGAATCTTTAAAAAGTTTGTTGAACAGATTGATGATAAAATTGATCAAACTAGTTTACAAAATTTATTTTTACTTTTATTTTTAATTGATACTAAAACTGTTAAAGTAAATGAAGTAAATCGAGATTTTTCAAGTGTTTCAAGATACTTTCAAGATTATAATCTGAATCAAGATGGATCTTTACCAGTTGGAGTTAATGATTTAACCCCAACTGAAGGTAAATCAATTTCATTAATTTCTAGAGTATTTTCTTTAGTTAAATTTAATATTGCACCAATTAATTATCAAGGACCAATTTCAAGAAAATTATTAAATTTTAGAAGTCATGTTAAAGTTCTTCAAACTCAATTAATTCATACAATTCAATCAGTTTTGATAGATTTCCTTGTTCATCAAAATAATAATAATATTAAAATTACTTATAGTGAAAAGGAAAAATGGTATGGATTAGTTTCTCAATTACCATTCTTTAAAGATATTAATAGTACATTATTAGGAGTGGTTTCAGAAATATATTTTAAATATTCTTTGAAACAATCTAAACAAGGTAAGAAAGATAAAGATGAGATTATTAAAACTACTAAAGATCATATTGCTAATCATGTATTCCAAGTAACTACTCCGTCATTTAATATTAATGTTAATGGAATTAATTCTATAACTTCCGAACAATTATGGAATGATTTAAGTTCGGGAGTTAAATTCTGGGGACACTTTGTTTCCTTAACCAAAATAGCCAATGAAGAGGATAAGAACTTAATCAGTGATGAATTCTACCAAGATGTCATTGCTGCTGATGAGTTGTTGAAGTCTTATTTATAGAACCTATATACATATTATATACTGTAGTGTAGTTTTATATATACATTAGTCTTCTTCTTCTTCCCCACTAATTATGTGTCCCTAAAATTTGTGTCGCTAAAATTTGTGTCGCTAAAATTTGCGTCGCTAAATTTCTCAGTAAACAAAAAAAATCAGCCTAGAAATATTTACCTACGGTGAGTACTGAAGACAAAAGCTACTGAAACAAATTGGCTTTAAAGTACTACAGGACAGAATGAGTTGGAGTTGGAGTTGGAGTTTGAGTCAGAAATTGTCGTCGAGATCACTCAGTACGTCGTTTACGCGATTGAATAATATTTCAATAGCAGAAAGACCACAATTTACTGGAAATGGACCATTTATTGAATTACCAGAATTTAATCCAATAGGTAGTCCCAGTAAATTATTAAATATTACTTTACCACAATCTTCAAGATTAAATATAAGACATGGATCTATAGTGGCTATAAATGGTGATATAGGTCAATTAGTAAGTTATACAAGATCATTAACTAAATTTACAACTTATCAAGAATTACATTCACAAGATTCTGTATCATTTATAATTAATGGGAATAATAAAAATTATACAATTCTTAATAGTGAATCAACAACAAAACCTTGGACAATATTAAATGATGAAAATATTATTGCATGGACAGGATATAATTTTCAACTTGAACCAATTAAAGTACTTGAAAAATTTAGAAGTTTTCAAACCTCTGGTAAAGGTACAATTGTAATTAATGGAGATAATGAATTATTTGATATAAATTTAAATGAAAATGAATCTATATTACTTAATCCAACTAGTTTAATTGCTACTGATGGTAAAATTCAATTTAAAGTTATTAATGGAGAAAATAATACTCGTATATGGAACTTATTATCATCGCTTAAATTACCGACATTTACATTACCTACCACGGGTTTAATAGGTCTGATAAATAATTCCATAACAGGAAATTATAACCAATTCAAACACGCGATTGTTAAACAAACGACATCTAATGATGCGGTCCAATGGATCAATAAATCTTGGAATCAAATTTCGTCCACCATAAATAGTGCTTATCATTGGATAAAACTTCGACTTACAGGTACAATAATTAAGAAGAAACCTATATTTGTAGATATTAGAGGTCCAGCTAGATTAATTATTAGTAACAATACTGTAATCTCAAATCACAGATTGTTTACGAAATCCGAAATCCAATCCATTTACGAAGTAAGTAAGTAAATGAATTTAATTTAATTTAATTTAATTTCTCCGAGTTATAAATAGCAATATATACATATACAGTGGTTCATAATTTTTTTTTTTGTGTATCTTTGACAGATTTGTCAATATACTGAGGGGAACCGGTTAGAAAGATTACTGTTCAATATGGAACTAATGTATAGAAATGTACCAATGTAAAAAGTTATAAGTTATAAGTTATAAGTTTTAAATTAGTTTAAGGATTATACTCAACTTCTACTATTTTCATATGAGTGACACGCCTCACGTTCGATAGATATGGTGGTGTGGCTTTTAAGGTAAGGTACCATAGCGAAGGAAGTTTTGGATCAGTAATATTCATAACACATAATTCTTGTTCTGTGCAGAAACGATCTATGTAGCTTAACAAAATAGAAATATTATTTTTAGTTTTACCAAAATAGAGTACTTAGTCGACAATGTTTAAACATAACTTTTTCATGCATGTTCGATATCCATTGTTTAACTAGAATTTTGTCCTTAATAGGATAAAATAAAATTTTTAAATCCTGATTGTAGTGGGCTACACTTTACATTTTACATTTTACTGTAGTATACAATTTACAATTTACAATTTATAATTATTTTCATTCATTCCAGTATAAATTATAAATTATAAATTATATATCATATTAATCATTAAGTATATAAATACTCAAGTATATAGCTTAGGTATAATTCTTGTATTGTGTAAAGTATCGTGTATCGTTGCGAACCATATAAATTTTTACTACAGCAAGCATTGTTCCAGTAAAATTCGCATCCATCGCTATCACAATTACAATCAAAATTCAATCGAAATAAACTCCCCCCAATACCCTTACAATAGCAATCATATTGTCTAGCATAAAATTTGTTTTACCATATTCAAAAAAAAAAAAAAATTATTAACATTCCTATATCTGTGGAAATTCTTTATTAAACAATTGCAAAGTTGAAATCAGGCAAGGCTAATAAAAAATTTGCTTTTTTCCTTTTATAAATTTATAGTGGGTGTAGAAATTTTGATTTAAACCCTGTCGAAATTTAACATTTTACTAAATCATTTTAGTTTGAAAATTTTTGATTTTGTTGATAATAACCAAAGGTGTTTTTCAATCTTTTTTTTTTACTTCCGGGTCATTAAGTGAAAAGAGGTAGGTCACATGGTAGATTATGGAAATTTATAAGATAACTAATCCCGAACAATGGTCATACTTTGCTAAGGGTCAAGCTAATATATTATTTAAATATAATGGGAATCATGAATATCTTAAACATAAATTATTAAGAGTTAGACTCTTTAAAGAGGATAAACAATATATAACAACTTGTGAACTTTATGATTTTATTGAATTAAAGTGTAAAAATTTATTCCCTCAACAAATTATTGATGTTCAATTAGTTGTTTTAACAACTGATTTTGTAAATCAATTAGATTCAAAAGGTGATAAATTACAAATTGGTGAAAGGTATGGATTATTAATTCCTAATATTCTTCATGGTAATTATGATAAATCAATTTTATCTAAAAATTGTAATTTATATTATGATTATAAACCTCAATCAAATGATAAAATTGATTCAGTAATATTTGAATTAAAACCTAAATGGTTATATGATAATACTTCATCTAATTATTGTCGGACATGTCTGTTAAATCAATTAAAAGGTTTTAAAAGACATTATTGTCCTTTGGATTTTCTTTATGAAGAAACAATAGATCAAGGTTTAAATGATTTATTTGATCCAATACCACAAGATATTATTCAAAAGATTGAAGTATCAAATAAAATTCCATTAAAACAATTATTTCGAATGTTTCTTAATAATCCTGAAAATGTGTTTTTAAAATTAAAACAATATCAAAAGATTAATAATAAGAATGATTTAATTAAAAATCTTTCTTCACCTAATGATGTTCTGCAAAATTTATCATTAGTAATGACACTTCGAGATGTTGGTCTATTTATTAAATTTGAGAAATATGATAAATCAAGTAATATTCATAATTCTCATGATAACGTATCCAATATTGTCCTGGTTGATAATTTGGGTAAATTCGTTATAACTTGTAACATTTATGATTTAGATTTAAAATCAAATACCAAATATAAACATTGGTTAGAGATTGAAGAACAATTACAACCAATTTATAATTCAACTAATCCAAATTGGAAACATTGTACTGGAGTAACATCTGATGGTACAGTTATTAAACATTAATGACTCTTGATGAGGAATACCATACCATACCATACCGAACGGCTTGCATTTTATTTACATTTCATTATTTATAATTCATTCATACATACATACATATATATATATAGTTATACTTTTTCATCTTTTGGTTATAGATTCTGTACAATAGGATTATTAGACTACGATCTTTAATATTATTTCTATTCATATTATTATTATTATTATTGTAATTATAGTTATTATTACTATTACTATTACTATTATTATAGAAACAACGTACCAATCATACAATTACCAAACATCTTCTTGATATCTATTTTGAACTTTGAATGATCTAACTAATTCACCAGCCTTTTCTTCAGATATACCTCTACCTTCAGCTAAAATCTTACTAAAACTAGCTTGTACATCTCTTGCCATATGGGATGCATCACCACAAACATAAATGAATGCTCCTGATTCTAATAATTTATTTATCTTATCCTTTTGTTCTAAGATCTTATGTTGAACATAAACTTTTTTATTTGGATCATGTCTTGAAAAGGCAGTAAATATTTCAAAACTTTCTCCTAATTCTTTAGCATATTCTGGCCATTCTTCCTTATATAAGAAATCTTCATTTTCATTTCTACATCCATAAAATAATAAAGTTTCACCTATAGTTGATCCATTCTTCTTTTGTTGAATTCTATCTCTAATAAATCCTCTTAATGGTGCAACACCAGTACCTGGTCCTACTAATATAACAGGAATATTTGGATTTGATGGTAATTTAAATGTTGATCTTCTAACATGAACAGGTAATTTAAAGTTAGAGAATTTACCTCTTGGACCTTTTAAGTCATAAGTAACAACTGGTTTATCAGATGATTTATTTTGAACAATTTCAATATTTTTTAATAAATTTGTAACTACTCCAGTTACCCAACGATTATCTTTCTTTTCTGTTTCAATAACAGCTGTAACATTAATGGTAGTCTTTTCACTTAATGAAGAAGAAGAAATAGAATAATAACGAGGTTGTAAATGAGCCACATTTTCAATAAGATATTCAAATGGTACTTTAGTCCAAGGTTTACCTTGAGAAACATATAATAAAGTATCAGCAATATTAAATAAATTTTGAGTTATTTCTTGAGCAAAAATTGCTTTATCATTACCAATTTTATTAGCCCTTTGTTTACTAGCATCATCAGGAGCAAAACTTGCAATAGCTGATAAAAATTGTCTAGAAACAGGACCTGAAATTTCTAAATGATGTCTAATAACTGCACCATAAGTAATTGGAGTTGGGAAAGGAATTGCAATGGTAGGATCTAACTTTTTCAATTGGAAAACGGTATCATTCTTAGATTCTAAACCAAATGCTTTTATAAAAGTTTCAATATTTTCATTTGAATTTGATGGCCAAACTGCTAAATGATCACCAGTAGAATATCTTAAATTTGAGTTAGATATATCAAATTCAATATGAACACAACTTCTATCATTACTAGTAAATAATTCTCTTGATTTAGTAATTTGAGCTAAATATGGATGAGAATGATCAAATGGTCCCTTTGATAAATCTTTAGTTCCAGTAATATAAGATTTATTTGGTTCACCAAGTGATACTTCAGAATCATCAATGGTTAAGAAATCACTTTCTTCAAGTTTTAAACCTGGTTCATAAGTTAATTCCTTTTCTTCAAAATCTAATTCATTCTTTAATGTATCAAATACTGATTCTTTCCAAGTTAAAAAATCTTCATCTAAAGTACCTTTACCATCATCACCTTCACCATAAGTTGCAAATCTTTCAGCCCCTAATTCTTCGAATTTTTCATTTAATTTTCTACCCATTGAATTATAAAATTCATAAGTTGAATTACCTAATCCGAATACAGTATATTTTAAACTTGATAAATTATCAGCTTCATTTTCTAACCATTCAACAAATTCATTAGCATTATCAGTTGGTTCACCTTCTCCATAAGTTGCTACCAAATAAAAACATAAAATATCATTAGGAATATCACCAAAATTATCAAAATCATAATCTGAAAAATCCACAGTCATTGATTTTAATCCAAATCTTGAACTTAATTCTTTAGATAATTTAGATGCATAATCTTCAGCAGTTCCTGTTTGAGATCCATAAAATACAAGAGTATTTTTCCCATTTCTTTTAATAGTTTCTAAAAGATTTCTACCTGAATTACTACTAGCTGGAAGGAATCCTGAATCATCTTTAGTTGGAAATAATTTCTGTTTAGCGAGATAAGCCAATACTGCTACGGCTAGTGCAATAAATACTGATAAGTCTAAAGTATCCAATGCCATAGTTTTGTTGATTTTCTATATTTATATATATATATGTATTATATTAGTTAACTACCTAATAATTTAGGTGTATACAAACCTTATGAATTATATATATATATATCAGTTAAGTATTGACCGGTCTATGTCCGATCTGGTTGAATAATTTTTTGGTGGGGCAATCCGAAGCTTTTCGTATGGATTTTTGAAATTTCACAGGCGAAGTGCGACTTTTTTACAATTGCGACTTGTCACTAGTAGTCGTCGTATGCGATGTCGTTGCCTGATGAGTATGGGGTTACGACTACTAAAGACAGTTGACAGCGATAAGGTTATGAGTTACGAATTGTCGAATTGTTACGAATTGTTACGAATAGTTTAAGTTACAGGAACCAAGTTAAATTTCTAAATTCTATGTATTACTCCAGGGTTTACGTGCCTGTCTAAAGACGTTGGGACAACATTATTTAAAGCTGTGAAAAATTCGGGCGCTGTTTCCTAATTAGGAAACACATTCCTTGTTTAGTAGAATAATCTAATACTATTTAACACTACTAGAGAGGGGAGTTTGTAGAACTTCAATATGAGTATGCTAATCACTAACCTACTTTGGTATGTGCATTCTAAAAATTTGTGGGCTTCATACATACTTTGACTCGCATCAAACAAATCACATGTAAGTTTCCTATATAGGATAAATATCCTTGTTTCCTATCTATATATTATATCTCTTCCTTCATGTGACATCTATAATTTTCATTTTTATTTAGACATTAGAAAAATAATTCAATCTGTAGTTTCAATTGCTTCTTCATCATTAGGTCTATCACTTTCATTTACTGGTGTATTAACTTCGGTACCTACAGCACTAATATCTTGACTTAGTTCAACTCCATAAGCTCTATGAATAGTTACAACGATTCTTTCTGCTGTAGTACTATCAAATTTATCACCAAATAAAACTTTAAAATATTCAAATACACATTGTGGTGTAAATTCAATTAATGATCTTCTACCTAGACTATAATCAATAATATTTTCTGATTCTGTAGCTCCCTTTTTAATATCTTTTAAAAGATATTCTCTCTTTGTTAAATCATTAATTATTTCAACACTATTCATATTTATATTACTATTCTTAATACTTAAACTTTCTGGTATACCTCTTTTCTTTAATAATTTAATTAAATCATGTTCTGATAAATGATTCTCAGATAGTATTATAAATGAAACAATATATAACATTATACCAGTTCTAATTAATTCAAAATTTGATAATAATGTTGAAGTTTTCTCTTTCTTTGGTATAAGGAATTTATGTTGACTTGAATCTCTTTCATTAGGTACTAAAAAATCACTTGACTTTTGCCATAACTCCCCTAAAATTTGTTGTGATTCTGAACTTAAACAATTAACTACCATATATGGTTGTTTAGTTTTCGTTATCTTTTGACTTAATGATCTTGAACTTTTCTTATCCTTCTTAATTACGGGAACTTCAACTAATTTTAATCCATATACTTCTTGTAAAACATTATCTGCTTCAGCAATAACTGTATCTAAATGAAATCTTCTGGTGTTTGTGTTAACTGCTTGAGCAAAATGTTCTCTTCTTATAAATTGATCTCGAACATCTCTACCCAATACTATTCTAATAACTTGTCCAACAGCTTCATTCAATCCATGTCTATTATGATTTTCTTCATGGTCTGCTTCGTCATATTGAGAATCTGACTCTTCTTCTCCTATTTGAACTTCTGATTCTTCGTCCTCTTCATCATCCTCTATTCTTCTCTTCGGCATTGTCTTATATATATTTCCTTAGTAATTGTAGCTTGTAATAAGTTACTATTCGTCTTTGGTACACGTCCAGCTTTGCTGCAATATTTTGATCTGGCACAACAAATAAATTCACTCACTAAAGATGCCTCCAATCCTACATACAACATAAAGGTTAAAGTTACTTATATACCCCCCTTTGGCCCTATATAACGACTTCAGTTCAAAGTTTAAAGTCAAAAGCTCTAATAACCGCAAGTCAGAAACCAGAGAAACAGAATCTATGTTGTAACTATATCTATAGGAATGACAAACATTCAAACAAATAAATATCAGAAACTTGATCAATAAAGTGGTCAAGTTGATGGTCAAGTTGAAGCACTACAAATCGTTGATCAAAATCAACTGAACGAACTTTAAACACCCGACACTAAGACAGTTAGCAATAACTCTATCATAATTATTGCAACATCTATAATTATCTTCGTAGTTTTACTATTTCTATGCATAGAATATTACTTATATAGATAATACACGACTTCTCAGTTTGAAACACATTGGCCGCAAAATTTTGGCTGAGACGCGGCGGTTACTGTACCCAAAACTTTTTAGCAATCATTTATTAAATTCACTATTTACTAATTCAAACTCATAATAGTTATTAACTATTGGTGAAGTAATGGCTGAATATTCAGATATACTACATAATAATCTAAATAATCAAAATAATCCAAATGTTTATGAGGAAAATACTAATTTACTTCCTCCTTCTTATACATCTTCATTAGCTTATAAGCTTCTTCCCTATTCTTATCCTTGCACTTATTCTTATCCGACGCAACCAATGTTTTCCAATGTTAATTATAATCAATTATATCCACCATTTAGTCAAATATTTTCAGTACCAATATCTTATGATTTCAATGAAAACATGTACTATAATGGGAATTGGAATGGGAATTGGAATTGGAACTGGAACTGGAATTGGAATTCTCAGCGACAATTGCAATATGAATTACAAGAGCAACATCGCCTAAGGCAGCTACATTCACAAACAAATTATAAAGTCAACCTACAACTAAAGCCAATAGAATATCGAGTTACAGAAGTGGAGACTAATATCTTTGATGAAATTGATCATGTATTATCGAGCACAAATTCAGTTAAAGAATCTAGTGTTTATTCACTGTCATCTGTATATCCTCAAGAACCTGATATGTCATTTAGAGAAAAGGTTCATAAATGGTTAAATAATATTCCTTATTTTTATGAAGGAGATACAATAAATGTAGAATGTTATCGTCCTAAGGGTAACTATACACTTCCAATGGATAAATCCGAATCATTTGATTTTTATGAATTATCATCCAATGGTGAAAAGATGGAATTACAAGCTCGTGATATTACACGATTAACAACTAAAATATATTTGAAAGAAATTGAACCTGTTTACTATGAAGCCGTTGAACAAGATACATCTGGAGATTATCAAGTAGTTCAATATGAGGGTTTAGAGCAAATGATTCAACGAGAGGTACCCTTTGAACAATATATACAAGAATATCAACAACAGAGTTATGATGATTTACAATACTGAACATCACTATTAAGATTAAGAACACTTTTATTTTACATAAATATACATTAACTCTTTTATTATTATTATATTTTACCTATAAAAATAAATCCAATTCATCTATATTATAATTAATATCTTGAGTATCAGGAAGTGTTTCTATTTTAGGATAATAAGGAACTAATGCATCAACATTATGAACATAAGCAGTATTATATATCTTCCAATATGGATTTCTAACTTTCTTTGCAGGATGAAATAATCCTGCCCAAATATAATTAGTAAATACTCCATTTCCAAGGGCTAACCTAATTGCTTCAACACTTTCAAGAATTCTTATAATAACATGAGGAGATGTTTCATAAATATTAGGTATAACAAGATTTAAAAAATGAATAAAGATTTCTTCATTGGCTAAACCAATACAGTTTAAAGCAATATGTCTAATGACTGTTGCAGCAGTTTGTCTATGAACTAAATCTCTATCAGTTAAAGCATCTTCTAATAAAGGACTAATAGCAAATAAATAATCTTTAGCAGTGGCTCCATCTAAATATTCAAATAGGAATGTTAATGCTTTTAAAACCCCATTCTGAACATTCTTTTCTGGAATTCTATATTCATTCATAATGGCTGGTAAGACTGTAAATGGAGAACAAGTTTCGGCAACTATCCCCATTGCTACTGCAGTACAAACTCTTAATTGACGTTCTTGAACTCTTAAATTGTTTAATAACATTACTATAACATCTTGAGGTCCTACAGTTTTTGCAATATGACCAAATGTATCATTTGCAGCCACTCTAATTCTCTTTTTAGTTGATTTTAACATTTCAAGTAATTCAAAACAAATACGCATCCATTCCTTTGCATTAATTGTTTCAGGACTCTTATTAGCAATTAATCCAACCAATTTAATAGAAGCTTCTTGAACCTTTTCTTGTCTATTCTTTAAGATTGGAGTTAAAGAAGGTAAAATTTGATTGACTGAAGGATTTTGCATGGCATATAAGTTTGATTTATTTTGAGTATCAATACAAGCAAATAATGCATTAATTATAGATCCTAATACATCAGGATAAACTTCTCCTAATGATTCATATAAGATTAAAATTAATTTAGGAATAATACCATTATCAGGTTCTGAACATTGATTAATTGTTGAAGCTAAAATAGTAATTAAATCAGCGGCTTGTTGTCTAATTTCTGCCAGTTCATTCTTCAATCTATAAAGAATTGTACTAATGATTGAATTCATATGAGGCAGTAAACGAATATTAAGAGCTTTTGCAACTGCTCCAAAAGCTTGTAAATATATTCTTTGATGAATGGTTTGTTCTTGAAATGCATAAAGAATTCCATCCACTAGATTAGTTTCTAAATGAGAATCTAAAGCTAATAATTCATCAGGATTTGATGAAGTTAATTTATAAATGGCTTGTACTGCTAATCTTCTTAATTGTTCATTATCATCCTTTGAATAATATACTACATGTTGTAAAACATCTAAGAAATTAAATCTAATAGCCAATTCATTTGTTGCATCTACTACTAATTTTGATATTTGTTTAATATCAGAAGCAGTTCTTCTATTCCAAAAGGATTTAAAGAATGGTTGAATAATTTCTTTATTATAATTAGGGATAAGCTTCCTACTAAGTGGTAAACTTGATAATATTTTAAGAATTGTTTTTCTCATATCATCATCAGGAGAATTAAATTCTCTTACCATAACTATTACAATTTCCTTAGTATAATAATTAGAATATTCTTCATAAGTATTATCATATTGCATAAGTGGTATAATTGATCCAATACATTTTAAAAATGCTGCTAAGGATTTACCTCGATGTCTTTTTAATCCAATCCAAGCTGGTTCAAGAATAGTTTCAAAAGATTCAATTCCAAAGGGTTTTACATTTTCTGCTAATTGAGTTAATGTTAAAGCAGTTATAATTCTGACCAGCAAAATTTCATCCATTAAGGTTGGTTTTAAGATTTCAACTAATTGAGATAAATATGGTAATATTGAATTTCCATTACCTTCACCTAATATAATACATAATTGTTGAATTATTTTTATACCAGTATGACGAGCCATCCAATTTTTTTTGGATTTAATTACGGCTTTTAAAAATGGTAAAAATGCCGACAATCCTAAAGTATTAGCTACTATAGCACAAACTCTTGAAGATATATTTCTAACAAATTCATCAGTATGATCAATATCTGGTCTTATATTTGATATCATATTAGCCATTCCTGCAGCTTTAGTTAAATTCGATATAATTTCTCGAGCTTCAAGTCTTAAAGTAAAATCTTCATCAATTAATAATGGTGCTATAACAATTAATATTTTATTGGTATGAGGTCTTACTAATTCATCTAATTGGAAAAGTATTCTTCCCACTAATTTAACTAATATATGTCTTTCTGATTGTTCCAAACTAGGTTCTACCAAAAGGGGTAATATTTGTCCTAATAGAATATCGGCTCCATACTTTCGAGAATTATCAGTAAGTTGTCTTAATGAACGTTTACGAGCAATTTGAGATCCATTCTTAACTTTAAGAATTAATTTCATCACATTGATTTCTTTTCTTTCTTCTTTTGATTTGGGTTCAGTTACATGAATTAATTTGCCAAAATATTTCATATCTTGTTCTTTAAAGAATTGTAAACCTTTAACTCCGGGAATATCTGTTGGTAATTGATTTCCTAAGGCTATAGCTGATTTATAATCGGAAGTTTCTGAGGGTGGTATATACATATCAATAGATGCTTCCGTTAAATCTGGAATTGATTCATATTTCTCAGTATACCCCACTGGTGGATTTACTTTAACATATCCTGATGGTAATATTTTATCTAGTATAGAATCAGTTAATGGTATACCTCCAACTACAGCAACTTTAGTATTACTATGTAAAAGTTCTCCTATAACACTTTTAACTTTCTTATTGGACTCAGATATATGTAGTTCTCCTGTATCTGTTTGATATTCTTCAGGAGTTACATCCCATCTACGCTTTCTTGTTCTTGTTCTTGTACTGGTACTGGTACTGGTACTAGCACCAATAGTCTGCTGTTTCTTCTCCTCCACTAGGGCTCGAACCCGTTGCTCTTCTCGCTCCAATTCTCGTCTCTCCATAGTCTCCTTATAACTTAGAGACTTACTGAAATCCAATTGCTCGGCTCGTTGGTATCGTCTTTGCTGATACTCATTGCTCACTATATCTTTCTGCAACTCTTTTGACAAGATGGAGTCCTCCTGCTTATGTTCACGACGGAGTTCTTGAGCCAATTCAAATGGAATGGTATAGCTCCCGGCAAGCGTCTGCTTGCTTCCATTCTCTGACGGCATATGTGTAGTGCGATGTAGTGTGATGTAGTGTAATAATGGCGGTAGTAGTGGTAGTAGTAGTAATAGTAGTGGTAGTGGAGATATCGCTTTTCGATGGCCTACCAAAAAAATTGTTCGAGTAGTACTTGACCTTATACAACTGTTTAGTACTGTACATACACCACTCCAAATCAGATATGGCAAGTCAGAGCTCAGTGGTACTATTGAACAGACTCATCTCCTCGAAGGAATCGTCTCCATTTTTGTTGGTGGTGGATTCACTTACGCAATCGTCATATCATCTCATCGCTGAGATAGCCTACAAGAGTAAAGGTACTATCATATACTTATCTTATGAAACTGTGAACAAACCAGATTATGCAGATGAGTTCATTGATTGTACTAGTTTAAGTAATGGAGAGATTGTTAAAGTAGTTAAGTCTAAAATTACTAGTAAAGTTGGTGGTGGAAGTGGTGTAGGAGGAGGGTCTCGAACTTTAATTATAATCGATTCATTAAACTATATAAACAATAATGAAATAACTACTTTTATAGGAGGAATATCCGATCCATCCATTACGGTGGTAGGTACTTTCCATGTAGATAGTTTACAAGCACAAGCTAACAATTCATATTATCCAAATTCATTATCATTATTATCATTCATAGCAAGTTCTATCTTTGAAGTTGAACCATTTCATCAACAGTATATTGAAGAAGAAAGTTTACTGAATAGTATAAGGAAATTAAATATTCCTATAAATAATGGTTTAAATTCTCCAATATTTAAACTTACATTAACTAATAGAAGAAAATCAGGTAGATCATTGATATATATTTATAAAATAGATACTACAAGTCATGAATATGAAGTATATAAGGAAAGTCAACAAGATGAAATTGATCCTGAGGATGAAAGCTTGTTAAAGGATTTAACGACATTTAATTTGACTACCAATTCTAAACAAAAGCTTGCTAGAGAACAAGTAGAACTTCCATTTATGGAAGCTCAAGAGGCATTAGGATCATCGGGTGGAGCCATTGTATATGAATTCGAAAAGGATGATGATTACGATGAAGAGGATCCTTACGAAGATCCCTTCTGATATGTAAATAATAATAATTATTATTATAAATTATTAAAATAAATATTATTGTATGCATTAATCATTAATTCATCTAGGAATATATAATAGTAATCTAATAAATAGTAATCTAATAAATAGTGATCTAATAAATAGTAACTTTTTAAATATATATATCTGTATATGTTGTTGTATCATTTCCTTCCTACAGGTCTTGATACATTCTTAACATCTCGTAATTTCTTAACAGTATCCCAATCTTCTACATTCTTGGCTTCATCAATTTTGGCATTAATATCATGATTCCAAGTTATCCAAGAATTATATGATTCAAACGTTTTAGGACCATATTCATCAGTTTCAGAAGTTATTGGAGTTGAAGAACTAGTACAAAGCCAAGTTCCACCTCTATCCCATAAACCTTTACCCTTTAATGAAGCACATCTCAGTAATTCTTCCATAGTTGGTACAGGTCTGGCAATCATAAGATATTGAAATCCATTCTTTTTCAGTAATCGTTTCATTTCTTCTTCTCTTCTTAAATCTTCAAAATATAATACAGGAATAAAAATCTTTAGAATATCTCTAGGTATCCATCGGGTTAATACTTCCAGATCTAATCTTACATAATGATAATCACTATCTAAATTAGTAGATTTTCTAGGAAATTGAGTATGAAAGTAACTTGAACGATCTACCACTGTATTAGTACCACTTCTACCATGCATAAGTTGAAACAGTTCTGAATCTTTAGAAAAGAAATTTTCAGCAGTATGTCGTACAGTTTCTGATACTTGATCTAAAGTTCCATTATAGTCTACTTCTCCTTGATGCAAATTATTTAATTGTTGGATGTAAAAATTTTCATCTCTTGTTATTAGGTCATCAAACATAATTAACTATAGTATGGTATGGTATTACTTATCTGTTACACAATATTCATAAATAGTAAATAGTAAATTGTATATTGTATATAGTAAATGTGGGACTTTGTTATCTAATAATGCAAATCAGGGGAATTCGAAATTGGAAATTTAATTCGGATTTGGAATTGTGGTTCGGTATATATAATATTCTGGCTCCGGATATCGGAGAAGAAAAGTGTTGCGAATTACCGGATTGGTAAAAAAAAGCAATTTTTGTCCGGGGTAGAAGGAAATGCTTATTTTATGGTATTTATCGTGTAATTACTTTATTTAACTTACTTTACTATATATAATTTATGTATACAGATTAGGTTGGACGGATGTGGATGTACCCTCGGTGGGTTCAGGCTCTTTTGTAGGTTCTGTTTGGGTGGTTGTAGTGGTTGTAGTGGTTGTAGTGGTTGTAGTGGTTGTAGTGGTTGTAGTGGTTTTTGCAGTTTTCTTACCCTTAAGACCCGCAAGTTTTTGTCTGATAATCAGGACTATTTTAGCACCCTTTGATTGCAGACTAATCTGTTCTAATTCTTCTTCGGTAATTACCTTTTTAGTTAATAAATTAAATACTGAACCAAACATTAATGACATAATAGTACATGTCATAATTATTACATTATATGGCATAGAAAAATCAGGCGTTGGAAGTGTAAGTAATAAACTTGTTGTACGAAGTTCATAAATATCTTTACCTTGATTATCTAAAACAGTTATAATGGCTGGTTCCACGGCAAATCCATGGTTAGCATCAGGAGGATATTCATGATATAATAATAATGATTTATCAAATTGATAAGTTAGTATAATAGTCAGATTGGCAGGTATAGAAATTAATAATTCTAAATGGGATGGACGACTTCTATCAATGGCTGGTCGATAATAAGTATTTTTAATGAATTCTGATTCTAATTCTTTTCCAGAAAATTCTCCTGTACTATTATGAATTTTAATAGTAAGAGTATTTAAATAAAGTCTTGCAAACCATGGTAATGATTCAAAATAAAGAAAATCAATTGAATCTTGATCTGAAGGATTTTTAAATGAAACTCTAAATCCTCCTTTATCAAGTGAATAACCAGTTAATGATCGAGATACAAGTAATGGAGGAATTTCAACTGGTAAAACTTGACTACTATCAGTAGTTTTAAAATTAAAATCATATTTTGCTTGATCATGAAGAATTTCGGTAAGAGTATTTTCTTCACCAGCTAAAGTATATGTAACAATAGAATCTTTTCTATTTTGTTTTGCAGTTACTCTCCAATAATCTCTATTAGTTAAAACTTTTAATGTTGTACCAGTATGATCATTAAGAAATGCTGGTCCATTAATTAATCTACCATATAAAGTTTCAAGACTCCAATCTAATTCAGTTGGATCATTAAGTGGGAAACATTGCCAAACATTAAAAGTTTTATTTTCATCACATCGTAATTTTTCTCCAGGAGTTGGTTTTGGAATAGCTCCTTCTTCACCTTTTCTTATTGATCTCATAATATCAATTACATGATTAACTGATTGATTCATTTTAAATTTACAAATTTGATTTTCATTTTCACAATCAGTATAGACATCAATTGACATTCCATGCCATAATGAATCAAATAATTTATGACCATCTAATAATGATGATATACCTGATTTACCTCTTGTTGGTAATAATTTAAGAAATGGAGTTAAATTTTCTGTACAAATAGGTTCACTAGGTAATGCAGCTCTTATAAGATATAATTTATTAGATTTATTTGAATAATATTTCCTATTATTATTATTATTATTATTATAAGATTTTATTGCATGTTTAGGAAATGTAGTTATTGAATCATCAATAAAATTTATTGAAGCACAGAAAAATCCTGATAAAGTTTTTGATAATTTATACCAATTTTCTTTAGCAATTTCAATATTTGGAGCTTCAATTACTGACCAAACTTCTACTCCAGTACCTCCACTTTTAAATCCATTAAATGGTAATTTCCCCCAAGAATCAGAATCCCACCAACCTTGAGTAAATCTTAAATGTAATTCTCTAACATTGGTAGATTCCAATATAGGACCTAAAGCTCGAGGGAAATAAGTATAATGATGATTTTCTCTTTTATCTATAGATGAATTATAATATTGTAAAGTAAATGGTGAAGAATTAATATCGAAATTAAATGTCGATAATAATTTATTTCTCGGTAAAGGTTTCAAAGTTAAAGTTTCATTATAAAATTCTCCTGCTAAAGCCGAGCCCATCAATAGTACAATTGACCATAATTGGACCGAAATAAGCATGACCACTAGTTAATGATTAATTATTATAATTAGTCAGTTAACCCCATAAATCGTTTAAGACACCGACGCGAATTTTATCTCAGGAATTTTTCAATGAGTTGGTGATACTTTTTGTCTGCGACATTTGTTTGTTTACCTTTACCAGACATATTTAACAACAGAACAGAACATCAACAATTGAAACAGTGAGCAGACATTCAGCGAACGAAAGAAAGTGAGAGTGAGAGTGAGCATCACCAACAAAACGACAACGACAACGACAACTACAACGACAACGACAAAAATTAATTATGGTAGGAGCACCGATCGGAGAATCATCAGCATCGGTATTAGAACAACACAAGGAAAATATACTACCGATGCCAGGAGGTAGATCCGCTAGTAAATTAACCAATACATTAATACAATCACAAACTACCAAACTGGTAATGATATATAAAGAAACTTTAAAACGAGAAAGAGAACATCATGAAAAAATGGTAGGACAACTTGAAGAATTAGATGATCCATTACAAGTATTTATAGATTATATATCATGGATTCATAATAATTATCAACAAGGTAATAATAATGAAAGTGGTTTATTAAATGTATTAGAACGGTGTACATCATATTTTAGAGATGCGTATCATTATAAAAATGATCCTCGATATTTAAAAGTATGGTTAGAATATACAAATTATTCTGATTCACCTCGTGATATATTTGTTTATCTTGCAAAGAAAGAAATTGGTAATCAATTAGCTTTATACTATGAAGAATTTGCTGATTATTTAGAGATCAATGGGAAGACTACTGATGCCGAAGAGATTTATCAATTGGGATTAAATTCTCAGGCAAGACCATTGCCAAGACTCCAAAGATCTTACGAACATTTCAAGACTAGACTTGAACTGAATACTTCAACAACCAACCCTAATAAAAGAACTGGATTAGAGTTAACTCAAGGTTCAGCCATTCATGATGTTCAAGATGGATCTAGACCAAATAAAAAGCCCCGAATTGAAATCTTTAAAGACGATTCAGATAATGATCAAAGTGTATTGAAATCGATTTTTGATGGACAATCGGCCAGTAATGATTTAGGTAGTATACGATCGAGAATAAAGGAAAATGCTCTTCAAGCAAAGCCATGGTCTGGAGAAGTGCTAAGGCAAAAGAAGAACTTAGAACGACCAAATTCTTCGGGAAGTACTTCTAGTAGTTCGAGTATAAAGTTCCAAGTTTATCGGGATTCTCATGAACTTAATGAAGATCAAAAGATTAAACAAACAGTATGTGAATCCAATGATGGATTTGTGTATACTCTTATCAATCATCCTGGTAAGAAATCTGAAAGGGTGATGATTAATATGGATTTATTATTCCTACAAGAAGATGAGGAGATCACTCCTGAAGAGATGTTAGCTATGACAAGAAGAACTTTGAAGCAGCAGCAACAACAGCAACAACAGCAACAGTATCAACAACAACGACATACACCAATTCGCACAGATGAATCAAACAATAGCAATAACACTTTTGTAATACCTTTGAAAGATGAGAATGATACAACCTTATCAAATAGACCTAATTCTCCTACCATGACCATGTTTTCTAAACAAGCTAATCAAGAAGTTGTTAAGATATTTAATGAAGCTGCAGCTGATTTGAATTCTGATGATGAAATAGAAAGAATCGATGGAGTAGATTCTACCACCACTAATTTTGATGGGTTTGTAACTGAAACTATTCAAATGAATGGAATCAATAATATAATAGGTCCTTCATTACAAGTAAAAGAAACTCCACCAACCGATAATGAACTTGATGATAATGTTCAAAGTTCACCATTTATAGAACGACCAGAAGTTAATGATATTCCAATTCAAATCATTGATAATTTTGATGATTCTTATAGACAAACATTATTGAATTCATTAATAAATCCAATAGAACTGTATCCTGGTTATACCACTATAGATATAAAGATCGATAAATTAAAAAAGTTTCTGGAATTAACTACTTCTGATAATAAATTAATTGTTAAAGGTAATAAGAATTCCATAGTAGATTTCTGTGGGGAAGAGATTTATTGTTTACGATATGAATTAGGGAAAGGAGGATTTGGAATTGTTTATTTAATAGAAGCAGGATCTTCAGGTCAATTAAAGGCATTAAAAGTTGAATCTCCATGTTCTAAATGGGAATTCTATATACTAAATCAAATTCATCGTCGAACTAAAATAGCTTATCCTGAATCAGATAATTTATTCATAAATCAATTAGAACTTTATGCATTTCAAGATGAAAGTTATTTAATTATGGATTATTGTAATCAAGGGACTTTATTAGATGTGGTAAATCATTTTAAATCTCATTATGGTACAACGGTAGATGAAGTAATTTGTATATATTTAACTAAAGAAATCTTAAAATCCGTTGAAATTCTTCATAGAATAGGAATATTACATGGAGATTTAAAGGCTGATAATTGTATGTTAAGATTTAAACCGATTGAAGATGGAGATACTTGGAATGAATCTTATAATAAATATGGATTACATGGATGGAATCAAAAGAGTATAACCTTAATTGATTTTGGTAGATCTATTGATTTGAAACTCTTTGGAGATTATACTTCTCCACAATTTCTCAGTAATTGGAAAACTGATCAACAGGATTGTCCGCAAATGGTTAATCATGAACCGTGGAGTTATGAAGCCGATTATTATGGGATTGCTTGTATAGTTCATACTATGTTATTTGGGAGTTATATTAAGATTAAACCATCCCATACCAATTCAACAATTCAACTTGAGAATTCTCTCAAACGGTATTGGCAACATGACCTTTGGAAACCATTATTTGATTTACTATTAAATCCTTATCTACCGAATGATAAGAAACAGCCATTGGTTGAAGAGATGGCAGAGATTCGACAAAGGTTTGAGGGGTGGTTAGAAGAGAATGCTCGAAAGAGAAATCTTAAGAGAAGTATCCAAGATTTGGAGAATGATTTAACTCAGGTATATAGAAAGCGTATAGGATGAGAGTAAAAGTATACACTCTATATAAAGGTTAGAGAATGATTTTTGGTTAAATATTGAATGAGTAAGAGTAATATATACTGTGTATATTAATAGAGTATACTAGAAATATTAGTAAGATAGGTTAATGTATAGCAGTAGTTAATATGAATGATATGTTAGTATGGAAGTAAGGTAAGTAGGGGTTAAGTAAGGGGTTAAGAAAAGAGGAACGGATACGGTATTATTTCCTTAACTATTGTAGCTTGTAATAGATTACTATTCGTCTTTAGTACACAGCTTTGCTTATCAAATTTGCAATATTTTGATCTCAAATAAATTTACACATGCATAAAGATGCCTCCAATCCTACATACAACATGAAGGTTCCTCCTTTGGCCCTATATATAGCAATGCTTCTCAGTTCAAGTCAAAAGCTCTAATAATCGCAGAATCTATACTGTTACTATATCTATAGGAATGACAAACATTCAAACAAATCAATATCAGAAACTTGATCAATCAAGTGGTCACGTTGATGGACAAGTTGATGGACAAGTTGATGGACAAGTTGAATCACTACAAATCGTTGATGAAAATAAAAGAGTCAGCGATAAAACTATCATACTTGTTGCCAGTTCTATAATTATCTTTGAAATTTTAGTATTTGTAGGGATAGAATATTACTTAGATTAGTACTAATTCAAACAATAGCGGTAACACGAGCAAAGATATGGTATCCGACTTAAAGGTGTGAGTAAGAGGTCTTCAAAAGAGGCTGCAATTGTAAGTTGATGAAATATTTTCTATTTCAATCATTCGTGCTTTGTGTCTTTCACCACTTATTGACCATAGGTCAGAAATATTGCTTGCAAGCAGGTTGGACAAGTAATGGTGCGACATTCTTAGCAGGTGAGATGTACCTTAATGCGTATGGAGGTACAGATGGACAATGCTGGAATACAATCTAGCGCTAAACGTATGCCGTTCCAATAGAATTGCAATGATATAGAATAGATGGTATAATATTTATAGTATCTTTTAACTGAGACAGTATTCAGATAATATCTACACATTAATTATCAGTGTGGTGTATATATACTTTATATATATATACTTCATATATACTCATACTTTTTTATAGGTGTATCATTATATAACTTATTTATTACCATCCCCCAAAGCTCTCAATCTCTCATCAATAATAGCAGCCACTTCAGCATCATCTTCATCGACTGATGACTTCTTAGATGCTACTCCAAGCAATGACCAATAAGAATTCGATCTGGGTTTAGTTCTTATCTTCTTTCCCGAGGGAAGGATTTCATAATCTTCGCCTAAGGCCAAGTGTTGATTATAATCACTTCTAATGGCTACTCCTTCACTACTAGGAGGTAATTCATAAGGATTAGGATTTGTACCGGCTCTTTTCCTATGGACTGTTGAATCAGGATCTAATGAATATAACGGAGTTATATCGTTATGAGTTACTGGTTGACTTACTACATGCTTCCCAAATAACTTCTTAATCCGCATCATTACCGGTGAAGGATCAGGAGGAAAAGTCCACCCCTGATGTAACTCGTTAAATGCCTTATGTTCAAAGATTCTTCGTAATCCAATATCCTTTTCATATAATTTAAACAATTCATCATCACTTGGATAAAACATGAATTTAAGCACTTTAAATAGGATATCCAAAAGTAATGGACCAGTAAATAATAAGAGTAAACTGGCCCACCAACTTTGATCTTGACCCCATTCAATTAATCCATAGGCCACAAAGAATATTGGTGATTGTTTACTTCTATATAAGGCCATAATAAGAACATTCCAAAGTCCATACCCTCCTACTGAAATGATTAATGCTGCAAATGGTAACCAACTTCTATTTTGCATTTCTATAAGTAAACATTTAACATTTATAATCACTATTAATGCAGCAAATACCAAAGTTCCTAAGGGAAATACAGAATTATCTCTTAATGCAGTAAATCCCCATATATAATAGGCCATAAATGATATACCGATACTTTGAATAGCAGCCATAACCATCCAACTAATAAAGATTCTTAAATTAAATGCTTGATATAATCGACCTTTATTATATAATTCAGGTATAGCAATTAATGTAGCCGGTTTTAAATCTCTATCAAACATCCCTATACATATAACACATAAGGAAGTAAATAAAGTATTAAACATAGATAATGACCAACTCTCATACATAGAAGAACCCGAGAATAATGTATTTCTTTGATAAACACATTGAGTTAAATAGAATAGTAACTCTTTGTAGAATGTACATAATACAAATTTACTAGTTCTAATATAATTATATCTTCCATTAACCAATAATAATTTTAATAAGAATCGGAATTGAGCAATAGAATAATCAGAAGCTCGAGCTGCTTGAAGTCCTTCCTTACCAGTAATTCCTACTCCAATATCTGCACTTTGAATCATGGCAATATCATTGGCTCCATCTCCAATGGCAAGAGTTACACAATCTTTTTTAAGATTTCTTACAGCACTTACCATATTAGCCTTTTGAGAGGGTGAAGCTCGACAACAAATGGTGGAATCCACTTCTACACATAATTCTAAAAAGATACTTAACATGGTAGGATCTTGTTCTATATCATTTAAAGTTGATCCATCAATAACCAATACACTATGAGCCACTCTACCAGCTTGAATTTCATTAATAGCACTAGTAATGGTTTCAATTAAGTAATCTTTACCATCATGATTAGATAAGATAAGTACAGTAGAATAATCCTTAATAAGTCGACAAGAGTATCCGATATTAATGGCAGTTTCTCGTTTATCACCCGTTAACATCCACATTTTAATACCGGCTCGTCTAAGTTTATCAATAGTTTCACTAACTCCATCTTGTAACTTATCTTCTATAGCCGTGGCACCAATTAATTCAAAGTCTCGTTCAATTCTTCCACCTACTAATTCCACTTGTTTGGTTCTATCAATGATTTGACTTCCGGCATTAATGTAATCTTCATTCCATACTTCATACTCTTTCTTATCGAGAAATCTATAAGCATACATGAGAGTTCTTAATCCTTCAGTTGAGAACTCTTCTATATGTTCTAGAGTCTTTTCAATTAAGAATTCATCATTAATGAGTAACTTATCATTAGGAATGAATTCAATATCTCTGTCTAGTGGACTTACTGGTTGGTTATTGGTGGTGGTAGTACCGGTAGAATTACCTTCAACACCTACTGATTCAATACTGTATCGTTTAGCCTGTTGAATATGAAGAGACTTTCGGGCCTTCATGGCGATATCGGCCAATTCCAATTCATCTTCTTCATGACCCATAAGTGCATTATCAATAGACTGAACTCTCTCAATGGGTGATGCACTACTTGTGCTCAATCTCTGAACTAAATTAATTGATTTACGAGGTAATCCACTACCATTACCACTAGAAGATAATCGAGAATTCAATACTACATCGGCTTGCATGATCTTTCGGTCAGCCGAATTCAGAGAGATCTCTTTCTGCTTCTGATTAGCCAATTCGCAAGCCTTTAATTTATCAATAATTACATTATCAGCACCTTTACAAAGTAAACAAATTCTTCCATCGGGGAATTTAATTACTACAGACATTCTCTTTCTTACGGAAGAGAATTCAATCACATGTAAGACTTCATATTGTTCATAATCTGGATCATTTTCAAATCCTTGAGGATAAGTCTTTATGGTTAATATAGAATTCAGACGATTGAATACTACATAACCTAAATCTCGAGCAGCTTGTACAAGAGCAAGTTCATCAGGTGATGCAGCTTGATAATCTAATATACTATCATCATTAAATGATGAAGGTTTATCTTCTACTATATTATCTAAAGTAATAGATGAATTATTCTTAGTAGATAATGAAGAACTGACTGATTTTCTTGGTAAACATGTATGACATAAGGCAAGTGATAATAAAAAGAATTTGGCTTTCTTAGCAAATAATGTATGAGGATGAGATTGAATATACTTAAGGAGCTGGAGTGAATTACTATCACTTTGAGGCTTATTGGGATGAGCTGTGGATTTCCATGTAGAATTGGATACTACCGATTTTAATTCCAAACTATCTCGAACTATATTGGTGGTGGTGGTGGTGGTGGTACTATAATGTAAGCTGGGCCTTGGAGCCTGAACTAATTCACTGAGTACTTGAGAATCAGGATCTTGTCTATCCTTTACCATTATATCAAGATCATGAAGCCAACTGACTCCACATACACTAAACTTTCTAAATACCATACAATTATCAGTTAAAGTCCCAGTTTTATCACTAAATACATAACTTACTTGACCTAATTCTTCTAAAATGGTGGCAGTTTTTGCATCTGCTGGTGTATTGGATTCCACATGATACATATCTATATCGAATTGTAAGAAAAGTAATTGCATTACTTTAATTATTTCCATAGTTACATATAATGATAAGGGAATTAATGTATTATACATAATAATAAAACTCATTAATGTAGGAGCAACTCCAGCATCTTGATCAAATAAATACCATGCCTTTTGTCGAGTATTATGATATAATATTCGTTGAGCCATGGTTGAAAAGGCCAGTAATAATATAACAATTATAACCATAAATCCTACAATATAATTAATATTCTTTTGTAATTTAGGAGCTTTAGTACGAGGATTCTTTATATTATTCATTCTTATTTTAGTTTCTTCACCAGTAAATATTACTAATCCAAGTACAGATTTTGTATTTCTTAATATACTACCTCGATAAACTACATTATCATTTCCTAAAGCATATTTTTCTCCATCTATAGTAAACAGTCCTTCAAAATTATATAGATTTAAATTTGGATCTTCTACCGTAATTAAGGATTTAATATTCTTTAATCCGGTAACTGTACAAGTATATTTACTTAATTCAATATGAGGTCTCTTGGCCTTTAAATTGGTTTCTCCATCAAGTGCCATAGTTTCAACAAATGCTTCATTATGATCTTTATCACTAGTAGCAAGTAATACTACATCGGCTGGGAACCAATCATTTTCATTAAGTTTGACAATATCTCCCACTTTGATATTCTTCCATTTCGTTACATACTCTTTGAGGTTGTAACGTTTCATGGCTTCTTTATTGGTATACAATTTGGATGTGGTTATACCTTCTGAATCAGATAGCGAAGTTACTGAAGAAATCGTATGGATGGTAGGAGAATGCTTACCATTGGGAGATAAGTAGTCCTTGGTACTATTGGTATTAGTATTGTTGATTGTACCATTATTATTAGTATTACTACTGTTATTATAATGACTACTGGTTATTATAGGAATGGTTTCTGTCATAATGGTGGCAATGGAATGAGTATCGAAATTAGATAAATCCATATCTTCTCGAATGACTATGGCTTTCTTATTATTTTCTTCTTTATCATGTCCATGTCTTTTCCAATCATCAAATCCTTCTCGAGCTATAGATATAGACATAAAGATCATTAATGGTATAATGGTAGTAAATTGACCAGTAGTTGACCATTTAGGAATCATTTGCATTATAGCCACTACCATAAAGTAACAATTGGCAAGCTTGGAGAATTGAGCTCGAAGTTGTTTAGGTAAAAATGAATATATAGTATACTTTGATGAAGTAATTCTATTATCAATATATGGTAATCCACTTCTTTCATCTACAAGATTATTTGTATTACAATCATAATATTGATCATGAAAATATTCATTGACGGATTTTAGATTAGTTGATAATGGAATAATACGACCATTTTCAGTTGGTGGTAATTCATTATGAGCAAGTATTAAATCTTTGACTGATAATATCCATCGTTTGAGTTTATTTCGTGTATGATATCTTCTTCTTAAAGCTCGTTCTCGTTTACCAACATATGAATCTGAATTGTCTGAACTCGTAGGTTCAGTTAATTGAGTTGTAGATCTTGAAATATTCGGATCGGAATAGATATTATAATTTCTAGGATCAAACATTTCATCATTATCTGATGATTGTCTGATTTGAGTCTTCAAAGATTTATTGGAAAAATCATTCAATTCATACGTCGATGAAGTTTCATGGATTGGATAAGTTATAGGATCATTTTGAGGAAGTGAGTCAGGAAATGGTTGTTGGACTTGGTTTATTATAGATTTATTGAATAATTGACTTCTTAATGAGAGCCCTCTCTTTCTTCGAGCTTGTTGGTTATTGGGAGTGAGAAGATCACTTGAACTATGAGTGGGTTGTGTTTGAGTTTGTGTTTGAGTTTGTGTGTGACCAGTTGAAGGGTCTGTGGTTATTTCATGTGGTCGTACGTTGTCGTTATTCATGGGATGGGATGTCTATCATGGGCCAGATCTCCGAGATCTTTGTACTGAGTGGAATAAGAATATAAAACAAATAAAAATATATATATAACAAACAAAATAATGATACAGGATAATGGAGGGACTGAGAAACCTTTCAGTTTTCAGTCTTAAGTAAATCAAACGAAGGAGGGGGGGATAATGTGTCAATAATTGATGGTTTTGATAATTGTCTAGGCACGGCGAGGAATCGCAAAATGATTTTCTCGGACGGCTGGTAGAACTTTTAATGGACTAGTGTTAGTGCTAAATTTGATGCTATAAAAGTGTACCAGTTAAGACTATCTAATACTAGTTAAATAATATTATCTAATACTAACTAAATGATATTAATAATACTAGCTAAAGAGTACTCATAATATTACTAGTAGAATACGCGTGTTGTACCACTCCATTTACTATGTGTGTTCTTGAAATTTTTCACTCTTCCGACCCTCACAACACAGCCCACACCGGCGAAGCTCGCAGCTCAAAGTGTACGTAACGTTACTAAATATATTTTACAATACTTTTAAGAGTTGGAGATTAGGGACTATTGACTGAATCTATACAAGTACCATATTATATGTATATGAGTTTCACATCTGTAAGTACTGTGTGTTTGTTGTTCACACACATTTATCTTTTAAATAAGCATCTTTCAACTCCTCACTTAAGTGGGGGAATGATACCTACAAATGTACTTTATTCTATAGATTATTGAACTTTTTACGACTATACTATTGTTAGTTTCCTACAACATGTTCTTTATGGTAACTTCACTTTCTTATCCTTACTTCTCCTGTTCCCTATAATAAAATTTAGACATACGAATAAAAAAAAAATGTATTATATCTATTATTAGTATCTTTTATTTGAAATTTTGTCATGTTCTTACTAGTGACCCTTAAATTACTACTTTTAAGTTCCTACATAATCGTACATTCCAATTCATTATTTCTTTAAATATAGTAAATGTCTATCTCGTATATTAACTAGGCACAGTACAACGTTATTTAGCTCAGAAGAACTTTGGTAACAGTTTTAATAAAAAAGAAAATGAATGGGTTTATCTTTTTATGCATATATATTACATCTCTTGTATTATTCTCATACTTATTATCCAATTATACATAAATAAGTTCTTCTACATATAGTTTGGACTGTTCCTAAAGGATTTAGCTTTGCCTGCCCCACTGAAACATATGCCCATTTGCGCCTTTATGCGAAATACTAACCATCGCGCAATACTAAGAAATGTTTATGGCCGTTGCGCAAAATTTAGATCTAGAATTTCAAGCTTAAAGTTTACCAAATAGGTTAATTAAGAGATTTTATATTTCCCTGAGGAATAGAGCATAATTATCATATATAACAAAGTTAAAAAATCGCTTTGACTATGTAAGGGTCCAATCTTAATAAACACATATATATTAGGTTTTTGTATGTTGTTTATTAACTTAGTGATACTGAAGGAGCTGCAGGAGCAATCCCCGCAAATTTATTTGATTGCAAAAAGAAAGATATAACTACTTCACTATTAAATATGAACAATATTGTTAGAAATCACAAAACATAAATTACAAAATAAAAGAAAGCATCTATTCATTGGGGTAAGTACCACACTTTTTCTGGACAGGTTGAATTAGTTAAAGTGTCCATTGGTCTATATTCTCCTGTCAATACATTACCCTTTAAGTTGTTGTAGTACCAGATTTCATCGATGGTTCCATTATGGCAACCTACATAAGCTGTAAACCCACCATTGTTATCAGCCAAAGCCTTTTGCACATCTCTTAAGTCGTATTGCTTCTTGAGTGTAGGAACAATACCATTTGATAATAAAAATTGATAGGTTGGATAACTTTTCCAAAGTTCAACAGCTTTCTTCCAATATTGAATTATATTTTCAAATCGGGTATATTCTCCAGCAAAGCATTGAGGATTCAAAGTATTCATGCATGTTCCATGCTTATTATATTCATGGACCCAAAGTGAAATTGGGCCTTTTGGGTCATTGGAAACCCAATACTTTTTCATAGTCTCAAATAAGTGAAATTCATTAAACGTCTCAAGAATAACATGTGTAACATTATCATTTTGGTCATTAATTTCTAGAGTAGGGTCACAAAATTCATTCCATGTACCATCACATAAATCATTCCATAATCCATGAATAGTAAATGTTAACCGTGGATCACCTTGTGCATATTTGGTTTTGAGATAAGAATCTTCAAGTTCGTCAATTGTCTCGGAATTGTTGCATTTAACAATATCTAATAATGTTTTATTATAATTCCAAAACTGAGTTGACATAAGGACACCCCAGTTTTCAAAACAACAAGAATCATAGTCTGGGATAGCAGTAGTATTGTGACATGACCATGAACTGTAAGGTCCATAGACAAAGTTATCACAACTAAACACACTGTATAGAGGGTCTGATTCAAATACAAATTCAGATTTTCTACCATTCGTTACTGGTGTAGCTTGGACTAAACCACCAAAAATGAATACCCCTGTTGCAAATTGTAATAATTGAACCATTTTAGAGATATTGTTGTACTTTGAAGTTTTGCATTAAATTTTAAACCTTCCATGACAATTAGCACTCAATTTATACCTTTCAGGTATTTCCAATTCCAAATATCACCCTACCCCTATTACTATTACAACTATTAAATAAAAATGCTTTCACGCCATAAAATATATCCAAGACTTTGAGGTTATACATGTATAGAATGAAAATGTTGTACTTTTTCGGAATACCAAGAAAAAATGTGCTAGCAATACGATTATTTCTCTTTCATAGAACGTTTATGCCCACCTGGTAATGGCATTTGACTTTCAGATACTAATCGTATTCTTTGAGAACATTCCTTTACAATAGGATTTGATGGAGCCTAAATTCTATAGTTATGATGATATGCAGTAACAGAAGTCTTGTCGCAAACTACAGAATTTCTTGAATGTATTCTCTATATTGAACAGAACTATAATACTCAAAATTTTCTACATGAATAAAAGCAAGTCATCACAGGTTTCGTTATTACAGTCTAGAATTATGTATGAAGGATTCAATAAATTCTTTTAATTTTATGACTGTCTAAGCGACTGGCTAAGCTAATGCTGCAAAAACAAAACTATAATTTAAATATGGGACCTATATAGTTATGAGAGAAGATGAGACAAATTACAGGAATTCACTTTAAGACGATACATAGGTATACCTGGTCTTGCTTTTGCAGAAGAATTTGTACATTTATGATTCTTAAAACCTATAAATTCTTATTATTATGTCTTTTCTTCAACTGGTTTTAGAATAGCTTAAATTTCAACCCTGTCAAGAATCGTTTCCATAGTGGAAATAATAGTCAGGTGACAGATGGACATGAGTTTATAAAACGTTACACTAGTGCCTCTGTAAGTACCACTAAAATGGTAATTTGTAATATTATATAATGGCAATAACAAAACTTTTCTCCATCATGAGTGTGATGCAAAAATTTCTTCATCTTCATACAAAGAAACAATGCTCAGATGTTACATTTAGGTTTCTAATAAATTCCAAATGTTTTAAAACTGAAGAGGAACACTACGATATGATGGTAAAATGGTTGTAGTCTACGAAGGATAAATCATTATATTAACGCACTCTAATAATTGATTGCAAAAAAATATTTCTTTTGCTGCAAAGTTTTCGAAAGCAAATATATTAAAACTATAAATAACAGAAATTTTATTCAAAACATAGTAACGATTAACCTATCAGACTGATAGAAAAATTAAGATCTAGTAAAAAAGTGGAAACTATAAGAAAACTTTTAGTGCTACTTGAAAGCGCTTACTTTGGCAAGTACCAAACTTTGTCTGGACAGGTTGAATTAGTCAAAGTATCGATTGGTCTATATTCACCAGTCAACACATTACCCTTCAAGTTGTTGTAGTACCAGATTTCATCAATGGTTCCATTGATACATCCGACATAGACTTGGAAACCATCATTGTTATCAGCTAAAGCCTTTTGCACATCTCTTAATTCATATTGTTTCTTAAGAGTAGGAACAATACCTTCAGCTAATAAAAATTGATAGGTTGGATAAGTCTTCCAAATCTCTACAACCTTCTTGTAGAATTGAACTGTGTTTTCGAACTTGGTATATTCTCCGGTGAAGCATTCTGGTAATAAAGTATTCATACAAGTTCCATGCTTATTGTATTCATGTTCCCAAAGTGAGATCGAACCACCATTTGGAACATTTGAAATAACATTATTGACCCAATACTTGATCATTGTATCAAATAACTCTGGTTCATCAAAAGTATCCACAATAACATGAGTGATATTATCATTTGCATCACTGATTTCCAAGGATGAATTACAGTATTGATTGTAGGATCCATCACATAAGTCATTCCATAAACCATGAATAGTGAAAGTTGTTCTAGGATCACCTTGAGCATATTGAATAGCAGTATAATATTCTTCGAGCTCATCGATTACATTTGAATCATTGGCATTGACAACATCTAATAAAGTTTGATTGAAGTCCCAGAATTGAGTTGACATGAGAATACCCCAGTTTTCAAAACAACAAGAATCGTAGGCTGGTATAGCAGTAGCATTGTGACATGACCACGAACTGTAAGGTCCATATACAAAGTTATCACAACTGACAACGCTGTATTCAGGATCCGTGTTGAATACAAATCCTGATTTCTTAGTGCTGGAGTAACTTCTTGGCGCAGCTTGAACTAAGCTAGCAAGGATTGAGAAACCAGTAGCGACTGTCAAGAATTTAACCATTGTTTATTACTTTCTTGGTACTTCTGTATAACTTAGAGAAAATCTAAAGAACGAAATTTTAACAAAGCCAGATAATCCACTCTATTTATAAGTTACTTTCATGCTATATCAATCAGATCCTAAGTTTATTCAAATTTACGAGGCAATCGGGATCAACTACCTCCTTCCCCTATTATTGCATTACTAAAATCTCGAAAACGTTTTACAATAACAATATAAATGAGATAGAATAGGTAGGTCAATGCCATTGGTGCCGCTTGTCATAGAGGTAAGTATGTGAAAAATTTGGACTAATCGGGAATGAATACCAAGAAAAAAAAGACGAATCAGTTGCATTTTGCATTTTTCACATTGTATCAATCTTAAAATTCCAGGTGCCAGGTGGGTTGAAATAGCCTTCGTTGCACTGTTAGAATACACATGTATGATGTTCAAAAGGGTTGAATACAAGATTTATAGTAGTTAGGGCGAGATAATTGGGGGCATTTGTTAATTACATTAAAGTTCCAATACTCTAATTGCGCTTGGCCCTCCAATTCTAATAGAAAGCCACCCTTGTGCACTAATGAACACAAGTGAAATAATGGACCAAATAAAACAACAATAAACATCAAACTTTAGTGACAGGGCAATTGAAATGGTCCATGCAATCAGATGGCATTTCCAACTGCTTTTAGAGTCAATGTTTGCACCTGTTGTAGTTTTAACCTAATTACAATGCATAATTTTTGCGTTTTTATGCACTCGGCCATATTTGGATACTTCTATTAATACTATGGAACCAACTAAACCCCCACGGGTTCCCCTGAAATAAAATGGATGGGAAAAAACGCATATTTCGGTGTATTGCTACTTAGGAAGTGGCCAGATTCGGATAAAGCCGCTTGTCATTAAAAGAGACTTTTAAGGAACATTAACTGAACCAAATACGAATATTCGAAAGTTGTTTTCAGTAATTTTTATTTTATAAGCATACACATAAATATATATAGATATATATAGATAAACGGTCTTATAAAGATTTCACTTAAACTATAAAACTAATTGAAGAAAATAATATTCAGGTTTCTCAAAAACATCGAAATTATTAGTTAAAAATAGTAACTGACTTAATTGGAAATACCAATGACACCACAAGCTGGTCTACCACCGGCATGACCAGTGGTCTTAGAATCATCGTGACCACCTTTACCGTAATCATCAGTACCTTCATGAACAACAACAGTTCTACCTAAGATAGAGTTTGGACCTAATAATTTAACGAGTAAATCTTGTTTGGTACCTTTAGCAAGACCAGTGGAATCGGTGGTAATGTTACCTAAATCACCAACATGTCTGTCATCATCTTCTGGAGCACCATGAGTTTTGGCGAATGGGTTGAAGTGAGGACCAGCAGAGGTACAACCGTTGGTGTTATCACCAAAAGTATGGATATGGAAACCTCTTAAAGCATTTGGATCATTACCAGTAATTTCCCAGGAGATGGTAGTTGGGGCAGATTCGGTTTCTTGAGAGAATTTAACAACACCAGAGACTTTAGAGTCACCTCTTAAAACAGCAACTATAATATTTCAATTGTTAGTATTATTGTATTTCATCGGTCATAGCAATCTTTGACAGAACTATTTCAGGAGAAAAAAGCGGAGGCGAGAATTACTAATTATGACCAAAAGATACGGATCTAGTCAATTGCATCAACTATCATCAATTGAAGTGCCATTGGTTCAGATCTGAACGATGAAATCAGGTAATTCACAGTCCGACTTCACCGATATCAATTGAAAGTCCCGAAGCTGACAAATGGTCTGTAGTCTGCTTGATTATTGATAATTCTGTATGAGATTTAGCTTAAAATAATTGCTTCTAAATAAAATAATACATACCAGCACTAACCATTATGAACTTATAAGTGTATTAATATAAGATATTGATTGAATAAAAGATCAATTGATATACTACAGAATCAAAAGAATGAAGTAGTAAATAAATCTCAACAGGGATGGGGTAGCATATTTATAAAGCGACTCAGCAAATGTGACAAATTGGAAATTTGTTCTCGGTCTTGCTGGTCGTGCAAATTTGATTAGTTATCCTCCAAATTTAATTTTCACATACATACATACTTTAAGTACATAAGCACAAATTCAATGTATTATAAAGACGGTTAATAAGCCGGCAAGCGACACATTCTCCGAACTCTATTCATTAAAATTGCATCTTGTTTACAATGATCATTTTCTTCTCTATATTAATTGTATCTGTTTTGGATTTAATGGTTCATTGGTTTGTTGTAGTTCTTGCCTAATTATGTAATATGCATACATTGATATAAAACCGGTTTGCATCGTGTTCATTTATTAGTTATCCACACTGTGCCTGAATTCTATTTGCTGGATTTCTCAGCTATAAATTGGGGGGGTGTATTGGAGGTTATAATTCCATCAAGCGCTGCGGCATGGGTGTTTGTCTTTACGGTGGAGGAACATACTAATGATTTTCAAATAGAAAGACATGAAAGACAATTTTATGAAGAAGATCTAAATAAATGAAATTATATAAAATGGTGGGAAATGTGCCTACTTATATCTACATAACTATGAAAAATAGGTAATTGTAGTGTTATTGTGGAGTTAATTGGATTTGGATTATAGTGGTTAAAAAAAAGACTCACTTCAAATTATGGCAAAAAAAATAGCTCTCGCTAATTAAGCCTAAATTCAGTAGAGGTACGTCACCCTGTAGGTTACTAGTTTCTGTTTTCAATGAATGCACCTTTAAGAATTGTAGTATGCATTCGTCTATAATGATTGTTTTTTAAATAAATTATACAGTTACTTACATATTTAAGTCTAAATTAGTAGTATATAATGATGAACCAGCATCATATTAACGAGTTAATGTTCCTCATTTACTTGACTATCATAAATTTCAATAGCTCTTTTCCTAACTAAAGTTATATCTTCATTGATTTCAGGAAATATCTTCTGTTCAAATAAATATCGATACAACTCTCGTTTACTCCAAGTATCTACTACATGCTTATTCAGTGAAGTTTCTTCTTCATTCGATTCTTGTTTTGTTACTTCGCCCGGTCTTTGATTTTGTTCTATATTTACGATATCGTCTTCCGTCTTTATTGGCGAGTATCGTTTAGTGCCATTTTCGTGACCATTTAAAAGTTTAGACCTAGAACTATCTATGTCAGATCCATTGGTATCTAACTTCTTATCTTTCACATCTTCTATTCTCTTTTTCTTCTTTGGTGGAGGTGGTGGAATAGCAGGTATGGTTGATACAGAAAAGATTAGATATACAGTTGAAACTATAATTATTCCGGAATATAGCCAGAATCCATGACGTTTGATCTTGTTAATGAGAGTCTCTAACGGGGTAAAGTACCTGATATATAACGCCATATTGACCCCTTATCTGAGTCTGTTTACTTTTTAATATAATACTCTTGTTGCTGTTAGTGAATAAATACTAGATCATTAAAATACTGCTGCTTATGTAATCGCCCACACCTTTTATATAATGTGATTATGTAAGTCTGCGCATATAAAGGAGTGGCTCCTTTTTTTAGAGTGAATTTCATAGCATATGCCAGAACTGATTTTGCCATCCAAATTCCTGTTTGAACATTTATATCACACATTAAGTTTTCTTCTTTTTATTTGATGAAAGGTATCAATAGACCATTAGTATTTGTTGTATTAGCTGTCTTTCTTGTTTTTGCGTTGTCATACTCTGCTAAATCATCTTCATCAAAAGTTCTCAAAGTTACTTCCAACCCCACCGTTGCAAATTCCGATTTATTAACAAATTCCATTGTCAATCCAACATCTGAAATGTCTTCTACAAGTGATCTTAAATCATACATTATTACCTTAAAGGATTCTGTATCTGATGCAGATATTAATGCCTTACATTCTAAGGTTAAGGAATTAGGTGGTCAAATTACTACTCAATATACTTTAATTAAGGGATTTGTAGCAAAGTTACCACCTATCCACATTTCCTCTTTTGAAGGTCATGATCATGTTGCTACTGTTGAAGAAGACCAAGAAGTTAAGATTCAATAAATTATTAGAAACTAAATGGGTTACAATTTAGACTACTAAATGTATACTAGGTATTGTTATTAGTTACTAGTTAATACTTGCTTTACTTAATTGCCCTCCTTGACGGAATGGCAATCTCTTATCTTTTTTTGCTCATTTAGAGCGGACATATTGTTCCTATTATTATTATATAATATTTATATAGCTTTTTTGAATAATTAAATATAATAACCACTATAATTATAATACCACAGCTAGCTTTAGCTATGTAAATTCAAATTTCACTCACTCTAGGCTTAGTAAAGTACTTTGTCTTCCTCCTCATTATAAATGTATTATATAATTGCATGACTATATGGAGCCAGACCATTTCCTGCACAATGCCTTTCCCCGTGTTTTTTCCCTTGCGCTCTTCTCCTATTTGAAGAGGTTCCAGCTGGCATATTTAAATTATTCATATTAAACTTAAACCTGCTGGTTAAGTAATATTGTACTTTTGTAATTAAGTTAGATTGGTATATATTGCCAAGATACATAGATTACAGTTGTACTAACTTTGTAAGCTAACTTGAGAACTAAAATTATAAATTATTATTGTTAGATTGCACAAATTCCTTATCGCAGTTGCAACCCCCCAATTTTAATAGAGAAGGTTCATTATTATGTCTTACGATAGATATAACTACCAACCTAATTTTAAACCAGTAGATCACCTATTTGATGATAGATTGCGTCAATTCACTGATGGTGGAGGTCAGTTTCATGATTTAAATTTACCTAAATTTTATTACCTTGAAAAGATAGGTATTGGAGGATTAAAATCTTGGAGAGTTCCAGATGTTGATGGTAAAACTGCTAGACCACTTTTTAAAGATATTGATTTTGATAATCTTGAATGGGAGAATATTGGTCCTGGTTATTCATTTGGTCCATCATGGAAATCTTTTTGGGTTAAACTTGAAATTGAAATTCCTGAACATTGGTTAAGTCATGAAATTATTGAAATTGATTGGGATTCAAGTTCTGAAGCTCTTATTTATGATCATAAGGGATTACCTTTACAAGCTTTTACTGGTGGAGAAAGAAATTTATTTAGAATTCCTCATAAATATAGAGTTACCGATCGTCAAACTTTTTATATTGAAGTGGCATGTAATGGAATGTTTGGTAATGGTGCAGATGGTCATCCAGATCCTAATAGATATTTCCGATTAAATCATGCTGATTTGGGATTACCTAATATGGAAGCCAGAAGATTATTTTGGGATTTTTGGATTCTTGGTGATGCTGCAAGAGAATTTCCAGGTGGAAGATGGGAAAAATATCAAGCTGCTGATGTATGTACTAAAATAATGGATGCATTTGATCCTGATGATGTTAAATCTGTTGCAACTGGTAGAAAATTAGCTCAAAAATTATTGGGTACTAAAGTTGATTCAGAATTAGTATTTGATGAATTTGCTAATAATGAAATTAGAAGAATTGATGTATATGGTATAGGTAATTGTCATATTGATACAGCTTGGGAATGGCCATTTGCTGAAACAAAGAGGAAAATTGTTAGATCTTGGACTACTCAATTAAGACTTGCTGATGATTATCCTGAATATGTCTTTGTAGCATCTCAAATGCAACAATTTAAATGGTTAAAACAATATCATCCTGAAATTTATTCTCTTGTTAAAGAAAAGTATACAACTAATCAATTTTTACCAATTGGAGGATCTTGGGTTGAAAATGATACAAATTTACCTAATGGAGAATCTCTTCTTAGACAATTTCTTTTGGGTCAAAGATATCAATTCAATGAATTTGGATTTTATTCAAATATCTTTTGGTTACCTGATACATTTGGATATTCTTCCCAAATTCCTCAGATTTGTCAATTAGTTGGGATTTCTCGTTTCCTTACTCAAAAATTATCTTGGAATAATATTAATCAATTTCCATTATCTACTTTTAATTGGAAAGGTTTGGATGGTTCTCAAGTATTAGTTCATATGCCTCCAGCTAATACTTATACTGCAGGTGCTCATTTTGGAGATGTAGTTAGATCTCAGCAACAACATAAGAATTTAAGAGATATTCCAACTGGATTATTATTGTTCGGTCATGGTGATGGAGGAGGTGGTCCAACAGAAGAAATGATTGAAAAATTAAGAAGATGTAGAGGTTTATCTAATACTGCTGGTGGATTAATGCCTACGGTTCATTTAGGTAATACTGTTGATGATTTTTATGAAGAAGTATTAGCTAAATCAAATAATGGAGCTGATTTACCAACTTGGGTTGGAGAAATGTATTTAGAATATCATAGAGGTACTTATACTACTCAAGCTCGTATCAAGAGATTTATGAGATATGGAGAAGTTAAATTACATGATGTAGAATTGGTTACTGCTTTAGCTTCAATTAAATCTAAACATTATAAGTATCCAGCAGAAAAGATACTTGCCTTATGGGAAGATTTATGTCTTTGTCAATTTCATGATGTTGTTCCTGGTAGTTGTATCGGAATGGTTTATTATGATGAAGTTTATCCAATGTTGGATGAATTGGTGGCTAATGCTGATAAGTTAATTGATGAAGCTTTAGAAGTACTTGGAGGTAAATCAACTATCAATCTTGATAACTTGACTTTCTTTAATACTTTACCTTGGAATAGAAATAATGAATTATTAGAAATTTCTCAAACTCAACAACCTGAGTTATATCAATTAATTTCAAATGATCAAGTATCTGTTAGGGATGTATATGAAAAGGATACTAAATTAGTTTCAGTATCAACTAATGATGAAGGGAAACTTAAATTGAATTCTATTGAAGATATTAAATATCCTGCTAGTGTAACTCAAACTTCAGATGGTCAATTCATTCTCTCTAATGAATTGATTAAAGCTACAATCTCTTCCACCGGTATTATTACTTCTTTATATGATATTGTTAATGATCGTGAAGTTATTGCTACTGAATCTACCAAACAAACTGGTGATGGTATTGTGGGAGGTAATCAATACTTAATCTTTGATGATGAACCATTGAACTTCCCTGCTTGGGATACAGAATTATACTCTTTAAATAAATTTAAATTATTGAGTGGAGGTGAAGTTACCGTCCTATCAAATAATAAATTAAAGAGTTCTATTTTGGTAAAAATCAAGATTTCCGACAGATCATATCTTGAAACTGAAATATCTATTCAAGGTTTATTGGCCAGTAAACCAGATGATCAAGACTTTAATTACATTAAGTTTAAGACATTTGTTAGATGGCATGAAAAGTATAAGTTCTTGAAAGTTCAATTTCCTACCACAGTTTATACTGCAACTCAAGCAAATTATGAAACTCAATTTGGGGTTACTCAAAGACCAACACATTGGAATACAAGTTGGGAAACTGCTAAATTTGAAGTTGCTCATCATAAATTTATGGATTTAAGTGAATTTAACTATGGTGTTTCAGTTATTAATAGTTCCAAATATGGAGGTGCTATTCATGGTAATTTAATTAGATTATCTTTATTAAGGAGTCCAAAAGCTCCAGATGATCAAGCTGATATGGGTGATCATACTTTTGAATATGCTTTATATCCTCATAAAGGATATTTAGGTTCAGATACCGTTAAGTTAGGTTATAATTTTAATTATAAGATTGAAAAGCATTTATTTGAAGATCCAGCTAGTTCTTTTAGTAAATTAATTAATTCAATTAAATTAGAAGCTCCTGAAAATTTAATCTTATCTCATATTAAAAGAGGTGAAAATGATTATGATGTTAATCAATACGAAGCCTATAAAACCCAATCTACTGAAAAATCTATTGTGCTTAGAATTTATGAATCTTTAGGAGGTGCCACTTCTGGACTTTTGAAATTTGGCCCAATATTGAAAGTTGCTAAAGTATTTAAAACCAATGGGTTAGAAGAAGAAGGAGTTGAAGTTGAATTCAATGATAAATATGAATTACCAATCAGTTTGAAAGCCTTTGATGTTGTTACTTACAAAGTGGTATTGAAAGATTAGAAGATTATTGAACTGAGAAATCAATGTTCTCTATTTGGTTAGCCTTAGTTTAGTGTTTGTTTAGTTTGTTTTTTACGTTTTATATACATTTGAAAAAGAAAGTACAAAAAAGTATGAATTTAAATATACGTTTGTTCGTAATTGGCTTGCGCTTAAAGTAACTGTCATGACAATTGAAGAGCTCAATTATTCTGCAATTGACATTTCGTTGAAGAGATATTCCATATTTTGAAATAGAAAATTGCTCAGATGATCACAGTTAAAAAATTGCAAAAGAAATTGCAACTTACATTAGCGTATCTGTTCATAATTATAATTTCGAGATTTCAGACTGACAATTTTTGCATAGAGTTCAAATGCGTTTATGTTTATTTACATAGCAATTGAAACGTTGCTAGGGTGGTTACACAAATATACCTTGTGGTGCATTTAGTGCTGCTCAGGTACAGAAGGAGGTTGTCGATCGCTGCTTCCGGATGTGGTTTCGAGTAAACAACAGTCACGATTCCATTGGAGAGATGAATGAATACAGCCATTTTGTATACTAGAAAGTGTCTGATATACAGAGACAAAGAATAATAATATTAAAGGTTAAACAAGAGAAAAGGACTATTATGTATCAGTAATTACCCCATTGAGGCATCATTTTTCCATAATGGGAAATTCCGCGGCCCTCGGGCTTGGAAAACACCTCCTAAATTTGAAAGGGTTTTGATCCCAGATTTTTGGATAGATCTAATCATTCCTTTATTGTTAATTTTCCAACTCTCTTTGGTTACATCACTTGACTTAAAATGGCTTTGTTTGAAAGCCCATGTCCCCTATTTCTTCACTTGTTCAAATGAATGTAAATAAACTAATAAGGTAAATTGCTATCATTTAGTGTGTGTCCTTGTGTAACTACGTATGCGCATCTCTTACAAAAGTCCCCGGCTTAAAAATTCTTTTAAATTCCATGAGGGGAGTTAAATTTAATGGATGGAAATTAATCAGTTCTTCTCTCGATAACCTAAATTTAGAAAACACCGCCCCTCGTAATGATGAGAAAATCTTTCGAGAAAATTCTTTAGAACGAGTCATCGTTGTAAACTAGTGTAACAACTAGGAATCAGGGGAAACAAAATATTTATGAGTTAGCTTAATAGAGAAAGATATATTTGGAAAGTTGAACAAAATTGGGAGTTACGAACGACATTATTCACCGCTCTAAAAAGCAATAACCTTTCTTTTTCCCTGGGGAGCTTTCGCTAGTTAAGCGCAAAAGAGAGAAAAAGAAATAAGAAATCTGCAGACATTTCCTGTTGGTGCATAAAAGAGTGGACCTGTATATAATGGGTGCAAAAATCAGCCCTTAACCATCATGCAAAGTGGTGCAGCTCTGCATATCCATATTTTCGCTATATATAGAAACTTTCCAAGTGAATACCTATGTCTGTGACAAGTAACTTTTTAGTACTAATTACAGGATTGACAATAATAATATTTTATTTTAAAATGTAAGTTTTTTAACGTATCACTTTAAAAATATTTTAAGTAGTTTCGCCGCATATAATTAAGTATATAAGTAGGGTGAATTCTCTCATTTTAGCCCCTTTTTTTTGAATCTTATCTCACTATATAATTCTCAATTAGATTAAGAGCCAGTACCGAGTACATTTACATTCGCTTTATATTTCAAATAAATACAATGAAGTTATTCGCTGCCACCGCCTTATTAGCCCTTGCTGCATCTGCTCAAGCTGCCTACTCCAATGTTACTAGTAGCGCCAACAGTACTGAAACTGTTACTGATATTGCCACTACTATCATCACTATTACCTCATGTCTGGATCACGTCTGTACTCCAGAAGTTGTTACTACTGGTTTAACTACCGTTACTGAAGGTACCACCATTTACACAACTTACTGTCCATTATCAACTGTAACTGAAATCGAAACTACTATTGTTACCATCACATCCTGTTCAGAAGAAAAATGTACAGAAGAAACTGTCACTACCGGTCTTACTACTGTTACTGAAGGTACTACTATTTACACTACCTACTGTCCATTACCAACTACTGAAGCTCCAGCTCCAGCTCCAACTCCAAGTACCACAGCTGTTGAAACTACTCCTACTACTGTTGCAGCTGAATCAACCACTTCTGAAGCTGCTGTTTCTACTGTTTCTACTTTCAATGGAGCTGCTTCTAATGCTATTCCAGTTGTTGGAGCTGGTTTAGTCGCTTTAGGTGCTTTATTCATGTAAGAGATCTTTGGTTTTTTATTAAATACATAAAATGTGATAAGATTTTATCGTATTAGTGTATTATTAAACTGGAATATATTTTGCATTTCATATTACATTTCATTTTCTATTTTTATTAACTGATTCAGCTAAGCTTCGCAAATTTTATGGAATGAGTTTGTTGCTTCAAAGTATCCAAAATTTTTGACATTCTTAGTTCATCATTTTAGGTTTCGTGAACTCTACGGAGGGTAATTTGGTATATATATATTTTTTTTCTAACACCTGTTTTAATTGATTGCACGTCTTATTATAACAGTAGAAGGTTTATGTTATCAATCATACCAAAAGTTGGTGAGTTTTTAAATTATTTTAATATATTAATTTATTTTTACAAATAAAACTGTAGCTGTTGATCCCCCAATTGCATGTTGTAGCCTATGCATGTAACTGCTCAAGCTTATCAAATGAATATGAAATCTGCTTCTACACTGAAACACTGACGCTACATGACGCGTACTACTACGAAAATAACTGGTATACAATGTTTATAGATCGACAACTTTAATTATTAGTATTTACATGAAAATTTTGAAATATGGTGACTCTCACCAGGGCTCTTCATTAACCCATGAGCAAAAAACAATAGGAGCAATTAGCCTCACGCTACCGCTTATTAATTTATTTCCCAGCCGTAACCGAAAAATGTCCGTTGCTAATTGGTGCTGCATGGGCAGGTATAATATAAAGTAGCGAATCTATAAATAGGCGAGCTATCACCAATACCCTTCTGTTCCAAAAATGTTTCACTATTGGCAACTGATGTCATACTCATTAACCCCCATGTTTAGAGAGTCACCCATGTGCTCAATATGAAATTTGCGAATTATTGAGTTACTTTTAAATTGTAAATAAGTAAATTTAGAGCTCTGAAAACTATCTGCAGAAGAAATAAAAGCCAAGAAAAGAATAATTTCAATATTTTGTGAATGCCCCAAAGCCCGGCCAGACAAAAGATACAAAGATCCGACATTTTGCCTAATTAAGACAAATTATATCAAAATACTCTTACAATACATTCATAAAATATACACTAGTAATATACACAATAATATGTTAAAGGTAGTTAATTGGCAAATAATATACAAAGCTTTATTAATTAGGGGAATAGCAATCACACGACTTCATCATTGTCCAAAAGCTCATATGGTCTATTTGTGTAAATACCATAGTTGTAGTCTTCAACAATATCATTCTCTTCAAACAAATTATCCTGATTACCTTCTTGATACATTTTATCAATCACAAGGGAAAATTGTTTGTCATATCTATTAGCATTCAATTCTGTTATGCCATAAGCTTTAATATTTGAAATTTCATAATTGGCAATATTTGTCGAAGTACCTCTGAATTCAATGTAGATATCACGAGTTGGTACTCCTAAATTAATCATACTAATAGGCATTTTTATATGTTTTAATCGGTTAGTCTTTCCCTCTCTATCGAAAGTTTGTATTACATTAAATTTTTTAACCTTGAAAAACTTTCTCAAGTATTTATCAGTACTCCTTACAGTTGAATCAGAAAACTTCAAATCTGTCAAGTACTTTAACAACTTTTCTCCTAATTTATAGTTATTAGGTTTAATCCAAACTGAAATCTCTCCTTCGAAATCTTCTTGAGTATCAATGGTGGAAAAATCGATTATTAAATCAGTTAATATTATTGAATTTGATAGTCTAATTCCGACTGAACATGGGTTTTCACTGGTAGATTGACATGTCCAATATTGATCATTATCCAAAAGAGCAGAGTTAGCACTGTATTTCCAATAATGCTTGGACTGTAAATAATCGTACCATCCGAAGAATAATTTATAAGCATTACTGGTTGACTTTGACTTTAAATTAGATCTCGTTAAAAATCCTAGGATTCTAGCCCCAATACTATAATCAGCGTAATTTACTTTAACCGACCCTTGAGAGAATATCTCCAATAATTGATTCAATAAAAGTTTATTGGTTGATTCTTTTAATACTGTGAAGCTATCTTCAGTTGAATTTGTATTTGAAGATGCTGCAAGATTTAAGTTATCAACCAAGTTATTAAACTTATCAATTATAAACTTATTATTAAATAAGAATCTCTTATCGAGATATCTTTCAAGTTCATCTTTTTTTAAGTAACTTTTGTTCGTTAGAGTATCATTATTATTTGAATGATTTAATTGTAATGTTTGATTATTGGGATTGTTCTCCATATACTTATCAATAAAGTTATATAAGTATTTATGGAATTGAGATGAAAAATGTATCTTATCATGTTTTATATAGACTGGAATAAGTTGAGGTAAGCTTTCAAGTAAATCATTTAAAATCTCCTGCTTTATAGAAGATAAGTTTTCTACTATAAATGATCTCAATTCTTCCACACTAGTTGAATTTGTGTTTATGTTAGTGACTTTCGTATTACTAACAACCTGTTTAAAATCTTTGATCTGTTTTGATGTTTCTTGAATGGAAGTTTCTATAGAATCAAATTTATTATTAATGAAATCAAACTTGGAATTTATAGCTGCCAAATCGGATTGATGATTGTTTTCAATGAACTCTTGACGGTTTTCTAATTTATTGGTAATCTCTAGTAATTTATTGATAGAATTAGCAGTCTCTTTTTGGAGACGAGTATTTATATGATAAGTTGGAGAACCATTTTCTGAATAGTTGAAGCCTTTCTGATATATTAATATAAGAAAGGTTGGTACAAAGGATATAAATGCATATAATAAATACACTTTCCAGTTTGATATAGGTAACTTGACTGACATAATTGAAGTTATAAGGTTATTTTTGGTAGAGGCATTACCTCCAGTGGATGATGCCAATAAATTGCTTTCTTGTTCTTCTTCCTCCTCTTCTATTTCTTCGTCATTATCATGTCCATCTTCTTTTTCTTCGACTCCATAGTGAGGTTGATTGGTTGAATCAACTGGACTGTGATCTCGCACATTATCTGAAGGTGGTTGTAAGTGAGGAACTGTCCATCTTTTATAACGACCTATGAGATCGTCTTTAGGATTCTGATTCTGGATTATAGGAATATCTGTTTTGGAATATGGCGATCTCTGGGGTTTCCTAGGAGTATTGAAATGCTTTAAAGCTTGAAACTTCTCATTCAATGCCTGAAGTTCTCGATCATCATAATCTGAATCGATCTCTAATTCATCATCTGATTCAACTTCTGTAGTGTCATTGTACTGATAATCATCATCCTCTTCGCTGGCATATCCATTAGCATTATCCTGTTGATATCGTTCAAAAGAATTATTCAATTCATGATGAGAGCCATTGATTCCATCGGCATCCTCTTCATTTTCATTTTCATCTTTTTCAGTAATATCATATTGATTTGTTTGATGTAATGCAGCATAAATCTTCCGATCGACTTCGCTTACAATACTACTTCTCTTGTTAGTTAAAGGTTGAGCTCGACCCACGGTTCGATTCAAGTGGATTGATGCATCATCGTCCGTATCGCCGTTGACACGCGGTAGTGAGGGGAATCCGGCCATATCTCACAGCTATTATTAGGTAGCTTAATGAATTTAAGTATCAACTCGGTTGGTTTGAGCCGATTTGTTTTGTACGTCTATAAATATTTTTGGTATGGTATGTTTCACGCGTCAGAAATTTTTCAGACAGACATTAGCTGTAACAGATAGAGATGAAGGGAGTTTAACTAAAGCTGATTGTGTATATACAGAAAGAAGCTACTGATGTAAATTGGTAGAACAGAGTCGTTCCAAAGTTATTGTGTTTTTATGGCCAGAAGTGTGTAGCTTAGTTTGTTGTTTGTTAATTATATCCAGTGCATTTATAAGTATTATTTTGTAGTACATCCTATTTTTGTTTAGGCTGGGATCGTATATCCTACTTGGTTCAACTGACTTTGAGAATGCGCTTTTTATAGAATTCAAAGCTCCATATAGTTTAAAAACAGTGAGATGTTGTTGAATGTAATGGGTATGTATTGCACACTCTTTCCACTTGTCTTACATAGAATTGTTCAAGCAACTATGATGCGGCTCTACTACTTAAAAGCTGCAAAAAAAAATGTTATATATTAAAAATTAACATAAACTTGCAAATGTGAACTATATACCAGATCAATAAGCTTATTTGGAATCTCTCTATGAATATCTCAAAAAGATAATCTAATATGGGTATTCAGTATGATCATAATTAAGGAATTTACCATTATCTTCTTCTTTCAAATTATCGATAACCTGTGCAACTTGTGTACCACTTTCTTCAGGAGTTATGCTAACGCTCTTAAGAAGATCTTCTAAATGGGGAGAATTTTTGACTATTTCGGAGTGTCCATGATTACCCATATCAGTAGAAACCACTCCTGGAGAGACAGCAACAACTTTGAATCCTTCTTGTTTCAATTCATGACTTAATTCAAGAACCGAGAAGTTAAGTGCCGCCTTAGACTGACCGTAAGCACTTACTGGAGTAGGAACGAATCTTGTAAGCGAACCAGCGCCTGAAGAGATAAACACTAATTTTCTAGTTTCCTTCTTTAATAAATGTTTATATAACTTCTGTAACACTAAAATGGGCGCTAAAGAATTGACAGTATAGTGATCCAACCAAACTTCTTTTGGACAATCAATTACATTAATGTACGAATCAGAAATAGCAGCATTTGCAACATAAACATCAATACCATCCACTCCAATTTTGGCCAACTCAGAGTCAATTAACCCAATAGATTTATCACTAGTAGTTTCAAGAGTGATTATTTCAACATTACCATTCTTAGCAGCCAATTCCTTTAATTTATCAGCCTTGGAAGGATCACGAGCAGTGGCAATGATCTTATTATCTTTGCTGAGATTACTGTAGTACTTAGTGATTTCGAAACCGATACCTCTATTAGTACCAGTGACGAAGTAAGTTTGTCCTGTCATATTTAACTTATTTGTTGTGAACGAAAACCATCATAGCATCGAAATAGCGAGAATACTACTAGTTTATATAATTTTGAATTTAAGTAGGTTATCACTTTATTTTGTGGTGTTGAACCGGTCTGCGGATTTACGACGAGATATCATAGTATTTTATAGGATTGAGAGGTCCACGCTGTTTCCAGCCATGAAACAGTATGCGGGTTTAGGCTCGGTTTTAACAGTTGATTTAAAGGATTGAATCCTGAGCCTAAAACCTTTGAAAATTCTTGCAAAACCGTGCACAACGCGTTATTTTTTCAAATCATGAATTACGTCAGGAATACAACCATAAAAAATAAGGTAAATATGTCAAATGTTATGAAAGTATTCTCCATATGACACATTTACTTCATAACATATTTTTTGTTATAAAAGTAAAGCAAACTTAATTTGAAGTTAGCTTTAGAGCATATTCTGCTAAAAGGACCAAAAGTAAAAACCAATGTACGGCCGATATGCGGGTTTAGTAAATGGATGCAAATCCTTGGTGCGGTCATCACAGTTGCCGCCGTCATGGGGGCTTTTCTTTTCTCAAAAATTTCGGTCAATCTGATCCAACATATTCTAACTCCAGAAGTGGTGAAGCGATAGGATTCAATAAATATGAACTGTGATCTGTCTGATACGAATCTGTCATAAATTGTTAGGAAAATAAAATTGTGGGAATATGGTTTAATCGATATGAAGAATTGATTTACCACGAGTACCATTTCTGGAAAAAAACCGAGTTAAATAAAAAAAGTACTGTCAATTGGTACATTTAAAAATAAATCAAAAACCCTCTATATCATAGCCAGACGTTGAACTATGGTGGCAAGAGATTCGCCATTGGTTTCTTTTCAATTGTGTTGATATAGTGCTGCTTCTTATTGTTCATGGTAGTGGTCTAAACTTGGATGGCCGTAGGGTATGCTATAGGGGTTGGAAAAATAGTCTGTACCTTCAGAATTTGGGAGTCGTTATATACATAGAAATCCTGCCTTTCATGTCCTAAATAAGTTAATATATAATAAAAATAATACAAATATGCACTTCTGACATTAGTAAAGTTTTGTTAATGTAATATGATAAGGGAAATAGAAGTACCTTTATGGCCGGAATCAATCACAGTGTGGGGTTATTTGGCGAAAACAGATGATCGCAAGATTGGAAAGATAATATTCCACTAGGTTCTAATATTAAATCAGTATAAGAGAACAGTATATAGAGTTGTAGTCGGAGTAGAGCGCACATGTTTCCGTTTTTGGAATTTTCGGAGATAATGCAGGTAATAGATAAAAGTTCGGTGAATGATACCATATAGTTACTAACAGTACGGATTTGGTATGATTTTTTGATTCCATGGGTTTGTATATAGTCCACAATACCTTAGTTTTTGAAAGTATAATTGTACAACCCAAAAAGGTCATATAACCTATTTGGGTGCAAATTTTTTGTGGAGAGCGGAGCGGATATTAAATGATAACTCGGTCGTGGATATAATGCGGCGATAGCACCTGGTGCTGATACATTCTATGAAGAGTTCATATTTCACTTCTGAATTACTAGATATATAAATTACTCTCATAGAAACACAATTGAAAAAACTTGAAGAAATTACGACACCTATAAAAATGGCAAGTAAAGTTGCGTACCCAAAGGGCCAATTGAAAGATTTGTGGCATTTGTATAATAGCATTTTCCCTGGAAAGCCTCAATTTACAGAAAAGGATTATCCTTCCTTTGAAGGCAAAGTAGTGATTGTAACTGGAGCTAGCGCTGGAGTTGGTTATGAAGTTGTGAAATTGTTATCAAGATCCACTAAAGCTAAAATATATGCCTTCGGAAGAAATCCGGAAAAAACTTTAGCTGCAATGAAACGATTAGAAATTGAAGTGGCTAGTGAGTTTAATAAAACCAATTTAGATATTCATTACATTGAAATTGATTTCAGTGATTTGACTACCATCAAACCAGCTGTTGAAAAATTTCTTGAAAAAGAGACTAGGTTAGATTTAATTATTCACAATGCGGCTGTAATGTCACCACCATTAGGAACTGTCACCAAACAAGGTTATGAATTACAATTAGGAACCAATAATATTGGTCCACAGTTATTACAAAAACTTTTAGATCCATTATTCATTGAAACTTCAAACAAGAATAATCATGGTGAGTCTAGAATTGTTTGGGTTTCATCTAACGCAAGCTTCAGTGCTCCACTTGGTGGTATACATCTTCCTGATCCTAACTTTAGAACAACAGAAGCTTTGCCGTGGATCCTCTATAGTCAAACTAAGGCTATCAACATTTTACAGTCTAAGTATTGGTTAAAGGCTAATCCAGAAGCAACAAATGTTACAAGTGTATCATTAAGTCCAGGTATATTGAAAACAGAATTGCAACGAAATATCACTGGTTTACAATCCATCATTCTATATTTTATACTGCATTTGCCTATCTATGGTGCATACACAGAATTATTTGCAGCATTCTCTCCAGTGGTCAAATCTGGTGATTATATAGAAAGTTTTGGCAAAATAGGTTCTTCAAGATACGATCTTGATGATCTAGAATATGCTAAGAACGCATATGAATATTTGGAAGAGCAAATTAAAGATTATCTTTAAATAATCTTGAACTGTATATAAATGTATAGGTAATCTAAGACATTTATTTAAAGTTAGCCAATGTCTCTATAAGTCAATATATATCAGTTAACCGTTTGGGAATGGTTCGTGTTACTCATATTTAGTTAGAGTTTGACAATATATTTCTACAAAATCTGTGTGTGCGCAATTTTAAGCGCAAAAATTGCAGCAACCCTCTATATATACAACACGATATATTAAAAATTACATAATCAGAGCAAACTAACTATAATTAAAGTCTTTCTAAAACAGTGTTTGCACTCGAGATTTCACTGAATCCAAGACCATCTTCATTGGCAAGATAATCGATTACTCCATTCTTGACAATTACCACATATCTACCAGTTCTAACCCCAAAACCAGCAGCACTTAAATCTTCCACATAAGAATCTCCTAATGACTTAGAGATCTTAGACAATGGATCGGAAGCAAAAACAATGTAGTTCTCTTCATCTTTATAACCTAAAGCTTTACCCCATGCAGCTAAGACGAATGGATCGTTAGCTGTCAAAACAATGATTTTTGAGACCCCTTTATCTTTAAAATCTTGCAAGTGCTTTAAATAATCAGGGATATGTTGTTCAGTACATGTTGGAGTGAAAGCACCTGGAGCTGCAGTAACAACTACGGTCTTACCAGCAAACTCTTTAGCTAAGTTCAATTCAATTGGATTGGCACAAGCAGTAAGGTGATCATTAGCTTTAGCATATGGAACGTATTTTGGGTTAACTGAAGTTGGGAATTTATCATCAACTGTAATTTGAGACATTTTGAATTTAATATTTATTAATTAATTAATAGAGTTTTATGTTTAACAATAGGCAATTTAAGGTAATTGAATTGAATTGCTAGTACTAAAAGAAAATTACAATTATTCACTTTTATAGAAAATGAGGAGTATTTATATAATTTGCCATTAACCCCTCCGGTACAAACAAAACCGATTGGTTATATTCTGCGACAAAAGAAAAGTGTAAGGGGAAGAAATAAACCTATGGGTTCTGAGGCACTAAAACTTAAAAATTAAGCAATCTAAGTATTGTAAGCAAGATGACCAGTATTGATTTAATTCACTTTAATTCATATATTTCACTTATATAAGTATTGCATCTAGAACTTAACATTTATAATCAATTAGTTTGTAATGTCAGATTGGACTAGACATAATTTGAGACATAATGCTCACGCAAATAGGCAATGCCGATTACAAACTCCCACCACTTCCCGCTTATTGTAGAACAAACGTGTGTCATGCATGCAAGATAATTCATGCCAAAATATTTAGTTATAATTTTACAGCCTCCGTATATTCGGTCATATCAAATTTAATCTATAGATAAACTCCATATTCCCATTACCATTCCTGGCTACTTGACTTACATATATAGAATGGCATAGTGTAGTGTAGTCTGAGCGATTATTATTCTCTCATCGGAGTTGCTCATTACTCCGGATGTCCCTTATAAATTCTATTTTCTTTTTTGCGGAGAGTGCGTCACTACTATTAACTTATTTGTAATCTCCTATTATCGCTTTTTTGCAATCATACTAATAAGGTTGGGTGAAATTGATATGTAAATAGAGTATTATCTATGACGTTATATGGGGACAATGTTCTTTTCGGTTAGGCACCTTTTGGTATGCATAATTTTTGGGCATTTATATGAGCAGTTATCTTTTAAGCCACTTGATTCTACGGGGAAAACACTCTTGGTTACTAAGTGTGTAAATGGGTTCTAGACTCAATTTCGTTTACTTTTTTATATCTAAATACTGTATTTACATAATCTTATGAATTATGAAAGAACTAAACTTATTATACCACCAACAACTGACCCAATATAGCCTCCTGCTAATAAAGTAATGGGCCATTGTTGCCATGGTCTATCCCAATCTAATGGAATTGGCACGACTCCTAACCAAGTACCTACCACAATAGCGAGACTTGAAGATAATACAGAATGACTGAAAATTAATCTATAGATCTTATTGGCCTTAAAAATCACCAATAAATTATTAATGTCAAATTTGAAATAAATTAATAATGGATTAAATAATATAATTGATAAATGGAAACTTAATAAAATAGTTTGAGTTATATAATTAATTAATGGAGCTCCAAATAGTATGATAAATACAAATAAAGGAAATGCTAATATCAATGAAATGATAACACTACCAATTATTAATAATGGAACATTAGTATTATCATTTTTCTTCTTTTTAATTTTAATATTATTATAAAGAATATAATTATAACCAATTTGAATGGGGATTAAACTGAATAATCCATTTAATAATACTTCATTAACATTTTCAGTTAATCCATAATAAAACATTCCACCTAATATAAGTAAATTATGATATGGAATTGTTAATAATGAATTATTCAATTTAGGTATAGATCCCCGAATAGCTTCGTCTTCTTCCTTCTCTTTCTTCAATGTATCTTCATCCTTCTTAATTCCTGATCCATCTTCTCCATTGATATCTGAATCATTACCCTGATCCTCACGCAGTTCAAAGGATACAGACTTCCTCTCTGATTTGGTCTTAGCCATATTTAACAGTAGAGAATGATTACGACTTTGTATAACACTTCTAACAATATTGACGGGTTAACCTGTTTTTAGAACGACAATTTTTCTGTTGACTGCGAACGCGCACGCATCGGCGGGCTACAAATAATACAATACATTAATACAATACTCTTTATATACATTTACTATAGTCCTTGTAGAACATGTTCGAACTCAATTATATCCTTCCAGATATCTTGAGAAATATTCTTTGAGCTAACTTTACTAGATAAGTTTTTCTTTCTATCTTCGTTTAATTTGGCAAATGTTTTAATTACATCATAATCTAAAATTGGTTTTGTGTTAGTATCATTTCCAATTAATGATAAACCTCCATAACGATTTAAACGAGGATTTAAACCACAATAATGATATTCTTTATCAATTAATTGTTGTTGAAGAATATACATTCTTCTATAAGTAGCCTCACTAATGGGGAATACAGTAAAGAATGAACCATCAATAGTAGAACCAATAGTTTGAAAATCATTAGAAGTAGTAAATTCATGAATTCCTGTATCTGCATCATAACTTTCTTCACTTCGAGGAATTTTTTTCATACAAGTTACATAAGAAGTTAAAGCAAATGAAGCTCGAGATATTAATCTTTGACCATTTAAAGATGAAGGATCTTCAGGATCATATTGAACTAAATGTAAAATATTATTATTATCAGCTAATAATACATAAATTTCTTCATCTTTAGTAATAAAATCGGCACAATTAACATCAACATTACTTAAATCTTTTCCCAACATAATAACTCGGAATGGTTCTGCATCAAATCCAATTAACCAAATACTTCTAATAGAATCACCTAAAATTACTAAATTTCCAAAACTTTTAGCTTCAGTTACATATACTGAAGTATCTAAAAATGCCACTGGAACTACACTATCTTCTTCTAATTCTCTTACAATAATTTTTTGACCTTGAGCTGCTAAAAATCTTCCACTAACTTCACAAATTGATGTAACAGCACCTCTAGTATCTTCTTGAAACATTTCTTTAAATTTATGATTAGTTTCAGGTTTTCCTGGTTCAGGAACAATATCAATAATTTCATAAATTTTGAATGCACCATTAGATGATAAATCTTCAATTCTATATTTACCAGTTCCAACTGTTATTAATTCTCGTTTATTTTTAAATCTCTTCGAATTACCCACATCTAAAACCATTGATTTAACAGACATTCCAACTTCATCATCTTTAAATTCTATTGAATCAATAACAGTCCAATTATAAGGAGATATTAATTTAATAGAACCTTTAAAAGATTCAGGTCTTGGTAAATCATTATGAATTCCAACAATTGGTTTACCTTCTTCATCTATACCTTCATAAGGAATTTCACTAATAGTTGAAACAATATAAGTATTACTTGTTTCATGATAAGCAATTGATTTTATCAGTTCACCTACATGAACGGTTTTAATTGGCCAAGTATTTTCATAACTAAAATCAGATGCTAATTCACAAATTCTAGCATTTTGATGATTATCTAAATAAATTAATCCATTTGTAACTTTAGAATCAGCATATGAAGATATTGAAAGTATAGGAATTTTTGAAAATTTAAATATTCGAGGTATTGAATGTAAACTCTTTAATATAATATAAGGAGTTACTCCAGTTACAAAAATATATTTAAATCCATTTCTATTAGAAAAATGAACTAATCTTCTTTCAATAGCTGTACCTAAAGGATATGCATTATCTGGAGCTCCTGTTAAAGCAGAATTTTTTTCTTTTCTAAATCTATAATTTTCTCCATCATAAAATAGTTTATACATTATTACTTCACCTCCAATAGTTAAAATAGTTAAATATTCTTCTTTATGATCTTTATCACCTAATTCTCCTAATATAACTTGTTTTATAAAAGGATCAGGATAAATTTGTTTGGGATCAAAAAATGCTAAAGTTAAAGTATCAGTAAATTTATCAACATCATTTAATTGGAAACATTTTTGATTATGAAATCTATTAAATGCAACTATTCTATTATCACCAGTAACTAATATAAATGTTTTCAGTTTTGGTCCAATATCAGTTGGAGCCATTTGATAAGATAATGTAGAAATTCTACTTCTCTTTTGACCTTTATTTATAGCTAAATTAATATTTTTCAGTACAGCAGTTAATAATCGAGAATTTGTAATAGCTCCAGAAGTTATAATAACATCACTTAAAATTTTAGGAATTTCAACTTTTGTAAATGTTTCATTATATGTATTAATTGCTAAAATTAATACATCACCACTAGATAAAAAAATCATTAAGAATTCATCCTTTAAAGTACTATTAATAATTTCATCATCATTTGAAATTCCTTCATGTAATTCTAATCGTTTCTTAAATGAATTATTATATAATATAATCTTATGAGGAGTAATTTGTAAAATATATTTACCATTATTTAATTCATGCATAGAAATCGTAGCTTCATTATTAATAAAATCTTTAGATTTTAATCTAGCAAATGATTTTTCAATTTGAAAAATTTCTGATTTACTATTAATATCATCGGAAGTAATTAAGAATTTTTGATTTATATTCCACATTCGATTAACTTGAGAAAATGTTAATGATGATACAATATTAGGTTGAACAGTTGGAGTTATAATATTTAATCTACCTTGAATATGAGTTCCTGAATTGGATACTATACAAACTTCATTATAATTTGGATTCTTTAAATTAGCAATATATTTCTCAGTTGAATAGTATCCAAGAGTAAATGAAGATGTTACACCAAAATTCATTAATTCATCATGAAGTAAGAATTCAATTGATGATTTACTTAAAACAATCTTTTGTTCTTCTTCTTCATCATTATAAAAGTCATCATCATCTTCCTCTTCAACTTCTTCTTTACCATTCACAGTTGGCTTCCCATTAGATTTTTCTGATTTGACTGTATTGCCATCATCTCCTTCTCCTTGTTCGTCATCATCATCATCATCATCGTCATCCTCTCCACCTTCAATTCTTAAATTTCCAGTAGATACACTTGATGAATCTTTATATTTGAATTGCACTAATGGACTATCACCATTTTGATTAGTGAAAAATAATAAGTTATTATCAAGAACAGTGATATCTCCGGGATATACCAAATTAACACTATTATATAAGATCTTATCAATAACTTCAATATTAAGTGATTTAATTGATTTTCCATCAACTTCAAAATTAATATAATAAAATTCTCCATTATTAAGAACTAAAAGTACTCTATGATCATTGGGGATTAATACTACATTACAATTCTCTAATTTTAAATTTAAATCAGATTGATCAAGGTAATTCTTTGTAGATGCAGTAATTAAAGGAGTGAATTGATTAACTGCTATTCTTCTAACAATACCTCCATTATCAACATGAATTATTTCATTACAACCAAATAAGAGACATCCATTTAATGGTGAAGGTAAGGAAATAATTCTATCTATATCATAAGGTAAATTTTCTACTTTTAATACACTTACAGTAGTTCTAGAAGCTAAATCAATTGTAAGTATAGAGAATTGTAAATTATCCTTTTGTTTAATTAAATTTCCTGACCATACATGATTCTTTTGTGATAATATAGCTATAGTAGGTTCTCTGTAATTGTATAAAAATTGCATATCAACTATACTATCAATAGAAGAATCCAAACTTTGTCCATCTATTATAAAACTAGAATCAAATACCTTTGAATTTTCTGAACTAACAACAACTTCACCTGTATTAGCTCCACCACTTCCACTTCCATTTACTGAATTTTTATGTTCTACCATATGCTCATCATCATCCTCATCCATATCATCATCATCTACTTCATTGGTTTCAAATGGTAAGAAACATAATAGATTCTTGAATCGAAGACATGCACATGAATAATATGAAGGTTCTACTAATAATTCCGAAAATGAGAGTTTTTCATAAGTCATATTTTGAAGAGCTTCTTCATAATAATGTAATGAAACCGTAGATATAGTATGCAATTGATGATCCCATCTTATTATGGAAAATTTAGCCCATTTAGTAGATACTATCAAATAATCCAATACAGGATTTTCAACAGTTCTAATAGCTTTCAAATCTGTAATTTGTCCATGAAGTTTAAAATGATCTATTAATTTCAAACGATATTGTGGTTTAGTAACAGTAGATTTCTTTAATAATACAACTTCAAAGATCTGGAGTATCGATGCTTTACCAATTATCAAATGCTTTGTAGTAGGAGATATAAAGTTACATCCCACACTATGACTAATCCTTGAAGGTTCGATGAATTCATGGTATGCTTCCATGATTCCACCACTTACTTAGAAATTATATGAGATATATAGCTAGTTAATTGAAATATTATCATTTCTCATATATTAAGGCTATAAAGTTACCTGGTTGATATTCATGGGACATTTTGGTGGGTACACGCACAATGTCTTTGAAAAATTTGTGAATTACAGGTTAGAGGGGTGTTTTGCTAGTTACATAGAGCAAAGTTAGCTAAGTATAATTTATCTAGCGATTCTACAAAGATGTAAATGTTGAAAGAAAATGGTGTAAACCATGTTGGAAACGTAATTAAACCCTAATCGGTGGGGAGGAATTTGACTCCCGTACCTCAGATATTGATGAGGGTGGAGATATATAAAAATAATGCCATGTTCATTGTAATATGCTCGTCATGGACCGGAAATTTTGTTGACAATTACGGTTCCAGGGGCGAGGAAAACCTTTGCGCTAGAGGATTTGGACAATTTAAATATTATCATATATTTATATATATTAAATGGATTCATATTAAAGCCAGAACTTTGGTGAGTAAACTTTGTATGAGAACTGAAACCTCAATATTTCTTGTTAAAAAGTTATTGATGTAATAATACCATATTTTCTATAAATTACAAAGTTCGAGAGCGGAAGCGCTTTATTGGACCATAAGCCGGAAGAGGAAAGCCAAGCAAAACTACAGTTAGATTGCAATTAAGGTTAAATCCTGAAAACAATGACGTTTGTTTTACTAAGTAAACACTCTATATATATGGTAGTAAAGAAGAACTGAAGAAATCACATTATTAAGATAATGATATTAATAGTACATGTTTGATTGAATTTTCTGGTAGATTTATAGTGCTTGAAAATTAGTTACAAGAAACCAAAAATTTTAAACAACTAAAGAATCTCATATCATTAAGAATAATAATGTGATGATTAACCCGAATATACCAGTAGCCTTGGCGGTCACAGCAGCACCACCTTCATATGTAGAAAGTGTTATAGAAGGTTCTGATGCTGATGAAGACACTTGTAAAGTGCTAGATGTTGGGGTTTCTGTAAATATATTATTAGTGATAACATTTATAGTAGTGAATACTGGAGCTGGAGCAGAAGTACTAGTGGTAGAAGAAACTGGAGCTGGAGCTGGAGGAACAGTAGATTCTGTTTCTCCTGATAATGGACAATAGGTAGTATAAATAGTATTTTCTTCGGTAATCACAGTAATACCAGTAGTCTTAGGAATATTAGTACATTTGTTGTCAACACATGAAGTAATAGTGATGACAGTGGTAGATATTGAAGTTTCTGTGGTGGATGTGGCAGAAACTGGTTGTTCTGAAGTGGATATAGCAACAGCAGCTTGAGTAGATTTTGAACTTTCTGGACAGTAAGTAGTAATAACAGTGACAACACCATCAATAGTTGTTGTGTAAGTTGTCAAAGATTCAGAGGTTTCTGGATCTGCTGGTGGATCTGCTGGTGGATCTGCTGGATCTGAAAAGCTGGCAGGATCTGAAGAGCTGGCAGGTGGATCGTCAAATACAGTGGAAATTACTGGTACTATTGATGATGGTGTAGAATCTGAAACAGGGACAGCAGTTGCTATAACTGTAAGTACTCCATCAACTGTGGTTGTGAAAGTAGTAGAACTTTCTAATTCAGTTGTAACATAACAATTACCGTCGTCACAAACAGTAATAGTAGCTTCAAATTCACCATAATTGGTATCTGTCTCATATGCATATATAGTCTTTTTTGGATTTGAAGAAGTTGGATCCAGTGGTGAAACATTCACAATATCATAAGTTGCTGCTACAGCAGCATCTTGTGTACTTGATGAATTACTGTATACGAATGAATTTGGTGCTAAGAATGAGGCAGAACACTCAGAAGTGCATGGTAAAGTAGAAATTATTGTAGATTCAATAGTTGTGTAGTAAGATGATGATGATGAGGCAGCATAAGCAGATGTAGCTAATAAAGCTAAGGATGATATAATACCTTTCATTTTTTTGAATGATTATTTGTTAAGTAGTGATATGATAAATGAGAAAAGAAGTCCAAATAAATTTTTAACAATTATAATTCATGAGCTGATACGTTACCTCTTATATACCCTTATTGTTTGGTCGTAAAATAGACAGGAAGTCATTGATTTGGTTTTGATTCAAACTGTATTATTGTCATTTAACTGTTGCAGCTGCATTTCGCATCAATTTCTGCTGGCAAAATCATCCCAATTAGGCAACTCACCAGCTGCCGACTACTTTTTTAGTTCTAACAAAAATCGCACAAACTTTGATCTGCCCTGCAAAGAAAATATGCCAGCCATTTTTGGAGAATTGCGCGCCAGCTTAGCTGGTTATAAGAAAATAAATGAAGTAACACAATGGTTGCGTCGTTGCAATAAAGAAACGAAGAAAGTGACTCAATGTAAAGAATGGCTTGAGTGGCCGCCTCACAAGAAAAGAATGTATTACAGAATGGATCAAGAAATTTAGACGAATAAATCGTAAAAATATTTGTATTGTTAAATTTAGCTTACAAGATTTATGGAAACTTGTAGACACGACTCTTGTTGTGTGCAGGGAAGCAAATTTTTATCTTTTTGATCAGTAGAAGATATTAGTAAACCTCTATAGATCATAGTTGATGAAGAAGCAAAGGATCTACAAAGATGAATATTGTATTGGTAGCGTTTATACAAGTGCTTTTAATCAGTAAAGTCTTTGCTTTGTTGGATCCTACATCGTTTGTTATAGAGTTTGGGGATGCTAATATAGAAACTACGTTAGAACAATCTCGCTATTCATTCATTTATTTCTTTTCTGACTCATGTGGATTCTGTGACAAGTTCAATCCTGACTTTGAAAACTTAAGTTTACTTTATAATAATAGATCTGATCATTCTCTGCTTCAAATTATAAAGACAAATGCTAGGGCTAATAAAAGGTTAAGTGGATTATTTAGCATAAATCGTTATCCTAGCTTACGTTTACTTGATTTTGAGACTAAAGAAATTATAGAGTATGATCAAGACAAAAGAGATTTAGCTTCTTTAATAAATTTTGTACAAGCACGAGTTCCTGGTGTTTCACCCAATTATGATGGATTTAAACCAAGTATACATTATTTTGAAGATGTTAATTTTGATAAGCATCAACCAAATAGTTTAATTGTATTCACATTACCATTTTTAATGGAATGGAAAGATTATGTGTATCCTACTCATGGATACCAGAAATTAGCTCTTGATTTTCCTCATATACAATTTGGACTTGTTGATGTTGATAAAGTATCTGCACAAGACACCCTTGCTAAGTATCATATAACTAACTTCCCTGCTGTGATATACTTTCATAACGATGGAACTTTTAAAGTATTTAATACTAATTCGCAAAATCATGTAATCAAAAACAACTTGGGAGTAAATGATATTGAGATATTCCTCAATAATTTACATACAAATGAATCGGGAAAGTGGTATAAATCACTTAAGGAAATGCAAAAGGATCTTGAAACTATCATAAAATCAGATACACCAATTTCATATGGGAAAAAGGGATTTAATGTAAATCATAATCCTAACCCTCATCCATATCAGCAAGATACTGATATCGTAGAAGAGTATGATTCACTTATGAATCACATTGAATTATAAATATAATATATAGTCTATATAATAATAATTGGAAATTTCCTGTATATAGCCCCGCGCATATCTTTGACGTGTTGTAAATGAAAAAGTAACCATGAAACAAATCTCTACTAGTTTGCTAAAAGTAAGTCACAGCTAAGTACTATCATGAATATCTTTAGTTTCTTTGGAGATCTTTCGCATTTGGCGAGTATTTTCATCTTATTATATGCCATTGAACAAAATAAATCAATAGCTGGTATATCGTTAAAATCTCAAGCTTTATATGTATTGGTTTATGTTTCAAGATATATTAATTTATTCACCAAATATTATTCACTTTATAATTCAGTATTAAAAGTATTTTTTATTGGATCTTCAGTGTATACTGTGTATATTATGACGCATAAGTATAAGAAAAATATTCAACAAGACATTGATACATTTCCTGTGAGATATATATTAGGAGGTTCAGCATTATTAGCACTTATATTTACAAGAAAATATACAGTATTGGACATTTTTTGGACAATGTCATTATGGTTAGAAGCATTTGCCATTTTACCTCAACTTTTCATTTTACAAAGAATTGGAGAAGCTGAAAATATTACTACTCATTATATCTTTGCTTTAGGTATTTACAGAGCTTTATATATTCCAAATTGGATATATAGATACTTTGCTGAAGAACATTTCGATTATGTTTCAGTACTTGCTGGTTTACTTCAAACTGCTATTTATTCTGATTTCTTCTATATTTATTATACTAAAGTATTAAAGGGTAAAAAGTTTGAATTGCCTGTCTAAAGAAATCACATTACATTACTTCATTTCCTCGGATATACAAAGTAGACAGAGTTAATGTTAGATGATGGCAAACAGTTCGTACTGTGGCTTACTATTAATGTAAATCTATTGTATTGATTTCTTTTGATCATTTATATATGTATGTACGTATGTATTAATTGATTAAATAATTAAATATATTCATTAATCTCTCTTCAATGGGTAATATTCAGTTCTCACACCTTCTTTAGTAACAATTAAGAGTTCTAAACCATCACCAACATATATATGTCTTTCAGTAGCTGAAGAAAATGCATCTCTTACTAATTCCAATACTTCTTCCAACTTTAAGTATCTTAAATCTTTCTTCTTTTTACCATCAGTACCTGGTTCATATTGATTTTTAAAATTAACTTGATTATCAAGGAATGGCATTATTAAACTAGCAGCAGCACCTCCAGCTCTACATTGTTCTCTTTCATAAGATCCAACAGGATCATAAGAATATACTGCACCTTTTCCATCTTCATCTAATCCAGCAATGATTGTATGAACATAATAAGGGAAAAATCTTTTACCATATAATAAATGTTGAATATATCTAGCAGCACTTTTAATATTCAATTTCTTTCCACCATGATCAAATTTATACCATTTTAATTGATTTCTAAATCTATCAATTAAAGCCACACCATCAGCAGCAAATCCATTGGCTGTCATAATTATATCATCACCAACATCAAATACTTTTGGTTGATATCTTGTATGAATAGAATAACCTTCAACTTGTCTAGTATCTCCTGCTAATACAGCAAAATCTTCACCAGCAATTCCCAATACTGTACCACCATTATCAGAATATGGATTGAATCTATGTTCAATTGGAACATGATGAACTTCTGCTGAATATTCAGATGCCACTGTAGTTCTCATGATGTTATATATGTATTATTAGTATTTGTAGTATTTGTATGTATATGATAAATGTCAAACAACTATGAAAATAAAAAATTAATGACTATACAATGACTATGGTTTTTCAAAAATAATCAATTGGACAAAGTACTAAAGAAAATTGACTGAAGTCTGACTGTTCAACTCCTTTCTTACTAGCCTAGTTCTGGAGATTGAGGTTTGGTTTTTTAGTTGCCACTGATTGAAAAGTATATTGGGCCCCTGTGCACGACCTCTCTGAAAACAAAAAATTAATTTATAGTAAGAGTATAAGTTTGCAGTCAAATTCAAATACAATTACACTGATAATTATACAATTTTATAAATAATTAATAAATATTTATTGTCATTAATGCTATGTAAATTAGTGTCGTAACTCTCTATATCCAATAAGCATGATAGAATAGAATAGATTATATCATGTTCGTAACTATTAATACGCCGAGTATGCGTAGTATGAATGTTTATAAAATGTATGTACAGAGTTGTTCCAGACAAAGTGTGGCTAGTTATGTGTAATTGAGTAAATTGATAACATGGAGTTACATCTACTTATCGTTTGAAGATTGTTGAATTCTGGTAATATATGCCTTTGATATGACATTCCACGACCTCATATATTTTTCTAAACATTGACTTACACATTGATCTTCTTGAGGTCTAAGGACATTAGCAGGTTGTGAAATACATTTTTCAAAGCAATTTTCGGTGATTTTGCTAACTAATTCAGTAGCATTAGCTACTGCTAATTCTTGACTAATTTGATTCTCAATTTCTTTCTTAAGTTGTTGAGATGGTGTAGTAGCTGGACTACTTGCTGATGCAGCTGCTGTGGATGATCCAAATAATGCCATGTCTCTATTTACTCTTCAAAAATTAGAATTCCTTAGATACCACAAAACTCTTTCCGAACACTTCTGATATTCGATACTCTCTGCAATATCTAGTCTATAGACGATCAGTAATGGTATCGTCATTAAGTCCGCCATTGTTCCGTTCCTCTTGAAATTTTTCTCCAGCAAAAAAATAGTTTACCCGGCTCGGTTCTTAATATTAGCATCCGAAATTGTGTTACTATATACTATATATATTCCTATGAAATGGTTAACTTTTGATCTTTTAATATTATAATATTATAATAGATAAATACCCTTAAATAATTACTTGTCATTAAATAGATCCATTTAGGAAAGTGGAATCTCAAGTGTTTACTGATATTTTAGGAGTCATACAAGTAGTTCTTTAGTCAAGGTATATTTGTTTTGTGGGGCACACGTGAATCCATCGAAATCAAAACTTACTTGAATGCAATAGCTTATTGCTTGGATTTATAGTATAAATAGTAAGAAGAATAGTGTCTAAACAGCCTTGGAGACAATGTCAAATCAAAATCAAAATCAAAATCAAAATCATAATAACTCCCCACCAGCGAGTCAATCTGCTCATTTATTTATCCTAATCCATGGATTATGGGGTTCACCGGTTCATATGATAACTATTGAGAAATTGATAAAGGATTTATTGCCTACACGTTCTGCAGAGAAAATTGTTACGTTAAGACCTCAAAGCTTTAGATTCTGGAAGACATATGATGGTATGCATTTAAATTCTCGTAAGATCATTACAGAGATTCTTTATGAAATAGAAACTTTGAAGGAAAGAGACAATTTAAACGTGACAAAGGTAAGTTTTGTGGGATATTCTTTGGGTGGATTACTTGCTCGATATGTAATAGGATTATTAAATGAAATGCAATTCTTTGATACTATCAAGCCAATCTTTTTTTCTACTTTTGCAACTCCTCACGTTGGAATTGAATTCTTTGCTGATAATTTCTTTGATAGCACAGCAAATCATGTTGGACCATATTTATTTGGTTTGGCTGGTAAAGAATTATTTATAGCTGATTCGGATAAATTATTACTTGAAATGGCTGATCCTAAAAAGGTATATTTCCAAGGTTTGCAAAAATTTGAAAAACATACATTGTTTGCTAATGTAAAAAATGATAGAACAGTAGCGTTCTTTACATCATATATTACTGAATATTCACCATTTGATGAATGGAAGGGAATTAAAATAAAATACATTAAAGATTTACCTCAAACAAGAGTTGGAAATGTATATGTCAAACCTAAATTTGTTGATTTAACTAGACTGAGATTATTAGATGCTGATGATTTGAAGCAATTTAAAGGTAATATTCAAGAAGAAACTTCAATGTTTAGAACCAATAAAATTTTAAAAGTATTAATTATTATATTGATTGCCATATTTTTGATTCCAATCTGGATACCATTGGTTTTATGTACTAGTTTATATGTTTCAATTTATAGTGGATTTAAAGTTAGGGTTGTTAAATTTCCACAAGTTGAACAACATTGGTTAAAAGTGAAGGATTCAGTTTATGGCATATTGCCTGTTGATCCTCAAGATGCTAAGATTGGAGAAGAACATAGAAAATTAAGAAGATCATTATCTAGACATGAATCATTTAAAGGAGATACATCACAACTTACTAGAAATGCTATGGAAAATATTATGTATGCAGAAGAAAGATTTACTGGTAAAACACCACCGGTTGGTGATGAAGAAGATGATGAAAAAGAAGAACCAATTCCTACTGATTCAGTTGTTGATGATGCTAATGATCTTAATCTTGATGATGAGAGTGATAATGAAAAGAAAGAAATTCATAATCAAGCACAAAATGATGCAAATGAATTGGTTTCTATTTTCAGTACTAAAAATTCAAATAAGAAATTAATTAGTGTGGATGTTAAGACCAATGATCAAATTACTAAAAGTAATTTATCAGCACTTAAGATTAAGGACTATTCGCATTTCCCACTCTTTACAGAAAAGACTAAATTAAAATTAGATTCGAATAAGAGATTTATTATAGAGCAATTAAATTCATTAGATTGGGTAAAGATCCCCATATATTTGGATTGTTGGAATGCTCATGATAACATAGTTAGTCGTAAAGGTCCAAGAACCAGTTCAAAGGGTACAGCCACTATAGCCTTATGGTGTTCAATCTTAAGAAATCACCTAGAGGAAAATGAAAATTAAATTTGGCTGCAACTGCCAAAAAAAAATTGGGCTTGTCCACTAACTCACTCGCTGTTTGTTTAATTGTTTTTTAGTTGACCGTTTTAGTTTTAGTTTTTTTTTCTTTGGTTGCTCGGCCGGTGCCTGCCTGCCTGCCTGCCTGCCTGCTAACATCCGAGCAATGGCAATTATCATAGAGTTACATATATAGCAAACTAGGAATTTCATATATTGATAGTACTAGCTAAATAGCAAGTTGAAAAAATTTTTTATAAGATAGGTTGTGTGTCTATCGTCAATATCTTTACTGTCGTTTTTATCTTTATGTATATATAAAATATATTGTGGTGTATGGTGTATCATGAATGTAAATAAATTTGTGTCTAAGATACGATATGGTAAATTCTCCAATTATCAAAATATAGCGAGAGGGAGTATATCAGGTAAGTATATCCTAAGAAATAATATTAAGGGTAATATAAGTCGCACACAAATTAGACAGATATCCCGAAATACCGGACCATCCTATCTGTCTCCATTTAAATTCCATTTCCAATCCCATTTCGGCTTTATAGGAATAGGAATAGGTATTGGAACAGGGGTAATAGCCTACTACACAAACTTACAATTAAATCAGAATAAGCTTATCTCAAATGATATCCATGCAATTGATACTAGTGTTCATGAATTAGCACCAGAAAGTGGAACTGAGACTTATGAACTGGGATTGTTTCTAGCATCTCAGAAAGAAGAGAAAGACCAGTATGAACAACGAAGAAAAGAGTTAACTCAAAGAACATGTGGTTGGATATATCACATATGCTTTGCCATTAATGATTATATAATTGATCCTATTATCACATTTTCAAGATTCATTGAACTATCAATTATATTTCTACCAGTATTAATTAGTTCACCAATTTGCTACTTTGGTCGTAGAGATCGAAATCTGAGTGAACATATGAGATCTGGAGCTAAATTATGGTTTTGGTATTTAAGATGGTCAGCTGAAATTGCGGGAGCTTCATTCATTAAGCTTGGTCAATGGGCTGCTTCAAGAACTGATATTTTTCCTAAAGCTATGTGTGATGAATTAGGTAATTTACATTCTAATGCCAAAGCTCATTCTCTTCATCAAACTAAAAAGATTGTTAGTCAGAGTTTTGAAGGTTTACCATTTGAAGAAATATTTGATGAATTTAATGAAACACCATTGGGAGTAGGTGCTATTGCACAGGTTTATATTGGGAAATTATCGCCAAAGGCGATCGGACAAGCTAAAAAGGGGAAAGATATTGAAATAAAATTGATAGAACAAGAAAGAGAAAAGAAGGATTTACCTAATCATGATATTCTGCATCCCTTTTTGGAGAAGATATTAGTTACTGAACATAATGATCCATTAACTTCTAATCAATATGTGGCTATTAAAGTTTTACATCCAAATGTTGAAATTAAAATTAGACGAGATTTAAAAATCATGAAATTCTTTGCAGAATTAATTAATGTAATTCCTACTATGGAATGGTTATCATTACCTGATGAAGTTGAACAATTTTCAATATTAATGAAATTACAATTAGATTTACGAATTGAAGCAATGAATTTAGTTAAATTCAGATATAATTTCCATAATCGATTAGATATTCATTTCCCTAAACCATACTTAAATTTTACAACTCGAAGTGTATTAGTTGAAGAATTTATTCATGCAATTCCTATGAGTAAATTATTATCATTAGATGATAATTTTGGGAAGAATTTATCTAAAGAAGTTAGTGATAAAGGTTTAGATGCATTTTTAAAGATGTTAATTCTTGATAACTTTGTTCATGCCGATTTACATCCTGGGAATATGATGGTAAGATTTTATAAAAATGAATTATTTAAACATGAGAAAGAATATAAAATAGTTAAATCAAGTAATGAAATGGAAACCAATAGGATTACCAATGAATTATTACAATTAGGAGATGATTCTCAAGCTTGGTGTTCTAAATTAGCAAAATTATATGATGAAGGATTTCATGCTGAAATTTGTTTTCTTGATGTTGGATTAGTAACTGAATTAAATCATGAAGATCGAGTTAATTTTATTGATTTATTCCGAGCATTATCTGAATTTGATGGTTATAGAGCTGGGGAATTAATGATTGAAAGATCAAGAACTCCTGAAACGGCCATTAATAAAGAAATATTTGCGTTAAAAGTTGAAAGATTAGTTGATAGAATGAAAGAAAGAACATTTACATTAGGTAATATAAGTATAGGAGATTTATTAGATCAAGTATTAGGAATGGTTAGAAATCATCATGTTAGAATGGAAGGAGATTTTGTTACAGTTGTTGTTGCTATATTATTATTAGAAGGATTAGGAAGACAATTAGATCCTGAATTGGATTTATTTGCAAGGTTCGTATATGCACTTTTGCTTGGATTCCCAACTGAGAATGATATTTCTATGTTTTTTATTTAGAAAGATTGTTTTCAGGGATTTTATTTTATATTATAACATATAATACTAACTAACTCTCTTATATGACAGTTCGTTACCTGTGTTAAGAAAATTAGGAGTTCTGAAAGAAGGAAGAGATATTTTAAGAAATGAGAATTCATTAAGTATGGTCAAAGTATGGCTAGCATTAGAAGTTAGACAATTCATTAATGCTTCTGTTCAAGATGTAAGTATAATAATTCCATTAGTTTTTTTTAAAAATTATTTTAATTTCGCATACTAACTAACAATTTTCTAGATTCATTCATTGGTAAAATCGGATATGTTAAGTCCTAACATATGATACTGATACTGGTAAGTATCTCTGTAATTAAATAAAATTAATGATATGAAGCGTGTAAATAAAATAAAATAAAATAGAAATAAATGAATGATAGTGATAATGATAATGATAATGATAATAATAATAATAATGATACTGATTATGTTGCATACATCTACATTACTATTTCAGTCTTGGCACTAAGACACGAAAAAGTTTAGCGACTCTCGATAAATTTTCCTTATCTAAAATTTAGTATTATTATAAGCATGATATTACAATGCAGCTGCAGTTACAGTAACAGTAACAGTAACAGTTTCAGTTTCAGTTACAGTTTACTTACAAACTACCCGGAACAACTGCATTGTTTCCCGTAAATGATATTTTACAAACTTATTATGTGTCTCCCCCCTAAAAGTCCAATCATGTATCGCTAATGGCGCGCCTTAAATAAAATGTCGATAGAGGGGGGGTGTTTAAAGTATTGCATTATGGATGTTTTGCTGCATTACACCGACGTTTTTTAAAATATTCGATCTTCGAGTGCAGGAAATAATCTCAAATGTATAACCCCTCTTCATTCAGGAAAAAAACCCTAATCGACTTTTTCTCACTATAGATGAGCCTTTAAGGTTTAACTTCAATTTACCGAACTACCAATACGGACTATCTACCGTAAATTATATTGAATATCATAGATTTAGTTACTGAATTGTGTAGAAACTTTCAACTGTTAATTTTTCATTTGTAATTGTTAATTGTAAGGAGTTTTGAACAATATATATATACATATGGAGTTGAACAGTTAGTCATCTCTTCACAATTCACAATTAGTACTAATATAGAACAATTAACAAATGTCTGCTGACACTATGAAACCCTCCAATTTGGATCTATCTGTCAGTGATGTGACTACTGAACGACTGGATGTTATTAGTACAACCACTACTACCACAATTGCTGAAACAAATACCAATAATAATAATAGTACCAATAATAATACCAATAAAAACACTCTAAGTTTCAGTAATAGCATGAATGCATATTTATCTGCGTCTCCTTCACCAATATTAGGACCATCATCTCCCTCATTTAAAGGAGTAGAATTCCCAGAATCTCGAGAACAAGACTTTTTAGAAAAGAATGAAAAAGGCTGGATACACGGAGTTAAAATTCCTTATGGAGTATTTAAATATGAAGTATATCATGAAAAGAGTACTAAGACTGTATTATCTAAAGAATTCGATCAAGATCATTTTGTCCCTCGAATAATATTAGATGAAGTAGAACATTCAGCATTTGGAGGATTGGATTCTAAACGATCATCAACGGTTACTTATAGAGCTCATGAGGGTGAAGATTATGATGATGATGATGATGATGAAAATGATAGAGGAGATATATTAAGAAAGGAAGATACTAAAAGTGCATTTTCTGGTTATTATTCAATACCAAAGGCATCATTAAATATTCCTGGTTATTATAAACAAGATCCTCGACAAGCAAGACTTTTAATTGATATACCAAAATTATGTTATCAAAATCATTTTGATTATGATGATTTAACTTATACATTTGGAGGATTATATGTAAATAAATTTACAAATTTTAAAGCATTAGGTTTACCTAAAAATATTGATTTAAATAAGATTTCAATTCATTTACCCACAAATTTACCCCCATTTGTTAGTAAAGAAATCTTATGTAGTCCATTTATGAATCAAAATCGTCATTTTTATCTTTTTAATCCAATTAGAGGAACCATTACATTTTTAGATACAATTAATTTAACTGATTTCCCTGGTCATTTATGTTCATTAACAAGTACTCAAATATCAAAAAGTCATATATTCTTTTATGGAGGATTTGAAATTGAAACTATATCAGTAAATTATAATCCAGAAATTGGTAGATGGATAATTAAAAAAGATATAAAATTAAATGAAGATGGTTATATACTTGATATTACAAATTTAAAATTTACAAAAATAGATTTAAAATCAAAGAGTAAAAGTTATATTCCATTAGGAAGATTAGGTTCAGCAATGGTATCAAATATTTATGGTTTATTAGATTCAAAATCTAAACCTAATGTAGGTCCAGTTAGTAATAATTCAAGTTCAACAAATGAAATTGTAACAAAGACTACCCTGCCAATTACTACATATACACCTACTACTACTACTAATAATAATAATAATAAATCCAAACCTTCAACAACGAAAACTAATACTACTACTACTGCTACTAATATCGGAACTCCATTACAAAAGATTCAATCTCCAAATCCAACATCATCAAATCATCCAAATTTTATAAAACTAAATGAGATCCTGACCACTTCATCAGTAAATGATCTGGATATTCCTCCAACTCCAGCTACTCCATACCTGACATCAGGTCAATTCCCATTCCAGAAGCAATCCATTGCCTTTAATTCTTCATTAAAGAATAGTACTACTCAATCTCTTCAATCAGCAGCCACTACAGCTCAAAGTTCATCAGTCGATACTTCTAATTCAAAACCTTTCCAAAGTATTCCAAACCTTAAACCAGTTTTATCAAGTAATGGATCAGCCACTAATAGTGTAGTTACACTGCCTTCAACATTAACTACCAATTCAAATAATTCATCAACTAGTTCTAGTGCGGTAGCAAAGATGACTAATGTATTTTCAAAATCTTCTAGAATTTTCCAAAGGCATCATCATCAAAGACAACCAAGTACTTTGGAATCACCAAAATCTCCTCAAGCTGCTCATCCATTGAAAAACACTTATTCTAAACAAGTCAAACAGAATAGATCTAATTCTCAGCATAGTTCAAATGGTAGTAGACCTGCTTCACCAGTTCAAAATGATAAGGGTAAATCAACATTAGTAAAAGAATCACCTGCGACTTTAAAGATTGATAGTAATATTACTACTACCAATAATAATAATAACAGTTCTAAAGTAATTGGAGATTATTATCCTTATACTAGTCCATCACCAGATTTAAAACAATCACCAACTAATTCTAATAATGGAGAAAATAAATATGAAGTAATAATTAAACATCTGGCTCAGGATTCAAGCTCATCTTCATCGACATTTGAATCAGGTACAAAGAAGTTTCAACAAAAGGATTATTTAACTGTAGAAAAAATTGATAATACAGATGCTCAATCATTTGATTCATTTATGGAAGAAGAAAATGTTGCATTATTTGAAGATCCTGTACAAAAATCAGGATTAGCTGGTGTATCTATCTTTGTATTTGGAGGATTTATTCCAGTTATAGATGATTCAGGATTTATGACTTTTAAAGCTTCTAATGATCTTTTAAAAATTGATCTTGCTACTAAAGATGATCAATTAGGTATTAATTTCCAAACAGAAGCCATTGTAACTAGTATTGGTCGTGAAAAGGATTGTCCATTTTATCATCCTAATGCCGATTGGCCAACACCTAGAGGATTTTATGCTGGAGCACTTATTAAATATAATGGAACAAATGATGTTGATTGTGAAATTGATTTAAATCCAGAATTAACTGGTGAACAATTAAAGAGAGTATCAACAACTGTAAGTAATACTTCATCAGTTGGAGCATCATTTCATACTCTTAATAGTGGTAATGGATCACAAGCTCCAAAATTAGAGAATTTTTTTGAAGGTAAGGCATTTCTTGTTCAAGGTGGATGTAATGAAAATTTAGAATTCTTTAGTGATTTTTATATATTTGTATTTGATACTGCAAAATGGGAAAAGATTTCCACTTATAGTTTTGATTATTTTGATATACCTATTAAACCATATGAAGATGATGATGGATCTAAACTTAATAAAGAAAATGAATTAGATGATGCTATATTTATGGAAGCTGAATTTAGAGCTTGTCATCATCGAGCATTATATTATCAAAATGAAGAATGTGATTATTTATTTTTCATTGGAGGATTTTATAATGATTATTTAAGATATTTTGATAAAATACCTTATGAAAGTGATAAATTTGATGTAACAAGATTAAGTAAATTTCCATTTGCAACTAATAATACAAATCTTTTAAGAATTCCAGTATTAAATTTACAAACTCAAACTTGGAGATATTTAAAATATTATTATGATGTTAATCATGTTAATAGTGATATTTATAATGAAAAAGTTTCAAATAATCCTACTTGGATAAATGCTAGAATTATGAATTATGGAGGTTCAATTTCTTTAAATGGTAAAAGTATTACTATATGTCATGGAATGGCAATGCCATGTCCAGAAAAGAAGAAAGATTTAGATGCTATACAAAAAGCAGTACCATCTGATATACTTTTATGGGGTGCTCATGTACATTTTACTTTCCCAAGTTTATAGAGGTTAAGCTTATAGTGGTTATAGTTATGGTTATTAATAAATATTACGTCTTTACGAATTATAGTCTTGTCTAGTGTAGTATAGTATAGTGTAGTGTATGTAGAATTAGTCGCAATAATTTTGTCACACTCTGTACACAGAAATTTAGGTTGAATTTGTTAGACCATGTAGACATCCAATTTAATTAACTACTAACTACTAACTACTAACTACTAACTACTAACAGTGAGGTATGATTCAACCACAACTTCATCATGTATTTGCATTGGCTATAGCTCTTCGTATAGGATTCTTTTTATTTGGATTATATCAAGATAAGTATATGATAGTTAAATATACTGATATTGATTATGTTGTATTTACTGATGCAGCATGTTATGTATATAATGGACAATCACCATATAATAGAGAAACTTATCGTTATACTCCATTACTTGCATATATATTAACTCCTAACTGTTGGAATGATCAATGGTATAGTTTTGGTAAATTTATATTTATGATTAGTGATTTAATAACTGGATATTTTATTACAAAACTTATTCAAATTTCTCAACCATCAATATCAAATTCAAAATTACTTATATTATCATCTATTTGGTTATTAAATCCAATGGTAATAACCATAAGTACAAGAGGTTCTTCTGAAAGTTTATTGACTGTTATAATTATGGCATCTATATATTTTTTAGTAAAGGGAAATATTATAATATCAGCATTATGGATGGGATTAGCTATTCATCTTAAAATTTATCCTATAATATATTTATCAAGTATTGCTTATTATTTATCTAATAAAGCTAATCCATTTATAAATATTAAATTATTAAATTTATTGAATTATAAAAATTTATTATACATAATAATATCACTATCAATATTTGCAAGTTTAAATTTAATAATGTATCAATACTATGATTATCAATTTTTATTTGAAACTTACTTGTATCATCTTGTAAGATTAGATCACAGACATAATTTTTCCATATATAATGTATTATTATATTATAAATCTGCCATTCCTTTAGAATCAGATCTTATTGATATTGAAAGATTCGCATTCATACCTCAATTACTTATCTCAGTAATTGCTATACCTTTAGTATTCTCAAAATCTGATATTATTTCAACCCTTTTCTTACAAACATTTGCATTTGTCACATTCAATAAAGTTATAACTTCTCAATATTTCATTTGGTTCTTAATATTTTTACCTCATTTCTTATTAAAATCTAATCTTACTTATAAGAATTCACTAAATGGTATATTTCTATTACTATTATGGATAGTATCTCAAGGTTCTTGGCTTTATTTTGCATATCAATTAGAATTCTTGGGCTTAAGTACATTTGATACTGGTCTCTTATACTCTTCTATATTCTTCTTCTTATCCAATTGCTATATATTAGGTCAATTCATTGTTAGTTTATAGATAAATAATTAGCAACCAAATTTAGGTGTGTACTGCATACATGAAATTTTTTAGTAGAATATTTTTGATATTGCGATGAATCTTATACAGATTCATTATACTAAAAAGTAGAAAGATTTAACCAATAATAAATACAATTACCATAGAATGTCACGTATGGAACTCTATTCCCCAGAAGGGTTGAGAATTGATGGACGAAGGTGGAATGAACTTCGTCGATTTGAATCAAGAATTAATACTCACCCAAATTCTTGTGATGGATCTTCATATGTTGAACAAGGAAATACAAAAGTAATTTGTATGGTTCAAGGTCCTATGGAACCTTCATCTAGATCACAAGCAGATTCAGCTGGTGCTACTATTGAAGTTAATTTGTCGGTAGCAAGTTTTTCAACTTTTGAAAGAAAGAAGAGATCTAAATCGGAGAAAAGAATGGTAGAAATGAAAGCTACTTTAGAAAGAACATTTCAACAAAGTGTCATGTGTCATTTATATCCTAGAACATTAATACTGATAGATATTCATGTGTTAGCTCAAGATGGTGGTTTATTAGCAAGTATGGCTAATGCTGTAACATTAGCTCTTATAGATGCTGGTGTTGCCATGTATGATTATGTATCTTGTATAAGTGTTGGTTTACATGATCAAACTCCATTACTAGATTTAAATGGATTAGAAGAACAGGATATAAGTACATTAACGATTGGTGTTATAGGGAAAACTGAAAAGTTAGCATTATTAATGTTGGAAGATAAAATGCCTCTAGATCATTTAGAATCAACTCTTGGTATAGCGATAGCTGCAACACATCGTATACGGGATTTGATGGATGATGAAGTGAGAAAGCATGGAAACTTAAGATCATCAAAGTTAGCCAAGAACTAATCGAATAGCATAATTTTAACTCTGTATAATAAGTCATATTTTTTAAATGAATTAAGAATGAAATACATGTGTAGATTATTTTACTATAAAAAATTAATAGATCAATAAAACATAACTTAAATACATATAGTGTCTTGGTTAGTGGTTATCATAATTGTGATGCTTAGCTTATAGAAATTTAAAAAAAAGAAGGAAATGACACGGACAGGAATTGAACCTGCAACCCTTCGATCTGGAGTCGAAAGCTCTACCATTGAGCCACCGCATCATCCTTGAAGAAAACAGATAGATCATTCGAAGATGAGGATGTAGAGTCACATGATATTTATCACGTTTTTTGGTTTAAACTGTAAACCGGTACTCATTTTCGAGGGTGTAATTTTACATGTTATTATATAACCAGTAAATGCTTTAATTAACTTGTAAATTTCCATTTGCAACCGTTTGGTGTTCATAATTCTTTAAGAATAATCAAGATGCAGCTTACAAAATAATAATGGAAATTAAGCAAGGAATATATTGTTTAGCTTTCTCTACAACTTTTGATTATTTTTATAAATAACCTGGTTTAACAGAAATTTAGCAGAAATTCTCAGAAAACAAAGAAATTACGTTCGCAAAACTAATAATCATTAATGTATCTTGATATTATTTCTAAAGATATAGCTTCTGAGCCTTCAATTATAGAATCGAAGTCACCGAGAAGGAATCTTGTTGATCCCTTGGACTCATTAACAAATAAGAAAATATTATCCTATAATTAAAACTACTTTCAAAGATATCTTCTAAATACATATGTTCGGCTCCAAGTTAATCTACTCCTCTACATATCTAAGGTCGCGTATCACGGTTATCCATAAACACATGCTTTCATTCATATTTATCCATTATACATAACTATGGGTCTAATCTTTGTGATCCACCACTTTACTTTCTAAGCGTTTTTTATTTTCTTGTCGAATAAATTCCACTAGTCTCATAGCAGTACGGGCCAATTGAAGAATATTATTATTCAATTCCTCCATCAGAGCTCTTTGGGTCTCACGCAAGACCATGATTGATTCATTCAACTCATTAATTGAATTATTCACTGTAGAATTTGTTACTCTTCGAACACGGGTAGGAACTGGACTAACTGCATTATCGTTGTTATTGTCAGCTCTATCTTCGGCCCCTCCTCTCTCAACCATTTCTACTTCACCTCTAACCTCACCTCTAACCTCGCCTCTATCTTCAGGATTGCCTTCATTTTTAACTTCATTCTCAATTAAATCTTTATTCATTGTTGAAGTGGTATGTAAGTAATAACTGATATCACTGGTCTGTCTAATCTTTCAACACTTCTTTTTATCCAACGAGTGTGTTTTTTCCATGTGCTGCATACATTTGCATCCTTTTTAAGGTTATCCGTTTTAAGATTTTCTTAACCGAAAAATGCGGGAGCCACTCGGAGAGCAACCTAATCTTTCCAATTATACTAGTATATTGTTAGAGATAACCAACTGTTTGTAGGACAATTGACATCACACAATGGATAAACTGTATGAAAGAGTAGAGTTTGGAAGGAGAAGTCATAGGTCAAGAAATATTGGCATTGTACTTATTTCTTCACTAATCTTTGTAATAACCTTATGTTCGTTATCTATACCATTATCGCAGAATTCAAACTTTCCATTGAATACTTCTAATATATCTGGACCATTTGAACAATTATTCAAAACATTCACTAATCTAATTCCTGCTCCACCTCATAATCCAGATGGACTTTGTCCAATAACTAGAAAAATAGATCCACGTCCTTATCTTTATAATAATGATACCTTACTTGAGATTTTAACTGATAAGAAATTTCAAGAAAAATCTCGTGAAAAACTTCTAGGAGCTGTTAGAATTCCAACTGAGGTTTACGATAATATGATTAATCCAGGAGCTATCAAGAGTCATAAAAAATTATATGAGTTAGAACCACTTTGGGAAAATTTTGAAAAACTTCACAAGTATTTGGAGAAGACATTTCCTTTAGTTCATAAACATTTAAAAGTTGATAAAGTCAATAAATTTGCTTTGGTTTTAACTTGGGAAGGCTCAAGTGATAAGAAACCTATACTTCTTACTGCACATCAAGATGTTGTCCCTGTTCAAAAGGAAACCATAGATCAATGGACATATCCACCTTTTGAAGGAGGTTATGATGGTAAGTACTTATATGGAAGAGGAGTATCTGACTGTAAGAATTTATTAATTGGATTATTTGAAACCATTGAGTTATTATTAAGTGAAAAATCTTTTAAACCAGAAAGAACTATTATTTTAGGATTTGGATATGATGAAGAATCTGATGGAACAGGAGCTGAAGAAATTTCTAAATTTTTAGTAAGCAAATATGGACCTAATTCATTTGTTCAAATTATTGATGAAGGTACTACTGGTTATTCAGATATTGAAGGTTTAAAAGTTATTTTGCCTTCAACTTCTGAAAAGGGTTATTTAGATGCAGTCATTGAATTGTATACTCCAGGTGGTCATTCATCTGTTCCACCTGATCATACATCTATTGGGATTATGGCTCAGTTGATAAATAAAATAGAAGAAGTTCAATTCAATAGTATTCTTACTAATGCTAATCCATTGTTACAACATTTACAATGTGTAGCTGAACATTCACCAACCATTGATATTGATGTCAAGAAAAGTATTTTGAAAGCTCATTTAGACCAAGGATCTAATTCAAAAGTAGTTGACTATATAATTGACGATTTAGACTTGAAATATTTGATTACTACATCCCAAGCAATTGATATAATTTCTGGAGGTGTTAAATCAAATGCTTTACCTGAACATGTTAGCGTATTGGTTAATCATAGGATTGCGGTTGAAGAAAGTGTCGATATTGTTAGTCGTAAACTTCTTTCACAAATTGAACAAGTTGCAACTAAATTTAATTTAGGAATTATATTTAATAATAAAGAACTTAAAGAACCCACTATTAATGGATATTTTAATTTCACTCCAACTATGGCATTAGAACCATCACCAGTAACTCCATCAAATGGTGGTAGTTGGGAAATTTTTACTGGATCATTAAGATTTTTATATGAAGATTTGGTTGGATCAACCAATGAAACAATTATTGCTTCACCTTATGTAGAAGGAGGTAATACAGATACAAAATCTTATTGGGATTTAACTCGTAATATCTTTAGATATGAACCGGGAATTAATTTTAAAGGTGGTAATATTCATTCAGTTGATGAACATTTTATTTTAGACTCTCATTTCTATATCATAGCATTCTACTATTATTACTTACAAGTTACCGACACGTTAGCCGATGACTTTTTCTTTACATAGAAGCTAATCGAAAATTCTGGTTGCGAAATATCTTATTTTCTTTGTAAGCAGCAGTAGCGCAGCAGCATCGCTTCGCTAAAAAAAATTTGAAAAAAATTGTACCTACTAATGTTGATAGTGAAGTTAACACTCAATAATTAGTGAGAGTATAGATATAAAGGGGGTCATGCCTAGTGATTTAGAAGATTTAGTATTGTTCTTGCATTCACCTCAACCAGCGGTTGTTCAAATTGCTTTGGATAACTTGGTGGGGTATTCACAAGGCCCTCATCAACAATTATTCAGTTATGAAAATTATGGAGCCATTAAAGATTTAAAAAGAATTAGTAAAGAAAACAGTAGAACTATGGTAAATCAAGCAACTACTATCTTAGCCAATTTATGTGATGATATTACCATGAGAAATTTAATAGTTGAAGATGTGGATTATTTAAAATATTTAGTATCTCAAATTTCCAATATTAATAATGTTAATGCAGATATTATGTGTATTTTATTAACTAATTTAGCTAAAAATGATGCTATAAATAAAATTTTTGATATTACTATTGATCATGATGAAGAACAAAAGAAAATATTTAAATCAGGTCAAGTTATTGATTCTTTAATGGATTGTTTTGTTAAGGGTAATGATAGAAAATTAAATAAATATGCAAATTATGATTATTTAGCATATTTCTTTGCTGATATTTCAAGATTTAATCAAGGAAGAGATTATTTTATTACAGAACAAGAATATGATGGTGTTGTACCTATTTCTAAATTATTAGTTTTCACTGAAAAATATGATACAAAAATTAGAAGAGAAGGGGTTGCATCAACTATAAAGAATTCCTTATTTAATTCTAATGTTCATTGGAAATTAATATCTGATGAAAAGATAAACTTATTACCTTACATTTTATTACCTATTGCTGGTCCTGAAGAAATAGATGAAGAAGATATGTTTAATTTACCTGATGAATTACAATTATTACCTTCTGATAAGAAAAGAGATCCCAGTATCCCTATTATTTGTACTCATTTAGAATCATTATTACTTTTATGTACTACCAGAAAATTAAGAGAACACCTTAGAGAAAAGTCTGTATATAGTTTAATTAAGGTATTAGATACTGCTGCTGAAAAGGAAGAAGTCACTGATTTATGTGATAGATTAGTTCAAATGTTAATGAGAGATGAAGCTCCAAATCAAGTAGACTATGATGAAGAAGAAGAAGAAGAGGAAAGTGACGAAGAAGACGATAAGATCGTAGAAGTTTTGTAATATAGTTGTATACATATGAATAATATCATCAAATTAATTTATATTTCGTTGGGTCCGTATATGTGTAAATCTATTGCTCCCGTAACACTAACTTCCTATCTTGTAATTTTAAGTTTTGTTTAACTATACTAATAATTCTTGTTTTGTTATCAGGATGAGCACTAACTTTGCTCTTTAAATGGGAAAGTAATTCTTTGGTGGTCAAAGGATTACCTCTAACTATATCTAATACTTCTTGAATAGTAACTAAAGAACCATCTGGACCTGCAGAATTTAAATCACCAATACTTGCTTCTGGTTGAGGTGATGTTGAATCTCTTGAGGCATCTCTTCTAAGTTGGGTACTACTAGAATCTTCAGTTTTAAGCTTTTTAGTTGGAGATTCTTCCAAACCAGATGATAAACGCTTTCTACCATTAGGTACCCATTCTCCTTTAGGAAATCCATTCAAGAATTCACTTGGAGCTTTAATTACTATAAATCCATCACCAAAATTATAGGCAAATATTGATCTAGGAATATTTTTGGCTGAATCTTGAAGACCCTGATTATCTTCAGTTTCTTCATCTTTAACGACATCTTCATCATCACTATCATCACTTTCGAGATCCGATTTCGACAAATATGGATTTGAATTATCATCTTCATCATCACTATCATAGACTCCACCTTCTCTTTTATTAAGAACCTTTCTTAATTTCTTACCTTCTTTATCGACTTTTCTAGATTTTTCTGTTTCAAATAAATCATCAATTTCATCATCTTCACTTTCTCCTCCTGGGCCATCAAAATGTGCTGCCTTTAACATTTCCTTTTTAACCCTTTGCTCTGATAATTTATTTTCTTCTTCGTCACCATCCATAATAGGAGCTTCTTCATCATCGGCAAATTCTTCATCAAAATCTAAATCATCATGATCAGAATCACGATCATTATATGATCCATCACCACCAATTACTGTTCTTAACCCTCTATTAAAATTAGAAGCAGGAACTGAACGACCTTCTCCAAATTGATTTCTTCTGAATCTATAATCTGATTGACCTTCTTCCATATGTTTCATTAACCATCTTGGAACATGACTTCGTCTTTCCATTTTGGATTCAGCTTCTTCAAGTGTCAAAGTTGCATATTTATTTCTAGGAGTAAATCTATAAACTTTCTCAGCTGGAACAACTTTAAATCCATCTTTATCAAATACAAATAATACCTGGGTTGTTTCAGATGAACCCCCTTCATAATTCCCTACAAAAACATTCTTACCATCATAATCTTCTACTACCCAAGGATAGAATTCTTCATAACGTAACTTTCTTTTTGCATCATCCATAAGATTTACTTGCTTTGTCTTACGTTTAAATAAATTCTTCTTATTCTTTCTAGCACCTCCATCTGGTGCAACTTGCGCCATTTCAGGATTTATTTTCCTATAGTCTCTTTTTGTTTCATCTTCTGGATTAATAATCTTACTACTAGATCCTTCTCCATCTTTATCCCCAATTTCTAAATCTCCATCTTCATCATCAATATTATCTCTTTCTCTTTCTTTTTCTCTTTTAGCTTCTTCTTGTTCTCGTTTTCTTATCTCCATTTCCTCCCTAGTTAAATGGAATTGAATATTCCGAGGATCTTTTCTATGTAATCTCACTGGTTTAGTGAAATTTTCTACAATTCGCACATCTTGTTTAGTTTGAAATTTCATTATATGAAATCTAATATCATCAAGTTCTTGTTGATTACATGATTTTAAAGGAATTTCTTGCCATCCCTCATCTGTTGATGATGATGGGGTAGATGATTTACTAGTACCTTTTGATGCAACTACATCATTTAAATTATTGCCTTCGCCCTCTTTTTTCACAGACACTTCCTTTTTGACCTGAGGTTGACTCATGATCAATTGTATGGCAATATGTGGTGTTGATCCTATCAGATAAAGATGAAGATTTGGTGTTCTTGCTTAACAATTTTCAAACTATTTTTTTAGTGTGTTAGAATGTCGCATTTTGTAAGCGACATTTAATGTATGGAGTTGCAACTAGTTAGCTTATTATAAGTAATTATATATATATATATTGAACTATAAGTGTAGCTGTAACTGTAAGTGTAACATGGACGAAATATTAGCGGGTTTGTATCCAGTAATTTGTATACCATTCGGTTTAAATTTACTGTCTTAGTCTTAACCTTAACCTAACAGGAAATTCTATATGATACAAAATCTTAAATCAGTACATTATACCATCCATGTAAGATCATAATAATATTTCAATAACCTTTTCATTTTCATATTGAAAAGTTTCCGAACTGTTTAGCAAATTTAATTTAATCAATATGCTGTAGTTGCAAATTTCTTTGTTTATAGTGTCCTATGGGGCTGCGCCGGTGACGGTGAGAAAACGGTCCAGATCGATATTTTTCACTATGACTCGAACTCCAGATATTTCTTTAATTCATACCTTTCCTTTAATTTCAGCTAACCACGACTCTTATAATGTCTTATGCCGTCACTGATAAAGAGGATAATATCCTAGATCTACAAGAGCATCATGATAAGTCAGCTCCTCCCCGATATGTTGGATTTATAGCCGGTATGTTTTCCGGAGTAACGAAGAATGCTGTAGGACATCCATTTGATACAGTTAAAGTCAGGTTACAGACATCTCCAAAGGGACAATTCAAGGGTCCTATGGATTGTGTATTTCAAACTTTTAAGAGAGAAGGTTTTAGGGGTTTTTATAAGGGGTTTACACCTCCATTGGTGGGATGGGTATTGATGGATTCAGTCATGTTAGGATCATTACATGTTTATCGAAGAACAGTTCATGAACAATTATTTCCTGACCAAAAGAAATTACCATTATTAGGTCATATAATAGCTGGTTTAGGTAGTGGGTTGACAGTTTCATTTGTTGCAGCACCTATAGAACAGTTTAAAGCTAGATTACAAGTACAATATGATGCAAAATCAAGAATTTATACGGGACCATTGGATGTAGCAGCAAAATTATATAAAGTATCAGGAATACGAGGTATTTATAGTGGATTATTATCAACTATGATATTCAGAACTAATTTTATATTCTGGTGGGGTTCATATGAAATATTTACCGAGTGGTTCAAGAATAATACAAAAATGTCGAATCCTTCTATAAACTTTTGGGCAGGAGGATTATCAGCTACAGTATTTTGGATATTTGCCTATCCAGCTGATGTTGTTAAACAAACTATCATGACTGATAGTCCTATACGATCAGAAAAGAAATTTAAAAGATGGTCGGATGCAGTAAAGTACATATATAATGAAAGAGGGTTAAAGGGATTTACTAGAGGATTTGGTCCTTCTATATTAAGATCATTCCCTGCTAATGCTGCTGCATTAGCAGCATTTGAAGCTGCCATGAGATTTTTGCATTAAAGTATAGATTATTTATAGATAGATATTTTAATAAAATTATTTTCTAATCTAATTCACACTTGCTTCTTCTTTAGCAGCTTTTTCCCATGGTTTGACTCGTTGACTAGCTTGAGATTTAGAGCTTTCTTCGGTAAGAACTGTATCTGGTATCTGTTTAATGCCTGGTACTGGTTTTCCTGAAATAATTAATTCAACTAATTCTTGATAATTTGATGAATATGGTGGATCAGAACTTGAACTGGAACTTTGCTGTAGTGATTCATCTTCAGCAGAATCTAGTTCTGTTATCTTTTTATTCTTATCATATTTATCCCCATTATGTAATTTCCATTGAAGATAATCATCGAGATTCAATATATTTCCTGAATGTGAACAATAAAAAAATGATTTGGCTTGATCAATTAATTGCTGTTTATCTAATGCTGGAATAGATGTAATAGAAGCATCTTGTTCTTTAAGATTATCGAGATAATTATCTAAGATTTGTTTTAACCCATCTTGAAAATCACTAAATGAATCCCAGTCATAATTTAGAAACTCCTTATATACTTCTTCTTGAGGATTTGTTGACATGTTTAGAAGTTATATTTGACATCTTCCCCACAAAGTTTTTGGCTTTGGCTTTCTAAGGATTATTCTAAACTTATTCACATTACATTCATTAATCTGTAAAAATTGCTTACATAAGCTGGAGACCAACCTGCAAATTTTGAAATTTTTTTTGTAGAGGGTCGCAACCGGTCAATATATTCTTCAGCTCTCATTAAAAGCTATAGACATTGCCATCATCAATTACATAATAAATTTACTATTTCATTAGATCCAATATGTTCGGTTTAGGTGGTAGTACTCCTCAAGTTTCTTCTCAACAAAAGCTTCAAGCTGCTGAAGCAGAATTAGATATGGTTACTGGAATGTTTAATCAATTAGTAAATCAATGTCATAAGAAATGTATTAATGCATCTTATTATGAATCTGATATTACTAAACAAGAAGCTCTTTGTTTAGATAGATGTGTTGCCAAATACTTTGAAACCAATGTTCAAGTTGGTGATAATATGCAAAAGCTTGGACAATCTGGAGCTTTAATGGGTAGACAATAAGACACTCAAAAGATTATAAAAATAATCTAATTCTAAAAGATGTGATTAACGTACCTGAAAAAATTATATTAGAAATAATCCTAGTTTAAGTCAAGTTAAAATGACTGACTATTTGTATATTTTGAGCATCCTTATTTAACTGTATATATTTATTATTCATATCATCTAAATATAAATTAAACAAATTTTTATTGCTAATGTCTATTTTAATCTATGTACAAGTATTAAAACCAAATGAAGTTAGTTAATTCCAATTTAATGCTCTGAAAATTCTTAATTTAAACCCTTCCCATGTATTTATTTTGGGTCTAACATCAAGAAATACTCCAGTACCTTGTCCAGCACCTCCATAAAAGTCAATAACGTATTGAACGTCTGTTCCGCATCTGCTTATTGTCCAATCATGTCTATCAAATGGTTTCTCATAACCTAAAAAGGTTGAGTTAAACCAAGCTCTAGGAGTTAACTTCTTCAGATCTCCTTTAAAACTTGTTAAGGTTACTCCACCACATTCTTTCACAGTTTTTTCATTTAATGGTTGTTCCCATTGTAAAATATGATACCACGCTCTTTCATTAACAGCATTATGAATCGGTACAACTGTTTTCATATCATCAGCTGTTGGATTCCAGTTTTTCCGTTTCATGGCCTCATAAAATTGCTTTTGAGATGGATATATCCAGTTAGAATTTGAAGATGTTCTAGGTATAGAACTTATATCTCTTTCAGTAGGAAGATTTATATTGGTGGTAGTTGTATCTTCAAATGTATTAATTAATTTATCCGATGAACATGATTTATCAACTTCAATAGCTTCTGGAATATTGGATGCTGATGCTGATACTGATACTTTACTAACCCAAGCTTCTCTAGCTGAATGATCTACTGGACATTTAGCTTGTTCTCCTTCTACTATATTTTCAATTTTTGGATGATCTACAGGAATATTTTTACCTGAACTACGTTGTATCCATGCTTCCCTTGTTGTATGATCTACAGGACATCCACTTACTTCTTCTTTACTCATTGTGTACAGTGGTTACTTCGTCTCTAATGTTCATCTTACTACGAAGACAAATGTTCTGGGCTGCGCAAAAATTATAAAAAAACTGTGTGAAGTGACGCAACTGGTTTTCTATTTGAATTACTACTAAATTCTAACTGAAAAATCTTATATCTAAAGTGGGTTACTGTTTGGCTATAAGAGTCGTCGTCTATTCAAAATAGAGGATTTTGAACTTGTGGATGGGTTTCCACAGCATTTTTAAGAGTGTTAAGGGGATCACATACAAAGTCTTAAATCCTATGTAGGAATATGTATATTGTGTTTAGTTAAGTAAATGATACAAAAGGTATAGGAGCCAATGAATTGTTACAATACCTTATGAAGAGTCTGAAAGAGTTTAATAAATCTTCTTCTTTTCATCAATAGAAAATTCACCAGCTCCAGCATTGACAATGATTAATAAACCACCAACAATGGATAAAGTTTGAAAGAATTCGTACTTTAAGAAATCACGGGTCGAATCATGAGGACCATATTTCCAGAATTGATTAGCAAAGACATTATAAGTAAATAAAAGAACAGTTAAAATAAATGCAGCAAATTTAGTTTTATATCCAACAATGATTGATCCACAAGAAATCAAACCAATTAAAATAACGAAAAGTCTAATGATTGACCATTCAGATGAGAAAACAAAACCCAAGAATAAGAAAATCAAAAGTAATCTACCAGCTAAAAGAAAATACTTTTTATTGTCATGGTTGTTAATCATTGGTAAACCTGGCATATTTAATCTTCTTTTATCTCTAACAATACTATCAGAAAATGCAAGAATTAAACCTCCAACTACTGATAAATTTCTTAAAATAAATTGACCATCGAATATTAAACCGTAAGCAATACCTTGGAATGCAATAACTGCAATTAATGCACTAGTAGAAATAGTTTGTTGTTTTCTTAACACTAATAAAGTAGAAGCTGTAATCATAGTAACAATATTCAAAAATAAAAATACTACGGTAAGCCATCTCCACATCTTTCTATAATTATGTAAATAATACACTTGTTCAGCCCATTGAGTTATAATTCTTAAAGAATCTTCAAAAAATGTAGCAACAAGGAAAGCTCTACCTATAGCTGGAACATAAGGTTTCAAAGATTTAAAATGTTCATCTATTAAATCTTCAACTTTCTTAGTAAAAGCTTCAAATTGATCTAATGGTGATTTAGATGCCGATACGGGTCCTATATTGTTTGGAGGAGGAACTCCGCCATTTATTGGTGGGTTACGATTGTTAAATTGATTGTTGAATTGATTAGGTCCTCGGTAAGACATTTTTCAATTTAGTAAATGCAAGATGAAAATAATTGATATATATATATTATATACAATTATGGAAATCAATAACTATTTTGATATGTTTGGATTTAGTTATTCAACAAAATATTTCCACAAACTTATAGATGAGATCAATTATACTTAATGTCCTTCGCTTTCGGCACTGATCATTGAAGCCTCTTCGTTCTTGGGGTAAAACTTGACACGCGAACTTTAGACTCTCTGACAGGAACTAAATCAGGTCGTGCAAGTTCGTTCAATAATTGTTTCAGCATAGCAATTTTTTTCCTAGTAGAGTAATTTTTGATTTCAAAGCACCTGACTTTAGATCACGCTCGGATATATATTCGGTTCAGCAGCTGATAATCAAGAATGCTCAGAAAGTAAAGTGGTGGGTCACAAAGATTAGACCCATATGTGTTTATAGATTACTATGGTGCATGGAGGTAGAGGTCTTAATATATAATATTATATAATTTAATTCATCATTGAAGTCTATCACTAGAGTACTTGTTCTTTGGTATGAAAATGTAGGCTGCACAGAAATGGCTGTAAAAAAATGCGCCTTCATGCAACATCTGCTCACCAAAGTTACACTACTAATTCTAAAGGAAGATTTGATAGACCAGTGAGATCCGTTATTACTTACATACCATTTCAACAATGATTATAGATTTAACTGAGGACGAAGTTAAAAATGAAGGCAATCCTGAAGATAGAGGTGAGGTTAGAGGTGAAGTAGAAATGGTTGAGAGAGGAGGGGCCGAAGATAGAGGTTTACCAGCTCCTCCTGCTCGTGTTCATGCTCCTGCTCCTGCTCGTGTTCGTGTTCGTACCCGTGTTCGTACTCCTACTCGTAGTCGTACTCGTGCTCGTGCTTCTACTCGTACTCCTGCTGGTGTTCGTGCTCTTACTCGTACTCCAGCTCATATTCGTGCTCCTACTCGTACTACAGCTTGTGTTCGTGCTCGTACTCGTACTCGTACTCGAACTCCAGCTCATGTTCAAAGAGATCTAATTCAGGAATTCAATGAGCGATTGACTCAGGGAGTGCATATTATCCTTAGAGACCAGGACCTTCGGTTCCTGAGATTAGAACAGGCAATACAGAATATGAATAATAATATAGTTGAAGAACTTCAAAAATTGAATCATAGTATTAATCGATTCAGCGATAATATTATCCGATTATTGGAACGGCTACCTATACCAGCAGCTAATAATCAAGAATTCTCAGAAAGTAAAATGGTGGGCCCCAAAGATTAGACCCATAGTTGTGTATAATGGATATATAGGTATTTATAGATGACCATGACACCTGGCCGTAGGGACGAGTTTTTGAATAGAGTCTTAATATAAAATATAGTATAATTTCATCGTTGAGTATTTAGAGAACTCGTTCTTTGATAAAAGATTGAAAATGTATAATCAATTGTAAATTGTACTATAAAAGTCAATAGTATATATAGTCTGTATATATTAGTATTGAGAGAAGAAAGAAACTTGGTCAGCTAATGCCTTTTCTTTGGCATACTTAACAACTGGATCTTTAATATCACCTCTAACAGCGAAACCATGGGAAACACCAGAGAATAAATCGATTTGATATCTAGCACCAATCTTAGTTAATTCCTTTTCAGATTCATGTCTTAATTCCACAGTAAAGATAGGATCAACCTCAGCAGCAGAAATAATGATTGGTTTCTTAATAGCAGAAACTTCATCAATAGTTACAAAAGATGGATGAGCAGCAGCACCGGCATCAAGTGGACCACCAGCAGCTAAATTTTGAATAACATATTTAGCACCAAAACAGTAACCAATTGCTCCAAAAAATTTAGGAGAATATTCCTTTTTAACTGAAGCTAAGTATGAATCAACCAATGGTTTAGTAACTTCAGGTCCATGTTTACCTAACCATTCACTCAAATCACCATGAGTAGCAGGAACTGGATCACCATTTAAAATATCAGGAATTAAAACATGATACTTTTGTCTAGCTAATTCATCAGCAATTAAAAGAACATTATTAAATTTATGACCATAAATATCGGTAATAATAACAATAATTCTATCATTACCATTTTTTTCACCAGTTTGATAAGTATCAAAACCAAAGATAGTTTTATGATCACCTTTAGCATCACCTTCATGGAAGGAACCTTGAATACAACAAGCACCTGGAGGATTAGAAGCCATTTTTTCGAGTATATATAATATTAGTCAGTTAATTGATATCTGGACTAGATAGTAAAAAATTGAATTAATCAACTATATCGGATATTCGTCCCCTTAAATAATTTTGACGTTTTGGGGTCTGCGTAAATATTACATAATAGAACAATTGTCAATTGTGGCCGGAGTAGTGTCCGAACCGATAAATCCATGGAATAGTATAGAATTGTTACAATTTAATTTATTGGATTTAACCAAGCTGTTGAATGAGTCACAATATCACCAATCAGGTTAGTAGTCATTCCGTCACTAAGCATTCTATCATAATGAGTATGAAATAATTGAGAGAATGGACGGGAACAATCGGACATCAACGAGATCTCCGAGATTGGTGCCGGACTTACCTCATTGGGACACGCGGTCCAATACAAAAATTGTCGCAAACAATTAGACATTAAAACTATGTATTATTCGTAAAGAACATTATATGATAAAAGTATATATGATATGGAGAAGCATAAATAAAGAAAGCAACGACAAACACGAAAAAGAAGCAAATTAACAAATTAGCAACTTTTTTATTTTATAAACGTAATGGGTCATGATGATGAAATAAACTATTGTTGTTCATTGGTTGCAGCAGTAATTTGAGCTTGTTTAACCAAATTTTGTGGAGCATCCATTTTTGGTAACATGACTTCAATTAATCTAATCTTGGAGTTCTTACCAAATTCTTTATTCTTAAATAAATCTTCAGCTTCACCAACAGTTGCAACTCTAATGGCATCATAATGAGTAGCTTTAAAAGTTGGTAATAAAGCTAAGTTTTCCCATGGTTGAATATCATTATATGTGGCAGTTTCACCATGAATCAATCTTTCAATAGTATAACCATCATTATTTAAAACGAAAAGATATGGAGTAGTATTCCATCTAATCATTGTAGAAATTTCTTGAACTGTTAATTGTAAAGAACCATCACCAACAAATAAAATAACTCTCTTATTTGGATCAATTTCTTGAGCTGCCATTACTGCACCTAAAGTGGCACCAACAGAGAAACCAATGGAACCCCATAAAACTTGAGAAATACCAATAGTGTTATTTGGGAATCTAGATTGAACAATACCAAAAGCTGATGTACCAGTTTCAGTAATAATGATATCACCTTCTCTAAACCATGAAGAAACTTTAGTCCATAACCATTCTTGAGTTAATTTAACATTTCCAGTAGCTGGAGTATTAGCTAATTTAATCTTTGGAACTGGTTTAACTTTATAATGAGCAGCAGCTGGTGCAACTCTTGAATTCAAATTTTGTAAAGCTTCTTTCATTTGAACACCTGGGAAAGTAGCTTGTCTAATCTTAGTATGATCAGAATGGAATTCAACAATATTTTTGGTTTTGTATGAATAAGAGAAAGAACCAGTATTGAAATCGGACAATATAGCACCAACCGATAAAATTAAATCAGCATTTTCAACAAATTCTTTAACTTCTGGTTTAGATAAAGTACCAACATAAACACCACCGAATCTTGAAGAAACACTCTTACCAGAAACTAATCTAGCTGCAACTTTTGAAATCAAATTTGGATCATTTTCTAATAATTCACCATCAACTCCGCCTTCATCAACAACACCTTTACCCATTGGAGTAGTGAAAACTGGGAATTGAGTTGTTTCTACTAATTTACGAACTTCTTCTTTACATCCATGTCTTGAAGCACAAGCATCAACCAAAATAACTGGATTTTCAGCTTTATGAATTAATTCCAAAACAGTTTCAATAACTTCTTCTTGAGCATCTGGATCATTTGGTTGTAAAGATAAATCAATTGGAGTATTTAATAATGAGGCTGGAACAAGTAAATCAACTAAATTAGCTGGTAAACCTAAATAAACTGGTCTTTGTCTGATATAAGCAGTTCTAATACATCTATCAATTTCAGCAGGAGCAGAATTAATATCAGAAATAAAAGCAGTAGTTTGACTGATATTATTTGACATTCTATGGAAAACAGTAAAATCACCATTACCTAAAGTATGATGTAATAATAATTGTTTAGCTTGAGAACTAATTGATGGAACACCAACAACATGTAAAACACCAACATGTTCAGCATAAGAACCAGCAATACCATTAAGAGCTGATAATTCACCAACACCAAAAGTTGTAACTATACAACCTAAACCTTTAACTCTGGAATAACCATCTGCAGCATAAGCAGCATTTAATTCATTAGCATTACCAGCCCATTTAAGAGAGTTTTTTCCATGAGCATCTTCAACTTCATAGATCTTATCCAAAAGTGATAAATTAAAATCACCTGGAACACCGAAAATTGTGTTAACTTCTAATTGATGTAATCTTTCAAAAAGATATCTACCTAAAGTGATTTCAGCCATTATGTAATTTTTATGACTTTGATAATAGTTTTTGAGTTTTGTACTTTTTCAGTATTGTACTTTTTTTTTAGTATGCGGATAGGGGGGAAACTAAGGGGGTTGTAGCAATTAGTTTTCACTCTATATATATTTTATAACTTCAAACAGTAATTGAATGAAGTATGTGAATTGAATTGACTTGACTTTGTTTAATAATGATAATATAAAACAAGAAAAGAATAATAAAAATTAAAATTATAAATCAATCGAGTTTTGAAAAATTTCAGAGGGATGGTTATATTTATATACTAAAGAGTAAAGCAAGACTAAAAATTACTAGTAAGAAATGTAAACATAAAATAATTAGCCATCAAGTGGTATGAGAGCACGACAGGTGAATGCAAATGCAATTGAGAATTAAGGTAGTATAATATTGGATCTAACTACCACTTTTTCAGCCAGCGAATATTAAAAATGCCTGAGATGATGTATGCACGTTAATTAGCACCGTACGCTAATTGTTTCTACTAACATAAAAATTTCAATTCCTACTCTTTCCACAATTGCCATCACACCCCCCTCCCATTAACAATGTGTACTACCTTGCAGTTATAGGCACTCTATCATCCGACTTCGATATTATTTTCTGCTTGGACATAAGCTTGAGAGGTTTTGTGTAAGGTCATGGCCTGATGGTGCTCTGATTCTGGAAAAAGGGGGCCACGTAAGGGAATATAGCTGATGGTGCGAAACTTAGAAATATGCACTTAGTAGGATGGATGATATATTGTGTGCAGGTATGCGTTTGTGTTATCCTTGACGTATGCGTTTGGGTGTATGCGCTTACGGAGCCGGATGGAATGAATGATCATATACTTATTTTGCAGTATCGGAGATTGCACCTTACCTATCCAATTTTTTATGGCTAATACTTAAAAGTTAAATTTAGGTATCCTTCGGTTATGCATTCTGGTCATATGACCTATGACGCGTAACGGTTTAATTATATTACATTGTCATAATTACTCATTAGTATTATTTATCATTATACGTATTGTTACTGTCTAATACATTTCTAATTAATCGAAACGTCATCATCATCTGAATGACTATCCATATATACCTCATCAGAACCATTATCATTAGTTGCCTTTTCATCACTGCTTCTTAATTTCTTTTCATTTTTATGGGTATCTTTAGCTCCTTGATTATAACCTGGTAAATACCTATAATAAGTACTAACCTTGGGTAATAATCCTTTGCCATAGTTGCGAAATGAAAAACCTTCTAAAACCACAGTAGCAAATAGTAATATTAACGTTAAAATCCCAAAAACCGTTAATGATGTACGACCTGGGAAATATTGTCCAGGTGCCACATATGCATTATAAGCTGTACTATACTTAGTGTATAATAATACTAATTTGTACAATATGTATGTAGAACCACCTACTAAACAAATAGCAGTAAATATAGTTAAAATCCGAACTTCTCTAGTGGTTGCAAAATCACTTAAAAATAAAATAAAGATCCCCACTGGGATCATGCAAATTGTAAGAATAAATTGATAATTTGTTCTATTATTGACCATAATCACCAAATATTGAATTGTGAACCCCACAAAGAAGAAGAAATCAAAGATAATAAGTGATCTATGGATTTGAAACACGTTATACATCTTTCTAATTCGATCATTAGCTCCAATTTTATAATATCTAGCAAAATCTAATCTTTTTCTTAATCTGAATAATAGTAATGCTAACTGAATAATTAAAGTAGCTCCAAGAACTCCAATAGTAGCTAAATTAGTGGCTTTTGTAGCTGTTTTATAACTTCCAGTTAAGACTTGTTGAATAGTCACTGATATTTCCAGATATTGAATCCCTGTATAAACCAACATACACGCATAGAATATCAATAACATCAGTAATAATAAGATATTCTTTGTTCTTAGTCCAACATAAGTCAAAAGTACTTGATAGAATGCTGCAAAGACAAACAAAGCAAGATAAATAGATATTTCAGTGTACTTGACATAACTATATCTACTATCAGTTCCTACAGAAAATTCATTCTTATGAATGTTAACAATAGCAAATAAATAACTTTCAAATAATATTATGAGTAAGGCTGATATTACTGATGTTGCCATAAATATACGAGCACTCACAACAAGTTTATGTTTGCTTTTAACTTCTGCACTAGTAAGAGCAGTTAACTTGTTATCATTGGATATCGGATCTATAGATTGTTGGTCTATCAGTTCTTGCCCCACATAGCCCATATGCTCAGGTTCATCCAGAACCACACCATTCAAATCCAAATGTAAGTCCAAATCCAGATTGAAATCTGCCACACTGGGGTCATTCCTCAAATGAGCTGACCATATCCCATCTGTGTCTCTTGAAGAAGTTGGCTCTAGTTCTTGTGTGGGGTAAGGAGGAGTAATTGAATGTGGTACACCATGCATACTTAATTATTAATTATTAATTATTATTTGATAGACTATAGTTTAGATTCAAAATAAAAAAAATAGGGTAGTTTAGTAAAATTTAATCTGTTGAATCAATTGGACCCCATATATATGACTTTGACTATCAAGTGAAGTAGTAATTTATTAAAGTTCAGCCTTTCGAAAATTCGTGATTCAAATTTTTTAACAGCCTCGTATTTCTTGACTTATTTTTTGGATGATCCGCAACGGGATTAATCGATCGGGTTTATAATTTTAATTAGAAACAGTTTAGAGGCTGTACTTACCATATAAGTATTAATTAGTGATATCTAAGAGGTATGCTAACCAAAATATTTTGTCTAAGTATAAAAATTTTATATACATTATTTAATTTTTATTTACTTTAATCCATCATAGTCAACAACATTTTCTGTTCTTACACCTTGAGCTTCCTCATGTAAGTTTAGCCAAGTCACGTTTTGGAATCTGGGGTTTGTCGCAGTACTTCTAACAATGGTATTTACACTATCATCCTTTACTAATAAACATATAGCATCATACCCTCCAGCTCCAGGAACTACACCTCCAAAACTTCCTTGTAAGTTACGACAATTGTCAAGTAATTTAGTTTGGGTTTCTGGTTCAATTTCAGCACCGGAAAGTTTTGTCAATTTCTGTAAATTATGTCTTATGTCGAGAATTGTTTGCGACAATTCCGTAGTAACTTCACTATCAATATGACTAGTATATGAGACAGGATCTTGTTTATATAAATTATGTAAATCAGATAACACTCCAATTAATTTTTGATTGGCAGTATCTAATGCTTTATATAATGGATCACTTTCATCAGGTTTATCTTTCTTCCATTGTAAAACTTTAGACACTAATTTTGGAGTTTCTGATCCACCTTCAATATCACCCATTAATAATCTTATATGAGGTGGTAATGCACATTGATCATGAACAAAATCCCAAGAAGAATTAACCAATTGTTGAACTTCTTCATTACTTGCTTTATTACTTAAGATATTCTCAATAAGTGATGGTTGAAATCTTTTATATATAATAGATCCAAACACTGCCGCTGCTACATCGAACCCTGAACCTATCTTCTTTTGAGCATAACAATGAGCAATTTGAGAACAATTATGAATGATATTCTTGGTTGATTCATCAATATCCTTAATATTATTAAAATAAGCTAAAAGTGCTGTAGTAACAACCGTTACCAATCCAGCTGATGAACCCATTCCTGTTTTAGGAACTTCCATTATAGGTTTTGTATGATACAAGAATTTCTTTTGACCATTATTTGACTTTGAAACAGTCGTACCATCTTGAGAATGATATGCTGAATCAGAATAAATAGTTATATCAATATCAAAATTATCTTTTGGTTGTATATAAGTTAGTACTGTGGAGATAGTAGCCTCTAAGAAGGGATTACGTCTTTCATTGATTTCATTAATAGCTCCAGATTGATAATAATCGTTTCCCTTAATATTATATACCCATTCACCCTCCTTAAATTGAGGTGATGAAACTTTAACTCGTCTTATTTCGACATTAGTAGATACAGTTGAATGAAGTACAGCATGCATACGAGACGATAATGCAGTCACATACGACTTATACTGAGGATCTAATACCAAATATCCTCCGGCCAACAATGCCTTACCAGGAGCACTAAATGCCTGACTACTCATTATGATTGGTACTACGACAATTTATCTTCTTCTACTACTTTATCTTCGGACCGGACCTAAGCTTAAGTGGGAAATTTTCAGATTCGGGCTGAAAAAAAAATATGACTCGGCTCTGACTCAAACTGGTTATATTAGTACTTATAGAGAGAACAAATAAACTAGTCAGTAGATTAGTAATTAATGATAATGGCTAAGTTTACAGAGGAACAGGAGACACAATGGAAGTCCACAAAGACCATTGGGATTATTGGACTCGGTGATATGGGATTACTTTATGCTCGAAGATTTAGTGAAGCAGGTTGGAAAGTAGTAGGATGTGATAGAGAAGATATATTTAGTAGTACTAGTGAAAAATTTAGTAATGAAAAGTTTCAAGTATTAAAAAATGGTCATTTTGTATCTCGGATATCTGATTATATTATTTATAGTGTAGAAGCTGAAAATATTGCAAAAATAGTATCATTATATGGTCCATCAACAAAATTTGGTGCTATAGTTGGAGGACAAACATCATGTAAAGAACCAGAAATAGCTGCATTTGAATCTATATTACCTCAAGATATTGAAATAATTTCAGTTCATTCATTACATGGACCTAAAGTAAGTACTACAGGTCAACCATTAGTATTAATTCAACATCGAGCATCAAATGAAAGTTTTAAATTTGTTGAATGTTTAGTATCATGTTTAAATTCTAAACATGTTTATCTTTCAGCTAAACAACATGATAAGATTACTGCCGATACTCAAGCTGTAACTCATGCTGCATTTCTTTCTATGGGGGTTGCATGGAAATCTAATAATCAATATCCTTGGGAAACTCCTAAATGGATTGGAGGAATTGAAAATGCTAAAATTAATATTTCATTAAGAATTTATTCTAATAAATGGCATGTTTATGCTGGACTTTCAATAACAAATCCATCTGCTCATGATCAAGTATTACAATATTCTAAATCAACTACAGAATTATTTCGTTTAATGATTGAAGGAAAGAAGAGTGAATTAAAAGATAGATTAACTAAAGCTAAAAGTTTTGTATTTCATCATATTCAAGAAGATCATGATTTATTATTAGATGATGATATATTACAAAAATATAGTTTAAGTAAAGTTCCACCTGGTGGTAGACAACCTAATTCTCATTTATCATTATTAGCTATAGTTGATAGTTGGTTTAATTTAGGGATTGTACCTTATGATCATATAATTTGTTCAACTCCATTATTTAGAATCTTTTTAGGAGTTACTGAATATTTATTTTGTACACCAGGATTACTTGATGAATGTATTGAAGTTGCAGTTGATGATGTATCATTTAGAGAAGATGATTTAGAATTTACAATTGCTGCTAGAAATTGGGCTAGTATAATTGGGTTTGGGAATTTTCAATTATATCAACAAGAATTTGAAAGAACTCAACGATTCTTTCAACCAATGTTTTCTGAAGCTAATGCAATTGGGAATGAAATGATTAAAACTATTTTAGAGAGGGTTAAAGAACGAGAAAGTTAATTCTATGAATATTAATTTTGAGTTAAATAGTATATAAATATAGTAGTAATGTAACATGCAATGGATAGAATTATAATACTAATTAATTATAATTGTTCATCTTTTATGACATCCATTAACCAATCTAATCCTTCAGTTAATCCTTCACCTTTAATAGCACTTGAAGCTACAATACTCCAACTTCTATCTTTAAGATCAGTTAAATTAAGAGCTTGAGATACTTCAGCAGCAGTCATGGCTCCAGCTTGATCTTGTTTATTAGCAAATACTAATAATGCACTGTCTTGTAATTCTTCTTCCTTTAACATAGTATGTAATTCTTTACATGCAATATCAATACGATCTTTATCAGTTGAATCAACCACAAATATTATAGCAGCAGTATTACTATAATAACATCTCCAATATGGTCTTATAGATGTTTGACCACCTAAATCCCATATATTTAAAGTTAAATTTTTATATTTTAAAGTTTCAACATTAAATCCAATAGTTGGTTTAGTAGTTACAACTTCTCCAAGTTGTAAACGATATAATACAGTTGTTTTACCAGCACCATCTAATCCCAATATAAGTATTCTGATTTCTCTTGTTGTACCCCATAATTTACTAAATATATTAGCAAAACTGAACGTTTGTCCCATTTTTATTGTATTGTATAACTTTTGGGTTTTTTTTATATATGGATTATTAATAATTAACTAGTGGGTGGATGACTAGGTCGGTGGTACAGGGTGTTATATCCGAGGTGATATAGGGTGGAACTTATTAGACTTAATGTTAAATTGAATCACCAATTCTTAAAGTATTCGGTGATGTAATGATATTGTACTAGTGGATCACAATAATCTCCAGCTGAGTCAGGTGGCTCACAATGTACACTATATAATGTACTAGTTTGGTTGAGTAATGGAATTGATCAGATCGTGAGTGACGGTAACTGTTTTTTTCTGCTAAACCATTTGGAAATGCGGAAAAGACCATGTGACAGAGCATGTGACAAAGCATGTGACAGCACATGTGATGCACAATCAGGTGACGCACTATATGATTATTATATGACCTCACCCTGACACTTGCTACAAAACCTTCTGCTAAATGAACCCTGCCTTATAATACCCTCCCCACACTAAACACAACTCTACCCACAACCACTATAATTATATATATATACTAATACAATGTCTGACGCCCCTCGAGGAATATTAAGAAACAAAAAAGAAGTCTCCGAATCGGACCATGTATTGGCTGAACAATTAGATAGACAAGAAGTTATAAGAAATACTCAACTTAATGCTAAACTCTCGGCTGAATATTCATCAGAAGGAGATAAAATAAGAGCTAAAATAGCAGAAAAGAAGAAACATGATCATAGTGGAGGTAGTAGTGATCATGAATCAGAACCAGAACTTCATGAACATCTTAAATGGGATGAATTGAATTTATATAAGACTGAACAAGAGAAATCATCTACTATGAAGATTGATGAACCAAAGACTCCCTATGAAGGAGGATTTAATCCTAGTGGAGAATATTATAGAGATGATGATGAAGATACTCAAACCAAAGATATTCCTGATTTTGAATTGGGAGAAAGTGAATTTGATAATTTAACAGAAAAGCCTAAAATAGAATCACTTCATGGAGGAGAAGTTATAAAAAATGAAGAAGACGATGAAAATGATGAAGATGAAGAAGAAGAAGATGAGGCTCCACCACTTACAGCTGAAGAGAGACATAAGAAATTTGAAGAAATGAGAAAGGCTCATTATCATATGAAGGGAGAAGCATTACATCATGTGAATTTAAATGAAATAGAAGATGACAATTAGTAATATTAATAAAGTTTAGTTAGTTAGTTACTTACATATTTATTTATTTACCAAAGTATTTCAAAATAGATCCATCAAGCTTTCCACCAGCAATTAAATCAGAAACTACTGAATTAATAGCAGATTTAACAGTAGAAGCATCAGTACCAGTAACTTTAGTAGCAACATCAGCTAATTGAACATCATCTAATTTTTCAATTAAAATTTCTATATCACCATCAATTTGTGTGGCATTAGATGCATCACCAAAATATTCAACATCCTTTGGAGCACCTCTAATACTTCTCTTTTGTTTCTTTTTAGCAGCTTTAGCAGCTTCTTTAGCCTTTTTAGATCCTGCCTTTGCAACAGCAGCTTCTTCAGCAGCCTTTTTAGCAGCTTCTTCTTCAGCAGCTTTCTTAGCAGCAGCTTCTTCAGCAGCTTTTCTTGAACCAGCTTCCTTTTCCCATTTCTTTTGTTCCTTTTCCTTCTTAGCAGCTTCTTTAAATAATTTAATTCTTGGATCTTCAGCATGAGCTCTTTCAACTAAATCAATTAATCTTTTATTATCTTCTTGTTTTAACTTCTTTCTAGAGGCAATATTTTTACGTTCAATATAACGTTTATGATCTCTATTAGCAGTATCATCAGGAACATCTTCATCTTTAAATTCAAAAGTTCTCCAAGAATCAAATTTACCCCAAAATCCATAAAAGGCATCAACTTCTTCTTTAGAAGTTTCTAAATTACCTAATTGAGGTACTGGTTGCTTTTTAGAAAATCTTGCTTCACTTGCAAATACTGGACCCCAAGCTTCAAAGAAATCATATTTAGATTTTGGAGCTGGAGGTAATACATTAGCACCTTCATCAACAGAATCATATTGTTGTCTTTTAGTTGAATCTAACATGACTTCAAAAGCCTTTTGAATAATTTTAAAAAATCCATCTTGATCTAAACCTCCACTAGCAGATTTTTTATCAGGATGATGTTTTAAAACTTGTTTTCTATGAGCTCTTCTAATTTGATCTTCAGTAGCTCTAAATCTTAAATGAGATAATCCTAATACAGCATAAAGATCAGCAGTTTTCCATTCTCTTGGATCATGTTCTAATAATTCAGCAGATTGTTCTTCATCTCCAAGATCAAGATCTTCATCTTCTTCGACTTTCTTAACATTCTTTTCGGCTTCTAACTTTTCAAATTCTGACCAAGTATGTCCTCTTAAAGTTCTTGAAGCATGAGCTAAAAAGAAACGACCAACCGGTTCGACAGGACGACGAACAGGGGCTGTATACTTAGCGGTGGCAGTGAATGGTTCAGCTGAACCAGATGGTAATACAATACTCATTAGTGGGGTGTTAATGGGTGTAAGTGTAATAGTGAGGACTGTTTTGTTAGTGATAATGATAGTGAAATCTGAAAAATTTTTGTGAGAGTGGGATGGATACTGATATATACACGACTCCAAAATATATCATAGTTAATACATTGATTAATATATTAGTTATATTATATATTAGTTATATATTAATTATATTTTACTTAAAATGGTTCTATATCATTTATGTCTCCTTAATGGCTGCCATATCAAGTACTTCAATACTACCTTCACCTTTAGCCACTTTTTTACCTTCACCTTCTTCAATTATACTAACTAATTTTCTATAATTAATTGGATCTATTATCCCCACACATTGAAAAGTTTTATCAGTCTTATCTTCATCTTCTATATGATCTATATATTGAATAATTTCATCATTAAATACTTTAGGATGTAATTTTCTTATTAATACAATTTTAATCTTCATTTGTGCTCTAGCAATTGGAATAATTTGTTTCTCTACAAGTAATTTAATTGCATCTAAAGCTTGTAATTTAGCTGGTTTTGTTGGATTTAAATGAAATTTAATTTCATTCAATGCCTTTTGAATCATCGATGGTGGATATCTTTTCTTTGATTTTGGATTTATACATTTAGTTGAAATAATAGTTAAAAATTCATTCTGTTTTTGTTGTAAATTAGCTGATCTTTCCTTTTCATTTAATTGAATTTCTCCCTTATTTAAAATTTCTAAAATAATTTGTTCTTGATTAGTAGTACCAAATGATTCCTTTAAATCATCATTATTGGCTACTTGTCCCTTAGATACATTTTGAAATACTTGAGGAATTTGTAATACTTCATCAAGATCCTTTTCAACTTTCAGTCTCCAGTCTTGAACTTTATTTTGGTAACACGCTATTTCGAATCTCTTCTTACCTTTTTTCATTCTGACTAACGAAACGTTAGTCAATCTGATCTGACTGTTGGGTTGGTTAATTACTGCCATGTTGTTATTATTGACTAGTGGTTATTGACTAGTGGTAAGTAGTTTAGTGGGTTAGTGTCTAGTGATTAGTGGCTAGTGACTAATTACTAGTAGTAGTTTAAAATTTTGTAGTGATGAGAAGGTCACGTGGATTTCACTATAATAATAATAATAGTAGCTATAATTATCAGTTAGAGAAGATCGATAACTTATTAACAGTCTATAGGTTATTTACTATCTACAACACTGTGTTACTATTGATACTGTAAATTAAGTATATAATGCTGTATAAATAACTATAGTCGAATGAAATGAAGTATGATAGTTTGCGGAGAATAGTGACTACTAATTAAAGTCATCTATTCGTCATCTTCGTCACCACCTTCGAGATAATTACCCTTGATATCTTTCCATAATTTACCTCTGTTGTGATGTTCAAACCAAGCAGTTACACCGGCATCGAAGAATCCTTCAAATGCAAAGGCACCAGCGAAAATAGTGGCTACGTAGATGGAGTTTCTTTGGAATAATTGAGTGATTAAGGAAGCCTAGATATGTTAGTACTTAATTCCATGTAATGAATAGAGGTAGATACTGTATAAGTAGTGTAGTTAGTGTAGTTAATATAACTATAACTAGAAACTATCAGTAGCTAATAGTCATTAATTACCAGTAGCTTATAGTCATTAACTAGTAATAACTAGGAGTATTAACTGGTATTAACTAGTATTAACTACCCATATGATCTCAGTGGTTATGTACGGTAATTCCTCCCAACAAATTCCACACTTACCACATCAAACTACACTACCACAGCATCTACCAAACAACTTTCACATACCATTATCGGATGTACAATGTATAATACAGTTAGTGTTATTAACTATGAGCTCTATAGGCTATCAATTTTTTCTTACGCATTTTTCATTCATTTTCACGACCAGTTGATTGGTTCTTGTGCTGCTTATGTAAGCGAGACATAACGACAAAATAGACAAAACAGTGAGAGACAAAAGACAAGACATATGGCAGCACAGAACTTTATAGTATTACTTGTATTATATAACGGATGTACATTATCGAATAGTAGATATACAGGACTCTATAATCTATTCTAATTTAGTAGCTTCTAACTTATCAGCAACTTCAGATACAGGTTCTGGAGTAGATTCCTTACCAGCACCAGGATATTTTGAACCTTTATTCTTAACCTTTTTAACCTTTTTTTCTTCCTTTGGAGTTGCAACTGGGTATCCACTCTTTTCAGCAGCTTGGAATTCAGGAGTTGCATCAAATTCAGCTTTAATTGGAGCTAATAATTCGACAATTCTATCAGCTACACCAGATTTAAGATCTACAGGAGATAATTTTTCACTAGCAAAATCTTCCTTTAATTCTTCAACTGAAGTATAAGTAATTGGACCACCATATTTCTCAGGTCTATTAATATCAAATTTAAATACTCCTTCTTTATCGGCCAATAATTCTTGAATTGGTTGAATTACATGTTCAACAAATGCAATTAATCCATTATCTTTAATATCACCTGGAGCACAATAAGCACTATTAACTTTCTTTCTAATATTTTTTGGTTCTTCAATAATATCAATTTTAGAATTTGGATCAGATGCACTCATTTTACCACCTTGACCTAAACCAGGAATCATATGATTCATTAAATGAGCTCTCTTTTTATAACCAATACCTGGTAAATTTTCTTCAGCTAATACAAAAATTTTTCTTTGATCAATTCCACCAAATTGTGCATCAACTCCTAAATGTTGTTCATCAAGTGCTTGCATTAATGGATAAATTAATCCTGATAATAAAGGATTTGCAACTTGTTTAACAACATCTGCTCCAGCTCTTTTAGCATCATTTTGAGATACTTTATTAGCAAGTTTAAAAATATCTAAAGTATATTCAGGAGTTAATTGATAAGATGATCCCACAACAAATTTTAATTTATTAATTGGAACATTTATAGATTTTAAAATAGCTTTAACAATAAATTCATAATATTTTGCTCGATGTTGAACAACTTCTAATGGAGCCTTCATATTATCTAAAAATGCATGTAAATCGGCCAAAAGTACAATCACTTCAGCTCCTGCCTTTAAGAAATGAGCTAATTTAATCATTGGAACAAAATATCCACAATGTGGTCTACCAGTTGGAGCTGTTCCCCAATAAATTTTCAAATGTCTTTGTTCTTTCTCTAATACATCCTTAATGATTTGGGCATTTAAGACTTCTGGTAAGTCTTTGGTAATCCACCGGTATTGTTCCTCCGGACTTAAATCTCCACTACTCATCGTTACCTTAATATTACGATTTGTATGTTAGTACGGAATGGTCTGAATCGTTGTAGTATGTACTCTGCTTCGATGAAAGATTTAAAAAAATTTAGTGGTGATTGAGGAGTGTGTGCAGGAAAATAGAAATATTATATGGTAACGACTATGAGTCACATACAACTCTAATCAGGATATGATTTATAGTGATTATATGTCTGTAGTGACTCAGTGTGAGTGACTTATATAAGTTACTGTAGAACTGAGGTTTGACACCTACTCGTACTGAGTTTTATGTGACTTAATTAAGTAGTGATATATCTCTAATATATATATGCATCACATGACCTGAGTCACATGCACGAGCCTACCCAACCACCGAAATATATAGCCGATATTAGAAATCAGGTTCGGCAATAACCACATAGAATTTCCTGATTTATACCATAAAATGAATGAAGATCGGCTTAAACAATTCTTAATTCAACTTCTGACCAGTGGTGGAGGAGTCAAGCCGAAAGAACTCAAATTCCGCCTTTATCGAGCCCTATACTATGCGGCAACTAATGAAGGGAAGTATTTAAAGGACTTATTCCCCACCATTAATGCCGATGAGGTAAGTCAAATGAAAGATTATAATGATCCTATAAAGAATGCTCGAGTCATTGAAAAGCCCTTCTATTCAACTAAAGAGAATAGTGATACTTATAGTCATCCTCGAGGTAAAGCATGTGCAAGAAGAATGAAGAAAGGTGAACCAAGTTATAGATGTGAACAATGTGGTTATGATGATACATGTGTATTATGTGTTTATTGTTTTAATAAAGATGATCATATAAATCATGATGTGACTATGTATTTATCCGATGGTAAATCCGGTATCTGTGATTGTGGAGATATTGAAGCATTTAAGTCATTAAATTGTAAGTGTCATAGTAGTAGTAGTAGTAGTAGTAATACTAATAATCAAGAAATCGATATTAATGGTTTAGAAGATTCACTATTATCGACTATTCGAATTGCCCTCGATTATATACTAGATGTAACTAATTTTGCCATTCATACATTACCATGTATTCATAGTCGAATTGATAATAATCATATTGAATTAAATCGTCAAGATATAAGTGAATTTTCAAATTTACCAAGAGAAAATTATGGGGGAATAATTGATAGTCATTATGATGAAGATTGGTATTTAATTCTTTGGAATGATGAACGTCATAATGCACCCGAAGCTAAAAGTTCAATTGAAAGTGGAATTGGTGGAACTGATAAACAATTAGAAGATTTAACTCATACTATTGATGCTAATGGTAGATGTATAATTGAACAATCTAAAAATCTTAGTCGATTAATTAAAATTAAGGAGAAAGTTGAACAAGGAGGTTTAGTGGCCAGTATTATAAGATCAAGAGATTATACTCGAGATATTATGGTTGAATTTATAATTCAATGGTTATTAGATATTATACAATCAACCAATTCAAATTTTAGTGAATTATGTAAATCTATAATTGCCGAATTATTATTAGAACCCGATTATAAATTGGCTAAACCATGGCCCAGTTATATGTTTAATAATTGTGGACCTAATTTTGAAATTGAAGCGTTTCAAAATGGATTTCTTATGGATAATGAATTCCCCAATTTAGGATATTGTCAAGTTAAATCGACTTTTGAACCTCAAGATATCACTAAACCATTTCGAATTGGATTAACTCATAAATCAGAATTGAATAAGATTCATCAATCTCGTCTTCAATATTTATTATTATTTGAAATAAGACTTGCTAAACAAACTAGAAAGAAATTACCGTCATTATTCTTACAACCTATAGTATCAGATTTAGATAAAAAGGCTATATTTGCCTATCAATTAATGGAAATCTTTCCCTCTTTATTACCTATATTAGCTATAGCTGATCGTGAAGAAGATTTAAATTCTTTACATGAAATAGCCGTACAAATCTTAACTTGTCCAACATGTGTAGGACAAGTATATGCTAATGATCAATTAGGAAATGTCTTAGGTCCATTAGTTAGTCTAATTGAAAGTTATTCAATTGAATGGAATATAGATACAGTATATCCTAATTATATTAATATTGATTATCATGGATTAAGAATGCCCTATAAGGATGCTTTAGCTATAAAGAAAGCTATAATGTTTGGCATATGGACCATAAAGAAATTAACTGATAAAAGTTTTGCTGGAGATCTGATTGTCAATATCTTAAATCCTCATAATTTAAGTATGATATTAATGCTTTTACGATACTTTCAAGGGTATTGGCCAATGATAAGAAAGTATGGAGAACATGTAGAAACTGAGAGTTATGATTTTACCATTCATTTAGAATTCTCTCGACAAATCCTTGAAATTGTTCGATCTATTGCCCTATATAATTATGATATTTCCTTAGTTCAACTGGCATTACAATTGATTATTGAATGTTTATATTTAAGACCGGTCAGTTATAATGATAAGGGACTTATTGAATTTAAAGTTAGTAAGGATTCAGTAGCGTTTGTTAATCCTATAAATTCATTATTGTCATATATGTTACAATTTAGAGGTATAACTGATTTACAAATGGATAAATTCACTACTCAATTACCACAAATTTGTGATCTTTCTCTTACCAGTATCGTATTAGGATTTCAAATTAAAATTGGATTTTGGATAAGAAATGGGATTTCGGCATCTCGTCAAGCTTCATTATATTTCGATCCTATATTACTGGAACATACCTATTTGCGAGACTTTTATTTATGTCAAGTTAATGCTATCTATAATGATCCAACAGCAGTATTCCATTTCTTCCTTCATAGATGGGAATTAAATAATTGGTTTGAAGGCATTGAGGCTCATGATAAAACAGGATATGAAGATCGATTCAATTCTATTTCGGAAAAGATGATTATATTCTTTTATAATTTAATTACTGATAGACTGTCGTTTGTTAAATCATCTACTGAAGAAAGACTTGTGCAAAAGGCCAAATTGGCTATAAGTTATGCATTATGTGATGAGCCTCGATCTTATTCTAATTTACGTAAACGAGTAGGTGATGAAATCAATTCATTACCTCAATATGATACTATCTTAAAGGAAGTAGCTGATTATCAAGAACCTTCAGGATTAGTCGATACAGGATTATATCGATTAAAGGCTTCACAATTTGAACAATTGGATCCTCTAAGTCTTTTATTGGATTCTAATAAATTCCAACAAGTTTCAGAAACTCTTATAAAGAATGTGGCTAAAATCAATAAAATCCCCGAAGATTCAGTAGTATTAATGCCTCGAATTTCCCCTAGTGATGAATCATTTATTAATAAATCTATAGCTAATTTTACCAAGACTAAAGATTTTGCAAAATTGATTTATAAATATTTACAATTATCTATTGATTCATCCGATGAAACTTATTTACCACAACTACTTCATTTAGTTCATGCGGTAATTAAAGATGATGAATTATTATATGGGAATAATTATTTAAATGACCATTTTATAACTATCCCCATAACTGATTTATTATTAACTATAGTTGAACTGACGATGTCGAAATATGTGGTTCTGAAAGCGGATTATTTAGTGGATCAATTCATTAGTAAAGATTCTCGAATTATGGAGAATTTAATTGATTGCTTTGGAGAAGAATATATAAAGACTTATAAACGAAAGAAAACTCAAGAAACAGAAATTGATAAGAAAAAGAGAATTGCCGAAGATCGTAAAGCCAAAATTATGAAGAAATTCGCTAAGAAACGAAGTAAATTTCTTCAACAAAATCCATCAGAAACTCATGATGAAACGAGTCAACTTGAACATACTCATCTTGAGAATTCTTCAAATGTATCATTTAGAACTTGTGTATTATGTGGAGAAATTGAAAATACTAAAGATCCATTTGGAATCTTATATACTTCAGCAGAAACTGCTACACTTTGGAAAGTTCCTGATACAACTCAAGGGTTGGCAAAATCTCTTGAACTTTGGCAACCTCCTAATTGTCAATTGGATATACTGACTATTTATGGTCAAGGATATAATTATCAACAAGAACCTTCACAATTTAATAATGTATCTTTCCGAGCCAATGTCTTAACTACTTGTGGTCATGGAATGCATTATTCATGTTATATAAGATCTTCACAAAATTTAAGATTATTTGCTTGTCCCTTGTGTCATAATCTTCATGAAAAATTCTTACCATCATTTATACCTCCTAATGATGGAGGAGGATTATCGCTTGAAGAAATCTTTAGAGATACTAAAAAAGTTAAATATAATCAAATTCTTCGATCTTCATCCAATTCTAAATGTCGGAAATTAATTGAAGCCACTATTCATGAAGATTATATAACTTCAAATGATACAGATTTCCGAAAATTCGCTAGAATTTTACTGGATGATTTATCATATCTTCCTACTGTTCGAAAGTATTTAGTGGGGATTAATAATAATGAGAAATACTTTAATAGTCTTCAAAATGTTTCAGTAATGATTGGAGATATTATTAGAATGAGTGAAATCTCTACTAGAATCAGTGGAACTGTGAGTTATTCTAATTTCTTAACTCAAATATCTAATCCCACCAAGATATTACTTCGATCATTAATTCAATGTCGAGCAGTAATGTTTGAATGTAGAAGTTCTCCCATATTATTAAATACAAATTATGGATTGGATTTTGAAATTAATTCATTTTGGAGTTCAGATAATTTATTGGATGGAGTATTTAATGAAGTGGTTCTGTTATTCTTTCAAACTGATGAATCACTTGTTACTTTATGTCGACTTGGAATTACCAAATTATTAACCATTTGTATTTATTCATTATTTGATAGAAGTAGATTTAAACCTGATTTGATTGATATATTAGTGGATGAAGAAGATAGTCCAATTAATGAAGATACTCTTAAGGCACTTGCTCATTTAATTACTTATTCAGTATATGAAATGCCTACGGTTATAATTTCATCTAGTGATCCTATAGTGAGAAAGTATTATTTCACAATTGAAAGACTTGTATTACCTTTATTAAGACAATTGGTTATACTTGAAGATATAATTACTGCTAAACATGTTAGTGAAAATACTTTTGAATCATTAGATAGATTTCAAGATTTGGAATTTGATATAATGGCTCAAAAAAGACCAGCATGTTCAGATGCATTAACTAAAGTCCTTGGATTACCAAGTTTAAGTGAATTAATTATTGGAATTGCTCAAGAGAATGGTGATGAACGATTTGAATTTGAATCTCAAGTATATGATATTGTATGTAATGCTAAGATTCCTAAATATTATGAAGAAGGAATTCTTACTCTTGAATATCCGGGAGTTGTACAATTAATTCCTATGACCAAAGATTATAATGCATGTGTAATTGATTCAAATAATTATTCAATTAAAGGAGGTTATGATAAAATGGTATGTTTAGTATGTGGAACACGAGTTAAAAGTTCAAGAGGTGCTCAACATCTTAGTGAATGTTCAGTTCATACGGGGCCATTTTTTATACCTCGATTAAATGTATTAAGAATTATAACTCATAGTGGACCTAATAGAATTAATGTAGATATATCAGGACCATATTTAACCAGTCATGGAGAAGTTAAAAAGGCCAATACTTCAGGTAATGCTAGTTTAAATAAGCAAAGATATTTAACGCTTAATAAGCTTTGGTTAAATCATGGACTTAATTCATTTGTATCGAGAAATATCTATGATTCACGAGGGGATGGGAATATTATTAATATATATGTTCAAGCAGATGATGATTGGGAAGATGAAGGAGAGGGAGAGGAGGAGGAGGAGGAGGAAGATGATGATAGTGGTGAAGAGTTTGGAGATGTACCAGTTAATAATTTCTTGTGGTAGTATATAGTATATTATACATATAATACATGTTATACATATAGTACATGTTATACATATAATATATTATACATAATATACTTATAATATATGTTATACATATTATACATATTATACATATAATACATATTGTATAAATACTCAGTATAGTTTTAATATACAAGTATATTCTACTACATAAACTATACTGAGTACTTATACACATAAGTACATTATATATTATACATTATATATTATACATTATATATTACATCACATTATCCATTATACTTATACATTACATTTCTTATACAGTCTATTAAAGTACAGTAAACACATAATATGAATACTGTATAGATAGTTCTATGTATATGTATACTATATACTTATTGTGTATAACTGATACACTCTGTATACTGTATATTATACATTATGTTATACTCTATACAACCGTTAGATATTATTATATACTGTCTATTATACTACATCCTATACGCATTATATACGCATTATGTACACATTGAATATACACATTATATACGCATTACATTATACTATATTATGTATTACAGTAGTTGATACATCGTATTTTATACCTCACATTATACACACATATATTATACATATATTATACACACATATAATACACTGGTATACACACATTATATTACACTTTATATCCATTACACACACATTATATACATTATACTATACATTACAGTACATCATATATTATACATACTATTACTATAAGTACAGTATATAATTAGTACACACTCTCGTATTATATAGTATAATTATACATACTATATATTATACACATACTACTTTATTATATACATTAATACTATACACACTTTTATAAATAGTATTACACAGTAAATCATGTTATAGGTATACATATACTATACACATACTCATTACATATACTATACACATACTCATTACATATACTATACTATACATATTATACATGTATATTATACATATACAATAAATTTATACTACAACGTATCCCATCCTCCCATATCCATTACACTCTCAAGATTACGTACTATAACATTAGGCACATTATGCTGTAACCAAACATTCCTCATAAACTCATCATATCGTGGCTTCATCAAATAAAGTGTCTTGGGCTTCTTAGGTTCTCCTCCTGGTAATTCTCCATGTTGATCTAAGAATGGTGCATTATAAAATGATCCTCCATTCTTATGAAGTAATAATAATGATCGATCTTTAGGTAATAAAAATATCCCCACATTATTAGCACATTCTTTTAAATAATGCGTAGTACATTGACCTTCATTACATCCAATAGCTGATTTTTGAATATCAACCACTTCTCCACAGAATAAACAAACAGCTGGATCTTCAATTGACATATGAGGATTATTATACTTATCCAGATAATAATATTTAGTAAAGAAGAAATCTAATCGATCAGGTAATTCAGTTAATTTAATAATCCCGGGATATTCCATTCGTTTAATACTTAAAGGTTCAATATTGGATTTCCCACTTCTTAAATATAATAAAAATCCACTAAATACATTACTTTCATAAGATTTATCTTGACTAGTGAATTGATCTAAATATTCACTTACAAGTTTTACATTTAAGAATTGACTTAATCTATCAGCTTCTAAATTAATATTAGGATATGATAATTGTAATCCATCATAATTGGCACATTGAACAAAGGAATAAATAGCTGCTCGTCTTAAAAATGGGGTAGTGGCTTTAATTATCATTGAATATAATACTAATATGAATCTTTCATCATTAATTATATTACTATTATCTTCATCATTAGTATCATAAATGATTTTAAACTTTCTAAACATAATTCTTAAAGATTTAGCCACGGTTGGATCGATAGTTTCTTGTAGAATAGGGATATCTACTATAGAAAAATCAGCACTCTTATAATAATCATGAGCAATAATTTCTTTACATATAATATGAAAAGATTGAATTATATGACCTACTAAACATCCATTTAATATAGTATTAAATGAAAATCCCGCTGATGGAGTAGGTAATATACTAACTAAAGTATCAAGAAAATCCGATTCTAATATACTAGTATTCATTTGAATAGTAGATAATGAAAATAATTTAGCTAAAGATTTGGAATATACATCACTGCCGGGGTTTGGAACTTGTAACCAATTATTAACTTTCATAAGAATTGAAGAATTTCGAAATTCACTTAAAGTTCTTAAATTAATTAATGATTTATTGGAAATTTGATTAATTACAAGTTGTTCCTTTATAGGGATACCTCGAAGAGATATTTCAAGGGATTTTACGGTATTAACCAATATAAATGTGGCATCTGGTTTAAAAATTTGTGGGAAAGTTAAACAAGAAAGGATTTGAAACATATTACTTAATAAAGATTTAAAATTTTGTTGACGAGTATTTATTTCGTTATTTCCTCTTGCATCTAAATTCAGAAATATCGTATCCTTTTCAACAGACAGTAAGATCGATAATTTTTCTACATCTTCTTTATAACATTGTTCAAATCGATTATACCATTGAATATCATGAACGATTTTGGGATTTAAAGTTTCTAAAGTATTTAATGGAGTCAATTGTAAAAAGTTTTGTAAACTTCGATTATTTCGATTCCAAATTATAGGAATAAACAGATTATTAATGGCTTTACATAATGGACATATGAATTCCTTATGTTCGATATTTTCTGGAGTATTTCTAGTAATTTGAATCAGATTACTACGAGAATTAACAAAATTCATATAACACAGAAAGTGCATTCCATGACCACAACTTACAGAAACTAATTTACTATCCACATGATCTTGATGAGAGAATCCAGGCCCAATCACATTACTTTCTTTCACTTTATGCATATAACTCTTCCATTTATCGGATTTAATGTCAGTGCTGGTAGTGGAATCTTCTCCATCATCTAAATTAGGTCCATCGGAAAAGGATTTAACAAACCAATACTTATCATCAAATGGGATAGTTCTAAATTCCGAAGATTTAGTGATATATGTCATAATTCCAAAGGGACTTTCATCCGCTGCATTTTGACATAATAAACAATGAGCCTCCGGAAACCTCCAGCCATTTTCTTCTTCATAATCTTCCATTTCAATATCACTGCCATTAGGTTCAAAATGATTATTCTTTAAGAATGATGATTGTCTCTTTTTAAATTTAGCCATTAATTTAGCCTGACGTTCTTGAGCAATTCGTTTCTTCTTTTCATAATCATTTTCATCTTCACATTCATTGGTATTTAAATTCACTTTTATAATATCAAATGAATCGATTTGTTCATTCAATATCTTATTAAGAGTTTGATATTTATCTTCAAATACCTTGAGGATATATCGAATTTTTGAATGATGATTCTTAAAGATATCATTATTTAAGAAATCATACAATAAGACTGCTACTGAAGTTTTATGAACATCGGATACATTGACAAATCGATCATAAAATGATCCATATTGTTGCATATCCACAGTATTTTCAAACGCACAAATATGAATTAAATGTAAGGCAGTTTCCAATAAACTATCAGCTTCAATTTCTTCGGCTTTAATATATTGTAAAGTTTTAATTAAGAAATCACTAAAGTATGTGGAAGCAGAGAAATTCCCAATGTATCGGAAATTTCCTAATTCTTGAGGACTTCTTAATTTCGGTTCAATAACGATTTCCGAATATGGTTTACGAATTCTTTTCCGTATTCGATCCTTAACAAATTTAATGGCATCATCTTTAGTGTTAGTTGTATAATTAAAATAGTAAGGATTTATTTCATCAAGATACTCTTCTTTTAAATGATAAACTCCTATATCACTGGCCCCCTTGGGAGGTACGAAATCCGTCATTTCCGTAAGAATTATATCGAATCTCTTTTCTGAAGTTATATGATCAGGGATTTGCGAACACATCTTAGTATAATTCATAGGTCCAAAACATAAATTATGAATGATTTCATGTTTAATTCGAAGTCGATTAACTACTTCATCCTTAAGACCTCGAAGATATAAATCTTCCGTTAGACTATGGATGAAGAAATTCATACATTCTTCCAACATGTATGGTAAAGTTTTCAGATCATATACCAAAGGAGTGGTGGTGGTGGTGGTGGTGGTGGTAGAAATAGAAACTTCATTAATCCATCCATCCATTAATAACCACCGACTAAATAATAAGTAACACACTAAATTGGGACTATTGGAATTAATAAATACTTGAGTTAAGAATAAATCTCTCATATATCCACTCTCTCGAAGTCCGGTACTACGATACAATTGTAATTGAGATCTTACACTAAATCCATTTCTTACCCAAAATCCCGATTTAATTTGTGACATAAGTACTATAGTTCTTATAGGATAATCAAATATACAAGTTAAAGGATTGGCTAAATCGATTTCAATTTGTTGACCATGACAAATCTTTGACTTTGATGAAGATTCTAGTGCATCTACCAAATCAGAAGGTGATTGAAATTCCAGTAATTCAATTAACCAACTTAAAAATGAATGGATGGGATGTAAGAAACTAACTTTTTCTTCATCGATTCGGAAATGTTGAATTATATTTCCTCCAATAGGTTCCTTTGAAATGGATTTTTCTGATGATAAATTTACATCTACTGAATCATCCATAAGTCCAGGATAATCATTATTTTCTAATTTTAATAAGAATCCAATAACATAATTTATGGCATTCTTTGAAAGGGATTTCTTTAATTCATCATCACATAAATTACATAAACAATGAGCAATATATTCTCCAAATTGATATATTACCAGTATAGCATGAAAGAATGCTGTATAATCCGGACTTTCATATTCTACATGATTCTTCTTTTCTCGTTTCATAACAGGTCTACCTTGGAAAAGTGCCAAGATATCACAAGCCATGGGGATTATATTACTAGTTAATATGGATTTAGAATCTCGACTCCGACTTAAAATGTATCCAATATCAAAAAAGATTTGTCCCCAACGTCTATTCTTTAAAGATTTCATGGATATTTCATGAGTAATTTCAATTTCTTCTGGTGATCGTATTTCTTCCACCGTTAGGAATCCATATATTGAAGCAAAGATTCTTGAAATATCTCCATGTTGAACTATGGAAGTTGAATTGGATGGACAAGTAAATAATTGAGTTGATAAAGTACACATGATATTTAATTCCGGTTCTCTATCCATGGTAAGAAACATATCCGCAATGGTGGGATATATATCAACATATTGACATGATACAATATTCTTATAATATAAATTAGTTATTAATGAAGTTGAATATAAATCATGTAATAAAATTCGAATGGATTTCCAAAATCTAACATCTAAATAAATAAAATATTGTAGACGAGATCCAAGATGGGATGAACTTATATCATAATCTGATTCAGTTAAATTATAATCACATTCTTGACAAATTTCATCGGGTAAATTCCATTTGGAGGGATGGAAATACCAATGATTCAGGGCCTTTTTAAAGCAATTTATTTTGGGAATCTTTAAGGAAGGATCTAATGATCCCACTTTATATTGATAAGATTTTATACTACTTACTAAAAGTCCATTATTCCATTTCCCACAAAAGGCTCGACAGAATAAATTTTTGACTCGATTATTGGTTTTAAACATTTCACTTTCAGTTAAATCATATATCCAATTAAGTATTTCATCACACATATCTTCACGAAATACATCTCTATGACTTCTAATACATGAAGCTAAACCTGTTGCACTAAGAATTTTTTGTCTTTCAAGTAATAAATTAATATCTCGAGAACTTATAACTTTAGCCATTCCATAATTTTGAACTTTTTCAGTAATCATTACGGCAAAATTCTTAACTTTTTTACTGGCTAAATGAATTCTTTGTACTGCATCTCTATATTGTCTAATTTGATCATTATATACAATCAAATAATATTCATCATTATTAATATCATTCATATTAATATTTAATCCATATTTAGTCGGATTTAAGGATCCATTAATGGTTTTTAATTCAACTTGTGATTGACTGGCCTCTTCTGGATCTTCAAATTGAGCATCAGATTGACTCATTACATCTATAACATAATCTAATAATACTTCAATGGTTTTTATAAAGGAATTTTCTAAATCTTGAGGCATTTGTGAATCTCGTATTGGTAAACTTTCATCATCTTCAACAGCATATGGACAAAAATATTCTTTAACCCAAGCTTCAGGATCTCCACAATCACATACTCCTCCATTTTCTCGTTGACAAATGGTTATATGAACTTTATGACCTTCATGATATTCCGGATGATAACAATGCGAACATAACGCACAAGTATCATCAAATCCACAAGTTAAACATCGATATATGGGTTCACCTTTTCTAAAGATTCTAGCACATGGCAGATTAGCATGGAATGCATGATGATTATGAGTATCATATTTAGCATCTCGACGTTTTAAATTAAGTTTATAGTAGTTAGCAAATAGCCATTCATATTCACTTTCAACTTTATTAATCATACTGTCAATATTGTCGAGTTTCCCATTAGGGAATAACCAATTAAGATATTTGCCTTCATGACTAACGGCTAAGAAAAGTGCTTTCCGGATTTGTTGACGGACTTCTTTGTCGAATTTGTAGCGGGACTGAAGAGGTAGTTGGAATAGGAACTGTTTTAGAGTGTTAGTATCCATATTGTGGTGGTGGTGCTGGTGGTGGTAGTGGTGGTAGTGGTGGTAGTGGTGGTAGTGCTAGTGGTACTGATAGTGGCAGTTATAGTGATAGTGAATAATTAGTGCGAGTTTTTCACTAAGCAATTACTGAGAGTCAGATACTGACTCGGTACCACTATAATCTATACTATAAGTAAATGCTATAAATGTATACTAATTCTTCTATATTTATACTTATATACTCCTAGACTGTACTACTATATTGCTATGCTGCTATACTATACTTCTGTTCTACTATATGTGCATCACTAATCAATGGGTCTCGGTCGTAAGTAATACATCGTACCCTCGGAAGTGGATTTCGGACAAATATTAGCTATACCTAATTCACCTAAAACAAGCCAACAAAGAGTGTTTCTGCATCTCCCAAATAATAAGTTTGTTGAGTATTCTTCGGTTGATCTCCGTAAACATTCCACGCACCTACATGATCAGGTCCGTACCAACCAGCAAATGCACATGGTTCATCACCAGATTGAACAAGAACACCAATAACATTCTTGTCTCTCTTAAAGTACTGACCTCTATCTTGAATATTTTGAACTATTTCAGTAGCTTGTTTAATTTCATCAGTAATTAATTCAGATGAATCAACCAACCATTTAATTCTAATTCCAGTATCTTTCTGTGTTTTTGGAATTTTACTATTCAAAGTAGAAAACTTCTTAAATTCTTTAAGTGGTTCTCCACTTGTTAAGTCAATCAATGTCATGTTAAGATTGCTTAATATTTGTTATTTAATTGAGAATGGAGAATTTCTAACTAATTTATACTCAAGGAATATCCTTTACATAACCTAAAAAGTAATGTGAAGTTGCATTGTTTGTACATACGCCCTTTGCGTCCTCTGATAGCTGTGAAATGTGAAAATTTAAAGTTAGCAACTTAAAATATCGCAATTGATTACATGCTGTATAATACAAAGGCTGTATGGAAGAATAAAATAAGTTAAGTGTAAACGATAGCCGCATAATGTACGGCATGATTACAATGTTAAAGATAGTGAAGAGTGTCTAAAGTCTAATATGCAGATTGCTTCTCGTTTATAAGCACTTCTTCTATTATTGCGGACTTTTGATATGAATCCACCCTCGGTTGGAAAATCCTAACGACCGGTTTGAATTATTACCGGATAATATGAAAGAAAAAAGTCGGAAGTATTTGCTACTACAATCGACTACTACTACTACTCCACTAGATATTAATTGGACATTAACTACACAGTAATACTCCATTACTAGTCTTCAAGCGTGACTGTGAATCTAATAATCAATTATCACTATCACTTTCACTACTACTACTAAAGTACCTAATTTTTCAGGACTCCTATCACACTAGACTAAACACCTACCGGTACTGCCACTACATATACAACTACTACTACCACTACTACCACTGCATATACTACTACATAATACTACTACATATACAATAATCAACATGCCAGATATAATATACCCTCCTAGTATCCAAAGTAATCACCAAAAACTTCAACGAGCTCAAGATATCGCCTCCCTAGTCTTAGGTATAGGAGCCGGAATTCTTACCTTAGAGTCAGCTTACGGATTCTCATTCTACTTAGTTGGTATTACTATTACTAATGGTATGTTCTTTGCGGTATGTTGTCAGAATCAGCCCGATAAATTCTTTACTAATCCCATTAGAGATATATTTTTCGAAGGTATCTTCAGTAATGTTCCTGGATTTATTATGATGTGGTGTTTAGTATATGCGCTTGTAAAGGTCAATTCGTAGTTATTTAGTTATTAGTTACTGTATAGTTAATTAACATCACTGATCTAATATTTCACTAATCTTACTACGCTTAAATTCTTACTCACTAACACTAATAATGGCCACTAATGTCCACTGCTCCTGCCCCTGCTCCTGCCCCAGCCACTGGCCTATGCTCGCTCCGACAAAAGTGTGGGATTGAAATTTCGCTCTCTCGCTCTCTCGCTCACTCGCTCGCCCACTCATCACTAACACGACACCGGTAGTTTAAAGCCTATTCCACTACCAATTGCAATTGTCTCTTATATCAATTGAATTGTTTGTCACTACCTCACCATGGAGAAAATTGATTTATCCACGAACGCTAAAAAGATTCAAGATTCTTATGAAAGAGTCGTTAGAGGTGATACAGATATTAACTATGTAGTATATACTGTATCAAAGGATTCAACTTTACAAGTTAGTGATACTGGTAATGGATCATTAAATGAATTTGTTGAACATTTCTCAGATGGTCAAGTTCAATTTGGTTTAGCCAGAGTTACAGTTCCTGGTTCAGATGTATTTAAAAATTTATTACTTGGATGGTGTCCTGATAATGCTCCTGCTAAATCTCGTTTATCATTTGCTACTAATTTTGCTGATGTATCAAAGATTTTAAGTGGTTATCATGTTCAAATTACTGCTAGAGATCAAGATGATTTAGATGTTGATGATTTTCTTCATCGTGTTGGTGCTGCTGCAGGTGCCAGATACTCTATTCAAACTGCTGGATCTACTACTACCACTACTACTCCAAAACCAATTGTAGCTAAACCAACTATTAAACCAGCTCCTAAACCAACTCCAGTCAGTTCTTTTGTACCTAAATCTACTGGAAAACCAATTGCTCCTGTCAAATCCAAACCAGTGTTTCCACCTAAAAAGATAGACACAAACGATGGTTGGGGAGATGAAAAGGATGTTGAAGTCAGAGATTTCGATCAAAAACCTTTGGAAGATGTACCTTCTGCTTATAAACCTACCAAAGTTGATATTGGAGCTTTAAGACTGCAAAAATCAGACACTATTTCTTCAACTCCTAAACCATTTAAACCAGTTGAAAAGGCTCCAGAACCAGAACCAAAAGCTGCACCAGAACCAGAAGCTGAACCAGAAGAACCAAAATCATTACAAGATAGATTACAAACTTATAAGAGTAATGATTCAGAAAGATTAACTTCCTTACCTAAACCAAAAGTATCCCATTCTGTTGCTTCTCGTTATGCTCCTGCTGCTGCATCTCCTAAATTTGGTTCAGCTCCAAGTCAACCTGTTGTTCCTAGTAAAATTAATAAAGTAGTAGGAGGTATTTCTAAAGATTTTGGAGCTGAAGGTGGTAAGACTCCTGCTCAAATTTGGGCTGAAAAGAGAGGTAAATATAAGACTGTACCTGCTGATGAAGAACCACAATCTGCTTCTTTATCTCAAGAATTTGAAGATAAAGTCAAAATAGAAGAACCTGAGGAACCTGAAGAACCTGCAATCATCAAACCAGCCTTTTCTGCACCTCCAAGAAGAGTTATTCCACCTGTGGTCAAGCAAGAAGAGCCAGAAGAAGATCCAGAAGAAGAAGAAGAACCAGCACCAGTTTTACCTTCTCGTAGTTTACCTCCACCTCCAGTAAGACAAGTTCAACCAGAACCAGAACCAGAAGAAGAGGAAGAGGAAGAGGCTGCACCTGTGTTACCATCTCGTAGCTTACCTCCAGCTCCAGCTCCAGCAGCTGCTGTAGTAGAGCCAAAACATGAACCAGTTAAAGAGTCTGTCACAGCAACTGCTGAATATGATTACGTTAAGGATGATGATAATGAGATCGGGTTTGATGATGGAGATTTGATTATAGATATCGAGTTCACCGACGAAGAATGGTGGACTGGTAAGCATGCCAAATCTGGTGAAGTAGGATTATTCCCAGCAGCTTATGTTAAATTGAATGAAAATGGAACTAAACATGCTGAACCTGAACCAGTACCTGAACCTGTACCACAACCAAAAGCTGAGCCTGAACCAACTCCCAAATCAGAACCAGTAGCTTCTAAACCAAGTGCTGTTGCAGAGTATGACTACGATAGAGATGAAGATAACGAGATTGAATTCAAAGAAGGAGATTTGATTGTTGAAATCGAATTTGTCGATGATGACTGGTGGTCCGGTAAACATTCCAATTCTGGAGAAGTCGGATTATTCCCTGCAAATTATGTCAAATTAAATGAGTAAAGTTAAAACATTTTCTAAAATAAGTCTAAAATAAAATAAGTCTATTATTCTTCTACTTCAATTATTACTAAAATATATATGTTTATGGATTGTTTACTCACGTAAATATTGCTTCACAGCCTCACCCCAAGCACCTCTCTTTTTATAAAATGCTAAATCGTCTGGTAATCCATCAATACCTTTACAAAGTTCTTCACCTAATCCTTCAGCTTTAATTTGCTTTATAGGAGTTAAAAAAGTTCGAACTGTCATAATGTTAGCTTTCAGTTTAGGTAATCTAGTAAGTATTTGACGTTCACAACGTAAGAAACATGAATTATCAAAATCAATTTCATCATATCGAAGTTGTTTAATCTTTTCACCATCACGACCATGATTTGAATCAAGACTAAAATAAGCAGTATGAGTTTGAATTGACCAATTATGTCTAACCCAAAGATCTTTAGGTTTTAAATTATTAAAGAATTTACCCATAGATAATTTAAGTCTATTGGGATATTGAGGTACTGGACCATGAATATATGATAATGGTTTATTATAACCATGCAGAGGATCAAATCCAGCTGGAAATCCACTAACTCCAGCTCGATAAATATATTCACCTTCTGGATCTTTGGGGTTATCCTTTAAAAGAATTACTATATCTTCTTCTATATTAGCAGCTAAATGTAAGATTAATTGACTTGGAGTATCAGATTTAGAATGTTTAGGAAATGTTAAACCATTAATTTGATTAGTTATCATTCCAGTCCACCAATTATATTTGAAGTATTGAGGATATCTAGTTAATAAATAATTTGTAACTATTTCATAAAATTCTCTTACAGCAGCACTAGTTATTTCATTATCATAACTAAAATAAGTATGGTTGGGATACATTTCTGTAAACTTCTTTCTTAATCTAGTTTGTTCTAAGTATGTGTCTTCAATAAGTAACCAATCTTCAGGTGTCTTGGCTAAGTTAATGATCTTCATATTAACATTAAAGTTCTTTTGATTCTCAAAAGGTCGAACTCTTAAAGGTTTGGTTTGTTTCCAATCGAAATCATTTCCAATGGCTGGGAACTTCCGTACTAGTATGGATTGGTTTGCTTTATCAGTAGTAATAGTATACCATTTTGTTATGGAGTAGGCTAAGGTTAGTCCGGCTACTAATAACCATAGATACGGAACGTTCTGTACTAGTAATTCTTGCATTTCTTAACAAACTATTAGGTGTTCTACAATAGTATTACGGTCAATAATTCACAAACTTTCTATATAGTTATTACAGTTATAGAAAGGTAGTGTTAATAGTATTTGTAGGGACTTATCTATCTAATCAGTTGGTCTCGGAGTAGATAGCCGAATCAAACTGGGATGGGGATTCCGCGTTTAAGCGCGCCGTAAGCCTAATTAGGCAGTACATTGCGGAGATCTATAATTGACAGGGACGGTCTGTGATTCGGACTATAGTGCATGCAGGGACCAAGTCTGTCAGATACTGATTAAGTGTAAGGGATACAATACTTTACTTTTGGAAAATGTTATAGGTTCTATAAAGTCTATGGAAAATATTTGAAGAGGATAGAAAGGTGAATTTAATATTGCGAACTAACATCCCAAAGAAACATAAACTCTTTCGAATTTTGTCTAACAAAGACTCTTACGTCTGGCGTCACTTTCATCAATCTATAGAAGGAGTCTTGTTGAGATGCTAGAAAATCTATTATTTCAAATTCTCTGATTCTTTTCAATACAGAATATTGATATAACTGACTATAAAGTAGATTGAATATGCATGAGATCCAAAGACAAACATTTCGCTCCAACAAAGATTGTTCCACTTGCAGTACCAGACCTGAAGAAACTTTGAATAAAACCTATAACTTGAATAGTCATCTGATTATTGGAGAGCAATTAATTTTCTATTCTATGAATAATGTTTTATATTAGGTGTACGGTGGCATTTTTTTGCAGCTTCTCATTTTTTCGGGGCAATTTATTTATAGAGTGAAAACTCAGTAACAAAAAGTGGTGTTAAAATTAGATATTGTGAATAATAAAGAAGAAGTCGAATACAATAGTCTCATTTATTATTCTTGTTAATAAAAGGGTCATTTGATCTGATTGTATGGAGTGGTAAAGTTAAAAAAACCGAATTGTATGGAAAAAAATAGGTAATGTGACAAATTTTGCAGCTTTCCATTAAAGTTTCAAATCAAAGAACGGGTCAAATCAGAGTAATTTAGTGTAACATGCATATATTAAGTCAACAAGTACTTTTATTCTATAATTAATTATAAGATCATATCCTTCATTAGAAGTTGTGTGTAACTGGACAACTCTATTCTTTCCACACTAGGAAAGTTTCTCATTAAACTATGTAATGGTACTACTTTATCATTACTGAGTTGAAAGTCATCAATGTATAAACCTCGAATTCTTCCTATCATAAAACTCATTTTCTTTAAAATATCATTAGCAATAGTGACTACAGTATTGAAAGGGTTCTTATCACTAGCAGGTGTATAATTTGATTGGACCAAAAACGCATAAGGTGATGAGGTGGTAGTAGTATCAATAGATACTGATGAATCAAAATAAAAGTAAACATTTTCAATTCTTTCAAATTCGGGATCTTTGTTAATGATTTTCTTCTTATTTTGATATTTGTTGAAAGCTAAGTATTCCGAATTGAGAATGGTTTTGGTATTATAGTGATCAATTAAATCACTTAAAAAATCTTGAATATAGTAAAGACCATTGAAGAACATGAATAAAACTTTACCGTTGAATATATTTCCAGGGACATTTCTATTCAAATGTTGGATTAATTGACTAAAATTATCCAAATATGTGATATTAGAATTAAGTGGTATTTCATTGTTAGTGTGTTCATTAATTTCTATTAACTTAGATTCTACTTGATCTATGGTACCATTTGAAACAATTATAACTTCGTAATCTGTGCGAGGAACGCAAGTGAATTTCTGAATCATATTCTATGTGACGTCAAATTTTAAAAATATATTAAAGCCGTTATAATGATAAGGCTTAATCAGGAATACAATTATCAATTATCAGTGAGAACAACCGTGCCAATACTAACGTCAATTTAACAAAATAACTAATTCTGAATTTAATTGGTCTGATAAGGAATTAGAGCAATATTTATAATTCAAACTGCCGTTCAAAAAACAAAGAATAGTAAAATGTGGAGAAACTAAAAGTTTTCCAGTTTTAAAATTCAACGTCTATAAATTAATAGAAATGTCCCCGAGATGGTGGCACCAACAGAATTTATTTTGAATTGTTTATTTAACTACAGATCACCTTGCAATTGTGGAGATGATACAAGTTCAATCTCTCCTTCGGGAATATCACCAGCGTACAGTGGACACTTGGTAAAAAGGCTCATGACTGAGACAGTTAAATTGACTCCTCTCTAACAAAAAGATGAGTTACAAAAAAAAATGCCATTGCTCGCTAAAATATCCCCCGTGAATAGCCGTATAGTTTATTGATGTTTCTTTTAATTTTACATTATTTTATGTGACAACCACACCTATGTACACGCAAGATAATCTCCTAATTGAGGAATAAAAATCTTTTACTCCTGATCATTCACAATTCTACTAGAGTCTGGGCATGCATCGGAGTCCCCACAGAGATCTTGACAATAGGAATTTTGCGGATCCGGGCTGAAGAAGTCATGATGGCTTCTTTGTGTTTAAGCTTCTATTTCCATTTGTCCATTGAATCATTGTTATAAACTATAATATATTTGGATATATATGTCCATTTAGGAGAGAGACAACTACAAAACAGGAGACTGAGGCATTCCATCACTACCAAGTATAGCTTATATAAAAAAAGAAAAGCCTTAGACCTAAAATAGCCTTTAGATTCCTTTAATACACTGTCTACTGTGTATAAGTAACCTTCAAGTGATGACGGTAATTAAATCTATTTAAGCCGTTTAACCTTTCCAACCCAAAAAAATATAAAAAGACGTAGTTACCCCTACCCCACATTTTAAATATTCGCAGCATAAAAAAATCGCCATATTGCGCGGGCCGCAAAAACGCAAAATGCCATAGAATTTAATTGTCCGATGGGGCGATACTTTTGTGAGAATAAGCTTTCGGAGACCTGGACAGATCAAAAGTCAAACATTACATCTCAAAGGTGGTACGACCGGGCGTGTGCGGGGGGCAAATCTGGGGTACAATTAATGGGTGGATCCGGATTTGTCATGTTCAATAAGGGGATAAGAAACAGACTAAGTCCCAACAATTAACACACTTAGAGAGCCTACAAATGCATCAGTAGTATACATAGCAAAGTAACGAATTAACGAAATGAAATAAAAATGTATTATGAAAATATTAAGCCTTGAAAGAAAAAATAAACCTAACAAACTGTACAGTAATTGTATATATGAAGAAATGAAATAAAATAAAATTAAAGTAAAGTAAAGTAAATCAACGTAATGAGTGTGAATACTTCTTGTCCGTCCATGCTGTTTTTTATGAGTTCTCAGTAATATCGATATTGGTATCTCTGTCTTGTTCTTCTTCGGTAGCATTTGAATCATTGCCGACTTCTACATCACTGCTGGCATCAATGATTTCTTCATCTACAGGTTGGTTTTCAGGATGTTCTTCAGGTTGTTCTTGATCAAAATTCTCTTGAGCAGTAGCAACAGTAATATCAATATCTTCATTTTCATCATCGCTGTCATTATCACTGTTATATGAAGGAGGTCTTTCAGGACGTACAGCAGCAAGAGTATGTAAAGTTATTCTCTCGTCATTGGAGTTGACATCACTATAAGCATTGTAGCTGAATTTATCTTGATCAATAATCTCCTCACTATCAGAACCCATAAATTTCCCTTCACCTTCGATTTGTCCATTATTATCGTCATTACCATGAATTTCCCAAAAGTCAGGTGGAAAATCATTTTCTCGTTCACTCAAGTCATTATCATCATCAATTTCTGATCTTTCCAATAAAATATCTGAATTAAATTTATTATAGGCTGGTGGAGCTGGTCCATTACCTTCTATTGGAGCTAAACCCCAACTTTTTACATTTCCTTCAATAAATACATAACCACGTTGACCTAAATTTACATGAACAGTACAAAGATTATTGGCTCCAATTATTGGGAATAATTGACCTTGATGAGGAATTTTAAAGTTCTTTATATGACCACCAATTTTTGATTCACTAACTTTTTTACCATTACGAGTGAAAAATACAGTACCACTTCTAACTCTATAACCTACACCAATAACATCACCTTCAGCAAATTTTGGGAATGGAGGATCATGATCAAATTTAAAAGGTTGATTAAATCTTCTGAATCCATTTGAATCATAACTTATTGAATGTAAATGTCTACCTGGTAATCTAAACCAAGGATATGGTTTTATACTTAAACCTACAGATATTATGGTATTCTCAGGATCAGGTAATGCATAGATTTTAGATTCAAAATAGTAGACTTCGTTTTTCATAAGAAGGGGAAAATTAGTTTGGACAGAACATTCAAGTTTCTTAAAGAAATCTAATTCATATTTATTTAAGATCATTAAATCATTATTGGTTAACAGACTATCCTTAATGAATTCATATGCATTGATTCCTTTTTCTTGAATAGATAAATTTTGTGATAAAGATAATTCTCCTCTATAATAGGGAATAGCTTGTAAGTATTCTTTGGATTGTAAATATAATTCTAACTCATCTGAGTTAAGTTCAAGATATGCTTGATTTTCTTCTTGTCTTGATATATCTTCATCATTTAATTTGAGCTTTCTTCTAACTACACAATAAACTATTAAACTTACTAGGAAAATAAGTAATAAACTCATAAGTGTAAATGATAGAATAAGTAATAATTCACCAATAGAATCATCATTTGGAGGAGGAAATTGAGGTTGTTGAGGGTATTCTCTATGCCCTAAAGGTCTAATATTCTCATAATAATTATTATTAGTAGATGGGTTGGTAGGGATACTGATAGGATATGCACCCACTGCATGTAGTAGGGCTAAAATTCCTGGTATTTTGGTAATATGTGACATTAATTCAAGTCTATTATGAAACGAAACTGGCAAATAATATAATACTATGTTCTGAAACAAAGATAATCTAGCTCTAAAATTTTAAGTAGATAAGGATAATTAAGGAATCAAAGGTGCGTAATAAACGGTAGCTGGATATAAGTAAGATACAACGAGAATTCGTTATCTAATTATTCCACTATCTAAGTGCTTAGCTAAGAATGAGTTATGGGATTTTAGCAAGACTTCAGTTTATTATTAATTCGCTGTGGTTTGTCATACCATAGAAATTCCACTTCTGGTTTTTAAGTCATTGGAATTCCTTTTTTTTAGTGACTAGGGGTACTGCATGCACAGTTAGGGGGAGAGATCACATGATGTGTATCATTTGGATGAAGCAATTATAATTGAGCGGTTACTAGTTAAGATTTCACTACTACTTTGTACATACGTATTATATTTAATAAAGTGAAAGATCTGGAGGCACATAATTATAAAAGAGATATAGAAGAGTAACTTAAACCCCAACATTTATTTGTAATGCTTGGTATCTTTTTGCAACTCTCAGACCGAAAATAATCCCCATGTTTTATTGGGAAAATAGGAGTAGCTACTTGAACTTTATTTATTGATACAATCTTAATAAATTTCAGCACATGTGCAACAGATTGAATCAAGCCCTTGAAGTTTTAATTAAGAGTACAAATCGTATACTTTTGTTAGAAGCTTAAGATTCACATGAAGTCATAACCCGGTGGCGGACGGAATTATCCGATGACTAAAGTTTCGTCAAAACAACTTACACATAATAAGTTGCAATATTTTTGGCAGTGCGACATTTGACGAGTATTTACGTAAAAATCTTTAATTTAACATAGTTATTGTACGATACTTCAGAGTTCCTCTAGTCCAGACATAAGAAATCTTAATGTACAGAAAGACTATTTCCTTGTGATATAGAAAACCTCTTATTATATCTTATTATATCTTATTATATCTTATTATATATAATGAGCCCATAACCTTCAATAGTAGTTATAGCCTCAAGTTGAACCTCACTTGACCTAATTGGACATTTTGTACCAGCCATTCCTGGCTGTGTATCTTTTTTCGTAACGACGCGTCACCAAAATACTTTTCTAAATTTAGATAAACGCAGCCACTTCCTAGATTTAACTTTTAACGATGATGCAAATTGTATTATTTAGGTTTTGATATAATAACAATGGGCAAATCAATCCAACGTATATAATATATATGCAGTGATCTTTACACTACTGAAGGAGTTATTATTATTATTTTAATTTTGTTGTTATTATTTTAGTTTTTTATTGCTTTTTAGTTCTTGTTTTTATTTAAGCTTTTCATTACTTCGTTACATACTACTGTAATTATATATATTTGACTTCATATTCTTTCATTTATTCAACTGGTTGGTATACTTACTGTAAATCATTATCTAGATAATCATTAATATATACAATTCTATAATTGATCATGAGGTTATTGACTATATCATTAATATCAACCCTATTTTCAATATTTTCTCCAGTATTAGCAGATTGTAACCCTCTCACAACTTCTGGATGTCCAGCTGATCCAGCATTGGGTACCTCATTTCGAGCTGATTTTCAACTGCTGATTGGTAATTACTTTCAAGTTGATGATACTCCAGGTTCAGCAACTTTCGGATCTAATGGTCTAACTCTTACCATCAATAAAAGATTGGATAACCCTTCAATATCTTCAAAATTTTATATAATGTTCGGGAAAGTTGAAGTTATAATGAAAGCAGGTGAAGGTCAAGGTATCATATCTTCATTCTTTTTACAATCTGATGATTTAGATGAAATTGATATCGAATTATTCGGTGGTGATGCTTATCAATTTCAAACTAATTATTTCATTAAGGGTAATACTGCTACTTATGATCGTGGAGAATATCAATCTACTCCTTCAAGTCCTTTGGAGAACTTCTACACTTATACCATTGATTGGACTGAAGAATCTTTAACTTGGTACCTTAATGGTAATGCTGTAAGAACTTTGACTCCAGACAATCCACAAGGTTACCCTCAAAGTCCAATGAGAATCTTTGCTGGTATCTGGGCTGGTGGAGATCCATCTAATCCAGAAGGTACAATTGAATGGGCTGGTGGTCTCACTAATTATGCAGATCTTCCTTTCTCAATGTATATTCAATCTATTATAGTGTCTGACTATTCTACTGGTAGTCTGTACTCTTATGATGGTACATCTGGTACTTGGCAATCTATTGTGTCTAATGGTGGTAAAGTGTATGGAAATTATCAGCAAGCCCAATCTGACTTTCAAACTTTACAGAATGGTGGTTCAGTTGATACAAAAGATATTTCGGCTGCCAGTTCAGGCTCAACATCGAGTACAAGTTCTTCAACATCAAGTTCAAGTTCAAGCTCAAGCTCAAGCTCTTCTTCGAGTACTTCATCAACTTCGAGCTCAACTTCCACACCAACCACCTCTTCTACTTCATCTACTTCCTCCTCTATTTCATCAGAGACTTCCGCAAAATCAAGTTCATCAACTATCATATCATCCACTTCGGAAACAAGTTCTGTTGAATTATCTTCATCAGTAGCAGCAGACAGTCAATCAGTATCAGTATCAGTTTCAGAAGCTTCAACACAACTGAGTACTTCATCTGCTTCTTCTTCATCCACAACATCAGTAGGAACTGCTAGTGAAAATGCAGCAGATTCTCCATTCACGGCATCTTCACCTTTCCTTGCCTTAATATTTATGATAGCTTCGTTATTATAAGTGTGTAATCTGCTTTTCGCGCTACCAATATCACACTTCTACAGTACATAGATTTATTTTTAAATAGACGAACAAATAAACATAAAGTAAGAATAAAACTTCGGGTAATAAAGTTTCGTCTATTCAAAGGCATTTTACAAAGGTTTAAGCAGAATAAGCAAAAAAAAATAACGACCCCGGTGAGGATCGAACTCACGATCTTAAGATTAACAGTCTTACGCCTTAGCCAGCTTGGCCACGGAGTCGTATTTGTTTGAATTCGGTTTTATTTTGACTCCGCGTGTGATTTCTACCACGTGAAAACCGTGTGATTAAAATCACGTGATGGTATCCTGCATATATGATATTTTAGGTTGCAAATTTACCTCTCACCATATATACAGACATAGTCTTAAATAATTTATACCTTGATGTCTTATTTATTTATAGCTATATAGAATTTAGCCTATTTAATATGTTTAATTTTAATATAATGTGTTTACTTCTCACATTTGCAATTAAATAGGAAATATTTGGCTCAAATTTGGCACTTTTTATAAAGATACTTCATTTTAAGAATTTTAGTTTTGGCTAAATTTCATCCACATTATTAACTAAAATTTACATCACCTTTTGATATTGTATATTATGCACCCTTCAACATCCAAGAGTCTTTGTACAAATATCTTTAAATAAATAATTTATTTCTAATAATTTCATATGCTGTAAAATGTAATATCACCAAATTACCTGTCGACTATTCAATTCAATAATTTATTAACTAAAAATAAAGAATTCCTACTTGTTACAAAACTTTATGATTACGAATATTAAAAAGGTGAACACAATTATCAAAGTAATCTTAAAAATATAATCCCATACATGGTCCTGTTCTATAAGCATAACATTTGATTGATAATTTATATCATTGCCGTAGAGCTTCTGAGTTAAGAATTCAACTGATCTTCTATACTTCTGAGTGATATCCAGCTTATGAATAGGATTCAAAACTTTAGGTGGTAACATGGTAGGTGGACGATATGTTAACCACAAAGGCTGCATTTTAACTCCATTATATCCGTACAATTGTAATTTTAATTGTCCACCAAAATAACTATCGATACTAACATCAAAGGTAAGTGTTTCAGGCTGATAATATCTCATGTATGTCAGAATCCCTTTATCATTACAAGGATCACTAAACAATTGTCTACCATCAACTTTCATTGGTTTAAGGTGCAATTTTCCAGTTTTAGGATCATATTCATAGGTTCCATGTTGCCAGATTAAACTAGCCGTAGGACATGAATGATCCTGAGGATTTGATGTCACTTGATAGATAGATTGCTCCCAATTCCCATTTAGGTCGAATGAATAAGATATTCCAGGTAAACTAGGTTCTAAGAGCAATTCATCTACTGGATTATAAAACAGTGGACCAGTCAAAACCTTTCGACTTAAACTTTGCCAAGTGCCTTCCAAGGCTTTCTTAACGTCAGCATTTTCTTTATAGGTGGGACTAGCAATTATCGAAACGATAAAGATACAGGCCAAGAGAACCATCGAGGCTGAATTTATAATCTTCATTATTACTTATTCTTATAATATGTATGATCTATATTGTAAAACCTAACTGGATATTTAATTATGCCTTCTTTTTTGACCATTTCCACAACTAGCATAATATTACTTCGAGTTGCAGCAATTTCAATTTTGCAAACAAAATTTACACTTTTGTTTTTTGAGGTACTATTAATATAAAAAATTGTTCTTCTCTATTTTTGTTATTTAAGTATATATAGGGTTTCTATTTTAAGAGGTATAAGTTTGAGGGTATAATTATGATTATAAACAAAACAAATTTTTTTGAAAAACAAGCGGAAATAATTGGGGGAGAAGAAATAAACGATAACGATAACAGGGAGTATTAAAAGGTGAATTAAACCAAAATCAAATCAATTTAACTGAATTGACAAGCTAAATCATATTTTAAGGTTCCAGTAGAATCCCAAACACCCCAATGTTGTTCAACATCAGAAGTACCAGAAGTATTTGGTTTCCAAATTTCATCAGCGTATTCGAAAACTGCAACATTAACACCCCAACCTCTCATAGCACAAATGGCATTTTGCCAGTAGTTAGCAGCATTTTGAATTGATGGTTGAGAAGCTTCGAAAGCAGTACCATCAGTTGGCCATCCGGTTTCACCAACCCAGAATTCAATGTTGGTAGAACCTTTAGTAGTTTGAATAACTTGTAAAGCTTGCATAATATCATCAAAGAATGAATAAGAAGCATTTTGATTAGTTTGTCCTTGCCAGTAAGAGAATGCATTGGCGTAAACAACATCAGCAGCTTGAATGGCAGGTTCATTATAAGCATCAACTAAAACATTCCAAGAATCAACAGTTCCAACTGGAACAGAACCATAAGATTTACCATCTTTATCATTAATACCTTGTAATAAAGTTTTAATAGTATCAATATCAGCTGCTAATTGTTGAGCAGTTAAATCACCTCTATATAAAGCTTCAGAACCAACTAAGAAAACATAAACAGTATCAATACTAATGGTTGGTAAGAATTGTTTTAAAGCAGCTTGTTCAGCTTGGAAATGAGCATCATCAGTTGGCCAAATACCTAACATTAATTGGAAACCAGCAGATTCAGCGGCAGGACCAAGATTTTGTAAAGTATTACAATCAGAAACTGCATAAGTTTTAACAATTTTTGCATAAGGAGAAATATTAGAGAAATCTGATTCATAATCAGAAGTAGTTTTACAACTACCATCATTTGCTTGAACACCTAAGTTAAAGGCAAGATCACCAATGGCTGAAACAGAAGCAGCTAAAGCGGCGGCAACGGCTAAATATTTGAATTGCATTATGGTAGATTAAATGAAGATTTATAAGTCTATACGATCAAGATAAATGGATGAAGAATGAATAAGATCGAACTTTATTAGTTATTAACGAATGTAAATTAGAATTTAAAGATAAAAAAACTAAAAATTCAAGGACGATATAACGAAAGTGATTATTGGAACAAATAAATTATGAACTAAAGAAAGAAAATAGTGAATAAACTATCTGACTAACTTTCCTATAAGGTATTATATGTTCTATATGGAAATGATACTTTGGTATAAAGAATAAAAAAAACAAAAAGGAGAAAGAGTTGATAGTTTGGTTCCTAAATTAACTCAGGTGCCTGGTAAAATTTTCCTTAGTCAACAGGGCCCACCTTCAGGGAATAAAAAAAAAATTCATTGCATCCAAAACGCAATAGTTGGGGGTACAAATGTAAACATTGCAATGTAAACAGGTTGGAGGTTGTGTGCAGGGCTATTCCTATTTAGGTAAAGTCTAGATTTCTATTTTCGTACAACCGCTTCTAAATATAGAACACATCCACACCGCAATACTATACATCCAGATTCAAAGAATAAACTTTAAAACCTTTTTATTCTACAATTATACAATTAAGTACAATATTTTGGATGTATTCTTTTCCTTAAAGTGAACGTAAGAGAAGATAGAGTAGCCTGTGTGTGTATATGAATTTTAAAACTCGTATAAAATATGAGAGATGTCCTTTATAAATACATGTAAATGACTTGGGTTATAGATAATGTTTTTGTATTACCAGAACAATGTTTACACCCAGCGGAGACATGATGCATGTCTCCGCATAAGGTCATGTGACAAAAAGATAGTGATCTATAGAAGATGTTTTGACTGAGTTAGTTATCTTTTAAGTTAGATGCCTACTTTTAAGTTAGATGCCTACTTTTTGTTTAACTGTATGAACACTATCCCTCCTTCTTAATGAGCCTAAATGTGAAGTTTTTAAATGAACTTAAACGGAAAGAAGTAAAGCGGATTTAAATAGGAGACTGGGAGACAAGAAATAGATGCAAAATAAAGTTTGAGCTACAGTGGTTATGCTTAACTTCCTAAAAACACTGCCCACAACTAACATCCATAACATAATCTTCGTAGAACTATAAGTATCCACTTCAAATTCCGAATTTTTAAGCTAGATACAGTAATATCTTCCTAATTCATAGACTAGTTTTAGTTATCTCTCTCACATAACAATGAGAACCAAAGTATTATTACTTATTATTCAGTGCTTTAGCTTTACATTAGTAGTTGCACACCTCAATTATGCTGATTCTATAAAAGCCATTGCAAATAATCGAATTCAGCCTAATGATGATAGTCAAGGCACTGTTTGGTTCAACACTACAGGCTATAGTTTAGAAGAATACGGTTTTCCTATGATTGACGATTATGGTATTCATACTTATTCATCATTTAATTATCTTAAGAAAGTATTGGGATTAGCAAACATCGCTCTTGAAAATGGAATACACGGAGATTACGTATTTTTACTTTATAAATTCCTTTATGGTGGTCAACATGAACCTACATCAATTAATCCATCTTCTGACATGGTCAAAGATATGATCAAAGATCTTAACCCAAAATTTAACAGAAGACACGGAAGTGATAAATTGTTAGAGATACTCAACAATACAGCCTCTATTCCTGAATTGCAAGATCTTTATAACCTTGTAGCTGATGCAACACTTATACATGCCTTTGAAGATTGGGATAATGAATAATATCCTTTTTGTTCATCAAAGGCTAGCGATCTCTAATTAACTCTAATATCTGAAACATCATGTTTTCTTTATATGTTTCTTATATTATGATTTCCTAAATAATCTGGAATAGTCCCATTTATAGTTGTAAATCAAAAAAATATATTTAATTCTTCTATAGCAAGTTTAAATTCCCTTTTATAGACTCCGCTACTAGCCCATAATCTATATAGTAGTTAAGAAATCACTTGAAGAGCAGTTAAACAAGATTCTTTCCTATAAGCTTACAAATAAAAAAGGACAAATTGACTACTCTACTCCAAGTCTTTATGCATTTATTAAAGATATAGTACAAGTGGGGTATGACTAGAGATTCAACTTAGTTAAGGCAATTAAAATACCATCTTCAATCTTAATACCATCAGGAATTTGTAATCTACCATCAAACATTTGTCCCACATTATCAACACCTTCTAAGTTTTCCTTATCGTTTAAGAAACTTGTTTCATAATCTTTATAATTTCCCACGACAATTAATACGTTACCTTCATTATCGGATTCGGAAAGTGCAGGAACTTTATTGAGACTCTCAAATTTAACCCCATTACTAAAATAATCATCACAATGAACAAAAATACTTTGACTATAACCTTCAGCATTTGAACTCTCAGTGAATAAGTGATTAAATTTCTTAACATATCTTACATAATATCCAAAAGATGATTTATTACCTTGAATACCATAAGCTTGAAGTGGTGATACAATAGTTTTATTCTTTAAATCTACTGTAACTCTTGAATTGACGGGGATTTCTCGTTTAATATTAGTTAATTCAAATGGTTTCAGTTCTCCAATATTAACATATTTAGTAACAGTTAATTTATGAGGATTTTTCACTCGTTTAGATTTCTTAGTGATTTTAGGAGTTTCTTTAGCAATTGTAAGTCCCTCTTTAAAGTCACGATAAATATTATTGTTTGACATAAATGGTAATGTAGTAATCTTTGGTAATTTCCATGCATATTTGAATTTGTTTAGTATTGATGCAGTTTTCTGATTTGAGAAAAGACTCTTCACAAGATAAGGTGGAGTTATAAAGAATTGAAGAAGTCCTGCCAATAACAAACCTTCTTCATTATCATCTTTCCCATTATCCTTATCTTTAGAATCTTCATTATCTTGTTGAGTTTCAACTTTAGAAGATCCCACAATTTCTTCATCTTTAAAATTAAACTTTAACTTCTTTCCTCCTTTATTACTACTCATTTGAACAACTTTAGAAGTTTCATCTTCATTAACTTTCGGTATATCCACTACGACAATCTCAACCACATCATAAATAGTACATGCTTTAGCAATTTGATAAGTTATATGAGTGATTTGTTCGAGATTATAGGCATTCTTACTACCTATCACAGTCGATGGAATACATACTGAAACTTTTCTACCTCCATTTCCAGGCCCTTTACTGGGTTTCTTAGTATCCTTGACAACAACAACGTCTTCAGCCTTTCTCTTAGCCATTCTAATCTATTGGTGTATGTCTTTGACTTATTACTCCATCTCATCGTAACTAGTGAAAATTAATTTTTTTTAATGGTCGCAGTCGCACATCTTACTGCAAAATTAGTGGGACAACTGTTAAGGAATATATTGAAAATTAAGTATATACCCTATAAAGATAAAGATGAATGCATAGAAAAAGAAATAATGAAGATAGATTAGATAATTTTGAGTTTGAGGTTTTTGTTTAGTAATAAAATAATAATGATAATGATAATGATAATAATGATAATTATAATAGAAAAAGATTAAATACTATTTACGAGGAATTAAAAAGATCAGAAATGAGTTAATTTAATTGGCTTCTTCTTCTTCTTCAGCAACAGTAGTAGCAGCAGCTGGTTCTTCATTTTCCTTATCATTTTCAGCCTCTTCAGCTTGTAATTTAGCAATTCTAGCCTTAGCCTTTTCAATATTAAGTTTGGTTTGTTCTTCTTGTTTATCAGATAAAGCACTAAGAGTTTCCTTTAATATAGTAATGGTATTTGGAACTTCTTCTTCCTTAGTTGGGAAAGGAATAGATAAATCACTTAAAGCAACAATAATTTCTGGATCAACAGTAAATTTACCCTTAGATTTCTTCTTATTGGCAGCTCCATTAGCCTTTTTAGATGATTTTGAACCAGCAAAGAATGCTTCTTTTTCCTTTTTAAGAACAACAACATCAGCAGGCATTTCAACGGTTCTAATTGAATTATGAGAAGTTGAAAATCCATTAGTTTTAGAAGAATTAGTACTTGGTTTAACATATGTTGGATCAAAATGACCTAATAAGACATGAATAGAATTAATTTCAGTTTCAAAAGCAGGAATTGAAGCTTCACTTAATTGTTTATCAGCTTCTTCCTTTAATCTTTGTTGCTTTTCTTGTTGAATTCTTTCCTTATTTTCTTCATCTCTCTTCTTCTTTTCAGAAGCTAAAGTTTGTTTAAATTTAGTATATTCAGCATCAAAATCAGCCTTTAATTTTCTAATTTCAGAATATTTTTCATCCTTTTGCTTTTTAATTTCATTTCTCTTTTTAATAAAATCATTTCTTTTAGTAATAATAGATTTATTATTTTCATTAATTTGATCTAATTCTTTTTGAATTTTGTCAAATTCATTACTTAATTCTTTTGATTGAATAGTACTTAATTTTTTCTTTAAAGCAGCAATTTTTTCCTTATCTTGATCAATTAAAACTTGAATCTTTTCAATTTGTCCAAAATCTTTTCTTAATTTTCTTAAAGAACTCATTTCTTTAACAAATCTTCTTTCATCAGCTAATTTTAATTCACCACCACCAATTAATTCATCTAAATAAGCAATTCTTTTATCAATTTCTTCAACAGTTTTAAATTGATTTTTAGAAGTTTGTAATTGAATTTCAGTAATTTTCTTCTTTAATTGTGAATCAATATTTTTAATTTGTTCATTAATTGCATTTCTTTCATTTTTAACAGTTGATTGTTTAGTAATTAATGCTTTAATTTGAGTTTGTAATTCACTTCTCTTTTCATTAGTAGAAGAATCAATTTGGGTCTTATTGATTTGAGCATTTAATTCATTATTAGTTAAATCTAATTTCTTAATTTCTTCCTTTAATGAATCAATTTGAGATTTTAAAGCTTTATCATCAGGACGTTTAATAAATTTTCTAGGAGGATTAACAGAATTTCCATTAGTTGAAGTAGTGGAACTAGTAGTAGCTGAAGACATAATGAATACTATCTAATAGGTAAAAGTTTCGAGGATAATGGAGGAATACAGAACAAATACAGTACAACACAGGTATAAATTTACAATGCTAATACAGTTAAGTTAAAAGGTTTGGGTGGATTGTTGATACCGGTAAAAAAAATCAGTTAGTGACTTATCTAGTTCACTACTTCTACTTCTATCGAATCAGTAAGATTGAAATTGGTTGTAACGCTTACAATAACGAGATAAGAAACAGAAATCACTTGTGACTGGATCCACCTCGAGGTACTGAAAAATTGAGCGTTGGTGGAAATTTTTTCTGATTGCGGTGTGTGCAGGAGCCACTAATACGTGTACTTTTGACATATTAGGCTTAGGTGGAGGTTTAGTGGCCGATGGAGAGGGGAGTGTTACTGTGGTTGAGTAAGGCAGTAGTAAGTAAGTAAGGAAGTAAGTAAGGAAGTGAGTGTTTATATATATAAGAAAGTTACTGTGCAGTACACACACTGTTAGAGTACAGTATCCACATAATGTAGTATATTACTTACTTTGTTAGTTCAGTGTGTTTCAATTGGTACACTCCCAATCGTTCTTATGGCCATGGTAGCGCCACGAACGTTATTAAATGCGAGTCGTGTAGTATATCCAAAACCTATACGATACGACACGACGAAAACCAAAATAAGTTGGGCTTGCGAAGAGGCAGGAACAGTACTGGGCAGATCAATACGTCAGTGACTCAGTGACTCAGTAAGTCATCCAGTCAGTAAGTCATCTAGTCAGTCATTCACTAATCACTCAGACAGAAATCGTACTTGTAAAACTACCCAACGTTTTGTATCACTAACATAGCATACATTTTGTACATATATAGACAATGACTGCTGCTTCTCAATACGCAAATTTAGTATCTAGTCTTTCACAACAAGATATTCTTAGCAAATGGTCTGATATTACTCCATTAAATAAAATATCAGGAATCCCAACCTCCAATGAAGATCATAATAATGATCCAAAAAATAGTGAATTATTTGAAGGTCATGATGAAGAACAAATTAAATTAATGGAAGAATTATGTATTGTATTAGATTATAATGATAAACCTATTGGAGCAGGTACTAAAAAATTATGTCATATAATGGATAATATTAATGAAGGATTATTACATCGTGCATTTTCAGTATTCTTATTTAATGAAAATAATGAATTATTATTACAACAAAGAGCTGATGAAAAAATTACTTTCCCAGGAATGTGGACAAATACTTGTTGTTCTCATCCTTTATGTGTTCCAAGTGAATTAGGTTTAACATCAACAACCAATTCTCAAGAAATTAATCAATTAACTAATGCAATTGAAGGAGTTAAAAAGGCTGCTCAAAGAAAATTAGATCATGAATTAGGAATTCCTTATTCTGATTCTCCTTTAAAAAACTTTCAATTTCTTACAAGAATTCATTACAAAGCTGGTAATGCAGGACTTTCAAATAATGAACAATCTGATTCTAAATGGGGTGAACATGAAATTGATTATATTTTAATTTTAAAGGCTAAAAATAATATCACAATTAATGCTAATGTTAATGAAGTTTCAAATTATAAATTTGTATCAGCTAATGAATTAAAATCTATGTTTGAAGATTCTTCTTTAATTTTTACTCCATGGTTTAAATTAATTTGTAATTCATTCTTATTCAAATGGTGGGAAAATTTATCTGATTTAGAGCCATTCAAAGATGAAAATATTCATCGTTTACTTTAGACATTCTCTAATTCTATAACTATTTATTCCATATATTCAATACACTTAATTGTTAATCCTGTATAAACATAACCATAGTCAATCATAACCATAAACTGTAAACCATAATCCATAACTAAAGCAAATCCCGGACATATACTTCAGAGAAGTCAAAAAAATCAGCTACGAGACACGTGATTTGTGAGCTGAGTTAAATTTTTTTTTTCTTACCCTACCGATCCACATATTCCAACAAATATTATTAATTACCATTATTCACAGTAATTAGTAAGTGTAAGTTGGGTGTAGAACAGTTCAGTAGTGGGTAATTGTATAGTTAAGATTATAGTGGAATTATTGTGTGTGAGAGTTTGTGTACATAGTTAAAAAATGATATCGAAGTCTATACTGCACCCTGTTATCAGAAATGTTAGTAAAGTAACCTGGAGAGCATTAGCTACGGCTTCATCAGAAAGTACTGGTACTGGTATTAGTACTAATACTAATGAAGATAAACCAAGAAGAAGAAGAGCTTCAACCAAATTCACTGATGCCTTAAATAAAGGTCCATCATTTGATGATTTTGTTAGTGGTACAGCAGCTGAAAAGCTTAAATTAATAGATCCATTAGAATTAGCTAGAAAGGATCCAGATCAAAGATTACCTACTTGGTTAAAAGTTCCAATTCCTAAGGGGAAAAGTTATCATAATGTTAAAAAGGATGTACGTGAATTAAAATTAGCAACTGTTTGTGAAGAAGCTAAATGTCCAAATATTGGTGAATGTTGGGGTGGTAAAAAATCAGAAGCAACAGCAACTATTATGTTATTAGGTGATACATGTACTAGAGGTTGTAGATTTTGTTCTGTTAAAACTAATAGAAATCCTGCTGCTCCTGATCCAATGGAACCAGAAAATACTGCTGAAGCAATAAGTAGATGGGGATTAGGTTATGTTGTATTAACTACGGTTGATAGAGATGATTTAATTGATGGAGGTGCGAAACATTTAGCAGAAACTGTAGTTAAAATTAAACAAAAGGCTCCTCAAATTTTAGTTGAAGTTTTAAGTGGAGATTTTAGAGGTGATTTAGATATGGCATCTATTTTAGCTAAATCTGGACTTGATGTATATGCTCATAATTTAGAAACTGTTGAAGATTTAACTCCATATGTTAGAGATAGAAGAGCTACTTATAGGCAATCATTACTGATTTTAGAACGAGCCAAACAAACCAAACCAAGTTTAATTACTAAAACTTCATTAATGTTAGGATTTGGAGAAACTGATGAACAAATATTAAAGACTTTACAAGATTTAAGAGATATTAAATGTGATGTTGTTACATTTGGTCAATATATGAGACCTACTAAAAGACATATGAAGGTAGTAGAATATGTTACTCCAGCAAAATTCGATTATTGGAGAGATAAAGCTTTAGAGATGGGATTTCTTTATGTAGCTAGTGGACCATTAGTTAGATCAAGTTATAAAGCGGGAGAAGCATTTATTGAGAATGTTATTAGAAAGAGAAAGCATAATGTGGGAGAGGCACCAAGGTTGGCACAGGCCATTAATCCAAAGCTTTATGATAATTAGAGGAATAAACGGCATATGATAATGTGATTTTAGTGGTGTAGCTAATATAAGTGTAGTTACTAAGCGTACTTTAGTCTACTCTATTATAATAACTGTACTGTACTATAGTGTAGTATACTCTATACTATACTATACCACCCTGTAGTATAGTATACTATGCTGTAGTATACTATACTCTATGCCCTACTCTACTGTACCCTACTCTACTGTACTATACTATACTATACCATACTCTACTACTACACCCTCTCCAGAAATAGTTGCGAAATGTTTTCCCTTTTTGGCGTTGTTTTTGTTTTGGCGCACAAACGACTCCTGCGAGTGAATGAAAAATAGAGTGAAATTTCGACATGGTACATTGTTAACTCTGCTAACAAAGACCGAGTAAAAGTAATTTGCAGTATACTAGTGAGTATTCTAAGTAGTTAGATCAATTAGTGAGAGTCTATTTAGTTACTGGTAGTAATTTCAAGTGGCCAAGTATTTTTGTTGTGGAGAATAGTCAAGTACTAGACGAATAAATCTCCACCTCCCCCACAGATCAGGACAGATCATAGATCATAGATCAGATCACCGAATATAAAAATTCTTAATTATGGCAAGACGACAGAAACATGAGCCAGAAAATGAAGATGATATAGAAGAGACATTAATTAGTCAATTCGAGACAACATTAACTATTCGTCCTACATCCAATGATATTGATGAACCGGAAGATATATCTATTGATCATACAGTATTAAATAATAATACTACTATTAATTATACTCGAGATCAAAGTATCGTAGATATTCAAGAATTAGAAGAAGAAGAATTGATTCTGGAACAAATTCCTAAATTTAAAACTAATAGGAGGTATAGTCTACAACCTAAATATGCACTTAAATCATCCAGTTCAAGTTCAAGTTCAAGTTCAAGTGGAACTTCTAGTGGAACTTCCACTGGAACTACTAAATCAAAAAAATCTCCTAGTCCAGGATTAGAAGATTCTATTGATACTAAATATCAATCGATTTTAAAACCATCTATATTAATAGATCATTCATTAACTAGATTTACTAAAGCATTTGATGATTTTATAGATTCAAATCCTCATATAAAATCAGAATCTCCTAGATATTCTCATGAAATGGATCAAACTTTAATTATATTATCACCTTATTCTTCAGAACATGCATTTGGAAGAAATTGGGTATCTAAATCTTATCTTTCAACTATCTTTGAACGTCCTCAAAGATTATTAGCATCATGTATTGGAGTTGCCTCAGCATTAACTATGTATCCATTTTATTATAAAATAATAAATTCAACAAAGAGAAGTTCAATATTTTCATCTCATGTTCGAAAGATTCATGGTAAAAATTGGCCAAAGAAATTATTTGAATTATGTTTAGAAAGTCATGATAAATTAATTAACGATCAGTTAGAAGTTCCAGAAGATTGGAATACTGGTGATATTTATTTAAACCCAAAGACTATTAATGCTCTTGAAGGAGTGATAGGGACTATTGAAACTGCTGTTGATTCACTTTATAATGATGGAACTATTAATAATAAAAGTAAACCTAAACCTAAAAGTAATTCTACTACTAATAATAAAGATTCGAGATCAGTATCACCAACTACAGAAACTCATAATTTGGCATTTGTAGTTATTAGACCTCCAGGTCATCATTCTCATGCATGCTTACCTAGTGGGTTTTGTTTATTAAATAATGTTCAAATTGGTATAGAATATGCATTTGAAACTTATGGAATATCTCATTGTGTTATATTAGATATAGATTTACATCATGGAGATGGATCTCAAGATATTTGTTGGGAAAGAGCTGGATTTCAAGGAGATTATGGTCAAGATGAAGATGATGAAATTAATGATCCAAAATTAAATCCTCGAGATGATTATGGTAAAAGATTTGCAACTTATCCAAAAGTTGGATATTTTTCATTACATGATATAAAATCTTATCCTACAGAATTAGGTTATGCAACTAAAGAAAATATTAAAAATGCTTCAACTTGTATAATGGATCATGATTTAAATATTTGGAATGTTCATTTGCAACAATGGAATAATGAAGAAGAGTTTTATAAACATTATCAAACTAAATATGTGGCAATTTTAAATCGAGCTAATCAATTTTTAAATACGGCTAAAAAGCAATATGAACAAGATTATCAACAATATCTTAATGATTCTACTAAATATAATAAATATTTACTTAAACCTCATTTATTTAGTCAACCAATTGCCAAACCAGTGGCTCCTTTACCATTTAAACCATTAATTACTATATCAGCTGGATTTGATGCTCTGGAATATGAAAATCCTCAAATGCAACGTCATGGTATAAATGTTCCTACATCATTTTATGCATCATTTACTAAAGATGTTGTTAAATTAGCTAAAATTCATACTAATGGTAAAGTAATTTCATTTTTAGAAGGAGGTTATAGTGATGGAGCTTTATCTACGGGAATATTTTCTCATTTAATTGGATTAGTTAATGATGATGAAGTTACTTGGAATGATACTTGGGGTTTAGATCAAGTTATGAAAGAATTAGTTAAAGGATGTAAAAAAAATTGGCTTCCTTATAAGAAACCTCAAAGTGATATTACAATTTGGGCTAATGAAGTTATTAAATTAGGAAGAGCTATGATGCCTAATGCAATATTACCTGCCAATTATATTTATCAATATCAATCAGAATCTGAAATAATAGACAATGGTGAAGGTCAACATGAACCAGTTAATAAAATGGTTAAAGAAATTATGGATTATCATCATCCTACAAGAGTATTAGAAGTATCCAAGAGTCCAATAAAGGTTGATCCTGAAGATGAGAGAAAACTTATGAGACATACGAGATCATATTATAAGAAGCTTGCTACAGCTCAGAAACAACAACAAGTCCAAGATGAAGGACCAAAGTATAAATAGCTTACATAATAATATCTCTACATAACCCACATACATAACCCACTTACATAATACATATACATACATAGATAAATCTGACCCTGCTTTTATTCATGGTCCATTGCCCGATTAGGTAAAGAGACAGACGTTATTACCCGATTGGGACTTGGGACAATGTCGCGACGAGGGAGATGATTAGCCAGATGATTAGAATACAACAGAACTGTGAATACGGCTGAACAGAGCCACAACAAAACCCCACCAAAACATAGTAGAACATAGTAGAACATCGTAGAAGAACTCCAACACACTCATACCGTCGTAAACCAACTTCAAACCCCATTGAAGCCCATTTAGTACAGACAATTCCCCCCGCTACTAATACCTATTACACTAGTGAAACCCCACGACATCCCGTGCCGCACTAACGAGTCTGCGACTTTTCACCCACCCACTCCATTGTCATAAGAAAGAGGAGCCAACCTGCCAACCACCACTACTAATAAGTTTAATCAGATAGTGATAATCATATTAAAGGTGTTTCAGCTCCTTACTGTATAGTGCCCCAACCATTTGGTAACCTTTCGTGTCGTGTAGTTCACGAGACCGACATCCTCCCTCTGTATTTCATAAGTAATTAGACGTGTCACTATCATTATCTTTACTACTAATTTGTATTATATATCATACCATAACTAATTGAAAATCCATTAAAATCATTTCAAATCATTTCAAATGGATCTAGACACTACAAAACAAAAGCGGAATCGCAGTACTCAAGACATTGCCCCATCAGATCCTAATTTTGATCGATCTAAACTAACGGCTGAACAATACATAGAACAACTATTATTTGAGAATAGAGAGTTACAAGCATTACTTATTCGAAAGGATAAGAGAATTGCTGAATTAATAGAACTTTCTAAACCCAACAGTAGTTATAATTATAATTATTATCAGAATGCTTCAGTATCTTCCTTTGATACTGCACCGGAAATCAAACCTATAACATCAGTTGAAACAGTTAAATCAATAACTCCTTCAAGTACAGTAGTTAAATTAATAAGTACAAGTACAGATGAACATGCAGTAGAAATCCCATCTCGATCATCAAGAAGAAGACGAAATTCAAATTCTCTTGAAAAACTGATCCCTTCAATTGCAAATCTTGATGATTCAACTACGGTATCTCCAATATCTCCATCTATAAGTATTCCAAATTCTTCAAATATAAGTAATTTATCATCATCCACATCTATTGGGAAACCTACTAATAATTCTAATACTCAAGTATATATTGAAGAAGTCAAAAAGGAATCTTATACAGTATCTTCAGGTTTAGCTCCTTCATTAGTTTATACTCCATCTATAAGACAAGAACCCAATCGTCCACCAATCACTCATAAGAATAGTTCTCAATCATCATTCTCCACCCAAATCCCCGTCTCGACTCCTTCAAGTTCCGAATCTTCTATGACTCCTATTCAACTGGATTATTCGTCTACTGTTGAGAAACGTCCACCTATTTCCAAGACTCCCAGCCTTACTCAACCACACCAACAACCACAACCACAGCCAGTTCAAACTAATTCCAATTCCAATTCCAACTCCAACTCCAACTCTTCTTCTAGTTCTTACAAATCAAGAATAAAACTACCTCCAACACTACAACACAGTCAACGAGATGGAAATATAAGTGCATCTTCAGATCTGACCTATATTCAACCATCATCTACTCATTCCAATTCCAATTCGAATCCGAATCCTCACCTTCCCTTACTTCAACCACCCATTGATCATACCATACTTAAATCTCCCGCAGTATTTGAACTTAACAATAATATTTTACTTGGATCAAACCAATCAAGTCCATTACCCAATCAAAATAGATTCTCACCTATGTCTCAGAGTACTAGTCAATTTACTAATAGTGATTCTAGTAGTTTAAAGAGACTTCCAACCACTCCTGATGTAATGTCTAATAATAAATTTACTATGAAATTGAATGATATACCTAATGGAACTCTTGAAGAAGATACTACCAAAAGTTATATATCTTCACCAGTTCAAGGATCATTTACTCATTCTCAAAGAAGTCCTGGACAATTAGGTGGAGGACATAGAATTGATAATGATATACTTCGAACTCCATTAACTACGGAATTTGATTCTCAAAGTAAATTCTCTGTACAAACTCCAGGGTCAAGTTTTAATGTATTAGGTACTCCAAAATATGATGATGATTCATCATTGGCTATTAAACCTGAAGAATTCCATGCCATTTCAATAATTATTGCTAGTACAATATCAATTCAATCAAATAACAACAACAATAACAATAACAATAATAGTACTAATAAACGATCAGATGATCCAAATGTAACAATTTCAGTAATTGATAAAGAATCTAATCAAGAAATGTGGAGAGTAAGAAAGACATATTCCCAATTAATATCATTTGATGAAGAAATTCGACCAATAATTCAATTTTTTGGGTTACCCCAATTACCTGATAAATCATTATTTATTTCTACTGCCCCAAGTAAAATTGATCAAAGAAGAATTACTTTACAATCATATTTTAATTCAATATTTGTTATACCTCATATACCTCAACTGGTTATATATAGAATTTGTAAATTTGTTTCATTTGATATTATAAGTCCTTTAGATGATTATAAAAGTGGAGCTAGAAAGGAAGGTTATTTAGTTAGAAGATATAAAGGTTTAGGTAGTACTTGGAAGATTCGTTGGTGTCAAGTTGATGGACCATTTTTAGAAATTTATGAATATCCTGAAGGTCCATTAGTTGAACAAATTAAATTAAAGGGTTCACAAATTGGTACTCAATCAAATGATACAGTGGCCGAAGAAAAGGGCTATAGACATGGATTTTTAATAATTGAACTGCAAAAATCTCTGAAATTATCTTCTTCATTACCCAAATATTTCTTTTGTGCAGAAAATGATGAAGAAAGAGATGCTTGGGTTACTGCATTAGTTGAATTTAGTGATTTAGGAAGTTCAACTGGTGATACTTCGACGATTTCAGCTGAATCCGATGAATTTATAGATACTCCATCAAGTAAATATCCTGATGAATTAGAATTAACTTCAAGAAAGTATACCAATGGATCAGGTTCTGCATCAGCATCAGTATCTGGTTCAGGTTCTGCATCAGCTACTAGAATTAATTTCGATCAATCATCTTATATAACATCTAATTCTCAAGATGATAAAGAAACCAAAGAACCTAAAAAGCATAAGATGAGAAATATCTTTCAATTTAGAGGTGGGAAGAATTCTCAACCACAATCACAACAATTATCAACTGAAAATATCTTAGATGATGTTGATACTAGTAGTATAATTGTTCCATTAGCACATTCGACTTCGACGATTTCTGATTATTTAAATAATTCAGGTACTAGTAGTAGTACTAATAATAATACTCTAACTAAATCTATATTTGGTAGAGATATTGAAGAAGCATTTAATATATCCAATGATATATTTATGGGCAAATCAATTCCATCAATATGTTATAGATGTTTAGATTATCTTACCAGAACAGGAGCCATGTATGAAGAAGGAATCTTTAGATTAAGTGGATCTGCCACCTCAATAAGACAATTAAAAGATCAATTTAATCATGAATTTGATCTTGATTTATTTACATCTGATTTAAAACCTGATATAAATACGGTGGCCGGATTATTTAAAACTTATTTACGAGAATTACCCAGTCCCATATTAGGATTAAAGACTTATAATTATTTACATAATTTAGTGCTTAATTCAACACTAAGACCATCGCATTTAGCTATGGAATTTCGAGATTATTTTAATGATATAAATAATGTGGATGAGATTCATTATGATATATCATATGTAATCTTTTACTTTTTAAATCAAATCATTAGTCAACAACAAATGAATCGAATGAATTTAAGAAATGTGTGTATTGTATTTTCTCCAACATTAAATATATCGGTGGAAGTACTTCGAACCTTTTTAGAAGATTTCGAATGTATATTTAATAATGGCAATCCTTTACCGGATGATAAGAGACAGATATTAGATATTCATATTCCGAATTTTTAATGATATATATATATATATATATATAGTTACTTACTTAGTTGCTTATTTATTTATTTGTTTATAATACACAGACGTTACCACTCACTCTCTCCTGTAGCCTTATGAAATACATAATCTCTTCCATCAATATTAGCAATACCTTCCTTTAAATTGAATTTCCATTTATTCTTAATTCTTTGAACTCGATCATATAAACATAACATGAGTTGTCCTTCTTGTTCTCCACTTTCTCCATCGGATTTATCACTTTCTAAATCATCATCTAAATCGGAATTGATATCATCAGAGTCATTGAAAATATCGTCATCTCCATCATCGTCATCACCAAACGTTCCGTCGGTTTGATTTATCCTTTGTTGGTTATTACTATTCTGTTTAAGCTTATGTATAAGTTCTTTAGCTTTACTTGTTTCACTATACATAGTGAATTCTACAGTTCCATCGGCTTGATTTATCTTAGGTAATAATAATCCCGTACTATTATCTTCATCCACTTCTGGTTTCAGTAATTCGAGTCCAATACTATCGGTTACATTTCCATAAGATAAGACATTTCCATTACTGGTATCATCAGGAGTATTTAATCCTCCACCTCCACCTCCTCCTCCAACAATATCTGATTTATTACTTACAAGTGGATAATTTAATCCTCCTCCAACAGATACTGATGGAGGCTCTTCAGGTTCTTCGTCATCCCATGAAAATTTGGCTACTTGCGATTGACTTAATCTCTCACACCATATTCTTCGTAATTCTTGTAATGTTGATTCATCTATTCCACTATCTTCAAAGTCTTGTCGAGAGTCATTAATAACATCTTCTACTATATTTTCAAAGAGCTTTCTGGCTTCAAAGTTAGACATTTTGTTTTGTTTAGGCTTGCTTTTGGTTCTCTTTACACTACCCGTAACTTTTTAACTAACTTCACTTCAATCCTGTATGGGATTGTTGGTGCTGATTGTTAACTATGGGTTAGTTGTATGGAGATTAATTCCGATTGAAATTTATTTGGTTTGCCACGGCGCGTGACCGGGTCCTCGTGAGAAAAGGAACACTCACTCACCCAAAAAGGAATGTCTCTCTTGCGACATTAATTGCTGCAAATTACTTACACTATTTATTACTCTACTCTGTAATTAACTAACTACTTTCTACTCTACTGATGTCTCGATCTCGAACTCTTCTTAGGACTTACCCGCCCATGATACTGTAATTTATTTACATCAATAAAATCAGTTAATTGTCGAATCTCTTGAAGTGAATTATTAAGCTTTCTCTTTAATAATTCAACTTCTCTTTCGGCATACCGTTTATCTCGAGTAAGACTATCCTTCTCCTTTTCATAATGTAATTTAACATCTCCAAGCTTTTTAGCATGCTTTTCAGCATATTCATGATGTAAATATTGAGCTAATCTCTTAACTTCATTATCAGCTTCTATTTTTGTATTTTCAACTTGTTCTAAAGCTTGTTGCTTTTCTGAACTTAATTGATTAATTTGATCTTGTAATTCTTTAACTCGTTCATTATATTCTTCTTCCTTCTTTTGTACTGCTTCAACTAATTCCGTCATTTTACTAATATCTTCATTAATAATTTCTTCCTTTTCTTTAATGATTTTATTAGATTCATTAATTTCTTCTTGTAATTTATCATTACTATTAATTAAATCATCTAATTTATTGGTTATATTATGATTAGTTTCATTAACTTCATTTATTTCCGTCTTTAAATCTTTAATTTCAATTTCATATTCTTCAGCTTTTTCTAATGTCTTATAAATTTCTTCTTTCTCTTTATTAATATTAGCAATGGTGGTTTCTAATTCAGTAATCTTAGAATTAGCAACCGATTCAAATTCTTTAATTAAACTTTCATTTTCAGAATTTGCATTGGCTAATTCTGTATTACTTGTCTTTAATTCTTCTAATTTATTATATAAATCCTTTTGTTGAGATTGTAATTTCTCAAGTTCAGAACTTAATTGAATATTTTGAGTTTTATAAGTTTCTACTTCATTTAATAAATCTTCCTTTTCCTTTAATAATGTTTCAATTTTAATAGTATTATCAATATTTAAATTAGTAGCTTCAGATATTTGATGATTTAAATTATTAATTTCAATTAATTGTTGATTATTCTTTTCATTTAATTGATCCTTCTTAGATTTAATATTATTTAATTTAGATTTGAATCCATTAACAGTATTTTCTTTAATTTTAAAACTTTTAGTTAATGAAGCTAATTCTCGTTCATTATGTTTTAATTGAATTGAAAGAATTTCTTCATTACTTCTTAATTTGATTTTAGATTCTTTTAAATCTCGAATTTCTTTCTCATACTTTATTAAACAATCTTGTAATTCATTTAATTCTTTAGTTATAGTTAAAATTCTTTCATCTTTATTACAAAGTTGAGATATAAATTCATTACATCTTTTTTCATGATCCTTTTGAATTTTACTTATATGATCAAGTGAAAATACTGGTTTAGAACTTGGTGACATAAGAAAATTGATTGTTGGTTCATTTTCTAATTTATTTTCAAATATTTCATCTTCATTATCTAAATATTTTTCAACATTAGTCTTGGCTGTATGATATTTTAATGGACTAGTTATATCTACATCTCTATCTCTATCTCTTAATTCTGATTTAGATGATGTATCATCTTCATCATCTTTTTCTGATACATTTTCTAATTCATTTACTCTAACATGTAAATTAGTAGTTGGACTTTTAGCTATTGGCTCAGTATATCTTTGAGGAGTTATATAATCTTTGGCCATGGCCATATCTTCCAGTCTAATGATTTTACCTAATTGAGTTTGAGTAATATTATTATGATTTAATCCAATAGTATTTGGTATAATGGTTTGACTTATAGTATTTTCAATTCTACCAAAATCATCAGGATCACTATCACTATCATTATCAATTATAACTGGATTTAAAGATTTATTGTGATTATGATTATTAATAGTTGGAGATGATTTACTTAATTTACCTACTAAATCTTCTTTATAGAATACTTCATCAATTTGAATCAGATGATCATCTTCTTCTGGTGCTTGTTCATTTTCATTTACTTTAACAAGTTTTCTAGCGGATCCTTGATCTTCTTGATTAGTATCACTAATAGTACGCTTTAAAGGAGAACTTACTGAATCTTCAATGATTGAAGTAGATACAACTTTAGGAACAGGAGAACTATCAAGAGGATTTCTATTTTCTTTACCACTATCATCAGTATCATCATGAGGACTTGATTGTTTTTGATTCTTCTTTAATAAAATATTATTTAATTTAGAATCTAATCTTGTTTTGGATTTCTTTATACTTTCTATATCAATATATTTTTGACTAGAATGTCTTGGAGATGTAAATGGTAACAGTGGAGGTAACATTGGTGATAATTTTGTTGATTCACGACTAAGTTGTTTTGCTGAATTAGTTAATTTTTGAATTTGAATTTGATTTTGATATTGAAATTGGGGTTGAGGAATTAGTGGGGTTTGTACTAAAGATTTACGTTCAGTTCCACTTCCACTTCCACTTCCACTTCCTCTTGCTTCATATTTGGCAGTTAATCCATGAGGATGTTTAACTATAACTTCTGGAGTTTTATGATGACTGATATCTGGTCCTAAGTTCGAGTCCTTGATGGGAGTCTTTACCGGTAACTTTACGGGAGAGAATGATTCGTCAAGATTGATGTTGGAAACATTGGCACCTGACTGAACCTGAGCCCTCATGGGAGATGACGCACGACTACTCATACTTTTGATATATATGTTTTGTTAAGCAGATATGGTTGGTGGTTGGGGGGTCTATTTATATTTATGTCTCCTTTCTGCCTCCATGTTTGTTGACCAAATGGAGACTCGTGTCGTGCGACATTTTACATTAGATGATAATAATATTATTTAGACGCGTCCCACAACTGCAAATACGAAGACGAATTACTGCAAAAAATGAAAAAACGAAAAAACGAAAAAAACGAAAATCATATACTAAACAATAAATAAAGAAGCTATATAGTATAACACAGAAACGACAGAAGAGTTAGAAAGAAGCGTTAAAATTCATCAAGTAATCACTCACTCACTCCGCGGTAGTTGACATAGTGTCCAGTGTCCAGTGTAGTTTAACTTAGGATGCTTAAGATCCTAAAGTTGTTTTATTGGATTCGGACTTAGAAATAGCGGAAAAGATTTCTTTTCTTACTGGCAACCGGAGTGGCTGAAGAGGAACTCTCTTCAGGAGCAACTGTGGAGTAGGCAGTACCATTATTTCCTGCTCTGGCTGCTGAATAGTCAAATGAATAGGAAGCATAACTTGGTACAGCCAAAGAAGTTGACGATGAGGATGAGGACGAGGTTGGAGTTGGAGTTGGTGGAGTTGTAGTAATTAATTTTGTTGATACAACATCAACATAACTTGTGATTGTTGTTGTATTACCAGCATAAGTGAATTCTGCAGTTACTGGATAAGCTGATACTACAGTAGAAGTAATAATATAATGACTAGTACTTGAAGGTTTAGGTGTAGCAGTAACCGTAACTGTAACAGTTTCTGGTACACAAATTGATTCAGAAGATGCACTAACAATAGGATCCAATGATGAAGGATCTAATGATGAAGGATCTTCAGTTTGTGTAACAGTAATATAACTAGTAATTGTTGAAGTAGTGATTTCTGCTATACTTGAAGTTAAAGTATTAGTAGGAACAGTTGTAGTGATACCATTAGAAGTAACAGTAGCATATTGAGTAATGGTTGTAATGACTGTAGTTTTGAAAATAACAGCTGAAGTTTCTTCTACTTCTGCTTTAGCATCCCCAATGGGCAATGAAGAGCTAAGTGGGAGGGTAATAGTGGTAGAAGGTAAAGTAACAGTAATTAGTTGATCTACAGTGGTTGTAGTTGTAGGATCTTCAGAATCTGTTGATGTAACAGATGAAGCTGTGACAGATGTTGAGCTTGGAACGGATGAAGATGTTGTAGGTATTGAGGATAAGGTAGGGTCAATTAAGACAGCCGCAGATGGAGGTGATGATGATGGAGATGATGATGGAGATGATGATGGATATGATGATGGGGGTAATGAAGATGGGGGTAATGAAGTTGGGGGTAATGAAGATGGGGGTAATGAAGTTGGGGGTAATGAAGATGGGGGTAATGAAGATGGGGGTAATGAAGATGGTAAATCTTCAACGGCTTCGACAGCTTCAACAACTGAGGTTGCTGAAGATGGTAAAGCCGAAGATGTTAAAACTGAAGATGCTGAAGTTGGTGGATATGAAGTTGGTGGATCTGAAGCTGGAGGATCTGAAGCTGGAGGATCTGAAGCTGGTAATGATGATAAAGGTAATGGAACAGATGAAGCTAAAACTGGAGCTGAACTTGAGGATGAAGAGTTGTCCAATCTCTTGACAAGAGCTTCATTTCTTTGGAAAGGAAAGGCCGATATTGTGCCTGCTAATAGGAGTAATGGGATATATGAACGCATGGTTCTAGAGAATAGTTCTTAAACGAATGTAATTGGTCAGATGGGTGGGTATACTAGAAAGGAATGGACGCGATTAATACGCAAAGGACCAGAGCAGAAAGAACTATAACTTATACCTATTAATACTATAGTTACAAATTTACATCTACAATTTCATCTCACGATGAATTCCAAATATCTTTATAAGATTCCACCTTGAGAGATCAGGTTTCAAATCAAAATCATCCAAATCTCCTGGCATACCCAATTGGGACACCGCCCAAATACAACCCCCTTTGCAGCAATTTAAAACCGTTTCACACGGAATCACAAAATCTCATTCCATGTCATGTCACTGGAAGCTGAGCACTGCTCGGCACTGTTAAGCTTAGCTCCGCTATGCTCATCTCTAATTACAAACATAAATAGACACACAAACGTCATACATTCCCTCTAATGTTTACTAACATCGCGAGAAAAAAAATGGGGATAGCGTGTCTGTTTTGCATTATTTCAGGGGGAAATATGTATGTGAGGCGTGGACGTGTTTTTAAGAATGTGTTGTGATGGTGCCAAGAGGTCGTGTGTAAATGACTAGTCATAGACTCTGTAGATGTGTAGGATGATAGACCAATTGGGAATAATTTGATCTGAAGTTAGTTTACTGATGATTGCATTGTCATGTCGAGGAAATCATTTTTCCAAGCAGGGATAAGAACATACTGAGATATGACATTGTAGAAGTTTATCAAGCTGCTATGTTTCATAGTGGAATTTGGCGAATGTCACCAATCCTTCTCTCCTACATATCTTCTTCATCATCGTCTATTCTGCCTCTAAATGACTCTAACCCGGTATTATCATTCCATTCTACTAAAGAATGTTCACTTCTCATTAGTTTATTTATTTAAACAGTAAGTAGTCTGGAACCTCTCCATGCTTTAGTAGCCCTATATTGTAATTGTAACAGCTGTATAGAGAAGTATGGGGATTTTACTTAGCATATTCGGCGAAGTTACCGTACTTTATTTAAATCTGTTGCGAAATTATCTAAGAACCTAGGCAAGTAGGAAATTAGATTATTGGGTCTGGTTACACAATTTCATCATTTATTAGATTCTATATATAGAAATTATAGGTAGTGAATACTGGCCATTACAGAAACCACCAGCCTAGGACCCTGACCATAAGCTTTGCAATGGATTATATAGTGTTGAACGTCGATACTTTTCGCAGCAAAAGTGTCTCAACTGTTTAACGATAATATCCTAAGTAAAATCAAGAATGCATGATCAGTCTAAAAATTAAATCTACTTTTAACATCATCAAGGATTATATCATGATAGAGTTTTTAGTTCTTAAAGTATACTAAAAAGGAACGCAAAATCTACCGCGATTTTTCAAAAAACGCAATTCAGTTCCGCTTTTTCTCCACAAATAATGATAGCAAATAAACTTGAAGAAGCTTTATATAGAGAGTAAATTGACCATTAAGTAGGGATCCAATCGGATATGTATATTATGAGAATCCCTATATTATCTTTATTTTCAATTGTGCTAGTCTGTGCTACTTTGCCTGCTGATAACAATGACTTTCTGCTTGCACGTACAGCAACCACAAGTGAATTAAATATAGTGGATATAACTGCTAAAACGACATAATTCCCATTTCACAATCAAATTGCCAATATTGCATTCGCGACAGTGAAGGCATCCGAAATTCTTATATGGGGGTCGTTTGTGAGTTATCTATCCGCCTTATCCCTCTGGCTTATGAGGCCTGGGTTGCTTGTCCGAATATACAGGAGAACCACCAAGCAACATATGTGGAATTTATTCAAAAAGTCAGCTCAGTAATGGCACAATTCATAAAATATGGCAGCGTATCAGTAGCTGCTATGGCATTAATTTGGCAGCTGAAGGTAGAAGAGGCGAACTAATGATGAATAAATTGCAAGATTCCATTCCTATTTGGGTGACGAAAGTTTCTAGATATTACCTAATGATTCAAATGTCAATAGATATCTGCACATTAATCTCTGTGGGTTTAACCAAACCTGCTTATGTGACTAATTATTTTAAGAAAGTCACATTCTTAGTGTATTGCAAAATTTCTGGTAATAAACATTCATCTAACTCCTGAATGGTATAGAGCTAAATACGATTTAGATGATTTCCACAATATCATGCAATATGATACAACATCATACAATATGATACAACATCATATAACATCATACCATAACGTAAAACATGCCTCTAATTATATAGATCAAACAGTATAGTTAGATTAATATACATACTATCAGCAAAATTTCAAATTCCTGTATACAGCCCCCACCAAGACCAAGTATCTCGAGAAGCCAACATCAACCGAACTCAATATGGTAATAAGTACTGAATAACTAAATAATAATAATTGAAATATAATATTCAAAGTATAGTAGCCATGGCACAGAGGCGACTTTCATTCAATATGCCCGACAACGGGACCAAAAGTCAAGGTACATTTGAGTCAATGTTTGAATTGAAAGAAGTTCAAAATACGGTACAATATGACTGGCCTGAATTATTACGAGAAGATACCAATCCAATTGAAACTGCCATGTATTTATTGGATGATTCCTCGGTTGGATTGGCACATAGAAAACAAGAATTTGATATTATTAAAGAAAATACTGAAAATGCTTTAAGACATGTAGTTAATGATCATTATGAAGTATTTAATAATAGTATTGGATCATTTCATTTACTTTTAAATACATTACAAGATTCTCAAAATGATTCTTCAACTATTAAAAATATTTTGGATTCAACTGTTAAAGATGTTCAAGATCGATCAGAAGCTTTAAATGAATTTAGTCAAACTTCAACAAGATATACTGAATTAATTGAAATTCTTGATGCTATAACTGAAGTATCATCAATTCCTAATAAAATTGATCAATTAACTCAAGAAAGAAAAATTCATGAAGTTTATGATGTTATTTCTCAAGGTTATAAAACGGCAGAAAAGTATAATTTATGGTCATTATCAGCTATGAGTTCTATAAGAGATAGTTTACAAAATCAATCAAATCAATTATTTGATACAATAGTTGAAGAATTAACTAGTGAAGTATATTTAAAGGCAGTTAATACATTTACTAATAGAAGTCAAGACCTGAATGTTTATTCATGGCTGACCCTTACCAAATCAAATAATCCTAAATTATCTTCATTAAAATCATTAATTTCTGAACTGACAAATTTAGAACAATATGTTTATAATTCTGCTAATTTAGATATATCTGAAATTGTTGATGTTTTAAGTGATCCAGTTGAAGAATTTCTTAATAAACAATTACCTACCATTCATAATCATTATATTACAAATGAAAGTAAACTTAATTATTCAGTATTAGTTAATTCAAGTCTGAATCTTACATCAGGATCATTTCATTATATTTATATGTTACTTCATACTGCTTCAAAATTAGGAAAATTAAATCAAATTGTAGAGATTTTACAAGGAAGACATCAACTGGAACTTCATGGATTATTAAATAGAATTACTGAAGAAGTTAAACAAAAGAATGCATCAGTATTAGCCAAATTAGCTAAACTTCAAAAATTTGATCATAGTTCAGAAACGAATATTATTGGACAAACCAATTTTAGTGATTCAACAGTATCAGTTCTTGAAGATTTATTTGGATCAATATTTGTTAAATTTTTAGCCGTATTTCAGCGTCATAAAGTTATTGGAGTTATTGTAAATATCATTGAATCGGGTACTAAATTATCCGATAAGATTATTTCTACCACCACCACCACAACTACAACTACAACCACTACCACTACTAATAATAATAATTATGATTTAGTTAGTATTTGGAATGTATTAAAGAAAGAATTAAAGAATATAATGTTAAATTATATAATTGATGATAATTTATTAATTAATAATACGGAAGATTATTTAAGAAAAAGATCTAAAACAAAAGTATATGAAAATCGATCAGTTAAAAATATCTTCCATTTTGAAGATGTTTCTTATCAATCATCATCAGTTGAAAATCAAAATTTACAAATTATTTTACAAGATATGTTTCCTGGATTTAATATTCAAGATAAATTTGATCAACTGAATTCTGTTGATTCTTCTTCACCATATATTCAAAGTGAAACTCATAGTGCCATTGTTGAAGTATTAGTACCGAAGAATTTATTTAATATGAGAATAATGTTAGAATTCTTTTTATTATTTATTGAAGGAAGTCAAAGAATTTTCCTTGATTTTAAATCATCACCAACTCAAAATAAAGTTAATGCATTAAATTTTTTTGATGAATTTATGAAGAAATCTTTCCTTTCTCATGTTAAAGAAAGTTTAGAATTATCATTTAAAGAATATATTGGTGGACAACAAAATGGTATAACTCATTTCTCAGGACTTAAATTAGATTTAATATCTATAAGACAAAATTCCACTTCTGATGCAATCTTTAGTTCATTACAAGATACTTCAGAATATAATACTTTAACCGTTTATGAAAATGCTTTAAATTTTAAAAAATTATTCCTTAGTATTTGTTCAATTTTAAATACTTCTTTAACTTATAGAAAAGAATTTAGTGATACTGCCCTTTCATTTTTAGAAACTTTCTCCAAATCATATTCGAATTTTTATTTAGAATTATTATCTACTGGTAATTTTCAATTGAATGGGTATGGACAATCATTAGATTCTAATTCTAATTCACAAACAAATTCTCATTCAAATTCTAATTCTAATTCTAATTCTAATTCAAATTCAAATTCAAAACCTATTCTGAAGATTAGTAAATGGATGAAAATTCCTGCTTTAAGTGAAGTTAGTGGAGCTGTTCTTCGAGCTAATGCTTTAAATAGTAATGATTTAAATCCTTTAATAAAGCAAGAAATTCAAGCCATGTTAATGGGAAATGATTATGGAGCTAGTACTTTTAATATTAGTAAAGATGATGTTTTAGATAAAGAATCATTTAATCAAGTATGTAATCTTTTAGTTACTGCATCATGGATTTTAACTTGGTTACCATCAATTAAACGAGAATCTAAATATGATGTTTATGAAAGTAGAGATGAAGAAGGAAGTTTAAATCTTTCAATTATTGAAAAATTAAGACATAATTGGTCATTTCTTGAAAATGGTAAAACTTTAATTAATGTTAGTGCTGGAAATGAAGATATAAATCAACAAAATATTTATTTAGCATTAACGCCTGATAAAATTGAAATATTTGATAAATTAATTCAAACTTTTGAATCAATAAGAGATCAAACTTTATTAGCTTTAAGATATGATTTAAGATGTAAATCAATTTATTATATTGGTAAATCATTTAGAGAAATTGATTGGATTCCAACTACTGAACCAGGAGATTCTGATAATTTTATTGCTGCATTAAATCAAGAAGTATTTAATATAGATAATAATTTAAGAAAACTTCTTAATGAAGAAGAAAGAGATAGTATATTTATTGGAATTCAACAATTTTTAAATTCTCTTATTATTCAAGGTTCAACATTAGTTAAAAAGATTAATAGTAATGGTATAAAGAGAATTTTATTAAATATTTATACATTTCATCAAATGTTAAGAAATCTTTTAAAAGATCTGGAATCAATTGATTTCTCTCCATGTTCAAATTATTTTGATTTATTTATTGTTAATGAATTTGATTTAATTAATAGTATTAAAGCTAAAACAAATTTATATACTATTGAAGAGTATAAAAATTTAGCCCGATTAATTTATAGTGAGAAATTAGCTGATGGTAATGGAACTCAATTTAATAAAACCAAATATGCTGATTTGATTAAAAAGATTGAAGAAGCCATGAAAAGTTAGAGTTAAGAAAAAGAAGATTTAAGAAAAAGATTTAAGAAAAAGTTAAAGATTTAAAAATCGGAATTTATTAAAAAGGAAACCTCCAGGGTAATATAATATTTCTATATACACATCATTAATATACATTAAAATTACATAGTAATCCTTACCAGTAATAGTCTAAATTTACATAGTAATCTTTACCAGTAATACTCTAAATTTACATAGTACTTTCTCTAAATTTAGCAATGTCTAGTAAATCCACCTGGCCTGAGATGATGTTTACTTGATAATTTTTCAAAGAAAAATCTTCCTATACCTGAACCTAAAACAACAGCAAAGAAATATGTTAAAGTATAAGTCATAGCTGCTAACATTAATCCATAACCAAAAAGATCAGGAAGTATACATAATACTAATCTTATAATATTTCTAAAGGCTCTAGATGCTAATGGTAAAGTATTAATTTTATAAGATCCTCTTTCAGATTCAACAAATTCCACATCCACATCAACTCCTAATGAATCAGATTTATCTATACTATTATCATGAGAAGTTTCTGAATCAGCTCTATGAAAATGAGGAATCTTTGGTTGTTGTTCAAATGCACTACTATAATTGGGATTTTTCCATACTTTTTCTTCAAGATATAATCTAATAAATTCTAATCCTCTTGCAAGAAATGCTACTGTAAATAATAAAAGAAATATTCCAAATGCTTGTCCAGCATTATTGGCCATTAATCCTTTAAATAATACAGGATATTCTTTATATTGCGTAGTAAAGAACATATGCATATCGGCCATTCCATCCATATGCATACTACTCATTCCTGTCTCAGTAGATCCCATCATCATACCAGAACTTGTACTTGACGGCATCATACTAGTAGATGAGCCCATATCCATGCCTGCCATATCCATGGCCATATGACGACGTTGCATTATTATTAGTATTAGAATAGAAAAGAATTAGTAAATTAACGAATGTATAATATAACAATACTAATACTACTACTACTAATAATAATAATACTAATAATATTAATACAACTACTAATAACACTCAGTTCATAATCGTCTGAGGATACTTCCTTTATATATGGGTTTAGGGTTTTGGGGCCATAATTAATGAGCAAATAACGATTGCTGAAAAAAGACTAGTTGCGCAAAATACCCTTTCCTATTTGGGAAAGTCTTTACCTCACCCTCTGCGATATCGCACTATTCAGGGAGACATTTTTCAGCCCTATATAAGAGCAAATATCTAGCAGTACATAAGAGAATGTGAGAGCAAATACTGTCACTTAAAGAGTTAATAGTTACCGTCAAATACGTAACGAGTATGAATGTTAATAATGAATATTAATAAATAATAAATAATAATAATAATAATAATAATAATAAATAATAATTAATTAATTAATTATATCTCTGTAACTAACTACTCTATAAACTCTGTCACTTGTTATCTCGCTTCTTTACTCTCAACAAATGGACATCTTCCTTGTGGTTGTGAAGTTAAAACATGATTATCTAACCAATCACTAGCAGTTTGACGAATTCCACAGGCCATACAAGTACCTTGTAATGGTAATTTATCGGTTAAAGTATTGGAAGTTTTACCCTTTGGATCATCAAATTTAAAATGAATATGCAATAAATGCTTTTTATAATCATATGGTCGATTAAAATATTGAGTTTTATGTTTACACATATGTTTAGGATAAACACATTGAAATCTTCCAACTGCATTATGAATTCTCATATGTCTAATTAGGTCTCGACTAATAAATTTATTACAAACTGGACATATAGCACTCTTGGGAGTTTTCTTCTTTTTTGGTTTATCTTTCTTTTCTGATTTATCATTAGATTCAATATTATCTTTACTGGATGATGTAGATCCTGAACTACTAACACTTTGTCCAGAATTTGTTCTATCCATTGTTGAACGTTCTAATCCTTCTTCTGGTACTAAATATATATTTTCATCTTCACTTTCTGATCCTGAACTTTCTTCTTCGGATGATTTATCAATTTTACTATTATTATATTCAACAATATTATTTGAATTATGATTAATTTTATTAATAGAACTAGAATCAATTGAACTTGAAAGTGTTAAAGATGGTCCTATTAATGAAGATGAAATTATATTTTTAGATTCATCATTTATAGATTGATTGACAAAATGACCTTCTCCAACATTACCCTTTGTTATTGAATTCAAATCTTTTGCTTTTGGAGTTTCTATATATTGATTAAACAGTTTATTAATACCATCAAATGAATTATCATTATATATTATTTGTGGTGAATTTAATTTATTATCATCACTGTGATTTAAAGGATTTAATTCAAAATAACTATTCCCTCCTGGAGGCATCATTGAAGGTGTTACAAGTGGCTGACTAGATCCAAAGATTTGAATTTCATCAAGATCTTTCTCACCAAATTTCAAATCTTCCTTATTATCAAGAGATGTATCATTAAACCCAGTAAATATTGGATTAGAAATATTGAATGTAGGTAAATTATCGAAATTGTAAACCCCTGAATCCGATTGAGAAGATGTTACTTGTTGACTCTTAAACATATTATCATTTCGTAGACTATCTAATTTTAATGTAAAAGAAGGTTTTATCTTTGTTTTTCTTGTTCTAGGTCGAGGATTCTTGACTGTAGATACTTTATTAGTAGATGAAGACTGAGAAATTGGAATCCCAGAACTTTCTTTAGTTTTACTCTCGTTATTCATCTTGGGAATTTCAATACCTGATAAGTATTTCTCCCACATTTCATCATTAGTTAGTAGGTCTACCGGGATATCTGGATTTAGATTGGAACTAGCTTGGGTAGTACTATTTGTTATTGGTCTTGTAATACCTGAAGAATAATTAGGCATTGAATTCTGCCGTATTGTAGGAGGTTTAAATGCTTTGGTCTTGTTTGGTATATGTGAAGGAAGTTGTGCTAATTGACTACTGCTTAATTTTCTTTTAACATTTCCTTCTTGTATTTGTTGATGTTGTCCACCCAAGTTCAAGATCAGGTTATGTTGTTGAAACTGATGTTGAGGGTATATTATATGGTCTGGAGGAATTTGTGGACTAGATATTTGTTGTTGTTGCTGTTGATGTAACATTTGTATGGGTTGTTGAAGATGAAATTCTGGTTCTACAACGTTACTGTATTGCTGACGATGCTGTAGTAGTTGAGAGTTATCGAACCCATTTCCATTATTATTAGTATTATCATTATTATTGGTATTCCCATCTTGATAGTAAGGATAGTCAATCTTCGAAGAAGGTACCGAAAGGGAAGCTTCTTGGGAAAAGTAATCATATTCATCTGAATTTGCATGAGTAATGAATTGCTGAGTATGATATAAGTTTGAATTCTGTTGCATTAATAACTCATTTTGTCGATAATAATTCTGAGAAGTGATGGCTGGTTGGTTATGAGATTGAGATTGAGATAATGGTTGAGATTGTTGCGATAAGTATTCAGGTTGTCCATTCAGGGAGATAACAATAGATGTTGAAGGAGAATTAGTAAATGAAGGGGTTGAGTTTGTAGCTGATATATTATTATAATGTTGAAATAAGCCTGTATTTGGTTGATTTACATTATTAGAATTATTTGAAATATTATTATTATTATTGTTATAGGTATTATCTCCTAACCCAGTCTTATGCATAACCCCTTGAAACTGATTAGAATGATTGGTCCCTCCACCATTAGTCATTTCTGCTAACACATATATACACACAAATTAGTTACTTAGAAATTATTAACTGCTGTATGGTAATCAGTAATAATGATCGGGATTAAAAATGTCGTTAAATAGCAATTATTCGATTTTAAAATTTAAATTATCCGCTAGAAAATTTTTTGTATAAGCTAATAAAATAATTATTATGGCTATGTATGGTGATAAAAATATCCTTATGTTTTAGTGAGCGTGAGGTATGGAAGTTTATTTATTGACAGCTTTTTTGTGCCACTTGTCGTAAATTTAGTCCGAAAAGATTATCTCGTCTTGTGTTTGGTTGCAAATAATGCGTAATGCGTAATGCGTAATTGCTATTTTGGTTTAAATCATCTAGTTCAATCTTTTACTGAGAGTATTTTACCCTTTGAGAAAGTCTTAGAAAGATTGGATTGAAATATTTATACTTTTTGAAAGTTTTCAGTAAAGGACATACTACTACTGAATACTCCTCCTATATCAATATATAACTGTTGTCACATTTATTATGCATCTTGTAGTATATACCATCGGTGTCATCAGAGTGTTTTGGAACTCCCTGGAATTCTCAAAGATTCGAGTATAGGATACTAAATAGTTGTTATTGTTTCTCTACAGGAGGACGTTTATATACAAAACTTATATGTTCCTTCAAGCTTTAACACGGTTCATCTAGACTATGAAATCAATTAAACTGCCCAAATGTTGTACTATTTCTAAGAATAAGCAACTAATAAGCAAAGCAAAGACATTTTCAATAACATTCTTAGCTTAAACAGAATTAATATGTTTTTCAAGACATACTTCACAGCTTCGCTCATTTTTCGCCATGCTTATATAGATGAAGCTTCAAACATAAAATTCAAAAAAACACTTGACGAATATCTTTTGCTGGGGTCTACTAAGAGTTAATCAAATCAAGAACATTCTTTATTTCTTCATATACACACACCCTTAAACTCAGGCCATCCAATAATTTTCCGAGAATTAAATCATTTAACTACACAATGAAACATTTTTCTGGGGTAAATCATGGAAAAATTGCGAGAAATTCCCCGTATGGAAATGGTTCCTGGGTTAATGAACCTAACTTATGGGTAAGAGGAGATATATCATGAACTATTTCCAAGAAAAAGTGACCATCTAAGAGGGTTATTTAGTAGTTTTCGCAAAAATTCTCGGTGTATATTGCAATATTTAAATTTGAGGATTTACCTGAGATTGCAAAATTTAAGCAACTACCTACCGCAAGAAAGTTTTACAAGGAGTATAATGTCACCAACAAAAGTTGATGAAAATATAACAGTGAAGGATCCAAGGGATTTAGAATCCAGGTTTGTAGATATCAAGAAAAGGTTAATAAAACCTGAAAATATTGACAAGGTAACTGCTAGCTGGAAAAGATTATTAGCTGCAATTGAAATTGAAGCCGATACAATAGCCAAAGCAGGTCCTTCATATGTTCCTACAACCACATTTGAAGAGATCGTAGCCAATAATTTCAATTTACCATCTGAAATTGCTCTTAAATTTAAGGAAAGAGGTGTAATTATGATCAAGAATGTTGTTGATAGACATCAAATTGATCTTTGGTATGAAGAATTAGTTTCATTTTGTAAGGAACATCCAGAAACGGCTGGTTATACATTCCCTAATCCCACTTCATGGTATAATGTGTTCTGGACAAAACCCCAAACTGAAGCAAGATGCCACCCTAATGTTCAGAAGTTGCTTAGTGCCATGTCAAAACAATTCTACGTTAAGGATGATACATTACCCATTGACTTGGAAAGTCAAGTAGTATACGGCGACAGAATAAGAATTCGGGAACCAGGAAAGGCTGCCACGTTACCATTGCACTTAGATTCAAGTTCAATTGAGAGATGGGAAGATGAAAATTATAGTAAGGTCTATCAAGAGATATTTGAAGGTAATTGGGAAGACTGGGATCCTTATAAATTAGATATAAGAGCCAATGCCATTGAAAATCTATATGAACATATAGAAACAGGGAAATCAACGATTTGTTCAGCTTTCCGAACATTACAAGGATGGTTAGCCTTGAGTGATAATAAATCAGGCGAGGGGACATTAAGAGTTCTTCCAAATGTTAAATTATCAATGGCATATATAATGTTGAGACCATTCTTTTGGCAAGATATATCCAATGATGAAGATTGGCAGATTGATTTAGATACTCCAAAATTCCCAGGAGCAGATCCTGGTACCGGTCAACTCTTCTTACCAGATGAGTTCTTTTCTCATTTAAGGCAAGAGAAGGAAGTCATTAGTATTCCTGATGTTAGTAAAGGATCATTTGTATTTTGGCATGCAGATATTCCACATGAAGTTGATAGGCAACATAATGGAGATGGTCATTCAAGTGTATTCTATTATGCATTAACTCCATTGTCTTTGATAAATATTAATGTATTACTAAATACTAGACATGCGTTCCTACATAACAAATCACCTAAAGACTACAGTTCTCAATTGAGCGAAGAAGAAAGGGCTCGTGAATACCATGGAGCCGATGTGAATAATGTCAATAATGAATCTGGATTGATATCTATGGGATTGAAACTGTTCGATACCAAAGATCCAAATTTAAGCAGTGGTCAAGTTAAAATCAGACAGCTTGCTAATCAAGCACTTTCCGATAATAAATTTGATGCTCATCACTATATAAATGAATATGTCAAGTTCTAATAATCTATTTTATTAAGCGTTAAAACATAAAAAAAATTTCAATATTATCATTAGCAAAAGCACATCTTTGATCCTATTAAGAAATGCTAAACAAGTCCTATATAATAAATAAAATACGAAAACAATCGATGTCAGAATAATAAAACTTAATGAAACAGTAGAATCATATTCTACCAACACTTTCACTATCTATATTTTTCTTGTCTTGGATACTTTTTTGGTTAGTCAACACATATTTTTGTTCATAAAGCGATAGATAAATTTGTAGAAGTGAAATAAAAATATTCATTATAACATTAAATTAGGGCTCAATCCCCATTAAAAACTCCCCTCAAGCCAAAGAGATAGCATAGTCTTCATCGACTACATATTTTTCCCAATCATTTTGGAATCCCAAATATAATCCTGGTTTAGCAACAGATCCATTATCTTCAATAGATTTTCTGACGTATCCAAAACTATTTTCATCACTATGATCTAAATCTCTTCTCTTCCAAATATCCATAATGATTTTTCTGGTTCTTCCAATATTACCCAAAGTATTAGATTCTAATAAATCTAAAATTTGTAAAGTTAAATATCTTAATTCTTCTGATTCTTCACCAAGAGAACTTATTTCTGAAGATGCAATAAATACAGACCAGATTAAAGTAGAATACCATTTGAAATCATTTTTGATGACAATAAATTCCAATAAAGTAAATATTTGCCTCACCAATCTTTGAATCAATTCATCTTCTGGACCTTTATTTAAGAGACAACTCTCCAAATAAATAATGGTAGCTAATCTCTTGATCTCACAAGATAATAAGAAACAAAATTCTTCAACTTCCATTTCAGATTCAATTAAACACATTTCAGCTTCATGTGGAGTAGCAGGTTCAGTTGATATTGAACTTGATTTAGAATATGACGATTTATCAAATAAGAGTGAATCCATCATATTAAGACTCATATTATCTAATCTTTGACGCATATCTTGACATAACAATAAATAATTAATTTCAGACATATGGGCATTATACCTTTCAAAGGATAAATCAGTTATATCTGAAATAACTTGCATTAATCTCTTATCACATCCCATCCAAGATACTAAAGTTATATGTTCTATTGGTTTTTCTTCTAATATATTTGGAGATTCTGAATTTTTAATTATTTGATTTGAAAATTCAACTTCAGGAGAATGTTCTTTCTCTGCTTCTTCTTCAAAAGCTAAGAAAAATGAATTTTCATCTTTACAAGCAGTTCTACCAATTGATTCTTGATAATCTAAAAATTCTAATGCGAATTTTAAAAGGGAATATTCAAGAGAATCCTTTGGTAAATTAAATTTAGTAGAATGTAAGATTTTCTTACACATCTTTAAATATACTGTCCATTGAGGATTACAATCATTAGCTAATTCATAAAGGATAAGTAATGTCAAAGAAAGTAAAACATCAGTTTTAAAGATTTTTTCAGGAATTTTAGGAGAATCTTCATGAAGGAATAAATTATCTAAATCATGCTTTATTTTATTTATACCTAATTCTTGAAATATTTTTGATTTACCAAACCAATCTTGTTCAATATTACTTCCATTTAATTTTGATAAATAAATTGAACCAAGAGATAATATTAAATAAAAAAGGTTATTATTATTTTGAGAATATTGAACCAATGATGATAAATCAAGACCCTTTTGAACCATAATATATTTATTGGAACTTTTTGAAGTTAAATTAAAATATTTTGTTTGATTTCCAACTGGATTTAAGATTGGAGAAATAAAGTTAATGTAATAAGTTAAAGCAAAATTTAAACTTGAAGGATCTTCACTAATTAAATTAGAATTAAGAATATCAACAGGAATAATTGATGATTGTAAAGAACATGTCAATCTATAAGTTGCATAATAATTCTTATTTCTAACAAGATCTTGATAAAAGAAATTAATAAATTTTAACCGATTTATATTTTTAATATTCTTATAATAAGATGATTTTGATTTTAATATTAAATCAGTTGATGATTGAGCATTATTAGCATTTTCCTTTTGTTTAAACCAAACTCCTTCTCTACCGAATTTTTTACCTTGATGTTCAAGATCTTCTCTAAATTTAAGAATAATTTTATAGTTACATTTTATACCTCTTGATTTACATCTTGAACATCTTGGTTTTGTTTCATCACATTTAATTCTTTTTGATTTACATTCTTCACAACCAAATCTTGATCTTGAAGATTTTTCATTAGTTGTTGAAGATCCAAGTATTGACTTCTTTCTCTTACTAGATGTACCAGGTTCAGCTTTAGGAGTGATTTTAGGTTTACGTTTAGAAGTTTCCTTTTTAGCTTTTCTTGGCAGGGTAGACTTACGAGATTGAATTTCGGGTTGAGGTTGAGGTTGAGGTTGAGATTCAGGTATCACAGAAGATGGTAAGGAGACAGGAGCAGGAGGTAAGGGTAAGTTAAAGTTAAAATTTTCATTTGCAATAGCATTAAGATTATCATTATCATTATCATTATTATAGTGGAGTTGAGCCGTTTGTAGTAATAATTGTTCTTCTTCAGGAGTTAGATGAAGACCATTAGGAGATGGAACTGAAAATATACTGTTTGCACTAGTATCACTAGTGGTTGAATAAGGTGATAAATGAGGATAATAAAAACTTGATAATGGTGAACCTATACTCTCAGGAGTTATATTTGATGAACGAGAATCCATCTTTTTGTTCGAGGTATTATTTTGTTGGGGAGTAGGAGGAATCGTCGTGGTAGTAGTTATAAAAATAGATATAGAAATAGTTAACTAGTAAGGCACAGAACTATAGTTATAATAAAGTACCACAATTTAACCTTATAAGATAGTCATAAATATCAGCAAATAAGATAGTATAACCAGAAATAAATCTTAGCCGTGATAGTTGGAACTGGTTAGTAATTAGAGGGAAAAAAATCTAGACACAGTGACAAAAAAATAAAAGTGGAGAGCTTCTGTGAGAGATTTTCACAATTTGGTGCTGTGAGGTACCCCAAATTTTATTAACATGGGTCAGATATTCGAGTAAGCAATAAAAAGGCTTTTTATTTATTTATTATATTTATTTATTTATTTATTTATTTCTTTAATTTACGGAGTTTATGGATAGTGGTTATAATGATCAAGGATTATCTTAGATCTAAATATAGGGCTTAGAAATAGTTTGAATACACTTACAAATATAATATGAAGTTGTGTTTTTCGATTCAGTTAAGGTGACCTAGACCTTTACAAATGTATGCCGAATGGTCGAACGGATTAATTAACTCTTATTAAAGTTAAAAAGTGAAAGTGAAAGTAAAATTAAAAGTAAAAGTAAAACTAAAATAAAAAGACTCTGACAATACTTTGCAATATACGATATTGTGACAGTTTGATTTTGGTTATGAATATACTAATGCAAATATCGTGAATTGTGCCATCTGGTGGATTAATTTATGATTGGTCACCAGAGGCCAGAATGCAGTAATCAGAACATATTTTGTGTGGATAAGCGTGCGACGCCCTTTAGGGATAATGCGTGTTACGGGGAATGTGGAGAAAATCATTCTTATAGCATATTTTCTGGTGGCTTCTCACCGCTATTCAATGAGGGGTAGAAAGTGGGGGAACTAAAGGATCTCGGAAAATTATTTCCGGTACAAAACTTCAACGCAAACCATTTACTTTACTTTCAACTTTTTAACTATGAATTAAGGGATCATTTCCTCTTTCGTAATTGTTGCAACTTTAACCTATTTAGTTCAAACTTTACATTATTAAAATTTTTTTTATTCACAAAATTATATATATACATGTCTATAAAATCTCTTGCCAATCATTCTTGATTCAGTTCAACACTATCAGAACCAATAACAGTATTTTCCTTACTCTCAACTTTCTTCTTATCTTCTAAATCAATTATTTCATCATCTTCACTATGACCTTCAACAGTATCATTCTTTTCTTTCCCTTCTTCTTCATCCTTATTTTCAACACGTCCACTAACTTTTGGTAATTTTTGATTAGTGACAAAAAAACTTGAAACTGTACCAATTACAGAAAGTCCAATACAGAAATAGAACACATTTTTAATGGCATGCATTATCTGTTGTTTAACAAATAATTGTGCTTCTGGACTTAAAGCAGCAATGAATGAACTATCAGAAACAAGTCTATTAATATCCATTCCCGCCAACTCTTGTATTATACTAGCATCTCCTGGTTTAGGATTAGAAAATGATGATGTAAATGCATTCTTTAAGGATACAGAATAGATTACATTCCCTAAAGCTGTACCAACTGCACTTCCAATTGATCTACAAAAGGCGACAAATGTTGTAACCATAATCGTACTTCCAGGAGTTTTAGGAGCCTTTACTTGTGCTGCTAAAATAGAAGGTTGAATCTGAAATCCAGTAGCAGCTCCAATCACAATTGATATACCAATTTGCTTTCCTGTATGACGATCTAAATTATAAAGCAATAATAATCCAGCACCAAGAGGTGCCAATAACCCCGAAATAATATTAAATGGTTTTATGTACCTAAACTTTTGAACTGACATACCGGCAGTAACAGAACAAATAACAACTGATACACTCAAGGGCAACAACCAAATACCAGTATGAAGAGCTGTATATCCAAGAATAACTTGATAATAAATGGAAATATATACCATAGAGGTCATTGAAAAAGAAAAGACTCCAGTAATAGCAAGCACAGCAGCCATAATTTGGGGAATCTTGATGATTTCATTAGCAAAAAGTTGATTTTTTGAGAAGAACCAATTCCAAATTACAAAGATAACCAAAATTCCACCACCTAGAATAAATGTTACTATGACAGCAGCAGAGTTCCAACTGTAATTGTCAGCTCCAAAAGTAAGGGCCAATAAAAGAATTATCCACCCAGCAACTAATAAAAATGATCCAAAATAATCAAATCTTTTCAATTCTTCTTTCATATTAACTTTTGGTCTAGGTGGATTGAAAGCCCAAACCAAAAAGGCAAATGCAACAGCACCAATTGGTAAATTAATATAAAAACACCACCTCCAACTAACTTTTGAAGTAAATGAACCACCAACTAATGGACCCAAAACACTGGCAAATGCAAATACACAACTTAAAATAGCCATCCCCATAGGACGTCTTTCAATTGGGACAACTTCACTAATAATTACAAAAGAAAGACCTTGAATACCAGAAGCACCAACACCAGCCACTACTCTACCACCGATAAGAGTATTCATGTTTGGAGCAACTCCTGAAATTAAAGATCCTAATTCAAAAATTACAATAGCTACAAGCATACTATATTTTCTACCAAATATTATTGATATTTTACCAAACATTTGCATGAATGCCCCCAATGTTAACATAAACCCCGATACCAACCAACTAATTTCTCCGAATGCATTAAATTTATTTCCTACTGTAGTCAATACAGTAGCCACAATAGTTTGATCTAATGCAGTGATAAACATACAAAGAAAAATAGCACCAAAGCATGCAAATAGATGGGCACCATGTAAATATTGGTCTTCTCTTTTAGTACCATCCCCAGCATCACTTTCAATAAATCTCTTAGTATTATTGTCTTTTTCCTGCTCAGACATTTTAATTTAATTAATTTAATTATTTTTCTATGTAATAATTTTCGAAGCTATCAGATTGCAAAATATTTAATCGAAGGGTATTTACCCTACTATATATAATTCTATGGGCGCATAGTGCTTATTTTGGTACCAAAATTTTGACGTATTTACATAACAGATGGCGAAAAATGCGACTACTCCCGTATAATCACCGAGCATCTTTCCTAATTGAGAACTCCGTTTTCCGTTCTGCAGGGCGTAATAAATACCGTTCGGATCGTGTTGGGCTGATCGGAATAACTAGTTTCTAACTGCATTGGATTACTAACTCAAAAATTACGATAGCCTAAATGATTTTCAATGCGTCCTATTTATGGATTAGGAAAACTTCGGATCCGCATTATTGGGTGGTGGCGACTCAGAAGATATTGGCTCAATTTGGTCACTATTGCGATCTTCGTATTCGTCTGCATCTTTATTTTCGCCGTCTGTAGACAGCTCTGCAACATGTTTGCTTTGGTCCTCTTTTTCCTCACTCGCAACTCGTCTACCACTAATCTTTGGTAGTTTCTTATTTGTAATAAATATACATGAAATTGAAGTTATACATGCAAAACCAATACTTGTATAGAAAACGTTTCTGAGTGCTTTCATTATTTGTGTTTTTACAAAAAATTGAGCTTCTGGTGATAGTTGCTGAAGAACTTCATTATTTGAAATAAGCAGTGACATGTCTAGACCATGTAATTGCTGAAGGATTTCTGGATTTCTTTCATTTTGTATTGCCTTAGAAAATATATTTCTTAATGATGTAGTATATACAGCATCACCTAAATCACATCCAAGTGCTGCTGTTATACATCTTCCAAAGTTTAATATAGTAGTTACCATAATAGTGCTACCAGGTGACTTTGGAGCACTTATTTGACCAGAAATAATTGCTGGTTGCATTTGAAGACCAACAGCAACTCCATTTAAAATTAATAATCCTACTTGATGAGAAAAATTCGAATCAACTTCCAATAAGGTTAAAAGACCTGTTCCAATTGGAGCAAGAAATCCAGCAATTATAGCAAAAGGCTTCACATAATGAAATTTTTGAATCATGACAGCAGAGAATATACTTGATAAAACAACAGGTATAATCATTGGTAAGATATGTAACCCTGAACTCATGGCACTTACCCCACGAATAACTTGAAAATAAATTGCTACAAATATAATATTGGTAATGAAGAATCCAAAAGTACTACTAATAGTGATAACTGAGGCTATAATTTGGGGTGTTTTTATTATTTCAGTTGGGAAGATTTGATCTTTGGATAAATAAATGTTCCAGAAACCAAATACAAGTAACAGCAATCCACCCAATACAAAGCATAATATTACAGCAGCAGAATTCCAAGTATAATTATTACCTCCAAAAGTTAGAGCTAAAAGGAACACTACACATCCAGCAATCAATAACAAATTACCAATGTAATCAAATTTTTTTAATTCTTGCCTTACATTAACTTTTGGCCTTGGTGGATTGAAAGCCCAAAGAAGAAAAGCAAGAGCTAATCCTCCAATTGGTAAATTAATGAAAAAAGCCCATCTCCATGTTACATGAGTTGTGAAAGCACCACCAATTAAAGGACCTAATACTGATGCCACAGCAAATACACAACTTATAATAGCCATTCCAATAGGTCTTTTCTCAATAGGAACTATTTCACTAATGATAACAAATGATAGACTTTGAATACCTGCAGCCCCAACTCCAGCGAGAACTCTACCACCTATTAAGACATTCATAGAATTTGAAAGTGCACACATTAATGAACCTCCTTCAAATATAATAATTGAAACACACATAGTATATTTTCTTCCGAATATTATGGAAAGTTTACCAAAGGGTTGAATGAATACAGCTGAAGTTAATAAAAATCCAGAAGATAACCAACCAATCTTATCAAAACTATCAAATTTATTCCCCACTGTAGTTAATATAGTTGCTATAATAGTTTGATCTAAGGCAGCTAGGAACATACATAAAAATATAGCAATAAAGCATGCTATTAAATGAAATCCATGTAAATACTGCTCTTCTCGAAGTGTACCATCACCGGCATCGCTCTCTATAAATCGCTTATGATGTTGTTGATTTTCTTGATCTGGTGTTGGATCAGACATTTTGAATTGAATATAATTGTGAAATGCCTTATGAGTTACTAATCGACATAAATAGCTTTGAAGTAGAGTTTATAAAATAGAAGGCTATATAATGACTTAAATATTATTATTCCAGATACTTAAGAATTACGAAACGAAAAATAGCCTGTTCTGATCTCCGTCCTAATTCCGCATTTGCATGATACTTTGTAAATTTACTTTTACTTTTTGCTGTCGTTTAACTCCTAAATCCAATAGCATTTGATTCCATTAGTTATGGGGTCAAAATGGGGTACTTATAAAAATACTATTGCAAGTAACTAGTTTACCCAAGACGGCTTTCCCCATACATCTGCAAAATTTCACTGCTTTATACGGCTGAACGGTTGCAGATTATCATTTTTACACAAAACCATACCGTACGAAAAGAGATAGGCCGAAGGATTTATTTTTACTTACAACCGAATATTCAGTTAATTTATTATTATTATTATTATTATTATATTTATATTTATATTAATCCAAAATCTATTAATTACAGGTATTAAAATTCTATGTGCACAACTATTAAAAAAGTATATCTATTTTCTAGTATTCTTATCATCCGATAATGAACCACCTTCACTTAATTCTTGGGTACTCTCCAAGTCAGCTTGAGGCTTTTCTTTCTCATTCTCTTCATCTTCAATTGATTTAGTTTCTGCTTCCTGAGCAGGGGCTTTTACTTGAGCATCTGGTAACTTTTTATTGGTACCAAAAAGACAAGCAACAGTGGTAATGCAAGCAAATCCAATGCACATGTAAAAGACATTTCTGATAGCTTCCATAATTTGAGTCTTAACAAAATATTGTGCAGCTGGACTTAACTGTTCAAGGATCGCATTATTCGAAACTAATGAATCAAGATTTACTCCACTTAATTCTTGTAATATTTCTTGATTGGTTTCATTTGCAATAGCCTTTCTAAAAAGGGTTCTTAAGGAAGATGAATAAACTGCATCACCGAGATCGGCACCAATTGCAGAAGCAATGGATCTTGAAAAGTTAAAGAAAGTAGTAACCATAATAGTACTACCAGCAGTTTTTGGGGCACTAATTTGAGATGACATTACTGCTGGTTGAATTTGCATACCAGTAGCAACACCACCAATAATCAACAAACCAACTTGTTGGGAAAATGATGAATCAACTTCTAATAAACATAAAAGACCTGCTCCAATTGGAGCTAAAACACCAGCAATAACTGCATAGGGCTTAACAAATTTTAATTTTTGAATCAAAACACCAGTGGCAATTGAACTAATGACAACACCAACAATAACAGGTAAGATATGTAACCCAGAACTCATAGCACTAGCACCATGAATGACTTGAAAGTAAATGGAGAGATAAATAATTGAGGTAATAAAAAATGCAAAAGTTCCACTCATAGCAATAACAGAAGCAAGAATTTGAGGAACTTTAGTAATTTCATTTGGAAATACTGGATTTTTGGAAAAATAAATATTCCAAATAACAAATGCAAAAAATGTTAAACCACCTAAAACAAAACATAAAATAACAGGAGCAGAGTCCCAAGCATAATTATTACCTCCAAAAGTTAAAGCCAATAAAAATACAACACACCCAGCAATTAACAAAAAGGTTCCAAAGTAATCAAATTTCTTCAACTCTTCTTTAACGTTTATTGTTGGTCTAGGTGGATTAAATGCCCAAGCTAAGAAAACAGCAGCAATACCCCCAATTGGTAAGTTAATATAGAAAGCCCATCTCCAAGAAACATGAGAAGTGAAAGCACCACCAATCAAAGGTCCAAGGACAGAGGCAAATGCAAAAACTGTACTAATAACAGCCATAGCAATAGGACGTTTATCTATTGGAACAACTTCACTAATGATAACAAAAGATAAACCTTGAATACCAGCAGCTCCGATACCACCCAAAACTCTACCACCAATTAAAACATTCATATTGGGGGCAAGAGCAGCCATTAATGAACCTGCTTCAAAAATAACTACTGCTACAATCATGGTATATTTTCTACCAAAAATAATTGATAATTTACCAAATGTTTGAATGAAAATGGCCATAGTTAAGAGGAAACCAGATGATAACCAACCAACTTTATCAAATGCATCGAACTTATTTCCAACAGTAGTTAAGATTGTAGTAACAATAGTTTGATCTAATGCTGCTAAGAACATACAAAGAAAGATAGCTGTAAAACATGCGTATAAATGAAATCCGTGTAAATACTGATCTTCTCTTTTAGTACCATCACCAGCATCACTTTCAATAAATTTCTTTGGTGCTATTTGATTTTCTTGATCTGGCTGATTAGACATTATGAAATATGTTTATTCTATATTGTTGCTTGAGAATCAAGTATAGCAATATGACTCATTTAATCTTGTTCGAAGGGTTGGATTTGCTAGTTTATTTATATCGGAAATTTTGCATTTTGGATATCACACAAAACCATTAAAGTTATATAGCGAGAAAATTAATTCCGTAATCGCCGTCTCGCTAAAATAGAAGTTTGTAAGCATTCAATGACTGAGTTTCATAATTTAAACATAGCAGGTCAACGGTGTTGATATGTAACTTAAAGACTTCAATCATTCTTCTTAAGATCAATGAAGTTGTAGTTGAAGGAATTAAAAAACAGCAGAATCTGATACTGTTTCACCGGTATGAGCACTGTACATAGCCCAATAGTATGATAGTAACCGTTTCTCATTCGTCAAAAAAAGTATCTCCGCAATAGATGCCTTTTCCGATCGATTAATCAGATTGATCATCTAATTGTCAAATCAAATATTGCTAGAAGATAGTTTGATGATGGAGCATATGCCTTTGGCCCTTACACAACCTGCATCCAGGTGGGCGGCTTTACGTGTAACAGCCGTAACTCTTAAGAGCATATTTCCTAATTGAGATTTATTCGCGGAAAATCATCGCGGTGATTATGGAGATAATGTACGTCAAATATTATAAAACCCGACTAATTTTAGACATGCTTCTTTAGGAGCTATTTACGATTTATGTATAGCAACGAAGGCAATATTTTTTTATACGGACAGATGTTTTAGGAATATATAAAAATTTTAACTACTAGAACAAACTACACTTCTAATGGGAAATGGTGCCATCTCTCAATAAATCTACCGTAGAACTTCAACAAGTTTCTTTCACCAGCAGCAGATAAACCTAAAAGTTGACCCTTAGTATCGTTCCAATCATGAAATTGGATTTTTTCCCATTCCTTTAACTTTTTAGCCTTCGTTAATTCTAACTGATCTAAAGTTGGGGAATTTAACAATTCAGGGTCCAATTCGCACTCATTACTAGGATTACAGAAATAAATAATGATCAATCTGTTGAATCCAACTTGGTCTAAAGGCGGCTGAACAACTCTGTGAAGACAAGCCTTAAAATGACCACCAGAAATAAACTCAAGTGAATCACCGATATTAACAATAAGTGAGTTGGGTCTATGATTGACATATCTCCAATTACCACTATATACATCTTTCACCTGTAAACTTAAGATAGGTTGAGAAGTAATAAATGTCAAAGCACTAATATCCAGATGCCCTCTTAAATATGTATTATCAGTTTGTTTCAAGTTGGCTTCATCTTCATAAGGTTGATAAAGCATCAACCTTCCATGACTGCCAGATGTATCTTTATTTGTCCCAGAATTTGGGAAATAGTTCTTTAATAAGCTTCCTTCAGGAACTTTCAAGATAATATCGCACAATCTTAAAAGCTGTGGCAAAACAACCCTATGTAAGTGATTGTAGTAATCAGCTACTTCCTTTAAATGAGCTTGAAGTAATTTTGGATGTCTCTCTGGATGGTTAATAAAATCATCATGATAAGTATCTCTTACGTTATAAAAGTCAATTGAATCTCTTACACCATTCTTAATTGACCAATAACCTTTGGGCTTGAATCCCTGACCCCTTTCTCCACCAATATTTCCAGGTTTCTCATCTTCTTTTGTTGCAGCACTAGCTAAGTATTTCAATTTTTCTTCATATGGTATTTGTAAAAGACTCTGACTTACCGATCTTAAATGATCAATTTGCTCATTATCAATCCCAAAATTAATAATATTGAAAAACCCATAAGTTGTGATTGACTTTTCTAAAAGATTTGCTAATTTTTGTCTATCTTTAAGTCCTTCGTCTCCTTCTTTAAATTGAGATAAATCTATAGCTGTTAATGTCAATGGATTGACATCTACGCTAGTAGGATTAGGGTCAACAAAGGGTCTAACGTTATACTTTTTGTCTATATCTACGACGTTCAACAGTGTCATATTTGTTAATATTACTCCTTACAATTTAAGATGGCAAAGGAATATAATATAAAATTTCCACAATTTTCAGTTTTCAATTTTAAATTTGCAATTGGCAATGATATTAAATATTGGAAAGTTAAAATCTGATAAAGACTACAGCAGTTAATTAACTTTGACCCGAATAACCAATCGGATTTGATATCTAATCCGCGGGACAGGTTATGACTAACATTTTATAAGATATTATTAGATATATTACAATACACATGTAATTAGTAATTATTTTCCGGCCCCTCAAAAACTGTGGTTCCATTCACGCATGTTTTTCGCAATTATCTTTATCAGCGCAATCGCTTATAATGGAAAGACACATTGAATTGAAAAATTATAATTGAATTGTAATTACTATTTAAATGGCCGCAAATAAACATGTGTAATATTGAATATGACAGGTAATTATACTCTACTACCAAATTCATCTGTTTCCAGAATGGTTACTTTACCTTGGTTTATACCGCAATATCGTGATGTAAAGGATGTGGAGAGCGCATCCTTAAATGAGACGGATGGTTTATTATCTAGTACTCAAAATAGTGTAGTTGAATTAAGTGAATTTCAAGAATCTGAAGATTTAAAACCACATAATTATCAAATTAAAGAATATCGAGATGAGGCCAATAGACCTTGGTGGAAATTCTTTGATGAATTCGAATATAGAATTACTTCAGATCAAACAACTAAAAAGGACTGGTGGAGATTTAGATGGTTTGATAATACGATGACTCCTGAAGAAAAGAAATTGTTGATTAAATTAGACTTGACTGTTGGTGTTTATGCTATATTAGGTTATTGGGTAAAATATTTGGATTCTGCTAATTTGAATAATGCCTATGTTAGTGGTTTGAAAGAAGATATTGGAATGAAAGGTAATGATTTAATTAATACTCAAGTAATTTTCCTTATTGGTAATATTATTTTTGAATTGCCCTGGATGTTCCTCCTACCAAGAGTTTCTTTGCCTTATTTTTTATTTGGAGCTGAAATCATTTGGTCATTATTTACATTGATTACATATAGAGTCACTTCAACTTCTCAATTACAAGCTTTTAGATTTATTGTTGGAGCTGCAGAAAGTCCTTTCTTTGTAATATTTCATTATTCTGCTGCTTCATGGTATAAGCCAACTGAAATAGGTTCCATTGGAGCAATCTTCTATTGTGGTCAATTCATTGGAGTATTGACAAGTGGGTTATTACAAGGTGCAGCTTCGACTATTAATGGATCTTTGAAAGGTTGGCAATATATGTTTATAATAGATGGAGTGATATCTTTTGCAGTTGCATTCGTTACTTTGTTTTTGCAACCAGGTACACCACAAAGATGCTATTCCATTTGGTTTACTGATGATGAAATTAGATTAGCTAGAAGTAGAATGAAGGCAAATGGTACTGATGTACATCATGATCCAAAGTCATTCTTTGACAAAGATACCTGGGGTAGAATACTCAAATCCTGGCATTTCTGGATTTTAAGTTTTTTGCAAATGTTTGGATTTAATACAAACAATACTTCGAGTGGTTCATTTGCATTATGGTTGAAGAGTTTGAACAGATATACAACTCAAGAGTTAAACAATTTAACGGCAGTTCCACCCGCTCTTGGATTGATTTGGATTATGATTGTTTGTGTAGGTGCAGATTTCACTGGTAAGAGATTTGGTATGGTCTTTTTCAGTTTTATTATGAATTTTATTTCCAACTTAATTTTGGCAATATGGAATGTGCCGGAAAGGACAAAATGGGTTGGATTTTATTTAAGTTACTGGTCTTGGAGTCAAAGTAGTGTTTTCAATCCCTTAATTAGTGATATTTTAAGAGCAGATAGCAATCAAAGAGCCATTGAATGGCAAGCGATTTATATTTTAGGTTTACAATCTAGTGCTTGGGTTAGTAGATTAGCTTTCCCAACAGTTGATGCTCCTCGATTCTTCGCTGGTTTCACGAGTTGTGCAGTTTTCAGTGTAGCCTTTAATATTTTATTAGTAGTTGCATACTTTTATTATAAAAGAGATGAAAGGAAATTAGCTTTGAAAAATGGTATCTACCTTTATAATAGTAAGACAGGATCAATTCCAGAACAAGCTAAATTAAAAGATTCTGATGATAATCCTTCAAAGCTTAACTATACAATTGCTGTCGATCTGTTAGAGGAATCTTCCAACTAATTTAAAACTTCGTATTAAAATCTATATAGTTTCCATTTATAAAGGAATCAATTAATATTAGAGCTTTGCCTTAGCTTCGAAAACTTGAGCTATCGTATCAACGACAATTTTATCTAAAGGTATAAAGTCGAATTTTAATAATTCTCTAGTCTTAGCATTTGATACACTAGCTAATGTAGTAATGTCTTTTGGACCAGATCCTGGAGTACCAACAGGTATTTTTGATTTAAGTTCTGGGAAATTTGAACTGATAATATCCAACATCATCTGGACACTAAAATGACCATTAGTCATAAAAAGTCTTTTTCCAATCAATTCATCCTTTTCAAGGGCATACAAGTGAGCTTTTGCAACATCTCTTACATCTATAAATCCACCTTTATCATTGTCAAAGTGACCATTAGGACCAATCTTGATTAAATTGTTAATTAATTCGTTTGAAACATTTAAAGTAGGCTTAACTTCATTAAGGAAGGCTTGTGGTCCAAAGACATAAACTGGATTCACAGTAACTAATTTGAAGTTTGGCTTCTTTTCATTGAGAAACTTCCAACTCAATTTTTCAGCAAATGCTTTAGCACCGTAATAGGCTGCTATCGGTTCTTTAACAGCATCTTCGTAACTTATATTATTCCAACTGGTTTCATCAAAGGAAAGGGATGAATTTTGTTCATCTGTAGCAGAATAGATGGCAGCATCAGATGATGTAATAACGACTTTTTCAGCATTGGGCTGATATTTGTAGATGGAGTTCAAAATATTTTCAGTTCCTCTAATAGCAGGAATGATTAAGTCTTTCTCAGGGTCGGAAGTATCATAAGTGAATGGAGAAGCAGTATGTAAGATGTACTTAATATCAGCATTAGACTTCAATGCATCATCGAAAGCTCCCTCATTAATTATATCAGGAACAATTTCATATTTAAAGTTAGGACTATTTAAATTAGCCTTTAATTTTTCACCTTTATCTTTTGATCTAACTGTACCTATAACAAAATAACCTTTCGAAACCAATAATTTAACAATATGTTGGGCAATGAAACCAGAAGCACCAGTAATGAACACTTTATCAACCATCTCAGTTTAATTGGTTTTAATTAGCAATTTACTTCAAATTTGAACTGAGCAAACCTATTCTTAATATACTTATACTTTGATATTTTCGATTAACGCAAAGAATTGCCTAATTAGGTTATCTCAAGTCAACACCGCGAAACATGACTCAATATGTAATTACGATACGCTGATCTGGTTTTGCAACAAGCGATGATTATCGTATCTACTGGAAGTTTAAAAGATTTAAATATTATTTACGGTGATCGAGCTTGATTTATTGGAGCACTAGTATACAAAGAGATTTAGTTTTAGGCTTCTACTACTTTGATGCAGGCACCAGCTGAGGCACAGATCTTCAAAACTTCAAAGGTCAAGCATAACATCCAAACATCGACTTATAATAAAGTACATTCGTATGCAATTTTTATGCAACTTAAGCAGTATTTTTCAGTCACATATAAAAGATAAATATGACAAGGCTTATGAATAAACTTCTTGACGATCTAACATAGTTAGCATCTTCAAGCTAATCGCGATAAAAGGGAAATTCATAACAAGAGTACCTTTAGTGTACAAACTGAAATAACATTACTGTGGTAAAAAGGCCAGATTCCGTGTTTGTACTGAAATATGAAAATTCTAACTTCTAAGCCATCAATTCAATTTGCGAGTCAACAAAAATGTCTCCTCCGTAATCCCCCTATTCTAAAAAATAAGAAAGTTTGCATCAATAGTTTTCATAATGTTTATAGTTAATTACGGCTTTCCATAGGAGACCATTTACCATTATAATTGTAATTATAGTTCTAATAACTACTAATATTAAAAAAAAATATTTTCACTGTACTCCAGTTAATTCTCACAAGATTCTATCCCCAAAAGGGGTCGTGTGAATTTTTTGATAATCTTGAAAATGACGTAATGAACGACATTTTTTTAGGGCAACAAACTTTGCGGAGACTTCTTATAAATTGCGGCCGCAAATATTTTACGTGCTACAGATTTAAACGATAACCTAAAATAAAAAGAATTAAGTGTATATTAATGAATTTTAGTGATAGATTATATATCTTTTTAATGAATGCCAAAAGTTACTCATTAGTTTCAGTGATTAATTGATACTTAAAGGATCAAAGAAAAACTCAATACATGTATTTTTGAATACTCTCATACCCATAGTTTCTGATCCAACCCGTTCACCTTTTAATCTATTCTTCATAAATCTCTCATCACATCTCTTTATCCAACGTTGTAATATAGTAAATACTATTATACTATAACCCATTCCGACAATCAAGTCTAATCTCCAATGATGGTCTAAGTATATGGTGGCCCACCATTGTAAAACTACAAAACAAAATCCTAAAATCTTAACCGAGTACCAACGCGAATAGTAACTGAGGAAGAAGAATACCATGACTGCCATGGCTGAATGTAAGGATGGTAATGCACCAAATACAATTGGCGATTTATGGAATCCCTTGGAATGTAAATGAGTACCCATGGCTACATCAACTCTAGTTAAACCAGCTGCATAACCAGGCATATCATAATTGGCTTCTTTGTCTTCACCATAAAGATGAATAAACCAAGGTGGAGCATTTGGAAATAAAAGATGGGTCATTACACCACAGATATTTTGTACTCCCAAAGCAATGGAGAATAATTTAAGAGAACCTGGGGCATGAAACACATATAACCAAATAGCCGTGAATAATGGAGCACAGAAATGACAAATAACATATGAAAACCAAGCAATTAGATCCTTATAAGTTTTAATTGGCACTCTTAAGGCGTATACGAAATTAAGGAGAAACCAACTTAATGCAAGCAATGCTGGTGCTGATAAATACCAACTATTTAATGGACGGTATGGATTTGAAGATTTTTCGATACTTTTTCGTTTGTTTATGATATACTGTAATTTGCTATTATTCGGTATATATCTTCTATGTTTGAAATAGACAAGATCCATAAAATGGGAGGACTGGTTCTCTTCTTCTTCATTTTCATCTTCTTGGCCAGATCTTGATGCGAGTGTATCAGATGAAGTATTTACATCGTTACTTCCACTTTTTGCCAAATTTCTATCAGAATTGAATTCATTTAACTCTAAAGTTTCATCTCCCGAAGAAAAGGATGGAGTGGACGATGACGAATCTGTAGATGTACGTCTTACACTAATTGGCTCTAAGAAAGGAGAATTAGTTTCTATTTCATCTTCTTCAACAATGATATCATATGTACCTGATGATGAATTTAAGGAGGAAGTATGAGATGAATTGACTGTAGTACCGATTGATCTATAGATTTTTAAATATAATAAATATGATCCACCAATTAAAGCTGAAACGAAAATAAGGTTGATAAAAGTATGATCTATAATATTAAATAAATAATTTTCAGTTCTATAAGCAAATTTAACGAAAATTGGTGGTCTTATCTTCTGAGGTATTAATCCAGCATTTTTAAATATCAATAACCATATAAAGACTGGTGAAAAGTTAATCCAAAAATTTAAGACTAAGCCTATAATGGATTTTTCATTTAATCCAGACCAAAAAATCCTCCATAATAATTGAAGGATAAATATTAACGGGCTCAATGCTGTTCGCAAATATGTCAATAGTATGGCCATTATTATTAGGATGCAAATTTGTTGACTTTTTGAAAATTATTATTATTATTGTTGTTGTATTTTTTAAACGAAAGTAGTATAATTAAAGGCTCCTTTTAATGGATGATTGTATCACAAACAAGAAAATGCCAAACAATTTATGAGATTGGAAATGCAATATGATTAAAGTGAACTACTTTAAATGTAGAGATAGTGATATGGTATCTCTTTGACGGGGGAAAATTATGCAAATAAGGACCCTATTGATAAGTATTGTCTGTAGTAACAGATGGATGTGACCTTCAGGGAATATGTAAAATTCTTCTACTAAGTAATGATAAAAGCAAAGTGATGAATGATGAACTGAAAATGAAAGCAAAACTAGACCGCCAAGCTAAATGAATAATCACAATAATAATTAAGAATAATTAATACTACAACAGTTATTAAAGTTAACTGATGAAATTTGCTAGGCTGTGTTAAAGGTATTGGAACGGGGGGATGTGATGGTCCGTTGGTTAAAACAAATATGATTCTATCGTTAGACAAGAAATACAGAAAGAAATCAGAGAAGAGAAGAGTCTAAAAGCAAAAGAAGTTTCCCGAGAAAAAAAAAACACTGAAGACCATAGATTTTGTTTTATACTTATAACAGCTAATATGTGTATTTTCATTATTCGGCCCAATTGTCCAAAACTAGTATAAGTCCCATAGAGTGGCAGTTTATCGACGACATTTTTTTCCTTCTCGTGTGACAGAAGGGCTTTTTTTTCTTTTTTGTTTATTTTTTTTTTTAAAAATTATTTTCTCCATTCCAGTTTTTAATTTTTTGTTTTGTGCAACATAAGACAGCTTGTTTCAGTATGAGTGTAAATACGTATGTTAACAACCATTTGAAAAAAATTCTAAAAATTCAATGGCCTAAAAATGAAAAAGCTTAAGCTCTTGTACTAAATTGCCACTCATTTTGAATAACTTTGGTCTCAATGCAAAGAAGTTGGGATCACAAATAGTTTATTTCTTACAGCGGTTTCTTCCTCGGCTTGAACGTATTATAGAAACACAAAAATTTTAAATTCCTAATAGTCAGCTTATTATACAGGAGATCTATGGGACAAAAGCATGATCATCCATCAATAAAAATATTTTCGTCTGTTAAATTCCTGCGGATCGCACTTCAGCGTTAAACTCCGTTCCGTCTATCTGCTTAGCTTCTGTCAAATCCATACTACCAAGCCTTTTCTTCGATTTACAATATACTAATCAAAATGATCATTCTTTGTGCAGATCATGGTGTGTCTACTTGTTTATTGAAAATCACCGTAATGCGAAACTTTTGAATGAGCGACATTTTGATAAGTCTTCCCCTTAAAAATAATAATCAGGTTGTGTAATAAAAAGTTTTAAATTACTGTTTTTTTTGCATATTTTTTCTGTAATTACTCCTATTTGTAAATGATGTATAGCTAATGCCATGTTTGCTAGACGGAAACTAAAGCTAAAGGTGAATCGGACTTGATAACAGCAAAATTACTAGAAATCGCTTCAGTTCGGTTTTAATCTTTGTCGTCCGACGTTCACGTGACTTTTCAATTTAAAAATTTTTCTGGGGAGGCGCTTATATAATAGACTAAATGTTAAACAGTGCCCCTAAATGTCTTCTAATATTTGTGATAAATTTCAGTAATTGGAAGCTTTGCATAATTGAAAAAGAGCCCTGTAAATTTTAATAATTATTTTGAAATGAAAATTCATGAAAGTACAGTTCATAAAACGACTTTATTTTTACTGAATTTTCATATAATTTTGGAAGCAATTCCGCTTAAAAGATTTCTTGAGAATATAAAATAATCATGTAAACCGTAAGCCGAATTGTCTCAACAATTAATTGCAAAATTTTAAAAAATTTGCATTATTTTTCTATAAAAGTTGGAAATTTTAAAATTCGTTAAACCTAAGATGGCATTTAAACAAACATATTCTAAATTTATAATTCAAAGAAATTAATTATATATGTAAATTGGCAGTGATAAGAAAAATATAAATGAGAAAAAATCCGAAGGTGTTGATGATGAGGAATATTATTATGAAGAATGTCTTGTTATTAACAAGGAAATTTACTTCCTTTAATATTATCAGTTTCTGGTAAAATTTAACTAATTATAATTCACCTAAAAGGTTAGTATCTCATTTAGCAAACAGTACAACATTTTGCAACTCCCCCAGAATCCCGGCTCTTCTCGCATATCGAACAATTCTTTTGGTTTCAGTTCCGAGAATTGCCCAAAATCTTAATATGCAGGCTTCTTCCCCAAACAATTCTTTTAACAAGAGTATATGTTCTTTCCGACGATGTCCGGGATATACCCCAGATTTTTATCAAGTTAGAGGAACAAATAAATACAAACCTAGATCCAGCGGAGTTCCTGAAATATACTTTTGTCGGACAAGAGAGCATATACACATAGTGATAATCGTGACAATTGTTTTGGTAAATGAAGCTCGGACTATAATCCAAAGACTCTCCTTTCAACATTGCATTATCAAATCATCAAAGTTCGGAAATATCAAAAACCAAGGGTCTTGTAATTAGAATTAGGAATAATCAATCTGGAGTATTTGAAGAAGCTTTATATATTGTTGTGGTATCGCTATGACGAAAAAGCTAACTCCTCAGCAGAAAAAGGATAGAAAACCAGCTTCAAGAGCTTGTGTCTTCTGTCACAGAAAGCATTTGCAATGCTCCAATGAGAGGCCATGTAAAAACTGTGTTAAAAGGAAAATCGGTCATGAATGTCAAGATGTACTAAGGAAGAGAGCCAAATACATGCATATCAATAGTAAATCTAGAGATATCGAAGATGATACTTCTAATAATGAAAATGACTTTTTGAGTTCGAATGGTCCAAATTCTACTGTTAATACTCCATTGAATGTTAATAATATTTCAATGAATTCTCATGATCAAATAGAAAATAAATATGAACCTCCATTACCTATCATTGAAGGTACTTCGATCAATAATACTAATTTTGAACCAATAGTACCTCGAATATCGAAAACTAATTCAAATACAAATACAATGTTAAATACTACGAATGATGTTTTGAATCGATTGTTACTAGAACAAAATCTATCAACAAACACATCTAATATAATATCACCTACCGACCTTAACCACAACGAAAGTACTATACAACAATCTATTTCAAATAATAGTTCTAATATAAATTTCAGTTCAAATTATTTAAACCAAGAATATCTCATGTTGGGGGATATTATTCTACAATCAAAACCTAGCTCTCCATCTCCATCAAATACTAGTGTTTCAGAATATAATAATCCATCAAATGAATTGAATTCTCCAGCTACATTTCTTTCACCAGCTAATAATTTAATTCAACAGAATAAAAAGGTTCAAGATCATCAATCAAAAAGAAAGCTCTTGAAAGATTCTCGTCCTTTCATCGCATTAGGATTTCTGAATTCTGCCTTGAGTGATCCTAAAAACGATTCGTCTATTGCAGATTTTCTCGATCACAGTACAACTAACAACGCACAGAGTAATAATAATGATACTGGGAATGCTACAGTTGCCAGTACAGCCAATAACAGCAGTACCAACCTTCAATCATCTAGTAACCCATTTTTGCCTAAATTAGGTATATCTTCAGGTGCAACTACTGAATATATATCTCCTTTGGTTACTCATCACCTATACCAAACAGTGCAAGACATTTACACAAATAACATAATAAGTTATGAATATCCTCATTCTTATCATTCTTTGACATACTTCTTAAAGAAGAGATTCCTGGGTAATAATTTGTCTCCAGAAGAGAAACAAGCAAAGAGAAATAACCTTTTAATAATCTTAAAATTGATTGCAAGTTACCGTCCTACATTTATTAGTGCTCATAAATCATTGTTAAAACCATATGATTTACAGTTTTTGGAAATGTGTTTCCAAAGAAGTTTAATAGATTACGAAAAACTCTCTCATTTGAATTCCAGCCCAACTATAATTTGGAGAAGAACAGGAGAAGTGGTATCAATAACCGATGATTTACTAAGTTTATTGGGATATAATCTAGCTGATATTTTATCCAAGAGAACATTTATCATGGAGTTGATGTTTGACGATGAATCTATCATTAATTACTTTAAATTATTCAAGTCAATTGCTATTGGTAATTTAAATCTGTCAATTTTCACAAAGTGTAAATTGACGAAGAATTTAAATAAGATTTTAGAAACTTCATCAACCACTCCCCCACTCACTTCGCATGGCATACCAGGGAATTCTGATGGAGATGAATCAAACTTATATATTGAATTCTGTTCAGTATGGACAGTTAAACGTGACTTGTTCGATTTACCAATGCTAATAATCGGTCAATTTTTACCTATTCTTCCTGCTGGAGATGGAGTGAGAATGTATTAAGAAAGAGATGCCAAATTCAGTTAGCATTCATAAATATAAAATTCTATTTATTTAACAATATTTATTCAGTAGTTTGTAACAATAAAGTTATTAATTTTATTATCAATATCTAAATTAATTAATTCTTGTCAACGTTATCAGTTACGTATCTACAAAGATGAAGATGAAACAGTAGAAGTTTGGTCTGATCATTACAGTAAACGTGACAGATACGAAACACTGAAATGATATTTGGTTTGGTTAACATGCCTAGACAAAATTGTGACATGACCTTAAATCACGCAAGTGGAGTGACTTTTTTCTTTTTCGCAGTTTTTTATGATGATAACACCACTTTTTTTGCCTAATTGGTGATACTATGAGCCGCATATCTCTTTTTCGCAGCTTGAAAATTATTACCAGCTTTGGTAGCATGGAACAAATGATTCAATTTTTTTTTAGCTCCACATTGAATCATCTGTTCAAAACTGAATAATTGAAATTTCGACATTTGCCGATAATGATCAGAGTATAAATTTCTAACAATTTCCAAACATTAAATTTTCGTAGCTTTAGCTGTTGTTCTTTGTTTCATTGAATTTCATTCACACATAAATACAATTACATAATTATCTATTCAAAATGTTAGCTCCAGGAAAGGCTCTTTTAATTGGTGGTGCTTTATACGGTGCCGGTGTTTACTATATGTTTAACAACTATTATAAAGGTTCTAGTATTAAGAAGGCATATGTCAGAAGCGACCAAACTTACGACAAAGTAAAGATTTTACATCATCCAGAAACTCACTACACTTAAGTTTGCTGAAGGTTTATTATTATCTTTTAATATTAAGATTGATATTCTTACATTTATATATTAACGAATACACGGAAGTTCATTGTTAGAATTTTCAATACCGTAGAATTATTCTTTCTATGATTATAAGATTGATATACTATAAAACATTTATATATTTAACGAATACACGAATTCATTGTTAGACTACACAGAAATGTAATAAAATTACTTTTTGTATTATGATTAGATTAAAACATTTATATAATTGTCAAATGCATGAATATTCATTGGATGGAGAATGTTGAATTATTCGTCTATGATTGAAACATAAATTGATTATGATGCAACTGGTAAATTAGTCATTTAACACCAGAATCTATAAAATCTATAGTAGAAAGATTGAGATTTCAACCATCTCTTATCGTCAGCAATTTCTTGCTTTAACAATTCAAGATCAACAGTTATTCTTCCTGTATCCAAATCAATATCTTCCAACTTAATCATTATTCTATTCCATGATCTACGGTATGTTTTGTGACCAACATACATAAGAATTAATAATGGTAAAGATAAACAATTTTGCAAGAAATTCATATATGAAGCAGAATCTTCTCCAATTGGATAAACAGAAACCCAAATTTCACCAACAACAATCAAGATTAAGATAAGTGCACCGGAATAAGAACCAAACATTCCCATTGGAGATTCAAATATAACTTCATCTAAAGATCTACCTTGAGATTTTAATGCCCATCTCCATCTAATATGAGCAAGACAAATGAAAATCCAGGTAAAGAAGGCAGCTAATGAACATACCGAGAAGAACCATGTGAATACAGTATCTTGATTATCACTATCAATAAGGAATCCTAATAAACCAATTAAATTAGTAAACATAATAGCAACCATTGGTCTTCCTGCTTTGTCAATATAACCAAAAATAGAAGGAATCAAACCTTGCGCAGCCATCGAAGCTAAAGTTCTAGAACAACCATAAACTGATGAATTACCAACAGACACCACGGCCACTAAAATAACAGCATTCATTATATGAGGCAAAACTTTAATACCACCATTTTGAATGGCAATAACAAAAGGGGAAGATGTAATATCTTCTGATGAAGAACCACTTAATAATCTTTCATCGTTGAAAGGAACTAAAAGACCAACAACAATAGTTGATACAATATAGAATAAAGTAATTCTCCAAAAGACTTGTTTAGTAGCCTTAGGAAGAGATTTTCTAGGATTCTTAGTTTCGGCAGCAGCCAATGCTACAAGTTCGATACCACCGAAACTGAATGCAGCACTGATAAATACCGAACAGATTCCTTTAAATCCATGATTGAAAGCTCCGGGATCACTCCAATATCTTCCTCCAATATAGCCTTGAGATCCAACCCCGTTAATGATACAGATACCTACAATACAAAATCCAACTACTGCTAATACTTTAATTAAAGATAAAGCAAATTCTACTTCACCGTACCCTTTAACACCAAAAAGATTAATGGATACAATAATTAGATAAAATATTGCTACCCAAACTGCAGGATCAACACTTTTTGTCCAATATTGAACAGTTAAAGAACAAGCAATCAATTCGGAAGGGAAAGAAATTAACCATGAACAAGCATATAAAAGACCTAAAGTCCAACCCCAAGAATCATCAATAAATCTGGTAAAATAAGCGTTAAAAGAACCGGAAACAGGAAATTGAACAGACATTTCACCAAGAGAGTAAATAACACATAACATGGAATAACCCACTAAAGCATAACCAATTAACATACCTGCTGGACCACCTAATGACAAAGCATAAGAACTTCCAACAAAAAGACCAGTTCCAATGGAACCACCAATGGCAATCATTTGTAAATGTCTTGATTTTAATCTTCTGGCCAAAGGATGTCTAGCACTGGCAATGACTGATTTCTCTATAGAAGTCATACCGGTAGTATCAAATCCATCACCTTCTAAATCTATAGGTTTAAAGGAATCGATGAATTTTTCAAAACGGGATGGAGGTTTTCCAAATTCATAGGAAACTTCACTAACATCTCTAGCCTTGATAGTCACATCATTGTGACCAGCCGAATTATTTTTTTCAGTATAATTGTTGTACAGCATTTCAATTATCTATAATCCAATCTTTGCAGTAACCTTTTGATGAATTCTTTCCTTAATTGAAATGAACTTGTATATAGGAAATGCCAAATATGAATGAGAACTTACACTGACCTACCAGTGAAAAATCCCTTTATACTAAAATAAAATAATTGATCGGCACTTATATAAATATATATATAACAGTAAAATTATGCACCTTAATAAATTAGGTTGCGAACCCATACATTATTTTTTTGTGTTCAGCCCCTCTAGCTGTGGGTCCTTCAACAGAAATATATTTTTTTTCTTCCTAATTACCTTCTTTGGCTGTTATTTTACGGATTCATAAGACTAGCTTTGATAATAGACGGATTGTAATAAAAAATAAACGAAGACACGGTTCTTATTCAAACCAGAGTCAAGTTTGTCAGTATACCACGATGAAAAATAAGTACATCAAACATAGTTTACATTGAATTAATGAATTAATTATTATTACTTTTTAATGAAGCATACTTAAGCTTTGAATCATCAATAGGTGTGGCTTCTTGGCAATGCAACACAATGGAATGGCTCAAAATTAAAGTTTAAAAAATCGATACCACTACTGTAATTGGATTATGGAATATTTTTCTAGTTACCGAATATGCGCGATGGATATTGTAGTGGGGCATTTAGTGCTTCATAGTTCATAACCAATTATTTAATTATGATTAATTAATTTTTAATGATCGATTTTCTTATAAATACAAACATCAAACTCACTAAGATTTTCTTGGAAACCACCTCGTTTCTCACATTCGAATGTTAATATCGTCTAGTTTTCTACAACGGTTTCTATTAATTCTATAAATTGTTGATAGCTTTCATTTCTGTGCCAAATCCTATTGAGCAAATTTTCTTGAATACCTCTTCAATTGTTATTCTTTTCATTGTCGTCAACAGTTGTAGACGGAATATCATTACCATCTTATTATTGAACTAGATTTAAACTTTTTAGACGCTGATCAATTATAATTAGTAACGTAATTACAAATAAAATCGCGTTTCTTATATAGTACAGGTACATTTAATAATACATTACTTAATAAACTTAATTAACTTAATAATACTTCCAATCAAAATTTACGAAACTTCTGTCTGTGCTATACTGGACGATGGTGTGGCTGATGAAAGTAACGAACCACCACTAAGATCTGGTTCACTTCCAGTACTTTGTCCATTACCTTGATTATTGGGGGTAGGATTATTATTCTTTTCATTAAGGGCATTCATAGCTTGAATTGCTGCTAATGGTTCTGTTATATTTCCATGATCATCTCTTTTTACAGGAATCGTACCTCCATTAGTAGCAGCATATAATGGACAAGATTTATTAGTTCTAATATGCCCAAAGGCTCCACAAGATGCACATCTACGAGTTTTACTTTTCCCTTTACCAATACCTTTACCACCAATAGCATAAGATCCATCAGGTAACATTACAGTATTTGCATCAATTATAGTACCTCCAGCAGCGGCTGCAGCATGAATAGAATCCTTAGGTGGCTTTTTAGCTCTACTTTGTTTGGCTCTCTTTTCTAAATTAGCTAATTTTTGTAATAATGCTTTCCTTCTAATCTTATTCAATTCTTTATCATTAGTAGGTAAGATTTCCGTTACATCAGCATTCTTAAGTAATTCATCTTCAATTTGTTTCTTCCGTTTAATATAGGCATTAATTAATCGAGGATCAGAAATAGTTTCAACTTTTCTTTGAAAAATTCCATTTTCATCACGAACTCTACGAGTAATTCTTAAAACTTTCTCTTCTACATTAAGATTACTTTCTCCATTTTCACTGGATGCTTTAGATTTAGCTAATTCTTCAGCCTTTTTCTTTTCTTCTCTAAATAAATGTTTAATATATCTTTCATGATCAGCTGGTTTATATTCATCATATATGGCTTGAAGATTAAAATCAGATCCATGATCTACTAAAGAACTTCTTTGAGAATACCATATACGTTTAATTTCTGCTTCATATAATTTTTGTTGATATGCTGCTGTATTATTCTTAGGAGTCTTATCTCGTCCTTCTCCAAATAATGGTTTAAATCCATTCTTTTGAGTTGATCTTAATAATGAATAACCTAATCCTACCCCAGTAGGATCACCTTCACCATTAAGTTGAAGCATATATTTAGACAGGGTTGCTCCTAAAAAGTTACGAGTTATATTCCAAGGTGCTAGTTCTTCATCTATATCAATTTCTGCATCAGGATCTCTAGGTTTTCTAACTTTTTCCTTTTCTTTCTCTTTCTCCTTTTCCTTTTTAATACTGGTGGATTCATCTTCATTATCATCTTTATTAGGTTCTGTACTATCTTCCTTTTTATCCTTCTCCTTTTCCTTCTTTTCTTTCTTAACTTCATCTTTCTTTGGTTCTTCCTTTTCTCCATAAATCATGGCAATATCATCTAATAATTGTTGACCATATTGCATACTATCAAGTAATGAAGAATCTTCAGGAGTTATCATGGCTCTTACTTCATCTTCAGTTGGTACAGTATCACTATTTCTTATTTTCCAATAACCTTGATCATCACCTTGTCTTTGATATTCCATAAATTCTTTTAATCTTTGTCTATTTTGCATATCATTTTGATCAGGAAAATGTTTAGAAACATCTTTTACAGATATTCTTGCTTGTCCATTATTATTCATAACTCTAAATACTACCATTTTTAATCTATTCTTTGAAGTATTAGTAACTTTTCTTGAATGAGGGGCAGGTACTTCAACGGCTGGAAATATATTACCAACTGCAAATATATTATTAATAGCTCTTAAGAAATATCTTTGATGAGATCCAGCTCCTTGAGATCTTACAAGTAAAAAATCTGTATTCTTAATTTCATGCTTAAAAATTGGAGCTCTAACCATATTATTATATAAAGTTGGAACAAAATCTCCAGGAGCTACTTCACCAAAATTCCAAAATGGTGATCTATCTTCAACTCCTAATACATGAGTTTCACCCACCAGAGTTTTTGGACGAGAAGTATCATCTTCACGTTCTTTTCTATAATAATTAATAATCTTTGAACCCATTCCAAAATTAGATAATATTGAAGGATATTCTTCTGAATATTCAAATCCAAATATTTGTGCATTATCAGCTACAGTTAAATCTGTAGTTCTAGAAAAGATTTCTTTCAGTGATTTACCCTTATCCTTCTTTTTCTTTCGTTGTTTTAATTTTGCAAAACTTAATAATGAACCTGGTCTAATAATAAATCTTGGTCTATGGAATGATCTAGCTTCTTGTTTAGTAAGTTTTACTTTATAATATGGACCTTGTAATCGTAAAGCTGGAATAGAATGTTCAATATTTAAATTACTTAATTGACTTCTAACTTTAGTATTATAATTATCTTTAAGAATATCATATTGTTTATCATTAGATATATTAAATTTTAAATCCAATTGTTTATCATTTATAGGTATTAATGCTCGAGATTGAGATTTAAGTTTCTTTTGTGGTACAAGTAAAAGATTTGGATCATTCATATCAAGATTTATTACATCACTAGTAAGTTTACCATCAAAAATATATTCATCATCTTCATCAGATGATAAATCAAGCATATTTGTATCCATACTTGGTATAAGTTTAGCTGGTCCATTATCTCCAGCATTTATAATTGCTTCATCATCCCAATCAGCAGTAGATAATATTAAATCCTTTGAAAAATCAGTAAATTTATCACTACTTTTCCAATCTTTATTTAATATTGGTTCTTGTCTTAAAAATGTTTCCTTTTGAGTTCGTTTAAAATTTAATGCTTTTATAAAATCAAGATCATTCTGAGTTATTTGAGTTATACCCTTTTCCTTTGGAATTATTGAAGGTATATGTTTACCCGATTTAAATTGTTTCTTCAGATCAAAATCTAAATCAAGATTGATTTTAGTGGGCATTAGAGGTTTTATAACTTCTTTAAATGCTAATGTTGGACGATGATTTCGATAATATCGAGGTTGAGGTTGGAAAAATAAATGGAAATTAAATGGTTTATGTCGAGAATAAGTTGGGAAATATCGAGATATATTCCTTTTGGCTTGTTTGGATTCCAATCTTTTCACTATTCGTTGTAATTTCTTTTTCTTTTTAATTCTATCTTCTTCCAGAATAGACAGTCGTTTTCTAGAGGGGAATTCTTGTTTTACTTCGAAAATTTCTCCCATATCTAAATCATCTAAACCATCATCATTTCCATTAATATAATGATCTCCTCCACCTAAATCATTAAATAAATTATTATTAATATCAGTATTATCATTATCAAATACATCATCTCCATTACCAAACATATCATCGAATTCTGCATTGGCTTGTTCTTGTAATTCTTCTTCATTATCTGATTCAGGATTTAATTCATCTCCATTACTTCCATCTATTCCTCCTTTACCAGATGGTTCTTCTTCTTCAGGTAAGTCTTCATCATCGGCTAATTCATCTATATCTTCATAATCTACTGCATCATCCGCATGTTGAGTCTTCCGTTCGAGAAATATATCCTCAATTAATTGATCATTAGGAATTTCAGAAGGATTTATTATATCATTTAACAACTTATTTTCTAAGTCATCTTCATTCCCCTTTGAAGACCTTCCTCCGGCCATATTGAATTATATTATAAACAGTATAGAGTTTACGTATACTGAATAAATTATTCAGTATTTTGTATACTTACTTTCAGTTATAATGACTTTGCTTCCTCACCCACCTTTTTTTATTATATATATATAATTATGGATTTTCGAATATTGGGTAGTGCACAAAATTCAAAATGTCAATAATTGAATCAATTATTAAATAATATATATTATACTATACTAATTGTAATTGTAATTATAAATTATAATTATTAATTAACTATGAATAATATTAGAGATAATAATCATAAGGATCTCCTAGTAGTATTAAATAAGGGACTTCGACTGTCTATCCTGTACAATTATGAGAATAATCTTGATATATATACCATAACAAATCCGGATAATTTCGTAAGTTATATGATACAATTACTTAATAATAAAAATTATAGAGATATTAAAATTATAATTCTGATTGGTAAGATATCTGAATTATTACCCATATTGAAATGTCTTTATTTAAATACTAATTTAACTAGATCGACTTATGATAATTTATTTCTTAATCAGTTTAATCAACATTTACGCACAGGACAAAGTTCAACCACGACTCATAGTATTGAAATTCTTCCAGGAAGAGGTCAAGGTGATAGATTTATACCCATTGATTTAAGTATAGTTATAGATCCTAAGGAATTTCTTACTAATACTAATCTGTACTTATCAATATCTAGTATCGCATTACAACAATATTTACGGTATTTCACCCTAAAACATGGAGCAAGATTAGCAGTAATTAAACAAATAGATTATATACAATTCCCTCATAAATTAATTGATTATTTTCAGAAACTTCAAGATCAACCTCAACCTATATTTGATTCATTTGAACTGACAGATAATACTTCCAAAAATCCATTTACATTAAATTTATTTATCCCTAAAGCATGGGATTCATGGTCTAAAATAATATTAGTTTCAAAAAGTATGTTTCATGATAATGAATCATTACTTGGTAACACTGAAGTTATAGAAGAATTCGATTTAGCCTATAATCAGTATATTGAATCAGAGCAATCCAATGATTCTTTTCAGTCCTCAATATTTACTTCACTTATGCAAAGCAATAATAATTATAATATTATTATTAAAAATAATAATAATAATAATATGCACCATAAAAACTCTAATAATAATAATGTCGAGCACTCACTATCACTTAAGGATATTCTATTTGCAAGCTAATTAGACTACTCAAATAGGAAATGTCTATATGCAGATCGATTTTAGTTTTATACCGTTGAAAAATTACAGCATTAAGAAGCATCAACGAAAAAAAATGCTAGATTAAGTATGGGAAAATCAAATCAAATAGGATCTTCAAAATAGGAAAATATATGTTCATCTTAAGGGTTTTTGAGATAATTAAAAGTTTAAATTCATAGAGGTAGTAATATCTAATTGTGGGATATAATTTGTGAAAAATCCGTGAAAAATACTAAGATTATTAATTTATTATTTTATTTATTTAATTTAAATAAATTGTAGTATGTCCGATGACCCATTAAGTAAAAGTACCGCTCGATTGTCAATTTCTACATTTGATGTTGAAAACGATAATCCGAGAATTCAAGTTAAAGAATTATTAAATAATATTGGAGCTTCAGAATTAAGTAGACGAGATTCAGTAGTATCTATAACTTCAATGGAAGAAATTGAAAAAACCAATGAAAGAATGAAAAGAAGAAGATCATCAGTACCAATATTTAATGATGAAAAGAGAAATAAAAGTGATTCAGGTCCTAAGAAAAAGAAAAAGAAGAAGCCATCACTTACTTTTAAACTTGAATCAACAGAAAAGAGACTCCCATTTCATTGTTTAAGAGATTTAGTATTAAAAATATTTAATGTTAATGTTTCAAAGTTTAACTGGTTAAGATTAGAAAATGAAGCTCATATACCGAATGTTGTATTTTGTATGACTCCAGGTTTACCATATGATATTTTCACTAATTTTAAAGAAAATGATCAATTAATACCGATGGAATCAATTGAAATTCCTCAATCATTAGAATTCTTTAACAAACAATTTCTGCATTTTATAAATACATCATGTCCAGGAGGTAAAGATTCAATATTCCCACCATTACAAGCTATTTCAAATGCTCCATTAACCAAAAGAGAGAAACAAGAACTTCTTGATAAACTGAAAGCAAACTCCATTACCATTCATGATTTATTATTAACCGCTGAGCAGTTAATACAACATAATTATCCAGTTATCCGAAAACCTGAAGAAGTCGATTTAATTACTGAAGATGAAGCTGAAGGTTGGGTAGTGACAAAGAGTTTTGAACATGAAGGTTCACATATATTTGCATTAGATTGTGAATTTTGTGATGCTAATGGAGTAAAAGTACTAACTAGAATTTCTTTAATTAATTTTCAAGGTGAAGTTGTTCATGATCTGTATGTTAAACCTGAATTAGAAATTACTGATTATTTAACTAAATATTCCGGGATAACTGAAGAGTTATTAAAAGATGTTACAACCACTTTAAAGGATATTCAAGAGAAGATATTAACGTTAGTTTCTAAAGATGATATATTAGTTGGTCATTCATTAGAATCAGATTTAAATGTTATGAAAATTAAGCATGATAAAATTGTAGACACATCAGTCATATATGAACATGTTAGGGGTCCCCCACTGAAGCCATCATTAAGATGGTTAAGTAGTAAATTTCTTAATCGTTCAATTCAAGATGGAGAAGAAAATGGTGAAGGTCATTCATCTGTTGAAGATGCTCAAGCATGTTTAGATTTGGTGAAATTGAAAATTGCAGAAGGGAAATGTTTTGGGGTTAACATTGGTGAGATTTCACTTTTCAAAAAGATTAGTAACGATATAAGTTCAGAAGGTTTCAAATCATTATGGATTAATTATAGTGATCATAAGTATCAAGAATCTTATCATGAACCATCTGAAAATATGGTTGATGTCGAGTATGTAAATAATGATGATGAAGTGGTTGAGAAGTTCTTAACCCATTTCAATGATTCTCGTAGATTCACATTATTAAGTCTTCGAGAACTTGAATTTAATGTTCTTAATCCAAATATACCAGAACATTATAACGGAGTACGAGATGATAAGGAGAATTTGGTTCAATTACATGAGAAATTAAATCGTCGATTAGAAACCATCTATGAAAGACTTCCTGCAAATAGTTTAATGATAGTTTATTCCATAATTGGAAATCCTAAAGAAATGTTCAGATTACAAGGAATTCGAAAACAATTTCAAAAATTAGAGCGTGAAGGTAGAGATATTACTAAATTACCTAGTGAAGAGAGTTGGGATTTTGATAAATTACAAGAATTATATGAAGCTACTAATAACGCAAAGAAATCAGTAACATTTATTAAACTCAAAGAATAAACCACATTAACATTATGTATATTTAAACATATATAGTATAGACATTGTATATTAGTCAAAATTTTAATATTAAATATTCGTTAGAAATGAAACTCATTAAACCAAGCCAGAGTATACTGACACAATATGTGTATACATTTATATTAGCCCAAACCAGAAATTTGACCTTCATCATTTTTAAAACTTATAGCAGCTGCTAATTCAGCAGTAGATGAAGATTCTTCACCAAGATTACCAATTTTATTGATATTTCTATTACTATATTCTTCATCAGAATCATTTGAATTACCATCAATAATATCTACAATAGAAGATTTTCTTGAATGATCAGTAATAGGAACTCCCTTATAATATTTCCATTGATTTAAATCAAGAATATCATTAGGATTATAATTATTACGATTTGGTTTCTTATGATTTAAATTGGTTTTAAACCATCCCTTTAATTTAACTGATTCAACTAATGAAGTTCCATCATCTTGAGCCAGAGTTGTTAAAGCAGGTGAATACCAATCTTTAACCCAAGTAACTGTATCATCTAAGGGTTCATGATGAGGATTAATATTATATTGCATGGTAGTTGTATTATTTGATAATACAGGAGTACTAGTGCCACTATTTGAAAACATGATAAATTTTAGTGGGGGTAATTCACCGGTTTTATGTGCAAGCTTAAAGGCGAGGACTGAGTAATGTAAGATCTTTATAATACTTAATCTAGATACTTAAGAGACTTTTGGTATCTAAAATTGATTGAAATATCTTACTAGAGTAAAGAAGAAAAAGGAAGCAAGAGAAATAATACTCTACTTATTATATATATATATATTTAAACTCAAACATATTACCAATGTCTCCGTCTCACATAAATAACAACTATCTCAATAATAAACGATTAAACTGTACTGACAAAAATTCATAACTATTACCCATTTGCCCCATCAATGCAAAGACAAAAGGATGAACTTAAAAGCAAATGATCCTACACACAAGGTTTGGAAAAAAAAAGAAAAAAAAGAAAGAAACATAATTTTATATTTTTCTCATACTAAATTACTATGGCAAGAAAAGAACAAAGGCGGGCGATTAAATGTACGTAATCCAAAGTTAATTTACGTATTGTGCGGTATTGAGTGGCAATATATTCCATGACCGCACCCCTATCTCGATTAGTACTATTTCATGCGACTATTTAGTACCACACTAGATGATTTGTCGCGAGATTCCCATAAAATCCACTAGTAGAGAAAAGTGGGGTTACAAGCGAAAAGATATAAAATATAGTTTTTCTTTAGAGCATGGGGTCACGCTCCGAAGTGCACGTGCACACAATAATAAAAAAACAATCTTTATAAAAATAAAAATAATAGTAATAATAAAATTTAATATTAAATAAATATATAATAAATATATAATAAATTGTCATGTTTTTCTCATTTTAGTACCTAGGTGTCATTATTCATACCAGGAAAGAAAATAATATTTATGTTATATGTACAAGGAACCTTTTACTTTCCATTAAAACCCCTTCAGAATTATTTATTCTTTACGTACAATTTACTTTTTTTCCGCAACTGATTCATTAACTGGCACTTGATCTTGTTTAACTTTTTCAATATTAGACTGTTGTTGTTGTAATTGTTGTTGCTTCTTGAGCTGCTTTTCTCGCAATTCTCGTTGTCTCTTTTGTGCACTCAGTTTAACATTTTCTAATTTCCTTCGTAAATCTTCTCGTCTCTTTTCCTCTTGTATTATTCTCTGATTATAAGATTTAATCAATTGTTTAGGTTTACTACCGAAAATAGCTTCATACTCACAAAGTACGCAACATTTATTACCCCCTTTAATAAAATCAGAAATTCTATGATCAAAATCTTCAGTTCCAACATTTCTCTTCTTTTTTGATTTCTTCTTCTTCTTAGATTTTGATTTTGATTTTGATTTTCCAGATTTATTTTCTTCTATATCATTATCTGGCTTAGATCTTTGAGTTCCAGTAATTCCTAAATCATTAATTGAAGGTAATCTCAAATTCTTTCCATTACCATTATTAACTCCAGAAGCAACTGCGGCTGCATTAGATAATCTGGATTGTAAATTCATTAATCGTAATTTCTCTTCAACATTATTATATGTCGGTACTAATTTACCAGTATGATCGTATTCAAAAGTAAATTCACATGATGGTCCATCTTCATCATCATCATATTCTTCCCCATCTCTATCGTATTCATAGATTGGACAATCACATCCATCAAGACCATGAACATCACATTCTGGTCCAGTATTTAATTCAACTTCAATATGATGGGTTGGTGGATAAGAATATTGATATGAATTATCTTCATCATCAAGTTCATTTAAATCATATGATTCATCATAATCATCTTCATAAAAGTCATTACTATTCCCATCATGTAAACCTTCTTCATCTTCAGTATCATATAATGAAAATCCTTGTTTCTTCTTAGTTGGAATACCATGATCTGCATTCAACATTTGTGAAATTTTATCTCGTAAAAAGTCTATTTCAACTTCATTTAAAAGCATTTCCTTAGATGGCATTTTCATAGATACTTTCTTTTTATTAGTTTTATTATTAGTTTTAGGTTTAGGATTGGTATCTACAATTTCAGGTTCAAATGATGCACCAAGTGAACTATTTCCATTTTTATGATTAGAAAGATCAACATCATCATCTAATTGACTTATCTTATCAGAAAATTCCACTGAAGCCTTCTCTAATGCTTCTAATAAACTATAGTCAAATATGGGTTTAGAATCTTGAAAATTATTATTATTATTACCTTGTTTCATCAGTTTAGTAGGATCAATATTAACTGACGGTATATGAAAAGTAGGTTTTTCATCTTCTCTAGGAAATGGCAGAAAATCACCATCATCGTGAAATTGTTTATGCATTGCTTGTTGCCATGTTTCATAGTTTTTTGATACCAACTCAAATAAACGCTTGGGGTCAATACTACTATTAGTATTTCTTTTCAATGGATTTGGACCCCCATTACTTGAATTATAATGAGGTTTATGTAATGTAGGTTTGTTTGGGATTGTAGTAGTATTGGAATTATCTGATATTATATGGTTTTTATTATTTGTTCGGGGTAGTTTTGCATTATTATTATTCTTATTAATATTAATATTATTAGTAGCAGTAGTATTGTTATGAGTAGGATTAAATTCCAGATGGCCCTGTTTTAGTACACGACTGGAATTTTGGTTTATACCATTCACCGACATCGTGAATTGGATCAATCTTATTTATAATATTTCAAACGAATGCTATATAGAAATCATAAAGTTAACGGTTGCAATGACCTCTTCCATCTGGGCCAGTATCTTTGTCAGAATTTTTTTTGCACACAAAAAATTAAATTGTAGCAGTAATTGAGAATTACCTGTACATAGCCCTGTATAAAATATAAAATGTTAGCTCTCTATAAAATGTTAGCTCTCTATAGCTCTCTATAGAGCTCTATGTATTAGCTCCATACAACTCTATATAAAATATTAATTTAATATACATTACTGTATAAAGTATAATTTTATATTTTCTATATAAAGTATTATTTCACACAATTCTACAGAAATTATAATTTCATACATTACTAATCTTTCTTTAATGTTCTTTGCTTTTCAGCATTCTTAACCACTTTCTCATCAACAAATAAACCTTTCCTTCTTCTAATAGTATTCATATATTTTCTAGCAATATTTTCTCTTTCAGCAAATTCTCCTAATTCTTCTAATTCTTCTTCAGTATGTGGTACCCAAAATGGATCAATTGTTAACATATCAAATCCATCAAATATTAATTGAGGACTTGCAGCTCCTGAAGTTTTTCTTCTAATTTCTTCTGAAAATCCAAATGCTTCAATTACTGGAATTCTAGCTTCAATTGTAAAAAATGGCGTACCTTCTTTCATTTCTTCTGATATAATAGATCCACCTCTCTTTTGAACTACTGCATAAACTTTCCCTAATACTTCGGCTGATGCTTGAATATCACAAGTATACATTGCAAGAAATAATCTTCTATTCTTCAGAAGAAATTCTTTATGAATTAAATCTCTAGTATAAGTAATAATTCTACCTCCTAAATTTTGAACTTTATCTTTATCTTTAGATTCATTATTAATTTTAGAACTATTCTTAATTGTAACTATAACTCCTTGAAATGATTCACCAGCTAATGGACCTTCATTAATAGCTAATTGAGTTCCATTTAATACATTATTCTCAAATTCAAATCTAGTAAATGAATCATCTTTTTCATTAAATAAATGTCTAAATTGATTATTATTACTAGTAGATTCAACAAATAAATTAGGTCCAATTCTTTTAGGACCAAATGCAATTAAATTAGATACTAATGATTCACCTGATTCAAATTCATGTTCAAATGGATATTCATTTATAATATCAATTAATTTATGTTTAAAAGTATCTAATAAACTATTGGTAACTCCCTTCAGACTAACAATATCATTAATTTCAGATTCATGATCAACTAAGAATTTAACAACTTCATTTGAAATTGGTGAAACATCAAATTCTAAATTAATTCCCAATATTTCACTTTCATCATCTTCTTCATCTTCTAAATCATTGGAATTTGTATCTTTCTTATTATCAGCTAATCCTTCTCTAAATGGAATAACAGGTTCTTTAACAGATACTTCACAACCTTTGGCAAATCTTTCTTGTAAATCCTTTAAACATCTTTCTAAATGAAGTTCTCCAGCAACACACATAATTAATTCTCCTGAATCATCATCAATATACCATTCTAAAACTGGATCAGCTTTAGCTAATAAATCTAATCCTCTCTCTAATTTTTCTAATTTACTAGGATTTGTTGGTTCAATAGCTATTTTTAAAATAGGTTTATTATGAATTAATGTAGAAGTAGAGGCTAAATTAATATATGGTTTATCATCTTCAATTGGTGAACTTAATGTACCATTTTTTAAAATTGCCTTTTCAAGTCCAACAACTCCAACAATATTACCGGCTGGAACAGTATGAATTCTTACTAAATCTCTACCCATAATTAAGAATAAATCTTTAATTTCAATTTCATGAGTAATTTGTTCTTGATTTGTTGGATCATCTTTTGGTAAAGATGCATCATATTTTGGACCAATTACAGTGATTGTATTTCCAACAGTTAATGAACCAGAATATACTCGAGTAAATCCAACTAATGTTTCAGTTTCAGTTTCTTCCTCTTCTTCCTCTTCTTCAAAATCTTCCTCTTCAAATTCCCATTCAAAGGCATCTTTACTTTTAGGTTGAATTACAAATTCATCCTCATTTGAAGCTTTGGCATCAACTGCTTGAGCAACAACTTCTGAAGCCTTTTTAGCTAATTCTCGAGCTATTCTTCCCCGTTCTATAATCTCTTCAGCAGTTAATTCTGATCCTACATTTATTTCCTTTGGAAGATATTCATTAGGAATTGAAAGTAATTTAGATACATATGCAAGAGTATGATGATCTGGATCAGATGAATCGCAATTACGAATTGATTTATCAAATCCAACATCTACTAATTTTGATTTATCCTTTTCATTACCAACAACATTATAAATACTTTCATTTAATATCTTTTCAATTCTTTCTGATTGTGAAGTAATTGGACTTGGTAAATAATCTATTACAGTACCTAATACAGCATGACTTAATGGAATCCATTGAGACATAATTAAATTTAATAAATTCTTATAATCCTTTGATTTTAATTCTCTGGCACTAATTTTAGCTCCTAATTTTTCAATAATCTTTTCAAGTTTTTCTTGATTTCTTTCAATAATACAATTTTCATATACTGCCCATATTTGATCTAAAATTAAAGATACAAATAATGGTTTTAAATTATTTTGCTTTGTAGTTAACTTTTTCCCAGGAATAATTTTCTTATTCTTCATATCAAGATAAAAGTCACCCCAAAGAGTTTTAGTAAGGACATTATGAGAAAATCCTAATTTTGCAGCATATATTCTTGCAAATGTATTGACGGTAAATGCCCAACCATCAATTGCAGATGCAAATACTACATTATTCTTTTCAGGGGTAAAATATAATTCTTCATCATCCCTTTCAATAAAATCACTAGTTTCTCCACTTTCTCTACTTTCTCTCCATATCATATCATCTTCCATTCTATCACCAGCAAAGAAGGATCCAATTACGGCATTTACTTGTTCTATAGTTTTTCCTATATGTTGATAAGCTTCTATTGGAGTTAATTTCCATTCAAGGATAAGTCTATCAATTTTATTTATAACTAATATAGGTTTTAATTTATCAATCCAACATTGTCTAAGAACATTAACAGTTTGAGAACATACCCCTTCAACTGCATCAACTAAAACAACTGCACCATCACATAATCTTGAAGATGTTGAAACTTCAGAAGAAAAATCAATATGACCAGGAGAATCAATTAAATTAATTAAATGTTCTTTAATTTCAGATTCTTCAGAATCTTGTCTTTTACGCATGACTTTAAAATATAAAGAAATAGCTGATGATTCCATAGTAATCCCTCTTAATTGTTCATCTTCTCTTGAATCAAGATATCTAACTTTACCTGCCATTCTTTGAGATATAATTCCATTAGTAGCTAATAATGAATCACTTAATGAAGTTTTCCCATGATCTACATGAGCTAATATACAAATATTTCTTATACTAGCAGTATTCAGCTGTAGTTGGTTAATTGTTTCTTCCGATAACCTCATGGTGAAACTATAGTATACCAAATATTCTTAAGTTACTTTAGTATAATACCAATTCTTAAGTTACTTTAGCTATACTGACTAATTTGCAATAGTGAAAAATTACCAATCGGCTTTTGGTGCAATGCGACCATCGCAAAAAAATTAAATTAATAAAAATGTAACTACATATTTCGATCTTTATCAGTATAACAATTGTTAGTGGATTGGCTGATAAGTAAGTTGTTGTTATATGAGATCTAAGAGTGTCGAAGATTAGATAATGGAGTGTCCACTATGTTCTACAGCACTTCGTCAACATTTATTACAACCCACACTCTCCATTATATCATGTCCTAATGAGAAATGTATTTATCCATTTAACTTATCAATAAGTGAAATGAAACAGAATAATCTTATACTTCCCAATATCACTAATTCAGACATTATGTATCATATGGAATCCAAAATGGTTAATGAAGCTCAAGTTGATAAGAATATAGCTAGATTCATCTCGAAGCAAGATGATGATATAGTGTAGAGATGAAGATAGAGCCATACATTCATATATATATATATATATATATATATGTATATATTATTGGTCAAATACCTAGCATTCTGATTGTAGCTATTATCAATTCAATCAACCACTCAGAACAATCATAGAAGTCTCTGTTATTTATATAACTACTGTAACTTACTATGGATAGTAATAGGTGCAAAATATCCAGCGTACGGCCGGGTAACACTTGAGTATTTATTTTTACATATTAAAATGGTCGTGCGCTTTGGCCCAAAGGAAAATTTTAACCCAACGTAAGTCAAGGAAGTACAACCTAAATAGTTCCCTATATATCATATATTGCAAATTAAATATACTAACGAATAATTTTCTAATAAGTAAAGTATTGACTTATATATAAGCAATTTCTAAAATTCCAAGTTATTAAAAAAACTTGACTTTTCCCATTTGAATAGCATAATTTTTCATTATATAAGACAATTTACTTGTCTCATTAGTACTATTAGAGAATTATATATTTACTCCTATATCAATTGATATTATTACCAACTACATAACTAACCATTTATTGAATCATAGAAGAATCCTTGTAAAATTTTACTTCAAATTTACATATCATACTATTGATTCATATACCAAATTCAATCATATTAAAAGAGCACGTTTCAAATTAATTCACTATTACCATATACATACAATATAATACTATACAATATAATATAATATATAATATATATATATATAAACAATGTCAGAACAAGATTGGAAATCAAATTTGAACATTCCTACTAAGGATACTAGACCACAAACTGAAGATGTTTTAAACACCAAGGGGAAATCTTTTGAAGATTTTAATTTAAAGAGAGAATTATTAATGGGAATTTTTGAAGCAGGATTTGAAAGACCATCACCTATTCAAGAAGAATCTATTCCTATGGCAGTTGCTGGTAGAGATATTTTAGCTAGAGCTAAAAATGGTACTGGTAAAACTGCTTCATTTGTTATTCCAAGTTTACAACAAATTAAACCAAAATTAAATAAAATTCAAGTATTAATATTAGTGCCAACTAGAGAATTGGCATTACAAACTTCCCAAGTTGTCAGAACTTTAGGTAAACATTTGGGTATCCAATGTATGGTTACTACTGGTGGTACCTCATTGAGAGATGATATTGTTAGATTAAATGATCCTGTTCATGTTTTAGTAGGTACTCCTGGTAGAGTTTTAGATTTAGCTTCAAGAAAAATTGCTGATTTATCTGAATGTCCATTATTTGTTATGGATGAAGCTGATAAAATGTTATCAAGAGAATTTAAAGGAATTATTGAACAAATTTTAAGTTTCTTCCCAACTACAAGACAATCCTTATTATTTTCTGCAACTTTCCCATTAGCTGTTAAATCATTTATGGATCAACATTTAAATAAACCTTATGAAATTAATTTAATGGATGAATTAACTTTAAAAGGTATTACTCAATATTATGCATTTGTTGAAGAAAAGCAAAAATTACATTGCTTAAATACATTATTTAGTAAATTACAAATTAATCAATCAATTATCTTTTGTAATTCAACCAATAGAGTTGAATTATTAGCAAAGAAAATTACTGAATTAGGTTATTCATGTTATTATTCTCATGCTAAAATGCCTCAACAAGCAAGAAATAAAGTTTTCCATGAATTTAGACAAGGTAAAGTTCGTAATTTAGTTTGTTCAGATTTATTAACTAGAGGTATTGATATTCAAGCTGTTAATGTAGTTATTAATTTTGATTTCCCCAAGACAGCTGAAACTTATTTACATAGAATTGGTCGTTCTGGTAGATTTGGTCATTTAGGTTTAGCTATTAATTTAATGAGTTGGAATGATAGATACTCATTATATAAAATTGAACAAGAATTAGGTACAGAAATTAAACCAATTCCGGGAACTATTGATAAATCTTTATATGTTGCAGAAAATGCTGATGCAGTTCCAAGACCATTTAAGATTGATGAATTACCAAAAGGTAATGAAACAGTGAATAAAAAGACTGGTTATGAATATAAAGGTCAACCTGAAGTTAATCCAGTAGCAGCTGCTACTCATCATGCTCCTCAACCTCAACCTCAACCTCAAACATATCCTCCACAACAACATATTCCTCCTCACCAATTTAATGGATATCCTCCATATCAACAAGGAGCTCCACCCCCACAATTTGCTGGATATCCACCTCAATTCAATGGTCAATATCCTCCTCCACCACAACAACAATATCAACAAACCCCATCATCTCAACCATATCAATAATGAAACATAATGATTTTTTTTAAAAATAAAATTTATTACAACACATACGCACAAACAAGACCACGCTTAAATGTTTAGATCTACTTAATTTTAGTTCAAAAAGAATTCTTGTTTGATTTCAATATGCTTTAGATCTTTGTCTTTTATTTATATGATTTTTGGGGGTGCTTTAATATTTTGTTTCTTTCTTTCCTTCCTTCTTTGTTTCTATTATTGTTCTTATAATTTTGAAAGAAGATTTAATTCTTTCCCTTTAATGAGTGAATGCTTTCTTTTCTTAAGTTGTTATCATTATACACCATGTTTTATATATACATATAACATGGATTATTATAATGTTATTTGATTGATTTTTACTAGCTACGGAGTTATAATTTACTGTTTGCTTGTTTATACTGATACTACTATTTTTTTATCATCATTAGTATTTTTTTTTATCCTTGTTTCCTGATTTATTCCTACTTATCAATTGACGAATCCCCGGGAAGGTAATCAACACCGGCTAACCTTCTACATTGTAAATTTACTTCATAACATGACTCATTCCATGAGTCGTACAACCATTCATTCGTCTAATACTTTATATATAAAATCCTTAAAAAAACCTCTTTTTTTTTTTTTTTGCAGTCTTGCATTTTTCTTTTATATAGTCTAATACAATAACCATTAGATGGTATACTAGAGTAAGGTAGAGTAGTGTAGAGTAGTGTAGGTATATTAGTTTGGTGTAATAGTAATTCAGTAGTATAATACTTGTGTAATGAGCCTGACTATTAGTAAATAGTAATAGTAATAAATTGTAATAGTAATAAATTGTAATAGTAATAAATTGTAATAGTAATACTAATGGTAACGAACTGGTAGGGACGGCTATCATCGGAAGTATGCGGGCTTTTCGCAGACTGTCCTATTTTGACTCCTATCAATTGCAATAAACTAGGCTAATCACAAAACCATCGATACTGATACATGATGAGAATTGATGATTGCATATAATTATGGGGTTTGACTTCTTTATCAATATTTAATTAGTAGTTAATTCACTTATTCTCGCTTAACTATAGTTAGTTCAGGTAGTACATTGTAGACATAAAAAATACAACCTAAGCTAACCGTTACCCCTTTAGGCCAAAAGACTACTCATCGAAAAGCTTTTTATTTTTCTGAATAATTTTTTTTTCACTAATACCGTAGTGAAAAAAAATTTTAGACTATATGGAGAAGTTAGTTGTTGCTTACTTTTTCTTTCTTTTTTAAGGTATACTTCTATTATAGATACGTATTCTTCAAGGAGTCGTTTGAGCGATCATCACTCAAGTTGTAGTTAAGGGTCAATTATCAGGGTAACCTTTTCGATTCAACTCAAATCATCAATTACCTAGAAATAGAAATAGAACTAGAATTATACTAAACTAGACTAGACTAAAATTAAAATAATTTGATTCAAAATGTGTGGTATTTTAGGAGTAGTCTTACATGATCAACGTCAAAATGTTGCCAATGAACTTTTTGAAGGAGCTATGTTTTTACAACATAGAGGTCAAGATGCTGCTGGAATAGTTACTTGTGGATCTAAAGGTAGATTCTATCAATGTAAAGGAAATGGTATGGCTCGTGATGTCTTTACTCAACAAAGAATGGAAAATTTAGTTGGTAATATGGGTATAACTCATTTAAGATATCCAACTGCTGGTTCTTCTGCTGGTAGTGAAGCTCAACCATTTTATGTTAATTCTCCTTATGGAATTTCTTTAAGTCATAATGGGAATTTAGTTAATAGTATTGAATTAAAAGAATATTTAGATGAAGTTGTTCATAGACATATAAATACTGATTCTGATTCTGAATTATTAATTAATGTCTTTGCTGCTGAACTTGAAAAATTCAATAAATCAAGAGTTAATAATTTAGATTTATTTAGTGCATTAACTGGTACTATGAATAAAATCAGAGGTGCTTATGCTTGTATTGTTATGTTAGCTGGGTATGGTATCATTGGGTTTAGAGATCCAAATGGTATAAGACCATTATTATATGGTGAAAGAGTTAATAAAGATGGTACATCAGATTATATGTTAGCATCTGAATCAGTTGTATTAAAAGCTCATGGTTTTGAAAATTTTAGAGATATTAAACCTGGTGAAGCTGTTATTATTAAAAAAGATAGTAGTAAAAGTAAACCAGAATTCCGTCAAGTTGTTGAACCAAAGATTTTTGCTCCTGATATTTTTGAATATGTTTATTTTGCTAGACCAGATTCTGTTATGGATGGTGTTTCAGTATATAGATCTCGTATTGAAATGGGGATTAAATTAGCTGAAAAGATTTCTAAAATAATGGAAAAAGATCCTGATTTTAAAATCGATGTTGTCATTGCTGTTCCTGATACTTCTCGTACATCTGCTTTCCAATGTGCAGTTTCATTAAATATTCCATATCGTGAAGGATTTGTTAAAAATAGATATATTGGTCGTACATTTATAATGCCTGATCAACAACAAAGAAGATCATCTGTGAGAAGAAAATTAAATGCTATGGAATCAGAATTTAAAGATCGTAATGTTTTATTAGTTGATGATTCTATCGTTAGAGGAACTACTTCAAAAGAAATTGTTGCAATGGCTCGTGAAGCTGGAGCTAAAAAAGTTTATTTTGCATCATGTGCTCCACCAATTAGATTTAATCATATTTATGGTATTGATTTAGCTGATACTAAGGCACTTGTTGGTTTTGAAAGAGATGAAGAAGCTATTTCTAAAGTTATCGGGGCTGATAAAGTTGTATATCAAGACTTACAAGATTTAGTTGATTGTTGTAAATCCGAAGAACTTCAACAATTTGAAGTAGGGGTATTCACAGGTGAATATATTACAGGGATTGAAGATAATTATATTCAAGAATTAGAGAAAATTAGAGCTCAAAATCAAAGAATAAAAGATCAACGTTCAAGAGGTTTAAGTATTGATGCTTGTATTGATGTTGGTGATATGGTTGATGTTAAAGCAGAAGTTGATATCAGTATGTACAATAGAGGTGATTATGCTTAAAGCCCAACTATTCATTAAATTCATTTACCTTTTAGTCATTTCCTTAGATTATGTATATTATGAAAAGTAATATTTAATAAATTATTAATATTTATAGTAGAGATTATTTAATGTTTGTAGTAGAGATTATTTATTATTTATAGTAGAAGGCTATTGCAAAAACTTGATACAGATATTGCAGCAAAATAATGAGGATTCTACAAACAAACTATAAACGTGGACATAGGCCGAATATATACGAACTAAAAATTACACTTATAAACGGTTAGATCTGGAATGTCTCTCCGATGTGTCAAATTCAAACGGCTCATTTCAGTATGAGCATCTCAAGTCAAGTCCGAATGTAATAGTTGAAAATTTCATAATGTTAGTACTTAGTTACACAAACTGCAGTTGTCAAAAATTACTGGTTGTTCTATGAAATGACGCGTTACACGTCTTTTTTTTTCTTTTCTTTTATCTTGAATATAGCAACCTAAAGGAGATATAGCGGACTGAAAATATGGATGTGGTGGTATTAGAGTTGGAATGTTGATGGCTTATTAGTACAATACTTTATCGATTAAACGGTTTGGTTTGCATTGTAATGTAAATCTTTGATATGACAGTTGGAATAATGAATGTTACTGGCATTATTAAGCCAACCTGTAAAAAAAGATCTATTGTTAGTTTATTCTTTTTTTACAGGTTGTCTCAGTATATCTGGATAATTTCAGAACCTTCATTAACGTATAGGGGGTCCACATTACAGAGGAGATTTGAGTAGTAATGCGTTTTGAGCAGGTTAAACTAGCCCAACGAAGTTTGTATGTTATATAATAAAAATTATAGTAAATACCAATAGTAATAAGAATAAGAATAATAATAATAATAATAAGAATAATAATAATAAAATAATAATATTAATATTTATATTTATCCGTCGCCTTAAAGGTATAGTTGCAATTAGCCAATGAGCCAATAACCAATCAATTGTTTATTTGTTTCTTCTCTTTGTTTGTGTATAATATTATTTGTATATATACATTTAAAGCATTACGTGTATCACATCTTTGTAACACTGTACCTTACCAAAACAATCGATCTATTACATAACAATAAGCAAATATATACTAACTACAACACATGTTAATCAACCAACATTATTGGATTTATGCACGTCCAACACACGCTTTTTATTTCACTTGGATGTACTCCCCCAGTTTGTGTAAGTATTTTGTTGTTCATTTCCATCACTACAAAAATTATTTTTTTTAGCTCGAAAAAATCTATAAACTGAACAATAAACCTCAAACACCGTTCCCAGTGAGTTCTTATTTGTAAGTGTGATTTTCTTGTTGGATTGAATTTTGTTTGTCTGTCTGTCTTGATCTTTAACTATTAGATCTTTCAATCCATATTCATTACTTAATCATTATATTATATTGTTACAAGTGTAATCTGTATTATCAGTCGCACTCATTTCAATAGATTTCATTCAACCTTTTACCTCATATCTAGTGTATGGGATTATTACTGTTTTATCTTATTTCTCAATCAGTATATCTTATAAAACGTAAATTTTACGATAAATCCAAACTAAAACTCAAATATAATAATAATATCAATATCAATATGGAAAAGCAATCTAATCTCGGATCAATATCCAATTCTGGTCCAATCTCAATCTTATCTTATTGTATATCATCAATTCTTATGACTGTTACCAATAAATATGTTTTGTCAGGTTTTTCATTTAATTTAAATTTCTTCTTATTGGCAGTTCAATGTATTGTTTGTATTGTAACCATTGGTTCTTTAAAATCTTTTGGAATTATTACTTATAGACAATTTAATTCTGATGAAGCTAAAAAATGGTCTCCAATTGCTTTCTTATTAGTTGCTATGATTTATACTGCTTCAAAGGCTATTCAATATTTATCTATTCCAGTTTATACTATCTTTAAGAATTTAACTATTATTTTAATTGCTTATGGTGAAGTCTTATGGTTTGGTGGTTCTGTTACTTCAATGACTTTAGGTTCTTTCTTATTAATGGTTTTATCTTCTGTTATTGCTTGGTATGGTGATACTGCTAATGCTTCAACTACTGCTACCCTTTATGAATTATATATTGGTTACTTCTGGATGTTTGTTAATTGTTTTGCTTCTGCTGCCTTTGTTTTATTCATGAGAAAGAGAATAAAGTTAACTAACTTTAAAGATTTCGATACTATGTTCTACAATAACTTATTATCAATTCCAATTCTTTTAATTTCTTCTTTTATTTTTGAAAATTGGTCTGCTGAAAATGTTGCCTTAAATTTCCCAGAAGATAATAGATTTGCTACAATTGCTGCTATGGTTTTATCTGGTGCTTCATCTGTTGGTATTTCTTATTGTTCAGCTTGGTGTGTTAGAGTTACTTCTTCTACTACTTATTCTATGGTTGGTGCTTTAAATAAATTACCAATTGCTTTATCTGGATTAATATTCTTTGAAGCTGCTGTTAATTTCTGGTCTGTTTCTTCTATCTTTGTTGGTTTTATTGCTGGTTTAGTTTATGCTGTGGCCAAACAAAGACAACAAAAGCAAGCTTCCCAATCAACTTTACCATCTTCTAAGTAAGATTCCATTGCATAGCTTCATTGAATCAAGTGAATAGTTGAATAATAGACTTTCAATGTCTTATTTATTTCTTTCTTCTTTCTTTCCTCTTTCTTTCTTATCTCTACCATCTATTCTCACTTAACTATAGAGTTTAATACCTTATTCCCATATTTTTTTATTCTCCATTCTCATTATCTATTTTTATCCTAAATCATCCTCCTCTACTTTATTACACTCCTTTATATTATATTATATTATATTATCTTATATCCTATATAGCTATACATTATATAATTGTTTTTATAAATTCATATGCTTAATAGTTAATTGCTAATAGTTAATAGTTAATCGTTTTTAGTTGATTGTTCTGTATACCGTACCCTCACTAAGCCCGTGATGATGCTCGTGAAAAATAAACATATACTGAAAAATTCATTCATCTCCGATCATTAAAACTACTAACTACTAAGTACTAAGTACTAACAAGATCTAATAATATCTAATTACTGGTTACCAATATATTAGTGTGGATTATAGTTACTGGGTTGTTGTGTCCAATTCAGTATAATCAAAAGAAATCATTTAATTCAATCATTAGTTATTGAATAATCAGTTAGTATACCATACCATACCATTCATTGAAATTAACTAGTACCTATAGTAAAGCCAAATTAACGAGCGACAGACAGAATGTCACAGGACAATTCATTAGAATCAATTACTAAGTTCTTAGAACTTTCATTATTACCTGCTACAGCCAAAGAAGCAGAAATTAAATTAAAATCAATTGAATCATTACCAGGATTTTCAATTACTTTACTTCATGTTATTGATTCAACAAATATTGCTAATGAAATTCGATTAGCTGGAGCTCTATTCTTTAAAAATTTAGTTAAAAGGAAATGGTTAAATGAAGATGGTCATTATCTTTTACCAGTTGATGATGTAGTTAAAATTAGAGCTGAAATTTTAGATATTATGATTAAATTACCAGGAAATCTTCAAATTCAAATTGGTGAATCAATTACTTTAATTGCTGAAAGTGATTTCCCACAAAATTGGTCAACATTAATCGATCAACTTGTAGCTAAATTATCATTAACTGATTTTATAACTAATAGAGCCATACTTGATGTTAGTCATTCAATCTTTAAAAAATGGAGACCATTATTTAGATCAGATGAATTATTTTTAGAAATTAAATTAGTATTAGAAAAATATACTGATCCATTTCTTAAATTATTTCTTGAATTAGATCTGTTAATTGATAAAAATAATACCAATGAAGCATTATTAAATATTTATTTTGAAAATTTATTACTTTTAATTCAAATTTATTATGATTTTAATTGTCAAGATATTCCTGAATTTTTTGAAGATAATATGAATATTCTTATGAATATTATTCATAAATATTTAAATTATACTAATGAATATATTAATAAACCTTCAGAAGATGATGAAGCAGATATATTAATTAAATTAAAAACTTCAATTATTGAATTAATTTCAATTTATGTTTCAAGATATTCTGATGTATTTGAACCATTAATTCAAAATTTTATAACCAGTATTTGGGATTTAGTTAATAATTTTGTTACTAGACAACAAAAATTTGATTTATTAGTGGTTAAAGCTCTACAATTTTTAACTTCAATAGTTAAATTTCAAAATTATCAATCAATTTTTCAAAATGAATCATCAATTAATGAAATTATTGAAAAGATTATTTTACCAAATATTTATTTTCGTGAATCAGATGAAGAAATGTTTGAAGATGAACCAATTAATTTTATTAGATCTGATTTAGAAGGTAGTGATTTTGATTCAAGACGGAAATCAGCCACTGATTTTCTTCGAGAATTAAAAGATTTAAGTCCTGAATTACTTACTTCATCAGTAATGAAATATGTTAATCAATTTTTATCAACTTCATCACGTTCAGATGATTGGAAAAATAAAGATACAGCAATTTATCTCTTTAGTTCATTAGCTACTAAAGGTTCAATAACTAATCTTGGAGTTACTTCAACTAATGTTTTAGTTGATGTTATTAAATTCTTTACTGATAATATTGCTAGTGATTTAATAAGTAATGAACTGCATCCAATCCTCATTACTGATGCAATTAAATATATTTTTACATTTAGAAATCAATTAAATAAAGATCAATTATTATCAGCATTACCATTATTAATTAATCATTTAACTAGAAATCAAAATACTGTGGTATATACTTATTCAGCCATTACAATTGAAAAATTATTATCTATGACGGATTTTAATACTGATCATACTCCAATCTTTAATAAACAAGATATAAATCCATTTATTAATGAATTAATTACAAATTTATTTAAATTGATTTTATTACATGATTATACTCCGGAGAAATTAGCCGAAAATGAATTTTTAATGAAATGTATTATGAGAATTTTATTAACTAGTGAAGATTTAATTCAAGATAGATTATCAATTATAGAACAATTATTAAAGATTCTTAAAATTACTGCACAAAATCCTTCAAATCCAAAATTTTCTCATTATACTTTTGAATCAATTGGTTTATTAATTAAATTTGGTTTAACAGATTTAAATAAATTTATTGAATTAATTATTCCAGCTTTATTAAATATTTTAGGTGATGATGTTCAAGAATTTGTTCCATATACTTTTCAAATTTTAGCATTTTTATTAGAAAATTATCCAATTGGAGCAGGAATACCAGAAACTTATAAAAGTTTAATAAAACCTTTACTTTCTCCATCAGTTTGGGAATTTAGAGGAAATATTCCTGGTATTACAAGATTATTAGTAACTATACTTGAACATGATTCATCAATTTTCACTATTAGTACTACTGATTTAACCCCTTTATTAGGAGTCTTTCAAAAATTAATTGCTTCAAAAGCAAATGATACTCATGGATTTGAATTATTAGAAAGTATATTTTTAAATATCCCCCTTAATTTCTTACAACCATTCTTTAATCAAATTGCTATATTATTATTAACAAGATTAAAGAATTCCAGAACTGATAAATTTGTTAAAAGATTTACATTATTCTTTTCAACAATTATTTTAAGTGATTCAAAAATTCCTAATAGTGGAGATTTTATAATAAATTTTATAGATTCAGTTCAAGAAAATTTATTTCAACAAATATTTACAAATTTTGTATTACCAACATCTAATTCAATTATTAATTTACATGATAAAAAGATTATTAATGTTGGTATATCACAATTATTAAAAAGTTCATTGTTTTTAACTAAATATCAAGTATTAGTTGTACCAACAATAGAACAATTGGTTAATAATTTATCTTCATATGAAGGTATTAATACTAATACAAATTCTTCGGCAATTCAAGGTAGTTTAACTGGTAATGGAAGTGTTATAGTCAATGAAAATGAAATTGATTTAGAAAGTGCATCATTTGGTTCACAATTTTCAAGAATTATTTCAATTAATATCGAACCATTTGATCCAATTAAACAACTTAAGAATAATAATTATACTGAAATCAAATTTACAATACTAGCCAATATAAAATTAGTGGATGTGCAAATATTGAATCAATTGAATGATCAAACAAAGAGTTCACTTAAAAGTTTAGGAATTTAATTAAAATTAGAAGTTTACTGTATTTAATTAATTGTTTATTTATTTATTTATTTATTATACATGAATAGGTAATCAATGTATACAAACTTATAAGTAGTAGTGTAGTTAAATGTAAACCAACCAGAGAAAGTTAGTGCAAGATCTCTTTACACCAATAACAATATATATTGCTTAAAAATAATACATAACATAAACTAAAAGGAAATCAAACAGAAGTCGTATATAATGTTTTATGAATTAAAATGAAATTAAAGTCAATTTATGAATTTATATTATTATTACTTTAAATCATTACAATTTTAGAAGGTTTAACTTTTCATAATTTCAAACAGGAAGGAAGGAAGTTACTAAATCTACGAATTGTTTTCAGCTGCATTAATCAAATTTTCAAACATGGCATCTTCTTCGGGATTATTTATCTTTAAAGCTGCTTTCTTTTCAATAGATGTTGATTCATTATTAGATGGCTCAGAATCAAAAGTATCTTGTACTTCTGATACTACTGTACCTTGACCATCATCATTTGTTTCAGCATTATTATCATTTTCTTCATTTTCATTATTTTCATTATTCTTATCTTCTAATTCTTTTAATTTTTCAAGTCTTTCCTTTTCCGCTATTTCAGCTGCCGTTAAGAATCGTCCTCCTTGACCTCTAGGTCTTCTCATAGCATGTTTATGTCTTGATTCATGTAAATAAGGTTTTCTGGTTCTTGCTATTTTCAAATTTTCTTCTAATTTGGCTCGAGCTATTCTTCTTTTTAATATTCTATGATATTGTTTGGCATTAACATAAAATGGTTGTTCACCTCCTTGATCTGCTCCTCCTACAGGACTAGTATCATCATTTTTTTCTTCTTCAAAATATTGAGTCACTTGAGTGGGTTGTACTTGTGATTGTTGTTGATTATCATAGTATGGAGTGGAATGACTTGAATTAGATGATGGTGAACCTGATTCCATTTGTGACTCTATACTTGTCGTACTTGTGGTGGTAGTATTATTATTATTATTATTTGTGGTATTATTACTTGTGGTATTATTAGGGATATAGAAAGATCTTCCCGAGGAGTTTGGATAATAGTTAGTTGTATCACTTACAGTACTATGCAATGATGTCATTTGCGGTTAACTAACTTTATAATAAAGAATATAGAATGTTGCAATCAATATATAAAATCACAATATGGCTTGGAATGTAAGAATTGAAAAAATTAAAAAATGTATTACCAGAATGCTAACAATATTTGAATTAACAATAGTTGAATAATAAAAGTTGAGTAATTATTGGAAGTGGTGTAAAATCAGTCACAGTCTTCGTTAAAGTAGTATCTCACGATTTAGTATGGGTAGAAATCAATTATGGTGTAAAAGGTTGAAAAATCGGTGTTTTTCACTCTCCAAGTCTCTTTCCATTTTATTTTTCGCTTTGTCCTTTTTGAGACATTTGTTAACATAGTGGACTATTCTTTTTATTTTTTCTTGGGGTCGGGAGTACATGCCGATTTTCGGGTTATGGGCACTACTCATATAAGGTCGTTTCTTAATTATATATTTTATATACTTGTATGTAAATTATATAACATAATCATATATTCATTATATTTCGGGTGATGATAGTCGAGTGAAGTCAATATTAAGTACGGGACTTTCTGTTGTTTCCAATCTTGGACTTTCCATTAATGCTATGGCTGAATGTAGAGCTTTATTTCTAACTGATTTAGTAGAATTAAATGTGGTAATAGGTATAACAGTTTCAGAATAATGATTTATCCTATTAATTGATGTAGAATTAAAGTTACTTTGTATGGGTAACAGTTGATTTTGAGGATATTTGAAATCTTCTTCATCAGATTGCACACAATCCTGTTGCATCGCTATCATGTTAAGAATATGATTTTTATTACAGTGAAGTGAATGTGATTGTGATTGTGATTGTGATTGTAAATTTATACTTGAACTCGATTTAATGGTAGTAATACTATCAGATGAATTTTTATTTGGGAAAAGGTGCGATTCAGAGATATCTGTAAAATCCAGAAACGGTGATGGAAGAAACTGATCGAAAGGTGAATTGCCGGTTGTTGACGATTCTTCTAAGTTATTTAAAATATTGGTTCCTTGACCTATTGGTATGGATATTTGTGGAGAAACATTATCAGTACGTTTCCTTTTCGATTTATTTTTCTTTTCTTCATCGATATACTTCACTTGACCCAATTTCTTGTACAATTCTTTAGTTGCATCTGGCCAAACACATTGTAGCTTTTTAGATTCACAATTGTTACAAATAGGGTACAGTGATTCATCACATTTCTTCTTTCTCCTTCGACATGTGTAGCAGCCTGTACGTGATCTACTTACCCTCGGCTTCATGGTTAAGTTGCTTTGATACTGATTTCATACCAAAGTGAATTAAATGAATGTCTTAGGTGTTATTAGTCATCCCAATTGGGTAAAAAATTCTTAAGATAACCGCGCTTACCCATATAACGACAACTAGAAGAAGAAAAAAAAGTTGCTTTTACGAACAAGAAATTAAGTCTGCAAAAATCTAAAGGTTAGCTGAGCTCCTTTGGAATTGGAATACTATAATTTATTGTTATACGAAGTGTCTGAATAAATACAGAAGTATTGAGATGTAAATAAGACTTAAAGTTCTAATTGTAAAAATGGATTCATTACGTAGATACATTAAAGCAATTTATAAAAATAAAACATTTTTTTTTTTTTTTTTATTCATTTACATATAATGATTCAAACTATATTCGTAAATCGGATAATTAATGCTATTTATACAGTTGTTACAGAAGATGTAGTTAATAATGAATATAGATGATATAAGTTACAAATTAAATACTCAATAAAGTAACAAGAAGGGTCCTACAGAAACAGAGATTTTACAGATTGAGTACATACAAATATTTTACAGGTTTGACCCGGATTAACAAAACAAAATGTCGTGGTTTGTCGCGCTACAAATGTCTGTCTATATCAATAAAGTGAAATATTGATCTCGAATAGGACAACCAGTCAACGAATATAAGTAATATTTATTAAAATTATTAGCAAATGGCTTCGCTCGGTTCAATTGAGCCTAACCATGTGGACCAAAGGGATTTGGAATTAAATCCTGAAGACCAAACTGTCGATGAAATTTTTAAAAAGAATACAATTCCTGAAGTTCAAAGACTTAATAGACAATATAAGCAAAAGATTGAAACTAGTAAACATGATTTACATACATTAGTTGGATCAAAATATCGAGATTTAATTAAGATAGCTGAAGATATTGATGATATGTATAATGTTTCATATGGAAGTGACGGACGAATATCAGATTTATCATATAAACCATCTAAATTTTTAAAATTATCCAATACTAATAGTTATTCAAAATTTGATACACTTATAAGATCTAAAAAGGCATCAGAAGCTAGAAATAAAAATAAAATAAGAATTTTAAGATCTTTAATTTATAATCGATTAGAGAAATTAGATTTAAAAATAGCTACTAATAAATCATTATCTCCATTAATTCATTCATCAAATTTAATTTATTATGCAAAATTATATTATTCAATTGAAACTTTATTTAGTGATATATTAAAGGAAAATATTTATATTCAATCTAAATTTCAAGCATTAAAATCCAATTTCATTAAATTTGTTGAATTTGAATTATCTCATTATAATGTACTTGAACAAAGTGTTTATGGAGGTGTAAATGATAAAGTAACTCCTCAACTGAGATTAGTATTTACAGATTTAATTAATACTCAACCAATATTATTAGATGATGATTTAAGAATATATGAAGAATTCATTCAAGATGATAATTATGATGATGGAGAAGAAGAAGATAAATTCGAAGATGAAGAAGTTGTATTTTCAAAATTAGAATCATTTAATAAAAATTCTATACCTATAGTTAATTTTTTATTAGCATATACAATTATAAATCGTACAAATCCTGATTTAGATACTTTATCAAAAATCCTTGAAAAATTTTATGAATTAAGGTATAATTATCTTGAATCATTATTAAAACCTTTAGTTAAATATGGTCCAACAAAAGTTAACTTTTTAAAGATATTTAGATATATTGAAAATTCTTGTATTTATACTGATAAATATCTTAAAGATATTAATAGTATATTTTTTATAAATTTAAAATCTTATACAAAAAGTTGGGATGCTACACAATTAATTGGATTTAAAGATTGGATAGAAAATGGAGAAATTTATTTTAATCAATCAGTTTATCTTATTGAAATTCCTAAATCAGTTTCATTAACTTTAGCTGAATCCAATCAACAATGGATTACTTTATTAACTCAATTTTTAATAGATTCTACCAATAATTCTCGATTTAATGAATATGAGAAATTAGATAATTCATTAATAATGTTTCATAATTTTATTACTGATTTATCAAAATTATTTGATTATGCTAGTTATAATTATTCAAATTCAAAATTAATTGATTTAATAATTCTATCAAATAAAGATAATATTGCTGTTAAATGTCTTGATATTATATTAAATAAATCTGAATCAGTATATTCTACATTATTTGCTGAATTATTCTCAGAATCACAAAATAGTATTTCAAATACTATTGAAACTAATTTATCTAATCATACATTTAATTCAACTAAGAGGAATTTACAATTATTCTCTAAAGATTTGACTCAATTAATTGATAAAAGATTAGAAAAATATATTGAAATTATGACAGATATGTCATTATCAACTTCTAATGATGAAGTATGTGAATCAATTCAAAATTGGTTTGGGAATTTTGTTAAACTTAATAATTTAATTGATTATAAGAAAGAAATTGATTCTAATAAATTAACAGCTTTAAACAGTCTTAGTAGTATCTACAAATTAATTTCTAGACCTTCATCAACCAATAAGAAGGAAATTAAATGGGGGAATTTCTCCAGTAATTTATTCGATATAGAATTAGAAAAATTACATGAAAAGATCCTTGCAGACTTTTGGAATAATATCAATCACTTTATAGAAAGGGTAAATTTATTAATAAAGGAATCTCAACATAATAATATTATATCGAATTATTATGTCTTGGGTATTTTACTTGTTGTTAAAGATAACATTACTAATATTAATCATCTTAAGGAGAAAAGTCAACCTACTTTAGATAATATCGATAGTATTACTAAAAGTTTATTTGAAAGTATTATTTCTAATATTCCTGATGAAAATTTTACTAATAAATTCGATACCAACATCACAGTAATTTTGAAAAATTCTGGTCCAACTACTGAATTACCATTACGTCCATCTATGGGGTTATCAGCACTTATGTATCATATTTCTAAGAATTTCTTATCGGCTGGTCTAGATTCTGATGAACTTCATTTTGGAAAACTATTCCTGAATCCTCTAATTAATGGTATATTCATTGATATCAAGAATCAATGGATTGAGGATAAGTTAATTACTAAACTCTATTCATGTTTGAATGAAGTCAAACTGGTTGTGGAAGTACCTAATGGAAAGAATGGGAATGAGAATAAAGAAGAGGAACAACAGGAAGAGGAAGAAAAGAAGGAAGTTGTTGATCAGACCGATGAGGAACACGAAGATCAACCTCAGTCAACCCCTCACCATCATAAGGAAGCATTAAGTTTATTTGCAGATATTGCCTTTCTTCTACAGTTCACTCAGACTGAGCCAATTAAGGAGATTTCCCATAGCCAATTGAAAAGTGCATTGGATCATATTAATGAATATTATGGAGAAAATTCAATTGATGATACAACCGCCAATATAATTACTAATGGAGTAGCTGAATATTACCGATCAAGCAAAGCAATGTATTTACCATTACTGATAACTAATTAAACCTTTATATATATATATATTAATAAACCAATAGTACATAGTCTAATAGAGGTAAATTTTTGAACCAGAATTAGTTAATTCCTTTAATGCATCAGTTGTTTCCTTTATATCCCAAATATTTTGACTCTTTACATCTAAATATGAATTATCAACTATTATAACTTTAATTTCTTCTTGTTTAATTGCTTTATCTTCATTATTTAATACTTTAAGTAATCGTCCTGGTGTACAACAAAGTATACGAGAATTAGTTGTTTTTAATAATTTTAAATCTACTTCAATTTTATTTTTATTAATAACTTTAAGTGATGAACCACTTAAATCTTTGGTAGCTCTATGAATATCACAAGCTCTAATGGCAGACATTGATACAATAGCAATGAATTTTCTTTCTTCATTAGATACTGAAGTTTCATTGTTCTTGTTCTTGTTCTTGTTCTTGTTCTTACTTTTCTTATTCTTCTTCTTAGATGATTCAGGTAACATATTACTAAATCTTCCAGTAATAAATTTACTTAACCCATCTAAATTCCGTTTGTCGGAGAATTCAGATGATGACCGTATATCTGATTTTTTAAAATAAAGTTCTGATAATTCTAATGCTGAAAGATCTGAATTCTTTCGTAAGATTTTATTATTGATATAATCAGTAATTACTTGAGCATCTGATTCAAGAGATAAATTCTTTTTCTGGTGAATATCCATTTCGACTTTTAATCTCTTCTTTTCTTGTAATTTATTGGTAGTCTTCTTTCTCTTTTTAGATTCTGGTTCATTACTTACTTCATCAGTAGTAGTGGTTGTAGTACTGGCAGTGACTTCATTATCACTTTCATCGTTATTCTCAAATTCTGAATTAGAAGCATCATTCCCTTCCGGTTCAGAAAACTCCACATCATATGATAAACCATCATCGAGATCGTCAGCAGCTGGCATGTTTAGTTGTTTGTTCGTAGTGCTTAATGGTGAGTGCTTAGTGCAGTGCTTAGTACTTAGTGAGAGATGAGTAGCGATAAATAATTTTTCAGCCAGTCGCACTATGGAGATGTGAAAAATTAAAAATTATATTATTCACCATAGTTAAGACATTAGTGAGATACTACTTCACCGTACTATAAATCATGTACAGATTGGCTAGTAGACGTAAACGTGACCTATTTCGAGGTTTACAAAAACAACTAAGTCGAACCATAATTATTAATGCCGATTTAAAACAAAAATTATCTCAATCTCCTGAACTTCCTGTAGTAGTTATTGGTGGAGGACATGCGGGATGTGAAGCAGCTACTGGATCTGCAAGATCAGGTACTATGACAACTTTAATTACTCCTCATATAGATAAAATAGGTACTGCTTCATGTAATCCATCAATGGGAGGTGTAGGTAAGGGAACTTTACTTCGAGAAGTTGATGCCTTAGATGGAGTTGCTGCAAGAATAACTGATAAAGCTGGTATACATTTTAAAATTTTAAATGCTTCAAAAGGTCCTGCAGTTCATGGTCCAAGAGCTCAAATTGATAGACTGATTTATTTAAAAGAAATGCAAAATGAAATCCTTAATTATCCTAATTTAAATGTTATGGAAGCAAAAGTTGATGATATTATTATTGAACCTAATGAAATTCAAGGTAAAGATTCTACTGGTAGAAAATATGGTATTGTAAGAGGATTACTTTTAAGTGATGGAAGAATATTTAATTGTTCTAAAATTGTTGTTACAACTGGTACATTTTTAGGAGGAGAAATTCATATAGGTTTAACTGCTTATCCTGCTGGACGTATTGGAGAAGAAGCAACTTTTGGATTATCAGATACTTTTAGAGATGCTGGTTTTAGATTAGGACGTCTTAAAACAGGTACTCCATGTCGTCTTTCATCAAAAACTATTGATTATACCCATTTGATTCCTCAACCATCTGATTTCCCTCCTCAACCAATGTCATATATGAATGAAAAAGTTGAATTACAAGATCATTTACTTACATGTCACCAAACTCATACAACTCCAGAATTTCATAAGATAATAGCAGAGAATTTGGATAAATCTATTCATATAAGAGAAACTGTTAAAGGTCCTCGGTATTGTCCTTCGATAGAATCAAAAATTATAAAGTTCCCTAATAAGGATTTACATACCGTATGGTTAGAACCAGAAGGTTTAGATACAGATTTAGTATATCCAAATGGTATTTCATGTACAATGCCAGCCGATATTCAAGAAAGAATAGTTCGATTTATGCCTGGTTGTGAAAATGTAAAGATGGTTCAACCAGGTTATGGTGTTGAATATGATTATGTAGATCCAAGAGAATTAAGAAATACTCTTGAAACTAAATTAGTGGATGGTCTTTATTTAGCTGGTCAAATTAATGGTACTACTGGTTATGAAGAAGCAGCATCCCAAGGTTGTTTAGCTGGTATCAATGCCGGATTATCTTATTTGAATAAACCTGCATTAGAAATTAGTAGAGCTGATGGTTATATTGGAGTTCTTGTAGATGATTTAATTACGAAAGGTGTAGAGGAACCATATAGAATGTTCACTTCTCGTTCAGAATTTAGAGTTTCAATAAGATCAGATAATGCTGATACGAGACTTACAGAAAAGGGATATGCTGCAGGAGTAGTTGGTGAAGAAAGATATAAGAAATATTCTCAAGAGATGAAACAATTTAATCAAATTAAACAACATTTAAATGAATTAGTACTTTCAGGAGCGGTTTGGGCTCCGGCATTGAAAGGTTTACCTCTGGATCTTAGTAAAGATACTCTGGTAAGTGGATGGAAACTCCTTTCTTATAGAGATATGCTGATAAGTGATTTAATACCTCATATGAATAAATTTATTCGAGATGGAAATGTACCTCAATTCTATGAGAATATTACCCCAAGATTAAGAAATAAAATTGATGTAGAAAGTGATTATGCACCTTGGTTATCTAAGGAAAAGTATCATCTTAGTGCTTATAATGCTGATGAAAATTTATTACTTCCATTAAATCATACATATACTTATGAAGGTAATATGAAAATATCTCATGAAGTATGTACATTATTAAATACTATTCAACCTAAAACAATTGGTCAAGCTAGACGTATTCAAGGGGTAACTCCTGCAGCCATATTTGAATTATTCAAATTAGCTAAGGGTAATCAAGCAGCATTCAGTGAACAAAGAAATCAACAAGCTGCTTAATCTTAAGTATATATTCTATAAAATTAACTTGTATATAAAATGTTTATTAATTATAATAACAGGGGTAAAGAAATTAAATGGATTCATCCAGTTCCGATTCAGAATTAAATGTATCTCTATTGATTTTTGAACTAGAAACATTTAAACTGTCATCTAATTGTAATAATAACTCAAGAGGAAGATAATTTTGAGCTAACAGAGAAATCTTATTGATTTCTTTATCTCTTGAAGAAGTTTGTCCGGCAAACTTTATTCTATTTAAGTATAATAATACATCCTTCATTTTAATTTGGGAAGACTTTCCATTTGTTCTATGATTGGCATAAGCTTCTAAATCAGATAGTAATGAAGATAAAAAAATATCAGATTTTTCTTGAATGGTTTGATAGATATCTGAACTCAATGGTTTATCGAGTCTTGGTTTCTTTTTAGAAATATGAGTATTTTCATTAACAGAATGTAATCTAATTGAATTAACTAAATTTTTAACTGATTTCAATGGTAGAGATGCTCTTGATTGTGTAGACATCATTCTGCTAGTTGAAATACTTCGTATACGTTCATGTTTATCTCCTGTAGTTTCATCATATTCAATATTATGTTCAATATCAATCTCTGGTTCAGATGATAGATCTCTTTCAAGTAATTCAGATAATTCTGGATTATCATCTTGGACAGTAAATTCTTCTTGAATTAATGCTTCAGGAGAATAACCTAAGTTGAGTCTGATATTTTCTGGTGTAACTATTGGTGTAGGTAATATATTAAAGTCATTAGTTGGTTCTTCTACTACTAAGGGTGTCTCGTCTCTTACATCATTTTCTATTATTTGATCTTGGTCTTCTTGTTCAAATGGTACATCAAAATTATCTATTTGATCTTCTATTCCATCATATGCAATTTCAAATTCTATTTCTTTATTGGTTTCCTCATGTGTTAAGTCGCCCTTCTTAATTAAAGGTGATGCTACTGATTGTTCTTCAAAATCATTATCTATAACAAACCTTCGATCTTCTGGAGTATCTATATCTTGCTTATGGTTTATTTCAAAATTAAATGCAGAACTTGAAACTCTTGCCTTATTCTTAGCTCTTTTGGCAAATAAAATCTTTTCCAAATATGATAGTGGTCTTGTAGAATGTTGGTTTTCCTTATCAGAATCTATGTCTTGTCGTGAGGTTAATATTTCATTGTTCTCTATACTGTTTGAATCATTAACCTCATCCAGTATTATACTACTAGTTTGAAATGGAGACTTTAAGACTTTTTCAACTGATGATGGTAATGGAAGGGATTGATCAAATTCAGTTTTAGGTGGTGTTGATGATTCATCGTGAGGAATAATGGTATGGTTTACTTGAGTTGTTTCAATGATCTGATCATTATCTTCTGTTGATATTATTGATATTGGTTGAGGTTCCAGCTTTGCTTGAGTTTGTTGAACTACGACTTTACAGAAGAATCTTAAGTAATCAATAGTTATTGGTCCAGCATATTCCGGTCCATATATTACTTCACCTCTTTTAGTTATTATTGAAGATCGTCTACGTTTAAATGATTCACTTGTCCTTCTACTACCATTCAATCGTGTAGGAGTATATACTCCTCTATTAGATGATTTGGTTCTAGTAGGTGTTGGTTGACGAGATCGAGATCTTTGACTACCACTAATACCTATAGACTCTCGGAATTGTTGACTTAATCTTTTGGTGATCTCAGTTAATTCATTAGGAGGTAAATGAATGTCTTTAGTAACATGATTTGGATTACTTTGAGAACCATTTTGTTCGCGATTCACAGTAGTACTTCGCAATGGAGTTGTAGGTTCCGAATTACTCGTTCGCACTATTTGTTTATCCTCCAGGGACGACATTATCTATATTTCTACTAGTGGTTGATTAAGTAAATATGATTTGTTTACATGATACTTTTTTCTGAGATGCACCTACAAATCAAATCAGTAGCAACCAAAATTAATTAATTAATTAAATTCGTTCAAAGATTTGTTTCCTCACCACCATACATCACCACAATGAGCACTACAGGAAATGGAGATAATCTACTAACTGCGTTGGTGTCTGGATCTACAGCAGCTGCTGTTACAGCTACAGTAACTTATCCATTAGATTTTATGAAGACACAACAACAATTAAATAATCATGCATTAATGACTAAATGGCAAGTACCAAGTAATTTTCCTTCAAGTTTAGCTCAATTAAGTAGAGGTTGTAGTGCATTAGTATTGGGATCAGTTATAAAGAATTCAACAAGACTTATAGCTTATAATTGGCTGTGTAAATTTATGGCAATTGAATCTCATTCTTCACACGGGGTCAGTAAAACAAAGACTAGTGCTCCAAGAATTGTTATTGCTGGTTTAATGAGTGCCTTTATAGAAACATTATGGTTAGTCCCATTTGAAAATATTAAAATTTCAATGGTTCAAAATCAAAGTCTTTTTAATGAAATAACAAGACTGCCAAATTCTGATTTTACAGGTTCAGGAGTCGCTGGTAAACATCATAAAGCTCATCTGTCTGTATTTTCTAAACAATATGTTTCACCTCATGCATATTATACTAATGAAGTATTAAATCAATATAAGGCTGGTAAACATTATTCAAAATTCCAACCTCCCAGACCTCATGATCCACTTGATGCTTTAAAGATTCATTATAATAAACATCCTTCTTTAACCTTTTTAGGAACTGTTAAAGAAATATATACATTAAAGGGATTGGGTGGATTTACAGCAGGTACTTTTATTACATTTGGTCGTCAAATTGCTATATCAACTGTATGGTTTTCTACTTATAATGCTACTAGACAATTTATTGATCCTCATAATACTGAACAAGGATGGTTTGGTCATAATCATACTGCTATTCAACTGATGGGTTTACATATTTTATCTTCTATTGCAGTCATTGGAGTAACTCAACCATTAGATGTAATTAAATCTCATATCCAACTGAAAAATGGTAAAACTATATATAAAGATTCTTTAAGTACTGCTTATAGATTGTTCTTAGAGCAAGGTCCAAGATGCTTATTTAAAGGTGCACTTCCTCGAAGTATTAAAGTCTTAGTTAGTGGAGGTTTAACAGCAGCAGTATATGAATATGTAGAAAAACTTGTACAAGTTGCAGGAGGTCAAGCACTTTTCACAGAATAATAATTTAATGATTTTTAATAATTTAATCATAACTTCATTAATTGTATATAGGATTATTTATAACTCTAAATAGACAGGAACTAATAGTTCACCACTTTTATGTATTACTCCATTAAATTTTTTAGCTAAGAGTCCTCCACTATAACTTGGTTGACTAAATGCAATTTGATATTTCTTTAAAATATCACCATAGATTGAATGATTTAGTACAATATCAAGTAACGCATTTGCTAAACCTAATCGACGCCATTTTGGAGCTATCCAAATTCTAGAAATTCCTAATCTTATAGAATTATTGACTTGATTTGGAACTATTGTTTGAGTTCTATGAATCATCCATCTACCTTGTTTTTGAATATCTTCAATTTCATCAGTAGTACATATACCAACAGCTCTATCTTCAATTTTTAATATGAAAACCTTAGATGATTCCTTTAAGGGATCTTTCCAATATTTAGAATCTTCAGGAGCATTTAATTCTTTATTTACTAATTCAAGTAATTGCTCAATTTTAGTGGTTTGACGTTTATTTGTTTTATCAATAGTTAAGATTTGAACTTGGATAGTTTTATGTTTCTTTGATTTGGGAGGTATTACAAAACTTCTTAGAGATTTAGCAGTAAAAGATTCTGGCCATATAATTCCATTAATAAAATTTGTATGATATTTCTTATGAATTTCAACTTCTTTAGATATATGTTGATAATATGACATTCCACATACTTTACATGTTTTCAGTTGGGATGATGTTGAAAAATTAAGTATGGATTGAACTAACTTACCTTTACTTTTACCTTTTCCATGTGAAGAATTAGGAGGTGTCGGTATAGAACCAGACACATCTGGCGATAGTAGTTCCTGACTCATATCATACTATTTAAGTATGGTGTAACAAAGAAATGAAAAGACAATACAGATACTTCAGTGTTTACTGATTTTGTTTATATCGCATCGGACCCCGGAAATTGTGCTAGGGGACGCAAACGAATCTGTCGTAGCGAGCAGTCACTGTCACTCCACACACTGAAAAATTTGTGAGACACTAGTCAGTAACTAGTTTTAGCAATAGCTAAGAACTAAAGACTAAGATTAAAATAAAATAAAATAGTATATAGTATACAGTAAACATGTCATCTAATTACGCTAACTTGTTACCAGTGAATGGAAAATGGAGACAACAAATAACTGACTTTTTATCAGAAGATGTTCCTTCATTTGATTTTGGAGCTTATGTAGTTGGAAATAAAGAAGAAACTGCTTCATTATATATTAAACAATCTGGATTAATTTGTGGAGTACCATTTGCTGAAGAAGTATTTAAACAATGTGAATTAGAAGTTGAATGGTATCATAAAGAAGGTGAATTTATTACTAATGAACAATTATCAAACCATGGAGGTAAAATTGTTGTTGCAACTGTTAAAGGTCCTGCTAATAAAATATTACTTTCTGAAAGAACTGCTTTAAATTTATTAGCTAGAGCTTCAGGAGTTGCAACTCAATCATATATTACTAAAAAATTAGCTGATGATAATGGTTATACTGGATTAATTGCTGGTACTAGAAAGACTACTCCAGGTTTAAGAGTATTAGAAAAATATTCTATGTTAGTTGGAGGAGTTGATACTCATAGATATGATCTTAGTGCAATGGTAATGTTAAAGGATAATCATATTACATCTACTGGAAGTATTACAAAAGCTGTTGAATCAGCTAAATCTGTTTGTGGATTTGCTATAAAAGTTGAAGTTGAAGTTAGTACTGAACAAGATGCAAAAGAAGCTATTGATGCAGGAGCTGATGTAATTATGTTAGATAATTTAAAAGGTGATGAATTAATTAAAGTTGCTAGAAGTTTAAAAGATTATTATAAGGGATCTGATAAATCATTTTTATTAGAATGTTCAGGAGGTTTAACTTTACAAAATTTAGGTAATTATTTATCTAATGATATTGATATTTACTCTACATCTTCAATTCATCAAGGAACTGGAGTTATTGACTTTTCCTTAAAGATTAATGCTTAAATAGATTAGTATATTACAAAAAATATATATAATAGAAATAACAATATTATTATTATTTATCAACGAATTGATGAAATACTTGTTAAATCTAAACTTTGAAACCCTGAATTAAACCCAATTACATCAGCAACATTATTTAATACTTTTGAACTTTCTCGATCAGCATCAGATTCATCCATTTGTCCATCTTCTTCATTATAAGACAGATCAATATGATTAATTGATGATGATCCAATTTTTAATTGCCGATGATTTAACAGAAATCCAGAAGCACTACTAATGGCACTTGCTAAACTTAAATCTTTTAAAATATCACTATTTACACTTAATGAACTACGTTCAATATTAAAAGTTGGAGGTAAATTAATTGAATTAAGTTTCTTTTTACCAAAACATCTAATGGCTCGAATATGTGAATCTTTACCATCTTGATGATTTGCAAGTATAATTATCTTTACCATAAAACATTTTAAAACTCCATCATTTCTTATACCATTAAATATTATATGAGACCAACCAATTGGTTTTGTAAAACTTACAGTACAAACTTCACCTAAATCCCAACCATCAGAACTTCCTGCCATAATTTTTATACGAGATGGTGTATAACTTTCATCAATTGAATAATTTGTAAATATTGATATTCTTTCAAGTGATACTTTTTTAGAAAATTGTATAGTAATTGAATGAGGATTACATAATTGATTATTTAATATAGCATTAGTAGCATTATTACCATTACTACCATCTGATTGCCAATAAGTATCAGGTGAATCATCTCTTAATTGAGTTAATCCAAATCCTTGTTTATAAGATGATAATTTCCAATTGGCTAATGGAGATAAATCAAGTAATTGTAAAGATTCTAATTCTTCTAAACCTTTTACATAATAAACTCTTTGAGCTTGTTCTAAATTTAATTGTTCTGATGGAGCAGAAACAACTTCTTGTTCATCTATATCTATTTGATTACTATTAAATGTATTAGTTCTTATTTCATCTGCCAGTAATAAATCACTATCATTATTATTACTTTCATCAATTTCAGCATGCAGGGAAGTAGCTAATGCATTAACTGATGATGAATTATAAAAGTCATGTTCTTGTGCAGTATCTATTCGGTTATCACCGGAATAATCCGTATGATCCCAATGACCTGAAGAGTTCATTATAGGGATATAAACTGGTAATGGTAAACACAGCTATGTTAGTGTTACTGAAAATAGTTGGTAAACGCGCACTATAATATAAGCTGCTAGGCTATCCATTATGGTATATAGTGAACAGTATCTATGTTATCTATGAGAAATGTATATGTGTAAGTATATGTGTATGTGTATGTGTATGTATGTTACGTATATGTAAAATACCTATATATATGTATAGTGTATGTATATGTGTATGTATATAATGAATAGTAATAAATATGTACGCATAATGATAGTTTACAGGTATAGCGAGGGTTTAATAGTAATATGAACTTTTCTATGACTTTACATTTTTTTTCGGCTTACTTTTTTATAATTCTACCTCCTTCAATCCGTCAACAACTTGGTCGACATTTTCATCTTCAATTGCTTCCTTTAAGGGAGTTGTCTCTTCAACTTCTTCAACTTCTTCGACTGATTCTTGTACTGGTTCTACTTCTTTTACTGATTCTTTTTCTTCTACTTTTGATTCTTCAGCCTTTGATTCTTCAGTTTTTGGCTTAGTATCTATCTTATCATCAATAAGAGTTTCTTTATGAATAGTGACATTAGCAGATGAAGAAGCTGTTTCTACATTAATTAATGGACTAGGAGCCTTAACACTTGCAGGAATAGGAGCATCGGCTTTTAATATTGGACTTTGAGATCTATTAGGAGTATTAGAAGAATCACTAGTTATAGTATTATTACTTCTCTTAGTTGGAATATGTTTTGGTGTAAAAGCAGTCGAGAAATTTTCGGTTAATCCATATTTCTTTAATGCTCTTCTTTTTAATACTTCTATATAACCCACATTACCTCTTAATGCTCCCTTACCAAACTCTAATCCATCACGATCATAAAAGGTTAATTCACCTTGATTTTCATCTTCATCACCAATCATATAATCATCATCTCTTGTACGAGATAAAAATCCCAAATCTTCATCAGCATCATTAGAATCAATACGATAATTACCTGATTCTAAATCATTAACATAACCAAAAATAAATTCTTGAAAACTTGATGCAATAACTAATTTAGTATCGAAATCTCTACCAAATAAAATTATTTGCCCCCATTTTCCAGCCGGTCCAGGTGCTAAATCTAAAGCAATTTGATTACCTCCAAGATCTTTTAATATTGGAAGCCATCCTTTATGATAATAATAAGGTTGAACACTATTTGGTGGTATAGATCTTTGATTAGCTATAAAAGAATTTGAAATTGGAGCAGAAGCAGAAGCAGAAGCATTGGCAGTTGCTGAACTAGAACTTGACCCTTCTGCATCACCATCAATTGCATCTAATTGTTGTTGTTGTTGTTGCTGTTGTTGTTGTAATAATTGTTGTTGAGCAATATATTGTTGTCTTTCTAATCTTTCAGCAACTTTCCCCCATAATGCATAATCTTCCATTAAAGATTCTAAATCTAAAAGGGCTAAACCCATAATTAATCCTGTTGGTTTACCACCTAAAAATTGACCATCATGTCTTTTATAAAATTGTCTAAAATCATTTGGTAAAGCTCCACAACCTAAATCATTTTCAAATTCATTTAAATCAGCAGTAGTTGCACCATCATTTAAATTTTCATCAATTTCAGGATATTCTTCTTCAATCCAATGATCAATTCTATCCCAAAGTGAATCAATTGATGGTAAAGGAGGTTGACCATTATTATTAAATTCTTGTAATTGAACTTCTGTTGATGAAGATTTCATTCCTGGAGTATAACCAATATGATTATCTATTAATATATTGGTTGAAGAATTATTATTATTTAATCTATTTAATTCATGTAATCTTGAATTTGATCCATTTGATGGAATTCCTCCATCATTATTATTACCTATAATATTTGAATTATTAATTACTCCTGAAGTTTTATATGGAGAATCATATGATGCATAATGATCATCAGTAGATATGGAATGAATAAACGATTTAACGTTATCAAAAAATCCCATACTCTCTTCGTGTATTTATATTATTTATATTTTATAGTTTTATAGTATTTGATATTACAAATAAATATTATGATGGATTGGTCTAACTTGATCAAAATTTTGAATATTTGAAAAATCTTATATACTACAATTATTTAGTACTTTCTTTACTTTTTACTTTTAGTATATAATGTTAGTCTATCGATATTTTGTATTATATAGTTAGATATTTAAACTGAAACTCGTATTGGTGTATCGTCACGTACCATCGCCAAAGAAAAACAAAACCCAGACAATGTCTGGTCGTGTAGTGTAGGTCAACGAGGAATTCCAGTCGGTTTCCCCAATTAGGTAAAACCGTATGTGCAGGAAATGGGGCACTACAAATACTCATCTATTTTTTTTTTTTAGCTGCAAACTGTACTGTGAGTAATTAAATACTAATTAAATAAATATTAATTGTAATTAAATTAGTCTATAGATTATTATTATATCATAATTATTCTTATTATTATTATTACTAATACGATTGTTTATATCTAAACAGAGTTATTGTTTAATAAGTAATCAGTTACAATCTCTCCAAGTACTTCACGTACTAATCTTTCATCACTTAAATCAGTTACTGCAAGTGAATCCTTAACTAATTTATAATTTAATTGTTCACTAACTTTGGAATCTTCATGATATAATTCCGATTTTAATACTTTAGATCTTAACCAATTAGCAATAGTAGGTATTTTACCACTAGCTCTATTGGAGATTAAAATTAAATAATGCTTAATTCTTATTAAACTCTTTGCTAATTCTTGACTTTCACAATGATGAGTTTGACTTTTTGGTACTAAATCAGTAGCAATAAGTTTAATAATTAATCTAATTAATCCAGGGAATTTATCTGTACCATTAATAATTTCATTAATAGTATATCTTTGATCAATACCTCCATCATCAATATCAGCTGTAGCAGCTATAGTTTTACGACTAGTACTAACTCTATTAATTGGTGAAGTTTGTCCACTAGAACTTATTGATGAAGATGCAGTAGATGATGTAGACATTGATACACTACCATTAAGTTGAGTTCTTTGTTCTTTATTTATTATAGCTCCATTTAATGAATATCCATTAACATAAACTTCTCCAACTTCTAATTCATCATTTCCAGCGTTTAAGAATCTATCAAACCATGATAAATCATAGCCAATAAAATCTCCACTATCAAGATTCCATTGATCTAAACTTTTAAACCAGAATTGTTCTTTAATTACTGAATCAACCTTATGAGCAGTCTCCATATTTTCTTCAATTTTCAGAATTGGAATATAAAAATTTGGTTGGAATTTAATAATAGATTTAGATAATAATGATATGAAATTAGAATATGCAGCATTTTCAAAATCAGTTAATTGAATTTCCATAGGACGGAATTCAACTCTCCAACCAGGAGTATTACTTAAATCAGTATTTGGTTCATATAATGCAGGAGGTTTGAATCTTAATGTTTGCCAATTTGTTGATTGAATGTTTTCAAAATGATCATTCTCTAATTCATTATTTTGATTAACTCTTTCACTAAAAATTACTAGAGGATCACGAATAAATAAATGTGCAAAATGTTTGGCAAGATGACTATCAAACAATTTTGATTTTTCATCAATTAATCGATTGTAAATTTTTTGATTTATTGGAGGAGAAATATCATTAAATTTATCCTTAAAGTAATTAGTGGAATAATTAACATCTGCTAAATATGCATCAATAGAATCATATCTTGATTTTGGAACTTTTTGAATAGGTTTACCTTCTTTAGTAAAGAGTCCACTCCAATCTCCGAATTCATTAGTGACTCTATGTTTACTAGATAATTTTGAATTTTGATCAACATTTAATCCTCCAAATAAATTATATTCTGGATATGGTTTAATATCTCTTTCAATAAAAGTTCTATCATCAACAGATCCACTAACAACATTCCATCTAACATCTTGATTAACTAAGAATCCTTTAAAAATTGGGGCAGCTGCTGATAAACTTAACATAATAGGAGTAATTGGGGCTAAAGAATCATAAAGATATCTAGCTTCTTCAATATTTTTACCTTGCATAGTAATTTGTAAACAACTTGACCCCATACCAAAACCCATGGAATCCATATAAACATGACCTGGTTTTGAAGCTCCAATAAAGGGCTCTTTATCACTTAAGAATAAATCTCTATCTTTAGGAATGGAATCATCTAATAACTTAGTATATCTATCAGGATATAAAGGTAAATTAATAGCTACTTTACAAGATCTTCTCTTTCTAATATTGGCTGTTAATGTTGGGAATCTTACATGACGATTTATAATTTCATCTGGTAAGAATAAAGATTGAGAAGCTGGACCTATTGGTTTTGCTGCTGGAGATGTAAAAATTCCACAACCCATTCTTGGGAAAGTTGTTAAAGTTATTGGTCTGATATTATCAGGTAATTCAGATTGACTTATATCTCTTCTCTTTATCATATTCTGTTCAACATAAACATAATCATCTAATGAATCACCATCATAAGGTTTAGCAGGAGTTGCTTCAATCATAAATCTACCATATTCAGGATGAAATAAAACATTATTATCAAGAGATTTTGATAATGATTTCTCAGGATCATTTAAATCATCTAAGATATAATCTTTATCTATAGTTAAACGAGCCCATTGATTTTTATCATCGATTGTTACCAACATATATTCAACTTCATCACCCCAAAGATATTTATCATTATTTCTTGATTGAGCGTGTTGTTTAAAGATATTAATGAGTTGAGTTATACCATTATCACGAACATGTTCATTATATTTCTTTGAATCATGCCAATCTAAGGGAGTTCCCAAAGATAATAAACCCATCGGTACAGGGTGATGCTAAAATAAAGATGAACTGAAAAAAAAAATTATTATTGAATGGATGAAAATAGTGAATGAATGAACGTTACCACCTTATATCCAACTAAGGAAGAAACAGGGTATGGAACTAAGTACCAATATTAAAGTTAAGATAGGGTTGTATAAAAAAATTTTCCTTATAAGTACTGATTATTATATTCTTATTAATAATATATGTACTTAATTATTATTATATTGCAGGCTTTTGTGATTCCCTTTTGTGGCCGGTAAAGGTAATAGATGAAATATTGCACCTTTAAATTTTTATTTCAAAGATGAATTTGGATGCAATTGATTTGAACTATGGCAATAACCTAGAGTGATTTCTAACAAATCAAAATAGATGGAATTATATTGAATTAGTTGACTGTGGTGTGGAGAATGAAATTTAATGTCAAAATTACCGTTAAACTTATCTTTTACTCTGACAAGCGTCAAATTTTGTTCCACTAATCCAGACTATGGAAATCTCGCTATTCTTGGCTTTAATTGCGATGGGAAAAAAAGAAATTTATCGTTAACTTTCACTAAATCAATTTTTTTTAGGGAGCGTTGAGTTGAGTTGAGTCGAGTTGAACTTAGTCAAAGTGCGTGGGGGTTGCACTAATTACCAGTAAGTAGAGAGAGACAATATAGGTACTGTACGATGAGATAAGACTAAACAATAATGAAATAGCAATCTTATTACTTAAGCATATGCAAAAACTTAAATCTTATAAGCCAACTCAACTATATTATTCGGTTGATTCAGATAAGCCAAACTGATCTATATATATATAATCGTTCGTTAATTGTTTGATTATTAATTCAAATCGGTCAATTGCTGCTATCTACTACATATTCCCCTGGATATTTAGCTGCGCAAGAAAAAAAAAACAATTCCGTTTATGTCTATTGGCGAAGGACTCCCATAATGTAACATTCGCAAAAGCGGAATGTTTTTATACCTAAGAAAGCTTCCGTAAATTTATTATTAGTCTATGCCCTGCGAACTATTACTGGATTGGGTATTTATTAGCGTCTTCTACATTTCCTAGGTTTAGCCTCATCACTTTGACAGGTCAATTTGCAATACTACAACAAATAGGAGAGGATTTGATTACTAAGATATATGCTCCCTCTCATTTTGGTTATGTTCCCACTACTGTATAACTGATTCATCTATATATGCATATGGGGTTCGTCTATGTAAATAATTCTCTACCCCATTTCGAAATGAAGAGCGAAAATCTCCTCATCTTTTTAAATACCTTACTACCCATAATCTATTATGGACTGTGGTTATTTTGAATTTGCATTTTGCACGTGACTTACAAAGTAAAAGTAGATGGTCGCTTATATTTGCAACCTTCTGGGGTTAGTAGAAAGGAGTAGCCTTTCATGTACATGATAACAATATATTGTATAGTAGAACTTAATGATTGTATATGAATTTGTATAAATCTTATGTAAGCAAGTTGTTGCTAGAACTAAAGAAATCCCACTGAATGTCAAATATAGCCTGCATATGATTAGACTATGTAATAGGGTCTACCATTTAGAGTATTGATTAAATAGAATTCAGTAAATGCTTTATATATATTTATTTTATGAACGTATCTATCGTTTAAGGTGCTACTGGACTAACAAATAAAAATAATAATAATGTACATAGAATATTCATTTATCAGATGAATGATTCAAAAATGGAATGAAGAATTAGAGAGTAAATTGACTAGATATACATTTTGGTATCTAATATAAACCTTCAATGTTATCGACAACACATCCATGATCACTGGAATCAGTCTTTTCAACCAAGTTACCGATAATTACAGCATCTTCACCTTCATGTTTTAAGTTCTTTAATACGGCATCGACATTCTTAGCTTCAACAATTAATACCATACCAATACCTAAATTAAATGTCTTTAAGATATCTTCATATGGAACATTACCTTGCTTTCCAAACCATTTAAAAATAGTAGGAACTTCCCAAGTCTTAATGTCTATTTTAGCTTGTAAATTCTTAGGTAAGGCTCTTGGAATATTTTCCACTAAACCACCACCAGTAATATGAGCTAAACCTAATAATAATCCTTCATTAATAGATTTTAAAAATTGTTTAACGTAAATCTTAGTAGGAACTAAAATTTCTTCACCAATAGTCTTACCTGAGTTAGTCCATGGAGCAATAGATTTATAATCATAATCTTCAGATTTTTCAATGATATGTCTCACTAAAGAGAAACCATTGGAATGAAGACCATCTGATTTAATACCTATTAAAACATTTCCAGCTTTCATGTTTTCAATCTTTGGTAATATTTTATCCTTAGTGACAGCACCAACAGCAGTACCATTAGTATCATAATGACCAACATCATACATACCTGGCATTTCAGAAGTTTCACCACCAACTAAGGCACATCCAGCTTGAATACAACCATCAGCAACACCACTAACAAATTTAGCAGCAACTTCAATATCCAATTTACCAGTAGCGAAATAATCTAAAAAGATTAAAGGTTCGGCACCTTGAACTACTAAATCATTAACATTCATAGCAACTAAATCAATACCAACAGTATCATGAATATTCATAATTTGAGCAACTCTTAATTTAGTACCAACACCATCAGTAGCAGCAACCAATAAAGTTTCATCAGTATTATATCCAGCCTTTTTTAAGTCGAATAATCCACCAAATCCACCAATATCAGAATCAGCACCTGGTCTAGCAGTAGATTTAACTTTAGCTTTAATTTGGTCGACTAATAAATTACCGTTATCAACGGAAACACCTGCTTCAGCGTAAGTTACACCACTCTTAGTAGTAGTAGCAGCATCACGGAATGCACGATGAGCAATATCCTTTCTATTGTATTTTCCATTGAATGAGACATGATCAACACCAATATAAGCCTTGTCGACAGCTTCTCTTAAACTTGAGGCAGTTGCAGTAGATGCAATAACTCTACCACCAGCAGTTACAATTTTACCTTCCTTTTCACTAGTTCCAGCATGGAAAATAAATGTGTCTGATGGTAATGGAGTCTTAACAGTGATTTCATCACCCTTTTTATAGGATTCAGGATAACCACCAGCTGCCATAACAACAGTAGTTGAAAAAGTATCCTTTTTAAGTTGAATGGTTGTAGAATCTAATCTATGTTCAGCACAAGCTAAGAAAACTTGAGCTAAATCAGTATCATTAGATAATAAAGGTAAAACAGTTTGAGTTTCTGGATCACCAAATCTAACGTTATATTCTAAAACTTTTGGTTCTTTATTTGGTCCCAACATTATACCAGTGAATAAGACACCATTCATTGGGTAACCATCCTTTCTCATACCATCAATAGTTGGTTTAATGATTTGTTCATCAATTTTCTTAAGAACAGCTGGAGTGGCAATTGGAGCAGGAGCATAAGCACCCATACCACCAGTATTTAAACCTTTATCACCATCACCAATTCTTTTATGATCTTGAGCAGCTGGTAAGTTAAAGAAGGAGTAACCATCAGTAATGGTTAAAATACTTAATTCGTCACCTTCTAAGAATTCTTCAATAACAATTTCATTACCGGCATCACCAAAATTCTTGTCGACCATAATTTCATTAAGACCTTTCAAAGCTTCTTCTTTAGTTTCTGGAATTAATACACCTTTACCAGCAGCAATTCCATCAGCTTTCAAAACAATTTTGTAATCGATAGTTTCAATATGTTTCTTTGCTTCTTCAACAGAAGTAAAATTTTGAAATCTAGCAGTTGGAATATTGTGTTTATCCATAAAAATCTTGGAATGAGCCTTTGAACCTTCCATTAAAGCTGCTTTAGCTGATGGGCCAAAAACAGGAATACCAACTTTAGTGAAAATAGTACTAATACCATCAACTAAAGGTTGTTCAGGACCAGGAACAACTAAATTGATCTTATTTTCTACAGCAAATTTTTGTAATTGATCAAAATCTTTTGGACTACCTGATAAATGAGGGACATTGACAATTTTAATTGGATCAATACTTCCAGTACCTCCATTACCTGGAGCTACGTAAATTTTAGAAACTGATGGAGATTGAGCTAATCTCCATACAATAGCATGTTCTCTACCACCGTTACCTATCACAAGAATGTTTAATTGTGGAGTTGACATGTTTAACTAGTTAGTTGAGTCGTTGGGCTTTTTATCTAAGCTAATAAGCCTAAGGGTTTGAGTTGAATACTGAAACTAGAAGAAGAATATTAAAATAATGTAGTATAAACTGGAGATGATACTGATGAAATATTTCATTGTTGCACTAAGAAAAATTGACCAGTACTGCATACAGAAAATTTTTCAGATGAGATTTTGACTCTGATTAATCGTTTATTAGCAGCCTATTAGATGAGTATAGTTTTGTATTTGAAAATAATGAGGTTTATGACGATGATGTTTGATTATAGGGAGCCCCGTATAAGATATGAAGGTAGTAGTTTTGTAGCTAACTTACTGTGTTCTTGTTAACCAGTTCATAATTTTATAGTTCTAGTTCAATTTATTGACAATATTAAAGATTTGACCTCTCAATTATGAATTTTCGCAACAAATTCAAATAAAACTAAAGACACAATTGTTTAAGTTAGCTGGTAGAATAGCTTAATAATATAATTGCACTTATACTGATATTAGCTCAATTACTAAATAGAAAGTCCTAAAGTCAGAATTCTGGTCAAATCTTTCAATCAAAGGTCTATGGAGATAGGCGAATAGGGTTGAAAGAGAATAGTATATTCATTTAAATATCCGTGAATTCTGATATATGTCAGTCTTAGAAATAGTTAGACCTCACAAGTTAAGAATCATAAATGATATTTCCAAAACAATATTACAGTGTTGCAAAATGAATTGATAATTTGAACAGGTATAAATGGGTGCGACATTTGATAGGGAAAATGAAGCTCATATTGCGTAAGTTGAATTATAATAGAGAATATAAGATTTGTTTTGTGATATTTATTTTATTTACTATATATAGAGCGTTTAATTTACTTTTGCCTTTTTTGTTTGCTAAAATCTTGAAATTCTTTATTTGTTCCAAGAAGAATAGAAGGTAGATTAAAATAGGGGTTATTTGCTTCCCATTTACCTCCTAGTTGTTCAACACATTGTCTTTCACAACTTGACAAAGACGCAAAACTAGAATATCCCGAAGTCTCATATCAATTATCAACTTACTATAAAAATTGTTCATTTTTTTCTTTATCTTTAATTGATGAGTTCTACAATTCATCAAGACAATAAGAACTCTTGTCCTAATTGATTAGGTACTATCCGAGGAAGGAGCATCATAGTCGTCTAAGTAAAATATGTTACAATTAATACGTCTCAAAATTTTGCAGTAATTCAAGCCAATAAAATCACTTACCTTGTAATTCTGTATATCAATAATTAGTGTTGCACTGGAATTTGATAATATTGCGATTGGAGATCCTGCCATCAACATCTCACGAATAAAGTGTGTAAAAATCTCGATTAAATCACTATTACTATGGTTTATTTGATTTTCATTAAAATCTTTAAAATAATCAGCAACATTTTTCTTTTTAATTTCTATTGGAAGGTTAAACTTTGGAAACAGCACAGTAATATCTGGAGTAACAAAAACACGTCGAGACTCATATGATACTCCCAATACATGATTAGTATGTGATGTCACTTGTTCATTATATATATATCCTATGAACTGCGACACTGGTTCTATTATATTAATTTGTAATTGCTCAACTATTGCATTTTCAGAATTATCGATCAATTCGTATTCAAATTGAGTAGGAAATAATATTACTCTTAATAACTGATCCCGGGTAAAGTGAAAGATGGATTTTGGAATTTCAAACTTTTTAAGTTGAGTAGTGGATGGATAGAAGCAGCCTATGATGTTTTTGACAGAATGGTAACGTATTTCATTTGTCTTTGAAAATTCTGAATTGTCTGACGGACTAACTGATGTGGAGACATTTCTTTCTGGCTGATTGTTGTTGGCAGGCATCTCCATAGTTATCCGAAAGTTTAAACTAGTAGTGAAAAAGAAGTAAGACTGTAATAATTCTTTTTCGGATTCATTAACATATTCTAGAAAACAGTTGACGAATTTATAAATAATTTGTACCAGCACCCAATCAACCCCGACTTCAAATTCCAGCATTAAGTGAAAGTTGTGAAGACGCAAGAGGAGCCTCAAGATTTGATCCTCTTCTATGCTTTGTTTGATATAATCAGAAATGTCATACTTGGCAAGAATTTCAACAATCTCATCATGATTTCGATTGCCCAAGTAAGTTTACAACTGCTGCTTCAATTCTTGATACCGCCTCCATCCTTGGATACTGATAGTTAAGGGATATATGTGCCTAGGTAGATTTGATAAGGCAGCTATTGCATCATTGAAATTGATTATATCCAGAAGACTCATAATTCAATTATCAGAATAAGGAGGACAAATATTACAACTTACGTTTCAAAGTAAGAGTCAGAGTGAGGTTTATTATAGATATCCAATAATGTAGTTTATGCGATTAGTGTTGTTTCACTTTTCATAGCCGCATATCAGTACAGTAGCTTAAAAAATATCTGGGCTCAATAAATTTGCAACCAACCTAATAATTAGTCTTACAACCACAAAAATTACCTCAGATTATGCATTTTAAGCAATTGGTAAGATCTTCTCTACCAACTAGTTCAGTAAATTTTTAGTCTCGGTAAAATTATAGATATCGCAAAAAGCTAATAAAAGTAAAGGACATTGTTGCCCCATTATGAATGTACCATCTATTAAAGTCAGTGCGCATGTTTCAATTTTATAAGCAATATTTTAATTTACTAAGTTGGGCTTTTGTGGAATTTGCGACCCCCAAAAACATCCATGCCTCTGTTTTTAACCCACTTAAGGATTGGGTGAATTTTTGATATATACATAGAGGTAAGAATTAGTGCAAAGCCGAACCGAATTTATAACATTTAGTAGAGTTCCATTGACGAGATATCTTGGCAGTTTCGAAATTTTGTTTTACTATGAGTATTTTATTGTAATATTGTATAATACCAATGGTTCTCTCTATTTAATTAGAAGCTATGTAGGTTATAATCTTTCATTTATAATGATTATATTAAATTAAAGTTATCTAGTTTAATGTTATCTAGTTTAATGTTCTGTTGTATATAAAATGTAAAATAAATCTGGCCAATAAAAATACAGTAACGACAATAAGCCGAAAGTTAATTTTATATGCAAAAAAGCCCACTTAATTAATATTATGTGCACTGATGGGGGATGGATGGAAAAGATAATTTTTATCAAAAAGATCAGCTATACGCATATGTCAAAAATATTTGGATTAAAATTTTTCTTGCGTCCTTATATAAGTTTGTTCATTTCCTTATTGTTTTCAATTAATAAATAGTTTACGGTTAATAAACTGGTTTGTAGTTGTTATACATTGGGATCAATTATTATTATATATAATGGTTTCTGTCAATTTCATTTCTGCTGTAGCATTATCTTTATTATCCCTTAGTTCAAAGGTTAATGCATTTGATTTACTTAGGGATGAACAAGGATATGCTATTTTACCTCCAACTGAATTGGTTATTAAACATTTAGCTGATTTAGAAGCTGAAGAAGATCCTTCTGAATATACTGTTGTTACAACTATTCATAAAAATGGTGAAGTTGTTAAAGTCAATTTAAACACTCATGAAATTCAACAAACTGGTTTATATAAGAGAAATTATGATACTAGTGCTTATTATACTGAAGAAGCTAGTGGTGTTTTCAAGAGAGATATTCAAAACACCTCTGGTTTCTGTTTCAATGAAGATGCCGACTTTGGTATTTCCCAATGTACTTTTGATTTTGTTGCTTATGACTCTCCATCAAACTGTACTGCTCTTGGTGCTCAATATTATTCATGTGTCTTAGATTTAGAAAAGATTCAAGATTCTACTCAAAGATTAAAGAATATGGTTCCAAATCCTGCTCAAACTAGATGTTTCAAGAGTTTAGATAAAGCTATTGCAGCCAATGCAGCTAATGGAGCTTGCGGTAAGTAATTACATTTGATCTTCTTTTTAAGTCTATTTTGTTAATTTTTAATTACAAATATTTAATTATATATAAATCTTATATATGTAAATGTGAAATGTATATGTACAGAATAAAGAATACTATGTATAAATTGTTTTACATGCAAAATTAAAATGATGTCTACCTAAATGGCAATATCACCTGGTCCAATTATACCATCGAATTTATATTCTTCATCGCTTGGTAATTTGACTTCATTACCTTCATTGTCAATAGGACTATATAAATAATAACCCATAAGTGAATTTATAACAGCACGGGTTCTGGCTTCAGCTAATGATGATCCAACTCCTTCACCCAATTTTTCAACGCCACAGAAAACTCCTGCAACATAAATTGCATGAGCTGATAATCTACCGGTTTCAGCAATTAATCTGATATCTATTGGATCTTCAAATTGTAATTTATCACATAATCTTACTAATTCTCTGGTTGGTTGACTAAATTCAAACATATTTTCCAAAGGTAATTTACGAGATAAAATATGGTTATTAATAAATTCTTTGGTGGCTTCTTCTCCAGCATGAGTATATAAACCCCCAATTATGGCAATTACTGCAGAACTATAAGCATTAACTTCTTCAGATATGAAAGTAGAATTTTGCTTATCTAAAGATTTTACTTCTTCATTAGTTAATTCATAAATTCCAGTTTCGGCTGGCTTATCTGGATATTTCAGTTCTTCTTCAATAAATCTTAATCTTCCATATTTTAAAAATTGAGATTCTTGACTTAAGAATTTATCCAATTTAGAACTTTTATCAACTTCAATACCCCATTGTTTACCGATTTCATACATTACTTGTGGTCCCATTAAAGCATTAACAGCAACATTATGAACAGGCATAGGTAATCTTGGATATCTTATTAATAACCATTCATTAACATAATAAGATAACATATTCTTTCCCAATACATTTAATCCAAAATTATTAGCTAATCCATCATCATATCTGTTTAAATTTAAAGCTTGAGATAATGTTGATAAACTATAACTTGATGGTAAATTTAATCTAGCATGTAAGGCAACTAAAGGAGGAGATTGTGATGCACTTGATTCTGGTAATCTATGAGTGAAAATGTTATGTTTATAACTTCCATAATCTTGTATATTATCATATTTAGCTTCTACTGGTACTTCATAATTGGATAATTTGGTAGAATATGAACGGGATGAATTTATGATGGTAATGATATTTTTGGTGTTTAAAACTGGTTTACAAATTCCAGTTAGAAGATTGGGTTTAACCTGAGATACCCTTACTATCAGTCTCCGTAACATCTTCCTTACAGAATAACTTATTGACACTGATATATTAATATTTCGAATCTATATAGCTTTGATCTTACTGAAGACTGAATTTTTTTTCATGATTTTTCACCACTAAAAAAAAAAATCGTGAAAGGTCGTGTACCAACGGTCAAAACATTTTCTCAGTGTCTTCTCACAACCAACCAAATTCAAACAAAAGAGTAATACAGACTGAACATAGTAATTAGTTTGAATAAGTAGTTATTACTATTACATTTAATAATCACTTGAATTAACAATGGCTCACGCTCCTAGTTTAAGTATTGCAGCTATTGCAACCATGGGTTCTGTTGGTGTCATTTATCTCCTTATTAAATCCCCATTAAAATATCAATATCTTAGTGAAAATAGAGTGAGTCCAAAAGCTGATTTAGCATGGAGAAATGCTGCTCAAAAATGGCTTGACAGTAATTAAAAGTGGTTGAGTTATTTCTTTTGATCTTTTGCATGTATTTTAGTTTACAATTTACCTATTCATTCATTTCGTTAATTAGTGTATTCATCACACATACATTATTTCTATTAAACTTTGCATAATTTATTTCATATACTTAAGTATACTACCTACTACAGTCAAATATATATATATATATAAAATATAAATAAATATTATATTGATTGGATTATTATTAAATCTATAACTGTAACTATAAATGTTTTGTTTTCATTTAGAATTTCTTTGTGAAATACTCAAGTATCTCTTTTATTGGCACTAGTAGGTGTTAATTCAATATCGTAATCGCCAGGTTCTAATTTTACCCAATCTGACTCTAATTTAATAAAACACCAAAGCCATCTTCTTATAATTTCAAGTGTTTCAAGAACAGTATACCCAAATGAAAAGGCATCATAGCCAAATAAAAAGGTAGAGAAAACATGTAAATAAGTTGAATTATCTAACTCTTCAGTAATAATGAAAAGTTTCAATACCCAAACAAATCTTAATATGAAATCCAAGATAATGATTACAAAGTAGACTGCCGTAGTTTTAAATGCTAATTTATTTCTTAAAACTCTGAATTTTTTATTTGGATTAATTAATGAATCAAACAATTCAAAATTCCAATCCATTTTGACATCCCATATAAATGAATATGTTGAATTAATAAATGAGAAGATATACCACCAATTATTCAAAAATTCAATTTTTTTCATAAGTATTTGTTGAACCATCTCATCAGCTTCAAATGGTTTTAAAGTTAAATTGTATTTGATGGATAAGTTAACTAACAATGGTCCTAATGCAGAAGCATATTTCAATAAATTGAGTATATGTTGATTCTTTCTAGTGATAGTATATTCCAAATAACATTGTCTTATTCTAATGAATGTTGGGATACATAAAATAATAAATTCAAGATGTATATCATAAGCTATATCATCAGAATAATAATAATTCCAAAAGAATAATCCGAAATCATTACAAATTTTAGAATATGAAGTTAAACTATCTGATATTAAAATATCATTAGTTCTCATTGTTGTTGAATTTATAAATCCCAATAAAATTCTCTTCATAGTTGTATACACTCTAAATTGTCCCTTATGGTTAACAGCATTATTTCGTGATGTTGATTTATAAAATAATCTATAAAACAAGTAGGAGAATGCAATTATTGGTAAAATATAATATAATGGAGCAAACACAGTTGCAAAAGGATTATCAGTATGTTCAGCAGTATGTTCATAATTAGTTTGAACTATTTTAAATAATGTCCATGATAAAACGTTAACTATGGTTATGGCTTTAAGATTATTCCAAATTCCTGTTATTAATAAATTATTTTCATTAATTGAAGGTGGAATAGTTGATCTAAATTCTCCTGATTCAAATCCTGATTCTCCATGATCACGAGAATCTAATTGAGCATAATTATGAGGATTATATGATAAATCCAACAATCGTAATAAATTTAAATTAGTATAATTATATAGTATATATGATAATGAAAACCATAAGAATGTACCAAATTGAATTATGAATAATATTTTAAATGGTAATGGAATTAAATCATCGAATAATAATTCATGAGTAGGGGTATCTATTTCAGTTACTAGTACTGGTTGTTGGTCCATTAGAACGGTTATGAATAAATAACTTCACACAGTCCTATATAAAATTCATTCAGATAAGAGACAACGACTATTATAGATTAATATTAAAGTATTGACATATTTTCGATATTTTAATTTTTTTTTGTTTACACGCATCCTAAAAATAGTGAATGGATGTGAAATTTACGTGTCAAAGTTGCACAACTCAATGCTAGACTTTATCAGGCTTAATGTCTACAAAAATGTTCCACTCTAATGAGCATAGATGATAAGAGAATTTAAAGTAAAGGCTTCAGACGTGTCTACAATTATAGTACACGATTTAAATATGTTGTAATCAGAAGTATTCATGATTAGCATGGAAACATCATTAGCCACTTCTTGTCTTTCATCTCTGCTTTAGAGTGGAATAAGAATAAGAATAAAAATAATTTTAAAATAAAACAGTAAATAAGTAAAATAAAATAAAATACTAAAAAAGAATATAATAATATATATAATAACAATAGATTGATATAGCACAACTTATCAGTTTATTAATTGGGAAAACATTATACACATACACATATATAAGGCAAATAATATGATTCTTATCATACAAGAATTGTGAATGCTATGAATAGTTAGTAAAATGTATTCATACAAAGACAAATCATTCACAATATCCATAAAATATACCACTTTAGATTATATTACGTATCAGAATTTTCAGTGTTTGGCTAAGAAATCGAATCGGTCATGGTCCTGAATAGGAGCCTCCGTTTGGGGCGACATCGTGTCATCACAGTAATATAATCTTCAGTAGTACACTTCATTTGAATTGCTAGAAGTATCAAGAACATACTTATTAACCTCATATACATTAATGTATATACATGTTTTCCATTTACTGATAGCTTTGCTAATAGTCTGGTAGAGGTAGTAAATAATTCATAGCAAAAAAATTTTTCAATAGTTTTTTTTTATACTGGGCTGCGCTTCGCTAGTGAAATTTACATTTACCCGGATTTGCAGCTAATATAGGTTAACAGTATACATTAACTAAGTATTCATAGTACACGATAATTTATTGTATTAATATTGTGTTTGTATGTATATATTACCTAATCTATGTATGCGATATAACTAAACTAATTTTATTTAGTTTCTTTAGGTTTTCTAGACTTATTCTTCAGTCTTTCCTTTCTAGTATTCTCTCTTCTTTCAGCTTTACTAAGATATCTGAATTTCTTCTTCTTTTGCTTTTGTTTCTTTTCATGACTTTGAACAACTTTAGCATAATTTTGAGCTTTATGGATAGATTTTTCAAGTATTTCTTCAGATTTCTCAAGATTAACATTATTAAGCTTAGCAAGAGCTTCTAAACTAGCTTGACGAGCACTAGCAATCACAGGATTATCTAATGATTCAACAGTTACTTCAGTTTCTTCATCTATTATAGCATTTCCATTACCTATTTCATAACTGGAAATTTCTTCTTTGTTAATAGTATATATTTCCTTTTGATGCAATATTCCTTTGAGAGGTTTCTTTGATTCTTTTCTTTCTTCTTCATCATCTTCATTCTCTTCATCATCTGTAGCTTTATCTGTTTCACCATCACCAAACCCATTCCATTCTTCATCTTTATCTTCATCTTCTATATCAGAATCATCTAAGGTAGATATTTTCTTTACAGTATCTTGGAATTGTTTTAATTGTTCTTCCATATCCTTCTTTCTTTCATCTCTTATTTGTTTCCTTTCTTCTACTCTGGCCAATCTCTCTTGTTCTTTTATATATTCCTGAGCTTTCTTTTGTCTTTGCAATTTCCGTTTATGGAATCCCGTCAAATATTCAACTCTTGAGTCCTTGTCAAATACCACTTCTTCAACAGCATGCTTCTTAGCTGCCTTATCTGCATACCTTTTCCCTCCGGTTAATATATCTCTATTTCTTTTAACGGCCATTATATGCTATTATCTACTATGAGTAACTTTATATATAGTTGTGTTCAAAAATAGTACTAGTAAGCTTTAATTTAGGCAGAAATAAAATAGTAGGTCTAAAAAAAAAATCTAATGAGCATCTCATAAATCTCACACCAGCCTTTACTTAGTATTTAGTATTACTTAGTATTAGTTAACATAGTAAAAGATTAGTGACTAAAATGGAAAATATAGAGAATATAAGATTATTTATACGATCACTAGATGCTAGTACGGAGCAGTTAGAGAATGCTCTTGAACCTATACTAAAACAATCATTAAATGAATTAATATCTCAAAATGTTTCATCTAATGATCCTATTGAAAGAATTAAAATATATAATAATTTTACATATACATTAATATCCGTATTATTTTCATATATAAAATCACTTGGAATTAATACAGATACTCATCCTATTATGAAAGAACTTACAAGAATTAAACAATTTATGAAACGATTAAAAGATATTGAAACTAATGCTGAAACTAGTGAACAACGTCAAAAGGTTCAACAAGAAAAAGCTAAAGAATTCTTACAAAATGCTCTTGGATCAAGAATTAATGGTGGAGGTCAAGCAGCTCCCAATAGTTTAGCTTCACCAGCAATCAGTTCATCAAATTTCCAAGGTTCACATACAAGATTTACTGATAAAGATGATGATGATCAAAGTGACGATAATTCAACTGAAAAAGATATTGTTGTGAAAAAGGGTAAGCCAGAACCAAAAGTAAAAGCACAAAGTATTAAGAAATCGTCTTCTAACAATAAGAAGAATTTCAAAGTATCTAAGCCAAATAAGAAGAGTAAAACTGGATCTACAAAATAGAGTAAATAGAAAAATTTGTATATAATTTATTAGAATATATGAATTAAAGAATTGAAATATAAAATGCAAAGTAATATAAACTCCACCAAATGGTGTATAGTTCTTGAGGAACTAGAAGAAAAAAAAAGATTCATATTCTCATGAAATCTCATATGAGATTATTTGTATTGTTGTATTGTATTGTATTGTGCGTGTGAGTCAAAAGTTCAGTAATAGTCCTTAAACACATGTTCGTGCGATAAGTTCTGTTCAACTAAAAAGTATACTTGCATTAACAAGTTTGGGAATTTTTGATTAAAATATTGATAAAATCCATCAGGTAATGGACTCATTTGTTTTTGTAAATGTTCTGGCATATCATTATAATGATGATACTTATTTCGAAGAGCTCTTAATAAGTCCATTAATTTTTCAGTTTGGTACTTTCTATATTTACCTAAATTATCCAAAAATTCTTCATCAAATTTCAGATGCCAATCTAATTGACATACAGATTCAGCTCTTTCTTCTAATTTTATTAAAAGGTCACTAGGTGGATCTCTTTTTTCAATTTCAAATCTATCACTAACTTTTAATAAAAATTCTAATTTCTTGTTGACCGACCAGAATAAAGGATGTTTTAAAATTTTCATAGTATTTGGTCTCTTTGATGGATTAGCTGAAATCATCAGAGAAACTAAATCAATAGCTTCATTTTTATCATTAGGACATTTAATATTTAATAATGATAAATCATATTCTCCTTTAATTATATTACCTTCACGTAAATATCTATCCCCAAATGGATGATTACCTCCAGTTAATATATAAAAGAAAACACAACCTAATGAAAAAATATCAATTGCTTTAGTTAATCTTTTCCCACTAGTTAAACCAGTATTATTACCATTAAAACTATTAGTTCCATTACTACCAATAGAAGATATAGTATCAGGAGAAATTTCAAGAATATCATGATTTAATAATAATTCAGGAGCTCTCCAACCAGAAGTTCCCAGAGCTGCATGTTGAGTAGTAGCTCTAAAAGATGATTGATCATTATCTAATTTTTTACATAATCCAAAATCAGAAATTAATAATCTAACATTATGATCATCATCATGTTGAACAACTGTAGTTGATTTTAAAGAATTTCTATTACTTTTCTTAGCATCAGCTACTAAAATATTTTGAGGTTTTAAATCTCGATGAACAATTTTTAATGAATGTAAATAATGTAATCCACTAGCTAATTGTTGTAATACATCATTAACATTCCAAATTCTTAATTTAAGTGATTTTTTAGGCTTTTCAATAATATCTTCTAAAGAACATAAACAAAGTTCTAATGCAATATATAAGAATTTTTCAGTTTGACTAGATTGTGAACAAAAATATCTAATAACATTAGGATGATCATCACTTTCTTGTAAAAGTCGAACTTCATGATTAGCAACATCATAAAAATCCAATAACATTCTTTTAACTGCTACTGGTCTATTTTCAAACGTACCTTGATAAACAATGGTTCCATGAGATCCATATCCTAAAATTTTATCAGAAATAATTAAATTATTCTCAATTTGTAATTTCTTAATTGGTATTTTAATAGGTGCACTTGAACTTTTAACTAAACTTTGAGTGGTTATTACTTCTTCTTCAGCAATAATTGTATCTTCACCTTCATCATTATCATTATCATTTGTTGATTCTTCAATTTCTGGTTTATTTTTATTAATATGTCTACCACCTCTTTTACCACCACGACTACCTCTCTTTCTCTTTTTCTTAGTAGTATCTCCATCACCTTCTCCTTCAAGCTTTTCAAATATTTCCTTATCTTCAGTTATAATTTCTACTTTAGATATTTCTCTACGTTCTTCATAATCACCATGATCTTCTTCAAGTGATCCATTTGGTTCAACAATAGTAACCTTCTTAACGATTTTTTCTTGTACTGATGATTGTGAATCAGATTTTGAAATATCACTGGATTTATTAACTTCAGAATTATTTGATTTAATTTCAACTTCTATATCATGATCTTCAACGAAATGAGATTCATCATCAAGTGAAGAATCTAAAAATAATTTTTGAATGGCAGTTACATATTTCAGGGATTTACCAAATGTCATTAAAAGTAAAAGAAGCACTGATAATACTACTAAGTCTTCTACAATTCTTCTAGCAATGGCACTGGTGGTTATACCTGAATTAGTAGAAGTTGATATTATATCATCATATTGAAATGTTGGTTCAAGAATATCATGAACTGAATCAATTAATAATAATTCTGAACCTAAAGAAGTACCAGTAGGTGTTTCACCAGGAAACTTTATACCTCCGATAAGATCATTAGGATTATTTAATATTTGTTGACTTTTACCTATACTACTTGGAAGTTGAGGATCATCATCTTGATCAGATCCATCACCAATTTGTTTGATGGGTATTTGTTCATCCGAGAATCGAGACAGTGGTTGATAAGAACTTTGACTTGATAATGAGAAACATTTATGTACACCATTAATTAAAGATTCAACTTCAGAATCTTTACTAGTTAATAATCGGAAATTCTTTAAATAATCTATTGAAGGATCATTATAATCATATTGATTTTGAAGTTTATATAAATTTAATTGATATTTTGATATTGGAGCACTCTTAACTAAAGTAGGATAATTATTAAAACTCATAGCAAACCATTCATTTGAACTTGAAGTTTTATTTATAAATACTAAATCATTATTATTAGAATACCCTTGATTATCAATTTGAATTTGTAAATCATTTAAAACTTTTAATGGATGAGGTAAAAGAACAAATTCTGATTTCTTTATATTATTAAATACATCAAATACACTCACAGCTAATGAAGGTAATTTACTTATCCAAACTGGAGTTCCAAGATCTTTATTTATAGCTAATAAAGATTTATCGTGAAATGGTGTAAAATATAATTTATCTAAACTTTGTTGATTTTGCATAATTAAATCATTATCAATATTATTTGGACCCCATTGAGAATATGTTACATTCCATACAATATTTGCATTTAATTTTGAATGTATAGTTAATTCATATGTAGTCTTCCCAATCATTATTGTTTCATCTAAATTTGAATGAAGAATATTAGGATTTTTATAATGACTATTTGGAGCTGGACAATTATCAACTGAATTTCCAAATGAACTAATTATTTCTCCAGTATGAATATTAATAGTATATAATGAAGTTGATCTTGTTCCAGTATATATTTTATCATCTCCACTTAAAGAAAATGGAGATTCAAGAACTAAATCTTTAATGCTAGTAGGTAATTTATTTAATCCAAATCTTGGAGTAAAATAATATAAAGATCCATCATCATAAGGTTCAACAAACCATAATATATTTGATTGAGATGATGAAGAACTTTCATCAAAAGTATTATTTGTTTGAATTTTAACTAATGGATCATCTATTGGTAATGTCCATACAAGTAATCCACTATTTCTTTCAACTCCATGTAAATTACCTTCTATATCACTTATTAATAAAAGATCAGTTAATTCACAATCTTCAATGGATCTTTGATCCAATGGCAGTATTGTTGAATCTCTTCGAGCAACTGGTTGTGCAGTAGTTATAGGTTCTTGTTGATATTCATATATATTTTGTCCATTATTTATTCTATTTCGAGGTCGATATTGAGTGGTAAGCTTCTCTAGTCGTGGGGAAGCAATGACTATTGATATATATAGAAGATAAATTACTCCTAAAAGATGATATATGAGACGCATGGTGCGGTGTATATACAAATCTCTAAAAGGTATAGGATAAATATATATATAATATAATAAAGTAACAAACTAAGAAGTGAAGAGATATCAAGTACTTGGGCTCACAATTTTTTCGTATTGGTAATTCTAAGCTATTCTATTTTTTTTTACACACTATCGCCTCGCAAATTGTAAAAAATTATAGTGAGCATTTTTTTTAGGGGAGAGTAGGAGACATTTGATCTCTTTTAGCTCATTAGCTCATTGTGCAGAGGGAAATTTTTATTGGTTGAGTGCTTTGCACAATTGGTATACCACACTAATTTTAGCAGTATATTAGGCATGTGAAGGTTAAGTTGTTACTTTGGTTTAATAATTCACTTTCTACATAGCCCAAGTCCCGAAGATCTGGCCGAAGCTATTCTTAGTTTTATAAAATTAAGCTTAAAAAGGTGATGAAAAATAAATTGCTTTTTCAAGATTTAGTGCGCAAAACCTATTACTCAAAATAGATGTCGTCTCCCAAAGTAATTTGTCCTTACGACATTTTATTTTTCACAGATGGAGATCTTGTCGCATCTCGTGAGATTTGGAAAAGTGGGGAAACATATATATTCTAATCTAATCTATTAAAGAACCAACAAATCTTTCTTATTTGAAGTTGTAATTACTGTTTGCATATACTAGTATATAGCTTGGAATTGAATAATTGATTCGTAGCTATACTAGAATTACTTTCATTGAATTGAGTGTCTGTATACACGCTAGTAAAAATTGACCCCTACTGTAAGTGTTTGCAGCCATATTACATAAATCAAACTTGAGAAAATCTGCATCGTAGCACAAAGAACCGTTAATGAGATTTCACATATCCGTTTAAGACGCGAGATTATCACCTTATTCTATTGTTATATAATGAAAGGAGTCAAATAAAATAGTTTACAAAACAGTCTACAATTTGTAATGAAATCCATCCATAATTAATTATTTATTAAGCCCTGCTTAATTATAGAATATCGGTACACTATTTCCTTGAACTATACAATTCTTTATATACATTACTATTTGCTACAAGGTTAGCAAACTATCAAAATCTCGTTCTATAATAATTCAATAATTTATTTCTTAATGCTAAGTGAGAGCCATCAATTCTCCTTATTCTCATTCTCACTTAAATTAAAAAGATCAGTGGTCTTCACATGACGCTGTTCAGCAATCAATCGAACTAAATCTAAAGCAATGTCTTTCAAGTCATTGTACTTTTTTAATTGCATAACATGTTTCTTTACAACAGCCTCTGGATCTTGATTGGAATCCAATTCGCTAATCAATAATGAACATTGATTCTTAATATCTATTAAATTTTGTTCTTTTAGCTGTAATCTCTGTTGTATTATTTCTGCAGCGGTAGGTTGATTTGGAGACAACAACTGCGATTCCAGGGAAGATGGTAATTCTTGTGCATTATTAATATCTGTTTGTGACCTTGGTGTATTATTTAGGGTAGGATGGTCAATATTTAGAATATTTGCAGTTTCAGGAACTGTCACTTTATTGATATTTTGTATACCTGTATTTGAATGTATACTTGAATCAGGGATTTTTGATCTGCACGAAGTGTAATTGCAACAAGTCGATATGGTTGATGATGATGATGGTGGTGGTGGTTCTATTACAGATGGTTGGGCTATGGTGAGGGATGCGCTAGGATCACTGTTTTTGGATGCTACTATTATTTGATCATTTGTTGTACATATATGTGGTGATAGTCTTGTAGACATTACTGTAGTCGATAAATTTGATTTTTCAGTAGCTTCTGCAGTTAAGGCACTTAATTGAATAGAATCATTCATTAGCTCCTATTTCAGCTAGGATAAGAATCTATAATTTACAAGATATAAAATAATTGATGATATATCGAGGAAGATTTTTAAAATATTGAAAGCAATTATTTACTCTAATATTATTCAAGTCAGCAATATTATTTTTATTAATACGGAAAAGGCGATGCAAGATATCGAGATAGACGAGTATAGCCTGACGTTGTTGTAGTTGCTAGTTATTTATTTTTAAAATACAACTTTCTGTTAGAAAGTATATTAACAATAGAAATACCAAGTTTTACCACACGACCCGTGTTACAATATATAAACGGTAAATTTGCTTTCAGGCAATAGACTTTGTTTCTGCTTAAATATCACGTTTTCAAAGTAGTGAATATCTTTGTTTTTTTATTTATGATATCAATCTGCGTACAGTTTCTATTATCACGAGGTAGCTTTGTGTCCCACTGTTGTTACTAATATTATCCTTCTAAATATCAGTCAAGCAATAATTTTGTAGCCTATTCAGGGCTTGAAGATGATGTTCTACAAATATTTTAGTATGTACCTTCACTGAATTTTTGTTATTTCAACTTATTAAAAGTCGTCGTTGACTACTTATACCAGTTGCAAAGTTTGTCGTTATGTTACTTGTTTTAGTTTTCTTTTGTTGTCTTTTTTCTTTTTCCTCTTCTTTTCTTTGTCGGTTGTCACCTGCTATTCAAATGTTCTGACAGCCAAACAAATTTATCAAATCAATTAGGCTTATTGGTGATTTAGTTTTGTGCAGTTAGAACTTATTTATGTATGGATTTCCTATTGCTGCTATACGATATTATAAAACTGCAATTCTCAAAAAAAAGTTATTATTATTTTTCAATAGTGCTAAAGCCCCTTAACCGTGTTTAAAGAATAATTGACATAAAAATTACATGTACAACCAATTAACTTTCTATAAGAAATCGAAGACATTTTACAAACTAATTATATAAATAAGGATAGATTCGAGGGGATGAGTTCTCAGCCAATTATACTTTATACTTTTCACATTTAAACTACGGGTAAGAGTTTCCACTTTTTGTATACCAAATCCCGCCTTTAAATTTAAACTGAAACCCCGTATTGGGCGATTATCTAGATTTAAGGTTATATTTTCAGCACGAGACTTTGATCAGAATTAAGTTACTCTACCCACACTAGTATTATTATAGCAATTTAAAAGTGAACTCTCAATCTTTGTGCAGTTTGTCAAAAGTTAATGCAGTTGAAATTTGCACAAATTGTGCATGATTAAATGAATACTGTACATGTGCGCAAAATATTTTAATAAGTTCATTACCTCGGCGTAAATAACGGCAGTGTTCGTAAAGCTAGTGATCGTTAACATGTGTAACAGCCCATAATGATAAACTATTAAACTCCGAGACTCAGTTCCTGATACACGAGAAAAAATGATGTCATGATACATTGTTTTGTCAGGTTCACTATGAACATTCTTAGATAAAATTCCGAAGATTTGATGGATTCATTATTTTTGTAAGTTTATCACTTTGAATTGGACATCATCTAGGAACCACAGCAATTGTAATCATTTGTTGGACACCTTAGCTGTACGGCTGCAATCTCACTTTTTATACACTGACGTATGTAAGCTGTATCCTCAATTAATTGCTGCATTAGTGATTTGCGCACAATCCCTAGACTGTTGGCAACCAACGTCTCTATTCTACCTAACTACGGTGATTCTGCTTCACAATGCAGCACTAATTTAAAAATGAAATTTGGCTATCTTCCTTACATGACTCGAAATTTGAATTATCTTTTATCATTGTTCTTTATTGTATTATTAAATGGAGCCGCCTTCCGGTAGTTAACCTTCTATTCTTTGTTGTAATAATTTAAGTTCATTGTGTAAAACTAATTACTGTGATCTGCGGTATTCTAAATTACAAATCAGGAAATTAAGATTTTCAATTTGCAACATTTGTGAATATGTAGTCTATTCGATTATATATATATATTCTATATGATTTACAACCTACGACTGCCTTCTACTTCTAGTTGAAGTACTTCTCATTATCATATGTTGCTCTGGAGTTGGCATTGAACCTAATTGTTCATTTTTTGAACTTTGGGCTATGGGGTAAGCTACGGGCGTTTGCTGCTTCTGTTGCAGATGCAGATGCTTCATATTTTTAATTGACATTGGAGTAACTCTGAAGACTTCGTTACCAATTTCTCCAAAAGAGCGAGACCTCAGCCTACTACTAGGGTTATTATATTCCTCAAACAGTCCTGGACTTAAAGTTTCAGGATATTGATTCGATACGCTTCGAGGTTTCCTATCAATGGCTTCTAAAGAAATTAGTTCATCAGCAGGGTATGGACGGAATTGGTGTTGATGGGCATATAGACCAGATGGAGAAGGAGTCCGCGACGCCTTTCTTGAATTTGGGACAGATGTCAAATGTGAATTCAAGTTGTTTATTGAATTGGAATTGGAAAGACGATGTCCCCTCTTCTTAATTGTTGTGGTTGGTGAAAGCAGAGCACTTGAATATATTTGCGGTGACGAATTAGTGGGTGGCTTCGATTCACCAGTATAATTTATAAGCTGCATCATAAAATACCTTATTAACCAAAGTGCTCTACCCGCGTAAAACGATATAGAAGATTCGAATTCGTTGTAATTGTAAGCATTCTCATTACGTGATGAATGATTTGTATGATTCTGATGTTGATTATACTGAGGTTTCGAGTTTTCAGCTCTGCTATACTTCCTTCCCAATTGCATTAAGTAATATTGTAATACTGTTCCATGTTTATTGTAATTAGCCGGTAAGGTAATATATTTTCTTAATAATGGATCTATTATTCTTAACTCAAAATTGACTAGTCTATCAGCGCCTGATATATTTGATGCTGGCTCTGCCGCAAATATCTTTGATAGTATCCATCCATTGATAATTTGCAAGTTGGAATCTTTTCCATAAAATAACCATACTTTTAATCCCGTTAAAACAAGCGCCACTAAAAATTGATCTTGTACAAGCTGATATTGAATGTACTGGATGATAATATAAAAGAGCCAGTAATTTAGAAGGAATTGCTTCGATCGTATTATTATTATTGTAGAAGTACTTGATGATGATGGCGAAGATGATAGTGATGATGATGCATTGGGGGAATTATTAGGTGATGATGTAGACAGATATGATGTGGATGCCTCACTCAATGAAAGGGATTTAATTGTAAGAGCCAACGGTATAACGGTTGTGAATGTATTAGATAGAGCGGAAATGAAAATCAGAAACATCCCCACAAGTTATTATAGTATTACAATATATGGGGAAGAATCAATGATATCCACAATAATGGAGAATTTTAGTTTTATAAATACTTTATGTTACATAGGTGCAAATATCCCATCTTACCTACACACATTGCTACAATGCACTTTTCTGTTAATACACTTCCCTAGTATGATTAAGAAGAACTCCTACTAAAAGGGTAATGGCTTCCTGCATTTAACATTCGTACATGACACTATTGAGGGTTTTTACTGAGAAGACGCTTACATAATATTACTCGACCGCAGTATTCCCGCTTATGTAAACCTAATTACTACACACTGCCTTTTTTATCAGTTTGGTACTGACCAGAACTGCAATTCGTATCTGTAGACAAGTATATCATTACAAGATAAGTTTACTTGTAGTAGGTACAACTCGTATTCTATTTCGTTCCCTTGATTGTTCTAGATGTTACATCAATATTCTACATTTCTTGTATTAGAGTACATTGCTGTAGCAGCGAGCGAAAAGAAGCGATACATTCAAATTGCAAACATAGGAGCAATTAGACTGTACAGAAGCCTTAAGCACTTAACGTCTCTCAAGACAGCTATTTAATTTGCCGTGGATTAGTTTAACACAAATTGGCAACTTATACCACATTTTGCCTAGACTTTAACACACAGGAATTTATGACGTAACTTATTTAATCTGTTATTTTGATTGGACCACAAGTAATCTAACCTATGTAAATGACCCGTTATTTAAGAATTGCATGAAGCCGTTAACTTTATGGCGCAGGCCAATCCAACTCAAATGGGAAATAATCAATCATCCAGTGTTTTAGGTGGTGACTATATCTTCAAATGACATTCACTCGTGAAAGGTGGTGGTAGTGAATGTGTATCATATACGAAATGCTTACGGTTATAAGCATGAACTTGGCGTCACTGACTCTTATTAAGTAGTGACCAAACTATATTTTGCAATTTTCTATTTGTTCAAACAATATCGCACCTTCCAAATCGGAATATCGTAATAAGCTATTAAAATTATATGCTGAAAGAGATAATACATACCGAAATTAATTCAACTTCTAACGAAGCGTACCAGTCATTTTGCAAGTACTTATTTATAGCTCATTTAACTTTGTAGTCTATAGGCTAGTCAAGAAATGAGCAAAAATAGTCAACAGTCTAGATCGCGGATTGGAGATTCTTATGCGGGTGCGACATTTCGGAGTAGCAAATTGTACTACAAAAATATTTTAAGATTTCAAAGATTTATGTTTATCAAAGATTCTAACAAACAAAATAAATAGAATTAAAATAAATATTAGAATTAAATAAATAATAGAATATATAAAAAGATAAATATGAAAATGCAAATAGAAGTAATTTGGGATTAACCAGACGTTCTATAAGTACTATATTTCGGTAATTAATCTTACCCCGGGGTGCGCCAGCGCACATCTAATTAACTAATAACCTTATTGACTAGCTATTAATTCATACATTACTACGACACACGCCTTGCTATTGATAAAAATTTTGTTTTCCGTCACTAAATAGTTATTTCCCATGTGTGCGATTTTGTGTGCGTGAGAATGTGGGTGTGCCTATGAGTACACCAGTACTCTTGAGATAGGCTCGTAAATCCTCTTGACTCCAATGTAGTAGAATAAGTCAAAGAGGAATAATAACACCAAGGGAGCAATGATGAGGATTAAAAGATGATAAGATAACTTAATGAGCCATGCTTCGATTAAATTAACTGCAGCGATAATAGTATGAATTATTCCTGATAATGATGATGAATACGATAAGACCGGAACCTGCGTGGAACTGATTATCAATGATATCATTTTAATAACTGCAAATGTATATATAAAAAAAGGACTTCTTGATAGTTTATAATGTAAATGAGCAAGTTACTATCAGTACTTCAAAGAATGAAATAAAGAAAGAAAACTAGTTCCTTTTATAAACTTACTGGCTGTTTTCAAATTTGTAATCTAACTGCAAAATGTTTCCTTCCTTATGCCCCTTGTAATTAATCCCTAACTTTTAAATTTATTTTTCATGTTACCCGGCTGTTTTCGAATTTTTTTTCTTTTTTTCTTGCTTTTGTAAAATTTTTGTTATTGTTTTTCACTTTTTGATTTGCCTTACCAAAGATGGTTTACTCGGATGTGATTCTTTATCTAATATAATATAAACTTCACAATGCTTGCTACTTTATTGCAAGTATCAGAACTCTTTTAAAGTTGCTGATCATCTCGTTTCCTTTAGACAGAAATACTTATTCAAAACAGTACTAACTAATCAGGGGATCTAATTGTGTTCCGTTATCTAACAGAACAGTAGATAAAACTATTAAAGCAACTTTAAGAAAGATATCTATTAGCACATAAAACTTAAAATGGTATGTGTTATTTTATACAATGCTCAGTAGCATTAAATATTATAATTCATTGATTTTTCATTAGTCTTAATCCTATTGTACAATAATTATTTTGAAGCAATCATATTTTTTTGATTTCTTAGCGGGATTCGAAAACTCCTTAATTTCTAAATGATGTTAAACAAACTTTACTTATCTACATTACTTGAAATAAGTTTATGAAATAACAGGTCATACTGATAAAGAAATTATTTACCACAAGAAACGATTCTTGTTGGTTATTTGGGGCGGTTCTAAGATAATATGAAAAATTAATTAAATTTAGTCAAACAAAGTTTACTAACCATAATAATTATAGACAAGGAAATTCTTAACCTACAATAATCTCTCCGTAACTAACGTTATACGTCCAATGGAAGGTTTGAAGGAGTAATCCTCCGCAGATTTACTCCACTTACAATATTATTATTTGTAATTATCATTGTTTAATGCGGCAAGTGGTACATACCCACAGACGCACAATACAAATGATCTTCCCCCTGGTTATATTTGAATAGTAAATGTGGTAAAAACAAAAAAATTGTGTATCAAAAAGGGAGATAAGTAAATTCGTACCTAGCCTAAATATTACGGCGAATTATCTCTTAAAGTTTCCCCTAACCTTTTTTTTAACTCACCCTTAATACCACATATGGAAGTGACATATTTAACAATAAAAGGCTGGAGTTATGACTATATTGGGAAAATACTCTATTTTATCAGAAATTCCTCAATAGGTCTAAACAAGCCTCTTAAACTTCCAAATTATTAACTCAATAATATAAACTATTTGATTCTGTATTGGAAACGGAATTTTCGGTCAATGGTTATTTTTTAATTAGTCTTTTAACCTGCCTTGCACTCCCACCTTCAATTTGGCCGAGCGCATTATACGCAAAGCACATATAAATCCCCTTCAGCTAAGCCAAATGCACTGCTAAGATTAGAAATTATGGCTGCTTAAATTATGTAACTACACATCACATTGATTGGCAAAGACTTTTGTTATCGCTATTATAACAATAATAATAATAATGATAAAAATAATAATAATACGTAAACATTAGATCTTATATTGTACTTAACATATTTAAATTGACCATCCTTTTACTAACCTATAGTAGCTCCATAATCACGATTATCATGTCCATCACCTCCTAAAGCAGCATAACCTTGGTGATAAGGATATTTTGATATGATGTAGAAACTATGTAATAATCCTGGTAAAAATCCTAGAATACATAGTAAGATATTAATCCAAAAATCTGCCGATAATACACCTCTTTTAACTAAAACAGGAATTGGAGGAACTATATATCACTGTTAGTACGTTAATTCTCTATATTCATTCAATTTTATTCTTTTGGTAGATATATAGAGAACACACTCCTACCTCGCCCCCTAATTACTTGTTCTCTTACTTCTCCCCTCAATTCAACTTCAATTTAAAAGATACATACGGAAGAATCCAATAAATACCAAAAACCAATCTCTTGCATGCATTGTTTGAACTGGTATATAATGTCACTATAATATTAATTTAAACAGTAAATAAAAACGATGAATATTGAAATTTGCTCGTATTTATAGTGATATCCATCGTTCCATTTTGCATGATTTAGCAATCGTAAATCTGTACCTATTTTCTTTTAGGTGCAGGCAAATGTCTTACAATCCTGTCTGTCTCCAGAGTGTCGCAAAATTCGAATTGAAAAATATGCGACATAATTTCAACCTAGTGTGAAAATTAGGTCCACCAACTAATAGTAGTGTTCCAACTTTAACCAATTCTATATCATAAAACGTATCCTTAGTGATTGCTGTACCTCCAAGAATGAAGCTCTCATTGATACCATTATTTGGTATTTTTTGTAGCGTAATAAGTTTGGTACAAGCCGTTAGTTATGATGCAGCCTTCAACAAGGAATTGATTCATTATAATCATTATCAATTCGACAATGACAAGTATGAAATAATTGATGCTAATAATGTCATTGGATTTAATGGTTTGAATCAATTTGTTAGTATTGCCACCGATGGAAATGTCAATTGGATTATAGAGGATATTAATCAATTTAATCAATTTAAAGTTGTTGGAACTTATATTTATTTATATTCCGATATATCCTCATCTATTACCATTTTGGAATTAAATTCAGGAGTTTTAGTAAAGACTATAAGAGCAAATTCAAGCAAATTTGATATTATAAATTTCTTTGATACTGGAGCTTTATTATTAAATCAGGATGGAACACTCTTGTATATTGATGATGACAAACAAGAAGTTATCGACCAACTTTCTTTAAAGAATTCTATAGGGTCAACTCATTATGAGCAATTGAATGGATTTGCCTATCTCATAATCGATAGAAACTATCTTATTAAATTAGATTCCAACAAGTCAATCTTAAATAAAGTCAGATTGAATTTAGCAAATATAAAAGAATTTAAAGATTTGACCATTATAGATGATCTTGGTAATATTTCCATAGTAAGTGATATAGATAATGAAATTATTGTTAAAAATATTGAATTATCTATTGGTGGTTTACATATAATTAATGCTAAATATTATTACAATATTGAAGGTAATAACAAATTGGTATTATATACCCTCAAAAATGATCAATTTGAAAAAGTTTGGGAGAAATCAATTATCAATACTGAAATTGATGATGTTAAGGCTATTTCATATGGATTAAGTGATTACTTAATAATTCTGAAATCTAATGGATCTAAGGAAGTACTTGATTTAACTGATTTCTTAGATCTTGATGATACATCTAGTATAAAGGAAATCAAAATTAAAGTATCTGATATTCCAAATAGAATTGATATTATTACATCTTTTGAAAATGTAATTCAATTGGTAAGTGTTAATAATAATCTTGATGGTAATATTTATGATTTACAAGATGGAAGTCAAATTAAATCTTTCAAGAATTCAGAATCTCAGCTTTTAATTAATAATGATATTTATTTAATCATTGATAAACCAGCTTCAAAAAATGCCATTAATGAAGTTAATAATTTATTACATGAAGAATCAACTTTACTCTTGAAGAATTGGATTAAAAGAGCAATTAGACATTTAAGTCAATTAGGAAGGTATGTAACTTCATTCATTACTTCTTCACATACTGATGTTCTTTCTGAAATTGAAGATGATACAGGTCTTACCAAATATGTTTTACTTTACGATAATGGATCTAAATCAATTATAGCAATTAATTCTAGTACAGGTAAATTTGAATGGAAAGCATCTGTATCTGAAGCTCCAAAGAAATTTCTTCAAGTAAATGATAATATAATTGCACTTTTCAGTACTTCTATTATTGAAATTGATCCATTAGATGGTTCATTGGTATCTAGAACCCCTGTTGAAGATGCAGTAAGTATCACTTTGGCACGAGGAAATGCTAAAAAGGATACTTTTATAATTGAGAAATCAAATTCTTTTGAAGCAATTTCTCCTATTGCTCAAGATGCATTTGCATTTAAATCAAATAGTGAAAAAGTTCAAGGTCATAAATTAGTTCATGGTGGAAGTAAATCATCAATTCAAACTTGGACTTTTCAACCAAAAGGTGAGAAAATTCTTGATGCTATTAGTAAAGATTGGAATTCAGTTACTGCATCGATTGGAACTCCATTGGCTGATAAATCTATTTTATATAAATATTTAAATCCTAATGTGATTGCAATTTTGACTGAAACTGATCAAAAACAATTAAAATTATATCTTATTGATGGAATATTAGGAACTGTTCTTGAAATATTTGAACATACAATTAATGAAGTAATTGATTTTTCCAGTATTAATTTAATAATTGATGATAATTGGGTAATCTATTCTTATTTTGTAAAGGCACCAAAATTAGAACAAAGAATTAATGTTATTGATTTATATGATACTGATAAATCTATTAAGAATGGTCCACAAGTTATTATATCATCTCATGAACAAAATTCTACAATTAATTCATTTACGGAGAAATCATTTATATTTCCTGAAAGAATTATTAATTTAAGTTCAAGTAAATCAAGTAATGGTATTACTGTAAAATCCATTACTGCTTTAACTGAATCAGGATATTTAATAGAAATTCCCAAATATATTTTAAATAGTAGAAGAATTGAAGATAGACAATTAAATCAAGAAGATTATTTAAATGATTTTAAACCACTTGCGTATGATCCAGTTATATCAATTAGTACTTATTCAGTATTAAATCATAAACATAAATTAATTACTAATAAAAATATTAAGGGAGAAATTTTAATAGTTCCAACTCATTATGAATCAACTTCAGTAATTTGTTATATTAATAAATATAATTATTTCTGTTCATTAATTCAACCATCTTCATCATTTGATACTTTAGGAAGTGGATTTGAAACAGTTAAATTATTATTAACTATGGCAGCTTTATTGGCAGTATACATTATTACAAAACCTTTAGTATCTAATAAAAAATTAAATGATCAATGGTTACATAGTTAGTTAAAAATTAAAATTAAATAAAAATTAAGTAATTTAATATTAAAATATTATTCATTAAAATGTCATTATATAATCAACTTATTTAGTTGAAAATTGACTCGTTACTTTGTATATACTGTATAAATTCACCATTTGTAGATTCGTTAACTCCGAAAACCTGCCAATTTAAATTTTGTTTATAATCTGTACTGTTATTATTGTTATCATTATTATTATTTTCATATTGATAAATTAACCAAATTAATTCATATGCTAAACTTGATACAAGATATGATTTTAATTTGTTAATTAAGAAAAATGATGGTACTATATCACCATTAGAATTAGAATTAGAATTAGTATTAGTATTAGTAACCATTTTTGACATTATAAAAATATTATCAACTTTATCAAATTTTTCTAATACTTTAAAGAATTTTGCATGTAAAAATTTCCATTCATCATTACTTGATAATATAATTCCTTTATAAAATTCATTAAATTTTTCTTTAACAAGTTTATAATCAGATATCATATTTAATATAGGAGATTTAAATACTCTTATTAATACCATAGTAGATAATTCAATTGGGAAACTATATTGAATTGGTAATTGATTAAAACTTATTGAATTTCCTTCTGAAAAATGTTCTTGATATAATGATAAAATTTTACAACAACTACTAATAATTTTAGAAATATAAATTTTATAATCCATTAATGATATATCTGATTTTGAAAATGCATATATGAAAAGTTGTAATTTTGAAAATTCAATTGAAATTTTAAGTAAATTATTTAATGTTAAAGGATTATTATTATTAATTAAAGTTCGATTTAAATCTTCAAGGATAATTTCAAACATATTAAAATTAATTAATTTACAGGTATTAATTTGATTTGGTAATAAAGTAATATTTTCATTATTATTACCAATTAAATCATTCATATTTTCATTAAGTTTAGTTTGAATAATTGAAATTTTTAATAATGAATTAATAAATTTATCACTTTCACTAGTTTTATCATATAAATCTTTATTTGAAGCTTTATTAATAATATAATCTTGAGTAAATCCATTATAATTATTATTTGATAATCCTAAATTTATTAACCAATAATTAGAATTTATATTAACAAATTTATAAATTCTTTCTCTAATTAAATTATTAAGATTAACTTCTTGTGATATATTCATTTTTGTTTTATGACTAAATTCTTCAATAAAATCTAATTTATGTAAACCAAATTGAAGTGATAAAGATTTCATTGTTGAAATAAATTTTATACATAAATTATCAGCAATTTTACTATCTAAATTTGGTAATGGCCAAGTAGTTAAAATTAATAAAGCTGATATTACATAAACTGATCTTGGAGTTTGAAACCAACATTTTTCAACCACTAATGATTTAATATGTTCACTTAAAATTGCATAATTTGAAGCCGAATTTTCAAGTGGATCATTTAAGAATGAAGTTAATATAATACACCAAAATAATAATTCATTTTCAAGTTTAAAAGTTTCTAAATTTAAATTTGGAAAGAAATTATCAGGAAATATTGGAAGAAATTTATTAAAATTAGTTTCATAATTGGAGAATAAATGATAGGCTTGTTCATATGTTAATGAAAATGATTGTTGATTTAAATTTGTTGATATTGTAAAAGTATCGAATTGATTATATGTAACATTTTTTGTTATAATTGTTACATCTTCTGGAGAACTTATACAAGATTGAATAGCACTTACAGATGGTGTTAAAGATGATCTTCTAGCTCTTTCAAGTTTTGGTAAAGTTTTATTAGTTATTAATTGAATTGTTTTACCTCTATTAATTAATGATTCAACTAATTTACTCTTTCTCGTTATTATTCTATCTAATACTTCGTTTAATTCATTTACTTCTGATGCTAATTTTTCAACCAAATCTATTGATGATCTTTCTGGTGCTTTGGTCATTAATTCTAATGTACAATTCATACTTTTCTTTGCACAATGAGAACATGGTAAAGGATTCGTTATTAAGGCATCACATTTTGTTTTATGTTTACGACATCTTGTACATGTCTTTAATACTTTAGCACCTCTTGAGGCTGCCGGTATTATTAATCTTAATCTTTGTTTCAGATGCAGTGACATTGGCATAATCATTTGAAATGATATTAATATTAATTAGGGGGTATACTATTGGGGCAGGCGATTTTAAAAGTCAAGAATTAAATGATAATGAATCAACTATACTATGAAAAATATAAATCTATTATATTAATTAGTATAATAATATTCACGATTATTCAATCGGCCTTTAAAATTTTATTTACTGATATCTTATTAGTATTTATTAAAATTGGATCATTATCCAAAAATCCTAAATAGTAAGATAGGAGTTACCTGTGCGAATTCTGGCTTAAATGATATAGTAATCAGCCTTGTACCTTATTTTATTGGAAGTTAGAATTTGGTTGTGAAATTTAATTGCATTCACTATCCCGCTTATCGGTAAACGCAGCTAACTATTAGTAATAGAAATTTCTTCAGTGGTAATTGGTCCAGAAAATTTGTTACCGATTTTCGGTGGGACAGTCGCAGCACAAAATATTTTTAGTATCCCGGTATAGCGTCTCTAGAGAGCATCCAATTAATTATTTGGAGAATATAATAATACGACACTTCCCCCCCCCCTTGTGGGATGATTATACTGCGATATTCGTTGAACAAGTAAATAATTTATATTTGTTTTCGTAATTGCGTATGTCGTCTGCTGTTATTTCTTATGAGCTATGGTACATTGTTACCAAAATTAGTATTGTATAATGAATTAAGAAATGTGGGTCTATGTTATTTATTGAAATATGACTAAATTGTATGCTACATTCTCCCTTTACGGAATACTACATTCATATATGACGAAAGTGAATAGTTTAATTAATTGCAGCATTTCAGAATAACTATAGCTTATTATGGTTGTAGGTCTGTTGCAAATGTAGAACCAATTATAGGATAAATAATGATCATTATGTTACTCAGTTTGGAAACTAGACACTCTATCATATCGTATATTTCAATAACTTTTTAAGTATGGACCTGTGTCTATAACTCCCTATTTAGTGGGTTGCAAATTTTTAACCTTTGCAAAATGGCTGTCCTCAGTCATCGCACACGACCTGCAGTATCTACAAAATTCACAGCAATATGTACGTACATAGTTCATATAACCCATATATATATATATCTTAGTTTATACCACTATGAACTTCAAAAATTCAAAGGGTCTTGATAAGCCTCTAACGGCTAATCAAATAACCAGTTTACATCTATATGAGTTAGCTCTTGCTGTACCGTTTAATCCTTTAAGTAGACAATATTCACTTTTATTTCATAAGTTTAATAATGAAAAATCAATTAACTTACCTGCAAATCCAACTATAACTCAAAGATTTTGTGTAAATTGTGGTGGTGTATTAGTTCATGGAATAACCTTATCAGTGCGCATAAAGTATCATAACAAGAAGAAAAAGAAGGTTAATAGTATCAAGGATACCAATGATGACAACTTATTGAAGAGCAGGCGATACTTACAATTCAAATGTTTACACTGCAAGCATATCACAAAGGATAAAACATTGATTGAATATAATCCCAAACAAGAGCAGGACTCGAAAACCAAATCCTCATTAGATATACCAATTATAAAATCTATATCACCAAGTCCAGTAGCGACATCCAAATCTCAACTGCCAAATGGCTTCAAAGCTCAATGGACTCCAAATAATAATAATCAAGTTAAAGCCAATATACCAAAAGAAAAATCTAATGATACTAATACTAATAGTAAATCAAAAGAAAGATCCAAGAAGAGGAAACAAAACAATTTATCAAATCTTTTACAACAAAAGAAACAACAAAAATTAAATGAATCAAAAGGTATAGGGTCATTAAATTTACTGGAATTTTTAAAATAGATTATTTAAATATGAACCATTTATAAACTAAACTCGAATTTAAATATTAGTGAATTTTAGTTTCTCTCTACTATTTAATATACATAGATACCTGGTAAATTTGTCGTTTATATTTTTTTTTTATTACCTTAACCCTTTTCTTCTGACTTATCTCGGTTATCAATACGGCAACAATATCGAATCCAACGTCTTCTTCGATAAACCTCTTTGAATCCTAAGCCATAACCTTTATCGAGGATTTCCTCTTCAGTGATTTTACTATCACTTACATGTAAATCATAAACCCATTTTTCATCATCATCAATCAGTACCAAATCTTCAATTAATTTGCATTTAACCCAAGTTTTAACATCCAAATCAAGTTCCCATTTTTGGTCTAAAAATTGCCAATTCTTTGGCGGAGTTATATCATCAATTGATATCTTTTTATGTAATCTAAGATAAGATTGTTTAATCTCTTCTATAAGTTCATCTTTAGATTTATTTTCCAATTTATTCTGTACATTCAATAAACTTGTATTGAATTTTCTTGTAGCTGTGTTGATAGTATAAATATTATTAGTAAATCCAACAAGTTTCCACATTTTAGTAGTTTTATTTAATTTTTGTAATTCAAATATTTCTACTTTTCGAAAACTTCCATCTTTAATTCTTTCTTCTTTATTATATTCAAATTCTTCTATAATATCAGGTTGATTTTCCGAAGCTATTATATAACTTAATAATTTTGTTTCAATTCTATTGGTTATTTGTAAAGCATTTAATCTTGTATCTTCTCTATATATCCATTCCATTATTTTTGATCTATTATAAGGATGAAATGCAATTGTTATTCCCCAAGTTAAAGATATAAGTAATAATTGTATTAAATATGAATTTCTAAGGAAAAATGGAATAATTTTAGGGAAAATAATTAGATTAATAGCTGATAATCCCATTAAAACAATTAATATTGCTGAAGTTAAATTTTCATCTTTAAAATATAAATAATCATTAGTTAACCATACAAAAAAATCATAAGTAGCAATATGAATCATTTGATGATTTTGTAAATCTGTAAAATTCATAACAAATTCTCTTGAAAATTCCGGAATTGGTTTAGGAACTTTACAATCATTTAATGGAACTGCTGAAGGTATTGGATTTGATTCAAAAAATGCTGAATTAAATGAATTATCAGGTGGATAAATCATAAGATAATGAGGTATGATTGTTCTTAAAATTATTATAATCATTGGAAATACAGTTAATAAATATGGATTTAAAATTATATGAGTTAAAATTAATAATACACCAATTGTATACCATTTATTTGACCAATTAAAAAATGAAATAATATTATCTATAAATATAAAAGTACTAGACATTCTTTGAGCCAATTGTCTTGAATTTCTAGACATTATATTTATTGATAATGGAGGTCGTTCCTTTTGCATGGCTAATCTTGAATTTAATACCTTAGATGTTACTGGATCATTAACATCTAATGGTAAAAGCATTGAAATAACTTTCTCAACTAATTTATCCATTAAGATAGTATTGGTAGTTGTATTTGATCCTGATTTTTTATTAGCATCATCAGAAATTCCAAGAAGATTATATTTCCAAAACGCAGTAAAATCACCTTCTGATCTTCTTTTATGTGATGTAAGATTAACACTTGATGAAGAATCTCTTTTTATACTAAAATTTGAATTTGAATTTGTGGTTGTAGTTGAAGTTGAAGTAACATTAACTTCAGTGGCTACTGGCTTACTCGGCTCAGTAGCCTCAACACTGAGAATATTCTCAAAGAAACTTGAAACCAGTTCCATCAATAACAATGATTTAACTTGTAATAAAGTGCAGGTTTCAGATTTCAGGTTCCAAACTCTCTAATGACACTTTGATTTCAATTCTTTGTATATAGTCTAATTTTAATGCTTATTTTAACCTCAGCTGTTGGGATCAGGAACAAAAAATTTTGGGGTAAATAGTGAGGGCCCGATATTGCGTGTTGGCTTTTTAAGCTTTTTCTTATAATTACTATAAATTTACGAAGAGTCCATATAGTATAGTACACTAATTGTGGTATAGAACACAGTAGTAGTACTTGAGGTGATTGTGGTGATTGTAGAAGTGATTATACTAATATAATTACTAATAACATTGGAAATATTTACTGTAAAATAATTAGCTGGTTAATTATAGTGAGCTAAGAAGTCGCAGCAATTACTGGCACCTACAGGATAATACAGCCCATAAATTTAAAATACTAATATCTTAATAATGCAAGTGGGTATATTTTTATAAACTAATATACATATTAAAAGAATGTTAAATTACATATGATTGAATTATAAATTCATGAATATCATTAATTAATGCTTTTAAACAACTTCTTGTTTAACTTGGGGTGTAGCAAGGGCTCGTAATGTAGTTTCCGAATAATCGTCATTGGCAATTTCGATGCCATCTCCATTAAAACTTGATAATGGAGTTGGTAAATCAAATTTGAGTCTTTTACGAGGTTCATCAATATTTGTAGATTTTCTTTTAAGTGCTGGTCTTTTCTTTGGTTTTGTTGGAGTAATAGGAGGAGTTAAAGCTTCCTCAATTTCTGATTCTGATGATGATGATGAAATTAAATCTACTGATTCTTTTTTCACAGCTACTTGTTTCATAGATATTGCTTTCTCGGACTTTATTTTACTTGCCTTAGATTCTTGTTTCACCCCTGATGCTTTCTTAGTTTCCTTTTTTATATTAGTCTTTTTAATGCATTTTTCTGTTTTGATAGAAGGAAGATTTTCTTTCATACCATGCTTTAATTTTTTAGAATCTAATTGTTCTTGAGTTAAGAATAAATCCGGTATTTCTTTCTTTAGTATTCTTACAAAATTATCACAATCACTTAATATTTCATAATCAATATATGAATGCCATTGTTTTGATAAAGGAGTTTTATTTACAAATACTACTTTACCTCCTTTATTATGAATTGATGTACTTAATGATTTTACAAGTTTTTTAACTCCATCAACTTTTAATGATGTACCCATAACAATTAATAAATCTGGTCCAGCTCTTAAATCAACATTTAATCCTTGTGCTAAAATATCAGCTTGAGGATGATGTTCACCATATAAAACTATATCAGGACGTAAAATTCCAACATTTCCAGTTAATCTCTTTCCTGAATATAATCTTTCTTCATATTTTTCATAACATTTATCACATTTTGGATTTAAACCACTAGCTAATTCATTTCTATACTTTTCATTCCAATCAAAATTTGAAAAACAATTAGTACAAGATAATTTATGTAAATTTCCATGTAATTGTACAACATCTAAATTTTTCCAACTTTGATTAAAAGTTTTTGATTTATCAAATTCATTTAAATTTATTCCCATATTTAAATTAATAGATTTTTCTAATGAATCAATATTTTGAGTATAACATCTTAATAATTTATTTTTATCCTTTAAAAGTTTTATAAATTTATGAGTTTCTGTTGGTTGAGCTTTTAAACTATATTGATATAATGATTCCATAAAAGTACAAAATAATGATAAAGATATTTCATCTCTAAATAATGATATATCAAATAAATCTTGACCTCTTACAATTGTTTTTGGATATTTTGATTTAACTAAATTATATAATCCATCAGATGATCTAAAATCAGGTATACCAGCATTACATGAGATTCCTGCTCCTGTTAATACTGTTGCCTTTTTAGATTTAAAAATATGTTTTATTGCTTCATTTAAATTTATAGAATCTTCACCAGATATTTCCACTCCAATCTTTTGATTTAACAAGTCTATAGTTATCATTGTTAAACCGCTGTCCTATTCTGAGATGCTCTGATATTTCTTTATCCTCAACTTCTCCTATTAGTTAATTAGAGATTCTAGAATTTTTCCAAGGCTAGATTCAGATTAGTTAATAAAAGCAAATCAAATTAATTATAATTTTATCCTTATAAACAATGGTCTATTAACAAATTTTCATTAAACTAATTACTGCAATTGCTATTTCCTTACTTTATAGATATTATATATTAGTTAACAGTTTTTCTTTCCGTACATGCACTACTTTTAATTTTATGTCTCCTTTTGTTTAATTAGTAGCACCAACGAATTACACAAAGTTCACGACATTTTAATTGTTTACATATTTTAATAATTTTTCCTAATTAGGAAGGAACTCTCTATATTAAAATCAAAACACGAATTCAATTATCATATTAAATGGGTCCAATGACAGTTACTCAAAGTTGCATAATGTAAACAGGTATACGAATAGTCGACTAAGAGAATTTCGACTGCGACTGCGACTGCGACTACGACTATGACTCCTATTCATCCAAAATTAAATATAATATTTCCCTAACAATATTTAAAATATATAATATAGTATATAGTATATGATATGAATTGATTTAATAATAAGCATTATTATTATTATAATTATTATTATCATTATGCACTCTGACTATTAACTGCCAATTCCATAATTAATCTAGTAGATAAATGTAAGAATGGATAGGCTGAAAATGAACTAACTTCATCAGCATCTTGATTAGAGAATTCATTAGAAGCTCCATCTCCAAATTGAGTTTCCCAACCATCAAATTTAAAATCTACTAAATAATTATTTGGCTCTAGTTGAAATAATTGAATTTGCATTTTCATTAAATTAGGTGCATTTTCAACTTCACATGCTTCATATTTCCACCTTACTCTAATAGTCCATAATTCTTCTTCTGTAGGTTTTGCCCATTCAGCTCCTAAATTTTTAAGTGCACGATAAATTTCTCCCATAACATCTAATGGGTATGATCTTGATCTAATACCAAAATGCCATCTAGTTTTCAGTTTTTTGGTAGATACTGGATTTATAGCTGCTTGACTATTAGTTTCCATCATATATGCTCTATGAATACTTGGTAAAGATGATGGTAAAATAGCAATTGTAGATGTTGGTAATGTTGATAAATCAGGTACAGTTGCTAAAGTTTGATAAGTAACTGATTGTTGAACACCTGGAGCAGTACTAGTTGAACTAGCAGTAAATGCTGGAGGTGGAGATGTTGATAAGAAAGAATCAATTTGATCAGCTTTTGATTTCTTTAAATCTTTTACTAATGTATGATTTTCTTTCATCAATAGATAAGCATCAAGAATTTCATTATTTTGTTCTTGTGGTGAACTACTCTTATTACATCTTTCAATAACACTAATAATTTCATCACGATCATAACCCATTGCTAATGTTAAAGCACTAATAACATCTTCATCTATATCAATCTTATTATGCTTTGTTTTAGATAAATCTGGTGGTAAAAGATAATCTTCAATATCTTTTTTAAACCATTCATCTTCCATAATTTCATGAATTGTTATTCTATTTAATGGATTAACCACTAACATTCTTGTAAGTAAATGTTTAGCTCCAGCACTTAAATAATTAGGTAATGTATATACCCCATTACTAATTTTTTTAAATAAAGCAGGAATAAATTCATCATCAAATGGTAATCTACCACATAACATAACATATAAAATAACTCCTGATGACCAAACATCAACTTCAGGTCCAGCATATAATTTACCCGAGATAACTTCTGGTGCAGCATAATTTGGTGAACCACAACTTGTCTTTAAAAAATTACCATCAGTCATTATATTTGATAAACCAAAATCGGCAATTTTAACATTTAATTGATCATCTAATAATAAATTTTCTGGTTTTAAATCACGATGAACAATTTTATGTCTATGACAATATTCAACTGCTGCGATAATTTGTTGAAAGAATCTACGAGCTTCATCTTCAGGCATTTTACCACGTTGAACAATATAATCAAATAATTCTTTACCAGCAAATTCAATAACCATAATAATTTCTTCTTTTGATTTAATAACATCATAAAGTTTAATAATATGAGGATGTCTTAATAATCTTAAATATGAAATTTCTCTTTCAACTCTACCTTGCATATCTGATTTTGCTAAAGTTTTACGATTAATAATTTTAAGAGCAACTTTTTGACCAGTAACTAAATGTTGAGCTAATTTAACTTTACCAAAGGATCCTTCACCTAATGTTTTAATAATTTGATATTTACCAATTCTATTAGCTGGATTAGCATTAGGATCTATAGGGATGGGGGATGGTTCATGATGATGATGATGATGATGGTGATGATGGGCATGTTGATGCTCGGTTGGAGCACTCTGGGTTTCCGACATTTGTATTTAAATAAATTGTATACTACAATTGACCTGTACTAAAGATCAAGATTAGTTTGTTATCTATCTAGATCTATATATATGGCATTCTTTATCAACGTTGAATTTGCTGTCCCTTTTTGTCATGACTAAATGCGTGGAGATATTGGGCACTCGTACACGACCTGCTGCATCCTTATACTTAAAATACCGTACTTCCCATATTACTCTATAAAAACTTATCTAATGACCTATACTAAATCTTCTAGTCATTCTTTCTCTACTTCTACTTCTACTTCTACTTTCACTTGGACTTCTACTTCTATTTCGAATTATCTGAGTCCTATCTTTTCCTCGTTCTCGTTCTCGTTCTCGTTTACTGTTATATCTATTATTAGAATCTCGATGCTCATGGTTTCTGAATCTATGATTTTCAGTTCGATACTGTGTTGTATCTCTAGATTCATCATTAAGTTGTCTAGATTTATGTGATGTTCCATATGACAACTTGTTACCTGTATCATCATTATTACTATTAGTGCTACTTCTATTATAATTAGTCTTAGTCTTTTTAGATTCTGTTATCTCAGGGGGTGGTATTTCTTGTAATCTTTTCTTCATTTCAATTTCAAATCTCTTTATCTCCTCTTGTTGTTTAACCTTCTTATCTAAAATCTCTTTCGGTATCCCGTCTTTATTTTCTTGAGCATCTATAAGTAATTTCCATAACTTTTCACAAAAGATCTGTGCTTCATTTTGACCTAAAAAATCAGATACTTGAGTTTGTATAGCTTTAATATCAGGATTACCACCTTCAACATTCAATAATTCATAAATATACTCTTTCACTATATCATCATCATCTAAATATTCACTAATTGATTCCAGAATCCAATCTTTTATAATTGGCAAATTAACTTTTTCAATATCAACTGAAATTTTATAACATTTTGGAAATTTCTTCAGTTTAGAATCCTTCTTATCTTGCCTCTGAAAGAAGTCAGAATCAACTTGATTTAATCTATAAGACATTTGCGGGGTCTAATTACTTATCATATAAGTGGAGTAATACATAGTTACTGATGGGAATAAATCTTGATATTTTTTACAGGTTTCTCCTACTAATCAATTTACAGGTTAAGGTGTTGCAAAAAATGTGTTAAACCCACATACATTTTATGGTATAAAAGGAGGTTAAATTATCCAATTCTAAATCTTATTATACATCTTCTGGTTTCTTTCATATCCATATATATGCTACCATGTTTGAGCCAACTTATTATGCTGAAGCATTAACTAATGCTAATCTAGATTCTGATAAATATTCATTTTCATTGACACATTCTGATAACTTAAAGACTGATTATACGTTATCAACAACCAATAATAACTGTTGTACTCCTAGGTCTCTATTAGCTATTGAATCCATTGGATTGGATAATGCTGATGTTTTTGAAGTACCTGTGGTTACTCGTAACAATATTTGGTCAAAAGATTTCAATCATGTTAGTGAATCAATTTTTATGCCATTTATTCAACCTCCCTCAAAGAACGAAGAATTGAGTTTTGATACTAATATGAATAAGGATTTTAGTTATGAACTGTTTTCATCCTTAGGATCTAATAGCTTTAGTTCAATTAAAAGTCCAATATCACCAACATTTATTTCCAAACCTTTAGCTTATTCTACAGTAGCTAGACAAGCTTTACAAGTTCCACAACGTCAACAAGATCAACAGTCAATAACACAATTTTTAACTTTTAGAAATTATAAAGGAATTATTTTTACAGTTCCAAAGAATTCTAAATTTTTTGTTATCAAATCATATAATATTCTTGATGTAACTTCATCTTTTACTCATAATATTTGGACTTCTACAGAGCTTGGAAATAGACGGTTAGATAGAGCCTTTAATGATATTAAAATTACTAGTAATCCTGATCTTGATGGAAAAATCTTTTTATTATTTCTGGTTAATTCATCTGGAAAATTTTGTGGAGTTGCAGAAATGAAAGAAAAGATTGATTTTAATAAGAGTAGTGATATTTGGGTCGAACAAACTAGATGGAAAGGAATTTTCCCAGTTGAATGGTTATTAATTAAAGATGTTCCTAATAGATATTTTCAACACCTTAAGATTCCAAATAATGAATTCAAACCAGTTACCAATTCAAAGGATACTCAAGAAGTTCCATTTGATATTGGTATTTCTATGCTAAAAATTATGTGCTCATTTAGAACAAATACTTAAAGTCCTAATAGAAAATTAACTTTTTCAACTAATTTTGCTAATTTAACTAATTTTGCTGCCAAATTCTTTTGAAATGGATATGCAATTATTATATATTCATCTTATTCATTTTAAATTATTATTCTAACTAATAGCTATAAGATATACGTGAAATTTTTCTTATTGGCTGAATTATAAAAGATCTCTTTGAATTATAAAGTGGGCTGTTGTGGTTCGATCGCAAAAATTGATAAACGAGCTATAGAGAAAAATTTCTTAGTCAAATCGTAGAACTAGAACTACAAGTATAGTATTAGAATCCCTTTACCAATTGAACTAAATGTCAATGATAAGTAAATCAAGAGTTGGCACCCAATTAGCCAAATGTAGTAGAAGTTTTACTACTTCACATTGTAGATTTGCTAAGAAGAGTAAAAAGTCTTCAGATAGTTCGGATGATCTTGAAGAAGTAGTTAAGAAATATCATGGTGAGAATGTTACATATGGAGAACTTTCAAAAGCTCAAAAGGCATATCTTGATAGAGTTATTAGAGTTGATCAAGCAGGTGAATTGGGGGCTAATTATATTTATATGGGTCAATATAGTGTATTAGCCAATAAATATCCTCATTTAAAGCCAGTATTACAACATATGTGGGATCAAGAAATTCATCATCATAATACATTTAATAAATTACAAACTCAAAGGAGAGTAAGACCATCATTATTAACTCCATTATGGAAAATTGGAGCTATTGGATTGGGTGCAAGTACTGCACTCATTGGAAAGGAAGCTGCAATGGCATGTACAGTTGCTGTTGAAACTGTTATTGGAGGTCATTATAATCAACAATTAAGAGTATTAATGAACCAATATGATTCTCCAATTTATGATAAAGAAACAGGAGAAAAATTGGCTGAAAGTGATACGAATAAAGAGATTGAAACATCACCAGAAATTGAAGATTTGAAACAAACTATTAAAACATTTAGAGATCAAGAATTGGAACATTTAGATACTGCTATACAACATGATGCTGAAAAGGCAGTTCCATATATTGTATTAACTGAAGGTATTAAATTGGTTTGTAGAGCTGCTATTTGGACTGCTGAACGTGTATGACGAATCAGCAATTGATGAAATTTATGAACGTTTATGAAAATCATTTCCATTCATTTTAGTGAATAGACTGTGGGTGTAATGAATAGATTTAAATAGAACTATTCTTTCTGTAATTAGATTTAGTACCACATATATAATATAATATAATATAATACAATATAATGTGAATAATAATAATAATTTATTTTATCGGTATATGAGTTTTCACGTGATCATAAATTACAGATAATTTTTTTGTTGTTTGTATGGAGTGTTTACATTTTGAGGAAAAAAGTACAGTTTATCAAAAGTATCACAAGTCAGGTGAAAGAAGGTACCAGACATCTGTTGGATTGAGTCATTGAGAAAAGAAAGCAATGTCACGTCGAAGTACAATATACAGAACTGGTATACTGACAAATCGTCGGATAAATCAGGTGACTCTGCAACAAGATGCATTCCCCATCTTAGATGCAAAGGAAATTACTATATGTTTACAAAGTTGTGATTTTATAGCTACAGAAGAATTAGTAACTAAACCTACAAGTTTATTTATAAAGTCATTATTTGAACAATTTCTAGATACATTTATGGGATTGTCACCAGAAACTATTGAAAAAAAAGTGAGAAGTTTGGATAAAACTGATTCTATAGTAGATAAATCAAATGGAAATGGAAATGGAAATGGAAATGTATCTAATGGTAATAGTAATGGTAAACATATAGAAGATCAAGATCAAGAACTAGAAAATAATGCGAATAATGCTGAAGAACAAATTGAAGATCGTGACACATCGTCTGCTCTCCATTTAATTGTTCTTCATAGAGCCGCATTTAAGTTCTTACAAGGATGTGGAATATATGATCTTACATTAATGGATATAATTCGTCCTGATCCAAGTAAAATAAGAAGAATATTAAGTGCAGTAGTCAATTTTGCAAGATTTAGAGAAATGCATTCTCAAGAATGTGAAAAATTAGTATTGGAAAGTGAATCAAGTTTAGAAAATGTACGGAAAGTTCAAGGTGAAAATGATAAGATAATAAATCAGATTCAAGGTATTAAAAGGAAAATAGAGCAAGATGCAACTGAGCCTGAAAAGAAAGCCACATTAAGTCAAGTTAATTTATTTAATTCCAAATTAGAATTAGAATTAAAGAAATTAAAAAAACAACAAGAGATAGTTACACTAGAGCATAAACAATATAAAGATGAGAAATCTCGATTAATTGAAAAATTAGATGATGTACAATATTTATATTTTGAATCATCGAAAGAATTAGAAAAATTTAAAGCATATTCTGAAACAGATTTAAGTGTGGTAAATAAAATTATTAATGATTTAAAAATTCAATTACAAGATCTTCAAAATACATATAATGATTATGATAGAAGAGATCAAAATTTAAGTATAACTATAGATTCTATTCAATTAGTTGAAGGTGAATTAAAGAATTTATTTAGAATTCTTGAAGAAATATCTAATGATATTTCTAAAGAAAGAACATCATTAACTAGATTAACTGAGAGTCAAGAATATTTAGAACAATTAAAATTACAGTCTAATGATTTATCAAGACAAATTCATCAAGTTGAAAGACAATTGACTAATATGCAAGAAAAGACTGATAAATTAAAAGTTCAAGCTGATGAAAGAATAACTAAGAGTCAACAACAATTAGCTAAATATCGTGAAGATTATACTAAATTAATTGAACAAAGGAATTTAAAGGAAACTGAATATAATGAGAAGAAAGAATTAATTAGTGAAATTGAGAATAATATTAATAAAAGAAAGACTGAACATCAATTAGAAATAAGAAATACTGAACTTAAAGTATCTAGATTAAATGCTCAAATAAAACTTTATTTGGATGAAGTTGGTAAGAAAGTTCTCACCTGAAATTGATTGATTAATGATTATCATGTCTATTAATTAATTATGTACATTAGTGTATAACAACATCTGTAGGATATATATTAGAGAAATTATTAATTATGAGTTTCTGTAGTCTTTTCTTGAGTGTTAATTTCGATATTTTCATCATCTGAAGCTTTGGTTTGAATCTTTTCATCCAGATCTTCAGAACCTTCTACTAAATTTTCTTCTTCTTCTTCTTCTTCTTCTTCCTCATCATCACTGGTCTTTTTAACTTCAGAATGCTTTGGAATTTGCTTATTGGTTGAAAATATAGAAGCAATTAAACTACAAGCACCAAAGGCAATACCCATATAAAATACATTTCTAATGGCTTTCATAAATTCATCCAAAATTAATTCTCTAGCAGAATCTGGTAATTGATTAATAATACTTGGTGAAGATAATAAAGAGCCTGGATCAACTGAACTTAATGCTTTGAAATCAGCAGAATTTGTATCTAAAGTTTTTAATAATTGATTGATATAACGTGATCCAGTTGTTCTAAAGATTAATTGAGCAATAGTGACAGAAATAGCAGCTCCTGAAGATCTTAAAAAGTTTAAGAAAATAGTGGTTAAAATGATTGAACCTTCAACATCTTTTGGAGCTTCTAATTGAGAAGATAAAGTTGAACTTTGGAATTGTAAACCAACAGATATACCATTAAGGATTAATAAACCTATTCTCATTCCTGAAGATGAATTCTTACTTAATAATAATAATAATCCACAACTAATTGGTGATAAGATACCTGATACTAACATAGTAATCTTAACACGTCTAGTGAATCTAATGAACATACCATTTGAAACAGATGATAATGCAACAGAAACAACAAAAGGAATTAAATCAACACCAGATCTCCAAGCAGAAGCATTAAATATAACTTGAAAATAAATAGCTAAATACATAATATTTGACATAAAGTATGCAAATGTAAAAGTTCCACAGAGACATGCAGCTAATATGAAACGATTTGAAATAATTTTATAGATAATAATTGGATTTTGAGAGTATCTGAAGTTATAGAAACAGAAGATAACGAAAAGTATACCTCCAAGAATGAAACAACAAATAACAGCTGCTGATTTCCAAGGGAAATCAACTCCACCAAAGGTTAAACCTAATAAAAGTAAGACCAATGAAGTAGTTAATAAGAAAGTACCAGTATAATCAATTTTTGCTAATTTTTGACGAATATTTCCTGTTGGTTTTGGAGGATTAAATCCAAAAAATAATAATACTAAAGCTAAACCACCAATAGGTAAATTAATATAGAAACACCATCTCCAACTAACTTTACTTGCAAAGGCACCCCCAATGAAAGGTCCAAGTACTGAAGCAGCAGAAAATGTTACTCCTAATAAAATGAATGCTAATGATCTTCTTGAAATTGGTACAGATTCAGTTAAAATAACAACCACCATTGATTGAACACAACCTCCTCCTATACCTGCTATAACTCTTCCACCAATTAACATATCCATTGAAGTTGATAATCCAGCAATTAAAGATCCTAATTCAAATACTACTATACCTACCATAACAGTATATTTTCTACCAAAGGCAATAGAAATTTTACCATATGAAGGAGCTAATGTAGCCATTGGTAATAAGAAACCTGAAGTTAACCAACCAATTTTTTGAAAATCTTTAAATTTATTACCAACTTGAGTTAAAATTGTCGATACGATAGTTTGATCTAAGGCAACTAAGAATAAACTAGCAACACAACTTATAAGTGTTACTACTAATCTTATACCAGTTACATATTGATCTGTAGCTTTAGTACCATCACCAGCATTACTTTCGTAATACTTTTCTTTAACTTTACCTTCAAGATCTAGCTTTTCCTTTGAAGATCTATTAGATAGTTCACTCAGTGATTCAGCCATTATGAGTATGTGTTAATATGCAATTAAGTGAATGAAATATTATATGAATTTATTTCTATAAAAAGTATTCTGAAAATTAATTAGTAAAAATTGTTTATGCTATATTGATGTGAAAAATTTAAACTCCGAAATAAAATTTGCAGTACCTATACAGTTTAATGGTTCAGTGGAATTAACCGTTACTTGTAACGAGATAAATGTACTTAGTAAATGAGTTACAACAACTAACTAACTATCAAATATGATTGTAACTATGACAATCCTGGATTACAAATTCTTTTCCATCTCAAATAGCTTGGACTACGGCTTGGGCTTGGACTTGAGGAGAAATACTATACGGATATTAAAAGCGGATTTCCCTTCCGTATCGGTACTTATTTCCACTAAGTAGCTTAGTAAGATGCTCGACAAAAATTTCTTTTGATTATTTTTTAACTTAGCGCATCTTGACATCGGCAACGCGCCGAAGCGGAGCGTGAGTTAGCCGAGTGTGGAGACCGATCTGATAACTAAACTAATGAACTATAATTCATTTATTACTTGTACAAAATATTAAACTTATATGTGTATGTATGTTATGTATGTGTATATGTATGTATGTATGTATGTATGTATGTATTGTTTATCTATTATGTTTATGTTGGTGGACCTCTCTTTAAGAATTCAAGAAAATCTAATTCATCATTACTATTCTGATCTGATGAATACATTGAATCATTACCAACACTATTACCATTAGCACTATTTGTAGCATTACTTGTACCATTAGTGGAGAATCCAAAGGAAGTTCCTGTAAATTTTCTATTTGAAAATGGTGATACCGATGATGATGAAGTAGATGAATCCTTCTTAGTATTACCTAAAGGTTTCATTTCTATAGTATGACGATGAACATTCTCATCAAAATCAGATAATTGTCGGGAAGAAGATCGATTAGATTTATTTGATGATGAAATTACACTCGGCTTTCTACCACCATTACTATATGTTTGACGTTGTAAATGTAGAGGTACTTCTTGATGGGGATGTAAATTAAGCGATTTTTGCAGAACTGAATTCTTCTTCTTTTCATAATTGAATGAAAAATTACCTAAATTATTAGTAAATTCAGATTCTCCTAAATCATCACTTAAAATATTAGAAAAATCATGAGTCTTATTAGTAATGCCTGCATTACTAAATTTACCATTAGATTTAGATAAACTATTTCCATGATTAATATGTCTATGAAGAGGATGATTCCTTGGTTGTGATCCACTTCTATTACTATCAACACTGTTTAATTTATTCTCAATATATTGAGTTTGATATTTTATAATATTCTCTTCTGTTGGTAATGAAAAAAATGGTAATTCTAACCAATTTAACCATTGTCTCCATTTTGGATAATCAGTTTCAGAATAATGATGACTAACACTAAGTGAATTCTTTATAAATGAACTTGCAACAAATGATTCATTACCATCACTAGTATTATTTCTTAATTTTTCTGCATTAGCATTTAAGAAATTATCTAATTTCGTTCGATGTTCTTTCTCAAAATTCTTCATTATAGTATATTTCCAAGGCTTTTCACGATAGAAAAATACAAGAGTATCAACAAATCCATTGAATGGTTGCATAAATGCTGCCATACAATTTATCCAATAGATTGGACCGTGATATTCTTCATAATTGATTTGTGTGACATGCAATATAAATGGAAATACCCAAACAAATATATATGCAAATGGATAAACAAAAATTGATTTCATTTGTTTTTCAATAATTCGTTGTCTTTTTCTGAAGTTTGCCAAATTAGCTGCTTGCATCTCAGGATGATAATTTATATCTTCTGGATCTCGAGATTTCATTTGAGTAATAGTAGGTAATTGTCGAAGATCAAAGTTTTCTTCTTCGTCATCATCCTCTTCTTCACGAGCTGCTCGTTCATCATATTGTTCAACAATATCTTCTTCATCATCATCATCATCTTCAGATTCACCTTCGTCATCTGAATGTTCTTCTTCAGAATTTTTTGTTTTTTGATTAGGCGATTGAGGAATACTTTCACCTGGTTCTGAACCTCTATTAGTACCATTCAATACTTCCAAATTTAATGCATTAGTAGAAGTAGTTGCAGTGGTATTATTAGTGGGTAATTCCAATTTTAGAAAATACCTATCTTTAAAAGCACTTAAAAAGTATTTAATTGCTGAACCAAATGATGGATTTTCATCATTACTAACTTTTGGATGTAAATGACCCTGAGATTTATGCATAGTTGTGAAAACTCCCCCCAAATTTCTGAATTCTTTTATAACATGATAATAAATTAATACATAAAATGTAACGATTATAATTACAATACAATATCTGGGGACCCAACTTAATACAAATCTATACCATAAAGGTCTTTCTGGTAAATAACACCAACTTACTAAAGATACATAACCTGTATCATGAATAAATGCCAAACTAGCTAAAATAATAGGAATAAAAAATGACATTCCATAGACATAAAATCTATATTTATATAATCCACCTTCAGTTCTACTTGAATTTTTTACTTTAGTAGTTAAATTAGGTTTAAAGATTAAAAGATATGTATGAACTGCAAATGATAAGATCGCAATATCTGCACCTTCAATAGCAGTAGCAGTAAAGAATCCGACAATTTGACAGAAATTCTTATTATAATAAGATGTTGAATGAGTTAAAACTCGGGTTGGATATAATAAAAGGATGATTGCTTTAACTAAATCAAAGAACATTAAGAAAAAGATGAGTTGATGACGAAATATTAATCGTTTTGGATCAAATGCTAAGAACATATACATTCCACAGATACACAACAGTATTGAAGCACATGAAGAACTAGTAGCAAGAATACGTTGTACTCGAGCTTGATGATTAGTGAATTCTTCAATTTGATTATGTGTATCCATATAACTCCTAGGAAATAAGTAATTTGATGTTAATGATGATAGTAGTTGAGGTAAGAATTTAGTAGCTAATGTAGTTACTGCTGAAGTTGTGGTTTGAATTGAAGTGGGTGAAAGTGTTGATGATGATGTGGTTATTGTTGATAGTGAAGACAGTAGTAGACTCACCAAAGTAGTTGAAGATGACGATAGTACCATGATGAGATATTATTATTATTATTATTATTCAAATGAATTTAATATAATACAAATTTAAATGTTGATACAAATATAAAAGTGAATATTGAATAGATGTACCATGAGTGGGCAAAGATTTAAAGCTTTAAAATAAATATTTAATAAATGGAAGCAAGCAAAGAAGTGAAGAAGGAATCTAAAATGTATATAAGCTAGTTTTGTATAATCTTTGGGCTCAATCTTGTTAAAATTGAGCTTTGAATGTCAAATTGAATTGGAAATAGAAATTCGAACTGGAACAGGAACTGGAACTGGAACTGGAATTGTACTAGTGGAAATGTCTTATTAGTTACTGAACAAAGTAAATACGGAGAAGTTCCGAAATGATATACTTGAAGAAATTTAGTTAGCACACACAGACCACAGTGTGGTAGAATAAATTATTACTTCTGGTCACCACTTGAAAGGGACAGGATAATTATTCATAAACTACAGTTAGTTTTGTATGGGATTTCGTTAATGGTTCTGTGTCGGTATATTGCACGCATCTTGCGTTCCGCCTGCTGCTCCCTTTTTTTTCTGCCTACAGAAATGTCGCGGCGGTGGGAACATGTCCCTCACTGTAGCCATTAAGCATGCTAGGATTACGAATTATTACGAAAAAGATCTACGAGATTCGGTGCGTTTCGGGCATGCGATATTCTCTCTTTGTTGGGTTCATAGAATTTATTAGAACTATTACGGTATGTTTTATTATATATTCATAAGACATACAGGGATGTTGATAACTAATAATGAGTGTAGCCAGTGGTTGTAGCGGTAAATTATGTGTCGTGAAATTACATAAAATTGGCGGGTGGAGACTTGCATAAAACAAGATCTCTTCCCTGGGATCTGCATTCTTAATAAAATATCATTATAATACACAGTATTGCAAAAAAAAGGTAAATGTCTTCTTCCGTTCTAATGACATGTCTCTCTTGACATCTCATCTCATAAATGTCTTCATCTTTCTGTAGTTTTGTGGCAGATTTATCTTTAATGACCACAGACTTCAGCATCACTCAACTTAGAGTTAATAGTAAAGGAATGAATGGATGGTCATCGACAAAGTCGTTAACTAGTCACTCGTTCGCTCACAAATTTCTGTATGATGTCTGGTAACTTCGGCTTATGATTCGGCATTCTTTGCCCCTTAACTTAGCGAATTATAGATAATTTCGTCAGTAACTTGATAGAACTCTAAAATTTAGACACTTCAGATTTCTAATTATAGATTTACTAATGTTAATGGGTAGTCATAATATATTCTCTACATAATTACTTGTAATATTTAAATCTCTTGCAGTAAAAATGGGACATGTTATTACTGATACATACCGATGTAAACTATAAATTAAATTTTAGCGAACAGTTATTTATAATGTTCTTGTAGAAATAGAAATAAAAAGACCGATTAATCTTATGATTACAAGAAGAGAGCAACAGCAGCAGCAAGGGCGGCAACACCACCAGCGACTTGTTTACCAGCAGCTCCACCTTCGTAAGAACTTGGAACAATAGAAGTTGGTTCTGGAGTTGGTTCTGGAGTTGGTTCTGGAGTTGGTTCTTCGGAAGTAGGTTCAGTGGTTGGTTCTTCAGAAGTTGGTTCAGGGGTTGGTTCAGTAGTTGGTTCTTCAGGAGTTGGTTCAGGGGTTGGTTCAGTGGTTGGTTCTTCAGTAGTTGGTTCTTCAGTAGTTGGTTCGGAAGTTGGTTCAGTGGTTGGTTCTTCGGTAGTTGGTTCAGGGGTTGGTTCAGTAGTTGGTTCATCAGTGGTTGGTTCTTCGGAAGTTGTTTCATCAGTATTTGGTTCATTAGTTACATCCCCAGCAGTAATACCAACTTGAGTACAACCAGAACCAGAAAATGTTCTTAAAGTGTAACCAGTATCAGCAGGACAAGCATAGAAATTGGTATTGTCAGAAGTAGCACCAAATCTTAATTGATTTCCATTAACTAAACCCCAATCTTTACTAGCATTAGCAAGAGTAGTTAAAACTATACCTGTTTCAGTATTTTGTAAATAGTTTCCACTAGCATCCTTAAGGAATCCAGATGGTTCTTCTAAAGTGAAAGTACCAGCATCACCATTTTGTAAAGTAACTAAGTTTCCTGAGGTTGAAACAGGTACGTTAGTAAGTGAACCACCATTAGCAGTTAATTGAAAAGTTTGATCTGCTGCAACAATGTAAGCAGAGACGGCAATGTAAGCTAAAGTATTGAATAATTGCATAGCGAATGTGTGTATAAATATTAATATGGATTAATTTATCTAAGATTAGTATATATATAAAGAAAGATATATTGAAATAATTATTCATTAAGAGGATTTTTATGTGGTATTTATACACATTTGCAGCCTAATAGATGGCACTCTAAAATGGCTGAATTTTTGCTTGTCTGGGGTAGGAGTAAATATTCAAATAATCTAAATTTAGAAGAGAACACAAACCTTATTCTTAAGGTTATTCTGTTGGTATACGTAATGGAACTGACAAGAACTTTTTCATCATACATATTACACATTAGGCTCTATTGGGTAACCTAATTGGGGATGCTCATTTTGTCTGCTGATGGGCTGGTATGCAAAACTTAAATTTTGAGATTTTTCTTGGTGCGCTCTGATTTTTCTTTGTTACGCATGACCTTTCAGGACTCTTCAATCATTGTACATTATATGTGAGCTTAGACGGTAAATTGTACCAAAGAATTACCGAGCATTGAATGCAGCCCAGCTTACTTATACGTATTGCATCATTTGTTTTGGTTTTTTAATATCCAGTTGAAGTTTCGTGACATTAATGAAAAATTATAACCCTTTCTTCTCCTATTCTCTCTTATTGGTTAAAGTTTGAAGCTTATTGTAGCAAATTTCAATGTAATAAAACTCATCAATATTGAAATAATATTCTCCCCATTATTGATATTTTTTTGGGTAAATAGTGAAGCGATGCAGCCAGGGAGGTCCTGTGCGTAGCAAGGAAGGACCTAACAATGGGGAAGATTAGAGAAATAGAAATTTGCATAACATGTGGTGTGGTAATAGTCCCCTGCTGTATGCTTATGCGGAAGGATCTACATGGAGTCACAGGTACAGTAAAAGTTATTTGACTGGCAACGAACCATTTCGGTAGTTTAGTTTGTTTCGATTGAACGGCTATGCACGACGTCATTGTAGTAGAGATATATTTCTTAACTTCTCTTGTTACATTATGAAATGGTTTGCAGAACAACTCCTCTATCAATTTCTTGTCAGTTCATTCTCCCCACGTTGTGGCAGACCCACCTGGAAGCTGGATAATTTACCATTGTATCCTGTACCAACTAATTCAGTGCCTGTTTATTGTTAATATAATTATAGTTCGTGCGTTCAAAATCCCAATTAGGGTATTGTGGTAAATTTTTCAAAACTTTTGTGTGCGAGACATTACAGTTCCCGTTTGGGAAATAAACTTCCGATGAAAGAGGGATTGCTTTAGATTCACAATGTGTACCACATGGTAGAAGAAGTATGAACCCGGAATGCCTTTGGACAATCTCCATCAGATGAACGCAAGTGTGTATCGCGCAAATTCTGGGCTTAAGTTGCCTGACAGTTGCCTTCATTGGAAATCTGGCACATGTGTAAATGTAGACTGCATAATTGTGAACATTAGTAGAATGAATATTAAAATTGTGAACAGTAGAAGAAGTTCAATAACTAAGTCCATACTCTAAATATTGTCAGTCACTCTTAAAAACGAATTATATATTACCAGATCACTTATATAAATAGTATATCATTATGTATAATAAGAAGTTAAAATAGAAATTAAAATTAGATTAGATTAAATGAAAATTAAATATTAAATTATGTTTATAATTAAAGCAAGTTATTAACTGTAGTAGACCCCAAATAGCAAACAATGAGTATATTCACATGATAAGAAGATGTGTTTAGATATTAATGATTTGTGAATAATAACATCATTAACTTAAAAATTAATTACTGCAATTATGTATTCCTTTAGTGTAAATATTATGATTAAGTATTTTTATGAGTCGATTTTAGTATAGATATGAGGTCGTTGATGCATGTTCGTCAATTATTAGCGATTCTTTTTACTGGATGATGGATGCAAGGAGCTAGCTTGTGATGCTAAATCTTCAAGAGATGTAGTGGAAGTTGTTGAGCTGATTTGGTGATGTTCATCATCAAATACAGATGGAGTAGCACTGTTTTCTAATGATGAATTGTCTTCATGACTACTGACATCAACATCATCATGAGCAACTTGTGCTTCAACGTCATCTTCATCAGCTTCTGGATGAGATGGTAAGTTCAAAGATGATCCATTACCTACTCCTGCAATATAACTTCTTGAAGATTGTCTTGATCTTGGAACTGAAATACTGGACATTTCAAACTCTTCAACTGGAAGTTGAGCTGCGATCGATTGAGACGATTGAGCTTGGAATATAGGTTGTTGTTGTAAGTATGGATAGTTAACAAATCTAGTTACATTATCATCAAGCCCCAAATTATTTTCTGAATCTGAAGTATCAGAAACACTTATGTAACTTGATGATAATGGATCAATAGTTTGAATATCGATTTTATTAATTTCAACATAAGACCAACGACAAAATTTAGCTGGGTCAACAATTGGTAAATGATTATATTTAGTATATTCAAAAACAATTAAACTTAAAGCAGCACCTCCAATTAAGTCAATAAAATAGTGATGGGTAAGGTACATTGTACTCCACCAAAGCCAAGACCCATAAGTCCACCACACATATTTATATTTTGGGAATAACCAACATAAGAAGAGTACATCCATAATTGCACAACCACTATGTAAAGAAGGGAAAGCTCCAAAAATGACTGGTGAATTAGAAAATGTTGTTGTATACATATCAAATCCAAATAATTCATCAATTCTACCCAAACCACCTGGAGAACCTTGCATAGAATAATTTGCAGGTTGTAAACCATACAAATTTTTATACCAAGGAGCTGCAGCTGGAAAGAAGATTTGAGTTAATACCCCAATTAAATTCATGTATCCAAAAGCAAAACCAAATGATCTTAAAGATGTAGGAGGAGCAAATAAAAAGATGAAAGCTGCAACCACAAATGGAGCACTGAAGTGTACTATACCATAAGGAAACCAAGCTACTAAATCCAAAAATGAATTAGTAACTGTTGCTAATACATCCGATAAATTATCACCATAAAGAATAGTTTCCATTGCTGGTAAAACTTTTACTGAAATAGCCGGTTTCCAATGAGTTGGGATTTTACCAGCACTAAAGAAAAGTGCTAACCAGGTAAATACTGGTAATGCATGAACAAAAAATTGGGAAGTTAATGGAATTAAGAAACATAGTATAAATGATAAAAGTATAGGGATTTTTATAAGGAATGATGCAGGGAATATTATGAATACAAAAAATATAATTGATGAAAGGAAACCATAATGACAAACTTCTTTAATCGACCAATTATGATGTTTAAATTTATTAAGGGAGATTGAAATATCTGTTTCGAATTGTAAATCAGACAATGTTGAAGCAGGAGGTTTCTCTAAAAGAAAGTAATAATGAAATAACTGGAAAGGTTTTTGGATCACTCTGGATCTTAGAATGGTTGATGCGACAGTCATATAGCTAGCAAACACTATTATAATTTTTAAAATTCCGATAAACTAATAAATAACGAAGTAATTATAAATAAAATGATAAATAAATAAATAAACAAATAATAATGTAATAGTATGCTGCTGGGGCTAAATAAAAATATATTATGTTGAATAACAGGAGCCAAAAATATTGATCTCTTACTGGTATGGAAGTTTTTGACGTTGAGTTGAGTAAAGTTAAGTTGAGTTAAGTACAGTTCATACAAGGAGTAAAAGATAGTGATGATCTGCTTAACAATTTCCTCTATGGTACTTCTCCTATTTTTTTGTCAGGGCTTTCGGCTTTTTTTTGCCTGGGTCTGCGAAATGTCGTGACTTTGTCTCTTTTTCAATGGTGAAAAATGTCTGTTAATGCCGATGGTGACCGGATGGGAATTAAAATCCAATTGAGTCTATTGGAATAGTATTCAAGGAAAATTTGGTACTTAGTAATTAGAATATTCACTGTGAAAAAAGTGACATGTGTATAAATTTATAAATCAATAGACAACCCTATTTTTTTTACACAGCGATGACTTTTTATCTAAGTGGTTGTAAGTAGTGATGATGGCAGCTAGGTTGTAGTACGGAGGCCCGAGAGAAAAAGCAATTTCTGGGCTATTTTGTTATGGGTCGTGTCCGATGTACCAAAATGTCATTCAAATTTCTTTTTTATCAATGTTCCTGAATTCCCGATCGGTACTTGTCCGATCATCACGTAGTGATGAAGAATACTTTAAGTCTGTTACCAACTGGTCTGAATTTACTACAGGCTGGTTGCAAATCAGTCTGATATTTGATCAGAATAATGAATCAGAATAATGATGTGTATAGCTCAATATGACGATAAATTTATAAAAAATGGCACAAAAGCTAAGAAAACCTCATTGTAATTCGCCGAAGAAACATTTATAAGACCGTTATACTCTAGTTAAGCTTAAATTAATATGGATAAATACTTAAATAGAATATATCACGTCGTTCTAACTAAGTTAACAATAGCAACTAATTGAGCAGATGTTGCAATTAAATTAGCCAAGAACACGACCAAACCAGCAAAACTTAATTTGCACCCAGCATTAAACTGATATACCAGTTTAAATCATTATTAGATACTTAAACTATCAATATAGGGACCAAACCAGCAAAACCTAATTTGCACCCAGCATTAAACTACTTTACCAGTTTAGGGATGATCTATCAAAAACAAATTCTGAGCTGTAAACCACTTTCAAATCATACAAATATTATAATTGAATCCTAATAGTTCTTTATATGTCTTCGATTAAATACTTTCTCCAATACAAGCTGCTGCTCCGCATACTCATTCTCATTCCCATTCACATCATTACCTTCTTCTTCATTTTCAAAAACTGTATCTGACCAATTACATCGCTTATCCTGCAACTTCAGAGAGCTATAGTCAATAAAGATTCGTATGTCATCTTCTGTGACTAAAATCGTATGTCATCTTCTGTGACTAAAATATCCTCCTCCATCCTTGGTTACTGATAGTTAAGGGATATATGTGCCTAGGTAGATTTGATAAGGCGGCTATTGCATCATTGAAATTGATTATATCCAGAAGACACATAATTCAATTATCAGAATAAGGAAGGCAAATATTTCAACTTACGTTTCAAAGTTAGAGTTGGAGTGAGGTTTATTATAGATATCCAATAATGTAGTTTATGCGATTAGTGTTGTTTCACTTTTCATAGCCGCATATCAGTACAGTAGCTTAAAAAATATCTGGGCTCAATAAATTTGCAACCAACCTAATAATCAGTCTTACAACCACAAAAATTACCTGATTAGGCATTTTAAGCAATTGGTAAGATCTTTTCTACCAAACAGTTCAGAAAATATTTGAAAGATAGATATCTCAAAATGTTAATAAAAGTTAATGACATCGTAGCCCTACCATGAATGTAGACGGTGTATTAAACTCAGTGCGCATGTTACAATTTTAGCTTTTAGTATATATAAAGTAAGCCATATATAAGTTACTGAGTTGGGCTTTTATGGAATAGGCCAAATGTAATTAAGAAAGAATAATTGAATGGTTCGAATAGTATCTTTATGGTACTAATAAATTCGGCCTCAGAAGTATGAAAAGATAAGATGACTGGTTTGAATAATTTTTGCCCTTTTGGTCTGAAGAAAAAAGTCAGACTGTTCTATAAAAATTCTATCAGGTGACTGATACCACGTTCCCAAGAGAGCTCGATTGTTCCGAATTATAGTGACGGCTATGTGCACACCGATTTTCGGGCTGGCGAAGGCTCTACATATTGCAAGTAACTAGTTAAGGCACTTCACTATCAATTGACTAAAATAAGGCTTATATTGGTCATTCAAAAGCTTAGTAAATATTTCATAAATAACATGCCAGTAGACGAAACAGAAACTCAAGTTATTTTAACTCACCCAAGTGATCCAAACACTAAAGTCACTATTTTGAAATACGGAGCAACCGTTATTTCTTGGTTAAACAAAGGTGAAGAGAAATTATGGGTAAGTGAAGGAGCATTCTTAGATGGATCTAAGCCAGTTAGAGGTGGTATTCCTTTAGTATTCCCAGTGTTTGGTAAACAAAAGTCCGAAGCACATCCAACTTTCAAATTACCTCAACATGGATTTGCTAGAAATTCTACTTGGGAATTTCTCGGACAAACAACTGCTAATCCTCCAACTGTTGAATTTGGTTTAGGTCCAGAACAAGTTAGTCCAGATTTATTAAAATTATGGGGAGATGGATCATATGATTTCACTTTAATTTTAACTATTAAATTAGAAGAGGATAAATTAACTACTCTAATTGATATTGAAAATAGAGGTAGTAAAGAATTCGAATTTAATTGGTTATTCCACACTTATTATAGAATCCCAGATATTACTGATACTTTAGTTAATAATTTGGTTGATCAATCATGTTTTGATCAATTATTGGCAGAAGAATACACTGAAAAATCACCAGTTATTAGCTTCCATGAAGAATTTGATAGAATTTACCAGAAAGTTCCTCTTGATAAAACATTTCAAATCATTGAATTTGGTAAAGTATTATTTAACCTTCATCGTATTAACTTAAATGATACAGTAGTATGGAATCCATGGATTAAAAAATCAGAAGCTACTGCTGATTTCTTTCCTAAAAATGGTTATTTAAACATGTTATGTGTAGAACCAGGTAATGTTTCATCCTTTGTTAAATTAGGAGCTGGTGAAAAATGGCAAGGAGGTCAAGAATTAAGTCTTGGTGGTGAAATAAAAGTTCAAACAAACATTTACTAAACTACAATAAGTAACTTATTCTTTCTGTTATATATATTAGGCGTATCTATACATTCATAAATATTCATTAAAACTAGATATTAATTTAATTAATTAAAATTATTGAAATTGTTGTTTGAACCTTTCAAACTTACTTATTGATTTTTGCGACGAAGATATTGTCGGCTTACTGTAAAGAGATTTCTGTGATGAAGAGACTGTAGGTTTATCGTAAAGTGAAAATGGTTGCGGAATTGTTACCTTACCATTAAACGAGCGTGATGTTTTGAATTGATGATCTTCATTGGCTTTGGTTGATTTAGTTAATATTTTCGGACTTGAAGTATTAATGCTAGATCTACTTGTGGGTATTTTATAACTTGATAGGGATGGTTGTGTATGTTTCATATTAGAAGATGAAGTTGAAGAAACTAACTTAGAATGATTGGAAAAAGTAGGGATTGAAGGTTTCTTTTGCAATTGAGGTATTGAAGGTTTCTTCTGTAGTTGAGGTATTGAGGGTTTCTTCTGTAGTTGAGGAATTGAAGATTTCTTTTGTAATTGAGGTATTGAGCTTTTCTTATTAAGACTGGGGATTGTATTAGGATTAAGATTTGGAATAGAATGTTTCTTTTGTAATTGTGGAATTGAACTCTTTTTATTTAACGTTGGATGAATATTGGTTTGACTATGGCTCGAGGGTATTACTCCAGCTAACTCTAAAGCACTTGGTCGAAGTTTATTACTTGGAGGATATGGTTTTAAAAATTTGTCTTTATTGGGGGATCCATTCAACATATCAATCTCTGTTGGATTGGATTGGGTTAAGCTGACATCCAGACCGTTGTCCGATAATAATGCATTTAAATTCATAAACTTCTTAGAAGGAGATATTTTTCGTAAGGGACTGCTATTATTGGAAGTTGATGTAGTCGAATTCAAATTATTTGATGACGATATTGGTTGAGTAAGATTGCTATTATTAGTCATGTTTAAAGTACTAGATTTTGAAGGTTTATGATTGATTTCGTTAGTTGAATCAGGATGTGCTAGTTTGAAGGTTGGAACGAATCTAGCTACTTCATCCGGTCCATTTAAAGTTCTTCTTCTTTTTGTACTAGATTCTAATTCTTCATTTGAATTAGTATCCATTGGAGTACTTGTTGGAGATTTATTAGGAGATTTATCAGTCATCAGTGATCCTGATATTGATCGATGACCTTTAGCTGCTACAGAATAATGACTTGAAATAGATTCCATAGTATTTTGAAGTCCACGATGTATACCACTATAACGTTTATATTTCTTTGAATTAGATCTTCTTGTTACACTTAATTTAACTGCATTTATAGATTCTGAAGTTGGTGATGTTATCATTGAAGATAATTGATTAGCTCTCATATTTAATTCTGACAACACGTTATTTGTTAGTTTTTGGGAATATCCTTTATTGGTCATAATGGAATTAACATTGGTATTATATCCATTATTAGTATTACGTTGTTGTTGCAGTGGTGATACCATTATATCATCTAGATTTGGATATATTGGTGAAGATTGTAAATGTTGTGGAGATTCAAAGGGTGAGTTTAAGGTTAAGTTCTTTATCCTTTTAATAGGAGTATTTAAGGAAACATAGTTAGAATCCATCATATTGATATCATTATTTATACTACTATTATTCGGAGCACTTGATGTCGGAGATGATGAAGTATGATGATAATAGGACATTGGTAAGTCCATTTGTATTACACTTAGTAAGGGTCTGAAATTAAGTCAATAATTCCACGTACAGGGTCGGTAAAACGTATAGTTGATAGTGTAGATGAGCTATTGGCAATTCGTAAAAGTTTCAAATGGTTCGGCTGGAATTTGCAGATATCTGAGAAAAATGGACTCCATTAGGACAAAATGTAAACAATCGTCATTTTCTCTTCTTTCAGTAAGATTGTAGATTCGGAATAAATATTTTTGATGTGCACACGTGATCACAATAACGTGCCTTATTTTTATTTTACTCATTAACCGTTCTCGCTAAAGCGAGCATAAAAAATTTAAAAATAGGTGCGGTTTTTCCATCTGAGTCACCCGTAATCATCCTGTCTGCCACGCCACATACTTCAATGGTTAGGTAAATCCATTCTCGGAGTATATCAAATCCTAGATGGGCCGTGGCTTACAGTAGTCCATAAAGTGTAACAAATTATGACTTGACTTTAACTTAGTATCTGGAAAATGCTGGGCTAATGGAAATATGTTATTTTCGTTAATATTGGTTAAATAAGTTCAAATTTCACGTGAGTAAAATAAAACCACCAATTAAACACTCTTATGTCTGATGAATACCATGGTAATATCCAACGGCACATATCATCTTCAGTTAAATGAAAATGGATATAGCAAATTTGACATCATGAGAGAAGGTTAGGTCAAATATCAGAGGTTTTTCTCAGAGTTCCCCGGGAAAAAGGATGTGCCGGCATATAATAAAATCCCTCTTATATCAGGATATGTAGATATACTCCGAAGGTCTTTTTTCTTTTTTGCTCATTAACAAAGTTGTCCGACAGACACAGATAAATCCTAAATGATCGTCTGATTATATTTCTTTATATGAGTTAACTTGCATAGACAATTTAACCAAAGCATGAGAAAAATAGCAGTTCTTTGACCTTAGTAAAGTATAGAAGTTAATGTAGATATCCACGGCAGAGAATAGATATAGAAGTAAAAGTTAATCTAGGCCAACTGTATTGAAGATGATTCATTTTTTATTTTCTTAATTACTGAGGAGAGGAGGGGAAGACTTTGACCGTAAGTTCAGTGCATTGTTGCCGCGGATTCAAATGTCCGAAAATTCTGCGAAGAATCAGCCAGTACAGAGTGAGTCGCAGTGCGATTTTCAGCCCCAGCTCGGACTACAACTCTTACAGCGCGGAAGTGAGTGAAGAGATGGAAGAATGATTATTGAGTTAGATGAAATTCCACAAGCCCGGCCAATGATTGAGTAAGTTAAAGTTATAGTAGTTGATGGAGTTTGTTGTTGTTTGTTGTAGTAATAAATGAACGTGAAGATAGGATTTCGGAGTTCAAAGATGAAATTGACGGAGTAGAGGAAACAGATGAGGAGATGATGAGGAGAGTTTATCAGACCATAGGCCCAGCCCAGTAGTGAAAGAGGAGATCAGTTCAGTAGAGAGCGACCATGAGAATTTACGGTAATGACAAAGGGGAGAAGATAAAATTTCTTTTTTTTAGGGAGGGGTTGTAGCCATGTCGCGGCAAGCATTTCTAAGACCGCACTAAATTACTGAACAAACTCATGAGACAGTGAGATCTAGACAGAGTCACAAAAGAAGAGGGGAGATAGAGGCAAAATACTATTCCAATGATGCGAAAATCTCTAATAGTCCGACAGACAGAAAGACAACCATTCAGACAATTAGTCAGATAGTTAACAAGTCAGTAATTCTAGTCAAATAAACACTTAATCTAGACCCATTAGTACAATACTGAAAGGAGGTAAAATTAAATAAAGTATAGTGTAGTAACCAAGACTATGGCATGGTATGCTATGTCGCCATGCATTTCCCGTACCCGCTTGTTTGTAAAATTTACTAGTCAAGTCCGGTGACTGCGCAATTCGGCAACTCTATCCATACCACCAAGTAAATGTCTGAAAGTATCAATTGTCGTGTGGATATATTGTTTAGCCAGGAGGAGAGAAAAATTCACCCGTAAAGTTCCGTCGGAAAATTTTGTGGCCTTCCTGTCATACCAGGAAGACTCAGATGGGTGTTTATTTTTTTGTTCCGAGGATTTCCTAAAAGATGGACCAAGTACTACCGAATGAGATATCGTGTGAACATAGTGGTAGTAGTATTAGAATTAATGGTTAATAGTACTAATAGTTAGTAGTACTACCATCATTACCAATACAGTTACCATCACTACTATTTGTAACACTGCTACCAGAATGGTTACTTATTCCATGTGTTCGTAATTGTCAGTTGCCATCAGTTCGGAGTAAAACCGGACTTTGACACACGCAACCAAGAATAAAAAAAAAATCATACTCGTTCCCCTCTCTTACCTGGAAGACCCCAGGAATAAAATTTTGCAATAATATGACTCTCGTACCGATTTTCTTTTCTATATATAAGTATAAGTACCCAATATGGCATTATTGAATTCATCTACTTAGTGATTTACTTAGTTACTTACTTTTAAAATTTTACTGTCTGACTTTCTTAAATATTCCTGGCCATGTCGTCCTACGATTTATTGAATTACTCCATAATGAATTCGGCTCCGGCCAGATATAGTAATCACAATAATAATCACTATCACCAAAATGTATCTTTACCTCCATTATCTCCTATAATAAAACAGTTTGGTTCTGATAATCATCTTTCGAATCAAAATCAAAATAATAATAATAATCATAATCAAAATCAAAATCATATAATTTTACCTCCCTTAACAAGATTATCACCTCCATCAAACTATACTACCAACCCTTCATATCCTAATTCAAGTACTTCTACTGGTACTAATACTCCAACAAATCATAGTAGTAGCAGTAAACTTACTGAACATAATTTGTGTCATTTAACCAATTCTTTTGAAAAGAGTCATTACTCAATAAACTCATCTTCAAATGGCTTAGGCTTATTAAGTTCAGCCATTTCAAGCCTTCAACAAGTTTCTGTGGGTGCCGTAAAGAATGAAATTAAGACTTCTACACCTCCTTCATTAACTTCAGCTAGTTCAGTTGCATCAATATCTCCAGTATCTTCACCTGCCATTCATTCTGCCACCATTCATGAAGTTGATCATTCTCATAAAGAGTCTAGTAGTCAAAATAAGAGAAGACAACGTCTAGGTCCATCATGTGATTCATGTCGTCTTCGTAAAGTTAAATGTAATGCTGAAATTGTCATTGTATATAAATCTGAAGCTGATATTGATCATAGTCGTCTTGAATATGATTATAAATTATCTTCATTACAATTGACTCAATTATTACAAAAGAAGGAAACTGTTAGTATTCCTCAAAGTGATTATAAATTATTAATATCCAATGATAAGTTGATTAAATATAAATTCTGTAATAGTTGTACTCTTAAGAATTTAAATTGTTGCTTCTCAAAAGGATTTACTAAGGAAGATATCATGATGAATAATAAAAAGACTGGATCAAACGATTCTAGTACCAATACCAGTGTAACCACTACTACGACTGTGTCTAGTAGTAGTTCACCATTATTGATGGCTGCATCTGTACCAGTAATTAAGAAGGAGAAACCAATTAAGATTGCTAAGAAGAAGACTAGAACCATTTCTTCATTAACTGCTGCATTAACGAAATCATTAGAATCCAATTCAGTAAAGATGGTTTCACCTCCAGTAGCTGAGTCAATACCAGAAATTACTATGGCAAGTAGTAGTTCAGCATGTTCAATAACGTCTTCGACTTCATCTTTAAATTCAAATTCAAATTCAAATTCAAATTCCAGTTCAAGTTCAAGTTCAAGTTCAAGTTCAAGTCCTAGTCCTCGTAAATCGTCCTGTATCAGTTGTAGAAAGAGAAAAGTCAAGTGTGTATACTCTTCGATCTTGAGTAAATGTGAAGGATGTTACAAGAAGAATCACGAGTGTCGATTTGATACTTCGACTAATATTAATACTATCAAACAACTCATTAACTAATTTAATTTTTAATTTTTAATTCTACTAATACTTTCTTTGGGTCCGGTTAAACTAATAATATACATATAATATGAATTTGTAATGTGTAGTGTAGAGTGTAGTTGTACTGAGTGCAGAATGTAGAGGAGTAGTAGTCAGGATTACTGAGAGATGCATGGTTATTACATATCTACTGTAAGTTAGTAACTGCTAGTATACTGACAGTATATATAGCAGACTTGTAATGTCATACTACTACTACAACATACTACTATACTACTCATACTACTAATATATTACTCTAATAATTTAATGTACTGTTCTACTATAATGCATACTATACCAGCAATACAGTCGTAACACACTACTACTAACAGACTACATGCACTACTACTAGTAACACAGTAGTAACTCACTAACATATTACTATACTACTACAGTAAGACTGTATAATGTATAATACAGTAGTGCTTTGGTTGTGAAACATCAATACTGCAATACTAAGCACTATGCACTACCACTACTAAATATATACACTACTAAGCACTATACACTACTAAGCACTATACACTACTAAGTACTATACACTACTAATACACTTCCATAGTAGTGTACTATCACAGTAGTGTACTATCACAGTAGTGTACTATCACAGTAGTGTACTAGCCACATCCACTAGTACTATCCTCTACTAACTTAGTTAAACTTAGTTATCACTCACTTGCGGGGCTTACTCCTCGGACTCAGATTCCTCGGAGCGGCTTATTTATTCCGCACTTCGGATCTATCCTCCGCACCCATATACCCATTTCCGATAGTTGCAAATAATTCAATCCTTCATTATATATTTTAGTTTTATTTTAGTTTTATTTACGGCTACTTCTATTTACCCTTTTGTGTTCCTTTTACTTCTCCATAACATTAACATAAGTACGGCGTCCTCCTCGTTTAGGCTTTCTACCACCTCCTACTGATGAAGTACCTCCAAGTGATAGTAAATCATCTAATCCGGCATTAGCTAAACTACGCGTACTACTATTAGAACTAGGTGGTGGTCCTGAAGTTGGAGGTGCTCCAGGTGTGGTTCCAAGAGCTCCAGATGGTGGTACTGAAGATGATGGTACTCCACCAGGAGGTGGAGGAGCTCCAGATCCCGGAGGTGGTGCAGAAGCTCCAGTTGTAGAACTTGTAGTAATTCTTGGCTTCTTCGATGCCGGAGGAGGTGGAGGACCAGTCGGAGCCTGTTGTTCTTCAATAGGTCTTGATTTATCAATCCATCTCTTAAGCTTTTCATCATAATAAAATGGATTCTGAGTCTTACCTAATTTGGCTCGAATAGCTTTAGGTTTACCATCATCTTTACCTAACCAACCACTAAACCATCCATTACTATTTTCTCCACCTTCTGTAGCAGTTGGTTTACGTTTAGATGCCGCTTCTTCAGCTTTTCTTTGAGCTTCTTCTGATGCTAATTTAGCCTTCTTAGCAGCTTCGGCTTCGGCTTCGGCTTTGGCTTTAGCTTCTTGTTCAAGTTTCCGTTGTTTAGCCACTTCAACATCTCCATCTTCTTCATCCTCTTCATCCTCTTCAATCATTGGAACATAATCTCTTACTGTATCATCTTCAACTTCATATTGTTGATATAATACAGATTGATGAGATTGCGATAATCGTGATGAAAATAATCCTGGTTGTCCCACCACTGAATTAGCTCGAGAAGTGAATTCAGGTGATCCAGGAATCGGGAAATCTAACCCGAATTTAGGAGTATTACTTTCTTCATGATGATAATTATTAAATAATGATTCTTTACCATTCCCACTATTAATATTATCCATTAATACTGATTTCTTTATACCAGGAGTTCTTAAAACTCCACTATCATGAGATTCATCAGCAATCTCATCAAAACTATCATCAATATTAGGAATATTCTTGGTCGGCCTATAGGGAGGTTGAGGTTGATAAGGTCCAAAGTTTCCATGATGTTCATGATGGTGATTTACTGATTTAACAGGAATATCTTCACCTTTAGCAACCTTTTCCACTGGTTGTGGTTGTGGTTCTGGTTCAGATTCTGATTCAGGTACAGTACCAGGAGCTTTATAACCTCCAGAACTGTATGGATTTGATGATGAAGCAGCAGGTACTGAATACTTAGAAGTAGAAACAGAACTAGTAGAAGGTCCATATTTACTCTTTCTACCAACTGGTTTAACATCTCTGGCTCCTGGAGGTGCATAAGGATTGGCTTTAGTAATCTGTTTCTTAACCTTAGGTGGTGGAGCTACAGGTTCCTGTTCCTGTTCCTGTTCCTGTTGATGTTGATGTTGATGTTTCTCTTCATTCTCTTCCACCGAGGGACCATCCTGCTGATTAAGTGTTAAACTATCACTGGTTTTAAGCTCAGGTGACTCATTAATGGTCTCAGGAACTTCTTTCTTCTCCGGACTCAAACTCGATGGTTCATCATAACTTCTCTTTGGAGTAGACTTAAATTCTTGAGGATAATCCATACTAACATCACTCTGAATTGATGGAGATCGAGTATGTTGTTGATGAGCAAAACTTTCAACTGATAATACACTTGTGACTGAAGGTCTTTTAGCATAATTGGTTGGAGTTTGGCTGACGGAAGGATTTACCGATTGAGATCCAATTGATGAAGTGGATATATGACCCGTATTATTTAAATAAGGATAATTAGAGCTGGCCGAAAATGGTACTGTGGCACGAGCACTAACTGAACTACCTGAAATTCCCGGAGTATACCTTCCGGAACCTTTCTTAATAGAAGATAAATCACCTCCATCTCCACCATAAGCAGGAGTAAATCCTGAAATATGATGTGATTTAGGACTACCTAATTGAACCTTGGCTGGAGCATATTTAGCTACACTTGTAGTTGAAGATGAAGGAACCAATGAAGGAAGAATCGGATGAGATAATGATCCTCTTTGAGCCAAAGTCGAAGGATAATCAGTAGCAAAAGATGCCGAACTATTAAATTGAGGCAGCTGGAATTTGCCATTACCATTACCATTACCATTTAAAGTAGTAATATCAACCGTGGAGGCGGTTCTAGAAACAGAAGGACTAAATTTACTAAATACTCCATCACCAGCCGATTTTGATTTAGCATCTTCACCTCCAATGAATTTATCAATTTGTCCCCATAATTTATCAAGATTAACTTTACTAATTCTATTACCAAACCAACTCTGATCTTCCGAATTTGTATTGGAAAGTCGATAAATCAAATTTTGGAATTCATGAAGTAAATCTTCATTAAGTATCGAAGATCTTGTTCCTAAAGATTTAATAATATTATTAATGGTATCAATGTATCGTTGAGATTGTCCATAATATCCATAATCGGCCAATATACTGGCATGTCTAAGTTTATTAGGTAATAAATGTGGGAATCCTATAGTTGAAACATTACTAGTATTAGGACTAATACTTAAGATATATTCATAAACTTCACAATACATCGAAGTGGTGGATTCCGATCCTAAATAGGCAAACATTACGGGCGATAATGGAACTCCTGCTAATGCAAAACAAATCTCATTAGCCCAATTATTCCCCGTTTGACCAATAAATTTACCAAATTCAATTAAAAATTCTTGCGTCTTGGCAGTTCCACTAATCAATACACAAGCAACAAATTCTCGCCAATGTAAATTAGCATATTCTCCTTCAGTTGGTACTACTGATAAATCTTCAATGGCTCCTTTAATATTTCCGGCTCCTACTTTTAAAAGTAATGGCATTAAATGTAATACTTTATTATTAGCCTTTTGAAATGGGAATGTATTTCTAGCAAAATCTCCTGCCACTTTAGCATACTTCTCTGGTCCACTAAAATTGGCAAGCACTAACGCAAGTGACCAATCACCTCGTGATACACAGTATTCAATGGCTCTTTCAATATTACCCGATTGAATTAAACTAAAGGCCGTATTAACTCCCGAAGTATCAAGTTTAAATGCATTGGCCGCAATCTTCATACTAGGTTGAATATCAGGCGTAGCACTATAATTTACACTGGGATTTAATACACTACTTAACCCTTTTTTCAATTCAATCGAATTATAATCTCCATCAGCTCGAACTAATTGTAAAAGAATTTGATTTAAAAGTAATTCCGATGATAATGAATCATTAATTAATCGTTCAATATTCTTTTCTAACCATTTTTCAATATCTTTCTTTTTAGTTTTCCCCTTAACTAATGGTCCAGGAAAGGTTTCATACATTGTATTATATTTTAATAATTCACAAGTTCTAATCACTTTAATACTATCACCTAAATGATGTTCATAAGCTGAAGTAGATATATTGGGAATTAAAGTTACTGAATTAAGAGAATTACTCCAATTAAATACGGGGAATTGTCGATGATTTAATAATTCAGGATTAGTAATTTTAGATGCCGGTTGTTGAGGTTTAGAATAGATACTTCCACGAGGATTTGAACCTCCTCGAGCTCGAGCTGCAGCCGGTGGAAGTGTATTTTGAACTGAATGTGGCGCATATGGATTATACTCTTTACCTTTAGCTCCCACAATAGAACTAGCACGTGAATGAGTCTTATGATTACTTGGACCATATGGACCAGCATTAGGAACATAAGGACTTGTGGCTGTACCAGCAGAAGTTCTAGATATATTAGTATTAATATTAGGAACTTGTCCTTGACCAACTTGTCCAGTATGTCCTTGAACATGGGCTTGAACTGGAGTATGTGGTTGTCCTTGAGGTTGTACTTGAGATTGTACTTGAGTTGGAGGTTGAGGTTGAATAGAAGGAAATGTCTGGGTGGGTTTAAGATGAGTATGAGAAATTGGTGGTGGAACTAATCCAGAAGCTGGTGCAGGTGGAGCATATTGTGCTGAAGGAGGATTTCTAAATGGAGTATTAGGAGTTGAAGTATTACTAACAACCGTTGGATTAGGTTTATAAGGATTAACTGGTGGAGGTTTAGTAGGTTGTTGTTGAAGAACTGTTGGAGATTTTTGAATATGAGGAACATTAATGGCCTTTACCGGAGCGGCTCTAGCAGCTGGTTTAGGTAAATCAATGGGTAATTCTTCAAAAAATGACTTTTTAGGAGCTAAAGTTTTAGCTGATTCAACTATTGGTGGTTTATAACTATTAGGAATAGTTTCAGAATGTTCAGTTACGGCAATTGCTGGTGGAGGAATTGGAATTTTAGATTGAGTTTGTGATTGAGGTAATGAATTTTGAGTTATTGGAGGTTGAGTTAATGGACTATGAACCAAAGGAGGAGATTGAACTTGAGATGTGGCAGTATACTTATTAGTAAAATGTCTTGGAGCAGGTTTAATAGATTTTGGTATCATATTTCCAGGAAAATCATAGGCATCATGCTTTTTCTTATTACTTTCTAATTCTTGTAAGTAATGAGATTTATCAGTAGTTTGAACTGATGGTTTATATACATTATGATGAGGTTGAGGAACATACGATGAATGATGAACAGTTTGAACTGGTTGAACAACTTGAACTGGTTGATGAATAGCAGTGTCATCAAGTAATTCATCATCCAATTCAAGTTGAGCCAATTTACTCTGTAAATCATCAACTGATTGAGATTGAGATTGAGATTGAGATTGTGGTTGAGCTTGTGGTTCTAAATCATTTAAGAAATCCGTATCATCTTCAAATAAATCTTCAAGACTTTTAATAGGATTACTGGCTTCTATATGTTTAGGTTCGGGAACAGATTGTTTAGCTTGTAAGTCAGTAAAGAAAGTATCATCAGATTGACTAACTTCAGCATGAACTGGTTCAGGTTCTGGATGGTTCACTGGATAGTTGTTTTCCTGTTGAACCTCTTGTTGAACTTCATGTTGAGCCTCTTGTTGAGCCTCTTGTTGAACCTCTTGTTGAGTTTCCCATGGCAAAGCAGATCGAGTTTCTGGTTGAGATTCCCATGGCAAAGTCAGTTCATGTTGTTCAATTGGCTGTTGATCATCGAATGTTTGATTCTGTAATGTCTGTTCTATACGTTCTTCCCATGGTAATGATGGAGCTCGTGCTGGTTGACTCCATGGAAATGAATTAGCTCTTTCAGGTTGCTCCCTTGGTGACTCAGATTTAGGAGGTTCTTCCCAAGGTAATACTTCATTCAGTGATTGTTGAGCTGGTTGCTCTTCCCATGGTAATGGCTCTTGTTGAACTGGTTGAGCTGGTTGCTCTTCCCATGGTAATGGTTCTTGTTGAACTGGTTGTTCGTTTGGTTGCTCTTCCCATGGTAATGATTGTTGCTGAGCTGGTTGTTCATTTGATTGCTCTTCCCATGGTAACGGTTCTTGCTGAGCTGGTTGTTCATTTGATTGCTCTTCCCATGGTAACGGTTCTTGTTGAACTGGTTGTTCGTTTGATTGCTCTTCCCATGGTAACGGTTCTTGTTGAACTGGTTGATCCCATGGTAAAGGTTCCTGATGAACAGGCTCATCCCATGGCATTTGAGATTGCTGTTCAGCTATTGGATCAAACTGTTCATTCACTGTTTCTTCTGGATCAGGAATGTATTGCTGCAATTCACTTGTTCGTTTATCTTCAATCAAGGTAACTGGATCATCAATTGGTTCAGATGATTGATCAGTAACTTGATAATTCACCGATTCTACTTGCTCCTGTATAACACTATGTGATTCTACAGGAGGATGTCGGGCATCTGGTGATACGATCTTAGTGAGCAATTCATCAATTGATGATTGCCTTTGATGTCCATTACCATGATTACCATTATGGTTGCCATTATCATAAGTATGGGCTTCAAAACTATTACCACCATCAATACCAGTCTGATTAGACTGATGTTGTGACACGTTTCCCTCCACAATTGCCGAATGATTTGAAATCACTGGTTGATTAGTGGGTGGGAAATCCAACGTGTCGTTGGTAGTTGATTTGTAAATGTTGTCATTTTCACTGGCCATTTCTAAATTAGTGACCGAATCAATAGGGTGGTCGATCCCGTTAGCTAAATGCTGGTGATCGATCTCACTCATGGAAAGTTGACACAATTGGTTATAGTGGTTTAGTAGTTGACCGTCAATTGGCTGTCAGTAAATAAATTTGTCGACTGCTTTGGAAGAGTACTGCGGCATGGGTTTCTATCAGTACTGCGGTATGGGTGTTTGACTGAAAAGTTTCAACCAATCTAATTATTTAACTGAAAGTTCTTAATTGAGGTTAGTGAGTTATTAATGAGAGGTTGAATATGATTAATATGAGGTTAATGTATTATTAGTTCAGAATTAATGAATCTATTAATCAGAATTAGTGGACCCATAAAATTGGATCACGCGACGTGGGTCACGAGACAGAATGATCAATATTTTAACTAATAACAACGTTATTAACCCGATTTCTAAACTTTACTAAAGTGAATTACTTACTATAAACAGCCCACATCAACGATCTGACTAATTCCTATTCAAATTGATGAAGTTCTTCCTATTCTTCCCGCCTTTAGACTTTCGTCCCAACTTGAGTGTCGTCTCTTCCCCCCGCCAATTCGCGAGCAGGCGACGTGCGGCGGTCACAAATTTCCTAAATTAGCGAACGACATTAATGACTAACCAGCCAACAACCTTAAAGTATAACAAGTATCTACGGGAGGATATCTCGTTGACTTACTGTCATTACTCTCAATATAACTATAGACTCACTAACTCTAACTCACACACTCATTCATTTAATTATTAAAGACTTTTCGATATCTCATGTCAGCCTATCGTGATTCCACTAAGGCTGTCACCCCATCCGATGAGTCTCCCACTATACTGACCAATTTCAAGAGTCCACTACCAGAACATCCTCATCTTCGAATTCAAATCCCTTCTAGTAATGAGTCATTACATTCTTCAATAGAATCATCCAACGATTTTTCAGCTCCATCAGTATTACCAAAATTAGGTGAACCATTATCATTTTCTCCTACATTAGATTCGCCATCCAAAGCATCTTTTGAAAGAATTACTCAATTACCAACTCCAGTACTTAATAATGGATCATTTACTTCAACTAGCTTTGTATCAGGATCTCCAAGTGAATCAATTACCTTAGAAATTGAAAAGAATAGAAGCCCAAAATATACTCATCATAAATATGATACGTCACCTCGAGTAATTTCAGATTATAAACCTATTCCAGCTTTAGGAAGAAAAAATTCTTTACTTGACCATTCTAATACTTTAGTGGCATCTAAAAGAATTGTATCTAATCCTATAAGATCTTCTCCTATTACAAATTCTTCAACTCCAACTCCTCCACCAACTACACCTCCAAGTTATTTAAAATTATTTCCAAAAGATGAAGAAAAGAAACCTCATAAGTATTTCGGAAAAATATTTAATGCTCCTCGATTAGGTAAAGATTATGAATTTGTAAAAGAAGTAGGTTCAGGAAATTTTAGTACAGTAATATTAACAAGAAGTATAACTGATTCAAGTTTAATTGCTATAAAAGTTATACATTTCCCAAGTGAAGAAAATCAAATCCCTAATTTTAGATCATTTCTTAGACGAGAATTAAATATCTTATATCAAGTATCACATCATCCTTGTATAACTCAACTTGTTGATTATTCAGTTACATTCAATTTACCACGTCAAGAAATTGAATCTCCATGTCTTATTGATAGTGAAGATATAGATCATGATGATATTGATTTTTATAAGTTAATGGAAAACAATAATCAATTAATATTTTTGAAATATTGCCCTGGAGGTAATTTACTTCAATTCTTTATTGATCACAAACAAGCTTATAATATTCATAATCTTCATTATTGGATTATCATTAAACGAATTATTTGTGAACTATTAATTACTGTCAATTATTTACATACTAATGACATTATTCATCGAGATATTAAATTAGAAAATATCTTATTGAATTTCTCATTTACAGAAATGGATCAATTGATTCAATTTAATAATAGTGAAGAAATTCCTGTATTTATAAATTTATCTGATTTTGGATTATCTAAGAAACTTAAAAGTCCTGATCAACTTTTATCCACTCGATGTGGATCTCAAGATTATATATCTCCTGAGATTCTTATGGGAGTTAAATATGATGGAAAATTAACTGATGCTTGGTCAGTTGGTGTGCTTATTTATTCAATTTTAGAGGGCAGGTTACCCTTTGATTTACCTCCTATAGATGCATTAACTGCACAGGGGATTTCTCCTTCTGTCATTAGACGAAGACGATCTAAAAATAGTGCTGCTCATCGTATTGCTATGATCGATTGGGATTGGTTTAAAGTCAATGAATATCTGTCTGATTCAACTGTAAATCCCGATATTAAACAAATATTTACTGAATTGAAATCCATAGTTGATCATGTATTAGTTCGAAAGGATAAACGTTCAACTATTGGAGAACTTCTTGTCAACCGTGACTTTGGCTGGATCAAACAATTCTTACCGCACCACCTAACTAATGCTAACTAACATTAACAATTACTACTACTATTACTACTAACTAATATTAACTCTATGTAACACTCTTAATATGTACTACTAATCAAACTTCCTTTCATTTCTCTAGTGTATAATCAATAGACATTCATTCATTTGCAACCGTTAATCCCAAACAGGTAATGCGTGTCGCGCGACATTTTTCTTAGTTTTCTCTGTCAGTGTCTGTCTGACTTCAGTGGAGAAAATTCACAGACAGAACAGAACAGAACAAGTTGAGTAATAACGATACTGTACTAATAACTCCGTAATACTACACTTACTAGACATCTATTAAAGTGAAGTGTACTGGGGCATACGCCAACGTTCTGTATTATACTCCGCCTAGAGCCACTGATATTAACTATCATGACAGATATTGAGCCAGAAACCAATGGGAACCACACTACATCTAATGGTGATAAATTAAAGACACCACCAGAAATTCCTCATATTCTGAATAATATAATTCCTTTATCGACCATACTTAAATTCTATACTCAAGAAGCATTCAAACAATTATCAACCGTAATTGAAAATTTATCATCCACTCAAGAATCAGAAAATGATTCAGTAAGAAAGAAGAAATTTCTTGAAACTATTATATCTTTACGACAAGATTTTGTAAAGATATATACTTTAGTTAAATGGTCAGCCAGTGCTAAAGATGTTTCGAAATTAATTGATTTATTAAATTGGTGTCGAATGCAAGAATTTCATTTTGATCAATTAGGTATTCAATTAAATGGATTAACCGGATTTAGTGGAGCTAAATTACCAAATTCAGATATTATAACCAGTTTAGAAGTATTTTTTAAACATAGACCTCAATTACCTTCATATAATTATATTCCAATTCAAAGAATTAGTTCCGAAAAGACTCTTGAAGTGTTGGAAGATTTAAATTTAATTTTAACTACAAGATTAGCACTTATTGATATACCGAAACGTTTAGATAATAATTATATTATTAAAGATGGTAGAATATATTTTTCAGTACCAAATGAATTTCAAGTATCAATAACAGTAGCTAATGATTTAATAATAGATTCAATTGAAGATTATTATAAATCCCCATTTTATTTTATTGATTTTAAATTCTTATTTGGTATAAATCCTGAAACTTCATTAATAACTCATACTGATAATAAAATTGTAACAAAATTACCTAAATCATCTCATGAAAAATTAGAGAAAACTATTAATAATGTGTTATTAAATCAAGGATTAAGAGGATTATATGATGTACTTCATAAATATTCAATTTCATTTAAATTATATCTTATAGCTAAACAATTAAAAGAATTATTAATTAATACTCGATGGAGAAATAATCTTCAAGTTAATTATCAAACAGGGAAATCCTTAGTAATTATAAATTATTGGGCTACCCATTTCTTATCAAGAAATTGGCGGTCATTTATTGAACTTGGAATCGATAAGAAATATAACTTAAACTTTCGATGGTTTAAGAATGGGAAATATAATTTTAATCAAGAATTAAGTCAAACATTGAGTGCTCAACTTAAGAATTCTAATTCTAGTTCTAATTCTAATTCTAATTCTAGTTCTAATTCTAATTCTAGTTCAGAATCAAATTCTAAATTAGCTAATTCAAATGAACTTGATGAAGATGATGATAATCAAGATATTGAAGAACCTGAAGATTTAAATGTTGATTTAATTTTAAATGTGATTGTTAATAAACATTCAGCATTAATTATGGAGAAAGTATTTAATCAATTAACTTTAAGATTTAATAAAGAATCTCATCATGATCAAGATCAAGTATCTTACTTAAGTCCTCAACAATTATTATTAAAATTATCTCCAACAAAATCCACTATCTTTTGTATTAATCCCTTAACCGGATTCTTTTATTTTATTGATCCTAGTCCTTTACAAGATACTTTAACTAAGAAAATCAATTCTCCACCAATGATTGTTAAGAATAATTCATTTATTAGTGAATCAGATATGGTTAATAATATAATTGATAATTTAATTCAATTAAGATTAGAAGTATTTAATAAAGAAATTAATAATAAATTATTAACTACTGATTGGATTAATAATGATATTATTAATTTAGGAGAATATGAAGTATCTAAATTAGGAAATTTCTTAGTCGATGGATTAAATTTTAAAAAGAATATTCATAATATAAAATTCTATAGAAGAAAGAATTGGCCATCAAGTTGGATTTTAATTAGTTTAATTAGTGGTATAACTTCGACATCTTATTGGTGGGTGGCCCGATTAAAATCCATAAGTGGAGAATGGAAGATTCAATGGATTCAAAAGCTTAAATTTCAATCGCAAACTAATAATAGTACTAATAATATTACTAATAATAATACCAATCATATTGTGGAAGAATCTAATGATAATACTAACACTTCAATATTAAATGATGGAGTAGCACCATCTCGATTCAATTATGAATTCTTTAGTAGTTTATCTACAATATGTTCTAATATGATCATTGATCATATGATCTTGGAAGAATTACAGGCAAGAAAGATTAGATTCTTAAAGACTGATTCAATTAATCATATATTACAAAAGTTTAATATTGAAGAAATCCCTGATAAAGATGATGAAATTCATCATGAATCTGATCAAGAAGATAAAGCTAAACCATTAGTTTATGAATCAGTAATTTTGATATATAATCATAATGATTTACTCCCCATCTATAATTCATCCACTAGTTTATTCTTAAAGATTAAATTAATTAATTCTAATAATGTCACCCAAATGAAACTTAAATTATTTGGAAATTTAAGAAACCTTTCTATTAAGAATTCTCCTGAAAGTTTCCTTCAATTAAATTTAAAAATTGATGAAGTTAAGAATTATTTTGAAATCTATGATTTAATAAATCTTTCCAGTAGACTTAATAGTAATAATAGTGAAAATTCAGGAGAAATTGAAACTAAGGATGGATTATTAGATCGAGTATTTGATAATTTGAATAAATTAAATAAATTAATTAAAATTCTTGATCAATTAAATAAGGGGAAAATTAGAATTATTGAGAATTCAGTTAATGATATTACTATTAAATTACATGATAGTCTTGATAATTTAATTATAAAATTACCAGAAAAATCTCATGAAGGTATAAAAATATTAACTGATCCAGATTCTAAGCGAGAAATTAATCCTGAATTTGGATTAATTTTAACTTATTTGAATCGATATTTAGCTTCCCAAATTAACACTAATGAAGATTCTGAACCTTCATCAGAAGATGGAGCTTCAATTATTGGCATTATTGAATGTATAAAGGAAATAGAGCCAATCTTACATTCAATTCTGAGAATTAGAGAGAATGTCCTTAAACATGAGAATCTGATCAAATTAGCTAATGGATTATCGAAATTAAACTTTGATGTAAAGATTCCTAACGTAAATACCATTCAATATATCTTTCATTTAAATTATCTGACAGTTAATTCTGCTAAAAAGATATTTAAAGATAAAATAGTTATTAATTTAACCTTTAAAAAGAATAAATTCGATGTTATCAATAGGAATTTGATCAAAATCTCACTTAAGGACAATCTAAATTCAAAAAATATAAAGTATAAGAAATTATTTGAATTAATATTTAAATCAATTAATGATTATGATTTAGAAAATCAAAGTCCTCAAGATCCTACTCAAATTCAAACTCCTGCTTCAATAAATTCAGGTAATAATGATGCTCATGCTCGATTATTAATTAAATTAAATTATGATTTCTTAGTTAGTTCATCAGTAGTTGAAGAATTAATGGTAAGAATTGGTAATTGTTTTGTACAATATCTACAACTTGAACCTCAAACAAGATGATAATTCATTAGATATATAAATATAAATATACAGAACAAAACTAATCAACTAAATTATAAAAATTATAAAAATCCTTCTAATACTCGTAAGGCTTTCTCTAATCTTTGAATCCCAATATCATACCGACTTTTATCAATAACCATATCCAGAGTTAATCTAGATAATGAATCTATAATCTTTTCAATTAATTGTTTCTCTTTAATAGGTAAATTCAATTGACTAAATTCTTCTCCTATAATTGTACCATTCATACTTTCAAGTAAATTAATTAATGTATGATAACTAAAAGGTTTTAAATCAGATGATGTAGTAGAATTCTTTTTCTTCTTGGCTGATTTGGATTTCTTAGCATGATGATGTGTATTAGTAGAATCCTTAACCGATTTAACTCGTGATGGTCGATGAACAACTTCTACAGGCCCAATATCATAGAAGTCATCATCATTTTCATTCGATGGTTGTTGATTTCTAACAGTTTCTGAAACTTCTCTAGCTCTCAGGATATTTTCCATGGATGGACGTGGAGGTAATGACCGAACTTTAGGTAAATCTGTAGGTACTACTCCTTCTGCAGATGATGTACCTTTTATGGTGGATTCATTATTCAAAATATTGGAAGTAGACGATACCATAGAACCCACATCATCCACATCAATTGGTTCAGGTTCAGTATCGCCCGAAGGGTCTGATAACGTAGTTGATTGACGTCTAATGTTCTTCATAAGTTCATCTAAATCGTCAGTGATATGAGCAGAATTACTCTTTTGATGAGCGGGGAGCTTATTCTTATTGAAATTAGCAATTTCTTTGGCTAATTCTTGTTGATGGATGGAACTTAAGATTTCTGATTTGGGCCTTCTGGGTGATCTAGGAGGTACAGAACCTTCAATGGTAGTGTTATAACTAGCATCAGGAGTTAATTTGGATGTGTCTCTGGTAGGAGTAAGTAATTCAGAAGCTGAAGAGGAGGATTTGTCACCTCTAATGGTGGGAAGCTTACCGAGTTTGATATTTTCCGAGTCAATTTCAGATATTTCACTAGCTGTGGCAGTTTCATGTTCTTGTTCTTCCTGTTCTACTAGCTGCTTTTGTTCCTGTTCTTGTTTCTGTTGCTGTTTCTGTTTTAGCTCTTCTTCTGGGCTGATATATACTAACTTACTCTTTTCCCTATCCTTTGAACTATCGTGCCTCTTAATTGTCACAGGAATGGCATGATCACTGGGTACTCCTGAGTACTGAGAAATTTGTGACATATACGATTCTCGATAATTACCATCAGATAATGCTGATCCTTTAGGTGGAGCAAAAATAGAGAATTGAGGAGAATGAAGCGGTGGTTCTGGAGGACTAGTCAGACTAGAGAGTGGTTCCAAATGTGGTTTGACAATTGGATCATTAGATCTAATAGAACTTAATGTCAATGGCTCAGTGCCTCTTAATAATCTCAGTTGTTGTTCAATAGCATTCTTATCAGGAAAGTTTAATGCATCAGACTTAACATATGAGAATTCTGACGTGACATCGTCATCCACGAGATCCTTCGTTGATTTGTCTGTCATTACTATCGCCGATATGCTAGTACAAGAAGAATAATCTATCGCAAAATGTTCTTGTTTAATCAGGTCTGGTAATTTCAAATTCGATATCTTTTGTTTTGATTTGTCCCAATTAGGCAAGGTAATTATTAGCATCATGCGCGCTACCATTTAGAGATATGTTTTAACATATTTTTAAGTTTCGCATTTTTTTATTTTTTTTATTTTTTTTTTTATTTTAATTTTAATTTTTTTCTATTTTCTCTGTGTTAAAACTCAAATCAGGCAAGGCCCGTTAAGCTTTGTGCTTACCCCCGGGATACAGCAGCATGGAAATAGACTACCGAGACATGCCATTTGAGTATATATAGTGTGGAGTAGAATCAAATTAAATTAAATTATTGAATTATTGGATTATTGCATAATTGCATAATTGAAGGGGGTATGAGAGGATCCCTATTACTAAGGATACCGGTGAATCATAAACTAAAGCCTAGTAATTTTTTCACCGATCCTCCATTAAACTATGAAATATATTTAAAGCGAGTTCGTACATTCCCAAAAGTTTTCAAGCCAATTGATAATGCGAAGACTGATCCAGAACGACATAATATAGATCTAGCTTTACGTAATGCCATTAAGGCAAATCGAACTTTACAGCGAAACAATATTTCATTACCCCATAAATATAGACATAGTCATGATTATTATATTAATGATGAAGTTCTTAATTTAAAATTAATGCCTTCCAATAATAAATTGGAACAAATGTTGTGGAACTTTTTATATAATAATGACCAAAATAAATCATATTTTACAACTAATTCAAATACCCTAAAAGCATATTTAACTACTCCTCCTGTTCCTCATAATCCAAAGAGACTATTTGATATAGCCTTGACTAATTTTAATCAAATACTTCCTAAGAGATTTTCATTATTTAAGAAAATCGATCACATTGATACATCAGTTACTTATACAGTATTACAACTATTATTAGAAAAGAAGGATTACTATAGTGCATTCAAGTTAATTGATCTTACGATTAATTCACCAGATTATCTCAATGTACTTCAAAAAAGATTTAAACATTCATTGATATATTCTTCCCTGGCAATAACGACTATTACTTTAGCTGAAATATTCATGCTCCCACTCATATCACCTTTTGCTTGGATGGGTATTAATTTGTTAGCATTTGCCGGATTATTCTATGGACTATTTAGACTTCGAGTAGTTCAGAATGCTGGAAGATTAAGTTGGCGTCCATATAACTCCATTTATTATAATTATTTGCATAGTGAAGAAATCATTGCCATTAACAAAGTCATAACCCATTTGGAAGAACATAATGAGGTTAACATTAAAAATTTCCATCATAGTAAAGTTAGAAAATCCACCAATCTCAGTTTATTTGAACTGAATGATTTCTTATTAGAAGCACCTAACGGTAAAATTGAATTAGTAAATTCCTTACACCCTCATGAAGATGCTGAGATGGCTAACCTTCAACAGTTTTTACGACAAGAATTGAATAAACGGAAGATGGTGTTGAATGATTCACCCGAAGAGTTGGACTTTTTGAACTTTTGGCTTACCCACGGAGAGAATTATGAATGGATTGAGCCAGATCAAGATCCGGCCGAGATAGTCAAGTTGGATATTAAAAATAAATTGGCGTAATGTACAGTTACTATTATGCAATGCTTTATATATTATTTATTATGTTTATTACTATACGGTGAGTAAATTTTCAGTGTATATATCGTCGGTCATTATTTGACCATGTTAATTATAAGATTCAATAATCTATATTGTATAGTATTTTCTGATAAATTAAATCAAACATAGAGCTAATTTATCCTACGCCTTTTAAATGACTGGTCACCACTTAATGAATCTGGACGCATTGTATCAGCAAATAACTTTATCACTTTTCTTCTTGTGTAATCGTATTCCAAGTTTCTTATAAAAGGCCTAATATCGAATAAGAACTCTTTTACAAAATATGCTTCTTTCTTCACCCCATTATAAAGTAAACCACTATTATTGTCATGAATGTTTTCCATTGGTAGCTTTGAAATATTTGAGGATGAATTCTTTTTATTGTTAACTAGATAGAACAATGCCCAAACTCCTTTAATATTTATTGCACATCCATAAATACGAGGAATGGGTTTTGTGGTACTGATTCTGGTTCCATATATTATGATATTATTTGTGAGTATATCCTCAATTAGACGGAATATACGGATTTCGAAAAGTAGGTATGTTAAGAAATACAGATACGACTTGAGAAATGAGGTCTTAGTTTCCCATCTTTCCTGTTTATCGTTAAAATACAATATGTTAAAATCTCTAATACCAAAAGATTTTGCAACCAAATCAGTGGAAATATAAGACACTGCCTCAAAAAAATCTACTTCCCTGTAGGCTCTTTTAGGAATAATTATTGATGGATATAAATTGTGAACATAATCTCCTTTTTCATTTAGATGGTAATTCCTATGTTTAGAATCCCATTCCAAACCGACGAATTCATCTCGCCATTTCTTGTTGCTGGAGATGTCGGATTCAGTTACTTCTAATTTCTTGTATAATTTATCTAAGCAATATACTTGAGATTGGCCCATACACTTAAAATAATCATCCAATATTATCATTAACAAACAGAAAATATTAATTTTTGATTCTTGAAATCTAAAGCATCTTATACTACATGGTACCTCATATGCTACTTCATCTATTGTTTCTATTTTGTTGGGTCTTGCATTGACATTAATATCAAACATTAGTACACAATCTATGTCAACAGCAAACCCTATGCTTGAGTTTTTGTTTGTGTAGATAACTTGATCAGCTAAGTAAAGAAAAGCAGTATTATTCAGCTTGTCATATCTATTTTCAAAAGCATTAAATATTCCTTTAGCTTTAACTATACAGGAGATATATGTAGTTTTTAATTTCTTCCCCCATGTTTCTTCAATATAATCTAACTGAATTTGTGAGATGCAATTTAATGGTTTTAAAAGGTATTGATCAATATATTCTTGTGCATCAGTTGGAGGTTCTAGAAAAGGATTGGAAATTGTAGGCGTGTTTTGTAACAGATTTTTGTCTATTCTGAATTTACTAAACATATGTTGTAAAGTTTCATCATTATACTTTCCTTCATCACTTTTAGGTACAATTTGAAGTGTGTGTTGGAGATATCTTAGAACAATTGTTATACCTAGGCATTGATAAGTTCCACAGTGGGCAGTAGGCATTAGTACCTTTATCATGTTGCAGCTTCTTCATCCTAGGTATTGGAACTGATGTACAACAACTAAGCGTAAATAAATTCTCAAGAGATCGATTGACAGATTGTTCGTCAATTTGCATTTGTTTTCTATAACGGTAGATCATGTGGTAAGCCCAACGTGTAGTTTTCACGTAGTCTTCTACGTATTGGTTACTGAAAACATAATCTTCATCCAAAATTGTATTTTCAGGAATAATAATGTGAAAATTAAATATCTTGAATGCTAACTTCTGACGATTTCTATCTAGCTTAGATGCTTCGTCTGCTGGATAAGGTAATCCAGCAATTAATTTCTTCCAGGCTTCACCTAGTATTTGCTTCTCAATTGGATCATTGAAAAAGTTGTAGGAAGGCTCTTTGATTAACTTTAGGAGAGCAAATTTAGCAGAGTTCTTGACGGCTTTTTCATCGAAATAGTACGAGATATACTTCATTTATGATATTCACTTTAATTTGTTTTCTAAGGACAATAGTAGAAGAATGTAACATAGACCTTTATATAGTGTCATGAAGTTGGAGTTATACTTTGTGCATATATGTACATATTTTCTACAATTAAGCATATTATTATGCTAATCTGTCATATATTACGTTTTTACCTCTAAAACTTATTCTCTGGATCTTTCAGTTGGAATTTGAACAGTCACTAGTTCTTTATAGGCGGTAGTAATCTAGAAGGAAATTGTTATACTAAATTTATTACTATGTTACTATATATTTGTGTATAGTACTATACTACACTCATTCGATACTAACCATATTACCACATTATATTCTATACTATGTATAGTAAACTATACTATACATATACTATACCTATACTATATTTATTACTATATTTACTACTATATTTATTACTCTATCTATTACTGTTTTATTAAAGTTAGTTAAATATTAACAATTCTTTGATTGCAAATTGTTCCGCAACATCTCCCTTTTCGGTCATACAAAAACAAGTCGACTGATGTCAATTATTATATCACCACTCTTATTGGTGGTAACATATACAGCATTCTACAATGTCAAATACCAGTAAGTTTGTAGAGCTAATAACTCCTAAAGATTTGGATATTATTTCCGACCTTAAGTTTTCTCCCACCACTCAATCCCCACAATTATTGGCGTCATCGTGGGACAATCGTGTCCTTCTTTATGATTGTTCAGATATTGCTCATAATGTTAATAATCCTCCAAGTATATCACCAACAAATGTGTTTACTCTTGAAGATACTCCATTATCAATAACTTATAGTGGATCAGATGCCTATATAGGACTGTTGGATGGAAGTGTACGACAATTAGATTTTGAGAATCAAAGATTAAGTCTGGAAATTCTTCTGTTGGCCACAACTGATGAAGAAATAGGTAATGGGATTAGTAGCTTAATTCTGATTAAGGGTCAATCTAACTTAATATGTGCCAGTTCATTTAATGGTAAATTACAGTTGATAGATACAAGACAAAGACTGCCAGTATTAGTCACTCAACATTCTCAAACTAATCTTAAACGGAAAATATTTGCCATGGATTCAAGTTCCCAATACTTAACATTAGCTGTAAATGGTAATAATCTTGAGATTTATGACTTAAATAATTTAAAAGTACCATATGAAACTCGACAAGTAGGATTAAATTATCAAATACGAGATTTGAAATGTTTTCCTAATGATGAAGGGTTTGCTTTATCAACGATTGATGGAAGAGTATCAATTGAATATTTTGATTCTTCAGAAGAAGTACAAACTACAAAGAGATTTACATTCAAATGTCATAGAACTTTCGATAAATTAACAGATACAGATGTAGTATATCCTGTAAATTGTTTAGCATTTAGTCGATACGGTACGTTATTCACAGGAGGTTCCGATGGGACTTTATGTTTATGGGATTTAGAGCGTAGAAAACGAATGAGAGCATATCCCAAATTTGTTAGTGAAGATGAAGCAGAAGTAATTGAAAGTTTAGCCAAGATAGCTGTCAATAATGCTCCAGATCATCAATTAATTAGTGTAGCCACTAGTGATGATACTTATAAGCGGAGAAGAAGATTATCTGAAAGTGAAGGACAAAGAATCCCCAGTCGGATCTACATCAGAGCCCTCGGAACTTCCGAATGTGAACCTAAGAGATGATATAAATATATAAAAAATAACCAAAAACTATAAAATATAGTCACATATAAAATATAACTACATATAAAATATAAATGATAGTAACGATAGTAACGAAATATACGAGCTCATACAAAAAAAAATATTGGCGACATCTCATCTCCACCATTTCGATTTAGCGACACTTGTAGACACTAAAAATCAGCTGACAGTAGAATAAACTGAGTAGACTAAGTAGACTGAGTAGACTTATTAGACATAGTAGAAAGAGTTGAGTTGAGCTATGACAATATTTGCACAGGGTACCATTAAGTTTCAAAGTTGGTTGAAACATCATGGAATCACAATATCTTCCAAAGTATTAATTGCCGATCTTCGTAATAAACATCAAGGTAGAGGAGTAGTAGCATTAGAAGATATAAATAAAGGAGAAGAATTATTTACTATACCAAGACAATCGATCTTAAATGTTGGTAATTGTTCACTTGTAGAAGAACATCCTGAAATAAAGGATAAATTACTTAATTTAACTCATTGGGAATCACTTATAACTGTTTTATTCTATGAGATCTATGTTAAACAACAAGATAGTAAATGGAATGATTATATAAATGTATTACCATTTAAAGAACCAGAAGGATATTTTAATCAATTAATGTATTGGACAGAAGAAGAATTACAACTGTTACAACCATCATTAATTTTAGATAGAGTAGGAAGAGATTTGGCTGTATCAATGTATAACAAGTTATATCCTGGAGTTATATTGAATGAATTGAATATAAAGGAATTAGAAGGTCAAGTAACTTTGGATAGATACTTTGCTATAGCATCTACTATAATGTCGTATTCATTCGATGTAGAACGTCTGGACTTTGTAGAGGAGGAGGAAGAGGAGGAACATGAAGAGGAACATGAAGTAGAAGAAGAACATGAAGTAGAAGAAGAACATGAAGATGTAGATAAACACGACAAATCGAAAGTTCCATCCCCCATCGAACCTCGAAGTATCCTTATGGATGGTTATTACAAGTCTATGGTTCCATTGGCTGATACGTTGAATGCAGACACTAACTTACATAATGCATCACTTATCTATACCGATGAAGGATTAATCATGAAGAGTCTCAAGCCCATAAAGAAAGGAGACCAAATCTACAATACATACTCCGATCATCCCAATGGAGAGATCTTAAGAAGGTACGGATACATAGAGAAACAAGGATCCAAATATGATTTTGGAGAAGTACCACTAACATTAATCAAACAACATTTTGGACAATCCATGACCCTCGCACAAGTCAAAGATTTATTGGATTTGTTAAGTCAGATTCTGATTGAAGAATATGAAGAAGAAGGAGATTTGGTTGATATAGTTCTTGATTCTTATGACTGTTTCAAGTCGGGAGAAGTCATCTTAGAGTTTATCTTCATTATACAAGTTCTTACAATTATTGTTAGTATAAACTCTATCCAACCAATCAATTTATTAGAGCCTGAACCCAAATATCAATTGGTTAATCGAGTATTTAAAAAGTGTTATCAGCTAATTGAATCTAAGAAATTAACTAAGAATTTCATAATCAATTATCAAGCAATTCTTAACAGTAGAATTCAGCAATATCCTGCTAATGCTGCTTCTCCATTAGACTTTGAACCACCATTTACCCGACAGACAATGGCAGAGGTAGTAATTAGGTCAGAGTATCAATCGTTAGTCAATTGTCTAGACATTCAAAACAACTTAGTCCATTCCGATATGGGACCATTTAAGTTCATTGACGATGATAAGTTAATCAGAAATATTATTAAGAAACGACTTCTGGATGACGAAGACAATGGCACCACCAAACGGGCCAAAGCATAAATAAAATTCTATGTATTCAATACATAACTAAAATTAAATTAAAGGTAACTAAATGTAATTAAATGAATTAAAATGTCCGGTAATCAATTGATTACAGAAAGTATCCTGTCCGATCCTGTCGACAGGTATGATACTGAATCATCGTCCTGATTCTCCTTGTGGTTCTCCTTTTCCTTCTGTTTCTGTTTCTGTTCTATTTCAGCTAATATCTCTTCTTTAGTTCTAATCACAAGCTGTTTAGGTCGAGATACATGAAATCCTCTTTCTACTGGTTGTGGTTGTGATTGAGATTTCTTTGATCTTCTCCATAAATGAGAGATATTAAGTTCTGGAGTATGTTTAGGTTGTTGTTCTGATGATGATGAACATGGTTTATCAGTAGTAGGACCCCAATTATTTCTTGATTCCCATAATGCTTTAATTTCAGGATCAATTTCATCATCAATAAAATATTTCTTATATATATTATCTCCCTCTCGAACTCTATAATCATTACGTTGTTTTCTTAAATTTGAGAATTGTTCTTGTCTAGCAAATGAACCAGTAATAAATGAAAATTGATCTTCATTAGATACAAGATTAACTTGTTCATCCGATAATGTTAAACCAGAAAATCCTCTCTTTAATTTAACTTTATCAGAAGGAATTCTTGGAATATCCTGATCATTAACTCCTCTAAAATAAAATTTATCTTCTTCAATTTCATCATTAATTTCTTCAATAGTTTTATCAGTTTCATTACCTTCTTTATCATAAGATGATAAATTACTATTACAATTACTATGATGAGGATTAGTTGACCAAGGTTTTTCTTCCATTCCTGCTACTGGTCTATATTCAAATTCATTATTAAAATCTTCAATACTATTAACAAGACCAAGTTGATTACTATAAGTTTTATATTGAACTCTTTCACGATGAAATTTAATTATTGAAAGTATAGTTTTAATAACTCCATAAAATAATTGTATAACAAATATAATTGCTACAATACAATGAATAAATAATTGAACAAAAGCCACATAACTTCTAATTACTTCACTTAAACCTAATTCTGGTAAATAAGGTATACATAATACTGTAACAAAAAATCGAGCTACTGGAAGCATCCATCTTGTTGAAGTCCAAGAAAATTTAACAAAATATGGATTAATTGTAAAAAGTAATATTAAATCAATAAATTCTAATACAATTAAACATGCCACTTGAACTGAACCATAATCTTGAAGTAATCCAATAATTAACAGTTTAGAAAATAATGACCAAATATCTAATGCCACATAAAATACTTTTGTTGGTTTATAATGATTATAAAAGAATGACCATAATAAAATGGTTTTAATTGAAGTATATAATTTGGACATCTTCTTACTTCTATGAAATTGATATTGTTTAATAGTTATTAAATAATAAAAGATAAAGAAAAATGCTAATCCTACCCAAAGGATAAATAATAATACTCCAAATATAATACTGGGGATTGGCATTTGATGACGATGAATTATTGCCGTTGAAGTTGAAGTTGAATTAAATGAATGAAATTGATTATAAGCTGTAGCATTTAATCCATGAAGTACTTTAGGTGGTACAGTAATATTATTAGGTAATGGTAAAAAGAATTGATCATAAGAACTTGTTTGAGAAAATGCATCTGCCAGTAATGTAGCTGGTGAAGGAAATATTCTAAATCCTGCTCTTCTCAATCCATTGGCATTACTAAACATAAATGTTGTAAGAACTAAGAATGGAACTCCAAATATAAGCATAAATGCTTCAATAAATTGTCCAATCAGTAAAAACATATACTTTCTAAAAGAAAATGATGACATTTGTAACATATAATTTGGATTATCTAATGCTGAAATTTCTAAATTTCTTGAATTTAAATGATCTTTTGCATCGGTTAATTTATTAACTATTTTAAGAATAAATCCTCTTACTATAATAAAGATTTGTTCACCAAATATAATACATATAACCACAATTAAGAAAGTTATAATAAAATTTGGCCAATTAGCAACATTTGATTCATCACTTGAAAATAATGTTAAAGATTTTAAACCTGAAGAATTCATAGTTGAATAAATATTATCTGCTTTATTAACTCTCAGAAAATTTCCTCCTGGATTATTAATAACTGATATACCTAATAAAGCACACCATCTAATTTGAACTAATAATGGTTGATAAAATCCGGGATATTGAAGATTTAATCCTCCAATAAATAAAGCAAATTGAAGATAAATTATAATTCGAGGTACGGTTGCATCTAATTGTTTTAATAATTCTTCATTACAAATGGTTGAAGCTCGAAATAATAATGGATTTGATGATTCTTGATATGATGAATAAGCAATAATTAATATATTTATACAAGCTGTAACCACTAATAATATTAAAATTCCAAGTAATAATCCTCGGGAAATTGTTTGAGGTTGAACTGGAGTTATATAAGTTTTATTACAACCAATTACTTGAGAACTTCCATCATTTGATACTACTGAAAATCGAGCTAAATATGATCCTAATTTATGAAATTGATCACTAATATCGGCTTCATAATATAATAGAAATGAATCATTATTATATAATGGACATTGAATTAAATTGCCTGTAGAATTTGAAAAGATATTAGCAATAGTTGTATTTGATTGAGCAAATGAATTAATAATTGGCAGTTGATCTCGTTTAATTTTACGAGAATTAATTGTAACATTCATTGCTGGTATATATGGACGATCAGTTGGTCTTGAAGTTAAACCAGTTGAAGATGAACTTGATTGTAATACCCAAGGATCATTATTAGGAAATCTTGGACCTTGTTGATAATCCGTATTGTTTTTAACGGCTATTAAATCACAAAATCTTTTATTCTCTGATACAAATGTTTTACCCATAAAATCAATTTCTACATGAAATGTTGTATATCTATTAGTAGTGTAATTAACATCACTAACTTGAATAGTAATATCAGATTCATTCCATGCCATAACCATTGAATTTAAAAGAAATTTAAGTTTCTTATTATCTTCATCAATGGCAGCATCAATAAGGAATGGAGCTAATATAAATCCTGATTCTACAACTCCACATGATTGAACTTCAACAAATGCTGAATTCCCTATATTCGCTAGTAGGAATACTACAAGTGTTATCCAATATGAGTACTTCATTATATGTAAAAAGGAATGACAGACCAATGAGCTGGTCGAGGCTGGTGGTGAATCACCAGATTAAAAGTTATACAGAGACCCAGTCTGTTATACGAACTAGATCTACCGTTAAATGTTACTGGTGGAGTCCCTCTGGGTTTAGGGACAAATGTAGTCTAACGTTAATTACTTATACTTATCACTGGGTATGTGTATGGTATGGACTGTTATCTCTACGTAGTTAATGGATATGGAACATCGCCAAGTTAGAAATTTTTCGAGGTCCTGTATCCAGTGCGGTACAGGACGTTACGGACCGGCTGTTAAGGCTTTGATGTGGGTTGTATTAATTGTGTAGGTTAGTAGTTACATAGTTGACGTTATGGTGAGAGTTCATTAGTGGGCTTAGTAGAGGGATAGTGGTGTAATTGGTAGATTTTACTGCAAGTGTTTATAAGCTACTGGGGCTGGGATCTTAAATCTCCATTCAGTACGACTAGTTGGTCTTGGGTAGAGATCGTACTACGTTACATTTTTGTGGGGATGCTCAACTGAACCATGTTTAAGTTAATGGTCATATATCTCCATTGGTATAGTCTATAGTCTATTAGTATACTTTTTACTACTAGGAATGGGTTATAACTATTGTATACTAGTTATAACTACTCGCTAGTGTTACCATCTCATGGCTAACCTGTAAATTCCCCTCTACCTGTAAATTCGGCTTTTTACAGGTTGGAGCTATATCATTACTCTATCTGCCTATATCTCTTTCTCCAATAATTTTGGAAACATATGTCTCATACAAAATATACTCATAACGATACTCTAAATACTATTACCTAGTCATAGAATCTAAATCAACAAGTTCATTTAATTCATCATCTCCACCTGTGAAATTCGTCATGTCGCGTATCAGGGCACCTTAACAAACAGTGAGAGAGACACTGACAAAAATCTCCTGTGCTCTGGCAACATCCTTACCGCAACCTCATCCTAACCGTCCAACTGTGGATGAAAAATATTTTTCATCATCAAGCTGCCACAGTTGACACATTTAGCAGCAAGTTCAATTGATTGCAAAATATTATTCCATCATGTCTTTAGGTACCTTATATGTTTTACCAGGATCTCCAAGATCCTTCATTATTATGGATCTTATTAAATATTTCAAAATTGATATTGAAATTAAAGATGATTTAGAATGTCCTGCTTTTCAAGCCAAATTCCCAAGCCATAAGACTCCAGCCTTTGTTGGACCAAAGGGATTTAAATTGCATGAAACTTTAGCTATTTTGAATTATGTTTTATCTTTTGTTCCAAAGGATGAACTTAAAGGATTCTTAGGTAAGAATAATGAACAATATGCTTCAATTTTAAAATATTTATCATTTTTTAATACTGAATTTATTTCTTCATTTATTAAAGCCTTATTTATGGTTATTGGTAAAGCTCCATACAATAAAAAACTTTATGATGAAAAAATTGAAGAATTAGATTTGTACGGACAAATGCTTGAATCCAGATTATCTGAATTCACTTATTTAGTTGGTGAAAGAATTACTCTTGCTGATATTGCAAGTGCTTCTTGTTTCTCTAAGGCTTATGGATCTGTCTTAGGTAAACCTTATGGTCAAAAATACCCAAATGTTATTAGATGGTTTAACACTGTTAAATCTCACCCAATTTTCGCCGGTAGATTTGATGATTTTGTTGCTCCTGAACAACCTTTAACTTTTGTTCCACCAAAGAAGGAAAAGAAAGAACAAAAACCAAAGGAAGAAAAGCCAAAGAAGGCTGCTAAGGAAGTTGAAGAAGAAGAAGAAAAGCCAGTTGAAGAACCAAAGCCAAAGCACCCATTAGATCTTTTACCAAGAATTTCTTTAGAAGAATGGAAGAGAGTTTACTCTAATGAAGATACTAGAGCTAAGGCTATTCCATGGTTCTGGGAAAATCAATACAAACCAGAAGAATTCTCTTTATGGAAAGTTGATTATAAATACAATGATGAATTAACCTTAACTTTCATGTCCAACAATTTAGTTGGTGGTTTCTTCAACAGATTATCTGCTTCTACTAAGTACTTATTTGGTACTTTAGTTGTTTATGGTGAAAACAATAACAACGGTATTACTGGTTTCTTCTTAGTTAGAGGTCAAGATTACGCTCCAGCCTTTGATGTTGCTCCAGATTGGGAATCTTACTCATACACCAAATTAGATGGTAATGATGCTGAAACTAGAAAGTTCATCGACAACATGTTAGCTTGGGATGAACCAGTTGAAGTTAATGGTGAAAAGAGAGAAATTGCCGATGGTAAAGTCTTTAAATAAGCTCATGAGTAATTATTAAAAGTTATTTAGATTGATATTTAGTTTCGTTTTTAGAATTAAAAGTACCATTAATCATTTTTTTAAGTATTACTTGTATTAAATGTTCTAAATAAGTTATAACCCCGAATTGAATAGCAGAAAAACTAACCGTTATATATGTACATAAAAGGACCAATCATTTGTATTATGATTTGGTTCTGGTTGATTTTGAATTTGGTTTTTGGATTTGATTTTGGATTTGGATTTCGTGTATTATTTACAAAAATGTCTTTGATGGTATATTATTATCTTAACCAGAAGTGTCTTGTTCTTCATTACTATGAAATTAAATGCTGTGTCATGTATAAAATTTTTTCAATCATTAACCTTACCTCTCAATTTAGGATATAATCTTTGGGCATGGTAATTGATAGTACTAAGTTTATCCTTTTCTGGCTTATAAACTTCCATACATGTCTTTAAATCATGTTCAAAACTAACACATTGTGCAGCTCCTTCACCATTTGAAGCCCAACAGTTCAATAATGATGACATCAATACAAAACATTGATTAGTACCCTTAGCCAAGATTGGCTTTCTAATTTTCAATCTTGGTAATGGTGGCAAGTTCTTTGGTGGTGGTCCCACTTTCTTGTAAGCCATGTTGAATAGTGGATCTAACGATGAAGAAAGTTCTTAGTGGTATGCTCCGATTAACATTGCCCAATCAATTTTTCACATACAGAGAAAAAAAAAAGTTGTTGATGTCTGAGCCGCACACGACATTCTAGTACTACTACTGTCACACTACATTAGCACTACAATTACACTATAGTAATAGTAATAGTAATAGTTATAGTTATAGTTATAGTTCTACTATACTTACTGTACTATTCCTATAGTTGAAGAATGATTATAAAATAATGTTTATTGTATAAATAGTTTAAAATGCAAATCTCTTAACAAATACAAGCATAACATTACCATTCCATAATGAGAAGGGGAATGCGAACATCGTAGTTAACATCGTAATTAATATTAATATTAATATTCAATCAAGTTATCAAATGGTTTATAATCAATTCTTAATGCCTTTTTAGAGTCATTACGATTGTTTCTATTTGACTTGATCTTTAATGGTTTCCTTCTATCATCTAAGAAGTATAATCTCTTGAATGAAAGTGAATTATTCAAATATGGAGAATATATTAATGCATTATGATCATCAAATACAGGTGAAATTGGTTTAAATAATTTCAATAATCTTATACAAATTATATTTCCTATAGTATTCAACATTTTATCCATAAATTTCTTCATGGCCGATTCATCAAGATATTTAATTTTAAATAAAGTATCAATTTGATCTTCTAAATTGATTAAGAATAACTTATACAAGTGATTTCTTAATTGATTTCTTTGTTTTCTTGAATTTAAAACAATTGAATAATTAGGAATCATAGGAAAATCTTTAAAACTATAGTTTATAATGTATAATTGAGAATTATTCTTAGATCTATGAGAATCAGCATCACATAAACGAAATTGATTTGATTTTAAAGGTTGGTTACCTAAGAATAAACGAGAATTTAAATTAGATTTAAAGAAATTTTCAATTTCTATTTGTAAAGTCTTTTTAAGTAATAATATTTCTGATTCAACTCTCTTGGTAATATCATTACGTAAATCAAGTGTCTCGTAATTATCAACTTTGGGAATTAAAATGAATGGTTTATCAAAAGTATCAGTAAATCCATCTAAAAGTTGATCTATTTTTTCAGCTTTACTCTTAAATGATTTATCATCTTGATTTGTATGTTTATTTTGATTAAATTTAGTGGTTGTCTTTGGATCAATATTAGTTGATTCATCATCTAATTCAATAAAATCAAGATCACGTTTTTGAATTGGAACTTTATCCCTATACATTTGTAAATCTTCAATAAATTCTTGAGGATAACATCTTTCAGTTAATTCATGTTTCCCACTTCTTAATGGTAAACCACTTATACTTCTATCAAATCCTACAACATTATAAGGTGATTTAAATAAATTCTCATGATATACATAAGCTCCAGGAGATAAATGTAAACTATCAATTTCTTTTCTTCTTAATAATTTAAATTTTTTTGAAATCCCATTAAATTCTTGTAATAAATTAACTATTGGATCATTATATTTTCTCAAATATCTTTTATAATATTTGGCTTGAACGGTTTTATCCGTGTCTAAAGCATGCAATTTATCATATATTTCATCAATTCGTTTCATATCTTCTGGATTAAAAAGATCAATTTCTTCAGGTAGACTCCTTATAATCTCTTTACGATTTAAATAATGTTCAGAATCAAATGAAAATAACAGTCTACCACCATCAAAATTGACTTGAATTATTACATCATCAGCTGACATATGAGAGATTGTATCATATGCTTGATTCATTAAATCTTCTGCCAGATTGTTGGTATCATTATATGGTTCAGTTTTACTTGAATTGAATAAAGAAGGTGTCCTTGACACGGAGTGTTCATTAGTTTCGTCATTAGAATTAGTTGGTAGAGGATCAATATTAGTTGTATTAGTGGTGGTGGTGGTCGTGCTAGTAGTCGTTGATGTTGGAGAAGATGCTGTAGTGGTAGTTAAGGGACTCGATGCTTCGGATGTTGTGGTTTGCGATACAGTTTCAGTATGATTTTGTTGTTGAGATGATGATGAGGCCGAAGACTGTTCTATTGCTTCCTTTTGTTGTTCGTGATCCTGAGCATTTGCTTCGGATTCACTGGATTCTTCTGATGGCTTAAGATTACCCTTTTGTAAGGAGAGTCCTAAGCTTTTTAGTACTTGCTTAGACTTCTCATCCTTAAGGAGTAAGGATGTTTGGCTGAAACATCTTATAGCTTGGTGATTTCCCAAGCATACTCTACTACGACTCAATCTTGGTATTACTCTCATCATAGTACCCCAGCAATTATAATTCAAGGGGATGTGTTATGATAATGACTAGTGGAAAATAAATAAATAAATAAGTGGATCAACTGATTTGTAATGGTCCTCTCACGTGATATGAGTGATCTCTAATATATGTAAGTTATTAATTACTTTTGGTAAAGTTACTTAGTAGTAATCTATGGTCTTCGGTGGTGGTCTTGATTCTAATCGTCGTATTTTTAATCTTTTGGCCTCCGTACCGCAAAAGTAGGATGGTCATTCCTGTACATATGCTGTAGTCCAATTTCCGCATTGGGAAACCATAATCTTAGTGGATAACACTCAAGAAACTTAGTTAAAGCAGGGTCTTAAGATTGAGCATATTGTGCTAAAATCCGATGATTAGTGGGTCTTTGTTTACTGATTAAGTGCTAGTGCAATTGATATGTTTGAGATGATTCATTCTCATTTAAGTAAATAGCTTTTGTAAGTTTCAGCAATGTTTGCAACCAAAATGAATATATAGGATGTATCAAGAGGCTAAAAGCATTTGTATGAGCTTAATGCGTAGGTTAGTCCTTATCTGATTGTATTACAACTACAAAGACTGATAGATGCGTGACCCTTCAGCTCCACGATAACAAAAGAGATTTTAAATTTTATTAATTATTTATTATTTGATTAACATAATAAATAAACAGATATTGATCTAAAGACAACATCCGCAACCATGGCATGAAATAGCTCCTTTTAATTCACCTTCCAACGACTGTTTCACTTGCAATACACATCCAATCATAGATGATTCAATTCTGTGCCGAAATTGCAGCATCTCGTTGGACGAGGCGTGAAGGTTCCATAAATATCAAGCCATCTTCCATAATCAAAATAAAAATCTGGTAAATCCAGAGTCTGTGGCCTCTCTAGTGTAGCTATAATTTCGGTATATATATAATGATTTATAGTCTCAGAGGAAATAAGCAAATTATATTTTCAGCAAATGCTTAGTTGTATAACCGGGGATTAAACTTGCATATAGAAGCAGCTCTGTAAGTTAATTTTACATTCATTTTTCGCAATGGAATCAAAATAAATTGATTGGATAAGAAATGGTTGATGAAGTCGAGTGATCTCTTTGTTCTTCGAAGTGCTGATCTCTACATTACTTAAAGCCATTAAGTTGCCATCGTTCTTTAGCAGCCGAAACTTAGAGGCGACTCAAGATCAATTAAAACTTAACATACTTTGCACAATTAGCACAATAATACATTTAGCACAATTACTGCATTTAGTACAATTAATGCAATTAATGTAATTACTACAATTAGAATTATATCAGAATTCAAAACCACACAACTATTCTATTTGTGCTATAATTAAAATGTAATCCCCCCTTCGAAGTAACATCGGTACCTGTCTACTCCACAAAAACTCGTCGTGGGTTTAGGCGCGACTTTGTGCTTTTGTTATTACTCCTTTATTACTGCAAAATCAGACCCACTACTCCTACCTACTACTACAAATTTATGGTGCTGTGACAAAAGTCTAAATGATATTTTATATGTATTTTATTATATAACGCCTGAGAAACAATGTAGTTAAATATAGAAATGTTCAGAACTGAAAGAATGTAAAACCGGACCCATAATGTTAATGTAAAAAAAAGCGAATGTGAAGTGAATAATTATATTAATAACTGAAGTTAACCTGTTGGGTTTGTTGAAACGATTGATTGGTGTTAGCATTCAATTTTCTTAATAACTTGTTTAATTCGTGTTCTTCTTTTAAAGCTGCTAATTCAATGACTGGATCAACACCCGCACCAGATGATGTAGAACTTCTCTTAATTGGCGAAGCATAAGTACTTGAACCAGATGAATACATTGAAGCTGAATCCATGATTGAAGAACTAGTCGATGACATAGAAGAAACAGATGAAGTAGATTGCTGTCTGTAGTGAGAAGCACCACTCATACTTGAAGTAGAAGATGATCTCGAGTATGATGGAGAAACATTTGCATTTGGAATTGCATTTGCATTGTTGTAGTTGTTTGAATGTTTGTAGTTATTATTATTGTAGTTAATCTTAGTAACATCAGCAGCAGGTAAAAGATTATTACTACCAGGAGAGATCGAGTTTGATCTTGAAGAAGCTGGTGTTGACATTGTCGAAGACAATGGAGAAGTAGAATATGAGGTATCTGGAGAAGAATTTGAAGAAGAACCGGAAGAAGATGCAACAACTGCAGCAGCTGCGGCTTCGGCCATAGCCAATTTTTCTTCGACTTGCTTTCTTTGGTTGTTTAAGAACTTTCTCATCTTTGAAGACTTGATCAAATCTTGTTTGATTGGTTCCAAGAAACTGTTCAAAGCAATGCACATTTCTTCAGTTGAGACTTTTAAATCCCAATTTAATAAAAATAATAATTGTCTTTCCATTAAGTTAATATCATTAGCATTAAATAAACCATCAGTATATTTAGCCCAATGTTTATTCTTTGGAGATGAATCATTATGAAATTTAGATGATAAAATTAAACAACTTAATAAAATTCTATGTCTTGTGCATGGTAAACCTTGAGCATTTTTAGGTAATTTTGATTTAAGACGATGCAAATAAACTAAAGTAGCCATTAAAGTACCAGTATATACATTAGTATATCTAACCAATCTAGTTAAAAAAGTCATTAATGAAGGTAAAGGTTTTTCAATATTTGAATCACTTGAATAAGTTACAGTTTTAGAATCTTTACATGGTAAAACTTGTAAAGTTGCAACCACAATTTTATGAATCATATCATGATTAACAGGGGTATTAAGAAAGATATTCAAAGCTTTCAAATCTATTGATGAAACCATATTGGGATGTGATCTATTATATATGATTTTTCTGTTTTTTTTGCAGTTAGGGATATAGCCAAATGAATGGATATTGAATAGATGATGATTGCAAAATTAAATTTCAACTATAAGTTGTTAATGAACGAATGATTAAATAAATGAATAATGAATAAATGAACTTCTGGGGGATTAATATAGATATATATATATCGACTTAGAAGGAAGGGACGGTATGGGCCAAGTTTCGACTTTTAGGTGAGTTTTTCAATAAATAGTTTAACTATACAAGTCTCATTGTAAAATGCTCCTTCTCCATAGTAAAACACGCTAAAAAAAAGAAAATTTAAATAATGCAAGTAAAAAAAAAATATTACCTGTTGCTTTTGTTACGAGTTCTCCATTGGGAATAATTAGTTTTTACGCGAATTTATTATTATTATTGTCAGTTTCGGGTTTTGCGCCTACATAGAAGGAGTTGTTAGGGTAAGGATTCAGTATACCAGTTCGAAACGTTTCGAAGGAGAGGAAATCACGAAGATTAAAAGGAGGCGAAGGAGTGATTGTCTTAAACTTCATGTTATGGGTTATGGGTTATGGTGTTCAGTTGTAGCTCACTGCGATATATTTTAGGTGATGTCCTGCTTTTCAATTTCCATACATCGCCGAGAATATATTAAGTTTAACTTTTTACGGCACGCGCTTTCAGATGTTCATAATGAACCAGCTTCCGTACATTTTTAATTGGATCGTGTTCACTTATTGCTATTTCCGTTATTCTAAAATATTAAGTTTATAGTTTTGGTCGTGACTAGCAATATGGAAATAGAATGTTCAGTGATTACTACTTGACAACTGGAAGAGTTAAAAGCTTATACAATATATGATGACTAGGATACTTCTCTGTTTAGGAAATGACCATTTGCAACCGTTAGACCTTATTTTATTCTTATTTGTTCATCATTGCTGTTCATTGGCTGCATGACATGTTTTATTTGGTCATTTACTATTAGTTGGGGTAGTATTATGTCTTAAAGTTACTTTAGCAGCCTTTATTCTTAGGAGGATTTTATGCTCTCTTCCTTCGGCTTATGTGTTTGACTATTACCGAACTATTCAAACTGAATCAATTTGAATTTAATCCAAATAGGATAAAATCTATCCAAATAGGAAAAATATATAATGTGAATAATTACACGATATGTGCATCATCCTTCGTTGATCGTCTGTATGTAATATAAGCAAGTCTATAACCTTAAAATATTATTATGTATTGCGGGTAGTCGCGCGCCTTATACTTTGACACAAGAATCTAGCTTTTATACAATTTAACTACTTTGGGCAATATAGCAATGTCGAACAAAGACGCATGAATGGATGATTTTAATTCTCTAGCATTTCTGAATGCTCAGACGAGAGGTATTGTATTAATATCAATCTTTATTATTCTAGATTCAGAAATCTGTTTTGGAATGTAAGGGGTAGTCGTAGTACTGAGTCAGATAACAATGGAACAATATTATGGTATAGGATAATATTCACCGCCTTAGACAACTTAAAGAGCTTAAAACTCTTAAAGGTCAGTTCTTATGGTACTTAATACTTGTTCTTAAAATATCTTAAACTTCTTAAATTTCTTAAAAGAGTTAAATTCAAACCTTGTTAAATTACAAAAGCAATATAATATCGGAATTATTATGCGTAGAAGAATGTTCAAAAATTATATATAAATTTCTTACACGGTATTATAATAATAAAGTACGATTACGATAATAAATATAATATTCAAAATTACAATGAAGCTATGCTTAAGGATTCAAATCAGAAATTTGGGTATACTATGGTCTGTCATGTATTGAGTACTCAGACTGGTGCACAGCTTTTTGTCGTCACTTAAGAATCCTTCAACAAACTTCATTTGTTTTTCATGATATATTATTAGTATAATAATCGTACCATTACAGTCACTTTTATTAGTTAGTCCTAAAATTAGCCTATTATAAAACAACAATCGGGAATACAATTTCCAGATCATTGAACTACAATATACCTTTCCTGAGACAACTAATAATGACCAACTACAATTATCACTGATTATGATGATCAACTAGCTTAACTTAACTGTTAGATTATCTGCAAAGTAGTATGATATGGTTGCTGAAAATTTTTCAAATGTTAAATTTTTTTTCGCTGCTTTTATCTATTTCCGTAACGGTTACCCGGACATTGATCCCATATCAGAAATTGTTAGGGTCTTTACATGCACTTGTCTAATTGTCTAATTGTCATATATTAATTACTATTAAGATAGTTAGATAGAAATTTTATACATATATAGTTTACCATCTCTCATCATCAGGATAATCTCGGAGTCCTAAGATTTGATCGATTGGCATATGATTAAATACGTCCATATCATATACATCAACAAATGGATCTATACCATTGTTATTGACCCCATTATTTTGAGCAGCATTATAACTTAAACTTTCGGGACTTAATGGATTAAGCAGAGGCGTAGGAATATTAAGATTTATGAATTCTCCACCTTGAGCATTACTACCAGATTGTGTACCATTCCCATCATCTGGTACAGCGCCACTTGGTCTACGGCCCATGCCAAAGTCATCGGCTGATGAACTTCCAATTCCTTGACTTCCATTGACTGTATTGTATAATGAACCTGTATTAGCGTTACCATTACCATTAATATTGTTATTATTATTAATGTTAGTGTTATTGTTATTGTTATTGCTATTGCTATTTCCATTGGTGTTATTATTATACTTCATAGAGGCCATTTGGAACCACATCTTATCAATTTCAGCATTTTCAAGGAATTGGATATCATCAAGTTCTGAATTATTGACAGAATCAACTGAGGATGGTATACTATGGACACTAGCAACTCCATGAGTACTAAGAGGGGTTGAACTTTGTTGATAAGATGATCTATTGCTTGATGTACTATCACGACCATTAGTATTACCCACTCCAGTAGTATGATCTTTACCTGGAACATCTCTAAATCTAGCACTTGGATGAGAAAGTTCAATTTCTTCATTATACTCATCAATTAATTCAGTACTACCATGATAAATCTTTGACTTTCCAAATTTCTTAACTGAACTTTCAAGAATATAAACTAATTCATGAAGTTGATCATAAGAAAGATCAAGAAATGTTATACTATCCTTTTGACTATGAATATATAATTCTTCTCCTACGATTAATTTTAATAAGTATGAATGAGCTTTAGTAACTCTCCAAGCATAATAATATCTTTGACTTAATCTAGACAATGCAGCAATACAATATTTAGTTATGAATTCTAAAATCTTTGATATTTTACATAATTTAGTAAATCTCAGTTTATAATTAAATCCATTTCTCATTTTAACATCATGATCCTTATCTTGTTTCATTCTATAGACTGTGGCATTTACTCTTACTAATACAGCAAAATTCATTTGACTAGTTTTATGAATCATTGTTTCAATCGATGGATTTAATATTAAATCGGCTGCATCACCAAAATTAGCATAATTATCTCCAATTAATTGAAAATAACTAGGAATAAATTCTCCACAAGTGATAGTAAAGATTTTCTTTAAATAAAAAAATGAAAAATCCACTTTCTTCTTTGATTCATAGAATAAATAAAGATGAAAGAATATTGATAATAAAAATCCTTTCATATTCATATAATTTTTACATTTCATAGTTTTTATAAATGAATAAGAAAATGTATCTTCTTGAAATGGCACTAAGAATTTTGGTAAAGTACCATAATGTTCCAGTAAATGAATTTCAAAATCACTTATTAAATTAGTTAAATGAGCTAATTTTGTATACTTTCTTATATCTAAACAAACATCAAGTATTGCCACTAATTTATAATAATATTTATTGAAATATGCAAATGTACTAATAACATTTTTTTCCATATCAATATCAGCAATATTTTCATTACCCTTCTTATAATATGGAAGACTTGTATCAAAATTCTTTTCTGAAATTCCTAGAGGATTCCCATATTGATAAGCTTGAATTAAATCGGAAATCATTAAGAAAAACCATATTTTTCTACCAAGATTATTGATTTTATCATCATTACAAATATCTTCGAAATTATCCGGTTCTCTATTAATTCCCATAGAATAAGCAATTTGAACTAACATTCCATTAAAGATTTGTGAATCACCTCCATCACCTCCATCACCATCTTCAGGAGCAAACATATGATATAATCTCATAAAGAATGCACATTGTAATACTACAAGACTTGTCTTTCTTAATAATTCAAATTGGTCAAGACATAATTGTGCCATAGATATTAAATCAATATTAACCGGATTAGATAATAAATATTTTAATTCTTGAGCCTTTGGAGATGGATCACTTGAATTTAAATTATTTTCATTCACTCCATTTCGATTAGAAAATAATGATAAATAAGTAAATCTTAATACCAAAAGTAATATCCCAATATGGGCAAAGTCTAATCTCTTTTCAACTTTAATTGAAGAGATTTGTTCATCAGCATAACCTTCTGGTCCTAAGATTCTGGCCATTTCTTGTTTAAAATATCCTTCATCAATAAATGGCATATAAGGATACATAGTAACAAAGAATTGATTAATTAATGTCCATACCACTTTTTGTTTGGGTAAGATAACTTGAATCTTTTCAATGAGTTGTAATTCCTGATCAATTTTTCCTTCAAAAACTGTTAATCCTAATGAAATAGCATGTTTATTCATAAGTACTCGTTCATTATCTACAGTATCATCTTTGACTTGCTTCTTAGCATCTTCATCTTCAGTAGCCTTCTCTTCTTCTTCATTAGGTTTGACTTGACTAGTATGACTACTACTACTACTTTTCAGACTAGTTCCATATAATCTCAAATCATTATATCCATCTCTATCAATGGCTTTTTCTCTCCATACAGTTTCCAGATCCAATTTATCTCCTGTGGGTTCTGCTGATTTACCACTAGGCGTATTCATGGGTTTGAAATTACCTCGACTAGCATATTCAGGAAGATCAGACCCAGGAGGAATCTTATCGGACCTTACCGTTTGTCGTAATGATTCTTGTTTATCAGCCTTCTTGGCCATCATAAATTTCCACAAGGCTAATAATCCTGAATCCTTTTTCATTATAGATAACCAAGCAAATGGACCATAATTCATTCTTCTTGAAGTATCTCTTATATGTAATGGAGTATAACCCACAAAGAAATTCATAGTTTCTTCATTAGAAGCAAAGGGATTAATTCCTACAAATGTAGGATTCTTTTCCAGATTGTATCTGAAATCATTCCAATCAAAATCATGTTTATGTTCTAATGGAGGGAAGTATGGACTCTTCTGTTTATTGGGATCCCAATGAATTGGTGGTAATTTGATAGGAATATTATTTGTATCGGTAGGTGGAATTGGAAATTTGGAATAAATCGATGCTCCCGGCGAAGCTCCGGCAATGGGAGGGGTTGCTTGTGATTGAACGGGTTGTTGGTATTGATAATTATACTGTTGATTTGATTCAGGATGGGCTCGCTTTAAATTACTGGGTTGATGCACTGGTGCATATGGATTCACCAGTTGGATTGGAGGTTGAGGCTGAGGTTGAGGTTGAGGTTCCTGTTCCGAACCTTGTTTCTTATCTAAGGATGCTTCTATCATTTTGATTTTATTCTTTAATTCTTCTAGTTCGGAATGAACTCCCGTTGGAGCTGATACCGACGGTACAATAGGTTGAGCATGAGCATGAGTTGGAGCAGGAGGTGGAGCATTTGAAGGAACATGGAAAGAAGTTTGAGATCCCATATTATTAACAGCTACCGGCAGCAGAGGGTGAAATCTTTGTACTGAAAAGGTCAGCATTCCACCAGTCATAGTTCCACTACTATGACCATTAACATTATTACCATTTTGAATTTGTATGGGCTCGGACCATATAGGATCGGGATATTCACAGAGATGTCCGACATTATGTTTCCGACAACTAGAACAAGGTCGACCTCTATCACATTTAACTTTTCTTTTCTTACAGTAGTGACAACTTAGCGATAGTCTGTTTCGCTTTTTATTATTATCGTCTGTCATAGTTAAAAAATTAATTCTATATTTATTATATCTATAGTCTATCAGCTGACTGTATTCCGAGATAGTTTTTACTTAATATCCGTTGGTTATACCTTTACAGTATATCTTAGTTAATAAAGCCGTTCTTTGTAGCTATAGATAGTGAAAATTAATTTATAGGAAATAGCTGAGTAAGGAATTATCTCCTTCGGCGCACTGATGAATTCATCTGTAAATCCGTAACGTCGTGCGGCTCCATAAATAATATATGCATAACAGTTGCAAAAATTGCATTAAGCACATAAAGCATTATTATTTAATAAGTACAATAAATAGAATAAATAGAATAAATAGAATAAATAGAATAATAAATAATAATTAGGAGAATAAATAATAAATAGGATAATAATTAAATAATTAAATATATAAGTAGAAGGGAATTATTTTCTTTTTTATGACAGACTCAAATCTCCTTATCGAGATCACCATAAACTTCAAACAACTTTAAGAAGTCTTCGCCACCAAGATTGGCAGGCTCTAAGTCGTCATATGAGTAACTGTTAAAATTAAATCCTGATGGGTTAGGATTACCAGTACCCAAACCTGCATTAGATAATTGAGGATCTGTAGCATTTATTGGTGGAGGTACATTGCCTAGTGATGAATTAGGCATAGAACCTAGATCATAATTATTAGCACTTAAATTACCAGGCATTGATGAAGCATTTAAATTATTCGTTGTATCAGGTTGAACAAATGGTGTTCTACCAGTTCCTTGAGATATATCAGATGGTGACTTTGAATTTGCTTCTGTCCTCCTAAGCTGATTGGCTTTGGCAATCTTTTGCTTGGTTTGTTCATCTTTGGCAGATCTGAATTCTTCACACAATTTACATAAATATTGCAATTCTGATATGGTAAAAAACTCTAACATATTTGTCCCCTTATGAAAAAATCGAGGATATTGAATACTTGTTTGAAAAAATACACTAGGATTTTCCATACATTGCATTAATACAAAATATGTCATGACATATATTTTATAGGAATTAATATAATTCCGACTTAATTTTCGGAAATTCCCAATAAATAATTCAGCTTCAATTAATACCATTGAAAATAATTTATCAGTTACTTCTAATCTTGGTTTTATAGATGGATCACTACCAACTGATAAGGTTAATTCCATCTTATAATGAAGTAATCTAGCAAAAAATGAAGTTAAGAAACTATGAGTTTTAATCATACATCTTTCATTATTGGCAGTTAAATAATAATCATAATTTTTTCCAAATAATTCTACTGAATTATCTAATACAAATGACATAATATAAACCAATTGAACTACACTTTTAATGTAAATTTTAAATAATTCAATCCCTGCATTCATTGAAGGAGTTCGAGATTCATTATACTCATTTTCATAATGAATTGCAATCATATAATACATACATGATAAATTGGTTCTTAATTGAATAAATGTACAAAATTTAATAACTTTTAAATAACTTTCTTCATGGTCTTTACTATTAACTTCAAAGCTTGAACCATTACTAGGAACTTTGGCCGGTTTGCATATAAAGTCTTTAAAGAAATCCTTACCAAAGAAATCAAAAAAGATCTTTTCTAAATGATTGGTTTCTAATAATATCTCCACCACTCTTGGTTTATTATGAACATTATTAATTTTACGTACAATATTTCTATAAGATTCACATATAGTTTGTATCTTTTTTATAGTATCATTAAATTCTCCCGTCTTATCTTCTGTCATTAATGGTAATTCCACATCACATACTTCTATATCAGGAATATTTAAGTTTGTTCCGGCATGAATTGCCGATACTGCATCAGTAGTAATTAAATAATTCCATAATCTTCTCCAAGAATTAATTAATGTTTCTCGTTTAGTAATCGTATCATGAGCCACATAAAATGTCGGATCTCTATTTAATCCAATAGACATGGCATGACGCATTATAACTCCAAATAAAATATTGGAATCGGCTCCTCCTAATCCATGACAATCATCGGGAGCAACTTGTCTATAAAAATATACTAAAGTTAAATTTTGCACCAATCTAAATGATGATTTAACGGCTATTAATTCATCGGATATACATAAATTTAAAAGACTCGTAAATACTTCTGAATTAAGTCTTTTCATATCTATAATCATGGATTTTTCATCATCAGTATACACATTATTAACTTCATCATTATGAATAAAACTCATATATCCAAGACGAAGTACCACAAGAAGAATACCAACAATATTTAAATCATTTTCATTTTCAATTGATATATCAGTATAATAATCTCGAGTGAAATTGGGGAAATTATCTAATAAAGAATTCAAATCTATTAATAAAGAATTCTCATCAAGAATTGGAATAAATGGATGAACATGCATAAAGAATCGACAGAATAACAGAAACAAATTCAATTTGTTCGGTAATATACTTACAATGACTTTCTCCATAATTCTATAAAACTCTTGCCTATTCTTCTTTCCCGAGAATAACGACCGTCTTAAACTACTAACAAGATTTAACACTTCTTGTGATGAACTATCGAGTTTATCTTTAGTAGGTCCATTCACATCAGGATCTCTCTTAACTTCAATCTTTACATGATGACCCTTTGCCTTTGTCGACGTCTTGTTTCGAGGTTTAGTATTAGTTTCTTCATTATTTGATCCATTTTTATCTCCATCTTCATCATCGGATTTAACTTTAATCTTAGTAACAATCAATGCATCTTCCTCCATTACATCTTCATTTTCTACATCTTCACACATTTCCGATTCTAGATCAATAGAATTAGGTGAATCGAGATTGGAATTAACACTTTGCAGTTGCTGTTGTTCTATCCTAGACTTCTTGGGACTACCTTCATTACTTGCTCCTACCATACTAGAAGATGAGCTTAAGGTTCCAGACCCATTAATTGATCTCTTTCTTCTTCTGATAGAATCTTTCTTAATGTATTTAGCCATTTCTCCTGATTTAAATAACACTATAGCATAATTTCTAATTACTTTAATGAATGGATCACTCTTAGTTAATCCAATATATGATAATGTACCTTGTTGTTGCCATAATGAGCCTTCAAGATTTAATGAATAACTAGCATTAGTGAATACACTCATTCTATCATCTGGATTAACTTGTAAAATCGAGTTAGGACCAAGAGGAATAGAAACTAGAGTGTTTGAAGAAAATGATAAAAATGTTCCTCCAGGACCTTGTGGTGGAGGTCCATTAGGAGAAACTCCTGATTGGGATTGAGTTTGAGAAGTCACACTTGCGGTAGGAGATTGATGGGGTGGCTGTTGTCGAGGTGGTCCATGAGTTCCAGGACTTAATTGAATACTTCCACGAGGAGATGGGAAATTGAATTGACCCGATGCATTATTAAGAGCATCTGTTGAAGGAGCCGTAGTATACTGTCCTGAAGTATTAGATTGATTTGTACTTGTATTATAACTCGATTGGGAATGATTAAGATCCCCTGGTAATTGTTTTATAAATGATTTATCCATTGAGTTATTGGAATCTTCAAAAGGTTTCCCACCATTGGCTGGGTGAGGCCCTTGCGGTGAAACATAGTCTTGATCGGTAGATTCTGACTGCGAAAACTGATAGGCAGTAGGTTGAGGATGAGGTGGGAGTTGTTGAGGAGGTGGTTGAATTTGATTAATGGGCATTTGCATCTGATTAGGCATGTATTGAGGTGGTGGGGGGCCCTGGATCATGCCTGCAGGTGGTGGGGGGAGATGAGGAGCAAGCTGTTGATGAGGTTGTTGTAATTGATTTGGAGGAGGAGGAGGACGATGATGCGGTACTGGTTGATAATATGGAGCCATATGATGTTGATGAGGAATTGGTAAAGGCATTAAATCATTAACAGGCATAGGAGCATCGTTTGAATCACCTTCATAATAGCAAAGATGAGCAATTGATTTCTTTTTACAAGTACCACATATGGGCTTTACTCTATCACATTTCGATTTACGTTTTCGACATACTGAACAAGAAGCAGGCACTCTATGCCGCTTCTTCAGGGAGAATTCCATATTGATATTGGTTTAGATATGATTCGATAATTATAGTGACTCCGAGGTAGTTCGGAAAAATAACCTGGGGTAATTATATTTTTAAGCCTGCAAAAAAGATATGGGGAAATGTAGTCAGTGAGTTGAAGTGTTAACTGAAGTAAAAGTAAAGTAAAAGTAGTAAAATTCAAACAGTAGTTAGTTGTGGATTGAGGTGTAATATTACAAAAGATGTCATTGAGGGTACCAAAATTATGTCGAGATTGGAATAAATTAGCTTGGCTTAATGATAGTCGGTAGAATTAGTGATTGAATAGTAATGGTAACGGTAAATATTAACTATATATTTTTAGAGTTTATAGGGGATAACAATCGATTTATAACAAATATGAAAATTTGATATATTTCAACATATTTTATAAAATATGTCTAGACCATAATAATAAAGTGGTATGGTATCTCTATTTTGGAGTAATTACGCTAAAATTATATTGTTGCCCTGCATAATTTAGCAATTAACGGTAGAGAAGTTAGTTATTTAGCGCAATTATTTAAAAGCATTATTATTATTTATTAACATATACATATACTATACCCCAAAATTCAGATTTATATGAACTAGATGTGGGGGGTACTGATTCACATACCGAGATCACCCTTCAACCTTATCCCGATTTGTATATATGTATATTATTATGTGTTATGGTTAGATGGTACTCTATAATAGAGATGCATTTGGGTTGGCTATTTTTTTTTTCACATGAAAGTTTAGCGCGCATTAGTGAGATTCCTGTGCGACTCGCTAACATTTACATACTTAGTTGACGAAGTGATCATTACGATTGGCAGACTGAACAACTGATTCAATGATCAGTAAACTGGATCGGTAGATCTCATTGTCTGACTGTACTCATAGTCTATATGGTTAGTTTACTGGCATTATCTCACTAATCTATATGGCAAACTACAATTTCGCTTCGGGAATCGACAAATTTGCCGGTGAAAATTTGCATCAATTTGGAACTTTTCTAGTGAGATCCGTGGCTCTTTCATGTGAATTTCAGGGGGTAGTACCGAGCCGATAAGACAACCACAACAGGCCACTAATTATAAACTTGTGTTTGTGATTGGTGGTTATTCATACTAATTTGGGATGGGGTAACAGATCTAACATTCTGGTGATTATTTTGAGTCCCCTCCTAGATGCTAGATTCCATTTATCCTTCGAGGGTTTTCTTAACTATGGTGATGAGTGGTATACGAAGTGGATAGAAGGATCTACATTAAGGATTGTAAACGGTGAAACATTGTGGACAATGGCATGTCGATCATGTCAAAGTGATGTCAAGAGTCCATTGTGGTTAAGTAATGTAGTAATAAATATACTAATTGTAGTATCATAGTAATGTAGTAGTATCATAGTAATTATAGTAAGTAGTAGTATCATAGTATCATAGTATTATAGTATCATAGTATCATAGTAGTAGTAATTATCATAGTATTATAGTAGTAGTAATTATCATAGTATCATAGTAATTATACTAATTATCACACTAATTATCACACTAATTATACTACTAACTATCATAGTATCATACTAATTGTCTCACTGGTATGTCGCAAATAATGACATAGTGACGGCTTATGTCACATTTCTACCGCACTTCTGCGACACATCGCGACGTGTAAGTACGCGTTATTTTTATTTGACTCTCCGGATTTTTCACTCTACCATAACTATTACCAGAACCATAACTAACCATAACCAGAACTCTACCAGTATGAGCAGTAGTGAGTCTGAATTGGAGGACTCGTATAATGATCCTGAATTAGGAGATTTCATTGTGGATGATGACCCAAATGAAGTAGAGACGGAGAAGCAGAAACAGATTCCGACGGAACACCCACCAATCGATAGAATTACTCAAATGACATCTCAATTAAAACCCAATGAAACTCAAACTAGAAAGTTACTAAAGGCTCATATAGCCGTATTGGTATCTGCCCTTGGAGGTATCGATCATACTTCAACTCAATCGCCTCCACCATACAAATTAGGTCATGATGCTCTAGCATGTTTAAAAGATTTAAGAAGATGGATTAAGTCAGTTGATGAAACTAATAATACTTATGACGTAGCACTTGCATGTGCCGAGTCTGGATTAGTCATTAATGACTTAATTGTAATCTTATGTCAATGGGAAAATCAAAGCCGAGCTAAACAACCTATAAAGAATATAAGAACTACTGAAAGAATCATGTTAGCTTGTTTAGAATTATTAGTATTACTTACATGGCCAGTGGAATTAAATGATGAGCTGTCAGTGAATCAGAAATTATTATATTCCGATATTAAAAAGCATCAATTATTATACAAAAAAGCCCTTTTATCGGTGAATAATGGTCAAACTTTGAAGGCAGTATTAAGACTAGCTTTACCTACATTAGCTAAGGATAAATCAGATAGAGAACCTCGAGATAATGCAGTATTAAGATTAGTCTTGTTCTTTTTCAGAAATGTCTTATTTATAGAACCAGCTAGATCTTCATTTGCTTCTAAGAATTCAAGTGTAAAGGCTCCTACTTTAGTAGATAATTTACCTTCGGGGATAACGCTCGATGATATTTCTATAAATGTCGTATTATCAACGTTTAAAAAGCATAAAGTATTGATGTTTTTATTGACTATCTCCAATCTAATTGGTTCGGAGTTTGATAAGGAACTCTTTGGGCCGGTGTGTATCGAAAGTGTTTATTTGCTATTGAGGGGGGTCAATCCGTCGGACCTTTTACACCACAAGTATAACATCACCAGTACGAGTAACAGTAACAGTACCAATGCATCTACCAATGCTTCTACTTCCACCACATCAGGTATGCAATTACAGAACTTACTACAGAAAGAAGCCGACAAATCCAAAGCCCATTCTCAGAACTTATCTACTCGTCATGGAAGATTCGGTACCTTACTTTCCATCCGAGGAGGAGACTCTAATGGATATGTAGTCTCAGGACAAGAGGCTCTTCGAGATATGGGAGCCACTCTTGATAAACTTGATAAGTCCAAGAAATGGAAGAATAGAAATACTTTTAAGTATGATTCCGATGAATTCATTAGCTCTAAGACGGACTACTTAACTACTACTGGTAATGAATTACTCTATGCATTTGTTAATGACTTTTTAGTAGGAGGATGTTTCAATAATCTTATTGAATCTGTTGGATCGATCTTAACATCCAATTCATCGGACTTTTCTGCCGTTAATGAGTATGAAAAGGCCGTCTACTTCTTAATGATTGCCTGGTTTTTCCATTTCAAACGGGAAAGAAATACCCTTTATAGTAAAGGGTTGATTAGTGAAACAGTGGCGGACGATAATGATGGTGTAGATAAGTTTAATTATGGATCGGTCGGAGCAGGCTTGAGTGAAGTCAACTTTATATTGATCATTAGTTATTTCCGATCCTCGTATGATCTCCGACTCTGGAGTTCATTGCATGTGGCCATGGCCTGTTTTCGAGAGTTGCTTCTCATCTCTCATGCCTCCTTTGCCAAACTGAAGCAACAGCAACAGCAACAAGAACCAGCAGACGATGAACAAGATGATATCGATCGAGAATTGGCCGAGGGAATCATTCGGAAACTCTTCTCGTTCAATTTCTTCATCAACCTAATCATCCAGGTCTTACACACTGCGTCTAACCATTCTCCTGATTACTTAAGTGTGTGTGTCTCAGTAATTCATATCCTACTCAAGTCCTTTGAAGGATTTGCCAATGAGGATATAAAGATATACGTACAACATAAACGGAGACAATCGAAAAGAAATAAGAAGAGTATTAATAATCTTGATAAAGAAACCGAAAATCAGCTTCGAGATATCATAGATGGATCTGATGAAGAAGAAGCCAATGAAAGAATTCAGGAGATCTCTAAGGAGAGACAGTTGGATTTCAAACAAACCGAATTAAGATTCTTTCATACTTCGATCATTAGTACTTATATTGAGTATCTATCACGATATGAAGACTTAACTCATGAAGATATTAAACGATGTATATCATATTTCCATCGATTATTTGTAATTCGAAAGGATTTCGGAGGTCTATATCGGTTGGACTTTATGCAAACTCTTCAAAGACTTCGGAATTACTTACCTAAACATTCGAGTGTTCGGAATCATGTGGATGAGTTTATCTATTACTTTATGAAACGATTCAAGTTGGCACTCAGTCGATTTCCTAATTCGATTGAATTACTCTTTCCGAGATTTGAAGAAATCGGATTTAAAACTTACTTGACGACGGGAGAATTACATATAAAGGAAGATAAACATCATAGATCCACTAGTATTAAAGTGGGCCGAGAGTTGGAATTCACAAGAGATAACTTTTCTGATGATGAAAAGATTAAGATCTTAGTGACGGCCATCTATGATATAGAAACTATCAGACCATTTCTTTCATGGTATGTTCTTCAGCTTAAGTCCATTGTTCAACAGCGACTTGTTTCCGATACCGATACTGTCTATTCCCTTAATCAGAGTAAGTTTGATAAGTTCATCCTTGAGAACTCTTACGTCCGACTCCTCTTATACTTGACAGGATTCGAAGTACCACTTATAGTTGATCAGCCATGTAAGTTAAAGGCATCGATTGAATCAAGTGCATTGACAGAGAAGATTGCCTTGATTGAGAAATGGATACAGCAGCAACCAGCCATGTTTGAGGATAATAAGGATCCGTCGTACTTTGTCAGACAGAAGGAATGGGCAGACGATGAGTATGATGAAGAGGTTGATGAACAGTATGATGGTGATGGTTATGGAGATGATGATGATGAACCTATTGCCTTTGAAACTCGTGCTGATCCCAATGCTGATCGAACCAATGCCCATGAGTTGGATACTCTTGATGAGTTGGAACGGTCCTTACAAGCCAGTCAGGGTAGTGGTAGTCAGAGAGGCAGAGGTTCTAAAGGTAAAGCATTGAAGAAGAAGCAACAGAAACAGAAACAGAAACAGACCACCACCAAAAGGAAGTCAGCTACTCATCATCGTCGTAGACCACCCAGATCTCTTGGTATAGAATCAGGTGATGAAGCTCCGTTAAAGTCTAGTGAATTTGTTCATGATTCTGATGATGAATCTGACGATGAAAAGGTGCAAGAATTCTTCACTAGAGAAGAGAGATTACGGAGAATGTTATCTGAGTCTGGAGGGATTGTCAATCCTCAACAATTGGATGAATTTAAGAAGGTGTGGCAGCAATTGGAGACTGGTAGTGGTAGTGCACCTCGAGTAGCGTTAGAGAGACTGAGATCTTCATTATTTGTAGAGAGTTTACATGAGGATGACAATGACAATGATGATGAAGCAGATCAACCGAGTGCTCCCAGCTCACAGATGATGCAGAGTGACTCTGAGACTGAGAGAGTAGTCGATGAGAATTCTCAGACGTCTGAAGAGGATGACACAGTAACTAAGCCTAGTAAGAGACAAAGAGGTACTATTGATAGTGAGGAAGAAGATGAAGATGAGGATACATTTGTTAGTGCGTCTGAGGCACCTACTAGAAAGAGAAGATTAGTAATTGATGATGAGGATGAATAGAATATGTTGTTAGTACAGAATATATGTTAGTACAGAATATATGTTAGTATTGTCTATATATTAGAATATATGTTAGTAGTAATGACTAATCGTCTACACAATGACCTGCAGCTCCTCCGTTCACCGCCTGGGTGATACTCATAAATGAACTAATAAACATAACGGCAAATCCAAATACTACACATGCAATACTGGGTAAAGCTTTCCATATAATAAAGCTTCTCCTTTCCGATCCATGACTACTCTTATAATCCGTTTGATCCCATGATAATTTTAAATAACATAATGGAGGAATAATATAAGCCATTAATGAAGCCGAAGTAGCTCCAATTAATTCTAAAATTATTCCTAAATTACATGTAAATAAAGATACTGACATTGAAGAAAATACCAAAATAGTTGTAATGATAATATGTTGTTTTGAATTTAATTCAAGATCGGCTACACTATTCCCATCTTCACTAACTAATATAATATCTTTAAGTACATCTCTTACCACAAAGATTTCTAATGGGAAAGTAGTTAACATATTTAATCCAAAACAGAATCTTGCTACATTAATCCAATTATCATCACTTTTAAAATTATTTAATAGATTCCCCTTAGTGGCATCACCAAAATTTAATAGACCATTAATTCCCATAACTAAACAACATATCATTGATACTATACAAGAAATATGAGTTAATTTGGAGAATTTACTTAATGAAGCATTCTTCATTGATTGATAAATAAGTATAGTATTATGATGACAAACTAATGCAAAAGATATAACTGATATACCTTGAAATATATTTTTATTAACTGTCCATTCAAGTTTAGTTAATGGAGCTTTTAAATCTTTAGTAACAAATGGAGCTCTAACAATAGTTAATATAACAATTATTAACATACCAAATAATGCAAATCCACTAGCTTTAGCTAATTTAGATATATCTCTATTTAATGATAAAGGATATGAAATACATGAAGTAAATAATATAATAATAATATTTCGTTTAAATAACCAACCAAAGGTGGAATCTGAATTAGTAATTGAATTAGGTATAAATGCCTTTAGAACATGAGGAATTGTATCACCAATAATTACACAGAATGCCATACATCCTCCATAAGCAAATGAACTAATAGCAAATAAAAGTAATATTTTACCATATTTACCATAACAATAATTTACAGTATCTTGATAAGATTTAGTTTGTGATAAATGAGAATTTATAACTATAAGTCTTAAAGTCCAATCAATTAATATGGTTAATAATATCATAACAATAATCCCTCCTATTAATCCACTATTTCTAAATGCAAATGGTTGTCCTATAATCCCAGCTCCAAGAATTGAATTGGCCATATTAAGAAATGCCATTTGCATACTTGAAGTTCCAGTTTCTGGTGGTGGTTGAGTTCCAGGAATGTCAATTTCATAATCTAATGATTCAATAGTTCGTACTTCAAAACTGTCTTCATTAAGGTCTATATCTATGGCTTCGACATTTTCTGAGTCGGCACTTACGTGCTGCGGCACGGAGGTATACTCCTTCTTATTCTCTTCTGTCATAATATGCTGTAATGGGTATGTTAAGTAGGGATCTATGGTCTAATTAGGCTAATTACGTCATGAAGGTTTAAGTCACTTTTGATATTTTTATCAATTTGGGCTCGGACACGTCCCACACTTATCAGATGGTTTAAACAAGTTTAAAGAATTTGAAAGAATTTCAAATGAATTTCAAATGAATTTTATATTTGACTGGTATATATACAGGACAGTTGTCTACTGTTAAATACTGTTAATTTTGACCAGCATAATCAGGTGGTTGACTAACTAACTGAGTCAGTCTCCACAGTGTTAGTAGAAACAGGAGTGTCAGTGCGGCTTACCTCCCCAATATATTTTTTCACGAGATGCCTTACTTAATGTCTTAACTATTACCCATACTAAACCACTAAACCACTAAACCACAACCAATATGGCAGAAGCACGTGGCAGAGGAGGTTACCGAGGTAAAAGCAATCGATACGTTGACCGTCGAGAGGCCAAATCGGCCGAGATCAAAAAGTCCTTAACCCATCGAGCTCGTTTAAGAAAGAGTTACTTCAAATTGCTTGCAAAGGAAGGAGGAGAAGAAGAGGTTACTGGTAGAGATAGAAGTGAAGATAATGAAGAGACTAAACGTATAAAAGGAGAAGAAAAGGAACCTAAGCGATTCTCATATGCTGAGAGAGCACAAATAGTGAAAGAAAGAAAAGAACATAAACGAAAGGAAGAGTTGGAAAGAGTTAGAGAGAAGAGACGGTATATTGAAAAGAGAGCTAAGGATAGAGAATTAAAGAAGGAAAGAGTTACTCAAACCACACGAAAGGGTCAACCACTTATGGGGCCTCGGATAACGAATCTTTTGGATAAGATACGAAAGGATATGCAATAGTTGTTAGTATAGTTAGTAGGTATATTAATTTATTAACTTTATACAAGAATAGAATAGATTAGATTAAATTGTTTACAATAAGGAATTAGGCCAATGCTTGCGTAATACCATAACAAAGTCGTAGATATAGAGAGTACTCAATCTTTTATGATAATTAACCCAATTTTGTACATGACCCATAAATCTCATGATAGAATATTTCAGATATGTTCGATTAAGTTGTTCAGTAACTTCATCATACACAACTTTCGCACAATAATTAGCCATTATTAAAAAGGTTCTTTGTGGTCCTAAAGGATTATTTAAACTTTCATCAAGACTTCTTGTTAAATCATTAGTCTTAAGGATTAATAATACTATCCGAGGCATAGTACTTAAGATACTCATAAGATCTTCAATGATTCCATCTTCATTAAGTCGCACTTGTATGGCATCCATTTCTTCTTCAGATCTAGCCACTGAAATATCATAATTTAATGCAACTTCTGGTGCTCTACCAGTAATTGCTGATGCAAAGATTTTAAATTTTTGTTCACCTTTAATTCCAGCAAATTTCTCAGCATAATATTGCATTTTATTAATATCATTATCAAGTAGAGCTAACCAAAAATGAGAATAATCTCGTTTCATTTGGATTGGAATATTACGATATAATCCATGATCATATAATATAATTTCAAAATTATGACCATATTTAGATTTTGGTATACTTCTAATAGCTAAATTACCTCCATGAGGATCACAATGAAGTCCAACTCCTGGAGTAAATATCATATCATTAAATATATGAGATAAACAAGCAGAAACATCTGATGGAGATATATTATGATCTTTTAAATATTTTAAATTATCTAATCTAACTCCAGTACAACTTTCCATAATTAAAATTCTTGGTTGAGCTGATACAACATTTGGAACTCTAAGAGCTGTTTCACGTTGTCTAGTTTGAAAATACTGAGAAGTTTTACGAGAATTTTCGGCTTCACAAGTAAAATCTAATTCAACAAAGATTGAACTTTGCATTTCTTCTCCTAACCAAGTTAAGGGATATTCAGGAAATACTTTATACATCAAATTAAATACAATTTTAGTTAAATAAACATCTAATGGTACAAATTCTTGTAATGAAGGATGTTGAATCTTTACCGCAACTTTTTCACCTGTTTCTCTTAATGTAGCTATATGAACTTGAGCTAATGAAGCTACTCCTATTGGATTAGGATTAAATTCCGTAAACATATCAATTAATGAAACTCCTAAATCAGTTTGAAATAATTTTTCAATATCTTCCATTGAAGATTGAGGACATTTATCTTGTAATGGAATCATTGTATCAGTCCATTCTTTAGGTAATAAATATGTTAAAGCAGTTATATGTTGACCTAATTTAATATAAACTCCTCCATTGTGTTCAAGAGCTTTTAAAGTAATTTCAGCAGCCTTTTTATGAGTTTTACTTAACGCACTTTGTCTTTCATCTTCAGTATTATATTTCCCACTTAATGTCTTCTTATAAGCCATAAAACATCGAATCATAGCAACTCCTACAACTCCCAGCCGTTCCGCGGTTAATACTACATGTTTGAAATCATCATTTATATAATATAATCCCGAGCCTATAAGTCCGAGTCCTACACCATATTTGAATAATGTATACCGTCTATTCTTAATGGGAATATTTACGGTACTTACACTATAAGTTCGATGAATTCTGGTGATATCTCGGACATACAGTCCCGGCCAGACTTTGAGCCGCAACCCTGACCATCTGGTCTTATATATATTATGAAAACCGATCATACTGATGAAGCTGAGATTCATTAATAGTACTTTAAGAGTTATACGAAGAGATCATTTTATACGGTGGAGGTGACGCATGTGATACTGCACGTGAACGCTCACGAGACTAAGCATGTGATTGGATCACGTGCACTACTTATACACTTTTAATTAATTATTAATTACTAATTACTAATACTATATATTTATAAATTACTGAAAGAACCCTTCAATTTGGTCCAATTCAGGTCCATTGGGATAACTGATTTGTTCTAGAAGCGATTCATTCTGAAGAAAATCAAAATCAAAATCATTAAGCATTTGAGTATCAAACAGAATTGGACCAGAAGTTGAAGAAACTTCTCTCTTAATTATATCCGATTGAGATTGAGGTTCAGGTTGGAATGCGGGTGGTGGAGTAGGAGTATGTTTGGATCTAACCGGATCCAATAGATGCTTTTTAGGATCTTCTCCGCGAATATTACTTTCCATTTGATTATAACTTTGAGATAATGAACCCTTAGCAATGGCTGTATGATCAAAGGGACATCTTCTCTTTCTTGATTCTTGTTTGGGAGATAATGATATATCATTATTTAAATTCGAGAATCTAGTATTCTCATCCATTGGAGTAGTAATATGAGATATAGGACATCTAGTAAATCCATTAACTTCAGTATTGTTATTATTGTTATTATCATTCTTTTGATTCTCTTGTTGTTTTATAACAGGACAAATCTTTTGTCCATTAAAGAGTGGTACATTAGCATGAATTTGGGCATAGTTAATCTTTTTGGAATTACTGACAAAGCTTAAATAGAATCTCCATAATTTTGAAAGTTTAGATGCTCTTTCTTTATCTATTAATGGACTCTTTGATAATAAAGATACTGTATCATCGACTGCATCAACTATATGTTTAGTAATAAGATCATGTAATCCAACTCCATAATCAGATATAACTTTGGCATTCAAACTATGGGATACTTTCCCAAGGACATTCTTAAATATATTTTCCAGATTTAATGGAATTGTATGATTATGATTATGATTATTATCATTTTCATCAGTTCGAAGTCGAATTAAAAAACTAATAATAAATTGAATTAATCGAGTTAATACTTCAGTTAATGCCAGTAATACATACTGAGTATTCATTGATTCTAATTCCAATAATAATACATTTCGAATATGATCAATACATTGAAGATATTTAATAAAGATATCCGGAATTAAGGAACCAATAAGATCCTGATCCATTGATTCTTCTGCTTGTAATAAAGTTATATACTTCATAAAATATCTTAAATAATGAAGAATTAATTCCGCTTCAAATCTTCGAATTTGTCGTAATTTTCTTAATCCTAAATCGACTAACCATGTACTACATTGTCTTATTAAAGTATCTAAATTTCCTACCGATAATTTAGGATCTCCTACTTTAAAAATTCCATGACATAAAGCTGAAGATACTCTTGCAATTAAATAATGAACATGAAGACTTATAGTTAGATCATCATACTTAACAGAATTTAAACTAGTAATATATTTAAGATGATACATTACCAGATCAGCTTCTTCAATTTTAGAATAAAGTAATATAAGATATTTATCAATTCTTTCTGAATGTTTAATTAATGGAACAAAATTAAACGCTGATAAATTAGCTAATCTAATTAAATCAGACCATAAATAACACATATGAATTCTTAAATCTTTAATTTTCCGTTGATGTTCATCATGTCTAAAAGTTATAAGTTCAGGATCTTTCCATAATTCAATAATTGATTCATTATCTAATAATAATTTTAATAATGAACAAAATAAACTATTAAACCCTGATTTATAATCAGAAGTAGTTCCATAACGTTTATATTCAGATAATTCTCGATTAAGTACAGTTATTGTACAAGCAATAACTCCTAATGATTGAATTGGTTGTTCATCATATGGTTTAGGATTAAGTAATCCAACAACATATTCTTGAACAATATAAACCATATTTGTAGGTTTAGATCCAAGTCCAATATAAACAATTTCCGTTGGAAATAAAGAATTAAATTTAGCACTTATATCATCAGGTAAATTAATTTTAACATTCAGTCGTAATATTTCTAACAGTTCTTCAATAATTAATGATAACATACTTAAATAAACTCCCTTCATTTTTAATCTAGCATATAATTCAAGATCAGAAAATTGACTTGATGAACCATATGAAAGATTTAGAGTTATATCATTACCGATTTTTTTAATTATACCTTGAATTTCCTGTTTATAAAAACTTAATAAATCTCGAGATTCAATATCATAAGTTGCATTATTAAAATAAAAATCAATTAAAAAGTATAATTGTTTATAATTAAGTTTTTCATTACCTCTTACTAAATTAAGAGTTGAATCCCAAATATTTTGTAATTTAATTAATAAACTTCTGCCCTTTTCTGATATATAATCATGTTCAGCCATTTGTTGTTGTTGTTGTTCTTCTGATTTTGATATAGTAGTTGTGGTGGTAGTGGTGGTGGTGGTGGTAGTTGTTGATTTAGGTTTATCGATTAATTTAACTAATGAATAAGGTGATGAATCATTATATGGACTAGGAGTTACAGTATCTTCAGTCATGAAATTAAAATCACATTCAATTACTGGACATCTCAGTTCATCACCTTTTCCATTTGTATTGGATAGTCCATTGGAATTGGCAATGGGTGGACTTCCAGTTGAAAAAGTAAAATCAACTTCAGTAATTCTATAAGGAGATTTCTTAGATAATGGATTAGTAGTTATTGATTTATTAGTTAATGTTGCATTAGGTGGAGTTGTACTACTAGAATTAGATGCTTTCAATAAATTCATCTTATACATATGATATATCTTTTGTAAATTGGTGATTTTATACCATAGAGCCGTTAATTGAGGATCAAGTTTAATTAAATTTATCCAGGAATAAGTATCGACATAATGAGCCAGTTCAGTTTTCAGAGATAAGATCAAATAAGTTGGATCATTAATTATCTCTAAATAATCTCGATTCTTTATAGTAGAATTACTTAATTTCCCAAGAATTGTTATACTAGTACAAGTATTATGAGATGTAATTTCATGATTTTTAGGTGAAAATTGTTGAACTACTGATAATTGACGTTTAAGATCTTCGATTTCTCTTCGTTGATTGTTTATAACTTTTTCATTTTGTAATTTAAGTTGTTTAAATACTTCTGATTGTTCAATAGTTATATGATTATGATCAATTTGAGGTACTGATCCCGTAATCGGAGTATCGGAAGATGATTCGGCTTGAGTCCAATGAGGTTCTAAATATTCGCAAAGATGTGCTACTCCATTCCGAACACATCCTCCACAAGCCGGTTTAACTTTATCACATTTTACTTTCCTTTTCTTACAATTTAAACATGATATGGGGACCCTCTTTCTTTGTCTTTGAGGTTTAGGATTGTCTCTTGTACTGGGAGTCATGATGAAATATTCGTTGAAATTCGTGGGTTCAGGATGGAAATTTCACCTACTTTCTCAAATTTACTCTTAGACCATTCCACTAACTTATGACTTACTCACTTTAAGTTGAAAATACTAGTTATGGAATCGGAATCGGTATACTTATTAATAATTTAACTATATATTATATGCCGAGGTCGTGTCTGGGGATGAGGAGAGGGTCTGTGCAGGACCGCTCTCTTCTGCGAAAAAATGTTTCTTTACCAGCTTAAGTTAAATGACTATAAAGGAATACACTGTAACTTAGATTAGCTTTAGCTTAGTTTAAGTACTAAAGATAATACATTATAGGAATATTTTAAGTAGAATGTCTGCAGGTATACCGGTACGGTTATTAAATGAGGCTCAAGGGCATACGATTTCTTTGGAATTGACTACGGGAGATACTTACCGAGGTAAGTTATTAGAAAATGAAGATAATATGAATTTATCATTATATGATGTAGTAATTACTAAAGGTAGAACAGGAGCAACAACTTATATGAATCAAGTATTTGTTAGAGGTTCAATGATTAGATTTATATCGGTACCAGAAATATTAAAAAATGCTCCTATGTTTTTTATGAAACCAGGTGATAAACCAAAACCTCCTGTTAGAGGTCCTCCACCCAAAAGGGTTAAACGTTAATGAGTTTAATTCATTAATCGTATGCATTTTATGTAAATTAGAAATTGTATATTAATATTATAATTATAAATAATTTTATAATTATTATCTAGATTAAATAATATATTAATTAGGTCATGGTAACAAGTTCTTCAGCTGATGTAGGATGTATAGCAACACAACTATCAAAATCCTTCTTTGTAGCTCCCATCTTAATAGCAACACCAAATCCTTGTAAAATTTCTGAACTAGCATCTCCAACGATATGAAGTCCAACAACTTTCTCTTCTGGACCTTGAACAATAATTCTATAAGCAGTTGGAGATTTTAATTCATCACTATCCATCATAGCATAATACATTGAAGTAAATTTAGAATTATAAATTTTAATATTTTCTTCACCATATTTTGCTTTAGCTTCTTTAGTAGATAATCCAATTGAACCAGCTTCAGGATGAGAAAAGATTACTGAAGGAATATTTTCATAATCCAATTTATCTTTAATATAAATTTCTCCACCAAATAATCTATTGGATAATTTACGACCAGCAGCAATAGCAACAGGAGTTAATTCAACTTTACCAACTACATCACCTAAGGAGAAAATCTTTGGATGAGCAGTTTGTTGATATTCATCAGCAATGATTTGCTTTTTATCATTAAGTTTAACTCCAACATGTTCTAATCCAATATCAATTAAAGATTTTCTACCAACTGTCCAAATTAATTCATCAACTTCAAGAACTTTACCATTACCTAAATAGACTTTTTTCTTACCATCACTAGTTGCTTCAACTTTACTAACACCTCCAGAATTCTTATGAATGTTAACTCCTAATTTATCAGTATAATAATCAGTAATAGTAGTTTGAATTAAATCATCAAATGATCTTAATACAGTTTCACCTCTAATAATGAAATGAGTTTCAGTACCAAGACTTTGGAAAACTCCTGAAAATTCAACTCCAATATATCCAGCTCCAACAATTGCTACTGACTTTGGTTGAGTTTCTAATTCAAAAAATCCATCAGATGTAACTCCTAATTCACTACCTTCAATACTTGGAGGTACAATAGCAGTACCACCAGTTGCAATTAAGATATTTTTTGCTGAAAATATTAACTTTTCATTCTTTTCATACTTCTTACCCTTTTCTAAAAATCCAATTTCTTGATCTCCAGTTAAAGTTACTTCAACATCACCTTGAGAATTTATAAATTTAGCATGTCCATATAAATATTCTACTCCTTCTCTATTTAAATTATTGGCATAAATACCATTTAATCTTTTAACATAAGCATCTCTTTTGGATTTAAGTAATCCCCAATTAAAATCACCATATTTAACTTCTTGTTCAGTTTCGGATAATCCATAAGATTTTAATTGATGCTTTCTATGAGCATTATCAGCTACATACCACATAACTTTCTTTGGTACACATCCAACATTAACACATGTTCCACCTAATTTCTCAAATTTAGATTCAATTAATAAAACTTTAGCTCCATATTTAGCTGCACGACGAGCTGAAGCAACTCCTCCTGAGCCTCCTCCAATAACAAGATAATCGTAATTCTTAAGGGGAGTAATTGGTGCCATATTAATTGCGGAATTAGTTAAATGTCTATTGATACTACTTAATCTAGATGTGGAATTCTTCAATATATTACTTGCTGAAGAGCTCTTGAACATTATCTAATTAAAATTAAAAATTAAAAAAAAAAATGTTGCTGTGTATTTCAAAAGTATCTACAAATTAATCATCACTAATGTTCAATGGGTCAATGGGGTTTGAATTGCTGCTCCAGGCTTTTCCTCCCTGCAGACGAATTTTGATTACGAATCCAAGATGCGAAATTTTTAGTGGGTGTGCCACAAAAGGTGGCGAACCAGTACATACATAAGTTTTGAATTTTTTATTACTTGAGGGTAGAATGTTTTCCGGTGAGGATTTACCAATTCAATCTTCGGTGCTCATTCCACCGTTATTATCAGTAGTTGCAAGTTTGACGCACTTTCTGAGAAAATTGAGGGTAAAGAAGTGGAGTTCTTCATTAAACTGATCAGTAATGGCTCCATCATAATCATCAAATGAGTATTGATTATCATCTTGACTAGTAGTAGAATCATCATGATCATGATCTTGATCTTGATTATGATCTTGATCTTGACTACTAACATCTTTAACATCAATTCCTTCATACTTTCTTAATTGATTCTTATATATCTTATCTAATTTTTGTTTTATAATGGTTTGAAACTTATCATAGGCAATTTCATCCATATCAAACTTATTAAAACTTCTTCTTCTTTTTCTTCTAACACTTGATGATCCTTCTCCATTTAAATCATTTGATCTTTCCATTAATAATGTTCGTGTATCTTCTAATTCCAATTGAAATGCTCGATCTTCTTCTAATAATCCAGATATTTCATCTCTATCTTCTACAAATGTCTTTTGAATATTGGAACTATTATCGAATGCTGAATAAATGGAATTATTAGTAATATAATCTTGATTTAATCCATTACTTAATCCAAATAATCGAGTTAATACTTCCTTCTTTTGAGTTATTTGAACTTGACGTTTAGCATTATATGTATGGGCTTGTTGAAATATTTTATCATGACGATCTTGAATATCTCGTTTACTTTCATTTAAAAGTCTTTTTAATTCAGCTTCTGAATTATCATCCTTAACACCTGATTTATTAAATGATTCTAATATTATTTGTAATTCTCCTCTTGTATATCCAGGAATTGCTTGAATAATATTATTCTTAATATTTTTACTTCTAGTAGGTATACGTTTCCCTATCAGTCCATTTTTATAAATATTATTATTAATACTATTATTATTATTATCTTGACCCTCATTTTCACTTAATCCATCATCTTCAGATTCACTTGAATCTCCAAAAATGATATTTTTAGTCATTCTCTCAGCTGATTCCCATGCTTTAATTTGTGATTCTTTGATAGCAGGAGGTAAATGATCCCCATGTTGTAAATCAATACCATTAGGATAATTAGTGAAAACTGAATAATCATATCCATTCATATTCATAGGTTTATGAATTATAAAACTGGGTATTGATCTATTCGGATGACTCTCATCTATAGTTTGTGATGAATAATTCATATTATCAACATATCGTTTCAGAGATTGATGAAGATTTAGTAACTTAGTTTTGATTATTCCAGCATTTTTCAGTAGATGTTGCAGTTTAGAATCATGATGAGATCGCTGGGTTTGTTGTTGACCAGTGGTAGCTTGTTGTTGTCGATGCTTTTGGAATCTTCGTATATTATTACTTGGGGTACTTATCATTGACGTTGAAGATGAACTGACAGTTCTTGTAGTATTATAAACCAATGAATCATTAGGATGTAAAAAGGTTGAATCCGCCATATGAGATGTAGATATTATTCTTCCATTTATATTATTAGTATTATTATTATTAGTAGTAGTATTGGTAGATGAGGCAGTAGAGAATTTGGGTAAGTTATATTTAGACGCTATATTGGCATTTGAACTTGTGCTTGTATTGTTATTAGATGTAGAATTCATGGATACTGATGTAATATAAAAATACACAACCAATTTGATGAACAACTGGGGATAACGATGAGATAACTATTAAAGTAAATATTAATTAGAATTAGATGAACTGAATTGATAAAGGAAAATTAGATACACTTGGTAATGAGCGAGTATGAACCAGTCCCTCTTTCTCTTTTTGTGGTGGTGATAATAGAGCCCTATGGTGGTGTGTTGTTTAGCGATAATCCGTTTGCAGTTTAAGCTAAAGTATGCCACAAACTAAAATATCCAGCCGGTCTTGATAGTGTTTATTATTCGGTAGGGACCACACAAAGTGTAGAAAGTGTAGACTTCCCAATGAGGCAATGTGCAAGACGGTGTGGCTGGTATGTCTCACAATAAACTTGAAAACATTACATCAAAAATATAAAAATAATAATAATAATAATAATAATAATAAATTTAAATTTACATTTGATCACGTGCATTTTTGATACTTTAGGGTTATATCCCTCATGTCTTATCTGTGTGCAGTCCTGATATTTTAACTATGTAAATGTCGCATTACCTAAAATTATGTCTCACCTAGATATTCCAGACAAAAGTCGTATCTCAAACAATACTATTGAAGCATGGATGTTCTATACTCGCACTGTAAACTATGCGACACAGTAACCAAAGATTTTTTTCTTTCAATTAAAAATTTTCATTTAGATATTTCATACCAGAGTTGTTTAAAGACTTTTTAACTTCATTAGATTAAGTACTTAAAGACAAGATGGCTACTGAATTAACCGTTCAATCTGAAAGAGCTTTCCAAAAGGTTTGTACCAATTCAAAATCCGATCAATAGTTGAGAATTATCCCAGTGTGAAGTGTTATGAAAAATTAATCAAGTAATGTAAGGAAAGTTAGATATAGTATCAATAATGAAAATATAACAAAGAATAAAGATTAAATTAATCAATATGGCATAGGAATCAACAGCAATACGAAGATATTACTTTCAACTCCAGAGAACCTTTTCCACATGTAGAAAATATGGAAATATGAAGAAGCATCATCATCAACCATAAGATGACTTATGAGACTACAACAGCATAAGTTTTCAATCTTTTATTAATAAGAATCTCATGTAGATTACCAAGACTATGGACACCACAATTTCAACAATAATCAAATTAATCAAGAAATAAACAAATATTTTACAAATCATATACAAGTAATAGAAGTAATGATATTCACACTAGGAATGAATTTAACTGTTGAATCTAAACTCTTCAAGAGAATCTAATACTAACTTAATATTATAGCAACCACACATCTTTACCAACCCAAAGGCTAGAGCCAACAGAAAGACCAAGAGATGGTTTAAGGAAGTTGGTTTAGGTTTCAAGACCCCAAAGGCCGCCATTGAAGGTACTTACATTGACAAGAAATGTCCATTTGTCGGTACTGTTTCTATCAGAGGTAAGATTTTAACCGGTACTGTTGTTTCCACCAAAATGCACAGAACCATCATTATTAGAAGAGATTACTTACATTATGTTCCAAAATATAACAGATACGAAAAGAGACACAAGAATGTTGCTGCTCATCTTTCCCCAGCTTTCAGAGTCCAAGAAGGTGATGTTGTTACTGTTGGTCAATGTAGACCAATCTCTAAGACCGTTAGATTCAACGTCTTAAAGGTTGCTGCTGCCGCTTCCAAAGCTAAGCAATTCTCCAAATTCTAAGGTTAAACAGGAAAAAGATTGAACTATATATATCAACCGTACATATAATTTATTTCCTTTCTTTAATGTTACATTAGTATAAATATATAAAAATCATCATATACATATAATTAATTTTCAAGCATGTGTATGTAGTTTAAAATAAAGGTCTTTAAGTGAAGTCTATATCTATTAATTCTATACAATTATGATAAACTCCGTTCTTAGATTCATACATAAAATAAAATAAAACTAAATCATTATTTAAACATTAGATGGTGGATTAACCTTTTTAACAGAAATCTTGGAATTTCCCCAAGTTTCAATTGACAGAGCTAAAAGGCCATCCTTGTGCAATTTAACGAAATCATCAGCTCCTCCTCTACTTTCATGAGATGCACCAACTAACACATTAGGAACTGTATTTCTACCGGTAACTTCTGCAAGATATGCTTGTAATTCCTTTCCATGTTCATGTTTATCTAATTCAACCACGGTGTATTTAGGGGAGATTTCATAATTGTCAGCCAACAACGACTTAATTCTCTTGGAGAAAGGACAGTAAGTTTTAGAAAATATAGTCATAGGAGAGAGAGATCTGATTTCTAGTAAACTCTGAGAAGGATCGAAAGCTCCTTCTGCTGCTTTTTCGGTATCTGGCGTTGATTTAGAATCAACTTTAACATCTGCAGCTGGCTTGTTACTTGAATCCTTTACCTCCTTGTTCTCATCAGTTAATTTGGAGATTCTTTGATTTATGGCTTCATCTTGTTTATCATTATTCTTCGATTCGATTAAATTACTGATACCACCAGATCCACCTACTGCTGCACCAATAGCTCCAGCGACTTCTGCACCGGCTCCAGCTCCAGCTCCAGCTCCAGATCCACCGCCTACAGAGCTTCCCTTCTTTAAGTCAACCAGAGCTCCTGATCCTACTGAAGCAGAACCAACAACTGATTCATTAACTGGCTCATAAGTCTTTGAATTAGACCGATATAATATAGTGACCAATATTACGACAATCACACCCAACCCAATGGCTCGAAACTGTCTTGTGCTAACCATATCTGCTTATTAATTTGTTATAGTAATAAAATAAAATCTTCAAAAATTCACTTGTTTACACTGAGGAATAGTTCATCAATACTCTTTAATACAAGTATACCAACAATAGAAAAATATTAGTTTGTCTTTATGTAGATACTATCTATATGTTTAGAAAGCTGAGTATGATCCAACAAATGTCTAGATTTTCGTTTCAAAATATTTCCATTTATTTTTAGGTGCCACGTAAAAAATTTCCATTCGCGTAAGTTCGGCCCCCTGGATTAGTAGTGATACAGATACACATTTATGTGTGTTTTAGAACGTGTTGTTGTGTGGACTCATTGTCTATAGAGTGGTCATTTGGGACCTGTATGTGTAGTTGGTGAGGTTTTGTCTAGAATAAGTAATAATATGATGTCTCTTAAAAATATCGATATTAATCTCTACTGTAGAAGCAAGATCGATACAGCTGCACATAATTTGAAAATGCTTGTAGATGCTAATTTACAGAAAATGGTCTATACGAGGTGTTTTGCATTAACATTGATCCAGAACAGGTGAATTTAGCTCATTGTGTGTTATAATTTACCATTCGATCTTAGTTAATAACGTAAAAGCTTTACAGTCTTATCAATCATATAGTTTTGTTTAATTAAGTTGCGAAAAAGTTGAAAAAGATGAGCAAAATGAATATTAATCCAGATCCAGCGTCTAGATCATACTACCGTATTGTAATTAAGCTATTACTACATAACTAAGGGAAACACTTATTGGTTTCTAATATAAAGCATTCAAAGTGATAAGCTTCACTACTCAATAGATACTGATATTGATAATTGAACCTTTATTGAGCTTACAAACTCTACATATCAGAAAAGGAAATACTTCTTGTGACTGACATATTCGGAATCTTACAATATTGATCCGTGACTTATGACACATTGAATATTATTTAATTGTTCATAAGTTGAGAAAATAACATTAGCGTTCAACAATTAATTACTTCAACTAAATATCGTCTAAATACCACAATTGACTTATTAATGTGGGATATCTTCCAAGGAGAGCAAATTATATTATTTTTTCCATTCTGTACACCTCCTCTAATGAGTAATCAAATACTAAGTCGGGTTTCCTAGATATATTTTTTAGCAGTTGGCTTTGCCAGCATCAATTAAATAATAATTAAATCTCGAGTATTGTTTAGGGGATTAGCATTTAACAGGGCCAGACCCACTACACCGGCAACTGAAACAATCGGCAATTAAACTTTAGCAATAGTTGCCCTGCTACAGGGAGCACGCAACTAATCCTTCATAACTCATTTGAGATAGCCTTTTACCCAATCAAAACCAATAAACTTCGTTATTATAAGAACTACCTGACTAACAAAGACAAAAATAGTTCTGATTTTAGGGGAGAATGTATAAATTGGTTAAATCTCATGCAAGTCGTTGACTCAAACGTTATGAATTAGGAAATATTGTTCTTACTCTACTGCAACATAAAAAGCCATGCCTAATTAAACATCACACGCTTACTAACCTTATTGAGTTAGGCCTCGTGTGCCAATTTTTGATTAAACACAAAGAAATTAATTTCTCCAACATTCAAAAAAAAAAGTAATTTTTTATGTATAAAGTATGCAGGATAATACATTATCAGTAATATCCAGCACTACTGATATGCAAATACACTAGAGTGGAGAAGCAAATCTCTTGACTCTAATGAAACTATAAAGAAAGAAATAACAAAAAGAAACCAAACGGACATATGAGTTCTACATTATGGTTGTGCCAATAAACAGAGTTTAGACAGAAATGTCTGATAGCGTTGAAAAAGCAAATTTCTTTCTCATAGTCACACTATCTCACGGATATATTGAAAATAAGGTCAGATTGGCTCATAAATATTTTAAAAAGATAAGCATGTTTCGGAAATAAATTCAAAGAGGTAAAGGAAAGTTAGTTGCAGGAACATTTAGGATCTTGCTTGTATTAAAAAACACTCACAGTAATCTCGGGAAACAACAATCACCGTCAACTAACCCATCGCATATGGTAGAGTTGTAGGAACATTTATCCATCAATTAAGCTACATTAAAAAATATGGCAATCTAAAGGAGGTTCACAGAAAATAACTATTCCGGTGAGTTTCCAGTTTTAGAACGTTGCAAAACCTATATGAAACTCTATGGCAAAAGGATTGATCGTATATTAGAACTGTTGTAATTGCATCTCCAATCCAAAGTATCCTGCAGACGAAAATACGATGCATAAATGTTTTTTTTTTTTAAATTTTTTAGTTTTTGTCTTTTGACAGATAATAAAAAAGATGGATAAATTGACACACGTGGGTAATGTTCTTTGGAGATAAACGTGGGCCCTCGTTCCTTTTCAGAGATAGAAAAAATATTTTTTAAAAATATTTTTTAATTTGTTTTTATGTCGGTTGCAGCAACAGCCAAGAAAGTTGCGAAATCCATTTTGAGGTACACGTGGGATCTCTGTCTACTAAAAAACTCAATTAGTGGAATTTCACACACGAGTTCAAAAATAGTCTTTGTGTTTCTCATAAAAATCAGCCTAGGAGATTCTCTCACTATAATTGAATTATGCCTAAATCTTTGATTCCTAGCGAGGATGGTCGCTAATTTCCTCTAGCCCCCTAAAATAACATTCTTGAAGTTATTTTTCAAGATTTAAAGCGAGGAACGAACACACAAATTTTTAAAAGTATCATGACATATCATCCTTACATTACCACTGTGGTTGATATATCACGGATTATTTATATATATAATGGAATAAGTAGAAGTATTCCGAATAATGTAAAAGTCAGTATCTTAGTATTTTAAGCAGTAATTTATTCGCAGTGATTATTTGTCGCACCAGTCGGTACTGCGAACAAATAACTCGCCAAGGGGATTTTGCAACCCAGTTAAACTAGAAAGATTTAAGGATGCCAAGCAGTGCTCAAGACGTGATAGAGATATAAGCTTAATTTCTTTCCCCACTTTCAATATAAGCTACTATTGTAAGACTGTATACACAGTTGAACCTATCAGTGATATAGAATGCACGAAAAAACCAAGAAATACAGATTGCAAAATCCAAGAAATATTTGCTTAGGTTATAACTCCTGAGAATAATGAAAAATTGTTTAAATCTAATATGAAACCTTTGAGCTAGTATCACCTGAGTGTGGCATGACAAGAGAACTGTGAAGTTAGGAAAATTCTTGACTTGTAAGTTCTAGTATATATAAGGTTGAATCTTTCCCTTTAATAATCTGGGCCGTAGATTGGTAAATATTTGGGAGCACCTTCTGGTCCCAACCAAATAAAATGAATACTTATAGAATAGAAGCATGAGTTGGTATCACAATATGCTTAATAGCCGTTGAGGTCCAAGTAATTACCACAAACTCGTAACAGCATAATACAATCAAATATTCTTCCCTGCAATAAAATTAGATATAATTGGTAATATTTTATTAACTATTATGGGCTATGAATTTAAAACATATTTCGGGTAACTCTTATAAACTTCGCCTTGTTCATTGTGTTGTTTGTCTTAGGTTTTAGCCCTGAAGCTATTCTGCTAAAACTTGCAATATTGGAATTTGAATTTTATTTTATTGCGTTTATTTGGTCTAAATTAATCAATTCGACACCCCATGTTTGGTAAAAAGTTTATAAAAGGAGGCAGTCAATATTCATAGTGTTTGTCAATATACCAATTCTAACCAATACAGGGAATTGTTTCGGACTTAGAGGTATTAGAGAATAAACAAACAAGCAAATAAGTACAACATGCAACCACCATTTTCACTTGTTTGATTCCGCCGAAAATCTGCCTAGTCTAGGACATACATAAAAATACGGGAATGGAGCCCGAATTGGCGACGGGGCTTTAGAATTTTATCAGAAGATATTTGACTCCCTAACTATTCATTTCTTTATTGGTTAGTACAATTGGAAGAATCTACAAGAACAATTGACTTCGTTTTCGCTTACTTCGATTACTCAGAAAAATGTAGCCTTCGGATCCATTTCAATATACCGAAGGTAGCTCCTCTTTCTTTTTCTTAAACTGAATATGAACCAAGTTAGAGAATCGGCAGTTTAGCGGCGGCGGGTTATTCTGATCTCTGCTTTAGGAAATGATATTTTTTAATTCATTCCTTTTATTATTTCTTTCTTTTTTAGTTTTTATTTCTATATTGGTATTTTTGTCTGTTTTGTCAGCTTAAGAGTTTTAGAAAATGGTAGTACTTTCTTAAGTTAAGCAACATGTTTCAGAATTGAGGAGATGAATTGATTTACTAATCGTTTATAGAAGCAATGAACTACAGCGTCCACAAGACAATTCGAATTATTTACAATCTCTCATGAGTCTGGTAGGTATCGTAAGAAAGATTAGACATTCTAGGTGGGCCATCTCTCTCCTGCAAAGCATCAACGGCATTAAGTATGGAACTCACGACAAAACGGTCTTTTATTATTTTTAAGGTATTTTCTATAATTTTAAGAAAATAAATTAGTAAACTTAGGAATTAAAAAGAAATTTCTACTTTAACCATATTAGAAAGTGCAGCAGGGGGCCCACGAGACCTCTTCTCAAAATCAATTTGTATTATAATATTAATTTTGGTTACTTTTGTTACTTTTGTTTAATTGACATTTCAAAGAGAGACAAAATCAGATAACCTAATACTTGATTTAATAGTGAAATAAGAATTGTAAGGCATTATACAGCTGGCTAGGCAATTCCATTTCTCGCACACGTATTTTTTTGACCCCAACTAATTATTTGCATCAAGTTAAGGTTAGCCCATATAAGTCCTATACATGAAATCTTGCCTATACTAATATACGAAAACTTTGACAGGTTTATATGGACAAGAAAAATTCAATTGATGGATTAAAGGATATTATATCCATTCTAAGAAAAAAATAGAATATTAACTAGTGTTTCGAAGGATCTATATCAATTAAATTTTTCTTTGCTGAATGATTTAGCAGTACCGAGAAAAACTTACTCTGTAGCGAGAAGTTTCTGGTGCCCTGCCCAGAGATCCTTAAATAAATTCTCTAACATAAGGTAAAATGCTTAGAATTTTATTTCTGTACCAGGAGAGTTACCTACCCACGGTGACATAGCTAATTAAGCCTCTAGCTAGTGAAGTCTAGCTGCAAGAAGGTGACAAAACCGCCTAAATGTAGTACTGTATACTATCCAATATTAAAAAATTACGGAAAGGCAATTTTCAAAAAAAAAAAAAAATAATTTAGATTTTTATTTTTGTCTTTTATTTTATGCATGCAGAAAAAGTAAAAAATACTTTGTTATTTAATTTTTTTTGGTAAATGCTTAAGTTAAGCACATCTCTGTGAATTATCTCTGCCCATAATTTCTTTTTCCCTTTCCCTATATTTCAATTGTATATCAATTGAATTGCAATAATATAAATAGTTTGTAAATTCCCCATTGAATACCAACTTTTGTCGGGATTGTTTTTTTTATATCTTCATCAGTTCATAGATCAGTCTTCCAGATAATTAATAGAATTAAGAAATGTCTACTCAAAACGTCATTAGTGAAGAATACCACGAAAACAATTCCGGTGGTAAAACTGCCTTCAAGGATTACATTGGTAAATTTGCCCATATTGAAGATCCTTTAGAAAGAAGAAGATTAGCTTTAGAAGAAATTGACCATGCTGGATTTGGATGGACTCAATTGAAAATGATTATGATTGCCGGTGTTGGTTTCATGACCGATTCTTATGATATTTTCGCCATTAACTTAGGTTCATCTATGATGGCTTATGTTTTCTGGAAAGGTAACATGCCAGCTTCCACCACTACTTTAATTAAGGTTTCTACTTCTGTTGGTACCGTTCTCGGTCAACTTGGTTTCGGTTTCTCTGCTGATTTCTTCGGTCGTAAGAAGATTTATGGTTTAGAATTAATTGTCATTATTTGTGCTACTATTTTACAATGTTGTCTTGGTCAATCTCCAGCCATTAATTTCGTTGCCATTTTCACCACTATGAGAATTGTTATGGGTATTGGTATTGGTGGTGATTATCCATTATCTTCCATTATCTCTTCCGAATTCTCTACTACCAAATGGAGAGGTGCTATTATGGCTGCTGTTTTCTCTAACCAAGGTTTAGGTCAATTAATGGGTGGTATTGTTGCCATCGTTGTTATTGCTGCCTACAGAGATGACTTAGAATTTGCCAAGACTGGTGCTGAATGTGTTGGTAGATGTATCAAGGCTAACGATCAAATGTGGAGAATCTTAATTGGTTTCGGTTGTGTCCCAGGTGTTATTGCTTTATACTATAGATTAACTATTGCTGAATCTCCAAGATATGCTCTTGATGTTAACGAACACGACACCTTAGAAAAGGTTGCCGATGCTGAAGCTGCCATTGCTTCTGAAGCTCATGAAATTGTTGCTCCAAAGGCTTCTTTCTCTGATTTCTTTGCTCATTTCTCTCAATGGAGACATGCTAAGATTTTAATTGGTACTGCTGGTTCTTGGTTCATGTTAGATGTTGCTTTCTACGGTTTGAATTTAAACACTGCTACTATTTTACAAACTATTGGTTACGCTGGTTCTTCTAATGTTTACGTTAAATTATACGATTCTGCTGCTGGTAACTTGATTTTAGTCTGTGCCGGTGCTTTACCAGGTTACTGGGCCACCATTGCTACTGTTGATACCGTTGGTAGAAAACCAATTCAATTATTCGGTTTCTTCATGTTAACTGTCTTATTATGTGTCATTGGTTTTGCTTACCACAGATTAACTGAAGGTGGTAAATTAGGTCTTTACATTGTTTTCCAATTCTTCCAAAATTTCGGTCCAAACTCTACTACTTTCATTATTCCAGGTGAAATTTACCCAACCAGATACAGATCTACTGCTCATGGTATTTCTGCTGCTTCCGGTAAAGTTGGTGCCATTATTGCTCAAACCTGTATTGGTACTTTAGTTAACCACGGATGTGCTAAGGACGAACCAAACTGTTGGTTACCACATGTCATGGAAATCTTCGCTTTATTCATGTTGTTAGGTATCTTCACCACTTTATTGATTCCTGAAACCAAGAGAATGACCTTAGAAGAAATTTGTGAAAAATACCACGGTGAATTAGATGCCACCAAGTTAGTTAAAGACAGATATGCTACTCAAGAAGAATCTTATGATTCTGAAGAAAAGCAATAAGTAAATAACTAATTATTTATTTCTTACAATAGCTATCATTTTTTAATTCCTTCTTTCATTTTTAATTTAATAATTACGTTTATATCTTTAAAATCTAAAGCTTGTATTTACCATAGTGTGCATTATAAGCTTAGTACGGGTTTAATCTTTCAATGTTTGTGTATATAGAATCATAATAAAAGGCAATTTGTTATAAAGTTTTAGAAGCGTAAGTATAATTCTTTGATTTAATTAAAAAATTAATTAAAGTAGTAATACTTAAATTGAACTCCCACGAGGTGCTTACTCCGTATAAAAGGTGTAGACTTATATCCAAAGCCATTTACGTAAGAGGATCAAACTTGCCGATGAGAGTTGGTCTCTCCCAATTCCAGTTGCAGTTGCAGTTGCAGTTGAAAATCATAGGAAGAAATAGGGAGGGAGGACGTGAATCGCAGATATATCCCATTGTGGTAGTCGCGGAATCCGATTCAGTAACAAGACCGAATGAAGTCAATTGCTACTTTACCTACATTAGTTATTAATGTATAATATTATAAGTTAACAATTGATTTCGTAAAGTAGAGATTTAGTGGGGGACAGCTTGCTTGCTAGAATGAATGATTAGTGACATAATAATACTTGTGGTTAATAATCAATGTACACCCCATGAATGAATGAGATATAGGATTATAATTATTATTACCATTACTATTTTTATTATTTGATCCTTAAATGAACAATATACAGATAACCGTTTGCGCCAATGTAAGTATCAATATAGATAGGAGCTCAGAAGAAGTCAATTGATCAATGATCTGATCAATTACAATTCGTGACTCAATTGGCCTATCATATAGAATATAATTACCTACAGTAATTCTTGTGTAATATCGATTCGGCGAAAAGTATGTTACGAATAGGCTTTGGATAATGTAATGAAATATCCCTTTCGTCTGGAAGGCTTTAACCGAAACCAAGCAATTAACAGGAAGAACACATGGGTTATATTAATGGCAAACGCTTTGGTATGTTGCAGAAGATGTTAAACGTTTAAAAAATAAAAGTAAAATAAATAAATAAAATAATTAAAAAAAAGTATAAAAAAATCCGACATTTTATCAAAATGACAATTGTCAGTTGGTTGTCATTAATTTTCTGCAAGCACTATTTATTTCAACTTCACAACAGAAACCAACTTAACGACGACTATGATACTTCCACTAGAGCAATTGATAATAATAAGATCATGAAATCCCCACAACACTTACCCTTTAAGGTTAATTGAACATGTGGTAGAATTCTGTCATATCTTACGTGTTTATTATTAAGTGATTACATGTAAGTAAAGTAATTCTCGTCTATCTATTCGAATTTCAGTACTGCATACAATCCAAGACTTATAAGCCAAGGAGTAACTAAGTAAACACCCAATGAATGTTAATATGCTAAGTTATATGCTAAACTATATGCTAGACCAGTATGTAATGTATAAAGGGATCTCTCCTATGCATTGATGCTGTCGATGATGTTCAAGTCCATATTCATACCTTCTTCGAAAGGCGTAGCAAATAAAATTTTGCATTCAATCCGAGCAAACAATTACCCCATCAGGAAAGGTAATGCGAACTAGTATGACTATGAGTCTGATTCATTAGGAATACCTATACCGGGATGAAAGGCATTTTGCGCTTCTGTAATTACAAAGAAGCTATGAACGGCAATATCCGATATTGCGCTTCTGACTAACTCATCTCATCTGAAAATGACCAGAATCTGTAACACTATATAAGCATCTCAATATCATTACTTAATTAGTATCGAAATAGCGACAGCACCCACCGATAAATCCGCACTACCAACGTGAATTAAACACCACTACAGTAGAATTACTGGTAAATCTCTCGATTACTACTACTTTCCACTACTATCATCACCATGAAGTTGTACTTCACATCATCCAAGTTCAAAAAGTTCATTCCTGACTGGATTACCGTAGTGGTACTCATCGTTGTATTTTTCAACGTGTTAGAGACAGCACCACCATTCACGAGACAATTCTCTGTACTGGATTCGAGAATAGCTCATCCCTTCGCTATCAGAGAGAGGTTTACTGATAATGAATTATACTTGTGGAGTTTAATTGTGCCTTCGATACTTATTTCCATAGTGTCATTAGTGCATTCTCCTAAAGTTTCTACTAAGGACACTAGTACTGCTTCTACCACTACCACTAGTAGTACCACCAGCACTACCGTTACCACCACTCCCTCATTCTTTGATAAATTACATCTACTTCAAGTATCCAATCTCGGATTATGGTTCAGTGTTGTATTTGCTGCTGTACTCACTGATATCCTCAAATGCTGGATCGGTAATCCTCGTCCTGATTTCCTTAGTCGTTGTGGTCCTGCTCCACATACTCCTCCTAATAAACTTGTAGATATCGATGTATGTACGGCTCCACTTGGTCCTATGTATTTAATGGATGGTATGAAATCTACGCCATCGGGTCATTCATCAATGTCATTTGCGGGTTTACTCTATTTATCATTATGGTTAGTAGGACAATTCCGAGTCGTTCATGAACTGAGAAAGTTAAGCCTTTGGCTCTACTTATTATTCGCAACTCCTATACTATTAGCATGTTATATTGCTCTTAGTAGAACTCAGGATTATAGACATCATTTCTTTGACGTTGGATTCGGTTCCCTAATTGGGCTAGTTCTTGCGTGTTTTAGTTATTTTAAATACTTTAATGGGGTATGGAATCCCCAGTGTAATTTACCCATAGATTATTAATACTACAACTAAACTAATAATTAAAGAATCAACTTGTATTATCTATAAGAGATTCTATCTAATAACCTAATTGTCCGTTGAGGACCCCAAATGCAATAAAAAACTCTATCCTTTATCAGTAAGTATAAGTAGTAAAAAGTGGTTGTACAAGAAGAAAAGTGATGTAATTAGTAAAAAATATAAAAAAAAATGGAATGCTAACAAAAGCAATCAACTTCTAGTGGTAGTTGTAGTTAATTTTAGTAAGAAACAACGAGTTGAGCATTGAATCTTTTATGAGATTGATGATCTTCATATGAGTCATTCATTACATTAGTCATTAAGTATTATGGATTTTAATGAAACAATCAATAAAACAAAATAGTATAAAAATTTAGTAGTTGTTAGACAAGTTTTAATTTAATTAAAACTTTAATTTCTTTGGTTGTTCCCATGGGTTTTCTTGGTTAGTGAAATGACCATAAGAAGCAGTCTTGAAATAGATTGGTCTAGCCAAGTCTAATTCTTTAACAATAACACCTGGTCTTAAATCAAAGTTCTTCTTAATGATAGCAACCAATTCATCAGAAGAATAACTTGAAGTACCATAAGTATCAACATAGATAGATAATGGTTCAGCAACACCAATGGCATAAGAAAATTGAACTAAAGCTCTTCTAGCTAAACCAGCATTAACTAAAGATTTAGCAACCCATCTAGCAGCATAAGCAGCAGATCTATCAACTTTAGAGAAATCTTTACCAGAGAAAGCACCACCACCATGAGCACCCCATCCACCATAAGTATCAACAATAATCTTTCTACCAGTTAAACCAGCATCACCTTGTGGACCACCAATAACAAATCTACCAGATGGTTGAATGTGGTAAATGGTTCTTTCATCTAATAAATGTTCTGGAATAACACTTTGAATAATATGTTTAATAATTTCTGATCTTAAATCTTCAGTGGTAATACTATCAGCATGTTGAGTTGAAATAACAATGGTATCAACTCTCTTTGGAATAACAGCTCCACCATCCTTTTCATATTCAACAGTAACTTGAGTTTTAGTATCAGGTCTTAACCATGGTAAAGCACCAGATCTTCTAGCAGAAGCTAAAGCAGCATTTAATTTATGAGCTAATAAAATAGTTAAAGGTAATTTTTCATCAGTTTCATCAGTAGCATAACCAAACATAATACCTTGATCACCAGCTCCTAAATCTTCTAAAGCCTTTTCATAATGTAAACCTTGAGCAATATCTGGAGATTGTTGTTCAATAGCAACTAAAACATTACAAGTCTTATAATCAAAACCTTTTTCAGAATCATCATAACCAATATGTTTAATAGTATCTCTAACAACTTTTTGGAAATCAATTTGAGCTTTAGTAGTAATTTCACCGAAAACCATAATCATACCAGTTTTAGCAGCAGTTTCACAAGCAACTTTTGATAATGGATCAACGGCTAAACAAGCATCTAAAATAGCATCAGATACTTGATCACAAATCTTATCTGGATGACCTTCTCCGACAGATTCGGAAGTGAATAAAAATGTTTCCTTAGCTGATGTCATTTTAACTATTGACTGACTTAACTACTAACTAACTACTTGAGATAATGATAACAAGTTGTAGACAAGTAGTAAAAAAAATTTTATCAATGGTGAAAAATTCCCGTATATATATTAATTGACTGAGTCCTGCATAATTGGCTGGGCGAGCGCAGAGCCACAGTGAAAAAAAAAAATTTGGGTGGGCGTGGGTTAATTTCTTTTTGTCAACGCACGTGAGCTATACGAGGGAAAAAGCCATAAACATAAGCATGTGAAAAAGGAATGGGCCCAACAAAGCGGGCATGTGATGGGGATCATGTGACAAGAATAAACAAAGAAAGAAAGAAAAACGCGTAACCACTAAAACGCGATTCCCATCCCAATTAGGAAAGGAGGCAGTTTGGCAGCCCTTCCTGCCCTTACAAATTGACGGTCATTACCATAACTCACTAAGTATCACCACCAAACTAAGTACGTATCACCACCAAAACGCAGTAGAGATGGACCTCCTCAGTGCCATCGACGAGTTGGAGCCAGCCAACCAATTAGATTCATCGGATGAGTCGAGTCTGTCAGAGGCAGAACCACAACCACAACTACAACCACAAGTTGACCACGATAGTGTTCTTGCTGGAATTAAACGGCGTCTACAATCTATACCAGAAACTTTCAATTTAGGCACTTCTATACTAACTCAGGCTGTTCAGAAACTTCCTCAATTGGCAGTGGATGAAAGTGAATTTGAGGCACAAGATGCACAAGATACCCAGCCAATTGACAGAGTTATACAGCCAATTGACAGAGTTACTGATACACAACCAATTAACAAAATCACCGAATCCGATAAAGAAAACTATCAACCATTATCAAAAGAAGCTCGACTTGCCAAAATCCAACAATTGGCAGCCATAAAGAAACAACAAAGACTCGAAAGAGAACAACAAGAAAAGGCTAAAGCTGATAAAGATCAACAATTACATGATGAATTAACTAAATCTACATTAACTGATGAAGAAAATGATTTAAACGATATTAATGATTCAATAGTATCGAATGCCAATGCCAATACTTCCGATCATATATCTACTAAAGAGCTTTTACAAGCTGAAGAATTTCTTAATATTCAAAAGAGACATCGAGATATTCGACCGGAATTTCAAAAGAAAGTGGTATTTACCAAGGAAAAGTTATTGAATGCCTTTGAAGATGATGAAAATCCCGAAAAGCCCAGTTCTCCATTAGATCTTGAACCAAATAATGTATCAAGTCCTCATACTTCACCAGTACAAAATAGATCAAAATCAAATAATTCTCATTCTAATTCTAATTTTAATTTGTCATCATCCGATGAAGAAGATGAAGAACTCGATGTATTAGCACTAATTAATAAGAAACCAGTCATTCCTCCCCCCACTCAAAGTAAAAATCCAATAGAACGTTATGCTCAAGATTTAAAGAGACAATTACTTTCTTCACCAACTAAATCAGATCAAGAAGATTCAACTCCACTAAAGCAAAAGATTAATCAAAAAGTTATAAATTTAGATGATTCAGATTCAGATACTGAACTTAATCCATTATCTTCTCCACTTTCAAACCAAAACCAAAACCAAAATTTAAATTCAATATCAACTAATAAAAATAAACCAAAATTTATTATACCAGAATTATCAAAAGATCAAAAGATAGCCATTAAACAAAAATTCTTTAAAAAGAAGTTAATGCATGAAAATAAATTACCTCTGAATATTGTATTTCAAAATTTAGGTCATAAATCAATTGCCAAAGATTCTAAAGATTTCTTTTTAGATTTACAAAGGGCCAATATAATGCAATTAAAAGCCAATAAATCTACCAATACTGATAATGTAATATTAGAAGAAATGGAAAAGGATGAAGAAGTAATGGGATCTTTATTAGAACAAGAAATGGAAAGAGTTCGGAGGATTCGAATGAGAGAGAAATTACGTGAAAAGGCTAAATTGGCACTTTTAGGTAAGAAATCTAATGATGAAGAAGATGATGAAGATGATGAAGACTTTAATGAAGATGGAAATGTACCAGAAAGTGATGTACCAGAAAGTGAAGTTCCAGATAGTGAATATGAATCAGATAATGTATCAGAGAATGGATCAGGTGAATCACATGCCGAAGAAGAAGATGAAGAAGTTCTTAGCAAAAGAAAGGCTAAACGAATCATCTTATCAGAAGATGAAGAACCAGCTCAAGATATTCGATATGATGATAGTTATATGTTTGGAGGGAAAAGAACTAAAGAACTGGATAATAAATTATCTCCTGAAGAATTAATTACCACTGGAGAATCCTCTCAAACTTTTAAAATTGATAGTACATCTACTCAAATTATTAATGATCATGATGATGATGATGATGATAATAATTCAAGAATTATGGATAGAAATGATAGTTATGTATTATTTCAAAATTTAAAGCCAAGAGATAATACATCGCAAGTAACTGAAATTGAAGATTTAAATAATAAATCATTTACTGAATATCAAGCAGCTTTACCATCATTTAAAGAAATCAGTGCTCCAAATACTCAAAATGATTTAACATATACTCAAGTAGATAGTATGATTAAAACACAAGTTGATACTTTTGAATCAACACAAATTGATCAAGAAACTCAAGTGATTGTTAAACCAATTCAACCTGACGAAGAATATGAAGAAGATGATGATATTACCCCATCAAAAGTTAGATCAGGAAGAAAACTTGTAAGAAAGAATCAACCGGTTTTGAAAGATATAGGTGAAGAAGAAGAAGCAGAAGAAGAAGAAGAAGAAGAAGAAGATCAAGAAGCTATACAATTGAAAATTAAGATGTATGAAGAGAAGATCAGAAGACAAGAACTTAAACAACGTAAAAGAAGAAAAGAAATGGAAAGAAGAGGAATTAAAGATATGGTTGAAGGAGAAGCTGAAGAATCCGAAGATGAATGGAAAGGATTAGGAGGTATTGAAGGAGAATTATCTGATCAAGCTAATTCCGAAGATGAAAGAATGATTGATAATGATTTGAATATTGATTTAAAGGATGAAGAAATCCGAAAGAAATTTATGGAAGAGTATCAAATTAAAGATCAAAAGGAACTTGAAAAATTATTAGATGATATTAAAAATCATCGATTAACTAAGAAAGTTGGGAATGGATTAGATTTAGAATTAAGTGATGAAGAAGATCAATTATTAGCAGCCTATAGAAGACAACGATTGAAGGAGCAACGAGAAAGATTGGCTGAAAGTAAACAAGTACAAGCTTTACTTAAGAGTGAAAAGGCCAAAGCATTTTTCAAGGAAGAAGCACCTACGGTTATTCGATTAGATGATTCAGATGAAGATTCAGAAGAAGGTGAAGAAGGAAAGAAAGAAGACGAACAACAACAACAAGAAGAAGAAGACGTAATACCTGCGAAAAAGACCATCAAAGTCGGAGAAGCCTTTGTTCAACGACAATTATCTTTCTTACATAAGAAGAATGATAATGATTATGACCATATTCAAAGGATTTCCAATATGCAACATGGATTTATATCATCTGATGAAGATGCCATTGATATTAAAGAATTAAAATCTAAAAGTTTAAGTAATTTAACTAGTAAACGATCGGAAAGTCCACCAGTTGAATTAGAAACTAATTCCCGAAAGAGATCAATTGAATCGACTATTGATACTGATGTAGATGATGATGATGATGAAGATAATGTAGATGATAGTTTTATGCCCTCATTTAAAAAACCATCAATCATTAGTTCATTTAAATCATTCCAAGAACAACAAGGAATTCTGATTAAAGATGGTAAAAAGCATTTTTCAGGAGTGACTATTAGTAAACAATATAAAGTTGCCTCAGGATCTAAGGCATCAATTACATATATGTCAAAGAAAGGATCCAATAAATCCAAGAGTTTAAAGGAGAGAAAGATTCAAAGAAGTCTTAATAGCTCTCAAAGTCAAGTTAAACGAATCTTCACTAATGAAGGATTTGAATAGAGTAGATAAAAGTCAAAGTATTTATGTATATTAATAATTAATGCATTATAGAATTAGAATTAGAATTAGAATTAGAATTAGAATTAGTTCTAATTAAACAAATCAAGAGTCATACTGACCTTGAATATTTGTTTAATTGTTTATTTATTTATTTGTTGTCTATTCCAATAAACTTTGAGATAAGGCTTCTCTTAGTGATTGATGACTAACTTTACTCATGACAGGTTTTCGGAATACCGAAGATTCACCATGATGAATAATTGTAGTATGGTTAGGACCAATGGTGAGACTTGAAGAATAAGCTCCTCCATTAGGTTTAGGAATTCTAATAGGTAATCTCTTTGATTGATTGTCATTAGGGATTGAGATTGAGATTGAAAGAGATTTAGATTTAGATTTATCAAATTGACGAGATCTCCTCTTGAGATCTCTAATTTTATCAGGAGTTCCATTAGAATTAGAATTAGATTTAGAATTAGATTTAGACTTAGATTTAGTAGGAGGTGTGGGAGTACTCACGAGATTCATGAGACTATCGGTAAGAGATTTACCAAAGAATTCTATAGTATTGGTGGTGGTAGTGGTAGTGGAACCATCAGAAGTTGTAGAAGGATCTCTCTTGGGAGATATTAGTGATAAGCCAAAGAGAGACGAGAAGTTAGTGGACTTTGAATTTGATTTTGACTTTGTAGGAGTTGAAGGGGTTGAATTTGAATTTGAAGAACTTGTGGGAGATGGAGACGGAGACGGAGGGGCAGCCATCTGTTTCTTAATGTTCTCATTGGCTAAGATGATATCACTAAGTTTCCGTTTAGGATCATCATCTTCAAAGGTGACTCGTTTCTTCTTTCGAGAGTAGATGGGTTCAGTAGTCTCGGTAGCCAATTCGAATTGAGACGTACTGAGATGGATATTCTCTATGGGATTATGAATTCTATAAGTTTGGGGATGTGGTGGAGGTGGAGGTGGAGGTTCTTCAAAGGCTTCACTTAAGAAACTATCAAACGATGAAGATTTCCGAAGTATATTGGGGAACAGTTGCTGGAGATCGATATGAGATTTCCGGAGATAATTCTCAAATGTATCACTTTGTAGATGTTTGGTAGTCATGGTAGTGGGGGGTGATATCGTAGACACTTCCGAGCATATGGATAAGTTATCTAATTCTATAGTTGAATTTAAATTAATAGAAGCTGTTTCTGGTTCTGGTTCTTCTAATGCAGGAGAATGATGTAGATCATGAAGATTTCCAAAACTTATAAAGTGTTTAAGACGATTGATTCGAAGTTGTTCATCGTTATCGGGAGGTGTTGGAAACGCAAAGAGTCCTGAACTATTGGCTTCAGGCAATGAATTGGATCGGTGATGTTTATAGTTGCAGTTGTAGTTGTAGTTGTAGTTATAGAACTTCTCTGATCCCGGCAGTGTTGGCAATGTAGCGATAGTTTCTGTATCTGTATCTAATTGATTGGTAATACCCATATCTAGATTGAGGTTTAGGTCGAGGTCTAGATCTAGATCACTATTGTTAAGTAGTGATGAATTATTAGTACTACTAGACAGAACCAATTCAGGGACACTATTAGAAGTACTATTACTATTAGTAGTAGTATTACTAGTAGTATTATTATTACTATTAATAGTACTATTATTATTATTATTACTGGTACTAATACTGACAGGATTGACATTGAATATCCCGGATAGTCTATACTTGGATTTCCGTTTATACACTTTCTTACTATTACATCGTATAGGTTTTAATTGTAAGTTGGATACAGATATCTTATTCGATATAGGTTTGACTATAGTTGTTGTAGTGCTAGTGGTACTGGTACTGGTATCATTGATGGTGGATATACTCTCATTATGCGATAGTTTATCAAGAAGGAACTTATACTCCTGAGCCAAATTATCAAAGGTTGCAAGATTGGTAAGATGATCATTCGAAGTTATGGAAGTTTCAAGATAAAAGGCCTTTTCGTAAAGATTGGTAAACTCTCGAACATACGTATAGTTATTTTCCATTTGATGAGTTATATCATCGACTTCTCGATTGAGTTGAGTAATGGAATGACTAAAGGTATTTAGGAGACTGGAAGTTTGACTGGCAGTAGTGAATACTTGATTAGATTTGTGTTCGAGGGAATTGACAAGAGCACATATCTGATCAAGTCGTGAAGTGTCCATGGTGGTAGAACTAGTAAATTGAGTAGTCCTAGTAGATGAGGTGTTAGAAGGGGTCTAGTAGATGAGGGGTCTAGTAGATGAGGTGTACTAGATGGTAGTGATACTAGATGGTGGAGTGCTAGGTACTAGTGTACTAGTATAGTACTATGTTAGAGTAATTAGTAGTAACTAATAGTAACTAATAGTAACTAGAGAACTAAGAACTCTTAATAACTGTTAGTAACTCTTAATAACTTTTGTAACACTAACAGACAGTCTCTTATGGTAACTATAGAGATCAGTGTTGATAAATTTGCAATTTTATAAGCTTCTGTGCAGGAGGCATCAAAACAAAGGCTTAATTTGTTTATTTACGACACTAAAGGGGAACTACCCATTTAGGCAAGAGGGTATCCGCATCCGAAAAAAGACAAAATACGGCTGCAACCGGTAGTGGGTAGTGCGACATAATATTCACAATTACAACCCTACATATAAACTTAATATTTAACATGACATTACTATACAACTAGAAAATAAACGTTTAAGATTTAACTGTACTATTTAAACTGTAACTGTAACTGTAATCTTTAAACTGTATTATTATTCTACTCTTTACTCTTTACTCTTTACTCTTATGCTTCTTCTCTTTCTTATCCTTCTTATCCTTCTTATCCTTCTTCTCTTTCTTCTCTTTCTTTAATAACTTATTTTCATACTCTTCTTCCGTGGGTGCTTCATAATCCTTTTGTCTTTCTTGCTTTCTTATTTCACTAACTTCTTCTTGTTTTTCTCGCTTTTCATGTAATTGTTTTAATGCCTTTTCTTTCTTACCTAAGAAATATTCACCACTCTCAATTTGTAAATCAATCTTTCTAGGAGTTGGAGCAGGTGGGAATGGAGTATAAATTTTCTTTTCTCTTTTAGATGTTTTACTCTTCTTACGAGCAATATTTCTTTTCTTAAAACTGGGTAAAAATCTCGACCAATCTTGTTCAGCTAATTCAGGCTTTTTAGATAATTCTTGTTTAATCATTAATTCTTTAATATAATAAATTGGATGAACATTTCTCATACAATCTTCAACTATTCTACGAACTTCTTTTAATCCTTTAAATGGTCCCATAGCACTAACAGTATTACCTTGAACTAATATATAACATTTAGTTAATAATTCCATTGCCTTTAATGTATTCCCATTAGGTCCAACTAATCTTTGTCTTCTTTTAATAAATCGATCTTTATTAGCAACAAAATTCCCAATCTTAATAACATCACATGCAACATCGTCTTGTAAAATTTTAACGGCTTGTGGAAATGGAACTGATCTAGCTAATAATTTAATTAAATCTCTAGCTTTTAAAATTATAGCTGGATCAAATGTTTTAGTAGTGGTTTTAACTGTCATAGATCCTTCAACTAAATTTAATTCACATTTAATATAATGTTTATCTAAAGCTTTAGTTACTTCACTCCATATACTTTGTAAATATTGTTCTCTATATTTAGGGAATAATGTCATAAATGTGGATTCTTCAGCAAAATGAAGTCCTGATGCATTATCTTCAGGTTTGAACTCATCAATCTTCCACTTATCCACATCGGGTGTATCCCATGGCTTATCACGATTATAACTAGAAACCATATTTTACTACTACTTTATTTTGTTGTATGTATCTATTAACTATGAGTTCATGATATTATTCATAGACTCGATATTGGAGATGAGCTTTTTCACTTACTAAATTTTTTTGTGGGGGACTGCATATAGTGCACACTAAATTTTTTTTACTTAACTAAAATGAGATGAGGAATACGACAATCAGTAGTAGTAATAGTGATATATAACAAGAACGAATAAGATGGCACTGAAGGTTAAAAAGTCAGGAAGTATACGGCAAGAAGTACTTAAGAGTAACAAAGTGGGGAAGAGTGGGAAAGAAAATGGTAAACAGAAGAAGAGTTTGAAAATAACCAAAGCACAATCTAAAGCAACTAAGATAAAGATTGATAAATTAAATGCTAATGTTGAAGAACTTAATGAAATTACACAATTACTTGGTAAATCTCTTGATAAACCTAAGAGTGCATTGGATGTGAAGAGTTTGAAGGAAGGATTAAAAGAGGATGAGAAGAGTAGAGCACAAAATAAATTGGTTGATCAAGATCTTACCAATCAATTAGAGTTGCTTACAGGTATGGGGCTCTGAGATTGGAGAGCAATATAGGAGTCATTTACTAATGATAATGATCTGATGACTTAATATAGTCAGTGCTAGTATAGTCAGTGCTAGTATAGTCAGCGGTATAGCCAGTGCTGTAGTCAGAGGTATAGTAGTACTAGTATAGTCAGTGCTAGTATAGTCAGTGCTGTAGTCAATGATAGTATAGTGAATACGAATACTTTGCAGTGCTAGTATAAGTACTTATGTGCAAGTCAGTTGTCTATGCTGTTTTCCAGTGGAATGTACAGGATATTTTTTGCATCTGTTAGATTGAGTGAGATATACCATCGCCTCGAGGAAGTCACAACGTTGGATTGCAGAATGGAGTATAGTAGAGATGTTGTAATAGTAACAGTATACAGAACAGTGTACAGAACAGTGTACAGAACAGTAGAGTATACAGTATAGTATACAGTATATAGTATAGTATACAGTATAGTATAGTATACATTATATACAGTATAGTATGAGATCATTTACGGAGTACACATAGTAATAGTAACAGTAATAGTAATAGTACAAATAACACAAACAATACAATAGTAATGGAATAGTAATACCATAGTAATAATAGTAATACCATAGTAATCCCATAATAACACAAACTCATCCCTCACTACCACCCTTTCCCTTTATTAAATGCATACTCGGCTATCTCATTGACGAAGACGATCATTAATATGCCCAATTAGGAAAAGTGGACTTGTCGACCCACTGCCGCAAAAAGGAGGTGCCTTAAAATAATTATATTATTCCCTTAAAGTTCAGGACGCGTCGCGTTTTCTCGCATAGTAAAAAATTTCAATTTGAAATGTAAATACATTTCTGGCCACATAGCACGACTTTATCCAAATTTCACTAAAACTCCAAAACTTTTATAAAACTCCAACAAACACCCTCCCTCCCAATTAGTTCCGTGTAATTAACCATTGACCGAGTAGATTTGAGTACAGAGAAGAGTGTGATATCAAAATCAAATTCAAAATCAAATATGTCATATCACTCAAGACAAAACTCCTTAGCCACCATCGGTAGTACATCTCATAATCATCCTCAGAAGATTGGACCATGGAAGTTAGGCAAGACTTTAGGCAGTGGAGCTACAGGACGAGTGTTGTTGGCTACGCATCAGCTTACGGGCCAGAAAGCAGCCGTCAAGGTAGTCAGTAAATCAGAATTACATGATGAAGAAGTGCCTCATAAGAGATCGGCTGATGATGCTGGATTACCTTATGGAATTGAACGAGAGATTATAATTATGAAATTATTAACTCACCCAAATGTATTACGATTATATGATGTATGGGAAACTTCTAAGGCACTTTACTTAGTATTAGAATACGTTGAAGGAGGAGAATTATTTGATTTATTGGTGGAAAGAGGACCCCTTGAAGAAGTCGAAGCTATAAAGTATTTTAGACAAATTATCTTAGGAACAGCTTATTGTCATGCATTGGGGATATGTCATCGGGATCTTAAACCCGAGAATTTATTATTGGATGCTTCATTAAATGTTAAATTGGCCGATTTCGGTATGGCTGCTTTAGAAAGTAATGGGAAATTATTAGAAACTTCTTGTGGATCTCCTCATTATGCTGCGCCAGAAATTGTTAGTGGATTAAAGTATCATGGAGCTGCTTCGGATGTCTGGTCATGTGGAGTCATTTTATTTGCTTTATTAAGTGGAAGATTACCCTTTGATGATGAAAATATTCGAAACTTATTACTAAAAGTTCAGGCTGGAACCTTTGAAATGCCCGAAGAAATCAGTCCTCAAGCCACGGATTTGATTAGGAAGATGTTAACCGTTGATCCCCTCAAGAGAATCCCTACTGAACGCATTTTAAACCATCCTTTATTAACGAAATACCCTATTCCTAGTGAGGATCTTATCAGTGTGAAATCGTTACCTCATCCAGAAACGGCCTATAAATCTTTAGGATCTATAAAGAATATCGATAAGCAAATCTTACTGAATTTATCGATCTTATGGCACGACAGAGACGAACAAGACATTATCAAATGTCTCTTAAAGAATGGGCCTAACCCCGAAAAGACCTTCTATGCTTTATTAATGAGATATAGACATAATCAGGATGATCCTTCAGTCCAGAACACTCCGGCCCGATCTCGTTCAGGGTCTAGAAAGGCCACAGGCACTCCGAAAAAGAAGAGACACAGTCAGATCAGTGCTTCTAGACCGACATCTTTCCAGTATAAACATGGAACCACCACCACCACCACCGGCAATAGACTGTCGGCTATCAATGGACATAATGGAAGAATACTGGCCAGTTCAAGTGTGCAGAACTCTCCTCGAAAGAGATTATCGTATACACAGTCTCCCTATAAGTCTCCCTATAAGTCTCCCTATAAGTCTCCTAGAAGATACCAACAACAATATGAAGACACTACTCGAATCCCCGTAGTGCCTAGAAACATATATAATGAAATCATTCAACATCAGCAAGTACCTCAAGCTCCTCAAGCTCCTCAAGCACCAGCTTCAACGTCCAGTTCATATCCCTCCATGCCTCCTTCTTTACCATCTAAAGACAGTTATTTGGCCCAGAGCAGAACGTCTATCTACCAGCCAAAGGAAGCACCTGTGCCTGAGTTAATGAACTCTGCCAAGATTGATAACAATATCAATAACAATATCAATAACAACAATAAGAGAAGCTCAGTCATCAAACGTAGTGGATCCAAAAACCGGTTATCGAAAAGAATGTCCATGAGACTTTCTATGACCAATGGACTAAAGAGAAACTCCATAACCACCAAACTTTTATCTACCTATGCTAAATTGGCAGGCGACAGTGATTGGGAATATGTTGATAAACAAGCCAAAAGAACATCGGCTACGTTTGCAACTCTCTGTGACAAGATCTTCAACCAAGAAGAGTATAATGAAGACGATGAGAATCTTATAGATGAAGAAGAGAAACAAGCCAAAGAGTATGAGAGACTCATGGAACTTGAACGTAAGAAATATGAAGCGGAGTTACGAGCTCGAAAGGAATTAGAAAAGAAGAAGAGGAGAGAGAAGAGACGGTCTTTATTGAGTTCGAGAAAGTTGAGTATACTCATTCGAGACGATACTAAAGATGAAGCAGCCAATAATAGTGATATAGACATTACTGATAATGGTATTAGACAACCAAAGAGACAGTCGAAGTATGCGCCTGCTTTGAGATCATTATCGGAAGGCAATAGTAACAGTAACAGTCAAGACACAGATGAATTAACGAGAGCAGATCTTGAAGACCTCAAGCGTCGATCAGTCACTCAGCCAATCCCCAGAAGAAGACAGACTCCAATCTTAACCAGAAGACCCGTATCCAAATTGGATCCGTTATGGCAAGCGTATGAAAATGAAGAGTTGAACAAAGCGCAGGATGATTTAGAACATGAATGGAGACAACAGAACATGAAGAAGAGTCATAGGAAGTCTCACAGAGAGTCTATGGTTCATAAGAGTAGTAGAAATAGTACTGGCAATAGTACTAGTCGTAATAACCGAGATTCAATGATCTCTGTGATTGACGATCATCGTAGTAATGGTAGAGTTGCTAAGGATGACGATTATGAAAATGATCCTGATTACGAATTGCCAGAACCTCAGATGGATAGATCGAACTTAGCCGAAGAATATCAGTCGGAAATCAAAAAATCTCGATTACTAAATAGTCAATTAAACTTAAAGGGCAGTCTAGTTAAGAAAGATACCGTCAATGAACCCAAGACATTAATTGGTAATGTTAAGATTCCCAATGTTACTCGAAAGTCTCGGAATTTCACTAATTCTAATAAGAGATTATCGGTATTATCGATGTATTCTACTAAGGAATCATATCATGATTTGAGTTCCATCTTAAGTCCTCATCCTGATCATGATCATAATCATAATGATCATGAACCCAATGGGACTTTACCTGGATTAAGAACTAGTTTTGCTGATCGATTAGATAAGGCAGGAATGGTTGAAGAAGATGATGAGGATGAAGCTCCATTAGATGAAGGGTCTATTTTAGATTTTGATGAACATCTTGCTAACAAAAGAGTGTCTTATTATGGACCTTCAAGTAGTAGAAGAAATTCTCGATATAGCACTATTAGAAATGGTAGTAATACCACCACCAAAAGACCTTCCTCTAAATTGCCTCATTTACCTAATGAAGATACAGAAGAAGAGGTCGATGATTATACTTTTGCAACTAAGAATGATAGTGTTCATAATAGAAAGAGTCATGGATCCAGTAAACATCACTCTAAGCATCATTCAGATGATGAAGATGCCGATGGAGATGTAACGGATGTGTTTGACCATATTAAATTACCCGATAATAAATCACAGAGATCGAGTCAACCACCCAGAAAGACAAAGACTAAATCCATGTTACCCAGTGCCGAATCCATGTTAATACCGGATGTTCAGAAGATGCCACCTCAACCGCAACCTTATGCAAAGGTTCGTAAACCCAAGCCTTCAACTCATAATGGGAATGGTAATAGTACTGGTAATGCTAATGGAAATGGTTTACCAACACCAACCAGTGGTAAGATTCCTTTAGCCGATACTACTAATAGACCTAATGCCGAAGATAAACGATCTAGAAGTATATTTAGAAAATTATCTTGGGGATCTAAAAAGACTATGGAAGATGGAGTAACTCAATTACCATCGCCAGCCGATTCTCGAGCTGGATCTATTGAAGTTAAGAAATCTTCAGGAGGAGGAATGTTTGGTTGGTTATCTTCGTTATCTACTAGTTCGAAATTAGAGGCAGATTTTAAACGGTTCAATGCCATTTTACCAAAACATGAAATGGCTACTGCCTTATTTGCATTATTAAATTCCTGGTCTAATTTTGGATTAAAGGATTTAAGAAATGATTTACACAGTTATACCATAACTGGATCTATATCACGTAATAATTCATTTAATTTAAAGAGTTGTAAATTTAGAATTAAAGTTAATACTCGAGACTTTAATCAAAAGTCGGAAATTGTTTGTGTTAGAGTTAAGGGGTCAAGAGCTACTACTGATACTTTATTTAGAGAGATTGAGAAAGTATTACGTAAAGAAGGGGTTATGGACGAATAGATATTGTAGTTGTACTTTTAGTTATTGTAGTATAGTATAGTATATATGAAATCGTTTGTTTCAATAAATTATAATTATAATTATTCAATAAAATCTGGTGGTAGTGGTTGTAAGGGAACCATACCTCCTTTCTACACAATTAGTTAATCAGTTTCATTACTGACTTCAGCTTCAACTTCAACCTCAGCTCCAGCTCCATTCTCAATTACAAGCACAATCTTATGATCTTCATCAGTATTACCTTGTGGTGATGATGGTAATGGTGATGGTAAAGTTCTCTGAGGAATGAATGTAGGACCAATAGTTCCAGTAACTTCTCCATAACCCCATTGAGTTATCATGGATGTAAAAGCCGTAGCCAAAGCAATCTCATTATCAACTTTATCTTCATCTACTAAGACTTCAAAATCTAATTTAAATTGTCTCATAAGTTTAACTTTGGCAACTCGTTCTCTGGTTTCTTCAATTCCTCCATTAGGATTAATAACTTTTTCTAAACATTTTGAACCAGTTGTCCATGAATGTTTAGCTCCATCATTAAGGTAAAAGCTTCTAAAGGCTCCCTTTAAACTAATATCTGTAACTATATCTCTATGAGTTAATCCAACTTTATTATGGAAATCAATTGATCTAGAAGTAAATCCAATAAATAATGTTGCAACTTCTAATCTTTGAGGATAAGTTAACATAGTCCAAACAGGATTCATTGAAGATAATCTTTCAAATGAATATATTTGATTACCATTTCCATCAAATACTCGAATATGACGTTGTTTATCCTTTCTATTTTGACGAACAAAGTATTGAGTTGGATATGTGGTAAGGGGGATAACAGAAGCAGCGGAGATTTGTAAATCTAATATATCACTTAAATATAACTTATCTAATACATAAGAACCAGCGGTAAGACCAGCGGTTAAAGTGTGAACAGCAGATGCTTGTAAGATATGAGCCATACTGTATTAGCTAGACACTTACAATTACAATAACAATAACAATTGAAAGCAAAGAGACTTGAAGTGATGGTAATAGTTATAGTTATAGTAATAGTAAAGAAGAAGAAGAAGTAACAGTAAATTTGCAATAGTTAACAATAATTTTGCAGCCCTCTTTATAGTGCGCTTAGAAAAAAATACTTAGACCCTTATTACCCTTAACTATGGAGAATATACATACTAATGCACATTGTTATATTAAATGATTATATATAGATTAAAATGACTATGGATAAATATACTGTGTAGTAGAACTAAATAGGAAATGTTTTTGTTATTGTTATTTATTGGTTATGTTTATTAGAAAATACCCCAAACATCTTCACAACCATGACAGAATTTAGAACAAGCAACTGATGCAGATAATGGATATTCAGAAAGTCCAATCTTTTCATCAACAAATTCATCAGCAAAATTATCTTTACCTCTAGCCATAGCTCCAACAAATACACATATACTTTCATCTTCATCTAATGTAGATACAAAATCTTGAACTCTTCTAATTTCAGCATCAAATGATAAAGTAACTTTACGACATTTAGTTGGTAAATGATCAGTAATTGGATTCTTAATAACTTTTAATAATTTTTCTTCAGAATTAACTGATCGAATACTTAATTTATGTAATAATTGAACCATTAATCCTGAAAATCTTTTAAAAGTTCTTGGAATTCTTACACTTGGATTAACCTCTATTAAAACTCCTCTAGCTGTATGTATATAAACTTGTAATTTTCCAGCTTTATTGATTGGAGAATCTAATAATGTTAATAAACATTGATGAGTAATATCCGGTCTTGCTTCAGCAATATCTCTACCCATTTTTCTTAATAAACCTTGATGATCATCACAATTTAAAAGGGCATATTTATCACCTCCTGGACCTCCAGTATTCATTTTATGAGTCTCAAGACATGCTTGTGATAATACAACTATTAATCTTTTAGTATCTTTATCTTTTGAACTAAGTGGTGTTGGTTGTACAGGAACAAGTGATGCTGGAGGTGCTGATACCTTTTCCTTTTCTTCTTTAGTTGTTGAATTGTTATTAGTCATTCTAATTTTATTTTTTGATTTATTATTCTATTTACTTAACACTGCTGTTCCACTAACAACTACTTAAGTCAAAGCTATAAAAAGTCTTATTTAGTAATGTTAGTGATTTATCAATTTTACCTGGAAAATCTACTGGGATATTTGAAAAGAATTTTTTTAAGGTTTTCTATGATGATGTTCCGACCGACCGAGGGTGCGCCGCTCACGTGCTGTCGGCCCGGATCTCGCTTCAAATATCTAGATCTGGCTAACTAAATTTACGACTTTAATCATAAAGGGAAACTTGCAACCGTTACTCCTTTAAGTAATGGAAATTGAAGAATGTCAGACTTCAGTGATGATGACGATGATGAAATTCTTCAAGCCATTCTAGCGGGTAGAGCCAATGTGTCTAATAATAAAGTTATACTAACACAACCAGTCATACATGGGCAATCACGAGAAGCACCACCACCACCACAACCACAACCACAACCACAACCACAACCAGAACCACATAATGAAAACGATATGAAAGGTAAATTATACGCTGCGGAAGGAGAGGTGGCGATACTACGAGCTCAACTAGAACAGGTTCAACGGGAAAGATTCGAAGAAGTCAGTAAAGTCCGAGACACTTATAATCAATTTAAGAAGAATGCTGATGATCAAGTGATCACATTAAAGCATGCGGTGCAGAAGTTAGAGGATGAGAAGAAGTTCTTAAACAATGAATTAAAGTCACACACCTATACTAAGAAAAGGAAAATCACTTCGACTATAGACGTATCTAATTCAAATATAACTACAGATGATGAAACGGTGACTCCTCAAACTAGTCACATATCACTTACTGATTATAAGACTCCCACCACCACTCAAGTACGTGCAAGTGAACGAGAACGGGAGCGAGAAAGAGAAAGGGAAAGAGAACGAGAACGAGAAAGAGAAAAGGATGTGAAGTGGCAAACCAGAGTTCGCCAACAACAATCCATCCAACGGATCATAAAAGTTCAAAATGATTCGTCACTATTTGCTGATCAGATTTGGAATCATTGTATTATAGGAAGCAAAAGAACCACACTAAGTTATCTTAGTAAAATTAGTGTAGATTTCTATGAAGATATTAAAGATTTAAAGATTAAAAGACGTATCCCCATTTCATCATCCATATCAGAATATATAATGTTGAAGAAGACTCTACGACTTGATCAATTAATTAATGAATTTTGTATTTCATTAATTTGTTTAGTAGAAATCTTACTTGAACGCAAAGCCATTGTATCAATTCCCTTTCTACTTTCATTAATTCATTGTTCAATAAGTTTCCGACCAGCAGCCATTACAAAATCATTAATTGAAGAATTACTTATTAAATTAAATGGGATAACTGTTAAATTTTCATTTTTATTAAATTCTAATTTAAATGAAGAAGATTATATAAATTATCATGATGTACCTCATCAAATTATGTTACTTGAAAAATTTATATTTATAAGTTGTTTAGATATTATGGAAAAATTAGTAACTTATACTTCATTATATGATTCAAGATATATTGAAAAGATTTGGCAGAATAAGTATATTTCATTAGAATTATTTTCTAAATGTTTATCGGAAAATAGTGAACGATTTAAAACTTCAAGTCAAATTAATGTTCTTTATAATTTTGTTGAAATGTTAACCTCTTCAATAACTGAAGATACATTTGCATTTAATAATCATAAATCTTTATGTACTGATAATATTATTATAGAATCATTATTAAAAATCTTTCTCATAGATATTCCAATTAAAGATGATTTTATGTTTTATGGATTAAATCGAATTATTGGTAATAATATAGATTTTCTTAAGATAAATGCAACTGTACCAGAAGCAAAAGATATTGTTAATAATTTTATTATTCTTATACCTCAACCTATACCATTTGAATTATTAAATGAAAATAAAGATAATCAAATTATTCAAAATGAATTATATGTTAAACATGAATTTCATTCATTAAATTTAAGAATTAAAGTAGCCGATTTATTACAATCATTAATAATTACTAAACAAGTTGTAGAATTTCTTCAAACTAAAGAATATGTTAAATCACTTATAAGAATTATTGGATTTGAACAAGTTAATATTATGAAATCTCCTCGAGTTAAACATGTAAGTTTAAGAATTGATATAATATCAAAGATTTTAAAGATTTTAAATTATATAAGTCAAGATGTTCAAGATTTAAGTGAATTAGTTTATCCAGAAACTATGTATGAATTATTTGTAGTATTACTGAGAATTGCCTTTGGATCGGATTCATTATCTATAGATGCTCATAATTTATTAACTAAAATAAGAACTCGAGGTTATTTACATCAAACTATATTTAATGGTTGGAGTGAATTAAAAGCTCGAGAAATAAATCATTTAGATTTTTCAACTAATACTAATGATCTTCATACTCGAAAATTATTAGCAGATATTGAAAGTGATTACCCTAATGGACTTGAAATACCTTATGAATCAGAAACAGTAGAATTAGCTAGAGAATTACTTACTATATTTGCAACTCATGGAGAAGCAGATAATTTATATTTTAATATGAATTATGAAGTACATGAGGCAAAGAATGAAGAATTCGATGAGATGGAATTAGTAGAATAGAGTGAAAAAAAGAACTATTACATTATAAAAATTATTTAGTACTTTTATGTTACAAATGAATTATTTTTATATTGTTTGGGGAATGAAAGACATAATATACTTAAATAGAAAATCATAAATATAAATAATATGGAAAAGGTTTAGAATAAAACGGAGAAATTTCATAAAAAAATGAAATAAATCTCTAAATTATGTATATGAAAAGAAAATTAACTCTTAATTAAATTCCAATACTATTCCAACATGAAATGATAATTTATATTCAATGATATGAAAATGTTAATGTTAATTTTAACTTATTAATTCTATAATGATTTGATGAATCAAATTTAAGCAGATTGAGCCTTGGCAACACCAGTTTGGAAACCATTCTTGAATCTTCTGGAAACATGTTTCAAGTAAGCCATTCTACCGGTACCGGTAGTTCTTCTTCTCTTAGCTTTTAAAGCCCAGTTGTGAGATCTTAATTTAGCAGCTGGGTAACCACAAGAAGAACAGGTCTTCTTTTGGACGTGGAATGAACGACGACCACATCTGTTACATAAAGTGTGGGACTTGTTGTGACGTTTACCTAAAGATGGAGTACCTTCTGTAAAAGGTGTTAGTAAAGTTATTTTACATAAAATATTTGAGAACTAGGAAAGAATTATCCGAGAAGTTGAGTTGAGTTGAGTTGAGATGAGTTTGTTTACAGTTGGATGACAGTTGTTATAGGATATATTTGCATAATAATTTCGATGACTTGACTATGACTATGACTATGAATATATGTGAGTATTAAGATGAGTGTGAACTTACTTCCGATTTGGTGGTTGAATGTGTATCAACAATGTATGAAAAACAATACTATGGTTAAATAGTTGAATGATGAATGAATGACTAATGAATGAATGAATTCATAAACTGACCTATTGATATTCTTTCAGTATACTTCGTAACTCCACTCATTGTCTAGTGATACTAATCCACAACTCTGAACTCTAAACTCTTCTTCCATTAAACTCCCCAATGCTCTCATAGAAATGCTCGACATGATCCAAGCCATGCTTAAGACCATATCAACATCATTTGATCTCTACGTACTACCCATGTTGACTTAGTTATTTAATGTGATATAGTGAAAAGAGATATAATCAAAATTTTTATTAACTAGTTTTTTCTTCTATATGTTAAAATTTTCACTCACAAATTGGCATTGGGATTCTGTTGAGGTTTGGATGTCGCACTATAAATTGGGTGCCCCATAGTTAAGCAATGACCTTATTAAGTACTTAGTGCATTTTTGTGATAAACTTAGTAGTACAAATTTGATGGTGTGTATGCAGGTGATCGACAATCCATTATTTGAGAAAATTCGTGTCACGTGTAATATCCTCGTTTCTAGGTCTTCAACCCTAGAATAAAAGAAAAAACATAAAAGTAAAAGTAATGTGTGCGTGCGTGCGCATAGTCACCTGACCAAACACGAAACCTTTTGTGATAGTGTTATTGTTTATGCGACACGCAATGTTGCAAAATAATCCCATTAACTTAACGTGTACTACTAAGACTTCGTGACAACATTCCCTAATATCATATAGTAGTAATAAATAAAAGTTTAAAAAAACAGTACTGTAGTTGTAATTTTTTTATTAGATCCAATCACTTATCAATCATAGTAATAAATTGTTCAAAAATCATCAATCATTGACTATGTCTGCTAGTACTAATGGTCAATTCCCTCCATCATCTCCATTGATTAGCAATGAAGATTATGCAGTTGATGAAGACCCATTCACTTTTAAACCAAAACAATCATATGATGACATCTCAGACAAACACTTAGAAAGAGGAAGAACTTCAACAACAGAATATCCAACTCCAAATCCTTCTTCTGCTTTATTTAGATCTTCATCTCCGGCTCCTTCCAATAATATAATTTCCAGAAATGATATTGAAACTCAAACTCCTGAACCTCAACCACCTAAAAAGGTTACTTTCGATTTAGACACACAACATAAAGTCAGAATCAATAAGGATTTCAATATTTTAAATCCTGATGCAAAAGTTTCAAGAATTCCATTACTTGCTTCAAAGAGTCATATTACTATAGGTAGATCTTCAAAATCCTGTGATTTTGCTATCAATGCTAAAAATTCTTTCATCTCAAGATGTCACCTTTCCTTGACATATAATTCTCAACAAATTGTATTAAATTGTTTAGGACAAAATGGTGTTACTATAAACATTCCAAAACCTTGTTTTGTTTATGCAACTAATTCTGTTGATAATTATTTAGTCATGGAAAATAAATCTGGTAAACCTTTAAGTCTTAATGATTTGAAGTTAGTTAAATCTAAATCTATAAAATTAGATCAAAATTCTACTCAATTTTATATTAGAAGAAATGAAACTATTACTATTCCAAGATTAACAAATATTTTATTAGAAATATCTAATCTGGTGTTATTAATTAATCCGGAAGATGTTGAAGAAGATTTAACTGAAGATGAAATGCCCACATTAATAACTCCAATTAAATCAACTATCAAATCACCTCCTCAACCAAAAACTCCAAGTAAAACATCAAGTGAAATTAGAAATCAAACTGAACTTGAAGATAGTCAGAAACAAATTGCTCAAGCTGAAGTAGATTTACAAGAACAAGAACAAGAACAAGAACAAGAACACGAACACGAACAAGAACAAGAAATTGAACCAACTCCAAGTAAACCACCAATTCTTTTGCAACCAAACCCAAAGCCCATAACAAAATTCAAGATTTTCGAAGATGTTCAAAAAGAAGAAGAATATGAACCAACTCGTGTTCCAACACCAGAGGCTTCTATTAAGAGGCAATCAACTCCATTGAATGATAAATCTAATACTTTCAGCAATCCTGCTACACCAAAATTCAAAAGGTCGCAATCTGAAGAGCCACCAAAGCAAAAGAAGAAAAAGAAGAATGATCTTACTTCTGAACCATTACAGAAAGTTGAAATTAATCAAGAATGGATAGCAAGTATTGAAAATGTTGATGAAATTAATAATATATTAATTAATCACTTAGCCTTTTCAAGATTATCTTCAACTCCAGTATCATTTTTAAGAACCATAAGTGTAGTTACATCACGATTGGAATTAAATCAACTTAGAGTTGTATTACATAATGTGAAATGTATTGGAGTAATCTATAGACAAGGTAAAGATGCTGCTGGAAAACCATTAGAAGAAGAATATTATTATATGCCAGAAAATGATGATGATTTGGATAGAACCAAGTTAGTAGCTAATCTTAAGGGTCATCAAGGTTTAAGATCTTGTAGAAGAACTCATAAGCAATACTATTGGAAAAAGCCAGCTTCTAAAAAGTAAATAGCTTAAAAACTTATATTAATAATTCGAATCATTTGTATATTAGTTAATTAAATAAAGTTTATTACGTGAAATAAGAAATTTAATTTATGTATTTTGTCATATAGATTCAAGACTAGATGGGTATCTGCTAGAGGCGGTCAATTTATCATTGACTTTGTCTTCGTATGGATTAGTAAAAGGGTATCCATATTCATGTTTTTGAGCTAAGGATAAAGGCTTGGGAGAACTAATATGAGTTAGATCATAATGTGGTGGATCAGTGCCTTGTTTGTTGTTGTAGTCGTCTTGGGATCTATTATACTTATTTAGCCAAGTTTGTATACTTAAAATGCATAGACCTATCAAAATTTGAAGTACAAAGGTACTAAGGAATATAATACTTATGAAGAACTCTAACTTTATTGATTTCTTATAGACATTTAATATCCTGTTTATCAAGGTATTTAGATCTTGTGATAAGGGACTATTATTGCTCAATTGAGAAACTAAATCTTGCTGTAAATTAGAACCGATTGATGGAATATTTATCCTTAGATTATTATTCATCCATGTTAATCCCTGTTCAATTCTAACCAATTTTCTAACCAAAGTACAATAAACAACTGTTGATATAGTACTTTCTATTACTGGAACAGCACTGAATACATCTACTATAGTGTTGTTTAATCCACTAATAAATGTAGAAATCGTGGAATTTATAGATGAAGTGGTATTTAATATTTGCCCAAACAATTGTTGGTTGATCTGATCTTCTTCATCTTGAATAAATGTATTTATTTGATTAATAAAATTAGTAACTTCTAATGAGTTTGTAGTAGAATTTGTTTGTGTTAGAACTTCCTTGAAAGTATTCGATGATGAAATATGATTTGTTAATACTTTGATAATTATGAATTGCAATAATACTGATAATAATCCCAAACATCCTAAACCAAAAATAATCATACAATATTTAGTACTCAAATAGCTTATTAACCATTTTATCTTATGACTCTTGATTTTAAATATTGGATAACCCAAGTAATTCAAGAAGAAATTATTATACCTATTTAGAACATTGTTGGTCATTATAATATCATCTCTATAGTTTCCACTTACACAACCATTTAAGGATTCAAAAAGGTTCGGATTATGTATGTAGTAGTGACGATAATGTTTCAACATCAAGGGTAATATTGAAACAACACAACAAACACTAAGGAGTACAAAAATCCATCTAGCTGTTAATTCCACCTTTTCTGAAAGGAAAGTTAAATCTTTAATATAAGCAGCTGATACATTATTGCAGATTTGAGTTGGAAATTGAGGGAAATTACTTGAATTAACATTAATGAGATTACTATTGGATGTATTAAAAAGATTAGCTAAACTTGTTAAAGGTTCGGATATCAATTTCTTGGTATCAGTTTCTAGATTAGTAAAGTTAGGTAGTTGGGTAGTTTTGAAATTGTTCATTTCTGTTAAAACTGAACCTGGAATTGAAATATTTCTTAAGCCTGCAATTGATAAATTTATTGAGTTTTGATACTGCTCACCATTGTTATTACTAGTACCACCTTTGAAGAAATTAGCAATACTTGATGCAGCACTAATTAGACCGTTAATTATAGTACTTAATCCATTCAAGCCATCTTCTATATCATTTGCCAATCCCACTATGGTTGAGTTCACTCCCACGATAATAGCTTCACTAGTATCAATAGCAAAATCTGCCGTTCCTATAATGAAAGCTTGTAACAAGCAAGTATAAGTACCTAAAAATAGTTCAATTAGAAACCAGATTAAATTTTGAACTACTAAGATCATCATTTGAAATAGCTTTAAATTCGATAATTGAATCAGATTTATGCTATCTACTATAAGAGATTTAAGCATCAGAGTGTTAATTTCTGAACAATTCAATTCATGTTGAATATCTTGTAGGCTTGAAATAATGGAAGTTTTAAATATGTATATTTTAATTATTAGAATTACTAGGACCAACGTATAATGATTGAAATAGACCTGAGATATTGACTCCCAAAATGAGAGATATTCTCTGCTGAGCATTGTTTCTTGATGGGCTTTTGAAGCTTTTAACTACATTTTGGTATACTAAATATTTACATTAAATCAAGTGTATTTAAATACATCTCACGTATAGAACCATGACTTGAATTATGAAGAGAGTCAGATATCTGGAGACATTTTTGAAACGACTGCAAAATCTTTGAAACGTTTCAGATTGTCGTGTACTGCCTAATCATTTTCGCCTGAATAGGAAATATTAACCAAATAACAGTATAAATGGACAAATTATTCTAACTGATTGCTAACGAATTCATATACCCTTTATAGCTTTTATATATAAATTGAACCACGAACCCTGACTAACTTGAAAAGAAAATTGGGTTCTAAACATCAATACTAGTAATTATTTTAAAAAAGAGTCGTGTCTCTACCGCGCTAAAGTAAACACAGAAGTCTAAGACGTTTGGCTGTAAGAAGACTATTCAAATTGAATCATTACTATAGACTTCTTGTGTTAGACTTGCTCTTAGTTATATAACTATCTTATTGAAAGTATTTGAAGAAAAGGCTGAAACATTATTATTAAATCCCCATCAGCGTCTAAATTATTTCATATACTACAACTATAAAGCAGTCATGTCATCAAGTGCAAATCCTATTATCAACTTGAAAGTAGTACATCAAACTACAGAGGTCTACTTTAAGATTAAAAGAAAATCTACATTGAAAAGAGTATTAGAATCTTTTAGTCGAAGGTTGGGACAAAGTGTTGAAAGTTTAAGATTTATGATAGATGGTCACAGAGTAACGAGTAAAGATACACCAGAGAAATTGAAAATGGAAGATGGTGATGTCATTGAAGCTGTTGTTTTCCAAGCTAGTGGATGAATTTCATTTCATTTCTTATACTTTACATTTATAGCAGTTTTACTCCCCATTGTAAGTTATGTTATTTTATTTGCATGTATTATTATTTGTTTTAATGCTAAATGTTAGCTTAAAAGTTGTACCATATCTCTTTTTATATATTTAAATTCTTCTAATATATTAGATTCATATTATTATTAATTTATTAACTTGTATTGATTAATTATAGCTTGTAATTATATTGTATGAAATGAAATAGGTAGGTCGTGTATAATGTACCAAACTCCTCCAAATTTTCACTAATGAGATAATCACTAGGGGAAAAAAGTCTGTTGCCGTCCGTGCAAAACGAACGAATGTTGTGACACACTAGTTTAATAGTTTTGTATTCTTTACTTATCAGGTTTAACACCGTTTTATATACCAATCAGACACAGAAGTTCGTTGCACATTCTTATAAAGTAGTGTGCTTCAAAAATAATTGATTTGTAACGTTCATATCTCATACGCGTCTTTCACTAAATACGACTCTGTCTTGCATATATATATAGATTCAGAAGTTTAATCCATTAATTTATAAATAATCCCAATAATAACAAGATGTCCGATACTGAACAAGCTCCTCCAGCTAACAATACTGACGCTCCAAAAGAGGAAAAGCCTGATAACACTCATATCAACTTGAAGGTTAGTGATGGTAGTGCTGAAATCTTCTTTAAGATTAAAAGATCCACCCCAATGAAAAGATTGATGGAAGCATTTTGTAAGAGACAAGGTAAGAGTTTAGACAGTTTAAGATTCTTGATAGATGGTACTAGAATTTACCCTGATAATACTCCTGATCAATTAGAATTAGAAGATGGTGATACTATTGAAGCTCATCGTGAACAAACTGGTGGTAACATTTAATGAATCCCTATATGAAGAATTAAGTACTGATTAATAATCAATCATTTTTTCATTTGTTAACACTAAACCCTGTCTTTCTAGCTTCTCTTAATTTAGGAATGATATTGTAATATAGTCCGAAATATATCTTTTTATATAATTTATCATGGTTCTTTACTTTTGAATCAAGAAGTAGACTGAAGTATTATAGTTTATCTAGAAAATAAGAAATCGAAGAACGTTTAAGGAATATCTGATATTGCTTGGATTTCAGCAAGAGCATAATTAAAGAGAAGTAACTTAAAATTTTTGAACGTGGTTCACTGTGTAACCAAAACCAAGAAATTAATAGACAATAAAGTCTTTAGAAGTTTGATTGCTTACACGTATGCATAATTCACTCCTCCTGATAAAATATGCTTAATATTTCAGAAGCATAACCGCAAAAGTATAGAAGTCGTTAATATACCCAAGTTTTATCCACAAATTTAGTTAAGGTTAACAGAAATTCTTTCTTTGGTTGATTATTGAGTAATCTGAAAGCATAGATTTCACAAGTTAACTTAAGTGACTTGATTCAAGTTCCACTGACTCATTCAGCGGAGTAAAGCATAGTGTTGTAAGACAGTACAGCGCAACGTACTCATAGATAGACAAATACTCTTCTTGAATGATTCTCTTAAACCTGAAGCGACAAACAGTATGTAACTACAAACTCTAACGACCACTGACAATGCACAATATCAATTTAAGTGGTTAACAAATGTTTTGTGGGTAAATTCGTAGCTTTTCGTAGCAATTCTTTAATATAGTTTTTTAGCAGAATAACTGCAAAATTTTTAAATTTTCTTAGAAAAACGCTTGATTTTATTTAGACATTATTAAGTAAAAGCTATCTCTAAATACCGGAAAGAGTATAATTAAATAGTAACACAGTAGTGAGAGATTGAATTTCTTAGTATTGTATAATTTGCTAATTTGCACAATAAAACATACTTATGAGAGTCCGGGAGACAATTTTACAGAAAAGGATTGCCGTCAATGAACAACAAAGTACAAATTTAATGAACAAATGAATGATTATTTACAGTAAGGGTCTTTATAAAAATGGGGTTCAACTTCGGACCGAATGAAGTAAGGCAAGTAACAAACCGGAGTACGGCTACCCCCATCAATTATACCACATCGGGCATGATTCCTTACATGCCCCACATTAAATCAAATGTCCTGTTGGCAACTTGAAAAATAATTACCTCAAAGAAAGAAAACCCTCGATCGTCAGTGTATTCATAGGAGGTATATTACCGACAAGTTTCGGTACGATAAATTAGTAGCGTTACTTTAGATTCACTTGGAGTGCCATAAAGGTGGTACAACTAAAAGGCAAAACAAAAAGCATGTAAAAAACCGGAACAACTATTCCTTTAAAGTATTCGCAGAGATTTCGGGTTAAGGGAGACAGCATAATTTTTTTTAGCTGATCATCAAACTTAAACAGAAGTCTCGCGACCTATAGGAAATTTCTTAACTGCTCAATAGTAATGAAATAGGAGCAATTGTAACTTCCATATAAACTCATTCACCCTCTCAACCCCACCATGCGTCCAATGATTGTTGAGAGATAAATGTATATTGAATTATAAAATATTTCTATTTTTCAAATGAATGGATAAGTAACGATATTTTTGCTTCAAATAACTTGCTAATTATAGTTTAAACTGAAATTGTACGACTAAAATCAGCCCTGAATTTAATCAGACCATTGACACATTAGTCAGGCCGTGGGTCTGATAAGAAAAATAAAGGAAATAGTGTTTATACACGGGAAAAGAAGGAATAGAAATTGTTAAAACTCGGCCGGACTTTAATTTCCAAACATGCATTGTAGTCATCCTGAAAAGTATCCGACTCATACTTCAAAATTTGTGTGTTCTTTTGGTAGTCACATTATTATATTCTATTATTATTATAATTTCGTAGATAAGGAAGTTCAAAGAGTAATCCTCTTCCGAGAAAGATATAAAAGGGGCCAATACCTTCATTTATTTTAAGAGCTTTTATATATTTCTTTTACACTATAATTATTCATTCAAAGAATAGTATAACATAAATAAATTCAAATTAAAATGTGCAAAACGGAAATATGCGGTATCTGTCAACACAAGAGTTGGACAGGATGTGGTAAACACGTATCACAAGTCATGGATCTCTCTCCAAAGGAAAGTTGGTGTACTTGTCAATCATTTGATGCTACTGACATAGTTGGCAGCTATCCACCTCGTGCTACATGTGGTTATGCAAAGCCAAGTCATTAATTACATTTCGTCTGTTCAGCGTACTAATCTATTGAACAAAGCATCTATTTTTTAAGATAATTTAACGACCTATGAAGAGTAAGGATCATACTGGGTATGATCTGTGTATATTATATATATATTTTGTATTTTAAATGAAATATTCAAATTAGCATCAAATAATTATAATTGTTAACATGTAGATGAGTATTTATTCCGGGGAATCGGATGGGTGCCAAAAAGCATAGGCCAGAGGTATGGATGTTTTTAATATTTTTTTACGCCTTGGCTCGTTACCCCAGAAAATTGACTTTGGTTGTAAATGAGGAGACGACAGCAAAACAATAAAAATAATTTTACACATGAATATGAGCAGAATTGTCTGCATACAGGAAATGAAGTGGCTTAATTCAAAACTGTAAAACCCCCTTTAGTTAACGCGTATATATCCTAATGCCTAGAAATGAAACCGTTAGAATTTGAAACTTAAGTAGTGTTTCTAGTAGTAATTTTACTTTATATGGTTAAGAATCAACAAATAAATAATTATGCTTAATATTTTTAATAATAGTAACATTAACTCTAATAAGGCTATATTCAGTCTAGAGCATTCGGTCTTTGAGATTCATAAAGAGTACATCGACTGTTTTAGACGATAAAGAGTTGAGTCCACAAATAATGCAATAACAAAATTACTAAACTATGTAATAGTACACCCTTCTACGTAAACGGCTGACCATAATAAGTGAACAGATCAAATTAAGAGATCGGTAGATAGAAGTAAAATTACCCGAGTGCGCAATATGGGCCAGGCAGTAGTAGAGTAAGAAGTCATGCTATTTTGTTGAGTTCGATAGTTGGTTGTTGATTATTGGCTAATGACAATTAAGTAAATACCACAAATTAGATAATTCCTAATTATCAATAACTTCTTCATGTTTCATATAGCAAACCTAATCAATAAAGTTGCTGAATAAAGTAGCTTATTATATTGATAAATATATCACTAAAATACGGTAATTTGACTTTATTACCTACCTACAATGACCACAATAATGTATACCAAGTATAATGAGACAACAAACATTTATATACTGAATCCAATCTAGATGCTAAATCCAAAACTTTAAAGTTAGTCATGTAAAAAAGCTCAAGTGAAACCAAAAAAAAAATCAGCCAAATAAAAAGTCATAACGAAAACGTAGGGAAAAAAAGACACAACTTTTTTTGCACATTTCGTTTGAATACTTGTTTCTTTTAATAGCTCTCGTTCTTAATAGATCAGTTCTTATTTGTAGAGCTTACAAATATATAGATCATATAATCATATATAAAAACAAGACCGATAACTCAATCGATTATCGTATTAATTCAAAAGTTTACATAAAGAAAATTAAATCATCAGTGACTTTCATTCACGTCTAATTGAATAAGTAAAAGCTCAATTCACCCCACACAAATAATTTTTATATAATATTCATTATAGAATCCTATAGATCAATTACATAAATAGACACAATTTCATCAGACATTATAATTCTATACAACAATTTAAAATCATTGCTATATATTGCTGTTTATATTCGAACTTTAATTATCAGTCGTTTCAAATTCAATCTCCATATTAAACCCTCCCTCCATACCATCACAAAACAGCTTTAACCTCACTATAGTTCACTCAATTTCCATGTATCACCATTTCATCCTTCATTATTAGTGTATCCTCCGCAAATCTTCATTCAATCTTTCTCCTACTACCAATTAATTAGACGACCATATTATCTTTATAAAAAATCTTTATACTTCGAGATTTTTTTTGCGTCGTATCATTTTCCCCACTTCAATTATGAGTAGTAGTTTTAACTATCCAGACTTCTTACTGGAATCAAATAATGGTAAGAATAGTCATAATATTATAAATAATGATAATACCAATACTAATTCAAATACTAATACTGATACAAAATTTTCAAATCAACATAATGCACCAAATACAAATACTTTTAATAATATCTTATTTAATAAATTATCATTCTTAGAAGAATCAAATACTCAATCTCCTATTCAACATCATAAAGATTCTTTAAGTGAAACTTCCGATAATTTATCAAATAAATCTCCCACATCTGGTCCTGTTACAAATTCAAATGATTTATTTACAAGCTTAGATTCTTTTAATTTACCAGCAGAATTACAAGGTGGTATAGGTACAATTAGTTCTAGAAGACCTTCCTATGCAGCTGAAACTTTTACTAGAAATGCTCAACAATCAATATCTTTCCCATTATTAAACCAATTCGCTTTACCTTCTACATTACCTCAGCAACAACAACAACAACAACAGCAACATCAACAATCTCAATTCTTTAAGTCCCCTAATCAATTACCTTCAGCATCGCCTTCTTCACATTTTTTTAATAGTTCGAAAATAAATTCAACTCCATTTAATCTTCCTCCTTCTGCAGCATTTCAAACCCAACCTTATCAGCAACATTCCCAATCAGTTCACCTTCAACAACTTCCTCAAGCAATCAACCTTAATCATCAATTGGATCAATTGAATGATAACTTTGCAAATAATTTCAATTTGAATGCAAATTTCAATGAATTTCAACAGAGAAGGCCAAGTCAATTGGTGGAATTTCAATCCAATAATTATAATTTGAATGCGTTACAGCAGAAGCAACAAGCTTTTCTTCAACAGAAGCAACAACAGCAACAGCAGCAGCAGCAGCAACAGCAACAACAGCAACAACAACAGCAACAACAACAACAGCAGCAACAACAGCAACAACAGCAGCAGCAACAACAACAACAAAAACAGCAGCAGCAGCAACAGCAAAAACAACAACAACAACAGCAGCAACAACATTCTTTCTATAATAATGCACCTCCTCATTTGTCAATCGGTACTAACATTAACTTCTTAAACCAACAAAACCAACAACAACAGACTCAGAAAACAGCTAATTCAAATAATTCTACTTCTAAAAACACTAACACTAACACAAACACCAACAATAATCTCGGAACTGGTTCCATTTCTTCTGGATCTTCCTCAGGTCAACCCATAAAATTAGAAAATGGTTTAATTCTTAAAGATCAATATATCATTGCTTCTCCAGATTTGAAAAGTCTTTATTTAAAGACCATAAAGTACTTTCAAAGTCCTGAATTAACAAATCAAATTATAATTGAAATCAATAAATTATTACAGAATCCGATAATTGTTAAATTGATTACATTTATAAAGAATCTTAATAATTTAACTTTTAATCATAAGATTTTATGTTTGGTTATTAATAAAAATGGTAAATTTGATTTATTATCTTATCCAAATAATTCTAATATCTTTTTACAAAAGAATGATTTAGTTATTGTTGATGGAGATCGTGGAAAAGATTTAGTAATGATAGTTGAACCATTAATTAATTTGAATTTTGCCATTTTATTTAATTTCCTTAAGAAATTAGAACATTTAAAAAGTTTGACTATATTGGATAATGCTTTAAGTAATACCAATACAACTGCTGCTACTAGTAATCCAAAAATTAATGGAACTCATTCAACTTCATTAAATGCTTCTCAAATTATTAATATTCATCTGAATGAAGATAATGAATTTATCATTACTTTACCAACCAAACAAGTCTTAAGATTTGCAACTCCAAAGGAAGTTCATAAGATTAGTGGTAAATTTTTAGAAGAAAAGAAGGCATTTATAACATGTTTTAATAAGATTAAAGAATTAAATTTACAATCAAATTTATCTTTAATTAATGTTGAATATCAATCTGATTTTAAAAAATTAATCTTTTATTATTATGCCAACTTTAAAAGAATTGATTTCAGAGGTTTAATTAAAGAATTATTCAAGATTTATAAGACGAGAATTTGGTTATGTGCGGTTTTACCATATAATAAACCTGAATTATATGTGACAAATTATAAATCTGAAGATGAGAAACACGAGGAAGAACATTCAGAGAAAGATGAAAATACTGAAGAAGAAAAGAATAAGCCAGAAGCTACTGTTGATTCTAATGAAGATGTTATTCCTCATGAATATGAATTAACAAATGATCAAATTTTAAAATTTTCAATAAATGAATTTGAGAATTTAGCATCACCAAATTATTTCCACCTGAAAAATTTATCAAATTTACTTAAGCATTTGAACAATGAACTTGAAGGATACTTTTACGGTTTCAACTCCAATAGAAATGATTCAACTTCTACTAATCCTTCTACATTATCAATTAATCCAAAATTCGATCCTTTTGGTGACTCTCGATAGACTTTCATAAAATATTTATTACTTTTTATAATACCTTTCCAAAAATTGCTATTGTGTTGATGTAAACTTACTTGTTTAATAATTTATAATACTAAATTTATTACCGTTTAATAGACTATAAAAATCCCATTATATGATTACGACCTAATAACGAAAAGCCATTATAATATGGAGGAATTGAAAATAGAACTTTGATAAACAATTATATATATACTCAAACATATACAGTGTTTCTTACAGAAAATTAATTTATACGGTAACAAGTTCATATAGTTTTATTTTTAGTTATTTAATACTCTCTTCACTTTTATTTAATATGTGACTTATTTATTATCAAACATCCAACAAAATAATTTTGAATATATGTATATATCTACATCGAATTGAATAAAATAAAAGTTTGTATACTTGAGATCATATAAACTAAACTAAACTAAAATAAAGAATAAAATATTGAAAAACATAAAAAATAAGCCTTACGATTCAGTAATCATTTTGTCTCTTTATGGGTAACAATTTTAGTATCGACGTAGGTGGTTTTACCGTCGGCACCAACTTGTTCATTATGATGTTTAGTGCTAGAAACACCCGTACCTGAACCATCACCAGAAGCATGGTGAACACCAGATTTTCCTCCTTGATGAGAACCTGAACTGGACTTTTCGGTACTTGAGACATGACCTCCAGAAGGAGTACCTCTGTTGGTATAAACGTTATTATTATCTTTAGCCATTTTAAATAAAAAATTTATGAGTGAATTATAGTAGAAATTATAGTTGAAATTATACTATGATTTCAAAACAAACGAACATAATTATGATAAATGTAGATCTAACCACCTATTTATAGACTTATCGATGTACTTGAATAGGTTGAATAGGGATAGTGATAGGGATTTAATAGGGGTAGTGATAGGGGTTGGTTTGAACCACACCACAGGAACTTACCACATTATTCTTCTATCATTGCATTACGCAACTTGCAAAGGCATACATACACTAATCTAGGCCTGAATCCCAATACCATTCCACGTGAACTATACATATAATTACTATACTACATTAATTTCATTCCATATCTTATTGGGTACCCTTCGTCCGTGTTTCAAGTGTTATAAAGTTGCATCAACATACTTTGCACCCATTGCTGCAACTGTGGGGTGGGTCGTGCGAACCAAAATGGAGATTTGAAAAATTCTTGAATATGCCTTAGTTAATTTAAGATATACAAATACCATTAAGGGATGAGTAGGCGACCGATATCCGTGGAAGAGCTTCTAGAAGAAGATGTGGATTTAACAGGGGGTGTGAGGAGAAGAATAAATGGAATTAGTAACAGGATTGTTCCTGGAGTTGGAGATAAACCTGTAAAGTTTCTTTCTAAAGCCGAAAGAGAGAGGTTAAGTATTGAGAAGAAGTTGAAACAGGAAGCAGAAGAGAAGAAAAATCGAGAACAGATTTCTGAAAAGCAAAGGCTACAGATACGGAAACATCAACAAGAGGAAGAGTATAGGCAACAATATCAGCAAGATGACGAGAGAGCCACTAATAAGAAGGAAGAAACAATAAGGAAGAAGAGAAGGAAATTTAATTTTGAATGGGATGAAGAAGAAGATACTTCGAATGACTATAAACCAATGATAGTGACAGAATCTCGAATAAGGAAAGATGTAGAGGATGATATTGTTAATGATAAACATTGGAGTGAAAAGAAACTCGAAGATATGACAGTACGTGATTGGAGAATATTCAAAGAAGATTTCAGTATCATTTATAAGAATGTTTCGAATGATATCAAACCATTAAGAGACTGGACAGAAACAAATATAATATCATCTAAGATTGTTAACATTATCAATAATTTATCTTATGTCGAACCTACACCAATTCAACGAGCTTCTATACCTATAACTCTAAGTAATCAAGATGCTATTGGGATAGCTAAAACTGGTTCAGGTAAAACCCTTGCCTTTTTGGTACCCCTTTTAACATATATTCTCAATATTGATAGGAATTATTTCGAATTTGAACACAAGCAACAGGAAGAGTTTAATAAACCACTAGGATTGATTTTAGTTCCCACAAGAGAATTAGCATTACAAATCTCCAAAGAAGCTGATAAATTTTGTAAACCATTATCCATAAACGTTGTAACTATAATTGGTGGACATAAGTATGAAGAAACAATCAGTTCTATTGGTAATGGAGTTCATATAGTTGTGGCAACTCCTGGTAGATTAATTGATTCTTTAGAACAAAATATTATATCACTTGATAAATGCTATTATTTAATTATGGATGAAGCAGATAGAATGATTGATATGGGATTTGAAGCTAGTTTAACAAGTATTTTTAAATATCTTCCCAGTCAAGAACAATTAATCTCAAGTATCGATTCTAAAATCTTTGGAATAGATAAGAGAGTAACATTGATGTTTACTGCTACTATAACTCCAATTATAGAGAAAATCACTAAAAATTATCTATATAAACCAGCATATATAACGATAGGACAAGTTGGTGAAGCAACAGACAATATTGATCAAGAATTTGAGTACATGAATTCAGTAATTGAAGACCCTCAAGAATTAGATGAGTCAAGATTTAAGAGATTACTTACTGTCATTAATGGTCACGAACGGAAACTTGAACCAATGATTCCTTCCATTATAATCTTTGCAAATTACAAAAAAGTTTGTGATGCTTTAGCTACAAAGCTTGCTGCAAATGGTTGGAAAGATACAGTGGTTATACATGGATCTAAGAATCAAGAAAATAGAGAGTGGTCGATCAATAATTTCCGGAATCATGAGTCGAGAGTTCTTATTGCTACTGATGTTGCCGCCAGAGGTATTGATGTTTCAGATGTTTCATTAGTAGTTAATTTTCAAATGGTAACAAAATTTGAAGAATATATTCATAGAATAGGTAGAACTGGTAGAGCTGGAAAGAAAGGGCTTGCATATAGTTTTATTGATGACTCAAATCGAGATATATTCTTAAACTTGAAAAAGTATTTAACAAAAGGTGGAAAGAAGTCGCCTGATTGGTTGATGAGGGCCACACAGACCCAAAATTTACGAGATTAGAAATGTATAATTACATTTTTTTTATTAATAGAGTTTATAATATAATTAATCATTAATGCTATTAGAAAGTTTCATTATTAATTGTCATCACTGGTGTATCCACCAACAAAAGTAGTAAGCTTATTTAGCTTTTCTCTTTGAAATTGTTTAGCTCTTATTTGAGATAAGGTTTTCAATGTCGAAGCATTGAAAGTTAGTTTGTTTTGAGGTGCTGCTTCGATAGCTTTCTGTTTTGATTCTAATTCATCATTTACATCCTGTTCATCAGGTTCTTCAACCACAATATGTGACGAATCTTTAACCGTATCCTCAATTTCAACTTTTCTTCTCTTTTTTTCGTTTTCTTCAACTGATTGTAAGAGATTCTTGACTGTGTTAATAGCAATTTCTTCAAGTCTCCTTTTTTCTTCTCTTTGAGCATGAGGATTAGGATCTTCATTTGCCCATCTAATATACAAAACTTCATTTCCATTATCTAAAGCTTGATTATTCATTGCTTCTTTAACAAATTGTGCAGTTGATTCTAATTTGAAGGTAATAAATGCACATGATTTATTATAGAGAACTCTAATCTTTTCAATATCTCCAAATTGTTGGAAATTCTTTGTAATTCGATTTTCCATATCATCTTTCATATGTAATCCACCAACATATAATGTTCGATTAACTTTATTAAATGATCCTACACCATCCATATCTTCTCTATAATCTGCCGTTTTATCTCTACCAAAACAATCTTGAGTTGAAATATAAGAATCTAATTCCGTCGGTATACGATGAAAATAAGGACATTTCTTACCACGATAACAACAACCACGAGAAAAGAATAAACAAATAGGACTCCCTATTTTTGCCAAAGTATACCCTGTATCTTTCTTTATATTAACTTTAAATTTCAGTTGAATATGATTTCGTTTTGATGAATCACCTCCTGACCATTTTAAAAACCATATATTAAATGAAGTTCCTGTTTGAGGAGGCTTATCATCATCTGGAATAGAATCTGGATCAACTTGTAGACGGGCTGGTCTATTCATTAAATCATTAGCATTTACTAAGTCTCCTGTACCAGCCATAGTTTTTACAATTATATTATTATAGTACTAATCTTCTAAGTGATTCGTTTCGATTCGATAGTATTGTCTTAGGGATGATTTTATGTCTATCATTTATTTGTAAAACTTTATACGCAGGAATTTGCTGCAAATTTTTGAACTGCAATAAATCTATAAATTACTTCACCAATAACTTTTCATGAATTTTTATATCTAAAAGAACTAAATAAATACTTATATAATAAGAAATATAGAAAGGAATAAGATGCTAATATATAGACTTTAGCTAGATAATATCAAAATAATAGCAATAATAAATAAAAGTAGAAAGAACTAGACTCGTCTAAAATTCTTATAAAGCACCTAATAACACAGAAAAACCAACAAGAGCAGCAACACCAACAGATGCTTTCCAAGAAGAGCCACCAATGGCACCTGCCAATGGAGCATTAATAGCAGCAGCTGCTGCTGAAGAAGTGGAAGTCAGAGCTGACCCAGATTCTGATCCAGATTCTGATTCAGAAGCAGAATTGGCTGAAGCAGCAGATTCAATACCAGAAGAAAGACTACTAATCAAATTTGATGCAGCAGAGGTAACACTTGAATCAGCACTGGAATGGTCAAGAAGTCCAGTGGCAACAGAGTGAGCATCAGAAGCACCAGCACCAACGGCTGAAGTAGCATCACCAAATACTGAAGTAGCACCAGTGGCACCAGCATGGATGATAGAATCAGCACCAGAAGTTGCAACACCTAAAACAGAGTCAGCACCAGCGGTGGCAACACCAAATACAGAAGCAGCACCAGCGGTGGCGGTGTTCAAAGCACCACCAACAGCACTAGCAGCCACACCTAAAGCAGAACCAACATCAGCCATGATTTAATATTTGATAGATAGTTTAATTATTAGAATATATAGTTGTTAACACAAGAAAACAAAACTAAAGTAATAAAAATTAATAAAAATTAATAGTCCAAAATTTGAAAACTAGCGGGGATTATGGCCTTTTATAAGAAAATGTAAATCAATGTATTTCACAGTTTTAAAGCCTATTCCAAATTGGAAAGATCAAGAGATGGTAACAAAACAGAAAAATAAATTCAAATGAATCTTAAAAGGGTAAAAAAGGGTAAACAGGTGGCAGAGCAAATACACACCACACTTTACAAAAGAATTGAGTTCGACAATAAAGAATAATTAAATTAAACTAAAACTAGATGTAGGCACAGATGAAATTCAGGAACAAATAGCTTTGTCCAAATTTGTTCGTGTTCGTGTTCAATTGTTTTCGAGACGACATACCAATTGAGTTTATAGTTCTATTCCTTAACAAGGCAATTACATCAGAAATAGAGGAGATTGAAACAAAAGTTAATTGAATGCTTGTGAGACATTCTCTGAGGCAGTGATGGTAGCGATCGGCCTGTCACTCACGCAAGTTTACTCACCGTGCACACTACACAATAAGCGCACTCAACTATTTTTCCCTACAAAGTAAACATGGCATCGCATTGCCTGGAGCACAAAAGAGCATAAAGAAGAAAAAGAAAAGAGAAAGCCTATTGAATAATTTTAAAGCTCATAAGGGTATCAGTTGGTTATTTTTAGTAAAGGGGGATACAAGCTGTGATTGGCTTAAAATTAACCTAAACACGTTGGCTGTGTTTTATTTCAATCAATTCCCTTTGTTAACAATTCAAAAGTGTGTACTAGTCAGTGATTACTGCATAGAAAGAGGCTAAGTATGGTTTGGTCTTAGTGCCGTTAGCATAAGAATGTGAAACTTACTTCTAGAATGTCAAAATTGAAATATGTGGAGATGGAATGTGAAGATTCTCAGCAATTTTGTAGCTAAGAAACGCGTAAATACGTTTAATCATTTGGAAATTAGTTATCTCAGTTGAAACAAACTGGATTGAGTTCAATTAAGTTGTAACATTCACTTGGACCCTATGTTCATTAGATCGAATCAAAAATTCTTACTAAAAATAAAAAATCGTAGTTATGCTGCGGGATAAATGGTCCAGACTGAATTTTTCAGAGCGTTTTACCTAATTAAGAATATTATCGTTTCAGCAATTACTGAAAAAAAGTCTACTGTGAGTGAGGTACACATAAAATCCCTCTCATACAATTTAGCATTAGAAGAATCTGAACTTACCGCTTATATAAGAACTTTATATTTGTGTTATTAACTGACTTATAAGAAAAGTATGTTTCTCAACATTCATTTTATTCTTATCCTTACGATCCGAGTAAATCTCTGTAAACAAAATTTTATCTAATTTGCAGCACTTATTAGGCATCTACACTTCAACCTAATCGAGATATATTACTTATTATGATGGCTTTAATCTATTCATTTGAGTCTACTTCAGGACGTTCAATATGTAAGTGATAGTACTGTTACGTACAGAATTCTTTGATTTAGCTCATAGAATGTGTATTGTATATCTCAAAGCATTAGAGTCTACAGTATAACAAAGGCTTTGACGAAAGCTCCAACCGTTAAATATGCATTCGAACTTCTTCATAATTAGATATAATTTGCTTTGTCTCAAATCATGAACTGATTTGATTTGTACAATTATTGGAGGGCCGATTTTGAAAGCTTGGAGAAAAGCGCATTGGGTTTTTACAATTGCCGCCAGGCTCTTCCTAATCGGGTAATTGGATCCGTCGACTCATTAAATTTTTCTAATCGCTAGATGAACTTTTTATATAAATCTGTAAGCATCTCTTTCTTATTTATTTAATCTTATTCAGCATTTATACAAACATTCATATAATTATATAACAGCTATGTGCGGACAAACATCTACTACTACCACTTCTACAGTATCAACTGCTTCTTCATCATCAAAATCTGGAAATTGTTGCGGTTCAGCTTGCAAATGCGGTTCAGGATGTTCTTGTGCTTCATGTAATACTACCAAGTTATAAGTACATTGATTTATTAACATGAATGTATATATATGAGAAATGAATATGAAACTAATGTTATCTACAAAAAGTAATAACAGAACCAGAATTAATTATTAAAGGGTTTACAGGGCTAGATGAAATTTATAGTAATACAATGATACAATAATTCAACTTCACAACGAAGTACAAGAATTAGAGATCCTTCTATTGTCTCCCACTCAAATTATACTTATACTTATATATAGTAATAACTTTGTAGCTCATCCTAATGAAAATTATTTATATATTGGAAACTTTTCTTTGGATGTAGATAACATCTATTCGTAGATCGCCCAATTTGGCAATTTTTAATGCGGAGTACATATGCAGTAATACAAAGATAATTATTCATTTTTAATATAGTTCAACTATATATATCAGATCATATCAAGGAGAAGAAAGAGTAGAAAACAAATATTATATAATAAGCAATCACTAAGGATTCATTAGAAGGAAAAAATTAAAATGGTAGTGAAGAAATTTATTTTCTTGGAGATAATTCCAAAGTTTCCTTTCTGATGGCAGCACCTAATTCTGGATGAACTTTAGTGAAATATTCAAAAACTCTATCTTGAATAGAAGCATCAGCAGCAGAAACATGCACAGCAACATTATGAGCCAAATGAGCTTGTTGGTTTGGATATTTCTTCAAGACATTATATAAAGCAGTAGCTTGTTTCCATTCATCATCAGTAGCCTTCCAGTGGAATGGAGTAGCAGCACCATGCCAAACTTCTTGATCTTCTTGAAGAGCATATTCTCTGAATTCAATTGGGTTAGAAGTAGCCAAGTAATTTGGAGTAGCCCCTAAATTACCATTGACATTCATAGCACCGTCTCTCATGTGAGGGTTATAGACTCTACCAGTAACTGGACAATTAACAGGAATTTGAGTGTAGTTAGCGCCTAATCTGTGTCTGTGAGTATCAGAATAAGAGAACAATCTAGATTGCAATACTGGATCAGCAGATGGTTCCATGTATGGGACAGTATGAGCTGGGGAGAAAGCAGCTTGTTCAACTTCAGCAAAATAATTCTTTGGGTTTTCATTAAGGGTAAATTTACCAAATCTTCTTAATGGGTAATCACCATGTGGCCAGACTTTAGTTAAATCGAAAACTGAGAATGGAGCAGCTTTAGCTTGTTCAGCAGTCATAGTTTGAACATAGGCAGTCCATGATGGGAAGTTACCAGCAGCAATATTCTTGAATAAATCTTCTTGAGCATAATCTGGGTTAGAACCAGCTAAAGCACCAGCTTCTTCATTATTTAAAGTCTTAATACCTTGGTCACTAATGAAATGAACTTGAACGTAATGCCATTCACCCTTCTTGTTAGACCATTTATAAGTGTGACCAGAATAACCATTCATTTCACGGTATGAAGCTGGAGTACCACGATCAGAGAATAAAATTGAAACTTGGTGGACAGATTCAGGGTTAGAAGTTAAATAATCCCAAAACATATTAGCATCCTTTAAGTGAGTTTCTGGATTTCTCTTTTGGGTGTGAATAAAATGAGGAAACTTTGATGGATCTCTAATGAAGAAAACTGGGGTATTATTATAGACTAAATCTAAATTACCTTCTTCAGTATAGAATTTAGTAGCAAAACCTCTTGGATCTCTTGCAGTATCAGCAGAACCAGCTTCACCACCAACAGTTGAGAATCTAGTAAAAATTCTGGTCTTCTTACCAACAGTATCTAAAAAGGCAGAACCAACAATATCAGTGATATCATCAGTAACTTCAAAGACACCATAAGCACCTGAACCTTTAGCATGAACAACTCTTTCAGGAATTCTTTCTCTATCAAAATGAGCTAAAGAATCAATTAAATTAAAATCTTGTAATAATAAAGGACCATGTTGACCTACTCTTTGAGTAGCAAAAGGTTCTGGGATTGGTTGACCGTTTGAGTTAGTAAATTGAGGAGGAGCCATTGTGAAGTAAATAGTTCAACTACAATTATAATAATGGAATAATATTAAAATAAAAAAGAGAAATTAATTAAAAATCTATCAATTGATTTTATAAACGGGGAATACATATATATTTATGCAATATAGATGATGATAAATTCAAATTTATCAGATTAGTGTGAAATTTTGTATGGAGTCGAGACAAAAAAATAGAAATAGTAAGCAGAAAATGTCTGATTTAACGCATAAATTTGCTAGGGGGTGGTAAAGGGACGAGGAAAGATAGAGAGGGGGGAAATGTGATATGTGTGATGCCAATTTATGTAGTGCAGCATGGATGCATGAATGGTTAGTAAAGCCAGTCCTGTTATTGGGTCTAACTAATTGAACCTCGGGATAAAATATCCGCGTAGAGAATCTGAACATTTTTTTTGCTTAGGCCACACTTATCCGAAAAGCTTAAAGTTCCGACATTTTGTCTGATGCTTTTTAGCTGAATAATCATTTGGACATTTCTAGACCACACATTCGATTGATAATCATTAGCAATTTAATTCAACTAAAGGCTCGCTTACATCATTTGCTATATTTTTATAATTTGATATTATTCCTATTGTAAAGACTATAGTTCACTTTATTCAATTATCTTCTTGACCCCCTTCATATCTGATAGAATCAGTGTGAATTTCAGTCATTGACTATCTAAGTATTCTATCTTCATATGCTTATTGCAAATATAGTACTGTGTATAAAGTTATCAGATTCTTTTTTTCTATGTGGCTTACATAAACCCAGACCCCAGACACTTGTTGATCAGACAGTTTCTTTCTCCACGTAACTACCCAAATTAGGAAATATACTTGAGATACTACCATCGTTTACCCATGACGGAAACTGTTGTTAACTTACAATTGCTATTACCATGATTTGTTCATTACCTTTGTGTAAATAACGTCAAGTTAGGTATCCGATAACTGCGCTACTAATATATTAAAGCTGCTTAGTTTAAATGTAAACAACATTAGAATACAATGGCACTTTCAATATTTACCCCGTAATTCTACTAAGATTTAGACAGAAAAACTTCTATGAGCACGTATGGTCTAGAGCAATTGAAAATAAACGTAATCAATTTTGTATGTTCTATTATTGTGCCCCTATTATCAATTTTCCTTCACATAGATCGTGGGTTATCAGTGTTTAACTACTATGGGTTGGTTGCGTTACATACTTGCGCTGTTGCAAAAATTCGATCAAGATTTTTAAACATATTCTATGCATAATCCCCCAATAGTTTTCATCTAGATCAATCTTCTAATTATTAATATTGCTTACTCTATATTAAAATTTATATTATACTATACTATTTTTACCCTACCTTTTCTTCGAATGGACAGTAAAAGTCCTAAACCCAACTGAAAATAGGAGAAAATAGACTATTCACCCTCATGATTTCCCCCAACAATCCAAATAGCTCTTTTCTTCTTTCATATTTTTTCTTTTCGCCGTGTTTTCTACTGGCACGGTCCGATAGATTGACATGCTCATCCATATATGGTATATTTTCCTAGACAGAACATTAGCAGTAAGAGGGGAACATTGCTAAGTTAATTAATTCCTGAATCAGACAGAATACTTAACACGAGTTTATAATTGAATCAAATTAATTAAAGTATAGTTTCAAAAATATAGTAAATTAACCCTGTTTTTTTTTCATGAACTCTTCAAACTTTCTCTCCATGCTTTAAATTCCAGTGTCAATATTTCCCCATTTCTTAAACGTTCATTAATGTCGTTTGGTAACTCTCTTATGGTCACTGCTTTCATCAGAGGATTATAATTAAGTCTATAAGCTTTATTTTCATCAACTACCAATTCATTAATCCATTCTAATACAGCACCATACCATCTAATTGCACTCATACAATTTATTGGAGGAGTACCAGAGTTTTCATTCTCATGTAAAGGATTACCCTTTATCAACAATGGAATCTCGTTTGTTTCATAAATTTCAACGGTTCGAAGTATGAATTTATCATCTCTAAACCCATATATAACTCGTTTAATACCCATTAAGAAACATTGACCCCAAGTTCTAAATAGTTTCTTTTCAAAATTTATAACTTGACCATTATTTTCAATTACTTTAGAAGTTTTTAATTCAATATAATGATCTAATACCAGTCCTCCATCATTTACACCTGGTTTATAATCCCATACTCCATCTACTTCTCCAACAAGTATCATCTTAAGGTTTCCTATACCTGATCTAACTACTGATAAATATTGTTCGTAATTATTAACAATTTTCTTATTTCGACGCTCAATTAACTGTCGAGAACAATCGCTCCATGGTTTTGGTAAAGTAGCCAAAGTTTCGAATTTATAACCACTGAATTCACATTTATTTAAATAATCTTGTTTATCAGTAGGTAAATTTAATCTTTCTTGAGATTCTTTATCTTGACGAGAAAGTTCAATATCTGTATCAAGATTTATAAATATTTGTCCATCATATTTAATAATATTTAAATCTAATGAATCTTGAGAATTATAAGGTAATGTTAATAATTTTGTCATTATACCTCTAAAAGTTATTATATTAACTTTTGATTTACTTCCATGTTTTTCTTCATATTTTTGTAAAGCTGTAAGGAATGTTTTATAATTAGGTAAATTTTCTTCTCCCGGTATTTGTTTAAATTTATTAAAACCAGATGATAAATCTATCGTACTATGATTTAAATTCAGATCTGGTAAATAATAATAAGATAATCTTTCTTTATTAACTTTTTCTTCATCATATTCATATTCTCCATCGATATCACGTACAAAACTAAATAATTCTTTGGGTTGCTTCAACGAAGCATTTGGACTTCGAGAATTTAACAGTAATGCCTTAACCTCCATCTTACTCTACACACAGTTATTTAATGCTTCTACTTCCTTACTTACTTCATATAACTCATCTTTGAAATTTCTCGCTACTTTTGGTAGTTAGATATTCCTGCACACAATCACAAGGGAAAGATTTTTTTTAATCACCACCAAAAACTGACTGAAAAATCTTTTGGTGTAACATATCATAGTTAGTAGTGATTATTGATTATTACAACACAATAAGAATACAATGTCTGCTAAAGGAGCATTGGTTAAATTAGTTGTTGGTGCTGGTAAGGCAGCTCCAGCCCCACCCGTTGGTCCTGCATTAGGTTCTAAAGGGGTTAAAGCCATAGATTTCTGTAAAGAATTTAATGCTCGTACTGCTCATTATCAACCGGATGTTCCAATTCCTGTATTGATTAAAGTTAAACCAGATAGAAGTTTTACATTTGAAATGAAGTCCCCTCCTACTTCTTGGTTATTAATGCAAGCTGCTCAAGTTTCTAAGGGAACCGCTAATGCTGGTAAAGAATATGTTGGAGAAATTAGTTTAAAACATGTTTATGAAATTGCGAAGATTAAGAAAACAGATGAAAGACATAAAAATGTAGAATTAAAGGCTATTGTTGGTTCTATATTACTGACAGCCAAAGTAGTAGGAATCAAGGTTATACCTTGAGTCATTTCAGCATCCATTTCTTGCATACTTTATCTTATTCAATCAATTCTGTAAATTAATTTAATCTTAATAACTTGTATATATATATATAAAAACACATACGACAATCACAAATATATAATGGGAATCTTAAGTTTAATATGTAAACGTACAAGTAATATAATGCTGGTGTATAAAACTAAAAATAGAAAAATAGTAAGGCAAAGTAAAACAATAAAAGAAGTAAGTACTATAACGAACGTTTTCAAACTTCCTTTATAAATATAAACAAACATAATAATAGAAATAATAATAATTTAATAATAATTTAATAATATAATAATAGTTAATAATAATTTGTAGTAGCTCTGGTAACCGAGTTCCCTTTTTAAAAAGACCCGTAAGTCCTTTGATATATATAATGCAAGTAGTTTAGAAAATCACTTCAATCACTTCATTCACTTCTTCTTCTTTTCAAATGCGGCAATATGAGCCTTGGATTGATCAACTTGAGTATGTTCATGATCATCACAGTTAAGGACAACAAATGTATTTCCTTCTGGATTATACCTTTCTTCAACAGTACACATATTAACTGAATTTAACCATTCATCATTAAAACATTCATCAATAGATATACGACATGCTGGTGGTAATTCAACCATTTTACCAATTAATGGACGACAATCTTCAGGTAAAGCCAATAATAATCTACCAGCTCCAGTTTCTGAAGATGTATGAGGTTTACCATCAGAATTTGGTGGAGAATCTTTAGCATCTATAACATTAACTTCTTCTTTAATATCTCCCATATTATTTAATGGAGTATTATTAGCTTCATGTTCTTTTTGCTCTTTCAATAATGCAACATCAGCAGGAGTTCTTTTCAACATTTCACTAATAGATACATATTCACCTCTAGTAGCAAATAATTTAAAACTACTATCAGATAATTTTGGAACTTTCCAAGGGAATTTCTTTAACATCATACAACAGTAAATAATAGCAGCAGACCAAACATCTACCGGTCTTGGATCATACTTATTAAATACACAAACTTCTGGTGCTAAATAAGGATCTGATCCTACTATACCTTGAGCTTCAATTAATGTCTTTGTAAATGGATAAGCAAATACAACAGCTGATCCAAAATCAATAATTTTAACAATACCTCTAGCATCAATAACACAATTATCTAATTTTAAATCACGATGAGATAAACCCATAGAATGCAAATAATGAATACCTGATAAAATTTGTTTAAAACAACAATTGATTTCTTCACGAGACATTTTATTAGACATTACTATAGCAAATAAATCAAAATCACAATATTCCATAACTTGATAAATACGTTCATTTTCATAACAAATTTCAACAGTTTCAATAATATTTGGATGCTTTAAAGTTGATCCTATACAATATTCACCAGTAATTTTTTTAGCATAGTCACGTTTAGATTCATTTTGATATTTTGGTCTAAATTCTTTAACTGCAAATACTTTTTTATCAGATAATCTATTAATTAATTTAACTGATCCACCTGCTCCTGCTCCTAAATTTTCTCCTAATTTACTATATCTTTTTGAAAATGGTAATTGTTGTTGAACATTTATAAGTGCCAGAACTGATTGTCTTCGTTCTTGATAATTAATTTTATTTTGTAATACTGATGATGATCTACTTATTGATGCAGATCCTACAGTAAATCCTGTACCTGGAGATTGAGAATAAGAAGCATTTGAAGATGATGCAGTTATAGTTGGACCACCAAATGAAGTAGGAGTACTAGATCCACTTGATGTTGGAATATTAACAGCACTAGCTGATCTTAATGAAGATGATAAATTAGATACGGCAGGAGATTGAGTTGGCATTTGAGATTTTTTAAAGAATCTTTTCAAATTAGCCATTGAATTATGTCTTGATTGAGTAGTAAATGAAACATTTGATTCTGTTGATGAAAGTGATGTTGGAGAGCTTGCAATTGGTTGATCTTGGAATGAATTATTATAGAAAGATCCTAAATCAGTAGATGAAGATTCTTTCTTAGGTTTATTTTTATTAGAAAAGAAATAAGATAATCCTGATTGAGAGCCTGATCTTTGAGATGAACTTAATGAAGCAGCTTGAGCAGCTTGAGCTTGAGCAACTCTTTGTTTAGAAATAACAAATCTTGGTTCAATCGAAGAAACAGAACTAACTTGAGGAGATTGAATATGAATAGACAGAATTGGTTGACCATTTGGTAAATTTGGAATATGAGGTGCAGTTTCTATAAGACTTGAAGAATTTGACATATTTGTATGATTACTTGAAGAAATAAGTGTATTATTAGTTGCATTGGTTGAATTGGTTGAATTAGTAGTATTTAAAGATGAAGATAATTGACTATTTCTTCCTCCAGGAGCACTATAAGGAATAGAAATTGATAAACTTTCTCCTCCATAACCACCAGTTGCAAAGAATGAAGTATGCGAAATTGAATTTGTTCTTACAATTCTTGGACTTGAATTAATTGCTGAAACTTGCTGATGCTGTATTATTTGAGCCAGTTTTTCTTTATTTTGAAAAGCAAAGTTACTATTTGATATGGAATTTGAATATGATCTTGTTTGAGTATGAGGAGAGATTGGTGTAAAGGGTCCAGTTGTTGTTCCAGGTGATGGATCAAATCCATCAATGACTTGAGTTGAATTAGTTGAACTTGCTTGAGTACTATTATTAATGTCTATAGATAATGGAGCTAAATCATCATTTTCTTGTTGTTCAAATGCTAAATCCAGATTATTTTCTGATTTTTCATCAAGTTTATGTAAAGAACTTGATGAATGATTCTTTGATACTAGAGGACTACTAACATTTGAAGTTGATTCTGATAATAATTTTGTTAAAGAACTTATTGGTTGTTTAGAACCATTAGAAATATTGCTGGTAGTTGTGGCAGCAAAAGCCGGTTTTTCCAAATCCATAGTTGCTGTTGCCATTTAAGTAAAACTTAGATATATATTATCTATAGATAATAATAAATGGAGATGTTCAATGAAATTTTTAATTAATAATATATTGAAAATGAATATAGACCATCCAAAATAACTTTTAGATAGACGAAATGAATAAAACTAATATACACTAAGTATAGACAGCCGTATCAAACAAATATATTAAAATGAGTTTAGTATAAATAAAAAATTTGGAATTAGTTTTGAACTTCGAGGTTGAACTTGCCCGAATTGATAAGGAGAAACTGAACAACCGGAATGAGGAAAAAAGCTCACTTTCCCCTAAAAAAAAAATAAGCGTCCAACGATTTAATGAGTAATTTAGAATTAGCGAGAAGCCGGCCGCTAGGGAATATGGGAGCACAAGTGTAAATTCAACCACTAATTCTAGGCAGGGTAAAGTGAATAAATGAGGTTCTGAGAGTTAGACTACAAACCAAAAGAAGGTTTAGATGGCAAATTTAAAGTATTATAGTAATAGAGTATTTATCTTAGCAATATCTATCAGATAGAAGATGAAATCATCAGAGATGATTGTTGAATTATATCCGCGAAGTATTCCCACTAGGAGCAAAATAATGTGTAGCGAGTAGGGACCAGCGAAAATATAAGGTAATAGCTCACTCCACCTTTTTTTCAGCAAGGTTATGTCGGTAACTTCGCGGCCAGAGTCTCACTAACCTAAGAAAAACTGTTAGAAAGGTTGGCAGATCTGTCCCTACGATTTTGAGTTTTTTGCCTCACGTGCTTATCTAGCGCATTTCCCTGTTACGGGACACGGGACATTCCTCCGGAGAAGTGAAAAAGTGCGCAAAATTGAAGGAAATGACGACCGATCATTGGATTAATTCCGTCTAATACTTTAGAGATAGCTGATAAATATTGATAATTATCGATTATCTCAGATAATAAAAATATAATTACTTTGATTCACGTTTCAGTTTTAAAAGACCAGTGATGATGTGATCATAATAAATATAGAGTAAACTTATGTGCCCATCGCCGATAGACAACCAGGCAGATAATTATGTAACGGTCGATACAGCAAGCAAGCAAGCAAAATTACAACCAACTAAGCCAAAGTAACCAAATAAACCAAATAAAAAGAGGAGAACGTAAAGAATGTTCGCTAAGTTAAAGCTGTACAAAAAAGCCTATGTAGATACTTTTTTCTTAGGGGTCATCATCTCATCTTATGGAGAAATCACCAGTTAATTTTCGAGGAGTTACCTTTAATAATATTTTTTTTGATCTATCGCTGACGATCTTTCTATTATTCTTTCCCCTATTTCGCTCGTAACAGGGTCAAAGCCCACAGTATTACGTTGAAAGGTCTCCCCAGACTGATCTTTGAATTATACTTAATATTCAAATCTATTACCATAAGGCAATTCTACAATAACAATATAGATCGGCAAGGATGCAAAATATGTAGCGGTACATGGAGGAGTAAGTTACCGATGTCTTCTCCTAGATTTTCCTTAGGTGCATTCTACTATGCCTGTATGGGAAGTTCACAGCGATAGCGTCTATACAAAGTAAATTCAATTTTTTTGATCTATATTATTACCTTATATACATTACTATTTCTTATTCTTTCTTTTACTACTCTGTGCCTTAGAGGTACTACCAGTTGCTGAAGACCCTGAACTAGATCCAGAACTAGATATATTTTTCCTTTCATTTTCTGACGGGAATAATGGTAAATTATCAGGCACTCTATTAATACCAATTCCAAGTTCATTTCTTAATTTATTAAGTTTAGAGTCCAACTCTTCGGATGATTTAGGTTGGACAGCAAGATCAGCTTTCTTCTTATTTTCCTTTCTCTTTTCTCTTTTCTTTTCTGATGCTGATTTCTGACTATTTCTAACTAAGGCTGATTTTTTTTCTAATTCTTCTATAATCTTTTCTGTCTTATCAAACAATTCTTTTTGCAATTCAAAATCATTATACTCTTTTCTTACTTTAGGATTAATTTTACATTCTTGTATATAATTTCCTCCTTCAATCTTTGGAATAATAGGAGCAAATAATGCAAAATAAAATGATTGAGCTCCTTGTCTGGCACTCTTTAAGAATAAATACCAAATTGGATATAAAATCAAATATAAAAATAAACCCCAAAGTGTTCCCATACTTAATACTCTTCTAGTTGATGGAGTTCTCATAATTCCTGGATTAACAAGATTTATAGTAACATTACATTTCATACCATCTTTCCTTTCATATTCCAGTATTCTCTTTTGATACTCTCTAGCAAATAATCCTAGTAATAATTTAGATGTACCATATATTTTCCAAGGTTGATTTTTAGGATAAGTTTTTGATTTCCATAATAAATCATCAAGATCAACTGTCCCTATAGCTTGGGATGTACAAGTTGCTAACACTACTCTTACATCTCTATCAGGTGGTTGAACTCTTAAGGATGGTCCCAATAATGTTAATAAATGATAATGACTGAAATAATTAATTCCCAATTGTTTTTCAACCCCATCAATAGTAAATTGCCTTTGACGTCCACTAGGTATGGCTTCAGCTGCACAACAAATAACTCCATCTAATCTTCTAGGAGGTTGATTATCTAACCATTTGGTGGCAAATTTTCTCACTGAATATAAGGAATTTAAATCACATTCTTCAGCATAAATCAAAATATTATTAGTCTTTTCTCTTAAATCATTAACAAAATCAACTACCCAAATATCTTCCATAGAACGAACCAAAAGAATAACTTGGGCACCTTTCATGGCCAATTCATAAGCAATATGAGCACCAACTCCAGATGTACCTCCTGTTAATAAATATACTTTACCATGTAAATCTCTTTCCCAAGTATTAGTTGCGCCTCTGAAATAATATTTAATACTTCCGAGTGCCAATGCAAGTGGAGCATAAGTCTTAATATATTCCCAACCAGGAACAGAATCTGTACCTTCAAACAAAGCCGTTGTTAGTATATCTACAGGCATGGTTAATCACTTAACTGCTTAGTTACTTTCTCTACTACCAGCCTTAAGACGTGTAGCGGTGATGCCGAATTAGACGTGAATTTTTCCAGTTCCAAATCGAGCTTTATTTTTCAGAAGTTGCAATTGCGCTCATCGTGAATTTATTTTTTTAGGAGCAAGATGGAAATTTTTCAGGACAACTATAATACCCATAATTATAATTATACCATTATATCATAGTTTAAAGGATGGACGAATCAGTATTCTATATAGCGGAAGGAGATCCCAGTGATAAGAATTCCCAGGAATCATTTGCATCTTCAGGATCTATTCATACTTCTCAACAACATGCATCATTTAGACAAGCTGATTGTCCTAAGAATGGGGCTCTCTTAACAGGATTTGGTCAAGGTCAAAGATTATTTGTAGCATCTGCTAATAAGGCAGTAATTAATGTTTATTCATGGGGTAAAGAAGGGGTTGATCAAAGAATACCGATTCCTGAAGCATTAAGATGTTTAGCAATTATAAATCATCCACAATCTCAAAATGAAAAGTCATCATCACATAAATTATCAACTCCAACTTTTAAAATACCTTGGTTATTAGCAGGAGGTTCAAAATCTGGTAAGCTTTATATATGGGAACTTGCATCAGGCAATTTATTATGTGTTAAGGATGCTCATTATCAAGGTATTAATGCAGTACAATTCTCAAATTGTGGTACATATATTATAACTGCTAGTGAAGATTCAAGATGTATGGTTTGGAAAACCCTTGATTTAATTTCTGTCTATTATAATGATATTGACCATATGAGAAGTGTCAAGCCATATTATTCTATATCCGATAATACTTTATCAATTACTGATATTGCTATTACTCAATCTGGTTTATCAAATGATTTGAAATTGTACACTGTATCTAAAGATAGTACTTTAAGAATTTATGATATTACTACTAAACAATTATTAAGTACTTTTGTATTACCTTTTGCAAGTGAAACATTAGTAGTTGATCCAGCTAATAGAGCTGTATATGTGGGATTATCTAATGGTTTAATTCGTTCAATTCCTTTATATCAAATTAATCCTCATTCTTCAGTATTAGAGAGTGTTGGAGGTAATAAAAAGATTATAACTTTGGATAATGATCCTAATTTGAAATCAAGTTTTATTCATCATCAACAAAGAATCAGTAATGACAATAAGAATAAATCCATTTTACACAAATCTTCTAAACAAGAAGATGATTCAAATAAACCTATATATGTTACTAAATTAGCTATATCTACAGATGGTACTAATTTAGTGTCTGGGGATTCATTAGGAAGAGTATTTATTTCAGATATTGGATCTAAACAAGTTGTCAAATCATTTACACCTTGTAATTCTCCAATTTCATTTGTTCAAGTTAACTCAGTCCCACTTAATGTGAATACCGATACTAAAATAGATAAGAAACATAGATTATTACCACAATTGAAGAGAGTTCTTGTAAACAATGAACAGATAGATCATCAATTGTTTATGGAAATCACCCATATTGATGAAAATTCTGATGAGGAGGAAGATTTTGAACAGTGGTTAATTGCCAAACTGAATGAAGAACTTGAATTCAAGAACCTCTCTAATATCAGATCCACTATTAAGACTGTTTCTAATAACAATAATAGCACCACTGCCAATGATGACGAATTGCAAGACAAATTAGCCAAAGTATCCAAAGCATATACCGAGTTACGCAAAAAGCACGAAGAGTTGATACAAGAACATTCAAGAGTATTAAATAATTTATAGATATTAAATGATCGTATTTAATAATAACAATAATATATATAAATATATATATGTATATTACAATTCTCACCTTCCAGGCGACAAGGGACGATTAAAGCCTTTTGTTCTATTCATATATTGCCGATACTCTGTCTTCTTATCTTTCTTTATAGCTCCACCTTTGGTACCATTGACATGCTTACCCTTAGTAGATCCAAAACCTCTGAACCCCATTAAACTAATCATATTGTCATCCTCTTCTATTTCATCACTTTGTGGTTGTTCATTTATAGTTTCTGAATTATTAATTTCTCGCAGTCTTCTTCTACCCCTTAAATCCTGTTCTTCTTGATGTTCAGGATTATTTATGACATTGTTATATGAAGTATTCAGTAACGGTATATCTTGTGATGATGTATGATCATTCTTGTATAATTTAGACTTCTGAAGCTTATCAAACGATCGATCACTTGATCTATCTCTATAATGTGATTGAGAAGGTTCTACGCTGGGTTCAACAGTACTAACACTATTTGGCAGTCTTGATCTAGACTTCGATCTTGAACCTGATTGAGATTGAGATCGTGATCGTGATCGTGATCGAGAACGTGATCTTGGATTGGTGTGCTTAGATCTCTGGTCCTGTAAAGTAGATAATGATGAAGATGATGAAGATGATAATGGATCCACCGGTTCTCGGTCAGACTTCACATTTATCCGGATCTTCTTTCCCATAACCATGACTGTTTGTATGTATATTATTCTAAGGAGTATACGTAATTCAATTCATTAGATCCATTCAATGAAGGTTTTCCCCTATTTGGTTAAGAAAGGTGATTCTTTATAGCACAGGTATCTGCCATCGCTATTTTTTTACGGGGACAATTTTGTGTAACGGATGAGCATACTTAAAAAAAAATTATTCAATACTGAAAAGTTTACTACTTTTGGGGTCGATTTCTTGCAACATAACAGCAACAGTATATAGAGAGAGACAGAGACCAAAATGTCAGATACAGTGAAGTTAACTAAGAAACAAAGAAAGGCACAGGAGTTCCGTGACAAGAAGACTAAAGAGGAAAGAGAAGAAGCAAAGGAAGAGAAAAAGAAGATAAATGAAGAGAAGAAGGCAGAGTTAAAGAAACAAAGAGAAGAACAAGAACAGGAAAAGAAAAGAAAGAGAGAAGATGAAAAGAAGGTAGAGGCTGAAAATGCTTCTAAAACTGAAGATGGTGAACCTAAAAAGAAGAGAAAGACCAGAAGAGGTAAGAAAGGTAAGGGAGTTAATGAAGGTAGAGGTCCAAGATTTATTTTATTTGTAGGAAATTTACCATTTGATATTCAACAAGCAGAATTAATAAGTCATTTTAAAAATAGTAATCCTGATAGAATTAGAATTAGACAAGATAAGGGAATAGCGTTTCTAGAATTTGATAACGATAGTCAAGAAATTCAAAGTAAAATGGAATTGGCTCTCAAAATGCATCATTCAACTCTTAGAAATAGAAAAATTAATGTTGAATTGACTGTTGGTGGTGGAGGAAATTCTGCTAATAGATTAAGTAAATTGAAAGAAAAGAATGAAAAGTTATTAGAAGAAAGAAAACAAAGAGTTATCGATTCTAAGAAGGCCACTACTACTAAAGCAGCATCTCCATCTCCTTCTCCAGCTGGCAATATCCATCCTTCTCGTGCAGCATTAATACAATAATCAGGTCATGAATGAAGAAGAAAAAAATTGTATAATAGAGTATCAATGGTGTAGATATATATATCACTTTACATAGATTAATGAATAATAGCATGAATTGAATTACAAATATAACATTCGAATAGAAGCTAACCTTAAAAATGGTTAACTCCGTTTATATATAGACATAAATGCATATCTAAAGTAAAATAGGTGAAATAGAATTATTAGGATAGATAATACAAATCATTTACGGAGATAAATTTAGGATTGATAAGAGTCCTTATCTAATCTAGGATAAATGAAAATTGTCAGACATTATTTATAAGATGGTACACTTCTTAGTCTTTCTAGCTTTTTTCTTTGGAGCATGTGAAGATGAAGTATGGGTTGTTTTAGATGTAACTGATTTACGTTTTGTAGTTGTCTCTGATTGGGTAAAGCCCGTTGGGTCTAAAGCTGCCCTTATGGCAAAATCAAATAATTCCTTTACACCAACTTGAGTTGCAGCTGAACATTCTAAATATTTTATGGCTCCAACTTCTTTAGCTAATTTTACCCCTTGTTCATAAGTAATAGGCTTTAAACTCTTTTGAGCCAATTCATCTAAAACGTAAGGTTCATCTCTTAAATCAACTTTAGTTCCTACCAAAATCGTTAAGATATCCTTAGGACAATGATGTAAGATTTCGGGTATCCATTTAGCTTTTATATTTTGAAAAGAATCAGGACCAACTACAGAAAAACATACTAAGAATATATCAGTTTGAGGATAACTTAAAGGTCTTAGTCTATCATATTCAGCTTGACCAGCAGTATCCCATAAACCTAATTTAATTGGTTCACCATCTATCATGACTGTAGCAGTATAATTATCGAAAACAGTTGGAATATAATCATTTGGGAAAGTATTGGTAGTATAACTAATCAAAAGGGAGGTTTTACCAACGTAACCATCACCTAAAGTGATAGCCTTTTTCAGACGCATTGTAATTTATTGAATATTTAAAAGATTTGTATGAATTGAACTTGGAATAAGTAGTGTGACGAACTTTTAACTTGACTTAAGTTTATACACTGACAAAAATGCAAGGAATATCGGGAAACAGATTTAAACTAGAATTATCTAAACAAAAGAAATCGGCTCGTAACAAATATACAAAAAGCGAATGCACAACTTTGAAATATTATTGATTTTTAATTAACCAGTTAATTGAATGAACCTATAGGAATGTGAATATATACAGTTAAACACTGTGGCAAGGACCAATAATTACTATATATATATATATATATATAATTATATGAAATTGAATCTTTTCCAACAGTTGGTTGATAATTTGAAATCTGACTTCTTGCCAATATAATATGGCACAATTCGCAAATAAAATATTTAAAAAAAAAATAAAAAAAAAATAAATAAATATATATAAAAAAAATTAAACTTCAGTCGTGTACTTGAGCAGATTTGCTTAACTAAACGAATACATTATAACATACATGTAAACTAATTTTGCATGTCAACTCACTACCTAAGGCAGTCTCGTCTCGTTTTGTATCGTCTCCGTTATATAGCATGATTATCTGAATAAAAATTATCAATGTATTTCTTTCTTAACCATTAGATTTATCATTGGTTACTTAGTCTTTATCCTCCTTATTTCAGGCTATTTTAAATATTTTGTTATCGGTATTTCATTATATTAGGATTTATAATGCATTGCAGGCTGATACTCTGTTAATCTTGTCCTTTCTAATTTGAACAGAAAATCATATGTCTATATTGTTTTGCTCTTAAGGTAATTACTTGCAGAAACGCTAATGCAAGTGCTAACCTTAACGTATCTATTCTAGGTGTAAATCTCTATTTATTTTTTACCCGTTGTTTGTCTGCTCAAATAGGATATGTTCGAAATACTACTGAACCAGCCATTTGCTTCTTTAATAATTTTAGTGCTTAAAAATATCTGTACTACTTAAAATTTCAAATTTCTAGGTTGAAATTTATTTTAACATTTACTATAAGACTCGCCTCATGGATTTACTAACTATATACTTGACTATCTCCCCATAAGCTAATGATCATCATTTAATACTACCGAATTCTAGCCCCTAATATAGTTGTTAGTCTCTAATTCTTAACCCCTTTGAATTGTTCAGGGCAGCCGTATGCAGGGTTTTCTCTGTAACTCAAAACATTTTTACACTGTGCAGTCTAGTACATCAATACATAGCATTACCTATTCCGGCAAGTATGTAACTCTATGTCAGGTGATGCAGATCGTGTGACTAGCGACACTATTATTATATACAAGCAAATCACAATAATCCCGGGGTATATTTTTCAACCCTATTCCGAAGGTAAACTTTATAACCACAATTTACTCAACAGATACATGAGGATAATTTGTTGACCATTACATTCAACTGACCACCATAGCAATGCTTGCTCGAATAATAAAACCACGAAAACTTTCATGCCACTTCCAATTGGCAAGTAGAAATTACTCTGATTTCAGTCATGTAGTAATTGGTGGTGGAGTAGTGGGTACAGCCATTGCATCTGAACTTCAAAAAGTTTCGGGTAATAGTGTTTTACTTGTTGAAAAAAATCAAGGTTTGGGTTTAGAAACAACTTCAAGAAATTCTGAAGTCATTCATGCAGGTTTATACTATCCTCCAAATTCATTAAAAGCCCAATTATGTATAAAAGGTAAAGAAAAGATTTATCAAGCATGGGATTCAGATCCAAATTTTAAATCTCAAGTTCCTCTTCGCAAATGTGGGAAATGGGTAGTTGCTCAGTCAGAATCAGAAATAGAATATCTTGAGAAATTATCTAAAAATGCTACTGATCTTAAAGTACCAGTATCAATGATATCAGCATCAATGGCTGCTAAAAAGTATCCATTAATAAGAGCAGAGGCAGGTGCATTGGAAAGTCATACCACCGGAATAATTTCAGCCCATGATTTAACTCATTATTATCAATCTGTGTTTGAAATTAATGAAGGAACTGTTTCATTAAATACAACATTAAAGGATATTCAATTTAATCAAGGTGTACCAAACTATACATTAAATTTATTTGATGATGAAAATGGAGAATTTGAAATTCAAGCAGATAATGTAATTAATGCAGCAGGTCTTTATGCTGCTGAAATTTCAAATTTACTTCTTCCTAATAAAATCTCACCTTATTTCGCTAAGGGAACTTACTTTAGTTTCGAACCAGAAACTCCAATAAGCTCATCTAAAATAACTGAAGTATTAATTTATCCTTGTCCTAATCCAAATGCATCCTCTTTAGGAACTCATTTAACGTTTGACTTAGGAGGTCAATTACGTTTTGGCCCTGATTTGGAATGGTTGGACATTGAAAGGGCAGAACAAATAGATTATACACCAAGTTCTGATAACCTTCAAGCAGCATATGAAGCTATCAAAACTTATTTACCATTAATCACTCCTCAAGCATTACACCCTACGTATTCTGGAGTACGTCCAAAGGTTGTTTCTGAAATAGAAAATAAAAAGGCATTTGCTGATTTTATAATTCGCGATGAAAAGAATCAAGGATTCGCAGGATTTGTAAATTTATTAGGAATTGAAAGTCCTGGTTTGACTGCTTCTTGGTCAATTGCCGACTATGTTAGAGATATTTACCACTAGAAGATACATTAATTTTTCATACATTTATATAAAAGTTGTTTGCATTTATATAAAATATTTATAATACATAACCAAATAATCTATAATTTCCTTCTTTTAATTGTACCATCATCTTCATTAGATGGCTTTTTCTTTTCTCTCTTCTGAGGTAATTCATTTGGATTGGTTGCCCTAGGTGCTTCTAAGAAGTAATCATGTAATAATGCCAGAGTCAGATCGCATCTTCTACTTGGATCCAATTGAGTCATTGAGATTAATAAGTCTAGAGCCTTTTCAGTAGCTGCACTAAATCTATTTCTCAACTCTTGTCTTGAAGGTGGAGGATATACTCTTAATGCGTTATATTGAGGAAGATTAGATACATTTGGCCATATTTGCTCAGTTGGAGTTCCTAAAGCTCGGAAGGTTACATCTAATTGATCAATATCATCTTTACCTGGAAGGTAAGGAGTTCTTAACATTAATTCAGCAAATATTATTCCCACAGACCATATATCCACAGCACCTGTATAATGTTTAGCTCCAAACAATAATTCAGGAGCTCTATACCATCTAGTAACTACATTCGATGATAAATCTTCATTTGGATTTCCTAGTGATCTTGCAAGACCAAAATCAGCAATCTTTAATTGACCATCAGGAGCTAATAATAAATTATTAGGCTTTAAATCTCGATGTAATATGAAATTTCTATGACAATGATGAACTCCTCTTAGAGTCATAAGTAACCATGATTTAATATCTGCTGATTTGAAAACTATAGAAGTATCTTTTATTAATACTTCTAAATCACAAGGTAAGAATTCAAGTACCAAATTTAAATTATTACTAGTAGAAAATACATCGATTAATTCAATAACATTAGGATGTTTTAATTCTTGCAAATATTTAACTTCTCGTATAGCAGACATATCTAATCCATCTTTAAATAATCCAGTCTTAATTTCTTTAATAGCAATTTTCCGTTTAGTAGAAATTTGAACTCCTAAATATACTACGGCATAAGTACCTTCCCCTACTTTTCTATCTTTAGAATATTTTAATTGTATCAGTGACGTGGGTGTAGACCTCGGCCTTGACTCCTGAAGTTCTGTAGCCATTTCAATTTCAATAAGTCTCTATCGGTTTACTTATTAAGTACTGTACTCTAACTTATGTCTTGTCTGAGATATCTCATAGATTTTCAATTTGTTGTCGGAGTGCGACACAGCAAATGACAATTTTCAAAAATGACAAATCCACAAAAATGACAAATACTAAAATGTATATAAAACTAAATTAAGTATTAATAAAATGAAGCTCTAAAGCTTAGAAGTATAATAGAGTTAAATATGATGCAATTATATATGTATATATGAGTATGATTAGAAAAGCAAGCGAACAAGAAATAATAATAAATGAGACATGATAAATTTTACGACATTCTGGGGAGCCATTGGCTGCAAAATATGATACAAGGAAGAATTTAAATTTAAGATTCTTAATTTAAATTTTATATTTTAATTCTTCACAGTTCCTTCAACACATTCCCATTGGGCAAATACATACCAACTATTACCACTGTCTCCAATGACTAAACCACGGTATAAACCAACCTCTTGACATTTAATATTGGTAGAATAAGTACCATATGGCTTTGAAGGATCAGTTTTATTTAATTTGAAGTATTTACCAGATGGTGATTCTATAACAAGCTTAAAATCTTGATTCATTAATGCTGTACCATTTGATAATCCCATAGATGGATACTGATTAATCTCAAAATTATAAGCATTCTTCACTATAATCTTACTAATTTGTGGTTGTTGAATATATAAATCATTATTTTGACTTTGAACTGTTGGGAATCGTGGAACAAATTTACAATCCTTAGATTCACCTGTATGATATAATGGTATTACAACTGCCAATTGATGAATATTATCAAAATGTTTTTGTAATCCCTTTGGACCAGCAAATATTTGTAAAACTCCAATAGTTTCATTAGGAGGAAGAATAGCTTTAATCTTGGCAATACGTTTATTGTTTGACCAGTAAATTTGTGATAAACATAAATCATTGGTAGTGATTTTCGAAGTCTTGACCAAACTGAATATTTCAATGTCCTCTGGAATATCTAATTCTAATTCAAAGAATTCTAAATCTTGAAGCCTTGTTAAACTATTATTAAAGTTTCTGAATTTCAAATTAGAAGAGTAATATCCCGAATATGATCGAGGTAAATAAAATGCTATATTTGGATCAATTGGAGGAATCACATGTTGTAAATCAATAACCGATGGTATATGAGTTGTAACTAATGTCAATGGTTTTGCCAAGAAATAGAATTCATTATATCCTTGAGGATGGTTACGAATATTGCAAACTGCTCCATTTTTAAAATTGTAAAGATCAATAATTAAAAATTGTTCTTCTACTAAAACTGATAACCAACAATGATTATTAACAAATTGTTCATTATGATAAAATTCATTAGGCTTTTTCCAGAACCCTAAAACAAGTTCTGAAGGGATTCTTAAAGCATCCAAAATCTTTTTGAAAAGATAATTAAGTTGATATATAGTTGCCTCACCCTTTTGTTGAACTTCAGAAAGTTTTGGTTTAGCTTGCAATATTTTTCCAGACTCTTCAACGATTTTAAATTTACATAAATGGATTAAAAGACATCTTACTTGATTAGCCTTAGAAGAATTGAATTTAATACTAATATCAGATATTAACTCATTTAAGTCGTAAGAAGTATTGTAAAGTTCCATAAATGCCTCTATTTTGGATGTAGCAATCTTAGTAGTCGATTCTGAATCATAAGAATCAGTAACTTCATTCATATTGATATCTGAAATGAAGTCTAATGGCTTAACTACCAAAGATGGATCTTCTCTAAGAATTCGTCTAGTTCTGGCTTGTTTATCTTGAGAAGTTAATGAGTTCATTCTGTTTAAATCACTCTTATGGGTGGTCCAATCTATTTCATTTACCTTTTGAAGCTTTTGCTCAATTAGATTTTCTTCCTTTGGACTCTTCTGTAAAAGTTTCTTAAAAATATTAGATTGTTTCTTTTTATCTTGAAACATAGACTCCATTACTGACAGACTTGGAACTGTTTCCTCAGTAGATGGACCATCATCAAGATTAAGATCTTTAATTGCATTACTTTGTTTATAAATTTCGTGTTCAATCTTATGTCTGTAAAATGATCCAGCACTAGTAGCACTAAGCTCTGATAAATTCAAAACATCACTTTGTAAAGATTTCAATGAATTCTTTAAATCTTCCTGTTGCATTTGTGACAATCTATATAATTCTTCGTCACTTAACATTTGAGCATTACTATTTCCTGAAACTCCAAAATCATCAGGATCGAATGGTATTTTATTCCTACCGGATTTTTTAAATTGACCATTTGCCGAATAAATGTCTTGAGAAGCTTCTCTATTTATAATTGGAGTGTTATGCTTTGGAGGTGGAGGTGGTGGAGGTGAACCCTCTAAGTTATCATCATCTTCATCACTAACTAATTTTGAAAGTTTCTTACCAAGATCGTCTCTTGAAGCAAAGTTCTTCTTTGAAGATTGTAAATCTTCACTTAAATAACTATCAATTGAAGGATCATAAGAGTGATCATTACTATGATTCTTTCTAGAAGCAATGGGAGATCTTTGACTTTGAGCTTGGTTTTGCATTTTATTTCTGTGACTGGATCTTTCAAGATCTTTCAACCGTTGTAATTCCATTTCAAGTTGAGCTCTCTTTTGTGCCAAAAGTTCTATTTCATCTTCCACATTAACATTTCTTCTATTATAAGGCGAAGTTGGATCAGGAGAAAAGGATTCAACCGTATAGTTATTAAACAATGGTTGTAACTTATTAGGAGTTTGCTGAGGTAAATCAACATATGAAGAAGATTTTAAGTTTCTGCTTGGCGGACTTGGACTTGGATCTTGAGAAGAATAAAATTGTGAACTTCGTTTAGATCTCAAGCCACTATTTCTATTAGTATCTTGAAATTGAAGCAGTAATCTTTTATCTTGGCTCAGTGATTTTCTGATTTGATAATTTTGTTGTTGTTGTAATTGTTTAAAATGTTCAATTTCTCTTTGTCTATCATAATCATCTTGTTGAGATTGATGATAAGATTGTCTGTATTTTGGATGATTTACCGAAGACATTAAATTATTGGCAGATCTAACTTTCTTAGATTGATAATTTGCTGAATTGGTTAATCTTGGATTTGTTTCAATGGCATCAATGGTATAATTACCAACATCATATTCAAATGAATTATCTGGATCATTATAATTATCATATCTTTTTGGAGAACTTTTAGATGCCAGAAAATAACCCTTACTATTACGATAATTATTATCTAAATCCTTTTGAGGAGTGGTTTGTTTTGGGGTAGATAATGAATTATGAGATGATGAATGAATTAATCTTTCTTCAAGGATCTGAACATAATCCATAGGAAATATTCCTTCAGCATTATTTCTTCTTAATTTCCCACTCCACCAACTTTCATCCACTATTGAGAACACATCAATTACTTCATTTTCAATGAATCCAAGATCTCCATCTTCCTCTCCAGCCCATGACACTTTTGTCTTTACTTTAAAGGGAGGTTGAGGAACTGTCATAATGGACGACTTAAATAATTAAATATTAGAAGGAAATGCAAGTTTATGTAGAGTGATAGTTTCTATGAATAGCCTAAATTGACTAATATAACCATTAAATTATCAAAAAGAATGTAAAACAATTTGGATCTTAGAAGGATATGAAATTAAACAAGATGATTTCGGTTGAATATAGATATTATACTAATTACAACCTAATTAATGAACAACCTGATATATACTTAAGTAGTAAATCGATGAATAACACTCACCAAAATTCCAAATCCAAGTTAAAATTCCAGTACCTTGGATCAATTCTATGCGGCTTAGTGGGTAAAGTCTTCGAGCCATCAAAGTCCCCTATGTTATTCATTGATTTTGTCCTTAAGTACTGGCTATTTCATGTTATACATCTAATATTTGCTCGTTTGGGAAAAACGTAAACATTGCAAATTTTTTGTGCGTTGAAAAATACATCATAGAAAGCGGCCCATGAAAATTACCGGATTAGGTATATTATCAATTATATATAGTGTGTGTGTATCTGTGTTTAATATTTAATGAGATCCCTAACGTACTTAACGTACTGTATCAAAGAGAGAGAGAGAGAGAGAGGGAATATACAGGTATAAAAGATTATATACATCACATATACATTATACATCATTGTGCAATTAATATTATTATTCTTATTATTGTTGTTGACGTACACCACTAACAATATCATCAACTCTTAATAATAAACAGGCACTTTCTATAGCAGTTTTAATTGATTGTTGTTTAATAACTTCAGGTTCCCAAATTCCATATTCATTCATATCAACAACTTTACCTAAATCACCATCTATACCAAAAGTATGTTCACCTTTTGCATGTTTAGCTCTTAATTGTGATAAAATTTTAATTGGGTTACCTCCACAATTTTGAATTAAAGTTCTTGGAATAACTTCAAATGCATCAGCAACAGCTTGATAAGGCCATTGAGCAATTCCTTCAATTGATTTAGCCTTTTCAGATAATTTAACACTGACTGCCATTTCTGTAGCTCCACCACCTGGAGATAATGAAGGTTCAAACATAACATTTCTTGTAACTGCCATAGCATCATGTAAATTTCTTTCAATTTCATTAAGAATATCCTTTGATGGACCTCTTAATAATACAGAACAAGCTTGAGGTTCTTTACATTTAACTAAATATGAGAAATATTCATCACCAATTAATTCAACTTTAAATAATCCACATTTATTACCAATATCTGATTCTTTAAGATCTTCAATTCTATTAACAATGGTAGCTCCAGTAGCACGAGCAATTCTATTATTATCTGATTTTTTAACTCTTCTTAATGCTGATACACCACCTTTTAATAAATAATGTTGAGCTAAATCACTAACCCCCTTTTCAGTAATCACTAAATCTGGTTTAAATTCCAAAAGTTGATCACAAATTAATTTAACTTGTTCTTCTTCAATTTGTAGTATTCTATTCCAATCTTCTTCCTTTGTAATTTCTATATTTGTTTGAGATTCACCCTTTTTATATTCTAATGGACAATCTAATAATATTACTCTTGGATTTTCAATATATCTCTTCATTTTTGGATGAGTAACATCTTTATTTAATAATATACCATCTAAAACTTCACTATCTTCAACTTCTCCACCAGGAATTTTTTCAATTCTAACATATCTTTTAACATCAACTTCTTTATATTCTCCATCTTTTACAATGACAGTTTTAACTGCTTTTAAAGATAATTCACACATTATTTGTGACCATTTATGAACATATTTTGTACCAATTGATGCTTTAATTAATTTAAGCATAGCTTGATCATTTTCAATATCTACAGGTACAGATACTTGATGTATAATTTCTAAAGCATCAGATAATGCTTGTTTTAAAGCTTGAATAATAATAACTGGATGAATATTTTTTTCAATATATGGAAATGTTTGAGCTAAGATTTCTCCAGCAAGAATAATAACGGTAGTTGTACCATCACCAACTTCTTCATCTTGAGTTCTACTTAATTCAATCATAGATTTTGCAGCAGGATGAGATACATCAATTTCTCTTAAAATTGCATGACCATCATTAGTTAATACAATACCTCCCATTGGATCTAATAACATTTTTAACATAGCTTTTGGTCCTAAACATGTTCTAATAATATCAGCCACAGCTTTAGCGGCAGTAATATTGGCAATTTGGGCTTGACGTCCAGTTTGTCTTTGAGTAGACGTATTAAGATATACAACTGGTGCTTGCATTATTCTATAGTGACTAATCTAACTCTGGTGACTTTCTAAGCTACTAACTAAGTTAAACTAAGTCGCCGTTGATTTTGGATTTCTCATGAAATTTTTTTTGTGGGTTCGGTCGCGTTTAGTTACCAACCTGCAAAAATTGGTCCTCAGCACTAATATGCAAAAAAAAAGATTTAGAGTTAACTATGTACGTAGCCATTTACATTTATATATGTAATTGAATTATATTAATAATAGTAGTTAAATTATCATTAACACATAATGGGTGTAGAATTTGTTAATGCTAACTTCACTACTATTGAAGATTTACCCGATATAACTGAGAAAATCACCGAAATTGAAAAGTCAAAGCAATCACTTAAACAGTTGGTAGATGCGAAAATTCATGGACATCAAGAGTCCAATAATGATATTAATATTAATATTGATGAAGAGAAATTGAATAATTCTGTAGATAAGATTCTTTCGGTGATTGGATATGCTGTTGAATCCCAAGATATTAATGATGCTATAGAGAATATAGAAGCATTAATTCAGGAATTTGGCAGTATCCAATCATTTGAAGAATTAAAAGCACAATTAATTGCTAAACAAGCAATTAATAAAAGAATACAATTATTAACTATTGCAAGAGATATTGAATCTCATTTTGTTCATGATTTGGATATTTCAACTTTAGCTAATCTTGCCACTCAATCAAAAGATTTGAAATCAATTGATACTCCTTTAACTTCCATTGTTATATCATCTTTACATACTTCTATTCAAACCATTGTAAATACTAAAAGAGATCAACTTGAACAATCATTACTGGAAATAATTAAAGAAACTAAATGGTTAACTGCTAAACCAAAGGATTCAACTGTTCTGATAACTAAAATTTCAACTTTAGTAAAAGATTTAGTTCATCTTCAAAGTATTCAGAATAAACCAATATATCCTGATACATGGTGGGCATTAAATATATTATTACATCCATTAATAATAAGATTTGAATATCATTTTAATAGAAATACTGAAACAAATAAAATAACCAAACCAGAATGGGCCTTGAATTTTATTGAATCTTTTCTTTCTGAAAACCTAGTTAATTTAAATTTAGTAATTGAAGATATATTTAAACCAATTGGTAGAATTGCTACTTATGAAGTAATTACTACATTATTAATACCTTTAAGAGATAAAATATTGATTACTATTAAATCATTAAATAAAAGTATTGAAACATATAATGATGATCCAACCAGTAGAGAGAAATCAGGGAGATTATTAAGTCATTTAATCTTTGAATTATCATCATTTGATCAAAGACTTAGAAATACTTATAAATATAATCCATATATTGAAAATTTTGATGAAGTTCCTAATAAGAAATGGACTGGATTAACTGGAGATGTATTACTTAGAGGTAATGATGAAAGTTTAGCTGTAACTAATTGGTTAAATTTTGAAAAGGAATTGGCTAATAAGAGATTTACAACAGAAATATTAAATCCTTCAGATGCCTTTAAAATTGATTATGATTATCAAGGGTCATCATACGATCAAGATGAAAATAATCATAATAATAATATTAGTAAATCTGAATTATTAAAACCAACCTATTCTGCATATGGATTAGTTAAATTATTTGATAATTTAAGTGGACATTTTCAAACTCTAAGTATTGTTAAGTATCAATTAAAATATGTTTCATCAATTCAACTTAATTTAATTCAAGTATATTTTGAACAATTATCGAAATTATTTAAGGAATTTTCAACTACTTTTAGTCAAAAGACTGTAATGAATTTTATACCAGGGGGTTTAGCCGATAATAATACTAATAAAACGTCTGATACAGATACTATTCAAAATGGATTAAAGGGTTTAGAAATGTTATCACAAATATATTGTCTGGCAAAATTTATTCTGAATGCATTAGAATATTGGAGTGATCAATTAATTTATATACAATTATGGGATGCATATAAATCTATTACAAATGAATCACAATATAATTCTAGTATATTTGATAGTTCATTACATCAATATGATGAATTTTTAGATAAATTACTTTTAAAATATGAAGATTTCTTTCGTAAAGAAATTAGATCTGCTGTTAAAGAATATGTTAATGAGAATTTATGGGAATCAAATTCTAATCAAACTAATGAACCAACATCTGAACTTAATAGATTAATAACTATATTAACTGAATATTTAAAACAATTAAAGAAAAGTTGGAGTCAATTAGATTATTTTTTACTTGGTGATAGAGTTGTATCTTCATTATCAACTATTTTATTAGAATATGTTATATCTAATAATAATTTTCATAAATCAAGTATTGAACAATTAAATACTGATATTAATTATATTATTCATGAATTACGTCTGCTTTTATATCTTATAAATGATCAATCATTAACTAATATTAATAATATTAAATATCAACGATTAATTCAATCATTACAAGTATTAAACCAAGCAGATCGTAATTCAGTAAAGGAATACCGCGACAAAATTCATCAATTCCGACAATTGTTCGATAATGGTCTTTCGCAATTGACAAATTCAGATATTCATGAACTTTTCTTGCGCATTAATTAATTAATTAATTAATTACTCATGTAATATACACTTTCTTTTATGTACCATAAACTGTACTGTATACCATTTTTATGTACAAGTCGCGCGTACAAAATCAACACTATCAAAACATAAATACCATAACCCATTTCGTAAACATTTAATTATATAACCAATTAATTTATAGACCGTAATAGACCCATGTCTTTGGTTAGGAAAAGGGTATGTAACATACAACTGACTATTTCATATTGATATTGAAGATCATTTACTAACATACTATGGTGAATATATAGATCCATGAGGATAATCCCAATGGAAATGGAAATGGAAATGGAAATAATAAGAAAAGATTCATTACTACTAATGAATATATAGCCAAGTTATATAATGTACTTCCAGGTGGCAAGAATATAAATATTCCAAAGAAACCATTGATATTAATAGGAAGAAGTTCTGCCTGTGAAGTACGAATATTAGGAAGTGATGTATCTTCTAGACATTGTCAAATGACTATAATTCCAAGTAATGCAGCCAATACTCGTGAATATTTACATATGGAAGATTTAAGTACTAATGGAGTTTATGTTAATGAAGAAAAATTAACTAAAGGTGATAAAGTAATACTACGAAGTGGTGATAAACTTCGATTTGCTAAAACTGGAGGCTCATATATTTTTCGTTATTCAAGTGATATCTTAAGTGAAAAATCAACAGAAACTTCATTAAATAAAGTAATTCATAAACGAACATTCTTTGATGATTATATACTTGGAATTCAATTAGGTTCAGGACATTATGCAGTAGTTAAAGAAGCTAAACAACGAAGTACAGGAGAAATTGTTGCTGTAAAGATATTTCATCCTAATAAATCAGGTAATAAAAATAGTACTAATGAACAAGCAAAATTAGAACAAGAAATGAATTTATTATTATCTATTAATCATCCAAATATAGTTAAATTTATATCTCATTATATTGAACCAATTAATGAATATGCAGTAACAACTTATTTAGTATTAGAAAAGATGAATAGTGGAGAATTATTTCAAAGAATTGTTAATAAACTGAAATTAAGACCTAATGAAACAAAGGCATTCTTTAAACAATTATTATCAGGATTAAAATATTTACATGATAATAGTATTATTCATCGAGATATTAAACCAGAAAATATTCTTTTAGATATTACTCCAAGAATAAATCTTGAAGATAAACAAACAGGACCATGGGATGAAGATGAATTAGATATTAAAGTTAAAATAGCTGATTTTGGATTAGCAAAATTTATTGGAGAATTAAAATTTACAAATACTTTATGTGGTACACCAGCATATGTTGCACCTGAAGTACTTAGAAATGATAGAAATTATACAACAAAAGTTGATGTTTGGTCTACTGGTGTATTATTATATGTATGTTTATGTGGATTTCCTCCATTTAGTGATGAATTAGGACCTCCAAGTATGAGAGATCAAATTCTTCAAGGAAAATATGCTTTTTATTCTCCATATTGGGATAATATAGTAGATGATGCTCTTGATTTAATTACTAATCTTTTGGTTACAGATTCTCAAGAAAGATATGATGTAAATCAAACTTTGGAACATGTATGGTTTCAAACTGAAGACATTGAAAATTCTCCTGTAGAAGAACAAGAACAAGAACAACAAGAAAATGATGAGTCAATGACAATTTCAAGAGCTGGTACTAGAAATGAAAGCTTGATATCATTTATATCGAGATCAAATACTCAACCATTAACTTTACGTGATAGATTTTATAGTAATCTTGAAGAACGAACTTCAGTTTTATAGACAGTCATTATTAAAATTATATATATATATACAAGTAAGTAAATTTAAGCAACATTACTAGTAACGTCATTAATTTCATTGGATCTAGATTTGAAAAAGTGCTCGATTTGAACTTCATGGTTATTAATGTAGGCTTTCATCTCGGGATTATTATATTCTGGTGTTTTCTTATATGATTTAAGTTTTTCATTAAAGGCTGTTATCTTTCCTAACCAAGTAAAAGCTTGTAGATTATCTTTCATACGATAATATACATCAAATAATCCTATCATACAAACCACATCCTTAGAAGTTTCAACACCTAATTTAAACCATTCTACTGATTTTGAATAATTCTGGAAAGTATTAAGTTCAAGAAATCCTAAAGCTGAGAAACTTTCAACAAGAGATTTAGTGGCACTAATTTCCCAATGATATCTCGCTATTTCAGGATCAACATTACTATATAATTGTCCAAGATAATAATGAGTCTTTGCTAAATTATCATCAAGAATTCCGAATCTTATAGCATTTTCAAAACAAATTTTAGCTTTACCAAGATTAACTGTTGGTTGTTCATAAGTCATATAATAAGCTCCAAGACTAGAATAAACTTGAGCAGCTTGAATACTATCATTATCTAATTTAAGATACATTTTCCAAACATCTTTAGCTTGAGTAAATTGATTTATCAGAAACAAGAAATTTCCCATTAATTTTATAGCTAAAAGATTAGGAAGCTGAATTAAATCATAAAGAGTTTCACTAGCATATTTTTCATCTTCATCAGATACTGAATCCTTTTCTCGAATACTTTTACATAATACTTCATACATTAATAAAGCAACAGCATCATTATCACCCATTTCTGCTGCTTGTTCAACTAATTCATTTTCTAATCCTAAAAGATTTTTATTAATTGTATTGGTCATAGTTCGAACATTAGTTAAAACCAGTTTTAATACCATAAGATCTTGACCATTAACTTTTGAAGGATATACTATTTCATCAGGATTATCAAGATTTTCATACACTGCTTGAAGGATAGGTATAGTTTTAGAATAAGTAAATCGTGAATCATTATCGAACAATAGTTTGTTCATAACTTTCTTCTTAGGAAGTATGGATAATAATGGTGGTTTGGTGGTGGTGGTGGTAGTGGTGGTGGATGCGACTCCTGAGTTGAACCGAAGTCCCCACCTTCGTACAGGAGCCTTTCTCCATAAGTTCAACATTGACTTGTATGGTTAAACCTAATGCTACTGCTATTGCTTGTACACTATAACCAGCAGTATTTTACTAGTTAACTAAATTTTTTTTCAGACTGCGAACTTAACTATTTATTAATACAATATGAATTTACATATACATATACTGTATGTGAAATAAAGATTGAAGGAATTAGAGATACAATAACATTAAAAAATAAAGAAAGACGAAGGAAGGAAGGAAAGAAAGAAAAACGGGACGACAAAAGAAATAAATGTAGTAAAGACAAAATTATGGAAGAAGTATAAGGAATGAAGGAAGGAAGGAAGGAATGAAGTAATGAAGGAAAGGGAGTATAACATGAAGAAAGAAATTAATTAATGTTTACCTGGGTCTATATGCTTGAAATCAAATCACGTTATCTCATGAAAATTGACTACCGTAATCAATAAAATGATCAATATTATTACTAGCATTACCATCATTTCCATCGGTATTAGTGGCTCCTGATGTACTAGTATTTGCAACACCAACATTGGCTCCATCAAACCCTAAACCAGGGGTATTATTAGAACTTGAAGGAGTATTGAAATCATTATGTAATCCTATAAAGTCAAATTCATGACTTGATGGTTGATGAAGATGTTGGGCATGGACTTGTGGCTGTATAAAAGTATTACCATTACTATTACCATTATTATTATTAGTACTAGTACTAGTAGTATTGTTATTAAGAGATCCATTAGATAATGTCTCTAATAATGTATCATTATGAGGATATTGATTATGGGTATAAGAATGCACAGTTGATGGTGGACCAGTTTGAGTTATATTATTCATTGATGGACTATTATTATTTGAATAACTAATTGGATTACTCGAATTATTATTAATATTTGAATTACCACCTCCATTATTTGATCCAGGAGTATTGGTTATTTCATTATTAATAAAAAAATCAGGAGTATTTCCCGCTTGGAAAATATCAAAATTATCTCCATGACCATCATGATAAGTTGAATGTTGAGATGGATGAGATTGATGTTGAGAATATTGTTGAGGGACATTTGAAGTAGGATATAAACGATTATTATTATTTGAACCAATAGAATGAGGAGTAGATGTTACCAGATGAACATTATTATTAGCAATATTATTATTACTATTATTATTATTAATATTCGAATTAGAATTACTATTAGAATTCACATTAACATGAGAATGACTAGTGATTGAATTTGGAGAATTATCAAGATCAAATCCTGTACCAACTGGTGAAAATTGTTGTTGAGAAGGATGTTGATGAAAATGAGGTGGTAATGCTTGATTTGGATGCGAATTATTTGGAGCAATATGACCTTGAGAAAGGTGTTGAGATGCTATAAAATCTGGTCTAGAAATTGTATTTGGATCATCCCAAAGTAATGGATTATCAAGTAAAGGTTGTTGATTTTGTTGTTGTTGATGATGCATCATTTGATTATTTTCTAAAATAAAAGCATTTAAATATTGTAAAGAACTTTTAACTCCAACAAGAACATGAGGAATAGATGTTCCACCTTCATTCATATGAGCTTGACTAACTTGTTGGCCTTCACTGAAATCATCACAGATTGACCATTGATTTGCATTTGAATTTGAATTAACATTATTATTTATACCATTATAAAAATAAACAGAAAATTTAGGTTGATGACTTAAACTAACTCTAAGTTCATTATTTTCTTTATTAATATTATTATCAAGTAATGAACATGTAAGAATAGAATTTATTGGATAAAAGATTCTAAATAAAATCTTTGTATTATTTGAAATAGCCAGAAAGAAATAATTAATTTCAAAATTCTTTTTTGATAATATGACTAAAAGATCAACATTTTGCATAACAGAATTAAGGGTAAAAGGTGATAAATTAACAAGACTATTTCTTAATAAATTTTCTTGATGATAACCAGATTTAATTCTTTGCCATGATCCAACAGAAAGTGAAGAACAATTTATAAAACAATATTTTTCATTAATTTCAATAGGAATATATTGTTGTTGAAGTTGTTGATGACTAAGATTACTTGGAGGATTAATTCCATTATTATTATTGGAATTTCCAGGATGATTATAATGATTTGGACTAACTAAATTTGAAAAACTATTTGATCTTGATGAATGTATTGATGAATTTGTTGTATTTGTTGTATTAGTATTAATTTTACTTAATTTTTCAAACTTCTTTAATTTAGCTCTTCTATTTTGAAACCAAATACGTATAGCCTTTTCAGTCATTCCAGTCTTTTCACTTATTTCACGTCTTTGTTCATTTGAAGGATTTTGATTACGTTCAAATTCTTGAAGTAAAAAATCTAATGCTTCACCTGAAGCTCTTGTCCTCTTTGAAGAGGTACTATTTTCGTCAGATGACATTATGAATGAATTAACAATATCAATATAAATAATATCGATATCGATATGACTATTGAAATCCTCTCCTTAAAACTTATATATAATAAAAAATGACTGACTATTATGAAACGGCAATAAATTTATATGTGATTTAATTTATATACGGCCGATAATAAAAAAAGAATTGGATGAATATAAATCAATATAAGATCCAAACTATGGCAACGAAATTAAACTATGTTGAAGCCCAAGGATATTAGATAACAAAGATCTCTAGTTAAATTATCCAATACTATTATTATAAAGGTGTATGGCGAGAATGAGATCTGACTTGGGTTCGTTTTCGTATTCCACCAAAGTCAGTCAGTCAGTTCTTCTCTCTTTTGTCTCAATTTCTTCCTGTGTCCAGGATAAAAAAAGTCAAAGAAAAAATATATAAAAAAAAGAAAAACTTAAACTTTTTTTTTTTTGAACAAAGTACACGTCTTTACTATTGCAAATGTTTGGTAACGTAGCCACACCACACAATCTGGAAATGTATGAGGAAGTATGGAATATGGAGAAAGTAATATTATTGATATTATTGTAGTTAATATTAATATTTATTTATTTAATATTTGTTAACTTTAACTTTATCAATTATGATAATGAACAATCTAATTAGAATTGAATGACTTATATCTTTTCGGATCTAATCTGATCGGTAACTATTACTGGTTGTTTTGTCTTTCCCTGCTCGGTTTGCGTAAACTAACACAAAAAATATCTATGATGTAGCAAGATTGAATGACTCAGGTTAATTAATGATCCAATCCAATTGATCAATTGAGTAGATAAAGAGTGATTAAGTAGATGAGATGAATCACGAGCAATTGGTGAAGATTTAAAAGAAGGAATAAGAAAGTTATCAGAAATAAAATATGGGTGGTTGTAAAAGGTTTTTATAAAATTTTCACTCCAATGAAGATGACTGGCAAAAAAATAAAATAATGCTAACAAAACAAAAGATGATTCAAAAAAAAAAATAATAAAAACACACTGTAGCGACGACAGCACAAGTACAGCGAAAAACCTGAGCAAGAAAAAAAAGCGGGCTCGTTTTGTGTCATCTAAATTGCTTTTTTCCTTTGTAGTCCTCTAGATAAGAAAACCTCTACGAGAAAGCGCTGCGGAATACGCTAAAGTTTTAAACCGTCTCAGGATTGATGCATGCAGGATCAGCACTAGTCATTTAAGTTACAAAGATTTTGAATTTTATTTACTATAGCTAATCGCAAATAATCATTATATTGAACGATATATTATATAATACGGGGTTTGACATCTATATAAATTCTTTTCAGGCTGAATCATACCTTAACAACAGATTGAATCACTTGACTTTTAGTCATTCTGGCACCTGTTGTGGGATTGAGTAAATCTCCTGTTTTTTTTTTCACATCTTCGGTGTGCAATTTTTTCACCGGTGGAAAATTGTTTCCCACCCCACGATTCAACTTGACATACAATTTCAATTGTTGTTATTCCGCTGAACCTAATGCATGCTGTATCCCTTTTTTAAAGGTACTTGCATACTATATGTGCTTTTATTACTGAATTCGTTAAGCTTCATTCTACATAAAATTCGCTCTCTACTATTGTTCTGTTAGTCAATAAGCTGATTGTTATGTATCATAAGCTTAAATTAATACATGGTTTGCGCTTTAATACAATAAAACCTATCCTCTTTTAGCATTAGCAAGGGAATAATAATGCCGCTGATATTGATAATACATTCTCTACATACGTATCCATGCCTCTTTGTTTTATTTACTTTACTCTACATTCCTCCTATCTCTACTGTAATCTCTTTTAAGCTAATGGTTATCTCCACAGAAAAGTGTTCATGACCCAAACTCCTTTGTCGGAGTTCGATACACCACGTCCACACTTATCTATTCATCATGCATGGATTTAAAGGAGCTATGAAAACGTTTGTCCCCTATCTTGTTATTGTTATCGCTTTTGCATTTTTTTTGGAGCCTACCCCGGTATCTCACAACCATAACAATTGCAAAAAAAATGTGGTAGTGAAAAATTTTCACATCTCGTATTCCTTTCAAATCACCACTTTTACTTTCAAACCCTCCAATCCGAATCTTCCATTTCTTATCTCTACCTTTCGTATCTGTAACAATGTGCTCATGCACTTGACATTCAACCTCCTTTTATTTTGTTTCCTTTTTTACTACTTGATTATGTACATATCTTACTTTACTTCATCACCTTTTCCCCCGCCAATTTGGTTACTCCGCTATTCTTACTGTAAAAAGTTTTTTTTGTGCGAGATTTCGCTCCATTAGCGTCTATTGTTCCAGGAAAAATTTTTCACACAAAATGCGCTCTGACAACCTTTTACGAGTAATTTATTTTCCTCTCGGCTTGCATTGTTAAGAGACAACGCCGGTTTTGTCTTCCCCCCACTTAAAACTATTATTTAATATGTATGTGTGTTTGTACCTCCGTCAACGGCGTAAAGAACACTTCTATTACACTAGTCTTTATTGATGGTTTTTCTAGAACACCACATAACCTTATTTTTTTTTCATCAAGGAACAATTAAATCAATACTCATTAATCGTTGTAATGGAAACATTAACCGAATTACTGTTTCCAATTGAACCTATTCTAGAAATCTACGTGGTATAATCGGATAAATATAATTAACCCCATTATTTTTTAAAATTACTGTGTTGATTAGAGCTTTATCTTTGAAAATTTTTATCTATCTATAATTATGATTGGTTGTATATACTTGTGTAAAAGACTATTACTAAAGAAGAAATTCTTCAATATCAAGATCTTCAAATACTTCAAACACTGGTCTTAATTCTCGCCAACTCTTATATTGAGATCCATAAATATCCCAATGCTTAATCTCAGTTTTTAATTCTTGAAGTAATTTAATATTACCAATATTATTAATTTTAATTAGTTCATGGATTAATTTTCGCAAATTCCATGACATCTCATATAAATTCATGGATGTATTGGATGTTATGCTTCCATTATTAGTACTATTATTCGATGAAGTACTTAAACTTGTACTCATATTACTTGCCAATGGTAATGGTAATGGAGCTGGTGATTGTGATTTACTATTTGGTGGAGATTGTGATTTATAAGATACAGGAACACTTCTATTTTCATCATTTACAATCTCTAAATCTTGACTAATCATTAAACTTGTTGTTTCTAAACTATGTTGAATTGCATTCTTATAAATTTCATCATTACTGTAAATCTTACAATGACCTCCATTACTAATTGTCCCCATACATTTTTCACTCAATTGATATAAAAATTTATAATCTTGCTTTGAACCCATATTTTTCATAATCACTAATACTTGAAGAAATTTTGTAATAAATGTCGGAGTATCATTATTACTTCCAAGTATAAATAAATTTCGAAATATATTAGGATGATTAAATTTAATTCCTAATGAAGAATATAATGGAATGAATTGATCATTTGTTGAACCACTTAATGTAATTTTAACATTTTTTTGAACTAAATTTTGTAAAGAATGACCTAATTCAATTGATACTTTACTATTAGGTTTATCAAAATCAAATAATTCTCGAATTATATCATTTTCAAATGGGGTATATGCTCTAATTACTAATTTAGAATCAAGTCCTTGATATGGTCCCATAATTACTCCACTCATACTTAATAAACCAATCTTTTTGGTTGATAAATTTAAATGAGGATATTTATCAAGTAAATTACTTAATAAATTAATGGCAACTGGTGTTCCCTGTCCATGACTTACAAAAAATATAAAATCACTAGATTCAATTAATGAAATCCAATTCTCAATCAATATCATTAATTTTTCAACTCGACTCTCAATCTTACCTTCACCTTCTAATGCAATGGTATGTATTTCAACATTCCCTTCATCTCCATCTTGTAACCATTGCCGTATACATCTTGAAGCTTCATTTACATATTTGACGGAATTCCCAGTGGATTGTCCAATTAATGTTCGAACCATCTTAATTGGTAAAAATCCATGTATTCCAACAACAACAACTTGCTTAATTTGATTTCGTTTCTTAATTACATCTGGAGATTTCTTCTTATAGATGTGCTTTTCTGATGATTTCCAGAACAAATCTTGGATAAATAATCGAGCCTTAGTTCTAAATGTTATGGTTCGTAAATTGGTATCAATAGAAGGTAATACTTGATTGGGTGGTGTAATAGTATGATTGTTAGCTTTAGTTTGCATTTTTGAATTAATCAGTTGTTGAAGTTGTTGTTGCTTCTCTTTAACGGTAGCAGATATACCAGAAGTTTGTGGACCATTGGCAGTGGTTGAGTTGATATCATTAGTATTACTAGAACTATTATCTATTGCGAGTGTAACAGTTGATGGTTGTTGGGGTGGTGTTGGATTTCTGGTGGTTAATGTTCTTTCCTGTACTTCATTTGGTAATAAAGGACTCTTTTTAGATCTATATCTAACAGGTTCACGTTCTGTCATAGTATCACTTACAGCAAGTTCTAGTTCGCGTACTCCCTTTCCTTCTTGAACATTAAGATCCATGTTTATACATTTTATAGCATAATGAGATGATTCTTTTGAATTCTCAATAGCACTCTTGGCAGATTTGTAAAGTTCAGAATTATGAATTTCTTCATCATCATCTTCATCTACGGGCTTTGACCAAAATGTCGGTATAGTAAACCAATCAAACCAGCCACTGGTAGTAGTAGGAGTACTTATAGAAGAATTTGCATTTAATAATGGAGTTGTTTCATTAGGAGTAGGTACTGATTCTATTATAGGTTTATGATTCACATCATCACTATTATTAGATTGATTATTTACACGAGATTCAGGTGGTATTGAAGGACTATTCTTCTTTTGATTATGAACAATGGATCCTGCGGGTGATGATGAATTAATAGTTGGAGCTTTGGAAAGTGATAATTGTCTCAGTGGAGCCGATGTAGTAGGAGATGATGTTGAAAACTTTCGAGTAACTAAACTATCACCTACTGTTTCTGATGGATTTATATGATTACTACCACCATTATCTTCATTCAATGTACTTCGATTATATACATAAGACACAACAGAACTTACTCTTCTATATTGTAAAGACCAATCTACCCAAGGCTGTTCTGGTGATTCTGTAGTAGTCTCTGTATCGAGTCTAGATTCAGAATTAGGTTCTGGAAATTGATTTTGAGGAGGTATTTCCGGTGAATCTTGAATGGCTGAATCATTATGATCATTACCATCATCATGTGATTCATCTACAATTCTTGAATCTTGTTGTTCTGTCGTGGAATTATTATTCCAATAAAGCCAAGCTGGTGGACTGGGGGTAGTAAATGATGAGAATGATAATGCTGATGTCCATCTATAACTATAACTTTCTTGAATTATTTGATAATTAGTTTCAGAAACTTGGGCTTGCTTTTCTACCGGTTCATCACTCGGTACCGAAGGATTTAAACTAATTTTTGAATTCTCCTTTGAACCTTCCATTATTGTTTCTAATTGAGATTGTTCATTGCTTTGTGATGCTAATGCTAATGTTGTATCATCTTCATTATTATTAGTAGTAGTAGTAGTATTATTAGATTGACCATTATTATTTGCAATGGATTTAGGTAGTAGAGCTTGTGGAATTATAGACATCTCCAAGCACTATAAATGCAAAGATTAAGTTATTATATAGTATTGATAATTAATGTATGACTTTCTAGCATACGCCACTAGGAAGAAAAATAGTTGGGTAATAGAATTATAATTAGTTATAATTACAATTCAAAGTAAAAATTAAAATTTTCAGTAATTCCTCAAATGTACCTCTTTTTAATAACTGTTCTACTTTGTCAACTGGTGCAAATTTGAACTTGTTAGGGTATTCAATTACGAAGTGGCTCGTATTTAGTTAAGGCAACTTTCGCTTTTGGGTATGTTTTTTATTTTTGCGCTTTGTGCACGGTTTTGATAAGGTCATAAAAAAAGATTATGACTTGTTAACTATGGGGTTAAAGGTCATCACTAATGTAAACAATTAAGAAAATATAGCATTTTATAGTATTATAGAAGTATAACTACATGTGAAATGGTGACGTGGTTGGAGGAAGTACTGAGAGCACTAGATGAAAGGGATGAGTTTGAAAAGGCAGATTCTAAATATCATAGTGCATTTATGCAATTAAATGAACAGTTACAGTTGGAACGATCATTTAGAAATCAGCAATTACAAGAAAATAATAATCGTAGTAAAGATAATAATAATGAAAATCTGAAAATATCCGGAACAGATGGGAATGGTTTTAATTCTGGTAATGAAACTAATGATAAATATAATTCCCTTGAAGCTCAAACTATTTTAAAGGAAGATATACGATTAAGACAAGAAAATCAAGAATTAATAGATAGTCTTAATCGAGTTACAGTAAAATCAGAACGACTTGAAACTCTATTAAAGGATTATAATTCTGAAATAAAGAAATATGAAAGAAAGATTAATCGTCTAAAAAGAGATATAGAAGCTTTAAATTTACAAATGGAAGAAAAGAATAAATTAATTCTTATGTCTAATGAAGAAGTATTATCAAAGAATCTTGAACTTAATATGAATAAACAAACCATTTTTGCTCTACGGAAAGATATTTTATCTTTAAAACGTGATATTGCCGATCAGGAATCGAATAATTACTTTATTAAAAAGAAACTTGATTTAGTCAATGAACAACTATCAAATAGATCTCAGACGTAGCTAAATAGTTATGCAAAAAAGTTTTTGCTAGAATCATTATCATTTAATATACACAGTATAATTCTTCATTTTTTAGTGAAGAATGAAATCGTTCCATAATTTGGATCACTATACTTTTCGTACTTTGATTTAGTCCATTTTCTACATGCTTTACCATACCTTATCATAAGTATATAACTTGCGTTTATAATGAGACAAAGCATGAAAATGAGCCAAGTAAGAACTTTTAATCCATTATGATCTAACCAAGGTTGGAAACCAAAAGTGAAAGCAAATCCAATACAATTTCTTATGACAAGCATAAGTACAAGTGCTTCACTGGCTAACATTCCATAACTGTCAACAGCATATGATAAACAAATGGCACCAGAAGAACTCATTGCAACACCTAATAACCCTTGACCAATAATTGCAGGCACTGCCCAATGAGCTTTGTAGTGAGCCCCTAATCCATAAGCAAGCAAACCAGCTGCATTTACTATGGTTGGAACGTGCATAGCTTGTAATCTAAATTCGGGTTCTAATATCCCTTCATTCTTTCTAGCTAATCTTACTGTTAACCAATCTACAAATGGTCCACCGTAAAACATACCAATGATATTTCCAACAAAGCATGATATATTAGTTAAACCAACAGCATTGGCTCCAAAATTATAAGGAGGACTTGAGAATATTTGGGATTGAGAAGTTGAAATTAATGATAAATACATCATTTGAGCTCCATAAATAATTCCACCCCAAACGACAGCTGGAAAAGTTATCAAATAGAAAGGCCTAATGAAAATAGTAAACCATGGTCTTTTATCGTTATACTCTAATTCCATTAATCTCATTCTTTGCCAATATGTTCTCTTGGGTATAGAGTAATCAACTGAAGAAACTTCACTTGCATCAAACAGGATCTTACTAGAGATTTCATTGGTATCAATTTCTGTTGTTACATTCTTACCACTTTGAGTAGTTGAATCATTATCTTTGGATCTTATTTGTTGGAGAATATTCTGTTCAAGAATTTCTTCATTATAATTTCTATCGAAAGTTGTATCTTCCATTCCAAGTATTAAAATAACAAATAAGATTCCAAAAAATATAACTTGGAAGTAATAACACCATCTCCAACCCATTGAATCAGTTATATAACCACAAGCTACTGGTCCAAGAAAACTTCCAGCATATAATGCTAAAATAAGGCAGGAAATAGCAGTGGCTCTTTCATGTTGGAAAAATACATCAGTGGAAGATATTTCTACTAAGGAATCAACTGGAGCAGCAGCAAATCCCCCAAATATATTAGATACATCCAAATAAACAACGTTCAGTGCTTGACTTCCAAGAACACTTACCACTAAAATAATAACTGTACAAATTAAATATACAAACCTTCTACCAAGTTTAAGAGCTGTTGGTTGTAAGAACAAACACCCTACTCCAAGAAAAAGAAAGCATTCTGCAGCAGTAATGTTTAATCTGTAAAAGCTGACGTCAAATTCTTCACTCCAAATTTCCCAAAGTGGACCCCAGAAATTAACTGCTACAGCTAATAGAAAAGCCCAAACCCAAAGCAAACTAAATTGTTGTATCTTTTTCTTTTGTGACCATCTTAATGGATCATTGGGGTTTGAGGATGGTTGAGGTAAAAGAATGATACTTTTATCACCTTTATTTTTTTTAACATCTAAATTACCCTCCAAATCAACTAAATGAATTGTTCCGGGAACATTATCGAATTCTACTTCATTAATACTCATTATGAGTTAATATTTCTATAGATAACTAACTAAAAAATGAAGAAATCATTATTAGAGAAAGATTAGTGTATTTATATTTGATTAATCTACTTACTAATTATCTCATCAAAGTTATCGGATATTAATTAATCGAAGATCCATCTATAGCATTCAATCATTGTGAGTATTAGCGGCAAAAGGTTATGATAATGCGAAATTTTATTTTGTAGTTCTTGCCGCACCTTGTTTCCCAATTAGGAAATTCCCCATAATCTATAAGATTTCGAATCAATCATTCGCTTTTTCGCTGAAAGGGTTTAGGAGTTGTACATCGTTCGAATAGCAATATTGGGGCTGTTAAATAACGAAAAAAAAGCTATTTTTCAGAACATTATGATGTTAATACAGTCCATATAGGTTTTGATCTTGCGATGGAAATGATTTCCTTATCGATCCAATAGATCTAAATTTCCTGTTTTGGTCCTCTTGGCGGTTAACACTATTTTAAGGTTTGTAAGTATGTCCCACCAACATCCCCTCTCGCAATACAAATCGTTTGCACTTGTATAAATAAGTATAAATGGGGCAATAATAATGTTGGAAATAGCTACCAATGCGGTTCAGAATTTCCGTTCTACTACAAATATGGAATACGATCTCATTATTATATTATTTGTTTACTACAAGAATATATTATTTGTTTACTACAAGATTTTGCAATTATTTTAAAGTATAGTTTATTAATATAAAGATACTGAAATGTTTAAAACGTAATTCGTTAAAAAAATAATATAAATTTTTAATTCATGAAAGAGGATAATGAAAATATCCAGAGCTTCTGCATAATTGTTTTTCTCCTGGACAAATTTTTGCAACAGGGTAAATTCTATAATACTAACCCTCTCCGGAAGACTTCAGTTCGATTATTTGCTAGTATCAAGAACATATCTACCGATAATCTTACCTTGTTCCATCAATTCGTAAACACCTGGTAATTCAGATAATCCAACAATCTTGATTGGACATTTAATTAAACCTCTGGAGAAGAAATCAATGGCTTCAGCAGTATCAGCTCTGTTACCAACATAAGAACCTTTGATGGAAATAGATTTGACAACGGCATCAAAAACTGGAGCAACAACCTTGGCACCAGCTGGTAAACCAACTAAGACAACAGTACCAGTAGCTCTGACGTAATCAACAGATTGGGCAATAGCCTTTTCTGAAACAGAAACATTAATGGCACCATGTGCACCACCATCAGTGGCCTTAATAACATCGGCAACAATATCTTTAGAAGTGAAAAAATCAACGTATGCTTCAGCACCTAATGATTTAGTAAATTCACCTTTTTCTTCACCACCATCGATGGCAACAACTCTCAAACCCATAGCCTTAGCGTATTGGATGGCTAAAGAACCTAAACCACCACCAGCACCAGAAACGGCAACCCATTGACCTGGTTTGGCACCAGCAGTCTTTAAAGCCTTGTAAACGGTAACACCAGCACATAAGATTGGAGCAACTTCAGCTAAGTCAGTACCCTTTGGAATTCTAGCAGCTTGAACGGCATCAGCAGTAGCATATTGTTGGAAAGAACCATCATGAGTGTAACCAGATAAATCGGCCTTAGCACAATTTGGTTCATTGGTGTTTTGACAGAATTCACAACTTAAACATGAACCGTTTAACCATTTAATACCAGCTAAATCACCGAGTTCCCAACCAGTGACATTAGCACCAATACCAACAACTTCACCGGCACCTTCATGACCACCGACTAATGGTAATTTAGTGTCTAATGGCCAATCACCTTTCCAGGCATGTAAATCAGTGTGACATACTCCAGAGTATTTAACATGAATTAAAATTTCATTTGGTTTTGGAGTTGGGACTGGGATGTCCTTATAAATTAATGGGCCACCATTTTTTTCAAAAATGACACCCTTTTGAGTCTTTGGAACTGCAGACATTGTTTTTTGCTTTTTATACTTCAATTTGACTAATTGTTATTAGAATTGATTGTAGAATAATAATTATAAAAATATATAATTGAATAAATTAAATAAAATAGATATAAAATTCAAATGGAGGTGAATTGGAACTCCTTAAATAATTTCAAGAAATTCAATCCAATCCCACATTTTTCAATTTCTCCCTTTTCCAAAAATGTCTAATTGTATTACTTCTGGTGATGTACATGCTGGACTGTATAGGATAAATGATTGTGATGATGGGTGCGATTAAAGTCTGCATAATAAGATGTACTGTACATTAAGTGGGATGTTCCATTCTCAATTTTATTTTTTATTTTTAGTGACTCTCCTGCTGCCCCCTTCAGTTTGCCCCATAGTTTGGAGCAAGATAGATTTCCAGCCAATGACCAGTGTAAATGCCCTAATGGAATAGAGAGATTACGTTTCAAAATTATTATGATGAAAGAATTATTATAGCGATAACAATTGTCTTTATTGTTATGTTCTACATCTCGCTATATCTTACAGGGCTAGCAATTGGGCTCAGACGATACAAATTGTGGGCAATCCTATTCATTAAGAGTATACTCTAGTAGTGTAAGAAGCCAAGTATAAATGGATAGAGAGGACACGATGCATACTATTGTTATACAGTACTGGCTAATAGTACTGGTCCAGCTAAGTAACGATATTTTTTATTTTCTTTATTTTTTCGCACCTCGTGATCGGGCTGCCTATTTCGCACCAAGAAACCTTAATCGTATGTTCAAGTGGTCTTCTCCGAGAAATTTCCCTCATAAGTGCATGGTGGCAGGGAGTTTGGCCCAAATTCCGGACATTAACTCTCACCCTCGAATCTGCTCTCCTATTTCTTTGTCGTATTGAACTTATCTGTGGTCAAATTTCCATGGATACATTTTAGGGTTCAATGTTCCGTTCATAAAGCCACTCACTGCTCATCTCATTGACAATGTTCTAAAGCCTTTCATACAATGTCTTTTTCAGTGGTGCACTCATGCGTTCACTCGCTTGACGTCAATGTTCGATACATTAGTTGGTTTCATAACCAATAATCTTTGATCATACAGTAACAATAGTCTACCCTCGTAATTGCTCATTCGGTTGTTCGAATTTGCCATACTGCAATCAGATGATGGTTTTAATACAGTAAAAAATAAGATAAAAAATATGCATTTAGGTGGAATTTCACTTGTGCCTTTTGTCACACCTACAGATCAGCTGAGCTGAGCCCTCGGGATTAGTTTCCATGCCTTTTCTCTGCACTTAACTCCAGAAAAAACATGACCTTTTAGCGCATGCCGTCATGCGCTTAGCTTTCCTGGCTTATATTCAGATACTTAAAGTTTAGGCTATCCGACCATTTTCTATTTTAAAGACTCTACATCCCAGAGTTTAGACGGTCATTGGAAGATTTCTTCAGTTGTTGATACCGGTAGGAAAAAAAACAAGAGCAATTCCGGTCAGTTATCTCAACACTTTAATCACGTTGTAAATATTTGATTACCTATTATTATTTAAAATCTCTATGTAATTAGCCGTAATAACGTACGTCAAAATCAATTGTCGTTATATTGTTGATTTATCATTGTCTCTGCAATATACAATGATATCACCCTTACGTCTATCATCCCAATGGAAATAACTATTGAAAAATCGTTTACATTGATGATATGAATATGGTTTAAGGAAGTCATTCATAAATTCCTCTTCTGGTTCAAACACAATTAAACGACTTGGCCATTCATACTTGGATTCACCAATACGATTCCTTTGATCTGTAGGAAAATTGTCATGTAAGAATTGTAAGCGATCATCATAAAATTGATCTGATTCATCTCTATATGCACGAATATCCTCTAATGTAGCTGATTCGCTTAGATGCAAAGGAGGTTCACACGTCAAAAACCATAGCTTTGATATATTATTTGTGTTAGAATTATTATTTAATTCGGCATTATGAATATAACTCTGCCAAGGAGTAGAATGGCAAGGAGTTAAAAAGCCAATTGATTCTATTTTATCACCCTCGGTTAATTCCTTCTTTAAATAATTAATGACATCTATTGACCCTCTTTCATGTACTTGACTGAAAAAAATTGCAATTGCAACATTTATGACTATAATAATTGAAATTATTATTTTAACTATGGTTCTAGATGAAAATTTGTCCAATATATCTTTAATTGAATACGATGTTATTATTAAAAATATTGGCTGCAAAGGATATATGAATCTAAACTCCTTATGGCCAATAATTGAAAACCCAGTCGTAACAACAATAATAATTTGAGTAAGAATATCCTTATAATGATGGAGGCATAACTCCGAATGCAACCAAAACGGTAAATATGTCATTAATAATAAAGGAATTGTTTGAAATATGTAAAAATGCCATGGCGCAACTCCATAAAATATTGAAAGATTACGAAGCACATTGAACTCTATGAAATTATAGGTTGGGAAAGTTAATATTCCGTAAAACAAATAATCTAACCATGTACTTAATGATAAAACTCCCACTAAACTTATTAAAAATACTAAGCCCAATTTGAATAATGAACTAAACTTTTCCTTAGTGTGGATTAAAAAGTAAAGTCCCAAATATGCCCATAGAATTGCATTTGTTGGTCTTACAACAATACTTAAAAGAGCCAATATGAATGATATACTGGCATATTTTAAATTTATTCGATTATTCCATAACCAAAAATTTAATGCCCATATAATCAATACTGTTTCAAACCCATTTGAAAATGATCTTGTAAATATATACCAATTGAATGGATTAAGAAGAGACAAAAGAAGCGTTATTCTGGCTAATGATTCGTCTGTAGTATATGTATACGCTAGTCTATATAGTCCAACTTCTCCAACGGTTGATAATAGAGCTCCAATTACTTTTGGTGCCAACGCGATAATATCGGGTTCATCACTGAAGAATGAGACTATCTTATAACCAATGACATAAAGCCAAGGATGAATCGAAGATCGTAAGTGCTGTTTCCATTCCCAAGTGATATACCCATATCCAAAAACATATGCATGGGCTGGCTCAAGTGATTGATAGTATTCATCAGCCTGGAAAAATGTCTTTATAGTTAATGAATTAAATAAGCGAAATGCAAATATTAATAATACCAAAACAGGAATTGAAAGCACTATACGATTAGTGGAAGTCACCTTAGACTCATCTTTCTCATCCACTAGTATATTTTCAACATTGGTCGATTTCAATCTGGTTCTATTTCGTATTCCCTCCATTTGTTTTACTATGTAATTACAAAAAAAAATAGATGTAAATATTTACAAATTTTATTTTCCATCATTAAAGTTTACCCCATATTTAGTATACGACAGCTAATAAAATGGCTGAAGATATAATACGAACACGATTACAAGAGTATCTCGAACTCATTGAATTGAGTCATTGGGATGCATGTATCAATAGCACTAGTGCAGCTAAAAAGAAATGTTTACAAGCGGTAAAGATACTAAATGAAATATCTAAGCTCGAACAAGTAGATGCACAGACTAGAACTTACATAATTCAATTATCTAAATTTTCACTAGCATTATATGACAAGTTAAATGATAAAGCAGCGTCCTTTTCATATTCAGAAAAATTAGAATGGATGGGATCTAAATTAAGTTCTGAATTATTCAGTTATCCCATCATTAACTTTGGTAATGACTTAACTTCATCAAACTCAATATTCATTCCATCTACACCATTTAATGATACAACTCCTCAAATCCATCAATTACCGTTGAATACTGAATTTGAGAAAGTAGATGTATGTGATTGGTCTGCAGATTTAAATGATTTATCAACCTTGTATCAAGATCTACTTGATAATTGTTCATTTGTATCTTCACTTTTGTCTATAGTAAGTATTCCATGTCTGTTGGATAAATTGATACAAATAATATCACCGAGACAGAAGAATGAAAAATTTAAGGTAAGTTTAGCATTCAATGGTTCCTTACGATTAGTTACAGTCGATAATAAGTTACCAAAGGCTTATATGAATAGGAATTTGATAGTAACTTCTTCTGATAATACTGATCTCTTATGGCCTGCATTAATAGAGAAAGCATATTTGAAAGTAATGGGTGATGGATATAAATTCAGTGGTTCCAATATGGCAATTGATACTTTCATGTTGACTAGGTGGATTCCGGAGATTATGCCCATTAGACATGGTATCTTACCAATGGATTTGAAAGAATTATGGAAATTCAGAATTGAGAATAAAGTGTTGTTGGGAGTCGGCACTGGGAATTTAAGTAAAAAATTATCATCACAATTGAAGTTAATTCCTGGCCATGATTATGTTGTTCATTCAATTGACGAAGATGGATCTATAGTCGTTAAGAATCCATGGATAGAGAATAATGATGAAGATAAACGATTCTTGAAAATTAGCGACTTAAACCATTTCAGTTACTTATATTGTAATTGGAAAATTGATGATAAATTACCACTTAATGAAAAGGTACATTTCATATATAACAATACCTCACCATTCTTATTTAGTAAGCCTCAATTTTCATTCTATAATTCTTCTGATCAAGTACAGGAATCATGGATATTCTTGGAACGTCATCTTCCAATTACAAAGGAAGTGAATCTATTGAATGTTTCAGTTTATGAAACTGTTAATGGGAATAAAGTTCTATATCCAAATCAGTATAAATGTGTAAATCCAAGTAACACTGAAACTAATAATAGAATGAAATTAGTTAAATTAAAACTAGCTCCAAAAACATATTATACTGTTGTAATTACTAGTTCTAAGAATTCAACCTTTACCATCAGTTTATTAAATAATTATAAGGCATTGAAATTAACTAAGGCGAAATATCTTTATCAAAGTCTTTTGCCTTTAATCGATGGTGAATGGAATCTGACTAATAGTGGAGGTAATTGGTCATTATCATCATACATCACTAATCCACAATACTCTATCGAAGTTCTCAACCCAACCGATATGATAATATCTATATTTTCAAATATAAAGGATGATGCAATAAACTTTCACCTTTTCCATGCTGAGAAACAATTCCAAACTCTCCCCTTAAGATGCTTTGATAAATCAAAATTATTATTTAATGAACATTATAGTGAAGGATATCAAGCTTATATTTTTAAGAATTTGAGACCGGGATTCTACAAGTTAGTTGTTTCAACCTATGATTTTGGAACTCTTGGTGATTTTAAGATCCTTTTAAATCATAATGACGCTAACTTAGAGAATGTGAAAGTTGAAAAGATATTTCCTGCTTTAAATCTATTTAATGAAAAGAGAAAGATAAGTTGGGAAGGATCAAATAGGTTCAAAGTGAGATTTCAATTATCTTCATTTAAATCAAACGTAACTATTCATTTGAAACATCTACATGATGAGGTTAGCCAATATGATCTGATTCAGACTTATCGTCCAGCTATAAGAGGTTCAATATTCGATGCTCATAATTCGCAGCCAATTCAGATAAATGAACAGTGGAGCGATTCCTTATATGGGGTATATATAGATTGTATGATAGAAAGACCAGGAGAGTATATACTTTTGGTAGAAAGATTTGAAGTTGGTCAAGGTTTATGTATAGTTGAAATTGGCTCAGATAAGAAAGTATCAATTGTATAGGGGAATTATATAGACACAATGTAAAGAGAATTTAATCATAAATATGGTGCAAAAATAAACAATAATTGCAATAATTACAATTTTTCTTTGAAATGAAAAAAATCTTTACTTAACTATAAAAATAAAATCTCTATCTATGGTTTTACAGTTAGTGAAAGTTTGTTAATATTTCAAACCATCAGCTTACTTAATTTTGGCAGCAATTTAAAATAGTCTGTTTAGTAAAAATTTAATTTTAGTGGGGGGAGGGCACACGTGACCGATTTTTTTGTTCACAGTGAGAACCTTGACGTGTTGAATTTTCTACTAGTATTATTTTTCAACAAGTTGTTACTCTCTGGAGATCAGACTTTAACATCAGTTCATTACATAAATAGGTTGAATTGAAGTATTACGAAATGCAATTGCGATTATTACAATTGTTTGTGATATTGGGATCTCTTTTTGCCATATCAATGGCGGGATTATCCGACAACCAAATACTTGAATTGTCAAAGTCTCTGAAGAATCATATTATAGATATTACTGATGATAATTATGAAAAAATATTATATGGTAAAAGAGATTATCATCTTATTCTTGTAATGACATCAGATTCTGTTCAAATCAATTGTCTTTTATGTCGAGAATTTAAACCTGATTATGATATAATTGTTAATTCATGGTTTCAAGATCATCCAAATGGTTTACCTGAACATGAATTAAATGAAGTATATGAAAAATCAAAGATTACTAAAAAGAATATTTATTTTGCCCGGGCTGAATTTGCTAATGCTCGTAAATTATTCCAAATCTTTGAATTACAATCAATTCCAAAATTATATCATTTCCCTCCAACTAATATGCCAGGAAGACATGATTTATTATCAGATCTGAATGAATATCCATTTTTCCATGGTGATCAAAAAGTTCTTGTAACTGATTTCTTAAATTCCAAAACTGGTCATAAATATAATCTTTATATTCCAGTTAATTATAGTGCTGTTATATTTAATATTGTTATTACTTTACTGATTTTAGTAATACTTTATGTATTTAGAGGTCTTGTATTAAAATTCGTTTCAAATAAATATGCATGGTTAATTGTATCAGGTGGGCTTACTTTAGTTTTCATATCTGGTTATATGTTTAATCAAATTAGACAAACTCCATATATTAGACAAGGTGAAGGTGCACTTCAATATTTTGTACCAGGACAACAAAATCAATTAGGAATTGAAACTCAAATAGTTGGATTTGTTTACCTTTTCTTAAGTGTCTTATTCGTTTTATTAACCGTTCACAGTCCAACATATAAGAATGCTTTAGTTAATTTGATTGCTGTATCAATATTTAGTATCTTAATCTTTGTATTCTACAGTCTTCTTCTTTCCATTTTCTCATTAAAAGGGTTAGGTTATCCATATAGTTTCATTAGATTCTTTTAAATAGATCTTATATACACTAAAAATACAATATTTGATGACCTTTAACTTTAACTTTAACTTATAGTCGATTTTCCATCTTAGCTATTCTATCATCTATTTTAGTCATGGTTTTCAAGGTGACCTGTAATCTTTTTTCAAGATCTTTAATCTTATTCATGTATGTTACTAATTCTTCTTCTCGTATTTTAGAATCTTCAAACGCAATCTTTTGATATCCCTGTAGACGTTCTTCTATGATTTTTAATCTGGTCAATAAGATTAATTGGGATTGATCAAGTAATTCAAAGTTCTCATTAAGGTTATCTAGTGAACCACTCAATAAGGAATGTGCAATCTCTTCAATTGGATGTAAGTCATATACTTCATTATTATTATTATTATTGTTATTCTTATCCGTGGTTTCAGACGGTGAAGTCATTATGTTACGTCACGTTTATGTGTCTAACGTCTTTATAGTTATAGTTATCGCTAAAGTATCATCACCGTAAACTGCCTCTGCTTTATGCACAAACAAAATTGGGTGCGGATTTTCACATGCGCACCATCCTAACTAACTAAGTAATTTGCGTTAATTATTATATAATACATCTTATATAACTATAAGTAAGTAATACTATAAATGAGGCAATAATTGTAATTGTAATTGTATATAGAGGTAAATCACAATTGATTGAATAAATAAATAATGTCACTGGGAGATAAAATTCTTTATCGGGAAGTACGGTCACTTAAGGCAGGACAAATTCAAAGATTTACCATTCATTATACTCCAGAACATCATGAAATTGTTTCATTAACTTCAAGTTTATGGGTAAAAGTTAAGAATATTGAACCAATTCCATTACGTGCAGCTTATTTGGCAGGACCTTATGTATTATATGTTGATTGTAAACGTCAAGATTATAATCCTAATGAGAAATGTTTTATTACGGCAGAACAACCAGTATTTGAACCTCAACTTTTACCAGGTCAAGCATTTTATGCACAATTATCATGTAATACAATAAAAGATTCATATTGTTGGGTAGTAGATGTAATTTCTCAAATAATTTTTAATAATACAATCGATGTGGATTTTGAAATATTAATAGGTACAAGTAAAAAAATTCTTCATGAATCATCAATACCAGAAAAGAAAGTTATAAATTTTGATAAACAAGGATTATTTGTACCATCAACACTTTTAAATATTTCAAATCAAGATACTCTTGATTTATGGAATCTTCCATTACCTGATCCAACAAAACCAATTCATTTAGTAATTTTAACTCATGGTTTACATTCAAATGTAAGTGCAGATATGTTTTATCTTAAAGAACAAATTGATAGTATAAAGGGAGAAAATATTGTTGTAAAAGGTTATTTTGGAAATGTTGCTAAAACTGAAAGAGGTATAAAATATTTAGGTAGTAGAGTTGCTGAATATATTATTGATTTAGTAACAAATAATGAAAGTTTTAGTAATGGGAAAGTTTCAAAAATATCATTTATTGGTCATTCACTTGGTGGTTTAGTACAAACAGTGGCTATTGCATATATTCAAGTTAATTATTCATGGTTTTTTAAATCTATTAGACCAATAAATTTTATAACAATTGCATCTCCAATGTTAGGAATTGTTAATGAAAATCCAGTTTATGTTAAACTTGCACTTCTGGCAGGAATTGTTGGGAAAACAGGTAGAGATGTTAGTTTAAAGTATTTAGAAGATGATTCTCAACCATTACTTTTATTACTTCCTACAGGTCCAACTCATAATATTTTAAAAAGATTTATTAGAAGAACTGCTTATGCTAATGCTGTTAATGATGGAGTAGTTCCATTAAGAACTTCATCACTTTTATTTCTTGATTATAAAGAACTTTTACAAATTATTAATTCTCCCAACCATAAATCTAATACATTAACATCAAGTGCTACTGATAAAGTTCCTAGTGAACCAGCAATTACTGGTGAAGGATTTATATTTCTGCCTATTCAAGCTTTTATGTCATATTTTATGCCTCAAAAACAAGCAGGACAATTACATAGATTTCAAACGGGAGATAAAACAACTGAAATTACATCAATAAATGGACAAATTAATCATGAAGAAAGTCTTCAAGAATTACCAACAACTTCAGTTCTTGAAACCGCTTCATCATTAATATTACCACCACTTCCATCTATGAAATTCATTACTGATCCAGATTCTAGAAAAGATGTAATAATAATTGATAGAATTTATAATGAATCTGATTTACCACCAAGAAGTATTTCTGAAAGTGAATATCATAAAGGTGAAGAAAATAAACATGATGAAATACCATCAGTTAGTATTAGACAAAGAATTTTAAATACAATTGATTATGATGTAGAACATCTTGAAGAAGATATAGCCAGAGAATATCATAAGAATATGAGTTGGCGTAAAGTGATTGTTAAATTAAAACCTGATGCTCATAATAATATAATTGTACGTAGAAGATTTTCTAATGCTTATGGATGGCCAGTAATTGATCATATAGTTAAAAATCATTTTGGAGAAGATAAAACAAGTGAAGAAGATAATCAACCAATTGATAGTAGTAGTAAAGATTCATTAGATTCCGCTATTAATTTAACAAGAATAATTTCTCGAGAAACTGTAAGTAAACAGAATGATGAAATTGATCAACAATCAATAAATGAAATTGTTGAAAATCATTGGATTAATAATAAAGATAATTCTGATTCTTTATTTGCTGTTGGGCCAACTGGTTTATTATCAGAAGTAAGTGAAATTGTGGGGAATTTAAAAGATCAATTTTATAATGGATTTGGAACTTCCACAACAGGAATTCATAATGATAAAAAGCCAACTATAGAAGAAGATGAAGAAAATGTCGATTACGATCGTAATAATGGAGATTTAGGATTAACAAAAAATATTATGGGAGGGTTTTTATAGATTAGTTAGAATAGCTACAGCATATCTCTATATTAGTATATATATATATATATATATATATTCATTAAATATGATTTCATTAATAGTATATTGTACAATCTATATAGTAATAGAGAATAGATTTTTGATTTATTCCATATTATCGTCATCTTGACCATCCTCCTGATCTTCATCTTCAGCTTCTTCTTGATCTTGATCTTCAGCTTCTTCAGTTTCTTCAAGAGGGAATAATTGATCAATTTTCTCAATGATGGATTCACATATTTCTTCTGAAAATCTTTGATCACATTCTTCAACGAGTGAATATAAAATTACCATTGATCTTGGTAATGTATTGATGATTTGTAATTTTTCAACTTTCATTAATTCAAATTGATTTAAAAAGATCCCTAATTCCTTAAAATTACTGGTAGTATCTATAATAGATGGAGGTCCATTACGTAAATATGCCAACACATCTCTAGTTATTACTTCTAAATTAACTCCACATGCATCAAATCTTTTCTTATTCTTCCGTTTATCCTTTTGTAATTCTTCTTCATCTTTCTCATTGAAAGTCCAGTTATATTTCCTCTTGATATCCTTTAAATGTTGTTCCACCTCATAGTTGGATAGGAAACTTTGTCTCTCTTCTAGTATCTTCATCTATAAGTGTTCTACTATGATATATGATATATATGTATCTATGTATATATAACATATAACATATAATATATGATATAATGTATATAACTTTTATCTCATCTACAAAAAAATTTAGATGCGAATTTCTTAGGCACATTGTTTTGTTTACAGGTTAAGTCAGTGGTTATCAATCAGTAGCAATCGGATCAATTGGTGATGATATGACGAAATTAATCTTAGATCCCGGAGCTTTGGATATTGAATTACCCGATGCTTCAGTATCTAACCTGTATAGAATCCGAATCCTTGGACAAATTATTGAATATATAGATAATGAATCAATAATTATTATAAGGAGAATACCTAATTTACCATGTAAAAACAATGAGAATTTATTAGGAATTATAAAACTTAATGTTACTAATGCTATGCCTATTAATGGAGATTTAACTCATAAAGGTATGTTAATAAATGCTGAAGGATTTTATGATGGATCAACTATTGATATATTTCATTGTTATGGTTTAAATGGAAGTGATATTATTCCTGATGAAAATATTAATATTTTACGACAAGTTAACGAATTGAAGGGGTTTGAATGATTTGTAATTTATTAGTATTAGTATTAGTATCTTATATTTTATATAGTACAGTATTTATTAGTCTATAAAGTCCCAGAGGTATTTATTGGTTTCACCATTTTTCATGATTCTTCAGCTCTTTATTCATGATGGTGGTAAAGGAAGAATATGAGGGAGTCGTGAAAAATTCATCCCAAATAATTTCATTGGGCATTTGATGAATTAGTTCAAATGCTTTTCTACCTTCTTTTGAATTGAAAGAAGTTGAAAGTACTAATGGTGAAGATGATGTAGACGAATCAGCAAAAGTATTTTGATGATTCAAAAGTGCAGGATGAGTGGTTATAGGATGTGATGAACTGGGTGTATTAGATAATGAAGTATGTTGTCGAATAGTTGTCGAACTATTTCTTCGAGAATGAGTAGATATAGGTGATAAATTATCTAATTCTTTAAAGAAATTATCTAAATCATAAGTAGGTCCATTCATAGGAGTTAATATGTTATCAGTATTACCTTTGGTATGAGCAGCTAAATCAGCTGAAGTTAACCATTCAAAAGTTGGTAAAAGATTTTGAGGTATATCAGTAATTTCATTTTGATTACCAATACTTGAATTATCAATAATTGATTTAAATGGATTTAAATGATCTTCATTAGATATAACAGCATCTTTATCACGATTTAAAATTTCTACCAACATTGATAAATTAGAATGGACATTACCATTATTAATTTTTAATAAACTTTCTTTTGAAACATTCATACTTGCAAATCCTTGTACAACTTCATTATACCTTAATTTAAATATTGCTCTAGTTAAATTTTGAAATATTTCAATACAATTGGTTGCTGCATCACATCTATCAACTAATGAATTAAATACTCTTAAACATTCAGATGTAACACGTTTCATTTCATTTAAATTAGTTAATTGTCTAACTTCTTCATTATTATAAATAGTATATAAATATGATGTTCCTGCCATAAATAAATTATGAACAGCTGCCCATGTATAATTTATACATTTAGTTTGATATAATTTAGAATAACAATCCATTACTTCTTGAGCTGATTTATATACTTGTAAATAATCAGATGTAGTTAATTTATAATTTTTAGGTGATAATCCATGAATCATTAATAATGTATGATGATAATTTAATCTAAAGAATTCTAAATTAAAATCACAATTCATTTCATTAGGAGATGTAGGACTATTCAGTTTCCAAGAAGATAATTTACTTAACATTAAATTTTTCCAATCATTAAGTGATTTATATTTTCCTGATAATGAATAATTAGTATAAAGTACTCTTTGAACTTCTGATTGAATTTGTCTAATTTTAATTATTGATAAAAATATTACTTTATATGTTGGAGCATCGGTTGAAACAGTTGAATAATCAGAAATACCTATATTATTTGGAACAATAAAAGAATCATCTAACAGGGATAAAAATGGAGTATTAATACTTTCATCTGGTATTCCTACTGGTCGATCTAAATAAAAACAAATTTGTCTATCAAGACAATATGAACACCAAAATAATCTTCTTCTTTTATCCTTAGTAAATGAATCAACATAATTTGCCGTACTTGTATTTAATTCATTATGTAAATCTAAATCAACACACATTCTTAATGCTGATCCAAGAATATACCAAACTCCAGGATTAGTTGGTCTCATAGTTGAATATAAAGCATATAATAAAACTCCTTGTAATGATTCTAATTGATCAGATGAACCATAAACTTCATCAAAATGTTTATTAGCAGCCAATCTAAAAGAATCTGAAATAGTTATAGGATATTGTAAATGATTTACTGATGATGCAATAGCAAATATTAAATTTAGAAAATATAATCCCTTTCTATACTTTTTTGGAGGAATAATACTATTTGAAATAGTCTTTATTTCATCATTTGATATATTTGCATTACTATTTCCTAATAATGCTTGGAATTCTTGTTTATATTTTTCAAACCATGGTAATTCATTATCATTATCATTATTATTATCATTATTATTATCATTATTATTATTATTATTATTATTATTATTATTATTATTTTCATCATTAGTAAAGAAATCTTTATTAATTTCAGTATTATCATTAGCTAATGATATTGAAGGATCATCAAAACTTCCATAGATTGGAATGAAATATTCTTTAATAAATTCTTCTCTATGTAAGATTGGTAATTGACTATTAGCTTGAGCAAAAAAGATCAGAATAAATTGTAATGCTGTAATTTTAGGAGGTAATATAGCTGGTAATAAATTTATATTAACTGTAGTTGATGCAACTGAATTATTAGAAAATCTTCGTGATGCAATAGGATTTTGAATATTAGTTATTGATTTCTTTTGAACTTTAAATGCAGTAGACATTAATCTTGAAAATGATATGGTTGTTGGACCATCTAATGAAGATTCTAATTTTATAGAATCTCCATTATTTAATTTTGATAATTTTTCAGATTCTAAGGAACTGGGTGAATTCTTAGTTTCTTGAGGTTGTTCAATTCCAATTTGTTCTGATACTCCTACTTCAATTCCATGTTCTTTTAATTTTTGTTCAAGATGTTTAACTCGTTGTTCTAAATGTACAACATAAGATCGTGGTACTTCACGTCCAGTTACAGGATCTAATCCAATACATTCTACACCATGTTTTTCACATTTAGAACATTTAGGAAATCGTTGATCACATTTAATCTTCTTTGCTCGACACCTTTGACAAGCAGAAATTGATCGTGATATTCCTACTATAACTGAATTTGAATTAGATGATGTTGATGAACTTATACCTGAATCGGATAAGGCTAAGGGTTCTGACTTGAATGAATTTTCATCATCTACTTGAGTCGAATCGGTAACACTTACTTTTGAACTACCTAATTTTCTCTTCTTCGGAGGCATTTTATCATTACTATAATAATACCCTATAAATTCTTTAAAATTAAGGTTACACTATAATTAATTAATTATTATCAATTAAATCATCAGTATTAATTTTCTTTTGGTGAGAAAATCTGATAAGAAACGGAATTAATTAGTATTACTGAAATATAAACAGAACAAATGTCAGACAAAAGAGTATTAAGGAAAAACAAAAAAGGAAAAGAAAAAGTAAAAGTAAAAGTAAAAGTAGAAGACAAAGACAAAGAAAAAGAAAACCAAAAGTAACTAATGTAAGTGCTTAACAGGAGCTAATTCTACCTTATATTTACCTGCTAAACTAGGAATTAATAATTCATAATCTGTAGTTGGAGCAGTAAAATCTTCAGTATCTTGTTCAACATGAATTGTAGTTACTAAAGTATCTTCTAATAAAGGATACTTTATATGTCTTGAATCAGGATGCTTTTCATTTAAATTATGATTATGAATAGTTAATTTCTCTCGATTATCAAATTTAACTGGTTGAGGAAATTTACGAATCGGATCTTCAGGATTTATTTCCCTTTTATAAATAGATTGAGGTGCAATAATTAAATCAGACCAATTTCTTTTATTTAAGAATTGATGATTACCTCTTGGTTCTCCAGTAGGTTCATTTACAAATAATGGTATAACATCTTCATCAGTATCTTTATTATAATGATGAATAGAACTTCTCTTATCTAATAAAGTTGCCATAGCATCTGGTGGAGGAGTATTGATAATTGCAGAACTAACAATATTAAAAATTAATCTTGGATCATTCTCTGGGAATGCAGTAACATCTTTATTTTCTTCTTCTGCTTCTTCTTCCTTACCAATTAATTTATGAGCATTAAGATGATGATGATATTTAGATTTAATTCTACCAACACAACATAAATGAACATCTCCTGATAAGATAGTAATTCTGACCCCATTTTCAGATCCAAATTGAATTAAATCTTGAATCAATTTATTTCTTTCTCTTTTATGATGCTTTGAACACCAATGATCATTTAAATCATCTAATACTTCTACATCACCATCAAATTCATTTACTAAACCTCTGGCAACAACCCCTTTTTCAGCCAAAGCTCTGATTGGTAAGAAAAGAGTCGATGTTAATAACCATTCCAACCAAACTAAACGAGGATAGAAAATAGGAATACCTAACATAACCAATAAATGCTTTATATTTGGATCAGCAGTAATTTCACTTTTTAACTTTTTGAAGATTATAGAATAAGTTGACTCTGTAACCACTTGTTTCAACTTACGTTCAGTTCTACAATCAAACCCAACTAAGGCAATTTGTTTACCTAATCTGGTATAGACAGAATGATTCTTTTGTTTAATATAAGGTCCAGGATTTGAACCTAAAATCCAATTAGTATCTGATTCATGTAACTTCTCTTCAGGACTAATATGATGTTGGAAAATCATATAATATTTATAAGCTACATTTCCAACGGCTGAAAATACTGGAGATCTCATAGTTGCATCATGATATGATCCAAATCCATCAATAATATCATGATCATCATATATATTAATCAGAGGAATTTGGGATAAAGTAAGAGGAAACATAGTTTGTAAAGTTTTACCATTAGTTCCTTTCCAAAATCCTTTTCCAAACCATCCCAAATAATGATTTAAATAAAAATCTTCCAATTCAGCAATATATTCAGTAGTGGCAGGTAAACTATGTTTTTTAACTGGATTTCTTTCAGTTGTCCATTTTTTCAAGTATTCAGAATGTAATTTAACTGCATCAGAATAGATTTGATCACCTCCTCCAAGCATAACATGATAATGTTGAGTATCATGCTTCTTTAAGACATCTAACCATAATGATGATTTAAATTTAGTAGTATCAGTACCTAATGAGAAACCATTACATGAAAATGAAATAACATTCATAGATTCATGTTTAGATGGGATATAAAATTGAAATGATTTTTTAAAATGGCCATTGATATAATATTGAACTTTTTGTTCGAAATCCACTAATGTCAAATCAATTGTATATCTATAGAAAGCTAAACCTTCACTTTCAACTTGATAGAATTTTGTAGAACTGAATTCACCTGATGATAAACTTGGTTGTGTATCTTTTTCAGGGTCAGATTTTGTGGCTGGGCCAATTTGATAAGTGATAACAGGTGCAACAGCCGTATTAACATCTTTAGTTTTAATAACCAATAAAATTGAACCACGATATCCATTACCATTATCCAAACTACTAACTAATTTTAAAATTGGTCCACTTCTAATATCCAATTCTCCACCAAACAATTCTTTGTCAACAGGATAAGTATCAGGAATATCTTTTGAGCTCTGCTCATTAATTTTTACATATTCAGTTATAGGAAGAGGATCAAACCAATTGGTTGTAACTGTCATTATGTTCAATATTTTTTCTCAATTAGTTGACTAACGGAATTGACTACTCAATTGACTACTCAATTGGCTCTGAACAAGTCTTGTATATTAATAGTGAGATAATTAAAAACAGCAGAGGTGATAATTTAGTGTTTTTTTATTTTTAACCTGAAATTTTGTGACACAGACAACTCGATTGAAAAAGTGGGTTATGTGTAATGTATGTACCTGAAACTAAGTGGGTAGAAAAATTATTAGGCTCAATTGGTCTAAGACTCAACTGCGCCGAATGGCTTAGAGAGGTGTTTTCATGTAGTTAATGCGGCTTAATGGTATATAGTATAAAAATATTGATTAATATTACTTATGTTAAGTATGTATACTTGCAACCTTTGAAATAGTCTTTATTGCAGCCTATGAAAATTCGAGCCAATTATAATGCGAGTGATGGTAACATTCTTTAGTTTGAGTCATTCCACTCACTTGATTTCAGATAAATAATTCTATTGGATGATATTCCTCGGACTTTAGGATTTCTTTAGTTTCGATAATGAGAAATGTCACACACAAGACACTATTGTGAGTTTAACTCACTTGACAATACACTTACTGAAAGTCTGAGATGCATTTCCTAAAACGGCAATGCCTAATCTGTTAAATGTTAAATTGTGTCTCACTTTTATTTTGTGGTTGTTCATTACATAAGCATCGAAAACTGGAAAAAAAATGACAAAATGATTTTGACAAAAGGAAATCACGTGCATCGAATTTTGGAAAAAAATATGACATCATGTGTTTTCATTTAGTAGAGACGTTTTTATCCGATCTACATGCAGGCCAACATCCCATAAGATTACCGTACTTAGTTAAGAGAGCAGTTTATGGTTGCATTAGTTCCTAAGAGGATCTCGAAATTGGACGTGACATACTAGGACATATTATACAAAGATCATAAAATTAGTTAACTAATTCTAATTTTATTATTTATTTATCCATCGTTAAATTATCGTCAATCTTATCTACTACTACCATTCGGTTAGAAACTGGCCTAATTTTTCACCGTTGCTAGGCGAACATAACCCATATACTTTTAAGTGGTATTTTTATTTTTATATATATATTTATTTTTTTTATTTTTTTGCCAGACCACCGGTCTTAATAACTTCAATACTTAATTAAATATCATAAGGCCCTGTCTTGGTCATATTGATTTCCGAATGTACTGACCGGAACTTTGTGACCTTGACCTCCCCTAACTTGACTTTCAAAATCATTTTCAATCTGCTTATCAAAAGTCTTGTTATATATTGATCATGTCCGAGTTATATTTCTTGCGGCATGCTCGACGTATAGATCATGAATTAGAATCTACATTAAATGATTCAAATGTTCCTACGCCTATTTTCCCAGATTATCCTATCTATGATCCATCATTATCATCATCAGCTATTCCTCAAGTTGAAGGAATAGTAGATCAAATCATTTCCAGTTCTAATGTATTTAATACTAATACTACTACTACTACTACTACTACAATATCCAGAAAGAATATTTTTATACATTTTAGTCCTTATTTAAGATGTTGTCAAACGGCTGATTTATTAGTATCTCAATTACTGGAAAAATTATCAGTATTACATCCTCAAATTAAATTTAAATATCAAATGCTTTGTGATTTTGCTTTAAGTGAATGGATTCATGATAAGATGAGAAATAAACCTCCATTTCAAGATTCAAATGATGCATATAATATGTACACACCAAATCTTAAGACTTTAACTAATAAAAATTGTTGTTCTAATTTTCGACCTTTAAATACTTTAGGACCCTATAATGGACCAGATTTAAGTTATAGTGATTATCAATCAAGATGTAAGACATATTTTAAAAAATTATTAGCAACTTATGATAAACCAGCTTATATAAGAAATAAAGATATTATTATAGTTATTTCTCATGGTTATGTTATTAATAATTTTTTATCATATTTTATAAATCATCCAATATTTGAAGAAATTCCTGAAGCTAAATTAAATTTTGCATCTCGAGTATTAATAGAAAATACTGATTATGAAGATGATAGTATGACTGATGAAGATGAATTAACTCCAGAAAATTCAACATGGAAACTTTTTAAAGATGCTTTACAACTTTTGGAACGTGAAGAAGATTTAGATTCTACATTAAATTTAGATACAGATATTGTTTATTATAAAACCAATTTTATTAAAAGGGATGAATTTCTGAGTGAAAATTCAGATTCAAATAAATCTAATCTGATTCAAGATAATCCTCGACCATCATTTAAAATTTCTCGATCTACTATGGATGTTACTAGTGATAATAGAACTAATGAATTAGATAAACTTAAACCTTCAGTAAAAGTTATAGAAAACAAAGTACATAAGCCTATAAATTATAATCCTATTTGTCCCTCAGCTAAAGATTGGGATCCAAGAAAGATAAGAGAATATCAAATTAAAAATGAATTTATATTAAAAATGATGAATGATGAATCATTTAAAAAGGCATTTGATATTACAAATCATCCTTCAAAACCTGTAAGTCCAGAAGTTTCACCTAATTCAGAACCTACAAGAAATAATTCAGTTATAGATTTATCTAAATTAGTGGAGACTGATGAAAATTATAGGCCTATGAAATTACGTTATTCTAGTACACCGGATATACCAATGCTGGAATTAAACTCTAAAGTTAATTCTCAAGTTAATCTTGCACAATATCGTAGGTCACCCAGTAATATTACATCATCGAATGATGGATCAGCAGTTGATTTAACAAGATTAATAGCAGCTATAAATATGAAACCAACATCTTCTCAACCTAATGGTATATCTCAAAGTCAAAGATTTGATTATGGATCATCATCAAATGAAAATTCAGTTATTGATTTACCTAAATTTGGAGCTTTTATGAATCAAAATAGGAAAAGATCTTTATCTAATCCAAGTGCTACATCAGCAAGTGTAAAGGATTCTTATTTCCCACGAGTTGGAGGTAATAAATCTTCAGATTCAGAATCATCGATTACTTCACCTAAGGTAGGTTCAAATGAAGAATTACATGTTATAAAGGAACATCATAATGAACCCAACTTATCTTCATCACCAACTAATTTACCACAACTTGGAACTGTGTTTGCCAGATCAAGATCATTAAATCATAAACGGGATAGATTAGATGGATTATTACTTAGTAAACTTCAAAAGGATGTTGATGTAGATAATACTAGTATGTCAGAAAGAATATTTTCACTTTCATTTCATGATAATAATAATGCTATTACTGGGAATAAGGGGAATCAATCAATTAATGATAGTGAAAGTAATAATAAACTTAAATCATCTAAAACTTCACCTCATACAGAATCCAGATCTCGGGGTAATTCTATAAAATTCATTCCTTCAGTATTAACATTTGATTCTAATACTTCAACAACTAATGGTAATAAGAATAAAGGGAAATCCAAGAAAGTTAATGCTATGTTTTATAATTTAGATTCTGATGATGAAGGAGATGATGAAGAAGATGAATTTATGTCGGAATCAGATAGTCCCTATGGTACCGATACCAGCCGCACAAATAGAAAGCCAAATGAGTATCTTTGGTTTGGACATAATAGAAATTAATTGTTATTTATTTGTTTATTTGTTTGATTTTTTTATAATTAATTAATGGGAAATGCATGTAGTCATATTAGAGTGGTGTGTAGTTGAGTGTAGATGAGTGTAGTAGTATATATAATAGAATGCAGTATAGAGTGCAGAGTGCAGTATAGAGAGCAGTAGAAAATAATATGATAGAGTATATTACAGTACAGTAGTATAGTATGGTAGTATAGTACAGTACAGTAGTATAGTACAGTAGTATACTAGTATAGTATAGTAGAATAGTGGGATATAGTATATGGTATAGTAATAAAGTGTACTATAATTTTGCACCTATACAAACACATCCATGCAGCAGCAGAAAAGCAAATATCAGTCTTCAATTATACCCCAATTAACCATAGTATACTAATAATTCTTACCATTATTCACTACCCCACATGTCTAATTCACGATCAGTTGATCTGGTCGTATCCAAACGTACCCTGTCGTTTGGATTATCAAAAGATGTACATGCACCAATTATGGTTAAAATATGTTATATGACCAATACAGGATTAATACCCCAACAACAACAACTTATAAAATTATCTGATAAATATGAAAATGCTCGAGTATTTAATACATTATCAAATATATATAAAAATTCAGATTTATATGTTGAAGTTTCAATTTATGATGGTAGTAATAATTTATTAACAAATCCGGTTCAAACATGTTATAAATCTTTTAATAATAATAAACGAGAATGGAATCAATATTTAAAATTTTCAATTAATTATAATCAAATTGTTATAGATAGTTATTTAAAATTTGTATTATATGAAATAGTTGAAACTAAACCAAAACAATTTGGTATATCATATTTATCATTATTTAATAAAAAGAATTCAACTTTAAGAAAAGGTTCTCAAAAGATACCAATATATCGAAACCCTAATGATGAAAAAATTCAATATGAAGATATGTCAGGATTAACAGAATTAGAAAGTTTATTAATAAAACATGAAAATGGAGAATTTCAAAGAGTTGGTTGGTTAGATAAACAAGTATTACCAAATTTATCTAAATTAAATGAACAAAATACTGATTATGAATATTATTTATATGTTGAATTAGCTCCATTTGATTTACCAATTGTTTATTCTGATATAAGTTATCAAACTTTAAATTATAATCATACTACTAAGAATTCAACTATAATTGAAAATATAAATTCAAATGTAATATTAAATTCAATTGATATCCCCAATGCTATGAAAGTTTATGATCCTGATTATCAATTTGCAAAATTTTCTGAAAATTTAAATCAAAATCCTACTGTAGAAATTGAAACTGATCCAATAGAATCAAAGTATCATAAATTAGAAAGAAAAATTAATAATCCTATATTAGATAAAGAATTAAAACCTTCACCACAAGTAAGAGATGAATTAATTAAAATATTATTAAAACCTTCTCATATTGAACTTAGTGATATTGAAAAGAATTCAATTTGGAAATTTAGATATTATTTTAGTAAAAATAATGCAACAAATGATCCAAGTGATAAAATTGGTTCAGCTAAATCATTTTTACCTAAATTTTTAAAATCAATTGATTGGGATACTGATAATGAATTAGATCATGCATTTAAAGAAATTATACCTATTTATTGGTCAGTTGATAAACTTCAAATGGGTGATGCATTAGATCTTTTAAGTAATTATTTTAATCCATTTATTTTGGGAGAGAAAGCTTTATCATTTGGTAATGATAATAAAATATCCAGTAATAAAAAGGAAGAAACTAAATTTCAAAAGATTTTTAAATATATAACTATTATAAGAAGTATGGCAGTTGAAAGATTGAAATTAGCTAGTAGTGATGAATTATTATTATATTTATTACAATTGGTTCAAACATTAAAATATGAAGCAGATATATTTGAAAGAGATATACCTGGATTAAATGATGAATTAAATGGAAATGGAAATAGCAATGGTAATCATAGTTCTATAAGATCTCCATTAGCCAGATTTTTAATTGAAAGATCAGTCGAAAGTGAAAAATTAGGTAATTACTTTTATTGGTATGTAAAAGTTGAAAATGAAGATCATATTAATAATACCCCACAACAACTATCTAATTCTCCTTCAGAAAAAGTTTATTCTACTGTAATGGATATTTATATAAAGCAATTAAAAGAATATTCAAAAGAGAAAAGTTTACCATATTATGATAATTTAAGAAAACAAATTAATTTTATTAAGAAATTAACTAATTTAGTTCAAGAAATAAGATCACCAACTAGAAAGATTGATACTACTGCTAAAAAAGTTGAATTTTTAAGAGAATTTCTTTCAACTCCTTCTAATAATTTTTTAAAATTTGATCCATTTCCACTTCCATTAGATCCTTCAATTATAATTTGTGGTTGTTATCCTAAAGAAAGTTCGGTTTTTAAATCAAGTTTATCACCATTAAAGATTACTTTTAAAACAGTTCGTAATAAAAATCATTCACAAATATTTGGAAAGAAAAGTAGTAAACATGGTAAATATCCTTTAATGTTTAAAATTGGTGATGATTTAAGACAAGATCAATTTGTAATTCAAATTATAAATTTAATGGATCAACTTTTAAAGAATGAAAATTTAGATTTAAAGTTAACTCCTTATAAAATTTTAGCTACAAGTCCAATTGCAGGATTAATTCAATTTGTCGAGAATGAAACTCTTGATAAAATTCTTTCAAATATGTATCCTGCTTTAGTAGTTTATGAAGAAGGTACAATACCTCCATCTATTACAGCTGCTAGTGCATCATTAAGTAATGTATTAGTAGCATCTAATAATGGTATTTTAAGTTATCTCAGATTACATAGTCAAGAGAAACAACAAGTTGAACCTGATGCTGGAAGTGTTTTGACATCATCTTATAGTTCAGATCAACGACTGTCACAATCTCAATCCAGATCTCAACCTCAACCTCAACCTGCTGTTTCTTCTGGATTAGGAGTTTCTGATATTGTTATGGAAAATTATGTAAAATCTTGTGCTGCTTATTGTGTAATTACTTATATTTTAGGAGTTGGTGATCGTCATTTAGATAATTTATTAATATCTCCAAATGGTAAATTTTGGCATGCTGATTTTGGTTACATGTTTGGAAGAGATCCTAAACCATTTCCTCCGGTAATGAAACTTCCAATTCAAGTTATCGATGGAATGGGAGGTATGAATCATGAAAATTATAATATATTTAAAAGTTATTGTTTTATTACATATAATATTCTCAGGAAGAATAGCAATTTAATTCTAAATTTATTTCAATTAATGGTTGATGCAAATATACCTGATATTTCAACCGATCCACAAAGAGTTATAGAAAATGTCCAAGATAAATTTTGTTTAGAAATGAGTGATGAAGGTGCCATGTTACATTTTCAAGATTTAATTAACAATAATGTGGGAGCATTCTATCAAAATATTATAGATAGATTACATAGTTTAGCTCAATATTGGCGAGCATGAATTAATTTAGTTTAATATTAATTTAATTTAGTTTAGTTTAATCAAATTTTGATGATGGTTTCTTACCTGTAAATTTGTCTCTTAAATTTCTAATGGCAAATGTAAATAATGCAGATAATATGGCAAATGGTGGGAAATAATCTAATATAGTAAATATAATATTTGGATTAATTTCATTTACTACGGCATCAACTGATTTATATAATTGTTTTAAATCTTTACTATTATCAATAACCACATCAGCTCTAAAATTTCTTTCATCATTAGTTAATTGACTATCAATACGTTTCTTTGCTTCCAATTCAGTTAAATCTGGATTTCGATTAAGTAATCTTTGTAATTGAGAATCTTTAGGACATGTTATAGTTATAGTTAAACCACATATAATATCAAGTTTAGTTTCAAATAATAGTGGAACATCAAGAATTACTAAATTTTTAAATCTTATATAAGCTCGAAAGATTTGCCAGGCAATTTCTTTCTTAACAGCAGGATGAACAATTGAATTAAGGATTTTTAATCTTTCTGAATTTCCAAATACGGCTCTACCTAAGGCTGCACGATTTAATGATTTATCTTCATTTAAAAGATCACTTACTATGGGTAAAAATGAATCTACTATTTGTTTATAAGCTACTTTACCTGGTTCAACAACTTCTCGAGCTATTAAATCGGCATCGACTATAGTTAAGCCATGTTTCTCTTTAAGTCTACTTACAACTGTTGATTTACCTGAGGCAATACCTCCAGTTAGACCCACAATAAGCATTACTATTGTATACTATTCTGTACTATTCCCTACTATTCCCTACTATTCCCTACTACTAAGTACTATTCCGTACTAATAAAGGGGGCACTAATTGTGGAGTAGATGAAGAAGTGAAAAAAAAAAGATATAGAAAAAAGTAAATGTGAAAAATAAAAAGTCTGCAAACTCAGTCACCAGGCCCCACTAACCACCATAATGTCTAAAGTACCCCAAATATTCGTACTAGGGGCAGGATCTATGGGATGTCTAGTGGCCCATGAATTAAAGCAAGCATTTGGTAAACAAGTAAATCCCATATTATTGTTTAAAACTCAAAAAGTATTAGATTTATATAATAATGAAGGATCAGAAATAACTATTATTAAATCCCAAAATTCAAATATACTTACATCTAAATCTCGAATAAATGGTGCATGTAAACCACCAATAATAGATAATAAACAAGAAATAATTAATAATTTAATTTTATCAACTAAAACTTTCCAATCATTTTCAGCTTTAGAAAATTATATACCTCATTTAACAAAAGATTCAAATATTTTAATACTTCAAAATGGTATGGGGATGGTACCTTTATTAACTGAAAGATTTTGGCCAGCAGAATGGAATAGACCAAATATATTTCAAGCTATAAGTACTCATGGAGCTTATAAATCTTCATTAAATGTTGTTCATCATGCAGCTCCTGGTAAATTAACTATATCATATATTCCCAGATCAAATGAAGATATTGAAATTCCTAATAAAATTCCTCAATTTATTGATGATATTATTAATACTCCTAATTTAAATGCATCTTATGAAAATTATAATTCATTTTTATTAATTCAAATGGAAAAATTAATTGTAAATGCCACTATTAATCCAATTACTGCTTTATTAGATTGTTTTAATGGAGATTTACTTCACGCTGAAAGAATATCTTCATTACTGACAAGAATTATTAAAGAAGCAACTGATTGTTTGTTTGCTGAATATAAGATTTTACAAAGTATTCCTGAAGCAGAAAGTTATCTTTCACATTCAAGATTATTAAATACTGTACTTTCAATGTGTAATACTACCGCTAAAAATAGTTCATCAATGAGAGAAGATGTTAGACATTTAAATAATACAGAAATAGATTATATTAATGGTTATATTGTTAAATTAGGTATAAAACATAATATTAGTGCCATGACAAATAAGACTATTGTGGATTTAGTTAAAAATAAATTAAGTATAGATAGAGCTATTGAAAAGAATGCTACTAAATTTGTTGTTAACTAATCATCATTGTATATATACAAGTCTATAATTTATATATTTATAATTTATAGATTTATAATTTATAATTTATAATTTATAACTTTTCTTTAACCTGTTTGCATATATCTAACATATTTCTATATAGAATTCCAATAATTCTTTTCCTTTCTCTTGTAGGAATATCTTCATCATCAGAATATTCAAGATATAATGAATTATTACATGTATGAATAATTTTTTCAAGAATTTCAATTAATAATAAATCGGATTTATATTTATAAACACTTCCATCACTAATTCCATTTAAAAGGGCTTGTAATTTTCTTGATGATTGAGGATTTTGTTCTTGTAATACTGCTAATGCAACTTCTGTTCTAAATGAAATACCTTGAGCTGTTAATGTATAATTATCATAATAATCATTATCTTTTAAAAAATCAATTTGATTATTATCTAGTAAAGGTAGAATAAAATTAGATATATTTATATCATTCCATTTATTTTCATAAGGTAATACGAAACCATATTCACATAATAAGAAATCATTTGAATGAGGTCCATAACTTAAATATAATTGCTGATCTTTACTATATGAATTCGTTGTAAATACTTGAAATCCTAATCCATCAACTTTAATACTACATTGATCTTCACAAGAATGATTTAAAAAATCAACATATGGTGCTAAAGTAAAATTATCAGCACTAGTTTTACTTTGAGGTAATGTCATATATAAACAACGAGAATTTATACACATCCAAGACCATAAAAATAGTTCTATAGTTATATAATTTTTAAAATCTTTCTTATGTAAAAGATTTTCAACTATTTCATAATCATTCATAAATCGTTTATAAACATTATCAGTATGTTGTTTAGTTGATTTAGGTAAAAGTAATAATAATTTTTCATAATTAGATACTTGATTAACTTTCCAAATTAATGGAGTATATTTAAAATCAGAAATATCTGGTAACATATCAATAAATGGTTTCCAAAATGAATTTTCACCTCTTTGTTTTTCTAAACAAATATATAATGATAATAATTGAAATGAAGTTAAATTTAATAAATCTGTTAAACATAATGATTCATATACTTTAGTAAATTTATCAGATAAATTATTATAAGGAGTATAAAGACTGGTATAATAAGGTTCAGATAATTTAATTGAATCATTATATTTAGATATATGAGTTATTACCGTATTAGTATTTAAAAGGAATGAAGGTGGAATTCTTAATATAAGTTCTGATCTATTAATATTACTGGTGGCATTAATACCTCTACCACCATTAATACCATAATCTTTAACTTCTAATTTCGATGATATATATGAATGTGATGAAGGTTTAAGTTGTTCATCATTAGTATTCTTAATCCATTCAAGTAGTGATACTAGTTTCTTATCCTGAATAGACATTTGAGTTAGTGGGTGCAAAGGATTAGGTATAGTTAAGTAGAGATATTTTTTTTCAGTAATACCGATGGCCAGACTACTCCACCAAAAGACTACTCCACCAAAAGACTACCACCACCAAAAGACAGATACCTAAATTCAATATATTAATCATTAGTATATACGTATATAGAATTAAACCAGTTTAATTGTAAGAGATGAAGCAATATTAGTAGATTCAATAGCATTCTTAAATTCTTCAAAACTTAATTTACCATCACCATCTTGATCATTTTCAATTATAGTTCGATCTACAATTTCTTGTAATTGAATTTCATTTAAATTATTTCCAACCATCATTCTCATTACAATATAAAGTTCACCATTCCCAATAAATCCATCTCTATCCATATCATAAATTTTAAATGCAAATCTTAATTTATCAATTTTTGATGTTTTCCCACTAAATGTTGATAATCCAGTTATAAATTCTTTAAAATCAATGGTTCCACTACCATCTTCATCAAATACATCCATTAATCTGGTAGCTAATGGATTATTTGATAAACCTGGTATAGATAAAAATTCTGTCTTATCTATAGTCCCACTTCCATCCGTATCTAATTTCATAAATCGTTTTCGTAATCTATCAATTTCATCTTTATCAAAATTCGTACCTTCTGAGAAGCTTTCTAAAATATTAGAAGATGCTACTCCACCCATTTTCTATATTCTATGTATTTATTATAGTTAATTATCTACCTTTCGTAAACTATTCTGGTTTAAGTTACTATCAGATTTTCCCTTTATAGTAAATCTGTAGTCACATGACCAACTGCCTCACTTCCTCACTCACCATCCACCATATAATTATTCACAAAAAGATCCAACCACCAATACAAACTAATCCTTAACTATGATTAATCAACTAATTTAACTAACCATGAATATTAATATTGATACAGCGAAAGATACGCTATGTAAGAATATCTTAATATATGGATATTGTAAATTCGAAAATAAAGGATGTGCATTTAATCATAATACTAAGACTGCTACTAATACAACGAGTCAATCATCAAATGTGAATGCTTTACCTCAGGGAAGATCTGGTACTGGTACTGGTACTGGTACTGGTACTGGTACTGGTGCTAGTACTGCATCTCAACCTTCAATTGAGTCTAAACGAAAGTTTAATGCTAGTTCTGCACCTTTCCAACCATCTTCAAGTTCATTTTCTCCAAAGGTAAAGGAATCATTAACATTTATACCAAACAATGATAGTCTAACAACTCCAGTAACTTCTACTAGTAATGAACCAATACTTTCTAAGAAATTTAATGCATCAATTGCTTCATTTGCTGCATCATTCACTCCTACGAATTTTAATCCTGATTATATTAATAATTCATCTCCAATAAATAATAATATAAGTATTAATAATCCTACTAGTACTAATAATAATATTAACAACATTAATAATATTAATAATAATAATAATAATATTCAACCCAATCCATATCTAATGGCTCAACAACCACCTCAACCACCAGGATTATCACCATCTACTATAAATATTCCTGGTCAACCTCCAGTATTATCTCAACCAAATATACCTCCTCATAATACTAATGATATATTTTTTCAACAAGTATCAGTTCCACCTAATGTACAACAACAAGGTGGACCATTAGTTGGACAAGCTCCACCTCCTGGACAATCTATGTTTCCATTAAATTATCATTTATATGCTCCTGGACCTCCACCAAGATTTAATAATAATTTATTACCTTATGAAACAAATGCATCATTATTATTTATTCCAGAAGATTTAAGAGAATCAACTCAACAAAAAAATGAAGCAACTTTACAAACTTTACCTCATTCAACATTACCTGATCATATTGGAGTATATCATTCATTAGTTCCAATTGATAAAACTTATGAACCAACTTCTAAAATATGGCATATACCATCATCAATTTATAAAGCATTTAGTAATGCAGATGGGAATCCATATGCTTTAAGAAGAATTGATCATCAATTCCCCATTATAAATGAATTACCATTTAAAAATATTAAAAAGTGGAGAAGTATTAAAAATCCAAATATTGTACAAATTAGAGATGCATTTACAAGTATGGCATTTGGTAGAAGTACTATAATTTTAGTATATGATTTTTATCCAAATTCAAATACTTTATTAGATCATCATAAAAGAAATGGGACTAGAAATAAAGTAGTTACTGAAGAAATCTTATGGTCTTATTTAATTCAAATTATAAATGCATTAAATGATATTCATGAACGAGGTTTAGCAGCAAGATCTTCATTAAATTTAAATAAAATTATTGTTACCAATAAGAATCGAATTAGATTATCAAGTTGTGGTATAAGTGATATATTAGGATATGAAGAAGAAGAAAAACAACAACAACAACAACAAAATCAAGAAGATGAAACCATGACTGATGAGAACAGTACTATTAATAATATTCGACAATTACAAATTGAAGATATTAAAAATTTAGGAAAAGTTTTATATGAATTAAGTTTATTAACATTACCTATGAATTTAAGGTATGGAGATTTTAATAGTATTATTAAAAAATTAGGGTTATCAGAAGATTTTTTAGCTGTATTAAGAATATTAAATGGAGAAGTTACCGAAGAATTTTCATTAGGTAAATTTAATGAACGATATTTACTTCAAAATAATAAATTATTTTCAATAATTAATGGATTACAAGATTCTTCAGATTATCTTGAATCTCAACTTTCAACTGAATTAGAAAATCTGAGATTATTTAGATTAATTACTAAGATTAATTATATTATTGATCAACCAGATTCTAATCCTGAAGTTAATAATAATCGATATATTATAAAACTTTTCCGAGATTTTATATTTTATCAATATGATGAATTTGGTAAACCAATTGTTGAATTACTGAGAGTTGTTATTAATTTAAATAAATTAGATGCTGGAATTGATGAAAAGATTTTACTTGTTAGTAGAGATGAACAAAGTTGTATAATTGTATCTTATAAAGAGATAAGGGATATTATTGATTCGTTATTTAGGAATCTTACATCTCAGTATTATAAATAGAAACCAATAACATAATATAAAAATATAAATATATATAAATACTAAACAAACTAACCTCCTCCAACACCTTCTGGACGAGGACCTTCCTTTTGAATTACAATTTCTTTACTAAGTAAACCTCGTATTTCCAGACTAATCTCAATTTCATCTTTGGTAGTAGTGGTACTAGTACCATATACTTCAGAATTAATACTCTTTAAACTATTCTCTCGATCAATTATATCAATCATTCGTTTAAATTTCAAAAATAATAATTCACTTCGAATTAATAATGCATCTATATGTAATTTTAACAGTAAATCATTCATATACTTTAATACTTCATCAAATTTTCTTAAATTTTGTATAATAATTCGTTCATTATCACTCAATACTGATAAAGCAAAGAATAAATGAAATTGACTTGAATAATAATCTGTCCATAAGATTTCCCATAATTGTAATACTTGATCCCATTCTAATTCTCGTTTAAACCATACTAATAACATTCTAAAAAAGAAAAATAAATCAATTGATTCACATTTTTCTAAATGTTTAAATAAATTTGGTAACATAAATTGTAAAAGTTTATTTAATGTATTCATTTGAATTTTCATACCTGATTGATCTCTAACAAAATTTCTTTCCATTCTTGTCATAAATTTTACAAAGGCCCAAAATGTTAATGATTCATCTTGAAATGTAACATATAATGGTGATATAAGATCTGTCATTCCTTGAACATATCCTAAATTTTCATTAAATTCATTATAAGTTAATAGAATTTCTCTTATATTATATAAATGAGGATTTCGAATATTTGAAATATCAAATTCATCATCAAGTTCATCTTCATCGGGAGTTTCAGGACTTGATTCACGAGAATTACCATTAGCATTAGCATTAGAACCGCTATGTTTACGAGAAGGATTCTTAAATATAGGTAAATTTCGATCAGTTCTATTAACATCCTTTTCAATTCGATGTTTTTGATCTTTCCAAAATTCCGTACTTCTTTTATCTTCATCATTAACCCACTTTAGTTTTAATTCATCATAGGCAGTTTCATATGATTTCTTATAAGCTTCACGTTCTTCTTTGGAAGTATTCCAATCATAAACTCCTAAAAGAAATAACCAGGCTTCCTTTCTAATTTCATTATCTAAACCTCCATGAAATATTCTTGATTTAACTTCATCAACAGTAAGAATTAATCTTCCACTATAATCAAAAAATGAATCCCATTCTTGTTTATTTATTGGATGCCTTCTAGATGTTTGACTAATTTCTTCATTAGTTAATATTTCACTTGAACCTAATTCTCGATTAATTTTATTATAAATTTCATTATGTAACATATTCTTTCGTTGACTTTCTTCGGCTTCTTCTTTAACTTGTTGAGCCCATTTTGCTAAATAAATTCTTGCCAGATCAAATTCATCACCAATTCTTTGAACTTCAGGTTTATTCATAATTTGTTTAATTGTTAATGGAGCATTTTCTTCAATAATATTCATTACTTGATTCTTTGTTTTTGCAGATATAGTTGCTACAGTTTCTAAAACTTTCCATTTAGCAGAAGCAAATAATTTCCCAATATCAGGTACATTAATTGGTTCAATTTTTTTAATTGAATCATTATTATTATTATTATTCAGATTATCTTTAATATTTAAAGGAGCAAAATTTCTTAAATCATGAGAATCAGGATTAATTAAATAAACTGATGAAGTTACTGTTGATTTTTCAATATTAATAAATTTTTCCAATACTTCAATAAATTCTTGACCTCCCCAATACATATTACCACTTTCATCAAATGGATCAAATCTTTTATTACTTAATTTATGTCTTGATTTACTTGAAGGAGATTCATCATCATGAAAGAATACAATGGGTAATTTTTCACCATCCTTAGTATTAATTACTATTGATCCAAACCAAAATCCTAATGAAGGTTTTCGAACTTGAATTGAATATAAATACAGTAATGGTACACTAAATGAATAACCTGATAATAAAGATACTGAAGGTTTAGGAATAATTCTTGTATTAGAAATTTTTCGATCTTTACTATTGGTATTGGTATTAGTATTAGTATTAGTATTATTCTTAGAACTAAGACTAATGGCTTCTAAATCAAGAGCTAAATCTTCAAGATCCACAGCATTATAAATTTTTACTTCTTCAACTGATAATTGAGTCTCTGGAGTAAATGATAAAAGTATATCTAAATTAGTTCCATTTTTACCTCGACTCAAAGTTAAGTATCCTGGAACATTATCCTTCTTAGCTGATGTGGGGTGAAGGTATGTCTTTGATTTGGCATACAATAGTTCTACTTCACTCTGGGATAAGACTCGTGACATGATTAATGTTAAGTATTATTATAGATATGTCTAATAATAACTCTGTAACAATACCTCTCTATATTATTTATATATATTATGTTATTACGAAGAATGGCAATGGTATAGAATGGGTTTGCCTGTGCCTGCATGTGCGCTTATACTTTTTGCTTTAACATGCGCCTGGTTTTAGGGAGGGATGACCGAGCGCAAATAGGAGTAATGCGACAATGCGCCTTACTAGTAATTCTATTTAAGTGTATATAGTACAAGTTTACATAGTACAAGTGTATATAGTAAGTGGTTATACATAGTAAGTGGTTATACATCATACTATATACAGTATATCTATACACATATTTCACAAATATAAAGATCCCGCAGATACGATATCTCTATGAACAAGTTCTATAGCCTTCTCCATTTTCTCTTCTAATTGACTATTACCAATAGTTTTCGCAGCCGAAACTAATTGACGAATTAATTCTTCTAACCTCTTAAACATTCTAATAAGTGAACCTTCATATACATCTGTCATTTTACAAATTTGTGTAAATGTCGCCCCTTTACACCAAGCATAAGTTACTTCCATTAATTCAGGTCGGAAACTTTCAACATAATCCTTTTCAACAATTTCTAATTTAGATTCTTTATAAACTTTAGCTAATTTTGTAGCCATTTCTTGCATAGATTTTAATGGTTCAGCTAATTCTGGTTTAAGTCTTGGAACTTCTTTAGCTTTCTCTTGGAAAACAAAACATGATAATAATGCAGCACATTGTTCACTACTTAAATCATTAAATGTACCATTAAATATTAATTCAGTTAATAATAATTCATCTCCTGAACTAATTTCACAAGCAACTCGACCTTTTAATTCAATTATATCATTTTGGGTAGTAAATCCTAATCTTCTTAATACTCTTCTTCTATGTCTTAAATCATCTAATTGAATAACTGCTTGAGCTTCTAATATTTTATCCTTTAATTGTTTAATCTTTTGTTCAATTTTAACTTTTTCACTATACTTTTCATATAAATCTTTTAATCTAATTGAATCATGTAATGGATTACTTAATAATTTAGATTCTAATACTTCAATTTTTCTTAATGTACCTTTAAATTGTTGATCATCAATTTTCATACTTTCAACTGGATCTAATAATGGAATTCCATCAGGTAATCTTTTAGGTAAATCTTTCATAGTTTTTAATAAAGTTTTCTTCGCAGCTGAAGATTTTAAATCATCAGGAACTCTTAATCTAACACTACTAATTTTTTCAATTGAATCAAGCGTTATTGGAATATATTCTGCTCGAGATTTCTCTCCAATTTTTGATGGTCTAATACCTTCTGGTAATATTGGATTAAATGGTTTAATTAAATTAATTGGAGAATCAATAAACATTGAATAAATGAATACATTAACAATATATGCTTCATGATCACTAAAATTTTGTGATGGAGTTCTCTTATTAGATCTTTTAGAAAATCCAGTTACCATACCCCAACCATAATCTAATTCACCAATTTTAACTTTTATAACTCTACCTTCTTGTAAAAATGGTAATATATGACCAGGATGAGTTATAACATGTCTAACTTCTTCTTGATACTTTTCTGATTGTAATTTAACATCATAATAATCTTTAACAGTTGCTTCATCATCTATTTGAATATTATTTAATTCATTAGATAATTGTTGTAAATTCTTTTCCATAACTGGTACTGAAGCAGCATTTTGAAATTGATAAAATGAACTTTCTAACATAAATTCAGGTGAAATACCTTCAACTCTCATAAGATTAAGAATCATATTATAACCTAAATGAAAGGCAGAATCTAATCTATCAGCTTGACCTTTAACCATACCTTTGGCAACTTGAGGTTCCATTTTTTCATCAATCATCATAATAACAATCCCACGAGCATCTAAACCACGACGTCCAGCTCTACCAGACATTTGAATATATTCACCACCTGATACCCATCTAAATCCTACTCCATCCCATTTACGAACTGATGTAAAAACAACAGTTTTAGCAGGCATATTTAAACCAATTGAAAAAGTTTCGGTAGCAAATAATACTTTTAATAAACCTTCTTGAAATAAAATTTCAATAATTTCTTTTAAAATTGGTAATAAACCAGAATGATGAATACCAATACCTCTTCTTAATAATGGTAAAATATTTTTAATTTGAGGTAATTCTTTATCATTTTCAGGTAATAAATTAACGGCATTATTAAAAATTTTAGTTAAAGCATCTCTTTCATCATCAGAATTAAAATCTAATTTAGACATTTTTAATGCTAAAGATTCACAATCTCTTTTAGAAAATGAAAAAACAATAACTGGATTAAATCTTTTCATATAAATCATTTTAATAATTTTATAAATATCTGATTTACCATCTTTAGCTCCTCCTTTATAAGTTTGACCCTTTTTACCCTTTGATTTATCTCCTGAACTTGGATCATCACCAATATTATCACTTATAGATGCCATAGCCTTTTGAAAATTTTCTTCTCTAAAAGTTCCCTTTTCATCAACTACTAAATGAATTCCATCACCAGCAGCAGGGAATAAATAATGTTGTAATGGAGTTGGACGGAAATCAGTATAAACAACATGACAAGGTTGAGCATGAATTTTTACAATCCATTCAGCAAATTCCATAGCATTAGGAATTGTAGCAGAAAGGAATACATAATGAACTTTATCAGGAAGTAAAATAATAGTTTCTTCCCAAACAACACCTCTTGATTTATCTCTCATATAATGAACTTCATCAAATATAACCCAAGCAACTTCTCTCATAATTTCTGAACCTCTATATAACATACTTCTTAAAATTTCTGTAGTCATAACTAAACATCCGGCATCAGGATTAATTGTTACATCACCAGTCATTAAACCAACATCACCAAATTCTGCAAGTAATTCACGATATTTTTGATTACTTAAAGCTTTAATTGGTGAAGTATATATGACTCTTTGTTTTTCTCTTAAAGATTGTGCAACAGCATATTCGGCTACAACAGTTTTACCAGCTGATGTATGAGCAGAAACTAATACTGATTCATTTCTATCAATACATGAAATAGCCGTATCTTGAAAAGGATCTAATACAAATGGATAAGTTCTAGCTTCATTTTGTCTTTTATGTTCTCCAATAGGTACATAAGGAAAATCAGGTGGAACAGCAACTTGATGTCTAACTTGATGTCTTAATTTTAATTGTCCACCTTCAGGTTTTTCACTAGATGATGATTCTAATAAGCCATCAGAAACTGCCACTTCTCTTGATGTTTCAATTTCAACTGAATCAAATACAACTGGTTTAATTTCTGGCTTTTCACTCTTGGTTTTCTTCTTCTTCTCTATAGGTTCTACCGATGATGAATCTTCCTCTACTTGTCTCTTCTTAGATGTTCCATTACCTTGCCCCTGTCCTTTTTCTTTTTGTTTTTCTTTTTCTTCACTGGCCACTACTGTAGGCACAGCAGTAGGCGCCTCAGTAAACACATCAAAAAGATCATCCGCATCCATGACTGACTGTTCCACAACCGTATCGATGCTTAATGTACTCTTCCATCGGGATAGTGAATTAATTTTTTTTTTATTTTTATTTTTAAATTTTAGCGATGCGACATTTACAAAAAGCGGGCGCTACACAAATTTTGCAATCATTACAATAATTATACAATAAATATAAAATTAATATACTATTAATATACAATTAATATACAATTAATGGGTATATACATAGATTAAAACTAAGATTAATACTCAGATTAATCCTCTATAGTAAAATGATAATTTTCCAGACATTAAGCTTCTATATTAAACGATACCTTCTCTTGATTCTCAAGTGCCTTTAAAGTTCTCCATTTCTCCTTATCATATTCTCCAATGACGGCACTGGGTAAAGAACTAATTCTAGATCGTTCGGATCCTGGATTAGTATCTAAATCCCAAAAATCAATCGGTTCTTCACCTATATATGGAGCTGAACCAACAGATAAGGCTGGAACTTCAGATAATTCTGATGATAACTTTGTGGTTGGAATTGACATATTAAAGGTAGGAATTGATGAATTATTTCTATGATGAGATTTAGTAGTATATAAAATAGATTTTAATGATTTTCTAGGTGAACCTGATCTTGATGAAACATTAGATTTTACTGATAAAGTATTGGATATAACTGAATTACTATGTTTATGACTATTTGAATTAATCATTGATTCAGAATTAATTCCAGCACTTAATCTTCTTGATTTCCTTCTTAATGATGAAGCAATTCGTTTAGGACTTTCCCATAATCGTTTAATTGGAGAATGTTCTGATTTAGTCAGTTCATTATTTTCTTCTTCAACATATGCCTCTGGTGGTGTAGAATATGGTCTTAATGTAACACTCAGTGAAATTATTGATGAATCAGGAATTTGGGTATTAAGTTTTGCATTACTTGAATCACTTAGATTCCTAAATGTATGCAATGAAGGAGCACTATATGATCTACTCACTGATGATATTCTTGTATTATTAACATTAGCATTATTCATTTGTTTAGAACTTGACGTCGTTTGAATATCTGACAAATTATCAATATTATCAACTATTCCTTCCTTTGGTGGTAATAAATAATCTCCAGAAATCTCAGTATTTGCTCCATTATTTTGTAATAAAGTAAGATTATAATCGGAAACAACGTGTGATAAACCTGGTACATTAAGGCTAGCACCATTTCTATTAAGATTCTCTTGATATGCTTCTGAATGATTATTCCATTCATCTAATGAAATTGTATTAACTCCAGAGGCATTTCGAGATACTTTCCAATTCAAACTGGTATCAGTTGAAGATGGGGGAATTCTTTCAAGTCCATTCAATACCAAGGGATATTCTTCGTCTTGCTTCGTGTGAGGTTTTATTGAGCCATACAGTTTTCCTGTTATTTGGCCCTTTTGGTTTATGGATTTATTATTGGGTGGTATAGAATATCCTTGATCAAATCCATTGAAATCTGTTTCATTCACAGAATGACTATCAAATTCATTACTTAAATATGGTAAATTTGTACTATCAATTGATTTTCTGGATCCAGAATCTTCTACTTCTCCAACTGGACTTAATGATGGACCTAAATTATAAACTGAATCATCTTTAATTATAGTATTATATGGTGGCTCAGGATTATTGGTGGGATTTATAAATGCTTCTTGTTTACGTTTAGATTCCATTATGGGACTCTCACCACTCTTTAAAACTGAGGGAAGTAAACTTTCATTGACTTGTGAAAGGAAATGTCTTTCACCATTCATTGATATTAACTTTTGCTTTGACTTTTGATTGGTAGAATTATTTATGCAACTGGTAGATTTGGATCTTCTGGTAAGATCAGTACTCTTCTGATTATTATCAAATTGTTCAAGTTCATCTAATAATATTCGAGAGGCATTATTTGATGAACAATTTGAATTTAATAATGATACACTTCTAGATATTCCATTTACTGAATTTTCTGTATATAAAGTAGAAAGTGAAGCCTTTGAAGTACTCTCAGTAATTTTACCTTCACTTATACTATTCCTAAGATTAGGCATTGATTTACCAATATTTTGTGATGATTTGATAGTAGATTTATTACCATTTAAATTCGGTATAGTTGAAATACTATTGGTATGTCTCAAATCATAAGTTAATTTTGGTATATTAGTAGATGTAGCTAAGTTTAGATTGGATCTTGATCTTCCAGCGAAAAGTCCAAATCTAGTCTTGTATAATAAATCAGGAGATGATTGTGCTTTGACTAAATCTTGTTTGATGAACATTGAATTCAAACCAGTTGACATCCAATTATTTGTATCGTAGTCAAGAAGGGTTCTATCAAAACTTTGAATTTCAATTGACTTTTTTAAGATGAAATCTAATTCAGCAGCAGATTCTTCATTATTTGAAATAATATTTTGGTTGTTGTTATCATTGTTATTTTTATTATTTTTGTTGTTATTATTCTTATTGGTTATTCTAGATATTTGATTGTTTATATCATTATTGGTGATGGTATTGCCTATGAGGGTTTGTTCACTAATCCTTTTAGAGAGATAATTAGTGAAAGGGATTTGTTGTTGACGTTCATGGGCTTTTTCTAGAGCCTCTAAATTTGTAGGTGAATTTATATAGGTATCCTTCTTATTATTTGAATGTACAACGTGAGTTCTATTTGAAGAAGTTTCTGAATGAGATGAATTTTCAATATCTTGATTGTATTGTTGTTTAAGTATTGAGAAGTATTGTATAAGCAGTAATATTTGTGATAATGCAATAAATATAATATTGACAATGAATATAACACTAAGGATTATATTCCAATGAGGTGGTGGATGAATTCCATTTGGTTTGGGTATAAATTGGAATTTGTTACCTATGAATTGTACTATAAGATAAATTCCTGTGACTATATAAAATAATGATAATATGATATAACTAATGATTTGTAATAAATATTGATAACCTCGGAAACTTAACCAAATTAAATTAAATAAAGTTATACATAATAATACCAATCCTGATATATCATAAATTAATAAAGGAATATAAGAATTAATATTGTCCACTTGAACCAATAATCCAATTATTGAAGTTGCAATTGAGCAAGCAATAACAATTAGATATATTAGTATGATGGGTAATTTGTATCTCATTGATGATGTATTTTACTGGAACTCATGGATGTTGATAGGAGTTAAATTAATATTTATATGAAGTTATCGTTCGTCAAAAGTGAATAATTAAATTGAATTTATTGAAATGAATAATTGAAATGAATAATTGAAATGAATAATTGAAATGAAATTCGTCAAGATGATGTTTATCTATTGTTATATAACTAAATACGATAGTTAAGCTTGAATAAGTTAGTGTATAGTTCAAATATAATGATTTGTTTCGAGAAGGTTTCACTATTGACATATACTCTTCGCAAACACAAAACAAATTTGTTTAGTACCTAATTGTTTCCCCGTCACTCAAACACGACAATGTATATGTCGAACTTTAAATCAGCTTCTCTTCGTCCCTTAGATCGATTTAAGTAAATACAATACTAATGGTAACTCATTGCAACAAAAGATGGCTAAAGTTACAAAACATGAAAAACATTAAAGAATTGAATGTTTATACATTGCCTAATTAGGAAGTTGCTGCGTTTTTGGGTGTGAAAAATCTAATTGCTAACAATGCCGAAAAAGAACGACTAAGCGCCCTCAATGTCACGTCACTTGACGATCCCACTACTATACAATTTAAAAACAATAAGATAAATGTATGTATGTTGTCTTTTTGAGAGTGCACTTCAATTGTTAAGTCAATGAAATAAATAATAGAGTAACATATATAAAATAATAATAATAATAACTAAGAACTAATAACTAATAATCAATCGATTAATAGTAGTAATAACTAGTGGAAACTAAAATTTGTAGTCACCACTTAACCATCTGTTAACCATATCTAAAGAACTTTCAGGTTGATCATATGGAACCATATGTCCACCACCAAAGACTCTTAAGAAAGTAAAATGTTTATAATTCTTAACTTCACCAGCTGGTTTACCATTAACTTCCCATGATTTTACTGGAGCTTTAGAGAATCCAGCTGATCCGGACCATTCTAATGCATTAGTCCAAGCTTGATTACCTAACCAATTACAAATGAAATCTTTATCACCAGCATAAATTAAAACTGGAACATCAGATTCTAATAAATTAATAACATTCTTATAGTATGGTTTCATCCAATCACCAGCTAATAAAAAGTTTCTATTAATATCAAAATTACATGATTCATATTCATCAACTTCAACTCCTAAAGCGGCTTTAACATCTTCAAGATTTAAATATTGATCAATATATTCTAAATCAGAATAACATAAATTAGATCCTTCACACATAGTTCTAATATCATAAACATTTCTACCAGTTCTTTGATAAGGACCCATTTCAGCATTATTACAATAAATTGATGCTGGAACACATGACCAAATAGATTCTGATTCATAACAACTCTTAATTAATGATGTACATCTTGGAATAGCATCAGTCATACCTTGACATTCTTCTGGTGATAAAACTGATGGTTCACCACCTTCACCACAAGCCATTGGTTCATAATATTCATATTGAACTAATGGATCAGTTAATCCATTACCAATTAAAACTGAAGTTAAATTAAATGTACGTTCTTCATGAGATAAGATTTCTGAAGCAAAAACAGGAATATAATGACCAGCATAAGATTCACCAGCAATATGGAATGGTAAATTATTATATTGAGGGAATTGTTTAAAGAATAATTCTAAGAATGCGTAAACATCTTTACCAGCAGCAATGGTATTTGAAACGGATTCAGAAGAATAAGAGTAACCAACATTAACAGGTTGATCTAAGAAAATAACAGAAGCATTATTATTCCAAGCACTTGGATTAAATTTTGGTTTAATACCAGCAGTAATTGAAGATGGACCTAATTCAAAAAATAAACCAGTAAGTGATGAACAACCTGGACCACCATTTAACCATAAAACAACAGGATCATTCTTTGGATCATTTCTTGATTCAAAAAACCAATAAAAGAAATGTTTATCTTCTTCTTCAACATCTAAATAACCAGAATATTGTTTAACAGTATCAACTCCTAAAGATTCAGGAGTTGATTTTACTCTTAATTGATGACCTGGGAATTTTTTATCAGTAACATGAACATCAAATTTACCTTTACCTTTAGTTGCTTTCTTTGGATTTGATTTAAAATTTAAATTAGTAACTGATTGAGGAAATTGTAAAATTAAATCCAGCCAAATTTTCTTAGTTTCTTCAGAAATTGATTCTAAAGGTTCATTAAAATAATTTGCAATAGCGGTTACAATATTACCATTAAGAGCAGATTGAGCAAATTTATCCATTTGACTATTAAAAGCATTACCATAATGTTCTAAATTTAATAATTGTTGAGGATTAGCAAATGATGGAATGGATAACGCATTGGAGTTACCAATGGCACAAGCCGCAGCTAATAAAGTAGTAACTGATATAGATAATCTCATATTAATTTATAGAATATCAATGACAATTACAAACTTAGTATTGGAATTGAATTGAAGTTGAGATATATATATCAATTACAAATATTAATTATAAGAAAAGAAGAAAGGAGAAATAAGAGATATGAAATTTAATATAGATGGTTATCTTTTTGTTCACAAACAGGGTGACAATGAGCAATAAAAATGGCTTGTCGTATTGCCCATTTTGCCTCTCACTAAAATTCAATGTCTAGTGAGTAAAAATCCCCTAATCGGCTACTATTTTTAGTGAAAGAAAAAAAAGTCATTAAGAATTATGGGGGAAAGTCTGACCTTCTCTTTCATCCGCCGCCGCTTACCCCCAGCCAAGTAAGGAATATCGTACAAAATAGGAAATACACCTCCAAAAGGGTACCGGACCTCCTTCCTAATCCGGCCTGTTTCGGGCCATTTTAGTAAATGGCTACAAAAGTTTCCCGGTTTGTATGCAGGGATATCTTCTCATATTGTAATGGAAAGTAGTGTACTTTGGTGAGTGTTCCTTATGCAGGCACTAAATTTGTTCTAATACAAAATCTACTAGTGGAGCATATGGATAAATTACTACTTTAGTATTTAAATCCTATCTATGGAGAAACTATCTTAATAAAAGAATAAACTTAACGTCAATTTTCAATTAGCGACATTAGTAATAAATAATAATATTAAAGATAATAAACTTTACATTCTCCTTCCTTAAGATCTAAATGGGATTATTTTCAAGATCTTCAAAACATGAGTTGACCCAATTGAATTCATCTAATTCATTAAATAAGTCTACTTCTTCATTAAGTTCTAAAAATTCAACTAATAATCTAAAATTTTCCAGAAATGATATAAGAATAAATCAGGTAGGTGATGGAGTTTCCGGTAGAGTAGATCTATTTAGATCAAGATCATCACCTGAATTTAAATATGCTGTCAAAACTTATCATTCTAAAGAAATGTATGAAACGAAATCTGAATATAAAGATAGAGTACTTTATGAATATAATACTCTACGTCATCTAGATCATGAGAATATTATTCAAGTATATAAATATGATGTTTCATTTAATGGTTTAACTGTTAAAACGTTCATGGAAGCAGGAAGTCCAAATTTATATCAATTAATCAAATCTACTCCAAAAGATAAATTAGATCCATTAGGAATGCAATGCGTTTGGAAACAAGTTTGTCAAGGTGTAAAATATCTTCATGATCATGATATATGTCATCGAGATCTTAAATTAGAAAATTTAATTGTAGATATATCAACTCGTACGGTGAAAATTATCGATTTGGTTACAGCAGCTGATGTCCATCAAAATAAACAAGCAATTGGTTTAGTAGGTTCACCTACTTATTTTGCACCTGAAACCCTTGAAAAAATTCGGTATGATGGTAAAAAAGCCGATATTTGGTCTTTAGGTATAATTCTTTATTATTTATTAAATAAAAAGTTCCCTTGGAAATCTGCCAAAATTTCCGATGAAAGATATTTCGCTTTCATTCAACCTAATCCAGAATATGATCAACAATCCGCAGATATACTACCGAATCCTATATATGATGAAAAGACACATTTAGAAATTGGTAAACCTTCAGTACTTCGATATTTACCATCACATTCTCTTTCGCTCACGAGTCAAATTTTTGAATCTGACCCTGATAAAAGATGTGGAATAGATAATTTCTATGCTGATGAATGGTTTAATTCCATACTATTCTGTCATAAGGGTATAAAATGTGGAGTCAATCATACTATTATATTTAAAGATCATGAAACTTAACTCTGATGTTAAAAGAGTTGACTCTGGATGAATCCTTTTAATCCTTGACTCTGCTCCAAAGTCCATATGACTCTGAATCAACTCTTCGCATAAGCTTTTATTTTGCGGGGACACATTAAGTTTTATTTACAACCGGAGTCTGAAGCACGTGACTTGGCCGCAACGGGATATATTTTTTTCTGGAATGTCCAAAAGCGATGTGTCATAGCGAGGGTTGAAAAATTATAAGAGGTTTATAAAATCTACTATTTTTAAAGTTTATAGATACTATACAATTAGGTGGTTAACTTAGTAATAATTGAACAATGCTTTCTGCCAGTTTACGTTCATTAAGAACTCAATCTACCAGGCAAATCCCTGGTATGATTACTAGAAGACATTATGCATTATCATCTAATGCACTTAACTTGATCTCTAAATCAGTTTCTGAAGTAGATCCAGAAATGGCTGATATCTTAAATCAAGAGAAACAAAGACAAAAGAATTCAATTACTTTAATTCCTTCTGAAAATTTCACTTCTAAAGCTGTTATGGATTTGTTAGGTTCTGAAATGCAAAATAAATATTCTGAAGGTTATCCAGGTGAAAGATATTATGGTGGGAATGAAATTATTGATAAAGCTGAAAGATTATGTCAAAAGAGAGCTTTAGAAGCTTTTGACTTAGATCCTGAACAATGGGGTGTTAATGTTCAACCATTATCCGGAGCACCAGCTAATTTATATGCTTATTCCGCTATATTAGAAGTTGGTGATAGAATTATGGGTTTAGATTTACCTCATGGTGGTCATTTATCTCATGGTTATCAAACTCCTTCATCAAAAATCTCTTATGTCTCCAAATATTTCCAAACTATGCCTTATAGATTAAATGAAAAGACTGGTATTATTGATTATGATACTTTAGAAGCTAATGCTATTTTATTTAGACCTAAGGTTATTGTCGCTGGTGCCTCAGCTTATTCTAGAGTTATTGATTATAAGAGAATGAAAGCTATTGCTAATAAAGTTGGTGCTTACTTATTAAGTGATATGGCTCATATTTCTGGTTTAGTATCAGCTGGAGTTACTGAATCTCCTTTCCCATATTCTGATATTGTTACTACTACTACTCATAAATCTTTAAGAGGTCCAAGAGGGGCAATGATCTTCTTTAGAAAGGGTATAAAAAAGGTTACTAAAAAGGGTAAAGAAATTCATTATGATTTAGAAAGAAAAATTAATTTCTCAGTATTCCCTGCTCATCAAGGTGGTCCACATAATCATACCATTTCAGCATTAGCAGTTGCATTAAAGCAAACTCAATATCCAGAATACAAACAATATCAACAAGATGTTATTGATAATGCAAAGACATTTGCTGATGCTTTAGTATCTAAAGGTTTCAAATTAGTTTCAGATGGTACTGATACTCATTTAATCTTAGTTGATTTAAGATCAAAAAATATTGATGGTGCAAGAGTTGAAGGTGTTTTAGAAAGAGCTAATATTGCTGCTAATAAAAATACTGTTCCTGGTGATACTTCAGCTTTATTCCCATCTGGTTTAAGAGTTGGTACTCCTGCCATGACTACAAGAGGTTTTGGTAAAGAAGAATTTGATAAAGTTGCTGGATTTATTGATAGAGCTGTTGAAATCTCATTAAACTTGAAAGCTCAAGAACAAGGGAAAGTACCAAAGGAATTACTTGCTTCATTCAAATCTTTAGCCAATGAAAGTTCAGAAGTCAAAGCTTTAGGTGAAGAAGTTGCCGCCTGGGTCTCAACTTATCCTGTTCCAGGAGATTTCTAAAGATCTATTCTATAATACTTATACATAATGAACAATTCTTAATTTCCTAAATTTGTACGAAATTTACGCGTGACCATTGGACTTGTATTTATCTTCGCGAAATTTATGCATAATTTGGCTGCGAACTTCTGTAATTTCATCTTTTAACCACTATCTCTTCACCTTCAGCAATGCAAGAATACATCGATAAACCGTTAGTTCAATCATCAATAGAATTTCTAATTGATGAGATAAACGAGGGGGGCGATTACAACCTCTTTGTTTATTATGATGATTGTGAAGCACAATGGAAAAGAAAATTAAATTCAAAAAGAATACTTAATTCAGCTAGTTCAGATGATGACGACTTGTGGTTAAATAGGTTAAAATTATCTTTCATTTTAAGTCGATTTCATTTAGCAGCCATAGCTAGACCTTCTATACTTGCGTTGGATAAACTGTATCTTTCTTCACATGATTTTGTTAAAGACTACGCCAAACTATCAGACTTAATACAGACGGAGATCCTTACATATATACACGGAAAGTATCGTTCAAGTATTCACTTTAGGTACTTCCGCTTTAAACTAAATTCAATATTTAAATTATCCAGTTCATTTTCGGTTCCTTTGCCTTTAACTTCCTACAAAAGTAATTATTCTAGTTTAATAAATAACTACAATCCAACAGTATTAGACAAATATTGCCTAATTCATCCTAATTTAAATGATGTTCTGCTTAGAATTACACAGGACTTAATGATTAACTTTAAATTAGATATAAAGAAAATAAATGAAAATGGATATGGAAATAACTATTTCAGTACATCTCGGTATGACATGATGATGGCAGCTGAGCAAGCTATCGAACCTATTTTGGAATATTTCAGGCCTTCAGTTGGAAATTTCTCATTTGAAAGAGAAGATTACCATAATAATTTGTCAATACCGAATTATACTATCTGTTTCGATAAAGATAATGTACGACTTAGGATTCCTATAGAATTTAGGATTAAAGGTATTAAAAATGTAATCGATCAGGGAAACGGAAATTCAATCAATCAAATATTGATACAAGTGAGTTATCAAATGCTTGAAACAGCTTCAGACGTTGCTTTAATAATAGAAAACGAGTTTATAATTGTCTTAAAGATAACCCATGAAAATTATAATAGCAAGATAAATGTTTCAAGAATAGGAAATGATCTTGTTTATCCAATTAATTTCGATTTTGCTATTTTTGAACATGGATCAAGGGTCAGTTTGACAGCAATCATGGCAACGATTATTAATAGCCGAATGGTCAATATTGATCAAGATATTAATGTCAAAATGGAAAAATTAAGATCATGGGTGCAAAAGGCTGATGTTGAAATAAAACGTGATGATAATGAAAGATATAAAATTGTCGAAGACTTCTATAAAGTAAACTTTAAGAAATTTAAATTTAACAAAGTAAAGAAAGAGTATAAAAACTCTGAATTTGAAATCCCTAAAGCTTATCATATTCGCCTTCGTAACTTGGAAAATTCTTATAGAACTATTCCAGAACGTCAATTTAAAATTGTATTAATTCTCCAAGATGTTACAGAGAAGACGAGGGATCAATTTAATTCTCAAGTCGTTTTAGTTCGCTATATTGGTCCTGGAGTAAATCACAATAAGTTATTTGTTCTCAAGGTTTATAATCCTGTTTTTAGAAGGAGTTCAGAATCATCTTGTCAAAATGAATTAAATAAAGCATTAGTATTTGCATTAACCATGCATCAGAGAGAAATTGATGCTTTTAAAATCTTGACAAAGGAAAACCCTCAAGGAATATCCATGTTAGTTCCAAACAGTACTGAACATAACAATGGATATATACCATATATCTTAGATTATGGATATTTAAAGTGGAAAAGTCCACTTATTGGATATTATATTTTAGAGCAATACCTTGCAGAAGATACATCAAGGATAACCAAAGACGAAGCTTGGATATTGGCTGAAAGGGCCCTTAAATACCTCCATAATAAAGGGTTATTACATGGAAATATTAAAAGATCCCATATAATTTATGCTAATGGTCAAATCTATTTTATAGATTTTGGTCAATGTAGATTATCCAAGTTTAGCTATGATGAATATAATATTGACTTCGAATTGGCTAAGAAATTCGAAATGGATACATTGAAGAGAATAATCGATAATGAATGGTAGTTGTCTAGTTAAATCCTATAAAATTAAATTCAATAAACTTGTAAAATCATTGAACCCTTAGGTTGATTAGAAATTATTCTTTAATATGAGAGATATTGCCAATATAATTCCAACTTTTGAAAATAGTAAGACTATTGCATCATTAACATTACTTGATCGTGAACAATTCCTTAATAGTACTTTAGTTAAATCACCAAAGAATTACACTTTATCTCATTTTAAAGATAATGAAAGTCCAATTCAACAATTATTACATTCTTCAAATAATGGACATCATAATAAAGAAGAATTATCAACTAGTTATAGTACTAATACTATTAAAGAAGAAGATGAAGAAGAAGATATTGATGTTAATGATGCATTATTTCATATGGAAAAAAATGATTCAGAGACTAAAGTTGAAACTCCAAACTTTTCTAATGATTCATTTCAAATTATTAAAGAAAAGCCAACTAGAATTAGAGTCCATGAAGTTTCCAATGGTGTCCTTTTGGTTTAGATTCCTTGTATTTAGATTTGCTATTATTATATTTGCAATAGCTATATATTTTTATTTCTACTATTATTATTTTTAATGTTGTGTTTTCTAGTTTATTCTAGTATTAGTATTTTTGTTAATGTATCTATCTTAATATTGTATAAACCATTTGTAAAATTAATTATGTTTAAGAAAACGTTAGTTTTACTATGTAAATAAGGATAAGGATAAGGATAAGGATAAGGATAACTTTATTTAGATATTAAATGCAGGCTTATTGATTGGGCTATAGAATATTGTAGAAATGATGTAATAGTTTTAGCTAATGTTTGGCTTAAGTTCAAACAAGCTGTTTTCAATATTTTTAGCTCTAACCTTGCCCATCATGTAAGAATACAATTGGCCCTCATCTGGATCTCCTGCTGGTATACCAGGTATATCTGGAGCACCAGGATATAAATAGTACACGACTTTGGTTACAATATATATATAAATAATTACAAACTTCTTCCACTAATTTATAAAATAGTAACTGTGTAACGATATATGCAAGTCCCCCATATTTATACTTTTGCCAAAGTGGAGAGAAAACTTTTCAGTCAGCGTGAATGAACATCCAATCTCGTACCAGTATTATTATGTGTAATTAAACTTGCAGCCAAATCTACCACAACGTAATCTTAGGTCGTTTCCGGCTCAAATATTTAAACAGGTGACTTTTTACGCGCGCACTACTACCCGAAAAGGTAGACTTTGGAGGGTAGAACAAAAAGGCTCCTGTTTTCTTCGCAGTCTAACATCTTTTCGCAGCTTCTACCTGGCAACTATCAATAAAGTATTACTACTAAATGGCACCAGCCATCACCAGCCAATTTTATTCATTGTCAAGCATTTTAGGCTCTCGTCATCTTAGTGTGACTCCTCAATTATGATCTGGATGATTTTTAGTTGAATCAATTCCTTTCTCTCAACATGACCTGCTATCTGGTTCACGATAGTAGAATCAATCAGTAAATCATTTTAGTATCCATAATTACAATTCATAATTACAATTCGTAGTATATATTGATAACTAAACTAGGAGTCTACGTGGTATATAAACTAAACTTATTTTTGAAACCTTACGAGCATGTTGATTTAAGATTGAACTTTTTTTGGTGAGGTTCCTGAGAGAGGAACGGCAGCGGCTATATTTTGAAATTTCAACTACTCTACTCTTCTCTTCTAAAACACGTTAAAGATTAACAACAAAATGAATATTTTCAGTCTGATCAAGAAAGTGGTTAAGGAATCAATCCCAGGATTCTTATACATCGTTGGTTTAGCTGCAAGCCAAATTTCTGATTCTTTTCAAGTTATTTTCCCTAACAAGGTGTGGGAGAGGGTCAATAAAATACTATTGATTATATGTGGATTCTTAGGTATCGGAGCTTATTTCATTGAAAAACGTCAAAATCCAAATGATTTAAATGATCTCAGACAACATTTTAATGTTGCTAATGAAAATTCCGTTATATCCAAAGTGACACGTTATGATCCCTATTTGAGTGAAACAAATCAACGCTCATTGATTAATAAAGTGGATGGATTAGAAAGAGATGTTACTAATTTAAAGAGGTAAATGGATACCGTATATGATCGGCTTGGAATTCCATTGGAGTTGGATCCAGTTCCAGTTCCAGTTCGAGCTCAACAATAAATAATCCAGCTTATGAACATGAATTAGTTTATGGTGATTTAGATGATTTAGAAGATCAAGAAATTGCTGTTAATATTGAAGAATTAGTTGAAGAAGGTTTCTCTTTCTTTGTTGGTCACTCTGTTAGGTTTATTTTCACTTAATGCTGAATATTTTATCAAGCCCAAACTACACAGTAGAAAACTCAAATTGATGCAAATCAGGGTAACTTGTTTGCCGAGATGATACAAATTAGCCGACAATCATTCCAAAACCAATATTGATAGAGATTCTAATATTTAATTCAGCAATTAAAAAATTGATACTAAGACTTGTTAGTATTTGAGATAAACATAATGTATAATTAATTTCAGTACGGCCTCAATAGATTAAAGCCGATATACAAATGTCGTACTAATTCCTGGATTTAAGGCAAACTCTACAAGACTTGCTATAAATTTCATCAAAGTAACTATAACAAAATTCCGTTAATTAGATAGAAAACCTGTATTTATGGGATTTTTCGGGTCTAAATGATACTGTATAAATATACGGTAAAGCCTACGAAATGTACTTAGATTTATATAGAATTATGCAATATACTTAATGTAAAGACAAGAACGATTACTTGGCTAAAGTCCACCTGTAGCATTGTTATGGTATTGGACCTTAAATGGTCATCTACCGTGCCAACATAGGCACCAAGGTTGGCCTAAATTGGCTAATCAAGCTTTAGGTTGATTAGAACTTACACGGAAATAGGTTGCCACACGACAGACGGAATGACTGCATATTAATTGTTGCCAAATATATAGAGTAAATAGTTGCGAAAAAGGGCAAGAATACCATCGCATAAATTAATTCATTACCCCTAAAACTACAAACTACATCATTTCCTACGAGCTTTCTTCTTATTTACAAATATGAAATATTTAGTATTATACAAGTTGCTTGACTTCATAATTACTGACAGGATAACATGCTTAAATTCCTCCGTACTGTTGCCCAAAATAGCCTCCAGCTTGGAATCTTTGCCTGATGAAATTTTGACGCAAATTATAGACCACTTGAACCAACTCGATGTACTTGACCTCAGTCTTGTCAACTCAAGATTACACCTGCTATGCATGAATAAATTATACAAGAGAAAATTAAGTTTTATGCTGCCTGACGGTGCCATCATTCATCGGAAATTGAATACATTTACACATACAAATTTCTCAATAGATAATTCGGGATTATTCCAAGATGTGAAATTTAGAGAATCAGTTTTTTTGGCGTTTATAAATTTTAATACTTGTAATATAGATAGATACGATAAATTGAAAGATTTGAACTATTATGTCTACAATTAAATCACAGCTACGTTGATCAGATAAAGCAAATGGCAAATAAACTAGGAAACATAAGAAACGTGGAACTTTTATTAAATGAACCAAACATCATCAGGGTACTACTGGAATTACAGGGAATATTTCCAGGAGTAAGATCTTTAGCTTTCAATATTTCTACTGAAAGCCAATTTCCTTTGCATTCAATCCTACCATTATTTTGTCCTGAAAAAATCAAAGAAATTCAAATACGCACTAATAGTTGTTACTTACATGAATACTTCATAAATTTGATAAAATTATTCCCAAATATAGAGACGCTTATCGTGAATTGCATGACAAGATTCCTTTCAAATGAATCTTTGCAACTGTTGTCTAATACTCGCCTTCAGAAGTTTAGTCTATCTGTTGACTATGCAATACCGCGGGTTCACTACTATATTGGTTTAGCCAAGGACTTGCTTAAGAATTGTGGTTCGACTCTTCAACTTGTCAAGTTTAGCACGTGTCCATCAACATTTTTAGTAATCGACTTGTTTTATGGCCCAAAGGTAAATGACTATAAAGAAGTCAAGCAACACATTAGAAGCTTAGTAGACTGGGTAAAAGAAAGATTACATGAATATCCAAGACTACAATATTTCACATTTTACAATTATCTGTTCTTTATAGACAGACAAGTAGAGCCATGTCAATGGATTGAAATCAGTGGATGGGAGTTGTGAAATCCATGCAAAATTCTTCAGTATAGTATCAAAGCTTTTTAACTTAGAATGAAAAATCACAGACATACATTCTGTATGGAGAAGTAGAAGTAATCAGAATTTGTATTATACACCTTTAACCATCACTATAACCACGACCCCTTAAAGTGTTCCTTACTCAAACTACTTAGAATTTTCTAACCATTTTAGTATTACTGAACGGGATAAAAGGAATGATGGCACGCTATCTACAGAATTTACAACCAACTTAGATGAGTTTAACCCAACCGGATCAAAAGAAAACGTCAAAGAAGTAAAAATTGAATTGTTATATAAGCTAATACATCTTAGAAGATAATTGTTTAGAGATAAATCGAGATGAACCATTAGGAAAAGGCTCTAATGGTTTATTAGGTAATACATATAATTCAATTAGTGTGCGCAAAACAAAGACTTATCGCGAATAATCTCTATTTTATGCTGCAAAAAGATGTTTTAAACGAACCTTTCTATAACACTGAATCTTTGTAGAATCTACCAATTCAATACATTTAAATCTAGATTAGAATTTTATTAATTTCATATCTGGAAACTAGTAGTCAAAAAAAAAATGCAATTCAATAATCCCAATAGTCGGGTCTAGATTGCCTGTACACTTCTATGCGATATTACGTACCCAAACGTTAGAATTCAAAATCTCTCAATTGAAAAAGTTCACATTATGTTGTTTAATCGTTTTTCTAAATATGCTTATATCCAAAGAATCATTAAATCATGCTGGTTGAGTCTTGGCCCAAAGAACTTATGATCAATGAAGATCTCATTAAAAAGTCGATTGAATCTCTGGTTAAACATTACAGCGACCCTACGTTTCTACTTTTAGACGAGAGACGAGACTCTGAGGCAATTAAAAATTGGGAGGCAGAGCTTGAAGAGTTGAAGAGAGAAATCCATGCTTGCAAATATGGTAGAGTGTATAAAAATAGAATAAGATTGGCGTTCTTACTTACATGTTTCCCTTTTATAAGTTTAAGGAATAAGGAATTAACATTGGATCGCTTATATACATCGTCTCCTCAGTTTGCTCAAGACTTAGAAGTTATGAGCGATAAAGTTTTGAGTCGCATATGTCGTTATTGTCCAGTTGATTATTCTAACTTTGTTGAAAATATATTCTTCCTGACATGTTTCTTAAGATTTCCATTTCGCTCCCAACAGCGTGTTCCTTACTCAAAATACTTAGAATTTCCTAACCATTTCGGTATTACTGAAAGGGATAAAATGAATGATGGTGATACTCTCTCCATAGAATTCACATCCCACATCGACGAATTTTACCCCAAACTTCATATTCAAGCAAAAAAGCTTGATGATCCTGATTTAGAACTGATGATTAAGGACCTTAAAATTGATGTACACACAATAAAACGAACGGGATATTTCCTTGCTAACATTGGAGTTGGAGGAGGGAGCATTAGTACAGATCCATATGTTGCATTTAAATATTGTTTTTTCAGGCCCATCACAAAGCTATTAAGTTACTACTATCCAACTTTTGATTGTGAACAAACTCATGGAATAGAACTATTTCCTACAGTTCAACCACCTACCTTTAGTTTCACAACCGATAACCATAATGTGCCTGTAATTATGAGATATGCGGGCTTACATAAAAATTTCAATAAAGCTAAAAGACATAAAGATATATTTTCAGTGTCTGTAGATGTTAGACGACTTGTCAATGAACTCTTATATCTGATGATATACAGCCGGTCATTAATGGGATTTGCGCTTGATGTAGATTCTGTATTAGTGATAAGAATATTATCATCCAAAGTAGTTGATACTGTAGTGAACCCTAAAGATGGAACCATTAGCAAGGAATTAGATTACGAAGTATTTTTATTGGATCACAGCCTCCATTATCCAATGCTTGGCCTTATCTTGAGTGCTTTCCTCGATAATTATTTTAAGACTACTGCTTCCAACTCTGTTGAAATCACTAGAGAGATAAGAAGAAAATTAAGAAGTGAGTCTGAAGAACTCGAAGCTTCCAGGCAAAGTAAAATAGAATTTGTTAAAAGACAATACCTGGAACAGTTTGACTACGTTGATCCCGCGGTAGGAGGGTTTTCTAATAAAGCGTTCCCAAGCTTGTTCATAAAGGCAGAGTATTATGACAAGGTATGGGCTCTTCAATTAGTAGAGACATTTACTTCCTCAGATTTTGAAATAGCGAAGGGGCTGACCTTGATCGACAGAGAGGATATCGTACATACATTCAAAGGTGAATTAGATGGTAGAAGTGGCACTTTATATGTGTACAAAGTATCGTATATCCACGATGAAAATGAAGACTTTTACAAGTTGGTTTCAATATCTCTTAATCGATTTTTAAGCCATGTGGTAGAATGTATTTCCAAATTTGGTAAGTATAAGAAAGACTGGTTTAACATTAAGTACTTTGATACTGTCAATGATAGTTTCCGATGTGCTTATTATGAACGCGAGGATATAAGTGGATTTTCTTTACTACTATTTTACGATGCGGAGGAGCTTGATGAAGATGATAAAATTGAGGAATATAAAGGTGATCCACCGGACTTATTTGGCAATGGGATCAAAAAGAAGCGTCAAAAGTTGAAGTGAAGAATTTGTAAGGGTACATTTCTAGTTTTGGTATATACTTGCTGTTTTATTCTTTACGCGTCTCCTCTATTATTTGGTTTATAGCACAGTATAACTCTAATGTACGGCTATGGAAGTGTTCAACCTTCTTGTATATTCAAAACTATAATAACTTATGGTTCGCTACTACATGGAGTTTTTAATGGAAGTATTTTGATTATATATTGCGGCATGGAGTTTATGGGTGAACGCACTAAAATGGCTGCCACTATGCGACTTAATTTTTCAAATCTCACTATACTCCAAATCTCACTATAACTATTCTGTGTCTTCAACTATTAACACTATTTGTTCATTCTGTCAGTAATTCACATTCCACATACACATACACATACAATGATTACTCTGCAGGGACATTTGTCACGGCTGTTTCCTTCTAACTCAAAGGGTACGGATCTTATATCATGGTCTAAGAATGGATTTATAGCTTATTCTACTCCAATTCAAGGTTCAAAGGATAACCTTTATATTAGTTATCTTGAAAATATTAATGGAAGATCATGGCAATTATCCAAACCTCAATCAATTAGTATTAAACTTGAAAATAATTTTTTACCTGAATTATCTTTAGTATCATGGAGTAATTCAAGTACAGATTTAGCCATATCAGATATTTATGGAAATTTTTATATATTATTGGCGGGAATTGGATTACTTGATCTTGGACTGAAGAATATTAATCCTGAGACTTTACCAAATAATTATCCAAGTTATGAAATAACTTCTTATAATCATATGGAAATGATTTATCGAGATATTATAAATCAAGATGATACATCTCATGTTAATCCTGGTGCAACATTTGTTGCATTTAAATGGTTAAATTTAGAAAAACCTCAAATTATTAATAAACCTGCAACTCTTAATCAAGAAACTAAGAAATCTTATAATTATGAAGTTAATCAATTTCAACCTCATGGAGTAACTCATCCAATATCAACTAAACAAGCTTGTGTATCATTACGTCAAAATGGTCAATTTACTCTTTATTATCAAGGTGAACATAAAGTTGAATATCATAAACTTTCAATTGATTTAAGTGATGAAGTTTCAGTAATTTCAAAAGCATCAATTGGATTTACAAATGATAAACAAATTATTACTACAATTTTTGATTCAATAACTAAAAAGATTTTAATTTATAAAATTACAATTGATTGGGGATTTTTAGTAGATTCAGCTAAAAGACAAAAAGTTGATCCTCATTATCATACTCCAAAGGAAGAACAAAAGAAACCTACATTATCAGTTCGAAAAATTCATGAACTGGAACTTGTACAAACAAATATATTTGATGATGATAATGATAATGATGGTGATGAAAAAATGGATATTGAAATTGATCAATCATTATCAAAATATAAATTTGGTCAATTAGCTTCAATTGATTTATTATCAGCTTTTGCTGAACCTTCTTCTGAATTAGATATAATTATTAGTTATTCATTTGAAAATGAATTTGGTCAATCTATTTCAAGTTTATTTCGTTATAATTTAATTGATGAACTGTCATTAATATCTGATGCATTTGGAGAATTAGGTTTACGTAAAAATATTACTACCACTACAACTTCAACTTCAACTTCACCTTCAACTAATAAATCTAAATTAGTTCTTAAAGATAAAATTACTCGATCAGGAAGAATTCAAAGTATATCAACTGCTTCTGCTGAATATTTTATGTTAATTTATTATGAAAATGGTCATATTGATGTAATCGATCGTACAACTATGAAGATTGTTAATGATAAACATATTGATTCAATAGATCCACCTCCAAATACTATTTGTAGTATATTTGATGTAGGATTTAGATTTCCAAAAGTTGAAACTAAAAATCCATTAATATTGATTGCTTCACCAAATTTAACTTCATTTGCATATACAGAAATTAATGGTAATTCGATTAGTTTAACGTTAAAAGTTGTTGAAAAGGAAGCTCATTTAGGTAATTCAGAATTAGAATTATTTATATCATCAGTTGCATTTGCTTTCCGTCATGGTTATGCTTGTTATACAAATACATGTTCTGATGATATAATTGCTCTTATACAAACTGAATTAGTTAGATTAAGTAGTATAAAAATTGAAGATTCAACAAAATCTTCATCAGTTATTAGTCAAACATTTATTGAAAAAATTATAACAGAATCTCATCGAGCAATTAATTTTCATTTAGATGGATTTAGTAAAGATTCAGTTGATAAATTATTATCAAGTCCTCCACTTCAAAAATTATTATCACTTCAATTAGTTCTTGGAGATTTATTAACTGATAATCATATAGTTAGTGATATTGCTTGGACAGTTTTAAATTTAAGAAGTACAAGTTTTGGTATAATGTTTCTGTTATCAAGTATATTCCGACAAATTTCTAAGAAAAAACCTTCTGAAGATAGTTTACAAGATTCAATAACAAGAGGTGAAAGTATAATATCATTAATTGGGAATTTTAAATGGTTAATTGATTTATTAGTATATATAAATCAAGAATTATTACAATTAGCTTATTCAAAGAATAATCCAGGAAATAGTAAACTTAATATTCATAATTCAATTGCTTTACCTCTTATATTAAGTAAAGTTCCAAGACTGTTTCTTATTTATGCTTTATCAACTATTGGTAAAACTCATGAAATGTTAAAGAAATTACATCGAGAATTAGCTGAAGCTAATAAATTATTTAGTCCAATGAAAGAATCATTAAGCAGATATTTTACTATATGTAATAATTCACCATTAACATTAAATTTATTTGAAAATTATCTTCGAGAATGTGATGCATTAATAAGTAAAGAACAAAGTATTAGAATGGCCGGTAAAGAAGAAGGTTATGCATTAATGGTTGAACAAAAATTAGTTTGTCAAGGACAACTTACTGAAGATATGGAAAGAGTTGGGAAAATTTTAATTGATAGACATGCCGTTAATATTAATCGAGATATGAAAGTTTCTGATTTATACTTTTATGATGTTGACTGGCTCAATATTGGAATTTATAGATATGAAAAAAAGAGTGATCTTATATCTCAACAAGTAATATATCTGTATCCTAATTTAAAGGATACAATATGTCCAAGATTTCAATATTCTGAAAAGGAATGTATTGATGTATTAAGAAAAGTGGTTATTAGTTTAAGTGAGAATTCTCTTAAAACAATTCAAACTAGTAATAATTCCAATAATAATAAATCTAAGAATAATAGCAATGGGAATAGTAATAGTAATAAATTAAGAAAATGTACTAGATGTCGAGCTATTTCATTAGTTTCAGATCCTCTAGTATTTGGAGCTCCAAGTACAATTGGATTATGGACAATGGTATTTCAAAGAACTTGTATTTGTGGTAGTGCTTGGGTAAATGTTGAAGTTTAAACCGTCAAATCATTATATTATTAGAGTTTATAAATATATAAATATATATAATATATATAATATATAATATTAAAGTATTGTTAATTTTATTCTTTTGATTCTAATTGATTGTCTTGAGCAATTCTGGCCTTTTCTTCAGCCTGTGCCGCATCTTCTTTAGCCTTTTTTGCAGCCATCCATTTCATAAGAAATGGCATAGCGGCATTACTAATAATGATCCATGCAAATAAGATTCCAAGATTTCTACCCATATTCCCCTTCCAAGCATTAAAATAAGCTACATGCATTAAATCATAAGAATTTCTAACGGGGATTGCATAACCATAACGATAAAAATCAGGACATAAAACTATGGGAGATACCGTTGGAGAAACATTTATAACTGCCATAAATAATAATAAAAATCCAATTAATTGAGGTTTAACAGCAAATAAAAATAATACTGTTACTTCAATAATACTACCTAAAGCTGCCATAGTTAAATAAGCAAATGACCAAATAACTAAAAATCCCAGATTCCCAAATGTTTTATTATATTTAAATCCAAAGGCTCGATTTAATGTTACATATGCAAGGGCTAATACCAAATAAGCCACATGAGATGAAAGCATTCTATAAGCCACATATTTAAATCCCTTAATTTTTGAAGCAATATACATATGAACTTTAATTTGCATTACAAATTGGAAAAAACTAAATATAACCAAATAAATTAATCCAATTTGTAAAGGAGCTTGAACAATTTGATTAGGTACTGGAATTAAATCTACCGATTGAAAAGTTGGTATAGTTGTTAATAATGATGGAGCATTTTGAATAACATTTAATCTTTGAGAAGAATTTAATGATTGTAATAAATCTTCAAATAAAGGAGTTTGAGGAGTATAAGAATAATAACCTTGAATAATATTATGTAAAACAGTTACAATATAATTATTTACTGCATTATAATCTCTACCAGTTTCATATACAACTTGTAATAAATCATTAGGAGAAAAATTATCAGTTGAACCTTCAACTAATGCTTCATACCATCTTAAAGTTGAATTTGGAGTTATATAAAATGCTGCCCAAAATTGTTGATGATGAATTGTTCTATATACTTCTTCAGTTATAGTATTATTATGAGAATTTGCTAATTGAGAAATCTTTTCATAATCCCATAAATGATAAGTTCCTACTGCTTGAATTGCTGTTAAATTAAAAAATGATTCAACTACTGGTCCAACAATAGCTGGTAATTGACCTATTTGATTATCAGCATTTATAATTACAAAATTTAAATTTTTAAATCTTGCAGTACGATTATAATATGATCCCCAATAAATACAAAGAGCTATTGTAAATCCTAATATAAGAAATAAATAATTATTACCATAAGTTAAGATTATTTTTATTCTATCAGCATGAAATTCTTTATCCCAAAATCCTAATTTAGTAGTGACAGCTTGAATGGCTGATACAACTGTGCTTCTTCTTCTTTGTAATGGTGCACCACTTGGACGTCTTGATAAATTATTTGAATTATTAGCTCCACCAAATATTTGAGGAAATTCTTCAATATCAGTTGGATCTTCTTCTTCTTCTTCATCAAATGATCGTCTTGAAAATGATTGTTTAATTTGATCTTGTCCAAACCATTCTTCATTTGTATGATGTCTATCTCTTAAATCAAGATAATCATAAGCTTCTTCTGCTACAATACTTCTTCTTATACTTGATTCATCACTTCCAATAGGTCCATTAAAATAATCTGATGCAACAGTAGATATTCTTCGAAGTAATGAAGGTTGTCTTCTATTATGTTGTTGAAGTTGTCTCTTTGTGGCTTCATCAAGTTGAATAGGATCATTATCATTTATTTCATCATCTTCTTCATTTTCATCCGATGGTTCATTAGTAGCTAATGATGATAGAGTCGATAACGAATGGATATCCTCCTCCTCTTCATTGTTGTTACTCATGGTGGTATTGTATGAATGTATTCTATGCTTAAGTACTAACTAACTAACTAAATAACTAGTAGCCACTAACTCTTAAGTACTAACAATGCTTAGTTATAATAATAACAAATGGGCTTCGGCTTTCCATGTACGGAACATTTCCATGCGCAGCTTCCCCGAAAAATCATCTCATTGATGTCATCTCACAACAACTGTAATCAGTAACTACTAGCGAACAATTAAATACTAACTAATAACTAACTAATAACTAATAACTAATAATTAATACTTTATAATAATATATCCTTAGTCATGGCAAAGTCAAACGATAAGGAGTGTAATGTGGATCCATTGGATTCAAATAATGGTGATGAAGATGGCATATACGATGATAGTCCTCCACCACCATTAGATTATTCTATACCTGAACGTATGACAGGAGCAGAACATGCAGCAGCTACAATTAATAAAGGACATATAAAACATAAAGATCCACAAGATCAACAAGTACCCGAATCTAAACAAGGCCAAGACAATAACAAAGACCAAGACCAAAACAAAGACCAAATGGCCAATGATACTAATAGTAATTCAAGAACATCTCGCGATAAATGGTTAGCAAGAGGTAAGATTGCCTTACAATTTTTATTTAATTATATTAAAATCTTTTGTATATTTACGGGGATTTTATCAATATATTGGGCAACATTTTATAGAAGACAAGATAGATATATTCATTTTAATATGTTACTTATAACTCAAGATGAAGAATTTACAAATATTAATGGTACAATAATTCCACCATATTTATCAAATGCATTTATAGATATGATAACTCAAGATCCTCAAGTTACAGAATTAGGAACTTGGGATATTATACCTATTTCAAATTTTACAATTCAAGCTCAAAATCATAATAATACTGTAGAAGAAGAAGTTATTCGAGTTATTCATCATCAAAAATATTGGGCAGGAGTTTATATAAGTCCCAATTCAACAGAATTAATTTATAATATGATGATAAGTGCCAATTATTCACAAGTTTTAAAAGTTCCTTATTTAATTAATGTTATTTATGAATCAGGAAGACATTATTCTGCACTTAGTCAATATGTTACAAGAAATTTAGCATTAATTGAAGATAGTTGGATTGTTAATCATACTTCACCAAAAGTTTATGAACCATTAATTAATCAATATTTATCAATAAATCAAAAGGAAAATTTATTAACTAATAATAATACTTTATCAATATTAGCTATGAAACCAAATTTTAATTTAATGGATCAAAGACCTGCCCCATCAGCAGCAGTCTTAGGACCATCAGAATTAGGATTAATTTATGCTCAAGTCTTTTCATTTCATCAATTTAATTTCTCATTAGAAATTTATGCATATATTAGAACTCGATTAAAATATAAACAATATATTATATATAGATTTATTGCTGCCCAAATTAATTGTTTAGTATTATCTTTAGTATATGCATTAATTACAATTGCATTTCAAGTACCAGTTAATATTGCTTTTGGACATTCTGGATTTATGGTATTATGGATGATTATGTTTTTATTTATTTCTGCTAGTGGAGGTATTAATGAAAATGTTGTATCATTAATTCTTGCCTTTGATAAAAAAGTTTTATTAGCTCCATGGATGATTTTTAATATTGTTATAAATATTTCAACTACTTTTGCTCCATTTGTAATGATGCCAGGATTTTTTCATTATGGTTATGGATTACCAATGTATAATACTTATGAAGCATTAAAAATTGTATTTTTTAATACTTGGAAGGGACATTTAGGTAGAAATTTAGGAGTTTTAGTAATATGGATAATATTAACTAATATATTATTAATATTTAATGTTAGATGGTGTGATAGACGAGCTAAACGTTTAGCTGCTGAAGAAAAGAAGAAGAAAGAAGCCGATGCTACAGCTTCATCTACTAGTCCTATTGGTCTGCAAGATGTTAAAAATAGTTCATCAAGTAGTGATACAACTCAATAACCAAATAACTAACTAGTTAATTATAATTATCCTGTTTCATCAACCACATCAACTTTGGGAGTTAATTTCTTTCCATATTTTAATTCAGTTAATGATACAGATAAATTAGATTTCCAAATATTATCATCCGGTAAATCTTGTAATAAATTTGTTAATATATTTATCTTTAAATGATATAATTCATTATTAATAAATTGATTATTATTTGATATTAAGAAATCATTTAATATTGTTGGTAAATTATTAAATAGATATAATTTAGAATGATCATATTTAGATATTTCAATTAATATATCAAATAATCTATCAATTGAAAGTCTTGATAATGTAGAAGATTTTAAATATGTAGTTTCAATAATTAATTTATTAAATAATTGTGATGAACCAATAATATTTAATAAGATTGGGAAATATAATTTATTAGATAATAAACTTAAATTACTTATAATTTCTTCAAATATTTGAGGATTAAATTGAATTAATAATGATGGATTAAATTTTGATAATAATCTTAAATCACATGAATTATATTCATAAATCTTTAATAAATTATAAGATTTAATTAAATTTAATTGTTCAATTGAATTAATAAAAAATAAATTAATTTGATTATTATCTTTAGAATCTATATAAGATAATTTAATTAATATATTAATTATTTCATCATTAATATAATCTTCAAATTTTTCTTGTTGATAACTTTCAAATAATTGATAAAGTAATAATTCAATATTACTAAAGATATAACATGAATCATATGATTGACAATTTATAATTACTTTTGAAATTAATTTTTCATAGAATTGAATTAATAATATAAGGAATAATGGATCATGATTAAATTTATCAAATTTATAAGTATAATAATTTTTATTTAATGATTTCTCTTGATTAGTTTGTATAATAAATGGTATAAGTATTAATATAAAATCAAGAAATCTAGCTAATAATAATGTATCATTTTCATTAGCTCGAACTCGATCATATAATTCTGAATAATTAAGTATTTGATTTATATGATCAGTCAATTTATAATCAATTAAATTTTGTATAATCGATTCAATTTGATTAACTATCAGTAAATCTAATTCTTTATTAGTTAAATAAATTTCAATTAATTTATATAATATAGATGATTCAGAATTGATATTATTATTATTATTATTATTATTATTATTATTATTATTAAGAAATTCAACAGTATCTGATTCATTTAATTTATTATTAATTAATTGTAATATTAATTTATTAACAATTATATTTCTATTATTAAGTAAATTATCAACAATATATTGTGATGGATAGATGGCTAAAATGTCCGAAAATGAAAGAAATGAAAGAAATTTCTCAAGTAACTCAATAACTATTTGTTTAGGATCAATTTGATAATAATTTTCCTTTATTAGTAATTCATTTATTACTGTTAAAAACTCTTGTATGCCACTACTTGAACTGATTGTAGGTATAAACTTATCTATAAGATCAGAATTAACTGCATTCTCATTCCTAACACTAGACTCAAGATTGGCCAACACACTACTGGCCATGTCATCATATGCTATATCTGGCATTGTTTATATTGATTGGTAATTGTTATCCATCCACTTCATACACTCTTCACAATTACATCGCCACCAAAATATATTGAGCATTTTATTGTGCGCTACCACATGGCGAGACTAGTTCCATTCACGTGCAAAAGTAATAGTAATAATAGTAATACGTAACTATTACTTGATAGTAATTATGTCATAACTCTCATACTCATATTTCAAAATAAAGCTTAACTCACTTAACAGTTACAAAAGAAATAAAGTTTCTAATTATTATCGAATGCAAGCACATTGCTGCTGTTGATCGCCGAGTTGATGGCCGAAGTACATTAACAGATTTGAATCGTGCAAGACAACAACGTGCGGGCAGGATGCAAAAGATGAAACTCGCCATGATACTTTTGATATATTATCAGCAAAGTAAATGAATAAGGATAATGCATTATGCATGCAGGGTACTCAACAGAAAACTAAAAGTGTATGATAGTGTCATATGAAAATAGAGACAAAAATATGTTTGTCATAGGCATTTATCTAGTTTTTAATACCGAGTGTTGCAGATCTTAATAATGTAAAAATTGTACCTATATGTAATATAATCACAGTTCCGTTGATCCCTAACGGAAACAAAATTGTTTGACAGTATATATAATTTTAGTTATAGATGAAGGGTCAATCTTTATAATATTTAATATGTTTAAAGCATGCATAAATTGGGGTTATGTTAAGCATATATTCGAAATTTTCACATGTACCTAAGTACTAAAGCTATTTGATGGTACTTTATCGAGAAGTATCTTGGCTTAGGCTAACTCAACTTGCTTCTAATTATATTGTTGGGTTCATCGATGAGTATACTAGCTGAAATCTAAATTCATTTGTCAATTTCAATGGTTAATGGCTTCATAGATCTTAGACCTATGGAAAGGTAAAGAAAAGAAATCCTAGAGTTAAACAGTTAAAAAATAAATCAAATGAAATTTCCAAAATAGGGATGGTAATTGATTAATACTGCGCTATCTACATTGAAAATACTGTACGCAAAAAACAATAAAAGATAGACTAGAATATAGAAGGGTCCGTAAAATTGAACCCTTTACTTTTTATTATTAAATTAGCATAATGATGGAATTGCGTTGTACTTTATTTTAGCTGTATGTACCGCCTTTTCAAGCAAAAAAAAAAAGTTCTGCGTAGAAGGCTATTCCATACATGTACATGCGACATCTCACCTTGTTTCTAATACATAATCGAATTCCAAGTACAATATAGATATTATTATAGAAAAGGATAACTAATGGCTTAAATAGGTGAAAATGTTTCGTAGTCATATGTGATTAACATAAAAATCTATGTACATTTCTGTATATCTACGTTAAACAAGATTCAATGTATACTTGTAAAAGCAAAATATTAATTCCAAGTTTACTAGCACATGGTATAAAGCAAGGAGTTATTTACAAAAAGAAAAGTGTAATAACACCTCAGTGGTTCGCCTCGAGAAATATTTGTTTTAGAAGGGAAGATAAGAATGAGTTGTTCAAGGAACAGAATTCAATGTTAAGGGATCTTACAGCCTCAAAATCAAAAAATAAAATAGAAAGTTTTGGTGTTTTCAAAATCTAAAATATGAAGGTTTAAGTTAAATAAGTTCGGTCATAGAAGGGTAGAAAAAGATAATATAGTTCACCAATTGCAAAAATTGATATTCAATGAAAATCCTTTTCAATTACCCCTCGATAAAAGATTGTGGTCTAAGGGAACAACTTACTGCTTCAGTTACAGTTGTATAATCGACTAATAATTCTTTTGTGTAAGTAATGTGATTGTTGTAGTGGGTAAACTCTCTAAAATTTATGTGCGCCCGGAAATAAATAAGAGAGATTGAATAAACTAAGTTTGTGATATGCTTTTTATTTAGATGCACTTATGTCGGATCCCGGAATGATGGTTTATGATCTTATACATGTACATCTCAACTAGAGAGAAAGAAAGAAAGAAAATGAATAAACCGTTAATTATAGAATGCATAATATCATGCAATCTGTTATTCTATTAATGATAGAATGAATAATATGATGTAATCTACTATTCTATTAAAGATATAATAAATAGAATAGGGATGATCTGTACTTCTGTAAAAAAGTTGTATAACTGCCTCCTTTCACCTTGGGGTAGCGGAACTAAAGTAGGTTATCAAGCCCGAAATAGTTTATATCATATGAATAAAAAAATGCAGAAATTTTTTTACCTTTCTGCAGATAACTGCTCATAGAAATTGTGTGGTTTTGCAATAGTTTAAATTATTTCCTAATCCATTAAATTAAATTTTATTTTTTCAAATTTATCTCTTTCAATTCGTTTAGCTGTTTTATTTTTTTTTTCTTATTTTTTATTATTTTAATTTTTTTTAAATTCGTCTTTGCATACTCAATTTACAGTTAATGCTTCCATTAATCATATAAAACCGAAGGACAGATTGCTCAATTCCAACAAATTTGTAAAATTTGTACATTTCATATATTTTAAATTTTCTAAGGTACTATTGGTTTAAGAGATTGTAATTTGTTTCAACGGTTAAGAGAATATAATAATCGTCTATCTAAACAATAACAACACGTCTTAAAGGGCCCTCAGAAAAAAAAATAGTTCAATAATTTTTCTGGCGGAAAAAGAAATATTACTCGAACAATCGTCAATTTTGAAACGTTACAATTTAGTTTAACGACTATCGTCAAGTTGGCAGGACCAAATCAAAGCGAATCAAAAGTTTAAAGTAACACCCCCTGATATTATCATTCGTTAATTTTGAGGAGTTTTCATACTTTTACATTCTCCAATTGTTCACTACTAAAGTTGATTTCTACTTAAATCAATAATTTATTGTCTTAAAGTTTATTCCAATTTGGAAGATTGTTGAATTTCTTAATGTCTGGTTCCCCAAGTTCTTCTCCTGAAACTTCTGTATCTATGGTATCAGCTGTCTCAGATTTGAATACTCATACTTCTGTTACAATATCAACCACAAAAGATATCATTCCTTCTAATTCACCAACATTTGATAATTTTGGTGGGTTTAATCAAGAAGATAATAATAAAGAAACAAATATCGAAGAAGAAGAAGAAGAAGAAGATAATAATATGGATAGAGTAAGACATATTCTGAGGCACCTCAAACATTCCTCAAACACATCTAGTGTCACTATTCCAAGATCAAGTCAAACTTCATCAACTTCAAGATCTAACTCAGTTCCTCCTCCTTCTACTACTACTAGTGCTACTACTGCTACTACTGTTTCACCTATTCGTAATAATAATCAAACCAGTCACATAAATAATCAATCTCATACTCAATCAAGTCCTACTCATACTACTTCAACTGGAAATTTGACTCCTCCAACCACTCCAACTCATTCTATTCATTCTATTCACTCTAAAGAAGTTAAAGTTTCTCCACATAATGATGAAGATGATTATAGATTGATTGCCAAAAAGTTATTCAATGAAACTTTTATATCTATTCAACCAGAAGAATATACTCAATTCTTAGCAGGAACTGATGATGATAGTGAAAAAATTAGAGATTATTATATGGATTTATTCCATTGGAATATAAATATCCTTTCATCTATTCGTACTTTATGTGCAAAATTATATTTAAAGGGTGAATCTCAAGAATTAGATAGAATTTTAACCTCATTCACTAAATCTTATTTAAAGCAATTCCCTAATAATAATTTTTATACTTCAAATTTCGAACAAATTTATATTGTCATTTATTCAATCATTTTATTAAATACTTCATTACATAACAATTTAGATTTAAAGAAAATTAGTCAAACTGATTTTATTAAAAATACTTTAACAACTTTTATACAACAAGATAATTCTATGAAATTATCAATTAAACAAAGAATTGTCATTGAACAAGAATTATCCAAGATTTATGATGATTTATTAAAGAATGAATTACATTTAAAAGTTGCTGAAGATAATAATAATGCTGATAAGACCAATTCAGATGCTGGATCCATCTGGTCAACTGATACTAATAATGCAAATAATCAACATTCTACTATTTTATCTACTGCTGAAAAGAGAATTTCAATGGTTTCTAAAAGATTATCATCAATTTCTGGTCCATCACAAACCAATTCAATTTTTGGAGCTAATTTAAGTAATTTAACTGTTAATACTGCTAAAACTGTAACTCCAACTGTTGCTTCTGCTGCTACTAATGTTACAAATAATACTGTTGCAAGAGGTGGTTTTAGATCAGCTCTTATGACTGATCAAGCCATGAAAGGTTTAAGAACTCGTGCATCTTATGACCATTTAAGAACAATGCATAGTGGTCAACAACATGGTTTATATAGAAAATCTTCAAGATCTTCAATAATAAGTCGTGAATCAAATGGTTCAGGTTATGGAATTGATGGTGATGATAGTATTTCAATGATTTCAGTTGAAACTAAATTAAAACAAATTTTGAATGGTACAAACCCTAATGAATATGGTGGATTTGATCCTGATGATACTCAGTCTATTACTGGACTTGCTATTGAGAATTTTGATATTGAAAATTATCAAGATCAATATGATTTAACTTTAGAATTACAAGGTTCACCATATTTAAAGGAAGGTTTATTGAAATTAAAGGTTTTAAATAATGATCAACAAGAAGAAATTCCATCTCCTGTTATACAACCATCTAATGCTTCAATAACTTCCATGTCTTCAGGTAGAAGCTTTTTATCATTCTTTGGTGGAAGTAGAGCCAAAAAGCAAGCACCTCCTCCTCAACCTTCCACATCTTCATCCAATTCTTTAAGTCTTTTACCTACAGGTAATAGATTTGCCGAAAACTTTGTTGTGGTTTCTAAAGGTCAATTGTCATTATACTCATTTGATCCTAAGATTGTTAAAAAGCATCAACAAATTTTAAAGAAGATTAAACATAGACAACAATCACGTTCATTCCTTGGAATCGAAGAAAATTCTAATGAAATTGAAAGTGCAGTTGGTGATGGTAATTGGTTAAAGAATGCTGCTAATATTGGTAACTTTAATTTATGTTCTACTATTGCTAGAATGGAAAAACCAACTGTTACTCATAGTCATTCTAATCCAAATGGTAAAACCTATGTTTGGTCATTAAATTTCCCACGTTTTTCAAATAAGAAATTACCAAAGAAATTCTTATTTGAAGCTGGTACTAAAGAAATTGCTCTTGAATATGTTAATACTTGTAATTTTTGGGCTTCTAAAATTACTGCTATTCCAACATTAGAAGAAAGTGTATCATCTATTGAATATGGTTGGACTAATCTTGATTTATTAATTCAACAACGTCTTCAATTTAAAAAGATGAAACATATTATGAAATATGAATCTGTACCTCGTGGAGTCTATCTTAGTAATGCATCCAATAATAATTATGGATTAATGAAACAATTCATTAAAACCTTAAAATATTATAATCATTTAAAGAATTTATATCAAGATTTCCTTAAGATGAAAACAAGATTTTTAAAGTGTGTACCTGTTAAACAATTCAATTGTTCAAATCATTCAAAGATTGTTCATAATTATGATTTAAAAATTGAAGATTATAAAGATGAATTAAACAAGTATAAAAATTATTTGATCTTATTAGGATTTGGATTGCAATTAAGATTTGATTTGGAAGATGAAGAAAAGGAAAATGAAAGAAAAGAGAAGGAAAGTGTAGAAGCTAGTACAAATATAGATAATAAAGAGATTGAACGCACAAAATCTAAACCTGAAGAAGAAGATGATGAATTAACTACTATGGTTAAATTTGAAATTAAGAAATTATTCTTTAATATGAGAGATATTGCCAATATAATTCCAACTTTTGAAAATAGTAAGACTATTGCATCATTAACATTACTTGATCGTGAACAATTCCTTAATAGTACTTTAGTTAAATCACCAAAGAATTATACTTTATCTCATTTTAAAGATAATGAAAGTCCAATTCAACAATTATTACATTCTTCAAATAATGGACATCATAATAAAGAAGAATTATCAACTAGTTATAGTACTAATACTATTAAAGAAGAAGATGAAGAAGAAGATATTGATGTTAATGATGCATTATTTCATATGGAAAAAAATGATTCAGAGACTAAAGTTGAAACTCCAAACTTTTCTAATGATTCATTTCAAATTATTAAAGAAAAGCCAACTAGAATTAGAGTCCATGAAGTTTCCAATGGTGTCCTTTTGGTTTAGATTCCTTGTATTTAGATTTGCTATTATTATATTTGCAATAGCTATATATTTTTATTTCTACTATTATTATTTTTAATGTTGTGTTTTCTAGTTTATTCTAGTATTAGTATTTTTGTTAATGTATCTATCTTAATATTGTATAAACCATTTGTAAAATTAATTATGTTTAAGAAAACGTTAGTTTTACTATGTAAATAAGGATAAGGATAAGGATAAGGATAAGGATAAGGATAAGGATAACTTTATTTAGATATTAAATGCAGGCTTATTGATTGGGCTATAGAATATTGTAGAAATGATGTAATAGTTTTAGCTAATGTTTGGCTTAAGTTCAAACAAGCTGTTTTCAATATTTTTAGCTCTAACCTTGCCCATCATGTAAGAATACAATTGGCCCTCATCTGGATCTCCTGCTGGTATACCAGGTATATCTGGAGCACCAGGATATAAATAGTACACGACTTTGGTTACAATATATATATAAATAATTACAAACTTCTTCCACTAATTTATAAAATAGTAACTGTGTAACGATATATGCAAGTCGCCCATATTTATACTTTTGCCAAAGTGGAGAGAAAACTTTTCAGTCATCGTGAATGAACATCCAATCTCGTACCAGTATTATTATGTGTAATTAAACTTGCAGCCAAATCCACAATGTAATCTTAGGTCGTTTCCGGCACAAATATTTTAACAATTTGCGACTTGTCTGTTTTCTTCGCAGTCTAACATCTTTTCGCAGCTTCTACCTGGCAACTATCAATAAAGTATTACTACTAAATGGCACCAGCCATCACCAGCCAATTTTATTCATTGTCAAGCATTTTAGGCTCTCGTCATCTTAGTGTGACTCCTCAATTATGATCTGGATGATTTTTAGTTGAATCAATTCCTTTCTCTCAACATGACCTGCTATCTGGTTCACGATAGTAGAATCAATCAGTAAATCATTTTAGTATCCATAATTACAATTCATAATTACAATTCGTAGTATTTATTGATAACTAAACTAGGAGTCTACGTGGTATATAAACTAAACTTATTTTTGAAACCTTACGAGCATGTTGATTTAAGATTGAACTTTTTTTGGTGAGGTTCCTGAGAGAGGAACGGCAGCGGCTATATTTTGAAATTTCAACTACTCTACTCTTCTCTTCTAAAACACGTTAAAGATTAACAACAAAATGAATATTTTCAGTCTGATCAAGAAAGTGGTTAAGGAATCAATCCCAGGATTCTTATACATCGTTGGTTTAGCTGCAAGCCAAATTTCTGATTCTTTTCAAGTTATTTTCCCTAACAAGGTGTGGGAGAGGGTCAATAAAATACTATTGATTATATGTGGATTCTTAGGTATCGGAGCTTATTTCATTGAAAAACGTCAAAATCAAAATGATTTAAATGATCTCAGACAACATTTTAATGTTGCTGATGAAAATTCCGTTATATCCAAAGTGACACGTTGTGATCGGGAATTGGATGCAGAAAGGCAAGACTCATTGATTAATAAAGTTCACCAATTAGATACAGATGTTTCAGACTTAAGGAGGAACATGAATTTAATAAACAGAAGTTTGGGATTGCCATTAATTTTGGATCCAGATCCAAATCCAGTTCGAGTTCAACAATAAATAATCCAGCTTATGAACATGAATTAGTTTATGGTGATTTAGATGATTTATAAGATCAAGAAATTGCTGTTAATATTGAAGAATTAGTTGAAGAAGGTTTCCTTTCTTTCTTGGTAACTCTATTAGGTTTATTTTCACTTAATGCTCAATATTTTATCAAGCCCAAACTACACAGTAGAGAACTCAAATTGATGCAAATCAGGGTAACTTGTTTGCCGAGTTTGAGATGAAAGCCGAAAATCATTCCAAAACCAATATTGATAGAGATTCTAATACTTAATTCAGCAACTAAAAAATTGATACTAAGACTTGTTAGTATTTGAGATAAACATAATGGATGATCACGATAGTATTAATTTCAGTACGGCCTCAATAGATTAAAGCCGATATACAAATGCCGTACTAATTCCTGGATTTAAGGCAAACTCTACAAGACTTGCTACAAAGTTCATGAAAGTAACTATAACAAAATTCCGTTAATTAGATAGAAAACCTGTATTTTTGGGTTTTTTCGGGTCTAAATGATACTGTATAAATATACGGTAAAGCCTACAAAATGTACTTAGATTTATATAGAATTATGCAATATACTTAGTGTAAAGACAAGAACGATTACTTGGCTAAAGTTCACCTGTAGCATCGTTATGATATCGGACCTTAAATGGTCATCTACCGTGCCAACATGTTGGCCTAAATTGGCTAATCAAGCTTTAGGTTGATTAGAACTTACACGAAAATAGGTTGCCACACGACAGACGGAATGACTGCATATTAATTGTTGCCAAATATATAGAGTAAATAGTTGCGAAAAAGGGCAAGAATACCATCGCATAAATTAATTCATTACCCCTAAAACTACAAACTACATCATTTCCTACGAGCTTTCTTCTTATTTACAAATATGAAATATTTAGTATTATACAAGTTGCTTGACTTCATAATCACTGAAAGGATAACATGCTTAAATTCCTCCGTACTGTTGCCCAAAATAGCCTCCAGCTTGGAATCTTTGCCTGATGAAATTTTGACGCAAATTATAGACCACTTGAACCAACTCGATGTACTTGACCTCAGTCTTGTCAACTCAAGATTACACCTGCTATGCATGAATAAATTATACAAGAGAAAATTAAGTTTTATGCTGCCTTACGGTGCCATCATTCATCGGAAATTGAATACATTTACACATACAAATTTCTCAATAGATAATTCGGGATTAATCAAAAATGTGAAATTTAGAGAATCAGTTTTTTTGGCGTTTATAATTTTTAATACTTGTAATATAGATATATACGATAAATTGAAAGGATTGGATCGTAGGTCATTTGAAAGATTTGAACTATTATGTCTACAATTAAATCACAGCTACGTTGATCAGATAAAGCAAATGGCAAATAAACTAGGAAACATAAGAAACGTGGAACTTTTATTAAATGAACCAAACATCATCAGGGTACTACTGGAATTACAGGGAATATTTCCAGGAGTAAGATCTTTGGCTTTCAATATTTCTACTAAAAGCCAATTTCCTTTGCATTCAATCCTACCATTATTTTGTCCTGAAAAAATCAAAGAAATTCAAATAGGCACTAATAGTTACTTACATGAATACTTCATAAATTTGATAAAATTATTCCCAAATATAGAGACGCTTATCGTGAATTCCATATCAAGATTCCTTTCAAATGAATCTTTGCAACTGTTGTCTAATACTCGCCTTCAGAAGTTTAGTCTATCTGTTGACTATGCAATACCGCGGGTTCACTACTATATTGGTTTAGCCAAGGACTTGCTTAAGAATTGTGGTTCGACTCTTCAACTTGTCAGATTTAGCACGGGTCCATCAACATTTTTAATAATCGACTTGTTTTATGGCCCAAAGGAAAATGACTATAAAGAAGTCAAGCAACACATTAGAAGCTTAGTAGACTGGGTAAAAGAAAGATTACATGAATATCCTAGACTACAATATTTCACATTTTACAATTATCTGTTCTTTATAGACAGACAAGTAGAGCCATGTCAATGGATTGAAATCAGTGGATGGGAGTTGTGAAATCCATGCAAAATTCTTCAGTATAGTATCAAAGCTTTTTAACTTAGAATGAAAAAAATCACCGTATGTAGTTAAATATTTAAATTATTATAGGAATATTTAGAGAGCGAGGAAATATGACCATTTGTCGTACTATGAAACATAAAATTTGCTGCATTAATTCATTAACTTCTCATCCAGTCACGCAACCGTTCAACAAACCCAACTTGACACTAATGATTTAAGTATTTTTTTTTTGACATATTAGTTTCTTCTTATTTTATGCAATTGAAAATACATGTGACATTACACGTGATATTTGACCTTATGGGCACGACCTCTAAAAACCGCCACCAAAAAAGTTCAAAGAGAGGCAAAGACACTGTACTGAAAGAAGTAGTACTATACAGACTAACCAATATTCTGCTTTATCGAGAAATCATTTTTGATTGATATTTACAAGTTCAATTGTAGTTCAGAATAATTTAATTCAATTGAATCTTTTGTAAATCATAATTTAAACAGCAATCATTAATCAATTACTTAATTACAAAGGTATATTATATTAACAATATCACAATCAAATCTACATATACATTCACATTTACATTCATATACATATAGCATAAATACATATATATAATCATAATCATGTCGGATCCAAGTTCAATTAATGGTGGTTCTGCTCTTGCCATGGTTGGTAAAGAATGTATTGCCATTGCGTGTGATTTACGTTTAGGAAATCAATCATTGGGATTGAGTAATAACTTTGAAAAATTATTTCAATTTGGTGATAAAACATTTCTTGGATTAACAGGTTTAGCCACTGATGTACTTACTTTAAGTGAAACATTTCGATTTAAAAATAATTTATATGAATTAAGAGAAGAACGATCAATTGAACCTTCAACATTGGCTAATTTAGTTAGTTCAACTTTATATGAGAAAAGATTTGGTCCATATTTTGTAGGACCTATTGTGGCAGGATTAAATTCAAAAACCAATGAACCATTTATATGTGGGTTTGATTCTATTGGTTGTATTGATTTTGCAAAAGATTTTATTGTTAGTGGTACAGCTAGTGATCAATTATATGGTATGTGTGAATCGTTATATGAGCCAGGCTTAGAACCAGAAGATTTGTTTGAAACCATTAGTCAGGCACTTTTAAATGCAGTAGATAGAGATGCATTATCTGGTTGGGGTGCTGTAGTATATTTAGTTACTAAGGATAAAGTCACGAAGCGAGTATTAAGAACTCGTCAAGATTAGATTAGATTACAATCTATAATAAAATCGTATACAATAATAGTAATTTTATATTCATTGTAGAGATCATTTTCTATATACATGGTACCATCAGGAGTTATTTCTGAGTAATTTAATTATTAATTTATTTTATTTATTCGTTACGGGATTTACTTTTGTTGTTCTTGAAGCTTCTTTTCAGCTTCCTTTTCAATCATCTTCTTCAAATAATTGTTTTTACCATAAGTTTCCTCATCAGCTCTCTTTCTCATTTCAGCAAACTTCTTTTGACGTATTTTACTCTTTTCTATTCTTTCTGCTGCATCATTTATTCTAGTATAATGCAAACATTTAGTTAACTCATCTTTTTCAAAATTACACATTCCTAACACTGACTTCATGAACTCTTGACGGTGACATTCTTCAAGTGCATCCATAAGCTTTTCGCATGTATCGAATCTGTTCTTATCTAACTGAGGGTGCATGGTTTGTGTATTATTATTGGACTTTTGACTTTGACTTTGACTTACTGAATTCAAAAGCTTAAGGAGTTTGAAATTTTTCCTTACGGTATTTGATCATACAGTATACAAAATTTAATGCGGTGACCTTTTGGGAGTCAAAAAAAAAATCTCAGAATTAATTAACATCCCCCATACTTTACTTAGTTAAGTATATCATAGAAATAGACATACAAATTAGTGTAGTGTAGTATTCAACAATGTCTGCTGCCGATAAAATCAGAGCCGAAGTAGCAGATGAGAAGGATGTTTTAGATTTTATTAATTCTTTACCAGATTCTAAGTCAGGTACTCCTAAACCTCAATTATCGACTAATGAATCTAATACTAAAAGTAATAGTAAAGATAATAATGGAGATGGTAATGAAGAAGATTTTTTAGAATTTTTAGATGAATTGGCTCAACATGAGAAAAAATCAGGTACTGGAACTAATTTATCTACTGGAATTCCAAGTAAATTAGAACCTAAAAAGAAAGAAGTTGTTGAAGTTAATCTTGATGAAGAATATACTACAACAACTGAAACTGAAAAGACAACTCCAACAACTACTGAATCATCAGCTAATGAAGAAATTAATGTTCCTGATCCAATTAGTTCAATTACTAATTGGTGGTCTAAAGTAGAAGGAACGACTAAAGTTAATAGTCTTTGGGATACAATTGCATCAAATGCTCAAAATATTGGTGAACAAACTTACCAATTAGCTAGTACAACAACAAATCAATTAAATCAACAACGACAACAAAATAGTTTAAAGTTTAATGATTTACTTGAAAATGTTAAACATATCATATTAGATGATGAAGATGATGAAAATTATAATGATGATGATGATGATAATAATGATAATGATGATAAATATGATGATTATTTACGCGTGATTGTTATATATGATATATTAAATTTAGGTTATATTCGTCAATTAATTAATCAAAACTTCAAAACTATAATGAGACAAGTTGAAGGTGATATTAAAATTAGAGTAATTGATCATAATAAAGGTCGTCGTTTATCATTACCTAGTGAAGGTGGTAAATTAAATATGTTTTATGGTAAAATTATTGATGGAGAGAAATTATGTTTTGCTAATTTAGATTCAACAATTAAAGATTTTAAGAATAAATTAGATGGTAAGACTGAAGAACAAAGAGCTAGACATCTTAAAAGATCAAATATTTTTATATCTATTCAACCAATTACTAGTAAGATTGAAGGATCAGGTGATAATAAACAAAATCAAGATGCTGCTGATGATGATGATGATGATAAAGCTATACTTATTGAAAGTAATAATGCTGATCTGTTTTCATTCACTATTATCTTAAAGGATGTAACTAATAATATTACTATAATTACTAAAACTCAACCATTCCCATTAAAATGGGCTAAATGGTTAGATGGCGAAGATAGAGATGTATTTAAGAATGAAGGAGAAGGAGAAGGAGAAGGAGAAGGAGAACAAGATGAAAATAATACTGAAAATTTACCAGAAGATTTAGGAATTGATCCAAGTGAATGGGTTAAGGATTGGATTAAACAGGGATTAAATTTAAGTTTTTCAGTATTAACTCAAGAATATATAATTAAGCGTATGGGGATATAATTAATTAATTAGTTTATTAGTTTATTAGTATTTCATATATTTAAATTGAATTAAATTATATTAAATTATATTAAGTTATATTAAGTTATTAATCTATAAAATCACCAACATATTATTGCGGTGTTGTTTGAACCCATATATAAAGAATTGAATTAAAATTAGAATTAGAATAAATCGGCAAATTCAGAGAATTGAGGATGTACTAAATTATGATGAATTGAATTATTAGAAGCGTTAGAATTTGAAACACTTGAATTAGATATTTGACCTGTCACATAAGAATTATTCTTATTATTATTATTATTATTATTGTTGTTGTTGTTACTACCGGTTGTACTACCATTTAAAAATGGAGAATAATTTGATACCGGCTTTGATCTTTGAAAATTTTGGATTCCACAAGATAAATAATTAACCATGATCCTATCAAAGGATTGTTCATCATTTGCTATTAATTTATTTTGATAATCTATTATGAGACTAACATTTTTATCATTATGAAAATTTGGAGAATCTGGTAAATTATTAAAATTTTTAAGAATCCTATGTTTATTAGCAATATTTCCTCTAGAATCATCAGATTTAACTGTAGCAGTTGAAGTTTGATTATCTCCAAGAATTATTTGCATAAGTATTGAACGATTATCAGGATGTATATCAATACATTCACTTTTAATAAATTCATAATCATCATTTGTTAATGATTGATTTAATTTTAAATCAATTGAAAATTTATTAGGTAAATCTCCATAATGATTTAATTTCGAAAATAAATTAGATGATAATAATGAATTTGAATTATGATAAATTGTTATACGTGGTTGTTCACTGGTATTTTGTATCTTATTATTAATTGAAATATTACTAGAATTAGAATTAGCAGCAGCAACAGCAGCGGTAGCACCAGAACTAAAGCTCGATACTTTGGTAGCTCTTGAAGAGCTTGTTGAAAGATATGAAGAAGATCTAATAATAGATTGTCCAATTCTTTGTATATAAGATGAAAACATATTATCAAGTATAATTGTTATGATGATGCGCGTGTTAAGACGAAAATCTGTAAAGCTTTAAATTAATCAATTGATATTAATAAATGATATTGAAATTAATATTGATAATGATATATATGTTGAATATATAAATGAAAAGGTTTGAATGTATAAATGAATAGGTTATTGATCGATGTATGATATTTAATTATAAAAGAAAGGATATACAACATAAATACTAGATGGAAGAAGGAACATAGTTTATATTTATACATTTTCAAGTATTTGCAGCTGTCTCCTCCCCTCCTTTGCTCTTCTCTCCCCTCCCTTGACTCATATTGAGGAAAAACATCCATTCTGCAATAGTTAATGTGGCCAAAAAAAGGTTGAGTTGAATCCAGCCAACATTTTATATGCAGTCGCACAAATCTCCTCTTTTAAACGACACTAGTCTAGAAGAGCAAAAGAGTCAAATAGCAAGAGAAGTAAACAGTGGCTGTGAAAACCGCATAGTACCTAAAGATGGTTATTCATATGAACTATATACAGCACATTGCTTACTCCTTTTTTTTTATATCCCCTCCCACTATATTTTGGGTACTAATCTATTATAGTTTTACTATGACGCTCTAGACTCAAGGATCAGTTCATGTTACAACACGTTTTTGAGTCACTCCCATCAGACTCCTTAAATAAAAATACATCTTACAATAAATAAATATCTAGATTGCGGTTATTATGGACAATAATTATGAACCGCAGGTTTTGACATTGCTTGGAATCAGTCCAGACCAAACGGTCTATTTCATTCCTTGCATCTTATCGTATATTTCTGAGAAAGTTAATCCGAGTTTTTTTCTCTCCCCTCCTTATCGTTTACCACACTTAAATTATAACTCCTTTTCTACTCCCCTCCTTAATTTTGCTGGTACTGTATACGACAATTATGTTTGATTTATTCTTGTTCTGGAAATGTATCCATCTTATCTCTTCCCCTCCTTATCTCAAGTTCCTTCTAATTGCAGCCGAATAAATCACGTTATGTTTATTTACATTTACATTTATTCTAAGTTAATCTTGTATATTTTATAATACATACATTCTAATGCCACTTATATAGTAAGAGGTTAATCAATACCTAGACAAAAAGTGGCTGAACAATAAATCGATAACCCATATGTGACTTATATGTTTACCAATTTCATTATCAACGCTGGTGGAGTCCATTATTCTCTCTCTAGATTGAGTGAAATAATACGCTGTGACCGTTGAATGAGATGTCGAAGCTTCAATATTACTTGTATCTATTCTCTGACTCTGGTTTTCTGATTGACTTTGGCTTTCGTGTTGACTTTCATTATCACTTTCATTATCAATTTCATGAGGAATCACATTTCCATTTAGGTAATCTCGACATAATTCTAAAATATCTGGTTCGAGTTCACCTTTATTTCTAATGGCATTAATTATAGGCTCTATTAAGTGTTCCACATCTAATCTGCTTGAATTGTAAAAGTCTAACATTGTAGCCAATCCAAACCAAGGCACGCCTAATAATAAGAGTCCCAATTGAGTATCGTCTAATTCTGTAATTGTAATATCTCTTAATGTTTTAAGAGATGCATTATTATCCAAAGTATTTGAGCTGCCGTAATAAGTCCTATCAGGTAATATGCGTTCTAAGCACGCGTCATTGTCAATTCGATTTCGACCTATATAGAAGCTTAACCTGTTTCCATCATCAATAATAACATCTACAGAGGTACCAAATACTGATTGAACCAAGCTACATATGCTTGTGAAAATAATCAAATTCAAACTAATCAATATCATAACTAGAATATTACAAGAAGAAAACTAGCAATTAGAGAAATATAAATCGAATAAAGTGTAAGCGCAAAAAAATGCACCTTTGATTAGAAAATTGCGCTCAAAGTTTAGTCTGTTGTATTCTTTGACTTACTATTTGTAAAATAGTTGCATACCACATTGCAGACTTTCATAAACCCTTTTGATTGAAACTAATAGAAAACTTTATTAGCAACAAATTAATTGCATGTTGGCAAATACATGCTTTTGAAATATGCTTTCTCTTCAACTCATTGATTTATGTTACACATATTTCCACAAACAAATCTATTTAGATGAGATGAAAGTCATTGCCCCGTTCCGTTTTAGGGTCCATTATAGTAACTTTGACTGTTGCAACAAATAGAGGGATTTTGAAAACAGTCAGCTACTATTCCGAGATTGTGTGAATATGTAATTAAGTCTTTATTTGGCATATCATAACATGACTTCGATTTTTTTTAATACCACCAAGAGCCTCTTTAAATATTTCTATATTTAATTTCATTGTTCTGTAAGTTTATAATTTGAACATTCTATAACACTACAAATTTTCATTCGAACTGGTAGCGTTCAAAGCAAAAGCATCATATCAAGAGCCTTCTTATAAATTTCCTGGCAAATATTTAATAGTACATGACTTGTAACAGATTAATAAGAACAGGAGAGTAATCTCACAAGTGGATTAACATCCGCCCTCTCAAAATACAATTGAGTATTAAAGTTAATGAGAGCTACTCTAAAATTGGAATAAGGGACAAAAAAAGTGCACAATTGAAAAATCGCGACTAACTGATAAGATAATCGGAAACATTAGTCAGAATCAACTCTTACTTTACCTTTTCATCAATTGACCTTAAACAATCATGTCAACTATAAGAGTAGCAGTTGGTCAGCTTTGTTCGTCATCGAACATCATCCATAATGCCAAAATTGTGAATAAATTGATTACCAAATCTATTTCTAATAAAGTAAATATTTTATTTTTACCTGAAGCCACAGATTACTTATCAAGGAATGCTAGCCATTCTCTAGAATTGGCAAAACAAGTTGACGATAAATTCTTACCATTGATTCAATCACATATCAGGGAGGAAATTTCTAAAATACCTGAATTAGAATTTTTTGTGGCAATCGGAATTCATCAGCCTAGTCCAACTTCTAATAGAGTTCAAAATAACTTAATTTGGTTAGATTCGAAGGGACAAATTTTACAGAAATATCAAAAATTACATTTATTTGATGTTAACATTAAAAATGGACCTATTCTACAAGAATCTAAATCAGTTGAACCAGGGACTAAATTAGTTGATCCCTTCAAACTTAACAGTTCATCACCTTGGAAAGTCGGGTTGGCAATTTGTTATGATATTAGGTTCCCGGAATTAAATCATACTTTAGCTAAAAAGGGTGCTAATATTATAACTTATCCATCTGCTTTCACGACGAAAACTGGAGAAGTTCATTGGGAATTACTTGGTAGAACTCGTGCTGTTGATTCTCAAAGCTATGTAGTTATGCCTGCTCAATGTGGATATCATGACACTAAAGCCGATTTAGATGATACTGCTAAAGATTCGAGTGAATCTGTAACGAGAGTAAGTTATGGTGAATCGATTATCGTTGATCCTTGGGGAAAGGTTGTGGTTAGGTTACTGAAATACACAGATGATTTATCTAACCATAAGGATTCGGAAGGGGATTATTATGAATTTGGTTATGCTGATTTTGATTATGAGCATATTTTAAATATTCGTAAAAATATGCCTCTTATGGAGCAACGTAGAAGAGATGTATTCCCGGGTATTTTAGACTAGAATTTGTAGACTTATAAACTTACAAAATTAAATATAAAGAAATAAAGACAAAGCAATATTATTTATTATTTTGAATATATTTGTACTATACAATGTTATAAAAGAGCTCCTAATATTTTTGCTTAGGAGAAACGGAAGAATTGAATTATGCAAGGGGATATGAAATAGCTTAAATCTCATTTGTGACTATCATTGTAGGACGCCAGAATCAAGCTTTATTAACTGGACTAGCAGTTGTAATATCTTCTGAAGATGCGACTGTTGGTTCGAAATAGTCTGGATGTGAAGAACTTGGAGATGCAGGTGAAACATTTGCAGCTTGATAGCTTAAGACATCATCATTTGACACTAAAGAAGCATCTGAAACATTGTTGAAGTTTACACATCTATGCTTAGATGAGAACATTCTTGAATTATTTAATTTTGAATATATAGAATGTGACTTAGGTTGAACAGAATATTGATTAATTGGTAACCAACATCTTGAAGCAGTCTTAGCTGCATTTATGTGTAAGATTCTTCTAGCAACTGGCATTTTATTTGAATTATATTTGAATTTGTTGAAACAATATAGAAAAGAGTTAAAGAAAACTTTCAATCAATTATGGATGAAAAAAATGAGAACCCATGTGCTTATATATAACTTTTTTAAGCATGTAATTATCGTAGGATGATTCATATTATTTACGGGATATTATTATTTCACATACTAATAACCCCAGATTTGAAACTTTTTTTTCTCTGCCGTTAGCCCGCCGGGATTCAGGAAGTCCAAAAAAAATTGAGTCATTCAGATGCTGATATGTTTTTTTTTTCAAGGAGTCATTGCTCGTACATTTATTCTCCGAGGATATATTTAAGGAACACATACTTTGGGTCGTATTATAATTAAGGTAAATATAACTGCTTATTGGGTTATTTATGGTTATGATAAATAGGTTATTTAGAATATACATATACGAACCAGTACCAATCGAACTAATAATTACTTAAGGTGATTCTCTAATACGCCTTTATGATTGAACACTATGACATATCTGGACCACTCCTTATGTGTTTGTGTCTCAAAGTTCCCTTGAGCCTAACACAGAGAGCAAAATAAAATTATCACAGTGAAAAAAATAGTATGATTGTGCGTGAACACCCATTTAACCGAACAAGGTTTATAACCTATAAAATTTTCAAACTCCGATATATCTATGATCCGATTTCTTCGCAATAGATAATTTTTATCTTTGTTCAATTATTGGTTCTCTTATGTTACATTGCTCTGATTTAGATTGTTTGACCACTTTTTACGGTATCCCTAGTTTCTTCAGCATCGTACTATCCCTAAGTAGTGGCAATAATCAATTTCAGTAGTCTCTGTATTTAGACTAGGCATTTGTTGTGACTATAATATTGACGTAAGTTATCTTTCTGGTATCCTTTTCTCAGCTCATTTGTTCTACAATCTATTATGTCAGTTGATTAGTTAAGCTATTTCAACTATTTACAATCGGAGATCAAGTAAAAAATTATTGCAACTTTATCCCCACAAATTGATAACTTATCTCTACAAATACGGTATAACGTATCAACCCCATTTACTTCAAAATAATAGAACTGTATTGTTCTTCATATCTCCTCTTTCTTTCTTTATTTCTTTACCTTTCATGGGTCTCCACTATTAATCTTTCAACGGTCACTTGGTTTATAGCAACTGACTCAGTACCCTATTATCTCATATGCAATTAATTCTTTCTCTACAGCTTCGCACGACCTTCTCGAACTCTACTCACCAAAGAAAAAATCCGGGGATTATTCAATTTCAAGAATATCTTACAGCTACGAATAAGGTAATCTTTTATATAATATTAATAGGGTGACAACAAAGTTTTTAAAATTGAAGTAATTATACATTCTTATAATATTGTTGTTTCTTTTTCTATTTCAATAATAAAGTCTTGAATTCAGCATAGCTATTACGATCCATTCATCCTAATAGTGTATCGGATTTCTATATATCCAATTTTAACTTATTATATACTTATACATATTCATGAATAGTACACAATGGGGACAGGAACAGCTTGGAAAATAACTTCTCAACTTCGAGATAATATTATGAAATATGCCAATTATAAACAAACATCAATTTCGCTCCGACAAATGGTACAATTTGGTCCCAACCCGAGTCCCGGGTCGATATTTCTCGCTTCCCAATTTATTGTCGAAGAATTACCCATCAGATTAGCTTTAAAAGTCAAAGATCTTGAAAATGCTCCTCTTGATTTATCAAAACAACCTTCAACTATAACAGTCAAAAATTGGTATGCCCAATCATTTCAAGAATTAACCGATTTACCAAAACCTCAAATATCAGAACAATTACAAAAGTTATTATCTTCTAGCATACCTGCAAGCTCAATTGTCAATCAGTTCCAAGAGGAAGATAATAGTATATTAGATAGATCTCGAAGTTCTGCCAATGATTCAACAAATCCTGCTATAAATAATTATTTTAGTGATGATGGAATAGTTGTAAGACACCATTCTCATCTTCCTCATCACAAAAATTTAGGAGGATCAAGTAGTTCCACTGCAAGAAGTGAAAGCCCAACTTTTGGTAAAACTTATTATACATCCTGTGCTTCAAATATTGTATGGCCAAAAGAAGTTTATGATTATAATAAATTGGTGTGTGATACGCTCACTACCATAAAGAAAAGGCACGATGCAACAGTTGCAACGATGGCAAGAGGTGTTATTGAATGGAAAGAACATAATAAAACTGTATTGGTTAATGCGGATATTCAAAATTTCTTGGATAGATTTTATATGTCAAGAATTGGTATTAGAATGTTAATTGGTCAACATATTGCTTTAAATATGGCTCAAGCTTCACCTACCAAACAAAGAATTAATTCTTTTTTAAACGGTAGTAGTAGTTCAAAAAGTGGTCCTAATGGTCCTAATAATGGTGGATATAATAATAAATCTAACTATGTTGGTGTTATTTGTACCGATTGCAATGTGGGAGAAATTGCTGAAGATGCAATTGAAACTGCCAAATATGTATGTGAAGATTATTATGGTTTATTCGAAGGTCCTGAAATTCAATTGATTATGCCAAAGGAAGATATTAGTTTTATGTATGTTCCAGGTCATTTGATTCATATGTTATTTGAAACCCTTAAAAATTCTCTTCGAGCAACAATTGAGTTTCATATTCCTAAACTTAAAGCAAAAATGATTGCTGAAGATCCTACTTTAACTGAAGAATCAATTGATATTAATGACTTAACATTCCCTCCTATTAAAGTCATTATTTCTGAAGGAATCGAAGATATTTGTATCAAAATCAGTGATGAAGGTGGAGGAATTCCTCGTAGTGAAGTTCCATTAATTTGGACTTATCTTTATACTACTGTAAGTCAAACACCAGAACTTGATCAAAGTCAAAATTCATTTAAGGCTCCAATGGCTGGATTTGGTTATGGATTACCCATTTCAAGATTATATGCTCAATATTTCGGAGGTGACTTGAAATTGATTTCTATGGATGGTTATGGTACTGATGTTTATTTGCATTTGAATAGATTAAGTAGTTCTTCTGAACCTTTACCATAATAACATTAGATATATTCCTACACTAAAGTATTACTTTTTGCTACGCCATCGATTCAATTCTATCCATTTTATTTCTTATACATATATTTATATATATATATTCTCATATTATAATACATAGTTATTTGATTACAGCTTTTTGCAACTTTTCTATAAACCAAAAAAAAAAAAATAAAAAGAGCTGTCTGTTAATCTGTTTTGCCGAGGAAAAAAAGATTTCACAGCTTCCCCACATCACGTGGACAAATTTTAAACTACAAAGCAAGTCACCACCGCTTTGCGGAAAAAACTGAAGGAGAAGCTTAAAAACATCGATTACGGAGAGGACACAGATATATAGTCATAATTAAGAGGCAAATCTGCTGTATATATATATATATAATATTGCCAAAATAAATACATAATAATCATAATAAAAGTCTAAATGTCTTCTATACCACCTAGACCCAAACCTTGGGAAGTTTCCTCGGGAACTTCGTCTGCTTCAGTGTCGGGCGGAGAAGCCTTACCTTCATCGTCATCAACAACTTTACCTTCTACTTCAACGGCAGGTATTAGTTCAGCTGCAGCTTTACCTGATAGACCTACATCACTAACATCTGATTTTAATAATATGGCTAATAGTTCACCATATGGAACAACAATGAATAATAATAGTTATGGTGGATATGGTTCACGATATGGTATGGGAGGAGGTTATGGATCATCTATGTATGGATCAGGATCCATGTATGGAAGTGGCATGTACGGATCGGGATATGGATCAGGCATGTATGGTAGTGGATATGGAAGTAGTATGTATGGGATGGGTAGTTATGGAAGTGGAATGTATGGAATGGGAGGTTATGGATCTGGTATGTATGGTCAACCTGGTATGAATGGACCAAGTATGTTGGGAGAAGGAACTCAAGCAACTTTTCAACTTATTGAATCAATTATAGGTGCAGTTGGTGGATTTGCTCAAATGCTAGAAGCAACTTATATGGCAACTCATTCCTCATTTTTCACAATGATATCATTGGCAGAACAATTTGGAAATCTTAAAAATGCATTAGGATCATTATTAGGAATATATGCCTTGATAAACTTAGTTAAAAAGGTATTTCATAAAATAACTGGGGGTACTTATAATTATGGAATAAATTTACAAGAATTCTCCAAATTTGAAAAGAATCAGAAGAAACTTGAAGAAAATATGAAAAGACAACAACTGGGTAAACCAGCAAGAATGGCATTAAAACCTTTACTTTTATTCTTAGCTGCTTCCATTGGTTTTCCTTATATCTTAAGTAAAGCCATTCAAAAATTAAATGAACAACAACAACGTAAAATGCAAGAACAGCAACAAATAATGGGTAATGGTGTACCTGCAGGTCCTCTTGATCCTTCTAATTTACAATTTGCTAAAACTTTATATGAATTTAATCCAGAAAATCCAACCATGGAAATTGAATTAAAACCAAATGAATTAGTAGCAATTTTATCAAAATTAGATCCTATGGGAAATGAAAGTAAATGGTGGAAAGTAAGATCAAGACTGGGGAAAGTAGGTTATGTACCTCTGAATTACCTTAGTGTAATAGAAAGAAAAACTCCTCAGAGGCAAGTTGAAGCTGCTAACCAACAACAACAGCAACAACAGCAACAGCCACAAGGTGTTCAAGAGCCAATCCCAATATCTGATAAAGTTCAAGAACTTAATGAAAAGGCTGGATTTTCGGTTAGTGATTTCCAAAAATTTCAAAATTAAGAACATTAACAGCCATCACTATTTACGATATCCATTCGTATATTTCCCATTGCATTTTCTTACTTATTTATTACAATCCCATTATGTATTTTAATTCTTCAGGTGTACAGTTTTATTTCAAAAATAAGTAAAAAATATCTACTCTACTTTAATAAATGTAGTTTTATATTGGTTATATATATAATCACTAATATTGTTTTACGTCAAGAGCTAATTGAAAATCTTAAACTGCATCATCTGGACGATTTTGTTCACTCTCTGTCTTTCTACCTTTATCTTGAAGATCTTTGTAACCTTTATGATGCTCTTTAACTCTCTTTCTTGCTTCTTTATGTTCAGGCTTACCAAATGTTTGATCTTTAGCATCCTTAATCCTCTCACTGGCTTCTTCAATGACTTCAATGCCGTCAGCTAATACCTTACCAGTCTTTTTATTAACTTTTTGTAGAGTTTCAGCTGTCTTCTTGTTTACTTCATTAACTCCCTCTCCAGTAGATTTTGTAGCCTTCTCAGTAATATCAAGTCCATCAGCAGCAAGCTTCCCTGCACCTTTATTTAATTTATCTAATGCTCCCTTGGCAGTATCCAAAATAGAATATTGTCTAACATTGACAATTGACTTGGTTGCAATAGGAATTAAAGGATTAGTTGTTAAATATTGATGCTTTGCACCATTAACTAAAGCTTTTGAAAATGTAATTTGTCTAATCATTGTTATAATTTCAATTTTAATTTAAATTTAAATTTATACTTACAAAGATTAATTAACAAGTCTACAATTGGCTTTTGAAGTCTTCTTTAATCATTTATATAGTTTATAAGGATTTATATTTTTACTAGCATTGATGTGACAGAGCAATAGTTGCTGCAATATGACCTATTCGGGAAGTTACACAAAACCGAGTGACATCATAATCATGTCCCTGACTAAGAACCCTTTTGTTATTTGTCATTTATCCTGTGTATATTGCAAAATACTATATAGTCTAAATTATTCTTCGCTTTGAGGTCTAGAGTAAGGATGAGATCTGTCTCTAGGTGATGATCTGTAATTCCTTTCTGGACCCCCAGTTCTATTTATAGTTCGGCTACGAGCATCGAGTACGCCTTGGTTAATTTCTCTGTCTTGAATCCTATCTCTATTTATTTCACGTTGATTTTGCATTTCTCTATCTCTACTACCATTTAAAAAATCTAAAATCAGATTCATTGAACTAACCGACTCTTCACCACTACTATTCAGACTACTACGTTCCCATGCTGTATTTGCTGGAGCGGGCGGGGGCGGTGGTGTACTATCACGAACAACTGGATTTAAATTCACATTTCTTAATAAATCATTTGTTGATGAAGAATTTCCTGTATTATTGGTATGAATATTACTGGAATTACCAGATACATTGTTACCAGGAATTGTAGTGTTAGTACCACCTCTTGCAGTATTATTGACATTATTGTTATTATTAGCATTTCTCCTTTCTCTTGTTCTATCTCTTTCTTCTCTACTCATTAATCCATTTCTGCCTCTTCTAAGAAGTGCTGGTTCTGGAAACGGAAATCTCCTTGGCAAAATCAATGAAGGATCCCTCACTCCTACTCTAACAAAATTCTCATCATAAGGAGTTGCCCAATCTTGGAGCATGTATGAATCAGTTAGTGGGGTAACCAATGGATTAAATGGTCTCCTGAATGGATTAAATATATCTGTTGAATGTAAAAGTAAATGCTGTAAGGTATCATCTTCAGAATTATAGTTAGAAACTATGTTATGCTGTATTTCACGAAGCCTTTTTTGTTCTGGGTTCTCTTCTACCGATGCTTCTACTTCAGAACGACATAATGGACAACTAACATTCGATTTTAACCATTCCACAATACAAGTTTTTCCAAATATATGATTACAACTTGGCATTTTTACAGGAATATGACCTTCACTCTTGAATTCTTCAAGTTTTCTCTTTTTCTCTTGTTTTGCCTTTTCTTCATCTAAGAATCCAGGAAACATATCTTCATCCACAATATTTTCTAGACTAGATAGATTTCTAACTGGAAATCTAAAATAATGTGATGCTCCTTCATCTGATGGTAAAAATAATGATGGGTCATTAAATTTTAATCTGTTAGACATTGATTCAACATTATTTATATTATATCTTTCATGTAAATTTGTAAGTATATTATTATCTTCTATTAATATTCTCTCAAATTCTGGAGATATATTTTCACCAATCAGATATATTTGAGAACCTTCATTACTTGGACTCTTTGATTTTTCAGGATGAAGCGGAGTTTCATATGCATCATAACAAATAGGACAATCTTTATCTTTTAAACATTCAAAATCAACTCTTGCTAAACTTTCTATAGCTTCTTCTGAAGCTACTTTCTTCTTTGTTCTAATACCACTAGCAGTTAACGCTCTATTTATAAAATCTCTCATCCAAACGGGTACATCATTTGATACACCACCTTCGCTATCAATACCGATGATTGTAGCCCCTAGATATGAGTTGAAATTATCGGGATCCATAGTTACTTTGTTTGGTATTATTAGGTTATGATCAGTAGTAATTCTAGTTTAATTTTTCCTCACTAATCGGTTTTCCCTGCGGAGCTTTGTTTCGCTACGGTTTCAGATTTTCTTTTTCTTTGTACATTATCTAGCAATTACGAGTAGTGCTAATTTGAAAGTATTATTCATATATATAATATTTTGTACTTAATATATGTATATGTATATAATTTTAATTAAATATATGATCTATATAGACATTAATTAAGATCTATATTGAGATCTTAGGTAATTTACTAATTCCTTTTCTTGAGGACCTAATTTATCAATTTGATCTTGAGGTAATGCTAAAACTTGAGCTATAGGTATTGAATGTCGATCTGACATGGTCGTTAATTTAACTTGAGTTTCTGGTGGTAAGTTTGTATAATCTATTTGTCTATTGTTTGGATTAATATTATTATAGCTAGGTTGTTGTATAGGATTAAAATTTTGTTGTTGAGGTAATTGAAATTGTTGTTGAGGTTGTATAATTGGGGGTTGAGGAGTTTGTCTAGCAGGAGCATCTTTAGAACTATTAATTACTTCATTATCAATAAATCCCATCATTAATAATGCTTGTGCAACTGCTGCCAGTACATCTGGTCTGAAATTAAGAATCTCATAAACTTTATTCTCATCACCATTATTTAGGAAATTCTTAATTGTTGCTATTAATTCTATTAATTGTACAGGAGGAATTTTACTTAAAACTTGATTTATATCGGAACTACTATCAAAGGGTAAACTTTGAGGTTGTGGTAAATGTTTTGAAGCATATAATATCTTAGCTGGTATTTGAGGTTGAGGACCACCTAATGATCCTTGAGGTATTTGAACTTGTGATTGAGGTGGTTGTTGAGGTGGCTGATTTAATCTAGGACTGAAGATATTACTAGTAGGTACTTGATTTGGAACCATGGGAAAATTCTGAGGTATTGGCCCCCCTCCTGCAACAAGCATTTCTTGAGGTACTTGAACATAAGTAGGTAAACTACTTCTATCAAGATTTAATACTGGTTTAGATTCTGAAGGTGAATTAGACTTTAAAAATCCTTCCTTTGAGGATTCAACTCTTAATTTTTTAAATTGACCCTTATTAGGTTGATTAAATATCTTAATTTGATTTAATAATCCTGCAGCCCTTTGAGCTTCTCCACTATTTAAATATTCTACGAAACAAAATCCTTTATTCTTACCAGCATAATCAAATCCTAATCTTACATCTACTACTTTTCCCGATCCACAAACAACAGATTTTACATTATTTTCATCCCAATCATAAGGGACTTGTCCTAAATATATAATAGAGGAGGTAACGTTACCTGGTCCTTGATTTCTTCTGGACATATTAGTTACTATGTCTTGATAAGGTACATCACTATATATGTTTGAGGTTACTTTTCTCATTTAACTTTTCGATATTTTTAAGTCGTGTACGGACGCAGAAAACACTCAGGATGCAAATTTGCAATACTATTAAAAGGACTTGACATATAAACAACTTTAAAAACTAACATATAATTCTTTTTATCATATTCTTGTAAGACCAAAGCATTAAGATACTATCCTCAGAGGTTTAGATGCTTTCAAATTATTTAATCTTATTAAACAAGGAAACTTCAATAAGTGTTAATCTTTTTTGAAATTTAGGTTCAAATTCATTCAAAAGTAAAAGAAGCTTAAGTTACATACCACAACAATTAAAGTCAAAATCACCTATATATATATAGGATTCATTGTTTATTATAATTCTTACTTTTTGATTTTAAGTTATTGAAAAGTGGAAAGAATAGATTGATAGCACAATAAATTTGATGAAGTACCATAAAAGTTATCAATTTGGTCATTTATCTACACTAAAATACTAAATTAATTATAATAAATTCATTGGCCAGATACTAAAAGGAGTTTTAAAAGCTTCTAACTACATAAATGAGTAAATACAAGTAAACTGGATGTTAAAATTAAAAATTCATTTGTGCACGTGATAACTATCACGTGCAATAAACACCACACAAAAGCTTACCATAACTCTTCCAACAAGAAATGGAGGGTTGGCCGAGTGGTCTAAGGCGGCAGACTTAAGATCTGTTGGACGGTGTCCGCGCGAGTTCGAACCTCGCATCCTTCATTATTTTTTTAAATTATATTTTTGCAGTAAACTAGTTAAATTTCTAGTTTGAATGTTACTACTAATTGATTTATTTCATTAATGTTTTTATTATGCTTATATAATTCTATACAAACTACTCATGCAACTCTTTCAGCACCACTTAATTTAACTGCAGCACCATACTTTTGTAACTTAGTAAGCAAATTATCACCTTGTTTAATGAGTAAGTGATATTGATTATTCTTATTGTCAGGTCTATTGGTTTCAATTATTCCATTGACTTTATCAATGGTACAATTTAATTTTTTGTTAGGAATAAATTTGCATAAGTCTTGATCTAAAAATTCTTCACTAATATTAAAGTTTTGAGCCATAGACTTCAAAGACAATGATTTATAACTTTCTAATAATTGACCATAGGCTTTACATCTCATTTCTCTCAAGATATAATTAGCATGTTGATGTAAATACTTGTTTGGAAGTAATAAGTTATCATAAGATTCCAAAAGGAATTGGAAGAAGTAAGAATACAGACAAGTGTATAATGAATTTGTCAAATTAAGTAAAGGTTCCAAGGTTGGAGCTGATGAGTAAATAGACAATATTTCAGGAGAATCTATAATTTTAGCTTTCAAGTCTACTCTATTCAATGATAATACACCAGATACAATAGCATATTGAGCTACTTGTTGATAGCTACAAAGTTCAGATGATGTGAATGTTGCTAAAGAATCAATTAATAATTTTGCTGCTTCACTAAAATTTCTAGTAGCCAATAAATAGATACCATTGTAAGTCTTAAAACGATTACGACGTTCCCAATCACCACCTTTGTCTATTAAACTTTTGATTTGATCCAAGTATTTTGATACTAATGGGTAGTCATTAAAGAAAAATTCAATTCTAGTTAAAGTTAACAAAAGATCAATTTTAGATCCTGTACTTTGAGTCAACTCTAAAGATTTCTTTAATGTTTCAGTGGCATTCTTTCTATCAATGATTTTAGTATAATATTCTGCCAACTTTATAGTAGTTGCTAATATATCCACTTCAGTTTCTTCATCACCTTCTGCTTCTTTTAATTTCAGCTTTAGTTTCCCACTTTCTTCATCATTCTTAGATGCCAATGATTTATATAATTCTTCATCATATGGAAAATCATGAATGACAGTACTTAAATATTTATAATATGGTGCTGCATCATCTTCCTTTATTAATTCAATTAATTCTTGTATGATTTCCTGACGGTGGCGAGAATCAAGATTGGTGGTTAAAAGAAATTGCTTTTCTGATAACTTATAGTTTGGAATTTGTGGTATATCTGAGTTGATTTCCATGATGTATACTATATATTAAATTTATATTTTAATCTTACTAAACAATCGTATACCAATTGAATGTGTTTGCAACACTTAATCTCTAATTAAATGTATTATTTCAATCATAGTTAATTTTTATTATACGTTCGGTTCGTTGGTTTGTAACATGTAAATCTGTAAATATGAAAAATACACTTTTATTTGCAAGTTGTAAAACTGTAAAACCCCAAAAAAAAGGTTCGGATAATTTTTACAGGTTAGTCCTTCCTCGGGCCATTACTGCTAAATATTAAGTTCGGAGAAATAAAATCGATCAAAATCTGAAAGATGGGGTAGAGGGGCCGATTGCTATAAGTATAATAGTGGAGCCAGAAAATTGAATTAAAATTTTTTAAAATTATTGTGTTTAAATAGTCATATATAAGAACTAAGATAAATATTTATAATGTCAGCAAAAGACGATATTCCAGCAATTTTCCTTGATAAAATATCACCAAGAGGTTTAGAAGCTATACAAAAATGTAAAGATTTTGTAGAAAATTATTGTTTACCAGCTGATGAAATTTATTTTCTGCAAATGTCAAATGATCCATCTAAAAGATGGGCTTCAACTCCTGATATTACTGAAAAATTGAAAGTTAAAGCTAGAGAATTAGGTTTATGGAATATGTTTTTATCAAAGCATTATAAGGAAGGTCCTCAATTTACTAATTTAGAGTATGGATTAATGGCTCAATATCTTGGTAGATCATTTATAGCTCCTGAAGCTACTAATACTAGTGCTCCAGATACTGGAAATATGGAAATTCTTGCCAAATATGGTAATGATTATCATCGTAAAAGATATCTTGAACCTTTATTAAATGGTAAAATAAGATCAGCTTTCTTAATGACTGAAAGAGGAACTTCTTCTTCAAATGCTTTAAATATTGCTTGTTCTGCAACTTTAAATAGTAATGGTAATTATGTAGTTAATGGTTTGAAATGGTTTGCTTCTGGTGCTGGTGATCCAAGATGTGATGTTTGGTTAGTTATGTGTAAAACTGAAAATAATCCAAAAAAACCTTATGATAATCATTCTGTCTTAGTGTTAGATCCAAAAAAAGCTTTGGCTTCAGGAAAGGCTAAATTAATTAGACCTTTAACAGTAATGGGTTATGATGATGCACCTCATGGACATTGTGAAATTGAATTTATTAATTATGAAGTTCCAAAGGAAGATATGGCTAATGTACTTTTAGCAGGTTTAGGAAAGGGATTTGAAATTATTCAATCTCGTCTTGGTCCAGGAAGAATTCATCATTGTATGAGAGCAATAGGTGCAGGTGAATTTGCATTATTAAGAACCGCTCAAAGAGCAAACAATAGAATTATTTTTGGTAAACCATTGGCTCAAAGAGAATCATTTATTACTCAATATGCTCAAAGTAAAATAGAAATTCAAAAGTGTAGATTATTAGTATTAGATGCAGCTCATAAAATTGATTTGACTAGTGCTAAATTGGCCCAAAGAGAAATTGCAATGGCTAAAATTGAAACTCCTAAAACAATTGTTAAAATCATTGATTGGTGTATTCAAATGTTTGGAGCTGAAGGTTTATCTCAAGATACTGAACTTGCACGTATGTGGGTTCATTCCAGAATTTTGAGAATTGCTGATGGTCCGGATGAAGCTCATTTGAATCAATTAGGAAGAAATGAAGCTAAAAATTTTAAGAAAGCAGATGAATTCTTTGGTACATTCGAAACCAAGAGAGCAAAATTATTAAAATTATAAGTTTAAGTTTTCTAGTTTCATGTAAAATATCTATAAAATAAATATGAATATTTGGTATATGATATATGCAATAGGCTATTTCCAAACTTGTAGGATTAACAGTTCATTAAAAAAAAACTGTATATTAACCATAAACTAAAAGTACAAGATCATAAATGCAAGAATTGAAGTCATTAATATAGTTTAGTACAAATCTGATTTGACAAAGTCATTTATAAGACCCTTCTCCAACAACTTTTTACCCTTTATCTTTTCATCTTTTATAGTTTTAGCATGAGCAATTTTCAATTCCTTTTCAGCTACTTCAAATGGAATTTGTTCCAACTCATATAAATGATCATCTTCTTTATCTATATCCAATTCACCCAACATAACGACATTTTCCCCTCTCACCATAAAGACTCCTTTATAAGTTTCACCAAATTTCTTGGGAGTATTACTTTCATCATTCAAATATATTCTCTCTACTACATCTTGTAAAACCAAATTAGCAAATTGATCAAATGTTCTTAATATACCAAAAAGATTTCTACCATCTCTTAATAATACAAATACTTTCCTATCTACTGATCCTACTATAGCAGCTGCTGTAGTGAACGCATAAGATTCTAAGTATAAATCTTCCACATTTGGAGCAGATGGATCTTTGGTTTGTGGTTGTTGCTCTTGACTCGGCTGAACAGTCACTGGAGATTCGGACATCTTAATAATTATATAATTATAGTATCTTATAGGTATTGTTTGATTTAAGGTGTTGTCAATGGTTGATAATACTACTCGAAAATTTTTAGAGTCGATTTTTTTGAGCACCAGCACACGACTCAATCAAGATAGGAGGATTTATAGTTATAACTATTGACTCCAACTAGGTAAAGGTTATTGTCTATAAATAGATAAATTGAATTGATCATTGAAAGGGTTTTATACAAAGAGATAATCATAGTGGATTATCAAGACCCACTATATTTACTGAGAAACAATATACATTTGCAAGAAATCTATAGAAATCTTATATTGCCTAATTACTATTACTTAGTACAATTACTTTATAATCAATTATTCAAGTACAATGATATTTTTATTTAATATATGAATTTATTAAGAATATATATAGTTAGACATTAAAGGAAAGTCATTAGAGCGAGAGGTTATCATCAATAATTTAGTTTGCATTCGTGAATGCAAAAAATTAAGCAATGGTGTGTATATAGCCAGATGAGCTTAGTGAAAAAATTCATTTATGATAGACAATAAGTTAATTATTAGTACAAACAATTTAACAATAGACTATAAAAGCTAAAGGATGTCCTTTTATAAATATAAAGACTATATAGAAGAAGGAGATCTTGTGCTTGCCTTTATAAGTAGGCAAACGATTAAACCTTTGACTGTTAAAAAGGGTGAACAATTGAATACAAGATATGGACATTTCCAACATGATAGAATGATTGGAATGAAATATGGTGAACAAATGGGTGGTGCAAGAGGTTATGGATTTATATATTTACTTCATCCTACTCCCGAATTATGGTCAATTTCTTTACCTCATAGAACTCAAATTGTATATACGCCTGATTCATCTTATATTATGCAAAGATTAAATGTTACAAGTGGAACAAGAGTAATAGAAGCAGGAACTGGATCAGGATCATTTACTCATGCATTTGCTAGAACAGTAGGACCAGAAGGAAGAGTATTTTCCTATGAATTCCATGAACCAAGATACTTGGAAGCAAAGAAAGAATTTGTAGAACATGAACTTCAAAATACTTTAATAACACATCGTGATGTTTGTAATGATGGATTTGAAATTAATAATATTCCAGAAGAATTTTCTCAAGATGGTTTAATAAATGGTGATGTTATATTTTTAGACTTACCTGCTCCATGGACTGCTATTGAGCACCTTGATAAAGTAATTTCCAAAAAGAATAGAGTTGGAATTTGTTGTTTTTCACCATGTATAGAGCAAGTGGATAAAACCATAAAGGCACTTCAAGATAATGGATGGATAAATATTCAAATGACAGAAATTGCTGGTAGAAGGTGGGAAGCTAGAAAAGATATGGTTAAAGATCTTAAAGATGTTGTTAAAAGATTAAAAGATATTCAATCAAGAAAGAGTCAAGGAATTGAAAATAGAAGAAGTATTAAAGTTGCTGGTGAGAAAAGAGATTTTGAAGAAGTAGATAATGATAGTGAAGAAGATCAATTAAAGGGTAAAGGATTTAATCCATTTGGGAAAGGAACTAGAATTAAAGAAGGTGATGAAATTTATGATTGGAGAAATGTTACTAAAATTGAAACAGAAATAAAGACTCATACATCATATCTTACATTTGCATACTTTATTCCATCAGATAACTAATTTAATATAATGTAGTTATATATAGGAAAAATATAATATAAAATATAAAATATAAAATATATAAAAAATATATTTTAGCATCCAAAATTAAAATAGTGGAGCAGTCGTGCACAGCCCCAAAACTTGCCCCAAAGGGGAAGGGAAAAACTACCACTACCACCACTATCAATACTCGTTGGATAATACTCCTATTTAGTAATAATCATCAACCGATAAATTTAATAAATTGAGTCAATTGATTAATAATTGCATTAGATAGATATGAGTGAGACTCCAATTGGTAAGTAATATTAATTATTAAAATATTTAACCATTTTAACCATTTTTTTGTATGGGAGATATGAATAATTTTACTAACTTTACAATTAATTTATAGTTCTTGATCAAGGTACAGGGTTTGTAAAAATCGGAAGAGCAGGAACTAATTTTCCTGATCATACATTTCCTTCTATAGTTGGTAGACCAATATTAAGAGCAGAAGAAAGAAATTTACTTGTTCCTGATAATGTTGAAATTAAAGATATTATGTGTGGTGATGAAGCTAGTGAAGTAAGATCATTATTACAAATTAGTTATCCAATGGAAAATGGTATTATTAAAAATTGGGAAGATATGGAACATTTATGGGATTATGCCTTTTATGAAAGAATGAAAATACCTACTCAAGGTAAAAAAGTATTACTAACAGAACCTCCAATGAATCCATTAAAAAATAGAGAAACAATGTGTGATGTTATGTTTGAAAAATATCAATTTGGTGGAGTATATGTTGCTATACAAGCTGTATTAGCTTTATATGCTCAAGGTTTAAGTTCAGGAGTTGTAGTTGATTCTGGTGATGGTGTTACACATATTGTACCAGTTTATGAATCAGTTGTTTTAAATCATTTAACAAAAAGATTAGATGTTGCTGGTAGAGATGTTACAAGAAATTTAATTAATTTATTATTACGTCGTGGTTATGCATTTAATAGAACAGCTGATTTTGAAACTGTTCGTCAAATAAAAGAAAAATTATGTTATGTTTCTTATGATTTAGATTTAGATACAAAATTAGCTCATGAAACTACAACATTAGTTGAATCATATGAATTACCTGATGGTAGAGTTATTAAGGTTGGATCAGAAAGATTTGAAGCTCCAGAATGTTTATTTCAACCTCATTTAGTTGATGTTGAACAACCAGGAGTTGGTGAATCATTATATAATGTAATTCAAAATGCTGATGTTGATGTAAGATCTTCATTATATAAAGCCATTGTTTTATCTGGTGGTTCATCAATGTATCCAGGTTTACCATCAAGATTAGAAAAAGAATTAAAACAATTATGGTTAACAAGAATATTAAAAGGTGATGCAACAAGATTAGATAAATTTAAAGTAAGAATTGAAGATCCTCCAAGAAGAAGACATATGGTATTTATTGGTGGAGCAGTTTTAGCAAATATTATGGCTGATAAAGAACATATGTGGATTTCTAAACAAGAATGGGAAGAACAAGGTCCAAGAGTATTAGAAAAATTAGGTCCACGTTAAATAGATTTATTTCTTTCTTTCTTTACTTTACTTTGCTTTACAATCCTTTACTTATGTACTTTTAAAAATAAATGAAAAATAAATAATACAATATATATAATATATGTATATAATATATATAATTTGAAATGAAAAGTTCTAAGCGTAATTAAGGTCTTCAATCTGTTGTAAAACAGAATCAACCAATGCATCATAAACGTCCATAGCCATTGGACCACTCCCATTACTTCTTTTATTATAACCATAATTAACAGCCAGATGAACTAAATCTCTAATGAAATTTTCACTAACAACTTTAGGTTTTAAAAAATCACAATTTAAACATCTATCAACTGTCCACCTATCATTAGGATTTCTTTCAAGACAATTTTGCATTAATTCTATAACACTTAATGGTACTTGAATATTTCCAATCCCTTTATTAGGAAATTGAATTTTAACTTGAGGATTCATTATAGCCATTATACGTTGATTTCCTGAATAACCTCCATATGGTGGTTTACCATAAATCATTTGATAAATTATACAACCACAAGACCAAACATCTGATGGTTTACCAACTTTCCAAGTATTTCTTTGTTTTGAATTTTGATCAATACCAGGAAATCCTTGATTTACTTCAACTAATGCTTCAGGAGCCATATAATTTGGGGTACCAATTTGAGATTCTCGATAAATATTAGCTGTATGATCAGGTACAGCATTAGCAATTCCAAAATCAATTATTTTAAGAATTCCTCTAACAAATAAGAAATTTGCTGGTTTTAAATCACTATGAACTATTCCAGCTTCATGAACGGCTTTAACACATTTAAAAATTTCAATTGAATGATATCGAACAAAATTTAAATCTAATGGATTATTCATATGTAATTTATTTTGTAATACATGAGCCAAATCAATATCACCACATTCCATAATTAAATAAATTGATCCTTCACCCACGGCATGATCAACTAATTTAACTACTCGATCATAACTTTTTAATTTTAATAATAAATCAATTTCTCCTTTAAATCCTTTTACACATGATTCATCAAATTGATCAAATGTAACTTTTTTAATAGCATATAATCTATTATTTGAAAGGGATTTAACTTTATAAACTTTAGATGTACCACCTCTACCTAAAAGTTCTAATTTTTCATAATGTAATCCATTAATAACTATGGTTTTTTTCCTTTTATTTTCTTCTAAACCAGTTGTAGAAGCAGGTGGAGCAAGTGGAATAACTTCAGATATTACCGATACAGGTGGAGGTACTGATACTGGTACTTCTAATTCAGTTGAATGATAATTTGTTACTTTAGGAATTTTAGGTTTTCTGAAATTATCGAATTCATTAGGAATATTAATTTGACTTATAGAAACATTTGCTAATGGAATTCTTTCTTGTTTAATAATCCCATTTGCCTTTTGTCTAGTTTCTAAATTTTCCTTATTATCTTGCTTTACAATTTCGAATCTACCGATTGATTTTTCTTCTAATTTAATATTATCTACTTCTTTAAAAACAGGAACTTTTCTATTATCTATTGAAGTATCCAGTTTTGTCTTAAATTCATTATTTCTTTCTAATTCACTTAATTTCTCTCGTAAAAGGTTATTATGTTGAAATGAATTATTTTCAAAATCAGGATTTTTTATAATCGATGATATTTTAGGTGAAAAATTACTTAAATTAAACATTGGAGGTGGTGAAGTATTTGAAGCTAATGTATTTCTTTCATTAGTATCAATATCAATTTTATCATAATTGTCACTAAATCGAGATGCTCTTTTAGGTGGACCAAGTGATTTACCAAACCTTCTGGCTCGTTTTACAGTATGAGAAGAACTTCCAGGTCCAGTTCCAGTTCCAGTTCCAGTTCTTGATGATGTAAGTTTTTTATCAGCTGAATTATGTATGTTACTCCCTGGAGTTGTTGCTGGAGTTCGTGAAGTTGATGAATGAGGTGATGCTACTTGTTCCATTATATCTTCATCTGAAATAGTATTATGAGTATGAGATGAAAAATTATTAATGGATAAATTAAAAGAATTATGAGCAGATGTTTGAATATCTTGAATTGAACTATTATTAAAAGGTTCAGGGGTATTGATTGAATTTATGCTGTTTTGTCGAGATACTGGCTTTATATTATTATTATTATTATTATTATTATTATTATTATTATCGATATTATTATTATTATTATTATTGACATTGGAATCTTCAATCATTTGATTTAATGGAGATACTTCTTTGAAATGAACTGATAGTTTGTTTCTTAATACATTCGACTTCTTGTAATCGGGGAAATCTAGTTCATATATTCCTGTTATATTATTACTAGAATTATTATTAGTGGTTGTATTAGTTGTAGTAGTATTGGTATTGGTATTGGTATTATTATTATTATTATTATTATTTATCATGGGAGACAAATTCTTAGATCTATCATTTAATAATGCTATGCTATATGAACTTAATGCTGGAGGGAGGAAGGTATTATCTTCATCATGTAAAAAGTGTCTCTTATGAGATTCTGTATCGGAATTTGAATTGATCACCCTCCTTACTTCATTACCACCAGACGGTGATACAAAGTTTCGGAATGACATATCTCATCAAGTCAATTGTTTGTTTAATCGAAGTACAATTCTTATGATAAATGATAAATTGTCTACCCTAAATCAAACAGTTACTGACTGAAGGAAAAAATCTATACAATTTCCACTAGGAAATAACTTAAAACAGATTCGTCTAACTATTACACACTAGGCAAGTAATTCGTTTCTATGACCCCAAACTGGATTGTTTGTATATTTTCATTAACTTCGCGTTTGTTTACAAATAGAAAAAAAGATACTGCATATAAACCCAAATGATAGGGAAAAAAAGAAATTGCTCCACGGCAGGTTCGAACTGTCGACCTTCAGATTTCACAATCGTAATTAACTATGAGACTGACGCTCTACCGACTGAGCTAGTGAAGCTAATTTCCGAACTTTTAAAAATTGTCGGGCTTTAAAAAGTGACAGTTCACGTGACTAAAATCACGTGAAAAAAGTTTCTTAGAGGAAAATGTCGGCGCGCTACCAGATTGCACTTTTGGGTTAAGTTTTTTCTTATAATTCAACTAATGATGAACAACTTACTAGAGATTAGTTAATTGATTTCACAAGAGATATAAACAGACCGTTTGTTAAACTAACTAGACCGACAGTTACATAATGATTTCAGTAGATAGTGAAGATATACCTGCTTATCTCTTACATCTCTCTAAGTTACTCTTCTCTTAATTGGCTCAATATTCATTAATGAGTTAAATGTGTTTCCCCTTTTCCCCTTTTCCCCTTTTCCCCTATTCACTGAGTTTACTCCTATTTCAGCCTATTGGTCCTATTATGTTTCTTCTTAGTTCGCATTTCTCGTTTCTAAAGCGGAAATAAACAATTCGGAGATGAACGGATATAGTAATTTTCGGAGTTTATTCTTTGAGAGTTCTACTAATTATAGACCCTTTTTAACCACCAGTTCATTTACTAGAGTGGTTCGGTGTTTATGCAACTTGATATCTTCTTTACCATTAGCTCATCTTAGACATATTGAGAAATTAAGGTTCATATATATAACTTTAAACCTTTCATATATAAATTAGTGCGAAGCCCCCCAAAGCTCCCAAAGCTCCAAAAGCCCCTATATAAAAAGCCAGGTCAACTCTAAATTTTTCAATCTTTGGTACTATCTATGGAGAAGAAAATCTTTACCTTATTACCTTATAGCATATTATTAAACTTCTAAACATAATAGATATGGTTCTTGATAGACACACAAGAGGTACGACGTACTATGAGAATAATTATATAGTTAGAAATGTTGAATCTATGTATCATAATTTTAATGTTACAGCTCAATATAATATAAAATTAACTCCACAAATTTTATCTCATGGTGTTAGAAATTTAATTTTAAATAATCCTATATTTACAGTTAATTATTTTAAAGGTAATGATCCTAATCCACTTATATTTGATTATACTGTTAAACCAATTGAAAAAATTCAATATAATGATATAGTTGAATTTGAAACTATTAATCATGAATTTAATGAACAAACTTTGAAATCATTAAATTTAAAACGATTTAAACTTAATGATCAAAATATTTTATGGAAATTATATATTTATGAATTTAAAGATATTCAATATGTTTCATTTTGTTGTGATCATGTTTTATTTGATGCCAATGGTGCTAGTGCATTCCATGAAGATTTATTAAAAGAAATATCGAATTTAAAAAATAAATCTTTAGATATTTTAGATGAAATCTTTAATTATGAAAATGATAAAAATGATTTAGCAAGTTTACCAGAAACTACTGATAAATTAACTAATCTTTTTAGTATTTTATATAGTTGGACTAATTTACAAATTTGGAGTGATCTTTTACCAAATTATATTACAAATTTCTTTTATAAGAATTTTCATAATATTGATTTTGAAAAGATTCAATTATTCACTAATAAGATGATTCAAAGAAGAACTGATGTTAATTATCGTATGGTAACTTTAACTAATAATGAATCAAGGAATTTATTAAAAAAATTACGAGAAAGAAATACTACATTTACTCCTTATTTTCTGGCTATTGTTTGTGAATTACTTCAACTCAAAGTATTTCCTTATATTGATGGAGAAAAATTAATTAAATTAACTGTTGTTGTAAGTGGAAGAAGATATTATCCAGAACTTAAGAATCAATTAAAATATAATTTCTGTGTTAGTTCATGTTGGATGTATATAAAACCATTTAAAAAATTATTTGATACTATTACTAATATTGGGAATAATTTAAAATATGATATAACTACAAGGAAACCTTTCCAATATGTTGGACTTTTAAATTATATAGATATACCTAAATTAATTCTTGGAAGAATTGGAAGTTATGAAAGATCAACTATAGAAGTTTCAAATATTGGATCATTTAATTTTGAAACTAATGATGGACTTAAAATTTCTGAATTATGGTTTAGTCAAGATATTGGACATTCAGGACATTTTGTATTTTCTATAACTAGTACTTCAACTGGTTCTTTACATATGGTTGTTAGTAGTTTGGTAGATTGTGAAGATATTTATAATCCAAATACTAATGTTAAAGTAATGGATGAATTTTCAACTGCCCTTAAATCACGCTTATTACATGCTATAGACGACGAATTATAGATAAAATCATATTTATTTATTTATTTATTTATTTAGTTAGTTAGTTAGTAACTAAATATCATCCTTAATAAACTAATTTCTACCTCAAGAATTAAACTTACATGAAAGCATATATATGTTATAAATGAAAATGAAAATGAAAATGAAAATGAAAATGAAAATGAAAATGAAAATGAAAATGAAAATGAAAATGTGAATATAAATGTAAATGTCGGATATGAATCTAAAACCCTCCAGTCATATCTCTTATTTTATCTACTTCCTCTTGTAATGCCTTTAAATCATCTAAGATATCTATAGTACTATCATTAGATCCACCATTATTATATAGAGTACTTAAATTTGTAGAAGATGAATTATCATTTTCAATCGAAATTTTAGGTGGTAATGGTGGAACTGAATTTTGAGTTTGAGTTTGATTTTGATTTTGAGAAAATGAAGTATTTCTTCTTCTTGCAGGTGGTGGTGGAGGAGGAATCTTTAGAGATGGTACATTAGTTGTACTTGGATTTGGACTACTATGAAGTGGAGATCTTATTGGGACTGGAGGTGGAACATTTAAAGGAACTGGACTTGGATTAACATTTAGATTTGAATTTGTATAATCCCCAGCAATTACGATATTTGATAATGGTGAACTAATTCTAGGAGTTGGAGAAGATATAGATCTTGTTCTTCTAGTATTTGGAACAGGAGGAGGTTGAGGACCATTTGTTCTTGAACCAGTAGAAAATGAAGATGATGAAGGACGTAAAGGTGAACCATCATTAGTTGTTCTTGAATTTTGAAGAGTATTTGCCATAGTATTACCAGTCATTTGATTTGTAAATGATTGTAATGAGATTTTAGGAACTTCAGAAGTATTATTCGTAGATTCAGGTGAAAAGATTCTTGCCATATCGGCTGGACCTGTAACATTTGGTCTTAAGAATGAAGGAGATTCATTATTATTAATACTATTTCCTGAATCTCCAGTATCTTCATCATCTTCATCTCGTGAATAATGAAATTGTGCCATTTGAGTAGGACCTGTCATATTAGGTTTTAAAAGTTTTGGTTCTGGAGATGGAGAAAACATTCTTGACATTTGAGCAGGACCTGTCATATTTGGTTGAAGTAAATTATCATTACTATAACCATCATGAAAATGTATACTTGCCAGACTACCACCAATAAGAGCTGTATCTACTGAATTTAAATTTTTAAAATGATTAATTTGTCCTTCCATATCTCTTAATAATTGTTGTTCATCTTCATCAGGTGATGGTGGTTTTATAAATTGATTAGATTGTTGAGGTTGCAGTTTCATACGATCTAATAATTGATCCATTGGTAAAGAATAATCCAAACTTTCTTGTTGAGGAAATGGAGATCCTGAAGGTGAAGGCATAAATGAATCTTCATGAATATCAGTTACTATTCTATCAGAAAATTTAACTGATTTTAATTTTTTATTTCTTTTCTTCTTTGGTGTATCATCAGGTCTTTCACCAGTTAAAATAAATTGTGTAAAACTATCAAGATCTAATGGTTTATTTTGTTCTATTGATGATATACCAATATTATTATTATCATTTCCATTATTATTAATCCCATTCGCTATAGATAAATCATTATCATTTAAATTACCTTCACTATCATTATCATCATCATTTTGTCTCTTCTTGGATAAAATTGAAGGAGGTGTTGGAACTGCTGCTTGAACTTTAATTAATTTTCTACGAGGTTCAGCTCCAGTTAATGTATGACTTATTAATCTTAATAATGCAAAAAATTCTCCAATATTAATTGAATAAATAATTTTTTGAAAAATTCGACTTATTTTATCTTTTATAATTTGAGATAATTTAAAATTAATTAAAAAATTAAATACATCATTTAATGTAACTGTTCTACTATTAGTTCTTGCTAGTATATCACTATACCATCTCATATAAGTTTTTGATTCTTGTAAAGTTAATTCTTGAGCTGTTAAAGATAATGGAATTCCTGAATCTTCATCATAATCAAGTAAAGATGTTGAATTATCTCCTCCAAGAGAATTTGAATGAGCTATACTTTCTAAACTATTATTATCACTTCTAGTTATATTAAGAAATGTTGAATTATAATTAATATTATTAGGATTTAATCTATCATTAGAATTAGAATTTGAATAACCTCCAAAACTTTTCCTAGTTAATTGATCAGCTGAATTATTCTTAAAATAATAATTTTGAATATCTGATGAATTAGGAGATCCAGAATTATTAGAATCTTGCAGATGAGAATGTAAATTTGGTTGTAAAGAAGAAGCATAAGTTTTACTATAATCTGTTGTAGTAATATGTGGTGATCCACTTATACCAAATGAAACATTTGGAGCTGGAGACGCTGATCCACTTCCATTTATATTATTATGATTATTAGTATTATTAGTATTATTAGTATTATTATGATTAATTAATGTTTCACTATGAGTTGGTCGAGGTGGAGTTGGATTAATACCATTACCTGCAGACCCAGGAGGTAGGTTTAACCAATCAAACCCAGGACCATTCATGATTTATTTATGGGCATGTAACCGTTAATGGAAGAGAGGGAGAATGAAGTATGAACAATGAAGAATGAGCAAAGTAACAAGTACAAAAATTGAATGCTTGGATATGATAAGGAGGGTGAAAAACTTGGAGATAATCAAAGCAAATGTTATGGGAATGACTAAAGTAGTGGATATTTTGATTATTAATCGTCAATGATAGTTCTTTGCTCCTGCTTTCAATTATCGTATGTATTTATATAGTTAATATTCCTTTTGTGATTTTGTAACGATCTTTTTCTCGTGCTGGCTCTATACAGTCCACAAACTTTTTTAAGTAGTAGTTTGTGGTAGAGTAGTAGAATTTATTTACTAGTATATTACATGATAGTATATTGTACTATAGTATAGTATTATATTTGGTATAGTTTAAAGAGTATAGATAAATCATAATAGTATATAAAACTGGTTTACATTAATCGGTATAGTTATAGTTATAGTTGTAGTTATAGTATTTATAAAAGTAATGGTTTACATTATATGAACTATTTAATAGCATATCATAGTCTCACAACTCTAGTAATAATCCTATACATTTTTTCAACTAATGTCAATCTTCGCTAGTGTATATCATAACTATAAGTTATACAATTTAGTGGAGAAAATGGGGGTCAATTTGGAGGAACTAAGTATAAAAATAAGTATTCTAATTCTAGAAGTTCTCGGTGGATTTACTACCCAATTCGGCAAGTAGCGACCAATTATTAATAATAATTATTTATTGGGGAAAGAAAAGATGTACACTTCAAAAACATAAATTAAATGTACAACTAATAATACTTATAGAGCGAAAGAGAGAAATCATCTTAAACAATTCACAATTCACAATTCATTAATGATTATAATTTTAACGTAAAGCTTCTTGTAAAGAAACAGTATTGGTAATTTGTCTGTTATTACCAGTAGATTGAGGATTAAAACCAGCTCCTTGAGCCCATTCATCATCTTCATCTAAATTTTGAGCCTTTTCTTTATCAGAAATATTAGTAGTAGCCATTCTTTCAACTTCTTGAGATGATGGCATAAAAATAACTCTTGAACCAGAACTTTTAGCCATATTTTGTAAAGCTTCTAAATATCTAATTTGCATAGCAGGCTTAGAAGCTAAAATATCAGCAGCTTTTCTCATTAATTTAGCACTTTCAACTTCAGCTTTAGCATTAATAATCTTACCTTCACCAATTCTCTTAGCTTCTGCAGCCATTGATAATGAAGCTTGTACCTTTTCAGGTAAAGTTAAATCTTTAATTAAAATTGATTCAATATGAACACCCCAATCAAAAGCAGTATTAGCAATAATATGTTCAATTGATTCAGCAATTTCTTCTCTCTTTTCAACAACTTCTTGTAAAGATCTACTACCAACAACATCTCTCAAAGTATTTTGAGTTCTTTCAATAATAGCAGTATGAATATCAGCAATTGCAAAAATAGCCTTTTGAGGATCAATAATATTATAATAAGCAACAGAAGTAATAATAACACTTACATTATCTTTAGTAAAACATCTTTGAGCAGGAATTTCACGAATATTTATTTTAATTGATACTCTAGTTAATTTTTCAGACCATGTATTAACATAAGATAACCCTGGTTCAACAGTTCTTGATAAAGCACCAAAAGTTTGAACTAATCCAACTTCACCTTGCTCAACTTCTCTATAAGGATTTCTACAAAGAAAACAAAATACACCACATGAACCAAATATTTGACCCATATTATTAATAAAATGTTGATAAGTATTGAATTCAGGTGTTTCATATGATTTAGTAAAATTGGTTAATTTCATAGGAACTTTAGCACTTGGCTCAACTCTAACTGCTTGCTTATATGCATCAGCATCGAATGAATGAGAAGATTCGGCTTCCATAATTGATTAATTAATTGTTATTGATATTAAAGTATAAATAGATAATAATTCTACAAATAATTTTTATAAAAAGAATTTAAATTAAAAGAAAATATGGTCTATTTATAATCATGACCATTGCTGTATATAATTTACAAAAACTTCAATCAAGCGATTCAATGTAAGCTTTTGTTTGTTAAGATAATTCTTTTTTTATTTTTTTATTTTTTTAAATTCTGGGGTGGGTCAGTACCTAATAATTTGTGGCACAAAATATATATCTTTCTAAGAGGCTTTAACATTAAGTTGACCGATCAACGTACATGTATCAGAATAAGTTTATAACCGATAACATACTAAAACCCGGCTATAGTTATCAATTTTGATTAGGTTTGTGATTAATCTCGGTTATTTATTACAAAATTAATTTGAAACTATTTGATACTGTAATAAAATTGAATCAATGGCTATGTCATTGTCTATCGGTTATAAAAGGCGTTTACATAGAGGGTTCATTAGCCGCATATCGGTTTTATGGACTTTTTAATTCGATAACATTGCCCTGATTGAATAATCAATATTGGAAATATTAATCTATATTACTTCTATAATTAAGGTCATTAATTTACTTTATAGATAGACGTATTTTGAAGCATGCTTATCATTGCCATAAATCTTTTAATTTTCATTCGGTCCGATTTCAAATTACTCTGTTTTTTTTACAATTATGTACTATTAGGCGTATATTGCCAAGATAATGCTACTGCTACTTCTGTATATATTAGATTTTACGTGATCATACAACTTAACCTTGAATTGTTAACATTCATTCACTATCAATACCAAAGCACATATTCTTCACTTAGCCGGCAGAAAATATGGAGGAAAACGAATGACTTTTGTGCGAATAAGTTTAAGCCACTCACTCTCCCAAAGGATTGAGCATATTCTTCATTGGGCAAAATTATCCAATTGAGCCTCGTAACTAGGTAAGTTCCAGGATTGATCGTAATCAGTTGATCATGTTCTACCGTATATATGTAAGGCTTTGATTAAATTGGTAATTCATTAATTTCTATTATTGTAAGCTATACTTGTCCGAAAAGCCTAATACTGCAGTTTTCATAGGGCACTTCTTTACAGTATTTCACCTTTTTAATTTAGCATTGTTTGCGGTATTTATAGAAAATCACTCGAGTCAGGGTTTTAAGAATATCCAAAAATTCTTCATTACTTTATGGCTGGTTAGACATATTGTAAAGACTTCTCTTTTGTCCGTTAAAATCGCACGACCATTTTTAATGGCCAAGGTTGCAAAAATCAAAGAAACTACATTAAAACATACAATTCGACAAATAAAGGTATATATTAAACGATTTTTTTTTGGTTTTTTATAAATTTTCTATAACGATTAAATACATCAATAATATAAAGTGATATTTTTAGTAATTGATCTGTTTTTAAATTTTTTTTGTTTTTTTATGGGTTTTTCTAAACAGAGTACCTTTAAGTCTAATAATTTAAGGTCATGACATCATTATTCATTACAATATAACATTAAGAATAAAAACACACAAATAAAAAGAAAACACCTTTATAATTATAAAAGGCATTTAAAAGATCCACGAAAATGTGTTTTCGAAATAAAATAATTAACAAGATGATGATTCATTTCATTAATTACTCTATAGTTTTCATTGATTCTTAAACAAATTGCAAATAAATAAAATTAATGATGTCAATCCTTCTTTTGGTTTAAAATTTGGTCAGCCCAAGTTGGCAAGACGAAAGAAGCTTCGTGTATTTGTTTGTTGTAATATTTCAAGTTCTTAGCAACAAATTCATCACTCCAATCAAATCTGATTGGTTTTTGAACCTTAGCGTCTTTGTCTTTTGAACAAACCATAAAACCAATAGAACCACTTGGATAAGTTGGAATCATAGTGTAAGCATATTCTGCAACCGGGAATATTTCTTGACAATCTTGCTTTAATTTAGAAATAATTGGCATGTGTAACCAAATGTTTTCAGCTTGAGTAGTGATAACACCCTTTTCAGTTAAAGCATCTCTCAATAATTCAAAGTATGGCTTTTGGAAAAGAGATTCAGCTGGACCTTCTGGATCAGAAGAATCAGTGATAATAACATCGAATTGGTTTTTATATTCAGCTAAGAATTTAAAACCATCACCAATGTGAACTTTAGTTCTTGGGTCTTGGTAAGATTTAGACATTTCTGGTAAGAATTTCTTTGAAACTTCAATGACAGTTTCATCAATGTCACATAACCAAGCTTCTTCAATGGATTCATGTTTTAAGATTTCTCTTAAGACACCACCATCACCACCACCAATAACTAAAGCCTTCTTTGGATTTGGGTGAGAATTTAAGGCTAAATGAGTGATCATTTCTTGATAAGAAAATTCATCACGTTCAGTACATTGAATACAGTTGTCTAAAACCAAAACATTACCGTAATCAGTTGATTTGAAAACCAAGACATCTTGGTATTTGGATTTTTCAACGTGTAAAATTTCTTCGACTCTTAAAGACATAGCTTGACCTGGCCACATGGTATTGGAAATTTCAGCAAACCAACCATCCTTGACCCCAGGGTGGGTTAATTTTTCACTACTCATAATTGATAGATAGAGTACTCAATTAAACTATGGAATCAATTATAACAAGAAAAGAAAGTGGTATATCTGTATAAAAATTATAAAAATTCTTCATTCGATTCGTTGCAATAAAATTTTTCATTTAAATTTCTATCACAAAAATAAACATCAATTACAATTAGAATCTTTTTTTTGGCGCAGGCGGATCTTAGAGAGTCAAAAAAAAAGTGGCTAAAATATAGCAAAGAAGTTAATTATAATTAAGCGCAAATAATGAAAACCATTAATTTATTTCTACATAAACCAAATTAAATATTTTCTACATTTTGATAATTTATATAAATATTAATAAATTCATAGAGACTAAATGTTGTCAACTAAAAGTTAAATTCAGAGTCGTTATCATTACTCATTCTGCCCTTTTCTTTATGAGGGTATGGAGCCCTAGGTAATGGACTAGATATTGAACTTCCATCCACGTCAACATCGACGAAATTCCAATGTCCATTATCGTGTGATTCGTCATCTGCATCTTCATAACCATTAGCTGATTCACGAGGGTGATAACTGTCATAACGATTGTGATCTGAACCTTCCTTTTCAATCGATTCTTCATCTTCCTCATAATCAGATGGATAATATGATTGTTCGGCTGTAATAATTGATCTGACTTTCCGGGGTAATATGTCAGGTCTGTAGAATCTAAGATCAACTCTACCAATAATATATAATATATTGATAATGACTTCAAAAGCACCCCAACATATATACATAAATGCCTTACTGGCAGCTGGTGATGCATTCCTATTAAAGCTATATTGGAATGTAACAACACATCTTCCAACAGCACCGATAAAGATTAATACCGTAGATATGATAATAATTAATAAAGAAATGTTATGTTTCAAGTCACCTCTTTCATTACTCAAACCTTTAACCATCTTATAATGGTGGTGAGTTGCCGCAATAACTCTGATTGCATGCCTATGATTATGATTTCTTTTCATAAAAGTTTCTTCTGCTCTTTGTGCAGCTCCTGGTTGTACAAAATAAAATGGACTGAAACTTTCAATCCACCATGGTTGGTAAGTATACAAATTTTCATCTTTAGATGTTGGAAGCCAGAATGATAATCCAATCAAAGCAATAGAAGTTAAACTGTAGGCAATGACTAAGATAGAAATTGATTTGACGGCAACTCGATAAGAATCATAAGCACTTTGATTCAAAAAATATAAATACGGAATGAAAGAACCAAAAATGACCACTCCGATTAACAAAATGACAACAGCATAAGTAGTTAACATGAATCCCCAGAAAAGCTTTCTAGAACCACCAACTGGATGTCTCCATGTGAATAATCTTTGGGCCAAAATTAAGTTCAATGATACAATAATGATGGAAGGAACAATACATAAAACCTCACTAGTCAAACCGATAGCAATTAATGTAACATCACTTGCCCATACTGCCCTTAACGCAAAGCCAACAGTTCTCATTAATCCATAAAATATCCATCCAATTGAAACCCAAAAGAAATGACCTCTTGAAAAGTTTATGACAAATAATAGCAAATGCATTAGTGTTATAATGAAAAATAATACTGTAAATAGAATACTAGGACCAACTTCGTCAGTACCAGGATATGAACCAAATAAATTATTTTGAAGGCCAACAACATATGAAACGACTGTAGGAGGAATATTGGGTCCCAGTAGATTATGTACCAAATCAACTAATTTGGAAATTCCCGTACCTCTTGCTGGATAATTTTCCATTCGAAGAATTAAATTGACAACTCCTTCAACAGTAGTATATTGAGGATCATACCGAAGGGTATTATTGAAATATACAACCATTTTTGTTTTATTATATTAGTTTTAATGCTAATTATGTGAGATAAGTCTGTATAGACTCGAAAATGGTTTTCGTGGTTTATAATTGAATATGGAGCAAATGAATTTAAACTGTTCAGAATACCACGATGATTAAAAGAATGAATAACTACTATACCAAAGAAGAAGCAAATATTGTTCAACATTTAAACACTTTAATTAAATCTTCAAGAAATTGGTTTTTATATATGCAATATAGTGATATTGTATGCCTTTCTGCATTGTCGCAATTGGAATGCAAAATCTAACCCCGCGAAAAGTGTAGATGTCCTTTCCAAATTAGGTAATTTCTCTCTACAAAATTATTGTGTAACTTTACCACATATAGACAACAACTGCGAAAATCTCACTATGCATCAAGTATAAATTTTATGGACCTTTATGATGAATAAGTCAATACTAACCTGATGGTTTCAGTGTATATATGTCTTGGAAATTTTCAATCATTGCCCTCAATTGTTAACTTCAGAAGAATATTTTACTATTTATTTATTTAATCATTTTTACTAAAAAAAGGTACAGCAGAAAATCCGAGAATTTTCATCTACTTGGAAGTGTGAGGGGCAAGCCAAACGGAAGTAGTGCAGAAACAACATTATAAATTTGCAACCGATTTAATCAATTAAATAACACAATAAATAAATAAATTAAAACATAAATAAACGAACAGAAGTAGTCTAATAAATATATCTAAATAAATAAGAAAAAGATTAGAATGAATAATATCAGTATTAGAAGTAAAATTCAGATTCGTCATCTCTCTTCTGACTGATTTCGGATGGATAAGAATATCTGGGAGGTACATTAATTCTTTCAAGGCTAGTATGAGAGATTTCTTCGTCCTCAAAGCTGTTTATTCCATATTGTTGAGCATAATAATCTTCAGAATTTGCTTCACTTTCAGCCTCACTAATCATTCCAGATTGTTCTGCAGTAACAATTGATCTCACCACTTCAGGTAATATATCGGGCCTGTAAAATCTAAGATCAGCCCTCCCAAGAATGTAACCCAAATGCATTATCAATTCAAACCCACCCCAAACAAGGTACATGACTGCAGGTTGTGCTAGGGGTGAAGCATAGTAATTATACCTACTTTGAAAGACAATAACACATCTAATGACATTACTGAGAAATAAAAGTATAGTTGAGATAATAATTACGAGTAAAGAAATATTATGTTTCAAGTCACCTCTTTCATTACTCAAACCTTCAACCATCTTATAATGATGATGAGTTGCTGCAATAACTCTGATTGCATGCCTATGATTATGATTTCTTTTCATAAAAGTTTGTTCTGCTTCTCTTGCTGCACCTTTAGGAACAAAATAAAAGGGATGGAAACTTTCAATCCACCATGGTTGGTAAGTATACAAATTTTCATCTTTGGATGTTGGAAGCCAAAATGAAAGACCAATAAGAGCAACTGCTGTTAAGGCATAAACAATAACTAAGATGGCAGTTGCCATAACACATTTCTTGTAACTCAAATACATATGTGAAGACAAAAATGCTAAATAGGGAGTTGCTGATGCAACAATGGTCAAAGCAACGATACCAAAAACAAAGATGTACAAACCCATCATGAAGCCCCAAAAGAGTTTTCTTGACCCCCCTACAGGATGTCTCCAAGTGAATAATCTCTGTGCTAACACCAAATTAAAGGACACAAGAAACACTGTAGGAAGGACGAAAAGAATCTCGTTTGCGATTCCAATAAGAACTCTATTAATATCCTGAGCCCACGAGATTCTGAGTGCAAAAGATGATAACCTTAGAAGTGCAGCAAATGACCAACCTAATGAAAGTGTAAAGAAATGGCCCCTTGTAAAATTTACAATGAAGATGAATAAATGAACAATGAAAAGAATTGCAAATATTACTACAAATATTGAAGATGGAATGATTTCCCAATGACTTGGATATCCTCCAAGTAAGTTATTCTGAATACCAACACAATATTGGACAATTGGTAAGGGCAAATTAGGTCCTATTATGCCTTTTGCAAGATTTAATATTTTATGGATACCAGTTCCATCAGCTGCACCATTGTTCACGGCTTCGATTATTCGAATGACTCCAACTGATACAGTGTATCCCTTAGGATTGGGTGTTATATATGTAACATTTGTCATTTTTTTCAGGCCTAAGAATAATTGAATTTTGCAGAACTACTGCTGTTTGAACGAGTGTTCGTTAGTTGTTCTAGAGTCAAGCAGAATTCTTTAAATGATCAGCTCGGTGAATGTAATTGTAATTGTAATTGTAATTTTGTCTCAATTCTTAATGGTATTTGACTAGTAATTGTTTTCAACCTCTTTGCATCTCAAACTTGCTCTTATCTGAGAAGAAAGATAATCAAAGTTAAAGTTATTCATGGTGGGGCATGTCAAATTTCTCAACCCCCTAAGGGTTCCTCGCTAGAAAAATTCGCAACGGTAACCGATTAGGTATTTTATTTTGTTGCATTTAGTCGCATTTGAATTGAAAATTACGATATCATCATTGCCTAATTAGGAAATTTCTCGATTAGTGCTACCTACCAAATTTAGTTAATGATTATTGTTGAAAGGCTACGCTTTTTAAATGTTTTGAAAATATTTGGATACAAAGAGACTTACAATAGAGCACAAGGTTATGTATATATCAATAAAGCCTCTCAGACAACTCATTTGGCATTTTAAGACTCCTTTCATCAGTTTCGATACAAAATTCTCTGAAAAAAAAATAATATGGTGATACTATACAATAATATCACAGCTATTTCTATTTGATCTCTAATTATATTCTATAAAATTTTTCTAATCATATAATGTGATAATTATTTATTTTCAATGAATTCTTTAATATTCTTTCCATCTGCTTCTATAATTTTAGTAATTTTAGATAAGATATCAGCAAAACTATTGAATTCAGTATAAGGAATATTTTCTCTAATACAGTATTTGATTAAATCTTTACCGTGCTTTGCGAAAAGTAAATCAGTTTCTTTAGCAGCTGATAAATCTGAGACTCCATCACCAGAATAAAATAATAAAGGAGTGTTTGAAGAATTATAACCATGATTTGTTAAATATTCTTTAATTGAATTTGCTTTGTCATGACCAAAAGGAGATTCAGGATCTTTGTAAACAATTTCCCATTTTTTCGATACTTCATCAATTTTAACATCATTAGAAATAATGTCGATATTTTTAATTGCTTCTTCACCAACTAAATTTTTCAATAAAGCATAAATAATTGGTTTCATACCAGAACTAATTACAATGACTGGTATATGTTTGGCTTCACACCAATGATAAAATTCTTTAAATCCAGGATCTAATTGAACATTCTTCAATAAGAGGTCAATACATTCAGGGAAAGGAGTTGAAATTGATTCCAACATTTCTCTGAACCCGTCTCTAAAAGATTGGGTTCCAATTAATATTTGATCATTAATTTCTGATCTTTTTGCTAAACCGAAACCAATATTATCAGTTAAATAATCGTTGGAATCTTGTAAAGTAACAGTACCATCCCAATCGGTGAAGACAATAGCTGGAGGTGAAGTAGATGAAGTCATATTAATAACGGTAAGGTTTGAATATTTTCTATACTATAGTAGAAGTAACTTGGTATTTTTTAGTGTACACGAACATATCGAGATCGAACAAAAACAAATTTGACCAAAATACACTATTGAGTAAGATTTGATATTTTGTTCATAAACCCACGACTTTCATAAAGTGAATTTAAAGCGCAATAGGCAACGTCATAATGTCGTAGAGTAGCAATTTTAGACAAAAAAGCAATCTGAGAATGTCGGAAAGAGCAAAGGTGATACGAAATGTCGTAAAGCTAGCTCAGTATAGTACACAAAAGTAGCCAAGAAGTTAATGCATAATACGAAAACCTTAGTATGCATTATAACATCATTCATATTAAGAACTAAAAAGATATTACGATATTTCAATATTAAACATTACGTTGTTTATTAGAATGTTACTAATTTTAATATGAATTAGAAAATGTAGTAGTAGTAGTAGTAGTAGCCATAGATACATTTAATAAAAAAAGCAAGAAAAGAAAAAACAAGAAAAAAATAGGGTTAATCATTTGTGGGTTGCAATAGAACAATTTTTAATACGATTAAATTATGGTTATTATATTATACAGTACAGTATTTCAAAGATCAAATCTGTCATTAAGCTTTGAATTTTTTTAAATGAATTGCTGTAATTTATACTACCTAATTTAACAAAGGGTCGCATTTATCCTTCTCTTCAAACTTAATATCCACACTTCGCTGACTATAATTTTGAAATAATAAAGGCCCAGACCACACATTTTCTCACATTTATTATTTAACATTATTTCAGTAAATCTAAGCGGCGTATAAGCTTTTGTTGCTCGTCCCTCGATTTTTATTTTTTGCTGAGTGAGACATTTGGATTAGATTAATTTAATTTTATCATTCCAATCACTTTCAACAGTTACTACTTCAACATTACTTTGGGTTTTACTGGAATAATTTACATTTACCTTAAGTTTAATTTCCTGACTATCATTGAATATATCAAATATCACATAATTTCAAATCAATCATTATTGAAATATTTACTTTCTATTCATTTTGACTGATACTCCGCACCCATCTCATTAGTTTTATTGAATTATTGCTTATGGATATATACCTAACCTTACTTTATATACGGACCATTTTATAGACTTGATAAAACCTAAATTAAAAAACAATCCCCATCCACCAACCAACAATCATCATGTTTGAAAATTTAAAAGCATTCATTAGACATGGGAAGCAAGCTAATGATATAAAAAAGAGACAAACAACAACTACAGATCAAAATATAAGTAATTCAAATTCATACCCAAATGTTACTTTACCATCTCAGTTCAATCCAGATTTGAATATCAATCATGAACAATTAAGTGCTACCAATAATAATCATATTCCAACTAATGATACTAATGGAATATATACCAATAGTAATTATCTGGATATAACTTTAATTAGTAATTCTGCTATTCAAAATGTATATCCAACACCAACAGAACAACCACATGATGATAGGAATTATCAACATGTTGCAACCCATATAGTTGAACAAGAAAGACTCGAGAAACAAAGAGAAAAGCAGGCTAAATACCCTAATTTAGATAATTATGAAATTATTGATAAAATGGGAGAAGGAGCATTTTCTGTGGTTTATAAAGCTAAACATATTCCATCAGGTAGATTTGTTGCCGTTAAAATATTACGAAAATTTCAAATGGATCAAGTTCAAAAGCAAGCAGTATTAAAAGAAGTTACTATTATGAGACAATTAAGTCATCCTAATATTGTAAAATTTATTGAATTTATTGATTCTCCAACTTATTATTATATTGTTCAAGAATTAGCCATTGGTGGTGAAGTATTTACTCAAATCGTAAAGTATACTTATTTCTCGGAAGATTTATGTCGTCATGTAATTTATCAAGTTGCAAAAGCCGTTAGATATCTTCATGAAGAAGTAGGAATTGTTCATCGTGATATAAAACCAGAAAATTTATTATTTATGCCAATTGATATAATTCCTAGTAAAGATCCACTTTCCAAATTAAGAAAATCAGATGATCCCAATACTAAACAAGATGAAGGAGAATTTACTTTTGGAGTTGGAGGAGGTGGAATTGGTCTTATTAAATTAGCTGATTTTGGTTTATCTAAACAAATTTGGGAACATAATACAAAGACTCCTTGTGGAACTGTTGGTTATACTGCCCCTGAAATAGTTAGAGATGAACGTTATTCTAGAGAAGTTGATATGTGGGCTATTGGATGTGTTTTATATACATTATTATGTGGATTTCCTCCATTTTATGATGAAAGAATTGAATCATTAACTGAAAAAGTTGCTCGAGGTGAATATACATTTCTTAGTCCTTGGTGGGATGAAATATCTATTGAAGCTAAACGATGTGTTAGTAAATTATTAACGGTTGATCCTAAAAGAAGATATACAATTAATGATCTTTTAAGTGATCCTTGGTTAAATAAAGTTTCTGCTGATCTGAAAGAAATTCCTAAACCAAAATCCGAACGATCTAATGAAGTTCATCCAATTCAAAGTTTTAATGTTAAATATTCTAAGAAGTATAAGAATTCTCAAGAATTATATTCTCCTGCTGCTGTAGCACTTCGTGATGCATTTGATATATCTACTGCAGTACATAGAATGGGTGAAGAAGCTGCTCTTGGTAAATTAAATCCTAATACAATTCAAGATTTAGTAGAAGAGGAAGAAGAAGAAAATGAAGAAAATGTTGATAGAGAAGGTCATGTATTAGAATCATCAAATCCAACTCATACAACATCTCAAAAAACCACTACTCATCATCATAAATATAATTATAACAATAATAGTCATAAGCAACAACAAGCTAGAATTTTTGAATTAAATTTAGGAGGTGCCTCTATTATTGAAAGAAGAAAAAACAAACAAGTATCAGTTGAGGGTTAATTAATATATTATTGTTATATATTATTAGTTTTATTAATAATTTTATTGTTATCGTTATGTCTTTAGTTCGTAAACATTTTATATCTTAAACAATCTTATTTAGTCATTTATCTTTATTTTCATTATTTATGAATAAAATTTGTTAATTATATATTTGTCAATTATATGTATATTATTATTTATCTGTTTATTGTAGGAATCCTCTAAGTAAAGCTGGAGGTCTCACTAGCTTATTACTGTTTAGGTAGGTGATGTGCGGCTCAATTGGTGGGGGATGCCTCAAAAAAAAAAGATTGTGCTTAGTTATTAAGCAAAGTACTGTACGATAAAGAAGGTGTGTGAACAAGGTAATTATTATAAATTATATATTATAAATTATAGTCCTTGATATGGTTCAGAATTACTTAGTCAGTACTAGATATACTTAATATACATAAATATAAATCATGGTATTACAATTGATAGATTTTAATTTTGATAATATTTGTAAATTAATTGCAATAAATCGGGAAACTCCCCAGAAACTGAAAAAGAGACCAAAGACAAGTCATAGTTATAGAAATGGACTTGCTATTGATAATTTAAAATATACTGAATATTATAAATCTGCTAGAATAAATAATGAATTACAACCAAAAAAATCTTTACATGAAGAATTAATTACTTTAGCTGAACGATCATTTAATTTTAAACAGGAATGTCCTATAAATTTATTAGAAGATGATGAAAATTTAACTGGAAATTTTTCAAAATTACTGGAAATTTCTTCAAATGTATATGAATTTATTATTGATGATATTAAATTAAGTTTTGATAATAATCATGGTTTATTATATATAAAAACTAATAGTGTTAATATTTATCCAAATATTTTATTATCAATTAATTGTATTGATTTTACTAATACTGAAGTTTCATTATTTAAACAAGAATTAACTTTAATTAATTATAATATAACTAAAAGAGAAAGAAATAGTATAACAATTAATGAACCAACTTTAAAATTAGTATTTAATAGAAATACAAATGAAATTCAAGTCTCTGTATATTATTCAATTTTTTATAGTAGTGGTCTGATAGCTGGTAATCAAGTTGAAAAGATAAGTTCAATGTTACTGCAAAGATTACAAGAATATCCAATTATTAATGAACAAAAATCATTTACACAATTTAATGAATCTGAACCAGTTAGTGCTAAATTATTTTATACAGCAATATCTGAAAGTACAGAATTAAAACCAAAAATTGAAGATGAATTTGATATACCAGAATTATCTACGAATTTAATTCGATTTCAAAAGAAAGCAGTTAATTGGTTATTAGAAAAGGAAAATGTTATGTATGATTTTGAATCTAATCGATGTAAACCATTAGATTTTATTGATTCTGAAACTTTAGAATTATTTAATAAATTAAATCATACAAATGAAGAATTACAAACTATGGATAATAAAATATTATTACTTTTAAATCGTCTTTGTTTTGGTTATAGAAGAGTACGACTTGATGGTAAAATTTATTTCTTTAATCGACTTAGTGCTCATATATTAAGTAGAAATGGTGCATGTAAATATTTATTGGAACATAAAGATCAACAATTATCAGCTCAAGCTTTATTATGTGAAGAAATGGGTCTTGGGAAAACTGTAGAAATGACAGCATTAATATTAATGAATCAAAGATCAACTAATGAAGTAAATGATACTTTTGAACATCAAATAAATCAATTTGGTGATATTAAATCTATTGTTAAAGCAAAAACTACTTTAGTTATTGCTCCTGATTCAATTTTAAAACAATGGGTTGAAGAAATTGTTCATTTAGCTCCAAGTTTAGCAGTAACTACTTATCATGGAATTGGGAAATATCCAAAATTAGATGATAATGCCGCATTAATTGCTGAATATTTAAGAAAATTTGATGTTGTATTTACTACTTATGCAACAATATCTAAAGAATTAGATTATGCACTTTATTCTTCTCGACCAAAACATACTAGAAATGCAAAATTACAAAGAACTTCATATAGTATGGAAGAAGAAGAAGATATTAATCAAAATTTAGAACAAGAAGTTGATGAAAGTGCTCTTTTAAATGATTATCAATCTAAATTTCAACTTACTTTAACTTCTAAGAAACCTAAAGTAGCCAATATGAAATCAGGAAATTCAAAATATGAAACTGATTATGAAAAGGCATTACAAGATGAAATTAGTTTAGCTATTCAAACCAATAGAATTCCTTCAATTTATAAAAAAGTTGAATATGAGTCACCATTAATGCTTAGTCAATTTTGGAGAGTTATACTTGATGAAGTTCAAATGGTATCATCTACTGTTTCAAGAGCATTTCAAACTGCAGCATTAATTCCAAGATTTCATGCTTGGGGAGTTTCAGGTACTCCAATTAAAAAGAATTTAGAAGATTTACATTCAATTCTTCATTTCTTAAAATATCAACCATTTTGTTTTGATTATGGTAAAATTGCCTGGGAAAATATTACTAAAAATAATTCTAATGTAGATTTTATTAATTTATGGACTTCAATAAGTTTAAGACATACAAAATCTATGGTTCATGATGATATTAAATTACCCCCTCAATCAAGAATTTTATTAACTATACCTTTTACACCAGTTGAACAAGATTTTTATAATCAAAAATTTGAAGAATGTTTAGCAACTATTTGTTTAGATATTAATGGAAATCCAATTTCTGAAGATTGGGAACCTTCAGCTACAATAATGTTATATATGAGAAATTGGCTTGTTACATTAAGACAAATTTGTTGTAATCCTCAAATTGGAAGATTATCAATTAGTTCAAAAAGGTATAAAAGAAATAATGCTTATAGTAGATTAATTAATTCAATTCAACAATTAAAAACTTTAGAAAATCTTTTAGATGATATGTTATCAAAAGCTTATAATGAAATTATTGATAATGAAAAATTATTAATTCAACTTTATTTAGAAGTTGGAGAATTTTTTGAATTTTGTTATTTACCAGAACAAGCATTACCATTTTTAAATATTGGAGTATGTCAAACTGAAAGAATTATTCATCGTAGTAAATTAATTCTTCAAAAATATATTAAAGAATTTAAAGAATATAGAAGAAAATTAGATACTACGATTATAAAAGATGAAGATGATGAAGATGAAGATGATGATGCTATTGGTAGTATTGATGGAAAGAATGAAATTAAATCTAAATCTGAAAATGATGAAGTATTAGAAAAATTAGAAGATAAGATTATAGCCTCAAGAATGAGAGTAAGAGCTTGGACAACTACATTACATCGATTTTATTTCTTAATTGCTAGTTCATATTTTCAAAGGTATGATAAGGAATATTCAGAAGTAATGTCTTCATATAAAGTACCAGAAAATCAAATTCGATTTAATTTACTTGATAAATTTCAAACTTATCAAGAAAGTCAAAGATCAGATGAAATTGCATCTTTAGTAAATGGAGTTGATTTAGAATCACCTCTGAATAAATTTGAAATTCAAAATTATGCTAAAGATTTTAAAGTTGAACCTATATGGTCAGAAGATGAATGTAAAGAAGAAGAAATTAAATATTTAGAACTGAAATTTTATGAACTTGCTGAAAGTACTCGAGGTGAACTTTTACAAGGAACTATTTATAATGTAAACCTTTCTGTTGAAACAAGAATTAAATCAAGAGGTTGGTATTTAGATTTAGTTGATGCTTATTCTGATAAGGGAGATACTTTATTACCTAAGAATTCGAAAAAATTCTTTTCTGCAATTCCTTTAATTGATACTGATGCATTTGCTGATCATTCAATTGTTATGAAAGTTAAAATCTTTTGTGATAAATTATATAAAATAGTGGATGAATTAAATAAACAAGCTATTGAAATAAATAATTGGATGAAAGATTTAATAAGAATATTATGTACTCCAGTTTTAACTCAAGATAAAAGTCCTGCTGGTACAGAATATGAAGAAACTATACAAGATCAAGATAAAGTTTCTAGTTATTTATTTGTTTTAGCTCAAGCTTTAATTGATAGAGGTGAATATGTTAATGGAGCAGAAAATTCAGCTAAAATAATTACTATTAAAAGAGCTCAAGAGAAGAAAGAAAATGAACTTGAAATGTCCAAAATAAATGATCAAGCTTTCTTAATGGATTTACAAAAGACAAGAAGTCAAATAAAACCTAAGGGGAAAACTTCTTTACAAGAATTGGTTCTATTTTTTAAAGCTATGGAATCAGAAATTCAAGATGATAAAGAAATAAGGAATGATGTTCAATTATCTTTATTAGAAGATCTTGGTCAAAGACTTCGAAATGTTTTTGATAATCAAAAACTTGCCCTTGTTTTACTTCAAAAGGAATTAAGTGTGAATTGTAATGCTGTATTTAATAGTCGTATTGATTATTATAAACAATTACAACAAATTTCAGATACAGTTCAAACATCTGATTTTGGTATGAATAGAACTAAATTGGATGTAACTAAAATTAATATTCACCTTCAACAAATTAAATTACAACATGAAGAATTAAAAATTCGAATGGATAAATCAATTGCAAAATTCCGATATTTAAGAAGTTTAGTTGGAGTATCTGATGGAAATGAAGAAGAGGCAATGATGTGTATTATTTGTCGTTCTACTATAACTATTGGAACTCTTACTCAATGTGGTCATAAATATTGTAAAGATTGTTTGGAACAATGGTTACGTAATAGTCATTCATGTCCAATGTGTAAAACTCCAATTACTATAAAATCTGTCTATAGTTTTACTCATCATAAACCAAACTTGAAAGCTAATCAAGTTGAAGATACGAAAAATCATAATTCTAATTTATTTTCAATTTATAAACCTTTACCAAAGGAAGTTATTGAAGAAATTCAAGGAATTAAATTAAAAAATTCATATAGTTCTAAAGTTAATATGATAGTTAAACAAGTATTATATTTAAGAAGTCAAAATCCTGATGTACAAATTGTGGTATACAGTCAATGGCAAGATATGTTATATATTTTAGGTACAGCTTTTAAAGCTGCTGATATTTCATTTTTAGGTTCTTATGGAACTTTAAGAACAGATACAGGAGCTGGACGTAAAGTAAAAATGTATGATTCAGTTGAGACATTTAAAGATCCTAATAATAGAATTACTTGTTTTTTATTGAATGCTAAAGCTCAAGCTAGTGGATTAACATTAATTAATGCAACTCATATATTCTTATGTGAACCATTAGTTAATACTTCATTGGAATTGCAGGCAATTTCAAGAATTCATAGAATTGGTCAAACAAAACCAACTACAGTATGGATGTTTGCTATTGAAAATTCAGTAGAAGAAAGTATAGTAGTTATGTCTACTAATAAGAGACTTCAATATATGGAAGAACAAACTCCTGGACCTCCTCAATTAAGAGAAAATCTGATTAATGATACTTCAGCAGCTTCTATGATAGCTAAAGCTAATGAAAAAAGTTTAAGTAAAGCCGAATCTTTAACTCTTATGAATAGTGCAGGAAATGATACATTAGTTGCTAAAGGGGTTGGACAAGGAGAATCAGTTACAAATTTTGATTTATGGGCTGCATTTTTTAGTGCCCGAACAAAATCATCATCTACAGATGTATCAAAGGAAAACAATAATGGTAAATAGATTAATTACATAAATATATATAAATTTAAACACATAAGTAACTATCTTCATCTGAACCTTGATAAAGTTTACCTTGTTCTGTTAAATTTTGACAGATAAAATGGATTTCAGCATTTGATAAAGTTGATTTCTGAGTAATAAGTGCAATACTTACACCTGATGGCATTGAATAAGAATTATCTCTAACAATATTAAAAACAAGATCTTCAGGTGATACAGAAGAATTATCATTTTCAGAAACAAATAATCCATTTGTTGGTTGAGAAGATTTATTAGTAACACCTTGAGCTTTTAAATGAGCATTTATTGCACTTAAATGATGATATAATATTTGATTATGATCTGTTACAGGATAAATAACTGAATTTTGAATAGACTTTCTATCATTAAAACTTTTTAAAGCTCCACTTACAAAAATATATTTATTTAATTCTTGATTATATTTCTCTAAATCTTCCAGTAAACTACCACTTTTATCTGTCCATCTTTTAATATCAATACTACCAGTTCCATCTTCAACTTTTATAATAACACCAGAAGCTTGTTCTTCAACTTTTCTTATAATTCCAACAAAACTTACCATATTTAATTCATTATTATGAATTTTAAATTCTCCATCAGGAATATCTTGATGAGCATCATTAATTTGTTTAATTGTTACAGGAGTTAAACTAGTTCTAGTTTGTGATCTTTCATTGACTCCACTATCAGTACTGAATCCACCTCCAACATCAGTACTAAATCCTCCATCTCCATAACCTCCATAATTTCCAAAATCAGACATTATTCTTATATGTTAATATATATGTTAATAATATGTTAATATGTTATTACTAATAAAGTAAATGATTAACATCCGTAATAATAACGCGCAGTATACTTTTAAATTATTTATTTTAATCTTTTGGTTACAGACGCGCGCACCTTTCGATATTATCAACAATTAGTTATCTGATGAATGACTACTGGTATCATAGTAGTGCTACGACATTTATTATTTATTATATATTATATATTATGTAGCACACTTGAAGTATTTGGTGATAGTTATTTGCTTATATACAATATTTTTTAATAGGATATTTCTTTATCAATGTATTGATTGATTGATTGATTGATTGATCATACATAGTATTTTTTTTCACTATATAGAGCTTCAGTACTTAACTATTTATTTATCTCAGTAAAACTTCTACAATGATTTAATATTAAGATTTGGGTTAATCATAACCATCTTTCATCTACTGTGTTATACTTCTTATTGTAGTCTATAATCATTATTATATTTGTAGTTTAATGATCAATTAAATAAGGCGGGTAAATAATTTGTGCTCGTTCTCAATATGGCTGTTTTCTAATTTCCTACAGTTTTTTGCAGAACTACGACTTAACCTAATAAATTAATAAATTACCTGTAACATCCATAACTTGTGATAAAGAAATTGTCAAGGATCAGATACCTGACATTCTATATGCTAAATCTTAAGGACAGTCATGAACCAAAAGTACCAAAGGTCATGAGTAACGAATTTCAATATTATGAAGAAGAAGATAAAGAGGTGCAAGATTTATCAGATGATACAACTACCGCAGCACTTCTTCATTATAATTCAATAGTTAATGGTGGTAATGAACAGAAAACTACTAAGTCGGGAATAGAAATTGAGCCTGAAAATGAAAATGAAAATGAAAATAAAAGTTATCTAACAAATGTTAAATTAGTTCAATATGATCCATCTGAAAAACCTCAAAGATTAGGTAGACCCAGAAAACATTTAGGTACAAATCCAATTCCAATGGAAGATTCTTCATCAAGTAACTATAATGAATCAATTATTTCTAAATTTAGACTTGATGCTAAACCTCTTGAAGGTCCAGGATCAAGAGGTGGGAAAAAGTCAAGAGCTAGCCCTAAGGGTAAAGTAACTTCATCCACCGTTAGAATGAGAAAACAACAATCAATACTTGACTTTGGGAAAAAAGTTGAGGTTATACTGGAAAGTCCGAATCTGACTCCATCTAATAATGAAGAATCTAAGACTCCACAAACTGAGATTGACCAGAAACCAAAGGATAAAGATGAGAAAGTTCTGACTTCAATAAATATGCAGAAAAAGGCCAGAGTATATAAGAAGAGAGCCATGTCTAACTTATCATCAATGTTGACTAGTAGGACTACAATGATACATAATAGTTCTAAACTTTCAAGACAATTACCAGGTCCATTAATCCCCTTACATTATACATCTTATGATATAAATATTATGGAAGCACAACAAAATCAGAAAGCCAATGAAGAAAAGATTGCTTTAGGATTTCCTACCAAGAAGTCACCTTATGCATATAATATTATGATTATTATTTCATTTTTAAACAAATTCAAATCCGTACTTAATATTTCAGGCATAAGTCCGCAATCAATCGAATTGGGATTAGGTTTAGGTTTAGGATTAAATTCTTCAGAAACAATAGAGGTTTCAGATGAAATCGAGGTTTCAGATGAAATGAATGATTTATTTTTAAAATTAATTGGATTAGTATTAAATAGGAAAAAGCCCGTATCTTCATATAGTACTGCCATTGGAGAATTAAAATCTCAGGTTGTTGCATTAGGTTTACCAAAAGAATGGAAAAAGATTAAGAATAATCAAAATGATGGAACTTCAGGAAATTTTGATCCAGTAGATTTAGAACATCCAGAAATTCATTTTGAAATGCCATTATTACCAGTAGAAGAAGAAACTATATATAATCCATTTTATGATTCTGAATTTGAAAGTAAGGGACTTGGAGGAATACCTGAACCAGTTGATCGTTTAATATTATTAAGAGCATTAGTTCAATGGGCACTTTCTAATTCAGATGTTATTAAATCGTATATTTCAAAAAATATACTGAATCAAGATATTCCAGGAGATAAAGATACTTATTACTCTTCTAGAGCTATATTAAAGGGATTTAAAAATACTGATATTGTAAAAAAGGAAGCAGAAGCAAAACTTGCCAAAAGAAAAGCTGGAGAAGATGATAAATATTTTGATCCTACTTCAAATCCATTAAGTCATCCAATGAATTTAAGATTAGTAGAAGAACTTTGTGGAGATATTGGTTTCCATGTTGGTAGATTTTATTTATGTAGAATGGCCGATGAGACAAATGGAGGTTTAGCTTCAATAAAGAAAATGAAATCTGTTTGGTCAGGTAGTGGGATAGGAATTGGATTACCATCAAAATTCAAATTATATGTACAAGATGTTTATAACATGTTAGTTGAATCTCTTAGTTTAAGTGGAGTAGAATTTGATGATAATGGGAATGAAGTTGTTCATGAAGATTTGACAGAAATTGATGAGAATAATCATTGGTTTGAAGTAGCAAGTGATCCTTTAGAACTTGAACAATTTGTTAAGTTTTTAGAATATCGATTAGGAATTATAGTATCTGAAGATCATACAATTATTCCAGCTACTAGCCTGATATATAAGCCGACATTATACTTGTATGAATATTTAAATGCAATTTTACCATTAATTACAAAACAAGCAGAGATGAAAAATGTTCCTACAGCAAGTGAGAGTCGATCCAGTAGATCAAGAGCTGTTAATTATAGTGATAAAGAAGCAAGTCAAGCATATCAAGATTATATGGAAGGAGAAGAATTTGCTGAAATTGATGGAGAACCTGATGATGATTATGAAGATAGTGGAAGTGACATGGAACAAGTCGAAGATGATATTGACTATGCCGATTAATAAAATGAAAAAATGTAAAATGTAAAATGTAACATATGTATATTAGTGGTTTTTTTTATATTATAATACAAAACAATAGAATTAAAATCTACTAGAACCTAATAAAAGATCAATTTTATCTCTAATTAAAGATTCATTTTCAACAAAATAATTTGCTCTTCTAACAACTTCTTCATCATAACCTTCATCACTTTTTAATGCTTTTAAAGTTTCAGATTGACTTTCAAGCCATTTTTCAATAAATGATACAGGATCTTCACTTAATTCTCTATAGAAATTTTCTCTAGCATTTGCATTTTGTAAAGCTACAACTCCTAAAGATATTCTTGAATTTAAAACTTGAATAGCAGTATCTGCTTTTGTAAGATTTTCAAATGCTACTTTATTAAGATCAAGAAATTCCTTTTGTAATTTAGAAAGATTTAATGGTAATTCAATTGGAATATCAATTACTACTTCACCTAATGTAGATGATTTTCTAGTATTTACTTCATATTCAATAATTATTGGTTCACGAGGTCTGAAATGTGGTTGTAATAATTTATAAAGATCAGTAAATTTAAAAGTTTTAACTCTTAATAATTCTTCAAGAATTTCATCTGATTGAACAACTGTTAAATCATCATCATTATCATCTTGATTAGCAGTTTCTGGAAGTACAGTATTTGTAGATACTGCATCAACTTTTGTAAGAGCATCAGTTTTTCTGAATAAATTTTTATGTAATACATATTGCCAAATTAAATAAACCAATTCTTGTTGAGTTGATTCTTCTTTACCAGCAAATTGAGCCATTTCTTGACTTAGTTTATAATTTGCAATATGACTCTTTGGTAATAAAGCAATTTTAGTCTTTAAATTAAATATTCCATTTCTTCTAATATCTATTCCATCAAAAGAATTTGAACTTGCTTGATTAAAATCATTATTATCATTTCTCCATTCTATAATATTTGATTGAGAATTTTGTAAAGCAGGATAATCATCATTTGGAATTAAATCAATTGATATAGCATTTAAAAATGAACTAAATTTATCTTCAATTACATTACTATCTTTATTTTCACTTAAAAATCTTCCTTCAACTCTTAAAGTCCAAGTTGATTCAGTTGTTGGATCTATTTGAATACCTTGTTCTTGAAGTAATTGCTTTTGCCATGGTTGATTTTCACATACATTATATATAAAAACTCGTAATATTCCTGTCTCACCTTTGAAATTAGATGGATGAATAGTCTTTTGTTGTATAGCTTGAAAATCTAATGCTTTTCTTGATATTAATAAATCAACTCGACGTTCAGCTTCTTTTAATTTCTTATAAAGTTCAAGATTAGGAATCTTATTATATAAAGCAGGAGGAATTGTGGTATCAGTTGGTGTATATGAAATAGCAGGAGCTGCAACTGAGGTTGGTCTTGGTTTACTACCGGGTGGAGCGTGTTGTACTGGTAGAGGAGGCATTATTTGTTAGTGATTACTGATAAACTCAGATAGTCGTTAGTTGGAGATTTGTTGTTTTTCAATTAAATTTCAAAGTCCATTTTTTTTCTGTCTGTATTCGCAAATGTCGCAACTTTATATGTCGTTTAATTAAATATAGAAATATTTAATCTAGTATGTCATATATTATATATTGCTCATAGTAAAATCAAAATCCATTAGTATATTATAAAGGCATTATGCCGGTACAAGATGGAGACCAAGAGTTCTCTAAGGGAACCAAAGTTCAGAAGAGAAAGATTAAAAGTAGTCAAACTTTAAATATAGTATCAACATCTTCAACTAATAATCTTATTAATCAAGCTTCACATCTTAAGAATAAACGTATGAATCAAATAAGGAAAAGAAAACGGGATTTACTTAAAAGAATTAATTATACTCATACATTTACAGTAGTTGTACTTCCATTACTTTCAATTATTTATTTGTATAAATATTCTCAACCAATTTTACCTGAGAATCAAGATACGTTTTATTTTTCATGTATATATTTCAATTTTACTATTTTGGCATTTAATTCAGGTTATCATAAATATTTTGCTCATAATTCATTTAAAATTAGGTTTAAAGTACTATTATATTATTTTGCAATATTTGGTAGTAGTATTGGTTTAGGTTCTATAAGATGGTGGGCTACAATGCATAGAGCTCATCATCATTTTACTGATGATACTGAAAAGGATCCATATCTGATAAAAAGAGGATTTGCTTGGGCTCATTGGGGTTGGTTAATTAAAAAACCAAAAATTGTAACATTTTATCAAGAATTTATGGAACAAGAATTTCCAACATCTCAAAAGATTGTTAATGAAATTGGTCAAAATTCAGATGAATATAATAGAAATGAAGTTTTTGAATATGATATTGGATTAATTGATTTTTTAAATTGGCAGGATAAATCTTATTTTGCAAATTTTCTTTTAACCACAATTTTAATTCCTGGTTTAATAACTGTTTACTTTTGTGATGATTCATTAATTCATGGAATAATATACCCTGGAATTTTAAGAATGTTTTTATGTCAACAATCTTTATTAGCTACAGAATCTTTATGTCATTTAAAGAGTATTCAAGTTACTATTCCTTCTCAACCATTTAATGATAAAAATTCTTCTCATAATTGTTATAATCCATTAATGTCAATTTTAACGTATGGTCAATGTTATCAAAATTATCATCATGAATTTCCTCATGATTATAGATCTACATCATCTTTATTTGCTTATGATCCTACGAAATGGTTTATTTGGTCATTAGAAAAATTAGGTTTAATTGAAGGATTATGTATTACTCCTAATAATTTAATTGTTCAACTTAAGATTCAACAACAACAAGCGGTACTTAATAGAATGAGAAGTCAATTGAATTGGGGTACGCCAATTTCAAAATTACCTCTAATTACTCCTAAAGATTTTAAAAGAATAATTGGTAGTTCAAGTAATAAGGATAGAATTTATATAATTATTCAAAATATTATTCATGATGTAACTCCTTTTATGGAACAACACCCTGGTGGTGTACCATTATTAAAGGCTTCTCATGGAAAGGATGCTACTAAAGCATTTTTTGGTGGAGTTTATGGTCACCTGACTGCGGCTCAAAATTTATTAGCTACTATGAGAATTGGAGTTTTAGATAATGGTAATGATGAAGAAGTTTGGGGAAGAGTTGTAAGAGAAGAAGGTGATGTAGAAGAATCAAACTCTTCTGGTCAAACTAAGCTGTACAGTACAGCTGAAGCTGCGTAAATAATGTCTAACGTATACACACACATACACTAATATAATATAAAGCGATTTTCCACAGTTTTGTAGTAATTGTCGCAAGCCAAGCATGAAAAAAAAATATTGTAGATATCGTTAAATGTCTAGTGATGAATGACTATTATAATTTAAGTTCCATTAATAATAATGAGTAAAGGAACTAAAGACAGTAATATATTCCAAGTACGTGATTATAGAGGTGCTACCATTGAAGATCTTGATGTTAGACCAGCCATATCTATAAATCCAACCACATCTATCGATGAAGCTATAGAAATATCTTATGAATATGAATTTGATTTCTTACCAGTAATTCATGAAGCCAATAGAAAGCTTTTAGGAGTATTAAATGTAAAGGAATTAATAGAAAATGCTGAAAAAATAAGAAAAAGTCCATTAAAACCTATAACAAGAAATTATATGCTCTGGTTTCATCAAAAGGCTCGTCAAAATTATGATCAAGAACATGAAGAAGATATTTCTCCTAAGAAAACTCCAGTTTATTCAACTATTTATAAACCTGGTGGATCTAAGAAATATTCAGTCTTAACTCCAATAACTCCTCTAGAAGAGTTGGCAGCATTTTTTAATTCTGGAAATTATTTTGCTATTATAACAAATGGTAGAGGAGATTTTGTATATGGAGTTGCTACACCTGAAGATTTAAAAAAATTTGAAAGTTCAAGACCAAAGTTATAATTCATTTAAAACACTATATAACGATTAATAAACATTACTATAGATAATTTATTTATTGAGGAATCTTAACAACTAATTTACCTGTAGTTGTACCACTTTCTAAATCTTTAGCTGCCTGAGCGTATTCACTTAATGGATAAATTTTAGTAATTTCAAATTCAACTTTACCAGATTTAACAGAATCAACTAAAAATTTACTATAATGTTCCCATTCATCTTTTTCCACAATATAACCAAAAAGTTGTGGTCTAAGAAGTGTAATATTTTTTGGACTTAATCTAGTAATTGCTAATGGAGGAACAACACCAGATGAATTACCATAACTAACAAAAGTTCCCTTTCTTGAGAGTGCTTCAAGAGAAGTTTCAAAACTAGCTTTTCCAACAGAATCAAAAGTAGCAATAACCCCTTTACCACCAGTGATCTCTTTGACTCTTGCTACAACATCTTCTGTCTTATAATTAATAACATATTTAGCACCCAATTTCTTAACTTTTTCTAATTTTTCTGATGTTGAAGCAACACCAATAACATTAGCACCTTTTTGAGCAGCAAATTGAGTTAAAAATGTTCCAACTCCACCAGCAGCTGCCCAAACTAAAATAAAATCATCCTTTTTAACTTTATATGCATCATTTACAAAAGTGAGAGCAGTTAAACCTTGTAAGAAAATACCACCATAAGTTTCATATTCTTTTTCAGAAAGAGATCCACTACCTAAATTTAAGATTTGAGTATAAGTTTCAGGAATTTTAGTATATTGAGCAAAAGTATTACCTGAAAGATAAGCAACACTATCACCAACTTTGAATTTAGTTACATCTTTACCAACGGCTGCAACAACACCACTTGCTTCACGACCAAAAATATAAGGTCTAACGGTAGATGGATAAACACCTTGTCTAAAGTATCCATCAATGAAGTTAAGACCAGCATATTTATTCTTAATGATAACATCAGAACCAGTAGTAATTTGAGGAGCTTCAACTTCTAAAGTTTTGATTTCTTCATAAGAACCTTGATTCTCAAAACCAGAAATAAGATGAGTTTTTGGGATAGTAGACATTCTGTAAATTTGTTGACGAGCAATTGGTATATTAAATTTAATTATTCTTTTAGCAATAATAGGAATGAACATATATTTATATATACCTTAATCGAATTACCGTGGCAATTGATTATTGACTGTGGATTTTTCACCTTATTATTAATCATCTGGGGGATATCGGTAAAGTTTTCCGCGACCGAACAAATGTGCCGAGTTGCTTTCACTATTGTGCCACAATCTATTTTCTCTAGCTCTATAATTATAATATTTTTATGACTTCATATTGTAATATTATTAGTGTATATATTCTAGTTTATTACTATAAGATGAATAAAGTTATGAAGAATCCACAATCAAATCATACACAATTAAGGTACCAATAAAATATATGGCTAAATATTCCATTTATCATTATCAGTATTATTTTTTAAGTTTTGGCTTATGAACCTTGGATTTCTTCTTGGATTTAGATCCTATAACTTTATTGGATTTAGCATTTTCAGCTAATAATCTCTCTGTTTTATCTCCATGTCGTACATTAGTATATTGACCAGTAATTGGATCTTGCTTAAAAGCATATGAAACATGAATTTTGGAATTCATTAATATTGCACCATTCATTTTCTCTATAACTGAATCACTCGTTTGAAAATCATCAAATGTAAGAAATCCGTACCCTTTAGATTCTCCTGTATTATTATCTCTCGCTATTGTTGGATTCCTTATAAGGGTTCCAAATTTTGAAAATGTTTCTTTTAAAAATTGTTCATCAATTAACAGATTAAGATTATTAATAAACAATTGAGCTCCTATATCAATATAATTATTACTAATTAATTCTTGATTAATTACTCCAATAGATTGATCTTTAGTACTACTGGTTATCTTTGGTGTATCTGACTTCTTTAATTTAACTATTTTACCATAAAGTCTTATCCCTCGTAATATTTCTAATACATAATCTGCATCTTCAACTGATTTAAATTCTACAAATCCAAATCCTTGATGAGTCTTTAATACTCTATCCTTTGGCATATTTAAAGATCGTACTGGAGCAAATTGAATAAATAATTCATACATCAAAAGTTCAGTAACTTCAGGATCCAAATTTCCAAAATATAATGAGGCTCGAACATTTCTATCTGAATCAGCCAATCTTCTGAACACATTAGCCATCGTGGTATAGTCAAAATTCTTAATTATAAGAGTATACATATAATCATCATTACAAAAATATATTTGTTACTTTAAAATTAATTTCTATGCGGCGGTATGCAGGAAAAGCTGCAAATTTTCTATTACTATACAAGATGATTCTCTATAAATTATATTCATGAATTGGAGGTTTAGAAGAAGACTCTTCTGGACCTTCATCTTCATCAGAACTATGTAAGGAGTTAACTGGATCTTCAGTTGTAGATTCTTTATCATTAGGAATTTTCGAAGAATCGACTTCGTTAGAATTTGAATTTGAATTTGAATCAGATCCTGAACCAGAATCTGAATCAGAATCAGAATCAGAGTCAGAATCAGAATCAGAATCTGAAGAAGTATTTGAATCAGAAGCCAGAGAAGAGTCCTCGTCATCATTATCATCATCTTTTGTATCCAGTTTCAAGAATATAGCCTCATAATCTTCATCAGTAACTATATACTCTTGAAGGGCCTTATTTGAAATTGTTATGAAAATAGTAGGATACTCTAATACTATTTTATCCTTTAAAATATCAGATATTGATTTGGATTTATCAATAGGTAGTACCGAATACTTTGTCTTATTGACATTAACCACATTATCTAAATAAAAATTTAAATCTTCTTTATTAATAGGTTGATCAGAACTATTGTTATTATTTATGATATTTAAAGGAACTGCCTCCTCGATAATCAAATGTTCTTTTAATCTATAACTTAAAAATTTTGATAATTCATTCCCTTCTTCATTTAATAAAACCCATTCTACAGTCCATGTAAATGAACCCAGCTTTTTATCATAACCACTTTTATTAGTAGTTGATCTTGACATTCCTACAGGTAATTGTATTACTAAAGTATTTTGTCTCTTTATTGAAGTTTGAGACATATGAGGAAAATATGTATTAATTATTTCAATTCTCTTATCTGAATCAACTGATATTGTATTAGATTTAAATCGTTTATTACGATTATTATTTTGATTATTAAATTTTCTTTTTAAAATATTTTTAGCATTTGTTTTAACATCTTCCTTACCTAATTGAATTCCTCTATCTAAATTTAATAAAAAATTATAATCTCTATTTAAATAAGTTGTATTAGATGAAAGTTCTTTTCTTGAAATAAATTTTGTTTGATCAACTAATCCAGTACATTCAGTTTGCCTTTTATGACGTTTAACACAATCTATACTACAAGTTTTCAATCCACATGCCGGACACTTATATTTGAATACATTTATATGACATATTGAACATAGTTGATCCATTTGATTATCTTATTTAAATTATATTGACTCTTATTAATCTATATAGTTTATAATATTTAAAAATTATTTAGTTCTCTTATTTACGCAGAGTAGTGTAAAGTGTACCAAACATATTTTTTTTTTATAATCTGTTGAAAAATTTATGATTCGTTAAAGAAACATTTTTATCAACGCTCTAACATTGACTTATAAGTTCATTAGTTTGTTCAATATGTTTAGAATAGGACAAGGAATTGGACTGAAGGTCCCTGGCTTAAGTAGAAGCTATTATAAAAAGGCAGTTATAACTGTCAATGATAAAGTTACTGTTCAATTATTAAAGGATGTTAAAGACATTGGAATTAAAGGTGAACTACTAAGAGTAAAATCAGCCTATATGAGGAATTGTTTACAACATGGTGGTAAAGCAGCATATGTAACCAAAACTAAAGGTCCTACTATACCTGTTGTTGTAAGACAATATGTTGAAGAAAAAGAAACACCAAAATCTGAAATAATAGATAAACCATCTGATAAAGAATCAGAAACAAAAGCTAAGAATAAAGCCGAAGCTTTATCATTGGATGAATTATCTCAACTTTTCAATAGTATGCGTAGAAGAAAATCTATTGCTGATGCTGATAAACAATCTTCAACTTTCCAAATTGCTAAGGCAACAGAAGAAGTATCATTCATTTTAACTGAATTAAATGAATTAATTCCAAATAATCATACTTTTAGAAATTCCAAATTCCCAATAACAAAGACAAATATTTCATCTTTATTATTTAATTTAACTGGTGAACAAATTCCTCAATCTGTTATTACTCTTGAAAAGAGTACTACACCTATTGAAGAAATTCAAGAATCTGGTGATTATACTTTAATAATTAAATCTCCTGCTGAAAAGTCATCAATAACCAAGCATATAGTTTTTGAATAGAACTATTCTGTATATAATATTCTGAATAAATTTATGTAAATATATAATTTCATATTTTATAAATCAGATTGTATTTTTTTTTCTCTCTTACAAATATCGTGTGAATCTATATATATATGTAATCATCATTTTATTTTTATTTACTGTAGAATAACTAAATGTCTCTGGATCTACGATATAGTGCCGCCAGGACGTCTAAGATAACCAAAAGATTATTTAATACATCACCCGTTAAAAAGATTCAAAAAGATCTAAAAAATAGATTACCATCTCAAACTAAGTATAGTCAAAATCTAGGTAAAGCAAAGATTAAACAAGATGAAAAATTAGTTGCTCTGGATTATAATGTTCAATTAGATTATCAGTTATCACGAGATGAGAATTTAATGGTTGCAGTTGATACAATAGCGTTAAATTTTTGGTGTGAATCTAATGGTCTTAGTAATAAATACTTTAGTAAAGAAGACAAGAGATTAAAATCTATGGAATCACTTGTATTTCTGTTAAAGGGACTTTCAATGAAAGCTAAAGCAGAAGTTATGACTTTTAGAACTCAGAAATTTCCTAAAGGAATGATAACCACAAATCAATTATATTCAATTTATGAAAATCAAGGTAATACATTTGTAGATCGAAATTTAGAAATATATATAAGAAATGGGAAATTAAGAAAATTTATAATTACTAATTCTTCACCAGTTATTCTGAGAACAGTACAAAAATTTCAATTAGGTAAGGTTTCATATGGTCATGAGAATATGGAAGTAATAATATCTGCTGATAATTATAAATCATTAATTCAACATCAAATAAAAATTTTAGAATCACAAGTAAATGAGAATCTCGAGGATAAGAATTTATTATTTAAATTAAATTCATTGAAAAAGTTTAATGTATTTGTTATAAACAATCCAACGTCATTATTTGTAGATCTTACACAATTAACTTATGAAGAATTATCATCATTAATATCGTTTGGGTTTGTGACATTAACGTCAAATCATTTGAATGAGATTGAATCTCATCAATTTTCAATATCATATCCAGCTTGTGGAGTATTTTTAAAACTCATAAATGCTGGTAGAGTTTGGTTAGTTAAGACTCTTACAAAGGCTAGTTATAAGGAAAGTTTAGAAGAACAATTATTTAATAAATGGGAAGGTATTAATATAAATGGAGACTCTAAGATGAATAATTTTAGAGCTCCATTCTATGGTTATGATTTAAATTGGGTATTAGCCGATGGATTAGGAGCTGGATTGATTGAAGTATTCAATACTCCTGTCGGTAGAGCATGGCGATTAACGGGTAAAGTATAATGAATTTTATTTTAAAGTATTATTTAACAAATTATTTAAGGTTTAAAAATGAATGTAAGATTATCCTATAATTCATGAACACATTTGTAAACCTAAGCTCTAAGTTTCTTTTGTTGTTTTCTAGCTCTTCTTTCTTGAGCTCTCTTTTCAGCTTTAAGTTGTTCATCTTTACTAGAATTTCTTAACTTATCTCTTTCTTCTCTCTTTAATTTAGCCTTTTCATCAGCCAATTTTTCTTGCTTAATTTCTTCTTCAATCTTTTGAAGTTTAGCAATTTCAAGATCTCTTGTTTTAACAACTTTCTTTACAGCTTCAGCTTTAAAACTAATTTCCTTTGCAGCTAATTTATCAACTAATTGGAATAAAGCTTCTAATACTCTACCAATTTGTTTAATTTGTTCAACATTTGAAGTGACATCAGTAGATAAAATGATTTTTCTTCTTGGAGTCATTTCATGAAGAGATTCAGGATGTTCAGCTGGTTGATCAGTAACAGCAAGATATCTAATAAAAGAAGCAGATTCTAAAGTTAAAGCTTTCTTTAAATCAGGAGTAGTAATTTTCTCTTGGAATTCATTGGCTTCACTCATATAAACAAAAGATTGTGGTAAATTTGGAGAATCAGAAGTCTTGGTTAAAGATAAAAAGTAATTTAATTTTCTATAATCATTCATTCCAATTTTAGAAACAATAGCAGCAATAAAATTATCATATTCAGCATCAGAAGATGGAGTAATAACGAAATCAACTCTATCAGTTGGATAAGGTACACTTACAGTAAAAAATGATAAAATGGTTTCTAAGATCCAAACAAACAGATTATGTCTTGGTTTTAATTTGAAAAGGATATTAACTTTTGCAATGTTAACTCTACCGGTAGCATAAGAAGAATAATTTTCAGAACTATCTTTAATATAAAGAGTATTTGGATTTACACCATATTGATAAAAATTCTTTTCAAATGAACCTTTCAAGTTTTCTAATAGCCTAACAACTAATCTTTTATTATAGATATCACCAGCAAGGAATAATAAAACAAATAAGGTAATGAATGCAAGAGTGAATCCTTCCAATCTCCAATCATTAAGTAAAGCACGTTGGAAAATTGTTAAACTATTCAATTCTTCATATGTATACTGATAGTATGCCTTTTTACTATTAAAATGATAAAAAGTTAGTAACTTAAAACAATGAAAATCTTAAAAAATTAAGATAAAAAGTTGATAAAATATAACATACACTTCTTCACCTTCTGCTAAAGCTCCAGTAAGGAACATAGCCGAAGCTGCAATAGTAGCAATCATTATAGAATTATATAAAGATTATTAAGTTTTAGTATAAAAGATTAGTCTCAAATAGTGGGGATTGAAAAATTTCGAGATCGTTGACCGAAAAATTAACAAGCACCACACCGACGACAGACATGGCCGCACACCTTAATATTTTGTGTATAAATACGAGATAAATGTATTACATTTATAAAGACTTTGTAGTTTATATATGTATATCGTATATCTAGATAAGGTTGAATTGGTATTACATAACTATTTACTTTCTTCTCTTAGATGATTGACCTTCTTCATGATCTTGTCCATCCTTAAATTGAGATAATCCTTCATGAACAGCATTCTTTACTAAGTCTCTAAGAGCTTCTTCTGGGTTTTCACTAGCTAAAATAGCTTCTATTTTCTTTCTTCTTTCTTCCAATTCTTCTGGAGAAAGGTCTGCTTCATTAGGATCATTCTCCATGGTATATCTGATTTGATGTCCATCAATATTTCCTGGTGCAGGTAAAGATTCTAACATACTGGATGGTTCAGAATCCTCTTCATCAGGTTTTTCATGACCTAATGAGATCAAATATTGTGCTACCTCTGGGAATTCATCGTCTTCTTCTATATATTGTGCTGCTGTTAATCCATCATCATTTTTTAGTTTATAATTAGCCTTTAATTCTTCCACTAAAAATTTAGCAGTTTTAATATCTTCAACATGATGTAATGGAGTATCTCCTTCATTATCTTGTATATTTATATCACCCCCCTTTTCTATTAAATATTGAAGTAAATTTATATGACCATAAGATGCAGCAGCATGGATTGGGGTATAACCATTAGGATCCTTAGCATTAGGAGTAAAATTTCCTGATTCAATATATGATTCAACAATCTTACGCTGATTATCAGCAGCCGCAACCCATATATTAGAGACCATAATCACAAGTTATTATTGAACTGTTTATTTAAGATTAGATACTATACTTACAAGTACGAGATGATGAAAAAAAATTGTATGCAGTTTCAATAAAATTCAATTTTTCATGTATGGTGAACAGAATGAGTATTTTCCAAACTATTAAGAATCGAGTTTGAAGAATCCTTGTATATATATTTATAGAGTACCCCTTCATTCTATGCTGGAAGATAATTCAAATAAACCTTTACAAGTAGATGTCTCATCTCCAGAAAAGTTAGCTGGATTTGAATGGTGGAGAAGATCTCTACTGTATAGAACCGGTTTAGGTATTACAGAACAAGAAAAACAACAATTCGAAGTAGATTATCAACATAAATATTTACCACAAAGATGTAAAGAATGTGATACTAATCTTGATTGGATGTTGACTTATTCCCCATCGGTGAGGTTTATGTTAGATCAAATCAAAAAAATAACTAAAGATAAACAAGAAATACTTGATAAGTCAAATATTGTATGTGATGTTTGTGATGATTTAAAAGGTGGAGGATTTCATCCCGATCATGGAATTTTATTATGTGCTAATCGTATTCAAAGTAAATGGCAATTAGAAGATATTTTAACTCATGAACTAGTTCATGTATATGATTATATGAAATTTGATGTTAATTTTAATGATTTAAAACACCATGCATGTACAGAAATACGAGCATCAATGCTCAGTGGTGAATGTCGTATATGGAATGAAATTAAAAAGACAGGATTAGGAAATTTCGGTAAAAAGTTTCAAGATTGTATTAAAAGAAGAGCCATCTTATCGGTAGCTGCAAATCCAATATGTAAAAATAAAGAAGAAGCTCAAAAAGCCGTTGATACAGTTTGGTTATCTTGTTTTAATGATACTAGACCCTTTGAAAGAATTTACAGGTAATACATATGGTTATAATGTATTATATTACTAGATAATTCTCGCCATATTAAAATTAAGTAAATTAAATCATGTAAATAAAAATTTTTAGATCATTAATATTCTGTAAATAATTAAATAAGTCTAGATTAAATTTTCAGTATTAGTTATGACCACTTACGTATTATGGTTCGCAGTCAGCCTTCGCTATGTTCGGAAATTTTATTAACATATGCAGTTTAGCATATGCAGTGCTCCGAAATTTGCGATAACCATCACCCCCTTCGCATACAATTCAAACCGGAATCGTAGCAGCCATCAGGTACATTTCTGAAAGTAATATATAATTCTATTTATGAATATATAATTATACATTTAACCTCATTACAATCTGTTAATTGATTTGTTTTATAGAAATAATCAATTAATTTTCTTTGTTTTTGAGTTACTACCCCATATTATTGTTGCTCTAGCAACTAACCGAAAATGTTGAAAAAGTCATCAACATCAGATAACCTTTCAGAAATTAAGAAAAGTATAGGAAGAAGAAAATCATTAGTTCTTGATAATGAATATGGAGAAACTTCATCTAGTGATGATGAGTTAAATAACAAAAAGGATACGCCAGAGACAGAAACTAGTGAATTAATATCTGAGAAAGATGAAACTAAACTCGAAGTATTAGATGAGGCTGGACCACAATTGAAATTTAGAGGTAATCTGTTTGAATCAACTTCAAGCAGTAATATTAGTGATACAGAAACTTATGTGTCGTTGTCCGATTCAAAGCCTGTTAAGCGAATGCTAGAAGAATTGAGACAAAATTCAAAGTCAAGACTAAATAAAAAGAAAACTGAAAGTCATCATCATAAATATGTATCTCAATTTGGAGATATTAAGTTCAGCTCTCAGTCATCAACTATATTTGACTCACCGAACTTTTATGAATCACAATTCTTTGGATTTTATGTACTTTTTTGGTTGGGTACTGCTTTTTATATGATGAATGTATTTGTAAATTATTATTATGTCAATGCTGAACCAATTTACGAATGGCCTATTGTTCAAATATTGAAGAAAGATATTATTAAAGTTGGATTCACTGATTTGGCTATGTATTTATCGACATATTTGGTGTTTTTCATACAATTAGCTTGTCGTTCGAATTACATAAATTGGACAGGCGCCGGTTGGATAATTCAATCAGTATATGAAATTGTATTTTTAAAATTTTGGTTATGGTTTGCCTCAGCTAGTATGATGGATTTTCCTTGGGTTGCAAAGGTATTTTTGGCGCTTCATAGTTTGGTATTCATAATGAAAATGCATTCCTATGGATTTTATAATGGCTACCTTTGGAAAATTCTTCAAGAATTGAAGTTCCTGGAAAGTCATTTCTTAAATCTCACCAATAATGAAAATTATTCTGCTCCAGATGGATATACTATATATCAAATGAAAAACATTTTAAAGGAGAGCATTTCATTTTGTAAATTTGAATTGGAATATCAATCACATGCCACTACAATTGAAAATGAAGTTTATAAATTTGATGAAACAAGAATCCAAATTAAATTAGATACTTTACAAGCCGAAAATATAATAAAGTTCCCTGCAAATATTAATTTATTTAACTTTTTTGAATACTCCATGTTCCCAGCCCTTGTTTATACATTACACTTTCCAAGAACAAAACGAATTAAATGGACTTATGTATTTGAAAAGACATGCGCAGTGTTTGGAATTATATTTTTAATGATTTTAGTGGCACAGAGTTGGATGTATCCATTGGTGATGCAATGTATTGAAGTTCGTAGATTACCCATAAAGGAGAGGTTCAATAGTTATATTTTTATACTTTTGGATATGATACCACCATTTCTAATGGAATATTTATTCACATTTTTCCTTATTTGGGATTCAATTTTAAATGTTATTGCAGAACTAACTAGGTTTGCTGATAGAGAATTTTATGGTCCTTGGTGGTCATGTACTGATTGGTCAGAATTTCTGAGAATATGGAATGTTCCTGTTCATAAATTCTTATTAAGACATGTATACCACTCATCAATTAGTTCATTTAAAGTTAATAAATTTCAAGCTGCATTATTAACATTTATAATATCAAGTTTTATACATGAATTAGTGATGTTTGTAATTTTTGGTACATTAAGAGGATATTTGTTGCTATTGCAAATGTCTCAAATTCCATTAGTTATGCTAAGTAGAACTAAGTTTATGAAAGATAAAAAGGTATTGGGTAATATTATTTGCTGGTTTGGGTTTATATCTGGTCCCTCTATGATTTGTACTTTATACTTGATATATTAGTAAATTTATGTATAAATGATGAATTATTCAGAACACTTGTAGTTGTTGGTAATAACTTTTGTTTATTTTTTGCTTAACACGATTACAACTTCACAAAAATTTACCGCATTACTTAACATAAAGGAAGTTTTGTAAAATCAATTAATTAATGAATTTCTTGGACCTGCTGGTTTTAACCTAATTGCGTCATTTTAGTAAATTAAAATAAACTAATTTAAGATGAAAAGCTGAATATCTGAAGTAGCATTTATTTTGCAAATGATATGTTTGTGCGTTTTCGGTTAACTATTTTGGTTAATTTCTTTGCAAAAAGTGAAAAATATTATAAATAAATTATGTACATTAAAAAATAACACTATTTCTAAAGAATAGTTGATAAAACCGAATTAAATACAATTATTATACCTTTTCCGATTCTTTATAAGGTGATACGATTTCAGAAACTATATCAACATCAACATCAACATCAACATCAGCATCATGATCTATTTCCGAATAAGGTATAATTCCTAATTCTTCACATTCTTCTTTAGTGAAGGTATCGAAATAATCTGCATCGTCTGTTTCGTGAATTCCTTTAGCTGGGAAAATATAACTTATTACAAGATTTAATAGTACGGCAATAAAGAATCCGAATATACAATTACCATTATAATAATTGTGTAAACCTTTACTGATCTTAATATTTGGATTAGCACCATGGATTAATCCAGGAAGTGCTGGTGTAGAAACAATAAAGAAAATGACATAGGATTTCACATTTATACCTTTCCAATACCAATAATTCCCCGATGGTTTCATGCTATACAAATCAGATAACTTTAGGTGTTTTCTTCTAATTATCCAAAATTCCGAAACTAAGATTCCAATAATTGGTGCCATGAAAATAGAAAAGGAAGCCATGACTACTACAAATGTGGAGGACGTATTATAGAATAACCAAGGTTGAATAACCCAAGAAACAAGAGCAGTTACAAGGGCACCCCTTCTCACGTTGATGTAGTGAGGAAACAACCCAGCCATATCCATACCTCCAGCAATACCATTACCCACTAAATTCAAGGCTAATTGACTACAAAGAAAACTAACTCCAGCAAAGAATGCACCTGCTCTTGAAGTTGCACTATAGTCTTCAAGTAACCATTTCTCTGCAATTTTATTTGGTTGCCAAATAGCTTCCCCATAAATTGCTGTAGTTGCTGATCCTGATAATATCCCAAAAACTGGAATAATAGTACCCATTACTAAAAGACTAATTGTGGTAGGAGCAATACTAACCCATCTAGTTTTTGAGAACCTTGTGAAATCAGACAGATTTGTAATACCAGCCGATATTGAACCAACCCATGAAGTTATACCATAAATCCATGCCCAAGCATGATCTGCTGTTGTCTCAAAATTTGAAGGAGCAGATACTAAAGGACCCAAACCTCCCTTATTAATTGCCCAAATAAAAGTTCCAAGCATTCCAAAGAATGTAGCAGCAGCAGCAAATTTCAAGAAATGTGTTATTTTTTCTGGTTTTATACAAAGAATCGGAATGGATATTAAATGAAATATTAAGAATGAAATAAAGTCCCTAGTACTCATATGAACAGACTCAGGAAAAGTATTTTCCATGTATAAATATTTCTTAGAAAAACAACTGAATATTAATCCTAAGCACAACCCTCCTAACCATGCTTGACTAGCGTACCAAACAATACTTAAAATAGTTCTCATAGCAATTCCAAAGTAACTACCTCTTATTCCAAATAGTATTCTTTGAGAAACTGTAAATCCTATGTGATAATAATATCCTGGAGCTGAGTTCAAACAAGACAATGTAGCAACAATACAGTTACCAATAATGACTATACCGATTGTTTCCTTTACATTTAAACCAATTGATAATAAGGAAGCAGCAGCGGCCCAAATGACAATACAACAATCAACCAAAGTCCAATAACTGAAAAATGCCTGATAACCCCATAGACGTCGTGGAGGTCCCATTGGAATTAAATCTCTATTTCTTAAGAAATCTACGGTGGCTATATCTCCATCTGGTTTAACTTGAAGTTTCTTAAATATAGAAGTCATGACATCAATAGCGTGAAATAAAATCTAAGATTATAGGATATCAACGGATTCATACAAATTATTTGGATATTTCAACAACTTATATATTATATATAATATTAAAGGTTTTCGCAACCGAGGAGCCAAGAATTTTTCAATAATGTTATCACTCCGCATTTACGGACAGTTAAATTATCGTCTAAAACTTTGGCTAAAACTCAGTATAAATACCGATCAATGTATAATTGAGATATTCAAAATCTGATCATAAGGTAATAATTAGACTTTCGCTTAGTATTAGGATTAAGCTTTATCGTTGATTCATTGGTTGATTATATAATATGAGGTCAATTCGACAGTTTACGAATAACAAAACTTTAAACCAATCTCCGGATCCGCTATTACTTTTAAAGCTGGATTTCCGCCCAAGTATAGTTATTGTTTGATAAATTTAAATTAAATCATTGTTAAAAAATTTCATAAAGAAATGAGTTTATTAATAGGTATTGATGTCGGTGGAACCAACACCGATTCTGTTTTGATTGATCCCAAGAAGACAACAGAGTCAACAAAACGTGGAGTATTAGCTTGGAATAAATCCACTACTACTGCTGATGTTTCTGATGGTATTGAATCAGCAATTGATTCTTTATTTAAACAAGTTCCTGAAGTGGATAAAAGTGAAATTTTAGCTGTTACTATTGGTACTACCCATTTTATCAACGCAGTTATTGAAAAAGATAAAGCAAGACTAGAAAAAGTAGCTCTTCTCAGATTATGTGGGCCATATTCACGTAACTCTCCCCCATTTGCCGACTTCCCAAAAGGGTTAAAGCTTATTTTAGAGGGCTATGTTGGACTTTTAGATGGTGGTCACTATGTCCATGGTGATCCAGTTAAACCAATTAACAAGACTGAAGTATTAACTCATGTTGAGAAGATTAAGGAATTGGGTCTAAAAGCTGTGGCTCTTGTAGGACAATTCTCTCCTATGGTAAAAGATCATGAAGATGAGGTTGCTGCAATTATTGCTGAAGAGATTCCTGATGTCAAAATCGTTAAATCTTATGAAGTAGCTGGTATTGGATTTTTAGAACGTGAGAATGCAGCTGTTTTAAATGCTGCTATATTAAGATTTGCTAAAAAGGTTATTTCTTCTTTTAATTCTGCTGTTTCCAGAAGAGGTCTTAATTGTCCAGTTTTGTTAACTCAAAATGACGGTACTGTCGTTTCTTCTGATGTTGCTAGTAAAATTCCTATTAGTACTTTTTCGTCAGGAGCTACAAATTCAATGAGAGGAGCGTCATTTCTTTGTCGTAATGATGAATCACTTAAGGATAGATCTGTTATCGTAGTAGATGTAGGTGGAACTACTACTGATGTTGGTTTGTTGTTAGCTACTGGATTTCCAAGACAAGCAGCTACCCATTCTTATGTTGGCGGTGTTAGAATGAACTTTTCAATGCCACATGTAGAAAGTATAGGATTAGGTGGAGGTACAATTGTAAGAAATAGCAATCACAATGAAAAGGTCACAATTGGTCCTGATAGTGTTGGGAATGAAATTTTAGAAAGATCAATTGTTTGTGGTGGTGATTCCATCACCGTTTCAGATGTAACTTTTGCTTACAATCAAGATCTGGACATCCATTTTGGTAATTTTGACTTAGTAAAAGAAAGATTCTCATCGTGTATGATCGAAGAAACAAGGGAGGGAGTAAAAAGAATGTTAGAGACGATAATTGATCGTATGAGAACTTCACCAGAACCTTTACCTGTATTGTTAGTCGGCGGTGGGTCATTTATTGTTCCTACCGAACTTGAAGGAGCTTCAGCAGTTCATCGTCCACCATTTTATAGTGTTGCAAATGCAATTGGAGCTGCCATGTCTAAAATTTCAGGAACAATTAATTTGATTAAGGTTTTACCTGCTGGAACCATATCAAAGGAAGATTTTCTTAAACAATGTATTGAAGATGCTAAAGATATTGCTCAAAAGAGAGGTGCATTAAGGGATTCTACTGTAGTTATTGAAATGTCTCATGATCCTATCCCTTACATTGCCGATACGTTTCAATTCCACGTCAAAGTTGTTGGTGAGGTTGATTACTCAAATCTCAAGAGTGCTTTTGTATTCGAGGACACATCTATTAGTGTTGAATCCGGTGGTCAAATAGTTAAAGAAGTCGGAGAAGTCATTGAAGACTTTTCTATCGATAACATCAATCTCAAAGAGTATATTCCTACAATCAATTCCAATAATGAGTGGATAATTAGTGAAGTCGATTTAGAATTTTTTAGAATTGGAACATATATTTTGGGATGTGGTGGAGGTGGAACACCTCATCCATGTTTCTTAGATATTCGTCATTTAGTTAGAAATGGAGACACAATTCGTATCATCGATATGAAAGATATTAAGAAATATATTAAGGGTGAAGGTACGATTATTCCAGTTGCTTTCTGTGGATCTCCTACGGTTGCTGTTGAGCAATTAAAGGCACAAGAACTTTTGGAAGCAACTACTGCATTATCGAATTTTACCGGTCGTCAACCAGATTTATTCTTTCCATTGGAGATTGGAGGAGGTCAAGGATTCACTGGATTTGAAGTAGGGGCTTCTTCTAGAATGAATATTCCTATCGTTGATTGTGATTTGATGGGTAGGGCATATCCTACATTATGGCAAACTACTTGTAATGCATGTCTAGACGATTACAGTTTTAGTCCTGGAGCAGTTAGTAACAGTAATGGTAATAGTCTAATTGTCAGTGAAATAGCCAATAATGTACTTTTTGAAAGAGTCGTTAGAATAGCTCTAACTGAATTGGGAACATTCGTGGGTGTAATTTCAAATCCTTTGAGCCATCGTCAAGTTGAACAATGTGCAGTAGCCAATTCTCTTTCCTTAGCCTGGAGAATTGGAAGGGCTGTAATTCAAGCGAAACAAGAACTGGATATTGAAAACTTACCATCTAGGATTATTGACGCCGTTGGAGGGCCTCAAGCTGGAAAACGCTTGATGACAGGAAAGATCATTGATGTTTTTAGAAAGCTACATAAAGGATACGTTTTTGGAGAAGTTTTAATAGAGGAGGTTGGAAGCAAGAGACAAATGGTTATCCCTTTCAAAAATGAAAATATCTATTGTAAAGTTAAGAATGACGAAGAAGATCCAGGTGAAATTGTATGTTCCGTGCCTGATTTAATTTCTGTAATAGAAGTTGATACTGGGGAAGCTGTTGGAACTCCAGATTATAAATATGGGTTAATGGTTCATGTTCTTGGATTTGCACCAAGTCACCAATGGACGTCTACTAAAAAAGCATTTGATATCGGCGGACCAGAGTCATTTGAATTTTATGGGGTTGAATATAAGCCCGTGGGGGAATATACTAAGCCAGTCTCAGTAATTGAAGAGTTCGGAAAAAAGCCATAACAATTGTGCTAAATTCCTGATTGGATAAAATATCTAAGAAGTCTGCAGTTCCAAGGTGGCGAACATCGTTCTAGATTTATTTTCAATATATTACATAACAATTTTATTTGCTAATGTAGTTTTAAGGTTATACTTGAAATCTAACTATCACATAAAGAGGCTTACAAAAATGATTTCAATTTATTTTCCTATAATCTCTAACGGGTAATAAAGCAAATTAAATCCACCCAACCTCTAGCCGCATTATAAACTAAATTCAGCTAAAATTTCTTTATTTACTTTTCACAATTTCACTGCGTTCGAAAGTTAAGAAATGATCATTCTGTTTAAATTATAATTACATCGGAGTTTTTGAGATAATTCCGTCGTAAAAAATTTTAGCACAGAGGCTCAATCGGGAAAATATCTCCTTAGTCCGGGTTACAACTATTTAATAATATTTTAGTCATAATATTTTACGGTAAATTGCATTTTGCATTCCATATAAAAATATCTAAGCTTCCTTAATTATTGTTATGAGATGCTTAATGTATATTTACTTTCTCAAGGATTATGTCGCATACTAGTGAGAAACCATTAATTGCTAATGACATAGAATTTGCTCCTGCTAACCCGCTGCAAAGTTTGTCTCAAGAACACCACGATTACCTTATTCGAAGACATGGGACTGTGGAATTAGATCCTTTGCCTTCAAGTGATCCCTTGGATCCGCTCAATTGGCCAGATTGGAAAAAGAATTGTGAAATTGCCTTGATAGCATTTACAACTTTAACTTGCAATATTATGGCCGGTGGTATTACGCCTGCTTTTCAACCAATGGCTGAAGCTTATGAAGTTTCAATCACGGCAGCTTCTTATTTAACTTCAGCTCAAATTGCAGTTTTAGGTGTTGTTCCACTTGGTTGGGTTCCTGTAATGAATACTTATGGAAGAAACCTGTTTATAATTGTTACTTGTTTAATCTGCTGCGGATTGAATATTGCTGGAGGTTTCTGCAAGACTTATGGACAACAAATGGCAACAAGAATCCTTGTAGCAGTTTTTGCTGGTACTGGGTATGCTTCAGGTTCCTCTATAGTGGCAGATTTATGTTTTAGTCATGAAAGAGGTAGAAAAAATGGGTGGTGGTCCACGGCCCTTGTAATTGGTACACCATTTGGGCCATTCTTAACTGGATTTATTCAACAGCATGCTGGTACTAAGTGGATTTACTTTTTCTTTGCTATATTAAACTTTGTTGGATTTTTGCTCTGGTGTTTGGTGGACGAAACTGTTTATCAAAGAGGTGTTAAACAAGAAAAAGAAAGTGGCATAATTCGAATGTTAGGTTTAAAGAAATATTCCAATAATAAATTAAATCGTGATTTATTTTTGAGGCCCTTCAAACTTTCTTTAAATCTAAATGTGGTTTTAGCAGTAGTTGCCCTTTCTGTTACATTCTGTTACGCAAATACCGTTCTTATTGTTGAATTACCTCAAGCGATGGGTATATTATTTAATTTGGATGCTCAACAATTAAGTTATCAATATGTTTCACTTATTGTTGGGTCTTTTATTGGTGAAATGTTAGCAGGTCCTCTTTCTGATTGGTGGATGAAGTTTTGTATTAAAAGAAGACGCGGTACCAGAGTGATTGTTGATAGGTTATGGCTTTCTTATAATGGATTCATTTGTGTTATTGTTGGAATTATAATCTGGGGAGTTTATTTATATAAGGCAGTTCCGGGTCATTGGCAAATCAATTCATTAATTGGAGCAGCTATTGCATCTGCTGGTAATAATATTGTTGCTACTGTGCTCACTACCTTTTGTATAGATAGTGCTCCTGGTTATGCTGCCGACGTAGGATTATTTCTTAACATATGGAGACAGATTTTTGGTTTTGCAGGTCCCTTTTATTTTCAGGATATGTTTACGAATCTCAATTTTGCTGGATCATCCGGGCTTATGTCTGGACTTGTGTTAATATTTGGAGTAGGCATTACTGCATATTTGCATTACATGGGTAGTAGGAAGTCGGTTATTTCAAAGCTTTAAGCGAACTTAGCTAAATCTTATAATAATACTAATGATAACAATAAGAAAATATCAAATAAAAACTGAAGAGAAACATATCCAGTTCTACTCTCCAACTTAATTTTCATCTCATTATTCATACGTGTCTATGTATACAACTGATTGCCAAAATAAATTGATTAATGTATATACTAGTACAAAGTCAGCATGTAAAATCCTGTAATTAACAACAGCTTTTACTCATCCTTCTCTCCTTCTAAAGGTTTATAGCAGATAAAACTCATTTCTCAGTTAAAATATGAGGTTGTACTTGGTAACCTAAAGAACTATGCAAGAGCGACACTAACTTACCTTAGCAATATGACTATTAGCTAAAACTGCATGCTGGTAAAGGGTTTGAAATATTGACATACAGAAAGGTAAGATTCAGATTAATCTAATTACGTTATAATAATAGGCATGAACTGCTATAGAAACAGAGCTGGGTCTGTCTATTCAAATAATTATTTTGTTGATAAATGTAGTAATAAGAAACTTGACTATCGGCTTCAGTATTTTCTGATTAAGTCAATTTCTTAGTTTGGTAGAGCATCCGGGTATGCTACATAATTCTACATGAATACAATATTTTAATTTGGGATTTGCTTAATCTAATTTAAACCTGAATAGATTCTCTTTTTTATGTGATAATGGTGCATTTAATAAATTTCGGCATTTCATTGACGCATATAATAACATCAAGATTTCTTCATTGTTATATGCGCCTACAATGATCAGAATAACTCCTGCCAAGAAATGTTGACATCTTTAACCATCGTTTTAGGATTTTAGTTATAACTGGAAAATGTTCGAATTGCCAGAGTTTTCAACGTATTTCTAATTATAGTTTGGGTAACAAACATTCCCATTATTCCCAGGGAGAACAGGCAGTCCTGCTTACGCCAAATGCACTTGAACAAAAATCTATGATATTTTGAAAACGATATCTTTGTGTTTTACAACATTTCGTTGGTATAGTGGCTTAAATAGCATGTACATTTCTCGCCTCTTTAGTATATCATTAGATGCACACCAAAAAAAGGTGCGATAGGACAGCAAACAGATTTCTATGAGCAAGTGAAACAATATGCATTGGTGAATCAACGACGGAAGCATTCAATCTTCTATTTTTATGTTTCCATTGTCACAATAACAAAATTTAATCAAGATGCCTTGAGCCTACTCCACTAACACCACTTGCGCACTTAAACACGATTTAGAAAATTACATATTGAGTCCAATCATAACTGAAATAAACCGACGCTGTTGTGCTTTAACGAGGACTGTAAGCCACGCAATAGTATAGCCGAATGAACGTAACGAGCCACTTTTGTAGTATGGATATACATAAATAATTTTATGCGTATGTATAGAAAGAAAAAGAAAATAATTCAGAGCATGGCTCACCTTTCCACATGCAAAATATATTTACATCAACATTGCGCCACTCCAGCAGTTATTTAATATATACTTAGATTGAGATTCATAAAATAGATCTATAAAACTACTATTACGAATGTCACTGCTTTAAGGCTATGATGTAAATTCTATGCTAATTGATGATGTAACTTTTAATATTTAATTTTCATCTGGGTGGTGGAAGATTGATAGTTGAATGTAAAGGTGGCGAGAAAGTCTATATAGTAAGTAGTAACTAAATAGTAATAGTTAATATAACATGCAGGTGACTAAGAATCAGTCATAAAATTCGTATTATACGCAACTTGCGGAACACAATATTCTTAAGAAGTATATATTATTATACAGTACTAATATAAATGCACGTATGTGCCCATTTTTGTGAAGCACTGCCAATGATTGCATAACGGGTAGATTGTCAATTAATTAAGCTTTTCATGAAAAGATCCTCAACGATATATTGTTAAAAGCTACTCTGGTCAAATTAGATGTGTCCAATAAAGTTTAAATGTATCATAAGGGATTAACACATCGGCATGATTACAAACACTCATTGTGAATAAATATAGATGCTACTTAAGAAAAACAGACGGACGGTAAAACATTATCATTAAGAAGCATCACTTAAATTCTATAGTTTTTTGGGTTTCCATGTTATAGTATATGAAAGCAGAAATTCAAATGTAACTACTAGATTCATTTTATACCTTTATTACGATTGTTAAAATATACGTTGGTGAATCATTTATGGAAGTATGTGATTGTCTAATAAAGTTTAAATCGTGAAAATTAACAAGAAAGTCAACTGTAGTATGAGTTGATTTTCTAAATATTGAAGTACAACCAAATTTCGAACTTTTGTACGTCCGACTCAATTAATTCATTCCCTAATGTATGATAAAGTCAAGGCTATATATCCGCATTTCCGGAAAGATTCCCATATGGGTTTTCTTTCAAGCTACAAGCAAAGTTTAAAATTTCTTATGAAACGGCAAGAAGAAGATATTACATGCAGAATGAAACGTTAAAGTTAAAGTCATTCTATCAAGTATTGCCCTAAATATAAATGTATATTATTACTAAGGTTTCGTCAAACATGCAAGAATTGTCTTATTAACCGATTTACACTTGTGGGATAATATCTGCTAAAAGAGATACTTTTCGCTAAAAGATATTTAAACGACTTGATCTAGTAGTAGAATGCTTAATTGGTCATAAGAAAGAATGACTTGGCTTTTCCGAAAAACTTAAGGAAGTACTATCATATTGCATAATTCCACAATTGAGGTTATATATACGGTAAATAAATTGTTTAAAGTAGCAAACCAATTTGTCAAAAAAGATTAGTCAACAAACGCTAAGAAGTTTAAATATACTGCACGCACCGAGTTGGTGAGGCTCTTTCAAAATTTTGTTAACACAAAATATACAATTCGAATCACAACATGCATATGGTATGAATCGAAAATGCCGAACAACGATTCAAGCTAACAATATGCTTTCCGTGTATACTTTAACCTTTTTTAAAGAGGTAAGAGTTCCAAGCTTATGAAGCCAATTTATCTCACTTTTAAGATCTATTTTTTATGCACTGGAACAAATAAGATTTAGCAGTCTTTTATGAAATTATTGCACGATTCCCAGTATTCAAAATACTGTCAGATTAATTCAAATAATCTGATATATAAGAAACATTATCCTCAAATTCAAATAAATTTATATAATGTTTGTCTTCATAGAGTTAAAGATCAGAAATGAAGTCTTCAATTTTAGGAGCAGTATTTTTTGCTGTATTCCTATTGCATACAGTATTGTCTGACAATTATACAAACATTGATGTAAATGGCTATTATATGTTAAATATAACTTCTATGGGGCAAAATTACGATTGTAATTTTTATGCTAATATGACAGTTCATGAACATTCAACGTTTATATTTAACAGTTATAATTTTCATCTGTATGGTGGAAGTACCTTTACAAATAAAGGTATTTTTTACTCTCAAGCTTTAGGTGCATATCCCTATTATGATAAAAATGTACAGGGCGGTCTGAGTTTTAAACTTAATGAAGGACAAACTACAGGGGGAATTCACAATACTGGTTTTTTTATGTATAATGACAACCTTACACTCTGTAGTCCACCTACTTATACCATACATGGTAATTTCTTTATTAATGAAGGTACTTTTATTTTGGCAGGTGGTGGTGCATGTGATGGCTCTACAAATATCATTAAACCATACGGAACTAATGCAATTTTTCACAATACAGGTGTCCTTGCATATATGCAATATTTTATGACTGTCGGAGATGCACCAAGTACATATTGGGGTTCTGATTCAGCTTGTACTACTTCCGGGGTGGCTACTGTTATCAACAATGGATCTCTTTGTTTGTTTAATAACAACCCTGTATATCAAGGTTCCCAATATGCTGGAAATGGATGTATTGATATTGGTAATCAAAGTACATTTTTTTTGAGGTGTCCTCAGTTGTTTGGCCTTGATGGCAGTTTACATACATTTTACCTTAGCACAAATACGTCAGTGTTGTATTTTGATAATGTTGGAGTATCCAATGCCCCTGCAACTCCATACATCGTAAGTGGTTGGGGGAATAATAATCAGATTACTATTCACATTTCAAATCCGGTTTGGAATTACGATGGTAAAACTTTAAGTATTACAGCTTCATCTGTTACATATCAGTTTATCATTGGTCCTGGATATGACCCGTCTTTGATAAGTTGGAGTGAAGGTCCATCCTGTAATAATTTAAAGAATTCAGGTTCTCGTTTCGTATACAATGCCCCACCCCCAGATAGCTCAAGACCAAGCGTATGTTTACCATGTCCAACTGTCATACCTCAGTTATATGATATATTACAAGACCAACCTGATTACACAACCACATTCACAACTACCAATTCAGATGGTTCAGTGGAAACCGACTCAGGAGTCGTCCACGTTACAAACAGCGATGGAACTATCACTACTGTCACTTCCTTATATCCAAGTGAGTATACTACCACCTTTACCACAACTGAATCGGATGGGTTTGTCGCTACTGATTCCGGGATTGTATTTGCAACTACTGATAAAGACGGTAATCACATCACCACAACTTCTTTATTTCCAACTTCAAGTGATCCGTTCACTCACTACACCACTACTTTCACGACCACCGATACTGACGGATTTGTTGCTACTGATTCTGGTGTAGTTGATGTCACCTACAATACCGATGGGGAAGTAACTACAAAGACTTCGTTATTCCCAACTAAAACCAACCCATTTACTTCATTTACGACTACATTCACCACCACTGAAGCTGATGGATTTGTTGCTACTGATTCCGGTATAGTTGTTGTTACTTACAATCCCGACGGCGAAATTACTACAAAGACGTCGCTATTCCCAACTCCAACTGATCCGTTCACTCACTACACCACTACTTTCACGACTACCGACACTGATGGATTTGTTGCTACTGATTCTGGTGTAGTTGATGTCACCTACAATACCGATGGGGAAGTAACTACAAAGACTTCGTTATTCCCAACTAAAACCAACCCATTTACTTCATTTACGACTACATTCACCACCACTGAAGCTGATGGATTTGTTGCTACTGATTCCGGTATAGTTGTTGTTACTTACAATCCCGACGGCGAAATTACTACAAAGACGTCGCTATTCCCAACTCCAACTGATCCATTTACTGTATACACTACGACATTTACTACCACCTTAACTGACGGGTTTAAAGCCACGGATTCAGCTAAAGTGGTTGTTACTCACAATAAGGATGGTGAGGTAATCACCTCGTCTTCGTTTTTCCCAACAGTAAGTGACCCATTTACTGTGTATACTATTACATGGACTACCACATATACGACGTTGTAGTAAATTGAGACTTGAAGTGATATGAGAATCAAATAAGAATGGAAAGAAGTATTAATCTAAAATAGCTAGTAATTTAAGAAGTTTGGTATTGTTAAGTTAGAAGAACTTCGTTCAACTGAAAGTGTT